TGCATCACCCACTTCGCTCGCTTAGAGCTTACGGTTGACGGCTACTCCGAGTGGACGGACTTCCTCATCACCGATCTCGGAGGGGAGGACGTCATCTTGGGCCTTCCCTGGCTCCGCAAGATCAACCCTCAGATCGATTGGCGCAAGGGTACCTTGGAAATTCCCCCACCTCGTATCTCCAGTGTTACCATCGAAGAAATCCCCGACGAGGACGCACAACCCCCCCGAAAGGAACCACCCTCCGGCAATGCTATTATCGAACAGATCTATGACGACCCTGATCTACCCGTTCCTACCACTCCCAACGACTCCCCGGCACCCGACCCTGACTTTGAACCAAGCGCGCCCCCTCTCTGCCGCATCCGCGCTAACCGAATGACCCGGCGGAAATGGGTTCGTAAGGGGTTGATTGAAGACACAGGCGATGAACTTTGGTGCGCCGCTGGTTTCACCTATTCCCAACAGATCGCCGAGAAGTCCCAGAAGGCCAAGCCCCAGAAGTCGTTCGAAGAGATGGTTCCTCCCCAGTACCGACAGCACGCCTCCGTCTTCTCCGAATCCGAGTCCCATCGCCTCCCCGAACACAAGCCTTGGGATCATGCCATCGACCTCGTTGCAGGAGCACCGGCCACCATGCGTACCAAGGTCTACCCTATGTCGCAGAACGAGCAGGAAGAGCTAAACCAATTCCTCGAGGAGAATCTCAATAAAGGCTACATACGACCGTCTAAATCGCCCCTCGCCTCCCCGGTCTTCTTCGTTAAGAAGAAAGATGGCAAACTCCGCTTCGTCCAGGATTATCGAAAGCTCAACGAGATCACGGTGAAGAACCGATATCCACTTCCCCTCGTCTCTGACATCGTCAACCGACTCCGTGGTGCCAAGTATTTCACCAAGTTCGACGTTCGATGGGGCTACAACAACATCCGCATCAAAGAAGGAGATGAATGGAAGGCCGCGTTCGCCCACCAACCAAGGACTCTTTGAACCCCTGGTCATGTTTTTCGGCCTCACCAATTCCCCAGCAACGTTCCAGGCCCTCATGAACTCGATATTCTCGGATCTCATCGCTTCAGGAAAGGTCGCTGTTTATTTGGACGACATTCTCATCTTCACGGCCACCCTCGACGAACACCGCCAAGTCGTGCACGAGGTCCTCCATCGGCTCAAGAAACACGACCTTTACCTTCGTCCGGAGAAATGCGAGTTTGAGCGGGAGGAGATCGAGTACCTCGGTCTGGTCATCAGGGAGGGAGAAGTCCGTATGGACCCTGCCAAGGTAGAAGCTGTTCGCAACTGGCCTGTTCCCCGCAACCTTCGCGCCGTCCGTGGATTTTTGGGTTTCGCCAACTTCTATCGCCGTTTTATCAAAGACTTTGCTACCATCGCCCGGCCTCTCAACGACCTCACCAAGAAGGACATCCCCTGGCAGTGGAACGAACCGCAACAACAAGCCTTCGACACCCTCCGTAACGCGTTCACCTCCGCCCCAATCCTGACTCTGTGGGACCCCGACCGACCGACTCGCGTTGAAGTAGACGCCTCTGGCTTTGCTACTGGAGGAGCCCTCCTTCAGAAGCTCGACGATGGACTCTGGCATCCTGTTGCCTTCCGCTCCGCCTCCCATGCACCAGCCGAAACGCACTACGAAATCTACGACCGAGAAATGCTGGCTATCATCGAAGCACTCAAGGACTGGCGACATTTCCTGGAAGGACTCCCCAAACCGTTCGAGATCGTCACCGATCATTCCAACCTGGAATACTGGCGCACGGCACAAGACCTCAGTCGACGACAGGCCCGGTGGTCCCTCTATCTTTCCCGTTTCAACTTTACGCTCACCCATCGTCCCGGAAAGGCCAACACCCAAGCCGACCCCCTGTCCCGCCTCGACATTCATCAGGTCGCAGACGCAGAGGATAACAGGCAACAAGTCGTTCTCAAACCAGAGTTGTTTGCCAAGCTCGCAGCCGCCCACACCGCCCTTGCCAACCCCCTCGAAGACCGACTGCGTCGAGCCAGCGTCCGTGAATCTCAGGTCTTAGACGGACTCGCCCAGCTCCGTAAGTCAGGACCTCGCCGTCTCACATCTGGACTTCCCGAATGGGAAGAGGACAACGGCCTTGTGTACTACAAAGGCCGTGTGTACGTACCCCCGGACGACGAACTTAGGCGCGATGTCCTCAAGCAGTGTCATGACGACCCCACGTCCGGACACCCCGGAGTGCACGGAACCCTTGAGCGAGTTGAACGACAGTACTGGTGGCCCACGATGCGGGCCTTCGTCAAGAAGTACGTCGACGGTTGCGATATCTGCGCCCGGAGAAAGCATACCCAGCACCCGCGGGCCGCCACCCAGCCTCTGGACGTTCCCGAAGGGCCTTGGGAGACAGTAGGAGTCGATCTCATCACCCAGTTACCGGAAGCCCATGGACACGACGCGATTATCGTCTTCACCGATCACTACAGCAAGGTTCTTCACGCTCTCCCCTGTACATCCGACATCACCACCGAAGGCGTTGCAGATATCTACTACCGTGAAGTATTCCGTCTCCACGGTCTTCCACTCCGGTTCATCAGTGATCGAGGCCCTCAGTTCGCTTCTAAGGTCATGCGCACCCTCCTCAAACGCCTTGGAATCGAGTCTAACCTCACCACCGCCTATCATCCTCAAGCCAATGGACAAACCGAACGGGCCAACCAGGAAATCGAGAAGTATCTTCGCCTTTACGTCTCTCGCCGACAGGATGACTGGGACAAGCACCTACCGATGGCTGAATTCGTGATCAACTCCCGCGTCCACTCCGCCCATGACCGGTCACCCTTCGAAGTTCTCTACGGGTATATTCCCCACTTCAACATCCCCATTGGCAAACGGACCGACCTTCGCTCCGTTGATGAACGTGTTCAACAGCTACAAGAAGCCCGCAAGGATGTGGAAGCTGCCTTACGTCTCGAGAAGGCCCAGCAGAAGGATGCGTACGAGTCCGGCAAGCGAACGGCGCATTCAATTCAAGGTTGGCGACTATGTTTGGCTTAACGCGAAGGACATCCAGATCAAGGTTCCGTCCCGCAAACTCGGCGACCTCCAACTCGGCCCGTACAAGATTACCGAACGCATCGGCGACCTCGACTACCGCCTCGAACTTCCCCCGTCCCTCTCCCGCATTCATCCTGTGTTCCACGTCGACAAGCTCTCCCCCTGGAAAGGTAATGATGTCAATGGCATTTTGCCACCGCCGCCTGAGCCTGTCGAACTGGAGGGGGAGCTTGAATACGAGGTTCACGACATCCTGGACAGCCGTTGGAGAGGTCGAGGAAAGAATCGCAAACTGGAGTATCTGGTCAGTTGGAAGGGTTATGGGTCGACAGACGACACTTGGGAACCGGAGGAGAACTTGGAGCACGCGCCTGAGATCGTGAAGGAGTTCCACCAGCGACACCCCTCTGCACCACGCCGAATTTCCGCTACCGTCTTCAGCTCTCTCCCATGGCGCCCACTCGAGAATTTCACCGACGCCCCGCCTACCGACTTTGACTGGGAACTGGGACGCCGCCTACCGTTGGTCATCGAGGACGATGAGGCTTAGAAGGGGGGTAATGTCGTGAACAGCCGGTACAGCCCCTATTTTTCACTTTATCTTATCTAATCTGTCTCGCATCTTATCGTTTCACTTGCCCCTATTCCTTCGCTTCTTTATTCCCTCTATGGACTCTTTCATTCATGGAACACTGCCTCGTATTGCCCTTCGCCCCACTTCCATTGTTCTTATTGTTACGCACTGCCTCTTGACTCATTCTGACGTTCTTTTGTTCCATTATTGTTTCATCCTTGTTCTCCGCGCAGCCTTCACGCAGCCTCATGACCTTTCTTATTGTTCTTCGACGTTTCGCCATTTGTTCGTCATCTTGACTCATCGCGGCTATGTAGACTGTAGAATAGGTATATAAGCTAGGTAGTCTGCTCTGTATTTCCTCAGCTTGACCTCTTCGTCAATACATCGACATAGCTTTCTGGTCTAACTTGTCGCTCATCGCTCTCATCTCTCTTGTCGCTCTCAGCCCTCTGGCACTTCCGCTCTGGTTTTAAGGTTTGGTTTGGTTTAGTGTTCGCTCTTCGCGACAGCAAGCCAATCGATACATATATCGTGTCGGAACATTGTAAACGAGTCCGTATTAGAAGCAATAGCTGAGATACCAAGGTATAGAGACCAAATTCATTCTGATCATGCTGGAAATGGTAATCAGTGCAGCAACTGATAAGGGAATTCATACTGTAATTCTGGGCTAATCGCTGTCAAAGTCGCTGTAAATATCTGTAGTACTGGCACCGTCAATCTAGCCAATTTGTACTATCATAGGTCCAATAACAAGAAGGTGGTGACCACAAAGGCTCCCTGGTCTGAATAATCATCATGTAAGTGTAGAGCCCTGGTTTCAAAGCGAAGGAGGCTAGATTGTTGTAGGATGCACACCAATGACGGGATGAAAGGGCAGATACAGGGATAAGTTGACCAAATCAAGCGCTGACTGGTAATCATACATTTTATGATTTTCCGGAAAACATGTTTTGTCTATCCATAGCGTATCCGATAGCGCTAATACGTGGTGTGGTAACGCGAACATAGATACTCGACATATCCACCAAATTGCAGCGTCCAATGCGGATTCGTTCAGAGTACAGAGCATTTGTCATTTTAGCCTCCATATGTCGAAGGTTTGTCCTAATTAGGTACTCACCGCCATCCCGCCCCCCGCCGAGTGAGAGAATCATCCATATGACAGTTCTTTGATCTTCTTTGGCATTGACAGGTGGTTGACACCAGCCGTCGGTGAGAAGCTGATGTGCTGTTGGGGTGTCAACGGGAGGTTATGGATAACAGCCTAAAGTGGGTTCCAAGGTCCCTAACTATGGAATTATGGATAACAACTGGGTGGATCATCCAGGCTAGGATGGATAATTACGCCGTTCTCCCCTCGGCATTTACGCCAGCTCTCCCATGGATTCGGATTGTCTATCCGACTACGCGGTGTCCTCCTATTGCTCCTCTCCCCAAGACCTTCTCTCCCCTCCGCCAGAGCCAAACCCCGACTTCAAGATGCTTGTCGCCATCGAGCCAGAGCGTCTGGGACCAGGTGTTCCGAGCCTCCCATCGACCAGAGAAGAGCTAGAGAAGATAGAGTTGCACATCCCAGAAGCGCATCGCCTTGTCACTCGCGTAGGGTCAGCGGGCAGCCCTGCCACCTCGATCTTGGAAGACATCAATACTGCCTCCATCGTCCATTTCGGCTGCCATGGAATGCAAGACACCTCGAATCCACTTGCGAGCTGCCTCCTTCTGAGTGGAGGAGAATTGACGATGTCTTCTCTCATCCGCAACTGTCGACCCTCGACGGCTGCTCTTGCCTACCTGAGTGCCTGCGAAACTGCGATGGGGGATCGACAACGCCCTGACGAATCTCTTACTCTGGCTGCTACAATGCAGTTTGCCGGTTTCCGGAGCGTGGTTGCAACGATGTGGTGAGTCAAATTCTCTTTTAAATTCCTAACCAGACTGACCTTCCTCAAACCAGGTCCATCCACGACCAGGATGCTCCCATCGTGGCAGATGCTTTCTACCGCCATCTATTCCGCCACGGCAAAGCCTCCCCACCCGATATAACAGACGCGGCGTTCGGACTGCATCTTGCTGTAAAGGAGTTGCGTGAGCTCGGAAGGCCTTTCCACCAATGGGTTCCTTTCGTTCATCACGGTATTTGATCCAATTGCCTCGCGCTATCCACATATCATACATAATTCACTCACGGTGCCCTGGCCTTTCCACAATCAACATACTTTCCCCACATCTCGAGCACCTGTATGACACGGTGACTGTCGCAGAGGGCCCCTGATTCGACATCGGGCTTTACCGTAAGGGGGCGCGATGGGACTTCCAAATAAATGTATGTACAATGTCAAGGTTGAGCATTATAGTAAATATTCAACACACAGCCGTACTGCTCCGGGGGACACGCAGCGGGCTGCTGGTACCATCAGACTCTTATCACGCTCTTTCGTAGTTCATCTCTTGCTGTTTGTCATTCACTTTCTGTTTATTCTACTGTCGCTACCGTATATATCCGGAAAAAATCCGCAAGAGCCATACACGGGCCCACTCCTCGTGTGAGGTCCGTCGCGTCGCGTCGCGGGTCCAAATAGGGGTAGGCCAGGTGTAAGAGCTTCGATTTACGTCTCAAGGTATCGGCTTTGCCTAAGTACTTATGACCATCAGCTACGTCATCGAGCCTCCCACATTCATACTGCCTCGAACGTCTCGTCGTCGACGTCCTTCTCACTAGGTGAATGGACGAGCGTCTACTTGAGTGGACTCCTATCACAAACGACACAAAGTACATATTAAACGCGCCTTTGCCAAAATGGCCAAAGTGAGTAATCCCGTTCTCCACCGCACCCGCGCATCCAGTCATGAAGCATGTAACAGACATTGCCTCTGGAGATAGTTGCTACCATCATTCGCCTTTGCTCGCGAGATACTTTGGCCCGGCTGTCGTTGGTCAACTGGTTTTTCAAGAACGAAGCTGAGCCCTTGCTTTACCGATCCATCACCGTAAAGCTCGACAATTCCAGAGCTGGACGTGTCGCAGCCTTCGCTTGTCTGAGGGCGCTCATGAAGCCTGAAAAGGCGAAGATGGTTACGCACTTGAAGATCTTCGTCAGTGGGCCGATGATGACACTGGTCAACAAGATACTTGTTTGTATGGACCACATGGACAACCTAAAGCATCTCAGGCTGGAAGTAAGGGTGCCGGAATATTGCCAGGAGAGCACCTGTTTCTGGGAGTTTCCCTCCAAGCTCTTGTGGTGAGATCACTCCAGGCCTCTGCGATATTGATTTGGTATTGACCTGTTTTAAGTCGAAACAATTTCCAGCTTTCATCCTTCGGCTACCACCCTTCGTATGCCAGACTGTTCCAGGGAAACGACGAGCTCAAAAGGCATCAGCTGTCCTTAGAGGTCATAGCGCTATGGGGCCATACCTATTTTTACCGTCAGGATCTGCTCCAGCTCATAGTACGATGGGCTGCAGAGAACCCCAAAGTTCCCGCTCTTCTAGGATTCGAGCCGTATTACCCACCTGAAGATTCGGAACAGCGTCGCCTTCCCATCATCTGTACATTGGCGGTGACAGGAAGAGGTAAAAGAGGAGAGCAATACGAAGTGTGCCTTTTTCCTGGTCTCTACGCCCTCGAGGAGAGACCTAGAATTTGCTCTCGGGTTTCCAACATTCTCGATCTCGAGGATGATGGCACGTATGGAACCTTGCCCTCTGAGAGGGTTCGGCGTGTGTCCCTTTACTGGCTCGGATTCACCAACAACGATACAACTGTGTCAGAACTCCAGCGATTTTCAGAATCGGTGGTGGCCTCGTTCCCTGCTCTGGAAGAGCTATGGGTTTACATAAGTCATGTTTCTCCACGTTCATGTTCCCAAGGGAATCCTGACCAGGCATTTTAACTACAGGATCATCGCCGACTGAGGGAAGGACTTTCACCGTTGGTCCGAGCTCCCCTGATGACGCTAGGTATGGAGGAGTGGTTGAATCCTTCTGAAGAGCCGATGGCTTTTGGGTTGACTCTTCAAGAGCAGCTCCCCCTCGCCGAAGTTTGGAACGATTTTTTTCCTGACATGACACGTCTCACTATATTTAGCTGTATTATGTGGAAGAAGGATGGAGAGTGGATAGGCTACGACGTACTCGACTGATCCTTCAGAGATGTACCTATATATGTTCCTCAAAGAAGTGGGAGATAGAAACGTTTGGTGCCCTCTGTCGACGGGAGTTCGGAGCGCCCAGGAAATTACACATATCTTCCCTCTCCTTTCATGTTTCTCGCCCATCGAGGCTCGATATGTACATGTTTGTTCTGGGCGATGTCCACACCCCAAGCAGCCGAAGAGCGCTGTCACTAGCACTGAACGTACTTCCCTCCTATTCATGTGGCTATTAACAGCTTGACGATGGTAAGCAATCCCAATTTCAGTCCACCAACCCATCAAGGCAGCTAATGGCACGAATAGACGCTGCCTCCGGAAATCGTTGCGTCCATCATTGGACTTTGCTCGAGAGAGGCCTTGGTTCCTCTGTCCTTGGTCAACTGGTTTTTCAAAGTCGAAGCTGAACCTTTGCTTTATCGCTCCATCTCGCTCGATTCCAGGACTGGGAACTTCAAGGCAATTGCCTGCCTAACAACCCTTTCTTCGAAGCCTGAAAAGGCGAGGATGGTTCAACGCCTGAAGATCGTCCTAAAACCATTATGGACCTTGATAGACAGAATGATCGCTGCAGCAGAGCATATGGATAACCTGAAGCACCTGGATCTTCGGATGCACGGCGACTGGAGAGAATTTACATTTCAGCAGGAGTTCCCTTCCAAGATCTTGTTGTGAGTTCTCTTCCAATCGGTGTACCATCGCGCTTCCACTGATCCCGTTGCCTTCAACGACTGTATCAGTCGAGATAATTTCCAACTTACCTCCCTCGGTTATTACACCTCATCCGCGAGAATGTTCCGCAGGAATGATACTCTCACAAGTTCTCAGAAATCGTTGGAGATCTTGGGCCTATGGCACAAGACCCACTTCTACCGCCAGGACTTAGTCCGCATCCTTTTACGATGGGTCGCAGAGAACACGGGGGCCAACTTTCCCTCTTTCCTAGGGTTCGAGCCCTATTATCCACCAGAAGATACCGGACGGCGTCTTCCCGTTGTATGTGGGTTAGCTGACCATACCGAAAAGAGTCGGAGTGGTGAAAAATACGGAGTTTGCCTTTTCCCCGGGCTCCACGCTACCGAAGAGGAGAGACTTCGCATTTGCCCTCGAGTTTCCAAGCTCATCGATTTGGATGACGGCGGAGGATATGAAACTTCGCCATCGGAAAGAGTCTGGCGCATGACGATTTACTGGCTCGGTCTCACCAGCAACGAGTTGAGCGTGGCGGAACTGCAGCGATTTTCAGACTCGGTGGTGTCCTCTTTCCCTGCTTTAGAAGAGCTATGGATCTATACCCGATTCACAAACGACTTGGTGGGTCCTCGCTCCGTGCACATGCATTCTGACCAGAAACCTCACAATCTCAACGAGTGCGTAAAAAGTTACTTTTCGAAGTAACTTTTATTAACTTTTCCCCCTTGCCGCGACTCTGGTCTAACTTTTTCTCACGCTTTGGAAAGTTAGCAAGTAACTTCGACTAACTTTGTCCCTTTGCTTTTCTACTACGGGCAGCGATGAAGGTACGGGATATACTTACAAAGGGATGTACCAATGCTCGAGGATTATACCATTCAAATGTAACACGCGAAGATGGGTAGAAATCCCCACATACTGATACATGGGTTCATCATTGTCGTTGGGTCGGACTCGGTGAGCCTAGTAGACGTCCAAATCATGTCGGGGGTTACAGCTACTTGAGCGCAGCTAATTGACGGTCTTGGTCGACCCAGAGAACATATCTAGAGGTCTCTCTATTGCTCACTGCTTGGGGGTGGTCTGGTACAAACAAACTTGCCAGGGGGTATCCTGATGAATGCGCCTCGCAGTGACGCCTGATTTCTATTGGGCTAAATTATCGCTCCCCACCCTAATTGCTTCTACTTCTTACCATGGGATTTGCGGTAAAAATCCGAGTTCGATACGTCTTGCACATCCTGACGAGACTCACTGCCAGCGCCGAGGTCAAAAAGATTGAAATCGAATTCGAATTCAATAACCAGGCACATATTCACGACTCGGAGAGCCCCCGGTCTCCTGCGGTCAGAGTTTGATTGTAGCGCCTCTACAATCAAAATGAGTACTTACTACAGTACTCGGGCATACATGGCGCCTTATCTTCGACGTTCCTAATCACCATCGATTGGCTCACCTATCTCAACCTATCGCCAAGCCATGTCTTCTCAAGGTAGCCGCACTTGAGCAATAAGTTAACTTTCGGCACGTTACTTTTGGCTTACTTGTACCATACAAAAAAGTTACTTTTGTCTAACTTTACGCTAACTTTTTCGTCAAAAGTAACTTTGCTGAAAAAAGTTAGAAAAAGTTAGTTTAGTAGGGAAAAGTTAGTCGAGAAAGTTACTTTTGTAACACCCAATCTCAACGCCAGGACCACTCTCGGCTAAGACAAGGACTTTCACCCATAGCTCGAGGTCCGCTATCGCAACTGCGTTTTGTAGAGTGGATTGATCCTGGTGAAGAGCCAGTGTCTCTGGGGTTGGCGGATAACGAGATGATTGCACTCGCTGAAGGCTGGAACACAGCGTTTCCCAGTATCACGCGTTTCACTATGTTTGGAAGGGATCTTAGGAAAGAGGACGGGCAGTGGGTAAATACACAAGTTGATCCATAGCTCGGAATATCACCCGCAGAGTTACTTTGCTGATACGATGGAAAAGTGTGCATGCTGTGAACGTAGGAAAGCAAAAAGGAGCACTATGGCCTGTGTTCTCTTCATTGCGAGCTACTAGTCAGTGAGATACTAATAGGGGCTTATTGGTACTGGTTACCTTGAAGCTCTGCCTCCACGACCTCGACCACGACCTTGAACGTCGAGCTCGACGTTGCTTGAGTCAGAATGGGATTATCGTTTGAATAGGCCAGCAGGATTCAAGTTCACCTTAGCCCTCGGTCAGTGAGCGCCCATCCTGTCTGATTATCACAATGACGCGGGATCGCCAGAATCTGCGACGTCGACCATTGACAGTGTGATAGTATAAGATGGACGCCAATCACTATCCTTCCACCGTTACGGCAGTTTACGGATATTGGTTGCAGAGAAAGGAAGGTCAAAGACGCCAACCAATTTCCAACCAAAGGCGAAATCGTGGCCGGCTCAATGATCGGCATGTTGATTCCCAACTGATGAATCAGCACCGCCACTGCTCAGAACTTGCCGCTCGCTTTGTTGCTGCTTGAACGATTCGTCTTCGACGGCGACGACGACCACGACGATCGTAAACCGCCACGGACCCGAAACCGAATTTAACGCTGATTCCCAATCTAATCTGACGACAATAACGACCTTTTACGCGTAATGGCACCCTCACAATACGAATCTATCTCCAAGGATGATCTCTTTGCTGCCCTGGCGTCCATGGGCGTCAAACTGCCAACCTCGTCCAAAATATCCCTGGAGGACCTCACAAAACGTCTGCTCGCCTCTTTAGACTCTTCTCAAGAACTGACGGACCTCTTTCCCGGCGTCAAGTCAGGCGAGGAGCGTCTGAACCCCACCACCTTCGAACCCTGGACCGACAACGCGAACCTCATTCTCGAAACGCATCGGTCGAGTTTGAAACAGGGGTTGCACAACTTGATGTCTAGGGGTATCAAGAAGGACCCATCGAAGGAGAAAGAGCAGACATTCCAGGAGATCCAGCAAATCCTACTTGCGTTTGCCAGGGAATGGGGGGAGGGGAGACGGACGTTTATGCTGATGGACGAGGATCAAGAATGGGGAGTCCTAATCCAGGTGTGTATTCCACGGGCGTATAATCTCGAAATAGAATATTGTTATCCACCTGACGGCTCTAGATTCTCGCTGTCCTCAAAGTCAACTCCCACACACCCCTCTACATGCTCTCCTTCCGCACAATCTTTGCGATCCCCAACAAATCTCTCCAACGCCAAATGGAGGATATCCTCCCACCCTCGGTCACCTACGCCATCTCCGTCCGAACAACACCATTAGAACGCAAGGTTGTGCTTAAACTCTTAAATATGAACGCTAAACGTCTAGATACCGAAGTATACAAGGTCCCGGAAGGATTTGCAAAATATACGAAGAAACAGTGGAAAGTCTCTTTCATACTTCCATTGGCACCGCTACCGATGGTGGATATTGGGAAATTTACGGATCTTTCGGGGTGTGAGGTTTGTGGGAGTACGAAGGGAGCGAGTAGGTGTAGCGGATGTCTGTCAGTGCTGTACTGTGGAACCAGTACGTTTTCCTTCCCTTCCCTGGCCAGAGTTTCGGCTTCTCTGACGCTGTTATAGAATGTCAAACAGAGGACTGGCCACGGCATAAAGCAACTTGCAAATCTCTCCAAGGCGGAACATGGACAACAATCACCTTCGGCCCCGCCTCTGCCGTCCCAAGTATCGGAGGCCTGGACACCAACAAAACTCTCTACTCCACACTCATGAACTTCAACGAGTCCACACACGGCTCCTCATCCTCCCACAACCGAATCAAAGAAGTCCAGCCATCTGACATACCCCCAAACGTCCACGGCTCCAAAGTCTTCCTCGCAAAGTTCCAAGTGTCGCTCTTCCAGTTTGGACCGCAGTCCCATTTCTTGATTTATGATCGCCAACGGAGCTTTCAGATATTTTGGAAGGCAAAGGAGGATATGGAGGCGTTCCAGGTGGCGATGAAGGCCCTCGGGGACGAGTTGAAGATGTACAGATTCGTGAAGCGCACGGGGGATTATTCCATGAGTGTCTGCTTTGATAGACCGCCGGCGGAGAATCCCCCGTGGTAGTGACACAAACTGGGCGTAGCATAGTGTACAAAGAGGAATCAATTGCGGGATATCGTACTCATTCATACCATTCGTTCGTTAAGCCATAAATTAAAAATAATGAAATGATAATTATGCGTACTGGAACGAAAGGCCACGCTGGCCCTGACTATTGGCTCGAATAAAGACTGTTATTACAGCAATTAGGGATACAGGTAATGCACAACAGGAGAGTAGCGATACAGTGAGGTGGGAACTTTGTTAGGTTTAGAAATACAGGACCGAACGTGGAATAAACATCAGAGAGAATGCCGAAAGTGAGGAGGGAGGTAAGGAAAACATAAATATTGCCCGTTCACCCTTCACCAAGGGCCCAAATCCAAGCCAAACACCAGCCTCTTCTCCTTCACAGCAGTAATGCGAAGGCCCCCAAAGCGAGTCAGCTCGCCCATGACATCCACCCTCAACGGGATCCCATGAATCTGATACAGATTTGAATGCAGCCTCCTGCTCTGAGCCTCCAAAACGAGCGGCACAAACTCCTTGGAAACCGAAGCAAACTCTGCTGCGCTGAGGGGTACTTGGAAGTAGTCGTAGATCGCATTGACGATATCCCTGATCGTAACGATCCCTATCATCTTCCCTTGATGCTCGACAGGGAGACTCCCTCGAATCTTGATTGAACCCCAGTTCGCCGAGAGGGGGAAGGAAGGGCAGGCCTCTTCAAGTCGCGAATGTTCGAATTTGATCGTCAGTCTATCAAGAGCGGGGGTGGTCGCCGGAACGTCGAGGTTGGAGAACTGCAACCTGGATCGAAGGGGAAAGACGGCCGTGCTGAATGGGTAGGCGATGTCCCAGTGGATGCGTGGTTGAGCCAGGTGGGTGTCGACGACGACGTCCTTGAGGCCGAGAGGGGTGCGGGCCCTGGCCTGCAAGTGAGATGTGGTGGACGCGGTGGAAGGCGTTTGCGGGACACCGCCATAAGCTCCAATGCCGTGATTGACGTGTCCATAAGCAGGGGGTATCCCTCCGGATGCTCCAGAACCATCGGTGCCGTAGTATCGAGGGAGCTGGGCTTCATTGACTGTGTTCTGCTTTGGTGAAGGATGAACTCGGGCTGGCACAGACTCGACGTTGAAGGCTCGAGGATTATGAGGCGACAGCGGGGGCCGCCTCTCCGCAGCAGTAGGAGCAGTCCGAACCTCGACTGGAGGCAACGGCGCTTGCCACGACGGGTGGGGGGTGTAATTTGGAATCGCGGTCAAGGAGCGTCTTCGGGCAGTTCGTTGTTCACGTCCATAATCCGGTTCAACGTTAAGGTTCTGCATGTCTTGCGGGATCTTCACAGGTGTCGAGTATCGGCGGCTGGCTAGATAGACAATTAGGGAGGAGGGTACGAAGAGAAGCGGATTAAATACGCACCTCGGCCACCTTTCGATGCCCTCTTTTCAAACGTCCCTGATTGCAGTAAAATCCCTTTAGGCACTCCTTTGTACAGTGCGTGTTGTGGCGACGCGGGTGTGTCTGGGCTGGGAAGAATGTGGTCTTCCTCGAATCGTACGGCGCGGGGCATTGTAATGCAAGTCGTCAGAGAGAAAAGACAGCGAGCGCAAGTGGCATGAAGCTGGAGACGGCTGACGGTACTGTACAGGTCCACAGCCCAACACAGACAGTATTTAAACGCTGGTGGGGCTGCTTCTGTCAAATCCACACAATGTCAGTGACGGAGAGAAGAGGCAAAGCCACAGAGCTAAATTAGGTGACGCTCATTGTGTTCTGAGATGCCACAAAGCAACGAAGAGGATATCATCGCTACAGAATGAGATTAGATAGCCTCCGCCCACTGCCAACACAAAGGCTGTGGTTGCCAGGATGACCACATCACCCGAGTCGTCGACAATGCGGGGACACAGTGCCCCCATTGACGCCTATAATATTTGTGGACTTGAAATGAGCGAGGCTGACCACGTTGAAAACACATTTCTGACCCCATTGTGCAGAATAACGCGTGCAAAGTCTCGTCAACGAAAACGTTTGCCAGAAAGGGGCTAGGAAAAGATGATTGTGGGCGTTTCGATCACTGTGGTCATTGTCGACATTGTCCAGTGTGTTGAGTTACCGAGAAGAGGATGAGGGGAGATGAGATTGTGGGTCGAGGATGAAGGCACTGCTCAAGGGGCGTGTCAAAGGCGATCATGCCGCGCCGAACACTCTCACGGCCTCCAGCACGATGGCCATGATTCATAGGTTTATCACGAACTCAAGTCTTACTAGGCCCGTTGGTGCGCGAAGGCTTCAAGCAGGTGATGGAAACATTAGGGGAGCACGAAGCTGATCCAAAAACAACACGAATCAATAAGTGGAAAGAATATCATTAGCACGGGAGGATAGAGTCAATTATAGTACCCAATCTTCCCCCTCTCTCCATTCGCATAGGTTTTCAATAAAGAGTTGGTATGATCATCCGACATATCCATCATCGACCTGATACAACCCTCCATGATATTCTTGTTCGCAGCGTAATTCCAGAAATCCCAGGGCGACTCGTTGTCGGCCTTGAGTTGGTCGTGCATCATGATGAGGGTCTCTTCCAGAAAACGGAGAAGCGTCTCAGACTGTTTGGATGGTTCCGCCTCGAATGTACGCGCTGCAACGGATAGGATGGCGTCCATGATCGGTTTAATGGTCGGTAACTCGTTGGTTGGGAGGTCTCGTGGTTTGGCCGTCGGTCGGTCGTCAACAGACTTGCTGTGTAATTCGTAGCCAGGAGGTGGATCTGGAATGACCAGGGTTTCTTCAATCGTAACGAGGCGACGATCACTAGAAGAGGGCGAAGCGACGACAGTAGAGGAAGACGAAGCACTCGAATCGCCTGCGTTGTAGGGCGACAAAGAAGCTCCTGGCTGAGAATCCTGCGGGGTATAGTCCTTAGTCGATTCAACATGCAGAGCAAAGCGGGGCTTACCGTTGCAAGTCGACGACACAGGTTCTTGAAGACTTTCAACTTTCCTGCACTAAAGTCAACGCGAGACCCGATAGTCGAACGGCCTGGAACGTGCTTCTGCCAGCCGTCCGCGTCATCCTTGGAAGCAAGCGTCAGAAGACCGACGTGAGGATTCGACTTGACGATTCGAGCGACAGCCCTGGGACACTTGTATCGGCCGTAGCCACACGAACAACCGGAAATGGTGCAGGACATGCTGGGGACTTGGAGTTGTGACTGATGAATGGGAAACGGGGTGCTTTTCTGAGCCCAGTTGCATATTGCCGCCTATATACCAGTTCGTGATGATCTTGGGGAGGTAGCAAAGATGTGAACGGGTGACAAAGGTTCCACAGCTGTCTTCGGGGCTCTGGTCGCAATTGGTAATTTAGAGAACACTGTCCATTGTCTGGCGATGCTGCGGTTTACGAGGAAGCTGTCTCTAAAAAGGTCCCGGGTTAAGCCAGGTTACCGAAGGAGGGGGTAGAAATGACTTTACCTGGTGTTCCCTGGTCTGGGCCAAATATCCACAGGATTAAGATACTGGCCCTGTCGTCCCCAGATCCACCCGATTACCAGTGCATCAACGTCGTTTTCTGTCTGGCTGCTAAGGGACTGCGGTGGTTTGCCACTTGGATCCTCTTCACGATCATCGCCCATATACGGTCGAGAACTGTTGCAAAGAAACAACCCGGTTGAGCTCCATTGTTCCCCACACGCGGTCGTCCCGAGAGATTTTTGGGAGAGAAGACGCGCCAGCAAAAGCCAGGCCTCCGCCGCGACTTCTGACCCTAACCCGAGAACATTGCCATCAGTCGGGCGCTGATCAAGCCTGTTTCGAGTCGACTTCAACTTTGCACTGGGGTTACATCTCGAAGCAGCTATGCATTACGTTTCTACCTCTTTAGTTGATTCAAGAAATGACAAGACCCAACTGACCATCCTTCGGGTAGTATGCCAAGTTCAATTAGTCGGCTCCGATCGCCAGGAGCCGGGGAGCATCACCTAACGTCCAAGTCACTCTCTTGCCTTTCAACAGGCAAACCTAAGTCCCAGCACCTTTTCACATACAGCTTCCACACTCGTTTTAACCTACGTCAGCGGCTCTTGGAACATCGCCCCCGGGATTAACGTATTCGGAATCATTGGCAAAGGAGTAATCTGCATGGTGTACATGCCAGTGCATACTAAAATAGCTTCATTTAAAAGTGCACCTCAGGGTCTGCGTAAACGATCTAAGAGAACTTGGCTGTTCTCACACATCTCACTTATAAACAGGGCTTCGCAATGACCGCTTCGTGGCAGGGCCTTCTCCTTGCACAAACTTCCGGTTGAAAGGGCTGACAGTTCAGTATGCACGGATTCCTCCCCTTCCTGTCTCTGTCTTTCCTCTCGCTCTTGGTACCGGCCCTTGCATCACCTATCCTTGAAGCACGTCAAGGTGTCTCGATTCTGAGTCCAGCGGAGGTTGCCGACTACAGACCATACACCCACTACGCGTTTACTGCCTCCTGTTCGCCCGCCAAAACTCTGACTTGGAGCTGCGGAGGTGAGAAGTCGTCGTCCACTGCCTAGTCGACTGTCCTTGCCCATGTCTAACTAAACTCGCAGGCAACTGCGATGCCAATCCCCAGTTCCTCCCCATCGCTTCCGGCGGTGATGGGGCTATCGTCCAGCGTTGGTATGTTGGGTACGACCCAGCTCTAGACGTAAGCATCCCAAATTCATATCTCCGAAGCTGAGCTGAACGTCTCATTTTACCCCAGTCTATTATCGTTGGCTATCAGGTGCGGAAATACTTCCCACTCCAAACATCCTGTGCGAATTGAACGTTGCTTCTCTCCTCAAGGGAACCGACACAAGCAAACTGTAAGCCTTCCCCATCCACAGAGTTCATTATTTAAAGGCATATTAATTCCAATCTAACACTCGGACAGATTCCCACTCCTCACCGATGCAAACATCCTCTTGACACCTCTGAATCCCTTCCTCTTCCCCGGAGTACCTCTGACAGCCCTGACCCATGATGGTTTCAACAACGCCCACGCTCTGTCCGTCACATCCTCTGGTGATGTCGTATATGACGATACACTCACAGATGCTGACAGATCCTTCTCATCTCCAGGTCTGCCAATGCTGTACTGTCTGCAGTCCGAACCGGTCTGGCACAACACAATACCACCAATGTAGCCGTCGTTGGCCACTCTCTCGGAGGCGCCCTTGCTGTGATCTCAACTCTCCATTTATCGATCCACCTCCCCGCTGGTACCGCGTTCCGCACTGTCACTTATGGGATGCCTCGAGTAAGTGAAGCTTGTCATGCCATGTTCATCCGAGGCCGTCTCCATTACCATCAATACTCACCCTAAACCAAGGTCGGAAACGCCATTTTTGCGGACCTCGTCAACTCTGTCTCAGTCATGAACCGCATAAACAACAAGTAGGCCCCTCTCTCTTCATCCCCCGTGCAAAACCAGTTCTCACTAATAACCATTAGGTACGACATCATCCCCGTCCTGCCTCCTCGCGTTACCGGCCTCGGATACGTTCACACCGAAGGCGAAATCCACATCGTCAACAGCGGCGACTGGGTCAGCTGCCCAGGTGAAGACAACACCAATTCGCAATGCAGCATCGGATATGTCCCAATTCCTTTGCTCGGGGATGTCAATGATCACAGTGGTAAGTTCCCATTACCCCATGGTATCACTACTATGCCTAGGACGCTAAATATTTCCGTTTAGGTCCCTTCGACGGTGTTCAGGGCGCCTGTTGAGATAAAAGCGTAAGCATCCAACACTGAAAGGACTTACAGTCCGTATTCTACGCCTGCGACTTAGCATAGAAAAAATGGATTCGTCTTTAAGGCAACGATATTTGGAGCGTTCTAACAAATTATCTACCTGGCGATACCCCTCGGTCAATTGCATGAATTATCAGTTCTCTTCGTGTCCGAATATCCGCCTCGTCGTGTAGCTGGAACTTTGCATCCGGCATAGAGAGGCCCCCATTTCATTCCTCATGTGCCCCGATTCAATCAAAGTACCATGGTCTAGACCTTTCAACTACTTACAGCCGTTTGCATTAGTCTTTGCGCGAGCGATGTCGCAGAAACCAATTGATGGCGTGTCGGAAAATTCCGTGGGGTTCCCACCTGCCAGGTTCCAACCAGGTTCTTCCTCCAATACATGGCCGATTTTACGAATTGTTGGTGTGAAAGGGACATTTCGCTGTTTCATACCATTGGAAGTACAAAGAGAGACGGTAAGGGTACGAGGATGAGGCAAACATCTCATACCGAAGCCTGAACGACGGTCGTCGAGCGTGACTTGGGCTGCCATACGGAGTTTTCCGACACGCCATCAATTGGTTTCTGCGACATCGCTCGCGCAAAGACTAATGGAAACGGCTGTAACCCGACCCAAACAAACGAGACAATCATTTTTATTTCATTCTTCTAAAAAAAAAAAAAAACTCAGAAAGCAGCTACGAAACGAACCAAAGGGCTATATACGCATGAATAAAACAATAGAACCAAATGGAAGCATAAAAAACACGGGGTACTTGAAATGAAAAGCACAGGGCAAAGTCGATCGACAAACTTCCCAACAACATCATAGAAGGTATGTATGCACTAGAACCAGCCCAGAAGAGTGATTTGCACGACCCAGCGCAGCAGCGAACAATGATCGGGGTCAGGGATATCCAGCCGTCCAGCCCAGCAGGTGAGGGTCGACACCAGGTCTACAGCGTAAGAACTTGAAGTGAAGGTAAGCAACGCAGAAGAATAATAAAAGCACAGGTATCAGTAAATGTAACGAGTAGGTATCTTCAAATACGTGTGGTCAGAAACATCCGAGTCACCCGTGGTGGGTCAGCTCGAACGTAAAGGGGGAGGAATGGTACAGACAATAAGTAGATGAGAAGGTTGGGATGTGGGGTAGGCTGTGACAGAGGTCGATATATACAGAATAAACAATGGGATGAGATGTTTTCACTGTCGGTGTCGGTGTTATCGGGGTGGTGGGGAGTGAAAGGGCCAAAGGCGTCGTCGAACACCAGGAGGCGAGTCAAAGGAACGACAAAGGGGTGGTGTGAAGGAACGAAGTGGAACTAAGGCGACAGCAGCAGGGTGATAGTGGTTGAGGTGAATGATAGGAGTTGGAGGTGGTTATACATACACAGAATCTCTATCCCATCAGGTCAGAGATAGATGGAGCGACACAGTAGATGCCCATGAAGATAGGCTTGAGGTGACGTTGAAGGGAGGTCCAGAGAATCTAGCACTTAGATCCCGCCATACGCATCGTCAGGATCATACATCGAATACGAGGTGAGCGGCCTCTCCTTCTTCTTTCCCTCGACAACCTCAGCCCTCGCTTCAGCAGCCCTCCCCTGTTCATCACTCTCCTTCTCCTTGCCCTTCTGCTCCACCTGTTTATCCTCCTCAACCTTCGGACCCGGAGCATCAGGCGCAGCATGGGAAGCAACGTGGTGCACGTCAACATCAAAGTCGACTTCCTGCCTCAAGCACGAGGATCCATGGCCAAGGCTACTCCCGCTACTTCCAAACACCTTCGCGTTCGTAGGAGAGAAGGACGAGGGAGGTACAGGAGGGACCGAGAAATTCGTCGCGAGAGGGCTAGGCGTAACGGGGAACCTGTTCTGCAAGAACGGACTACCGCCCATCGTCACTCCACTTGGGAACGCCGGTTCGTTGCGGATACGACCTGAACTCAGACCACCTGCGCTGTTGGGAGGTGCAGGGCCGCTGTAGCTCTTGTGGTAGTTGTACGTGTCGTGGTGATCGGCAGAGGTAGTGGTGGCCAAGCTTCCGGCGGAGAAGTTGGCGTGTTGGCCCATCGCGCCCTTGAACTGCGGGTGGTGTGCGAGGCTGCCGTGTCCGTTGGAGGAAGTTTCGTAGGCGGCGTAGGAACCAACGCTCACGCGCGCTGCGTCAACGGCGATCTCGGGGAGTCGGGGAGGGAGGGACTCGACGCGGTGGCGGGAGGAGACCGTGAATGCTGGCGAGGGTGGTGGGATCGGGAAGTCGCCAACGATATCAGGTTGGGCATTGGTGATGGACTGGAGGCTGTCGAGAGAGGTGCGAGTCTTGGCGGCGTCTTCAGGGGGGACAACAGGGAGCGATGCATTGCCGTTTTGAGCTGGGCTGGCGACGGCCAAAGGCGAGGGAGGAGGAAGTGCTGGCAGGTCGCGGTCCCTTCCTTGCAACAACTGTTCGACCATAGGTGTCGGCAATCCTTGGGGGACTTCAGAGTTCAATTTCCTTGAGATCTCGGCGTATTGCGCGGCTTGGAAGGGAGAAACGCTAGCTCGAGCGAGGTCCACATAGTCACCAGTGGGGATATCGTCCGTCTCTTGGATAGGAGCCTGGAGGGTTTGAGGTGCAGCTTCATCTTCGACTGGAGGAGCGGGCTTCCTCCGAGAACCAGTTCGAGAAAGAGTTGGGTAGTTGACAGGGACAACAGCTGGCTCGGCAGGTTTGGCGGGAACAGAAATGGACAGATCGCGTTTCGAAGTCTTCGACTTAGTGGAAACGGCTCGAGTGAGGACTGCTGCTCCTCCGATTTCAGCGACGACGGCCGCGTCCTGGGGCGCTTGGCCTGCAGGCGGTCCTTGTTGATAACCGTGTTGATATCCGCCGGCCTGGTCGGAGTAAGGTGAAACAGGACCACCGGCAGGAGTGTACGGTGATTGGGCGTAATCCGCTGGGTTTGTGAAGGGGTTACTGGTGACGACCTGACCAGGAGACCAAGCCGGGATTGGAGCTTGGTTGTATGCCATACCACCCATCGCACCGTATCCTGCAAAGTTGGGACTGCCATCGTTGGCATCATAACCTCCGCCATATCCGGGAGTGGAAGTGGCAGGCGACAGCGCATTGTAGCCATGGTCGTGATAGGTGGGCACGGCGTATGGAGAAGCCGCGGTCATAGGCGGGCTCATGGCATAACCCGGAGTTGGTGGCAGGCCACGCTCGGTCATCGAAGGAGCTGGTGGGTTGTATCCTCGCGCGACGGTATCCTCGTGAGTCGGCGGGTCGTTCATTAAGATCGCTGAACGACGGAATTCGGAAGCGTTGAACGTGTTCGAATCTCGCTTTCGTTGACGGCGCTACAGTACAAGGCAAGGTCAGATTTTGGATACATGGATCGGGGATAAGATCGATAAGACGCACCAAGAAGAAAGCGATAATGAAAGCGAGGGCTGCGATGCCCGCTATGCCACCGATGATACCGCCGACGACGGCGCCGGTGTTGGTACCACCCTCGGTATCTTCTGCAGCGTTGCTTGCTGCTGCATTGCTTGCGGTGCTGCTCGGCGAGCGCACGTAACTGGTGATTGTCCTGACTGGGACAGTGGTAATGTCGCTGGTCGTTGGTGCAACAATGACCGTCGGCGTTGTTGGTGTTGTCGCTGGGGCCTGTGGGGTCTATTCGACGGGTTAGTCAGAAGCAAAAAGCGGGTGCTATTAAACCCACAGATGATGTGCTGGTCGGTGTGGTCGAGGAGGAAGTCGGCGTGCTTGAGGTTGTTGGAGAACGAATTAACGTGGACACGCTGGTGAACACGCTGGCAGTGGTGGACGGCAGGTCGCTGGAGGACGGAGTCGGCAGATCAGTTGACGTCGGCGCGGGTCGACCTGGGCGGTCATCTTCGTCCTCGTCGTCCGTTGGGTCAGGCCGTCCAGGGAACCCAGGGGGAACTTGATAATAGTCAGCTACAAATCACATACGGTATCCTGGCGCTAACTCACTTTGTGTGGGCAGACTAGGGATCCTGGTAAAGGTCGTCCAGGGGAATTCGAACACCTGGCGACGGTCAAGCGCGGCCTTGTCACCGTCGAGCTTGACGCCTGGCATCGCGTCGCGCTGTTCCTCTGCCAGATTGCGTCGCTTGCGAAGCATGGCTCCGTGCTGTCTTCGCTGGTGATGCATCGATGCCATCTCTTCCTTCAAAATTGGATTCCTTGTTTTATATCCTTTTCGTTGTGATGTTGTTGATCCTTGATATTAGGGAAATAAAATAATTGCTGGCTGGCTGTCGGGAGAAAAAGAACGGAATTGTCCTAACGAGGACGGCGTCGACGACGAACTGCCCTTGGGCGACACAGAAAGGAATGGGAAGAGAAACAAACGGAAGACCCGACTTCAGACTGAGAAGTTGGAGGAAACAAGGGCTTTGGCTCGGCCCTCGCGGTTTCTGTTGCAACCATCAATGTCAGGCACAAATTTTCCCGTCGCTCATATCACGGCCGGCGCTTTTGTCAGACATTCAAACAGCTTCTTCATCAGCCAATCGCCGTGAAGAAGTGCAAGAACCGATGAATATCGACCTTCCATTCAACTCTCAATTCTTGAATTCAGCCAAGAAGCAGGCTCTCACTGAATGCCCCGAGACATGCAGCATAATCGACTTGTCTGAAAAAATGTCTAGACAAGTCCCTCCGCTGTTCCGCCCACTCCAAACATCATTGCAAGCGCGCGACCCTTCGCGACGACCAGCTTCTGATTGGCTGGGACCCAGTTGAATCATTGCATGGTGACTGCGGGAAGCTTGCCGACAACCATTCCACAGAACGCTTTTGGACAACGGCTCGGAAGGCCACTGCGCATTGCGCTCGGTGTTCTTCAACGAAGCTTACCAGTGCCAAGTGGTCGAGCTTTAAATTGAAGATTCGAAGGTCGACGTGAAACTTGGAAGGCACTCAGCAAGTCATTCCCGCCCCTATTATTGAGCGCTTAATTCTGAGGAGACCTGCCAGTCCCTTTGGCCATCTCCCTCTGGAGAACAGTCGCTGCACTTCTCTGCAGCCTAAACCTTTCCTTCAAATCACCAATCAGTTCTCTCTTCATCGTGATGGGAGGTGGAAGGAGTGATGCATGGCCCACCGTTCTTTGACGAGATCGATACACCGTAAACCGTCCCGCCACTGGACCAGGGTAATATCTTGTCGACGTTGCTTCTAGTTGCAGATCAAGGACATCATGGAATTACAAGTTGGTCGCAAATCATTCCACAAATACGCGTGTCACATACTCTTTCAGCCTTTCGATCTCCTCCTGAGTAATCGACGAACACTTTACCAACTTGACCTCTTCTATTTCCCTGCCCAACCGAGATCGTGAGCTAACCATGTCCACCAAGCTGTCACAAAAACGCTCCTCGCATCCCCCGTCTGGCCCAAATGCGACGCCTCGAGCCGTGATAGTCTTGAGGTTCGGAAGGGCAGAAGGAGGGCCGCCCTCCTTCAGGCTATGGAGGAAAACCGAAAGACCTGCAGAACTACACAACGCCAGGTGCTCTAGTTCAGTCAATCTGCTGAGGACCGCCTGACTCAGCCCTATGCCTGTCGCCCTCCAAAGCCAGTCAAGTTCCATAGAAATTACATCCTCCAGCGGCTGGAAAGCGAGGAATCGGGACTCTTCACTGAGGTTTCCACCACGTTTGAACTTTGGGGCGCCGAAGGATAAGTTGGGAGGGGGCCTCTCCGTACCCTGTTCAAGCTGTACGAGGTCGTGCCACATCTGCACAGTCATCTGGTGGGAGTCCAGCACAAAGCGCAAGCTTTTCAGCCCGCCTTGAGCAAAGTCGGATGGAGGGGACTGCGCGAGAGAACTGGGGGATATCCAATGAGGAGAAATGATACCGGTTGGGAGTGGTGGTATAAGGGGTTGGCTTTGAGTGCAATCAATGTCGACTCTGGCTGACCGTGGAACTGCAATGTAGTTCAACAACGCTTCGCATGATCGCATCTCGCCTGTATATGTCAAAGATCTAAGCGCGGAGAGAATCGCGACACCTCCGTCTGTGCTCGTTCTCCAGACTGCCTCGCACTCGATCTTTAACTCGACGAGATTCGGCATCTTCTCCAAAAGGCCCGCCGAGAACATCGGATAGTAGCGGTTGGTGTCGTCAATTAGTTGGTGGTAGTGAGTGAGCCCTTGGAGCAACGATGTGCATTTTGGCGGAGCGGTACAATTGCGCAAGACTAGATTCCGCGACCGTGGCGCGCCCTTGTGGAGAGTGTCTTCCGGGATCACGAACCCCCCGGTGCAAGCCAGGGACAGTGACTGCAGAACCGGTGCATAGCTGGAAGACAGGAGACGAACCTTCGGATCGTCCGGCCAGGAAAGGTCGATCTCCTCCAATTCGAGGTCCTTTATCCGGTGCAGGTTGGTGGGAATGAATTCAACAAGCGGAGAAGGAAGGCTCGGGTCATGCCTGCGGCTCCATCTGATGTGCAGTGGGGCAAAGGATTGCACTCGTTCAAAGTGGATTGTCATCCATTGTGGCCCTACGTTGTCAGAGATGTAGGACCAAAGACTCGGGCAGTCGATCGCGGCGTTCCTCCAAGAGCAGCAGACATGTGTCACAGTCATCCAATTCCGGTAACACGTCGAGGAGTTGTCGAGGACCTGCTCTTGTCGATACTCATCGAAGATCTTGCAAAGAAGCTCGGGAGGGAGATGCCAGGCCTGATCGCATCCATCCGAGGGCATTCTTCCTGAAAGAAGGCCTTAATCACTTGGTAGACAACTTTCACAGTCCAAAAGGTCATATACGTATCCGGCGGTACCCTTTGTTGAAGCCGAAGTGATGGAAAGGTGGTTCAATGTGCAAGTCGGGCCTCGAGCACGGGCAGCTCTAGGACGTTGGTCTAACCCTAACCTATCCGCTCTCCGACTCGGAAACGCGTGCTTAGGGGCCAAGGCTGCCAACGCATTGCTTTTCACCCTTCCCCCTTCTTCAAAAACGACGGTGAGCCCCGACCTAGCATCTTTCCCTAGAGAAAGCCACTGAGTTTTCCTTTTAGTTACAAGGCATGTCTGCTGAAGACCAACCCATATCTCGTTTACCCGTCGAAATTCTCTGTCAAATTTTCGATGAATACCGACAACTGCACGTAGACTACGAACCACACTGGGAGTGCTACTCGAGGTGGACAAACATAACGAGCGTCTGTCGATCCTGGAGAAATGTGGCAATTGGCTGCCCCAGCCTCTGGACATACATTCTAGAGAGTTATTTCTCTCCCCCTCGATGGGCTGCAGTTCACTTCGAACGAGCAGGTCCATCTGCACCTTTGCACATACGCTGGGAAGGGTATGGACGCGAATTTAATGCGTCCCCTCTCACTAGCCTCGTCCCTACGAACTTACATCGAATACAAGTACTTGAACTGGAAGACGTAGAGTCTCATCCAGGCGACCCACAGCTTCAAACCCTTTCCTCCCGCTTCGCACCTCTCCTCCGGTCCCTTTCGATTTCTTGTAACGGCAGAATATTTATCCTTCCTGATGACATCCTCAGTGCAGGCACACCAATCCTGCAGAAATTGGTTCTCAATTCCTGCATCGTAAAACCCACCGCTATCTCGCTGCTCCGAGGCATCACCACCCTCGAGCTATCATCCCTCTTTCCTGATGACGAGAGTCCTTGCCCCTGCATTCAAGACATCCTCGAGCAGATGCCTAAGCTGGCTTATCTCAAGCTCCGACTCATAAGCGCTCCCGAACTCTTCGACTCGAAGTCGGTCCGAGACGCTGTTCCCCTCCCGTCACTCCAAAAGCTGGTATGCTGGCAAGCAGATTTCGAAACCTGCAAAGCATTGGTCAAAGCGATAGCCGTCCCTCCCTCGGCCAACGTGACCATCGTCTGTGTTGATGGGAATTTTTACTCCTCACACATACCAAGTATGACTGGGTTTCGTCCTCAGTGGATTCCTCCTCCCCAGATGTCCAACAACCCCTCGACTATTCATCCGTATCCACAAAGTCTGCATTTCCGGTCAACGTCGTCCCGGACAGCACTTGTCCTCTGGGACGCATTCGTACGACTTTCAGCCAACGTATCCAACGAGGACAAGTACCCCCTTGGTCGCTTCTTCACCGTATTCCGAATGGAGGCGCCGGCAGGATGTCCCTTTCGATTGCAACTCCACGAGGCGTCCCGGATTCTCCGCGCGCAAAGTCTAGGGGGCATACGCAGTATGGACTTTGGGTGGGAGTGGAAAGAGAATGACGATACGTGTGCCCGTCTAATTGGTGTTTGGGAAAGGTTGGCAAGCCTAGAGGAACTCGCGTTGGCTCGGACCGAAGCATTGGACGTGTTTCTGTCCAGCTACCAGCATTGTCCCCCCTCAACCCTCCCTAAACTCAAGACGATTAGAGTGTGGAGGACGAAGTTTGCGCGAAAATCAGACGAAGAACAAGATCGTATGACGGGCCTCCTGCAGATGGTCGGGTCGCGATTCCGGTCGGGTCAGAAGATTGAGGAGCTGCTATTGGGTTTGTGTTCTGGAGTTACGCAGAAGGACCTGGATCGACTGGGAGAAAATGTTTCCTACGTGCATACCATGTGATGCCTTCGTGTTCTCTTACAGTAATCCCTGTAGCACGTCCGTTTCTGTTTTATGCACTCGAGACACACAATAAGTATTCCGTTTGTTATGCAAGAGCACTCTACCTAGTACCAACCTCACCTCGAGCATTCCCTGACCTAACCGAAACTGGGAGCTGGTGTGGAGGCTAGTCTAACCCTAACCTATCAGCGCTCCGTGAAAGGTAACGTTCAGGGCTGACAGGGGTCAACTGAGATCTAGGTGGTCAAGAGGAAACGTTGCCACCGCATGGCCCTTTGCATCCTTTCCCCTCCTTACACTACCATACGGTGAGCCCCGCTTCAACGCCTTCCCCTAAAAAAAGTTGACTGAGGTTTCCTTAAAGTTATAAAGGATGCCTGCTGAAGACCACCAGCCAATTTCGCGTCTACCCGTGGAGATTCTCTGCCAGATCTTCGACGAATACCGAAAAATGCACCTACGGGACGTGTTGCCAGAATTTGTCTACCCGGAATGGGTGAAAATAACGCTCGTCTGTCGATCGTGGAGAAACACAGTAATCAGCTGCCCAAACCTCTGGACATACATTCCGGAGTATTCAGACTCCACCCCTCGATGGATTGCAACCCACTTCGAACGAGCTGGGCCATCTGTACCCTTGCACATACATTGGGATGGCCGTGGTCGCCAGGAAGAACATACGTCCCCTCTCATTGGATTCATCCCTACAAACTTGCATCGAATCCAGACACTTAAGCTGACCGACATAGGGGGTGATCCAGGCGATCCAAGGCTTCGAACCCTCTCCTCCGGCCACGCACCTCTCCTCCAGTCCCTTTCGATTTCCTGTTACGGATTGCCTGTCCTCCCAGACGAAATTCTCAGTGGAGGTACCCCCAAACTGCAGAAATTAGTTCTACGCTCTTGCCTCGTGAAACCCACAGCCTCCCTTCTCCGAAATATCACCCTCTTCGAGCTACAATGCTTTCCGGACGACAACGAGAATGGCCCCCGCATTCAAGACATCCTCAAGCAGATGCCACAACTGACTCATCTCAGGCTTCAACTCACCGGGGGCGCCAAACTCCTTGAGTCGCAGTCAGCGCAACTTGAAGACGCGGTACCCGTCCCCTCAGTCACCAATGTGACTTGCGAAGCGGATTTCGAAACATGCAGAGCACTTTTTGAAGCCGTAGCCTTCCCTCCCTCAGCCATGGTACTCGTCTACTGCTTCCTTAGGTCAGAACAATCCCCACATCTGCTGAGCGCGAGTGGGTTTCGTCCTCAGTGGATCCTTCCACACCAGGATCCCGACAAGCCGCAAACCCTGATTTTCAGGTCATCATCATACCGGACAATGCTCGTGCTCTGGTGTGACTTTACACGACTTCGAACCGGCGCACCTACCGTCGATGAAGAACCTGTTGGTGGTGTCTTCATCATATTTAAAATCGGCCACTGGCGAATGAAGCTCCACGAGGCCTCCCGAATTCTCCGTGCACAAAGCCTAGGGAGTATACGCTGCATGGAGTTTGTGTGGACGTGGAACGAAACTGAAGCGACGTGCGCCTATCTAATCGACGTATGGGAGAGGCTGACAGCCCTGGAGGAACTCGTGTTGACTCACACCCAATCCTTGAATCTTTTCCTTTACAGCTACCAGCACTGCTCCTCCCGGACCCTCCCTACACTCAAGACGATGAGATTGTGGAAAATGGAGTTTTCGCGAAGAGAAGATGAAGAGCATGGTTGCATGGAAGACCTCTTGCAGATGGTTGAATCACGATTTCATTCGGGTCAGAAGATTGAAGAGCTGTTGTTGGGAAGTTGCTCTGGAGTTACGCAGGAGGACCTCGATCGACTCGGAAAATATGTTTCTTATGTACATACCATGTGACGCCAGTTTTATAGACTACCCTGTATGTAGTACACCGCTTGACTTGACACGTACTCGGGAGACATAACGCTCCAGCTGCGCGATGTCGTCCGTTGTGATGAAGGAGCATTCTACCAACGTCACCTCGTGTATTCCCCGACCCGACCGAAATCGGGAGTTGCTGATCTCCAGGAGTTCGTAAATCAGACGTCGCTCACAACCCTCATCTGGTCCCAAGTTCGCTCCCAGGATCACAATTGTCCTGAGATTAGGGAGAGTGGAAAATGCGCACCGCTTGAAACAGGCAAGGAAAGCCGAGAGACCTTCCGTGCGACAAACTGTGAGCTCCTGTAGCGCGGACAGGTTGTTGAGAACCCCTTCTAGCGGTTCCACCGCTTGGCTCGTCACTCCCCAAAGCCAGTCGAGCTTCATGGAGCGCACGTCGCCTAGCGGTTGGGAGCACAGGAACCGGGAGGGTTCCGCGAGATCGGGTGTACACCAGCCTGCGAGAACACCCACACCGAAGGACAGACTGGGAGTAGGGATATCAATCCTTTCTCCTCCAAAATGAACGACTTCGTGCCACATTTGTGTTCTCAACATGTCTTTGGTTGGTTCGAAGCTCAGGCTTTGCAGCCCGCCTTGAGCGAAGGAAGGGAGGTGGTGCGGGGAGGGAGGGGATATCCATCGAGGTGAGAGGCTGGGTAGGGTTGATAAGTGAGGCACCGGTGCTGTGAGAACAAGGTTAACCCGAGACGAGCGATGGATCGCGACGCTGTCCAGCAGCGCTTGACAAGATCTCCAATCGCCTTCGAACTCCAAAACCTTGAGCGACGGCAGAACCGTCACGTCGCCGTTGGAGTTTCTGTGGACCTTTGCGCCGTCGATCCTAAAATCGACGAGCTTTGGCATCTTTTCAAAGTAGTCTTGGATATTGAAGTCAGTGTTGGTTGCATCGCAGAGCAGGTGAAAGACAGTGAGGTTCTCGAATAGCTTGGATGTTGGGAAGGGGAGACAGTTGTGCAGGGCTAGCGTCTGAAGCCGCGGGGTTCCATTGTCGAGTAAGTCTAGCGGAAGGGTGCAGCCTTGGTAGCAGGAGATCAAAAGCAGGTGGAGTAGAGGGGCGTGTCCAGACGAGAGGACTTGAAGCTTGGGATCATCCGGTGATGAAACTGCCACCAGTTCAAGCTCTCGAATTCGGTGAAGGTTTGCGGGAACGAGTTCAACGAGTGGTGATGGCAGACTGGGGGTATATTCCCGAATCCACTCTACATGCAATGTTGTCGATGGGTGAATTCGGTTCAAATGAACTGTAATCCATGGCAGGTCGGTGGGGCTACCGTCAACGATGTATCTCCATAGGCCCGGGCAATTGATCGCCGCTTCTCTCCAGGTTCGACACACATGGGTTACCACCATCCAGCTAGAGTAGTAGCTGGAGCCATCTTCAAATATTAGATCTCGTTGATACTGCTCGAAAATCTTCCACAGCAGCTCTGGAGGCAATTGCAAGCAATGCGAGGCGAGCTGAGTCTCAGAATTTAGGCTGAGTGACATTCTTTAAGCAATGTCCTTTAGTTATACGATGACAGTTACTCTGCAAGGATGGTTCACATACCGTCTATCAACGTTGTCAGCGTCAGAAGCGAGTGTCCCCAGACGACCAATTGCAACAGGGATTCTAACCCTAACCCATGTCTATCCCGAGTCGGGAATGAGAATCTATCTTGCTCGCTCGCCATGTTTCGCAAGGTTGGGATGTACTGTAGCCAAGGCCAAACGACACCCTTCACATAAGAGGAATTAGAAATGTCGTATTTGCAAGTCGAAGCATCATAGCAGCTAATGCGACAGGGGTCTAGCAGAGCATAAGCGAGATAGATGAGAAAAGGTACCAACACCCCGGCGCGACATGTCCCTTCGACCTTCCAATGGGGCCTCTGAGGGAGGCTAGTAGGAGGTCCAGCTTCCTACACCCACACGGGCCTTTACACGACGAACAAAAATATGCCTATCCCCGATACCAACCAAGGAAAATTCCAATAGAACACCATACTATCGCTCATCAGCTTTGAACATCCACTTATACGGATCGGTGTCTACGGCTGCCATCTTCGACGGTCTTCTGGCGACGACTGCGACGATGGTAGCGGTAGGGCTGGGGTCAACAGCATCAGAACTTCCGGGATCTGAGCTCGAGGTTGGAGTAGCAGGGGAGGATGTGACGGGTGCTTCAGCTGCATCAAATCCAGAGGAAGCAGGGATGGTGATGGTGGTCACAGAGGCCTCCATCGCAGAGACGGACGCTTGCTCATTTCCTGTTGACTCGGGCATCCAGGAATCTGTGGTCGTAGCATCGTCATCTCCGATAACCTGAGCATTCACACTCGAGGACCCCTCGGGATCGTCGGTAGCAGAAGCTTGTGGATCAGCCGTAGTCGATGCGGGAGCGGTTTCGGACAAGGTTGAGGTGGCAGTCACGATTGCTGGGACATCTGAGATGGGGACGGCGTGCACGTTAAAAACTTTGGAAGAAGAATCTTGGGAGGGTTCAGGCGTGGCAGAGGCAGTAACAGTAACGGTGGTAGTTACGATCAGAGGCTCTTCGTCGTCGTCCGTAGCTGAAGCGCCGGCTGGATCTGTCGATGGGACAAAGACAAGAGTGACGTTTTGAGCACCGGTAGACGCCGAAGGCGAGGACGCATCGCGTGCGTTTACAATGGCCGTGGAACTGGGACTATCACTTCCTACAGACGAGGATGGCTGTAAATCCGAACCACTATCACCCGAAAGACCGTCTCCGCCTCCCTGTCCTTCAACCTTGCCGTTGTTATCTGACATTCCATCGACGAACCACATGGGGCGAATGACCCCGCTGTCCTTGTTATACGAGAACGTCTGGCTCTTGTGTGCCCCGGCAGAGTCCCCAGTGGAGTCCTTCAAGGTGATGCAAAGCTCCATGGTCAATGGTTCAGGTTGGGGCGGGTTGGGATCGTACGTCGCGCAATATGATGCGTCGTTGATCGCAGCCTGAAGCATAACAGGAACCTCGGTGGAGTCATCGTAGTCGGTGGTAAGATCAGATTTGGATGAGGCGACGAGGAAGAGCTGGGTAGCGTTCTTCTCTGAAGCGTTGAGGACGTAGGGTCCGTCACCTCTAGTGTCCATGTATAAAGAGGCGAGTTTACGACCAGTGGTGGAGTTGTCGACATGGCTCTGTATATTGACCCGTGTCAGTTGTAGCCAGTCCTTGTAGAAGAGGATCGACACACGTACCATGATGGCGACAGTGCCGACCATACCAAAATATCCCGACCCTTCTCTCTGATTACCATCGACATTGGAGTCAGAGTTAGTCTCCGAATCCACTGAGCGACGCGCATATCGAGGAAAGATGGAACTCGCTTGGTCGTGCTGACGCCTGGATGGAGTGCCAGCCACGACGTTGTTCTTCTTCACCTTGTCCTTGTTGGATGGTCTCCCTTTGTCCTTGACGGCTGAGGCGGCGGCGACATCCCTGCGTCCTTGTAACACAAGGCGAGCGATTTTGCTGTCCAGTTTAATGGCATCGGCGAAATTGAGGCCTCGTCGGCGGTGTGAGAGTGAGGCCTGTGATTGTTGACGGACGAGACGCTGTCTTCGCGATGGTTTGGGCCAGGGGGATCGTTTCTGGATCGTGGATCGCTGTGAATGGGAGGTCAGTCAATTTCCCGCGAGCCAACTAACGGACTTGACATACTTTGACGACCTCGCCGCCGCTGTTGTCACCCTCAGGGAAGTCGGAGTCGTTTCCAGAGCCATCCCTTTCACCATCGGTAACACCGTCACCGTTCTCACCATCCTTGGGGGCCCATCCAGAACCGCCTTTCCAGCCTTGACCGTCTTTGTCCTTGTCCCAACCCTCGCCGTCCTTGGAACCATCCCAACCGGAAGAACCATCAGTAGGGCGAGGCCACTGTCGTGACCAGGTTACCGTTCCGGAAGAACTAGTTCTATTCCATCTGTTGTGAGAAGTCATGCCCACGCGCGAAGCACTCGAGTTGGACATCTGCCCGTCCGTGGTGTTGAAGGCGGGTCGATCGTGATGGGTGGGCTTAGGGTGGTGAGAGTGGGTCGTCCAAGATGGGTTTGCTGAGGCTGAGATTGATTCTGAGTCGACGTTATCCTTCTGTCGCGCACGGAGGACTGCCGCGTCTGCGGGTGTTGATAGATTTATGGAGAGAGCGAAAAGGAGGAGAGTGAGGAAAGGTGTTGTTGGGAGGAGCATCGTGGGTTAAAAATAAAGTAAAAAGCTCGCAGAGCGTGTAGATTGTAGAGAATGAAAGTGTTAACTAAAATCAAGGCAGATGTGAAAGTTGGAAGAGTTCGGGTAGGTTGAAAGAGAAGATGTAAAAATATAAGCTGAATAGAATATCAATGAAAAGAGACCACCAGGGCCCTTGAAAGGAGAAGGAAAGAAAGAAGAGAGGAGGAAGAGTTTAATTCGACGATAGCCGGTTTATATCTATGGACAGGAGAAGATGTTTCAGCTTCAGCGTCTTAGACTCATGGAACCCGACTGCTAATCCCAGCAGGCTCCTTTCCTTTTGTGCGAGTGATCGAGCCTGGGTACTGAGTGCCTCAAACGGTTGATCTGGTGGTTTGAGACACCGACAGCTTAGCATCATGAATTGCTGCTCCATTCTCTTCTGGAAAGATTCTACGCACTTCTTCTTTGCTTGGGGACTAGGCGCCCAACATGCTCAGTAATCGATGACGCGCGCTTAATTGCGCCAAGCCAATCCGGTGTGCGAAATTCGGGCTCCGGCCAACGCGACTGCCGGCTCCACGGCTTGGCGCTGCTGGCAGCGACCACGGCAATTGCTCCTTGTCCATTGACCATCACAGTGGAAATGCTCTCATTGATTCGACGCGCGCCAGCAACAGTCAGGACGACCTCCAGATCTCTGAGGGTATCGGTGAAGGTCAGGGAACACGGATTTCCAAATATTTTCAGTCTTTAACGCGTCAGCTTATCGTCAGATAGCAGGAGTGTACGGGAGTCAGAGCTTTTAGTGACGATGCGAAAGCAATCAAGTACCAGAAGTCACTAGCAGAAGCTAAGGCTAAATTACTCGATGCTGGGTTTGACCCAACTTCTTTCCGGGAGCAGCACATTGTTTGGGGAGACCAGGATCCATTCCAGTAGGTGCCAATCTATGCTCACAGCGATACGGATTATTGATAAATCGCGCTCAGGCATGTTAACAACGTTCGCTATGGTACGGTCGCCGCTCCGAGATAACGTTCTGCGAACTTATAGGCTCCACTGCTTCAGCCAGGTTTTTTGAGTCCGTTCGTATCCGTCCTTCTAATCGACATGGCAACACCTCTGAAGCTGTAACTTGACCTCACAGGCACGAATTCAATGGATGATGTCACTGGGTGAAGAATGGGGAGGACCCGAAAAAGCTCAGGACATGATCAAGGGCAAGGGCGTATCGTTGATTTTACAGGCCCTCGACATTCACTTTCGACGACCAGTAACATACCCTGACACTGTGAGCCCGCCGATCGTCACTGACTTTGTTTATCGCATTTCTCACATTGCTCTCGATCGTATGACGCTTAGCTTCTATTCGGCTACTGTCCACTTCCTCCCAAACCTGGAACGGAGGACTCGCCGCGGTTTCAAGTCGTTGCAACTGGATACTCGATCGAGCAGCAGGATTTCGTTGTGCACTCGAAGGAGTCCTTGGTTTGGTATGATTATGACAATTTGAGAAAGTGCAGTCCTCCGAAGGAGGCGGTGGATATCGTGTTCCGTCGCGCGAACAATATCGATCTCCGGGAGTTAACTCGCAAACATTCAAAGCATGCATAGCAATCAAGTGCTTAGATTAAACCTTTCTAAACAACATGCAAGTACCATTCTTCGCATTTGCTATCGTCCTGTGCTTAGCTTACTTTCTTGCTTCGCGCAGTAGAGTATACTCATGACCATTGTTCATAGCCAATCTATTGAACAGGTCCGCTTTTAATTCATTGAACATTGGGACTACCTCAGGCAGCCTGAATTGAAACTTTTCCAATTTTCCAATTGTTCCGCCGGCAAAGGCGAGATGTACTGGCCTTGTACCCCAGATGAGCTAGGTGAGTATCCGTAACCACTAGTGGACTGATTGTGACGTGTTATGACTAGTCTCCCTGCAACGAAGGAATCCGCGAGCGGATGTCTTTGCTCCTGGTCTCCTAGTGGCCCGGGAGTGCGATGTTTAGCGCCTTGAACCACCTGGTGCTGATGCGATCGTCGAGGAGATGCTGACAAGTGCTCCACAGCGTTGTCTGCCCGGGGGTATCGAGGCTCACAAACAGTTCAACGCGACCTCCTTATAGGCAACGATGCCCGCTTCCTTGGCATTCCAAAGGAGCAGCCTTTACCTCCGCAGCTTCTTCTCTTCGCTTCTCGGCTGTGAAGTCACTGGTATATTCACAAAGGATAAACTTCAAGAAATCTGCAACGACCTTTCTTTAACCTCTACACCTTTCTCTTCCCTCCAGGATGATGGCACAGGCGTCTGGAAATAACGGCGTTCCTCTGTCCTTCCTTCGCAGGAATTTTCACGTCCCTCAAGGACTTTCGTTGGGCGACTACCTCGGCGAGCGAATATCGCAAGCCTCCAATATTTCGACCCTCCTCGACTGTCTTCCCAATACCGCTGAACCTGCCATCTATTCACCAGACACCACGCTCCTTCCACTCAAACATGCTGTCATACGCACATTCGTTTCCGAGTTCGTACTTCCGCACTCACCGTTGCGTCCCGGCCTCGGGCGTAACGATAGAGTCATGGTCGCTCTCCCAACTGGACCAGAAAACGCCCTCGCCCTCCTTGCCCTGGCAGCCTACCACACTTGCGCCCCAGTAAATGCCAATGCTACCGCGACTGAAATCCTTGAAGACGCTCGGCGATTGAACATCAAGGCTATCGTCACCACACCTGACGCCGAAGGCCGGCTGGAATTGCATCAACTTCAGCAAGCTCTCAATTGCGAGGTCATTTTCATCACACCTCGACGCTCTGGTGTTGCTGGTCTATTCGATATGCAGCTTATGGGAGGAATTACTCCGGAGTATTCACCCGAGCGCGCGGCACTCCACCGACTTGGGGATACATCCCTCATCCTGCATACCTCTGGCACGAGCGGGACCAAGAAGGTCGTCCCTTACTCCCTTAAATCTCTCATCGTGGGCACCTGCTGCGTCATCCAGTCCTGGGACCTTCGTAGCTCAGACGTCAATAGTACGTGCCCTGTCTCCGAGTCCTAAATTTCGCTAACCTTCGCCCCTAGTGAACATGATGCCTCTTTTCCACGTTGGAGGTATCGTGCGCAACCTGCTCGCGCCCATCTTGTCCGGAGGTAGCGCGATCATGTGCTTTAACTTTGACCCAATCGCGTTTTGGAGTTTGGCGCCGCTTCTAAGGGCCACATGGTGCGAACCAACTCTCTTTTAATTTTAGATTCTCGGCTCAACGGATCTATAGGTACTACGCCGCCCCTACCATCCACCACTCCATCCTGACGGCCAAGCCAGCTATCTCGTTTGATGATATCCGAATTCGCATGATTTGCAACGCTGCCGGCGGTTTGTTGCCTTCTTTGGCTCTGGAAATGAAGCAGGTCTTCCGCCAAGCCGTCATCTTGCCATCCTACGGCATGACCGAGTACGTCCATCGCTCTGGTTCCTGCTACTGGACCATTTACTAAGCCCTTTATCAGGTGCATGCCCATCGCGACGCCTCCAACAAACTACCAATTGGACAGACCAGGCTGTTCAGGAATAGCCTGTGGACCCTACCTTTCTATCCGAAACCCCGTCGATTTAGAGAAGGAATTGCCGGCTGGGGCGACCGGGGCTATCTGTGTGCGAGGCTTGCCCACTTTTGAGGGATACGAGGTGTCTCCTGACCCCTCCGTTCCCTTGAGTACGTCGGCGTTCTCTTCTGAAGGATGGTTCGATTCTGGTGACGTTGGGTACATGGACCGAGACGGGTAAGTCGCCGCAACGCATGGCACTGGCTCGAGGGAGAACTAACTCTGTGAGGTCGCCCAAAGGTACCTATACGTCACCGGTCGCTCTAAAGAGATTATCAACAGAGGCGGAGAAGTGATATCTCCCTTCGAGATCGAAGAAGCCATCGCGACGTCATGCAAGACACATGTCAAGGTATGTTTGCGTTTGGTCAACACGTCTCAATTATTATTTAAGCTGGCGGTAGAACGTCCTGGCCTTTGCAGTATCACACGACGTGCTTCAAGAGACGATTGGAGTCGTCATTGTTCCCGCGGATGGCCAGCCTCGCATCTCCCTTCATCAACTCAACGACCTTCTCCAGTAAGCTCGATGGCTCTACTGGTACGGACAACTTGCTGACTTTTTTCTAGACACAAGCTCCACCCTTCAAAATGGCCCTTTGTTGTCGTTTACATGAACGATGTCCCGAAAAACAAGTAAGTACCGATCTCTGCCGTCTGTTACTCCCGAATTGACTGCCAGAACAGTGCAGGAAAGCCTCTACGAATCAAGCTAGCCACTCGTCTCTCGCTGCCGACCTTCACGGACAAAATCACAATGCTACAACGTCACTTTGAAGCGACGTTAACTTCCGCCACAAGCTCGTTATCGGATCCTATCCTATGCAGCCAGGTCAAGGTTCACATCCCCACTATCGAAAACGCCCTCCTCCAAATTCCAAGAATCAGGCAAGCCGCGGTTCAAGCACGCGGAAACACCTCCATCGACGCTTACGTCTCACTCGATCCTAGCGACATGTCCACCCTATCTCTTGACGATGTTAAGACCCGGCTGGCCACACTTATTCATGGTTACTCTATCCCCGACGCGATCTTCTCCGTGTTCTGCCCCCTCTATCGAAAACCGTCCGGGGACGTGGACTTCAAACGGATCGAGGAAGAGGTGGCTAGAAGAAATGCCTCCAACATGACCGCGACCGAAGTCATGGTCCGTGATATCATTGCGCAGATGCTTCTCCTGGAGCCCGGTGCCATCACCAAAGACTCGGACTTTTTCCTTCTCGGGGGAAACTCGCTCCTAACCGGGAAACTCTCGCACCAAATAAGGAAACAGACGACTATCTCCCTCGCCGCGACCGATTTGTTCTCTAACAGCACCGTGGCGGGAATCGCGTCCCTCATTGATCAAGGGGAGAAGGAACCACCCAAGACGCTCAAGTCCAAGCAGTCAACGCTGTCGAATATGTCGTTCGTTTCGGAGAAGGACAAGTATCGACTGTCGACGCTTTCCGCCATGACAGCAGTGCACGAACTCAACCTTCCGGTTCTTGACGAAGACCAGACGGAAACTTACCCACCTCGCAGGCGAGGTCAAAATCATCCACTCTGCCTGATATTCCAAGCCATTCCTTTCACATTTTTCTATCCTCTCAAAACTGCTCTCGCTTGTAAGTTCTTGCCCGCCGTCAGCTTTTCAATGGTGCTTACTCTTGATAGGGACAATGCTTCTTTTTGTTCTCGCACACCTCGCTCGTTACCTTCACACTACCTATTGGACTCGGATGGTCGGACTGGTATCCGCCATCATCATTGCTCGTTTGACCACGAGAGTTGTCTGTCCCTTATTCGCGATCATCTTCAAGTGGATTGTCATTGGCAAATATCAACCTGGCGTCTATCGGACGTGAGTGACACGATGTTTGAAGATATACCTTGAGCTGACCGCCCCGTCCAGGTGGTCAACTTACTACCTACGCTGGTGGATCGTCAATCAGAGCTTACGGTGCGTTATCTTTACTGCCGTTGCGTTCGGAATCTTACGAGTTCTATACAGAGCCGCAGGCAGAGGCGTGTTTGCCATGCATCCCAAGCTCCTGGTCCTCTATTACCGTCTTCTCGGAGCAAAGATCGGAAAAGATGTCCAAATCGACCCTTCAGCCCAGCTCGGAGAATGCGACCTCCTCACCCTTCAAGACGGTTGCCGAATCGATGCTGCTGTTGTTCGTGGCTTCTGCGTGGAACGTGACAGATTCATTCGTCTCGACCGAATTGTCATTGGCGCTCGGGCTGTGTTGAACACCTATACCACCATCGCACCTGGGGCAATCCTACCGGATGGGGCGGTCTACGGCCCACATGCGAGCTCCCATGATTTGCCTTCTCCCAGGTCGTATGCTGCATACAACAGAACGACGTTCGCGAAGCCGCATTGGTTGCTCCAGGTCCTGTTTGCTTACCCAATTTTCGCGATTGTGATCTTCATCTCCTGTGAGTATTGCCTCGACGTTTCCGTGTGCTGCTTTGAACCTCTGCCCCCACAGACATCCCTTGGTTCTTCTTCATCTGGCTCATGATCCAAGAGACCATCGTCGACAACTCGGACTCCAACAGCGCCGTCGACTCCGTCATCAAGTGGTTCTCGGACCCGACTCGCGTGCTCTATCATTTCTGTGCTCGAATGGTCCACGTCGTCCTCCGGCCGCTTATTCACGTCTTCGTCTCCATCCTCGTCAAGCGTATGCTCGGGCTGAACAAAGAGTGTAAAGCCAAGGATACTACGCAGTTGATGTTGTTCAGACGTTATGTCAATTCGGTCTTGCTCTCAAAGCGGGCGTTGAAGAATGCCTTCTCGATCTTGGGCACACACTACGAGACTGTATCGGTACGTTGGCTTCAAGCCTACATGGTAAAGTCTCGCTAATGCATCGATTCTCATAGATTATTTACCGTCTCATGGGTGCAAAGATCGGACGAAGAATTTATTGGCCCGGCTCTGGAATCTACTGTCTAGATCCTGAGCTCCTTGAAATTGGAAACGACGTGGTGTTTGGATCTCGGTCTGAGCTTTACACTACTGATAGTCTGGGGTCTGCGAAGATCGTCATCGGCGATGGAGGTACGTTGCCCGAGTTCATCCTTGTCTACTCTCCGCTGATCCCCTTCGTAGCTATGATCGCCGACCGGGTCGTTCTACTTCCAGGCACTAGGGTGGGACGTCGAACAGTCATGGGCTCTGGGGCACTAGGAAAGGGAGGAAAGGAAGCCTATGAAGATGGTTCCATCTGGATGGGCAATGGTTCGTCCCTTGATTCACTACTTTATAACCCCTACTCACCGTCTATCTCTACCAGGCATGGGTAACGCCATTCGTCTCAGCCACGGCTCCAAACTCGATATGTCCGCTTCTACCACTCCCTCGACCAGTACCAGGACCCTGAACACGGGCACGGAAGACCTAACCACCCCCTTCGGCCGCGCCTTCTACAAACGCCAAGCACCCTACTTTGTCTACCCCTACTGGCTCATCGTCGTCATCAACGTCCTCTGCGCGATCCTCACTGCGGCATACTGGTCTGTCGCGGCCGTTGCTGCTGCGCAATTCCTCCGCCTCATCGTCGACAACGTCCCCGACGCCCGCCTATTCCGCAAGTCCTGGTACCGATTCGGACTTTTGTATGGCATGGTGGCCCTCTCCTTCGTCGTGATCCTCAAGATCCAGGCTATTCTGTCCCTGCTCTGGGTCATAGCGACCAAATGGATTATCATCGGTCGGCGACAGGAGGGTCAGTTCGATTGGGACAAGAGCAGTTATTGCCAGAGGTGGCAGCTGCATTTGGTGTTGTCGAGGGTGGTGTTCAAGGGCTACGGGAATGGGGGCGTTTTGGCTTCGTTTACGGGCTCGGCGTACTTTGTGTGGTACTTGAGGGCGCTTGGAGCGAAGATTGGGAAGGATTGTGGTATTTACGTTGGAGGGAGGATGGGACTTATGACTGAACCTGATCTCGTTGAGGTGGGTTCATTTTATGACTTCAACTGTCCTTGATTCTAATGAACCTGTCCTGCGGGTAGCTGGGCGATGAGGTCAACCTCGACAACTGTTCGGTCGTGGCACACATCAACTCGCGTGGTCATTTCTCTCTCAACAGCCTCAAGATCGCCGAAGGGTGCGCCTCTCCCTCCCCATTGTCCAGCCTTTAACCTAACCCTCCCTCCCTCTTTCCAGCTGCGCACTGCGCACAGGCTCTCGCCTCCTCTCCGGCGCGTCCATGGAACGCCAAAGCATGCTCTGCGAACACACCCTCCTCTCCTCCGGCGAGGTGGCCGAAGAAGGTGCGACCTACGCCGGCTGGCCAGGCAAGAAACTCGACCCTGCAAAGGCGGCTGGTGGTGGCGGCGGAGCAGGCTCAGCGTCTGTGGACAGCTTCGTGGAGAACCACGCTGCTGTGTTCATGTGCCACATGTGTAGGCAGATGCCGAAGGATGCTGTTGTGACGGATTGTGGGCACTTGTTCTGTGAAACGTGAGTGCTACCCCTACTTTTCTTCTGTTGTTTTGGGTCTTGGATATTTATCTTCTATTCGCCTTATAGGTGTATCCTGTCGTGTATCAAGAGGACGGGAAAGTGTCCGGTTTGTGTGGAGCCGTTGTCGAAGAGGCGATTGAGAAAGTTGCAGCTGGCGGCTGTGGTGGTGGGTGCGGACCCTAATAACGATAGCAACAATACTAGTACTACTAATGCGCCGGCGGAGTAGGAACCGAGTTGCGGTGTTTTTCTTTGCCTTGATTCTGTGTAGAGCATTGGCTTTATATGCTTTCCTGTTTTCTCTCCTCTTAGAAAGTTTCGCTTGAACCTACTGTCATTACATCCTGCGATCTTCGTCGTTCTCTCGAGGCGGTACTTTAGAAACCTCCGAGAGTGACACTCGTCCATCAATATACTTCTTTCAATCCATATTGTCTATACGTTCAAGGTAAACGTAACTAAGAAGATGATCCCATAGTCGCCTGCTTCTGAGCCCCGAGTTGACGCCTACTGTCGCTCGACCTGTGGTCGGGACAATCCCGAAGTACAAATGCTCCGTCTAACTTTTCACAGCGCCCATTGCTATATACATAGCATCAGAAGACCATTCGTCTTCGATAAGGATGACGATAACCGGTTGTTTGTGCGTTTTGTATGTAGGTTCCCTCAGTCAAACTCCGAGTGCACACAAGCAGAGAAGACGTTCAGCGTTTCGAGAGTATACAAAAGGAGGGTGTGTCCTGTAGGTGGTTGTTGACGAGAGGATTTATTCCATCCCCCTTCGTCCACTCCCGCTGTTCTTTGCTCGCTCACCACCCTCTTTCTCTTCCAGCGCTTACTCGGTCTCCTTCATTGTCGGTCTTGTGAATCACGCTGAGCCGCTATGGCGACCCCATCCGAATTCGAACAACTCATCAACTTTATCAAGATAACTCAGGACGGGAACTACTCAACTGGTGCGCTTCTCTAGCTAGATCGACGACTCGAGTGATGGGCGCTTAAAATGGCCGGTCAGCCGCTGGACTTTCCCTCCTCACATTCGACATCTTCTCCACTCTGCAGGACGAGGTATGCGTTGTTTCTTGTCTTTATTCTCCAATCCTTCGGGTGGTTAGGATGGATTGATACTATGGACGTGTATTGAAAATTGTGAGCGCAGATCAGGTATATTTGGCGCTCGAAATGGAGTATAGCAAAGGTGGCGTATTTGTTGGCGAGGTATTGGGGTATGGTGTTCATGATGTGAGTTTCCATCGAATTCGAATTCGTTTGTGAGCTTGGCCGCGGCCGAGAGTCGAAAATGTCGAGTAGTGGAACTGAATGGATTGGTTGCGTACGGATTAGTGTTACGATGGCGGTTATGACGAGCAAACATAGTATCGAGGTGTGTTTTGATTTTTTTTTGGATGGATTTTGCCTGGCTGAGTCCTGACTGGCTAACTTTGTGCTGACAGTTGTACGTCCTTCACCATATGCTCGGAGTTCATGGGCGCTTATTCAACTCATGGCCTCCCGACAGCTGCCAGGGATACCTCGTCTACCAATCATTGTACGTTGCGCATTCCACCAACTCGCCTTTTCCCTTCTATGAGTTAGCTGGTACAACGCTAAACCTTCCAATATGAATCCAGTGGAGGAGACCTCATTTGCACCATCATTGTCTGCGTCATCTCCACCCTGCGTGTGTACGCCCTTTATGGGAACAGTCTGAAAGGTGCGGTTCGATACTTGAATTGGGTCTGCAGAACCTAGTCCGGAAACTGAGAATGTGGTTTAGTGCTGGCCTTTTTGGTAGCTGCTTGTGCTTGTACGTGTCCTTCCAGCATTCGCTACTCGGGCTCTTAAATGGTAAGCTATAACATGTCCAACACAGGTGGCTTTTCGGTATGTCCTACATACAACACTCCCAAACCGATTGAGGATAATTCAAGTTTCCCCTATTTCAAACGCGTACCTTGAACGTACAACAGATGGAATTCTACGCGGCATGGTCAGCAACCCAAGTCGCTCTACCTACAGTCTGGGATCTTCCCATCCCACAACTCAAGGGTTGTTTCGGGCGGATGCCGAAGAGCGCGGTGAAGAGGACGTTGTTTGGGTGGATTCCTAGTGTTGTCATTGCTTGTGCGTACATCCCATCCTCGCAACGCTTTCATTCTGGTCTCCTGAGGCTGATGCTAACGGCCTTTCAATTTCGCGTGAATACGTGTTGAATTGTTGCAGTCATGTTCCTCGCGATGACGCTGGCAAAGTTTCGACAATCGCTTCGGGACCACCGGGCGCGTGGGGGGAGTAGCTTGTCCCCGTTGTTTTTGATTATCGTTAGAGATGGGGCGTTGTTCTTCTTTTTGTGAGTATTGCCTTTCTGCCGTTTGTGTTCCCAATTAGGCTGACGGCGGATGTGAATTTAGGATATTGCGTGAGTGGTCTCTGGGATCCGATAGTAGAGGAAAAGGCTGAGGGGAAGGAGGAAAGTGACGACTGCGATTCTGACGACGTCTGTATTCTATAAGGAAGGGATTTATCATCGGCTTGTTGCACCGTACGTCTCCACAACTGCCGCTTTTTCCCCCTACAAAGCCTAATGCATGAGACAGATGGCTACATGTCAGCTTCTCCTGCGTCGCCGCACGACTCGTAATCAACCTGCACAGTACGGCTCGAGTTAGGAGTCTGCATCATCGGCGGGATTATCTGGGCCAAACTATCATCGGCGAAGGGACGACGGCGGTTGCGCTGAAGCCGATGGTGTTTAGTGACAGAAGGGGTGGGGACACGGAGACGGGTATTGCGACCGAAGTTAACGATGAGAGGGAAAGTCTGAACAACCTTGGGACTTCTGTCAATAGGGAGTTTGGTCGTGGTTATTGGACAACGTAGATATGACTGTTTTTGCGAAATAGGCGCCGACCCCTATAGTCGTTAGATCAAAATGTAATCTTATCAGATACGACACGGCCTGGAGCTTCTCGTCGCCGTCGACAGCCTGCTCCGAGATCGTCATCCTTCCACCAAAGCCCACAACATGTCCGGAATCCTGAATATCTGGGTTACATCTCCCGATACCCACTCTGAGAGGAGAATCGATCCTCATTGGACTGTCGAACAGCTCAAAGTGAGTTTGCCTCCGCGCGTTGGGTAGATGGAAAAAGCTCATGTTGCGATCAACGAGTGTTAGGGAAAACTCGAGCTGATTACTGGTGTCCCTGTAGCGAACCAGATTCTTACGTTGCTAGATTCGGATCAGGATGGGAGGGTTGTTGCGACGTTTGACGATGATTCGAAGAAACTTGGGTTTTATGGGTTGAGGGATTGGCAGGTTATCAAGGTGCGATCCAATTGCTGTTTTGTATGGACGATACAACTGATTAAGAGGGACAGGTAGAAGACTCCAACCCCGCAACATCGTTCACAGGTCAACTCACCGACGTCTCTCAAGTCGATAAATTCGAGCTGACGGGGGAGGAGTACGCCAAACGACCCGGTACGCGGTAGATCTTTACTCAGCGCCCCAAACTCTGCTCAAACGCGTGAACCAGACACCGTCCTCGCCTACAAACAGCGCAACAAGATCGGGCGATTCGCAGAGAAGAGCGGTAAAGACGACGAGCCACAATCCACCTCTGTGCCGGCTGATATCACAATCGGGTCCCGCTGCGAGGTCGAATCAAGCGAACAGGGACTGAAGAAACGGGGGACGGTCCGATTTGTTGGAGAGACCAAATTCAGCAAGGGTGTTTGGGTCGGCATTGAGTATGACGAACCGTTTGGAAAAAACGATGGGAGGTACGTGGCAGTATATTGACTCGAGGAGCCGCTGCTGACTGATACTCAACTGACTCGTTTTGAATTGATAATTTCAGTGTCCAAGGGGAGCGATACTTTTCGTGTCGAGACAAGTATGGCGTCTTTGTGAGACCTGATAAAGTCAAAGTTGGGGATTTCCCTGAGGAAGAGATTGATTTGGACGAGGAAATGTAATAGTAGTTAGCTAGATTTTAATTAATGAAGTGCGGGAAAGGGGTAGAAGATAGGAGAAAGCACAGCCACGCACGTGGGGTAAATGAGTTTGGTCGTGTTGGGGCGACGACGCGCGGCCTGCTTCCAACTCAATAAATCTCTTGTCTTTCTGCTACAAACTCTCATCTTTCTTCTTCGACATTCACTATCATCATGGCTGACCCCAGCGGCGCTCCTCCCCAGCCTGGCCCAAACGACATTTCAACCGCAATCTTGCGCCCAAAGAAATCGTAAGCACCGCGTTCATAATCTCATTAACAAGACTAACCGCCATTACTAGTCCTAACCGTCTTATCGTAGACGAATCGACCACCGATGACAACTCTGGTGAGTGAATCGAAGGAGTACAAACAATATCGGTACTCAGAGCCGTCTAGTCGCGACGCTCAACCCCAACACTATGGAGACCTTGGGTCTCTTCCGCGGTGACACTATTCTCGTCCGGTATGTACATCTCGTTCTTTCTCGCGACACCAAACTCATGGAATCGCAGTGGCAAGAAGCGAAAGGACACGGTGCTCATCTGCTTGAGCGACGACAACGTCGAGGAAGGCCGAATCCAAGTGAACAAGGTCGCCCGTAACAACTTGCGCGTCAAGCTCGGTGATCTCGTCAATGTGCACGGCTGCCCCGATATCAAGTACGGCAAGCGGATACACGTCCTGCCTTTCGACGATTCCGTCGAGGGCCTCAGTGGAAACATCTTTGATGTCTACCTCAAGCCCTACTTCCTTGAAGGTGAGTCTCCCGCTTAACATCACTTAACAGCACCCGCTGACAGCTATGCACAGCGTACCGCCCTGTCCGCAAAGGCGATACTTTCCTCGTTCGTGGTGGTATGCGAACAGTCGAATTCAAGGTCATCGAAACCGATCCCGCCGAGTTCTGTATCGTTGCCCAAGACACCGTCATCCACACCGAGGGCGACCCAGTCAAGCGCGAGGATGAGGAATCCAATCTCGCCGAGGTTGGCTATGACGACATCGGTGGTTGCAGGAAACAGATGGCACAGATTCGTGAGCTCGTCGAACTTCCCCTGCGCCATCCCCAACTCTTCAAATCCATCGGTATCAAGCCTCCCCGTGGTATTCTCATGTTCGGTCCTCCCGGTACGGGTAAGACGCTCATGGCCCGTGCTGTCGCAAACGAGACTGGTGCATTCTTCTTCCTCATCAACGGTCCCGAGATCATGTCTAAGATGGCTGGTGAATCCGAGTCCAACTTACGCAAGGCCTTCGAGGAAGCTGAGAAGAACTCTCCCGCTATCATCTTCATCGACGAAATCGACTCGATCGCACCCAAGCGTGAAAAGACCAACGGTGAAGTCGAGCGACGTGTCGTTTCCCAACTCCTTACTCTCATGGACGGTCTCAAGGCCCGCTCGAACGTGGTTGTGATGGCTGCCACCAACCGACCCAACTCTATCGACCCCGCCCTTCGACGATTCGGTCGATTCGATCGTGAAGTCGATATCGGTATTCCTGACCCCACCGGCCGTCTCGAGATTCTCCGCATCCACACCAAGAACATGAAGTTGGCTGATGACGTCGACCTCGAACAGGTAAGGATTGCATTCAATTTCTTCAGCTATATATAGCTGACCGTATTCTTTAGATCGCCGCCGACACTCACGGTTATGTTGGTTCCGATATTGCTGCTCTTTGCTCTGAAGCCGCCATGCAGCAAATCCGAGAGAAGATGGACCTCATTGATCTCGACGAGGATACCATCGATGCTGAGGTTCTCGACTCGCTTGGTGTCACCATGGACAACTTCCGCTTCGCTCTTGGTACCTCCAACCCCTCTGCTCTTCGCGAGACTGTCGTCGAGGTGCCCACCGTCACTTGGGACGACATTGGTGGTCTCGACAAGGTCAAGCTGGAGCTGCAAGAGACGGTGCAGTACCCCGTCGACCATCCCGAGAAGTTCCTCAAGTACGGTATGTCGCCGTCAAAGGGTGTTCTTTTCTATGGTCCTCCTGGTACTGGTAAGACGCTCTTGGCCAAGGCCATCGCCAACGAGTGCAATGCCAACTTTATCTCCATCAAGGTTCGTCTATTCCTTAATTGAGATGCCATGCTGTTGCTCACGGCGTTTATAGGGTCCTGAGCTGCTCACGATGTGGTTCGGTGAGTCTGAAGCCAACGTCCGAGACGTCTTCGACAAGGCTCGCGCTGCCGCACCTTGTGTAATGTTCTTCGACGAGTTGGACTCTATCGCCAAAGCTCGTGGTGGATCCTCTGGTGACGCTGGTGGAGCTGGTGATCGTGTGCTCAACCAGATCCTTACCGAGATGGACGGTATGAACACCAAGAAGAACGTCTTCATCATCGGTGCTACCAACAGGCCCGACCAAATCGACTCTGCCCTCCTCCGTCCCGGTCGTCTCGATCAACTCATCTACATTCCTCTTCCCGACGAGCCTTCTCGTCTCTCTATCCTCAAGGCTTGCCTCAAGAAGTCGCCCGTCGCTCCCGATGTCGACCTCGCCTTCCTCGCCAAGAACACCCATGGCTTCTCTGGTGCCGATCTTACTGAGATTTGCCAGCGTGCTGCCAAGCTTGCTATTCGCGAGTCTATCGACGCCGACATTCGAGCTGCTCGTGAGAGGAAGGCCCGCGAGGACGCTGGTGATGTCAAGATGGAGGAAGAGGAAGCAGAGGAGGAGGAGGACCCTGTTCCTCAGATCACTCGGTACGTCTTTTCTTATTTTTTACGGAGGCAATATGGAAATGCTTATTCCTTAATCACAGGGCACACTTCGAGGAGGCGATGCAGTACGCCCGCCGGTCAGTGAGCGACGCAGAGATCCGTCGTTACGAGATGTTCGCGCAAAACTTGCAGCAGTCTCGTGGGTTCGGCAACAACTTCAAGTTCCCAGAGTCGGACGGTGTTGCCCCTGGAACTGCCCCTGCGGCTACCTCGAATGCTGGGTTCACGGAGGATGCGGATGACGATTTGTATGCATAGATGGTGACTTAGTGATTGATTACTAGCTTCTTCTTACGACCTTTAATTTTTTCTACTCGATTGTACTGCATCTCGATTTTCGCATAGTGTAAAGCATAACCAACAACAACGACACGATTCAATCTCACTTTCATTCTGTGTTTCTGAGTCTCTTGTGATTTCGAGGAAGAAGCCAAGCGGCGCTGCACGTTCACGTGCTTGTGCAATAAGGCTCCGTGCATGCCATCATGATGATATTGAGCGAGCGGCTTCACGCTTTCTTTCCCTTCAACTACTTTCTTCTAACCACCACCTCATCGTCTCTTTTCTTTATTCAAAGGCTTGACTCGCTGAAGCGGGACTCTATACGCTCATTCGCTCTTTTCTGACAGACGTTTCCCGTTCGTGCGGTTTAGAAGGAAGATATTCAGTTGGAGATTGCGAATTGGAGAGGTTTATTGGAGAACAAGATGGGGAATGAAGAGAAGTTTGGGAATGGGGGTGTTGGGCTTGATTCGTCTACGAGGCAAGAAGGACTACGACTGCGTGTTCAAGGGGAGAAGCAGCAGACACTACACCCAGGCCCGGCACCGAAAGAATCTAACTCGCAGCGTTCAGAAGAGACACAACCCAAAGACCCGACGCACACCAAAGAACAGACGCAATCCAAAGAACAGACGCAAACTCAGACACAAGCAAAGGAACAACGAGACTCTTCTTCCATTGGCAGGCCAATCCAACTCCCTCGTTCGTTGAGCGCCTCGATGTTGAAGGAAAAGTTGTCCAAGTTGGCAGAGGCCCCGATGAGTGTGGGGAGTACGGTTGCCAAGTCGTATGCGAATGTTGAGTACGTGTTTTTCTCTCTTCTTAGTTTTTGCCTGTGTTATTTGTGGGGTCCTTTGTCGGTTTGGTGTGGTTGTGGTTTAGATCTGGGGTTGCTGGGATGGTTAGAGAGAGATGGTATTGTTGGTTTGGATTGTGGTTTAGAGACGATGCCGTTTGGAGTTGCTTCGGGTGGGAGGATTTTGGTGGCTTGGAGCATTTCTGTGGTCTGAAGGAACTACAAACTGACATCTCTTGTTTCTTTATCTCTGGTTCCTTATCTCCTTCACCGACTTGGACTGACCTGGTCGACGACGATAACCAAACGCATATGACTTTGAACTACGGCCATACGACTCTCGACCCACTCACTTCAATCTCTTGACTGTGACGATACCGACGATGACGACGACGGAAACTAACGACACTGGACAACAGCTTCGTCCCAGCGCAGATACCGCGCAAGAGGAGGTTACAGACGTTTGCGGTTGCTACATGGTCGGTTATGATTGTGATCACGCTGTGTTTGTGGTTTTTCCTTTGGTGAGTCTCGGTCTCATCTTGTCGTCTTTTCCTTGTCCTTCTCCCTTTTGTCCTCCATTGTGGCGAGCCTGTTGTCTGGAGGAGACCGGAGAGTTGAGAGCCGGTGGCTGGAAATGATATGCGCATTCTATGACGTATACGGACAGAGGCCCGAGGAATGCGGACTTGCAGCGTTCTGGTTATCGCGGACACGCTATTTCGAAAGTGGGTCTGGATGTGGGCTACCTGCGTTGGCTGCTACGAAGGGCTCAAGTCGCGTCGCGGTGGGGAACACGGCCCCTATCTTTGTCTCCCTTCCTTTAGGCGCCCTGCTATTTTGGCTTGACGTCCGGAATGCAAGATCTTTCCCAGTTCTTCGTTTCCAATTCGAGTGGCTGCTGTGTACTAACAGACATTCACAGCTCCTTCCCGCCATTATGGCCCTTCTTGGCAGCGTATTACATCTGGGCAAGGTGGATTGATCAGTGTCCGGAGAGGGGAGGGAGACGGTCGCATTGGTTTCAGAGCCTCAAGTTCTGGAAGTATTTTGCGGATTATTATCCTGTACAGTGCGTCATCAGTTTTCTTTCTTGTGTTCGACGAGCTGAGATGTGAAACGAAGGTTGCTGAAAGAGGTCGACCTGCCTCCGGATAGGCCGTATGTATTTGGATACCATCCCCATGGTAAGTATACTTGTGCTTGACGAGGTGACCTGGATGGCCATGCTGATGGTGCCCTGTACGCCTTGATAGGTATTATTGGAATGTGGGTTTTATCTCGTCCTGTATGATGTCGTATGGTTCTGATGCAGGACTCAGGGGCGCCGTCGCCGCTTTCGCTACCCAATGTAAGTCGACCTCTCCTCATTTTCAGACCTCCCCTTCCTCACCTCGACACCCCCAGCCACAGGATTCGCTGAAGCCTTCCCCGGAATCTACCCCCGACTCCTAACCCTCGCCACCAATTTCCAGATGCCGTTCTACCGCGACATCCTGCTTGCGTTGGGAATTTGTAGTGTGAGCAGGACGTCGTGTTCGAATATTTTGAAGAGTGGGCCTGGGTCGGCCATTACGATTGTGGTTGGTGGTGCGGCGGAGAGTTTGAGTGCGCATCCTGGGACTGCTGATTTGACTTTGAGGAAGAGGTGAGTTCGGTTGTTATCTCGATCGTTTGGCGGTTTGGTTTGGGGAAAGTGGAGGGTAGCGGGTTGGCGGGGCTATGGGACTATGGGATGTGACTGCGGGACGTTTGAGCTGACCGAGATCTGAAATAGGTTGGGTTTCATCAAGGTTGCCATTCAACATGGGTAAGAAATTCTGGCGTCTGCCTGATAAGACTCCTCCCCCGTGTAACTGATAATCGACCTGGCCTGCAGAGCGGATCTCGTCCCTGTGTTCTCGTTTGGAGAGAATGATGTGCGTCAAGCTTCAACTCGTTTCTCTCTCCCGTTTCCTGATCGCAGAATGTGTTTCTGGTGCTTACTCTTTATGCTTAGATCTATCAACAAATGCCCAACGAAAAGGGAACGACTATCTACGAGCTTCAAAAGAAATTCCAGGCGATATTTGGGTTTACACTGCCTTTGTTCCATGGACGGGGGTTGCTCAATTGTATGTCTATTCAACTACATTGTATTGCCCTTTAGCTTATTTTACGTTTCTCAGATAATGTCGGTTTGATGCCCTATCGGCGGAGAATTGTTGTTGTTGGTGAGTACTGTTATCCATCCATCCAACAGTCATCCAATCGTCTGGGTCCGATGCGACCCATCTATCCGCGCTCGGTTTCCTCCAACTTCTCTTTCTATCCCCTCTTAAACACTGTTGCGACCTTGACTGGTTTTACTTACCATCGAATCTTCTCGCGTGTTCGTTCACTTAGTTGGCCGACCTATACATGTGAACAAGTGTGACAAGCCATCACTGGAAGAGGTTTATCGCATTCAGCAGCAGTACATTGAAGAGTTGACTAGGTCAGTTTGATCATCCCTGATTCGGTTTTTGCGTCCCTTTCCACTGACGGTGTTTCTTCTGTGGTAGGATCTGGGACACCTACAAAGACCAATTTGCTAAATCCCGTGTGAGGGAGCTGAACATCATAGAGTAGAGTTAAATCAATCGTGCAAGTCAAACCTGGGTTTTAACAGTGTATGGACTCTTTTTTATTTCGCTTTATTGACGCAATTCGCAATATATTCGTTCGTTTCGTTGACTCGTGTTTCACTCCACTTTCGAGTTGCCAATGGACAGTGCTTTCTTTTACGGGTTTGCAGCGCTCGTTTGGATGATGGAATTCTGTCGGGATTTAATCCCTTTTCTCCGCCGATCCATCCATCCGCCTTGAAGGCGTCCATCATTTGTTTGGACCTGATCTGTGGGCCGTGGAGGACTCTTGATCAGGCATACAAACCTGCCCTGATCTGTATCATGATTTCAAACTGATTACAGGGCGTGGATAATGGTTGTGGTCAGATGGTGTGCAAGGCAGTACATATTCGGGTGGATAGGAACTCGAAGGCCCTTGTCAGAGGCGCTACATCATATACGATATCACATACGGTGCAGTGCCGTCTTCTCGCTTGCACCGGCGAGTCCCCAGCGACTACGTCCAAACTTCATCAACACATTCCCGTTTCAAGTACCGTGCACCAAATATGCGCGCATTCGGGTGATTGCACTGGCAGGTATAGGAGGCTCTGACACACTGGAAGGTGCTGTAAGCACTGAGCGCTTGGTGCTGGTATGGATAGGAGTACTACAGGGCACAGGGTATCCGTGATGATCAGTTTGCCGCGGAGTGTTGCTTGGAATTTGGAAAATCCTTGGTGACTGGAAGCGGGTCTGCGCATTGGCGGACTCGGTCGCGCTGTGTTGCTGTTTGAATAACTAGGAAGCGCGTTCCTCCTGTGGCTGAGCCCAACTGATGAACACACAGGGTTACCGTTTTTGGAAGACGACTTGCCCGATCGGAAGGTGAAGACGTGGCTGTAGTCTGAGTTTTGACTCGATGCATCTCAGGGCAGACCAATTCCCAGACGTTTACAAGATCACAATTATTCCATTGGAAGGACATGGTATAGATATAAAGAGGACGTATAGACGTGCGCGTGAGATACACTGTACATCAAAGAGGAAACTGAAGGGAGGAGTAAGTTGAAGGATCAAGAATCGCGGTCGGAACTTAAGGACGAAAATATTTAAAGACAAGGGTTCGGAGGGTAGTTCAAAAGCCCGAGTCTCCCTCTGAGGGGCTTGGGATACAATTCTGTAAACGCTCCATGTCCTCCTGGTTTCCAAAGGAGAACTGAACCTCTGTAAGGGTACTCAAGTCCCCGCCGGGCTGGCGCCTCGGGTCGTTAACAAACTCGTCCCAAGTATTTGTTGGAAACTTGTATGCATTACCCTCGTAGTCGGGACACGTGGCCACACGAATCGCCTTCAGCTTGGGCAAGACCGCTTCCGTCCTGGATCTGTCTAGGAGCATGCGGAAGAGGTGGTGATTGGCGCCTCCAGCTGGGAATGTCAACTTGAGGGCGACCAAATCAGGCAAAGCCACGAGCAGTCTGACCAAGTCTTCGTTGGAGAAGGAGATATTGTTGACAGTGAGGTCGTAGAGCCTGCATCCTGACTCGTTTACCAATGACAAGATGTCGTCGACCAAGGAGCCCCCGCTTGGGGCACCGCGATACCGGAAAAGTGCGAGTTTTTGTAGATGTGGAAGGTGGAGGGAGCGAAGCTCATCGCACAAGAAAGATAAGGGCCCTGCCAGATACAGTGAACTCAAGCCTGAGGTCTGTCGAAGGACGTTGGGTGTTTCGAAGGTGGAATTCCGACTAGGGAATATAATTTGCGTATTGAGAACCAAAGTCTTTAGGCCGGGTGCACGCTTCAGGATGTCTCGCGCCATCAATGCAGGGGCCGAGTACGCGTTTCCGTAAATGAAAAGTGATTCCAAAGTACCAGTGTTGGCCAGTCCATTGATCAGATTTTGGGCATGAAACTCCAGATTATGGAAATCCACATTTCGGAGCCTAGGGAAGGCCCGAGACAGCTTGTGGTTCTCGATATCGAGTCTGAAGCGGTGTTTACCTTTCAGGTGCGTGGGCACAATGGCAAAGTACTTCACAGCGGTAAAGGGCGAGGTTTTGCCCTGGCTGGCCAAGCTGCAGAGCTCGTGGACCCAAGTTTGCACGACTTTGTTTGGGTCAGTACCCTTGGGAATTATGTCCAGGGAGTTCCAGCGGTCGGCCGATAGCACAACACGAGCCGCAACTTGGCGTATCAAGTTGGGAGGGCATTCTGATTCCACACGGATTCCCAAGCGCAAGGTCCGGGTTCCAGAGCGCTCAAGTGCCAGGTCGAGGAGTGCAAAATATGACGGCAGACACCGCTCCGCACGAACGTAAAGGTATAACGTAGTCCAAAGAGTGGGGTCACCGATGATAGCGTAGAAGAATTGGCGAGAGACTCCGAGGAGCCCGATAAGCTCGTAAATGCTGAAGTATCTGGAAGAGATGATACGTGCGACAAGCTCCGCGGGCAGAGACTCGATATGCGTACGTTTCTTGACAAGAGCCTGCTTGGAAGACATTACGAGGGTCTGGGAATGGGGTGCTCCTGAAGGTTTCTGGTGGTTTGAGCCAGAAGGAAACTGGTGTGGGTGTTTCTGAAAGTGCTATAGCTACCCTTTATATATGATGATTCCGGTGTGGCAATTTGATGGTAGCTCCAGAAAACAATGGGGTGCCACTTCATCCTCTGTGAAAGTGTCTGACAATGGAAAGTCAAAGCTGGTAAAATCGTACCAGAGAGTGAAGGGAAAAGCATCATTGTGCTGAGCTTCTGGAATGAAAACGATTGCGCAGTTCCCCATTGTCTGCTTATCCCATACATGGAGAGTGAAAGAATATGTCTTCCTATGTTGACCAGCATTGAGCGGCCTTTACTCGGACGAACTGCGCGTTGGCGGAGGGGTGATGGTCCTGGGCGCGTTGGGCGCTTATATTATGGGCATGCCTCCCGATCTTAGAGGGGGGAATGGGTAGGCCTCATGTACGCCTCATGTACGCTTCATGTACGCGTATCATAGTATCTTCGCCCTTCATCAAATGCTTCAGCGTGGCACTGGGGAACAGTCCCGGGGCTCGAGAGAAGTCAACTCGCAATCGGAGTTCCTTGTTTGGGTGACGTAGTATCTTTCAAATGACAACCCAGGAAGGGGTGTCTCAGCCGAGGCTATGGATAAACTGCACTGTGGACTATTTTTAGAAGGTCTGTCCTGTTCGTTCCAATACTGTGGACGAATTCACCCAAAGCTGAAACACTTCGGGGATGACTCGATGATCCATCAATATCGGAAATAAATGCTATGTCCTCGCTAGTGCACTTGCAGTATATATTATCTCGTGCGTTTTGGCGACCCTAGATTGCTGATCTACAGTAACTGCTACATTTGCCGATGGCTTTCAGTTTGTGATTCTTTGTGTTCTGCCGGTGAGTGTGCTCTCGTGCTTGTAGCTATAAAGAGCAAAGGCTTTAAGTGTTCATGCACTTTCTGCGTTCCGAATTCGAGACAGAATCGACAACTCACGCACCCACAAGATCCCGATGTCTATTATCAACCGCGCTTAACTTCGCAAAACGCGAAACTTTTGGATAACTGGTGTCATTTAGTCTTCCTGAACAGTGCCGAGCAAGCTCTTGGAAGCGTCTGGACTCGAGGAGGTTCGAAACACTTCGGGTTTTAAGGCCGTAATTGGATGGTATAAACGATGGTCAGTGAGTTCAGATATTTTTCCAACCGGTCCTCTTGGTTTGTTCAATCTCCCATCCGAGCTCGGCGAGTCTTTTTCTTTAACGAGAGTAATTCACGACATTTACATTTGACTTTAGAATTTCTACCAACATGAGCACGGAGTCATTTCAAACCTGCCCTCGAATCATCCTCCTCGCCATCTTCAACGCATTGATGGACCAACTCGAAGAAAATCCAGCCACTTCGACGAGGACCAATCAACGCATGATACGACAAACCATCATCGCAGCATCTCACGTCTGTCATACATGGAGACGCGTCGCACTTCGCCTCAACCACGTATGGGTCCGACTCATAGACTTCCAGCACTCGCCCATTGAACAAATCAGACATCTCCTTGACCTCTCTTCACCACTCCCCTTCGACTTTGGTCGCCGCGATGCTCCTATCCGATTACCCGGTCAGCCAGGGCTCTCCTCCCTTCTCCTGCGATACGAAAACAGGATCAGAGAGTGGAACGTTCGCTTTGATAGAACCGACCTCTCTGAGCGATGGTACCGCCTCTTCGCCTTTCCCCTGCACTCGCTGGAGGCCTTGAGGTGGGAAGGTCCCTTCGCGCCGGTGCCCCACCAGACCGAGATGGAGAAATTCCGCTTTTGGCTCCCCATGAACCGCATCACCAGCCTCAGCATCGATTCCTCCAACCTCCCCTTTCCCAATATCCCACTACACAGTCTCACGAGCCTGCATGTCGCCAATACATCCACCCAGCCACATGCACCGACGATTGCCGAATGGCTGGACATCCTGCGCGGATCACCCTCGCTCGAAATGCTGTCCATCCAAGACGCTATAAAGCCATCGACCTCCGACATGGATACATTCGTCCCACTGGAGCTCCCTAACCTTCGTCTCCTGTCTCTGGGAGATAACCGCTCAGGAAATGGAGCAGTTTTCGCTCTCTTGACCTGCATATTCGCAACACCCAAGTGCGCCTTGGTCTGCACAGCGCCAACAACATTCGAACAGCCCTACAACACAGTCTTTAAGGATGCCCTGTTGAGCTGGTTCCACGACGCCATCGACAACAGGGAACTTGGCCATTTCCCGCTGCATTTCTGCGTCAGCAAAGATAGCGACTTGACGATGTCGAACGTTGCAGATCCAGCTCATGTCCTCGATTGGAACGGGGTCCAAGGCATCGAACGGGTCACCAGGTTCCTCGACTCTGTCGCTTACAAAGTCCTCAGCATCCGCGTTCCAAGGGTGATGGGACCTTCCACCTTCGAGTGTCAAAAAATCCTGAGGGACATCAAACTGGGAGAGAGGTTCACCTCTGTGGACATCACCGTTCATCCTGATGCGATAATCCCCACCGTGAAGACGCCCGAAGACATCGTCCATGTCGTTCCGCTGCGCCTAGAAGGACTCGACAACGTCAGAGAACTCACTTTCCATGGCAGGAGTTCGCTACTCCCAACGGCACAGTGCGTGAGGGAATGGGCGTTCAACCGCCTGGGAATGAGGATCCCCGTGTTACCCGTACTGGAACGCATCATCTTTCGCGACTTTATTGACGCGCATGTGATCTCCGGCGAGGTTGCCTCCCTGTTGGCGTGGAGGAGAGACACGGGGTACCGCGTAAATTCAATACGGTTCGAAGATTCATCAGAATAACGTTGACGTTTCTATTATATACCCCTCTGTGCAAGGCGGCATTTATTCCTGGCACCATTCCATCAGTCACGTATATATCCACTATTTATGCGGCTTCCCCGACGCCCTTTGACGATTTATTATGACTATCATGCATCCAAACCTATCTTGTAGCACAGACTTTCCCTACATCCCACCGCTATGTAGTCCAGAGCCCTTTGGAGGTCCCATGAAACAATTTCAATTTTTATGCCAGGCTCGAAGGTTCGGATCATGGGCTCGTCGGACCCCAAAAGTTTGATCCGTCGAAGACTCTATCCAGGTGGGCGCTTGAGCCGGCATGACACCATTTTCACAACCTCCAAGTAACCTCGCGTTTCATCTCTGTAGCTGGGGCTTGGTACACGTAACAGCTCAGCGGAATCGGTCGCCGAACTCGCCACTACGCGGTAGGTCTTCTTTGGTCACAAACTTTCAAGTTCAAAAACATGCAATCAAGTCTCGTCACTCGTGGGGAAAGGTATCGGCGTTGTCGGCCTGTTTGTTTCAAATATCGTCTCGTACACACTTCACCCTATTTCGAAAAGAGAAGAAGGGCACGACCGAGCATGGTTTGAGCGCGTGATGTAGTGCTCGAAAGAAGTAGGGTGACCTACGGTTCCCGAAAGTGATATAAGTTCTAACCAATTCAGTAGTCTCAAGTAGTCTCAAACGTGTATATTCATCCTTCATTTCTATTTCTTTGGCCACTTTTGACATGGCACCTGGAGGATTCTTGCTCATCCTTGCCTCCGAAATGATGTAAACGGTTAGCAGGTCCAGACGTCGAAGGGCCAGACTGGTCGGACGGATTTGTCATGATCGCGGATCGTCGGACGCAGCGTATCCCTCAGGGGCCCACCTGCGCGCTCGAAGCTCTTAACGTCGTCTTTTAAGGTGGTTGAATGAGTTTTGGTCATCATAAATCCGTACAGTCTCATTCCAAGTCATAAATAGTACATAGATAAACACATCTATCGGCATCCTCCAGACAACGATCGAGGGTATATCTTTTGGTTCAGAGCAATCCGTAGCATTTCGTTAACACGAGGTGTTGACACCATCGAAGGGACCTGCAGGGTACAACATCAGTACATCATACTTCCATTCAGCGCGAGTAAAGGGAGACTCACCGCCATGGTCGTTGAGGTTCCCAGAGAAGATGTTGGGGACATAGCCGATGGTGCACTGAGAGTTGGTGTTGTCCTGGCCGGGGCAGTTGACCCAGTTTCCGTTGTTGACGATATGGATTTCGCCCTCTGTGTGCGCAAAGCCAAGGAATCGGCCCGGGACAATTGGGATCAGGTCATCCCTACAAGGCGAGGTCAGGTATCGGACTGTAAGACTCCACATGGATGAAACTTACTTGTTGTTGATACGATTCATCACTGACTTGGAGTTAACAAGGTTGACGAAGGCTTCGTTTCCGACCTGTTCGAAGGGATGGTAAGCATGCGCGACAGGTCACACGACACAAAATAGAACGCTTACTCGGGGCATTCCATAGGTGACAGTGCGGAAGGTGGTGCTCGAGGGAAGGTTGACAGACAAGTGAAGGGTAGCAATGGTCGCGAGGGCACCGCCAAGGGAGTGGCCAACGAGAGTAACACTGTTCGTACCGTATTGCGATAGACCGGTGCGGACGGCAGACAAGACAGCGTTGGCAGACCTGGAGATGAAGAATCATTAGTTGGTGGGGAAGACCATCATTCATCAAAACGGTGACAGACCTGGCGTGGGCGTCTCCGAAACCATCATGCGTCCTCACTGAAGAAGACACGCCGGGGAAAAGAGAAGAGCTCAATGGCTTCAAGTCGAAGTTCGCGTTGGTGAGGAGCGGGAAGCTGTCAAATGCGACATGAGATCAGAACCAATCTGCCAAGAAGATTCCCAAAGATAGACTTACAATTTGTCTGGATCAGTTCCCTGTTGAGAACAAGGACAATCTTTGGTCAATCCTCATGAAAAGGTTGGAGTGGGAATCTCATCGTACCTGGTACGCAACGACGACGGTCTAAAGGGGATGATGAGAGGTTGGTCCGGGATTACGACGGAAAGACGCGGCGCTTACCCTCAGGGCGGAGTCGTAACCAACATACCAATACTGGGTGATGGCACCATCGCCACCGGAAGCGATGGGGGTGAACTGAGGTCGGGCATCGCAATTCCCTGAATAAGCGTTAGAGACGAATGTTGATCAATGAAAGGGAACACTACTCACTACCGCAGTTCCAAGCCCGGGTTCTGGATGGTGAACAATACGCAGCACCAGCGTAGTGAGTGTAGGGCTTGTAGCTGGCGACTTGGGCAGCGGTAAGGGTGGAAACGCTTTGGCGTGCCTCAAGAATGGGGACGGCCAAAGAAGAATCCAGAAGGGAGAGGAAACACAAAGACAAGAGCGAAAGGAAAGCGCGCATCGTGTACTATGTGTAAGCCCGAGTCCCGTCTGGAAAATCGTGCAAGGAGGAAGGATCCTGCAAGGAATATAGGCATCGATGAGGCAGGCTTTTAACCGGAAGGTGTGAGAAAGCGCTTATTGGACATATCAATTGTTGTTGTAGGCAATCTCGGAGAAGATGAGCACGTTGAGGCTTGTTCGCCCCAGTTGCCCTTGTCCCCTGACTGAGATGTCTTCCGGGGATGACACAAGCATGTGGGATGTTAAGTCCTGTGATGCGTAAAGAAGCCGACACCATGCTTTGCAGTGCGATCATTCGTCCTATTATTGATCCACATTCGATGAAGGAATAAGGCCAAGGTGAGGAGTTGTAAAAGGGGAAGCTTCACGGATGCCATAAAAGTTAGATAGAACTCGTTAAAATAGGGCTTACCACGCGGTCTCGAGCAAGAAGACGCCTCACCTCTCAGGGCTTTCAAGCCCACGTTTCGGGAGGTGGTTCAGAGGCGCTTGCAACGTCCTGGAATCACCGATAATGATCAAAAGTGCTGGAAACTGTCAAGAGCAACTAGTAGCCATCTTGAATGTGTCTCCAGGCCAATGTTTCGTGGTGGTGAGCTGAGATGACAGTGGACATGGACCAAGAGTCTCGTCCTGGGCGTGATGGATCACGTTGATCATGTGTGAGGACAGCAGGGAATTAGACTACGCAAGATACCCTCGTACCTTGCTTTCACTATCACCAAAGGAAATACCACACGGCACATTGGACGGACGAAGTGATTCTATAGGACAGATCGTCCAACCACGTTCTATGATTGGCTCGGAATTGCAAGCGCCAATAGGCGCCAACGCGGAGAAATAGACAGTGCGGCGCGTGGCCTCATTCCCGCCATAATGAGCCATACGGTCGCCCTAAATTGAAAGTCCCTGACCAGCCCTGACCAGGTCATGGAACCTATCGCAGCAAATCTGGTGGAAAATTCAATTGAGTATGCCGAAAATGGCCAAAATGTGCACACGTACCACGAGAGAGCTCTTCACCGGACCCTCGTCATCTGAGAAATTGGAAGCTAAATGGTGCAAGAATTGTGAACTTGCAGATATGTTCCGTCGAACAATCGAACACAAGCGAGTGGGGTTCCTGTCCGCCACACCACATAGTATCGTTCATCGCAAGGCCGCCATTCTGCAAACGTTGGCTTTGGAACACACATGCGATAGAAATAAGACCATAGCTTGTTTTGTGATGGAATACACCTTGTTCTGTAGAGAAATTTGGCTGTGGAAAGGGGCAATTGAGAAAGGACGTGGTAACAGGCCGAGCCCAACCAGAAAACCTTTGGAAAACTTTTGGAAAACCTGGGGAAATATTCCCGAACGGCATTAAACTCGGCACGGAGCATACGTCATATCCTCCCACGATCGGTACCGAGACTTTATGCCTTGTGCCTGCCTCGCAATTGGCTCAGGCTGTTTCGTCAACGACCACACTCGATTGTGTACATCCCGCCACCAGAGTTTCGACCCACTGCTCAGGTCACATCTAAAGGAGGCGCCCGATAATCCTGCGACTGCTGGCCTCGAGGCGCTTGAGAAGGCGACCCACTCATCCAGGAATTTATCCGCAGTGCTCCCGAGCTGGAAGTTCACTTCTTAGGCGTTCGGTTTTCGCTCCTCTCGCCTCGAGGTAGTGAATTTGCTGGAAATCGTAACTTCCTTGGGCTGGCCTGCGACAAGTGACGCTGATGCCAAATGGTCATGGACTGAAGCTTTTCATACCCTCGACATAGAGGCTATATTTCTGCCTCCCAGCCTTTTGGACCTTGTCGGGACGTTCAATGCCCTGATTTGCTATCCCGCCACCTGGCCTATGTACAAAGCCGAAAGGGTCATTGCATCACTGGTCACTACGACCACTACGACCGCCCCGATTCGAAGTGGACTCCCTTTCTTGTCTCGACGGATTCCACTGCTTTAACAACTTTGAAAACAACGCTACACCTTTGTTCTCCGTGCCACCTCCAACACGTCTCCCTTTGTGAGGCTAGCGACAATATCTGTTCTGACGCCTATATAAGAACGGGGCGTTAAGATGGGACGTCTCTGTAGATATCTCCCAAGATGGGCCAGAATTTCAGCATGAAGGTCGACGCAGAGAACAAGCAGGGCAAGTGCTGTGATCGCTGCGTGCGACTTGACGGATTTCGATGCGCGACATGCGTTCAAAGTTTGTATCTCGCCAATCCTCAGTTACGACGTCGCTGTGGGTTAATGTCTGCGTCTACGAACAGGACTGGTCCTGGGCTTTTGGTGAGCGCGTCGTCCTCTTTATGTCGCCATCCCACTTAGTACACCGCCGCGTACAGATGCGAAGGCGGCTTGGTGAACCCTCTGCTTCGAATGATCACACTCACAATCATCCCACTCCGTCTTCATCTCAAAGTGCTCCATTGGACGGCCCTCCGTCGTACGACAGTATTGAACCTGGACCTCCACCCTATTCCCTTAGTCCAACTCCTCGAGTGCCGTAGTGAACCATCTTTGCTGAAACCACTGTTGAAAACCATTGCGCCACTGGCCTTGGAATGCATAGTACATGACATACGACTGCCTACAGCTTTGACTCAGTTCGGGGCCAGGCTAATATAGCCATTACAAAATCCAGAGCACAGCCCAAACACAGTGAAAGGTCGTCCCTACCGTGAAAGGCGGGAACCTCACTCCGGCGCCAGAACACCAATTAATTGCTTCCTGTATCACCGAACGACCTGCTAGCAACCTGGCTTCGAAGAAACACCGCGTCCGTCCAGGTCCTTAAGGCGTTTCATCAAGGGGGATGGCGGCTCAATTTCGCCCCCGTCTCCTTCTTCCAGCTTTCGCTTGCCGTTGTCGGACGAATTGGAATTGTGAGAACGGACCGGAGGGATGAGAAGTCGCGACGGCCTGTTGTTCTGGGGAGAGGGAGAGGGTGGAAGAGCGCTCGATGCCTCTTCTTCTGCGATGGCGGCCTTTGAAGCCGCTTCATCCGCTTCAACTTTATCGAGATTCGTGATAGCATCCTGGAAGAGCTTCGTGATGTGCTTGTAGTGGTCCTCGAATTCGTCGCGGAGTTTTTTTATCGCCTCTGCGTCAGGAGTGCTTGCACTGTACCAAGCGTCCCGTTTGTCATCTGAGCGGTTGCGAATGTATTGTTTGAACTTGGTGAATAGATCGACGACGATGTTTCCCCACCATGAGTCAATCGTGTCGGTCACTTCGTGAAGTCGTAACGCCATGAAGTGGCACTTCGCCTCCTCGGCCCGCTCCGGCTCTGATTGGTCCCATTTCAGCAAAAGACGGGGAAGAGAATTTCGGCGTTCCTTAGGCTTGACGTAGGCAAATAGAATATATGTGAAGACATAGAAAAAAGACTCCAGGTCATCGAGGTGATCGTGAGGGGGAGAGTTATCCATCCTAAAGCCGAGAAGAACCATGACCGATTGGAACATTCGAGTGCCCTGAAGGGGGATGGATTAGTCTTCTAGATCCAACAAATTCAACGCCCTACTCACAGCTCTGAAGTCAACTGAGGTCTTTTGACGATCCGGATCATTATGCCAAATTGCCATGTCGAGGTCAATCAGAACTCCACGCCAGCCCATAGGAGACCCGGCCTGTCCGAGCAAGATATTGTGAACGCTGACGTCGCGATGAAGGATTCCCAGTTTATAAGAGTGTAGATGGCCTGTATGACAGATTGTCAGAGGGGTGCATCACCAACGAACGCCGAGACGTACCGTTTATTGCATCCACAAATGCGCAAAGTAACTCCCTTTTGCTGGTGAAGTTGTCGAAACTAGGCCCATACTCCTCCAGAATAATGTGGACTTGAATGCGGTCGGGGAAGTTCTCGATATCGTCAACCGCCCCTCCTCGAAAAGTACGGAGCTTGTCGTATTCCTGATACGATACCATGCGACCCACACCAACCACATTCTTCGCGGCTTCGAGGAATTCACGCTCGCCGTTCGACCGATGTAGCGAACGCCACGAGTTCTTCATCAAAAGGTGAACACCATCCTTGTCGAGGATGGGCCAGCATGTGGTCCCGCGGCCACGGATGCTGCGTCGCGCATAGCAGCTGCCTCCTTCGACGATTCTACAAGCAACGACGTTCTTCGAGGAGTCCTCAGCCGCAATGTGTAGCCAATCCTCTTGGCATCTCGGCCTTCCCAGTAGATGTTGGGGTCGAAACCCGCGACTTTGGGATCAGTCGACGATAGCCCAAGCACGGCACGGACGAACAGTGCAGCCTCTTCGTGAACATCAATGAAAGGTGTATATTGGACCCCGCTACGATCAAAATGGAAGAATCGGAACTGGGTCGGGGTGACGATGAGGCCTCTGCTGAACAGTCTGTTCGGTTGGTGATTGAGAATCTGTCTAGAAACTGCCTCAGTGGGTCATGAACAAGACTGAAGGAAGATCCTGTCATACCGGCAATGCACTCCAATCTGGCCAATTTGGTCGTCTTCCGAAATGAGGCTCCTTTCGGTGTTCAACACCTTTCCTTCAACCATAAAAAGTGCACGATCGTAGCTGGCAAACGCGGGCTCTCTGTCGGTGTGGATGAGAAAAGGAGAGTCACCTGTGATCGTGATGTCCGGAGAGGACCACTGCCTGGCTGCGAATGGGTCGGAATGAGGTGGTCGTGTGGGAGCGGTTACGAAGACCCTCCTTCTGCCCCCTTCTACTGTGTCAAGGCGTGGTTTAGAGGTTTTGAGTATGCCCTCAATGATGTCCTTATAGGCCTGGTAGAATTCATTGTTTCCCGCCGTAATTCCGACGAGCTTCGTCCATCGACCACACCTGTAGTGCTCGCTGTTCTCGAGAAGTGTGTTGATATCCTCCTCAGTGGCCACCTTTTCGTACGCCTTCAAAATGAAAGATGGATTCGCCTCAACGCGGTATCTCGCGTCAAGTTCTTCGAGAACCGCTTTGCGCTGATCCATAACACTGCCAAGAACTGCTCCGGATCGAGTAGACCTGTGGCCGGGAGTATCTTCGCATGACCTAAACTCGACTCCTACCGGGGTAGGGTGGTCAGCCTCCGAGTCGAAGATGGTGCGGGCGAGAGAAGGCATCAAGTTTCCTGGTGGGGTTCAACCCTGGTCACTGTGCTGATTGTCACCACTTGACTGACTAGGATTGTGGGTGGTCGATAGCGTCGTCTTTTTTGTTATTGTCCGAGGCCAAAAGAACGTAGCCTCAGATTGCTGGGGGACCTCGGCTGCCAGTAAGGAGACAGGGGATCTGGTTGAGCCATTGTGATCGTCGGAGGAAATTATGCAGTGTGGGATGCTCACCGGTCCTGATAACAGGGTTATGTAGGCCCAACGATGGGGGCTGACCGTCGAGAACCTTGCGCTCGTGGCTGGGGTTCAGATTCAGAACGATGGTTAGGGCCCATCTTATTTTATGTAAACCCTTATGGAAACCACGACGGCAAAGTGACAGCATTCAGTGATCCGAGAGCGGCTAAGCATCGTGGTTCGCCCTTGGCGCATCTAACAGCTCTGCATGATATAGTATGTTGAAAGGAGAATGTAATGAGCGAGAATTTGCGACAGCAATGAAAATACAACGGTTCCTGGAAGGGATGCTTCCAACCCCCAGGGGGGATGCATTGTAAAATCCACCCGCGCTTAATCTAACGCGCTCTCCGCCCGCTCGCCAATCGTCAAAACGAGAAAAGAAGTATGCCTGTACTACGTGCTCTTTTTGTTCCAAAAGGGAGGTATAAATTACAGTCCGAATACAACCACACTAAAAGTCAAACTCATGCAACAAGCGCCTTCCGTCTCACAAGTGGCTTGCTCTTCTTGGCCTTCTTACCAGCCGCAAACGCGTTCGCAGACTTCAAGTCTCGTCCCAGAGGGTCTTCTTTTCTTACTTGGTAAATTCGGACCTAGAAGGTAGGCAAAGGGGTTAATCAATGAAGGAGAGAAAGGGAAAAAGAAGGGAGACGTACGATCCAGTTTTCTGATGTGAAAGCTTCGTCGAGGTAGTCGAGTTCGATGGGAGTTTTGGGTACGGGCTGGTTTCGGACACGATCAACAGCTTGTCCAGGTCCAAAGATCTCCGCAAATCTACCATCAACAAGTCAGCAAAGCCATCCCGCACACCGCAAGCATACCGTATAAACGACGACTCACCGGTAATACGACATCTTGTACATCAAACTCTCCCTCATCGTCCTCGAGGCATGTTCGTCAATCCTATATTCACCCCTTGGCGTGAAGTAGTTTGGTTCCTGGATCTCATCAGGCCAGACACCCTGGGCAATACGGACCATCCACAAGAACTTGTTGATGTCGTCGCCAGAGTAGCCAATCAGACCACCGAAAATAACGAGAACGTATTCAACGTCGTGCTTGCGGAGGATGGGCCAGGCTTTTTCTTCGGAGCTGGACATGGCTTTGCCGACAGTGGCGATGTGGGCTGTACGGCCGGAGGTGGTGAGATACAGAGCAACGCAGGAAAGGGAAGGAACGTACTGTTATTCCAAGTGTTGTTGTCAACCAAAGTAGGTCGATCGGCCATACCAGCAATTTGGTAACCATAATCCCACCAGCTCATGATCACAGAATCCGGAGCGGTATTCTGCCTGAGCCAGTAATATGCCTCTCGGTAATCGTCAATGATATGCATCGATCCATCCTGATTCTGGGACGACAAAATGACTGAAGGCGAGGAATAGGCGATGGAGGTGACCCAAGTGCAGTGAAGGACAAAGAAGACAAGGAGGAAAGTGGTGTTGAGGAGGACCACAAGGCGGCTGTCGAGTCCGAAGATGCCTGGCTTGGACTTGTCCTTCTTCGAAGACTTGCCGGCTGGGACACCAGTCGCAACTGCGGCGAGTTCCGATAGGATGTTGGTAGATGCGGCATTGTCGCTGGCAGCCTTCTTGCCCTTCTTCGAGGCCGCGGGGGTAGCAGAAGGTGCAGGGGTAGATGGGCCGTTAGAAGCGGCATCCTCGGAGGTGGTCTCTGCGGCTGCATCGGGCTCAACTGGGTTAAGGTAGACGTCGAGCATGCTCGAAAGAGCGATAGCCGAAGCAACGCAGACAACTGGTGTCAAAGTTAGCATGAGACGAACCATGACACCAGCGAAGTAGCTGGCCATGACGGCGTAGATGATAACGAAGAGGTGTTCATCTCGAAGCTCCTTGAAGCAGAGGATGACACCGGCGGGGAAGAGGAAGATGAGCATCTGGAGGTCCATGAAGAATGAGGGCCAGGCGGTGGGTTGATGCTCGGAGACGGAGGCGATGATAGGAATATACCTGGGCAACAGTCAGAACGCGCAGACGACAAGTAGTAGTCGACTTACTTCTTGGCATATCCAGTATCCCAAAGAGAGTAGAAACGACCAGTCCAAGGAGCAATCTTGCCTTTGTAGGTTAAGAAAACGAATGCGGCGGTACCCAAAATTCCACTGGCAACCAAGGCGATACGGAGAAGTTTCTGGAAGTGTTGGGAGGAGACATGTGACCTAACAAGTTCAGTGAAAGCGACGATCTGCAGCAAGCCAAAGACGCCTAGTAGTAGTAGTAGATAAAGTCAGCACTGAGCCAAGCTTTGATGCGCTGCGTTAAAATGACGTACCCAAAGCGCCCATATGTTCACTAGTGCTGACTGGCTGGAATCCGACGAAGGGCACTTGCATACTTGCGAGAGTGCCAATGGCGTACCAGGAGCAGTAGGCGGCGTATAGACGCGATGAGAAACGACCCATGAGCATGAGAACCAGAGCGTGAAGAGGAATCATGTTGGTGATGAAAACGTATCCACCTATCACATTCGTCAGCATACGGCACCGGTCCGAGAGGAGGGATGAACGCACCCCAAGCCGACACCATGTAGAAGTAGAAGATAGCAGCAATGGTTCCGTAGAGCGCGCTTCCAGTCTTGAGAGCCTTGATCCAGAGGAAGAAGGTGAACATGAGCAGGAAGATGGAGATGGCTTCGTTATCGTATGAACCAGCGACCGAACGGGAGATGTATCCAGGTGCAATGCCAATGAAGGCCGCAGCCAACAGACCAGCGCTCTCGTTCTTCATTTCAGTGGTGAACCTAACGTTGTTGTGAGCGGTCAGGTATTTGGAGTTGGCAATGGGACGCACAGGTATGTCGCAAAGGCGGTCAACGCGCTAAATCCTGGTGCGAGGAGGACGCAAATGTTCCTGATGTCGACGGGGAGGTTAATAGCCTTGAGGACGTTGTAGATGACACCGCTGGTCGCCATTAAACCGGGGTAGACTGTTCCTCCGACGACACGACCGAGAGGATACCATGCTGTGGGGTCGAACCAATTCCAGAATTCCTGTATGCGAGTTCAAATCTCTAGTCTCTTTGCTATTTGGGTTATACGCACATAGAAACCCTTCGTTGCGAGAATCTTGGTTGCGCGGCTATTTCTGTGATCAATATATGCATTGCGGTCTGCTTCAAGCGTCACGTACTAGTTGAACCATGGGTCGCTACACAATTCCATTAGATTCAGAAATCTGTCGCATATTCCAATGTACTCACAATTCATGGATAATACTCTCAAAGTTGATGACAGCAAACAAGCGCGAAGCGATAGCAGCTCCTGAAATCAAGGCGAGAGCAACGATCCTGAACAGCGAGGCTGTATTCTTGACGGTCGTCGGGGAGAGGTCCGACGGGATGGGAAGGGCCAACGTCGGCATTGCCAGGAGTATGGCTTTGCGCCGTGCTTGACCGTGATTTGGTGCAGAGGAAAGAGCTTGGACGCCGCCAACACAACCCGCGGCCAAACGTCACGTCGACGTGTCCAATCCCCGTAATGCCGCTTAGTCACACACTTCTATTTTGGTCGCACGCGACTCGGACTCTTTTGCCGCCCCTATCTTGGTTCCTTGCTCCCGTTATCCCAAGTGAATAATGGTGGATTTGAAGCATACCCAGGAGCAGCTGGAGCTTGCACCACAGAGGGTCACGGTGGAAACGAGGTATGGACCTGTAACAGGAGGGAGAGCTGCGAACGGGGCAGCTGTCTTCCTTGGTGAGTGGTTCGCATTCTACTCTACTCGGATATGCACCTAAAGTAGTCTCACTTCTCTGCTAGAAATACCTTATGCGGTCCCTCCGAAAAGATTTGAGGATCCCCAGCCGTTACCAGACACCTTCAGGTATCCCGATCAGAAAGAGTACATTGTCGAATCCGCATGTATGTCGTGTACTCTATCTTCATGCCCTTTCCACTTATCTTGGGACAGACGCTGCACAGCCAAGGAACGATGGACAGGCGGCTGGTATGAGTTCCCGCTAATCCTCGGAAAATGGCTCATAAGTCCCTTCAGCGATGGATTTCAAGGCGAAAGTCGGTTTAGGGGCGCCGACTGAGAATCCGTGAGTACTGGGACGACCGGAATGACTCGCAACAGAGGTGTCTAAGCTAAATTGAGATTATTCTTAAATATCTACGTCCCACCCTCGTACCCATCCAAAAGGAACTTTCCGGTCAAAGTCTACATCCACGGTGGGTGAGTATTGCCCGCATCTCAGACCTACTGGAAGGCAACCTCACGATCTCTCAGTTTCCTTCAATTCGGCTCGCCGCACGGATTATCAGCACAAGCTCAGTATGCAGCGGCCGAGAGGGAAGAGATCTGGGTAAACATTGGATACCGCCTTTCAGCTTTTGGATTTATTGCTTCGGCGAAGAACGGTCTGACCGGGAACTATGGCTTCAAAGACCAGTGGCTTGCACTCAAGTGGATCAAGGCGAACATATCTGCCTTTGGAGGTGCGCGTTCCGACATTGCTCTGTTTATACTGGGCTAAGACGAGCTTTTAGGAAATCAGGATGACATTCAGTTGACTGGACTTTCAGCTGGTAGATTCGAGGCCTAGTCTCCGGCCCAGCCTGCTAACCTTTGCTGTTGCTCGTCTTCAGGCGCACATTCTGTCCACCAGATCTTACACCACCTCTCGGTTTTACCTCCTGGAGAGAACGCACCATTCTCGTCCGCGGTTCTGCAATCCAACGCCATGCCGTAAGAAGTCTATCTGGGCCTCGAATTCAAGTTTATCATGCACTGACCGAGTCGCTACCTAGGACCGATCCAAAGACTTCTGCCCAACTGGATCCTCAATTCGACGCCCTTTGCAAAGCACTGGGGCTAGATCCCGATTCACCAGACATTCTGGAAACTCTCAAAGACGATACCAAGGTCCCTGCTTCAAGGATCACAGAAGTGATTGAGGAGGAGAAGCTCGGAAGGTACGGCGCGTTCCGCGGTTGCCTCTCCGACGACTGGATCATCACCTCCCCTGGTCCAATGGAACGTCAGCATAACGGATCCTTCGCCACCAGCCTGCGCGAACGCGGTGTGAAATACATCGTAGTAGGCGAGGTGTCAGAAGAATGGTACCTCTATTCCATCGCCCACCCCATCTCCTCGCCTGCGGACATCACATTCCAGCTCGAGCGATACTTTACTCCCGAGTTTGTGAGCGAGCTTGTTGGCCATTACCCTCCTCTACCTTCCGAAACTAGTGAAGCTGAGCTGCTAAGGAGGTTTGGAGATGTCTTTAGTCTCGCTCAGGTTTATCTCCCTGTTCGCGTTTTGGCTCGGGATCTTGTAGCTAGGGGGTTCCCGGTACTGCGCTATCGCATTTCCTGGGGTCCAGAGCACGGATGCTTGCCACATAAAGGTGAGGCCATACCATCTTTCTCTACCGATCAATGCCTGAGCTGTTGATACTAGGCCTTGTAACCCACGGAACGGACAGAGCTTTGTGGACGCTCTGCTTCCCTGCACTGACAGACACGGAAGCCAGTGTTGCAAGATCCTGGGTCGGCCGCGTTGAGAAAGAAGTGGAGAATGCACTTAACGGTCACTCGAGAGCTGCGGATGAGGTGCTGCTTTTGGACGAGGAACAAAACATAGGTTGGGCGAAAGATCCCCTCTGGGAAGAGCTATCAGGATTGGCGAACAAAATACTCCCTTCTACGGCATCACTATGATCATAGACATATTTGACTAACTGACGACCTCAATGTATGTATCCTAAACTGTATCCCGACGAATTTTAGCGACTGGCAAGGAGGCCCCTATTTGGCAACGGCCATGACCATCACGTGCTTACGAGAGGATGAGACGACAAGTCGGCCGCAGTGACAACTTGAACACTTGTCCAGAACGTCCACATCGTCCGCGTCATCTCAAAGGGACGACAATCCACAACTAGCGTGGTAAGTCAATCCCCAACCCACACAACAACCCAATCGAGTCTTAATCGATGGCCTAATCTCTATTCTCTACTACATAGATATGTCACTCCAGATCAATCTCTCCAGTAGAGATATCCTCGAAGCCTATCAAAAGGTTCTAAACTCGCAAGGAATCGACTGGGCGATCTTTACCTACGAAGGTGGAACGAACGACCTCAAGGTTCAGGCTACAGGCGATGGCGGACTTGAGGAGCTAGAGGAGGAGTTCCATGATGGAAGGTGCGTAGCAGATGACCATCGTCCCCGCATCTGGGTGACGTGCAAAGGCGCTTTGCTGATTATGGTCGATGCCTTATAGGGTGCAATACGCCTTTGCGAGGGTAACCGAACCACACGTATGTCGATCTCAATCACTGGATGCACCTAGATGCTAATCGAGGTTATGTTTCCAGAGCCAACTCCCCAAATTCGTTCAAATCAATTGGTGTGGAGATGGTGTACCTGAAGCAAAGAAAGGGTTGTTTCATACCCATTCCCAAGCGGTCGCAAGGTTTTTGAAAGGCACACACGTCGTCATCAGTGCTCGTAACGAGGTACGCTCGAATATCCCGTATCCGCGAGCCCACCCTGACCCGCATCGTACAGGGAGATGTCACACCCGAGTTGATCATGTCGCGTGTTGAAGCAGCCTCTGGTGCAAAGTACTCCATTCAGAAGGAAGCGCCTCGCAAATTCGAGCCTATCGCTCCAGTGGGTACCAACTACAAGCCCGTTGGGAAGGTCGACATCGCCGCTCTGAGGAAAGGGCCAACCCCAACTCCTCCAGCGAAGCCCGCACCCCCACCTGCATCGTCTAGACCTGCGTTCAGCGCCGGACGACCCATTGCGTCCGCCGGTTCGCTGTATGGTAAAGCTGCTGCTTCTGCCCCTGCAGGTGCATGGGAAGAGGAGAAGAAGCCCGCTGCAACACCTCCGCCTGCAGCGCCTCCTCTCCCTACTACAAGCCGGCCCCCGACTTTGCCCACCACTTCACGGCCTGCTTTCAGCGCGATGGTAAGTGTTCTCAACCTTTTGATCCGAACGTCGACCGACACCACGTTCAGCGGCCTGGAGGTAGCCCTGCTGCCGCTGCTCGAAGCGTCCCTCCTGCGCCAGCCCCCGCCGCGCCTTCACCGCCTCCTGCTGCACCCGCTGCTCCCACCCCTGTAGCATCTTCGAACGTCCCCACCAAACCGGCCGAAGAGGATCGGATTGAGCCACTCAAGAGTTCTTATACCCCCGTCTCTCTCCCTGCTCCCAAGAAGCTCAAGAACCCCTTCGCCGCGTTTGAGCAGCAGCAACAACAGGAACAATCGCGAGCCCCTGCCCCCTCTCCTTCGGGTAAAAAATTGACTTGGAGCGAGCGTCAGGCTTTGGCGAAGAAGCAGCAAGAGGAGGAAGAAGCGCGCAGCCGCTCCGCCAGCAGCTTCACGCCAACTACTCCGGTTGCTACCATCTCCAAACCCGCCTTTGGCCGTGCCACTGTTACCCAGAGCGGGCCGAGGAACTTTGGGGCTGGTACAGCTGTTGCTGCGGGTGTTGGTGCAGCAGCAGTTGGAGTCGGCGCTGGAGTTGCTGCCTCTCGATGGGGTGCCAAGAGAGAGCCCACTCCGCCACCTCAAGAGCCTGAACCTGAACCTGAGCCTGAGCCAGCGGCAGAGCCTGAATGGGAACCTGAGCCAGAGGTTGCTGCTGTAAGTTTATGTCAATCATTTGGTCGCTCTAGTGTCTAATGCGATATTATAGCCTCCCCCGCCGCCACCTCCGCCACCTCCACCTCCTCGTGCCGTTGAGCCAGAACCAGAGCCAGAACCAGAACCAGAACCGCAATTCGAAGCTCCGCCGCCACCTCCTCCTCCCCCTCCTCCCCCGCCACCCGCACCACCCGCTCCGCCTGCAATGGCTCATGTAGAGCCTGAGCCTCAATTCGAGGCCCCTCCACCTCCACCTCCGCCGCCTCCTCCGCCTCCTCCTGCACCTCCTGCACCTCCCGTGACACAGGTATGTCTGCACACGCCGTCATGATCAAGAGTGTCCTAACATGATATAGGTTGCTGCCCTTTCGATCTCGGAGCCGGAGCCCGAACCCGAGCCAGAGCCAGAGCCAGCCGCAGAACAAGAGTACCAAGGAACTGTCGCTGTTGTTCTGTATGAATATGAGGTATGTGATGACGATAGCCGTTCCCGGCCCTTGGTGTTGAATTGTGCTTCATCAAGGCTACGGAAGACAATGAGATGAATTTGGTAGAGGGCGAATATATCGAGCAGATCGAAGAGATCGATGAAGGTTGGTGGACAGGTGTGGGTGCTGGAGGAAAGACCGGATTGTTCCCAGGTAAGTGATCTTTGCTGATTTGATCGCTCGTGGGTCCTGACAAAGTGTAACTTCTAGCCAACTACGTCGAAATCGTTAGGCGTGCCGAAGAGGCGGGGGAAGCAGCTCCTCCCCCACCTCCCCCTCCCCCTCCGCCACCACCTGTAAGTGACATGAACGTCATATCCAGACACGAACTCATCGATACTTGTTTCATGATCAGGCTCCTGCCGCACCAGTTGCGCCACCCCCACCGCCTCGTGAACCCACTCCCGAACCCGAGGACGTAGGCATTGTCGCGATCGCGCTTTACGAGTAAGTCGTTCTCCAAATATGGTTCCCCTGATCGATCCTAAACTCGTGTTCACAGTTATGACGCCGCCGAGGACAATGAAATATCTTTCAGGGAGGGCGAGAGAATCACTGAGATCGAGCCAGCTTCAGAGGATTGGTGGCAAGGAAAGAACCCTGCTGGAGAGATTGGATTGTTCCCAGGTTAGTACCTCCGCTTTTTCCCCCTTCGTTGTTTGTGCTAACAACCCTTTCCAGCCAACTATGTGGAAGTTCAAGAGTAATCGCAGAACACTCCTTTTGAATGCATCTAAAGACTCGGACTTTCTAGACTTTATTCTTCGTCGATTTGCTTGTGATGGAACGTATCGGTAAACAAATAATCATGCTCCAATTGGTTTTATTTCATCTCCTTCGCTCTCCTGGCTCGCCTTTCCGGGACGACATAAACTAGAGTCATTGATGTATGGATATGGCAGGCATGTTCATTCTATGCGACTTTAACTTTCCTGTTTCAGACGACTGACTGACTTTCCGTTCAGACATGCGATTGATTAATGCTGAGCGATCGATATACATGAGTGTATGTGGGTGTGCATACAGAAGATCGCCCGGCGATGGGCGGAAAGCATACAGCCCCCAAAAGGAGTGATACATGCTGGCTGTGGCTATCAAAAGTGCGCTCGGGTTCATCCGGTGTGCGTCTGACCTGTGCTTGTCCTCCAGGTACTGAAAGGTCCCACTCCTTTAAGGCATATTAGCTTCGTGGCGCACAGAAATCTGTGCTCTTTGCAAGATTGATTAATTCTCGATGCGGAAGCATGACCGCATAGGTTGCCAGTTGGAACTCGGGTTCTGTCAGCCGGGCGAGGTGAAGGATCGGAGTGACGGTATGCACCGGAAGAAGACCTCCTCGAGTGACGTCTCGTAGCAGGCTTTCTCCGGCAACATATCCGCAAGGACGGCCAAGCATTCAAGCTTCCAAGAAGAGTAATGTCGGAGCTCCATCTCGCTGAAAAACGCTTCCTGCAGCAAGACGTCAGTACTATGAACTTCATATCGAAATGCAACGCAAGCCTGACTCACGATTTGTCTTCTTCTCGGAACTTGGACATCTCCAGGCGAGGAGGGGCGTGAACCCACGATCGAGGGAAAGATATCCTTGACGAGCAATTCGAGGCGTTGAAGGTTGGGCAGTTTCTCCGCAATCAAGTCGATAAGTTCGGGACATAGCGAAACGAGTCCAATGCGGAGTTGCAATAGGCCAGGCCTTCCGGAGGCACATGAATCGTGAGTGGACAACTGGATCGCTTCAGCCACATCGTCATATGACCGGTATGCGCCAGTTAGCGAGAGGGAGGACAAAGTGCGGGCGAAACGTTGGAGGCACACGAGGGAAGTGGCGACCGGAAATAAGCTGGAGGTCATGTCAAGGACGTGAAGTTTGGTAAAGTTGACGCCTGCGGTGGCATCCTTGATCCACTCATGCAGGGAGCTGGAGGAGTCTTGGTTTAATTCCTTGCCGCCGTATTGCGTGGGTCGAAGTCGGAGGCAGCGTAAAGTGGACTGATGCCTGGAGAGGAATCCGTTGAGGCCGGCTGGGTCGCCCAAATGACAGTCTTGAGCAGGGATGTTGATGCTGAGGTCGTCGAGGGCCGGGAAATGCCTGAGGTTGTCGAAGAGAGGCGAAAGATCGGTAGGCTCCCATGCAGAGATGACGAGCCTTTTCAGGCTGGCTTCGAGCTGGCTGACCGCGGGTGCTAGATGGTGCTGGAGGATGTGGGTGATTTCCTTCTCGTCCCCAACGTGTTCTGAATGAAGTGATAGGTGGAGCTCTTCGAGCTGTTGCGGGATCCGGGACGTTGGCGTTAGGAGAGACGGCACGTTGTGAAGGGAGATGTTGAGGGACAGCTTCCGCAGGTTGGGTTGGAATGGAGAGGTGAGAAACGACGCTGGTATCCGATGTGTCGTCGTGCTGCCAACTGGTGCTGACCCAGTCCACGACACATAGTAGTCGGTGACGTTTGGAAGGCCCGCTAGGACTTCTGATAGGAGCTCGACTATATCGTCCCTCCGCTTCAACGACTGCATGATGCGATATTTGGGATGCCGGCTGTTCCTCTGCTCCAGCAACAAGTTCGCAATATCCCCCAATATAGTCCGCAATGATCGATGTTTGATGACGCAGTCGGGTTTGGAGGGTGTGAAGCACAGGTGAGCACTGCTTTCGAGCGGGATGAAACTGGGGTCGATATGGACGATTCTGACTCGTTTGGCGACCTCTGGGTCCCTGTAGACGCCGACCAAGATGAGCGCGGGTGTGGTTGGGCGCTGGTAGTGGGTACTTACTTGAGGCGGACGAGGTTTTTGACCATCCTCTCGTCGAGGTAGGCGAACATCAGCTGGCGATATCGAATGTCCATCGCGAGTTCGAAGAAAGTGCGATTTACGGTGAGGAGATCGCGCAGGAAGAGAGGGGAGAGGTATTGGGCGACATGGAGCCAGATTGAGTGGGGGAGGGTGGACATTACGGGGGGAAGGGAGACGGGAGACGTTGTTGTCTCTTATCTCGAGGGATATATGAGCTGGACAAGTCAAAAGTCAAGTTGGCCATCGAGACTCTGCTATGCCAGGACAGTTGTAAGTGCTGTCAACCGAACGCCTGATGCGGTTACGCCTTGTTCCTTTTTTGCATTCATTACGATTAACTAATCAATCTCATCTTCCTTTCTTGGCAGAAAACGTGCTCCAACCCATAAACACCGAGGAAACCCATATCCGCACCGTTGACCACACTCCTCGAAGTCTCAGAAGTATCCAGGCGTGTTCTTGACGCTCTTCCTGCAACGGAGCTTGACACCCTTCACTGCCTTTTAGGACATCCACATACCATTATCAGCCATTTCTCAGAGAGACCCGCCATGTCCTCCAATCCGGACCTGCCTCTCAATTCTCTTCCGAACATTAAGTGGGATCGTCCACAAGTCGTGGTACGACCCTCCGTCGTCCTCGCCTGGTTAATTGAATCACCCGGATCTAGCGAACGATTGGTCAGTCGCTGGCTGCACGGCTCTCCTTTGCCTCCCAGCGGCGAACGCTGCGCCTCTCACACGACATCCCGGTGGCTATCTTCGTGGTGACTCTGGTCCAGAAAAAGAATACTAAAAACTCTCTGTGGGTCCTTGGGTAAATCCCACCATCTCGGCGACGCTCCTTCAACCTACGGAAGTCCAACGCTAACCTTGAGACTGGAAGCTCTAAAGTTTGGCTCTCGACGGCCCCCTTTCCCTTCTTCGCAGCATGCTTCGCTCCGAGGCGTGTAACAATGACATGGCCCACCGAATGGATTAATCCATCTTGGGCGAAACATTCTCGCTGCCCCGAGTTTGGTCAACAGCTCGACATTGGTCTGGTCTGGGCAAGCAATTCGGGTGACTTGGGCCGAATTTATGACATATGTTGGCCCTGCTGTAAACGTATCAAATTAAAAGGTGGTGTGTCTCTCTTGTTGTGGCTCTTGGTATTGACATTATTCAAACTTCAGCCACTCCCGTATGCGTGCTTTTCAATTAGATGCTCTGAAACCCATAGCAACAACGGACCTAACGAGATGGTGAACCCGCGACGCCGACCCGCAATATGATATGTATGTATGTAAACACTGTCTATCACTCAATCCATCACCGACGTCGGGAGGACGCCTATTTGCGTTTCTCCATACCTTTCCTGTTCTAGAAGCCTCATTTCGCCTAACCGTTCCTCGGCAAAGGCAAGATTTCATCCCACCCGCTCTTCGCAACCTTCGCCGCCTTCAAGATTTCGATTATTTCGAAGAGACGCCCTGCCTGTGGTGTTTGGCTGGTTGATAGGACTCGGGGACAACCGGGCGGATGGAAAGCAAGAATCGCGGCCTGGCTTTTTAATGAACATGGCCGCCGCACGCCTCGAGCTAATACTGCGATGGCCTGGGTTGGATTTAGCACCACATCGCGGTGAGCCAATGCCTTCGTTCGCGTCTCTGTGAATTAGGTCTAACCAATGTCGTCCGCGAATTGCTTCCAGTAAGCGAACTGGGGTCGAGACTTTGACAAGCAGCTTCTGGGTGATGATGAAAGACGCAAGCAATGGCGTTGCACGTGAGGGTATATGTCGGGGACACCCAGAAGGAAGCTGATCCCGAGGAGGCATCGAGGCGACCCAGAAGTCCGTATCGCTGAGATGTATCTGGGCCAGAAGGACATCCTTTCCAGAGGTTAAAAGCTACTTAACGGTGAAGCCTTCGGGAAACTTCTGGGGTCCTGGGTTCTGTTGGACTGCGTACATTAGCTTGAGGTTCGTGCTACGATATCGATGCCTCGTTCACTAATCACTCTAAAATGCAGACTTATTCCTTCCCGGGGTTCGCTGGACGGCAATTTCCGAAACAAAGTTCCAAGACAGAGAGGGCTATCGATTTGGCTTGAGTCCAAATGGCTCATTCTCAACCCGTGATGACAGATCAACCGACGATTATGTCCATCGTGAGGTCAACACCTCAATTTCCTTTGCCATCTGTTCCATTCGTCGAAAGTATATCTACGCATTGACACGGTCAAGGTATGTGATCCCGTCTCGTGAAGACCAATGGGATGCGTGCAGGGCTGTGAAGCAACGAGTTAGGGATATCGCCTGTCGTCACCCAAGAGTGCAACGTACGTCAATGTAAGCCCAGGTTTACATCGCATGACCCTTTCTTTCCTCTGTTCAAAAGTCTCATGTGCGAACTGAGGCTCCTCCTTGACAGAGATCTTGTACCGTCGGATAAACAGCAACGTCGTAATCACAGCCTCGGTTTCGAAGAATCTAGTAAGAAATCAAGGGTAAGCAGTCATCATGCTCAGTTTTTCTCCTCTGCAATTTGAGAAAATCGAAAAGCTTACTTTCGCCCGAGACAGGAGCGAACGCCTGAGCTGAAAGGCACGAAGGCATCTTTGTTGTATTCCTTGAGGAATCGGTCGGGATTGAACTCGTAAGGGTTCTCCCAGTATCGCGCTGTGCGAGACTCTGTGGTTAGCTCGTGACCATTTTGATCCAGCCGCACAGCTTACGGTTGTAGTGCAGTCCCGGAGTGTCGATGGCAATCATAGTTCCCTTGGGCACTGGGATCACCGTCTTCTCTCCCCGCGAATTAGTCGTCGTCAAAGTCGTGTCCTCTGCGCTCTTCTTGGGTATGTGCGTCACCTGGAAGTAAATCAGTGTGTAGTCCAAAAGGATCTGGTTGTCATTGCCGCACAGCTGGATAAAGTCGTAGGGTCTCGTTGTAAACGCTAACGCGACGCCCTGAGATTTCAACGTGCACTGTGATGACAAGCCACTGGAGCACTCACGCAGAAAAACGGGTAAGTTTCGGCAATTTGGAAAAGCTCTGCGAGAGTTGTTGGGTATACCTAATCAGAATTTAACTCCTTTGGCCAAGATTACACTGCACTCACAATGTTTCCATCACCGCAAACCTCTTTGATTTGATCCAACAGTCGGTCTTGTTCATCGGGATACAGTGCCAATAGGCCAAACATGAGTGCGATCGTGTGTCCGGTTGACTTCAAGGAAGATAAGTGCCAATTTAAGGGGGTGACCACATAATGACGTACTTCGTGGCCAGCGATGAGGAAAATGAAAATGTTTCCTAAAGCTAAATTCAGATCACTGGACTCGACAGGGGCATCAAAGGAAATAAGCGCCCACCCATCAGTTCCCGATCGCTCAGGGCATCGATGCTCGTATCATGTGTGTTGGCCTCGAGGAGACTCGTAAACAGGTCACCGAGATCCTCCCTTTCTCCGCTTCGATTTATCATCTCTCTCATGTAAACCTTAAATTTGATGAGTGCCTTGGAAGGCTGTTACGGAAATGGTGTTCAGACACTCACCTCCAGCTCTTCAAAGGCCGTTTGAATCTTCCTTGTAGTTTCCGCGAGGTTCATCGCCCAATTTGGCACGGCAAGCTTGAGAAAAACCCCCTTTGAGAGGGTATAGAGCGAGTCTTGGAACGTCATGCGGCGTCCTGGAGGACATTTCTCGGTATCTGTCCAAGCCATCCTTTTTCCAAACCCTGGCCATGAGAAGCGTAGATGCCAGTGAGTGCCGAACCCTTGGCTTTAGAGGCATGCAACACAAATGCAACATACCTGCTGCACCGATGACAAAAAGGGATATCTGCGATGAGAATTAGCGGCCACATTTGCGCAACGTGTTGGGCCAGAAGCTTACTGTCAGGGCGATGTCTGAGATGTTGTCGATTGTGACCGTCCTGTCACCCTTTCCATCCCAAACTTCGAACAATCCCTCAACAACACGATGGGTCTCTTGCCAGACGAGCTTATTGTTGCGCTAAATGAGAATGAGAGATCAGTATCATGCACATACAGGCACACCGGACACACTAATAACGCACGTCCGAGAATCCAGGTGCTGACACCTTTCTGTACTTCTTCCATTCCTCCGCTTCAGACACGACAATGTTCTCACCAAAGAAAACGAGGGAGTCATATAGCTCGATAGGCTTGGGAAAGCGTGCTCGAGAAGATGTGACTTCCTAAGGCTTTGAACTCAGGTGCGGTGTTTATTAGCTGTTAAGACTCGAGCTCGATACCTTGATTGTTTCCGCGTCCGATAGGAGCAGAGTGGTTTGGATGGAAGGCAGGATCGATGTCTGGAGGACATCTAGGACGTTAGACTAGAGGATGCACGGTAGGAAAAGGCCGCTCACGATGGAAAACACGTCTGATCCACATTGCTCGTAGCCTGGGGGGTACAGCGGCTGTGTCAGCCATGATGCAGTTACTGTGAGAACAGGGGCGTTCAATCACTTACGCTTTCGCTTCTCAACGAAGAGAAAGTTGTATCCTGCAGTCACCCCAGGTACTCGAGGGAGCAAAAAGTTGGTGAGACCGTTGGGATATAGCAGTATAACTCTTTTGGGCAGGGACCTAAAAACACAATTAAAAAAAAATCAGAATGAATCCCTAAGCCTACAGAAAGAAGACCGACCCCAGTACCCTCAACTCGCGTAACACCAACAAAGCAGATCGTACAACGAGGGCTCCAGCCAATGTTAATAGGACCACAGTAGTAGGAGACGAGGGCTGGAGACTCAAGGATGCACTGAGCAACTGCGACATCTTGGAGGAAACGATGGGGGAAGCAGCGAAGTGACGGCTAGTGGGAGCTCATTTATGACTTTCCCTACTCACGTTTCTGGCTGGACTGTAGGTGCACTACTTCCCTGACTCGGATCTATCTAGATCAATCGGCGACAGGCGTGAAGGAAACGCTGCCATTTAAATACCTTCTAAGAACGCATACCCATCGCGTGTTTGTGTGCATACTTACTCCTGGTGCCCACTGACATGCCCACCTACAGCCCACAAAGGACCTGCCGAGACTTTATTTAGACACCCAGAAAACTTACCCATGTCCTCGTCGGATACCCTCAATGGCGACGGGGTTCTATATGGACTCGCCTTTTGTAGGCATACGTGCGCGCCCGAAGCTCCAACTACATACGACAAGATGTACTGTGTGCTCTACTTCGGACATCTCGCAGCCATATAAATTGAAAAAAAAAAAAAAACAAATGAGAAAAATGCAACATCCCCGTTTCATTCCTTGAGGCTTCCGGGCACTACGAGGCGAGGTCATTGTGAACGGTACTATGTCTGAGGAACCATTCAACCATGAACACATGCTTACCCCTGTTTTCCTTGGGGGCATGTTCGCGATGTCGTTCGTCCATCTGTCTCCCTTTCTCATTGGATTGGGACTTACCTCGCTTTCTCATATTCTAGTCTTTGGGGAGTAACATGCCTTCAAACTTTCACATATTTTTCGAGAGGCTGGAATGATCCTCTCTCTTTGAAGGTCACGGTGAGTTGAGTCCCATGTCACCAAGTAACCGCGACTGACATGATTTTTGTCCGTTATTTAGATCGCCATACTTTTGTGAGTGACAATGCTAGTATGGCATTGTTGGAGGGGATGCCACTGAATGCTTGTACACAGTATGCTGGACACTCTCCATATGACCCTTACAGTGCATTTGGACTATCACTACATGGTTCTCAACTTCGCCAACCCCCTAGCGCTCATTGAGCCTGTCTGGTAAGACTGTTCTGTTCATGCTTTGAAAGACATCCACTGACACGCCCAACAGGAGTTTGTTTGTAAGTGACTTGGTTCCAAAGTGTCCCATCTTGAGTGCAATGAACCTTGATCATGCTTTAGTTCCATACCCTGCTCATCGTAAGCTTCCGGATACCAGGATCGTCCAACCTATTTGATCGGCGATCGCTCATTATCACTCCACAGACCTCGACCAATTTTGTCATTCGATCGCTATTCGTCCGTCGCATCTGGATACGTGAGTCTGCCGTGGTTGAAACATGGTACAATGCAAATGGTATACTGACTTGTTTTCTAATTCACTTCCCAGTAACCAAAGGTCGAAGGCTCCGGTTAATCATCGCCGTACCGATCGTGAGTCTATTTAGTTCTGAGGTCCCTAGAGAAGAAGTATTCAGTGCCAGGGTACATTTCCCAGATGGCATTATCAATGGCTGATTTGGGTACGCAAATGAATCCCTCCCAATAATCCTCCTACTTAACAATTTTGGACAACGGCTAGTATCGGCATTCTGTGAGTGACCTTGCCAAGTTGGGAGTCGGACGCCACGAGTTAACGACTTGTTACTCTTTCTTCCCTTGAAAGTCATTACTGCAAAGGCGTGCGTTCGCTTTATTGGGGCACAGAAAGACCTCTGAAGTTCTTCCAGTTTCCAGCTTCCCAATTTGCTGCAATTGTACCGGCTAGCCGTGAGTGGATTTATACCTGTGAGCCCGATTCCAGTCCCAACCTCGCCTGTCAGGTATACGCCTATATCTCATTTATATCTGCTACCATTGCCGATCTGGCCCTAACCGTCGCATTGTGGTATATTCTTCGAAGCTCGAGTACTGGTTTCAAGCCGTGAGTACCTTTCAGAACACTCTATCATGTACCTGTACTTTCTGACCCTTTCGACTACTAGAACGGACAGTGCTATCTCGATTCTCATCAAATACATCGTAAATACCTGCGGGATTGTCACGTAAGAAAACATAAATCTAATGCCAACGAGAGCTTTCATTGACCACCCAGGGATTGTACGCAGGTTGTGCGCCTTTGTGTCTATGTCGCTTTACATCGCCATGCCCGAGACGTTCGTTTTCATGGGATTCTACCTTCTCCTCAGCAAATGTCAGTAGGCTATCTTCATTTGCATGGAGGTCCTAATGTTAACCGTCCCGTTTCAGTGTATATCAATTGCTACCTCGCAAGGTATGTCAGTTTTCTTGGTACCTTTCTCGTTTAACACGTCTGCTCCAAATACAGCATGAACGCCCGTGACGATATCAGGAGGACGATGAACAGTACCCAAGAGCATATCTCCATCCACCTGACCGATGTTTCCCGAGGTCGGGTCAGCACTCTCGACGCCACCACGGGCACCCTTTCCCCAGGGCTCGAGAAGGTCAGTACACACCCTTCGGTCCCTTCCTTTCTTCAAAGGCAGAGTACTCAATTATCCCTTCAGGGCCCTCGCGTCAGCAGTCAGCTTTCCGTTACAGTTCACACTTTGGTGGACCGGCATGTCGATCAAGCGCACGTGGAGTCTGGCTTCCAGAAGTAAAATGGTAAAACGAAGAGTATTTGTGTGTACGAGTCTTACCAAAGACGGCGCCCACTTACCGCAGATTTGTTACCATAATTGAAATTCTTGTGTGTCGAAAAATGCTCTATACTGAGACGGAATTAACGCTTGATGAGGACCTCAGTAGGTATCAGCGAATCCTTTTACATACTATGCACTTGTTCTGCCGTTGCTGAGGACAAATGTTTCCTCTTAACTCCACCGATCCAAACTTATCGTTGTGCGTGACCTTGTGTCCCCATTTAATTTCCACTCCCAGATGGCGGCCGCATTGACTGACTTTACCCGCTGACGACACACTGCTTCCTTGCAAGGCAAGGTGACCCCCAGCTTATGTGAATGGCGACGAAAGGGCTGTCCACTTCAAGTTGCAGAGAAAGATTGGCACTCGGAGCATAGCTAGATCTTTCGCGAGGTCGTATCAACACTGTCCAAGAGAATGGCAGCGCTCTTTCCTCCGGACTTGATCACAAAAAGGGAGGGAAATGGCTCCCCTCGCTGGAGCCCAGGGGAATGACATAGACTCGCATCATTAGAATCCCCGAGTTGGCAATCTGCTGTCCGGATCCGTCGTAGCACCATGTTGGACCATCGCGCACGTGCACTTATTGCTCCTCACCCTCGTGTAAACGTTAAACCATGTAAGTATACGTTATGAAGTAAATAAAGTGGCTATCATAAATCAGTATACGTAGAAAACAACCTGCCAACCATATATTACACTAAGGTATCCAAACTGATTGTCTATCACCCTCATTATTGCTACTGGAGGCTGGCGGCGTCCCAGACTTTCTCCGCCTCCGCTTCCACCAAAAGAACGCAAGACCAACAATCAACGTCGCTCCCAACCCTACACCAACAGTGATCCCCACCGCATGTGCGATGAACGTCTTCCTGCTTGGGTCCACGGGCATCGTGATCGTTGACGTCGCATAGGACGTCGTCGTTGGAGAGAAGAAGGTTGAGATAGGGGAAGGCGGTGGGAGAGTCAGACTCGGAATAATAGAGGTCGGGTCCCTAGAAGATGAAGGAAGAATCATACATCGTCAGCATCCCAATCAGAACCGTTCTTTGCCGCTTCTCGAAGAAGGAAAGCAGGTCATAAAAGGATAATCGGACTTGAGAATGGCATAGGAAGGAGCGGAGGAGATGAATTTGCAGAAGCGGCGCAACTCACGCATTAATAGGGACTGTCATCATGATAGATACGAGCCCAAACTGAACAGGGGTTGAAGAAGGTAAGACGGTGAGAGCGAGGGTTGTTATTAGGTCTTCTGGGATGTTCACCACGGTGGCGAGCCCGATGGAAGATTGAACAGTGGTCGTTATTTCAGCATTATTGGTGGCAGATAGGGTAAGGTTGACAGATGCGTTGAACCCAGGAACGAAGGTGAGGTATAGAGTCGATGCTGCAAAATAGTGTTCTCGTTTGAATATTTTGATCCGCACGGATGGTGTCCGATAACAGGCGCTCACCTCGAAACCTGAAGAACATCTGAGGGATGATATCCCCAGTCGAGGAGTTCTGGCCAAGGCTTGTGACTACCGGGAAAGGTATATCTGGAACATTGGTAGAGAACCTGGCGTCATCGTCAAGCCAAAGTCAACAGTCTGAGAGAGCGCGATGTCTATCAAAGGACATACCATGCGCCCGCGCACGCCTCTGGGTTTTCAAGCATCTCTGCTGCATCGCAGAGGAATGGAGTGTAGACGATTTGGTCGGAAAACAAGGGTACTGTCACATTTCGATGAGTTGGAGAGGTCTGGGCCACAGTCGAGCTCGGGCAAAGCGCGATCCAGACAAGGAGTTGGACCCAGAAGAGGACCTTGAATGTAGCTTGGAAAGCGACCGTTGCCAGTGTGCGGTCACTTGGAGAATACTGTGTCCGCATCCATGAAACCTCGGAACGGAGGCAAATTGGAGACTCTCGACGGAAACGCTCGAAAATTACAGAGTCATCCAGGGAGGAGGCGAAAAGGCCTGAAAGAGGGGACACGGATAAGCCCGTCAAGGGGGAAGAAGAAGGAAGAGGTTGAACGCCTCTTAACAACCTCAACGGCGTGGTCCAGTCGAATCAGCGGCCACAAATGGGGAAAAACCCATATATGAGCCCCATGACCTGTTTGCTGTGATGGTAGCACTAAATTTATCCCAAAGTTGTCCAAAGTCAGGCCGGAATCAAAATCGTCGTCAAGGGCCAGTAAGCGTGGATCTCGCGCTGCACGGTGCGTTGAAGGATGTAATTTACGGGTTGAATGCTGGTGGAGGGTTCACAAAGGTGGGAAAAGAGTGGAAGGGCCAATGTCTAATGTGTAGTGAACATAAAGTCACTCATACGAACGACAAAGTGACAGGGACCAGGACAGAGACAGAATGAAGGTGATAATGAAACTCAGTCTGAAGACCGCTCATGAGGACATACGCCATCAAGTCAATGGAAAGGACTTATAAGAACTCACCGAGCCCATCCGTGCGGGACGCAATCTGTGGCACAATGACAGATGTGAGGTCTGATTTCATTTTGAGAACAGAATGGCTTCAGCCAATGGGCTAAATGCAGCACAAGGATTCGAAGTTCTTGGTCGTCGGCCGGAAGCGGTGCGGTCGAAAGGCCGTCCCCCTGTCAAAAGCCGTGGGTTCGTAGTTGAGGAAAACGCAGGAGAAATGTTATTGTTCTGACAAGCATGTCAGGCGTATTCGGCCGAGTCAGGGATGTGAAGGCCCTGGAGGGAAGTGGCGCCTGGGGTAATATTGATGCCAGAGACTCGTCGTGCTCTTCCAACTGTACTTGACTGGAAGTGAATTGAATAGAGAAACATCGCCTCACTGGCGAGCCCCGAGAAGAGCCTTTGAATGGCCCATGTTACCTATCTAAATGCGAAATTTCCATTGAGTTGGTAACTGATATATGTAGTCAAAGACACTTACCAGACTGTAGCTACGGTAATATCTCGTCCTCAGAGGTAGACACCGCCTGCCTCTACATTCGCTGTAGCACCAGATCAGCTCAGACGAGCTAGGTAATTCCGCATTCATCGCGATATCCAGTTTTGTGTCATAAAAACCCCTGGCCGGTTCTGCGGTGGTCGTGGTCGTGGCCGTGGAGGAAGAGAAAGAGGAGCAAGTAGTATGTAGGGCGCGTCCAAACACGCGTGGACATCGCCATCAAAATAGCGACCAACGAGCTCCGCCACTGCTTGTTTGCCATTTACCACGTTCTTGAACGACCTCCACGACGCTGGCGACTTCCTTCTTCTAAATACCCAAAATCTACCCATGGAATCTCCAACCCAATATCAACAATACCATCAAGGTCCTGCTCCAGTACCAATTATGCAGGAACAGTCTCAAGGAGGACCTATCCCTGTCGACGTTGTTCCCGATGGCAGCAAGGTGGGCTTGGTGTTTAGAGTCCTGAACCCACTGGCTTCATGGACCATTACAGCACTCGAACCGTGAACGAGGTCGATATAAAGAGAAGTAGGGTGCACCGTACTCCTCTGTAGCATTGATAGGACCAATGTCTAGGTTCCAAGCAATGCGGGAGAAATATGAGAAAGCTACACGGGTATGGTCGTATTTCTAGTTTCGTGTCACACCCGGCTCATAACAGTTCAGCAAAACGAGGTTTTCCAGAAGCAGTTGGAAGTAGCGAATGCCAAAATCAATAAGCTTCAGGCAGAGAACGAGTGAGTCTCAAGCCAGTCTTCCCTGGGCACTGATACTGACCGTTTCTAGCCTCTTGCTAGACTCAATGCTTATCAACGAAGAGGGTCTATACAACCGCTTCTTCCCGGTATCCCATCCCCAAGATAGGTTTAGCGGACCTCCGCCAGAGATGCATCGGAGAAGCCCACCCATCCCTCGTCACGCTGTACCAGAGAACCTGAGACGAAGTCGAAGGCTATCCAACGCTGTACAGCCTATGAATGGAGGACAGAATATCAGCCCTCTTCCTTCAAATGGACGCCGTGAACACCATCCTGACGTATGTCGTTTTCTTCAACGCCATTCTTGTTGTTGCCTAGGCTTTATGATACTGATTCTCACCCTCAGTCAACAGGACCTAAGCACATCCAGTCCCAACACCAGTTCGAGCGGCCGCTGGAGTTCATCTCACACGATTCTAACGGGCGTCAATGATCTTTTGCTGTCGTTCCGTTTTATCTGTGTTGCGTCATTTTCTTCCAAGTTTTCGCTCTCGAATTTGCTATCCCGTTTCGCGCAACATTCTCAGTTCCAAGTGTACTCTAGCTCGCTCCTCTATTCCCGCCATATACTGCAGCCCTTCCCTCTGACTATGGCTTCTGCCTTCACACCTGAAGCGCCCAACTTACGAAATCTCGTTGGGCCAGAACTAGTGTCGCCGCAAGCTAAGGTGGAAGTACCTTGAGGTCTTTTGGTGGCGCACCTTAAGGGACCTCGAGGTACCTCAAAGCTCAAAACATTGGAGGGAACGCATAGAGGACGGGGTATGTCGCGCGTTGGCTTGAGCGCTTGATGAGGTGGGCTCACCCGAACGGATTGGGTAAAGCAATCAAGACGCACAGCCGCCGTTTTGGCGGATGGGAAGTTTTGCTGGCGACCTCAAGGTGACCTTAAGGGACTTTAAGGTCGTCGGACTTCGAAAATTGGGACCTCAAGGTACCTCACCTTGCGGCAACACTGGCCAGAACTTCCTGCCACCACTCATGAGAAGCGTTTCGGCAGGTGAGTTGTAGAATGGAGTAAGTCTTCGGCCCTGTTTCACTCGCCTGTTTAATTATCGGTTTCGACAGCCAACTCCTGGTTACCGATCCTCGACTTAGACTGTACTTTCCCAACATCAGGTCCCAGAACCATCGCAAGACCGTTTGGATTGATCCTCATTGACCGTGCTCTCGGAATTGGGCTGTTGAGCATTGAAGCTCAGTCCCCCCAACTAGCAGCGCATATCCGGCTTAGCTTGACCCCATCGTCACGATGTGCGGTTATTTTCCACCTCAATATCAAAACCTGAATACCGGAGCCCTTGGTGCCGTCTACACCCGGCTTGATTTTAAGGACGTTATGTAGTTGGGAACACTGCACACTCTCCTGGGAATGGCGATTGAGTAGCTGATCATCATTCACCGCATCGGATCTGAGCGCCTCGCCGTTGATTTGACTCTTCACAGCCTCCGTTCGAGGCATTCCCGCCTGCACCCCATGACTCGACAAAGTTTAAATATCGCTCTCACCCTCGTACACGCAGCAGCACAGCAGTCGTTCCAAGTTGAACCCTTTCCGCATCCATGTCCGACCACATAACGGAGCCAAGTCGACTCGTCGTACTGGACGATACGCACCCCCGCATACGATACTCGGGCGCTGGGTGGAATCTCACCAATGGAGACCTTCGAAACACGACTGGAACCTTTAGCAAGGCATTTCAGAAGACATTGCACGTCACAAACACTCAGTCGACTCTTTCATTGACATTTGCGGGTATGTACCAGGGTCTGTTGTTCACCGTGTACCCGCTAATCCTCACGCCAGGGAACTTTGCGGAGATATATGGTACTGCAGACTTCATACTCGACCCAACTGGCAGCCAACGCGGCCTCGAATGGAGGTGCATTCTCGACGGCTCCGAATCCACAAAAGCAAAGCAGGCTCAGCCGAAGGTTCCAACCAACGACTTCTGTTGCTGCAGATACGAAAACCTCGACAACGATGAACACACCATTCAGCTGGAAGTATTGGACACTCGAGGCGCGACATTCGGATTCGACAAAATCGTCTACCGCCCAATAGAACTCGTGGAGAAAGAAACCATCTTAGTCCTACGCGACGACGCCGATATCGAGAGAGCGGGAGCTTGGACAACGATAGGGTCCCCGCTGGCAGGTTCGGAAGGGTACAGCACCAGCCAACCTGGGTCCAACTTTACCTTTTCTTTCGTCGGTATGTCCAAGTTTCCACCCAATGATTCTCGGACGTTGACCACGTCGACTACATCGTAGGCACTGGAGTAAGCATGGTGTCGACTCTCCCCGCCGCGGACTTCCCAGCTACAGGCACATACAGAGTTGACGACGGAAAGTCCAGCGAATTCACCATCCCTATCCACATATCCGACCTGAACACGGGCCAAAGTGAAGTATTCCGAACCCCAAAGCTCAAGCGCGGTCCACACAAGATTACCGTCTCCTACCAGACAACGCCAGAACAAGGACGAAGAATGGCACCACTCTCCTTCTCTTACTTGCTGATACACGATGGAAGCAACGAGCGAGTGGACCGTGATAAACTTGGAGATACCGGGCGAGGCGTTTCGAAGGGCGTTGTTATCGGGTCTGTGTTGGGTGGATTTGCTTTGCTGCTTGCTGTTTTTGCAGCGTTTTACTTTCGCAAGAAGGCCCAGGTCCGATCCGATCCTGAGAAGCGTGCAGAGCCCACGACTCGCCCTTATGACATCTATGCGTATGGAAACAACGAAGACGACGGGTCAGCTGGGAACACCTACTACCTCAAATCCGATCGTTCACGTTCGAACTCACCACAAAATCACTCGCCCCGAATGGACCATCTAGCGTCAAATGTTGTCCTCGCCAAGAATCGATCCGCCACATCACAAACCTCAACGTTGATAGACACTGGCAGAAACCGTCAGCCAGACGTCGACACTTCTCCTCGTCCAACAGTTATCGACCACCAAGACAGTGGGATCACACTTCCACAACCCGAGGTCATAGAAAATCCACCCAGCTACGATACGCTGTGGCCTAGCCGGCGATCGCCTGCGACACTTGCGCCCACTCCAAACCCTACCGTCTCTCACAAGAACCATGGCTAACGGATTGAACGATGCTTTTGCATATCATTCTATTCCCGACGTAATATCCAAAGAAGATAGCCAGCAGGTCCCAAACACCACTAGGAATGTTTCCCATCCCTCTACGCGTTGATTGGCACTTGGCAGTAATGCGCAACACCTGGGAATCTAGAAACAAGAGTCGCGCGACGAGACGATGTTGGCGATACTGATAGACGCCCAAGCGGTCCTTGAGGTGTGACCTAGGCAGAGCATATTCTATGGGACTCCCACTCGGCTGGCTTTGGCGGAGAAGAGAGCATAATCTCAAGTGTAAAAATTAAACTGTAGAATACAATGTACCACTTAGTTTCCTGAACGTCTGAGAAACAATCAGTGCGGCTGAGGGAGGGCCGGCCCGACCGAGGCATCCCTTGGCGCAGACGCCCGTTCCCAAAACGGCAATATAAGCGCTCCCGAAACTTTGCTTGGCCTATGATGCGCGCTCTCTACTCGGAGATATCATCAGCGCCCATAGTCAAGATCCCCGAGGGCAGCAGAGGAAAAGTGCCAACCGCCACTGGGAAAATCCCCTCTTCACCTTTGCCTCTATATCCTCAACCACTTCAGTGACTTCATAGTCACTTCCCTTCCGCTCTTTGCTTGCAACGCCTCGACGAGCATAGTCTCGTCGATTTCGACAACATCCGGATAGACTCGATTTCCAACAGCGAAGGCTGACGACATGTCGCAGCAAACGCGATGGATTGTCGTTGATGACAGGGATAGCCAAATCACCTACAGCGGTTCATGGTCCTCTATTTCTGGCGACGAATTCAATGGGCGAGGAAGCTTTGGGTCAACTTATTTAAACACATTACGCAGCTCAACCTCTACGGGGTCAACCTTAACTTTCAGTTTCATCGGTAAGTTCGTGCAACGCTTTCCTGAGTCCAGTCCTCACGTAACTTTTTGTTTCGTTGTGTGTAGGCGATGCGGCGCGAATCATGGGTACCATGCTAGGCAGGACGACGGATCCGGAATGGGAGTGTATACTGGATGGTGTGGTTCAGGAGAAAGAGTCTGCATGGAACTCGCTACAGAACAACATGGCCTTCTGCAAATTCTATGAGCTCGCTCCTGGACCTCATACCATTAGCCTCAGGGTGACCCGAAGCTCCGAGCGCGCTTTCCTTTTCGACCAAATCCAATACAAGCCAACTGGCCGAGTCGACAACCAAGTCACGTATATCACTCGCGCAGACCCCAATTTGGCGTACGATAGCACATGGCAGCCGCTAGGACATGCCGCGCACATGACACACCGGACGGGAGGGATTTTGGAGCTTCGCTTCATTGGTGAGTTTGCCTGTGTCTCGAGGAATACGAGTCACCAAACCCTATCTCAGGAACACAGGTCGCATGGTACGCATCCTACCCGAGCGAGCTAGCACATGTGGATTCGACAGCCTCATATACGCTCGATGGTGGTGCACCTGTCTCTATAACCGTTCCTGGTGGAGGAAACGATTCCGATTGGAACAGACTTCTATTCACCACTCCTCGCGTGAACAGAGGAGAGCATACTCTGCGGGTTACTTACCATGGTCGAGGATCCCAGACGCCCCTGGTCCTCAGTCACCTCTTGGTCACGGATGGAACCACCCAACTGGTCTCACCGCCTCCTCCAATCGACACATCACCGGCGCCGCCGACCGACGATGCGACACCTGGTGGCGGAACGCCAACGTCGACCGACGATGATGAAGACTCCGGGGACAGTGCTCCAGGGTCAGCCGCAAGTTCAAGGCCACGACCATCGCCAAGTGACAGTGCGAACCCAAATATCCCCGGAGGTCTATCAGATTCAGACACTGAAATTGCACCTTCGGAAGGACTTGCAGTGCTGCGAAAGAGCTCGACTGCCGGCTCAAGTCCAACGGATATCAGCAGTGGGGGAGGTATCGACGGAAACACTAACACCAGTGACAGCAAAGGCCTCCCGGTTGGCGCCATTGTTGGAGCAGTGCTAGGGTGTCTCGCGTTCCTTGTTCTGGTCGTTGGAATCCTCGTCTTTCTCAAATATCGACGCCGACGAAACACCCGAAACATTTTCCTTCCTAACTCCCCCCAGACAGTGCAGCCATTCTACGCTGCTGGCTACTCGGATGCATCAAATCCACCCATGGCAAGCGTACCGGCAGTTGGCCAGGGAGAGAATCAAGGGCAATACGGATCCCCGGTTTCGCTTCCTCCTGAACAGGGAAGCATGTCGGCCGGCCTTCCGTCCTCCATGTCAGGCCTCTCGAATCCAAGCGCCTTTTCCCCTCAGATCAACTCCGGTTTCTCTCCTGTCTCGAGTACTACTAATCTCCTCCAACCTTTACGAAAGGGGTCTGAAGCACCCATTCCCCCACAATCTGTGCAACTCGTCGGTCATCCACCCAATTACACTCCTTGAACGTGTTTCTCTTTCCACCTTCAGGCATATGTGCTTGGACTGTTGTAAATTATAATTCACTCCGGTCTCTCGTCGCTCGTTTATTGTCGAGTCGATTGATTTCGAATTCTCTGGACATTCACCCTCGCCCATAGCTGTATTAAATTCGATAATCATTGTAGCTGAGAATTATTGCTATCTCTCCGTGGTTCAATCGGTGCCGCAAACCATTACTTCCTGATATAAGGATCGCAGACCCTGGGATTGTTCAGTTTAGATGGGTCTTTCGTGAAATATCCCCGACGGATGCCTTCCATATAGGACCTAGCGAAGCGCGCCAAAGTACATCAGGAACTTAAGATAACCCTGAGAGGGTACAAGCACTCACCACTGCCGCGCAGTATTACCAGATCGTGATGAGAGCTCAATCTTGAAGTTCCAGAACTGGATGGACAATACGTCAACAGTCTGCAAAGTTCAAACCAAACAACTTACGATCCATCCAGCGGACTTGCTATACGCCAGCTTTTGGGCGTCGGCCCATTTGTGGAGGAACTCATCCGAGGCGCCAAATTGGGTGGCTAAACTCCATTCTGGGACAAGGTCCGTTAGACAATTGCATTAATCCGTCATTTCGGGCGGAATTCACCTCCAAACCAAAGAGGTGTGTTCCTAAGAGCGCCCGCCTTCTCAATTCGATCGAGGTCTGGTCAAGGTAGCCATTAGCCATGGTACACCCATGATAAAAAGATAGAAAAACATACTGCATATGTGAGTCATGTACGCTTCTTCGTTGGGGTCAGTGACGCCCTGTGAAGTGTGGCGCGTTATTCGCCCGATACGTTCAAATCAGTCGTCAAGACACCCACCCCAAAAGAGTAGTACAGATGATTATCGTATGTCTGAGGGCCAATCTTCGCATCTGCAGGGTTCGAAGGGTTGTTATACTGCCAAGTCATATCCATGAAGCTGGTCGACATATGATAGTCAGTAGATGCGCAATATGGTAACAAGGATGTTCTTGCTTGGTGATTAAGGGCGAGCGCCTCTTCAACGAAGCTCTTAATCCTTCTTTGTTAAAGTTGGTGTTCACGCCGAGTTGGGCAGCGACCTTGAAAAGTACAGGAATCATCTCCCTAAGGACCTGCCTTACTTCCGCGTTAAAAAGGTCGGTTGCGCCAGAGAGCGACTTCAAAGAGGTACTGATATCCGTGGCAGAAAGAGTGGAAGGGGGCACTTTGTTAGCACTGTGCCAACCAGGGATGTAGATTCCGAGTCCCAACTCGACAGCGCGGACGACCTGAACGAAATTCTTCTGGACTAGCCGAAATTCAGTTCAAGTCGAAGTTCATGGGTGGTGCAGGAGCTTACACTGTCCGTAGAATGGCGTTTGGTTCGCGTCCATAATTGGTTCGTTAATAGCTTGCAATGAAGCTACAGAGCTGAAGGAAGGTTCAAGGTGGGAGATTGCAGTGATCACCCCTGACCAAATGAGCGCACGGCGATAATTATATGGCGTCTGATGGATGGCGGCTTCAGCGACCATCTGCAGGCAAGAGCAGGTGTACGTACATAGAACTGCACGTCTTTCGTGCACCTAGTATACAAATGAAATAGACATCAGAAGCAATTCATCCACCCATGAGGCGAAGGCTAACCTTCCTGCAAACATTTGGTTAGGCGATTGAACGCCAGGCAGCGCGTGGTGGTCTAGGATGACCGTGATCCCTGCATCGCGAAGTTGTCTCAGGCCTCTTTTCTGCAGGTGCGAAGAAGGTCAATTCTGACAATCAACTAATCAATCAAGAAAAAGTCGCACCAAGTGCAGGATCCCGCCTTTAGGATAATATTCAGTTCTGCGATCGACAAGTGGCTCTACAATCCAGTAGCCAAGCTGGATAAATAGGTTAGTCTCGGGGTTGATACTATGACGGTAGCCTGAGGCAGCATTACCGGAATTCGGACGGTGTTGATTCCAGCAGCCACCAGTTCGTTGACGTCGGTTTGGTTAAACCAGGTGGACCTAGCTCTCATTACCATTGGGACTGTTGGGCAGGATATTGGGTTTCGCATACCAATGTTTTGCAAAAATGGCGTCGACGGTTGTGGGATAGGCCTGGGCAAACGCGCTACCCACATAGTGTCAAGAAGCCGCGGTGAAAGGTGGTATGGTGGACATACAACTCTGATGCGATACACTTGGAGCAGTCGCTACATTGCTGCCCGCCCATGTTGGACCATTCTGTATGATGGAAATCATGTTAGGCGGGGTGATGGAACGAGGCCAACAGGCGCTACACACCCTGTGGCAGCATCCATGGCTCCAAGACCAACCTGGGACAAAAGTTGGCTTCATTTTCGCGCAAAAAAGATAACTAGAAAGACTCACCAAGATCCTAGGTTAACACCATATATCTTGCTGGGCAGCCCAGTAGCTTTGACGATGGCCAGCAAAGCGGACAAGAAAACTAGATGGGCGAACGAAGTGAATGGCATCGTGGTAAGGTACTAGAAGAGAGACGCGGTGTGTATTTAACGGGTCACAGCGGACTGCAGCTGATGTTGATGGCCTTCTTTCGTTTGACAGTCTCTGAGCCGAAACAATGAATGGACCATATGCGTGGTAGTCCACGTCAAGCATTATAGGCTATCTTAAGCCTCCCGCTGCCCGAATAAGGTGCTAACCCCCGTTTGCTGGAACGTAATTTGAGCCAGAGTCAGACCTTTCTTTGCCCTTGAGGCCTTGAGCCCCCTTCCAATCCACGCAGAGAACCATTGTCGTGTAAAGTCCCAAGGCAGCGAAACAGCAAGGCCATTCAGAATCCAGTAGCACCCCAAATCAAGTTGCACTCTTCTTTTTCGCGACAACACATGGCGACCTTCGCGCCGGAGCTAAGAGATGAAGATTCTTGCGGAAGGCCTCGAGCGACTTTCGGGGTATCTGGTTCAACTGGCGGTTTGGACGAGACAGAGAGATACTCGAAAGGGTAAGCCAAGCCTGGCGCTTGCTGTGCTCGCGTAGCACCGCGTGAGAACAACGTCGTCGGCAACTCTGATCCGAAGGCTGCCGCGTTTCCTCTTCACTAACATCTCGACGAAGAATTATATTGTCGTTTCATCTTCATCTGCACCTACTGCCGATAGAATCACTGATCAATTCACTGGGAGAAGCAACATCGGCGTCCAAACATAGGTCACCTGGATCTGGAGGACTGGCAGTTGAGGTCCGAGACTTACACCGTCTTTGCTCTCCGCCTTCTCCCCATGGTCTTCTCGTCGCACAAGCTGTTCAACGCCTGCCCAAAACGTCAGAAAATGAAAATAGTTTGCGTGTTGGTAACTGCGTTACCACCGCCATAAACCCAAGACTCGTCAGTACCGACCGCAATTCAATGATGGACAAGGTATGCATCAATATGCCGAGCGACCATCTGCAGTGTGCTGACAATCGAACTACCGATCTCTGTTATTTAGCGTAATACTCACGAATGGTGGGATCCTATGTAAAAGGAAGCCTCGTCTGGCGAACCCGCATCCCCTTTCTTCTCTCCTAGTACGCCTCCAGTGCTGAAGCTTTGGGTGGACGAGCGGCCGGCCGCCTTTTGTATTTCCTTTCCTTTCGATTCATTCTTTCCATTCTCAAGCTTTGGACTTGAATTGATATCTATATATTCACAGCTTCGAAATGGCTCTGTCTTTACTAGTTCTGCCGTTTTCTTGGACCTTATTGCTTCTATTGGCTCTGGTCAGCCCCCGTGCCGGTGTACTTGCAGTTCCCCTCGTCCACCGACAAGCCGATCTAGTTGCTCTTTCAAATGCCGAGATACAGGCTTTCCGGCCTTTCACGTTTTACGCCAGCACTGCCTACTGCAAACCGGACGCCGTCCTTTCTTGGTCGTGTGGTGGTAAGTGCGTATCACTGTCCCCATAATTCAGAAGATTTGATCCAGGCCTCTTCTCAGCAAATTGTAACGCCAACCCGACCTTCAAGCCCATCGCAGCTGGTGGTGACGGAGCGGATGTTCAGTTCTGGTACGTTGGAATAGATCCAACGCTCCAGGTAAGCGCGCCTATTTTCATAGATTTTCGAACCCCGCACCTCATTGAGATGCCTTCAGACAATAGTGGTCGGGCATCAGGGAACAGACCCAACTAAAATGTAAGTGCAGCACATCACGATCCCAATATCCATCCAGTACCTCATGACGATTCTTACTAGTGAGGCCCTTCTGACCGATGCGGACTTCTTCCTTGACGAGCTGGAGTCGGAGAACTTCCCAGGACTGGATAGGTCCATTAAAGTGCACAATGGATTCGCGGAAGCTCATGCCGAGTAAGTTTCCTCTACAATGATGATTCCCTTCTTTCGGTAACTCACAATACCATTGCGTAGAACCGCAGCTGATGTTCGCGCTGCCCTTCAAAGAGCCATCGATGAAAGTGGACTGACCTCAGTATCACTGGTTGGGCATTCTCTTGGTTAGTTCTGAAACTTATTTTCATACTCTTCCCTTACTTCCTGCTGATATACTATGTATTGACGTCAGGCGGAGCGTTGTCGCTCTTGGATGGTGTTTCTTTGCCATTGTTCTTCCCAGACCTTACCTTCAGGACGATCGTATATGGAATGCCACGGGTAACATACTTCGTACCCTCTATACCTTCGCCTTCTCTGACATGTGGTTTTATTAGGTAGGAAACAAGGCGTTTGCAGAATACGTCAATCGCAACGTGGACCTGGATCGGATCAACAACCAGTGAGTTTCATAGAGCAAGACCACGCTTTCGGCTTGCAATGTCTTACGCACCACGACAGGGATGATTTCGTCCCCATTATTCCCGGTCGATTCCTGGGTTTCCAGCACGCACATGGCGAGAAGCATATCCAAGATGACCTTTCATGGCTTGTGTGTCCAGGCAACGATAGTACGGACAAGCGATGTGCGACAGGAGATGTACGCAATATCTTCGATGGAAGTCTTAGTGACCATAAAGGTAAGGCTTTCGTTCGACTTCTAAGGAGCTCGTTTGGTCTTAACGTCACTTCCTTCCCAGGACCTTATGACACGGTGCTCATGGGCTGCTGAACAGTGGTGGACGGTCTGAATGAGATCAGTTTATATACCATTTGCCTTGTGAAGATCATCGGTCGAAAGAGTGAGCTGACCGCTATGGAATTCAAATACAAGGCGGAATATAATACCTCCCAACTTGCCCGTTGCAAACTGACGTACTTCTGGACGGTGATTTAATTGAGGTAAACACCCAGGGCCCAGTCACCCAAGCGTGGATCTCTAATCGACATGTCTAGTTGGTGATAATCAGCAACGGGATGGAGGAGAGTCGCCATAAGTAAACAACACAGCCTAGTCAGTGGCATGAGCTTCTCATTGACATCATTACCGCCTTTAGCTATTGCCGTCGTGCCCAACACATACTTTTATCATCTGTAAATTACACAGCAGTGAGCACACCGGTATCGTTGGTTTCGACGCGTTGGAGAATTCGCAAGGGGCTTGACTGATGACCTCGAAGCGTGCACGACCTTGGCTTTCACATTGTCAACGTCGGCAGCGTGGCTGACTATGGCACGCCCAACATCGCCAAGGCAGGGATGAACACGGTGACTCGATAGAGCCGGAAGGAGACTGCGAACCGGACCTCGCTCCTGCCAAATGATGCATTAGCGGAAACCTGATGCCAGGGTCATACGCTGGTTCCCCCAACCCATCGGATGTCTTTCGCACCACCGAAGTCAACGTTGGCTGTTTCAGACATCAGCCAACTCGCAGGTTGGCGGCCGCACCAATGTAGACATGGCCGCCGTGGCCATGGTCCATTTCCCGAGCTTGCGATCATCTTGGTCAGTCATGGGCAACGAGAAAGCGTTTCTGGCACGAGGACCCTGAGATTGTCACGCGTAAGGAGGGAATGAATGAATCTATATTAAAAGTGTCAAGGTATTTTGCAAGCGTGGTATTTAGATGGCCTTGGCCTTGACGAGCTCTGCGTCGCGTGTTAGGGAGCGATATTTGCATGAAAATTATAGAGGACATACGCTCAATCTCGGCAACAGCGCTGGCGAGGACGTCTTGCTGAACCTTGGGCTCCTTCAAGGAAGCCAAAACCTTGTCAATGACGGCCTTGGTGAGCTCAGCCTGCTCGCTCTCCTTCACTTGCTGCTCATATCGAACCCAGCTGTCCAACACCGACTTGATCTCAGCGGCGACGGCGACCTTCTGCTGTTGAACGAAGGTCTCCGACTCAAGTTTGGCGGTTTCCTGGTGCAGAGTTAAGAGTAGTCAACGAATGGGGACTGAAGTAAACGTACCTTGGACAAAGCGAAGAGGGCTTCGGTGATGGAAACAACGTCCTTCATTTGGCCGACCGAGTCGATTCGCTCCTTGACAGCATTGGTGTGCTCAGCACGGGAAGCTTCGAGGACACCCTTGATGCGGTCAATGTGTCCCTGGGCCCAGTTGTTGTAAGGTTCACGGATGACCTGGATGGGTTGACGTCAACAATTTGGCCTCCGTGAACCACGTTTCGCGACGGACCTTGGCAATGTAGGTGAAGACGATAGCGGAGGCCAAAAGGACGATACTCTCTTCGTTCACAACGTACAATTCTTGCGAAATGGCAGTTGCGGCGAGACCAGTTCCAAGGAGAGCGGTGCCGGTTTTGGTGATCAAGCCTGGGGACGAGGGGAGCTTGTTGACGATCTCGGCGGCCTTCTCTGAGGGCGGTGGGGGGTTGGAGGAGGTGGCCATGCAGCGACTAGAAAAACATCATCAACGTCCCCTATTCCGACGACCAACTCGTTGCACGTACGTGTAGCTGGGGGCCACGGTGGCCATGACTCGCGGGCGAGCTGCAGAATTCGTGGTCAACGCGTCTGTTGTGAGCAACGGCAGGGCAACAGTTACTCACCCGCACGCAAAGTGTTCAGTGCGATTCTCGAGGCCATCTTCTCGTCGTCGTCGTTTTCGTTGAGGTCGGAGGGGACAACGAGCTGGTTGGAAGAAATATACCGTGAGAACCTGTTCCCGGCTTTCCACGAGCTTTGGCCTGGTTAGGGTTAGCCGCCATCACTGTCTGCGACCATCAACACGCAACCTGGACCCTGCCACCATCTTCTTCGTCGTCGCACTGCTGGACTCCTGCTTTACAGGCACCTCAAGGCGACGATGTAAAATGAACAGAAACGCGTAAATGGCTTGTCATCGGCTCCGGCGTTCGTTGCGATTTGGGTCCCAGTCCTCCATCAGGACACTCATGGCAAAATCTGGCTGTGTAGCGAGGAAGAATCCGAACCCTTTCGATGGGATGACGATGATCTATGGAATTTTTAACAGTGGGCGGGATGATGAACAAAGTAGTTTCAGCTCCAACGTGTCCGGATAAATCATCTCAAAGGGACTTACCTCTTCACCTCTTCTAGAGTCTTATTCCCATCTTATCTTTGCTCGTTAACTCTACGACAGATACTGATTGGACGTCCAACATTGCGAGTTGCGCTTGACGGGATTTCGGCCGACATCTGCGATTCCTCTGCATTGACCTGCGATTTTGGATCGTATCGATTTGGTTGGGATTGTTGCGTACCTGCCTCACATGACGCTATTGCTCCAGTCAGGGCTAGGAACTGTTGTCGTATTGTTTGGCTCGCAGGAATGATCAAGGACGATAATGGACTCGTGCCCCAGAACAGCATGGAGCTCACCCAAAATGGCACAATACCACCCAAAAATTGCGGGTCTCGCCCCTATCTCGCCGACCACATATTGCTTCAATTCGGGATTTTGAACCTAATACCTCCTTTTTTCTGGATTCGCTTAGACCTGTTTTCCTGATCCACATCGCCGAGGCTATCCCAATGGGACGTCCTCGCGTGATTTCCAAGCTCTACCCCAACGAAGTGGTGAACATGACGCGGACAGAACAGGTGAGGATCATGACCGAGCTCGTTTCAATAGGTGCTGACGGATAGGTCCTCGTCATCGGGAAAAAAATAGGACCCTTCACGGGCATCTTGGAGGACTAGACCCATGTATTCGAAGTACTCAACGCTCCGAAGCATTACATGCCCTCTCTAATGAGGTATTCCAACTCCGATATCTTGGCCTTGTTATCGTCGTTGACGCTCGCTTGACTGGACGACTCATGTTGAGATGGCAAGGTTCTGAAATGCACCCAGAAATACCCTTTATGCTTCCGGTGAGTATTATTTCGGCAATGCCCTCCGAGTTGGCCTACGGTGCTAATCGCCGTGCTCAGGCTGATTGCTGCGACGCCAATACACGTGTACATGTATCTTCCAATTCCTGTTCCTTGCCATTCACTTCACCGACTTTCCTCTGATAGAACCTGGCGGTCAAAATGTCGGAAACGGAAGGCGCTTCTAACGCCATGTCAAAATTGAAAAGGCGCATTATAATCGCTCTGGGGAGTTTTGGACAGAGACTGACACTACCTTTCTGAACCAGGATCGCAAGTCACTTTAGTAGACGATAGCTCCTTCTAAATGGACAACATGTTTCCTCTTTCACCAGGCATCAACCCCACGCTATGACGACCGACGGAATCAAACTTCGATCCGTGGCATGTTTCCCGACAGCTTTCTAACAGCAAAGTGTCGAACTTGGTGAACGCATACGATCGCCATGCCAACATTTCCCCACCACCAAGGTAACCACACGAAATGACAAACAAGCGCTCAAAATAGACCGGGGTTGCACCCATCCAACCGGTCATTTGGTCAGTTAAAAGGGGATCAGGGTTTTCGACTTAATGAAGAGACTCACACCCCTGTCGACGAAGTCATCAGATTGCGAAGAGAAGTCGAATGGAGGAAGCTTTGCGTGGGAAGCCGTGGGGTTGGGTTGACGTCTACAGGTCGTTTCCATTTTCTATCTTTGCTATCCTCATGTATGGTCTATGCTTGTCGTGGGTATGACATTTCCCGTTCAAGACGCAATACAGGTCTCCCCGCCCGTTTGGGCTGGGTATGGCGGGCGCCCCAAAGGCTTTCCGGTGCGTTCGGGCTGTGCTTCTGCGAATTTACGACGAATTTCTCATACCATGGGCAGCCTGACGAATCATGGGAAGGAAAGCAGAGCAGCAATACATTCAATCCATCCTCATTGGGTGAACTTCGTTATCGCGAACCATACGTTCGATGGCTACGAAATCGCCATGGTCTCCCGAAGTCCAGCTCGCTCTTCGAGAGGTTTCTAGCTGAAGCTCCTCGAGCGCTATGGCAGGAAATGGGCGCTTGAAACCACTCGTCCAGGTTTGGCTCCTTTCGGGGAGGTACTTTGCTGATGTCGATGCTCCACTGGACCCTGAACGGGGTTTGATCTCATTTCCGCCAGGAGGAGAGGCTGATGTGATCCCTCGACCTTCAACGAATTCGCGGAAGTCGAAGCGCTAGCCTTCGTCTGCGAAGGCGCAATCTTCTTTCTCGCAGCCCTCAACAATCCATTGAATCGATTCCCCATATGCTCTTCTTTGAGATGGCAACACACACCGAGTCCTCGGCCAATACTCTATGTCATGTCTGACCAGTGACGGGCTTCAAACGGTTACTAAATCCCCCTTTAAAGCCTTCTCTCTTTCGATTTTATTTTCTGATGTATTTCATTTAGGTTGCTGTTCAAAAGGCCTGTGGAGCACACGAGGCTCGCATTTTGGCCTCGATAAGGAATGCCACCTTTGGTCACGTCGAGCGCTTGTTTCGTAAACTGGAGCGAAAAGTGAGAAAACCGTCTGAAAAGCGCTCACGTTTTCAAAATTGATTCGCAGGCCTTGACATTAGCCTCAGCGGGGGCACTTGACATGCAGCTAGGAACTGGGGATAGAAGCTCACGAGACGATTGGACCAAATGGTATGCTTCAGGTCCCTGTATACCTGTCAAGACGTGCTTTATCGTCTCTGCAGTAAATGGCAAGTCGAGAGAACGTGTGCGTCAATTGGACTTCACCAACACAATTCGGGGCATTTACGTTCTCCTACCGTCCTGAAACGGAAATACGATATCAATTCATTCGACTTCTGGCTCTTCACTTATTGTCTTTTTACAGAAAGCCATTCAAATCGAAGTGAGAGGCGAGCAGACCCATTTTGGACACATGATCTTTTCGTCGGGCTTCGTTCCCTACAGAAACGGAATGCCAGGTTATCATACTTCGGCCCCTCTAGGTGCGTCAATACATTTGGACTTCCTCTCTCGAATACGACTGAAGCCTCTGGGCTCCGATATGTCCGTAAATCCGGATTTCACAGCAGCTGCGACATCATCCCCAATGGACATCGTCGTCGTGAATGGGGAACCGAGTCTAAAGCGTATGCGACTATGAGCTTACTTCTAGGATTTCCGGTAAGAACACCTACTTTGCATCGGTTACCACGGTAATGATCCCATATACCCTTTCGCCAGCTTAGGATACCCGTCTCATCCTCGTTGGCGTCGAGACTATCAAGAGCTAAAGACCTTAGGATGCCCTGAACTTGAGGAGCGTTTGTAATCGGCCGATACATACGGTGGGTGGGTATTTAGTTGACCGAAATCAAGTTATCATGCGTAAGAAGGGCGCAAACAAGGAGGCGTGTACTGAGGTACCTGCCGCAGCATAGTTTCAAAGGAACGAGAATAGGTCTTTAGTCCCCGCACCCAGCGGGCCCAAACCTTGCCTATGACCTTCAGGACCCAGGTTCCAACGTTCCTTGATTCTCTCCCAGCTCGCCGTCCTCATTTGAAAGTTCTCTTTCTCCTCCAGGCATCCAGGTCCCACAGGACCCCCGAAAACCAGCTGAGAGGTCAGTTCTGGGAAATGGATTTGTTAACCGGATTTTATCTCGCAAAACCCCCCAGATTTTAACCGGGTTTTGCAGTGACCTCCGTGCCAAGCCAAAAATCGATACCCGGATTTTGGAACAGACCTCAAAGTCACGAAAACTCATCTGAATTCTCATATTTCGCTCGTATATCCATGTAACTACGTGCAAACACTATGGTATGATCAACCCTCGTCTTCATCTCCGTTGCTGTCCCCTTTCTTTGACTGTTTCGCCACCAGTCCCTTCACGGCTTCAGCAGCGGTTGACACGAAGGGAATTGGACTCTTGCGAGTTAAGGACAAGGCGCTCGTATTGACGGTCCTGGGCGTCTTTTGACGGATAGCTGTTACCAGAATGTAGACCCAAGCCTACATATGGCTACAGGCTACAAAAAATGTACTCATTGATTCCAATTCATAGCCCAGTTTGGTGATTTACCGTCGCAAATCGTAGTCGATTGTGAGTCAAGATACTTCTACATGTTTTGAGTAGAAAATGGGCCCAAAATGGCAAGTAAATTCACGGTCGAGACCACCCAGGACCACCCAAGATCATCAGGTCGCGCGAGCCTGCCGTGCACCAATACCCGGATTTTGGAAGTGACCTCCTCAGAGAGTCGATGATACCCGGATTTAGGAACCGACCTCGACCTCGAAACCCCCCACAAAATACCCGGAAAATTTCTGACCTCCACCCCCAGACCCCCCCAATTTTAACCGGATCTGCACTGACCTCTCAGCTGGTTTTCGGGGGTCCTGGTCCCACCTCATGATAGCGCTCGTCCAAAAGGGACTATCGGAGGTACCTTCTGTGGATATGATCTTCCCATGTCCATCGGTCTGCAGGCCTTGTTTGATCCGGGGGTATCCCAGGTATCTCTTCCCAGCCAATTCCCTTTTGCAAACGCCGCGCCGAAAGGACGGAGAACTTAGGGTGTGGTTGGATAGTGGGCGATTTTCGTGTCGTTTGTATGCCAACGAGTTATCCTTGGTCGTCGGGCCGGGCCTCTAACTATCATGTCCAGTCGTTATCTGGAGTCGAGGATCCTTGCAAGCACTCATGTGGTTCGACTTAACTGCATGTCTTATGGAGAAAACGGGAGGATGGCAATTTCGCAGTGTGCAGTGATAAGATCTTTTGATACCTCCGGCCATTGATCATCTGGGTTCAATCAGGTTCCACTCATTCGGTCCAGTTCTGTGACATCTCGGTGGAGAGCATGTGAAGAGGACGTATGTAATTTCCTCACGTTCGTACCCTCATATTGGCGAGTGGTCACTGGTACCTCGTCCCAATTCGCTGAACTTGTGCCGGCTCCGAAGAACAAGGGGCACGATTCGAGAGCCTGATACCCTTCAGATTAATCACCTTCGCTTTAAGTCAAACGCCCAAAGTCCCCGTTCTTGCGAGGCTTGCGGAAGCCTACTGGGACTGCTGCGGTGAATCGGGGATTCAGGTTCATATGGTCGGGCTTTCATTTACGGTTAAGATTTCAATGAACTTCGCCGTCGAGACCTCGCAGGGCGCTGCATGGAGCTGCAGAAGTCTGGCTGAAGGCAGGGCCATGCTTCGCCTTCCCGTGCAGAACTTCGTCCTAAATTGGACGTTCGAAGCTCCCCTTGGGCGAGCGGGTGCGGTCGTCAACCGTCACGAACATTTGGGTAGTGCAATCGTTGTTGTCTGTGGCCGTTTCTTCCCATATCCAATAACTGAATGGTATCTTGTCATTGCGACTTCCTTCTCCCGGACGCCTGAGTTCCTGTGCGAGATTACTATGTGCCTGTGTAGTGGATACCTACTATCTGGTTCTCAAATTCTCAAGTTCGTGAGTTCTGAGAGGGATTATGAAACAAGTGATTCTATGCAACATAAGCTTCGCCTTCCTTCGATCAGAACCCACGTACGCTAACATGCCAGACAACGTAAATGAAGCTCTGTGCTCAAGCTTCAGGAACTGTGGTTCAAATGAACGTCAACTGTCCATGCAACTTACTTGCTTACCGCCACCAAACCTCGGACGCGTTAACAGCAACGCTTCCGTTGTCCTGGAAATTACATTATGTTTCCACGAAACCAAGGGCTGACAGAGCCTTCCCAAGCGTTCTTTCCGCACAGTCCGATCCGAACACATTGACGGTTTCTGGAATAGACATTCTCCAAATATCTGATTTCCTAATCGGTCCACCTTGCCCCTGCGAGCGAATTGAAATATGTTTCCGCTGGTGGATATGCCCGTGGATGTTCCATGACAACTCTATTCAGCTTCGGTAAACCACTAATTAGGTGCTCGAGTTTCTTTGGAATTTCTCTGATTTTTCGACGGAGGCAAAAGGTCAGGCTGATTCCCGCTTATTACCTTGTTAGACTTTATGTGCGTCCTCTCGCGTGAGTGTAATATGCGAGCCTTTCCGCGACAAAAGAATGCGTCTGGAAGTTTGGGTGTGTTTCAGGATTTTCTGCATTTCCAGAGCTCAGATGTGGGACTTTGCGCGGTGGTATCTACCACGGGCCGTCATTGGTTGTCCCTGTGTCGTCACATGGCAGGATGTGCTGTCATTTCAAGGCTCCTCGGCATAGAGCACCAAGCAACCTTCACCGTGGCGACATGAACTGCCATTCGCCTAGGGCGCCTTTACCGCAAGCGCTGCAATGGGTGGGCAAAGGGCCCCATATCCCACTTTCACCTACATAGCCTGACTTTACTTCTGAGATTTACCCATGCGTCAAGTCACATGAATCGACTTGAGAAATATTAGAGGTTTCGATTTGTGGAAAGAAATGAGTTTTGATGCGTCTTTGGTACGCGCGCTACCTTTAGGCGCTTATCTCCCCACACAAAGGATCACCTGGTCCTCCGGTCCTCATACCTTACATACATCATCCGCAAGTACTATCTGATATCACTGAGTGTTGGAACATTCATACGGCATTCAATCCGGCAATCCGGCTTCAGGATAAGTAAAGTAAAAATTCTTTCATGTATTCTATTGCACTTGAACACCGACGATAGCTTCATACCGCACTGAAAATCCTCCGACGTTGGGATTTCAAAGGATTATAGAGATTCTGATTTCATTTACTAATGCATCTCTAGCCAGCAGCATTCAAAGGGAGAACGGTAGTTTACTATAGAGTGTACGGACATCCATGCATCACGCCTACTAGCCTATGGGACAAGTGCCGGTGACACGCGGAAATCATTTCTCCTCCGAAGCAGGCCTTTCACTGGCATTCATTTGCAAGGTAGCAGAGATTGCTACTTAGTGGTATATATTGTCCCTCGAATCTCCTAACTCGAAGTCACCGATTCGATACATCTGCATGATCCCAAGGCAGGACTTCAACATATCCCACACCCAGTCAAATAAACTCTCAATACAGTGCATACAAAAAGCCATAAGGGAAAGGAAGTCAGTTTGACGTTGCCGTTAACCTCGAACCCGTAACGCCTCGTCACAAAGGGCCGACCAGATGAAACGTAAACCCATGAGAAATACTGGTAGCCTCGTGTTATCTATGAACCAATAAGTAAAGTGAAATAGTCGTAAGAGAATGGGTAAGTGAAAACTATTGGCGGGTTCAGACGGGGATGAGTGGGGAAGGTACAAATCAGGGAGAAAGATGTGTGAATGAATTCCAACGAGCGCTGACGAGCGTGGGCACTGGCGAGGGGGCTAGTCATTAGCGCCCGGGAATTCAAAGCCAGGTCGACTTTCAGGAACGGATCCCAAAGATCACACACAACTCGGCGAGCAATATCGTCTGCCTACTCTATCTGCTGTCCTATGAGAAACGTTAACAGCATTGGTATGTATCATCGCATCACACAATACACAAATCCCCCGATTCGTGACAGGCTGTAGGATTTTGTAGCCATTCAATGCCAGCCGCCGTGGCGGCATCCAAAAATATAAACGCCAGTTACATGTTCTGTCAAACTGTCAGGTTCTACTATGTAACTCCATATTCTAAGTATGAGGGAACCTGTCCTAAGGCTCAAGAGCCCCCTTAGGTCTGGCCGGGCTCTGATATGCTGGTACCCACGGGTGGCGAATTCACGCGGAATGTCGACGTCCATCCGCTCAATGTCTGTCGAAAAACTGAGTGAAGCCTTTGAAATATGTCCTATAGATGTATTCTTCTTCCACAAGGTCGTGTATACTGCCCTGAGCCACTGAGAAATAGTGCTTCTACTCTCGAATTACCGGGATGACCGCGGGGAGCGTTGACGGACACGCCGGCTTCGGTTCGACATAGACAAGGTCAATCTGACTACGAATAGCTACTATACGACTAGAGCGTGGTGAATGCTTAGAGGCAGTTACTAAAAACGAACTCCCAATTCACTGCTTCACACCGGTTGTTTCGTCGGTCCCAGTCGCTGCAGGACCCGCCATTGATGCCGTCGGCACCCGACACAGGTTGATATAGCTCGCCTTGAAGTGCACCCGAGCCCGCCTGGGGGAAGGGGTCATTCGTGGGCGTCCAGGTCCCTTCTTTCATGGGATCTCAAGCCTGTTGCTCACTATCTTCTCGTTTCATTTGAACTGAACCCGACTCTAGCGATTGGGAAGAGGGCTTGGGATTTGAAGCCCCCCGCCCATTGCCGACTCCATGCCGAAACCTCAAATCCCGCCTCCTCGACAGTAAAACACAAATCAATCCATTTCCACTGAAGGTTTTACCCCTAACTGGCACTCATAGACACTTTAATCACCCGCTCACCCTCGTCCTTGGATCCATGATCACCTGCGTTAAATAAACGTCGCTTGAAATGCATTCCTCATGGTACCCCTATCCGTATGCATTTCAGCCCCACTCTGGTCTGGTTCAATTTCACACACACAGTAAATCAACAGGGAGACACCTTGCTCAGTCCACATGAACAGGAACCTTTGGTATGCTGCTTCGCAGGGGAGGCTGTTGGCGTTGTTGTTCTTGTTGATGATCCTGTTGGCCCTGGCACTGATTCAAGGGATTGGGATGATCGTTGTTGCCTGTAGTAACTACGCCCTTGATGTCGTAGCCTGTTGTAGCGTTTCTCGTTGCTTTGAAGTGGTTTGTTACTCACCGGATCCTGATGGCTTGCTAGGAAAGTCTTAGCCTCCTTGTTCCCCGACTTTTCATTACGAATGAACAATTCTGAGAGCGAAATATCGCCGAGCATAGCGCCGTCACGGTAACTCGAAATTGTACTCATAAGCGCCTGAACTGATATGCTTTATGACCAGTACAGAACAGTGAGCTTTCGTCGAGGGCATTTCGGCGCCCTAGCTGGGTAGTATTACCGTGACTACTCGGCATTGAACAGCTAAGCACCGAGAGTAGAAACTAGCAAACCGTGTGGCTCCCTTCCGCGGAAATACTGTTCAAGTGAAATGGGTTGAGATGACTCTTTGATTAGATGATTCAAGAACACTGGTTAGACGATCGGTGTTCTCTGCTATGCACGAAAAACGTCAAAAAGAGGATGGAAATAGCGCTCACCTTGATGTCCAAGACGCCTCAGAACAGAATAGATGACGCTTCAAGACTCTCAATGATATAATGAGGCACTAAACAGCGCTTCTCGCACCGGTTGACGAGACGTCCGGTGCGCGAGGGGCTATGTCCATACCACCGGGCGGTCGATCCGTAACCACCTCTCAGTGAAAATCAGCACCGCTTCACACCTCAAGGTTTGTTCTCTTAATTAAGTTTGACCGGACGACCAGGTTAGAGTACGTACTCAAGAGGGGAATCCTTATCACCCGTTGATCTAGGTTCTGTGCATAGCTCCTTAGGTCCGATGCTTACAATCACAGCGAGGCGCTCGTCGCTAGCTTGGGCAATTAAGAGCGCTGGGCGAAGCGGGGTTGGGTAGTGGGGCTTTGCAGCAGTGGACCATTGTAGTCAAGATAACGATAACGTTAGATCATCGTTATCATCGTCAAGCTAACGCTCGCATCTTCGACGAAGTCGAATCCGTCGTCTTAAATCCTCGCAAAAGGAAAGTAGAATGAATTGGATCATGGCGGACTTGGTATACACGACGACGGAGCGCCCGTAATGGCCCAGGATACCTCTTTGTAGTCTGTGGCGAAAAGAGCGAGGTGTATAAATAGGGCAAGTCCGAGTACAGCGTCGAAATGCGGACTTGAGCGCGAGGCAGGTGTGCCGGAGTGAAGTACGTATGTGTTGTAAGATAGAAGGAGAAAGGGGATAATGCTATATTGAGGAGGCCAGAATTAAAGTGAGAGTCGGCATCTCAACGCATAACGGAACACGGTGACTTGTGCGTCATCCACACCGGTACTACCTGCAATCCAGGGCAACGGAAGAAAAACCTGAAGCAACGATGGGAAAATGCTTACATCCAACTCTCAAGTCGACCTCGCGTCTTCAGATATTCTTTTGGACTCAGAATCTGGGTAGAGGACGAAAGAGGGAATTCCATTCCTGGCGATCCATCCATTCCACCTTCCTTGAAGATGGAACTGCCTCCCCAATGTTTTCCTTAACGTTACAGTGGAGCGCACTCGTCATTAGTTACTGCCCACTGCTACTGTAACACCCTCGTATCCTGCACAACAATACCCCAACAAGTTTCAAATTCTCTCATTCCCCACACCATCTAAAGAGTCATCATGTACCTGTGGGCACTCTCCTCCTAATGCGTATGGGGCGTTGCAGGCCACGGTCACAATGCCGCGTGTGGCGCTCTGCGCTATACTACTAAACACCAAAACCCCAACCTTCTGCGCTAATTTCGAGTTCGCGCTACCGGTGCAACGCCTAACACTCTGCTTTGAAACCCGTTAACCTTTTCAAGCAAATGGGGAAGGTCAGTATTATTACCGTCATAAGAGATTCAGATTTTACTAGTCACACAACGGTCGGGATATCGATCTTCGGGTCCTCTTCGGTGGTTTGAGGTCAGCCATGAGGACGAGTCGGACTCGACCTGGTTGAGCGCTTAGCAGTGGATCTGAGCGCTGGTTGCAAACGAGAATCGCATGTAATTCGGGATATCATTAACGAAGTCTATGTTCTCCTCGTTACCTGAAAGCTCCTTCGACAGGGGTAGTCGAGTGGACGGCGCACGTTCCCCTGGGTCCCTTTGTACCTCGCATTATTGAATTCCTCCGAGCCACTCTCATGCCTCGGACACCCTGCCCATCCTGCCCCTCCGACACCCTCTTTTCCTCGAGACCGAGAAGAGTTGTCAAGTCGACTGCTGGACACGAGTACACACTCCGAGTCGACCTGCGTGTCGTTGGACACCCGGAAACGAGGGTCTTTTCCGCGTCTGACGACCGAACGTCCTCGGGAAAGGTTCTGAAGATTAGGCGCCCACTTTCAGAATTTGAAAAGTGAAGTAATTGTGTCAAGATGCACTGAACAAGTCACTGGAGAAGGGGCAGACCACATTATTCAGTCTTACTGACGAAGTCTTCGGTTTCGTTTTGGAATGCAAATCCACTTCCGTCTCCGACACCCATATCGATAAACTCGCACGACGACCACGACGACGCTATGTTCTGAAAAAACAGCCTGGTCGTCGTGGTTATCGAGGCACTCCGAATCGAATTGGTCCCTTCCACCTCCCGTTTCCGAAGCCGAAGTTTGCTCCAGTTCAAGGGGCACAAAGTGCGAACCAAAGTACCTATTAGGCGGGAAAGCAGCAGCACTACTAGGAAGAACATTGGGAAAGAGGTCGTCAAGTCGACCGACGCTTCATCGACCATGAGAGATCCAGCGAACAGCACATCGACGTTGTTTTTCAAAAAGGGGAGGGGAGGTTTCTGGTAACCCTTCCCTTGCTTTCCATCGAATTGTCAATGAAGGAATGGTGATTAGGCGCCTCCCATCCATATCGGTATATTTTTGCTTTATGGAAGTGTATGAAGCGGTGGGTTAGCTGCATCTAAGGTTGAGCTGGGATGGATCACTCGCGATTTTATTTCCATGGAGTGGCCAGCGGCCGGTTCCTTGCGATGCTGATACTGACATGACTGTATGATTTCGTCATCCACGACGTCGAGTGGGGAGGTTGAGTTGATCTGTAGAGATTCTAGCTCTAGCTCACGAAGCCCTGACAGAAGAACCATTTTCAGACCACCCAATTATATTCGAATCTCTCGCTCAAATTCTGCTACAGCATGTTTCGTTCCAGTTATGGAATTCGAAGCCCGGCTTGACAGGGTTGAGACGTATGTCATCGAACTTAGAAGACGTTTGAATCCCCTTGCGCTGAGAATGATTCAGACTGATTAAAATGAAAGGTGTTCCGAATGCTCACTGTTAGGCTTTTCTCTCGTGTTCGGACGGACCACGGAGAATTGGGTACGTTGTCGGCGTTCGGTATACTAAGTTCTAGTCGAGTGATAGGCAGGGTAGTGATAGCCAAGGTGTCATCGGCACGGCTGGAGAAGTGGGATTTTCGAAGGGTGAAGGTTGTCAATGGACTAGTCCTAGATGGGTAAGCGGGAAGGTACCGGATCGGGTCTGGTGGCCGGTGAATTTGAGAAAGAGACATGATCAAAGGATACCTGTTGGCGGCTGGTAGCTTTCTCCTTGTTGGTTATTGAATTGTGTGAAATATCTAGAATTCGATGGGGTCAACAGAAAGAAGGGCTTCGAATGGAGGGAAGTGAACTCGGAAGAAGCAAATTTTATTATCGACTGCCGGAAGAGAACTCGACATCAGTGCCCAGTTGGCGACTCGAAGAGAGTTAGCTATTTTGGGGCGAGGACGGATGCTTCGCAAAAAACCGTTCACTCCAAAGTTGCGAGGGAAAGAGTTAGCGCGTATTCCCAAGGCGGCCCGCGGGATTCAAATAGGCGCCCAAACACCACATCCCCAACGATGAGCAAGGACATACTAAGCGATCACCTGCCTCCCAATGAGCAAGAGCAAAACTTACCAATCCTCAGTCCAGACAGGCTTAATTAGAGGCCTAGGCCGAGAACGGGGTTTGCGTTGTAGGCGAACCGTTTATCCGCGTCGTTCACTCCACGGAATTATGACAGTAGCGGAAGAGGCGTGAAAGGTACATGTGGGCGAGCGCCCCTGGTGTACCTCGAGATGAGAAGGTACGACGGGGAAAGGCTTGGTATCGCGGGTGGAGAAGAAAGGACCTGGTCATCGAGGGCAAGCCCGAGTTCCCGAGACCACGAGCCTGCGGAGAAGGGGAAGAGGTGGTCGAGCTCGACCGAACGACCGAGCGACCCCAAGAAAAAAGTGGGTCTATTATCCACCTAGGGGCCTGGGACGGGGAGGGACGATTGAGACGTGCGTAAACTTCGAAGACTCAATGGAGATGAAATGTCAGAATTAGGCTGAGAAGCCTGCAGCTCAGGTGCAAAGCGGCGGCAGGTGGTTTTCATATTTTGTGTACCGTACGAGAAGTCATGCGCGGGATTAGGAATTGGGAAAAATAATAGGGCGAGTGTGAGGGGGGATAGACTTCCGGATGTGCTCCACGGAAGGAGGTGAGAGAGGATTCTCGAGGTGATGTTCGTTTTGGACGGGGCGTAGATTGATTTGTTCCATGTGTCAATATGGATTGGCTGGTTCGACATGAAGGAAGAACAAATAAGGAAGAAGGAGGAGGAGGAGGTGAGGGACAGGGATGGGTGTTCTGTGGGAAGGTACCAGAAGTTGGGATCGACTGGCTTCGTGTCGATTACGGGAGAAGAGGGTTGGGAGGATTGACGTCAAGAATTGAATTGGAAATTACGAAGATACATATGTGTCTGGGGAGGAGGAAAGGGAGTGTGAGTCACCGGTAGACGGAAGTAAAAAGAGTGAGAGGGTGGATAGGATTGGATGGGATATGCGGTGAGATCGGCAGGAAGAGGAATCGGACCGTGTGGATTGTGTTTTGGGGCAAGTTACGTAGTTCGGATTTCATTAAGATTCTGTGTGGCCGGCGGGAGTGTGGCTGGATTTGGGAGTGATGAGAATCTCAGAGATCTGGATCGGGGCGTGACCGGGTTTGGCAGGGCAATCGAAGAAAACCCGTGGAATTGGGATCTCCTGTGTTTGCTGGGACTCCTTTTAACACTTGGCCACATATAAGCGACCCATGAGCACGATCATCTGCAATCAGCCTGGAATGCTGCACTAGAGCCCATCAACAACACGACTATCCCGTCTCTACGTGTCACACATATCGCCTGGCCGCGAATATCTCAAATGTCCTCCTTTGTCATGGACCCATACCACCACCACCAGCAATGGCCACAGCTCATCACAACCCAGCCCCCCTTCCCTTCCCCGCCCCCGAGCGAGCACGGCGGTTACCAATACTTTGACCGCGACCCCGCCCGCCCCGCCCCCACCAACTCGGCCTTGTCCCTCAACATCTCCTCCCTCTCCGTCACCTCTCCCACAAACCTCTCACCCATAGCACAGACCAACGGTCCGGCCAGCACGGCCAACCTCTCGCCGGCGACGCCGATTAGTCCCTCAAATAACCCGTTTAACAGCCAGAGTCAGGCCCAGCAGGGACCCCAGCAACAGCAGCAGCAGCAGCAGCCATCCCCGTTCCAGTTTGATCCACATCAAGGGTCTTCGCCAGGTCAGCAAAGTCCGAACACGCAGTATGATGAACCACAATCGGGGCAACAAAATCAACAACAAAACCAGCAGCAACTGGCCCCGCCCGGCTCTTCTGCAGGCTTTGCGACTGACCGCCGTCCTACCGTCTCTCGCTCCTCCTCTGCATCCACAACCGCTTCCTCCCAGCTCCCCAGTCGGAAACGCAGCTTCACAACAAACCCGTCCGCGCCGTCGTCGACAACCATCGAGGAGAACGTGTTTGATGAGAGCCGCGGCGACACAGCTATGGATCTCGCATCGACCTCAACAAGCGCTGGCTACACAGAGGATCTAGAAATGAGGAATGCTTATGGCAGTTCGACAAACGGTGGGACAAGCCCCGTCGAGGGTAGCGGCAGCACCAGCGGCGCTGAGGACGTGCTAGGCACAGGGCCCCCAGGCGGTGGCTTGGGTGTCCCCGTCAGTGGCAGCGTCAACGCACTAGGGAAGCCTCTCGCCACCAATAACTTTGTCACAAAATTGTACCAGTAAGTTTGTCCTCTCCGCGTTTCCCGCAGACTTGCTCCATCTCCAAAACCATATCTTATCTCGCCTTGATGCCGTCGCGCCGTCGTCATGCATCTTTGCTGCCAACTCGACCATCTTCCCATATCTTCATGCACGGTTGGCGTTCTCCTTGCCTTTTTTGCCTTCCTATTCTATATTGTCTCCATGACGATTTTCTGCCCTTGGACGTTTTAGAGAATTCTGTTGCCGCTCTGAAGCCACTGCATCTTTGCTCTTGAATGCTGTGACATCATGTGCGCTACTTCCATCTCCTCCTCCTCGTACCTTTCCCCAACCCTTCTTTGTTGATTTATCTTGGCTTTTTGACCAAGCATTATTGACGGCAGGATGCTAATCAACAATACCCTAGGATGATCAATGACCCCAAATCGTCACACTTCATCTCGTGGACAGAGCTGGGTACCTCGTTTGTCGTCTCCAATGTTGGCGAGTTCAGCAGAAGCATCCTGGGCGCCCATTTCAAGCACAATAACGTAAGTAATTCATCCCTCGCCGACCTCCATGTATGCTCATGCCTCCACTTGAAGTTCTCTAGCTTTGTGCGGCAACTAAATATGTATGGCTTCCACAAAATTAATCGGGTTAGTCTTTTGAGTCCAACCTCTTTACTCAGCGAACCAAGACGCTTACTTTCTTTCACCCCTTTTCATCGATCCTCTACACCCTACTTTTTTCGATGCTACCTCCGCCTCAACCCCATTTCTTCCTCACCAAAAATCTCATCACAAAATGGCCGCCGTTCCATCTTTCTCGGGATTTTTGGATCCGACCCCTCAATATGTCCACGGATGGCATTGACGTGTCATGGCCCTCTTTTTTCATGTCTACCTCTGGTCCCTACTCACTCGACTGTCTCTGTGGCATCGTGGGACATTGTCGTCCTCGGCATCGCTGGCGCAACACCGTCTCGTCACTGCTCGATGTGGTTTCACCCTACTTCGTGTTTCGATGCAACTTTGGCTATTCCTTGGCACCGGATGGTACTTCTGATGCTACGACTGAAACGGTGATGCACTATCATCCAACTCGGGTTCCTTTACCTTTACCACCCTTCTCCCCGCCTTCTATTTTCCGCTCCGCCCGGATTTTGGCTCCGCCCACCAACTCCGCTTCTTCGACTTGAACTCGACCACGCGCATACGACAGACACCACGCGCACAGCGAACCTCAACGGATGCGCAAACATGGGAGTTTTCACACCACAAATTCCTTCGCGGACGGCCAGATTTGTTGGATGAGATCAAGCGCAAGGCGTTGGAGCCTGATCCGGCGGTAAAACATCGTGTCGAGCTTCCCGGCGAGGTGAGTTCCTTTCTCTTTTTTCATTTCCGTTTCATCTCGTTTCCTTTATCTTCCTTTCTTTGTTTACCCCTGGTGCGCCTCTTGGGGGTCTTGGAGCGGAGAAGAGCACGCATGATGGTGTGGGGGACCGAGCGTTGGTTTGCGATGCGATGGTTGTTCGGAGATGCGCGCAAGGTTTTGTTTCCGGATCGCGCGGCTGTGATCGACGTGACCTTCGTTCGCTATTGATTTCTCATTCACCTGGTTCACTCCGAACTTGCCGCGTATATGCTTTGCGGGGACGTGTTGTTCAGTTTCGGCGCGGGTTTTCCGTGGAGTGCCGTAGCCTCCGTGGGGAACGAGGGAGATGCAGATGATGTTGGGTTGGACAGATAGGCGCCCAGGTGCCGTATGCGTTTCCAATAGGGGACTCGGGCAAAGTCCGTACGGGCGCGCTCACCCTCCAGCGCGGGTGCAGCTGCGGGAGGTTGCATTCTTCCAACCGCCTTGGCTCCCTGGCGTGGGTTAACGTGTACGATAACCACGAGTAACGCCTCTCTACATCCTTTCCAGTATGGGCGGGGTCTCTCGGGCTTGTTTCATCTTTGAGACGGAGCTGGATCTTTGACGAGCGGTGATCATTGGTGGCGTTGGACGTCTCGCGGAAGTGTTTGAACTTTACCTTTTTGTGGTCCTGGGATGGTTTAAAGCCTCCAGGTGGATGCTGTTTTGAACTTTGTTTTTCTCTTTCATCCCACTCCTGTTTCTCGTCATTGCTGAAGGACGTGACACTAACGAATTGACTTCTTTTGCGATGCGTCGTCGTGTCCCAACACAGGTTGCTGCACAGCTGACAGCGATGAGGGATGAAAATCGGCGGATGGCCGACCAGTTGTGCACAGAGCGCAAGAGGGTAGACACCCTTGTCAATGTGGTGGGCCGGTTATGGGACGTTATGAACAAGAGTTTCCCCGGGAGTGGTGTGTACGCTTTTTAATTTTCTCAGCCGAACGTTCTGACGATATTGATTTACAGTGGGTCCATTCCCTCAGGAACTCATCGAGGCTGAGAGTCCCAACATCTACATCACCTCTCCAACGGCGACGACCTCGCGGTACCCTCCACCGTTATCCATGAACATCGCGAACCCCTCATTACACGGCATGCACTCGCACGCGATGAACAGCCCTTCGTCCAGCCCTACCGCCGCAGACTTCCCCGCCCACCATCACCAACAGCAGCAACATCACCAGCTGCATCCTCACCACACTCATACCCTCTCCCGCCAACACAGCTTTCAACACCTCTCCTACTCGCGCGGCGATGGTTCTGGCAGCGGGACACCCGGCTCCCCGGGTTCAGTCTCGATGGACCTGATGGATGACTTCGACCCTCACCACCGTAACAATAAACGACCTCGCCTCTCGGCAGACGTGAACGGGCTCGATAGTGGCGGGACACCAGGGAGCGGCGACTCGATACATCTGATGTCTACCATGAGCAGTCCCGCGACGTCAACTGCTGCATCATCGCTGGCTGCTGCGAAGAAGGCTGTTCGGGCACGGAGCGATAGTGCGCCGCTGGGTTATACGAACAGCTATACCACTGGCGGGCATGGTGGGCTTGGGCCATGGGGTGCTGGCGGGGGATTGGGCGCTGGCCTAGGAGGTCAGGCTGGCAGACCGAGGAGCGGGAGCGGGCTCGGGTTGGGGATGGGTCCTAGGATCCCAAACATCAACAACATGACGAGGAGTGGAGGTGGGACGCCCATGCTGAGTATTGCGACTGTTGGGGACGGGATGGGGAGGTAACTGTGATGGATGGACCTCTTCCCTTGAGAAGACAGGTTCGTCGGTGACTCGCTTGACCACTGGTTCCCTCGACCCTCTTTTCTCCTTTCGCGATCCTCGACCTGCGCGCGCGATCATATAGACTGTTCCGCCTTGTGCGGATATGCTTTCATTCTATGCTTCTTTTTTCTTGGATTGATCAACTATGCCCCCTACCGCGTTTCGCCCATCGCACCTCATACCATCAGCAATATACATCATCATCCCATCCATCCATCAACATCAACCGAAAACAAATCTCAATCTACAATCCAACAACATGTGTACTATCACCACCCATCGTCTTTTGGCCAGGACCCCTATCGACTGACTCACTAACCGATAACTTGGCCGGCAACGCTGATGCCTATCGACTATTTATCTCGTTCGACACATTGTACATTGCTACCTCGACGACAACAACGGCATGTTCTTCTTCATCGCGCACGATTCTTCGTCCTACTCGGAAGGATTTCAGTCTTCTTTCTTGCCCATTCACGTCGCCCTCGTTGATCCTTGGCCCGTTTGCGCATCTTCCTCTTTGCTCCCGACTGGTCGTTTCTTGTTGCTCCCCATTCCTTTCTCGCTGCTTCTCTCTTTCTTTTCTCACTTCCCTTGTGTATATTATCGCCTTTCTCTCTGTTCACACACCTCACCTCACTAGAAGAAAAACCAAATTGCGGACATCTTTTTTGTCTCCTCTCTTGCGGACTATCTATCCTTGTTACTACTACATCCCTTTCTTCTCTCAAAATCAAAAACTCTGGGACATCCCGAACCGAAATTTGTTGCTTGTGGTCTTCCTGTCTCTTCTCTATTCTGTGTTTCTCCATGTCAAGGTCTCATTATCGGACATTTTCCGTTCCCGTTCCTTTTCTTTTACCGTGTACATTCGTTTATCATTCTTCGTCTTTCTTTTGTTCTCGTTCTTGTCGCTTTGTTGTTTGATGGACTCTAAAAATCCGTACACACCCCGTGCTGATGTACATTGTACATATTTGTCTTTTTTTGTACTAGCAGCTTCTGGCCCCTCCTTCTCGGTCTTCATTTGGATGGACTATTCTCTTTTTCGTGCTTGGTATCGGACTATCCTCTCCTTTTGATCCTTTTTGCTTTTTGTCGATCCCCAACCTCTTGTTCCTGCCTTTCTTTTTTTCGTTACACGCCCTTTGTTGTTGTTCCCTTCACTTGTCGTTGTTGTTCGTTCGAGGTTCTGAATTATGTATTATTTTTTTGGTCTGGTGCACTCTCATCCGTCGCCGTGTGTAACGCTGGTGGATTATTTATCGAACGACTTGCCCAGGTTTGGTCTTGGGCCTAGCCGAACCCGTACATATATTGCAGATACCAGATACCCCGGACTTGTGGTTACCCCCGTCTAGCTTCTGTTTCCCCCTTTACCCTTGGCGTTCGTGAGTGTAGAAGATGAGAAGCAAAGCGAATTGATTCTTGTATTTCTTGAGCGTAGTGAATACCGTTTTGATTTTCTCAAGGTTTTCTGGAGGAAAGGATAACCATGGGGATTCGAATTCGGGGTTTGGCATCGTGAGTGAGGGGTTTGGCGGGTTGTCGAGTTTGGGGCGTACATAGATGCCTCAGCAACGAATGGTATTGGAGATCTTGACGACCATCTGTGGCAAGTAGTTCGGATCGACAGGTACCGAGTCTTCTTCAATACACTCGCTGCGTCGCTGGTTGTTCGATCTTCTGACCTGGTTGCGAAGCTCGAGCTGGAACGGTGTAGGAGCGTCCGACTCGGGATCCTTTTAGGTTGGGGTTCCTTCGTCCCATTCATTGTCAATACCTGCAACTATCTCTCTCGGTTTTGACTGTGGCCAGCGCTTTCAGCTGGGTCGATCCTCCAAAATAACATTCCCCAAAAATATGGGACCTTGATGTCATTGATATCGATTCCATTTCTCCGCCCATGGTTGCAAAGCGCGAAATGAATCCATAAGGAGCTTTGGCCTAGATGTCAAACAGGACACAAGAGTTGATATTAAAATGGATTGCTAAAGCATTAGAGTGGAATGGACAGTCTGAGGCATTAAGGGACTGGAGGTCAAGGACCAAATGAATAAAACCGCTCTCGCGCAGTGCCTGGCTGGATTGTTCGCGCGGCAACGGGTTACAACGTCCAGCGTGATATATAGTCAAAAGTACATACAACTGGAGGGCTAACCAAAGGGGTGCCTTGTTGGATCATCGTCCAGCGCTATACATGGGAGGAGAATCATCAAAGGGATTGTGTTGAGGATACGTTCCCGTCACATCGGAATTAGAGACTGATGTCGAGCGCCCGTGGCCATGACTGCTGGCATAAAAGTTGGACTGAGAGACTTGCGACCCAGCGTACATCGACACAGCTCCAGTACCGGTGTTGGCATATGACATCGCTGGAGCATGGGCGTTGTGATAGTGGTTGGCACCTGTCATGTTGACTGGATTGAAAGTGTCGACGAATGCAGAGACTCGCTTCTTCTTGGCTCGCCTTTGGCGGAGGAACACAATCAACGCAGTGGCGATTAGAATGATAGCAAGAGCGCCCAACACACCGCCAACGATGGCTCCGGTATTGGTGGTCTTGACAGCTCCCGTGGCGTCTGCGCCTTCGTCCAGGGTGTTTCCAGAGGAGTCTTTGGTCGCGCTGTCCGATGGCTTGGTGAAGCGAGCGACGGAGGTGGAGTCTGCTTGACCCTCGGTGTTGTCTGAAGACCCGCTGGATGAAGGACCGTCGTTTCGACTCGAGCCTCCGTTACCAGTAGAAGGGGAGACGTTACTGCCACTTCCCCCTCCGCCTACTTCGCTTTCACTTCCGCTGCTGCCCTCGCTCCCACCGCCACCACTACCGCCGCTACTGCTACTCCCCCCATCGCTGCTGCTACCTCCTGAACTGCCACCCCCAGACGACCCTCCGCTACTTGGGGTATCCTGGCTAACTTCCTGGGGAGCGCGTCGGTTCGTCCCTCCACTAATCAAGAATTTGTCCAAAACCATAGGGGTGACATTGCTTCTCCCATTGTAAATGACGGTGATGACGTGACGGCCGTGCGAGAGGCGAGGAGTTTCGAAGATTCTGCGGTTGTATTCAGAGACACCGCCGACACCTGGTATCGTGAATGTGACATTGTCACCCCCGTCGATGGAGTACACGCCCTGCGAGGCATCTCGTGGAAGCTCTGTCGGGGCCATTGCCCACATGCTTATGCCATCGCCTGTAAAGGTTTTGAACTCGGGAAGCTCGGTTCGCCCAGCGGTTGTGACTTACCGACGAAGGGGAATGTGATACTTCCGCCCGTTTCATGGGTGAAGTACGCGACTTCAGCAAGAGGCCTCCAACGACCGTTGTAGGTGATATCTGCATCGTCCCGCGTGGTCGCGACCATCTCATTCTCGACTACACCGGTTGGACGGTACTCGATTCTGTCGAACCAGAAGGCCCGACCTCGAGTTCGCACGTTGAGGGTAATCGTGTGCTGACCTGCGTCCAGACCTCGGAATCGACAAAAGACCCAATTGTTTTCCCTGTGGCGAAACGGGTCTCGCTTGTAGTCCGCAGAGACGCGCCCATCGAGAGCGCACTCCCAGTCGGGATCGGGTGTGTTGCCATTGAATGATAGATCGTTTGTTCCCAAGATAGTCGCAGAGTCACCTGTAGAAAGCGAGAATATTAGAGAGAGATTATGTGCGGTCAGTAATGAGTGAATTACCGGTGAAAGTGAACGAGAGGCTAGACGATGTGGTGGTGGTGTGAAGGGTGTTCTGGTAGACTTGACCGAAGTTTCCATGAGAATTGTGCTGGTTGGTGTTCCCGCTTGCTCGAGACCAGCTGCCGGTGTAGCTGATGCGACTGTCCGTATTGTCCATTACAACCCATCGAGTTAATTCAGTCATGGTCGAGACGACGGTGGTGGTGAGTTGCTAATAAAATACAAAAAAGAGAGTGAGGGGTTCAAAGAGTGTGGAATAGATGGAAGCAACTAGCGGGTTGTCGAAGGAAGCAAGAGACAAGGAAGAACGCGGAGAAAAGAGGCCATTGCTCTTCGCTTTCTGGGTTCATTAAGTAATGATACCATCGAGCGCTGAAACCGCCCAGCCCGAGAAAAGATGTTCATTACCGCCGTACAAGGTGGAACCTTGATTGACTTGAGCGCCATGGGAATTGGAAGAGTGCTGAGTTGCTGGAAGAGGAAACCTCCGATCCCAAGTGAGGCTTCAGCTCAGTGGCAACGTATCAGAGGATGATGCCAATGTTACCTCCAATCTCCTGGTGGTATGCGAAGCAGAATGTCACAAAAGGCATTCAAAAGGTGAAGAGGAATTTACTGACCTCGAGGTGTTAGATTGAATATATCCCAAAGTCTCGAAGTGGCATACGTTGCAGTCTCCAGAGCTCAAGGAGAGAAAGTTACTCGCCCCAATGACGATTCGTCGCGGTTTTTCGGTCGAACAACATGAAGCATTGGATTATGGTCCAGCTGCATAACATTATGGCGAGTTGAACGCGTTCTCTCGGAGTCGCAGGATTGAAGGTGAGAAATGATTACGAGGTTCTTCCCACGGTTGCCCAGCGCTTGTCAATGGTTCAACGTTCCGGAACGGCACAGGTGAGTGGGCTCTAGCAAAGTTGTATCTGTCGTTGTCTCGAGTCAACGTACTGGGAAGTCGAGTCTAGCAGAGGAGAACAGTGAACGAACTGATTGAATTCGCTGTCCACTGGCAAGTCAACGCGCGCGCCTAAGTAGCAGTTTTCGTGTGAATTGATTACAAAGCCGATAGTCCCAGTTGCGCTGCCAGTCCAGCTTTACACCTCTATACACTGGTACCTTCTGTCTTCCACTTTCAAATTCTTCCAGTCTTGTCGTAAACTTCGACTGCCAGACCCAGACTGCAACCTTTTGGGTTCTGTAAATCCCTGTTCAGCGGGGAATGTGATGATCCGGACTATCGCCGCCAGACAATTAGCTCGCAGCGACACAACGTTTCTGAGCCATTCGACCAGTTCACGGTCGCATTGATTCCACGAGACCGACTATTGTTTTGGAGTTGGACATTAAGGCCGTCATGGATACCTCAACTATTGTTACTGCGGTTGCGTAGAGGGTATCAGTTCAGCGTACCCTCTATAAGAACGATGGTGTTTGAGGCTTTCGAAGCTCAACCCTCGACGCTTGGAGCTGGCTCCCATTTCTCCCAACAACACCCCTACCTGAGTAAGACCTTCATTATCGTATCCTTGGAACTCAAATGACTAACTTTAGAGAAAGTCCAATGGCCCTTGTAGATTTTCGATCGCTTAGCTCCATGCTGTCGACCATGACCAGCGGTTGGGATTTCCTACGTGCTACACAACGCAAAAAGAATACCATTGGCATCAATGATCTTCCTCCTGATGTCCTTGGGGAAATATTCATCCTCTGTGCTTTCGAGGATGAATTATGGCCATTCTTTGCGTTCGTTCCGGACTGGATGGATCGTGCGCCAATAAAGTTGACTTACGTCTGTCGACTTTGGCGGTTCATCTGCCTTTCGCTACCTACTCTGTGGGTGGTTACACCTTTCACGGTGCTTCCGCATCCCTCTTGCACCAGTCTCTTGGGGAGGTACCTGGATAGATCAGGGAAAACGGGGCTGCAACTTGACATCTCCGACTCATCCATGTCGAAAGCTATTTTGCCGATTGTGCTCCCTCAATCTTATCGCTGGAAAGCAGTAATCCTTCCGGCAGAGGGCCCCTCTATGGAAGAATTTCTGTCCCTTCCACCCGATTCTACGCCTTCCCTGGCTGCGATCGCCGTCCGCACGACCTACCCGACAGTCACACAGACAACCCTATCCTTATTCACCTCCAAAATCAACGACATATCTTCCCTCCGACAAATCTCCCTCCACCTCATTGACCACCCTGCCCCCCACATAAATCCGAACGTTCTTGATTTGGACCCGATCCCCTTCGAACGGATGACACACGTCAAATTATGCGTGAAAAATCTCAGCTCCAGAGAAGCAACCGACATCCTCCAGCGATGTACTTCAGCGGTGCATGTATCCATCATGATGGTTCTCGATCCCCCCGGCGTACAACCACCCGACCCCAATTCAACACCACGGATCGAACTTCCACATCTGAAATCGCTCACGGTTCAGTCCTCAACCGCGGTTGGTTCAATACTAGGCCACTTCTCGTGCCCTTCTCTTCGCCGGCTCTATATCCGTGATTTAAAGCCCTTTACGCCCTCCGACTATGATGAAGACGAACTCAACTTGACGAGTTTTCTGGACGGAACGAGCCTCGAGCAACTAATTATCTGCACCGGGCTACGACGTGTAACCTGGGAGTGGGCTTTGCGTTACGCTCGCCTTTGCCGTGAGCAGGTCGCCAATCTCGAAATTCGAGTAGTCCGTCCCCTGGGTCCGCGGGTCGAATTGTTTTGCAGCGAACAGTACCGATGTCCTGCCGCCAAATGCGAACTGCCGCACGTGGGATGGAGCTCGCGAAAAGGAGAGCACTTGGGGGCTCCCTTGCGAGTTACAGAATGGGAAGAGCCGTTTTGGACTGTGTTCGATCCACACGAGTCCCTGCAGTGGGATGACTGGGGAACTCGAGCTTAGAATCCCAACTGGACTGCCGTAACTGCATACATATGTCAATGAGTACCACTATTAGTCCGTAACAATATCCAGATTAATATGACTACTGGTCCTTGAAAGTCGCCAACATGGTGGGCATTCCTGAGACGAGGGATCAAAGGAGGGATCTAGCCTGAAATGCCATAATAGATAGTGACCTCTGTGTCAAACCCCAGTGGAACAGTAACGACTTCGGTGCCCCGAAACAGTGTGATGGGGCCGCACCTATCCCCCTGCCGAGCGGTCTTGTGCATGTACTGCAGTCGTATGGGAGGAATGTGTGCATGGATCTTATCCATTGCGCCGGAGTGGTGGTTCGCATGTGACGTCGAGGCGTCTTCCGGAGATATTGTCGTGGAGTTTGGAGGGGAAAACTGGAACGATCAGCCTTTCCAGGTTTGGGCAACCGTTACCTTTGAGCAAGTAGAGAAGTGCTGAAGGGTAGATGGTCTCCGAAGAGTGAATCTTGAGAGATCGAAGCCGGGAGAGGTTGACCGACTTCAAGGATTCGCCATTGGGGTTGACTGGTGCCCCCCAAACCCGCACTGGCCGCCCAAGCAGACAGTCCACTCCCCATTCTAGTGCCTCCAGATTGGGAGTCTCATGCAATATTTCAGCAACAGCTTCCGGCCAGGTCGATTCATCAGGTGAACGACACGAAAGCCTTTGTAAATTCGACCCAATGAACGGGAATTTGGCTAGTCTTTTCATGAGTGCAGGATAGGTCGTCGCCAGTTCGAGGTTGGTCACGGAGGGACAATCAAGGATAAATGGTAGTGCTTCTCCTTCTTTGCAATGGAATTCCAGGGCGAGATCGGTGAGCTTCGGCATCTGGATAACGGGGAGATTGGCGGCTTGGAGGCACCACTCCGGCTCTGCGACAGCGTACGGATCATCGTCGTAGAACCGTTTCACTCCCATTAATCTGAGCTTCTCAAGTTGAGGGCCACAATCCGCCAGGATCGCATGACAGAAGGTGACCGATAAATCGTCTTGGATGGACAGAGCGCGCAAGTTAGTCCAACGGAACGGTGTCGGCTGGCTGCTGGGATTTCCGTGCGTGAAAATTGGCGGCCACGAGCCTGTCGCACCTTGATTTTGCTTCTCGAAGGAAAAGCATCGCGCCATTGAATTTAACCCCATGGCGTCCAGGAAGGTGGCGAAGGGCACCGTCAAAGGCTCGGACGTTTGGCAAAGATGGGAAATATGGTCATGACGAGTGTATGTCGAGAGAACCTCGACGGAGTGAGTGGCGAGGGGGATGAGGTGGCGTGCCATTGGGAAGTGTTGTGAGGGGCGATGGTGTTGGTGAAGGGCGAACTCGGCAAGATCGATAACAATCTTTGAGAGCCGAATTCTGGAGGGATCGGTGTGGGAGAGCAGGTCGACAATTTGCTTGCTGAGATGGACGACGTCTTCGTGGAAGGCAACGTGGACGAAAGTCCAGTACTCCGGAGATCGAGTGAGCAAGTAGTCACGCCAGGCCGAGCAGACCCATAGCGGCAAGAGTTGCTCCTTGACGGACGTCGTCTCTGGCTCTGAGCTGTAGTGCTCCAAGATGAGGGACTGCAGTTCCCAAGGCAGCGTCGGGATGGGGTCGGGGACTGGGACTGGAGAGGATTGGAGGGAAATCTGCTTGATGAGCCTACGGCCAACGATCCCGAGGAGGCCCATGTGGTCGAGGGATGCGCGAAAGCATAGCCATAGCACTTGTCGACACCATCGAAGAAAACTCATGGCTCAGATGGACGCCAGTCGTGCACCAGTCCTGACCTACTCGCTCTAGATCATAAGCTTCTGCAGAGATCCAATGTTAGGGACAACTTACTTGACGCTGTGTGGTTATGAAGGGAGAAGGAATCTTTGAGCGACCGACGTTCTTATATCGCAAAGCTGCTTCCTTGTTGTCCGCAAAGGTATCGTGGTGCCTACAACATTCCTTCCCAACCTTGGTTGCAATGCTGTCAGATTATGTCGCTCGTGGACCACGTAAAGTCGAGTGTTGCCAGTGTAAATGAGCGGGTTGCAGGGTTGTCCTGTACCCATTCTGGTTCTTCCTTTATAGCCCGGGCGCCTTGTTGCCATGATTCCAGCTTTCATCTCGTTTCTGAGATCGCTGGCAGAGACTGGGTTGTTGTATTCCTTCCTGAAGTCGTCGTTGTCGTCGTGGATGTGATGAGGAAAAGAACAAGAAGGGCTTTAAGTAAAAGTTCCGTCTAGTATTGATGTGATGACGTAACGGTGGGCGCTTAACAAGCCTAGTTTGATTTCCATCCTGCTTTCGCGACCAGCAGCGGGCTTGACAGGGTTCAGAAAGGAGTGGATTGTGCGCAATGCAGTAGAGTACATAAGTCACGAATATGTTACAATAATTTACATACATAATTCTAATTTTCCATAATCATCATAGAGGCATATAGATACGTCTTGGGACATGAACATGAGCTTGAGTCTAGACATTCATCGTCTTCTGAGCAGTCAGGCAGCGCCTTCATTGTGTCACAAGCCTATCGACTTCGCAATGAGCTAGATAGGCGCATCACCGGATCCTCCGGCTTGAGCAGCACGCTACTGGGACGAGCAGGGAGAGTTCGACTCAACCGTGCCAACGAACTTGCAGGCATCAGGGGGAAAGGCTGCGAAATCTGAACAACCGTGGTCGTCGTCGATGTAGGTGCGTGTGACCCAGTGAGGAAGCGGATAGATAGTGGTCCAGTGAGTCCCGAGCCTCCCGAATTACGGCTCCCTGATCGTTGTGGAGAACCGGCACCTCCTAGATGTAAGACTGCAGTCGCGATGACTGGAACGTTGGCGACTATGATTGAAACGCTGCTCTGTAGACAGATTCAAAGAAGTTGAAGTTTATACTGACATTTTGTATGAAGAGCTATGAAACATACCTCGATGAGCGCCACGATCATAATTTCTGGACCGTTCAAGGTCAGAATAAAAACGGCGTGCACCATAGATACCATCGTTGTAATCGTGCAGGTAGAGAAGATCACCATTAGACGGGACCTCAACCACCGATCTTGTAAGACGACCAGGAGCTGTAATGGGATGACGAGGAGAAGTAGGTCACTGAGGGTATTGACTGGAATCAAAAAGGTCAATTCTCCAAAGTCGCTACAACTCAGAGAGGTTCGCAACTCACAGATCAACTGGGTAATTGCAACTTGACGCGTCAAATGACATTGCGGAATGGGATGTTCTCTCCATGGCTGTTCCGAGCAGATGAAGAACAGTTGGGCAATCATGAAACCGCAGACAATGAGAAACAGGAAAGCCGAGGCGTAGAGGAACTTCCGTCGCAGTTTGCTGGGATCTATACGGATGATTGAAAATAGAATCGAGAGCCTGGCGAACCTGTGAAACACGGGTCAGTTCATTCCTGTGCGCGGTTACACGCGAAGGGATGGGAGAGACCTACCAGACTATCACATAAAAGGTCGTGATCATGAGGTAGTAACGAGCGACACCAATCGAAGAGGCTGCAACGCGTATTCAGCTATGAGAACGTCGAGGAATTCGAAGAAGTCGCGTACAAAGGGGCGTGAATACGGCGGCCATTTGCACACAGAGCGCGAGCATGGAACAAAATGCGCAGACATCGTCGATCCAGAGCTTTGAACGTCTCACGAAGAGTCGGTAGGAGGTCGAGAGGATGGCGACTGCTGAGCATAATGACGACGTAACTGCAAGGCCGATGCAATCCCCATAGTTAGCCATCGTAATGCATACTGGGATCGAGGGGAGGAATGATCATGGTCTTACGTTGGAAATGAAAAAGATTATACGACGACGACATGTCGACGTCCACGACGGGGGAGGAGGAAGGGGGCGGAGAAAGAGAGGACGGAAGACCAAGTCAAGAAGTTAAACAGGAAGACGCCCAACGAAGAAAACAGAACCAAAAGACGCGCTCCGCGCTAGTCACGTTCCCGTGTTTTGTTTAATCCAACTATGCGCGATGGAATACATGCATGCATAAGATGGTAAGTTCTGGAGAATAGGCGCAGCATGAATAGTCGCCGGAGCTCCTCGAGAAGCGCGTGCCTGGTTCATCATGCATGCAGCATTCATGACAGTTGGCCGTCGACCCTCGGTCTGATAAACTACTCGATTTCCCGAAGACGCAGCATTACCGGCGAGTTTGGACGAGTTTTACCTTGAGGTCGGGAATAGTCATCGACGAAACCAAGACAATAGTACGGTGACGGTGGGCCGAAAATATTGCCTCTGGTCTGCCTTTCAGACCGACGTCTGCCAGAGCGGTATTGTATCGTAGCCGCCTTCGAAAATACCGAGTCCCGAGTCTATGACGACAGCAGTGGTGCGGATAGTGTCCTTGGTGCAGCGAAGAACAGGTTGGGGCAGAGAAGCAGACCGTGACTAGACAATACGACGTCAAAACATGGCATGACTGGTAACAAAAGCATCTCTAGCCAGTCGTATTCATCGGAAGTGGATGGAAATATGGCCGCTAGAAGAAAGTATCAGAATGAAAAGAGGGTAAAGATTAATCTTTGCACTGTAGACAAAGCGATATCCCGCCCGAGATATTCAAGCGTTCAATTGTTGTATGGTTCATGTACGAGTATAAGGCACTTCGGTCCTTTGTACTGATGATAGAAAGAGGCCCCCAAATCGCCCTGGCAGTGGATGGAGAAGTTATGGTCGAAGGAGATATATACCGTGACACCGGATGCTGGATCGCCATCAGCTTGTTTGTGTTTGTTTCAGAGGCTAATGCCCTGCCCCTAACGCCGAAACGCGCAGCGGCGACTGCGTTACCGTCATCACCAGTCCACTCTGTTGCATCGCTGCACATCTTATAACCTTGGATTCTTCTGAACAAGTCTGGCTGTAACGAACACCGTCTAGAAACAAGAAATGGATCCTGAACTTCCGCTTGTGGTGGACAACGGTACTGGTGTGCGTATTAAGACTCCCCTTCACAACCGTTAGGCTTACCGGTATTGCAGTTCGTCAAGGTTGGATATGCAGGGTCAAACTTCCCCGAGCATGGTGCGGCTACATCCTTATCAACACAATGAATGATGTCCTGAAGCCTTGAACGATCTCCAGTCTTCCCATCTATTATCGGTCGCCCTATTCTGCGCGCTGAGGAGCGTGTCGGAAACACTGTTATCAAGGATATTATGATCGGCGATGAAGCAGCTGAGAACCGTAATTTCCTGCAAGTTACTCAACCCATGGAGCACGGTATTGTGAAGAATTGGGAGGACATGAAGTTGCTGTGGGATTACACTTTCGATGAGAGGCTCAAGGTCGACCCGAGGGGAAGGAAGGTGTTGCTCACCGAACCCCCTATGAACCCTAAAACCAATCGGCAGAAGATGTGCCAAGTTATGTTTGAGGAGTATGGATTCCAGGGCGTCTACATTGCGATTCAAGCCGTATTGACGCTGTATGCTCAGGGTGAGTTCCAGATCGTGTCGACTTGTTTCAAGAGTTTACTGACCAGATCATCTGTTTAAACGACAGGGTTGACGACGGGTGTTGTCGTGGACTCTGGAGATGGTGTCACCCATATTGTGCCGGTTTACGAAGGCTACTCGATGCCCCATCTAACGCGGCGATTAGACATTGCTGGACGTGACGTTACTCGATATCTGATCAAGCTCCTCCTCATGCGTGGATACGCGTTCAACCGAACTGCTGATTTCGAGACGGTCAGAGAGATCAAGGAGAAGTTGTGCTATGTCAGGTCTGTTGGATCGCCCAGAATGTCACTTGTGATGGTACACTCAACCTATGTTCCAGCTACGACCTTGAACAAGATACCCGCCTAGCAGAGGAGACCACCGTTCTCGTCGAAAGCTACACTGTGCGCCACGCTGTCATTGCCTCTTATTCCACGACTTATGTATCCTTATCTTTAGCTTCCTGACGGCAGAACCATCAAGGTCGGACCCGAACGCTTCGAAGCACCTGAGTGCATGTTCCAGCCTCACTTGGTCGACATCGAGCAACCTGGTGTTGCAGAGATGCTGTTCGGTGCCATCCAGGCTGCGCCAGTCGACGTCCGTTCAGATCTGTACAAACACGTCGTCTTGTCTGGCGGTTCAAGCATGTACCCTGGTCTCCCCAGTCGTCTCGAGAAGGAGATGAAACAGCTGTACCTCACTCGAGTCTTGAACGGCGACCCGTCTCGTTTGAACGTAAGAGCGGCGTTATCTTGTGGCGCAACATCCACTGACTAGTTTACAGAAATTCAAGATCAAAATCGAGGATCCTCCTCGTCGTAAACACATGGTCTTCCTCGGCGGTGCTGTGTTGGCGGACATCATGAAGAACCGTGAAGACTTCTGGATATCGAGGGAGGAATGGTTCGAGAAGGGCATCCAGGCCTTGGACAAGCTAGGACGAGGTGATTAAACGCAAGATTATCATTCGTTAGCAGCTTGTTAGTATGTATATCGGGTACTTAATTCAACATCAAGATATGTCTGGATATCGTCGCGGTCTACTAAATATGAAGCAGGATGCTGTAAAAGGTCTACCTAGGCGTCTAGATTCCCGTCGAAAGAATCCCAGAATCCATCCCAAAGCTTTAGGACTCGGGCCTTATCCACCTCTTTGCCCCTAATTATATCCTGCCCCTGGATCAAGGCGAGTTCTCTACCTCGCATTCTTCGCGTCCTTCTCAAAGGATCAACACGGTCCAACTCGTCGTCCGAAGGGAGCCGTTCCTCCGAAGGCAACTTCATCGCTTGCTCGTGCGTGATTTCCAAAAGCGCGTGCGTTTTGGCAAGTGCCGCGGAGGCTGCAATTGACAACGCAGTCGATTCGGGACATTTGGGCGTTTCTATGGGATTGAAATGCCCGAGGAGGAGCGCTGCGAATAGATCGCCTACTCCCGAGAAGTACCCTGGTATCAAGGGAACTACTTGCGCGTGGACGACGGATAATGAATTCGAGTCGGAGGGGGAGTGGGTATCTGGGACAGAGGAGGATAGGCAGAGTAGAAAACCGCTATCTGAAGGTGGTTTGATTGCTGAAGGAAGGGACTCCCAGAGCCAGTGTGTTGCGGGTATCGAGCTGATGACAACATCGGGGACATGGTATCGTTTGTGGAGGATGGCGAGTGCTCGTTGAACGGAAGCAAAATCCTTCAGCTTAACTTCTGTTAGGACCCTGGTATCGACATTCATGAGTATGTTGATGATAGCTGGAAATGGTAGACACGCACTCGACTTCAAACCAGTTGGGCGTTATGATCGTCGCCAATGGAAGCATGTTGCGGTATACGGGTATCACGTCTGCTGCAACGTATAGTCGCCCTGCATCTCCCATTACCGCTACAAGATGATGAATCACTGGGACTCAAAGTCATGCCAGATAACACTTACGGTCTAGTAAGTAGATCATGTTCGGTCTAACGTGCTTTAGCTTCGAAGCCAGCTTCTCTACGGCCGTTAGGGCTTCCGCTCCCGGAATGTAACCTGACCAGTAGATCAGATAAATCACGTCGTACGATAGTAAGAGCCTAAACTCACCCGTCAGTAGACGAGACGGTAAGAGCAGCTCGTTCTCCTCCATGCTCTGGAAGATGGAATTGAGCTCCTCGGCTGTGGCCTTAGACCCTCCAGAACGGCCATATCCTAGGGAATATTCAAGATCTTGGCTTCATACTGGCTTGATCAGTCATACCTGCATGGTTGGAAAAGTTCACTGTATTCACTACCTTGTGGTAAGAACCGCTCAGTAAATGGAATACTCTGGAATTGAACCTGGGGTACGTACATCCACATCGTATCCCAGACACTGTAGAGGGAATACAGCTGCCTTTCCACCGACATATCCAAATACGACGTGCGACTGGATACTCAGAATCCGTTCTGGGTGCTGGGTCATCGAGGTAGAGGAAGAGGAGAAGAAATGACTCCCTTGAAATTGCTAGAGTTACCTTTTATGGTCTGATCGGGGCTTATCCGGATCGGGAAGGTGGTCAGATCCCTTGTTGGCGGTGGGCACGTAGGACGCGACGTGTGTCTTTTCTTCTTCTCCAACAACGACGACGAGTCGACGACCACGACAAGGTCGAGCTTGTGCGCTCTAGAAGCTCGGAAACCCCAGTTAAAGCATGTCAGATGGTTCACGGTGAGCATAGGGCCCGTATGGGTCAGAATAGACTGATAAACATGCTTTTACCCCAACAATTGGGTTGTAGACTAAGGCAAAGCTGGTACTCTTCATTAAACGATGCAGAAGCGTACTTTCGACAACTCTTGACATCTCAATCGTCCGACTGGAAGAGAATATCGAGCTCAGCGGAGGGCTCAAGCTCGAAGAAGGGCAAAGCGCGGGCGGTTGGGGTGCCAGAACTTACCGACGTCATCGTACACCGCAATACGAAGCAATCTGGGGGCGAAGATGTGTATAGGGTCATTCTGGAGGTACCTGCGACGGAGGAATCCGTGAACCTGGAGCCATGGAAGGCAGTCTTGACGACACCGGAGCTTAGGCAGGAGTGGGACCCCGCAGTAGAGGATGCGCATCTGCTGGAAATATTCGACCACTCGACACGGATATCCAAGACAAACTTTTCACTAGGCTGGCCTGCAAAGTGTGTTATTCCTTATATCTAATGTTCAATAGCTGATCGTTGTTGTCAGTCCACGGGATGCTGTCACAATATCACGGTCCTTCAATGACCCCGCAACAGTGGTTGACATTTCGACCTCTCTACCCCGTTCTCCCGACGAACCTGCATATCTGCGTCCATCACCACCATTCGTGAGATCACATGTATATTGTAAGTGTCCCTCGAATGAACCATGGACCCTTTGGTTAACGACCACGATTCAGTATTCGCCTGGTGTATCCAGCACCTCCCAGCCCAACAGAAGACGCGGGTAACCTGCTTCTGGCAGCACGACTTCAAAGCCATGTGGGGTCTCGGTTCCTCTGCATCAGCTCTTGCCCAGCAGCTATCGACAATGGTACTCAGTCTGTACAAGACTGTTACGGAACGAGGGAGTCGGGTGGCGAAGTTAGTCGGCTATGGGAATGGGGTTTCCATCGAACGGGTGCGGTTCCAAGTGGACAGAGAGGCCCTTACAATCGACTACGCCATTATCCCGGACGATGACGGCCACACTTCGCCGACGGAGCAAGAGATTCACGTCATCCGGGAGCAACGCAGGTTAACAAGATCTGTGGAATGCGTGCTACCTTCGCTGGAAGGATGGGAGGTTCAGGTTTCCCTCAAGGCCTCCTCGGAAGAAGTTGAGCAGCTGCCCTGGTCAGCACATGCTATTAAAACAAATTCCAACCCATCTTCGACGGGACCTCCAGACCAAATATTGCTACGCTTCACACATGCCGCTTTGTTGGACGACCACTCGGTACTGAAGGTGAAACTTGTAATCGAGGCTTCGGGAGGCACACGTGGGCTACGGTTGAACGGACTTCCCAAGAAGGTTCACGACACGGAGCAGCGCGACCCTTCGTCGTATCAAATACCGCAGGCGATCTTGCAAGACATTGCCAGCGCTGCCGACTTGAGCGTCCAAACCTCTTCGTCAGTCAGCACCGTCGCCAGTGGACTATCAACGGCCTCCTCCACCCAGACCTTCACGAAACCCATCGTACCACGGACACCAATGGCTGAAAAATCCATCCTTTCACGTGTACGGCGTAACTACATCTACTTCTCGTCACTATTGCAAGAGCCAGAGGCGAAGTGGAGGCGCAGTAAGTTCTGTTCTGAGCCGAGCCATTTCACTTTCTTTGGCTGATACCCCTATTATAGCAACGGAAGGCCGTGGAGTGTCAATAACGCAGCTGGACTCCATTGATCCAACGTTGGTGGTGTATCGAGCTGAGGCCACGTTCGTCGGCGTCGGTCTTTGGGATCTGTACGGCGCAGTTGTGTCACCAGGTGCAAGGGTTTACTGGGACAAGCAGCACGACGATGCAGTTCTTTTGGAAGACGTCAATGAACTTAGTGAGCTGTGGTACTTCAAATCTAAACCGGCATGGCCTGTCCAGTGAGTCCATATCAGCTTTTTGTGAGCAGTAGCTCAACTCCTGTAAACAGAGGGCGCGACTCTGTCGTACTCAAGACTGTGTACAAGTCCCCGAATGTGATACACGTCTTCGCGTTCTCGGCCGAAGACCCGCATCTATTCTCGAACATCCCTCCTGTGGACCCCAACACCATCCGAACGCAGGTGGACCTGCAAGGATGGTCAATAGAGGCGCTTTCTCCGACAACCACTTCTCTTACCCTCCTAGAGCAGTCCGATCCCAAAGGATGGACAAACAAGACGTCTATCCCGACCAACATGATCAACACATTAGCCGGCATCGGCGAATTTGCAATCAAATGTGGGGGGCCTCCCATCGTCACGAGGCTCACTGGAGCCAAAGCAAACGAGATGCGGTATGATCACGAGAAGGGCAGTTTCCGCGTCGAGTACGAAGCCTCCTCGAGCCGCCGTGCTCCCTCTTCCGATTCCAATTCTCCCGACGACTCTAGCCGCCCAAGTATCGAATGCGAGATTCGCTGTGATGTTGATACGTGGGCGACTTCTCTCGACATAGTGGTCGATCCTCCCCCACAAACAATGTCGTGTCTGCGACGACATCGGCTATCAAGTGACGGCGGCGGTTTATGGCTCACGCTAACCCATGATTGTGTCTTTGTGGACGACGAGCGGCTTCTAGTACTGATTAGGAGGGCACCTGGGAAGGAGAAGGGCCTGGTTATGGTGAATGGGGCGAAGATCCAGGTGGACGTGGAGGAGATTCCGGAGCATGAGTTGAAGGCGTTGAGTAAACAGAAGCGGGTGAAGCCACCGAGGGTGCCGTTGGATCAGCCCCCTGTGGTGGGTGTGGTGAGAAAGAGGAGGGCGGAGTGGAATCATGAGAGTACGGGAGAAGGGCCCGAAACTGTGAAGGAGTCCAGTTCGACCGGTTGGGCGTCAGCTCCTCGAATATCAAGTCCATTGTCTCGTCTTCTCTCGTACGCCGTAGACCAGGCGACGACAACCACCCAGCAATATGTCGCGGCCATTACCCCCGCCAACAGCACCGGCTCGTCACCGTCCGCCACAAAGCTTCCCATGCAATACGTCTTGGAAGCACTGGCTTGGACGCAAGACTTCCACAACTCCGCATCCTTCCAGTCAACTTCGCCCACAGATGGCTGGACGCTGGTCAGTGACAAGGGTGTGACAGTGCTTCGAAAGACGATTCCAGAAGTCTCACCCATCATTCCTGTGCACAAAGGTTTCAAGGTCATCGAAGGTGCTTCAGCAGAGGAGCTGGCGTCCGTCATTGCGGATGACAACTGTCGCAAGATATGGGATGACCGGTTCGACTCTGCTCGGACCCTTGAATCGTACGGCAACTCGTGCAGAACACTTTTCCTTACGGCCAAAGGAGGTTTCCCATTCCGCGACCGCGGGTTTTACCTCGCAAGTGTAACTGCCCGCACTCAACCGCCTGCACCCTCCCAAACTTCCTCGGCACTTTCGAGAAGGAACACCAATGACACTGCTGATCAAACCAAGAACGCCCTCTTCGTGGTTCAAGCTTCGTTCAGTCCGGAATCGATTACGCCATTGTTCTCAGCACACAAGTACAATTTTTACAATCTGCCGATAGGGAGGATGTACCTCGATGCGTGGGTGTTGGAAACGTTGGACCCGTACACGACGGAGAACTATGCCATACCGTCGACGCGATGTACGAGGCTGGTTGCCGTTGATTATGCTGGGTCAATCCCCGCTGCCGTCAACTCGATGATCAACGCCAGCCTACCACACTCTATTCTTTCCATTGAAACCTGTTTCAAGTCCCTCTCTTCGTCACTGCCCCTAACACGCCTCCCAGCTCCCTGTGTGGTGTTGGCGGAGAAGAAGGGCGAAGATAGACTTGCGACGGTTTCGTGGAAGCTCAGGAAGCGCGATGAGAACCGGCTGTTACTTCAAGAATCGTACGCGACGGACACTAAAGTTTATCAAGCGAGCTTGCTCGTCACGATGGCATCATCAACGCCAGCTTCGATGGCGACGTCTAATTCGACTTCGACGGTGGCGAGCAACGAGCAGAATTCGAGTTCGGGAGGGGTGTCCGGGAATGGGTCCCATTCTGCACCGAATACGGCCGGGTTGGAGGCACCGACGACGCCAAGGCTGCCGCAGAACAGGGCGTTGAGTCCTAGACCGCGTTCAAGGGCGAGGGAAGGGTCTGAAGCGACCATTGTCCCACCTCCGGTCATGGAACCGCCTCGGTCGCGAACGTCCTCGTCTTCGTCCAGTCACAAATATTTGGAGAGTAGCTCGAGCACCGAAACACTGCGGTCTGTTCGGAGCCATGATGCACCTCTCAACATCATGCCCGGAACCATAATGTCACCCGCTCTGCAAGTCGGTTCTCCGGGTGATTCGCTCCTCCGGCCTTTCAGACAACGCTCGGCTTCGTCCACGGATGGGAGAGTCTACCGTCCTTCGACGTTCCATGCGCAGTATGCGACAACGCCTTCCACGACATACGGTAATGGAAGGGCGGGTTCATCAGTTGGGACCTCACCTCCGGCGGTATCACATACGAGAGGGCGAACTGTTTCGAACGCTTTCACAGCCAAAGGGGAGATCAAGCCGCTAAAGGATCTGGTGGTCGGGGAGATGGTGGTGGATACGAGGCTGTACCCTGATGGTTACTCGGTGGTTGTGAGGTCGAGATTGGTCAAGCGGCCAAGGAGACGGAAGGGTGCGGCTGGGAGTGAGGACGTGCAGTCTGTGGAGGAGATTGCGAAGGAGATGTGTCTGGAAGTTGACGGGAAAGATAAGGGGAAAGGACGGGAAGGTGCTAAGAAAGGGATGTTCATCAAGTTGGGCTCGCTGGAGGTCTTGCCGCCGAAAGACTCTGTAACACCGACATCTGCTCCTCCCATGCACAAGGCCACTTCGACGGATTCAACAGCGACCGTGACTTCGAAGACAAGTTCTCAAGGCGGCTTTGAAGACAATTTCCTCCCGATCAGTTACACGATATTTACGATGCCTTCGTCTCCGTTACATTCGTCGAGTTTAAACCCGGAGGGCGGGACTACGAGACATTTGTTGAGGATGACACTCCCGACAGCGCAGTACTGGTCAAGCTCTGTACGGGATCCTTTGACAGGAGAGATTAGGAACGGTCCGCCGAAACCAGATTGGTTGAAGGTGTTAGAGGGTTCGCTTGATCCGGAAACACTGCAACAGGGAGAAGGGGACACCGGCGACGACGAATCCCGGTCAGAGATCGATAATAGGCTGAAGGGTGTCGTGGTGGATGTGGAGATACGTCCTGTTGTGTCTGCAGAACCGGACAAAGACAAGACCAAGGGCGAGGATAAGGATAAGAAGCGGAAGAGGGTGAAGAAAGTCAAGGTCAACGGTCTGACTGTATCTGTCGTCGGGGAGAAGGAATCTCTATCAATTCTCGGACGCGATGCACTTCTCAACGAGCGAACGGCCAAGATGGTTGTGTTATCGCGGTATGTGTGCTTCTTCCTATTGCCGTTCTGTCACAGCGTCTGACGGGTGGGATGTGATACAGAGTACCGAATGAAACGGATGCCTTGCCCGAAGACCTGATACTTCCCGTCGCTGTAGCCGATGATGTTGTCGATCCGGCTGTGTGGGGAGAAAGCAGTGTTCTTACAGGCAATGCGAATTCTGCCTCGCTAATCAGCGGTACGCTGGGAGCGGCTTCGAGTCTCGGGGGATCTTCCCCAGACTCTGGTGCTTCCGGGGCTGGGAAGTCGACAGATGGGTCCTCGAGTGAGAAGGCGAAGGGCGAGAATACTCCGGGGAATGTGAGTTTCTCCGTCCAATTGGAACATTGTTTTCTTCCTGTTATACCGTTTTTGCTTTTTCGACCCGTCGAGGTTGCCGCTTTGCCCGTTTGGTGGACGCAACGCCGCGACTCCATTCCCATGCGGGTTTCACGATGGTATTGTGACAAGCGATATTGTCACGAAATATCACCTTGGCGCTGTGAAGACACGGCTTTCTTAACCCTTCTGCCCAACCCTTGACGTGAAGTGATTACTGACGGTTTTCTCTGGTCCCCCTCGTTGTTCAATGGGCAAATAGACTGGTGGTCTGGCATCATCAATCACGTCACCCACGAGCGGAACTGGTTCTGGAGCAAGTGCTACCTCTAGTCTTTGGGGCTTTTGGTCTACATATCGCTTCGGATTCGGGAGTGCCCCCGCTGCTATAATCGATAGCACCACAAGTGGACCATCAGACAACGACGCAGCTCCGCGGAAGTTAACTGATGGCAAAGGGGACGATCGGGGTGAGGATGTAAGTAATAGTAGCGGGGCTACAACGCAGATAGAGGGGCAGGGACAACCCTCGACTGAAGGCGAGCAGTCGCAACCTCAAGTCCAGCAAACCCAGGTTGAACAACGTCCCGCGACGAATTTGTATCCACTTTCGACAGTTCTCGCAGTGGCGCTTATCGCATTCTTGATTGGGAGTCTGCTTCGATCGCTCCTGTCGCCTGCGGACTTCATTTATGTTGTGGAAGGAGCGGAGGAAGCGAACAAGGTTAGCCTTGCTGGGGGGCCTGGCTGGCGGGAGATTAAACGACTATTCGAGCTGAAATATGTCCTCGGAGGATGGGATTTCCAGATCGCAGCTGTTAGGCGACATCCAGTATTATAATAGTTGGTATTTCATTGTATTTAAAGAGTAAATAAAGCACGGTAATCGCAGTGAGATCGGGTCAAGAGCCTGACAGGAATCACCGGAAGGGGATAAGGATTGGATCGGAGCTTAAAATTGAGTATGCGTGTGAACGGGGAGGGTGATGTTCCTCGCGCTGGCCTGTCTGCTTCGCCGTCGTCGTCCTTGTCGTTGAGCTCGCCGTCGCCCCCCGGTGCTGAAGGAGCTGCCGCTGTCGTCTGGGAAGTTTTGTTCGGTCGCATCGAGCTCCAGACCATTGGGTGGCCATTGAATATCCGGTCGAGATCTTTTTCCCAAGCCAGAGCGTCACCTTGACATAAATCCGCAATCTTGTCCTCTTATATCGATACACGCGCTCCCACTACACTCGCCTCAAAAACCTTCTTTGTCCACAACCGCCATAATCATTTCCTCAACGCCTCGACACCGCTGCACACAGCGTTCTCCGCATAAATGGCATCCGTGCCTCCACCGGGTTCCCAACCACAACCACCGTCAACCCAGAATGATCCCGCCGCTAGTCCATTGACCCCGTTATCTTGGGAGGGCGAAAAGATGTTCGTCAAGCAATCCCTTCAGAACTCCATGTACTGACCCTGAACTAGGTTCAACATCTACATCTATGATTATTGCTTCAAACGAGGTTTCCGGAAGACAGCTCGTGAACTCCTCCTAGAAGCAGACATCCCACCAGACTCTGCTCCCCCGATCAATGCTCGACAGGGTTTATTGTTTGAGTATGCCGCTTTTTCTCTCATTCAGCTCTCTCAGTCCATCCTGACACTCGCCCTGCAGATGGTGGAGTGTATTTTGGGTCCTCTTCCAAGCAAAATCGACCAACGGGGGCACAGAGGATGCAGTGCTGTACACCCAGGTATATGACATGGCCGTGGTTGCCTTTGACTTTGATCACTCAATTCAATCTTCTAGCATCAACAACAGCAGCAGCTGCAACGGAATCCGAGAATAATGGGTGGACCACAAGCGCCTATGGCCCCTGGCCAGGTTCCTGGCCACCCCCAGCAACGCCCTATGCCAGGGCAGCCCATGGCCCCTCAGATGATAAACGGGATGGCTCCGAATCATTCTGGTAAGTACTACACATTTCCAATAGATCGTTCGACGAATAACCGTTGCAGGACAACCCCAACTCCCACCAGGAGCTTCGCCTATGATGTTCTCTATGGGAGGGGCCCCAGGTCCCCAGGTCAACGGCGTTCCCGGTTCCCACCCTCCGACGCCAGGAAGTGTTCCTCCTCAAGGCCAACCTCAACCACCCCAAGGCGGCCCTCAGCAAGCAAATTTTAACATGCTACAGCGACCTTTGAACGGCCCACATCCTCAACAACAGCCACCCCCGAATAGCGGGCCCCAGCAACCACAACAGAGGCCTATGGGGGCTCCGAACTCCAACATGCCTTTCCAGTCTCCGACGATGGCGGCACATTCCCCCAATGCCGGACCTGGTATGCAGCAAGGCCCGCAAGGTCCCCAACCTGGCGTTCCTCAACAAGCACCAATGGGCAACTTGGGTGGACCTTCTCCACTGATGGCGCCAATGAACCGCACCGGGATGGCGCCACCCAATGGCGCCCCTCAGCCCCCGAACATGATGATGGGAGGCCCTCAACAAGGTGGCCCGATGCCTCAGGGCGGAACACCAACGCCACAGTTCCAGCAGATGACCGGACGACCTCCAAGTCGAGCGAACACCCCTCAGATGCAGAATATGATGCAGCAGAGTCCATCCATGGTCAACCGTCAAATCCCTTCGGATGCGAGTGTTAACGCAGATTTCGAAAGACTATCGCCGCAACTTCTAGCGCAGCTGAAACTAGAACTAGGGATGCAGGATAAAGATTCGCCTCATATGTCACTCCAAGACAAGGTATGTTTCCGCGGATGTCGACGAGTGTTTATGCTCATTTCCTTCTAGCGAAGGATCCTCCACCATAACCAACAGCGCGCTCGACACGCAAACGCTGTTGCCGGACCATCCAACCCTAACATGCCCCCTAATGCTCAACAACGAGGTGCTCAACAGCCGCAACAACAAAGGGGAGGCAAACGTAACAGTACATCCCCCGGCGAAGAGGTGAGTTCCCCTATCCAATGTGATGTTGCTTTGCCGTAACACCGTTTTAGCACGAGAACCTACCCAAAACCGATTCATCTCCGCCAGACCGCAAGCGGCCGCGTCGTTCTCCACAAGAGACAACGATCCCCAAGCCTGGGACGTATCCTCATCCACCACAGCAAGGACCGGCGCTACCCCAACAGCAGCAGATGCCAGGACAGCCTCAAAGTGGTCCGCAACAGACACCGCCACCTCAGAACATGCAGATGATGAATCGACCGATGGCCCCGCAAGGAGGGCCGATGCCAGGCCAGATGATGAATGGCAACATACCTCCCCCTGCGATGAGTATGCAAGGACAGCATGGAATGAACCCGCAGAATCAGATGGGTCCCCCTCAGCTTGGAGGTGGTATGATGATGGTACGTGTCCTTTACATTCAAAACGGCCCTTTACTGACGATCACCTCGCTTACCCCCTCCTCCATCTTCCGCTTCGTACGCTGATACGGTATGTTCTCGTTTACGCGATTCTGCCTCGACGTCTGTGTGGCGTAACTCGGTGATGCCACTATCCCTTTCGGGCGATTTTCATTCTTCCGTTTTGCTTCCGTTCTTGACCGACGTCAACTTCAGCCGAACCAGATGGGACAAAATTATCGAGTCCCGCTACATCAAGTGCACAATGCTCCAGGTCTCATGCAGCCTCCAAGCGCCGGTTCACCTGCAGGGCCCGATCCTGCCTTCAATCTCAATCAAGGCCAACCAGGGCCACAGTTTGGCAACCGTGTTGCAGGTCCCAAGCCACCACAGCAAGGAGGAATGCCACCACCGGGAGGCCCGGGTGGTAACATGATGCCTCCGCCGTCCCCGGCTAACGCTGGAAAAGACGCGCAAGGCAAGGACATGAAGACCAATGCCGATGGATCTCCACAAAGTCAGCAGGGTGGTCCTTCTGGACAGTCGGGTCCCGGCCCGCAGCAGCAGCAACAACAACAGCAACAGCAACAACAACCTAATCCGCCACCTCAAATCCCTCCCCCTGGTACTCCTTCGAACCAGCCTCAACAACCTCCGCAGCAAGGAAATGCTGGACCTCCACCTCCTTCCCAGACCCCCGTGGGCGGACCTGTCTCGTCTCCGGGTAACATGATGGGTGGGCCACCTCCAAATCCGATGGGCGGACTTGCGCCTCCTTTGAACGGTTTGGGTGATTCCATGAACATGTTTTCGGACACGTTCAACATGGACTTCGATCATTCCTTCGACACCAACACGCTGGACTTCGAGCGCGACTTTGGCCAGTGGTTTAACCCTGATGAGATGTCACTAGGGACGGACGGTATGAAGTAGAGGGTCTCTTCGCCGCTGTTACCACTAGGATGTCGGTTGGTACGGAATTCGTCGCTGATGACATTGGCTCATCAACTTGTATGCTCCAATTTACCCTTCAACGGAAGATACCTTTCTACAAACGTTTTTGGTCCCATTCAAATTTGCTTCCCCTGTACCTTTACTTATTTATTCCCTTTCCTTCTCACCCTTCTTTCTGAAAAGGCGTGTCGCCATCCGTTGTTCTCTCACCCTCGTCCTGTCCGTGGCAACAGCCATCTCGTCCATACACCCGGCTTCCCCACCCCACATCGACACGGCCCTCGAGCCGAATACCCGTCCCGTTCTCAACGCCTATCTGGATTTGGGATCCCCTCCTCCCCCGCTATCCACCTCTTGTTTGGTCTATTGTAGTCTATCCTAGTCCTTTCCTGTCTTCCGCATGTGTACCACCTATCCGCTATGCACTTATAATTCTTGTTCATCTATTTCACGCTTCTTGTTCTTCCCTTCCCGAGGGGCATTTGCCAATCGGCGTTTCCTCTCCTTTCTCCTACACTGCCATTGTTGTCTCTTTTAGCCCAGTCGATCTTCTTTTCTTTATTATTCTATCGTTTCCTCTTGCTTTCCGTACTGATCTGATGTTTATTTCTTCATAAAGGCCGTCGCCACGATATCGATATATCTTTTCTTTCTCCAGTGCTCCTTGGTGTACAGCTTCCCCTTCCTCGTTCCCCATTCCTTCTTTCCCCTTTGTCCGATGTTCTTTGCTTTGCCAATTTGTTGTCATGGTCGCCCTCTCCCTACTCTTCTTGCCGCTTCCCTCTCATCTCTACATATGTACCACCTACGAAATCATTTACATATATCTCGAATTTTTTGCGCGGTCGGCAACCTTTCGGTGTGTGTGGATTGGCACGACTCAGAATTTAGGCTTGCATATAGCGTACGTAGGATGTTGCAGACGATTACAACGAGTTATGGTACGTGATATTGCTTGAAATTGTGATCCCCCTTCCCGAAACTCATCCATCCCATAGGCCCACCTCGACCGACGGTTCGCATCAGCTTCTTAGAAAATGATGCCGACTGAGCCCACTGAAAGCAAGTCCTTGCGGACGAGGTCGTCTAGAGTCTGGGAGAAGCATTCGAGGTCTTCTCGACTTTTTCTGCTACATGTTGAACATCTGGCCGCTTTTTCCAGAGCTCTCGCCAAGAGTCGTTTGCTTCGGACGGATCCGCTGAGAGGTTTGGATCCGACTTGGGCGGCAACATCGTCCAGCCATTCTGCCCACCATTTCCTTGGTTTCATCGATAAGGATAGGGTGGATATTGGCGAGCTGCCCTTGTCTGCGATGTCTTCGGTCTTTAAGGGAGGACATTTCCTGCAGGTCCACCATACCCATCCGGTTCTTGACTCGGGAATGACTCGGAGGTTGCGCAAGACTTGAGACCTTGCGATATCCCCGCACGTTCGGTGGTGTAGTTTCAGCTGCTTGTATACATCCGGTGGCATATCTTTCACCTCGCTCGCGTAAGGCCCGGGCATGGGCCTTCTCAAACAGCACCTGGCCGCGATGCTCATCTCATGCACCCACCCATACTGACTCGCAAGGGCGTACACGCGGAAGGGCTGAGAGTCCACGAAACGTGGAGCCACGAGCTCGCTACGTGTGTGGGTGACGATGCCTTCCATGTCGAATTTGATGGCCGCGTTGGCAACTTTTTGCAGCGTGGTGAGCGAGGTGAATCGAGGGAGTGCATGGGCGCTTAAGGGGTAGCAAAACCCGAGGAGAACGTCGAGGACCTGTTTGTCTTCTGCCATTTGGATAACCGGGACTTCGTGGATGCCTAAGCCATCCTTTGATGCGCTTGGTTGGGGAAGTGTGAAGAGGGTGCAGAAGAATGGTGAGGAGAGGGTGAGTAGGAGCTTGAAGACGTGGTAGTCGGTTGGACGAGGGTCAGAGGATCGTAGAATGAGGTCTGCCTCTGGGTGGTCGAACGGATGGGCAGCCAGGCGAGGGGTGCAAGGTTCAGAAGCCAGAGTACTGGACATGGCGGGATAGACTTCGGTGGCAACTACCTTCGTTGACCGGTGAGCTGGTTTAAAGGTCCAAAGGCTTATGTATATCACTCCATTGACGTGTTCGACCGAGCAACCAGGAACGACTGGGCACGGGTCATCAAACTTTGTGCCTAAGGTCGGGCGGGCTCTGAGAGCTTCAGAGCTCATTTCACCTTACTGGGCTACCTGTCCGGCTAGTATACATACCTGTACATATGTGTCCTCCTGGACATCCGTCATAGATGACTTTATCACTCGACCTATCACCGCCCCGTACGTCAAAGGCCACTGCGCGGAAACGAGGCGGGATCTGGGGTACTAAATCAATGTTGACGCTCAACCCAAGGTAATTCTCCATGCGACCAGGCTGTACCCCCAGCTGGCGAGGGATAGTCAAGCGAAATGCTCATAGAAGGAGGGGATTCGTGTTGCAGCATCATGGGTGAAATAAACATCATAGTAAGCGCGCCGCTTTCTTGGCTCCTCCAGAATCGTTGTAGACAGCCTGCAGAGAAAGGCCTGCGTAAGTGTATCATAAATAGTACCATGGGCTTAGACTTGTTTGCCCCCGATCTAGCCGGTTTCGATTGCAGAAATTCAAGCCACCCCGCAGGGACATCGCGGGTTTCCACGTTGCGAAGGGTATGTACTCTGTCACTAGCCACACGTTCGCCGTCAAAGCTCACTACACCTGCCAGTGGAGCTAAGGTGATATCCTAATGGGAAATGGTTAACCTCCCGCATGCTGAATGGAGGGGAAATTCGAAAGGAAACCCGGCAGTTCCGAGAGAGAGAACGCGGTATCAGTTGCCAGAAACGGCAGGAGAAAAGGAGTGATTCATCTATCTATAAGATAAGATAAGTCCTGGAACTGAACATGGTGGCTGGTTCCTCTTTAGCGGACGACGATTGTAACTCCAGCGCGGAGGAGCCTTGGGCGCTTAAAGTCCCATGGTCGTTCCCACGGACTGTGACGCGCACCGGCCGATGAGACAAAGGCAAGTTAATGTGAGCACGGTGGACGTTCCCTGATTCGTAACTGATGTCCTCCTTTCTATACGATCTTGTAGAAAGGATTGTTTGCCCTTTGTTTGTCCGAGCAAAAGGCAACGCGGGCGAGTGGCAATCACTCTTCAAGTTCCAAGTTATTCAGACCTAGAAACATCTCAAAGAAAGGTACGCCCCGAGTCACTTTAAATTCTCCTCAGTAAGGTGACTATGGACTCTGTAGCGTCCCGATAGCCTTTTCAGATCGCAGCTCCAAATCCTTGGTTCATGGATTTCACGAATGCCCGGATGTTTCCAGAGCTTTTCCGCCAGGGGAAGCAGTTTTCACCTTCAGAGCGTACAGCTCTGTCCAGTGCTTTGTCCATGTCTAAACAGAGAAGGGATGAACTCCTCCGCGAGATTGACGAACTACACCTGGCCATCGATTTGCAACAGTCGGCTTTGTCCCCCATCCGCCTTCTCCCCCTCGAAATCCTAGCCCGCATCTTCTGGTTTGCCACACCTTCGGGCATGTCGGTCGAGTACAGCGATATAAGAGCCCCTTGGAATGTCGGAGGAGTCTGCAAGTATTGGCGAGATGTGGTCTACTCCACGCCAAGCCTTTGGACAACGATTAGCATCGATTGGAACGCGAACATTGCACTCGATCAGAAAAGGTCGCCTTACCCAGAAAGATTGTCCAAGTTCCTAGAGCTCTCCGGATCCCAGCCCGTCTCCATTACTCCCTCCAACTATCCGCATGTCGCATGGGGGCCACCGGCAGAAGCGCCCAACCGCCAGGCATGGTTATCCAGCTATCGACTCTTGGAAGAGGCAGCCTTGACGAGATGGTCGGGATCCATCCGTGCTAGCTTTTTAAGCCAGTTCAGGAAATTTCATAGCAACTCCACCCAGACTCTTCCCGCGATTACCAGGCTGAATGGAGTGGACGACCAGTTCTTCGCGGATCTCACCATGGAGGGAAACATCAAGCTCCGACTCCCAGCATTGTCGCATGTCGTCTTCCAAGACGTGTGGAACATCAGATCTGAGCTCGACTCGGAATATCGTAGAACGGTCTACCAGCATGCCAACTCCTTTCTGAAAGAGCATTCCCGGACCCTTCGCACATTGGAATTTCGGGGAACCCACAGTTTGGCGGCATTTGCTTTCATGGCGAAGAGTCCGTCAAGCAATGCGATCCTCCGTCGTGTCGACAAATTGGTAATCAGGCACCAAAGTAGACCTGACGCAGTGTCAATTCCTTCGGATGAACTTCGAGTCCTTGGTAGGACTGTTCATCGTGCCACCGTTCCCTCGGTATCCCACCTAACCATCATCAATCCTCCCCTCCACGTCGCCGCATGTTTACGAAGGATGGCAATTCCAACCCTCAAGACACTGGAGCTAGTCATAGCCCCTACAAAGGTTTCCGAGGAAGTCGTGGCACCCACACTTCTGGACTTCTTTGAAGCCTCAGACTGCCGTAGGAACCTGGAGTCACTTTTCCTGAGCTAGCTGTACCCGCCAGAGGCGCTCCTATCGATTCTAAACTCCCTCGAAAACCTTCAAGATTTAGTTCTGTATAGCTTGCCCCTAAAACTGCGCATGGCCCTCATGCGCGGCAGCGGGACAGCAAGCACAGAAGAGACGGAAGGATCGAACATCATACTCCCCACGCTTCGACGATTGACCGTCCTAGATAACATTTATCCTTCGGTCAGTTTGTCGCAGTTTGACGAGATTCTGAAGATACGACATCCCGACGCGCGCATCTACTCGTTCCAATCCTTCAAGACAGTGGGCGTTCGTCGAAGGACACGGTAGGTCGGCCTTTGACGACGACTCCCTTGCATTCGAGTATAGGGTGTCCCCGGTTCCTCCGCCGCCACCAACGTCAACCAGCTATAATCGCTATACACCACCTCCCCAGAGCCCCCCTCTGGAGGTTCATTGGCTCGCTGCTGAATGAGTAACGTTCCCTCTTCCTTTCCCTTCTTCGACGTTCGAGATGGGTTTCTCTTCGTGGTCGGGGTAATTTGCTTGTAAAATGACAAATCTAAATGATCCAAAGCGATGAAGCGCTATGGCTCGCATACGACTACGAGAGCACATGGTTAGAGGACGGCGTGGAAGGTGGAGGTCAGAAGGCTGGCCGGGCCTTTCAAGCCCTACCGGTCGAATTCCACGGAGAGCACCACGCACTGCTCACGGTTGGAACGCTTCCGAATATCCATCTCATCGGTAAGCATAAGCGATAAACACCTTTCTACACACACTTACCATAGATATATGGGTGCCGGAATACGCACCACCACGCGCTTACCCGCGAAAGACATGCGAATGTTTCCGGCGAGAACTACTCCGGAATGGGGCTTTCGGCCACCCCTGTTAGTGTGTGAGTTCGGGCGATAGCCTAGCACAGAGCAGAACATTGCTGGCAGTGGTAATTGGATGTCATGTCTATGCACGGCAGGGTCATTAATTTCCCGAAAGCAGAGATTCCTTGGGGACTGAGCACGGTGTTTCCCGGTAGCTCGGACAAAGGGCGTGATTGATGCCGCGGCACGACCTACTAAGCTATCTCTGAAATCCTACGCGAGATACCATTACACGACTTACAGGCTCTATTACTCTCTTTTAGATTAATTCTATGCGAAAGAGCTCGTCATGTGGGGCCAGGTTACATCAAACCTCCCCAGCCATAATGTGTACTAGGATTGCGAAGGAGGCAATAGCCCCTATTCATATGTTTGCAGTGGGTGACATGATTGCACGTTGGAACTGATCGTCGCTTCGGCAGTGAAAACTCTCCGTCCTTGGCCCTGCAAAAACGGGACAGGCAAAGAGCAGGCACACCACTTGACTTCCAGGCAGGCTAGCCTATACATGACTTCAGGGAGCCCGTTACTAGTATTTTACCCGCTGGTGGCCAAGTGGGTGGTTTGACATCAGCTTGGAACTTTCTCAGCTGCACGTATTAGGGAGTCGGAAGTAAAACTACGCCGTTCGAGCGTATGTCCCGAATGAACTGTAGAAGGAATTTGATGCGCCTGGCCGCCAGTTGGTCCACTGATAACGAGAGCTGAATTGAATCGGGTGAGGAGTCAGCTCAGTAAGGGTTTAAAGACACCCGCCCTCGAGAACGATCTGGAAAACGAAACAGCCGAATCGAGTCCAATTGTAATTCTAGTATACAAATGCAGAGATAGTCAAAGTGTGCAGAAAGTGCTAGTAAGCCCCATAAAAACCTAGAACGGAAACATAAGTTTCTAACGTGAACGATGAACACATAAACACCAATGATGACCGAGAAACGGTAAAACCAAGCGCGATGGCGACTGGAGTATATCATTATCCAAGGAGATAGCATGATCATGAGCATAAAAAGACGTAACGGACGTGAAAAACGCGTGGGTATATGGTTTTTGTTGGAAAGAAGTCCAAATCGAGGTGAAGACTCCTTATCGACGAGACGTCGAGGCAGAGGCTGGCGATGAGTAAGTATAAGAGACCGGGACGCCAGAAGAACGGATCTGGACCGAAGGGTAACCAATACTTGAGGTATTCGCGTGTCTCATTCTTTTGGCTGGTGGCTCCACTCCAGATCGAGCACCGGAGGAAGTCGATGCGGAATTCGAAGAGCTCGGGAGATTATGCTCCGGTAGATTTCGCAAATAACTCCCTGGCCTTGTCGAGGGCAGTGACGGCTTCTGGTACATGGTCGATTCAAGCTCGAACAGGTTGGAAGCAGCCAGCCTTGAATTTTCGACGGTGCTGTGCTGGTTGACAGAGGATGTCGAGCCACACGGTGGCAGATCCCGCTGGAATGGATAGCAGAACGTGAATGGAGGTATCGAAGGCGATTCCGAGGGTCCAGACTGAGGGCTGTAAAGCAAAAGACCCTTTCCTGTCAGCCCACCATGCAAATGAAAACGGAAAGCTACGCCACTCACGGAGGAGAATGATCCACGCTCTTGTCCAATTTTCGCTTCAACGAAGTACACTCCTTTCTCAGGTTATCCCGTTCTTGGGCGAGGCTTACGGCTTGATCGCGAACCATTCTCGCAAAGTCGAGAAGGCCCAATGTAGCAGCTCCATGCAGCTCGGCACGGCGCCGCCAGAGTACGCAATGTGTTCGTAAAGTTTGGTTCTCTGCACGGAGCCTTGCTAGCTCTCCGGAGGAATCACTCGTCGATGATGATGACGACGACGGTGAGGTCGAGGGACCGGCTTCTGACGATGGGGTGTCAAGATAGACGCGACGGATGCAAGGAGTCACGAAGGGCCGGAGGTGCATTGGAATGGAGGCTGGGTTTATGGGTGCTGTGCGACCATTATCGTGGGTCAGTGTGCTGCGACGATGACGATGAGCATTGCACTGACCTATGTTGTAGGTCCCTCTGCAGACGGGACATGAGTGTAGGTTACGAGCGGGCTTGATGGCCTGGACAGTCTTCACGAGACAGTCCGTGCAAAAGATATGGCCTAGAGAGTGTGAGTTGGGAATTGGATGGGGAGGCCATGAGGACGTACCACAAGGCAGCGAAACTGGCTTTTGATACTCATCGAAGCAGATGTAGCACGTCGACATCGATGTCGAGGGTGAGTTGTGGGGGTGTTGCAGTGGTGGTTGGTGAGAGGCTTTTCGAAACGGAACGGCGGGGAAAGGTGGTGGCGTTTATGTACGGAGGAGGGAAAAACCCCAGACCGAGTCTGCAATATTCCACGGATGATAAAGGACCAAGAGGCGAGGTCTCCCACAGGCCGGTTTTTAAAAACGGTGGATCTTATATGAGTAAGATCCAATCATTCGCAGGTTAGGTGGGACGAGAAGGCGTGTCCGGGTCGGTCGCTGATGGTCCCTTGGGGGACAGAACTCTTACATTTGTTTGTAAACCAGTTGGCAACATTCCAAGCTGGATGGCGGGGCTGGCGAAAATGGACGAGCGAAAGAGCGAAGAATTCCTGGTGGTTCGAGCTGGAGTCGGAGGCTCTGAAAGACCGCCGGAGACCATTCTAGATTAGGAAAACATGCGATCAAAAATGACGTGAATGCAACCCGAATCCGTCGCGAGGTCTCGATTCTGAATTGCTTCATCAACGCGCTTCGTTCATTTAGACATGTAACAATTCGGAAAGTGCGCCCATCACTTTCAAATAGGCGCCCCCAGGACCCCTTGTTGATGTCGAGGATACTTGAGTCTGGAGAATCAAAAGGCCGACGGCACAAACGAGAGACCGATACTGCAAGTGACAGTGAGCAAACATACGCCGTTGGTCTCTGCAGACGAACAAGTGATCCGCCTGAATACTTAATGAAATACATCAAGTTTGTCGCTTGGGCAAGGTGATTCGTAGCCGTTTTCATCAGGTTGACTCGAAGGGCCGGTGTGGGACCAAAGCCGCCCTTCACCGAAGCAGACGATGCCGCAGGCCACGTACGCTACTTTCGATACATTTCTGGGGCTCGGTCCATGTAGAACCATCACACAGTCAGCGCTTCCAGACTTTGAAGTTTGAGCGCCAAACCGGAGACGACGGGTACGGACTGGAATATCAAGTATGGTCAAGCATTGGTGGAGCCGATTCTGACACCGAACTTGCAATTCCGGTCAACATGCGACTGTCCACGGCTGGTTCATTGTTGGTGCGCAGTCAGATTGACCATGTATGATTGGTGTGCTGGGAAAGTTCTGACGCACACCGAGACGTCGAAACCTGACAGTCACGGCTCAGGCTGGGTGTACAGCAAACACAGTCCTTGATCAGCAATTCATGGAACCAAAATCAGCCCGTTGCTTGATCATAGAGTAAGTGGGCTATTGTAGGGCCGTCCGACGAGTAGCCTTGGCCCCTACCCCACCCTCGGCGTCCAAACCACCGTGCCCTGGTGCACCGAGATGATAGGAGCAATCGACTCGTTCCAACCTGCCATCGACGCGGCACCGTGAGCCCCTCCGGTCACAGCCACGAATTCCAGCCGCCAGCGGCAATCCCCGGACTTGCTTGCGTAAAACTGCACAGTTCCCAATTAGGCAGGTGTGGCTGTCGGCATCGCCACCGAGACGCACAACACAGCGATTGCGAGCCAAGGTAAGCGAGCCCAACGACAAACCTCCACCCTCGACGACATGGTCAGTGACAACGCTATTATGGTCGACATATGCAACGACGAGATGGCTGACCGTTTGACTCGCAGGCCGACCAAAAGACGACACCCAGCAACCCCATGCGGGAGCTCCGCATCGACAAACTCGTCATCAGTGCGTCTAGCTGGTTTATATCGTGATCAGCCGCCCTCTCTAACTTGTCTGTCGCTTCGTCAAATAGACATTTCCGTCGGTGAATCTGGTGATCGACTCACTCGTGCCTCAAAAGTCTTGGAACAACTCACCGGCCAAACACCCGTCACCTCCAAAGCCCGCTACACCGTCCGAACATTCGGTATCCGACGTAACGAAAAAATCGCCGTCCACGTTACCATCCGTGGCCCCAAGGCTGAGGAGATCCTTGAGCGTGGTCTCAAGGTGAAGGAGTACGAGTTGCGACGAAAGAACTTCTCGGAGACCGGAAACTTCGGTTTCGGTATCCAGGAACACATTGATTTGGGTGCCCGATACGATCCTACCATTGGTATCTTTGGTATGGATTTCTACGTTGTGATGGGCAGGCCAGGTGGACGGGTGGCGAAGAGGAAAGCCAAGAAGGCACGCATTGGTTTCCAACATCGGGTGAAGCGGGACGACACGATGGCTTGGTTCAAGCAGCGATTCGACGGTATCATCCTCGTAAGTCGTATTATTCGTGTAATCTTTGTTTTGGCTCTTACGCTTGCCTCAGAAATAAACTACTCTTTGATGTGTCGTACCCCATGCCCATGCCTCGCTATGCACATGTCGTCATTTTTATTTGCATGCAATATGAGAGAGATCACCGACGGAACGAACCCTTATCCAAGCGAGCGATTGAATGAATCCCGGTATGTTAAGCTAATAATTACAGATGTCCGTATGGGCGCTTTCTTCAAATTCGTACGGTCCTTTTGGGACCAAGCTGCACTGCGGTCGTGGGCTTCCCTTTCCGATCGAGACTGAGCGCCATTAGGCCCACTGGGTTGGTCACTCGTCTATGGGTTGGTCCTCCAACGGGTCTTGTCTTCTTGAGAACGCTACAGTTCTCCTTGCCCCGGTTAAGTTGCCAGTCTGAACCAAATCCTGGTCGAGGCATGCCCTCGAAGAAGTCGATGTCTTCGGGTAATGGAGGTGGTGGTGGCGGCTGCGATGATTTGACAAGGTACCGCGAAGGTGTCTTGAGCTCATGGCTAGAGAAATCGCCGTCATAGTCCTGATGGTAGAAGATTAAGCATCGCATCTCGTGTACAAGGGGCCAAGGCGTACATGTGGTTGTGGCTGAGACACGGGAGAGTGGGGCGTCTCCAATAGGCGCTGTTCGAGGGACTCGATCTTCTTCTGAAGCTCAGCGTTCTGCGCCCTGACGTCCTTCACCTTCTCCCTCGAGTTCTTCGCCTGTGGTAAATTGCTTTAGGAGGAAAGTTGACTGTATGTGAAGGGACCTACAGCGTTCGAATTCCTCTCTAGCTGGTCTGCCATCCTCTTCTTGTCCTTGTCCAGATCAGCCGCAATCTTCTTATAACTCGCTAAATCGTTCCGTGTCTCCGTCAAGAGATCCTTGAGCTTTTCGCCTGCCACTGTAGCTTCGTCTGCGATCCGCTGAGCTTGAATAACCTCATTTCGCAGTCGCTCATTCTCGCTGTGATACCACTGGGACTTTGCTAGACGCTTGCCCAACTCCGCTTTCTCGTTTTGAAGCTTCTCGTTCTGTTTGCGCGCCTGCTCAAGTTCTTGTCGTTGGTTGTGAAACTCTTCAAACAGAGGGATGATCCGAGTAGTGAAGTCTTCTATTGAGCGTAATAGTTGACTCTGTGCAGGAGAACAAAGTGATAAAACGTGAGTTTGAAACAAGCAGTCGAAAAGACAATACGCTGTACCGTAAGGTCATCGTCTCCGCGACAGCTTTTCGCAGCTTTCTCCAGTTTATCCCTCGCCTTCTTCACACTCGCCAGCGGTGCATTCTCGTCCATCTTCCCCATGCCTTCCACGACATTTGCGACCACAGCGGTTTTTGAATCTACGAAATCCAGATAGATCCCCGGCGTGATGCTCGCTTTGGTTACCCTTGTCCGACAGTGTGGGCAGTGGATCTTGGTCGGTGCTCGTTCAAGCGGCTGGATGTGGGGTATACATCCTTCACAGTAGCCATGGCCTTTCAGCTAGCCGTCAGCTTTCATCTCGCTATTAGGTTATGGGCATCGAAAGCCACGTTACCGCAGGGCAAAATCCTAAACTTGTCGACCGGCTTGATCACCATGCAAATATGACAGTTTGCTGCAACCATTGTGGAAAATCGTATAGCGATGTTATGAGGGTATGTGAGGGAAAGCGAGGAGAAGAAAGGGGTAAAACATATGTAGGGTTTGGAGACGGTTGAGTACGCCGGTGGTGCCAAGCCAGCTGGAGGCCTCGAGTTTCCGTCGCGTCTGACACGCGATGTTTGGTTGTGCTTGATCGATCAACGCGTTTCCGCCGCCCCTAAGTTTGAGGTTCGCGTGGTGTTCTCATGGAGAAGCAATGATCTCGCGCGTTTTAGGGTTTTAGAGCTCCTCCTAGTCGAGACGATGTATGCACAACGTGACTGGAAGAGGTGAATTGCCGCACGGTTGTGGGCGAAGTAACACTCGTGCGAGTACGTGCAGGAGAACTGTCGTCCGAATCGTATATAGTACCCTCCTTGCACAAGGCACTCTGAGGAATACCGAGCTGTGGAGTGGTCTTAGAATAAAAAATGACAGCCGCGATCGTCGAATACGATGGCGACAACGTTTAGCTGCCCAGTCCCTGAGTCGAACAGGGCTTCCCGAGCCGGTTCTGTCAATCCCAATTGTGGGAGCATGAACCTCTCGGGAGCGATTACCGCTACGCTACCGGGCCTTCAGTTGGTGGATTCACTATTCTTATCATTGAATGTGCAGTGATCGCTACAGCCTTGACGTGTAGAGCCTTTAGACTGTATCGCCATGCGCTGAGGACGAGATATCCTTCCTGAGTCCTCTCACAGTTCTATTAACGTTTGAGACAAAGGGACTGCGTACTTTCTGTTCCAGGAGACACTCAGCAATATGCACGACCGCGACGCGGCGGGATCCAATGTCGGGATTTAGGGGCATACGACAAACACGGCCAAAGCGTGCACCAGGATCGACCCAAGTCCGGGGCGGCTGTCCTTGGTTTTGGACTTCCACCATCTCCTATCTAAAAGCACAAAATCCCGATGCAATACAACCTTCTGTATGGAACCACAGCATTTTTACAGCCTCCCTATTAGGCAGTTGCTCCGGTTTTGTGACTGCTCCAAGTCTGTTCCCAGGGCCCCTCGAGGCAGCCGTTACTGGTCGTATTTCCACCACGCCCTTAGGGAATGGGGATTAAATGGTCTGGGAATAAAGGTCAACCTCAAGAATGGCGAAGGGAACACCGTGCTAATGCCCTCGCACTTGAAGGAAGATGTCTCTAAGGTATTAAATAACACCCATTTTCCTTGAGTGTACTTCGCAACGGGTAGACAGGTAGAAGAAATTTAAAGAAGATAGCCGGCGTAATTTCCAGTAGCTATATTTCTGGCGCTTCCTGTGCACCTGTATTCTGGCTTATCCAGTTGCCTCTGATATGTTATACAACACACGAATACGACCATGTACGTCACGGTCTCTAGAAACTTATGTCCTCTACAATGTTTCCATTCCCCTGCGATGTCGGAGTTTAAGCCTTCATTTGGCGGCAAAGAACCTAACGCCTTCTCCGTCCGATATCGAAATGGTCTGTGCTCTTCCTGTCTTGCCCAATATACCTATGGCTTTGCGCAGCAATTGGACAGGGATGCCAGTCAAAGGGGACTCGACGGGTGGGTCTGTGATCTCGTAGAAGGTCATGATAGTGTTGAGTTGACCTGTTGACGTTGCCTGCGTTAGACAGAGGACAAGCAGGGAGTCAGTAGTCCGATCGATGATAGATGACAGGTCTCGCACCCATTCGTGCAGTACTTCTGCCCACTCTTCAGGAGTCCTCCAGTAGAGTAGGACCGCTTTGGTTTGCTTTGGAGGTTCGTAGGCTGCTTGGTTCTTCTTGACCATGGTGGATATGATAGTTTCGAGGTAAGCGGGTTTGACTCGACCTAGCCAGGTGTCAGCATTTGTTCTTCCCAGTGATGGTAGGAAGTACGGCGCAGTGGCAAGTCATGGGCTTCACGAGTTCGCCCAGGAAGACGGGGCATACAGTAGGAGTGTAAGCGGGACACTCACGGTTAATCCTCTCATTCCTCAGCACCTCGTCCCATTCGCTCCCCTTTTCCTCTGCATCATCCACACGAAGAATGAACAGCTTCCTATACCTCGCGTACGAAAGCAAGAGTTTGATCCATTGTTCAACGACAATTCCTTGTGTACTTGGATTCGGCTGCTGGCTGAATCGCCGTTGTTGATGTTGACATTATCGAGAATGTAATGCACGGCGAGGTCGACAGTTGTACAGAGCAAGAGCGGGTAGACTCAAATCAGCACCTGGATGCTCTAGATTTCGGTCAAAGAGCGACGAACGTGAAGAATGGCGGTGCTGAGTGTATCGAAGGGAGTAGATACCCTAGACAGTGAGCATGTTGTGTTAGATCTGAGGTTGAGGACCAGAAATCGAGGACGCTGGACGAACCTGATGGTGTGGTATGAGTTGAAAGAGACATCGCGCGTTATCTAATCGAGGGGTTGGACGTCATGACAGGGGCTTTTACTTTCACACAGCCCCTAACTGCAGTGGGCCGCTCGACGAGCATGGAGTACATAGCTTGCAGGGGAAGCAATTGATGACAATATAGGTTAGTATAGTACATGGGATTCATAGCATTATTATAGTAATACAGCGATGTGTTGCACTACTCCGAATCACTCTGGTCCTGCAAGAAGGCAGCGATACTGTTCCTCGCGTTTGTCTGTCGAGTCTTGTGTCATTCCATGTTCAAACGAAAGACGTTAGATGGCGTGACTTACAACTCTCTTCCGCCTAACAACAATTGCATCCCCCTCCTCTTCTTCATCATCTTTTTCCTCCCCACTTTCCTCGTCCGCTGTAGACCCTCTTGACTTTCTTCGTTCGCGCGCTTCCATGGATTTCGCAAATTCTTTCACGTCCTCTGCAGCGAACAGGGTCAATAACTGACCATGGAGGAAGTTAGGGTCATAGTCCAAGTGAACGCACCCAGTTCCTGTTCAAATTCGCGTTTCCTCTTGATCTCCTTGGCCTTTTCCATGCTCAGTTTACCCGTCATACCCAGATCACTGAGCATCTTCCTGAGCGCGGAGATTTGTTCGCGCTCGCTCATCCCGGCGAACAGTGTCTTCCATTGTTTGCGTATACCGCAAGCAACGACGTACGACTGAATGGGAACGACAATGTTCAATCAACTTCGCAAAATGCAAGGGGGAAGGAAAGGAGGAAGCGTACCTTCAGTTTCTTGATCTGCTCCTCGTCTTTACTCAACCCCGAATCTTTCGAACTTCCAGCTTTCCTAGAAGCAGTCTTCTTCCCACTCGAACTCTTCTCCTTCTTGCTCTTCGAGTCCTGTGAGCACCACATCAGCGTCATTAACAAAGCATGTAATAGAAATATACACACCGATGAAGACGCCTTTTTCTTCACTCTCTTCGGAGGCTCGTCAATCAGATCTTCAAGGTCCGTCTCGCTCTCTTCCTCTTGTCTAGCCTTCTCCTTCACCTTCTCAGGACTCTTCTTCGGTGATCCACTGGAAGACCTAGGTTTCTTGGTAGGCGTCCTTTGTTTCTCCTCCTCCTCCGCTTCATCCTCTTCGTCACTCATCACGATGGTTTTCAACTTCTTTATGGGAGGCGGCTGGACCGGCGTCGCCGGCTCTTCCTTCTTGGATGCTTTCTTGGGGGAAGATGAGGTAGAGGACGAGGGTTTGGACTTGGATTTGGATTGAGGTTTTGGCGCGGGTTCTTCTGGTTCGTCTTGTTCCATATCTGAAGTCGGGACATGTTCCTGCCGGGAACAAGAACTGAATTTAACATAGCAAGGAATAAAGAAAGGGAACATACAGGTGTCTTGAACTGCGCGCTGCTCTTCCGTTTCGTTGAGTCCGTCGAGGCTCGACGCGAAGATTCCTTCTCCTTGCCCTTCGCTTTCGCACTCCCGCCCTTGGCCTTGGGCTTCACATCCTCCTCATCGTCTTCAAAGTCATCGTCATCGTCTGGTTCACTACTCTCCGCCTCTTCCTCTTCATCCGAATCCACACGCGCACGCTTCTTCTTTCCAGCTGAGGAGCTCACAGGCGCCCGTGGTTTCTTCACGGTCGACGAGGCCGTCACTTTCTTCTTCTTGGCCGGTGGAGGCGAGTCCTCTCCATCCTCCTCCGAGCTCTCAGCCTCTGGCTCATCGTCGTCGCTCATATCCGAAGTGGGCGGTGGCGACTTTGCTTTCCGCTTCTTGCCTGACGAAGTAGATGCCGATTTATCCTTGCTCTTTGTTTTACTTTTCTTCGGACTCGAAGCTTCATTGTCGGAAGGAGGTTCAGCCTATATTTCAAATCATACGTCTATGCTCAGTAAAAGACGCGTATGAGATGTAACAAGGTCAGACGTACCGTAGCCTTCTCAGTCGCTTCCTTCAACGCGCCCTTGTATTCCGGTACACCAAGTGTCCCAGGCTCCAACCCAAACTTTTCTTCGACCTTTGCTCGAACGAGTTTCATAGTCAAAGTACTGTAATAAGGCCGTGTATATCATCAGTCTCGCGAACCTCAAGTGAACATTATCGCGAGTCCAAAAAAGCACATACTGCAACAACCCGGCATTCACAGCAGGCCGTACGACTTCGCGTACGGCAGCTACAAGTTCCTCGAGAGGGGGTATCGGTGCCGACATCGTATAATCACGAATTCAGTGGTTTAGACCAAGACTGTTGCGCAAATGGACAACACGCGCGACTGCGCGAGACGAGACGCAAGATGACGGAAAACGCGAGGATCGCTTGGGTTAGGAGCAAGCGCGTTGACGTCCAGAGTTCACACGCGCAACTGGCCGGCGCGACCAGAGGCAAAAAGAAGTTCCGACACGGGGAATCGAACCCCGAGCTACCGCGTGAAAGGCGGTAATGTTAGCCGTTACACCATATCGGATTGACAAGAGATGCACCACTATGCAATTCATGGGGTTGGCCAAGGGCTGGATCTACCGGGCGCTTATTTACCTTCTCATGGCATGGGGCTAAAAGGTATCCAGACAACCTTTCGTTGTTCATGTTCAAATGAGATTTGTCTACCACAATTATTCTACCCAGCTGTATACGCATGACGAAGCGAAGGCGCCCTTTCTACCCCAGTTTCTTCCTCTTCTCGTTCTAATACTATTCCCAGCCCACTATCCTCTGGATCCAGAGACGGCGCATACGGCGGGGGCGGTGTCGTGCGTCCCCCTCCAGCCAATTGCTCCAATCCTCTCGTCCCCATGTCCACACCAGAAACCCCATGGACCGGCTGCGACACACTCGCCCTCACATCCGCCGGAACAACCTTCTTCGCCACATTCACCGACCTATCCGCATACCCCAACTCGCTCAAATTATGCCGGTGTGCAATAAGCTGGTTGTACGTCCTCCTAGGAGGGAGAGTGTCGCTTCTTCCTGAACTTCCTAGCAAACCACCGCCGCCGCCTCTGGTACCCCCGCTGAGACTGGGTAAGCTGAATCCCCTACTAACCCTCCACGGCCTCCTCATCCAACTCCCACCCTCCGATGCCCTCCTCCTCGCGGCCGCACTATCCAAGCTCGATACACCCAACGACTCTGGTTCAGGCGGGTGAACCACTGCCCCATGGCTTCGATAAGGATCCATCCTCCTCCCACTGCTGCCAAAGGTCGGAATCCTCTCAGTCAACCTCCTCAATTCAGCATAATCCTCCGCTGTAGCTTCCCCATTCCGAATCTTCTTCAATATCTTCTTGTACTTCTGCCGTCGACGAACTTCGGTATACGCGTCTTTGCAGAGCAGAGCGGTTAGAGCTAGGGCGAGCATAATTGCCGAGCTTTATCCTGGTTGGGACCGGGGCGCGCTCCTGATTCAGGTAATTTCTACTTCGACTAGGGTTGGAGGCGGGGTTGAAATTGATGAAGGTGTCTGCCAGTGGTGGGGGAAAAGGAGAGGAGATTACAATACTTAGAGCGATGAGCGAACAACCGATGAGCTCACAGTGTAAACAGGCTACATGTCTCGGGACGATGGAGCTTCACCTCACCCATGTCTCGTCTCACCCTCAAGTTCCAATCCAACGAACAGGATTCTATTAACACAAATCACAAACGAATGAACGAATCTCACAAAACCAAAAACTCGAATCATAAACAATGATCCTACAATAATACAAAGAAAATAACTAAAAGAAGTGTATGCCAGGGATGTAAGGTAAATAGCGATAACCGATGATGATTAGGGTGTCACGTAGTTTGTAAAGACTGTCAAACGAACAAGGAGTGGACTGGATAAGGCATACTACTATGATCAGAAACTTGGAATCAAACTATGATGTGTATGTACGTGAAAAGAACACAATGCGTTTTAAAAAGATAGGTCGTTAAAAAAGAATGCGAACCCCATTGTATAGATGTGCGAAGATGATAGAAACTGAAAGGAGGTGGGCGGGAAAAAGGGACATAAAGATTGGTATACTCCACGAAAACTAGGTAGTCAAAACGACGAAAGATAATAATAAAAAGGTCATAAAACACATCTTCAGAGTCACGAAAACGAAGCAGGGAGAGGTCTAGGTTGCTGAATATCCAGCCCACCCACACCAGCTCCCTCCCCCGCACCAACATCAACAACACCTACAGGCAACCCACCCTGCACATGACTCTGCACCATCGCCAAATGACTCTCCAACATCTTCCTCCGACGCTCACTAACCTTCCATATCACGTCTTTCAACTCCTGAACCACCTCTCCTCCAGGCCCCCACTTCTCGTTCCGTCCACCTCCCACTTGGCCTTCCTCGTCGCCTCCAGCGTCGTTGGACTGCAGACCGCTTAGACTACTCCGACCACCTCCAGCCTTCTCCCGCCTCTCTCTAACGCGCTTTATCCTCTCCTCCCGGCTCAGCTTGGACCTCTCCCTCGTGAAAGCTCCCACATCCGTAGACGTGTCGGCTTCATACACCTTCTCAGGACCCATCAACGGGTACATCTCGCTCGAATTGAGAAGATGCGAAGTGAGGTCGTCCACCGCCGCCGCTGAAGGACCCAACTCCTCCGAATCGTCGTCTTCATCACCAAACGTAGAAGTTGTGCTAACACGTCCGAGAGATTCGTCGCCCTCGCCTTCAGTCGAGTCAAGCGGAGGCGTAGGTTGTTGGGTGAGAGGGAAAGGCGGGACGTCGATATCTTCGTCTTCAGGTGGGGGAGGCGGCGGGTTAACGAGATCAACCAACTTTTGTCGTCCCCTCTCGCATTCTCGAAGTGCCAGCCCAAGCTCCCTCCTCAACCGTTCATATGCCTGAAGAGCCCTGTGCTCCTCCTCCACCCTCTCCTCCCGCGCGTCCTCCGGATGCAACATCTCCGTATGCGAACGCTTATTCCTCAAACCAGGAATAGGCACAGGACCAGACGAGGACCCAGACGACAGCCTCGACCTCGGCGAAGAACTAGATCCCGCCACAGGAATCCCATTCTCCTCCTTCAACGCGGCAACACACTCCTCCAACTGCTCCCTCGCATCCTCAAGCGCAGTCGAGATCGCAGCCACATGCGCCGCGAACCTCGAAAGATGCGAAGGCATAGGCGCAAAGGAAACACGGTCGTATGAGGGGGTGCGGCGTTTTCCTCCAACGCCATATCCCAGTACGCCCTCAGTGAGAGGGCTGTGTCCGATACCCAGACCAAGACCACTCACGCTCCCGCCACTTCCAACTCGGTTGTGCTGGGCAGCTCGGCGACGGTTGATTTCGAACTCGCCAGAGATGTCGGGTGTGGGGTTCGCATCGCGCAAATGTTGTCGCTCGACTTCTTCCAGCGCCTCGGCTAACCTCGCACTCTCGTCTGCAAACGTTGTCGTCAACAATTCAACGACACTCTTGACGTTTTCCCAATACTCCCTTCCTTCCTCACTGCTTCCATCTTCTTCGTTGAAGCGGAGAGCGAGAAGGTGAGAGCAGGTGTACCGGCGGGATGAGAGCGCTGATAGGAGAGCTTGGTTGAGCGCATATAACGAGAGAGGGTGACGATGTGAAGGGTGGTGTGCGGGGGAAGAAAAGGTCGTAAAGCGGGACGAAGAAAACGTGGTCGTCGGGGCAGAGGAGGACGTAAAGGTCGAATATCGGCCTAACCGGTTCGGACTCCGACTCAGCGGAGGAGACCGAGGAATAGCAGGAGGGGACAACTCGAACGTCCCATATCCCTCCGCTTTCCGCTGTTTCTGCAAATCAAGCGCTGCACTCCCGAAAACGGGTGATTCGGTGTCGTCTTGGAACAAGAGGATTCCGCCGCCGTTATTCTGCTCTTCGGAATCCTGGTGGTGCAGGTCTTCAGCGATTTGAGCGAGTGACGGGCCAGGGCTTGTCTGGAAGGGGGTAATGGGCGTGCTGGCTGAGGCAGAAGATGGCGTTGGCGAGCCCTGGAACAGAACCGAGAGGTTCGACCGGTGCTTCTCTCTCCGTCTGGACATAACTGGGCTTGTCAACCCGGTGTACGAACTCGAGCCACTCCAGGTCGCCCGCTTGTTCTCGGGCGAACTTGCAACCGGTGGTGGCGAGAACTGGTGTCTACTGGGGTACGAGTACGGTCGAGCAGGTGTAAGGCCCTCATTCGGGAGCAACAGCGGACTCTTCACCGGCGACGGCGGAGCGTACATTTCCGAAAGCTGCGAGAGTTCGGAAGGACATGTCAGAGCTGAGAAGAGTTGCCGGACGTTGTCGCATTGCGTGCGAGTAGTCTGGAGCGCCGAATGTACGGCTACGCGGAGTGCATTGGAGGAAGGGGAAGGTGCCGACGTGGGGCTGCGGAGGAGAGTCGCTTCCTCCTTTTCGAGGGTTTGGATCGAGTCTTGAACCGTGGATTCCCATATCCGGTTGGCTTCTACGAGGTCATCAAGGGCGTTTATGGTCTGTAGCAACATCCCGTTTAGCCGGATAACGAAGGGGATTTAGATAAACAACTTACGGGAGTAAAGTCGTAAGAGGGCGTTTCAGACGTGGCGAGAAGGTTGTAAGCGAGGAAGGAGAGGCCGCCTAGGCTGAGTGTGGCGAGCCATCTTCGTTCAAAACTCAACAAGAGTGCAGCGGCGAGTGCGGCTAGCGAAAAGTAGGCATAATGAGGGGGTGGCTGGTGGTTGCTGCTGTTTGGGTGTGGTGTCGTTGAAGAGCTCGGGCTGGAGGGCGGTATTGATAGCGAGTCATCCTTGAGGTTTCCGGGGATAGAGCCGATAGATGAGCGTGTCGCTGGCTGGTGGGACGACGATAACGAGGTCGAGAGGAGGGAAGAGGAGATTATCGTGTATTTAAATCGCTCTACGAATGGATTTGGAGCGTGTGTGGGCCGGGTGGACGAGAGAAATGTCTCGAGGAGCTAAGAATAGAACAAGTTGAGCGCGGTGTTGGGATCAACTGGCGACTTCGTGGCGACGGTCTTCTGCAAATGCAGATCCCTTGGACGACCACGACGACGAGCAGAAGTGACAACTTACGTTTAAACCTACAATCAAGCAATGAGGTCTCCATTCCATCTCTTCTTCTCCTTCTCCAGTTTCGTGTAATGAATCAAAAGCGTAAAGATGTCGGTGAATGTCGATGTCTTCAATTATACTCTGTGAAATACCAGGCATAAGAAGTTCGTGCACTTCGCCTGCATCTGTCGAAAACGAACAGGGGGAGGATTAAATGAGTATAGGTCGTTCAAGAAGTGAGTGTTCGTTCTAGATCGAACGAGCGGTCCAGAGCCGACTGTTCTACATACCTCGCAAATATTGCTCCAACGGACCTTCCTCGAAAACAGCTTGCGCCATCGCCTTTATCCAAGTAACCCCCCTCCCTCCTAAATTTCCAACTCGTAACAACCAGGGGTATAAGAACGTTCAAAAATGGTATCAAAGAAAGAGAAACTAAACGAGAGAAGAGAAGAGAGATGCGACGGTTGACCCAAAACAACTGGTTCCGCGGGTTAGTTGGCAAGCTGTGTGGGGGCCTGAACCATGGGTGGGAATATATTTCTTCCCTTTGATCGTTTTATTCTTATTGTATTACCTAATTTAGTCTTAGCGCCCGCCGACAGCCGACACGCTTCACTGTGTTTGTACACCCTACCCCACACGTTGTACGTCGTTGTTAGACTACGACGCGTCAGGGTATTCAAATTCAAGATAGCCGCAACGCTCGTTGTCGACTGTTGTCATCTCGCTAACCACCAAGTTGCCCTCCAAGAAATGAGCCTGGTGTGTATCACATGGAGGGCCTCGGAACGAATGAATGAACGCGAGAACGTGTCTCGGGTTTGCTTCGAAGAGTTGGAACACGTCGCGTCTTCTCTTCTTCAGGGGGCGAAACATACAGATCGAGCTTAATGAAGGGATAATAATTTCGGAAGCGGGACAAGCTCGATATTAAAGCCTCGAGTACACCAGACTCGAGGGACCGTAGAAAACCCGCGTGCAGGTAACTTGGCGCACGAGGTTGAAAAAATTACAGCGCAGCGTAACAACAGGTCGTAACGACTAGTCAGACCGAACTTCGAATGAGTAAAGAAGTCAAGGTCAGCGGTATTGATGCACGAAAATAGCCTCAACTGGCAAGTCGGCATCCTGGCAGCAAGCGGAAGGAAGTCAAAGTCGGCGATGTCAAGGAATGCTATTCGTCCTTCCGGATGAGAAGGCAAGAACCCATGGGCTTACCCTAGCTAACTGTGCATCCATAAGAATCGAGCGTAGACTGGGCATATTGTAGGCGCCGTCAGAGGGCAGTGATATCTATCTGCAGCGGGAGCGACGATCATCATGAGTGCCTATACACATCCATTTTACCGATAATGACCCTTAACCAGCGCCTAATAAGCGATACATATGTCGCAATGATCCCCTCGACATCGCTAAGCTATACAACCGTCGCAAGACCCTACTTAGTGCAAGCAGTGCTGATCGCGTCGAGAGAAGGCACACGGACTGCTGGTCCAGGTCAAAGCCTGTGTTGGAGTGAGGGATAACAGCTGTTGGCATCCAAATGACGGGAGATGGGCAGAGGAAGATGGGGGGAGATCGTTACCGTCCAAGATGGACTGCCAACCAGAGTTGCTGAGGCTCAAGTGAGCACGTGGAGTCACGGCGGGAGAGCAGAACCCAACAGCTGCGCGAGATACGAGCAGAAGGGAGAAAACAGAAAGCGACTCTCCCATCGCAGTTGCAAGAAATAGGGAGTAAATAAAGCGATCGTCGCGTAGTGACAACGATATCGATGTATCATCCCTAGCCTACTTGAGACAGGATGAGCGGGTGGAGAGCGATCAGCATCAGAGCGAGAGATGTGCGATGTCCGTAAAGCGTCAGAAGGTGATGCTCGGTGGAGCACATCCGAGGACAAGCACAGTCCTTGAAAGAAGTGAGGGGAGACCTCTCTGTATCACACAGCGCACTTGGACCCGCCAAGAATAGGAGGGCGAGATGGTTGAGAAGACTGTTTCTGATTCCAGAGCGTCCGGGTGATTGCGACTACTACCACCATGGGAAGGCCCATTGTGAGAGGCATAGAGAGCCCACCAACACCTGCAGACCGGAAGAGGAGGGAAAGGGCATTCGAGTGTCAGAGGAGGAGGATTGTCAGAGTGAATAGGCTTTGAATAAAATTCTTCAAGCAAAGACCGAGGTGCCCAGACAGAAGAGATAGATCTTTGCTAAGGGAAAGAAGCATTCACATCAGCTTGATCGAGAGGACCTTGTTGTGAAATTTACAATGCATCCGGGGGTGCCAAGTTGGATGATGACTCACCGCTTCATTCCGACGAGAGGCTCAACGACAAAAGTACTGTAAGCCTGAGGAGTTTAGGAGCTGCAGAGAGGGTGACATACGTCTGGAGAAGTGACAGGGGAATGAAAGGCGGCTAGAGTGGTCTGGCGCGAGTCGGGGGTGACGGTGAGAAAAGGCAAGGCCGACTGATCCCGACGCCATGTAGCAACGGAGCACGTGACGTGATTTTGATGGAATGTTGGGCGGGTTGCGGTGCCCTGAGAAAGTGTTTTGCCCTCTTTTGCACCCCTTCAACAACGTCCTTTGAATCGTCTCTCAACCGCTAACTGCAGCGAGCGGCGCACTTCGCCTCCGTCTTCCCCACTTTTTTTCTCGGCGGACGACTCAACCCCACATTCCTTTTGCCTTCCCTTCCTTTATTTTGTCTGAAATAATACCCCACAACCCAACTACTCAATCATGACTGTTACACACCAACGCAGAGACGCCATCCACAGAATGGTTGTCAAAAGACAGAATGGTCTCCCCATCCCTGGTGTTCCTGGCGGCGGCGACAACGACAATGGCGACGATAACGAGACCCCCGACAATGGTGGAGGGGACGATGGCGGCAACGACGGACCCTCGCAGCCCGCGCCTTCCCAGCCACAGCCCAGTCAACCCAGCCCTTCCCAGCCAGCGCCTTCCCAGCCACCTCCGAGCCCATCCCAGCCCCCGGTTTCCCCTTCGCAGCCCCCTCCCAGTACGTTATTTTCCCAATTCATACATCACACACTTTGCTGATGATATAATCAGGCCCTTCGCAGCCCCCGTCGACCCCTCCTACGCAGCCCACACCTAGCCGAGAAGAACCTGAACCGACACCCTCGTCTACCCCGACTTCATCCAGCCCGAGTTCTACTACCCCCTCTTCCACCCGCTCTTCCACCGAGTCTTCTACCAGGTCACCAAGCTCTTCCGCCCGAGCTACTTCCACCACTCCAAGGGTCAGTCATTTATTTATCAATCTACTGCTCCAGGCTCATCCGTAGAATTAGGCTACAACTACCAACACCAACAACATTGCTGGCAATCGCTCTCCCACCTCTTCGTTCTATAGGGCCTCGGGTGTCAGTCTCATCCCCACTGCCAGCAGCATCGACCCTACAAGCAGCACAGAACCCACAGGTGGCATCAGCACCGGTGCCGTAGTCGGTGGGATTGCCGGCGCCCTCGTTGGGCTTGCCCTTCTCGGTGGAATCGTTTCCTTCCTCCTCGTACGTATTCCTCCTGATCTCATCATTCATACCGTTGTTCTAATCAACCCATAGCGCAAATGGAGGAATAGGCGTCGGGATGATGATGAGGACTTTGGCACCGACTTCCGTCGCTCTGCCTTTGTCCAGGACTCGCGTCCTGAGAGCATGACTCAAACTGGTGGCTTTGCCTCTTCCATCGCGGGCGCTGGTGTCGCCGGCCAGGGTGCCTATGGTCAGTACAGCGATAAAGAACAAGTCGCTTACGATATCTCTGGAAACGACGTTGTCCCCGTCGCTCAAACGACCGGTTACGGCGCTACAGACCACTCGGCTCACCACGGTGGAGGTCTCCAGGAGCGACCCAAATACGTCTACGGCCAGGCTGATCCACACTCACAACACGATGACGATGTTAGTGAACATGCCCATGGTGTTTACTCGTCGCAGCCTCAGATGCAGACGGCATACAACCCCGAAGCCTACGGATCCTACGCCGCCTACGACAACACTGCTGGGTACCAACAGCCGACTCGTGAATATCAAGGTCAACAGGGTTACACGGATAACACCGGATATGGCGCGCAGGGTTATGGATATGATCAAACCGCCTACGGAAACAACAACTATGCTCAGGGGTACGATGCTTCGCAATACCCTCAGTATGATCAGCAGGGCCAGCAGCAATACGATCAACAAGGCCAGCAGCAATATGACCAACAAGGGCAGCAACAGTATGCTCAGTATGATGCTAGTGCGTATGCTGTGACCAGCGATACCACTGCCCCTGCTGGTGCCGCTCCCGCTGCTGCTACTGCCACGGCTATGACTGGTGCGGCCACCACCACTGCCGGAGCACACAAGACGCAGCCTTCGCTTGGCAAGAACACCGAGGACGCCTATGGTGGTATGTAAACGAACCTCACCGTAGCTTCCTTGTCTGTCATCCCGTCCTCTGGAGTACAACGTCGACGATGAATAATACCCCCCACGTACGCATTACACGGTTCCATCTTTTTTACTTTTTTTCTCTGCAACACCTCACCTTCACGTTCCTATTTTCACGTTCACCTTTGGGTACTGGATATATCAACCCGAAGTTCTCCCCCCTACTAGCTTCGTCTTTTTGTATCTGGGCTGGAAAAAGGTAAAAAATGTGTGTAATGAGTATGTTTGTGGTGTGTTTTCCCTTGTCGTTGGCGGATTGTGCTTCCGAGTTGTATACTTTTTTCTGACTCTTGACTTGATGCTCATGTTCATGGCCTTGCGATACCTTTTTGTCTTTATCCCCCCTTCCATTGGTTCGGTTTTTGCTCTCGTATCTTCTTTTTATGACCCCTATTGCTCTATCACCTGCCTGCCTGCCGTCCTCACCCTCCCATCATTGCACGTTCGTCTTCTGCTCGCCGCCCCCTGTCCCGTCCCCTGTATACTTATCACTACTTACTACTATCCCGTTCCCCCTTGCCCGTTTATCTTTTTCTTGTGAGACTCTGCGTATCGATATATTATCTATCATACAATACCCATTTTCTTTTCCTCTCTCTCTCTCTCTCTATTGCCTCATCGCTCGCTCGCTCGCTAGACTTGTGTGTTAGTCGGTCGGGTGGGAGATCTGGGTGGGATGCGCGGTGGATTGGAAGGACTGGTGGATGACACTAATGAGCTTCTTGGGATGTCGATGAAGAGTGGAGTCCACGATCGCTCTTGTCGTACGTCGTCGACGCCTTCGACGTGCTAGAAGCGTTCGTTCCTCCTTGAAGGCTTCTGGTCCAAATCCAAGCCTTCTTGACGCCCACCTGGTCCTTCGTACTGCGTACTCAATGTGTACTCGCCGGCCTTCCCTTCCCACCAGACGCACCCACCGCCCACCACCCACTCGCCTCGTCGTTACTCCTGACCTCCTTTCCCGTCACCCGTATCCGTCATCCGTATAATTATTGCTCTCTCGTCCTTTTTTTATATCTATTTATTGGAAGTAGTAAGTAGGGTACTCCGTAGTATACCGAATATGAATTTTTTGTAGTAAGAAATGAAGTGTTTTGTGGTCTGAATGTAATTGGATTTGGTCGGTCTTACACAGGGTCGTTCTTACTGTCAAGGCTTCTTGGACTGTTCGTTCCACAGCCAGCTTCTTCGACTGTTCGCCTTTTGGGGTCAGGCGAGAGGCTGACTGTGAGAGGCGCCCCGACCTCTCCTCACAGCTCTTGGTGCACACTGCAGACACAGGCGTTCGGTGAAGGTGGGACACTATCTACCTTGGCGTACCAGAGGCTAGCCTCAGTTGTATAGGCTAAACGTTTCTATAGGCACACACTACCGGGCAGTAGCGGGCTATGTAGATTCCTGCACATGTGGTCAATCCAAGAGGAATGGCCCGGAGAAAGCTTGCGGCATTGGAGCGAACTGTGCAACGGAGAGGGTCTCGGGTACGGTGGGTGGGGAGTCTTGGGCCTCCGCCTGGGACACAAGTCGGAAAATCTTCTGGTTTACCTCCCAAGGTTTCATGTTTTCTTGCCAACATGTGCCGCGCAGTTCACTCTCTCGAGCCTGGTTGAACAAGGTGGACCAAAGGACCAGAGTTATCGGTATCACTTTTTTGCTGTGAGGCTATACGAAAGTCGTATGGGTTAGTTGATTTCGTCGTGCGTCGTTGCAAACCGGGATCTCGACATCTAGACTCTGTAGCTGTGGGTTTGTACCTGATCCGGATCCGAGTGGGGCATCACTGTTGTGTTGGGGGAATGGGAGGAGGGGAGGAGGGACTAGAGGACGTTGGCGGTAGACATTTATTGACCATTGTAAAGTTGACCAGGAAGTCTTCAATTGTTGTATAAGAAGGGGTTGAAGACTGGTGTGCAAAGTGCATACGTCGTCGATGACGATAGAGCGATCCCGCCAATTAGCGTGGCGGCCGAATTGATCCCGTCTTTCCGGCTAGTACCCTGACAACCCTCTCCCCGAGGAGGGCATCGTTCCACCTCTCATTTCTTTCAATTCAGAACTCGAAGACTCTTGGTCCTGACTGTGAGTCCTCGAAAAACCTTCCATCTGTGATATCGTAGTCCACAGAAGGTGAAGGATTGTGTATATTCTCACCTGAGCGAAACAAGCCGAACAAGGGCCAGGGAAAAGAACAGGATGGTCTCCTCAGCAACGGTGGACAGAGGAAGGGATAATGAAAATGATGCGTGATCAAGACCCGGAATCAGTTCTGTTTCTTGCCAGTCTTTTCTCATCACTTTTGTCCCCTTTTCCCCTCCCCGCACCCCCCTGTATACCACAACTCCCCCCGCTCTGAGGCTTTAGTGAAGCCTCTGTCCCGTCCCTTTTTCCCTCTACGGTCTTTACCAACGATCTTTACTATTTATCCTCTCTCTCGTTTTCTGATACCAACCACGACAACGACACGGAACCACCTCGAAAGAAAGAAAGAATAAACAGAAAAGTCGACTTTTTCCACCAAAAACACACAGACGTCTTTTTTCTGCAACTGTGGCGCATTTGTATAGTTCAAGCTAGTACTTGAAAGAAAGAAAGAAGAAGGAATCATGCAAAACTTTGGCCATGACTTTTCGAGTGGGAACCATAGACGGATGTTGGAGAAGAGGCAGAGGCAGGTCATTACGACCACAATTACCGGACGTGTGTATTGTTCTTGTCTTTGCTCGCTGTGTGTGGGGTGTCTGATGCTTGAGCTGCTGCTGGTGCTTGGGCTGGTTAGCCTCGACGACTGTGACGACCGTGGCGACTGTAGTGAGGCCCCCGTCCCTGCCCACCCTCATTCCAAGGCCGAGACCAGGTGACGACGACGATGAGGATGAAGACGAGGATGAGACGACGACGCGTGGTACCTCAACGTCGCGTGCAACCACCACCACTACCGAAAGCAGTAGTTCAACAGCCATCTCACGAGCCTTGAGCAGCTCCGCCGCCATCTCCCAGGTATAAAGTCCGCAATCTCGCTTTTCAAGGCCTTTTCTCAAGAGTGTTTTGTGATTTTGTAGACTCAGCGTCCCACTGCCTCGAGCGACCTCACGTCTCTACGTCCCAGCGCGTCCCTTGTCCCGGAGATACGCACTGTTACTGAGACCTACACTCCTTCAGCCTTCTGCAAGTGCGACAGATGTTCGCAGACAGGAGTTACAACGGGAGCCCAGAAATCAGGAGGAACCATCGCTGGTATCGTCGCCGGCACGATCTTTGGCTTCATCGGTCTCGCCATCTTCACCGCCTTCATCGTCGTATGTGGATCCTTTTCCTCCCTAAAGATCAGCATACCTATTTTGATTCCTCTTATCCTCCGGCGTTGTCAATCTTCTATAGCGTCACCTACGAAAGCGAGCTCGAGATCGCGAAGAATGGGATGCAGCCAAGTTCCGTCGCTCGGCGCTCATGCTCAACGATGAGAAGAGTCAGCCTCCACGCACGCCTCGTCCACCGAGCATGATTGAACGTCGAGCACAGGCCAACGTCAACTCGGTCGTGTCTGTCCCAAACCGCGCCTACCCCTTCTCGGATACCGCCTCGCAGTACAGTCGCGACCAACCCAACTTTGGGCAACCCGGATTCGATACCCGCGGACCTGCCACTCCCCAGCCTTATGGTTCGCCCAACCCGTACGGTGCAGCACCAGTTCCCTACACTGGTCAGAATATGTATGGTCAGGGTGGAGACAGAGGGTATGGAACTGCGTATGGAGCGGCGGCAGGGTATGGAGGTCATCCTCATCAGCAGCCACAACACCACCCTCAGCACCCCGCCTACACCCGTCTCGGCCACAACAACTCCCCTGCGCCCTTCGCCTCCTACGCTCCCGGTACTCCCCAACCTTCTCATCTCAACCCGCACCTGAACGTGGGCCCAGCCGGCCCAGGCACAATGTCCCGCGCCAACACGACAGCGAGCAACCTCCCCAACCCATTCTCGGAGAGTGCACCCGTCTCGCCACGTTCCTCCGGTGCCTCGTCGTCTGATAGCGGACACGGTCGTCCTCCGCTCCCACCGAAGCCCGAGGAGTACCTGACAAGGGCCCATGGTGACGATGATGCTCCACCGGCGTATACGGATGATGGAACATACGCGAAGCTTCAAAGGGATGTTAAGAATCCGGTTGTGATGACTGTGGAAGGTACGACGTCGGGAAGCCCTGCATCCGCTGCTCCTGCTCCCGCTGCGCCTTCCTCCACCCCTCCTCATGCTGCTGCAACGCCCCCTCCGGCCCCAGCTGCTTCGTCGACGCCTCCTCCAGCTCCAGCTCCGGCTCCGGCTCCAGCTCCCGCTTCGTCTGCCGCCCCTAGCACCACCGCTACCACTACTTCTTCCACCACCCCCGACAACACCAGCAACGTAGGCGGCAACAAGGCCCGACCTATCTCCTCCCACACCGTGTACGATCCAAGCGACGCCTACGGAGGCATGTAAAACAGTATACCAATGTTGACTTCTTTTCGAAACATCCATCTTATTTCTCAACCCTTTCTCCCACTTGTTTTCTTTCCTTCGCTGGCCCCGTTTGATCCACGTGTGTGCAACGGCAAAACCTACGAGCTGGAGGGCTGGTTTCTATTTGCCGACCACTTCTCCCCTTTTTCCCCCACTTGCGCCTTGAAATCGTGTGAACCTCTATCGCGTTTTTCTTTGCGTGTTATCTTTATTCTCTGTTGTGTTTGCCGTTTTCCAACTTTTTGTTTTGTTGTTGGTCCTTAGATACCCCTCCAGCGATCGAGTTACATGTTAGCATTCCTCTTTCCTTTTAATACCCCCTCTTCCAATGTTTTTTCATTGTTTCCAATAGGTTTCCAATAGGTCATCCTACATGCCCATTTCCGCCCGCCTACTCACAGCATCATCATATCCCTCCTCTTGACCTCTTATATTCGAATTTCGAAGCTAACCGCTACCTCCGCCCTCATTTCTGCCTTTTCTTCCTCCGCTCTTTTCTCCTCCTTCACGGCCGGTTAGGTCTCCCATATATTCGAATTCGTCCCCCTTCTAATGATGTTTGCTGTTGTTGTCTATCATAGTACCTCCCTTCGTCTGTCTCACACCCATCATGTCCCCATTTCATCCCTCATTTCCACGTTTCGAGTAACCCTCCGTCGCTGGTCTACTCCATTTCATTTTTTACTTAAACTTTTAAGCTTAAAGCTTTGTTTGAGAGTTTCTCAACTATTCAAACAACCCTGTACATATTACCATCCTGTCCCCACACAGATACCAGAGTATACCAAATACGATTCGCTGGTTTAAATCATTGGGGTGTTTGACGTCCTTCATTCAAGGTTTCTTTCTTTCTTTCCTTCGGTGCCGCGCGTTTCATGACGTTCCGCCTTCTTTTCGTTCCTCATCCGAACTTCCGGTGACCGACTCACGAGCGGGGTCTGATCGCGAATTCGGTTGATACTTTCCTTTCACCGTCCCTTGGAACCCGGTTCGAGTTCGTGCCAGGTCGTCAAAACCTCTCATAAAGGAGTGGCAACACCCTAGAAGTACGCCTCGATGCAGCCGGTATGTACGTTTCGAATAGCTCTTTCACCGATTCGTCGTAATAGAGTTGGACGTAGTCCCAGTCCATGGTGAAGAACCGGACGTGGTCTTCGAGGTTGTTCGTTCCTGGGTCGTGTTCGAGTTGGAGGTGTCGTCCGAATTGTTTTAGGAGCTGGTGAAAGGACGGTGGAAGTGGGGTACGTAGTGGAGAAAGGTGTAAGCAAAATGAGGAGTGGAGGGAGTCGTGGATGTACTTACTTCATCGACAGTAAGCTCCTCATCGATTGTAATTGCAAATTCTGGGTCTTGTTTCCGATCCATCTTTGCATAATTAGTGTAATGTGGGCATTAATCCCTATTACTTCAGACTGAAGGCGTAAGATGTTCGCAGATTGCTTACCTCACGATACAGCTCTCGCTTATCGAGAGAGAATTTGGTGGTATGCTCGTACGGTTGAAACAAGAACGTAAGCTTGCGAGCTATTTGGGTGTAAACTTCCTCTAACGAGTGCACCGGTCCTCGATCTTCGTATTTCTTGATCCTAAAGCCAAAAACAGACATTGTTGGTCAGAGGTCGAATCGAAATTTAGTGATGCGTACTCTTCGTCAGAAAGTTTCCTCTGGAAACATATGATGTCTCCATTTAATGATCCGGTGTTGACAAAGGTGTGTTCTGGCTCCAGAGGCTCAAGCAGGTGCGGGCTCATTTCCTATGTCAAGGCATTCGGCGGGGTGAGGGTCGGGGGACAGTAATATCAGGAGTCCTACCCCGTATAGCACCAGGTCCGTGTCAGCCTCCCACCCCATTTTGTGGTTAATTATGGGAACGAGGGTCTGGACGTCGTCCGTCCCAGAGACCTCCACGGAGCCTATGTAGGAAAGGCGTTGCTGTTCTATGTCAAAGTACTTGAGGAAAAGTAGAGCACTGTGTGGGGGCGCGTGGCCCTAAGTGGCTCGGATAAATTAGTTTCTTCAGAACTTAGCTTACGGAGACCTGGCAGGTCCTACATACCTTTCCGACATATACCGCCAAGCCTGGTTGCGGGAATACTGGCTCTCGTGAGCGACGGTAAATGTGGTAAACTTTCTTCATGGCTGGAGACATTGGTCATGCGGGTCAGCAAACAAATGGTTGTAATATAACACTCACTCATCTTTGAATCTTCTAGCTCGGTATTGGGTCGGACTGTTCCATTCTGTCGACAAACCATCACCCATATCCGAAGACCATGGGCGGGAAAGTCGAGATACCGTGCCACTCTGTTCTTGAATTCGCCCAAGGTTTCTTCGTACTTTGCATAGAGGCGAGGGATTCTGACGCTAGGATGCCCTCCGATGTAAGAGGTGTCGAACAAATCAACGCCAGTGTGGCGACGCATTACATCGTCTGTGATAAACTGAAGAGGCAAAATCGCAGTTAGACATAAGAATTAACGAGAGAGGGTGCGAGTACTTACGGACACAGGGTATGTGTTGTCTTGGTCCAGACTTCCCTCTGGATGCCTTACACTTCTTTTAACTGGGATCCGTTAGCCTTCAGAATCAATGCTTTGGGAATACGTGCTTACCGATATGTGGTGGGACGGTTTTATCGAAATCATCAAATTCGCCCAGGACTTCGGTGATCGATAAGGCTCGTACATATGTCGCAATCTTAGCCTTGCTGCCCCAGCGACCGCTGATGGGGCCCTCGCATGCCGTAGCCCTCGCATGTTCGACGAAGTGTAGCCATTCGTCAGACCTGCAGCGAGGGGAAACCATCAAGGTGTATCCCTCGGATTGCCCTCTTCCTTGATGGAGCGTCGCGCCGAATAGGCGATAGACTGATGATTGGGAGGTCACCCTCCCTGGATTCGGATCCATAAACTCGCCCAGGTCGATCTCTTCTGGGAGCTCGAATGATTCGTTGTCGACCCGAAAGACGTTGTCGTTCTCGCCATCCAGCTCGAAGAGGGTCAGCCCAATCTGTAGAATTGGAGGAAGTTCTACAAAAGTAACTTGTTCTCCCGTTGATGGGCTTGTTCCAGTCGGCAGAACATATGGATCGCTGTCGAACTGGTGTGTGGTTGTAAAGTGGAGTAGCGAGTCGCGCAGAGATTTCATCTTGTGGACGCGAACTTCCAGAGCTGAGAATAACTGGACATCTGCCTCAGAAGGCCATCGGAGGAATGCTAAGCACATACCATAGAAATCTTTGTATTCTGAACCGCGTCTCATCTTCCCTCGAAAGAGATTTTCGACAACACCTTCCGCGGGACTTCCCTGTTCATCTCCGGTGAGAGGTGGGAAGAGGATGCAGCTTACTCATACCTTGAATGCATCCTGTAGCAACGGGAGGAAGGCCTCGTTGAATACAATTGGATCATAGGATATCGTGCCATCGGACTTCCTCCATCCAAAGCATCGCGTTAGTTCGGTCGTTTCTGGTACAGCTTGTTCAGTTTTCACGACCTGTACGTAGGCGGTTAAATGCGCCTTTACCAACAGGTATTCCCTTCGTGAGAAGGTAGAATATCTTCTGCAGCGCCAATACGACGCTGTGTCCTTCAATGTGGCGTTCAGTCGCGACCGAGTAGAGGGCCTGAAACTGTGGGCGATTCCCCCCAAAAGAGTAGTGTCAAGTTGGACTGACCTTCCTCAAACGCCCAATGAAGAACAGATGGTGTAGATTAACATTGATATACTGGGTCCATCCTTGATTCAAAAGGTACCCAGTGACAAAAGGGAGCGGGGACGATTTGACTGACGCTGCCGCAGTCGAGCATGTACCCGATTGCTTCATACTCTTGTATTTCCACTGCTGTATGTGGTCGTTGGAATGGGCGTTGACAGGGACCCCTCGGCGCCGTGGTGAGATCTTGAGGGGCTACGCGACAACCATGGTGACGGTGCGGAATGGCCTGCCTCGTGCTGGGAATGGGGAGGACAGGGGCTCTCTCTTTCCTTTCCGGGAGACCTCATCAACCCAGGTTCAGAGGTGTCGCTGCTGCTCAGAGCTCTCGAGGAGAGCCAAGCAGTGAGACTTAGGAGTTGATATACTGCTCTAAAATGTTATCGTGCAGCTCTGCTTGTCCAGAGTGGCTTGCCCGCTTCGAATACATGACATCTGGCGTTAAGCGCCCAAACTCAGGGGTGTTTCCCGATCCAAACTGTTGAGGATAGAAATACAGGGGGACCCCAGGCCTCAGGATTCTACCAGACTCATATCTAATGCATTGACCTTTCCGCGCAAGTGGCCATTGTGACGGTAAGGTCTGATCGCTCGCTCACGTTTTAGAATCGATATTGTAAGACGACAAGCCTGACGCTCACTGCCGCTACACCAAAAGGCAACATGACTCAAGAGCTTAGCTCTTGAGCCACCGTCAGGTATATGTGCACGTTATGGGAACCGTGGTAAGCCACCGGCCTTACAGATATCATTCGAAGATTGAAGTCTTGCCCGCCGGCTATCGACAGGATTATCACGGTGTCGAGCGTTCAGTGCTTTGTATACATTGCAGGGAGGTTGCGAGATGGGCAACCTATGATCCAGAGGTCTACGGAGTCCGACCGGAAGCTGCTTGAACTTAAAACCTTGAGGGTTCGATTGTTCCGTCAGATCCGAATGACTCGCCAGAACGGTAGGAAGAAGGAAGACGACCGATGGGTCTGCACCATTGTACCAGAATCGTTGGACTTGTGAGGCCTTGGGTAGCACGACTAGTTTGAGCTCGAGTTGACTGGGCATTCCGTTGAATTGGTAACCTCGTGCACAGAATAGCGCTGTGTACACGAACGGTTTAGATCTGGTTGAACGTCATGCCTGTCAGCAGCTGGGATAAATGCTGGGTAGAGGATCTGGACCTTGTTTGCGAAAGTACCTACATACCCAGGGACGACTCGGCCGCCTCAGGCGGTAGGCGCTGTGTTACATTTCTTAGCATGGGCAACACCATGAATGAGACAAACCCCGCAGAGAAAGCAAAGCCCCAAAGCGGAAACCGTCATAACAATGAGGGTGACCTGAAGGTAAGGATTCTGTCCGGTGCCGACTAGAGCGCGTGAGATGAGATGTCTCCTAGTAGTCTTGGTACATCATCGTGGATAGGTGGAACCGTCGGTCAACTGAAAGAAATCTGCGGAAAATGCCAGTATTAACTGCCCTTCAGGACCTCCGCATCCGGTACTCTGGAAGCCTCCCACAGCACCGCGAGTGGATTGCAGCCGACAGCTCTGGTCTAGGGCAAGAACAGGAAACTTCTCCCCACAACAGCGAGACGCGGGTAAACAGCAAAAAGACCCAGAGGAATAAGAATCAAAAAGTGAGCCCATCTATGCGGATAATATCGTGTATGACCAGCAGATTCAAATAGGCACTGATCTTCCAAATTGGCCCGGGTAAGGACGACGGTGTTTCCAAATTGAAAAGACGCACGTAGGAGAACCGACGGCCACAGTAGCGTCAAATCCAGACAGAGCCGGCGCTGCGGTCGACCTGGAATTGTCCCTGAGCCCTCTACGGTCCGATCACCTGGCGGGTGAGATCAGCGATTGCATAGGCGTCTTTTCTGACGAGGCAGCCTCGGCTCGGTTGAAGCTGGAACTGGGTTGGCAGGTTTCAATTGGAGGACATCATGGGCCTCGCAGAAAACAAACCCTTCCGTTTATTGGGTTGACGGTGGCGCAAGGTTAACGTATATATACGCACCATTCGAATTTGAGGCCGCGCCTCATCCAATGGCCCACAAAGCAAGCGACCTGCTTGTCTGCGTTACGACACAGCCGTTATCACACAATGACAATGGGCGGACAATACCTTAAAGCCAGAACGTCCTCAAAGTCAGGATCTGCGAAAAACCAACGGGTTCCAGGATACAGTTCTCAGTGCCACGAATGAGCCGGCGACGGAAGACGCCTAGCCTGGATCGGGGTTACCTTGTCAGCCACTTATGAGCACACAAAGTATGCTCGGCGAAGCCTCGTCCTAGGAGATGGAGCTTGCAACATGCGTTTCGTAACGAAAGATGAATTCCTGAAAGTCGACAACAAACGAACGTGAGAAGTATTTTGAAGAGTGAATGCGAAAGCGAATGATAGTGGAGGTGAGTGTGGTCACTGATACAAGTACAAATGAATGAATGTCTGGCCTGTGTACATATTAATGAAAGACATATGTCTGGGGGTATTAAGTCGTAGATGATGTCTATTTGGGAAGTGTCCGGAGGGTATGGGTATGGCTGGAAGGCAGGTCCTCTTCACTGTCCATGAGCCACATGTCCCGTTCCGTGGTGGCGAGGGCCTCGTTGACAAGCATGGAATGCTCTCTCCAGAGTTCTGTCTCTGTTGGGGAGACTTTCCGTCGCAGTTGAAGAATCCTGAGAAACAAAAGGTTTAACGAAACGAATATTGTCGATTGGACAAAAAGCACTTACACTCGACAAGCCTATGTCAAGGATCCCGCAACTGTCAATGTTTCATCAAGGCAATGAACGGACCAAATGCTTACCACTAGGTTGGGGACAACCAAAATCAGAGGGAGACCGACGCCCGTGTGATAGCTTGGCGGTCTATCGAACTGTCAGCGCACGGTCGATATAGTAGCGGGAAATGTGAAAGCATACTTAAAGAAAGTGATGGCGGCTGCGGCATTCACAACCGTGACCGTCACGAAGGAGCTCAGACCTTTCAATAAGAAGCGTCAGCGGTTGACCTCGAGGGGATAACTCGAGGAAGACATTACCTTGTTTGATAAAATATCGAGTGAGAGAACCCCCGCGATGGTCGCTCTCCCTTTTACAGTACTGTTGTGGACGGTTTTGATAAACTGCGTGCAGCACAGGGAACCGGACTCACGATAAGAACCGTCACCAATGACACCAGATCCATGAGGACAGCCGCCAGCTAGTTCAATCGTCAGATTGGCCAGTAAAGGACATGATCTGGTTGCTTACCATCGAGAACTGAAGGGATAAGGATCAACAAATCATTTTCAACTGAGGGAAAGGACTCACTCCTATACGCAAGCCCATAACATCCGACCCATAATCCGGGAAACATCCCGATTCTCCTCCGAAAGCCCAGTAGAAAAGTTTTGGTGGCATCTTGACGCCAATGCAGAAGGCCCAGAGGTCAACTCCAACCAACGCGACATAACACATGCTCAGAATGGCGAGCACAGTGGAGCTGCGTCCTGAGAACGCGTACGCCCTCATGAACATAACGGCTGTCAAGAGAACTCAGTTATACTGCCCCGCGAATATGTGAAGAAATCATACCTTGAGGAAAGAATTGCTGAGATATATGGTAATCAGGTGAGTATTATGGAGTGCATTTGGTGATGAAACACGCCACTTACGCAAGGAGCGAGGAGAACGTGAATAGGCTTCCCACTGCGTGCGCAGAGCGCCTCTGGGTGATCCAGCAGATAAGCCCACATTACAACAGGCCAGAGGAGGAGTGGGTAGTAGCGGCAGAGAAGATAGGCCACTTTTACAGAGTTCCATTTGGCATGGTAAACCTGCGTTTCAGTCATGAGAGCAGGATTTTTGCCAAACGCGATTCGAGACGAACCAAACGAATTTCTTTTTCCAACCTGCAGCACCCAGAGGAATTAGCACTGGGACTGGATATCAGAGTGCAGTGACTCACCCGGTGAACCACTCATAAATCTGCAAGGCATATACGGCTCCGATGGCATATCGTGCTTCTTGTATAGCATTGGCACCCCAGAGAAAATCGTCTGGCCAGTTAGTATAGACGAGCTCTCCTGGCATCGTTCATTGGGGCCCACTCCGTGTAGAGACGGATGGGGGGGAGGGCCACTGGGCGAAGGTGGGGGAGGAGAGGCAAGGGCAGGGGAAGTGGAAATGTCGTGAAACTGTTGCGTTTACCATTCTTGAGTTCGATGTCCGCGAATGACAGATTGTGGTGAATTTAGTTAAATGGGGAACACGTCTGAATAAGGGCCTCACCATCGCCTCCCTAAAGGCTCCGAAAGCCTCCGTGAGCCATCAATCATCCTGTTCGGCTCCCTGAAACTTGAGAGGAACAGCTCCGATTGGGCTCAAGAAAGTTTGAGAGTATGTAGTAGCAATATAACAAGTAAGTAGTACCTTGGAAATGTCCCTAGAATTGCGAGGTTCTGCGGCATCAATTAATGAAGGGCTTTATGGATGCTTTGTGTGGGACGATACTGTGAAGATCACGGGTAGTATGAGCAAACCCTAAATCATTCCGATCCAGAAAAGCAAACCTATCCCAAACCTATACTGTGGGCACTGGGACATCCATGGGCGAGCCACCGCCTTTGTGTAGCGCTCGATAGGACGTTACTGGTCTACTTCTCAATGGAATGACCATTGTGTTAGGGGTGGATTCAGAACGATTGAAACGCCAGTTGTTCCTTCGTTGACCGGGACTCTACTATCCCAGGGCGCTCCAGTCTGCAGATTGAAGCGTCGTTCCCATGAGGTACATAGGGAAGAGTCGCAGAGGAGACCTCTCAGTGCAGTCGTGGAAGTGAACGATGTCCCCTCTTGGGGTGAAAAACAAAGATTGTTTGCGGGCCAAAAGAGATATGAAGCCAAAGCTATGAACAACCCAAGCTCGTCAGATCCCTTTCCAGTCGACTTCCTCAGAAGGACGCACCGAGATTCGCGCTCTGAGAGCAAGGTATGGTTCGGGATTGGCCTCCCTAGGAGACAAAAATTGCCCACACCGACCCATCAGGCCTTAGGCCTTAGTGCTAACCTGTGAGCCTTCTCTCCAAAGGCGATCTTAATAAAATATTACCAGCAGAGCTCATTTCGCGAGAATGGGACGCCATACCCGGGCTCATGTACCTGAACGGGTCTGTCGATGATCTTCTAATGGATCAAGATCATACGGGAAGCGCTCCGCACACCATTTTCCATCGAGTTTAGCCTATTGCGAAGACGAGGAGTAGAAGGCGAAGCTCCAGACCAGCATTTCGTGGAAGAGCGAGTCTCAGAAGAAAGGGCAACAATCCAGACTGGACGAATTGTGCGGGCTGGCGTTGCCCTTGTTTGTCGGTAGCCCCTATTAAAGGGCGAGCGCGTCCGATTGTCCGCGAGGAAGGTGGGCCATGGCATGGAAAAGCACTAATAATCACTCTGAGACTACTAGACGAACGTCATGGATAACGGAAAGCAAGTCAATTCGCGTTACAGCGCGGAAAGCCAATAGATTGAGTAGAATAACGTCGCGGCACTCCCACCGCCTCGACAACCACTCAGACCTCGCCACCATAGAAATCAACTTCCAGAGTCTCAGCGCACTCCGCCAAAACCCTCATGAGTTGCGCCGCATCTGCCAAGCGCTCGCGCATGGCCGCATCCCTCGCCTCCATCTCCATCTTCAACATCCTAATCTCTTGCTCGTGTCGCGAGGAGGATAGCGATGACCGTTTCCTCTGTGTGCATCGGCCGCGGCTGGGTGTTCGGTGAGCGCTTAGGCTGTTGCCAAGGGTCAACAGGTACGCTCGTCTCGTCCAGCAATTTGGGAGGCGAGTGGGCGGATAAAAGCGCCGGAAGCGCACAAGTGGGCAACGGTTCGGTAAAGGTCAAGTATGACCCTACGTTGGAATGTTGGACTAGAGAAGGGGCCGCATCTATTTCAATGTGTCGAATGGACCTCTAACTGAAGGGTACTTACAAGTGGGCTCTGCAAGCGGAGCAACAGGGCGGGACGGTAAGGTTTCTGGGCGTTGATCAAGAAAAGGGCATACCCTATCTGACCAGGACCTCTCGGTAACTTACTTACTTTTTTACTTCCCAACTTCTCGAACTTCGAAAAGCGGATATAACCACTCGATTGTGATCGCCGTAGGCACCTAAAGGTAATCTTTCGTCTGATCCCGCGACGATGGTGGCCAACCCGGCTCTGTACTCGGGAGAAGATCTGTTGCACGGAGGATCTCTGAACAGGCATCACGGCGTCTCGAAGCTAGAAAGAGATATAAGGAACGGGGAGCCTGCTGCAGGATGGAATGACCGATTGAACCGCAAAAAATTGTGCACTGCCGTCAGTGTCAGTAAATTGAGTCAACAAGTCATCAAGCTGAACCCTTACCTCAGGTCTCCATGGTCGTTCTGGATCGTGAATAATTAGAGCCACCATCAGAACAAAATCCATGATGTACAATACTGACGCTGGGCGCGAGGGATCATTCGTCAATACCACATAGAATTGCCCGAAGACCGAATTCAAACGAATAAAGATATATGTGCAAAAGAATCGCGACAGCTCTACACAATACCTTCGGACTTCAAGCCACCTAAAGCAAGATAAGCAGACCTCTTATCCCTCTCCATTCCAATCCAATCTCGATTGGGGATAGGATCGGGAACCTCCACTCCATACACATACACATCATCGTCGTCATCGACCACATCCATCTGAGATTCTGTCTTTTTAGCTTTGGCTTCAGCTTCCTCTTGCTTCCTTTCGTCATCTTCCCTGGACCATAGTACATCTTGCCAGTTGGCACTGTTGGCGGTTAGAGCGAAGATGTTGGCGCCTGGCCGGCCGATTGGGAGAAGGGATGTGAGGAAGTTGGAATGGAGCTCCGCTTGTGCGTCTGGGTCCATGTATGGCATTGGGAGGTATTCGACCTTGAAATGGATTTCAGATGTAAAGGAGGCGCAAAAAACACTGATTCGAGAACTCTACCTCCAACAACATCCCTCGCATTGTCTCCTTATTCTTCACCATCCCAACACGAACCAACCAATCCGATCCAACTTGGAACACCTTTCCTTCAATATTCAGCTCCGACGCAGTATACAGCGCATTCGTAGCCGATGCCGATGTATTCCTTGTAGTCGCAGCCTGCCGCACGGGCATCCACCTTGCCTTGAGCTGAACCAAAAGCTGCTCTAGGGCACCTGGTGGTCGAACAGTGAGGAATGTAGACCGGTAATGGGTCATCGGTTCCGTAAGACCTCGCTCAACAGCTTCACTCCGTGTTGGTGCACCCGGATCTTCGAGGAGGACAAATACGTTTTCGCCCATCGTCACTGTGAGCATGGTTCGTTCCATCATGGGTGGACCACTCGGTGCAGAATCAGGGTTGTTGGGGTTCATTCCAAACGTGGATCGGTAGGATTTGATAGACATTGCCCACCGGCCTACTTGATACCCCTGGATAAGTAAGTTAAGCGCTGAGGTCGAATGAAAAGGTTAGGGAAGACGCACTTGCTTACATTGTGGTTCACTCGAATACTGTATTCCACTTTGCTGATAGCTTCTGCATCAGCATTCCCCCATCGAGCCATACTTGGAGCTACATCAATTCCTGGTATGTGCAACCAATGTCATTTGGGAGACATACGCTGTGAAGCCCATCCTGAATCCTCAGAATTGAATAAGAAAAGTCCAATGAAGGTAGAGGAACGAGAACAAGAAGCAATGATGGCGTGTGGGAAACGATCACCGAAAGCGGGAGCGTGACACAGATCCGCGTGACTGTGACCGCTCGCGCAAAGACCGTGTCACGCGAAACGGTCCATGATTTCCGAAGACCAGCATCAACGTCGAGCTCATCGTTCCCTGCATCACCCTCACCATGGCAAAGCGAAAGATTGACGCAGTAGACGACGCGACGACGAGAGAAACGCGCAGGACGCGCTCAGCAGGGCGGGCAGAGGCCACAGAGGCTCCATCGAGACGGCAAGCGTCCCCTCGGAAGGCAGTGAACACGACGAAGACCACCGCAACGCGGAGCAGAGCCAAGGGAGAGGCATCCCAAGCCCGAGATAAAGGGAAGGGTAAAGCGGTAGACGAGGAGCCAGTCCCTGTAACACCATCCAAGCCAGCCGTTATACGAACCTACGGACGAACGCCACGGCGCAACCTATTCTCTGTCGAGAACGAGTCCAGAGCGTCGTCATCCAAGGAGAACCAGCATGCCAAACCAGTGATTACCGTTACAGTCCAAGATACCGATGAAGAAGGCGAGGAGACCAGCGACGATGAACTTCGACTCCAGCCCCAGCCGTTGCAACCGACATCTGCCGCACCACAGCGTTCTGCTGGCAAACCGAAACCTTCGGCTGCGAAACCTGAGATCGTCATCACATCCCCAACGAAACCAAAGGGAAGAACTCGGGCCACGAAGAAGGCTGAACCGAATGTAAACCCGCCTAGGACACGACGGTCGGCAAGGGCTACAGAAGAAGAGGTGGAATCGGAGGAGGAGGAGAATCAATTGGAAGCTGCGCTGCTAGCTATATATGAAACTCCAAAATCCAAGCCTAAAGGTCGAGGAAAAGGTAAAGCTACGCCTGTAACACTCCGCCGGACAAGATCGTCCAACAAATTGGAATCGGATGACGAGGACGATGAACTCCCTGCCACGCCCACTCGAAGCAGCGCCAGGAAATCCACACGTTCGCCCACCAAGCCAGCTCGTATTCCTTCCCCACTGAAACCTTCAACACGGAAACGCAAAGCGCAAGAAGAGCCTGAACAAGCCGAGCCCACGCCCGTTGCGTCAGAGAACGATGAAGCAGCCAGCCAAGAAGACGAGGACGTCGTCATGGCTAGCCCTTCCAAACGCCAACGCAAAACCACTGTGCCAGAACCACTACCGAAGACACCCAGCAGGCGCAAGCGCGGTGCTGCTCCTGTCGCCTCACAATCCCAGGATTCGGACGACGAGGCCCCAGCCCAATCGTCTCTTCCAACAGAGGAAGACGAGGAAGCAGTTTTCTTCTCCCCCGTGAAGAAAGGTGCTCGCTCCGGACCGGCTTCCCCTACGAAGGCGAAGGGGATCACTCTACCTCCCCATCTTGTTCCTTGTCTGAATGCTCAGAAACGCGCAGTGTTAAAAGCGTTGCAGAAGCCACCTGTTATTCCTTGCGATGACGAGCCCGAGTTGGACAATGCCGTTGCATATAAACAGTTGACTGATCTTTTGGAGGGTACGATGAAGCGGAACGAAGGAAATAGCTGTCTATTACTCGGACCTCGAGGTAGTGGGAAGACTAGAGTGCGTATCATTCTGTTCATGCTATGTTCTTAACTAAAAACATGTGTAGTTGGTCGAGCGATGTCTCTCAGAACTCGACGCCAAACCAATCATTATCCGCCTCTCCGGCTGGGTCCAAGGCAGCGACCGCCTCGCCCTTCGTCAAATCGCCGTCCAACTCAACCAGCAAACGGGTAGCAACCACTTCGTTGACATTAACGGCGAAGACCAACCAGGGGATGACGAGGACGTCAACCCCTTCCTCGACGACCAACCTACCACCACAGCAGCCACCGGTGGATCCTCCCTCCCACCCTCCTCTCACCTCCCAGCTCTAATCGCCATGCTCCCAACCCTCTCCCGACCGACAATCGTCCTCGTCGACGCATTCGACCTCTTCGCCCTCCACCCCCGTCAAGCCCTCCTCTACTGCCTCCTCGACACCGTCCAAAGCTGCCAAAGTGCAAAAGGCAACAAAGGCCTTGCGGTCATTGGTCTCACCACCCGCGTAGACACCCTTCAGCTTCTCGAGAAGCGCGTCAAGAGCCGGTTTTCGGGCAGGATTTTGAGGGTTAGTGCGGCGAGGAAGGAATATCAGTGGATGAAGATTTTGAAGTCTGTTTATATGGCCGAGATACAGTTGAGTGCAGGCACTGGAGAAGGGGGAATCGACGAAGGAGACCTCGAGGAGTGGAAAGGGATGTGGAAAGAGGCTGTGGATAAGTTCATGGGTGATCCGGGTGTTATACAGGTTGTCAATGAGTCGACGGGGATTGTGAGTGATATGAGGATGTTGGTTAGGATTTTGGTGAGCATTCAGGTGCCTGTTCCATCAACAATAACTCACATCTTTGAGCCGTAGACTCCTCCAATAATCCACCTCTCCGAGAACGCACCCTTCCCTTCCGTCAAGAACCTGACCAACGCTGCCATAGGCCAGCGCTCCCGGCCTCCTTACCCTTTCCTCTCAGGTGAGTCTTTCACTTCTCAAATCCATGTACATGTGCTAACAGTACATACAACACCAGACCTCTCGTATCCCTCGCTCTGTCTTTTGATCGCCAGTCACCACTCGGATGTCAGCGGACACCCCGTCTTTACTTTCGAGATGCTCTACGAGTCGTTCAAACGTCAACTAAGGCTATCAACTGCCGCACCCATCCAACTCCACGGAACAAGCATTGGTATGGTTCGCTGCTCGCGTGAGGTGCTCATGAGTGTACGTCCTTCCTGCTTTTCTTCAGCCTGCCACTCGAACTCATCCACATCCCTGCGCTCATATAGGCCTTTGAGTCCCTGTGCAACATCCGACTCTTTGTTTGTGCTGCAGCACCTTCAGGAACGACAGCCAAAGAGTTCGTCAAGTATCGTTGCGTCGTCGAGAGAGAAGATTTGAAGAAGGCTGTGGAGAAGACTGGACAAGTCAATTTGAAGAAGTGGTGGAATAAGGCGACCTAAGCTCAAGTTTGCTCTTTGGCCTTGCCATTTATGGTAGACATGATTTGAAATGACTTTTCACGCACTGTTGATACCCTCTCTGTATATTCTCGTGTATACGTTGTGTAAGTAGACTTGCTGGATACCTCTGTATCACTGAATTCCCAATCCGCTGTATGTATTCCAGGAACGCAAGACTTATAATAGGTATACCTAATTGTACAAAGGTATCAATAAAAAGATAGATATCTAAGAACGACACTACGCTTTCTTCTTGACCGGTGTCGCCTTCCACACTCCCAACAAATGATTCGCCCTCACAATCAACAAATCTCTCAACATCTGCACCGAGGCAGTGACAACGTTCAACTTGCTCCCTGCCACCTCATGCCATTCGATGGGAACTTCACTAACAGGAATCCGGAGCTGCTTTGCGAGGAGTAAGAGTTCGACGTCGAATATCCAGGTGGGAAGGTGCTGGGCCGGGAAGATATGTTGAGCAGCGGAACGGGAGAAGAGTTTGAAGCCACACTGGGTGTCGCGGATGTGGCCTACACCGACGATGCGGAGGATGGTGTGCAGGCCGTACATGAGGATATTGCGGATCAGCGAGCGCTAAAGGAGGATGTTGAGTTCGGTAGCATAACCAAAGCGGAGGGAAAGAACGAACCTTCACAACAGCTTCAGTCTTCACCAAATGCGCTCGACTACCCACTACAACAGCAGGGGCGTTGTCCTCCCCTGATAGCCCGTTCATCTCCTTCCACAAGAGTTCCAGATCCTCAATCCGACTCGCCCCATCCGCGTCGGCCATTAGCAACCTCTCACCAGCACTATGCAGCATACCGTGTCGCACAGCGCCGCCTTTCCCAATGTTCTTCTCGAGGGTGACAACTTTGATGTCATATTGGGCATACTTCTTGGCAAGGGAGAGGGCAACGTCCGAGGTCCCGTCTGTAGAACCATCGTCGACGATGATAATTTCGACTGTGCGACCGCCAGGACCGGAGGAGGTGGTTGTCGAGGAAGCAGACCGATTTGTCACCGCCGACCCGTTTACGCGTGGTTTCGATTTGGACTTGGTGTGTTGGTTTAAGGAGGGTGTTTTACATGTTGAGAGGTGCTGGATGGTAGCCTCCATCATCACCGGTAGCCGTTCCTTCTCGTTGAACGCGGGGACGACGATGGTGAGGTCCACCGTGCTCGGATCCTCCAGTCTACTGAGAGGCAGCGGTTTCGTGGGCGATACTCGAGACTTGTACTTGCGTTCCGAGTCATGTGTGATTATTGGGGGAGGCGACCAGAATATTAGGGCACCGTAGAGCTGAGAAACCAGGCGTCAGTCCAAGTCGAGGGAGAGCGACAACAAGCGAATGAAAAGTGTTCAGAACAGGGTGAATACCCTGGCCCAGCGTTTTCGTCGTCGTCGCAGCGCACAGTCCAGAATTGAACCGGCCTACAACTCGAAGAACAAGGATGAAAGGGGGCAGTCATCTCGTTAAAACGAACAAAACAACAACTCACCAAGACCAAACCACCGACTGCAAGGACAAGCCCGCCGTAAAGGACGGTCGCCTGGTCCATTGCGTTTCCAGAATTACGAGCAAAAAAAGACAGGGACGGACTAGAGATTGGGTATGATCATGGGCTGGGTATGTATAACTTTTTGGAAAACAAATAATATGAGACACGACGGAGGATGTAACTGACACGACTGCAGTCCATGATGATAAGCCCCGTGAGAACTATGGTCTTGCACCGAGGCACAGCTCTCAGACTCCTCGAGGAACCACAATCAACTTGGCTGATGAGAGTTTTTCAGAACAACCGTGCGTTCGTTGTCGTTATTTTCCGACATTCTGGGTGAACTAGTCTCCTATCTCCAACCAGGCCTGTCTATATGTGTTCTACGCTTGTCCTTCCCATGGTTCTTCCCATCTGCTGTCTAGTGTCCCTCTAATCCCTGGCTTGATCCACTCTGGTTGCAAAATCTCTCGACGTCTGCCCCACTTTTCTACTTCTGGCAACAGCGAAAAAGGGGAAAGGGGCACATAGACCGCCCGTTGGTTGGTTGATTGATAGGCAACTGGCATCTTCCTCTACTTCTGGAAGGCACACGCCAGCGCACAACAACAACACAAAGCCAAAGAAACCTACAGCTCTTCGCTCTGTTTTTCTTTTACCTCGAACCTCCAACTTGTCCGTCACTCTCTTGCTATTCTCGATTTCAGACCCTTCGCTTAATCAATCCCCTCAGCACATCCATCAAAATGTCTGCTGAACCACAACTTGCCGCTGGTGATGCGCCCTCTGTTGAGGAGCCCAAGTTGAACACGGAGGCCAAGCCCGGAGAGAATGGCGCCGCGCACCCAGACGAACCAGCGCTCGACGAAAAGGAAAAAGAGGAAGAGCAGGAGCAAGATGGCGAGGGTGACGACGGCGAGGATAGCGACGCCTACGATTTCGAGGCAAGACTGGTCTCGACCGATTAACATACATTGCTAACGAGCGCTCTCTCACAGGAAGAGCAGCAAGCTCCTGAAGGGGAGGACGACCCGTACGGGGACGTCGAGGAGGAAGACGACCAATACGAGCCCGCTCAGCCGAACGTACGTTTGCCAGACCAAAAAAAAGCGGACCGGCGCCTAACATATCTCGTCCCAGGGTAACAAGGACAGCCTCACCGCCCTCCTCTTAGGCGACGTGAGTCCTCCCATCACTAACTTCCACGAGATCACCCACTGACCTATCCACAGCCTACAGTTGAAGAAGTCGAACACGATGCGGACTACGAAGATGCTGGTGACTACGAAGACGAGGAAGAAGACGAAGACGACGACGAAGATTACGTTGAACCGGTCACCCCCACCACCGCCAAGAAGCGCTCTCTTGACGAAGCCCTAGAAGAGGCTGCCTCCCCTCGCGAAGAGAACGATTCGAAGAAGGTCAAGGCTTGAACACCACCCAACCCCCCTGAAAGCTCCAAAACTGACTGCGCTACTGGCGAACGTGGCTGTCGCACCATCCGCTGACTGTTCGAATGGATCGGGGATAGGGTGCCGCGGCCTTCCTCCCTCCCAGCGCTCTACTCCTCACGGAATCTGCCGAAACACCTTTCTCTATTCTCACCTGGAATCGTGCTATTTACTGCCTCTTTATACGTATATATATCATGGACTTGGAAAAAGCTCGGTCATTTCATAAGTCGATTGGTCATCGTGTATTTTTCTGGTTAGGCCGTCAATCGAGGTTGCTTGTATTCGTTTTGCGGGCTGGAGAATTCGACGGGCGCTAAATCTCAACTACCATTCGTCCCCTAAGATCTTCGCTCACCATTCTGGCTACCCACCATGCCGGTGCCTGAACCACTTGTCATGACGCTAACCTCGTTCAAACAGGGGGCGTTCCCCCGCAATTTCAAAACAAGATATGATCATTCGCAAACACAGAAAGCAACTACAAATTGGGACTAGGTAGTATTATAGTTAATAGGGCAGAGATTGTCAGATGTAACAGGGTTCGTAATACTTCATTAAGCCGCGGGAATGTTGGCATTGATTTCGTCCAGGAAATCTTGAGCAATTTTGGCGTTGGAGACCTACAAAACGGAAACAAAGCAAGTCGTCAAGTCCTCAGATATCAGCTATCTTATCGCATACTCGGATGAACAGGAATGATCTTACCCGTAGATTGTAATGTACGGTCTTGCCATCTTCGATAGCACTGAACCGAAGATAACGAGGGTCCTGCGCAAGGGTGCAACGCATCCCAGGGAACAGAATTACATTGAGCAATAGCGTATACACAGCGTCCTTTCGCATGACTAGAGAATACCGTTAGTTGGCGAAAATAGCAACAACGAAATTCCGCATACCCAATCGTGGATTGTTACCATCTTCTCGTTTCACGTTGATTTTGATGATTCCAGTGCCCCTCTCCTTCCACTGGGTTCCCTGGAGTGTATACAACTTGCCTCGTACTTGCATCAACGTCTCTTCCTCTTCCTCGCCAGTCGTGACTGTCAAAACGTCAGCGAAACATTCGGCGGGGATGGAACGGGAACGACTTGCCTTCCTGTTCTGTCAATTGAACCTTGGGTTCGTCCTGTCCATCATCCTCTTCCTCATCCTTTCCAGCCCTAAGACGCTCTCCGAACGTCGAGGGCTTCTCGTCACTATCATCACCTCCGCTATCCTCGTTGGCCTCACCAAACACATTAACAGCCGGGCCCCTCTCCAGCGAGCTCCTCGAGGAACCGTCAGGACTTCCAGGCCTCCGCTTGGGTACACCAAACGGCGACATCCCGGTTGTCACGTACGACGCAAAAGGACTCGCGGCGAACGAGTTCTCTTTTCGTGGAGGGGATTTGGCGCGTCCAAACTTGGATGGCGTACCCAACACAGGAGATTTGGCACGAGCTACAGACGCGAAGGGTGAAGCGGCGGAACTGAATGCGTCGAAACCCGACCGCATGGGAGGACTGTTGGGTCGGTTTAATGGAGGGGGAGACTTGTTGCGCGTAGCAGTAGCAAAAGGCGAGCTGGTTCCCGCAAACGCGCTGAATCCACCTGTCTGGCTCGATGATTCACCCAACTTGGCGCCAAACCCGGTGGCTGAGGGAGTGCTCGACAATGATGGAGCGGGTGAGGAGGACTTCGAAGACGCGAACAAATTCTTTCCTTTCACGGACGCAAAAGGCGAACTGGTAGACGCGTATGCCATAAAACCAGACTGGAAACGGGAGACGTCAGTCCTATGAGCGCATTCCAAGGGAGTGCCACCCACCAGTTTTGGTACTTTGGGTGAAGGTGGCGATGTTCTTCCGGTCGATGACTTTTCTGGTGGGGGAGAAGGCCTCTTGGTCTCCCTAGGGTTATCATCCTTGTCCGCTTCATCACGCGGCCTCTTGAGGGCCTCCCCGCCTGACGACTCCTTGTTCTCCTCCACACCCGCTTCGGGCGGTCCCTGACTTGTTCCACGTTCCAAAAATTTACGTTTAACGCCCTTCTCTCCACTCTCCGAGTAAGCTCGAAGCCTGGAAGAAGAGGAATCCCCTTGAGCCGCAGCATCACGTCCTCCAATCGCCGCTGCTCCAGCAGTAGCCTTAACGGGTTGTGCTGGAATAACATCCGGCGCCGCTTGAAGGTCTGGAGTCCTGGAACGGGAAGCGTCCCTGTCATCGTGTGTTGTTGCACCGCTGACAGCACCGTCCTTATCAGTTTTAGCATCCGCGCCATGACTTGAAGGTCCGTTCACAGAAGGTGGACTGCCGGAGGTTGCATCATGTTCTCGGTGTGCTTGCGCTTTTTGGCCGCCGTTCTCAGCATCCCCTTGCTGTTGCTGTTCTTCCGAATCCCCCGTTTCGATCTGTTTGCCGTCCTCTTCTCCCTCAGCCGCAGGCATGTCTTCATCCTTCGGATCCTGAGGTGGCACCATGTTCCTCCAGGTGAGATCTTCGACGCCCTGGCTGATTTGTCGAACCTTTATCTTCATTTCGTGTGGTGGCGAAACGCTCATGGGAGGTGTGACTGAATTCGACCGGGATCGCGTCCCCCCATCCTCCTCTTCAACCGTGGTGGAGAGGTATCGTCGGTTCTTCTTTGCTGGAGTTCTAGAGTCTTTCCGGTCGCGAGGTATAGCATCGATCTCCTACGGTGGTGCGAAACCCCCGAAACGATTCACAGCAGGTGAGCTTTTGGATGCAACAACAACACTCAAATGCAACGAGAGCAACAAACGCAACTGAATCAGAATAAATGGTAATAAAACGTACAGTAGCAGAGGGTGTAGCAGGTTCTAATGAGACCTCCCGTTCTCTCTTCCTCGATAGTTTCGTTTCTGCAGCGTCCAACAGGGCGGTCAATATAAACCCTAGCCCCATGAAATGCGGTGAAAGTTGTTGCACGAACCAGATTCAGAGGTGTCCAAGGTAGGCGGGGAAGGCGTCGGAGAGGCGTTCCTCATCGCTTGAGGCAACGTGGGCGGTCGTTGACCGTCACTCATGGTGGTGGAAGGGTTACAAGTTGGAACGAACAAGAGGTAGCGTATTAGTCCTCTCGGCGAAAGCCGACCATACTCCGTCCGCGTCGTCCACAACTGCCACAAATTCACACCCGTCACTTCAACAAAAACATCCCTTGTTCTTTCATCTACTACGTCAAGGGCAGGTACGAAGAAAAAATACTAATTAGAGACTAAATAGTGAAATGCTGCAGACTATACGTAGTGGTGGCGGCGAATGGTATAAGGTATATGAAATAAAGAGATAAAGGGCGGAAAACGAAAGCATAAGAACTAATCAGTAGGCGCAACATGAATAAATACGTCCGTGAAAGTTGAACTTGATACTGTACAATTGCGCGACGGAGCTGAAGATGATGAGTGGGATGAAGTGGGTGGTAGATGTGGGAGAGCCAGGTAGTAGCCCACTGTGAACACTAGTGCTATGAAGATGAAGGGGCCCCCGGTGAATCGGTGGGAGTTTCTTTCAGTAACGATTTCCGGCGCTCTTCAGCGACGTTGAGTATCTCTCGTAAACTCCTTTCCAACACTGGTTTTGTCAACACGCTACAACGAGTAATAGATCAGCATACACCTTCCCAACACCAAGCTAAAAACTCACCGATCGACACCAGCTTCTAGATATTCTTGTTGGTCTAGAAACGACGGATCAATCCCCGGATAACGCGGCATACTACTAGGGAAAGCACATACCACTCAGCAAAGCATTGCCAGTAACACCAACAATGAAATCAGTCCGTCCTAGCTGCCTGAGCCGTTCAACAGCTCGCACTCCAGACATCACCGGCATTTGATTATCCAAAAACACCACTGCAAATTTGTGTTCATCAGGGGCCAGCCCATCGCTCATTCCGCTGCCGGGACTCGGTAGTAACTCTGGCGGTTTCTTCGGTTGCTCCAGGATAGGTCCTAGCTGCTTGGAGGAGTCGGTTGAAGGCGTCAACCCCGACAGACCCTTCACACCCATGATGATGTCAATGGCCATTTCGCCATTCTCTGCGGTGGTCACTTGACATCCTAATCGAGTTAGTATTCGTGTCATCAGGGTTCGGGTAAGAGGGTCATCGTCAACAACGAGGACATTCAACCCAGGGACGATATTGACCGCTGCAGTTGAGGAAGACGGACTTCCGCAATGTGCAAAAGAGCTGTCGAAAGCCGCTAACGGAGAGTAACTGGAAGCGGAAGATGCAACTGTCGAAGTCGTTGTAGGAGGCTGTTTTTCCAACAATTGCCCCGTGTCGGAGAAGGTGGGCGGACTCGGCAACGGAACGTAATTGGGTCGGTTGGATCGCGAAGGTGGTTTATCATGACCTGGGGTAGGGGTTTGGTCATGCGGGGATGAGGAAAAGTCGAGGTCATCGAGGGGAATAGTTTCAGTTTCATGAAGAGGATGTCGAGCTTTTGGTGTGGCTACGTCCGACTCTACTCGTGAAGGTGAAGGATCGTTGCTCGGTCGTTCCGTTCGTGACGTTGCCTTGGAAGAACGTTTTGTATGTCGTTCGTTATCATTGCCAGTTGTTTCTAAAACAAATGGAGTGAAAAGGGTGAGAAATGACTGGGACAAGAATGGGGACCAACTAACCAAGTTTTGAATGAGAAGCATCCTTCAAAGGATCCAACTCCGCTCTCATTGCGGCAAACGCTGCGGTATCAACCGCCACAGCCAGTGGATCATTCAGCGGAGTATCGAACAACCCATGGTTTTGCCTCTTGGCAAGTTCCTTCGCAAGAATCCCTGAGGCGTCCGAGGGAGGTGACGATGTCTCAAGAGTGGCGGGAGGCCCACTGGCCGGGAACGTTTTCCTTCCTACACCGAGTGGCAGCTCCACCCAGAACGTTGAACCTTGCCCAATCTTTGACTTGACACCGAGTCTTCCGCCCGTAAGCTTCACAATTTGCCTAACGAGTGCGAGTCCAAGACCGGTACCCTTTCCACCTAAAGCACGTGTGAGCCGAGTCCCGGTATTTGGACAAGGAGCAGGAAGTTTACCTTGCTGGATGCCTTGCTCCGTTTGATTGAACGCGGCTAGAGGGTAACCGTTGGCCAGATGAGCAGGACCCAGAAACAACGGAACTTACAGAACAATTTGCTATTCATCATATCTTTTGGCCTGATTCCACAGCCAGTGTCCGTAACTTCGATCCTTACGACGATCATTTCCAACGGGGTCTTCTCGTTCCTCGTGTTGAAGTCGTGTTGAGAGAGATAATCTGCCGAAAGGGGACGTTGAGCTGAGATTTTCTCCTTCAGTTCTCCACCACCCATGGTTACGGCTGCTTTTCCTTCGGGTAGTGGGAACACGAAGTCCAGCGGATCTTCATTCTCCAGGAAGCGGGGTCGAGCCAGCTTGGTGGTGATGGTCAACCTGCCCCCCGCGGGCGTAAACTTGCACGCATTACTCGCGAGGTTGGTGATGATCTGACGTAGACGAGCTTCGTCGCCCACGACGATGCCGTCGACATCCGGGTGTCCTTCGATATGCGCACGGATGTGCTCTGGGGTCTCTCCCATGGCCTCGTAGGCGAGGGCGCGGGCCAGCTGTGGAGTTTTGGTAAGCACATTGAAGAAGTCGGGAGTTTAAAAGGGGACATTACCCGATCAATGTTGGGGTCAAGGTCGGTTTCGAATTCCAGGCCCCTAGCATTTGTGGCCAATTGCAAGGGGATAAACAAGGAACGCATAACTTGATGGAAGGCATAGGGCTGGAAAATGTGAGGTTTGAGGTTGATTTAGTGCACGAACGTTGCGTCAAAGCTCACCCGCGAAGCCGATTCAAACTTGCCACTATCCATACGGTTGCTGAGAAAATTGAATTAGCGCCGAAGTAGAGCGGGTTTCGACTCGGAAGCTTACAAGTCGAGGACGTCGTTAAGCACTGAAAAGAGAATGAATACCAACGGGCGTTTCAAGGTTTGGTTTGGCATACCTTTGGACATCATGCTAAGACTGCCGGACAAGGCGTTAAACTCGATCTCTTGGTCCTTTGCGACTGTACCAGAAGCAGCCATATTTTGAACAGCCAGGACTACCCAGGAAAAGAATGATTAATACTTGACCTATGGAAGGCTGCGCAAGACTACCCACGTGCTGTGTTCAGGGGAACTCGGACCTGTGCTGGCGAGAAGGTAAGAACGAGGCGCTGTGGAGTCGTGTCCGCAAAAAACACTTATCATGGAAGACATATCTGTAATGCGAGAACATTAAAAGTTGGACCTTCCACAATATAAGAAAGGCACGTACGATGTGAGGCGCCTTTTGGAATCCGAAGCTTTTCGTTCATTCATTTGCGCCCTTTGCGTCGCCTGGTTGATTTAGGTCACTACAACCACCGCCGCCTATGCTGATGATGGGCTCACCTTGTACTGGTTTTTGACCTGATCGCGTAGGGTATATAGTCGCCGGTCGGACTATCAAGGTAGGTTCAATGCACCAATGACGGCGATGATGTAAGGACCCCTGACTTACCACTTCCCGCATGTAGGATACATAGATGAGAACTGATTGTGGGTTAGAGTTAGGTTAGTGAGGTTAAGGGGGATGGGTCGAAGAATACTTGCAGGAATGGTAAGCGAAGAAATTAATCATGCCTATTCGGATTGAGTAAGGATGCTAGAGCCCAAGTTCGACAGGACATACTTCGGGCCCATGAAGTTTTGTCAGGGATGATGCTGATTGAAGCACTAGCAAAGGGGTCGGTTTGAATTCGAAATCGAGCGCTGGAGGGCAAGAACGCACAGTAGGAGATAGGCCAACGCCCCGATAGCGGCTGGGAATCGGTTAAGCTTGAGGCCAAAGAAGCCGATCGTTTGCATTGCCTGGAACACTGTTATTAGAGATGCCCCCTCGTAGGAAAGGGTGACTCACAGTGGTATAATAGAATATCGCTTGGAAATCCCTGCCATGGCAATCACCGCCGGTATATAGGCCGCAAACGTTGCTTTATAACAAGGGTCAGCGGGAATGAGGACCTTAGCTTAATCTACTTACATGTAGATGACATGGTAGAAGGACCAACACCATATGGAGACAGTGAGGAACGCTTGGTAAAGGTACTGTCGGTCGCGAGGCCAGTCGTATATCACCATCAACCTAGCCGAGGGTGAGATGATTGAAGGAGTGGAAGATGACGCTTGGAACGTACGGGAGGGGGATGCTGAGGACGGGAGCGATGGCGTAGTAGAAGATGTAATCTGGGTACCCAAGCTTGTTGTCCGTAATGTTCACGAATATACAACCCAGCACCCAGTTTGCGATCCACCAAAGGGAAGTCAGAATGGCAAGAGGTCTCTTAACATACCAGTCCTCCTGCAAGGCCCAGATATCAGACACACAAGGGACGAGGGAATAAGTTGACAACTCACGCGGGCATAATGTCGTTCCTTCCGTTCGTCAGCGAAGCTTGAACTGAAGACAGCCATAAACCCCTGTGCGATACGATTGCAGACTATTTGGAACCATGAAGGGTGTGAATAATCTTCGTGGGTCATGCTGTCGTTGTCCGTGTTCCCCGATGCATTGTTGTTGCTCCTGGGCTTGTTGGGTAAGGTGTAGTCGTGGTCTGAATGATGTGACAAGGTGGTGTGGAATTCGTCGGACCAGATTCTGTCCACGACGACTTCGTCGAGTTCTTCCTCGTCGTCATCGGCGTTCTCTATGCGATGTGTGTAGGATTGATCAGCAGCGGTCTGGTCATTTATCGAACTAGATGACGGTGCGCTTCCTGAACCGATACGAGACTTGAATTCTGCCCAAAGTTGACCGAGTTTGTTGTAGCGCGCTCTCTTCTTTCGACGTTTCGTCGAAGCGACGGAATAGCGCTCTCTGACATCTCCCTGGGTGGCGGGGGCCGGTAGTGTGCTATCCACAGCTGTGGAGGTTGTTGGCGTCTCGTTCGCGGGGCCTCCCTGTAATGGCGGAAACTGAGTTTTCTCTTCGTAATTGAGGCCGTCTTCGAGCGTCGTCTCGGCGACCCCGTCCGCCCATTTCTTCACTGGAGAGGCATCCCTTGAGCGAAATGGCCAGCCTGGCATTCGCAAGGCCGCCTTCGAGGGCTAATAAGTGCTGCAGGGGGCACAAGGGCAAGGATTGTCGAGCTGGTTGTTGGGTTAGTGAGCAACCTGATAGCCAAGCCTCAAGCCGCGACCCAGGCTCTGGCTCACGAGAAAGTGAGTTTCCGGAAGAGGAAGGAACTTACTCCAACATTGATCGGTCCTGGCGCTGTATGCCTCCGCTCCTGGTACTACCTCGCCTATTCCACCAAAATATTCCCTAATGCGCCGGATTTCTGAGTAAAACGCAGTGTATAAAACTAGTATTCATGAGCATGTATAGCTATTGTCACATTCACTCTCGTTTGAATGGTAATTTAAACGTCGACCGGGCCATCGTCTCCGTTCACCTTCCCCGAAGGCAATGGCAACTGTTGGAAGGCGAAGACTAAAATGCGGTGTGACCCACCAATCTGGACAGCTTGCAAGGAGGGCATGGCGTATAGTGTCCCATCGATCCAAGACGCTCTTCCATGGAATATCCCGGGTTTCTCTGTCTCTTTTCCTCACTTCGGAGTGGCAATCGATTCGGAACGTCTCTTTAAATCCGGTCACGATTTCTCAGGAATCACAGTGTTCCATTCAGAAGCTGTGGTGCGGGGACGCTGACCACCTTCGCTCGAGGTTCCGATTTTTTGTTATATCCAGATGATATCTACAACGAGTGGAATGTCAAAGACAATGAGGCGCCTTTCAGGATTCTAGTGCAGACGGTGGGAGAATATATCGTGGGATGGATTATGGTGGGGGATGGAAGGGGACTACGAGGCTGGTAGCTTCCCTGTCAACGGGATCTCACATGCCATATATACCCAGGAGGATTGGGTGAATTTACCATTCCGGACAATCAGGACTTTGAATGGACCGCGAGATTTGTCTGCCACTAGAGACGTCGGAGTTCGAATTTACACCTCTTGTTTCCTCTCCTCCACCTTCTCCTTATTTCTGACGCCCAAAGCCTGAATTCCCTTGTTTTACGGGCTCTAAATATCTGAGGGTGTTTTATACTCGTTCACTCGACCCATTTCTTCACCTTCTTTTCTATTTACCCCATTTTCCCTTTTTTGGAGCTCAGATTTCGAGCTCAGCCGCGTAACCACCCATCATGAACATGAACGACGACGAGATTCCAGTTTACCTGAAAAACGGCGATCTCGTCAAAGTTAATGGTAATATTCTCAATTCAAAGTATCCCCCAGGTAGTACACAACCCTTACATATTTTTCAGACCACGTTTACTGTTCCCCCAGTTGGGACACTCGGGATGGCACGCCCTACTCAGTCGGACGGATAATGCAATTCTTGCCACCCGCAGATGCACCCAAGGGTGAGGAGGGCAAAAATTACCATTATACGAGGGTCCGTCTCGCCTGGTATTATCGTCCCAGCGACGTCAGCGACCGCCCTGTAGCGGATTCACGTTTGCTTTTGGCGGCCATATACTCGGAAGTGTGCGACATCAATCAGCTTCGCGCCAAGTGCCACGTGGTACATCGAGACAAAATATCCGATTTATCTGGCTGGAAGAAACGTCCTGACCGGTTCTACTTCAACCGCCTTTTCGACCCCTACATCAAGAAAGAGTTTGAAGTTATCCCATCGAGGGACGTACGAAACCGTGAGTAAATCAGTCTTTGTCATAAATATTGATCATTTTCCTAATTTAAACCTTCCTTCTCCATCTAGTCCCCGACCACATTCGAGAGGTTCTTATTTCACGATATGAATATATCGTCGCGGAGAAAGAGGTCATCCCTGATTTGACCGACCACATCCGCCTTTGTGACAACTGTCAGAAATGGTGCCCCAGGTAAGCTCGACGAAACAAAACGAGTTGATCGACATCTAACGCCCACTCAGCGCTGATACAGTCCAATGTGATCGCTGTAAACGCTTCTTCCATATGCGCTGCGTCCAGCCTCCGCTTCTCGCGAAACCTACCCGTGGGTATGGCTGGACCTGTGCCCCCTGTTCTCGACGGCACGAAGAAGAGGTAGACAGCCATGACGTCCGACCTTCCAGCTCGGCCGCGGGGAAGGCCCATAGGTCGAATGCCCCACCTGCTCGAGGACGAGGTCGGCCCAGGAAGGACAAGACCCTGGCTGAGAAGGAGGAGAATCTTCCTGTGAAACATTTCAAGATGTGGCCTTTCAGATATTTCGGGTGAGGTTTTATCCTCGTTCACCAAGCTGACTGAATTGACATCACCTTCAATCAGTCAACATACTGTGGCGGAAGATACATTGGGTGAGCGAATTCGCCGCGGGTTTACCAATAACATCACTAACTCCACTATAGACGAAGAAGATCTAATATTCCCTCGTACAGCCACAAGGCACGGTCCAAAATACCAGGCAAATGTCCCTCCAGGACCGGATCCATACAATTACCCCCCAGGTATGCGAATAAGCATAGGGTTTGATACACCATCTCACACCAAATGCTAGACCTCGAAGAGCGTGGTGGTGACAACACAGTGGAAGTTCTCGGCGTTATCAACTCATTGACAGAGTCGGAAGGTACGTATCGAAGTGATCCTTTCAACGGCAATCTATTTACAACCTTCTTTGACAGTGGCTGAAGGTACGCCGGCCCCATAACTGCAAGCACATGCTTGACTCATATTCCTGGTCTTCCCAGTGGAAGCATGCAAGAAGGGCCTAACCAATGACCCCAAGCTCCGTTACAGCGTTGACTGGTTAACAGAAGTCATCTTCCGTTTCTCTGATGCAGCTCTCGCGGCGCGTCCATTAACGGCTGTCAACATGAAGAATCCCAATCGAATACAGAAAGTATGCCTTATCCATCCAACATTATATTTTCCCTTCCTAACCTGCGATGCAGTGGAAGAAATACGAAACGCCGTACACAGATCGTCCCTGGTCACACGACGAAGTCGTCGCCTTTGAAGATGCAGTCGCCCTTCACGGTCCCGAGCTTCGTGCTGCCAAGGACGAAGTGCCAAACCGCTCGATGCCAGAGGTCGTTCGTTTCTTCGGGCACTGGAAGAACTCCAAGCTCAAGGAGGAAAACAAACGTCTCAAAACCTCCGGCCCACCTGCCAAACCAATACATCGCCAATACCGATCCGCTGCGGAACGAAGCGATGGTCAACGCGTCGGCTTAGGTGACGATGAAGGTTCGATCGTCGCACAACCGTCCAAGTCCCCAAGTTGTGGTGCTTGTCGTACACGTGAATCGCCTCAATGGTGGAAAGCCCCCAAGGGATTGCCAACGAACATCCTTTGCGAGACATGCGGTACGAACTGGAGGAAGTATGCTGATCTCAATGTCCGTCCAATACGAGAAGAGTCCCTGCCGACTTCGAAGGCGAAGACCTCAGAGAAGCGTGAGGGAACACCCCCGGCTGGTCCTAGCGCCAAGCGGGCAAGAGTACGTTGCTTTTATCAGTGTTCCATGAACTTGAGTGATGACATGTCGATCCAGACTAGCGCTTCTGTGCAGTCAACCCCACCACCAGTGGTGTCTGCAGCCCCGCAGGTCAAATGCTTCGCTTGCCACAAACAGGGTCCGCTCGGCAAGGTCCTTCGATGCAAAAAGTGCCAATTCCGGGCTCATGCAGGTGTGTTGCATTCCCTTTCCATCGCGTAGACTTGGCTCACCCCAATCAGGATGTGTGGGCGCAGTCGTCGGTCCAGCCAAGGTGGACGAGTGGACGTGCGAACTGTGCGAGAACGAAGAGACCATGGAAGCTTCCATTGTAGGCATCACTTCTCACATCATGCTTTCCTTTCATCCCGGCTCATTTTTCATATCCAGAACTACGACTGCCTCCTTTGCCCTCGTTCTGGACCCGAAGAGAAGAAGCAGAAGCCATGGCCACCAGCCGATACCTTCTTACGAGCATGCAAACCAACAGAAGGACAGGGCTGGACTCATGTCATCTGTGCAGTGTTTTTACCGGAGCTGAGCTTTACGGACGCGTCTCGTTTACGTCTTGTAGAGGGGATGAGTACCATTGCGAAACATCGTTGGACAACGGTAAGTCTTATACTTCCCCCTTGTTTTCCCGTTGACCGAATATTTTCCTGTCAGAAATGTTGCCTGTGTGGCGAGATGGAGGGAGCGGTAGTGAAATGCAGCGACTGCTATCGAGAATTCCATGTATCTTGCGCCTGGAAAGAGGGGCACAAGTTCGGCTTCGAGATCCAACCAGTGCGTTCTAAAATCCCGGAACGTGGCCCAAACCACTTACACTTTATTCCAGGTGAAGAGCAGCCGAAGAGATACGACCATCACAACGACGTTCAAGGGTGAATCAGGCTGCATGAGTGCCCTCATCTCTTGTAAGATGCATGATCACAATAAACGTGACATCTATGACATTTGCGAAACCAACGAGGGTGGCGAGGTGCGCAGTTTGCCTTTTCACCTTTATCAATAATGACAGCATGGCTCATTGAATCTTTACCTCGTTGTTCACAGACCGCGCTGCAGGTGTATTGCCAGGCGTACAAGCAAGCGCAGGTAGGCCAAGCCCATGGCTTGCTGCGCAAAGCCAAACGGCTGGACGCCCTGCTCAACTTACGCGATCCCCACGCACACGGGATGCAACCGGTACAAGAACTCCCCACCACGGAACCCGAATGCAGCAAGTGCAACACGCAATTCTCTCCGGCTTTCTATCCCGTCGTCGATTTGTCGCCTACAGCTTCCAAAGAGACGTGGCTTTGCCATCGATGTCACTTTGAGGCCAACGTCGAGGTCAACGGCAAGGCAATGGGTATGATGATATCATGAAGCGACGAGGCATGAAGCGACGAGGCACGATGCTCTTTCTTATCAATGAACGCGACACCACTGGCCTCTCCACACGCGTAGTCGTCCAAGGAGTCTGAATGGGCGAATGCAACATGTGAATGCCAAGGAGAAAGGAAGAAGCGAGAGACGAAAGACGAAAGACAACTTGACTATGATGATACAATAAACTACAGCAGGGGATGGGGTGTCGATTGAAATACATCCGGGTGTCTGTCTGTTCTGAAAGAGCGAACGAATCACGAATAACCATAGGAAGGGGGTAGTAGGTAGTAGTAATACGTATGTAATAACGCAAAGCAGGTCCTTACGCGCGAACTCTCTTGTAGAAAAGGACATACGCCTTTTGGTTCTGTAGTTTTCGTTGTTAGTATTATTAGCACGCTGTCTTTTTAATTTATTGACGACCAATAGGAGTATGACTTACCACGACCTGTCTTGGATCAATGGGTTTGACGCTGCTGTCGTCACAGAGCATCCACCCTCCGCGGGAGGCGATGTATGCGGTATCTGTCAACCGGTTAGCCTACCGTCGACGGAACGCGGGAAGAGGTAATGAGACACGTACAATGGCCACTGCTCAGGTTGCCATAATGGTTGGTCACGCCGTACAGATCGTACTTGTAGGGAGGGACCTGTGTACGCGGGTCCTCAAGTGACATGGGTACTCCGCCGTTAATCTCGGATTTATCAGCACCAGGAGGGAGTGGCGGAGGCATGTAATTCGTAAGATCGAGCGACTTCATAGGGAATTCGACAAAGGTGTCAATTTTGTCAGAGAACCTGCCGTTGGCTTCGAAGCGCTTGAGGTGGATGAGGAGGATGGGCGGTAAGCGGGCGAGGGAAAGGGTCTTGGACGCTCTTCGCTTGGTCTTGCATTGAGGACAATCCCTGAAAGAGAAAATGCGTTCAGCATGTCGAACGGGACCCAAGAAAGCCGAAACTCACCAAGCATCATCCTTCTCCAACACCTCCTCATTAAACAACGCGTCCAAACAACGTTGCAGTGGCACCTTCGAACTTCGACTATTCGGAATCGGAACTTGAAGAATGGAGAAAACATTATACGTCGTCGAAGTCTACCACCACATCCTTGACATCAGCAAAACCACTGCAGAAACCAAAGCACTAACGCACCTTCTCACAAGTCAAACACTGTAACCGACTCCTAAACTGTCCCTGGAAGAAATCAACGATAATGCTATCATTCCTCGCTTTCCAATTCCTCCATTCCCTATCACTCGCAATCATCGGCGGCAACCTCTCCAACTCTGCCTCCTGTTCCGGTGTGACGACAATCTTGGGCTTTACCATCACCCGGTTCAAGTCTTCGTGAACCCCATCTAACAAGAAGCTGAGGAATTCTTGGGAATCATGCTGGTCGGAGCCGATGTATTGTTGGTTCAGTTGGCAGATGGATTTCTAATTTGGGAGTGCATACGTCAGGAATAGGTATGCGTGATGCAAGAATTCCAAAAGATTTGGGTAGCAAGACTCACCCTAAAATCCATCGGTGTGAGATATGGAAGGTCACCTCCCCACATCTCGTGTACCAGTTTGGCAAACGCCTGCACTAGCCTACCCTGAGACCCAAGGGAATTTGTATAATTGATGGCAGTCTTCCACCGGCCCTCTGAACGACGATAAACATCAAATAAACACCCTTCAGACCGAGAAAACACGCACCAGTGAAGAACCGCGCAAACGGCACAGTCGCACTCAGACACTGTATCGGCGCATTCATATAACATGTGTTCCCCAAGTTCTTCAATCCTGACGTCCCAATCTGCACATCCGTCCAATAGGTAGGCGGATAGTCCGAGTTTATGCGCGGAGCTTTGGGTGCTTGCAACATCGAGTTGGCAGAGAAAGGCGAGGTAGCATGTTGCACTCTTGGTCGGTTGTCTTGCCTGTCAAGACCAGGAGCAGCTGCCAAAGGTGGAGGTCGAAGGATTTGGTTTGACAGCTCGGGATAGTCAATGGGACTACGTGCTTGGAGCGCAGAAAGGGCTTCTTGTGACTGGTCAACATAATCGCTGCGTCTACGCGAGAGTGTGGATGGGTTGATGGATGCTTGTGGGGGTGATGCAATATCGAATGCGGGCGGAGGTTGGAAAGAAGTTGGAGGTGCTGAACCAGAAGCGGTTGGGGATATACGACGAGGAAATGAGGGGTATGATATTGGTCCTGAAGAATGACCATTGAGTTGAGGAGCAGCAAGTGGTGATATCGGCTGGGAAAAGAGTCAATGTCACTGCTAAGAAAGCCTACGCACGGGCACACTTACAAGGTCAGATCTGCTCCGGGACAAGGATATCGAGCTTGATGCTGGTCGCACCATAGCTGGGCGGCGTGTCAAATTGGATGTGCCATTCTGTAGGGAAGGAGAGTGGTCGGCCGGAGACCTATACGAACCATCAGTCACGAATCCATCAAGGGACCGATGATTAAATACCTTGAATGTGCAGAAGTGTCTAATGAGAACGATGGTACATGGCCGTTCAAGCTCGGTCGAGGCGTCCAGACTTGATGCGGATCGGGAGAAGTACTGGGGAGTGCACCCGCGGCATAAGCGCTAAACATGGGGCTGGTGAACGGGTTGTTGGGGTTCGGACTTGAAGGCGATGCTGCCTTCGGCGCTTCCGTGGAACCAGGTGCGCTCGATGCTGGCGCGCCGGAATTAGTTCGCGGGACATCTATCGGTGCCGATTCACCCTTGACCAGCTCAGCCCCACCCAGGTCCCGCTTCCAAGCGTCTATGCCACCAATGAGCATCATGGGCATCCGCTTCAGCATCTTCTTGAAAGCTTGTTCGCTGATGATCCGAACGAGGATGGAGAGGGGACTGTTTGCATCGCCGAAGGACTTGGACGACTGGTCGTAAACTGCGACGAGATCAAACTTGTCACGGTTCTCGAACAGACTGCTTTCACCGCGGGGAGCGATAACCATGGCATCCTCAATAGAATCTGCGTTGACACTACGATGGAGTAAGTGGGGTGAGTGCGCCGATGCTTGAGGACAGAAATGCCGAAACGTACTGTTCCCGTTTCAGAATGGTAGGCTCAACACAGATGACGGCAGAGGCCTTGATATGCTCCTTGTCAAAATCCTCTCGATTGCGAACGTCGATTAACAAGACGTTGTACTCGCGGATATAATTTAAAAGGTCCTTGGGCAGGGCTGAATTAGTATTGGGAATTTGGATTTTGGGAGTTGAGGATGATGTTAGGTTGGACGGCTTGAAGGGAGATCGAGATGGAGAGCCAGGTCGACTTGCGAAGGAATTGCCGATTGGTGGAATAGGTGTACTGGACGGCCTCTCAATGTGTACTGCGTAGTTCCGAAATGATGTCAAGGGTGAGGGCCCAGCATCGCCGTTAGCAAGGGGCTTCGGCGTAGGCTTGTGTATTTCTCCATTGATGCCTGTGGGTACGGACGGAAGTGAGAAAGCTGGATGTTCGTCCAATTCATCGATTGAAGGGAATGTCTGCGAGAAGCCCTGAATGTCAAACTGCGGCGAAGAGGACGGGGACGAAGACGGTGATGGCGGACCGAAGCTTGAGGGCGAAACCAGGGTATGCGGGGAGGGAGAGACAGGTGTTGGCGGGACAATTGAGGAGATTACTGGGTTCGAGTTAGCTGTTGTGATGCGGGACGGGGAGGTGGGAGGCGTTGGTAGATTCGCTACTTCGCGTGAGAATCGCTTCGCAGTTCCTACCGACAATCCACTATCTTGAAGAGCTCGTACTCGTTCAGCTATTGAACCACCAGCCTTGATTTCAGGACCATCGTTCTGAGCAGCGTCGCTGGGGAAACATGGTCAGTACGCCGGGCAATTGCAGAGGTAACTCGGACACATACGCCGCCTGCTTTTCGATCGCCTTTAATTTCTCCTCCACCGCCCTCGTCCGTTGCGTCAAGTCCTTGCAGTCGCCCTACAGACAGTTTAGCGTTCGCGGTAAGCAATGGGCAGGAAATAGAAACGTACTGTGACCAGGTCATTCCACGCCTCGCGAATGGGTAATTGGGAGAACTCTGGGGAATCCATGGCCATCTTCATTAAGCTCGCAGTCTTGATAAAGGATGCCAGAGCACTCTTCAGGTCGCCCTTGACCTCAAAGTCTTTGGCATTCTGCAGTTGGGCCCGGGCGGTTTTGATGAGTGACATAGCAGACGCTCGACGACCTTCCTTCTGAACGGCCTCCTTGGCCTTTGCCTTGATTTCGGAGACTGACATTGCATCCTGGGATTTAGGTCCGTTGGAAGAATTGGCTGAAGACATCGGTGTTGATTGGCTGTGGCCGTCGCGAATGGGTGACATCCACTTACTGCTGCTTGGCCCATTCGACGATCCTCCGAAGCCTCCGAGCCCTGGAGAACTGGGTAATACGGCAACCCCAGGCATGCCACTCCTCACTGTTCAGGTCGTCTTGGAAGCTGTGGTCGTGATATCGAGAAATACAGCAGGCGCAGTCGGTGGAATCAGTTCAGTGCTCAGGTCCATCGACCTCCTCGAACGGGAAGGCACTCTATCCCTCACGTAAGCAGCCTCCTATTTGTCCCTGCTTTGCACCGCCCTCTGCCTCGTGGGAATACCGAGCCTATCTGAGCGCTCATGGTATACCCAGTCTACTATCCAGGGGCTACAATAAATGAATTTGGCTTGTAGTTTCTGTGATTTTAAGCAAGTCAAGGGCAAATCCTTCGACCCAAAATAAAGTAAGCGCCGGAACAGCCAACGGTTGGGGAACGCGGACACGTGATGGAGATCACGCGCGTCTTAGGCTGAGCGTGTTCTGATTCAACTTGGCCAGCGACCTCCACAATGGCCTATACTCCCAAGAAGAGCGTTCACTGGGACATGGCGCACCCATCTCCTTCTGAATTTTCATCGCCTTCGATAGGAAATGACACCTCAGACTCGTTCTGCTCGACATCGAGCCTCGAATACGTCAATTCCCAGCTCATCGCACACGGTTTCGTACCAGCACCAGGCCTATGTTTGGATGGAGTGTCGAACAAGGACTCGGAGAGGGTGGTGAAATGTCTTATGAGTCTACTGAGCCAGAGAATGGTGAGTTTATACTTGTCGACATCGAACTCGAGCCAACAAATGCACAGGAAGACATGTCACGAACAGAAGACTTGTCGACGAAGCTACGAACACTGTCCTACGACCACCAACGTCTAACCTCGATGCACCAGACAGCATTAGACAATGCCGCCAACGCAGAACGTGAAATGAATTTGCACAAGTCTAAATTGACGTGCGTGAGCCCGATCCAGCCTCGAGGCCCGCCCAAGTCCTGACCTTTGCACAGAGCGACCCAGCGAACCCTTCAGAATGCAGAAGCAGCCCATAAACAAACCAGCTTGGAACTCCAACGAACCAAGTCATCTCTCCAAGGGATACGGACAGCGCATCAGCAAGAACTCAAGAAGAAAGAGAAGGAAATCGACAAATTAGCCGAGAAGTGGCAAAAACTGGCCGATAGCCAGGCTAAATTGTCGACAACCGCCAGTGGAATCTCTTGTGCAAATGTCGCTGCGATAGAGGGTCGAACAAACCAGATCAAGGGTCCTGATTTCCTTGAAGTCGCTCTGGATGAGGCGGAGAAAGCGCGAGCAGCATTGGTAGAAGATAACAAGCATCTCAAGATGCTTGTGTTGAAAGCGGTCAATTCGATACAGCGGATTCTATACCAGACGAAAGCACTCCTTGTCGAACCTACCGAACCACCGGTGTGTATACCGCCTCATCTGCACTAGGCTAATACTGAATTGTCCTAAGCCATATCCATTCACAACGACAACGCTGTTCCCCATCGCCTCCATCACCACACCCAACGAGAAACTTTCCACCCTCCTCTCCGACCTTCGCGACAACCTCGAAACAGTCTCAGAACGACTCGTCGCCCCGCCCTTACCCTCTACATCCTCCGATGAGAAACCAACCAAGCCCAAGGCCTCCAATGATGAAGTCCAGCGTCTTCGAGCTACCATCGCCTCCCTCAAAGATGAAATTGGTTCGTTCACTCGATATCCTCAATATTTCTTCTTACTGACCTTCGCTTAGCTGAATACCAACAACAATTGGAAACCCAATCAGAGGAGATGCAAACGCTGCTCGATACCATTGCAGCGCAGCAGCGCAATTCAGCCGATCAACTGGGCGAAATCAGTATGGAACTGAATAACCCGCTGCAAGACGAGGAACGGGAACGTTTGGAGAAGATAAGGCAGGAGCTTGAACAAGAGGAAGAAAAACTTCAAGCTGCTGCGGCCAAGCTGCGTGCAGAGAAAGCTGGTCTGGAGGTTAGTGTCTTCATTGTTTCGTTTCTACGTGAGGTTCTGACAGTCGTGGCTAGGCCCAGCGAATGAAATTCCTCGATGAAAAACAAGCATGGGAGATGGAAAAGGCGTCAGCTGTGGTACTCGTTGAACCAGATCCGGAACCGGAACCGGAATTCGAACCGGAGCCTGAGCCTGAGTATGTCCCAGCCTCACCTCCCAGGCGACACAAAGTGGCGAAGGCGGCCTTTAAACCTCCCAAGAAGTCACCGCGCAAATCACCCGCCAAATTCGTCGCCAAAGTCGGATCGAGCAAAGGTCACAGACCCAAACGATCGCTCTCCTCGCCTTCCAAAGTCATTCCAGCATTCGAAACGGAGGTGCTGCCTTCATTCGCGAGGCTATCGACTCTCGCGCCTCCAACGTCCCTACTCCCAGGTGCATTTGTGCTACCTCCACCTTCACCTCATGCGTCCCTTCCTTCCCAACCCGCACTCCCACCCCCGGCACCAATCTCCCCTCCGGACTTTGGTGATATCAAGACCCAATATGACGATAATCCTCTCGCTCCTGTCGGGCAGCCAGAGCCGGAGAGATCTCATACCCCTACCACGCCCGAACCGCCTAAGCGCGCCTTCCCGGTCGCCAAACCCTTCGCACAGCGCATGGTTCACGCATATTCACCAGCCAAGCCCAGCCCACTAAGCCGAATCCTCATGTTGGCCGATACACCACCGGGTGTACCGGAGCTGCCCGAACTTTCTATTGTGTCGGAAGAAGAGGATGTGCTGGGTGGGGCTGATTCGGACTCGCCCGTTTCTGAGCCCCCTTTGACGCTTGCCCAAGAGTTGGGTGTGAGCGAGAGTCCGCCGGATGTGCCTTTACAGGAGAGGAAGGAAGCGAACGTCGCTCAGGCCCCGACGCGTACGACGATGAAGGGGCGTGCGTTATTCCCTGACGCGCGTAAACCGGCTGTCTCTACGAGGGATAAAGGCAAGAGTCGAGCAGGCACAGCGACCTTTGCTACTTCTTCGACGACCCAGCGCAAGACTTCGGGCACTTTGGAGAAGGAGAATGATAGAGATGCGAAGAAGGGGAAGGGGGGAGGGGGGAAGATTTCGCCTGTGTTCAAGGCACCTTCGACAAAGGAGTCGACATCGAGGAGTAGTGCAGGAAAGACGGCAGGAGCGAGCAAGACTGCAAAACCGACTGCTAGTTCCGCGGCGAAGGCCTCAGCTGCCGGGAGTGTGCGTACATCTTCCGCGAAGCCTATGTCTAGTGTGGGCGGTGGACCCAGGAGGGTGATGCTCGATAGTGCTGAGGCTCCACCTGTAGCGCGGAGTCGGAGGACTTGATCGAGTTTTCTCGTGTCGCCTTTCTCTTCCTATGCTGTCCCATCGCTTGTCCATTGCTTTCGATCGTCTCGTGTGTCCCCTTATCCGCGCTCCCTGTATCATATATTATTCCCTCCCGTCCTTGTTATCTGACTCTCGCCTAGATATCTTCATTCACTGTATAATACTTTACAGCAATCGTGATCTCTTTCATTCCTGGAAACGCATTCACTCTGCCATGCATATGCGTTGATTCCGTCCTATAACGCTCCACGCTTCAAGAACCCGGAAAAATACCGGGCGAGGTGCGTTTTAGCTTCGTGGAGTGATGCGATGGGCCCGACGTATCCGTCTGGTCGTACCACCACGATCGAGGGCGAGCTGAACAGTCTGTCTTTCCGGTCTTCGAACAGGACTCTAAGAATAATGTTAGCTTATGAAACGTCGAAAAGGGAGTACATTCTACTTGGACCAATGCGACCTCAACACAAGAGGCCATGAAACAAGATGCGAAATCAAAGCACTCTCCCTTGGGTCTCCGTCCACGGTCAAGATGCTGAGCACGTCAAATGCTTCTGATGAGAACTCTCCAATCACTTGTTCGATTACGGCGGACAATTTGACCACAACTTCTGGAATGCCAATCTCGCCAACCGACGAGCTCGTAGTGCTTCGGAATCCCATCTCGTCCTCGTCGCCAAAGAAGGCGAGCAATCTGAACTTTCCATCTGCCGGTAGGAGGTCTTGCAAGTCGACCGGCTTCGAATCGGCTGCTCGGATAACTGCGTGAGGGGGGAACCTCTTGCCAATCGCGACCTTGCCATTCGCGTTCGCGGCGGTCTCGTAGTCTGTATTGGTGATGGTCGAAGGAAGGTAGTGGATTCCGATTCCACTGATGAATCCGCCAAAAGTTTGGAAGGCCCTTGCAGCGTCCATGATTCAGTCCGATACGTTAATGGGGGATGGATCATTCCCGCTTACTCCAGGAATTCTTCGTGGGTTACACCGGCCCCATGTTCCTTTGTCTGCGGTTTTCCGGAAAATAGTTTGGCCCATTTCTTGTCGAATGAAATCAGGTCCTGTGCGTATCGTCGCCTTTCATGTTCGTACTGGATAGGGGCAAGGACGTGCACATGTATTAGTGTATTAGTGCAGGACTACACCACAGCTGACTCGGAACTTGAGCTCACTGTCTCTAGTAGAGATGGCTTTGCCCATCCATTTACGACAGCCGCTATCTTCCAGGCTGTACCCCGAATGTGAACAATCCCCAGGTTTACCAAGTACGTCGGTGGGATCACAGCCATATTCGACATACCTAGATTATGCGAGTCACCCATACTTGCATTCATCCCCTGCCCTGTTGTTGGAACATTTACATCGTTTTTTAGGAGCGCTTTGAACGACTTGGGCGAGGTGCATCGTACCGGCCTTTGGAGAATGGGTATGGCAGGCATCACCCACTATGAATATTCGGTCGTTCACTGCAAACTTCGAGGCTATCCGTTGTCCGACTAAGAACACTTGTTTGCAATCTTCATCAATAACAGGCGCTACAAAGGCGAGACTCACTGGTGTAAATGGTCCACCATTCAATAGCATCACCTTCGGTTCTGAGGGTGTATGGATGTAAGATCTTCTGCGCCACATCCAACAGGTCCGCCGGGCCCAAGCTGAATTTATCGATCCGCTGGCCATTCCTAGCGGGCTCTCTGGCTGAGGCACCGGAGAGTGATTCAAGGGCAATCCTGTCGTCCAATTGGATGTACAGTCGAATTTTATCTCCTTCTCTTGGGATGATCATGCAGGACCCCTGTTCCGAGTGTATGAGGGCTTTGTTGCGGATGTCCGGAAAGTCGGATGTGGGGTTTATGACGTCTATGACGCCCCAGACGTGTTCGGTTTGTTCTCCTTCCATGGCAATCCCGAGGGTCTTCCGAACCCAGGAGTGTGCGCCTAAATCAGTTTAAGCACCCCCTTCGTTGTAGGATCTACGAAGGACCTCGTCGAGTGGACTTACCATCGGCGCCGATCACGTATCTGGCATGCACGACCCCTAGTTCATTCGAATGGAGGTCATGTAGCTCTACGTGGACTGGAGAAGCATTTCCGTCGTGACTATTTCTCGCCTCTTCGTCCACCAAAATCGACAGAGGGACGATGGGCCGCTCGACCTGTACGCCTGCGGCTGCCATAGAATCCCTCAATGCCTCTTCGACGGCTGACTGAGGTAAAGCAAGCTAAATGGTGGCAAGATAGCTCAGACCTACCGACCAGATGGTTGAAACTTGACATCAAGCAAAGGAACGTACAGCAAATGGATATCTGGCATCTCGTACTCCAACTGGTGCCACTCGATTCTTCAACTGTTCGGGAGCGTCGTCGTCATACCCTACAAGCGCCTAACTCTAAAACTGAGTACCTGGAGAGATCCCTGTTCGTCGGGGCCATAGAAGGCCTAAAATAAGACATGCGGATCAGTATTTTGACGGCTGACGACGGGACTGACACGCATACTGAGGCATGTATCTGATTTCCTTGCTTGAGGATGGGGTCAAGAAGACCGTAGCTCTGAGATTTCGAAGGTTAAGACATGCACCACGTCATGCTTCAAACTGACTCCACCTGAAAAATCTCCAATGTCCTTGGCTGTATTCCGTCCGCATGTCCTACCGTAATGTTATGCGGTCTTTCGAATTTCCATGCTATCAGTAACGTTCCTCTAGGCCAGATGACTTGTACTCTTTACCTCTTCTCAACTATCCTGACCTTGACACCAAGCTTCGCAAGCGCATTGCATGCCATCAACCCCGCAGGGCCGGCGCCTATAATGAGAACATCTGTGTAAGACGCTTTGGATCGCCTTTGGTCCAGGAACGGCATCGGAGAAAGAGGAGATGGATCGTGGCGGGAAAATGGCGGTTGGATGTAGGTTGAACCGCGATTACGAGTTCCTTATATACCCGTACTGGCTGATATATGATAGCTTCTAACCCTATAATCTCATCATTATGATTAACAGGGGGTCAGATCCAAGATACTCCGTTGAAAAATGCCACCGTTGCCATTAAAAATCACATCGCCTATGGGCATAGAAAGTAACACTGTCATGCTTGGAAACAGCGCGCCGTTATCATAGATGCATAGTGATAAAACATCGTTCAGGATTGGTCGAGACCTGGCCCTATGTAGCAAGTCGACTTCTGCGTCTTCTTTCTCAGGAACCCAGAGAAGTAGTTGGAAAGTTGTGATTCGAGGGAGTGGGAGGGAATGATCTTCCCAATGTAACCATCCGGCCTTACGACGATTACCTCTGGTGAATACTCTGCCCCGTCCGGTTTCTCGACGAAGATCCTGGATGTACGGAATGAATCAGATTCAGCCGAGCATCGAGTGGTGTCAGGCTTACTTGGACCAATGCGACCTTAGCATGAGGGGCCATGATGTCCAATTCAAAACGTCCCTCGGACTGTCTCCAGTGCCCGCGATGAACGTCAGTACCTCGGTTACAGCAAACAGGTTGTTTGCGGGTGACATTCGAGTGACATGCTCCAGTTCGATCGAAAGGGCCTCCAAAGCGATGGTCGCCTCTTTCTCCCCTTCAAGAAAGACGAGAACCTTAAATCTTCCATCCGAGTGAAGGAGATCTTGGATGTCCATAGGCCTGGAGTCGGCTGCCCGAACGACTGGGCGAGGAGGGAATCTTTCCCCGACCTTGATGCCCCGAGTCGAATTTGTGTGATCTGCGTCTGTGATGGTTGAGCCAAGGTAACGCATTCCTATTCCGCTGGTAAATCCCCCGAATGTCTGAAAGATCCTGATTTAAGATGTCAGGCCCCGGAAGGGCAGGGGCGGGAGATGAGGAATGTCACATACTGGAGGAATTCCTCGTGACTGACACCGTCTTGATATTGCTCTGTTCTCGGTTTCCCAGAGAATAGTTTGGCGAACTTTCTATCAAAAGAGATAAGATCCTGCGCATATTTGCGGCGCTCAAGCTCGTACTTGAATGAGGATGGATAAATAATTGCAACGAGAAGGCAGATATATACCCACAGTATCAAGCACATCTGGATCCACCCATCCATTAAGGACAGCAGATATCTTCCAGACGAGATTATGTGAATCCCCCATGCTTGCATTCATCCCCTGCCCTAGAGTTACCATCAACTCAATTGCACTGTCAAAATCATTGGATGCCTCTCACCGGCTTTAGGGGAGTGTGTATGACAAGCATCACCTACAATGAATATCCGATTATGCACGGAGAACTGTGATGCAACGCGTTGGCCAACTGATATGGGAGGAGTCTGAGCATAAGACATAAAGTGAAACCAGTCGACCTACTGGTATAGACCGTCCACCACTCGAACTTTCCACCTCCTGCTCTCAACGTATATGGATGGAGAATCTTCTGTGCAACGCACAACAGATCTTCTGGCCCTACAGCCAACTTCGTCATATCAATACGTCCATTCGACTTGTTCTTGTTCGCTGCTATAGACTGCAACACCGCTCCATCATCTAGCTGAATGTACACTCGAACCTTATCTCCTTCTCTGGGGATGACCATACATGTCCCATGATTCGAATGCACGACGGCTTTGTTGCGAATATCTGGGAAATCTGATTCTGGCTCGGCGATGTCAATGACCCCCCAAACATAGTCGGTCTGCTCGCCTTCCATCGCAATCCCGAGTGATTTGCGGACCCATGAATGAGCCCCTAGATTATTCACATTCAGTTCAGCCAATCCGGATTTTTCGAATGAACGTTTTGGAACTAACCGTCAGCACCAATGAGAATCTTTGCGTTCACAACTTCCAAATTGCCATTGAACAGGTTTCGCAAAGAAGCTTTGACCGGATAACATTCTTTGTCATAGACCCGGGCTACTGCTTCATCGAGGGAGATGGAGACAGGGGCCACATGCCTCTCAACTTCCACCCCCGACGCAGCCATAGAGTCCATGAAAATGGCCTCGATCGCTCCCTGGTGGAGAGTAACCTATTCCAGATCATTAGCTACTGTTCTGAGGAGCAACAGGACACGGCAGAGGTGTAAGAACATACCTCGAAAGGGTATCTCGCTGTAGGCGCAGTAACATCCGGCACCCGATCAGTCAGCTACCGGGATAGCCGAGGGTACCATCTCGTCAGTTTTGCCGGCGTCTAAGAATAGTGCGACACCGCCTACCTCAATTGTACCATGTGCATTTGGATTATAGAAGGCCTGTAGTAACAGGTTGGCTCCCTCCAGGATAGGGGACAGGCCACACATACCGCTGTGTGTATCTGGTTGCCTTCCTTGAGTAGGCGTTCAAGCAGACCGTAGCTCTGCAAAATCAATGAGTCGGTTGGCGACTACGGAAAGTCCAGTGGCTGGGACATACCTGGAATATCTCCATGGTCCTAGGTTGAATTCCATCCGCTTGTCCAGCGATGAGTTTTTCCGGTCTGTAAAACATGTAGCATAAGCCAGCGAAGTCCTTGCACGGGTCAGTGGGATCCACCTCTTATCCACGATCCTAACCCTAATGCCGAGCTTCGCTAGTGCATGGCACGCCATGAGCCCAGCTGGCCCAGCACCAATGATCAAGACATCTGTAGTGGACTCCACGCTTTGGTTCTGTTCGACGGCCATGGGCGATGCAAGACAGGCACAATGCTGCCAGTCTGAGAAGCACAGCGGGTAGCTTTGGAAAAGGGCTAGGGGACTTGACCTTCGATGGTGTTATATCCGACAACAAGGACTCCTCCGAATGCTTCGGAACACTTAGTTCTGACACAACCCTCTTTCTAGTCCATGGATTTTGCCTAGAAAGGCTCTCCAGAAGACACGGACAACGGACATCGCAGCGGCTCAATCTCCGTTTAAGGAAATTCCTCGAAAATTCGTAGGCGGCGGAGAACGCTCAATCCTCATGGCACTGGTTATGATAGGCAAGAAAAGCCAATAGGGTACCCACAGCTCGTAGTTGTGACATATCTGACGTACTGACCCTGCGTAGAAAGGGTACAGCCCTGAAAACGTTGTCTGATCTTGCAGTGTGGGCCCGATAGATGTTTAATGAGCCCAAGTACCGGCCAATGAAATGTATTGTGTTGGTAGTATATTCTGCGATGCGGGCACCGACCGAGGTTGCGAGACCGAAGGGGATTGGGTAAGCGGGAGGATCTGCACGGAAAGGGGAGCAACCGCTTACAATGTCGCAGTAAAAAATCAAGCAATGTACGCATATAAGCCAAAAAGCTGATAGCAGGACCGCAAACACCGAGTAAGCCTCGAGACAGTCGACATATGGAAGGCGGTACCAAAGGTGCCAATTAGGCAATTTAGACCTCTCCCGCGAGGACGTTGTCACGATAGTCAGGTCTTATAATTCCCTCTTGAGTAGTCAAGATGTCGTAAATCTGATGAAATGGCAGAGTATTAGCGTCCAAGGCAGGTGGAACCATACTTCAATTCACCTCTTGCGGTGGGTTCAACTTCAAGGCCTTCGCTCGCTGCCACCTCTCCAGCCGAGTCATACCAGCCGTCGGTCCATATTCGTAGGAACTGGCGGTGCAAGGAAAGAAGATCAGAACGTGCGTAGCGAGTAACCAGGGAGGAACTGACAGGTCGAACACCCTCAATATCTCGTGTATGCGATTCTCTCCCTCCTTGGGATGGACTAGGCACGCGCTAATTAGCATAAAATAGCTTGCTATTGGAAGCGCCAGGCTTACCTGTTGGCAGGTACCCATTCTTCTGCCTAGCTTCCGCAAAGAGCCTGCTATATGCAGGGTCCTTGACATTGAGGTGTGGCCGTGACTCCACCTCTGCTTTCTCCGCGGACACTTTGGACTTCACAGCGCTCTCTGCGGCCTTCACAGTTTCGTGGGTCGCTGTTTTTGGCTTCGCTTTCGATACCGCTGTCGTTGACTTTTCCGCTTTGGTACTGGTCGGCTGCAGAACACGAGAACCATCGGGTCGCTTCTCGTCTGAGTGTTGCTCAATACCATCCTCCGTTTCCGAGTCGCTAGGTGGTTGCGGTTCCTGAATGTCGTCCAAGTTCCTCTGCTCCTCTTCGTCTTCGCTGCTCGAGATGTCGATTGTAGTGACCGTATTGGCTTTCTTCCCCGCACTACGGGTAGTCCCTGCTGCTTTCTTGGTTTTGGCAGCAACAGCGGAAGGCTTCGAGCTGCCAAAAGACAGCGTTGTCTGAGTTAGACTTGATCCTTTGGGTGGCATGTTGACTAAAGATGAAAGGGAGCTAATGAGAGGCTAATGAGAGTCTAATGAGAGTTGTGAACAAGAAATCAGAGTCAACTTCCAACTTGAACTTGAAGAGGGGCGGCTTTGTCATCAATAGACGCCGCGCCAATGGTCTGCGGAGGTTACCCAGGCGCTTATTCCAACGCTTAGTCGTCGCATGAGTCGGGTTGGGAGGGTGTAATTACTGATGATATTCCATGTCCACTAGTGCCAGATACAAGCACAATCCATTACGAAGATCCAATAGAGTGACCTGTTCCACAACTCTGCTCCAGTTCCTCTTCCTCTTTCCTCAATCGGTTCAAAGTGGCCTCCAGAACACGCCGACGCCTCTGTTCGGGAGAGTCCCCGTCCGAGGCCATCCTTTGCACATCAGAACCACCGAGAACGTACGACTGAGCCTCTGCTTCCTGCTCTGAAGAAGGGGTATCCCACGAGAATGCTGATAGCGGTGTTCCAGACAACGTGCGTGCTCCTTCCATCACAGACTTCTCGTATTCGAACACTTCGCGGTTCAGCTGCGAGTTCAATTCCTTGAACTAAAACTATATCAGCGGCAATTCCTTTCCAGTAACACCGACTTGACTCACGTTATTATCATGATCTCCCCAGACATTATGCGCAAGTTCGTGGCACAGCACTCTTCTGATCTCTTTATACAGTCGAAACCCGTCATATCGATCCGTCCGTATCCGTAGTTTGATTGCTTCTCCCTTGTTGACATTGAGGCCCAAGAGTTCGGGATGTTCGTGAGGAGCTAGCTCCGTCAATACGCCGACGGTGAAGCGATGCTTCTGCATAACATGGCGGATAGCTGGATCTGTGGCCAGCTTATCGAGAACAGCCCTAGCGGTTTCGGGGTTGGGCAGGTGTTCCAGGGGTTTGATATCATGAAACCTGTACTGAGAGGTAGATGGTGACGCATTGAGGGTGGACAAGGTTGCTATCGAACTTCCTCCAGGACCCGTCGAACGAGGCTGCAGACAGGTAAGCCTTCCATTAGACCTTAGGGATAACAGGCGACTCACCTTAACCTGTGGCTTCAGCGCCCTTTCCCTTAAAATCCTTTCGCGTTTCTTCTGCTCGTCTTCCACGTCCTTTAGCCCATCCAGATCCTTCGTGGTTGTTCCAAGCATCTGAATCTTCATTCCGTCCTTGATCCCGGCATCAGCAAGGGTCACAGAGTCACTGCCCTGGCCTGCTTTCTTCCCCTTGTAAATCAATTTCTGCAGGGACGCAGGTACTCCGGTCAGGTTCTCGAGTTCGGCTTGTAGGGATGACAGAAGTGAATCTGGGAGCAAGGCGAGGCGGTGGGCTGTCCCTCGAGATGAGACTGTGATGTTCATCGCTTCAATGCTCGGCGTCGACATCGTAGGTTCGGTTTGGAGTATTGGCGACAACAAGGTCGCCTTCGAAGCTGATAGATTCTGACAGAAATCGAGCCTTCCATGGTGGGCGCTGCTGAGAGAGATGACTGAGAGTGAAGCTGAGTAAGCGCTCGGAATCGAGTTCGGATCAGTTTGATGACGAAGCTTTCTGTAAATGGAAACGCCCCTATCCTAGGATCGCCATGGTGGTCTCAAACTATCGAAGAGCGCTCGCAACCGCATTTCTCACTTGGAAAGTTGTAACAACGACTGTTATCCCTCTGTGTTGTGATACCAGATGTATATCTACTCAGAGCCTCTTCAGACCCTCAATATCCTCGGGGTCAGAATTCTCAATCATCCGAATCAAAGGCGCGACGAGGTAATGTACAAGGGTTGGAACGATGCAGCTATGGTATCAAAGGGTATGCGAATGAAAGTTTAAATGAAGGAATAAACACGGTAAACAGAAGGAGCAGAGAGAACAAGCACAATCTACCAAATGCACATCTACAAGCTACATGTAACTATCCCTCGCCCTCGCATTGGCGCGAGCCTCCTGGTCCTTCGTCGCCTCCACCAACCTCTGATAATCAGCCAGCTGCATCGCACCATATGGATACCCAGACTCATACGGGTTCAGCTGCGAGTTGGCGACATCGGAAGAGCTAGCCACGGGTCGCGGAACCTCCACAATGCTATCGACGTCTCCCGTATTGGTCGTGCTCGGGGGAGCATGCTGAACAGGTGGCGGGTTCAAATTGACTGAGCTAATTGTCGACCGCACTTCGGGGTTAAACCGCCTGGCAGTGCTTCTCCGGCGCGCATGTGCGGCTATCGCTGGGAAAGAACCCGGTCTGCTGCTGGGACCCATGTCGTCGCTCAGTCGAGAGCTGACGATGTCGATGTCGAGAGGGGCGGATGCCTCGGGCTTCACAAAACCTGGTAGGGGTTGGATCATTGGTAGCTCTGATTTATGTCTGCGTCGCAGGTAGAAAAACGCCGCAAGAACGATGAGGCTAACGGCGCATATGCTTCCAATGACGGCGCCAGCTATCGTCCCCGGACTTGGCGGATTGGAGAGATTTTCTTGTGGGACTGCGGATTCCGTGGCGGGTGAAGAGGTTGTGAATGAAGGAGGGACAAACTCTTCTTTGATGATGAGATAGTTGAGAGTCAAGGGGGCCTGACTTCCATGGTGGGTGACCACTACAGTGTGAGGACCTTGGCGCAATGGACCGGTTGCGAAGAGAAGTTGGTTGTATTGCGCCGGGTCTCTTCCACGTTCGAGGCCAGGAAGAATGAATGTAATGGGCGGTGCTCCGTCAACCGAGAACTCTGCCACTGACGGTGCGATGGGAAACTCGTCTGGAGTGTACCCATACCACTCCAAGGACGTGCCTTCAGACATGGTAGATTAATCAATGTCAAGTACGTATACTTTCATGCAACCAGGACGCACCATCGAAGCTGATTGTTGCTGACGACTGCGCGACTCGAGTCAAATGTGCAAACCCGGGGATTACCATCCAATGACCATCGTAGCTGATCACAGGGTCCTCGTTGGGTATCTCAGTGAGAGTTGTAGCCCTCGGTGGTGGACGAGATGGCGATGGAACATATCGTATGAAGTCGAATAGGAATGTGTCGCGTCCTGACGTCGCGTTGACCATGAGTGTGTGATGTCCAAAAGAATTTGACTGCCATTCGCAAAGCTTGTGACGATTTGCCGACTGTTCTGATACTCGAAACCCAGACCGCCCGATGTTTTCTCCGTCGACGATACATTCCCATGTTGCATCGAAATTATTCCTGACTGTCCCCCAGACATCGAATCCTGCTCCTGTGGAATACGTCAAAGCTGTAGTAAAGCGAGAATTTTAGACGCATGTAACAGATTCACCTTCATATTCGAATACAAAACTCGCACTTGCTTCCGGGGGTACACCGTGAAGCGTCCGTTCCAGCGGAGGACCAAAGTTTCCAAGCTCGTTATGACTGTCGTGGTCTGTAAACCAAGGCCCGTTGTACAAAATAGAGCGATCCACGTCGTCGACCAGGATGCGTCTTGGGCGCGGCTGATTGCTGCTAGCATTGAAAGCCATTATGGCTGCCGACGGACATGGAGGGAAGAGGCAAGCCTGCTCCTTCAGAAGGGTTCCTGACCAGAGGGGAAAGTTGAAGGACGATCACTGGCAGCTGACCACCTGGGGTTTTAGAATGGCAGTGGGAGAATCAGGACCGAGTCCAAGGAAAGGCGAGATGGAAGCAGCAGTGACGAAATCGTGGAACAGTGGCAGGGCAGAGGGGCTACAACATGTATCACCCAGCGAACATTGGTGAGAAAAATGCCCAACCCCTTGCCTGAATCGACCGAACTCAAAGCATCAAATCTGCGAGGAGCGGTGGTTTGCACAGTTCGGCCATCTTTCGGATATAATTGACAATGATGGTTTACGCCATGCAAGGCTGTTCTGGAGGGAGAATTGATACCATCATGCTTTCAGCATCTTGGGGTACCGCCCACTCGAGGCTTCAATGGAAGATCGAAGATCAATGGTCATGAGCGCTTAACCCACTAGCTTGGTCCAAACAGCAATCGCAGCCCAAAGCCACGAGTTCGAAGAAGTCGTCAAGCTTTCAAGCGACGTACTAGTGCGCGCATACTGTACTAGCGACATTCCTGGAATGATATATTATGTCATGAAGTCCATTGACCGTTACTGAAATATCAGGGCTCACCAGTCACCCGCATTGAAGAGAACATACACTCGAGGATGTCGTCAAGGAAGAATGACATGAATCATAAAACCATCACCGGTCACCACCCACGTCTTCGGCGTTCTCGGTAGTACACGCCGAGCGCTTGCTGGCAATGCCAAGAGAACATTATGTATCCCGGGCGCTAAACATTCCTTCCAGCGCTCCTAGGCACAGACACAGAGATAAGTCGTGGTCCGAGCATTTCGATAAGGGGCAGGTTTACTTGGCTTCACGCTTCGTCACGGCTCTCGAGAGAACGAGCCTATCTTGTCGTCTGTGGGGCGACCGGGGTGGGATTGGCCAGAGATCTGTGGACCCATTAGCGGTCCGAGCTATGGAAAATGAGGAAAGGGTCAGATGATGTAGATGTCTTGATAAGACTTGCATACAGACTGTCGCGACTTGGGTCGGCTCACTTATCGTCACTGGAGTGGGGAAGCGCATTCACGGTGGTGACTTCAAGCAAATAGCCTGGATCTGAGCGGAGCCTGAAACGGAGAGTTAACCGCGCTGAGAAAGGCTTTCAATCACATTTCCACTTACCACGAAACACATCTGGGAGACAAAGTCATTCCTCGTCTTATGGCCCACAGTAACCACCTTTGGACAAACCCACCCCCCTAAGTCCAGATAATGGGGTGGAGCATTCTTTAGCCGTCAGTCGATCGCAAGAGGAGCCGATGGCAAAACATGGGAATTGGAGATCGTGGTATGTACCGCCTCCTCTTGAGTGGATATAAAATTCATTGAGATGCTCCAGAAAGCACCTTAGCTTTGCCCAAGCATGTCAGCTCGCCCAACACCAACTCACCCAATCACGACGAATGCAGAGCATGTCTCTACTACCACCATCAACGACCTCCCTGTGGAGTTACTCCAGGAGATATTCTTCTTCTGCACAGCGGACCATAACTGTCGGACTTTCCCATTCGTTGTTATCCACCGCAGCGCGACTCGAGCACCAGTTGTGCTCACTCACGTTTGCTCTTTATGGAGAAGGGTTGCCCTCTCGTTGCCCATGTTGTGGGCTTCTTTCACCCTACTTCCGCTCAAGAGGGCGTCAGAAGAGTTGGTCACAGAGTGGCTGAAACGCTCTCATTCGAGCCCACTGGCAATCGATGCATCCCAACTTTTCAAAAACCTGTCGCGGAAGACGTGCTCCTCGATCCTCGCTCAGTCCCACCGTTGGAGATACCTTGGTCTTAGACCCGGAGATCGTTTGATGAGCGGTTTCCTTGATACCCCACCGTCTGCAGCTCCAGCGTTGAAAGGGCTGGCTATAAAATCTTCAACCTTCGCCCAGCTTCAGCCGTATATTGCCAGTTTATCCGCAAAGCTTAGCACCCTGCCATCCCTGCAACAGTTCTTCCTGGATATTGGCGACAATGTCCTGGCCTACGATGCCTTCCTTTCCCACATTCCCTTCGAGCGCTTGACACACATCCATCTCTCCGTCCCTTTGACTGACGGCGACTGTGTCTCTGTCCTTGAGCGGTGCCGTCGTGCCGTTCAAGTGACCTTCCGGTTCGTCACCGCGAGCCATACGCGACCCTCAATGCGCGTGGAAGGAACCAAGGTATCCTTGTCATTGGAGTCGCTGGTGGTCTCTTCGGAAACCGATATCTGCTCCATTCTCTCCAATTTCACCTGCCCAGTCCTCCGCCAGCTCTGCATCCGTGTATGCCATACCGCCCCCTCCTCGACGACCGAAGAAGATCTTCCTCTTCTCGACAACTTCATCCGAGAGAGCAACCTCCAGCAACTCATCATTTGCGATGTATGGGGATCTTTCGAGTTCGCGGCGCTGTATTTGTTGCTGGACTCGGTCCAGGATATCCCTGAGGTTGAAGTCAGGGTTCTTTCTCCCTCGGAAGCGTACCTTCCAGTTGTGGTGGCAAAGGAATATCGTTGTCCAGTTGCGGGTTGTTCGTTGCCACATCTTGGTTGGACTCGTGCGTTCGGACAGCATCTGGGTACGCCGTTGAAAGATGGGACTATGGCACTTTGGGAGTCGCCCTGCCGACAAGAGACACTGACCTCGGATTGGCTCGCCAATGCTACCCTGTTTAAAGGTTTTGTAGACGATTAATATAGATGTTCTGTATGCTTGGCTTTATGTATATCCAATAAGTGGAGAGCTTCTTTGCTCCAATTAAAGTTGAAAGAAATGCCCGAAAAGATGGCGAGAAGAGAGAGGCGAAGCAGGTTTGCCGTCAATGCCGAGAGATGCCATGAGAAATTATTTGTCATCGATCACAGCCCAGGCTCGGTGGCTCTGGCAGGAAGCCTTGTCGTTGTTCTCGCCATCGTCGCCGTCGTCGTTCATTAGCTCGCTCGTCCTTTTCCCCTCCAACTACCATGTCCGATCAGCAACCAGACAACCAGCCCGACCAAAATGAGGAGGAGAACAACTCCCCGACCTCCTCCCGCTCTGCGACCCGGGTGTTCATCCCTCCCTCAGCACCAGCTGGCGAAATTATCATCACCCAGCCCCCACAGACCCACACCTCCTTCTACAAGATCGCACCAGGAGAAATGATTACATTTGCATGGAATTTTACCTATATTCTGGCGACGCCGACACACCTCACGGTCTCAGCGGTTTGCCAGAACGGCAACACCTACCCAGTTGGCCCGACGGACGGTATCATCGATGGAACGGCGACAGAAGTCGTTTGGGATGTGTACTCGTACCAAGTCAACAATCCCAATACACCTCTACCTCAGCAAGTTTGTAACCTGAGGATATGCGACGAACGTGGGTTCGGTGCGACGAGGCGGGCGGGTTACCTGAGCCCTAACACGGGGTTGCAATTTGCTTTGTATACCCCTCAGCCTTATACACCATTGGCAGACGGTGTGTACTCTCTTATCATTTTTTGTCTGGTCATTCTGACAGGCTTACCTTTGTAGGATGGAAGTGCTCAGTTTGCTCGGGTGCAGCGAGCCTTTCCGCCCACCCTGCAGCCATCAGTCTGCTGGTCACCCTGATGATCTGTTTCCTGTCTGGATTCCATTTCCTGAGAGCAAACAGGGCTGCAGCAGTGGCACAGTAGATGTCTCGACACCCGTCTTTCGCCGAGTATGATGGGTTTCTTGCAACACACTCGAACAATCCAACGCAACCTACACGATCAACAACCTGCATATCTGAAACCTCAACAAACTCGGAATCGGGGCAACCCTGCTGAAGCTATATCACCCTCGACGATACTCACGACGAACACCATACTTTCCTCGTTCTCTTCTCTTGCTTTCTTTGGTATCTTTGGACATTGGTTCACTCTCACGGCGGATATCCGTTTTTAATTACCGGGGTCTTGACTCTTTCTGAACCATGACACTTTCTTACCCCTGCATCTGCTTTGTTTTCTTTTTCGGACATTGTTGGGAACCTCATCTTCCCTGACTTTATCTCTCCTTTAGTAGTACCGCTCACGCTCGCTGACCCCTAGCTATTATCCATTTATTCACTAATAGTATCTCAAGCACTGACTCTTCCTCTCGACCCTCACATTGGTCGAATGTAAACCTGCACAATACTGTAGAATTTGTGTTATACCATGCATCTTTGCATTCAGGCCGTCGAGTGTCCCGCATCTGTTTTGCCGAACACGATGCCAAGCCCGGATGTCCGCCATCGCGCCCTGGTCTGATTAGCGCGATTTCCCGACGGACCGCGTGCTAACCTAATTAGCTCCTCGTCAAGCCACAGACGCTTTCTTCTCTCTTTCTTTTTCCTCTTGCTTTCGGTTCGCCACCTGTCTCCTTGCTCCACCGCCTACGCGCCACTGAATCCTTCCCCCCACCACAGATTCTTCGACGGAAACATCCAAAATGTCGGGACAGTGCTCTATTTGCTTGAACGATTACAGAGACCCGATTTCTATTCCCTGCGGTCAGTAGCTCTCACGAGGCATTCGTTCGCCTTTGGGCGGCCAGCTACTGGTCTAACCGTCCGCGCTCTAGGACATGTGTATTGTTTTGCATGCCTCAACCAGTACGCGAACGGGCCCACCCATGAAGGCTTGAAAGCTGCGTGCCCCACCTGTCGCCAGGAATTTCACTATGGTAAGCCGCATTTTAGTATTCACGCTATCGTTTTCAGAGCGGTAATTCTTTCGTGTCTTTGTAGTTACCCCTGATGTACGCGACCTCCCTCCTCATCCGATGGGGGGAAACTCACATCCCAGCCTTTAGCCGCGAATGCTGCCTAGAAAATTCCACCCCTTCATAATGACGCACATGCGCCGCGTATATATGAACCCCTCAGATACACACGGACAACTTCAAACGGACGTTACGAGACTACGAAAACAAGTTCGCGACCTCCGCGCACAGGAAACGGCGCTCAAGGCCAGACATGAGCAACAGCAGAAGAGAGCGGAGAGTTACAAGAAGAAGTTCCAGAATGGGACGCGCCGCATTGAGGAACTCGAGGGGCAGTTGGAGGAGACGAAGGAAGCGCTTGAAGTTACGCGCAACAAGTTGAGGAAGGTGAGGAAGGAGAGGGATGAGACAATGGAGGAGCACGTGAGCATGGAATCGGTGGTGGAAGAGATGGAGGATACAGTTAGTAGGTTGAGGAGGGAGAGAAACGAGACTAGGGATGCGCTCACTGCTGCGAAAGCGGATGGCGTTGTCAAGAAGAGGTTGATTCAAACGCTTGAGGCTCGGCTTCAAGAATCGATGTTCGCGTGAGTAGGATTCAGGTTGTAATTGGGATCCATTGCTGACGCCGTGTTTAGAAGCGATAACTATAAGCGCAAATTCGAAGAGCTCGAAGCCAAAGTTCGAAGGATGGAGCGAGCCCAAGCGGCTGCGGCCTTCACTCCCCCAGTCACCCGGGCTAAGGCGCGTAGCCATGAAGCGCTGGGCGCCTCGGCATCGACCTCGGTTAAGCGCGTTCGATCAACAGAGGGTGTCACTGAAGCCTCTGGCTCAGCATCTCGACCTCGCAAGGTCTTGAGGACCTCAGCGAGCACCTCGAAATCTGCGCGGAAATAGACACGCCGCTCCAAACATACCCCTATCCTATTAATCAGAAGTGGAAGCGTAACATCCATATGGAGGCTCCCATTCTAAACCCCATGACTTCTCTGTTCGTGTTTATTCTCTTTTGTTATGTATGTCCTTGTCCCAATGCCGAAATCCAACTGCCCTTCCGCTTCGGGCCCCTATCCTGCATCGATTTATTTGTGGGTCAGAGCGATTTTCCAAGTAAACTCGCTTCATGTGGCCGAGTATTTGACTGCCCTCATTTAATTAAGACATGTGTTGTGCTCCGACTGTCTTTAAGAAGGCAGTCGTGGACCGGGGAGATGAGGGAGCTACATCGATGGGGTTTACACTTGTTGGCGCACGAAATTGGTGTATAGGAAATCTAGACGCGATATACACTCTACTGTCGTGTCTCAGTGATAGTAACACGTTGTTGACGCGTACTATAATTAAAACGAAGTATACTTCGTTGAATTGCATCGTCCTCTTTGCAATTCCTAGCCACCTCACGTAGCCCCAGCTGCGCCAAGCGCATCACCTTAATTGGCCTAATTAAGGACGCGCATCCGACGGAGCGCGTGAAAAATCCCCTCGCGAGCCACATTGACAACGACTGTGAAGGTTTTTCCTCCTCTACCTGGCACCTAGCTGGTCTTTGACGAACCTTCGCATTTCTGTTTGCACCTGGATATTCCTCAGTCGCCACCTCAAACGCCGATTGACAAAATTTCCCCTACAAAAAATGTCAGGACAGTGCGGAATTTGCTTGAACGACTACAGCGATCCAACCAGCATTCCATGCGGTGAGCATCTTTTTATCGGTCGTCTTTTCTGAATTAATTACGACGGTCTTGCGCCCGGATTACAGGGCATATCTACTGCTTTCGCTGCCTCAGCCAATACGCAAATGGGACCGTACACGAGGGTATGAGGGCTCCATGCCCAACTTGTCGTCAGGAATTCCATATCGGTATGTAAACTACACGACATCTCAGAAAATCATAGCCTGACTGGCCTTTCGATTTTTAGTTACTCCCGATGTGCGGTTCGACTCGGCGTTCCCTTCGAACGCAGAGCGCTAAACCCACTTTTTTCTTTGCTTATAGGCTAGGATGCTCCCAAGGAAGTTCCAGCCTTTCATCATGAACCACATGCGTCGGGTGTATATCACGCCCTCTGAAGACCAGCAGCGCCTCGTTCAAGAAAACGCGCGACTCCGGAACCAGGTTACCACCCTGCAGGTTTACGAAGAACAGATTCTGGCGCGAAGCAATCAGCAGCTTGAACAACTGGCTGAATCCCAAAGGAAGGAACGGGACGCTGGCCGTCTTATCCTCAAGCTCGAAAGCTTGGTAGCCGAGCTGGAGAAGCAGTTCTCAGTCACGGGCTCGACGCTGGAGCGAGAGAGGGACCACCTTCGAGCCAGGTTTGAGGATATGACAGAGGAGCTGGATAGGACGAACGAAAAGGTGGATAGGTTGAGACACGAGCGCAACAAAGCTCGCGCTCTGCTCGACACCGTACGGCAGGAGAACGACTACAGGAGGGATCTTGAGGAGGTCCTGACTGGTGAGCTTACGCAGGCACGTCGAGAGTAAGTGTCTCCCTTTCCATCTATCCGGACGTTCCCTGAACAATCTCTCCAGAAAAAAGCATTGGCAGCGCGAATACGAAGAGCTCAGTGGTGAATTAATGAGGAGAGTAAGGCATCGGACCGCAGCCCAATCCTCATCACCCGCCACCCGCTCCAATCCTGGTGTCGTGAACGCCGTTGCTGGATCCTCCTCACTGGGGACCAAGCGAGCTCGTAACGGAGATGGCTTGGGAATTGCAGGGGAAGCCGACTCTCGTACCTCCAGTTCTCAGCCCAGCAAGAAACAGCGACTTTCACAATAAAACTTCCGTTCATGAACAATTTTTTCAACTCGTCCATCTCGATCTAGTCGGAAATCCCTGGGTAGTCGCTGAAGACACAGCAAGTCTCTCGCATCATGGAACCGTTGAAGCTCGTGGTCGTTGACATTGTCTCTTCTCTCCTATTTGACATTATCGTAATTCCATATTTCTGCCTCTCCATTTCACACTTTTACTTTGAAGTAATATAAACTATCTGAATCCCATATAGTATCTATTCATCCCGTGTTGCTTTTGCTTCATCTCAATTTCTTTCACCGCGACTTTGGGTCCTTTTGACGGTTATATAGCTAAAATTTGGAATATATTCAACAGTTGAGGTACCCACATCTCACAATGGATCACGCCAAGTGCGATCTAGTCAGCGTTCGCGAATCCGAGAGCGCGCGAAAAGGGCGATTCCCCCGCTCGCCCTCGTCACGCAATGTTCTTTCTTACTTCTACGTGTTGCGCGTCAAAGGTCGCAGTTCCCTATCCGCGAGTCTTTTACTTCTAACACCAACCCTATTGACCACCCAAGCTCTACGTTAAGATCTTGAAAACAGCTCGCTCGCCGACAATATGACAGGACAGTGCTCAATCTGTTTGAACCCCTACCGAGACCCCATTTCTATTCCGTGCGGTTAGTCGGGGCATTGGGATGGGCGCGGACGTGAGCTGACGGACGCTGGACTGCCAGGCCATATATACTGCCTCGGATGCCTGAACGCTTACGCCAACGCACCTGCTCACGAGGGGTTGAAGGCCAGTTGCCCCACATGCCGTCAGGAATTCTATTTCGGTAAGTCCATTGGCCTTTTTCCAAACACGTTGACGCTGACCGTCTTTTGTTCAAAGTCACTCCCGACGTACGTGAATCGTGTCAATTCTAACCCCGGCCGGGCGCTTAATTATTGTACTCTCCAGGTCAGGATACTCCCAAGCAAATTCCACCCCTTCATTATGAACCACATGCGACGCGTCTACATTACACCATCGGAGGGGCAGCAAGAGCTCGTTCAGCAAAACGAACAGCTCCGGGCCCAGGTTGACAATCTGAAATCCCAAGAGGAGGAACTTTTGGCAAGGAACGACCGACTCAAAAGGCAGCGGGACTCATGCAAGCGGAAGGAGAGAGAAAACGCTCAAGAGAGGCAACAACTTGAACGCGAACTGGCGCAGGTGCGGAGGGAGCTAGAGGATGCCAGGCTTGTCTATACACAGGCAAGCAATGCAGCAGAAAGATTTCGCGACTACAACGCGCACCAAGAGGAAGAATTGTGTCAGTTGTCGGAGCTTGTTGACAGGTTGGCGCACGAAAGGGATGAAGCGGATGAATTAGCAAGAGCTGCAGCGCAGGAGAACGCAGTGCGGGCCAGGGCTCAGAGGGCATTGGAGGAACGGTTCAACCGGTGCATGCAGGAGTAAGTTCTCTATCCTGCCCTTCTGCGCCTGTGATGTGAAAATTTCTCGCTTCAGGAATAGGAACCTGAAGCGTAAACATGAAGAACTTGAAGCCGAATTAAACAAACTGCGAGAAGAGTCCCAGCCAAATGTCCGACGTCGAGAAGGCACCAAGCCAAAGGCCGTGGCCTCTCCTCCCCTCACTCGTGCGAGATCTCGAATGCTGTTCGCAGCAGAAAACTCTTCACAAGGGGCTAAACGATCGCGAATTAGGGCGGGCGCTGGTACCTCGAGCTCGACAGAAAGTGAAGCCCGTGTTTCGTCGACTTACCCTCGAAAAAAGGCCCGACTATCAGAACCCAGTGCGAGGGCGTCACCAAGACTCTCAGTTAAATCCAGGTCTTTGCGGCAGTCCTTAGGGAGCCGCTGAATTTCTCCCACTCCATCGGTCCTGCGGATGCTAATGTTACGCGCTCGACGCGTTCTCTTGTCCGCTCTGCTTCCATTCTTCACGATTTTTATAGTAACATTATATCCTTTTACAGTCTACTCGTCTTTTCTGACCTGTGCTCAAAAATTCGCGTTCTCTTCAACTTGTCCACCATTATAATAGGTTCTTGCTCCGTGTTTCTCGTACTCTTTGTACCATTCCACTAGGCCCCTATCTCAAACGCGTCCTCTCATTAATGTCACGCGGTTGTCCTAATAGTCGCGCCAAGCAACTTCAAAGCCGGCTTGATGAGGCGACCCGAACCGCGTGTGAATTCCAAGTCTTGAAGGCCCTGTCCCATCGTCGATCTTCACCTTTCCGTGAAGTGGGTGCTCCGTCTGCTTGGATTGCTTCAACGATCCTGTACGCATCCCTTTTCGTCTGTGATGGTCTATCTGTACCCGAATCCGCTGAAAAGGTTTGAGAACCGGAGCAGAAGCTCCTCGCGGAGGAACGGGAATCAGTCAAAGTACTGTGAACCAGTGAGCTGCAATGAAATTGTCTGATGAGTGCCATATAAGGCTGATGCTGCTATTAGAGGGTCGGAAGGAGTTGGAAAGAGAGTTTGACGATTGCTTATCTCCATCAATCACCGTTGAGTTGAACCCACGACATTCCAAGAATGGAACTCTTGAGCGCCTTTCGGTTGGCAAGACGGAACGTAGGGCTCTTAGGAAGGTTGGGTGAAATACAAGAAGGGAATTCTGGGAACGCTGGGCGACGTCAATATCAGGGAGGTGGAAGGTGAGATGGTAATGTTGTGGGGATGAGTTCGAGTCACATCGAAGAGGAACTCTTCGGCTGACCCTCTTACTAGCGCCCACTGGCCAATCTACAATTCCAGCCTGGTACACGCTTCTTTATGTTCTACATATGGCTTTAAACATCCATCTCTACCCCCGTACCTTGAACCAGGGGCCACATTGAGAGATGATCAGGCCCCCTAGGAACTAATTAAGCGGTGACGCGAGTCCTACCGAACGCGCCGCGTCCCGGTACCCACGCGCTGCGGTGATGATGGCTCGCGTGATGGTGGAAATCAGTGCCACACATTGCCCTTCGCCCTTTTTGTCTTTTTTGCCACTTTACTTGGATACCCTCACCTTCCCGACGACGTGGTAGGACTGTCGAACGTCTCTTTCTCGAACAAAAAGGGACTTTTCTACTAAAACTCGCTGGACGACAACGACGAACTTGAACGTTTTCGACAACAATGTCCGAGCCATTGTCAGGCCATTGCTCGATTTGCTTGAACGACTATAATGACCCTGTTTGCATTCCCTGTGGTGAGTTATGTGTCGACCTGGATGGGCGAATGTGATTCTGAGTTTGTTGTGCTCTGTAGGACATGTGTTCTGCTTTCCGTGTTTGACGGAATATGCCAATGGACCTGCTCATGAAGGCTTCACCGCTCCATGCCCAACCTGCCGCGCAGATTTCCACCTATGTTTGTAGCCACTCATTTGATACATGGATGGAAACTGATGTCTCTTCGTCTACAGTGACACCAGATGTAGGTTCCTTTCGTTCCCGGCGGCCACCCTATTGATTGTCTCCTTTAGCCTCGAGCCCTTCCAGCGAAATATCACCCATTCATATCCTCCCATCTTCGACGCCTCTTCTTCGATTTGACCCCACATGAAGAAACAGTCTCCCTTAAGCGACAGGTCAAGAAACTCAAGAAGGAGGTGGCCCAACTCATGGACGCCTGCGAAAGGCAGATGAACAGAGTCGCGGCACACAAAGAAGGCGAACGCAATCTTCGCCACCGTTTGGACAAGCTTCAAAACGACTACGACGAGCTTGCCACAGAACACGACGAACTTGTGGGGGATTTGGAGGAGGTGAAGGAAGAGCGGGACGCGTTGGCGGAGGAGAATGCGCGTTTGCGCGAGCTGTTGGAAACCGCGATTGAAAGAAAGGATGCCATTTTCGAGGAGAAGGAACGACTTGAAACCAAGAACGAGGAGCTGGAGGAAGAGTGAGTGGCATGTTCCTTGCGGTAAAACCTTTTAACCCATTCCAACTCATTCATTTCCGTCTCCTAGGATCGAGCTCACCACGCGTCGTGCCGAAGACTACAAAGCGAAGTATAGGCAAGCTAAATCACAGATTCAGGCATTGCAACGAGCCAAGGAGGAGGCAGAGGCCTCTGGCTCTCGTCGCAAGAGCTTTTTGGCACCACCAAGACTATTCAACTACGACGATTTCAACGCGGCGATGGAGAAGGAGCGGACTGCAAGGTCGGGTCGCCCCACTCCTGACAACACCCTCTATCCAGACGACTTTCTGACTCAATACCTTTGGGAAACCAGGGCCGCCCGGCAAGAGCGCGACCGCGAGGTGCAAGAGGCCGAGAGCAGCAGTCGCGCTGGCTCAGGACAGGAACAACCCCAGGTTTATGAACCGCCAGCACGGATACGGGTGAAGAGACCATTGCCACGTCGTTCAACACCTATGCAAGTGAGCTCTGCGGGACCTCAGTCTTCATCATCTCTACCGAGAAAGAGACCTCGATTGTCGGAGCCTGCTCGGTTGTCGAGTTCATTGGTCGAAGCGGAACCACAGGTGGCCGAAGATGATCTTTCGGAATGATTGGTTTTTTAGTGAAGTTCCGCAGGTAATTCACCTCCTTTCCTCTCTGATTTCAACGAATGTGCTGACGACTCGCAGGGTAATTGAAGGGATATTGGTGATCTTTCCGTAATATTATTGGTCTGGGGTGCCGCCCATAGAGCTAGACCCTCTCCGACGTCTTCCTTCGCGCCGTTACCCAAGACCCTCCGCTGCCTGCGACAGCTCCGATAGTCTGGTGCTCTCTCCCTTCCGTGTATACATATATTTAAGCTAAGGTATAAAGCTTTCGACCATTCTATGACTGATTTTCTCCTGCCATCCCTGCATGCAATGCCTCCACGATTTAAAGGCCGATGCCAAGTCGAGACAAACGACTTACCGGCCTTGCCTCCCATGCTCTTCTCATGGTGGCCTTTGACACAGATCTCAGAATCATAGGGGCCGTTTTGTTCTGTAGGATTCTCATTACCTACACGCCTCGAGCAACAGCAATCAGCACCGCGTCTGCTCTCGCGGAGTCTCTCTGTCTGTATATTTGACACCCTCCTTATTGCTGACTGCTGAGATAGAGGGGAAGGTAGTATTGAAGAAACCTCCCCTCATTTATTAAGGGGAGCAGCTACCCTCTGATGATAAGTCGGCCACAGTGCACAAGCGCCTAAGTACCTTGAGAGCGAATCTTGCTCGAGCGCTTACGTCTGCCGGACGCCCTTGTTCCGGCTCCGGGGAACGGATCAGACCCGGCAGGGTATGACGCCATTCGGCTTGCGTTTGCTCAGGGGCCTCGAGAGTCCGAGTCTCTGCAATCACCATCTGTTTCCCTTCAATTACAACCACGACGCTCACCGCCCTTGAAACCAAAAAACCAGAGATAGAATGACTAGTACGTCCAAACTCTGGAGTCAGAGAAACTACTGGTACTGAGACATCATTATAGCCCCTACTACAAGTTCTAAGACTGCCCTGTTGTTTGGAGCAACAGGCCAAGTTGGACAGCAACTCTTGCGAACTCTCTTGGGTACACCGTACTACACCAAAGTGGGAGAATATGGTCGACGCGTAACACCACAGGAGCAGATTGAGAGCAACGGAAAGGAGAAGCTCATGCAAGGAACTGTGGACTTTGAGACTGTGACCGACAAGGATTTGGGCGAGCAAAAGTGGGATGATGTCTTCATTTCGTGAGTGAGACCGTTGCCACCGTCAATGTGGAGGGCTTTGAACTGGCGCGTTGCTCGATGTTTAGGCTGGGAACGACACGCAAAAATGCCGGGAGTGCGGCCAACTTCGAGAAGATTGACAGAGAGTGAGTTGGTGTCTTGTGGTTGTTTCGTGGCTGATGCATGGTTGCTGTTGTTAGATACGTGATCAACGCTGCTAAGGCAGCGAAGAGCTCTGACCCGCAGAGTAATCAGAAGCTGCTCTACGTCTCTGTGAGTGTCAAGTCAGCCAATGAAGCAACTGTCTTCAAAGAATACTGAGCGTGTTCACATTACCATAGTCCACCGGAGCCAACTCGAAATCCCCATTCCTGTATCCTAAGTACGCCAGGCTCTATATTCTCACTTACTCTTTACTGACCCCATTATCAGGAGTAAAGGTCTGACAGAAGAAGGCCTCGCCAGGTTGGGTTACAGTGACACCATCATCTTCCGACCTGGTTTCCTCGCCGGTACGAAACGACCGGAAACGAGGCTAGCTGAGAGTATTTTCGGGTTAGTCCTCGTCTCAGATCTGCTCGCTTTTCAGCGATACTGACGGGTCCGTTCTCAACGTAGTGGATTTACGAGGCTTGCTTCATACGTCACTGATACCGTGGAGATCGAGGTATGCAGTCCTATCACCATCGACGACGCTAGCGCTGAGACTAACTCCTGGTCTGTGTAGATTTCCACTCTTGCAAAGGCAATGCTCGTAGCGTCGAAGCTCGGAAGTGAGGGCCTCCCGCCTGCGGCCGGGGCGACGAAAGTGAAGCTGGAGGATGGTACGACGTACACTGTCATCGGAAATGCAGGAGCCATTGCATTGGCCAAGCTGGAGTGAAGTGGGGGAACGATTTTTAGTGCTGTAATATAGTTTATCCGTATCATTTGCCTAGAACTAAGTAAGGTCTTCCGACAATATTAAGTGTTTGACGAACCATGAGCAGATGGACAGTTCTATCATATGCCTCATACTCCGCCAGTCAACCACATAATCACATCTCGAATTCACATGCTCCAGACGGCGCACTGTCGTGTTCAACTCGGACCAAATGAGATGTATCCAACCCATGCATTGAATTGACTATGTAGAACTACAGATGATGCATTTTAACCTCGATAAATATGCAGTGGTACAACAACGAAAGATGCGTTAAGCAAGAAATGTGGAATATAAAAGGTATAGGGTAAATTACAACTTGGCAGGTGGGCGAACCTTGACCAAAGAGGCGTTCTCCTCAAGGATGCGGGCGGCGTCGTTGACCATGTTGTCGACGATGACCTTGGCGGGGAGGATGTCGTGGATGACGGAGGCGACGCGACCCATGAGCCATGGTCTTTAAAAGGTAAAGCGTGTCAGGAATCGTGAACAGTGATTTGGTAGAAGAGACAGAAGCATACCGGGTCTCGGCGGAAATCTCGGGTCGCTTCTTGAGCTCCTCCTCGTGAGGAAGGATACCCTGAGAGGTGAGCCTCTTGATCTCGTCTCGTCGGTTCTCGTTCCAGTCCTCGACATAAGGGTTCCTCCTGACTCGCAGAGGTCGGCCGGTGTAGATGAGAGTGGTGACAGCGTCCTCGTAGCCAGCGCTCAACACGAGCTCCTTGTGCTTCTTGGGGGCACCAGCCTCAACGGAAGCAACGAACCTCGTGCCGACCCAGACGGCCTGGGCACCCCAAGCGAGGTTGGCAGCGAGTCCACGGCCGTCATAGACAGCACCAGCACCGATAACGTAGATGGGCTGGCCGGTGAGCTTGGACTTTTGGCCCTTGCAGATGTCGACGCAGGCGGGGATGAGGATGGAAGCGGGGATGTCACCGGTGTGTCCACCACCCTCACCGGCCTGGGCGCAGATGATGTCGCAGCCGGCGTCGATGGCCTTCTGGACGTGCTTGGGGTGGCCGACCATGTTCATGACGGGGATGCCGGCCTTGTGAAGCTCCTCGACGGCCCACTTGGGGGGAACGCCGACGGCGGAGACGAAGAGACGAGCCTTCTCCTCGATGATGATCTTGATGAGCTCAGGGAGTTGACCCTTGGTGTAGTCGTACTGTTGACAGTAAACGCGGACCCCGGTGAGAACTGCATCCAGGACAGGGCTGGGAACGTGCGGAGGTTACTTACGTTGGTCTTGCGAGCGCTACCGCCGACCTGGGGGAGCAAGAGGTCGACACCGAAGGGGCCGTTGGGATCCTTCAAGTTCTTCTTGATCTCAGCAATCTGAAGGAACAAACGTTTAAGCAAACTCGTTCGTATCGCTCCGGGAAGGCTAAACTCACCTGAGAGCGGAGCATCTTGGGGGTGTAGCCAATACCGCCCAAAACACCCATACCACCCGCATTGGTGACGGCAGCGGCGAGCTCAGGGCCAGCAGCAACGTTCATACTGTAGAACAAAACCAGATTAGCACAAGCGCTGTGAACATAATAAGCGAGAACTGAACGTACCCTGCAAGCAGGATGGGATGCTTGATGCCGAAGAGCTCAGTAATGGGGGTGGTAATGGTGGCCGTCATCGTCGTCGAGGGTGGGGAGGAGGATGTGGGTTTATGTCAAGGACAAGGAAGGAAGGACAAACAGCACGTCGCGACCTTTATAACATTGAGAAATGCATGATAATTCAAAGAACCGGTGTTTCAGCGACCGACATGGCCATGCGGCATCTCAAATGACCCGGTAGCCGGTTTCCCCTTTTTAGCATCACAACCAAATTCCCCCTGCTTTTTCCACAAGCACCGCTTGGTTTTCGCAACTTTTTACCCCGCATTTCATGGTTTCTGGAACAGAAGAATTTGGAAACAAAGTGGAGGTGGGGAAAGGTGCGAATGAAATTGGAATCCGTCCTGCGATGAACCAGGCACTCGCCCTGACGATCCGGACGCACTTTTCTCCCCTCCCAAAAAGTTCTTTAACTCTGGGTTTCCACGTATAAGTTTCGGGGAGAAGAGGAGCCAGTCAGTCCTAAACTGACAGATTTCAGGGATTCAATCCGTGGACGAGGAGAGGCGAAAACGTAACCTTTGAATTCGTCTGTACATTTCCAGGTCCTTCTCCAACCATCTCCCAGGGATTCAGGAAGTAACGTAGCCGGCGGCCAAGAGCATATGAATACCTTTACGCAGCGGCGGGACGAGCATAAAGTAAACGAGAACGAAGTGATATGGAGAGCAACGCCACGGACGACTCGCAACTCCTAAGCACTGACCATGTGTTCGTACTCTTGACGTGCCTCCTGTCGAAACGGGCCTGTCAATTTAGGGGCTGTCCATTCAAACAAGATTAGCGCCCAATAACGGCAACTTCGCTATCAGAATGGCCGGTATTTGCTTTAAAGTCTACGGCAGCCGCGCAGTCAAACGACCTCGAGGCCCACGATGGGTTGACCAGCTGACTCTTTTGCACATTGATTCGACCGGCACCGTCGAAGACCGAGCGTAAAGGCCTAGGAACCGACGGCACTGGCGTCCAACCCAAACTGGAGTGGAGTAGACACTATCATGGATGCAGCTATGGCGTAAAGTGTTACTAGACAACAACGATCGTAGAAAGGTATTAAGAGAGCGACAGCAGCAAACGACAATGCAAACTGGGATAGCAAAAACTGTATGTGATGAGGAATTAATCATGAATATGCAAGAGAGGATGGGGAGAGCTAGAGGAGGTATAAACGAGAGGCAAGGGATGTGACCATGGGGTGATTACAGAAAGAGAAAGGAAAGGTGAATAAGGAGGGTGGGTATGCAGAAATGCGAATGTCCGTGTAAAAAGTTCCAGCCTGCCAGCGAGGTATATTGGATAGAAAGGATTGCAGAAGGTCGAAATGGGCGGGATTTTATGACGGAGGTTTGTCTTGCTTTTCTTGTTCCTCCTTCTCAGCGGCTTCTCTACCCGCCGAGCGCATCATCCTTCTCAACCTCGCCAGTTCCTCCTCCAGCACCTTTGCCGTCTTCACCGCCTTGTCGGTTTCCTGATTGCTCTTCTCCAACTCCTCCCTCATCTTGGCAATCTCGTCCGACCACATCTGTTCCACTTCCTTGTTCTTCACCTCATCCTGCTTTTTCAACTTCTCCAGGTCCTCCCGAGCCTTTTCAGCTTTCTTGAGCTCCTGCACCAATTGCTTGTAATCTTTAGCAATCTTCTCCCCTTCAGCCTTCCACTTCGCCTCGCGTTTGTTGATCTCCTCGCGTAGCCGATCAGTGTCACGTTTCCACGACTCTACCATGCCCTTGATACTATCCCTCAACGTGATATACTCCCGTTCAGACTTGGACGACAAAGCGGTCGACTCTGCTAAGGCCGCTTCCATCTCCCGCAACGTCTTCTTCGAAGTAGTTGTCTCCGACTTGAGCTGTTGCTTCAGCGCGGCAGCCTCCGCTTCTGCCTTCCGTGCCCTCTCCAACACCTCCTGCAACAATCTCTCCTTCCTCGCCACCACATTATTCAAACCTTCGTTCTCTAATCTCAGTCGTTCTCTAGACTCTTTGAGATCCTCGGTCGTTCGTGTAAGTTGTGAGACGGTTCGTTGGGAGAGGCGGAGTTGCGATTTGGTGTGTTCTAGGGCATTGCGGGCGTTGACAACGCCGGTTTGGAGGTCGGCGAGGACTTTGGTCGTGTTACCCGGCGTAAATGACAGGCGCTTTGAAGGAGAGGCGACGGCGGTTATGGAAGAGGTGGAAGTGTCGGCGTTGGAGTGGCCGTCGAGGGATATTGACTTGCTAGTCGGGGACGGGCGGGGAGGCGTTACTGAATTTTGGCTATCGTCGGCGAGTAACCGTGCATTGCCTAGAACACTCCGTAATGAGTTATAAAGATAATGGAACCATAGCCAGGTGGAGCTCACCGACAGAAGAGATAGGTATTCCTGACAGTGGCGAACAGGGCATGTTAGCCTCAAGGACAGATGTGCCGTAAAGACCAGCGGCGACTCACGAGAGAGAGTACGAGTTGGACTTGGTGCCCGTTTAGCTTGAGGACTGCCATTCTGGAAGGGTACGCCCTCCCGGATGACCCCATTCTCTGAATCGTGGTGGTGTCCCATAGAGGAATCCGTCCGCTTGGGGAGAGGCAGGTTCGAGTCGGGTCCGGCCAGATCATGTAGTACGTCATAACTCGACCGTCGTTTCATCTTGAATGCCGCCGTCGACGTTGTCGGTGAGGTGGACGGAGAACCAGGCGCTACGAATGATGACGGCGGTGGTCCGCTCGATGACATGGACAAGGAGGATGACGATACATGTCGTGGTGAGCTTGTATAAGAGGAGGGTGGGTACATGTCGAGATTGTCGTTAAGTTCTTCTCGTAGGTCTGATGGGTATGGTCGTGGTCCTACACGGACAAAGTTTTCGAGGTTCTGGAGTTGGGCTTGTTGTTGGCGGATGGAGTGCTTCAAACTTGACATCTGGTTTCGGACGGCAACTGTAAATGAATCCCACATGTCAGTTCCGTGACACGATAGGCGAGGGTTCAAGGGTTCAAGCTAAACGACGGCGCCCTCCTGTAGAAGTGACCAATGTAGCGGCGAAGACTCACCAGGACTGTCCAACGAGAAGGAAGGACTGTGTGTTCGAAACGAACCGCGCGATGAGGGTCTGGACAGTGATCTACTATCTCGAGACCCCTTCTGCGGCGTAAGGTGTGTTGAATTTCGCGTAGTTACGTCAGGCAACGATAAATTTGAGCTTCGAGCTGGAGAGGACGATCCAAGGAGTGGATGTGGTTGGCGCGGACTGTTGTTAACGCTGCTGTTGCGAATATGGATATTATTATTGCTATTATTCAAAGGAATAGGAATTGGCGTTGTCGAGCTGGGAGACATTCAAATGTCGTGTCACGACTACTGTTCCTTGATATTGCTCCTGTTGAAAACCTGTAATCGTTGTAGTTGGATTACGGTTGGTCCAGAGCCCCAAACTGGACAAGCCCTAAGCTTAAACGGTGCACTGTTGATCGAGAGGTGCTTCGCGAGCCAAAAGTGGTGATTGGAACGCGTTTAGGGAGGAAAAAAGGGTTGAAAACGTTATGGATCCAGCAGGGCTTGGGATCCAAGTGGACTGGATCGCGCTACCTGGATTATACAGGCTGATGACGGTGTTCACGGAAACTCGCACAGCGCCAGGCCCAACAGGCACGAATCAACTCTCGCTTTGTCCCTGTTTGCTTTCCAAGCTGCTGGTCACATGGCAACGGTGGCGGTGCTCGTCTCCAAGCTCCGAACTTGTCCTCGAACGGATTTCAGCAAGGCTCCTGTCAATAGATTTACGATCCTCTGGAATCCAAAGTCTAATCGCTGGAGGTAAACGAGGGTATTTGCAGTGATTCCATAGCCAATGTCATTCGACAGCAGGTTTTCCATTTCCATTAACGGTGGAATCGCTCTTTTTCTCTCCCCGCCATTGGTCTATGCTCGGCGAGTCAGGAAGCTGGATATCGTCCTCGGACCTGCCAGGCACATATCTGGTTTGGGATCACATTAACCGTGGCACACAGGGAAAACTGTTCACCTTTCTAATTGCTCACCGTTGTAGCTCTGTAGGCCTTCGGTATCCTTCGGCGAATCGAGCGCGGGTTGCGTTCGACCTTCAGAATGCCGACACTGACGCCGGGGTGTTATGCATCTCAAGGCGCACTAACGTCATTTCTCGCTATCCCTCGGCCCAATCTACCGCGAGCTGCGAGGCACCATTCCACGAGCAAAGCGTCCCTGTATCCTCTCCATTGCGGCCCGACCCTGAGGCCCTCGTTCTTGTTTCACTGGTTCGGTTCCTGTGCGATGATAGCCTATGCCACCAGGACGACCTCGGTCGATGTTTTCTCCAGTAACGATTCGAAACGCAGGGGAAAAATTGAGTCTTGGCTATCTGCCTGGAAGGCTACGTCTGCGGCGCCGTCGACATCAGGACGAGAAACAACGGCCTCAGTGGGTGGGTTTGTTCCGCTTCTCTGCCCTGGCGAAATCTAAGCTGAATCATTCTGAATTAGCATTTCCCCTTCCAATGAGCTCTTGGCTCCATCGGTCCGAAAAGCTTCTCCAGACTATCCCAGATTCCATGCAGTTGGTCTCTGGTCTCTGCTGTGGTCTCTCACAGGGCCATAAGCCCAGAGGAGATTGCCGCAAGGTGAATATATTCGAATGGCCTCTCATTGGTTCCGCCTCAGAGCGCTCGGGCACTTTGGGAGCAAACCAGGTACTCCCCGTCCGCATGATCTTTCTCTCGTCTCGTCACGATAGGCAACGGTGGTCAAGGGTTCGCTGGGTCTGGGATATCGCTATTATTAACAAAAGAATACACGAGGCTGGCGGCACTGTCTAGCTTGCAGGTTTCCCTTGCAGGAACTCAGCCTGTCCTCATGGTCAAGCTATGACGCAAACTTTTCATTCAACCTTGACAGCTACGCCTTGCTGCAGTTAGACTTGGACCTGCTGCACACAGCGTACACCTATCACTCGAGCTCACCTCCGGTGCGTTTAGACCATTTACCTTTGGGATATCACATTCAGGCGTATGATTTTTCCATTGTAGGGTCTAGCGACGCTGTGTTGAATGGGATCAATCAATATATCCGTAAAGCAAGCTCCGGGGAAGAGCAAATCTTATCTGCACAAGTCTGATTCCTGATTATGATCCGCTCCCTCTCTTCCCGTGGTTCCAACCTTTGTAGCAGGTCCAGCGGAATGTTGGATTCCTCTGAAACCGAATGTCGACCATATTCGCTTCTAATTCGAGCTCTTTCTCCATGGTACAATTTGCTCAGATGAGGTTCTACTACTTACACCGGCACTCAGATCGGACAGATTCAACCTTCACGGGCCAGGGCTCGTCCGGCCTTTCCCCTTTGAGGAGGCAAAGGTCCATAACTCTACTGGCCGGTCCTGGGTATGCCCTGTCAACGCGTAGCAAGTTCGAACACCACGGCCAGGCGGTCACTGGCCTTCTCGCTATGCACACAATGTTCGGTAGATGAGGTCTACCGCACGAGACGGTAAAGAATACAGTCAATTTGATCAAGACAATACGCCCTTTCTGTGTTGATCTCTTGGACTCTGTGGCCGGCGATACCATCTGGATCGATGGTGCACCGGGATGCCCACAGGATGGCAAATACCGGTGAATCATAATTTATGATTATTCTTGGAACCTGTGTCCTCCCCGGCCAGAGAGACTCGACGGTATAAATTCACGGCAACGAATTCCATTGCCCCTCAGATTGTTCCTCAGTCATCCAACTTCCATCCTCATGACTTCTGAACATCATATCCAACTCGCTCTTCTTCTCTATGGTTTCGTCGTTGTCGTGTTTCTGTTCCTACGATATCGTCTCCGTCCCTCTCACCCGCTTCCACCCTCACCACCTGGCTCCTTTCCGTTGATTGGCCACATGCTCATCCTCCCCCACAAGGACGAATGGATCACCTATCGTCAATGGGGTGCAGACCTTGGTGGGCGCTTTCAATCTCTCTTCTCCCGCTACGCTTGCTGACTGCGTGGCGTGTGTTTAGATACAGGCATTCTTTACATGAACGTCCTTGGAAAGAAGTTCCTTGTCATTAATGACTTCGAAGTTGCAAAGCAATTGCTAGACTGTCGCTCCTCTCGATATTCCGGGCGGTAAGCCTTATCGTCCCCTTCACCTTTCCCAAGAGATTGACTTCTATCCCATATGTTAGCCCATCATTTGTTATGGCAAATGAACTGTAAGTGTCTCTCTCCTTCCATCCGTCTAATATTTAATGTCCCCCACATCGTTTAGAATGGGTTGGGACTGGCCAATGCCCACCCTCTCCTGTAACCAGAAATGGAAGAATCAACGACGAATGTTCGCTAAACATCTCGGGCCGGCTTCCTTCCACCAACCTCGAATCCTCGAGTTCGTGCGCGCCACTCTTCCCCGGTTGGTTCGAGATCCAGATGGACTCGAGAGTCATTTCAAGCCGTGAGCTTCTTGCTTTATTACCACTCCACCAGCCAGAGATCTGAAACGGGATCTTGCGATCACAGGATGGTAGCGGGAATTATCTTCTCGTTGGCCTACGGTATCCAGACCGGAGAAGCATCCGTCGACGCCAATATCAACCTCGCCCAAGACGCCCTCGAGTGTTTCTTGGATGCTTCCAATCCAGGCAAGCATCTCGTCAACATGATTCCCGCTCTCAAGCACCTTCCCGAATGGCTTCCCGGTTCTAGCCTCCATCGCGTAGCCAGGCAGGGTCGGGAAACCATGTACCGACTGCTACACGTTCCCTTTCGTCAAGCTCAGAAAGAAATTGTGAGAACCCGTTCACTTAATCTTTTCGCCCTGGCCCTTTCATTTGCTACACTGCATTTTTCATGATGTATATGAGTCACTGATATAGCTACCTTCTCACCAATGGGAACATCATAACTTTCAGGCGGAAGGAATCGCACGCCCCTCGCTGGTTTCCAAAGTCTTGGATGGAATACAAGACGGATCGACGTATGGAGACCCTGCCGAAGAGACCATCCAGACCTTGAAGGAGCTCGCGGCCGTACTATTTTCAGGTATGCCAATGCTTCTCTTTCCTTCCCCCTCGCAGTCGATTTAAACATTGTGCTCGGCGGGGGTTTCCGTTAAAGATTTCACGCTAACTCTTTTTTTTCATCCATGTTTGGCCCTCCTTGTTGTTCTCGCCTTCGCTTGCACTGGCTGTGATGCGCCCCTCTCGTGTTCGCACTCCGTCACGTGTCACTTCCAGCCGGCTTTGATACGACATATGCATCGATCGCGCATTTCTTCCGGGCGATGGCGCAGTATCCCGATGTGCAGAGGAAGGTTCAAGAAGAGCTAAGCGCCGTGATCGAGCCTGGGCGCTTACCTGGATTCGCCGATGAACCGCGTCTTCCTTACCTTGTAGCCACGATAAAAGAAGTCACCAGGTAGGTTATCGGCCTTTCCATCCACCGTCATGGATGTCCTAACTATTAGATTCATTTACTAGATGCTACCCTGTATCAAGCACAGGTATGAGCAACGTCATCGCACCGCGTTTACACCGAGGACTGACTGACAATTAATGCGAACAGGCATCCCGCACATGTGCACAGATGATGACGTCTTTGAAGGATACATAATCCCTAAACACACCGTTATCCTTCCGAACTTGAGGTCAGTGGCTCTTCACCTCTTCTGCTGTACAGGAGGAATGTGACAACTGACAAGAGTGGTGATACTCAAGAATGATGATGGCCGATCCAATTGCGTATCCCGACCCGGAGCAGTTTCGCCCAGAGCGCTTTTTGCTTCCTTCCGGGCAGCTAAATCCACACGTCCGAGATCCCTACAGTATTGCTTTTGGCTTTGGTAAAAGGTCAGTTTCATCATAGCCGGTGGTAATGTTCTTGGACTCATATCACCTTAGAATGTGCCCAGGCTATCGAATGGCACACTCAACGCTGTTCATCACTGCAGCGACTGTATTGTCGTTGTTCGAAATGAAAAGCCAGAAAACTTCAAGGTCATTACCGACGACCTCGTAAGTGCTGGAGCAGCCTTTTGTTATCGTTGTCCAAATGTTCATGGCTACTTCAGAAACAGAAATCCGGATCTGAAAGGCTGCATCATTTCGCGGCGCTGACGGCGAAACGAACTGATCCCGTTCTAGTTTCCTTTTCCGTTCTACTCTGTATGCGTTCTACTCTGGATGAATAACGTTTAATGTAGCCATAGTCAGATTACTCAAGTTGTATCATAGCCCACGTGTATTAACCACGTTCCTACTAGTATTCAATATTTTTCTTACGACATGTTGTTCGCCCCCATCCACCTTTCAACAGTCACCATGTCTCAAGCATCCCGCCTGATCTTTCGGAACAGTGTCACTCGTGTAAAATTGCCCTAACCAATACATGAAAGCAGTAGATAAAAGCATGATGACCATAAGTAATAAATGCACAACTTGATAATAATAAGAAAGTATTTAATAAAGGTATTGCAAAAGGATCTAAAGGTTAACGGATAGATGAATCGGATAAATAGATGAAAAGGTGGAAACAGATAGGGAGTTAATGCCTGAAAGATGCAGCACGTGTAGGCGGCGAGCGGGGTGGGGAGTTGGACTGGGGATAATAGGCGATATGGGACGGGGAAGTTAAAGATCCAGGAAGATACAACGGGATGGTGGGGACCAGTTGGAAAACGTGCTGAGAAATCCCTCGAATTCCTCTGCCACCCGGCTGAGAAGACGTCTGGCTCATGACAGCGTGTACTCGTGGTTCTTGAACAAACGTCTCGTCGGCTGCATCTGCCGGCACTGCAGCATGGCTAATGTCAATGCCACGGCCGTCCCAGATACAGCGGAGGTCGTTGCCGGGGATGATTTGTGCGAGCCGACAGGTATCGATATGTCTGATTTCGATAAAGCGGGTGTCGAAAATGAGAATGTACGGCGCATGAAGGGCTACTCGTTCCGCGGTGCCCTCCCATTCAATGGCCCCAGATGACCGGCTAGGTGCACCGTGCTTGTCGACGTAGATGCCAAACTCTGTACATAGAGATCAGTGCAAATTAAGTGACGTCTTGAAACGGTACATACCGTTGTAACACAACAGGAACTCGTCTTCCGAGGACCGGAACATACCCATAGGCCTACAGCTTTCGCATCGTTTAGCTGCTGGCCCAAGAGCGGGATTATCTTTTTGAGGGATAGTCACGGTCTTGAAACTGTACACAATATCCCATCAGTATTTGCACGATCTTGGGATGCTGAGATTCTTACTCTGTCAGGTCCACGATCTCAAAGCCCTTCGCACATAGGACTGCAACCTTCGCCTTCAAGAAAATCATATCATAGGATTCTCCTGGGAGGATGAAGTCGCGATAGGTGCGGAACCAGTCCGACTTGTTCTTCTTCGGGAAGATGGGAAGGAGACTTGTACTGGCAGCCTTTGGTCGTTCAGTGATTTTGTCAATCACGGGTTCCACAACATGGAAAACGCTGTCAGCCTGCAAAAAGGATACATCATCATTAGAGGTTCAACGACAGGAAAAACCACGAATGTTTACCCCTCGCTTGTTCATGTAAATCACCAGCGTCCTTCCATGTTGCATCCCAACGCTGAAGAATTGGACCTCCTTGGAACCAGTGTTGATCTTGTGGGGAGTCTGGGAGGTGTATGGTTGAGGATTCAATGGGTTAGGCACCAGCGCTTCGATGTGATATGCGAACAGGTTCTGCGAAGCTGGTTAGTAAATGATACTGTGTGTTTTGAGAGGCGATTGAGATACCTTGTCGGCCAGAACGAGGAAGAGACCAAAGTCCTCTAGGATGGCACATTGTACAACGTTACGAACATGAAGCACGCGGCGCAGAGCTTGGAAGGTGAAAGTTAGCAGAGGGAATGGTACGTTCAAAGTAACGAGGGCTTACATCGGGGGTCCTGTCGGAAGCCAATCCAAACGCCTTCAGCACACCCAACCGCAACCAGTCCACGATTACCGGCAGTTTCTGTAGCTGAACGTTAGCACAGCATCGTCAAAAGCCTGAAAACATTACGCACTGAAAGGGACGGAACAGGTCACTCGTCCAGTAAAGAGCACACCGTCATACGTAGTTGGCGCCGAGGGTCCCAGATTAATCGGAGGCACCAAGAACGTCTCATTGCTCAACGTCTCAATCTCAAACACCTTATTCGCATCCGCAACAGCCTTCCTCAGTCCCAAAGCCTCCTCAAGTTTCGCCTTCCAATCCGCTCGCACCTGCGGTGACTCCGCCAAGAAACTAATGTTGGTGTTTGCGGTACCTTGTCGGCCAGTTTGATGGAGAGTAAAGGGATAGACGTTGTTCCGCATCGAGTCGGGAGTGTCGACGCGACCGTTGGAACTACTGGAACGAAACCGGCTGGGATTTCGGATGATGGGTGGGTCGTTGAAGCTGACCGGGTGGAGGAGGTCGAGGGGGATAGGTTTGCGTACGACGTGGTACTTGGTGATGCCGTCCTTCTCTTTTACTTTTGTCCAGACCACTGTTTGACGAAAAGATCAACATCCCACCAAGCGTGGTACGAGAGAGAAACCTTACGATAGTTATCGAAGAGCATAACAAACACCTCCACAAAGTGGCTGTCCTCGGTAATCATTAGCTTTCCTGTATGAACCAATGACCGATGTTCGTTCAGCAAATCCATATCCTACAAGGTGATTAGTGACTGTTCTTTTCTCCAAAAGCAGCGAACTTACAACAGCCTCCCCAACTCGATACACCAACTGCGAGTTATACCTCCACACCTCAACCTTCTGTTTGGCCGAATCAACACCCGGTTGAGACTCTCTGGCCAAAGACCCAATCAGCTCTACGATTTCGGGAATGTCAGACCGGTCCTCATGAGTGATCGGTGTCTGGCTCAGAATCTCTTTCAAAAGCAGCCCATAACGAAGGACGCGCGGGATTGGACGATTGATGAAGTACTTCAGATCCAGCTTGCGAGATTCGGGGCGCCTGCTGGCTTTCTATAGGATCAATTGCGTCAATGTTCCGGTCTCTACAACATGGATACGATAGTACTGACCTCAACGAATGCTTTGAACGCTGGGTTGTGTTCCAATTCGTCATCAATCCTATACTCGGCGATGGGGTAATTGGGGATATACTCCATATACGCTTCGCGGAAATTCAGAGCAGCATCGAACAAGGCTGCAGTAATGCTGTTGATACGTGGATGCTCCTCCAGCTGTATCTCGTGCAGCTTGTCGACGAGTCGCTTGTGGTGGACATAAATCTCCTGGATGTTGTGGAAAACGTCTGTGCAAAATTGCTCCAGGCGTTCGTGCGGGATAATGGGGGGATCGGCGTTCTGAAGGGGTTGGCGATACAGCTGAAGGAAGCAGGTGAGCTCAGTGACCCCAATCAAAGTAGTATGACTTACATTTTCGAGAGTTTCAAGATCACGAACGTACACCATCTCTGTCTTGATCACCTCGAATATCAGACTCTGCCTCTGACTTTCCTCCTTCGTGAACGTCTTCCTCATGTTGGGCGTCAGAAGATCATGCCACTCCCATTTACCCGGTGTACCCTTCCCCATAGCGGACTGGAACGTCCGAAGCTGAGCAACATTTTGAAGGTTCTTGATCGCAGAGATCGACTCCAATAGGAAGTCACCATCAGGATTGTCCCTAGCAGTTTCGTTGTACACCGCTTGAAGCAGGACGGGATACTTCTGCAGATGCTCCGTAGGTCGGTTGAGATAATGCCACAAGTCGAGTCCATGTTCGCCTCCAGAGCGCATCCCAGTGAGCTGACGTTGGCAATTCTGAAAGAAAATCTTGGTCAGTATCAGGTACGGCACAGATCAATGGGTACACTTTACTTCGATGAACACCCGAAACTCGCCATTGTTGTCCAACTCTTCCCGTAGTCGCATTTCCGACAAGAACTGTCTCCCAATATAAAGAGGGTACAACTTCCGGAACTGCGTCGCGCTGTCGAGGAAGATATCGCCAATGGTGTTGATAATGGGCGCTTGTTCTCGCTGCCGCACATACATCACCTCCAACAACCTTCGATTACAATCTCGAATCTCCAGGATGTTTCCGAATACTTCGTCAATGAATTCATCCACCATGTATAGCGGGATAACAGGGGACTTTCGTAATGGCTGAATGAATACGCTGTCGACGATGTCCAGGTCCTTGACATATTGCTCCTCCTTGCTGATGAGTTTATGGATGATCCTGATAGGACGGGGTGAATACAACGTCGAGTTTATGAATAGAAGGAACGCTGACGTTTGACGATTGATCTCGTATTCAGGCAAGTCTCGTAATACCTGGGGTGGAACACCCTTTGTCCAGTCTTCTTTGACCGGGTCGGGTGGTGTCTCCAGTGTCTTGGGAAGGAATTTACTCATTCCCTAGTGAGAAATCCCGGCGATTAATAGGGCGATATCACGACCTGGAAAATTACTAACCTTTGACGGACATGACCCCGAATAACATGGACCCCCTTCCCCGCAAGTGACGGAATAACATCCAGTAAGCATCGTAACAACACCGGAAGGGAGCTCTGCCCTCTCAGGCAGTGTGGGCGTCTCCGGATCGTCCAAGAAACTGTACACATCCTCTACACCATCCTGCAGAATACGCGACCCCCATTCCACCTCCACAAAGAACAACTGCCGTTGCAAACTGCGTGCCACTTGCAACGCAACTCGCCTGTCGTTTTTTGCACACCCGTGATCTCGCGTCAGCTTATTCTCAAGAATAGAGTGAATCGTCGTCTAACGGATTAGTTTCAGCATTACTTCACGGTCTTCACAGAAATGGTTGGGGGCCAACGTACCACGATGTCTTTACCAGTGAAGGCCCGGGGGTAAGGGATACTCCCCTTCACATGGGTTCCTCGGGGTACCTTGAGCTGCAGCTGAACAGCAATATGGGACAGCAGAGCAAGGTTGATGAACATGGTCGGGTCGTCGAAGTTGTCATCGTCGCCGTACTCCTCATAGTGGTTGGGCGAATCGTCAAGCAGGGCTCTGGGATCAAAATTACGCATCGCGATGAGGTCCTGTGTTACGCGGTGTGAGATGTTGCTTGGACCGGCAACTGGATACTCGTCGTCTTGCGGTGATCTTCGAGCGTGAACAGTAACTCCGTTCCAAGAGGAACTGGCGGCATTAGAGATAGTTGACGGTCCCGCGTTGTCGTTGAGGTAGGGAAGCCCAGTGTAGGACGAGTCTGATCCAGCTGAAGAACGCGCTGGTGGGGGTCGCAGCATGGAGTAGTCGCCTACAAAGATCGTCAGTCCAAGTCACAGGATGTCTATTGAAACAACAATCGCACTCATCACTGTCCCTACTTCTGATTCACGGTCATTCAACGTCAGCCTGGATTGTGAGGGGTCCAAGTAGCCCTGGTAGACGGAGTCCAGATGCAGTGCATCAGAATGGTAGACGGGTCGTGGCTCTGGTGGTTGGGGGTCCTGGCTTGGGTATGGGTTGTCAGGATACGACGGATCCGGTTCATAAGGCGGTCGTTCTTCGTTTTCATATGAAAGCGGTGGATTGCTGTAGTATGATTGATCGTCTTCAGATCCGTACGGCCTGTCGTAGTTGGAGGGTTGGACGCTAGTGTTGGATTGATATAGAGTATGATATGAATCCTGCTCTTCCGGGTATACAGCTCTGGTAGCAGCGGGATCATCCTTAATGTTGGGTATATATTCTGGCACCGGTAACACGTCGGGGTCGAGGTATTCGTTGGGCGAGGAAGGCACTTCCGACCAACGCTGCGCATTGGTGCTATCCGCGACACTGGCTGGCGTCTCCTGGTCCACAGGTCCGACAGTGTCAATTTCCAGTGCTGGTCGCTGAGGCGTTCTGTTGGGCGATGCGCTTCTCGAATGCATTGGTTCTGGTTGGTGGTTACCCGGCGGATGCCTGAGGGAGCAAATGTAAGAACTCTAGTCTCGTTTGCACCGATCAAGGTTCAACAAACCGTGATAACGAGCTCCCTGGACGACTGACAGGTAAAGAGGGTATGCGTTGGAGGGGTGTCCCAGCTGGAGGTGGTATTGGGGGCCGCCCTACTAACCCTCCCGGCGTTGGTGGTAACGGCCGGGGCGCTCGACCAGAACCGCTGCTGCTTCCCCGCACCGGCGGTGGTCGAGGAGCTGGAGGGATGGTGTATCCATGTAAGACAGATTCATACAGAGCGTCTAGTTCTTCGTCGAGGTCGTTCCTGTGTGTTGAAGGGCCGCTCGAGGGTGCCGACATCGTTTCCATCATCGCTTAACCTCTGGACCGATGTTGCTCAGTGTCTTGTGCCGATATCTATCGTCCCAATGTCATCCGAGTCACTACGACGCGCTTTTCCCTTGCTGAATGGGCGGTTTACAGAAGATTCACAGAGGTAGAGGGCAACGATCAGTGTACTTTATTGGATTCAAGGATCATGATATGACGCCCTTGTCCGTATGGACGCAGAATGCTATACAGCTAGCGTAGGGTTAGGGGCTAAATCTGGCAGAGCTCACAAGTAGCGCCCGTGGCCCTGGTGGATGTCGCGAACGAGATCCCGAGGTAGTTTCATGGCAGATACATTCGGCTCTAGTATGCGTTACTCTATCTCCTCTATGTACCTCCCACCTTCCGGAACTGACCCTGCATCCAGACCCTGTACATCTTCAACTGACGCTTTCTGTTTACCAGTAATCGCCGATCAATACCCAACTGAGCGGTGGTAAAGAGTGGATGTCGAGAAACGCTTTCGTGTGACAGCAAGTTGGGATGAATTGCACCGGATTGCGGTGTCGTCTGCGGAGGAATTCCTTCGTTGGAGGAAGTCTCTGGAAGCGATGTGACAGAGTCTGAAACATGCAACTGGCCGACCGACTCGTCATTCAGAGGAGCAGAGTCTGCGGGAACTCCATTCTGCGGTGAACTTGCCTCCTTGCTCGTGTCGTCGTCATCGTTCTCGATGGAATAGGATGTCGAATTTGCATGGGCGTGTTCTGCTGCAGTTGCTTTCGATCCTGTAAACAGAAGTGAAATCTCGTCTTGAAGATGTCAACAAATGGTCCACATATATGATCGAAACAACCACACACCTAGTTCAAAGAAGTAAACACGCGTCTTGTCTCCGCGGATATAAAAATTATCCTCTAGAAGTCTCCCTCCTTTGAATCTAAGTTGAGTAAGGTCGTAGCGCCCATAGTCACGCATTACGACCAATCCACCGGGTTTGAGCATCTATAGATACATGTTAGACCCAACCAGAGAGGTGAAACCCGTACTCACTGTGTGGACATTGTCTATAGCCTGAATCCATTCGTCCGGATGGAGGGCACTGAGTACGAAGACAAGAACGACAATGTCGACCGATCCTGGTGCCAGATCGGAGGGCAATCCTTCTTTACTAGTAAGATCCCAGACCGAAGCTTGAATCGAGCCGACTGGTGGCGATTTGTACAGCGGGTTATTCTCCGAGAGAGTGTCAATACGGGGAGTAGGCCGGGTAAGTAGTCTTTAACGTACCTGTACAACCTTGACTGCATGAGAAGAGTAATCGTATGCGTGTATCCGAAGCTCTGGGTTTTTGTTCGACGACAAGAGGGGGAATGCGGAGTTTCCTGCACCTGTGGGACCGCATCGCGTGTCAGAAACCAATACTATAGATCCACAGCATCAAGGGAACGTACCGCAACCGATTTCCGCAACTACAAAAGGCCCTGCCTACGAGATTGGTCGGAGAAGGAGAGGAAACAGAGAGTCGGACTCACTCCTTCCTGAGTTGCCGCAACGAGCTCAGGGAATTCGTTGTGTAGCCTAGTTCCAGCATTAGTGATTCAACGCACCATCGAGGCCTGTTTATGGACGCACCATTTTCGATTTTTGAAGAAATTATCAGCATTAGACTTGTAAAAAGTGTCCCTGTGATATATTGTCACGAACAGCCCGCCATGAAGTCAAAAGGACATCATACCAGTGTTTTGCAGGTTTTTCGTTATATTTGATTCTATCTTCCACCGGAACGGGGTTGCTCTTTTGCTTCTCAAGGGCCTTTGCGATGATTTCATCCTGGCCGTCAGGAGGGGGTACATGGTCCCATGCGTTCTGTGACCAGACTTCTTCCTCGTTGGTCAAAAACCTATCGAATATCCAATGTGTTTCAGGGACTTTCCTCTTGGGCTTGTCAACCTTCAACCCCTCACCTTGATCCAAATGGCGGCTTATCTTCTTTCGCGTCATGAACAGAAGATGTCGCCTTCTTCTTCACTGCTTCAGTTGAAGGTTCCATCTCGTATCGTCGGGCTGGAGTTGATGTAGACAGAGATCAAAGATCATCATCGAGGGCCCCGTGGGAATGCGGTGGTCCGCACTCGGCTTCGACATGGACGATTGGAGTTGTCCTTGTTCTGCAACGGTTCGATATGCCCCATGGACTCCCAAATTCGAAAGCAAGTAACAACGCATGTCCATAGAAGGTGATTAGACACGGGTAACTGTGTACTCTACTATCGTAAGCCTTTTGTAGTGGTTACCACGTCGTCTGACTGGCAGGTTAGCTGGAAGAATATAAGAGCCTGCTCCTCACATGCGGAATGGTGTTGTTCAGATTAAGGGCCTCAATAGGGCCTTATTGACTATGGATGCACCGTATATAAAGCCATTCCTTACATCCAGGCTGACCTACAAACTTTTCTTCCCGACTTCATGGTATGCCGTTCTCTCGTTCGCCACAAAGCGCCAACTAACACGCCCATCCCTCCCAGGAAATAGAATATGATCCACTCGAGAACGTGGTACTGCGTTCCTCCCGGCGTGGGAGGCAGAGATCAATGCCACTGTCAACGTACCCTCTTAATCCTCCACTTCTACACCACACTCCAAATCACGCACGTGCGAATCAAGTGGTCAGAGGCCAATGGCCCCTCAGGTCGCAAGGGCTACTGCTAGCCTGGCAGAACGTCCAAAAATCTGTGTTCTATCAACTTAGGCGATCTATAGGAGTCCACAGAACCGCTCGGAAAACTATCTCCAGTTACTGGAGGCCCTTTTCCACACGGCTGCGCTGGGTGCTACAGGGAAGCGTCATTTGGACAGACGTCGTAGAACGCGTAGAGGAGGACGGGGAGCCAATGACCTTCGATGAAATTGAAACGCCAATGGAAGCTGACGAGCCATCAACGGTACAGGACGAAGTCACGAGCGATAACGGTAGGTTAATTCAGCCCTCCATCTCGTGCAGGGATCTAATACGGCGTTTAATTAATCTCCAGAGCTTCACATCCCCAACGAAATCATTCACGAGATACTCAACCACTACCTCCATTCTCTCCCAATAAGGGAGGACAACCTCGACGCCATCCTCCTTCCAGCTTCAGTCTGCAGAGGGTGGCAAATCTACATATGCGAGCAAACCAACCACTGGCCAACACTCGAGGTTTCCTTCCAGCGCGAATCCTCCGTTATCCGAAACACAACCCTTGCCAACTTCCTTCACTCACCCGCGGGCGCAGCTGCTCCAGTTCCTTCCCCACTCACCATCGACATGTCGAAATTCGATCGCTTGAATCCAGAGCACGTCGGGTTGCTCGAATCAGCACTGGAACTCTTGCCCCGCGCAAACGATGCCTTAAAATTGCGCTCGCCCGGTCCACCCGAGATGGCTTGGTCCCGCTTGAAGTGGACCGCCATCCAAAACGCCATCTTCGAGGGGAGGAAGCTTCGGGCACTGATCCTCGAAGGAGATCTACCCATGGACTTTTGCCACAAAGCTTTGTCGATTTGTGGCACTGGGTTGGAGAAGCTCAGTCTCAAGGGCGTCTCCCAAGCTTCCAAACGACTTCCGTGGCCGTTGCCTCGTGTCCCATTGCCAGCGCTGGAAGATCTGGAGATGGAATTCGTCACGGACATCAGGCAGCTCGTTACCTCGCTTGACTGCCCGAAGATAACCAACCTAGCGCTATCCACTGATTCGGAATGGCTCATGGAGGATGTCGCTGGGTACGACTTCCATTATGCCAACTTGACAAAGTTGGTTTGCCGTGCCCCCGAATACACTCGGTTGGCAGCTGCCGAGAAGATCCTCCAAAGAACGCCGAACCTCGAAGCATTGGAATGGATTGGGGACTGTATCACCCATGGACAGCAGCAACTGGTCTCCCTCCAGCTACCCTTCTTGCGTTCTCTGAAAGTTTCACATCCAGGACGACAGGATTCGGTGTTTGAAACCTTGCTCAACAAATCACAGGTGTACGATGAAGTGTGTCTGCCGAATCTTCTATTGCCTGTGCATGCGAAGACATTGCGCATAAACACTCCGATGTCGACTCTTGCTTGTTTAAGCCTACTTGCGGATAGCCAGCACCTCGAAGAAGGCTTTTTCGAACTGAACGACAGCATCGAAGATGTCGACGAATTCACGATCTCGATGTACCTTTCACCCCAAACCCCTTCACTGAATGTACCCAACCTCAGAAAAGTTACATTCCTAGTCCATGGTCCCAACCGCGGTTTTTACCAACGACTTCCGATACCACGAGGTGTCGAGGTTGTTATCCGGAATTGTCTCAAGTGCGAGATGCTCGGTGGAGGGAGTTTCTGCGACTCACTATGAACGGACTGGGACGACAGCTTGATTAAATTTTCGTCTTTCTATCACGAGCCCAGCCACCTTAATACCTTATAATTCGTTTCGACCAGTATGTATTAATACGTCCGCCTGCCAGCCTTCCGTGGATATGCCTACGTTTTAATTGCAAAAGCCCCTGAAACCATGGTATCCCCTTCTCATCAACCATTGCCGAGGCTCGTGGTCCATCCAGTCCCATCCTCTCCAAAAATTCTCTTCCCATTCTGTAACAGTGAGATGTGTTCCCAACTGCACCTGAGAACGAGAACTATTCCATCCAAGGTGGGGCCTTGTACAAGTGGCTACAGGACAATGATACCCATCAGAAGAAACTGGTCCATGTTTACGAGGTACCTTCAAAAGGTAGACCTCGACGTTGGGAACCCGTTGCACAGCTGGCATTTTGAGGAGAGACTTGAGGGGCTGGAAACACTGTTTCTTGCCGTCCTGGAGAATGAGTTGCTCCAGCTGAGTGTCTCTGACGAAATCGTCGAGGATGCGCTGTTCAAAGTCGATGCTGGCTGCGTCGACGTCCGGTTGGGGCGGCTCATCGCGGATGATGAGCCTTCGGAGGGATGGGCATGTGAACCGCGACAAGATGCGACTCACAGGGAATCGCGGGTACATGGTGAGTGACTTCAAGTTGGGAAGGCAGATCTTCGGTTCTGTCCGCTTTGCTGGTTGTGTGGGGTGATCCGAGCCCCAGATGCTTTCGTAGAAGGAAATTTCAACGGCTGATGTGGACCGACGGAGTATAGAGATGCAGTCCTCAAACGTCGTTATCGTGCGGAAGTTCAAATGCGTCATCCTTGCGAGGGGGAGTTCCGCAAGCATGGATTGGTAGGCTGGGGTTGGAAACCCTGACAATTCAAAGCAGAGTTGACGGATGGAAGGAAGGGAAAGAATTTTGTTTGAGAGGAGGGGGAGTAAATTGGGATGCATAGATCTCAAGTCACCCTGGCGAATGGCGAGTCCTTCGAGTGCTGGGGTGGCGTCGGGGGGAAGGGAGAGAAAATCTTCAATAAATCCATCCTGTGGGTTCAGAGAAAGTACTTTCAACCTGTACGCCTGTGTCATAATCGAACGGGCCTCTATTGGCGGCATCGGAATGGTCCGTCGCGCGATGTCAATCCAGAGTGGCGCCCCTTGAGACCGTTCCAACCACAGGGACAGCAAGGAGGTAGTAACACCGGATGCATGAAGCCTAGGTGGAACGTAGAAGGCGTTCCACAACGTCGGTAACGAGAGACATATAGTCCTCCAAAGACGGCAGACGTGCGTTAGCGACACTGGCGCAAGGTGGGTGAAGATTTGTAGGCGGACATATGGGAAGGTGGACAACGCCACCATGGAGTGGTATGTCAAAAATATCTCTTCAAGGACTTCCACTGGAAGGTCGTTGATGCCTGCCAAATCTTCCTTCCACGCGATAGCGGGAACCTCCAACTGTTGCATGTTGGCTGAGCTTAAGGATGATGGTTAGGAATTGAGGCGGATGTCAATCTGGATTTCAATACAAGAGTTGAGGAATGTTGACTCGAAAAGAACGATTTGTACTTACAAGTCTGCACCCAATTTGCACCAAGGAGCCTGCTCCCAGTTTTGTTGAATGAATGGCGAGTCGCCGTCCCGCTTCCCTACTTATAGCGGTTTCTGCAACTTTGTTGTGTCTGCGCACAGTAGACATCACAACCTTCACAATTAGCCCGGGTTTCCATAGATATCGGTGACTATCAGCCTCTGGCAAAGGACAATAATTTGACGGAGTCATTGAAACGTTCGACAAGCAGGAGGAGGGAAGCAACGAAGATCACCCCTATTTTTATTGTTTTCCCTGGCAGTTTCAATTTGATCCGCGATGTTCGGTGGCAGGTCGCCCAGCTTGGGAGGGGCACTTGGCAGGAGGAGGGTGGTTGTAAATTTTTGTTTTTGTAGTCAGTACAGGGGATGGATCTAGGGTAGAATACGAATACACTAAATGATAAGTAAATGAGATATATAACAACATTGAAGTGGCCCAAAAGCTAAGAACGTCGAGTATTAAACTGGGGAAACAGTGGAAAAACGAAAAGGCATACCGTGAGGGCAGCAAAGCACAGGTGTATGCGAGAAGAAAAAGAGAGAATTAGAAGGGTTAATGTTCAAAGTCGTGAAAAGGGCTATTGTGCACCAGCCCACTTCCAATTAATGACCTGTATCCTCCATTCAGTGTGCAGTGGCTCGACAACGCCTCCAATGACGTCCTTCACGTACACGCCATCCAACTCGAACCTCAGCATGTCGCGAGTGATCCCACGTTGCAGGACTTGAACGGGATAATGTAGACTCTTCTCATTTCCGTTTTCATCTTCTCCTCGAGCGAGGGTAATGAAGGAATCGTCAGGCCCGAGTTCATCTTCCTCCTCCTGGTCGGCCTCTTGAACAACGATTGCCTGCCCGGAATCTGAGCGAGAAACAGATGTTGAACCGGGTGCTGAAGGTGGAACGACAGCGATTGACGCTGCTGCAGAGGTGGGTTGAGAGGGTGTTGTAGTTGGAATGGTAAGTGCAAGCTCGGGCTTGGATGATGTCCCCGTTTCCTTCGGTGAAGCTGATGAAGCGGTGGGAACGTCCGGTGGTGTGGGTTCAACGGGAGCCTCAGTCATCTCAACATCCCCATCCTTGTCCTTGGAGGCTTCGAGTGGAGCCGGAGGCTCAACAGTAGGGGCCGCGTCATTGTCCCCTTGTTCAGACACCTCGCCTTCTTCCTTGTCATCTTCAGGTTTCTTTTCCGCCGGTTTGGCCTCTGCATCGTCCTTGACCACGGTCGGTTCGGAAGGCGCTGGGTCGGATGATTTTTCGTCAACGACAGGGAATTCTGCCGCCGGCACATTTTCCTTGGGAGCGTCGACGACAATGGCGGGCTCTTGAGGCTCCTGAGCAGTGTCTTTGTCCTGAACAGTGTCTTTGGCGGGTTCTTCAAGGGCAGTTGTTACCAAATTACCCAAGATGTTGTCGTCCTTGGGAGGATCTTCCTCGACCAGAGTGACCTCTGTCTCCAAGATCAGGGAGATATCGTACATCTTGCGCTTCGATGGACTAGCAGGAGGGTCGGGAAGAATGCTGGGAGAGAACAAGTACCGTTCCTTCGGTGTTTCGAGGATGACAGGGCGGGATGGTAGCGAGGCGAAGAAAGTTGGGTTGAGAGAAAATGGCGATGAAGTGAGCTTGATGGGCTCTTCGAGGGCTTTTGGATGAGCCGAAACGTCTGTCATCTCCACGTCTGCACTGGAGGCACCATTCAAAAGTGATCTGGACGAGTCTGCCGGGAAAAGAAGCTGTTCGAGGACAGAGGGAACGTATTTGTGTCTACAGAAGTGGTATTAATGAACGGTTCGTCACCCGATATGATCTAGGGAGAACTCACCCAACACGAACTTTCAAACCGCCATCTACGCTCGCGGGTGGATTGACAGCAATCGGACTGGTAGGAATATCGTCGATGGCAGGCGCCGACACGAGTGTCGAGGTCGCAAAAACAACTGTCCGCAAGTTCATGAGGGCTTCCTCCTTTTTATCCTCCAAACAGGGGCCCATGAGCTTTCTCCTCTTCGCCTGGCGATTTTCTTCCTCCCTTTCTTCCTCTTCCTCAACTTCGCGGATGATGTCGAGGACAGTCGCATTCGGCATCTTGGAATTGACAGGTGGAGGTGCATTGCAGAAGGGTCGTCGACGCTTGCGACCAGCTAGGCGATTGGGATTGAGAGAAGGCGTGCAGTTGTACGGTGTCAAAGTGATGGCGCCATGGGTGGATGGGTTGGGACTGCCTCCACCCAAGACAGCTGCTCTGCGCTCGGCATACTCCCGGAGCCTTTGGGCCCGACTCCGTCGACCGGACGAAACACCCCGCTGAGAATGGATGTCAGAAATGTAATCAGTAGAGATCAAGGGTAGACATACCTCGACAAACTGAGCGTTCAAAATCTCGATGGCGGCACCATCGTGAGTCGTTCCCCAGCTAGCGCTCATCAAACCACGTCCATCGTCGTCATCAGGGTTCATGTCATCGAACTCGTCTTCGTCCTCATCCTCCGTATCATCACTATCTCTCGGACGTTTTCCACTTGCTTTCGAGGACTTGACTTCGCCCGCTGCAGCCAACGCCAGATCCTCAGCTTCCGTCAAACCCTTGACATTCCTCTCAATCCCACACCTCTCTCCACGTCCACCAAGGAACCGCACAACAACTTCTTCCTTCCTCTCACTCGCAGAGGCGTTGGAACCAGCGGCTGTCTTGACCATAACAATCGGCACGTCGTTCTCCTTCCCTGAAGCACTTCGGGATCCAGCCACGCGTAAAATTCGCACCTCGACCCTGAGATCACGGCCCTTGCGCTTAGCCCTTCGTGCTCCCTTCCACGTCACCCACCCCGAGTGCAAACAGCAGAGGAAAAGATCAGAGTCGTCAGTGTAAACACGACGCGCACGGTATCTCTGCATAACTCCAAGCTCGTATTCATACTTGGCTTTGGCGATCTTCTTCCTCTCCTCCTTGGCTTCTGCTGAGTCGGGTTCCTCTTGAGCCTTCTTGGAGAGCTCTGGAGCGGCGAAACCTCGCTTTTCCGGGGGATGAGGCCATGACGGGTCATCGGGGTGTGATGGGAAAACACCACCACCCCAGATCCTGGGACGAAGGGGCCTTTCCGAAGGGATGTGACCGTTGGGAATGACGATCACCACGCGAGTTTCCACGTCCACAACGACAGGCTCGATCATCGCAGTGGCCTTCCTAAGCAAGCCATGGAACTTCTCGTTGGCATCTTGAGCATCCTGTGGTTGTTTTTCTAGGGCTTTGGGGGATGGCTTGGCAACTGCGTCCTCCTTCGCCTCTAGCTGCTTTTTAGCTGCCTCTTCCACCTTTGCTTTCTCCTCCTTTTCTGTCTCCTTCACCTTTTCGACCACCACCTCCTGGATTTCACCTTCTTCCTCATCAGACTTTGGTTTGCTCTTGGCCTCCCTAGCTTTTAGCTCCTTCTCCAGCTGCTCCTTCTCCTTCTCTCTCTCCTTCTCCAACCTTTCTTTCTCCTCTTTCTCCTTCCTCTCCAACTCCTTCCTCCTCTCCTCCCTCTCCTGTTCCTCCTTCTCGCGCTGTTCCTTCTCCTTTGCGTTCGCCTCCCTCCATTTAGCAACCTCTCCCAACCCACCACCAAGCTCAAAGTTGTAAGGGAAAGGCAGGTCGGGATACACATAGGTGCCCAGATTGACGCACGAACGGCTCTTGACCACAGGCCTCATCACCAAATCGTTCGAATTGTCGTAGTTCTCGCGAACACCGACAAACGCCAGTGGTCCCACGCTAGCACTGGCAGCTTGACGTTGATAAGACGCTTGCTGTTGGATCGCGAGAGGGTGAGAGTGGGGGTGATGTGCTTGTTGGGTCATTGGGTGCGGTTGGCCATAGCCTGCTCCGTTCACGGATACAACATGATGGCCGTTAATGTCGGCGCCAATAACGCCAACGCCGTTTCGTTCGTCCCAGTGAGGCGGTGGTCCAGGAGGACCCCCTTGTTGAGGGTGGGGATATGGCCCTTGCTGTGACTGCATGTGTGGGTGTTGCTGAGGATGTCCGTGAATAGGATGAGGGGGTCCGCCGGGGCCAATCGCGTAGCCTGGTGGAGGTGGGCCGTAGTGAGGATGCTGGCCGTACTGCGATGGATGGCCGTGATATCCATTCTCCATCGCCATCTGCTGCTCGCGTTGGTGCTGCTCGCGCTGTTGATGCTCGTGCCAACCTGGACCAGGTCCTCCATGCGAAGGACCATAACCATAGCCCATCTCGACGTCTTGAGGCTGAGGCGGAGGAGGGTGCTGGCTGCTGATGACGGTGATCCCATGTTGCTGCTGACTAGGATGTCCGCCGTGTCCACCGAGCTCTTCTGGGTAAGGATAAGGTCGTCGTTGTTGCTGAGACAGGGACGATTGTCGTGAATGACCTCGGTGCTGGTCGGCTTCCGCTTTCTTGGACTGGCTACCCGGTCCTGCAGAGTTTGGAGCTGCGCTGCCGGAAGCAGAAGGAACGATACTAGGTCCACCGGCAATAGCAGCCGCGTATAGTTCTCGTTCCCTCTCGCGTTCACGCTCACGTTCCCTGTCCCTTTCCCGCTCGCGCTGATGGTCTCTGTCTCGAAGGTCCTTGGGAGCGGGCGTAGGCGCATTCGAAGGCTTCTTGACATCTCGTAAGGGGTCCTTCATGGCCATGTCACGCTTCGAGTCTCGTTTATCGGCAATATTGAGAGCAGAGTTGCCTCCTTGTTGAGAGATACCGCCTCCGAGCATGCCACCAGGGATAACACCCATTCCGCCAACGCTGCTTACGGGACCTACAAAAGTGTTAGAGAACAATTCTCACTGAGCGAATTTGAATCTACACACCTGAAACTCCGGGACCAACAATCATACCACCAGGCATACCAGGTCCAACTGTAGTTGTCGTCATCGAGATAACACCAGTCGTTCCTCCAGTGTTCGGGTTGGGGGAATTGACTCTCGACGAACCGACTGAAGTAGTATGTATGAACGCGGTATTGAACCTTCCCTGATGATGTGATTGTGGAGGGTGCGGAGCTGGACCAATATTGGACGCGGCCATCGCAGGTCCCGACGGTATCGTCGACATCGTAGCCGAAGACTGCGAAGGGGCTGACGACTGCGACACAGGAGGCACCCCAGGTCCAACCATGGGGGGGCCACCATGTTGGGATCGGGACTGTAATAGCCATGAACTGGGATATCGACGACGATGAAGACATTTAAAACACACCTGATCACGCATCTCAACATCCCCACCCCTCTCTCGTTCACGCATCTCACGTTCCCTGCGCTCGCGCTCCCGCATTTCCCTCTCCCTAATCTCACGTTCGCGCATCTCCCTCTCTCTAAGCTCGCGTTCGCGCAGTATTCTCTCTCGCTCTTCTTGTTCACGCATCTTCCGTTCGCGCTCCTTCCTCTCCCAATACTCCCTCTCTCTTTCACGCTCACGCTCGCGTTCTCTCTCTCTCTCCCTTTCTCTTTCGCGCTCCAACTCTCTTTCCCGATATTCACGTTCGCGATACTCCCGTTCCCGCATTTCCCTCTCCCTCAGCTCGCGTTGATGACGGTCGTGCTCGCGCTCCATAGTCTCCCTCCTCTCCCGCTCGCGCCGCATCTCTTGCCACTCTCTCTCCCTTTCTCTCGCATCCCTCTCTCGCATGATGATATCTCTATCTCTGATATCATTTGGTCCAGGTGGTGCAGGCGGCAACGAAGAAGGGTGTTGAAGGTGGGGCCCAGCCTGAGGATGGGAAGGCGGTGGGGGAGGTGGAGCATGCGGATGAGGCAGTCCTCCCACTCGATAGTCACGTTCGCGCCCCCGGTCTCGAGATGGAGGTGGCGGTCCATGACCATATGGATCCCTAGGATCACCCCTCATATCTCGCGGATCCCTCATATCCCTAGGATCCGCCCTCATATCACGCATCCCACCAGACCCAGACCCGCTCCTCTCGCGCTCCCGCTCGCGTTCCTGCTGCTGTCGAATATGATGCATTTCGCGTTCTCGATCGCGGTCGTCACGCATCTCCCTCTCGCGCTGAGCCGCATACTCGCGTTCCCTATACTCTCGCTCTCTATACTCCCTTTCGCGCTCCCGGTTAATTTCGCGTTCCCTGTCTCTGGGCGTCGAAGTGGCTGAACCAGGTCCTGTAGGTGGTGGACCATGTGGGACGTTCATATGCGGCGAATGCGTCGGGCCATGGGGAGGAGGCAAAGTTCCATAACCATGATAGTCAGCGGGAGGAGCATAGCGCGGACTTGGGGGTGCAGACGCCGCAGAAGGATGAGTTGGCGGCGGAGGCGGCCCGTAAATGACCCGTTCCCTTTCTCGTTCCCTCATCTCGCGCTCACGCTCTCGTTCAATATCAATCGGTGTCACTCGTCCACTGCCCGGCGGACCCAGTGGACCACCTCTCGGGCCACCAGAAAGCGGGGGAGGAGGCGGGGGAGGCGGGAGAACGGATGCATGGTGCTGTCGGGGTGTTGACGTGGTGCTGGTAGGCGCCGGGCGCAGATGTTGTTCTCGGGCGTCTCTTTCCCTGTCCAGCTCTCGTTCCCGGTCCCTGTCGCGTGGCTGTGATGGGTCACGTAGAGGATCCCTGTCGCGCGGGTGGGTCGGAGGTGGATGGTACTCATTGCGCTCATGTCGGTCTCGTTCCATTAATGACATTGGGTGGTGCGGCGACGGATTTGAGAGTGATGCAATCGTCGGTTTGTTTGATGGTGGTAACAGTTCATCTGCAGACACGCATCAGTCATCGTACGAGGCAGAATAAGCCATGCGCAAATCCGCAAAACCCTCCAAACCAACAAGTCCAGTAAAAAGCAACCAGCGGTGCAGAAAGAAAGGCAACACGTAGAACACAGAACTGTAGGCAGAAAAAAAACAATTAACAATGAATGTACACATACCAGGCGGAGTCCCTGTACCCGGTCCAGCAAGTGTTTGGGGTGGCCCCATGGCACTTGAAATAGTTTTTCGTCTTCCTGAAACAAGTTGTTTTTGAATCTGGGGAGATAGTTCTGGTCCGCTTCCAACAGAAGCCCCGCCACTCGCACTCGTCCTATGCTTTGAAGAACCCAACACTCCCCCAACAATATCAACCTGCTGTTGCTCGCGACTTAGATACGGCGAATGGTGACTTGGCTGGGAATACCCCGATGGCTGCTGGCCTTGCTGTCCCGGTCCTTGAGTCTGTCGTTCACCAGAAGGAGCGAGCGAACCACCAGCGACGACGCCTGGTCCTTGAAGTTGTTGCAGTTGATGATGAGGAGGAGCTTGTTGATGGTGGTCACGCAAAATGGCTGCTGCCGCCGCAGAACTACCACGATCACCGGCCGAAGGGGGGCGGATCGATGCCGAAGCCGAAGCCGGATGATGAGGAAGAGGGCCTGCGCCGCCGCTGCCGCCGAAACCCGGACCAGGCTCGCGCCATCCCCCACCCGCACCCCCCGCCGAACCCACCGGACCCGGAGCATCCCCGCCACCAAAGACATGATGATGATGGGCATTACTCCCGCCGCTGCTCGCCTGAGTCGAAGACGAGCCACGGTGTAGTGAGCCCATGGCAGGCGAAGGATGCGTATGCGTCCCATGGACGCCCTTGGGCATCCCACCCGCACCCCCAATTCCACCCATCTCGCTCGCAGTCGACGACCTTCTGGAACGATGCTGATTATGCGGATGCTGTTGCTGCTGGTGTGGTTGCTGCTGATGCTGATGCTGTCTTTGTGCAAGGATGGATGGTGACGATGCGGTACTGCCCGAACCGGTAGGATGACTGTACATTGTGGACGAGGAGGGTGATTGTGTTGCTGTGGGTGGTCCTCCAGGGCCTGGTGGTGGTTGTGCTGTGGTTGAGTGGCCGTATATGGAACTCGGACTCGACGCCGGAGGATACATGGAGGACGACGATGGCGGGCGACGGGTATCGACTGGCGAAGCCGCGATTGAACGGGGAGGAAGGGTGTTGGTATTCATGGCTGGCCATTCTCGTTCTCGGTCAGGAGGTGGTGCCTGGCTTGCTGCTGGACTGGAATGAGGGCCACCGCCTGGGGTGGTTTGCGCTGGTGGTGGCCCACCTCCTGTGCCTGCTCGTCGTCGCGGTGCGTTATCGGAAGGCGATTCCTGCAGGAGTGCGGCGACGTTCATGGGTTGCTCGCTGGTGGTGGTGGCCTGGCGGACGGATTTGTGCGGTGTCGCCGCCTACGCGACGTGTGTGTGTGCGGTAAAAAGGAGGGAGCGCGTTGAGCGATAAAGGGGGAGGTGACAAGAAGAGAATCTGGAAAAAGAAGCGTCGCGGTTGGTTGAGTTGGTGAGGAAGGCGAGAAGAAGCAAGGAAGGGGATGTCGCGAATCGTTTAGTCAACAAGAGTAAAGGCAGCTGATGCTGATCCCAAAAACGCCAACAGGCACCGTTGCGCAAAGGATTCGAATTTCGGACGACGCGGACTCTATTCTCCCGGCCCCATCGAGATCTCCCCCAACTCCAATTTGGTCGATCACACGATTGAGATGCTTTCCCCATTAGGCCCACACGTGGAGGATCCAACTTCCATACGCAATCACGCCTGTTCACCGCTGCGAGACGTTCACCTCTATTCTGTCATTCATCTGTCATATCTAACCGTTCACTCAATCCCAACACCGACCGTCATCACCCACATAATCTAAGCGCACGCACGCTCCGGCATTTTCAACACCTCGAGAACAGCCTGTCAGAGAAAAATAGGCCATATTCTGACAAGAATCCCATCCAAAAAGACTCATCGCTCGAGCCAAAGTTAAAACCGTATTTACTCACCTCCACACCGCAACCGGATCAATTACGATACCCACCCATCTGAATGCAAATTGAGAGGAGTCCTTCTCGACGTTACCAGTTACGTTACCTCTCCTTGAGAGCCTCCTTGAAAAAGGAACGAGTCATTTCTCAGGTTCATGTTTTCTCGTGAAAACATGCCTCGCCTGATGAGAAATACTTCTGATTAGAGGGTCATGGAGTGTAGAAGGGGTACAACAACAACAGCCATATATATAGGAACTAAGGTACAACATAAGCTAGTCTAACAAGAAAAAGTACATCAGGCCCTTGTATACAACCTCGTGGACTCTCGTGGCTCCTCGTCTTCATCATCGTCGTCGTCACCCACCACATGGGTAGCTACGCCGTTCCCAGCCCCCTGACCTCCTCCTCCCCTCTCAGCATTCGGGACTCGAGCATACCACTTGGGTGTCCCAGCTCCCGCTGACGCCGGCAACGTGGAAGCCATCTCGTACTCCATTCCTCGAGAAGCGGAAGAAGCGCCGGCGCTAGACGCAGCAGCGTTTCGTCCACTAGTTGAGTATAGGTGGATCAAAAAGACGATGAATGCATAGATCAAAAAGGCCAGGCTATATAGCATCCAGGAAATTCAATGAAATTGTGGACATAAAAACAAGTGTATGACCGCACCTGAACATAATCAACAGATACGTAACGTGGTCCATCCCTTGATCATGGACGTACTCCAATTCCTCGTTTGTAGCAGACATGAAAATCACTCCAGAAGCCACAAGAAGCTGCACGACTCAATCAGAAAGCTGTAACAGGGGCGGAGCGTACCAACTCACGAAAGGCGGTAGATGTCGAAACGCGATGGAAGCAGCCAGCTTGGCCCTATTTTTGTCATCCTTTCGCAAATGAGCAGAGTCTCCTTCTGCAAGGGTATGTTCGCTCGAGGTATCATCGCTAATCGCCGCTGCCATTGCTTCGGGGGGTGGAGAGGGTACCAGGGGTTTATAGTGGGGATAGAAATAGCAAACCTCCGCCAGTCGAGCCAAGCCCGCTAGAATAAGCGTCCTCCCGAACATACCATGGACCTAAAATGCGTCCTATTCAACAGGGCGTCCATAGGGAACTCTCGCGACGCCGGCGCTTACCTTGGTTGATATCTCCAAATCCTGCGCATGGTCTGACATCGCCCATCCCGTCACAATCAGTCTGCCAACGCGGGGCACGTCAGTCAAAATTCCGTCCATTCAAATCAGGGCCCAAGCGGAAATTAAATAGGAAGCGAACGCACATTAATGAGGGAACGACAGAGCGCTAAGCAGAACCGAAGTCCAAGTCAGTCAGGGATCGTGCATCAAAGGTACGAATTTTGATCTTTTGATCTTACTTGATTATTCCTGGAAAGGAAGATGCCCAGGATGCCTCCGGCCCACCCTGCGAGGGCTCGTTAGGGGTGACGGAAAAGAGTTTGTCGGGAGACTTACAGAGTACACCCAACATGCTACAGAAGCTTTGAGTTAGCCTTGTTCGTGCAGGAAGCGGAGTTAGTACGTACGTGTGCTGCATGTCCTTGACATGCCACACTGCTCCTCGGTGCTCGGTGAATGTATTCACTAAAAGTACGGAAGCAAACGATGAGGGTCAGCTGAGCCAGCTCTATAATTACATCGAGCACCACGTACCGATACCCTGATTTCGATAATCGATTGATTCGACAAAAGTTTGGTTCGCGCGTTAGCAGCGTGGATATTACCCGGAGAAAAAAGAACCTCTTCTTTCATAAAGGACTCACCCATGCAGTGATGACACTAAAGTTCCCAACACCATGCCACAAGGGAAAAGTCAATTAGATATCGGATCGATAGGCAAAAGGGAGAGCCTAAGTCAGTAACAGCTCAGAAGCAACAAAGCTAAAGAGACAAGGCAACATCCAAAACAATAGAGAAGGCCGCAAGTACGCACCTGGAATCCCAAAACTCTGGACTTCGCCCAGTCCTTCGAATCCAAGCCTCCCCGACGAGGAAAATGATGGCGATAATGACAGCGTAGGCTATAAACCCGCTTCCCATGATGTAATGTGCTAGGCATTGGCCTTCAAAAACCCAATTGAAAAACAAAGTTCAGAGTTGGATGTAAGTGTCTTACAGACAACGCGGATGAGGGAACGCACCTAGATGACTGCCACGACAATATCCACCCAGGGTAATCGCGCCGAACAGCATCTGGACCCATGCGATGATGGGATACGACTTTCCTACAATCCCGTGAAGAACGACCGCGTATGGACGAATGGACTTTTCGTGGATATGGAGTTTGAGGTAGATCCCCAGGGCGAGCTGGAGGAGGATCGGGCCCATGAGAAGGGTGGCAAAGACGCTGTGTGCTCCGGCGGGGAACTGTCTTCCTCCATGCGAGTGACCCAGAATGTAGCCACCCAATGTTAATAGGTATCCCGCACTCTTCAGAGGAGGAGGTAATGAGAGCCTGATCAGGTAGAAGAAGAAAAACGGCGCACTTGAAGGGGAACGTGCCATCTACTCCTGGTGATGCCCAACACCATTCCGATGGGAAACAGAACCCCCCACACAGCCGCCTGCAAAGCCATATGGATCCATAGAACCGCGTCGATGGGTGCACTGGCAGCTTCTTCAGTTGGGTCTTTGTGGTTCGGATGGGCACGGACTGCAGAGCTGCAAAGCAACAAGAACCCAATCACTGGAACCATGCCCGGTACTGATATTGGCCTCCTGGTACCCATAGTGGTCGAGGTCAGTGTGGTATGAGAATCGGAAGGGGGAGAGGCAGAGGGCAAGGCTCCAGGCAATGCCCCACAGACAGAGGCGCGCTGAAGGGTAAAACCGTCGGATTGCTTACTACAAAGCGTATTCGTGAACGTTCCATGCATTGGTCCTGCGCGGGCGGTAAGCATCGTTCTTGTCATCAGTTTTGACTCACCTCGATCACTCTGACCTCATCGACACAGCCACCCACTTTCTTCCTTCTTTCGTCCCCGTCACGCGCTCGCAATCAGCCAATCCAACGAATTTTGCCAGAGTCACGATTCAATCCTTCACTTTTCTTTCCAACAATCAAACCAAACTGGCATTCAGATGGCCTTCTGCGCTCTTTAATCGTCCTATCAGACTTCGGTCTTGCACGTCACTCTCTCGGAGATTCTTCACTTCCACACCACCAGCCATGAAAAAACAAGCAGCGGCGTCTTCGACAGTCATGAACTGGTCTGCTTCAATCCAGACAACCCTCTCAGCAGACTCGGAGCCATCTCTCATGATTGCTTTCGATAACGCCAAATACATGTTCAACGCTGGCGAAAACACTGTCCGTTCCTTTGCCCACAGTGACTCCAATCGGAAGAAACTCAAGGCCCTGTTCCTCACCCAACTGGGACCGCACAGATCGGGTGGGGTTGCTGGTGAGATATCTACTATATTGCATGGGTCGGGTTTTGAGGTTGTTAGAGCTGATTCAGTTTCTGGTTTGGCGGTACAGGCCTGCTTATGACGTTGGCCGATGCGAGTGCCGTTAATGAGATGAAGATTGCTGGTCCGACTGGCCTGACACACTTTTTGGCCTCTATGCGGTTTTATACCTTTAGGTTCGTCACTGGCCGACTGTGATTCGTCCAAGCTTACAGTCAATACAGAGACAACTTGGCAGTTTCGCCGCTGGAAATCGCGCCTCCCCCAGAGCACCCGAAGGATCCTGAGCCCGTGTTCCAAGACGAGAATATCACGGTCTACGCGCTTCCGTTAACGCCTGACGATGTCTCCTCGCCTTCAGCGCAATCAGAGGACTCCTCCCTGAAGCGGAAACGCGAAACATCACCCGACCAACCACGTAAGCGCTCAACGACCAGCGTCGAGGATGAAGCCAGCCATTTGTCTGCAGAACAACGATCCCTGACTGAGCTTATGGCCGACTCAAGTTTCAAACCCCAGTCTCTAACCGGAGAGAACGCGGCGGAATATCGAAGGTTGTTGGTTCAGACAATGTTCCCTGCTGACGTCGCCAAAGTTCAGCAGTCGGAGAAGAAGGGCCAGGGTGAGGCAATGAAGGTTCAAGGACACGGGAAGACCAAGAAGCAGAGGAAGGCAGAGGAAGCCGCCGCTACTGCCGCTTCCGCTATTTCTGCCAAGGACGCGATCAAGCGACGTTCTCCTTCTCCTGCGCCTTTCCCAGTAGACAAGGATGCTCAAAAGGTACGCCGATGCTATTCACCGTTGAGCATCTCTATTAATCTGGTTATCTAGTTCGACGACTACCGTCGCACACCCCGCCACCTTCCCAAAGGCTATCACACCCAACTCCCCTCGCTCCCGCCCAACTTCCAACGGACACCCATCGGCTACGTGATCATCGGTCCTCGCATCCGTGGCCGCTTCGACGTCGCGCGGGCCACCGCCCTCGGCGTCCCACGCGGACCCCTTCGTGGTCTCCTCACCAAAGGCGAAACCGTCACCTTCCAAGTCGAAGAAACCTTCACCAATGTCCAGGGACAGCAAGAGACTAGGATGAAGGATGTAACTGTAAAGCCTGAGCAGTGTGTCGGGGAGAGCGAGGCCCCGAGTGCGGTCGTAGTTCTGGACGTGCCTGAGAAACGGTATCTGGGCAGTTTGGAGAAGTGGTTTGCGGAGGGTGTGATTGGGAGGGTGAGGTCGAGGAAGGAGGAGGATGAGAAGGAGTATAGCGTTAAGGCGGTTTTCCATATGCTTGGAGAGGGAGTGTTGGAGGACCCGAGGTATATTGAATTCATGAATGGGTTTAGGGACGGTGTGGATGTGCGTTTTCTCTATCTCCATTGCGAAATAGTATCTCTGACAATGAACATAGCATCTCGTTACCTCCAAAGAACACTGTCCAAATCGCGTAACCTTCACCAGCGCGACGTTCAACCAACTCCGACTCAACAAGCTCGATAACGAGATGTTCCCCATTCAAAAGTTCAACCTTGAGCCCTCCAAGTCACTGTCATCTATCCCGAACCTCCCTAAGAACACGCAACTTATGAGGCCGAACGTGCGTATAGGTGTACGGCCTTATGCACCACCCAAGTTAGACCCGCAGACGGAAGGAAAGGATTTGTTCCACCCCCTTGTTGAGGGGAAGAAGTTGGGCGAAGGGGAGAGTATCGAGGTCCAGTTACCGGAGGAGACCGTCGAGAAGTTTGAGCAGGCAAGGGAGGCTGTGAAGAAGATCGCAGAGGGTGCTGCAAAGCCCGTTGAGCGCCCTGGAGACGACGTCGTGGTTGTGCCGTTGGGAACAGGGAGCGCTGTTCCAGGACGATACAGAACAGGTGAGGCGTATTCACCGTATAGCAATGGTCAGACTTGCTTACTTCTTTGATAGTCTCTTCTACACTTATTCAGATACCCAACTGGGGTAACATCCTGTTGGATGCGGGAGAAGGCACGTACTACCAGCTTGCTCGCCATTTCGGGGAAGAGGGTGTGAAAGAGGTGTTGAGAGATTTGAAATGTCTGTATGTGAGCCATGTACATGGTGACCATCACATGGGCGTACCTATGATTCTTCGCAAACGGTTGGAGGCGAGTCCCAGGTTATTCTTCCGTCGATGATCATACTGATTATTTCTGTGTAGTTGGATCCGCCACCCGAAAACCCTCTCTACCTCGTCTCGATCAGGATTGTGCAGCTCTACCTTCAGGAGGTACAGCAGCTGTACGACTTGGGTATCCGACCGTCTATCAACACCATAGAAGGAGCCGGAAACGCGGTTATCCCCATCCAGAGTGAAGCACTGCATTATGCTCGACCGGGTGAATATGCTTCGGGTTATTGGGCTGTTAATGGGACTGAGCCGTGGTTGGATCCCAAGCGGTGGGTGTTGGAAAGCTCATGTAGAAATGATTTTGATTTACTGACGAGCTTGTAGGTCTGTAACCCTTGCCAGGTCGATGTGTGAAGCCCTTGGTTTGAGAAGCTTTAGCACGGTTGATATGCGACATGGGACGAGGTGTTATGGGTTGGTAGTGAAGCATCGTGATGGATGGAGCATTGCGTGAGTCGTACTCTCTCTTGGATCCTATCAGAAGGCTAACGCGCTGCGCAGGTTCTCAGGTGATACGGAGCCCACGGACAGCATTGTGCACGCAGGGAGGAACGCGACGTTGCTCATCCATGAAGCTACTATGTCAGACGACCAGGTCGAGTTGGCCAGGCAGAAGAAGCATAGCACATTCGGACAGGCCATTGGTATCGGAAGGCGGTACGTCCATCACACTTGCGCACCCCTTCATTCTACTCACCTTGGGGGACAGAATGAACGCGCGAACGATCCTCCTCACCCACTTTTCCGCGCGACACCCCAAAATCCCGATGTCCGTGATGGACATCTCGTCCGACCCGACCACGCCAACCACCACCCGCCAAGGGTTCCATAAAACTGAGCCGACGATCGCTCTGGCGTTTGACCAGTCGTGTTTGAGGATTGGGGATATGTGGAAGATGAAGCATTACTTGCCTGCGCTAGAGCAGAATGAGAAGGATACGGTGGCTATTGATGGGGAGGATGAGGGAGTGGAGGGTGCTATGGATCTAGATCCCAGTGCATAATTTATACACGAACTATAGATTGGACACAAAGTACGATACATATAATCTAATCATCCCATTCTCATCATCGGACGTGTATCGGCATAAGGCTATCAGGGCGTGGCTGTGTCAGTATCCAAGTTGTTCGGATGTGAAGCGACGACGACGGAGCAAAAGCCGCTCTCTACCACATTGACCCTCTAGCGCACGGGGTCGCTGGATGGGCGAATCCGTAGAACTATTCGAGAGTCGCACCCGGCCCGCGCCTCTCGACACGACGACGACCGCGCGGCGCTTCACCGAGGAAGAGCGGCCCCCGTCCCCCCGCGACCTCTATGAAGTCTTCCCGCCCTCCAACTCCTTCGACGACGATGTCATCTACAGCATCCGCCCCACCTGGAAGCGCAACCTCCACTTTCTGCTTGAGCGCCCGACGACCAGCCAGGCGGCGTTCGTGGTCCATGTGTTCACGACGTTCTTGATCGTCGTGTCGGCGATTGTCACGGTGCTGGAGACTGTCCCTGCGTTTCACTCGATACCGTTGAGGATATGGTTTGGGATGGAGACGACGCTTGTTGCGCTTTTCACTATCGAGTATATTGCGCGCTGTGTGGCGTGGAGTTTCTCGTGGAATGCGCTGTTTCATTGGGTTATTTGTGAGTCTTGTTTCTGTCGAGATTAGATTTGATTTTGACTGAGGAATTGTACCAGCGTTCTATGGAATTATCGACTTGTTGTCGGTCTTACCGTATTATATCGAGCTTGCTCTTCAACAAGATACTGTGCGTTCCCTGCCCCCTTCCCCTACCTAACCGTACTCACCGACAGCGACGCGTGCAGTCTGAATTCTTTCGCTTCTCGATTCTTCGAATGTTCCGCCTCCTGCGCGTCTTTAGACCGTTCAGATACAATCATACAATCCTCATGTCAGTCCTACCCAACCGCCTGCTTTCCTCGTGTCGGTGCTCACTCATTACCACTCAAGGACCATAGAAGTCATGTACCTCTCCGTTCAGCGGTCCCAACATGCTCTGTTAGCTATTGGGTTCTTCGTAATTATGATGTTGACGGTGTTTAGTACTTTACTGTGAGTGAAAGCCTTGCCTTGACACTGGAGTAGCGCTGAATCGCTGACGGGACGGTTGTGCAGGTATTTCTCAGAGAGAGGATCATGGGATGATGTGTTGAATACCTTTATTAACTCTGAGGGTGACCCTTCGCAGTTCTCAGCAAGTCTCCCTTCCACTCCAATCTTTTCCGCCAATCCTGACATAGTTCGCAGTCTATTCCAGCAGCCGCTTGGTTCGTCGTCGTCAGTACGTATACCTCCTTTGACAAATCCAAGTTACCATTCTGATTACTCTTTGCATGTAGCAATCACAACCGTCGGATACGGCGAAATTACACCGCGCTCCTTCCTCGGACGGTTAATCACCATCCCGATTCTCGTATTCGGCCTCTTGCTCATCACGCTTCCAAGTTTCGTCCTCGGTCGTGAATTCAGCTTGGTATGGCACAGCATGCAGAAAAAGGTACGTAGTTCAAACCCTACTCTCTCATCCTTATTCACTGACACCTTTCCTTACCAGAAACGGCGCGAAGCAGCGGGCGCCTCCACCTCCGACCCTCGCTCAGCCTCACGGGACTCCTCCGACGCCATCCTCTTCGGACCCTACAACCCCGCCACGCCCTTCATGTACCCACCCATGCACATCCCCATCTCCTCCAGCGCCTCGCGCGACCTAACCAACATGAAACTCGCACAGAATCAGACAGAGTTGAGTCATCAGATTGACGAGTTGAAGGGGATTGTAGAGGAGCAGGGCAAGTTGATTGGGAGGTTGGTGGATCTTTTGGAGGGGAGGGGGTATAGCAGTGCTGTTAATGGCAAGGGGAAGGAGAAGGAAAGGATGGGGAGTTGAGTTTTCTTTTTGTCGTAGGGCCTTTTCGTATGTTGGGTCGATTGGAACACCCTAACTACATCGCCTTCTATTATTAAGTTATTTTTTGGGATTTACTGGTATCTGGAAGTAATAAACATATTTAACGTTTACGCCCCGCGTTTGGAGCTCACACTGAAGCGGCGGATTCCAGGAATTTTCCAACTGCCAACACGAAGTGGTCCGAGCCCCATTGGCCCACAATGCTAACACCGATGGGCCATTCTACCTCCTCTGTTTCGGATGAGGATGGTGGACACGGGATGCTCAGAGCCGGGAGGCCAGCCAGTGACGCAGGGACGGTCAACACATCCTGCACATACGCGTCCAATGACGAGGCAGCCGTCTCGACTTCATCCAACCTCGGCGCACTCCTAATAGCCGACGGATGCAGCAACACGTCCACTTTCTGGCTTGCTTGCGCAGGTGTATTCGAAGGTTGCGCGTACCGCACATTGGGCATCGCAAACACCCTATCGAAATCATCCTTAATCAGCTGCCGGACGCGTTGGGCTTGGAGGAAGTAGTTGTCGAATGCGTCGGCTGTGAGTGCGTAGGTGCCTAGGAGGATGCGCCGCTGGACTTCGGGCCCGAATGTGGAGGAGCGGGTGCGGGCGTAGACTGTGGAGACTTTTTTGAGGTCTGAGGGGTCTTGTGTGGGGATTCGCTCGCCTGAGGGAAGAGGGTAGGGTCAGTCTTGGTTCGGAAGAAGACTGGCTGGGAACAGAAACTTTGAGACTGACCGTATTGGATTCCGTCGTAGCGCGCCATGTTACTGCTGGCTTCTGCTGAGGCGAGGACGTAGTATGCGCTCAGGGAGTAGGAAGTGGAGGGGAGTGAGACTGGGATGATTTGAGCTCCTCTTTCTTTAAGCAGTTGGACGGACTGTCGGAATCGGTTGAGGACATGGTTGGAGAGTTCTGAAGGGAAGAATTCCTACGAAATAACTGGGGTCAGCTGGTATGTAGACGCTGAAGTAAGTGGGAGTACCTGTGGAATACCGATTCTTAGACCGTGGAGACTACCCTCTGCTAAGGCTGACGAAAGTTCGTCGAGTCGCTGGGAAGAGAGGGCGTCTGCCTTTTCGCGAGTCTCGGGGAGAGCGGAGGTCGGGTCGTTGGGGTCATATTCCGAGATTCTCTCTAGAGGACACGGTCAGGAATTAGCCTTCATCCACACCTAATAGAAAGCCCTACGCACCAAAGACACAAGACGTAGTCTCAACATCTCTCGCCAGAACCCCGACGCAATCCAAGCTATCTGCATAAGAAACCACCCCCCATCGACTGACGAGTCCATAAGAGGGTTTGAGGCCTACAATTCCGCAATAAGATGCTGGAAGGCGTATCGAACCGCCAGTATCTGTTCCTAAAGCGCTATAGAGGGTTGGTGGTTAGGATTGCGGGAACATGACGCGACCACGACTCACGCGTCGCAAATGTCTGCGGCGACAGCTGCTGCGCTTCCACCTGAGCTACCACCAGCGGATCGCTTGTCGTTGTTGAGGCCGACCTTGCTTAGTGGGAAGGGGTTGATCACGGGTCCATGGATGGTGTAGGTGTTCAAGGACCTGAGTTTCGAGTTAGGAAAGGTGAACGGAAGGAGGAGAGGACACCAATTACAACTGACCCCATTCCAAACTCGTCACAATTGGCTTTCCCAATAATCTGTCCTCCATTCTCGCGTATCCGATGCACAACAGTCGCGTCAAACGGCGAGACAAAGTCTACCTATGCAATGAGTACCCCGTCCTCACATTGGCCACGGTGTGAAACTCACTTTTGAGAACGTTGGATGAGCATGTAGTTGGAAAGTCTCTAGTAACGATGTTATCCTTGACTGCGATCCTGAGACCACTTAGAGGCCCCTTCTCCGCGGGCGGTGAGTCGGGGAATTTGAGTGAGACGAGTGCGTTGGTGGCCCGGTTTGCTTCTGCTGCTAGGGCATGGCTGTGTACCGACCGCCTTGCGAGTCTGGAAGAACGCAGAGCTTTTGTCAGCCCTCCATGCATACCGGTGTATAGCGATTGTATGAGGTTGTGACAAAAGTCGACGACGTCAAACCCAGCGCCTGGCGCTTATTGCGACCGACCACATTGTGGCTGTGCCATTCCGTATTTTTTGGTTGAGGGGAAGACGAACTGGTTGTTTACTCTTTCATCATGGCAAAGGCGGAAGCAACAACAAAACCGACGGGCAAGGTCGTCAAGAAGGCTCGAATTGTCGTGCCCACCAAAAAGGTCACAGTCCGTGACCCCAAAGGCACCCCACCACCCAAACTCAAGAGCGCACTCAAATCAAAATCGACGGCGGCGGCTGCACCTGCTGAAGCGAGCTCTTCCAAGGCCAAGATCACACAAACCGCGTCTTCAAAGACGAAACCCGAATCGCTGTCAAGCAAAGCGAAAGGAAAGAAGAAATCAACAGGCGAGGAAGAACCTACACCCCTTCCCTCTACTTTCAAAATCATCGCTGGATCATATGAAAAACTTTTGTATGGGCTCAACGGGACGACTTCTGTGAACGATGAAGGGAAGTTGGAATTTAAGATTAAACCTATCTTCATCTTTCCCGCGCATGTCTCGTGTATAAAGGCGGTCGCTGCATCCCCGCAGGGAGGGAAATGGCTCGCGACGGGTAGTGCGGACGAAATCATCAAGATTTGGGATTTGAGAAGGAGGAAAGAGGTCGGCGGGTTGATGCACCACGAAGGTGAGTTTGTCTCTTATCTGCAAGGATGTGAAACTAAAGGAATATCCGCTAGGTTCAATTACACACCTCCATTTCCCTTCCCGATCCCACTTACTCTCTGCCTCCGAGGACGGAAGTTTGTGCTTGTTCAGAGCGCGAGATTGGTCCGTGTTGCGAGCGTTAAAGGGCCACAAGGGACGAGTAAACGCGGTGACCATTCACCCATCTGGAAAGGTCGGGTTAAGCGTGGGCAAGGACAGGACTTTGAGGATGTGGGATCTTATGCGAGGAAAGGGTGTTGCAAGTACGAAATTGGGCAAAGGTGCGTCCATGCATTGGTCGTTATCCTTCTCTTCCTAATAAGCAGTGTAGAGGGTGAGTCTGTTCGCTGGTCTGTCGACGGTGAACGCATTGCCGTTCAGTCCGGTTCAACTATCGACATCTATTCAACGGTACGCCTAACCCTTCAAACAAGTTCCACTCAGTTATTGATAATATTCTCAGAGCATGGAACTACAACACACTATCACCCACCCATCGCGCCTACACGACGTCCAATTCTGCAAACACGTTAAAGGCGATCAAGAAATTCTCTTCGCAGGCGCCGAAGACAAAAAGCTCTCCATCTACATCGTTCCCAAGGACGCGTCTGTACAACCTACTATCTTCGCGCAAATGGTTGGACATGGTAACCGGTAAGTTAGTCACTCTCCCCTCCCTTATTCCCACTCTGACGATTGATTTCACAGGGTCAAGGCATTCCAAATGCTACGGATAGCACTCCCCGAAGCCTCGGGTCGAACAGAAACAACAATCGTATCCACCGTCTCCTCAGATGGCAAAATCCGTCTCTACGACCTAAACGACGTGCCCGAATGGTCGTCCTCTTCAAAGGATATAGTCGACATTTCGCCAGTCGCAGAATACGATTCGAAAGGAACCCGATTGACCTGCGTCACGCTGGCTGATGCCGACACCGAAGACGAAAAGCCTGCAATAGGCAAACGGAAACGCAACAATGACGACGAGGATTCAGAAGTGGATGAAAACGACGACGACGACGACGACGACGACGACGACGACGACGACGACGACGACGAAGCAGAAGACGAAGAGGAAGCTGGATTTGGGTCGGGTTGGGAAGAAGACGAGGTGGTAGGCGAAGAAGAGGAAGAGGAGGACTAGATTGTGACACCTACAACAATGCTGGCTAGATAATACTGGGTACGGCTAGTCATCTAAGAAATCTATTGCCCTCTTTCGACCTTTTGGAATAGGCGCCTGTTGTCCGGCGTCTACTTTCGTTGGAGGTTCGGGTGTAGCGCTCACAGACTGCACTGGCCGTGTTGGAATAGTGACAGGTACGCTCTCCGCTGGCCGATCAATGAACATCCCCTCGTCGTTATTTTCCACTTTCTTCTCCTTATCCTTTCGCTTTTTCTTCGGCCTCTCCTTTGTCGGTTGCCCAAGGTTCGGCTCCCCGTCTTCTTCATCCACCGCAAACGACAACATAGCAGCTTTCTTCTTTTCTTGCTTTTCCTTCTTTTCTTTCTTTTCTTTGCCCTTCCCGTCATCCTTCGCTTTGCCCTTGCCATCTCGAGGAATGAATGTCGGTTTGAACGTGGCGAGATCGACAGGACCCGTGTCTTCCACTACCGTTGGTTTGGCCGCTGGTTTTTCTTCAGGTTCCTCTTCCTTCTCTGGCTCATCGTCGCTGTCTTCATCATCGCTTGCAAAGATGGCCTTGAAGATATCCATGGACGGCCTTTCATACGTTAGGATATCCGCTCCCTGAGTTTCATCCTCGCCCAAACCAATATTCTCCAGTCTCCTCGGCAAGTCATTGGTCGATGTCCCTGCCACACTAGTTGCACCTCCACTCCCAGTCGCATAAGCAGAACTCGACGCAGCAGCAGCAACCTCCTGCTCAAACGACTTGGTCTCAAACGACATCTTCGCACTCGTCCCAGCCATAACATCATCATCCACAGTCGGGTTCGGAGGTTTGACACCAAACCTCTTACAGAGCAACGGCGCAGGCATCCACACCGACGTCTCCCTCGTCATAGGACCATACATCCCCATCCTCGCCGCATGCACCTTCGGACTCACGTTCGCCTCCTCTTCTTTCTTCTTCTCTTCTTCCTTTTGTGCAAGTTCTTCGGCAGAGGGCTGGTGCAACCCTTCGTGGATTTTGGGCCCGGCTTCGTACACCGCAGCACTGGTGAACCTTCCCGCCATGGCACCCGAGATGGGTTTGAAAAGTTGCGCAGCTTTGGAGTAGTCTTCGAGTTCTTTGAGGAAGGTCTCGTCGTCTTGGCCCGGGAGGGGCTTGAGAGGAGGAGCAGAGTCGGGCGTGGCTTGGGAATGGAGGTAGGCGGTGTAGCGTGCTTGTTTGGCGGGGTCGGATGTGAATGGTTGGAAACCTTTTAGTGCTGCCTGGGCTGCTTGGGGGTCCACTGTAGGTACGGGAAGGGGCGGTTTGGGACCAATGGGACCTCCGGACGATGGACTGGGAGATGCAGCTTGCAGGCCACCCGCTGCGATACGTTGGATTCGCTCTTTGTCCTTTGCGGACATGAACTCGAACACGGAACGAGTGCCTGTCGAAGGCAGGGGTGTCTCTCCTAATATGTTGGCACGCTATGACACTCGTTAGTAGTCAAGTAAATTCAAGATCAAGCAACACGCACATCATGAGCAGACAGCTCTGGCCTCCCTGCACGATCCTTCTTGGCGGCTTCCAAAGGCTTTCGTAGATTCTCCTTGTCCGGCCCACTATCCCAAACCCTTCGCGGATCGGGTTTCCATCCAGGAGGAACCTCCGGACCTGGAAACCTGTATTCTCATCTATCAGTTGGAGCCAACCACACAAAAGTATGTACGGTTACCATTTGTCTTCCATGACAGGTTCATTGGAGATGGTGAACCCAGTGACCACTGGAGTGCCGTCGGGGAAGAATTGATCGGGCTTTGCTGCGCCCTGGAGGAGGGAATGAGCAGCTGGAAAGGAAAGAGGGAGGGTGAGGCTTACAGGTTTAGGCCTGGGACCGCGTTCGGCTCTTCCACTGATAGTCATTGTCTCTTCTCTGTCGTGATCCAGATGGTCGAACGCAACCCTATTCCTGGTAGTGGAAGAGGAATCGTAGATATCGAGGTCGTCCTCGTCAGCATCGTTCAGCGCTCCCAGTCCAAATCCAGCTGTGAATAGCGTCAGTTAATCTGAGGAGGGACGCGAAAGTAGCTACTCACCTGCTATCCGAGGTCCTGAAGGTCCTTGTCCTTCGGCCTTCCTACCGAGACTATCGTTCAGCGACATCCCAGGCTTGTATCCCAGACCGTGTCGGTTCTCCTTGCGCGAGACGTGTAAAACCGGTATGTCTCGTCGAGGGTAGGTATGCTTGCTAGCTTCTTCATCGTCCTCTGCAACACTCAATGACTGCCCGGTATGTTTCAACCCCGTATAAGGGTCAAATGCCTCCTCGTCCTGCCTCTTCCTCTCCTTCAAGCTAACCCGAGGACCAATGCCCTGACCAGGCCTCCACCCCATCTTCTTCAATATCTTCGCTCCAGCCGAGTCATTCCCGAGTGGTTGAAACGCTGTTTGGAGTGTTGCAGCGATCGGACTTGAAGAACGGGTAGAAGAGTTCCAGTGATTTTGAGGCCATTATAAAAGTTAACGGTTATTGACGCACTCGTTGTCTAGTATACCACCGCCTAGTGCGGATGCACTGGGACCACCGGAGGCGGTGGTAAAGTCCATTTGCTCGTTCGTGCTGACTAGTTTGCGACTTTCAGCAAGGTCTGCGAGGTCTTCTTCATCCATGAAGTCTTCTGGTCTGGATTCCTTGATTTTTGCGCGGTTGCTTCGGGAAGATACGAATGTTGAGGGAGTCCATCCTAGAGAGAAGTGAGTTTTTAGAGTTGGTGCAGGTCGCGGGAGGACATACCTTCTTTCGAGCCGACTGTGTTGAAATATCCAGCAGAGAAGCCACCAGTGAAGGCCCCATGCAGCCTCCTTCTTCCCTTCTCATCTCTCACCTATACAGATATCATCAATGTACCCTCCAGTTCCAACAGAAATCACGACCTTACCTCTTGTTTCCACAACGGTACAAACTCATCCTTTGCCTTCTCCAACGGTGGAAGAGGAGTTCCAATCAGACAGAAGTTCTCTGTCGCTCTCTTGCTGGACAAGTCGACACCGAGGTCTCCTAACTTTCGTTTGAGATTGTGACGAGAGGTCATGGTCGGCGTTGGGGAATAACCAGGATCGAGAAGGCTCGAACTCGCGAACTCGGACAGGGAGGTGACGCCGGCGGCTGAGACCGCTTCGGCCCGCCCCCCTGAGCGATATCGGAGGGTCTCGGGGACCCGGATCAGCAACCAAGGTCAACGAGTCCCTCCATCGTCGCGTGGGCGCTCGCGAGTGCATCGATCGTTGCCCAATACATACCTGTCGATCGTTGTGCAATGCCTGTCAATTGACTGTCACCCAGGTCTTCGACGCTAATACCTCAATGGGTTCAACGGGGAAATAGCCATATCCTTCCAACCTCGAGGTGCCAACATTTAAATCGCCGGGCGCTCACTACAGTTTGGATTGCCCCTGCCCTTACCGGCGTCGCGTGTATACCTGGATGGTCCCCTAGAACTACTGTCCTGTCTCTGAAATCATTGAAGACGGTAAGCTAGATCTCCGTCACTTCCGTGTATGTCCCGCTTCACTTTTCTTTCTTGTGAAGGGTCAGTATGGGGGACCGCACCGGACAAAAATCATTACGCCTTATTTGAGCATTAGGTTGTCTTGTTTCGACAATACGTCGGGGAGTGCATTACACCTTATTTTGCGAAGACATCTTATTTCATCAATAGGCTTATTTGATGGTTAGGGCTTACCTGTGTGATACATCTCATCTCAGAAAGACACCATGTCCGAGAAGTAGAGCTTAATTTTGTATCTCTCGTCCGAGGTGGTAGACCGTGTAGCCTGCCCCTGCCCTGCCCTAAAGCGACTGCCGCGATGCCGGGACACGAGCGCCAAGCGAAATGGAAGGGAAGGGTTCCAAGTCCGACGGGCGCTCGCCGCTCAGGGTGAAGTCTGCAAGGGTGATGGATCCAAATAGGTGAAGCACCCATAGTTCTTTGCGACAGGGCATCTGGTACCAGCTGGGTAAGTGGAAAAAACACTTCAGGTGAGAGGTCTCTTCCAGGTCATCCCAACGATGTGAGGAATATGCTGCTTCAGAAGAGAATCCAAGGTCCAAGGCCGCTATGTGTGTCCACTTTCTACTCCAAAGTTGTCGGTGTCATCACGATCTCCGACGTCCGTATACTGGACCTTAAATCTGCCAACCCTTCCAAAGGGAGGTTGGTTTAGTAACGACAGGCGACAAGTTCGAAGACCACGAGGAAACCAAAGGTGCTGCCACCTGGTGTGACACGGAACTCTACAGACGGTAGAGGAGCGATTAAACACCTTTTGGATTGGGTGAGTGAACTGAGGCACTCGGACTCCTGGCGAACCACTCGGTCGTGCCACAATCCGACTGGTCGCTGTCAAATTTTCCCCGGTCCAGGGCCCCGGCGCTTAATTTAGTCTGGCAAAGAAAGCATAGAGAGAAAACATAGAGAAAAGACATAATTCCTTTGGTTCCTTGATTTCTTGACATGCGCGACACCTCCATGCACCCGTACCACGTCCTAATAAGTTACACGGGCCATCCGATCGTTTCGGAGCCTCAGTATGACACTGTTCAAACAGCGAAGGCTATGCTGAAATAAAAGTAACATTCTCAAATAACGTCTACTGTTGACTAATGTCTATTGTGCAAATAAGCCTATTGTTCAAATAGGATAATATCCCAAAATAACATCTTGCTGCTCAGACAAGGTCTATTGCGCAAACAAGCACGTATTGCTCAAATAAGACCATCTATTGATCAAATATCGACTAATGCTTTTCGTCCGATGGGGCCACCTATAGGTCAGTGATCGCAGTCTGTGATTTACCGGTGCTTAAAATCCAGGCAACTCGTGGCTTAACTGCGTTGATGCTCGCGTCAACAGGGCCACAAGAATACCGTTCGGCGCTTGCTCAAGCACAAGGACACCCAGGTTAACCTCACAGATGATGCTGGGTCAACAGCACTGACATATGCATCCACATCTTCCAATGAAGAGATCGTTCGGATACCGAGGAAAGCGGGAGTTGAACCCGGCACTTCCAGTAGAAACCAAGAGAGGAGACTGATGACCTTCGTCCCGCCAAGTGGATTCTCCGTACATAGATCTACTTAGACCTTACACACAAAAGTAGCTTAGCTATAGACATACCAATTGCAACTGCAGCGTGTGAACCCTTTCAAGAGCCACGCCGAGTTCCTAACAATAGCTACGGTGAGCAACCACTTGTCGGAGATCGACATTTCCCGAACCCTTCCAGATTGATATCTGGCTCACAACTGGAAGCCAAAAGTCGTGGCAAGGAATGGTTACCTCGTGCACCAGCTTCTTTTGGCTCAGCTCCGCGAAGCTCCTTGCACGTTGCCAGCCTCTGCCAGCCTCGTGGACTGGAATACGGAAAAGGAAAGGGACTGTCCGCATTCGGTGCAGACGGAATTCCTAACGATCCGGCCCACGCTGAGAGTTCGAATCCCTCGAGGGACCCGGTTTACCAGGTCAGGCAAACGGTTCACGGCCATCCAGGCCAAGTCCATCAGCTTCCAGAAGTACCCACTGGGACGGAATCTTTGCTAGACTAATAAATTATTCATATTGACTACTACGTAAAGGAATAAATGGGCAGAGAAGAAAAACATTGGCCAGGTTTAAGTGACATTTGATATGTTTGATATGGTATAAGTGAAAGGGTATTGCAGTAAATAGCCAGTGAAGATCGTGTCAGTCAACTAAGAAAGCCGAAGATGAATGAGTGGATGCAGAGATAAGTAACGAAGGAGAGATTGAAGGATGGAAAGCATAATAAGGAACGAATACGTGGTTATATATATACGCGGGTGCTAAGCTACAGAGAACGGGGCACGGGGAAAGGAAGCGAGGGAGCGACGAGGGTTCGAGAGCGGAAAGCAGAAGACATGTATCCAGACATCTGAGGAGTGTAACTAGCAATGACATACTACTACAGGCCACTTTGGTGGCGATACAACAACGTGTGTTGGAATTTCGCAAACAGAAAGGGAATGGCGACAGCGGACAGTGGCGGAGGTTTCATCAAAGCGGATTGAGGATGGCAATCGGGGTGGGCAAAAATGGCGAGAACGAGTCATCCACTCCGTTGGGACGTCGCCCGGCTGTTGAGCGTCTGCTGACTGCTGTTAGCCTTGGAAGAGAACAGCGGGAACGGCAGCGAATATCGCTTCGTCAACCCTCGAAGCCTCTGGTATGTCTTGCCCTTGGACGAATTCCGCATCAGCGTCTCAACACGCTCCGCGGGGGTCTTGGGAGCATCAACGTTCATCCAGATCGAGGGTATATTTTGGCGGGCCACCGGTGCAGCTAATAGACACCAATATCAAAAAGAGACAGTGGTCAGTGACTAGAAGAGACGTCTGATGGGTGATAAAGGTTTACCTTCTGATTCAGGTTTGGCACCGACTCGCTTAGGCCGGGGGCGAGCAGCGTATTCTTCCATCGAGATGATCTTCGGAGGAACAACTGGCGGCGGTGTCCGTGGAACAACCTGGATCTCGTCGTCCCGGTAATAGTTACTACTCCCAGCGACATTGGAATAAATGAGGGAGTCCATTCTGGGCGGCGGAGACTTGACATACATATCATCCATAGCACTCCCGCTCCATGGATTGGCCGTTGTGCGCCCACTGGTGATATGGGAGTCCAAGCTGGTACGCCTGTTATGTCGGAACTGGATAGCCGAATGCCCGCCGTCGGTAATCGAGGCATTGTCAAAGTGGAGCAGCGCCGACGAAGCGTTGGACGAATGAGAGTGCATTACAGGAGAAGCAAAGTGTAGAGGAAGGCTGGGCACGGGAGGTTGGTCTTCAGTGTCGAATGGAGTCTTCGGGCGCGACCCACTTCGCTTGTGGCCGTTGGCGAACCCGGGTGGAAGGCGGAGGCTGCTTTGAGAGGCGCGGAGGCTTCGTTTCTTTGCAGCGGATACAACTGAGGCGCGGGTAACGGTGGTTTCTCGACTGATGCTCTTGTAGCTTCTCGCGCTTTTTGTACTCCTGGAGCTCTTGATACTGACATTATCCGGAACATCGACGGGCGTTTCGATCCCTTTGGACTGCCGCTTCGGAACTCCGCCGTTGATAATAAGGAGAGGGGAAACTGGCGAATGTGGAGGTAATTGGGGCTGGGATGACCCTAGGTTGAGCTTGTTGCTGCCCGTAGAGGCAGTGGGAGAGATACCACTACTGCCAACACTGACACGATGGTGATGGCCACGTTCAGTAGAGGTGGGGCTAGATGGGATCGGGGGATAGGTGAGGATCGTAGGTGACATAGGGCGGCTATCTGGACCGGGAGTTACATTCACCCTCTCGGCAGTCTCAATGATAGCTTCGTCTTCGTCAGAGTATCCCGCCTGGAGATCGTCCAATTCATGCGCCAACTTCTCCGCTTCGGCCCATGCATCGTCAAGCTCTGCCTCCAGCTGCGCAATTCGCTCTCTGGCTACTGAGAGCTCTGAGGTCCGTCTACCGTAACTTCCATTCAGCTGATAGATTAGGCAAGGGAGTGAAGGGTAAAGTTAGCATGGGACGTAAAGTTTAAGCGAAAGGGAGATCTGGGGCACTTACCTTACGCAGAGCAATCGCCAGAGCGCTGGCCCAATGGTGATCCAGAAGCTTCTTAATTTGCCCGAGCTGATCAGTGATTTTCAATAGCTCTTCCATCAACAGGTCGCATTCAGCAGTTGTCTCGGATATCTGGACTACGAGTTTTGTGGTAGTTGGAATTCCCTCTTCGGTCTCCTTGGCATTTCGAGGTGAAAGAGAGCTGGAAAGCAGAGCTTGAAGTTGCATTGTCCTTCGATGAACCAAGAAGCGATACTTGGCTTGCGTCATGGTCTTTTGCGCTTCAAGGCGCTCGACTTCTGAAGGGAGGACATTATCGAGGATGTCGATGGCGAGAAGTCGGATGTAAGATTCCTTCGCAGATGACCGAATGGCGCGAGATACAATCGCTTGGAGCTCTTTGGAATCGAAAGTCCCTAGAATTAGCATCACAAAGTATATTAGTTAGCTCAAGATCGTATGACTTGGCAGAGCTACTCACAGACGGCAGCTTCCATCGGCAGACCTTTCCATTGCACTGGGGTAGATTCAAACTTGATTGCGGGTGGAGGGGTTAGTTTGGGAGGAGGATTTGCAGCGGCCTTTAGGTTTGTGGTAGATGCTGATGAAAGTGGAGAGGCAACGCGCGGTAGACTGGACGAAAATGACAATGGTGTTGAGCTGCGTGTCACTGTCACATCGGGTTCTGGTTGCCGTTCCTCTTTGGAAAGTTCCTCAGAGGACTCCTGTGTGCCCTGGGCGATGTCTTCAGTGGGCAATTCAGGTGTTTCAGTGATGGGTTCAGTGTTAGGTTCTTGAGCAGTTTCAGTGACATCCTGAGCAGCGTCCCCAGAAGTCTCTGAAGTTTCTGCTTGAATTGGGTCCAGACTTGGCTCCCGTGCGGTTACTTCGTCTGCTAACTCTGCAGCTGCTTCCTCCTCAACCTGGACAGTCGGCATTTCGCCTGCATATTCTTCCACCGGCTGCTCTGGTTGTTTAATTTCCTTTTCTTGAGGGTCCTGAGGAATGATAGGTTGGCCATCATCAGAGTTCGGTCCGTCAGTAGCTTCGTCCACAGGAACCGATGGCGGAGGAGTCGAAGGGGGTAGTGGCCGTTGTGTTGGGTCGATGGGCGCTTCCACGGCGGGAGAATCGGCATCAGGACCTTCATTTATCGTCGTCAGCAATGAAGGTTCAACGACCGAAGCTAGTGGTCCAAATTCTGGTAGGTACAGAGGCGCTGGGTTTGTTGCCGTACTAACTGGCCGCTTTGGGAAGAGACTTGCGGGGGCCGAGGATGAAGTCGGGGACTGTGGGACTGAGGTGGACGCATCTGGGGCGGGGAGGGCTGAGGAACGGTTTCTGGTTCGTGGCCCTAGGGGCGCCTGATTGGGTCTGTTGAGGAACGAGCTCGTTCTGACGATGCTGGCCCGGTTGGCGTAATCTGCCATGATGATTAACTTTGTGGGAACTCGTCGTCAGTCCTGCTGATAACGACGCCCAAGTCCTTGTTCTTTAGGCCGCACGACGAAGGAACTAAACGAGCGGCGGCCAAAAAGAGTTGTCAGAGGAGAGGTCGTGGTCGCTGTGCACGATGATGATGATGTTACGTTGCATCTTGTAATCAATTTTCGGCGCCGGTGTCCACTGTCAGTGGCGGTTACCAAGGCTTGTTGGCGCTCAGAACTAGCACTTCCACCCGAGACTCTTCCAGCGACACCCTCCGATAACGAAGGAAACCGCGACGACGACCTCAGCATTGGCTTGCGCGTCCCGGGCGACGAACAGCAGCTTTTACTCCATCCATCTCGTTTTCTCAGCATCACGGCATCCCGACATTTATGCAGAGCTTCTTGTCGAGGAAAAGTGTTTTCATTTGCAGTGTGTGAACTGAGCCGCTTCCCTCGCACCAGTCATGACCACATGTTACACCGAAATATCTTTAATCTATGGTGGTTTGCGCTGGATCTACCCTATTCGTAATCCTTTCATGCGTCTTCTCGCGGGCATGACCTCGCCTAGGCAAGCGCGTTTATCGCACTGACTTGATCCTGTGGAAACTAGTGACTATTTCCAGTCATTCTCCCCACCGTTTGACCGCTATCCTCCAAGGGATACCTCCTTGTGGGATTTTCCCCAGGCGCCATGCTGCCAGCTGGCCATGGCCCGGAGGCTTTGGTCTTGGGTACAAAATGCGGGGTACGGTTTCCCGGGGAAACGTAGTCTCGACTGTCCACTTCGTGCCTTCCCCGCAACAGTCAAGACTGCCCCAGACCATGGAGAAAAAGCAGAGTGTCGAGCTAATGGAGAAGGCTAGCGTCGAGAGCCCATCCAACGATGCAAACTACGAGATCGATCCCGAGGCTGAGCGGAAACTTGTCCGGAAGTTGGACTGGATTTTGCTTCCCTTGTTCACCTTGATTTGTGAGTGCCTCCTGTCCTTCTACTGAGGAAATGTTTGTTGACCGGCCTGGGTCCAAGATGTCTGCAATTTCATTGATAGAACAGCAATTGGTAACTCCATCTAGTTCAGCCTTTTATTGGCACAGCGAGACTAAGAGCACTCTCCAAACAGGCAATGGACGTGTTGCAGGTGTGCCAGAACCCCTCGGTATCTCATCCATGAACTCAAAAAATTCCCGCTTGGTGAACAGGACTCGAGAAAGACCTCGGAATGGAGGGATACGACTTTAACGTTGCGATGACCGTTTTCTACGTCTTCGTCAGTAACCCGAATTTGACGTTTTCCTCCCATCTCAAAATCTGACTTGACACCTTGGCCTTGGCGTACTCAGTACATCGTCGCAGACATCCCCTCGAATCTCATTCTCAAACGTTACGGCTCCACTTGGCTCGCAATCCTCGTTATCGGCTTCGGTGTGGTCGCCCTTGGGTCAGCATTCGTAACATCCTACCAAGGTCTCATCGTCACTCGAGTTTTCCTCGGATTGACTGAGGGCGGGACCCTTGTACGTACCACGAGCCCTTCTTTAATCGCATTCATGTGCCTAACGGCGATCTTTCATTGATTCGCTTCAAACTTTAACATTTGTGCAGCCTGGCCTTGTGTATATTCTTGCTCGGGTATGTCTTCTCATACCTTCTACTCCGTGGAGAATGCAGAGCTCAACGCCCATTGCAGTATTACAGAAGGAAGGAACTCGTTCTGAGGATTGGTATTTTCTTCGGGTTGTCCCCCAGTCTTGCTGGCGCCTGTGAGTGACTGGGTATTTCCGACATTCTTCTGGAAGCGACTCACAAGTTCCCCTTCTCCAGTCGGTGGTCTCTTGGCATCGGGCCTTCTGCGCGTAAAAGATATCGGTATGATCACCAGATGGCGAAAGGTCAGTCTCCACTGCTCTGATTCTCCATGGCCATCGAACACCTCTGACAAACCCTTCTCTACGCACATCTCTTCCTCACTGCGCTTGGCATTCAAAACGCAGATCTTCCTGGTCGAAGGCAAGTATCTAGACATGCAGCACCCTCGCTAGCTTCTCATCTTTGTCCCTTTTGGATATCTAGGCATCATAACCACAGTCATCGGAATCATCCTCCTCTTCACGATTCCAGGCGACCCAAGCACCACGCGCATGCTCACAGAAGAAGAGAGGAAATTGGCCATCGCGAGGCTGGATGCGGACCAGGCTGTCAAGAACCAAGGACGTAAAGAGAAGACGACATTGAAACTCGTTATGCGTTCCTTCAATTTGACGGTACGTATGGATGCTCTTACTTGCTTTATCCTTTCCTCTCCGCGGGCTCAACGATTTATTGATGCGCGTAGACGATCGTGTGCACACTGTGCTTTATGATGTTGAACCTCTCTTTCCAAGGACTTAGCGTCTTCTTGCCTACCATCATCAATTCTCGTGAGTGCCCTTTCCGACCCCATTTTCCCCTTCGTTGACCAAATCCATTGCAACCAGTTGGCAAGTTCAGTACGTACACCATCCATCACGAATATTCCACATAATTAATCCCCACGGAATCACAGGCACGATTCAAGTCCAACTTCGAACTGTCCCACCCTACCTCGTCAGTGCCCTCTGGTCCGTCATTAATGCCTACGCAAGTTTCCGCTTCCAAAACCGCTTCATCGCAATCATCTCTTCTGTCGCCTTGATGGTGATTGGGTATGCCATCGCAGTCGGAACGACAGATCCCCACGCACGCTACGCTGCGTGCTTTTTGATGGTTGCCGGTGGAGGACCTAGTGGACCGATGGTATGTACTATGTCATTACATCGGTGGCAGCTTAGCCTGAGCTTGTTTCTGATACGGTTTGGGTCTAGTTCATCACCTGGGGCACAGAGAATGCCGCTCCCGATACTATGCGCGCCGTCGTCAGCGCTACCATCCCTGGAATTGGAGCCCTCGGCGCTGTCGTCTCGTAAGCCTTTCCTTCTTCTCCATGGCTGGCTAAAATAAAGCTCACCACCCTGTCTACTCTAGTGTATGGACATACATCTCCACCGATGCACCCAACTATTACCGCGGGAACTCGGCCAACTTGGGCACCACTACCGCCACCTGTATCATGTCAGCCCTTCTGGCTTTATACCTCCATAGAGAGAACAAGAAGAGGGAGAGGGGAGAAAGGGACCATATATTGGAAGGTAAATCGCAGGAAGAGCTGGAGCAGTTGGGTTGCAGACATCCTGAGTTCCGGTACCAGCTCTGATGTCTCTGTCTCTGGTTTTTGTCCGAGGGGTTTCTTCCATCTGCCCGCGTCTTACTGTTAGACCGATGTCTTCGTTGGTTTTCGTTTGCCATGTATCAATATGTATCTGTATGTACTATAATTGTTTTCCAATCCATTTCCTTGAAAAGGGCCCCTATTTTTATGGCCGCCAAGGAATGATGCGGTGATGGGTGGGAGGCTTGAGAAATTCGCGGCGGCGCGGCTGGTTTCGCGCGTCATCGTCATCGCGCTCACGCTGCACCAAAAAGTTGCCGCCGTCAGGGTTGCTTCCGAGTTCGACGCAGTCCAAGGTCCCGAACCATGCTCGTCGCGTCCGTCTGCCGTCGTACTCCTCCCCTCGCACGCGTTCTCTGCCAGCGACAACAGTTAAACTCGATACTCTCTTCGGCGACGACAACAACGAGGGCAAGCTTCACAACTGGGGCACCTAAATGGCGCAGCTCTATCGTGTTGTTGGTTGAGAAGAGGTGGTTGAGCACGACAGCGGTGCGTAGGCGGTTGGAACGGGAGGAGGACAAGCAGAAACAGTCCACAGGGACACCGGCAAATTCATCGACACCAACAGAACCAGAACCAGAAACGTCCAAACCCTCGATCCGGGAAAATATCTACACAATACCCAACATCCTCACAGTCTCGCGGATAATCTCGTGTCCAATCTTAGGATGGTCAATTCTAGAAGGAAACTACCAAGTTGCAACTGGCTTGCTCGTCTATGCCGGCTTGACTGACCTTGTATGTTCAATTTTTCCCTTCTTCCTCATGTTCCCGATTCACTATGTTCTCCACAAGCACGAGGAGAACAAAGGCTAACAACCGGTTTATCCCCCAAGGTAGACGGATTCCTCGCAAGGAAATACAACATGAGCTCTGTACTCGGAACAGTCCTCGACCCAGCTGCGGACAAGATGCTCATGACGACTTTAGTGGTGACGCTCACCATGCAAGATATGCTTCCTCGTACGGAACCTCGTATATTTTCAAGATAACCCGTGTTAACCGAAATCGCCTGTTGCACAGTACCACTAGCTGTAATCATTCTTGGCCGCGACGTGATACTGAGCTTGTGGGCATTCTGGATACGGTACCAGACGCTTCCATATCCCGTATGCCAACCCTTCAAACCTTGATCAAGAAGAGACTGTAATGCTTTCTATTCTCCCCCAGAAAACTTGGTCAAGATACTGGGACTTTGGACTACCCTCTGCAGAGGTGAAACCAACCACGGTTAGCAAGGTGAGCTTGGCTCCAATGGACATGCTACGGACAACCACCTGAATCATCGTACCATCTAGGTTAATACTGCCCTCCAACTGCTGCTTATGGGGACAACCACCATCAGTCCCCTACTGCCATTCAGCATTGGATTGGGATTGCAGGGACTTCAGTGCGTATTTCGTACCCTTGCCTTCACCCTCCTCTCAACGAAAGTCGTTGCAGATGGACCGTTGCCACCACCACCATCTGGAGCGGTAGCCAATACTTACTCGGTAGCGGAGGCTTCAAAGTCGTCGCCAAACGGTAGTCCTTCCTCTAGACTTCCAGAATCTGCCATAGTTGTACACCGAACCAAGACCAAGGAAAATGCAATAAAAATAAAATACACGACAAATGCTCTAATGCTATGATACACAAAGTAAGTATTACAACTAAAATATTTCAGATTCGAAAACGGCATATGAAAGCGAGATGGTGAAACGATTGATCATGACGAGCCAATTGCTCTTCGACGACGGACGTCCTCGAGAGCGGCGTTGATTGATGCTTTCGCGGTGCGCTCTCTTCTCCATTCTGAACTTCCTTTCCTGTTGGGAATGTTAGAATTGCGCGGCATGAAACGGAAGGTTGACAGTAACGCACTGTGTCCGGTTGACGAAGACGATTAAATGGGCGATGCTCTTCAGCCTGCGGCCGAGTTTAGGTTGTGAGGGTGCAACAGGGAAGCCGATTCGTGCTATTGAAGCATAAATCTTGCGTTCGCTGCGAAAGACAGTGTTAGTTTTTGAAAGGCCGCCCTTAAACATGCTGAAGTACCTCTTCTCGGATCGACCCAGGAGCTCCAGGAGATAATTCTTCTGGTATGCCAAATCCTCCCTGAAGGACGACTCTCTAGTAAATTTGGCTTTCAGATATTTGATCTGCACCATGAGGCCCTTGCACTCTTTATGATGCTTTATCTTCAATGCCGAAATCTGCGCCTCGTCACTAGAGCCAACAGTCAATACGTCACGTCCCCAGTAGTGGAAAAGAGAGCAAGTCACTTACGCTCCAGTGCAAACATGGTTTTCAAACTCTTCCATAGCCCTGGCAAGTTTCCTCTTCTGCGATTCAAGTTGCTCATTCAACAACTTGACTTGAGTTGAGCTCTGCTTTTTAGCTCGTTCTCCTTTAGCCACCTCGTCCTTAAGCTTGAGCTCGAGTCTCTCCTTCTCCGCTTTCAAGCTCTTGAGATCTCGCCCAAAGGCTTCCGCATCTCGTCTAACGCGCCGCAAATCAGCTTCGAGGCTAGCCACCGTCCTGGCTACATCACTCTTCTCAGACGCGATACGCTCCTTTTCTTGCTCAGCCTTTTGCAGTTGTGAAGACCGGGCATCGAGAGCTTGTTTGAGTTCTTCGATCTCGAGCACTTGTAGGTCGAGTTTGTGTCGCCTTTGGTCATGAGAGGTGGAATGCGCAGCATGCTCCTCTCGGAGTCGATTAACGGTCTGCGGGGATATGAGCATTTTTACGGAGGAGAAACACTGAACAGCTTACGTCCGCCAACTCTGAATACCGCTGTTGCAGAGACTTGTGGTCGGTGGCCAAGAGTGAACGCTCTTGACGCAGTTGGGCAATGGTCTCAAGGTTCTCAGCAACCTTTGTCTCCAATAGACGTGCCTTTTGTTCGGCAGTGCTATTCACTGTGGCGAAAGATTAGCTCAAGCCCAAAACTCGGGGTCCGCATGGCTTACGTCGAAGCTCCTTTTCGAGTTCGTGGTTCTCCCGCTTAAGCTTCTGAAGTTGATTTTTGACTTCCTCCATGTCCTGCAAGAGCCATAAGAATAGGGCGTAGTGGGTTACTGTGACACTCACCGATTCAGTCAAGCGAAGGTTTTTCAATACCGCCTTCTTCTCTTTCTCGACATTAGCTTGTTCTGCAGTGATGGCCCGCAATTTAGCGCGCTCGGCGGCGAGCGCATCTTCCAACTCGGCGATAGTTTCCTTAGCCTTTTCAAGCTCCTGTATGGAGCGTCAGATGTAGCAGATAGCGATATGGAAAATTGCGCACTCCATGAACGCTGTCACCGACACGCTTGCTCTCGTTGGCCCTCTTGATTTCAGCCTTCGCATTCCTGATCTGCCCTCCGAGGCGCTTATTATCGGCTTGCAGCTCTTCCATTTCCTCTCGAAGATGTTCGAGACTGGCGTTGGCGGCATACAGTTGCTCTCTGAGAGCCTCCGTAGTCCTGGTCGGGGGAGTAGGGGGCTCAGTAGCAATCGTATCCCTCGAGATGTCCGTCATGCTAACGAGGAGATGAGTCCCGGTCCAAAATCGAAAGCATATACCGCATACCTTTCATCAGCAGTGAGCCTTTGGAAGTCAAGCTTGATGTTACACTTCTTGCATCGAGCTCTCGACAAACGACGCATCTGACGGTCTTCCTTTCTTGAAAGGCGTGCCAACTCGTCTTCGAGCTCGGAGATTCTCGCCCGTGCATCCTCCAGCTTCCTAGTGAGCCCAACAACACCCAGCCCAGCATCCTCAAGTTTGTCGAGCTTGTCGTCGATACTTTCGTTGGCCACTTCGAGCTCATGTTGCAAGCGGTTGATCTCAGCAATCAAGGGTGAGACAGAGGGGTCATGGGCCGTGCTGTTAAGCCACGAGAGCTAACCAGGGGATCAATAATGCACTCGAAATTTAAATAGATGAGCGACTTACATCGCGCAAGGGTGCACCGGGCGTTCGAGGTGCTCGAATCGACATTGACAGAACATGTCGATGGATGGGTGACATCATGCTCGAGTTGGTGACCCGTCCTGGAGTCTGCGTCTCGTTCAGAGTCATTCGGAGAGCCTTGTTGCGTTCCAAAAGCTCCTCCTTCTCCCTCTCCAACAACTCGATCTTCGCATCCTTAGCTTTGTCCAACGCCTTCCGTGCTGGTGACTGGGCAAGAGTTGCCTTTAGGCGGGCAATTTCCTTGTGGGCATCGTCCAGTTCATGCTCCAAAGCCTCGAGTTCCTCTTCGGTAGGACCATTCTCCAGTTTCAAGGATGGTTCGCGAGGCGCATCGGCAAGTTGCTTCCATCGATCACGTTCGCGTTCCAGAGAGGACACCTTGGATTCCAGCTCCGAGATCGTATCGGCATCTTCGGACGCCTTGCTTTCCGCTTGATGCAAGGCTTCCTCAAGTTGGCTGTGGAGATCTTGTGCCCGCTGGTTTTCTTCTTCGAGGTCCTTGATCATCTTGGCCGTGTTTTCTTCTGCGGCGGTCATGGCGTCAATAGTCTCTTGGGCCTGTGCAAGGTCGTGCTCCAGTTTCTCGATTTGTTCAACTGCGATGGTGGCGCCCTCTTCCAGCTCGTTCACATACTCCTTGGTCGCATTCAGCTCGTTCTCCAGTTCAGTCAGTGAGTTCTCCAAAGTCTTGACCTTCTCGTGTTCTTTCTCGAGGGCATCAGTTTGGGAGGCTACCTCCTCTTCGAGGTTCGCAATGACATCCTTGTCCTCCGCCAGTTCCTTCTCCAATTCGTCGATACGGTGGTCAGCTCGGACGACTTCCTCTTCCAATTCCTTGATCTGAGAGTTGGCATTGCGCAAATCGCCCATGACCTGCGTGACACGCTCATTGGCCTCTTTCAAAGCTCCTCCAAGGTCCTTTCCGTTCTCCAGCAAACGCTCCGCCTTGTCAGCTCGCTCGGTCGCCTCGTCCAGCTCCCCTCGCAGCGCCTCCATCTCCCTCTCCGCCTCCTTGAGCTGCTGCGAAGTTCGCTCTTCGGTGGCTTCAACCTTGTTCTGCGCAGCACTGAGCCTCTTCTCCAGGTCGGCCAGGATCTTGGCAACACCATCTTCCGCCTCCTTCATCCTTTCCTCCCATCTCTCCTTGTCCCTCTGTCTTTCCTCTCTCTCCTTTTCCAGCTCCTTCTCGACTTCTTCCTTCTCCTCCAGATACTTCTCCGCTTCCCCCTTTAATCCCTCCACCATCTCCTCGAGCTCCGCCTTCTCCTCCAACCAAGACTCCGCCATATCCTCTTGAACGTGGTCCAATGTGCCACCCGCACTCACGCGACGACTTGCCCCGCTGAATCTTCGATTGCTCTCCATAGACAACTCCTCCCTGTCGGCACTGGGACTTCCCTTCTCCTCCTCGACCTTCCTAAGGCGAGCCAAGAGAGCCTCATTCTCTTCCTGCAGTTTTCGATTGAGACTGTGAAGGTAATTGTTAAGCTTCCCCGCATTGAAGCGACCGACACCGTGGCCTTGAGCTGCAGTCCCAAAGCCCATAGCTGGGTCGAAGGAGGTGTTGACTCGATGATGGGTCGTCAAATCGTGCGAAGAGGCCGTTGATACGAACGAAGCCTTGTCGTTGAGACCATCGTACGGTGAGTTCACAGCTTGGGGGGTACCCCATCGTCGAATGGCAGACGGCGGGCCCGCCGCCGATTGAGACTCTGAGTCTGAAGTGTGAGGCGAGTCCGCGGTGATAGTCTGGGAGAGAGGATGGGAAATCCTCCTTGCGTTCCCAATTGGGGCTCTCGGGCGAGGGGTCAATCCTGCAAAGGCAGCCCGAAGGGCAGGGCCGCCCGATGCAGTACTCGCTGACCCTGACTCTTCCACTTCTGCTCTGGGAGTGGACTCGGCTATGCTCGGTGTAGCTGGCACGAAGCGATTTGGATGAGGAGTACCCGTCTTCATACGAGGTCGGGAGCTCGAGTTGACAATGGACAAGAGGAACGAACGGCGACGTGTCGCAGGCGTTGTGAGGTCGTCATCTTCGGCGATGCTCCTTGGTGCGGGTGTCTGGAGAAGGTCGGATGGAGGTGGCGGCAAGTCAAATCGTGCGCGCGCCCTTGGGAAGGCAGGAGTGGGCGTCATCGCTATGGATGCGCCTCCGGGGGAAGAGGCCGCATTAGAAACTACTCCGGGCGAACGACCCACGGGCACGATGGTTCGATTGCTATTGGCGTAGGAGGCTGGCTCACTTTCCGATGAGAATGTAGGTTCTCTATAATCGTCGCCGTCAGCCGCACTGCTCTGGACTTCGTACTGTTCCTCTTGGTGCTCGTGTTCTTGTCCACTTTCCTCGTCGTAATCGTGCTCTGCGTCAACCCGGTCTACCTGTGGCGAGATGTGCACGTCCGTGATGTCCATCGATCGCACTCCCGTCTCGTTGGATTCCTCACTATGGCTTTCGTCATGGTCGACGGGTGCGGAAGCGCTAGTTCTGCTCTGAGGTCGTTGAACGGGCGACCCATGCGTTGATCGAGGAATGTGCATCGCCGGGAGAGGGGATCCATGGTCGGACCAAGTTACTGACTTGCTACTCTTCGGAGTGGACGCTGCGGGAGATGATGCGGACGAATCCGTGGTGCGCGACAGGGATGGTGTTCGGGTCCTCGCTGCCGTCCTGCGTAGCCCAACATTCCGATACTTGTCAAAGGGCGAGGCCTAAGCGCCAAAGGTAAGTCGTGTTTCTCGGAGATTCATTGGCCTACACGCACCTTGGGCTCTGACTTCAGACTAACAGAATAATCATAATGCTTCTGGGGCGTAGCACTCTTGCTAACGATAGGAAGTGGCGGAGGACTGTCTCTGCTGACAGATTCTAGCGCATCCATAAGCGAGAGATCCCTGTCTTCTCCGTCTTCTGATGGAACGTAGACCTCCGGTTCACTAGCTTTGCTTCGGTGACCGTCTTTCTTTCCTTCGTCTTCATCGTGATCGTCGTCCATAGACATGTCACTGAGAACATTCCGATGCTTGGAGATGTTAGATAGAGAGGGGATATCTGTAATGTCGAAGAAGCTATCCTTCTTCTTGTTGCTGAGGGTGGTCGGTCCCACTGATGACTTGGCGGACCTCGCGCCAATTGAGTTAGAAAAACGGGCTGTATTCGAGCTGTTGAATGCTGGTCGAATGGTCGATGCATAATGTGAGGATGCTGCTGGCGTCGAGTGTTTGGGCGATGGGTAGTCGTCGAATGAGCTATCCAAGGCGTCATCTGAATCGGTATGGCTTGGTGTCATACCCTCGTCCGCGGAATCGTCGAAAGGCGGGAGCGAGGGTAACGAAGGCATTTCCCTGTCTTGAACAGCTTCTATTCTGCGCAATATGCGCGAAGGCGTCTCCAAATATGTCGCCATGGCGGGCGACGTCGAGTTTTGTTCGAGCTCGATGTGGACAACGGCGACGGCAGTGGTAGAAGACAACAACCGACTCACGGCAAACGCGTGCGGCGTTCAACGATGGAATGACACGTGATCGCGCCTCGCGTCATGAGCCCGCCGTTTGTGGCTGTGTCCCGCTGCTTGGTTTTGCCCCTATGTATCGAGCGCGTGTGTTGCCTCTGTCGGTGATGGTCTGCGATCGCGACAATGGCAACCCCAAATCTTCCCTTCGTTCCGCCATCGACTAAGCGTCACAGGACATCGTCTCAATCATCTGGACTATCGTCAGACTCGGGAACCAACGTTGCATTCAAGTCGACCAGGATCTCGTCGTCTCCACCCGATGGTCAAGCGATTTCTCAATCTGAAGCCACGGCAGTTGGCCGAGCAGCAAACCGACGTCTGATATGTACCCTGCCGCCGACATGTAACAGGAAACCGACACCTCTTGCGAATACAAAGGAACTGGAATCTCATTATGCGACATACCATGCACATGTGTGTGAACAGCCTGGATGTGGGTGCGTATTTCCAGAAGCTCGTCTTCTGGAGCTGGTGAGTGCATGGCTATTACGACGCTGCACGCTTGCTTAATTATCTTGCCTCAGCACCAAACAGAGAATCATGACCCCCTGGCAGCCCTTCGAAAGGATCGAGGAGAGAAAATCGTGTGTTCACTCATCGCTCAAACCGTTTTATGCATTGACCATTGGCCTCCAGTTCGCATGTCATCTAGCATCGTGCCCCCGCACATTTGCAACACCCAAAGCTCGGCGACTGCATCTCATCTCATCACACGGTTACCCAAAGGAATACTTCTTCGCTGTCACCAACAAAGGTGTCGGTGGTCTTCTCAAGAAATGGGGTGAGGGTGCAAGCATGATCAGAGGCAAATGGAAACCCAGAGATGGAGCGGATAAACCTACCAGCAGAGGATCTGGCAAATCTTACCTCTCCAATAAAGCGATGGATGTGGATCCCAACACCTATCGAGATACAATGGATGTCGACAGCGATGACTCTGATGATGACGATGACGATGAAAGCTCTTCGGAAGACGAGACTATGACAAGGGAAAAGCAACCTGGTAGTCGAATGGTGCTAGACCCCGAAGCCACCCCGCGACTGCCCCTCGCATCTAAACCGTTGCCGGCGGGGACGCCCCCTACTACCTCGTCGCCGCTTCAACCAGTAGACCCAGCGGACGCTCTCACTTCAGGGTTCTCTTCCCTTTCCCTTGTTCCACCCGCTGTCAGGTTCGGTCGAGGTGGTCGCAACACTGGTTTCGCTGCGAGGATTGATAAACCAACTGCTCCGACCCCCGAGCAACCTCTGGACGCCGGGACCCAGATGAGTAGCAATCATCTTGCGGCAGCTCAGCGCGGCCGTGGAGGAGGCAAGGCTAACACCCATAACACTTCGACTGCCCACGAGATCGCGCCCGTTCAGTCGCAAGCTGTACCTGACCGAATGCGAACTCGGGGGAGGGGTCGCGGCATCGGAAGGGGACGAGGATATTGATGAATGACCGTACGTACGATAACCCAATTGATCAGCATACACCATTGTATTTGTAGCCCAACCCGACCTTGCACGCAGCGATTTTGTATATACATAACCAACAGATACGCGATCTGTATCACCACGACCAACACTTCTTCATTTCTCCCTGGATGAAGCTGATGGTTTCATTGAAGTCATCCGAAAGGGAAGGAATGGCTTCTTACTATCCCTGTAATGTCCATGTACCACTGATGCCCGAGAGTATGGGTGGATTCAGAGCTGTTGGCTCTCCAGCCGTGGATGTCGGACCCTGGAATCTGAGGAGATTTCACCAAAGCTTTCAGTACTTGCTCAAGCATCCACCCCCTCCCATAACTCACGAGACATAAGTGAATTATGGGACAAAAGACGACAGGCCATCATATAACTTCCAGCAATGCAAAACTGTAACGGTTCGAAAAGACTTCCTGTGAGTGTGGTTAACGACTTTAGGCGCCAAACTAAGCGCCCGCTTTCCGAGGGGCCAATGCAAGTTCCTGTGGAAAAAGAATCGATGATCGATGAAGGGTATCGTAATATGTACAAGATTAAATACTCTATTAAAGCTTTAAGCCTCTATGTTTGAACTACTGTTGCTCTACCCACTATCCTCCGTCCCAGGGGGAAAAGCTATGTGCAAGGGAGACCACGATCCGCCACCACCCCAACTGTTGAAGAACAGATGATTTGGTTGTGGAAGGGACAGCTGGGTCGGGGTAGACAAGAAGCTACTAGAGCCAAGGTTGTAAATGTACCCGCCATCGTCATCGGCAGGGGAGAGAAGCACGAACCGCCTGGGTAGGTCGTTAACCTTGATAACTCCCGGCTGCAGTCTGTCAGGTAATTTGAGGGTAAAGTCTCTTGATAGACCTGCTTTCCCCAAGGACCCACCGATCGCCATATGAATTTCGTCAAGCCATGTATCGTAAGAGGCATGGTCCGGAGGAAGGCAGCGGCTCTGATAGCAAGGGTCACAGTCCCATCTGAATCGTTCGAGGGAGGGAAGGCAAAAGAATTTTAGTATGGCCTTGTGGTCGAAGGGCCCTTCGATGTCAATGAATCGGGCAGACGGGATCGTCCCCACAATCACGCCCACCGCTGAATCGGTGAGCATTTTGTTCAACAGGAACGTTTTCAGTTCGAGGTGAGTTAGACAGGGGTAGAAGGTGGTCGAGAAGACGAGGGCAACGACGTCGGGGCTAGATTTCAGGTGGAGCTTCGTCAGGTCAGGGAACTGATGCAGTCGGTTGGGCATCCAGAAGGACTGGTCGCGATCCCTCAAGAAGAGTTCGAGGCGCAATTCGTTGAGATTCGGGGAGCTGGAAGAAAGGTCCCCCAGCCACGCAACCAACTTCGAGCGACTTTCGAAGGAGAGGTAATGGATGTCAAGGTGGCGTAGATTCTTGAGGAAGGGCCCCGGGTGGCGAAGAGGCACGGGAAAAACGTCGTAAGAGGTAAATGGGGCGACAACTATTGACTGGGGGAGCGATCCTTCTTCCGACAGGCGATGGAATGCGACCTTGTTAAACGCTTCGTCTTTGGGTCTGCTCTGACAATGAGCAAACACGACATTCTGGATTGGTGAGCGAGAAACGAGGTCAAAGCTGCCAGCATCACGGTAACATTTGTATGAAATGATGAGCGTGTGCAGCGCGGGGGCGATAGAGGGTATCCCATGTCGGAAGAGGAGGTCGAGGACGGCAGGGGAGACGGACTTGGTGATGTAGTCATCGCCGCCAATGACGACTTCACGGATGCGGGGAGCGTAGAATAAGAGCCTGTCCAATGCTGACGCAGAAACGGCGACGCCTTCCCAGTCTCGCCTTAGTCTCTAACGGAAAGATGTCATTAATAACAAAAACTCAAGTGTGCCAACAAAGAGCGGACTTACATAGGCATCCCTTTCGATGACGAACAGCGGCAAGAGGAGGACGAGGGGCCTCAAGGACGGAATACACCTCCACACGATATTCATGGCAGGGTCGCAGAATGCCTTGCTAACAAAGGCGTAGGACACCATTTCTGCCCTGAAAGCGTCCCAGTTGGGATCGTCCCAGACCCGCTTCACAGCTAAGGTGAGCTCCATCTGTTGAAGGATGAGCCCAACGAGGTCAGAGTTGGACAAGACGATTCGGGCAGCGGTGACGGGGCTTGCAAGCCAGCGTTCCAGCGTCCTTCGCCTCTTCGCTGCCCGGAGGGAGAAAGGATTGGGCGGGTCGGACATCTTGAACGCTGGATCTGTGGAGGTGGAAGGCCAGGTGCAGCCTGAGGATACGCGTCCGTTGCAGGGTCTTAAAAGAAGAGTCGGAGGCCAACCAACAAAGACTGTGCGGTGGCATCAGAGTCGGTGCTTCAAAAAGAACGCCGGGGACCTCGAGGCCCTAGCCAAGTCAGGGCCCGCCCAATAAGGTTTCCATAAATTTTATGGTGCGAACGACCATCGGTTAGGGCGGGCACGTTTTCAATGAAACCCTTTAAGTATCCGTCGCAGCGAAGGAGAGAGACAAACTGCCTGAACGCGACTGTGATCCAGTTTGATCGCATCATTCATCCAGATCCTCAGGAACTCTTTGAAATGGGACGAAGCAGAACGTTCTCTTTACACACCAGCATGTGTAGCTATACATTCAAATTCCTGGCTAAGAAAACCACATTGAAGTAACTACAACGGGATTCATCCTCTCCAGACAGCCTGAGGCAATCGAACTAAGTCGAGAAACAGGGAAATGAGCTCCAGATGTACTCACCGGGCCTGGCTGGATGTACTCCTTTGGAATGGGATTGTGGATATTGATGAGGATACCTGGCTCCTACGTAAATCGAACGAGGAGGACATGCTCTCAGCAAATAACCATCCACAGATCCTGAATATTCTACTCACCCTGCCATTGTATACCCCGGGAATAGCCACCAAAGGACCAGGTTGAGCGGTCGAGTTGTTCGCCTCTTCACTTTCGAGAATGTTTATCTGTGCACAGCTGAGAAAGAATTGGGCTGTGGGCTGTGGTTTCAGCTCGCCCTCCGAGTTGTCAAGATTGGGATTACATACCACCCCCGAAGTTCATGGCGTAGTGAATGGCGATATTCTCCATCCGAACAAGATACTGACCGGGCGGGAGAGAAGGAGGAAGGGTAAAATCGATGCTTTGGACGTCAGTGGATGTCAAGACGAGAGTGTATGTTGGAAAAGAATAGGCAATACCTTTCGAGGGGAACCAGACATAGTTGCCCCCATCAGTTTCCATTGGGATTTCATGAACCTAGGTATGCTCAGCCACCACATGTGGTATTCAACGCTTATCGCGTACTTTGAACCAGACTTGGCCATCTCCATCCCATTCCCGAACGTCTATGCCCTTGGGAGCCTCCGCCATGTACACGTTTGTCACCTGTACCCGACCCCCAGCTGATCAGCCCTGTACCGCAAAACCCGTCACATTCGCGCCTTACACTGTGGTGGAAAATATACTGCATCCCTCCGTCACCTGCTCCGAACCCAATCTCGGAGCCGGGTGGAACATCATAGGTTTGCACAATTTCACTGTGATTTCGCTTGGAGTCGAAGCACCTCAAATTCGGGTCATTTACATCTTCAACCTGAAAACGTATACTCTGGTGAGCCTTATGAAACCTCCTCAAGGTTACAGAGATAATCGAACAGGATAAAACCCTTCGCGATGATTATCCGTACGTCTGACGTACTGCCAGTCCCCGGTGGGGACCCCGTTCACCCGGAGAACAGGGAAGGTATCTTTGAATAGTGACAGCTGTTGAGTTAGATCCTCGAGTGTACAAAGTCGGAATCACGTACAGTGCGCCCAGGCGGATGCGACCCATAGAGCAGAGACAAAGAGCAACGTCCGCATAACAGAAACCACCTCGCTGAGGTCAATGAGGAATGTGACGGAACAGCTCCTTTTTCATACCGCCAAACGGCGGAAATTACACGACCCCAGGTGAACATATGAAACAAGAGAGTCTCGTTAGAAGCAACATGATCCCGACGATACTGCGATGCTCATCCATGCGTTTCGGTGAGCAATATAGAAGTCGATATGGAGGTCAATTCTTTTTGACGTAATTCGAAGACACGAGGGTTCTTGTCGATCACAGACACATGCGATGTCGAATGAAGTATGAGGCATATGAGAGAGAAGGATCGGAAAGACCTCCATAATGACAGGGACCCCATTCGTTCGAAGGGATATTGTGCGGCAAGGCGAAGCAGCGGAATGACCTACTCCGTCACCATAAGTATATATAATGGATGCTAGATAGACGGCACGATTAATCTGAAGTGTTCGTGCGAGGCGACATCCGTTATAAAGGCGGGGGTCCTGGAGGGGGAGGCGCCTGGGTCGGGGGTGGAGGAGGCCCTGTTGATGGTGGAGCTGGTGCCGACGACGATGAACCTGAAGCCGCCGATGCTTGGGAGTAATATTGTTGGTACTGCTGGGCCATCCACTCCTTGAACTGAGGCGAATTGACGTCGTATCCGTACGCAGCCCTATTGGGCGATAAGAGCGAATACATGGCGAGGTAGGTTAATGCAATCAGTCAGTATTCAACCACCAGTAGTACCTTTCAATCGAATGAAGGATGGTGAGTCGAAGAAGAGACACGCACCAGTAAGCAGTGTGTGAAGCAGTCGGGTCCTGGTCTGCACCAGGAGCGGCCGGTGCACCCTCAAGTTGAGGTTGGGTGGGACCACCACTTGGGGGTGGAGGAGGCTGGTCGGTCGGGGGCGGGGGCGCACCTCCTGGGGAAGCACCTGGCACCTGCGCTGCAACACCAGGATATCCCTTTTCGAATAGGTAAGATACACGTCAGGTGAATCGCTTCAGACAACGCACCATGCTGTATGCGGCATATTGCATCTGTACAGAGTGCAACTCGGCTTGCTCCTGCTGGATGCGAGCAAGTTGCTTGGCATGTTCGGATTGGACAACGAGCACGAGATCTTCAGCTAGAACTTTAGCGCGGCGAACCTGGCCCTCGTCTGGCCCTCTTCACGACAATATGAGCCTCAAACTGTCAATAGTTTAACAAAGACGTACGTTATATGAATGTACAACGGTTCTTCGCCTTCTCTGCCTGTCTCTTGATCAATAAATCCAGAACCAGCGCCCTTGATCTGAACACGAGCCCCGGTTTCTTGTTGAATGTATTTCACGAACGAGCCCTGGAGGTCCGTGAGCTGTACGCCCTGTTGAAACATACAATTCGGAACTTACACTTGGCCCAACTACTTTGGCTCTCACGTTGAAGTTTCGGATCGACTCGAGACCTATTGGCAGTTTGTCTTCAGGCCATTTCCGCTTGAGGGTGGCAGCAGGAGCGCAACAACATTGATGTGAAAAAGAACGTCAGCGCGCAGGATAGTTAGAGAATGTGAACTTGACCATTACCTTCTCCCTTCTCTTATCTTCGACGACCAGAGATCCCAAATCTATTGTCATCAGTTCGTTAATCTTGTCGACGGCTTTCCGCAAGACTTCTGCTGTTGAGGCGGTAACATGGAGATACAGGGGAGGGTCTTTGTCGGTGGCCTTGCTTCTGTCAGGATACCACACGCCTTTCGTGCTCACCACAGCCCCTCCAGATTCCTCTTTAATCTACGAAACAAATGAGCTCAGAGTCGAACGGGATAGAAACAATGGCTCACCTGTTGCTGGGTGGTGCCCTTGGTCAACATGTACCTATTCCTAACATCGTTGATATCAATATCCTTCACAAATTGGTGCTCTGGGTTTCCTCCGTCCATGCCCCCTGCAGCAAATTGGGCAGCGATTTTGGCCGCAATTGCAGCTGCCTGTGCGGCTGCCTCTGAGGCTGGGTCTAATTTCTTGGAGGTGCCTTCCGGGGGCGGTGACGGCTTTTCCTTAGATCTTTCTGCAGCTGGCTGATCCCATTTTGACTTTGAATCGGTGGACATTGTAGGCGAATGAGTTTGTCGAGTTGGACGTCCAAGAGAAAGAAAACAACCAACCAGTTTACAGCTTACTATATAGAAGCTTCTGATCCAAACATGGCACGCTGATCGGGCGCTAAATTAGGCCCGCTGAGCTTCATCGACCCTGATGTTCTCTGGGAGTACAGTACTAGCTTTCCCTGCCCATGGTATACCGGGAGACCCAACTCTTTGTTCTGCTGTATCCCAACATCATGCATGCTTTGGAACTATCGCCGGAAACCAATCGTAAGGAACAGCTAGTACAGGCACCTTGACAGCACAATGTATCCATCCCAATTCCAGATGGATGAGTGGCTTCCACCAACATTGGGATCCGGAGTAGAAAGAGTCTGATGAATACACTGCGATTCGCGTTTCACGTGCTTCACTGAAATATCGGGGTCGGTGGCCCTGTAGGCAGTACCAATGTATCCTTAATCTGGACGTAAGTTACATGCTTTTCCGCTAGTCTCGACGACACGGAGAGCTATACTCACTTCCCTTTATGGGTTTATTGTATCCCCTCTTTCGTCAATCAGGTCCTTCGTCATTAAGAGAGAAGGATCAGAAAAGCCTCCAAGTTGATTCCGAGATGACAGAGACCCATTCGTTCAAAGGGATACTATTCGGCAAGGCGAAACAACGGAATGACCTACTTCTTCATGAGAAGTATAAACTAACATGGATTCAAGATAGATCAGCAACGACAAGAGAGCAGAAAATAATGAAAACGATTCCCAATTGATTTGGAGTGTTCGTGCAGGGCGACATTCGTTATGAAGGTGGGGGTCCTGGAGGGGGAGGTGCTTGGGTCGGGGGTGGAGGAGGCGCTGATGAAGCGGCTGTTGGTTGAGTGGCACCTGCTTGGGCGTAATATTGTTGGTACTGCTGGGCCATCCACTCCTTAAACTGAGGCGAATTGACGTCGTATCCGTACGCAGCCCTATTGAGCGATACGCGCGAATGCATGAAGAGGTAGGAAGATCACGAGGAGGACGTGCGAGATTAATGGGGGTGCAATCAGTCAGTATCAAATCACCAGTAGTACTTCCCAATCGAATGCAAAATGGTGAGTCGATATTTGGAAGAAGAGTTACGCACCAGTATGCAGTGTATGCAGCAGTCGGGTCCTGGCCTGCACCAGGAGCAGCTGGTGCACTGTCAAATTGAGATTGGGTCGGACCTCCGCCTGGGGGTGGAGGAGGCTGGTCGCCTGGGGGCGGGGGCGCACCTCCCGGGGAAGCCCCTGGCACCTGCGCTGCAACGCCAGGATATCCCTTTTGGAATAGGTAAGAAACAAGTTAGGTGAATCGCTTCAGACAACGCACCATGCTGTATGCGGCATATTGCATCTGAACAGCGTGCAGCTCGGCTTGCTCCTGCTGGATGCGAGCAAGTTGCTTGGCGTGTTCGGAGCGGACAACGAGCAAGAGATCTTCGGCTAGAACTTTAGCGCGGCCAACTTGGCCCTCGTCTGGCCCTCTTCACGACAATATGAGCTTCAATCTGTTAATAGTTTAACAAGGACGTACGTTATATGAATGTACAACGGTTCTTCGCCTTCTCTGCCTGTCTCTTGATCAATAAATCCAGAACCAGCGCCCTTGATCTGAACACGAGCCCCGGTTTCTTGTTGAATGTATTTCACGAACGAGCCCTGGAGGTCCGTGAGCTGTACGCCCTGTTGAAACATACAATTCGGAACTTACACTTGGCCCAACTACTTTGGCTCTCACGTTGAAGTTTCGGATCGACTCGAGACCTACTGGTAGTTTTTCTTCTGGCCATTTCCGCTAGAAGGTGGTAAGGCACGATAGCAAGAGCGAGATAACATTCATGTGGGTGAAAACGTCAGCATACCCACCAAGGCGCAGGATGATTAGAAGATAGGAACTTAGCCATTACCTTCTCCCTTCTCTTGTCTTCGACCAGAGATCCCAAGTCAACTGTCATCAGTTCATTAATCTTGTCGATGGCTTTCTGCAAGACTTCTGCTGTTGGGGCAGTGACATGGAGATACAAGGGAGGGTCTTTCTCGGTAGCCTTGCTTCTGTCAGGATACCACACGCCTTTCGTGCTCACCACAGCCCCTCCAGATTCCTCTTTAATCTACGAAACAAATGAGCTCAGAGTCGAACGGGATAGAAACAATGGCTCACCTGTTGCTGGGTGGTGCCCTTGGTCAACATATACCTATTCCTAACATCGTTGATATCAATGTCCTTCACAAATGGGTGCTCAGCGTTTCCTCCGTCCATGCCCCCTGCAGCAAATTGGGCAGCGATTTTGGCCGCAATTGCAGCTGCCTGTGCCGCTGCTTCTGCTGGGTCTAGTTTCTTCGCGGTGCCTTCCGGGGGTGGTGGCGACTTTTCGGCAGGCTTTTCTGGAGCTGCTTGATCCCATTTTGACTTTGAATCGGTGGACATTGTAGGCGAATGAGTTTGTCGAGTTGGACGAAAGAAAAGGAAACAGGCAGGGGTCGGTCCCGATCCGGCTTACTAGAAGCTTCTGATCCAAACATGGCACGCTGATCGGGCGCTAAATTGAGCCCCTCTGCTGGCTTCAGGCCTCGTCGCTTCGCTTCGTGGACCCTGAGTGTATCACAGTTCTCTGTAAGTACAGTACTGATTTTTCCTGCCCATATAATTGTTTAAACAAAGCGGATTTTGAGGATTTCTAGCCCGAACTTCTGGGAATCTATTCTTAGCAGAGGACGCCACGTGGTTGGATTGGGAATGATTTTGATGGGCGGACCTGGACAGGAATTCACCCGCAGAGCGGGGCTGAACAGTAAACCAGATATACAGCCGTGGAGGATTCTCGCTGCTTTCTTCCTGTCGTCCCATGAACCCGCCTCTCCTTCTGCGGGTACTACTTGCAGGCAGCCACCAACACCCAAAGTGACGCTACAATCACACAAAACGGGACAAAACTTGATGGCGAAACCGGTGTCCAAGCTTTTCCTGGACCCAAACCTTGCAACCGCTGTTCTTCTGGGCATTGCGACGCTCTTGTTGCTTCTGATATCCTTATCGGTTCCCGTTGTCCAATCTGGCCAGCTTTTCCGTCTCTTGGCTGTTCTCGACGGCACCAAGAGATATGTTCACTTCGGTTTATGGGGCTATTGCATCCCCTCTTTCATCAAGTAAGTCCTTCGTCATTAATTTCTGTATCGAGCTCCAACCGCTATCTAGAACCCAGCCAAATGTTATTGAAGGCTGCTCCAAGTCCATGTTCGGTATAACAATCGACAGCAATGTCCTTAATGCACTGTACGTGGACCAGCCCCTATCATTTCGGTCTCGGAAGGCCGACAACGTCTTACAGGCAAACGAACCCTGCGTTGCGCTCAGTGCTCAACAAGCACCTCACTTCATCCTTTATTATGTATCCAATCGGTACATCCTTCCCCCCAACTCCCCGTTGATAACCCGTACTCACACGACATAGCGACCCTATGACGCTCATCACCTGCGGATTGCATAGCTGCCTCTTCGTCTCCAAGCACCGCTCAACGTTTTGGCCTGATGCTCGTCGCAGCAAGACTCTTACCCGCATCTTCACACTCTCTTCATCGCGGCATTCGTCGCCATCGTCGCCACGGCCCTCCAAATCACCGTAGTAGGCAAAGCCAAACTCAAGGTTACCTCCATCCGCGAGAGTTATGGCAATATCTACCTGGAGTGGGGTAACCTCGTAAGTTCTCACTCTCTCGAATCTTCGGAGAAACACCCATTCACTACTTCCGCGCCCTGCACATTTGCTTCAACCTCCCTTGACCAATACTTTCATTAGCTATGGTTGACCGTTGTGGCCACCGTGATCCATTTCATCAACCTCGTCAACCTCTTTACCATGCGCCTCCGACTCGCTCGAATCAAACTGGAGAAACGCAGAGCCCGGCGAAGAAAACACCATCAACACCTCAGAATCAATGATGTCAGCGAGAAGGAGCTCATAAATCCTCCTTTACCTGCCTGTCTCCTCCCACCACCGCGCACAAACCGCTCCCCGACAAGTCCACTGGGGACATCTCTCCCTCCAGCACCACCATAATCGGAGATTCCTCAACACCACACTAAATTATTCACTAATGTCTACCTGACCTATGTCAATATCGGACCTGAACCACCAACCTATCGTGTATTTGTACGTGGAGTCTCCATCTCCAAAGATATTTCAGCTGCAGCACCAAAAGGCATCACACAAACGTCTATCAGGTGCTCACCACCATGCATTCAATTACCCTGGACGTCGCCATTCCCCTACCCACCCATTCATCCCCCCTTCACATGCCATCCAGCCCATTCAATGCACTTGAATTGTGCGAGCGTGCTATCCATCAAGACCCGTCACCATCTCACAAGAACTCGTACTCACAACTCAGAATCAATGTTCCTCCCACGTCTCACTTTGACAGTTCGTCCTTCGACGATCCCACCCGAACAGAAACCCCGAAAACACAGGCCACCTGCCGTCAAAGATCCCCCGCAGTCCCCCGCCACAACACCCCACGCCAGACGTCAACATCAATAGGCACCGTTCCCGCGAACTTGTAGCAGCAATAACCAAACCAAAGTTCACGTTCAAAGACGAACACGGCCAGTACTTACACGATGATGGCATGGAATGACAGGATTCAGACACACGCACTGGGAGATACGCACACATTCGATTTATACCCCAATGACACAGCTTGAAGCTTCGTTCGAAGATGACCCCCAGGGGCCAGGTGACCAACCCCTCGTCCTTCTTTGACATGGGATGGGTACATATCGTTTGGTGTCTTTATTTCATCCGCCGACGCCACCTCCTCGCTAGATCTCCTTTGTTCCCGACAGTAGTTTGACCGTCAAACGGGTTTTGAGAGGAGTTGTCGCGTGTCGAGTGTCGCGGGTATCATATGTTTATATTTGGAGGCTAGGGTACCGGTACTGGGCTGGGGAAACGATAGTCTAGGAGGGGCGACTCGAGACTGGACTGGACTTGCTACTTTTACTCACTGCGGTCTCGTTAAATCTACCTTCTTCGAGCAGAACCACGAGAACTGTTTTTTCAGAATCTTTTATTTGATTAAGAAAAAGATAAAACCAAGAAACCATGCACCGTAACCCAACTACAGATGTAATACAGGAAGTCGAAATCGTACGCAGACCAGGTGAGATACTATGTAGTAGAGAACCAAGAGTACAAGTTCGAGTCTGAGCGAGAACGCAGAGAGAAGTTGGCAGACATGTAAAAGGCGAGATTACAGAGAAGATCGTATGCATGGGTGTGTGTGGCAAAATGACGGGGTGGAATTGTTGTCTTGGTTTGGAAAAGAGAGAAGGAGAGAAGAGAGTAAAATGCGTTTGCAGTTGCGTTGGTTGGATGCGTTGCTTGTATGTAGTGTCGGTTGGTTGGCTGATCGGGTTGACGAAATTGAGAGTGAAGAAAGGAACGGGGGAAGGGTGCGTGGGGGATGGATAGGATGGGCATGGCGGATAGCTGTATACTAGCTTGTACTGCGAAGAAATTACGATGAAGAGGAGAAAAGAAAAGGGTATTCCAATTATTAGGAACGAGGAAAAAAGGTCCAACGTCAAGCATCAACCAAGAAGAAAACCACTCTAATAAATTATAGGGATAAAAAAGCGTCTCTGTCAACCTTCAAAGGAAGCTGAACCACCACTACGTTTGAAAAAAAAAAAAAAAAAGAAAACAAGATCCCAATACAAGAAAGGGAAAGAGGCGATATAAGATAGTAGTAGTAGTAAGCTGAATACGTGCCGTACGATGTCGGTTGGCACTGAAGTAGTTATTACAACACTGGATCCGAAGCCAGTGTAAATTAAGGACACCGCTAGAATTAGGAAACGAAACAAGAGAGGTTCCACAAGAAGACCAAAGCAAGAAGAAGAAACAAGAGAGATGTCGCGAGCTTTCCATCAGTGTTCGTCGTCAACTTCTACCCGCCTTGCGGCGATGCCATTCTATATGCCCTTTGCCACTTTCCACCATTATTACGAGTGATTCCATAACCCAAGGAAAGCCCCTGCACTGTTCACCATCTCCGCCGCCTTGCCCATCAAAGACGAATCTGACGAACCCGACTCTGGCGACCTCTGCAAGGTCGGGCGAGCCTCATTCGTTGGGGAAGTCGCAGAACCAACCACGCTGAGATGGGGTGACGCAGATGGTTTCGGGCTAGCGGGACTGGGACTCGAGACAGCCGTGTACGACGTGCTCTGAGGAGCCGCATGTGACGGAGAAGGAACGAGTGGTGGAGGTCTCGTCTTTGAAGGCGAAGGCGACGTCCGACAAGGCGAGTATGATTTGGCACGGGCTTCGGTTACGATGGGACACACCGGAGTGGGTGCAGGGACGGTAGGCGGCGTAGGCGTCCGGTCGTGGTCATTGCGATCGTGGCGGAGGGCAGGAAGCATTTCCAGGACAGGTGAATTCGAGGGCGTCGGCGTCGATTTGCGGCGCATTTCTTCCTCGGCCAAACGCATATACTCGGCTTCCCGATCAGCTTCCTCTGACACACTGTCAGGATCAGGCATGATAGTACTCGTGGAGGATGCCGAAGAGAAGCAGGCTTCGGTAGGTGGGCGGTGCGTTGAGGAGACCTTGGGTGCTGTCGCCGCGGCATCGTCCTTAGGAGCAGGAACCCGAGGGGGTTCAGGACTACTGCTGACGCTGACACTTAGTCTCTTGTCTGTAGTTTGACTGCGCCCTCGCTCGCGTTCGCGTCCGCCTTCTCTACCCCGCCTGCTGTCTCTATCCCGTTTGTCGACTCTGCCGTTGCCGGTGTATGCGCTTCCGATCCGAGGGGAGATGGAGGCATCGGGAGAAAGGCTGCCCAGGGGACTTGCGCTACTATCCCATGTGGATGACGAGGGTGTCCGCGTTGACGATCGACCACGGGATCCAGATTGGGACGATGACTGTCCACGACCGGCTTGAAGAAGATCCTGATGTGAAGCCGAGCGGCCTCGTGAAGACTGGACGACCAAAGGGTGGGTGGGTGAATTTGAAGAGTTTGAGCGACGGAGAGGCGGGCGGGATTCGGCAGAGGAAGGCTGGAGAGTGGGACCTGAACGGGAGCTGGAGGGTACCGAGGAGGAAGAGATGCTTTCGGCTAGGTTGGGAGAAGGGGTGCGCGAGTGCGATTTCGAGCGAGACCGTGAGCTGGCCGACCGCGACATGGACCGTGAGGGACGCTCATCTGACGCACGACCTTTTGACCGTGCGCTATAGGGCTGACGGCCCCGAGACGGCCCAGCGTTCATGTATTCCCCGCCAATAAGTGGGCCACCGAACATGTCGAACTCATCGTCATCCTGGTCGTGGTGGTTAGGTTGCACGACTACCTTGGGAATTCCGTCGTTGCCACGGGAAGAGTATTCGAGCGTCTCAGTTTCTAGGCTGGCGGTGTCTTCGTCGACGGGGTGGAGTGGGATGGGGATCGGTATGCTGCTAGCGCTTTCCGTGGGTTCTGGGCTAACGGAATAATCTTCAAATCCAACGCTGCCAACAACAGGGTTCCGGTGGTGGTAGACCTCGGTCGAGTCGATTTCTTCTTTGTATCTGCGAGAGTCGGCGAGCCCAGAAGCAAAGTCCTCCTCCAAGTCGTCCTCGTAGCCGCCAAGTTCCAGGGTTTCGTCGTCCAGGTCCCCGACAGCATAGTTGTATGAATATCGACCGCTGAAGGGAGGGACCCAGACCAACTCGACCGGCGTACCGTCCGAGCCCTGGTCAGCGTCTGATGACCTGCTCCTGTCCCTTGACTTCTTGCCACCGCTACCGTACTCCCACATCCGGTCTCTCCATCCATACCCATCGTCGCTCCCATCGTCTCCAAAGCCTTCTTCCCACAGTCCGGTGGTCTTAAGGACGGTTGGAGCGATTGGGGCAATTGTCACATGGACTGGTGCTCTTGGTCGGTAGGTGCTGGTGCTGGCTTTGCGCCGCAAGGGTTGTCGCTTGGATGAAGAACCAGAGGGGCGGGAGGGTGATGACGAATTGTTTGTGGAGTTGGTGGTAGATGAGGCAGTGGAGACGGATGAGGAAGACGATGCATTGGATACTTTAGAAACTGATCTTGGCGATTTATTCGCGCGATAGGAGGAGCGCATCTCAATGATTCCGTCTTCTTCGTCTTCGTATGGCGAGTCGGAATCGCTGCCTCCGTTGGATATCCGCTGGTGGCTCCAGCCCTGGGCAAGATCCGCCTCGTCCTCGGGACAGTCTTCCTGATCTTCCTCGTAGCTATTACGCAGGCCCAGGAGTCAGCGGTGGTTTGCACGAGAATTAAAGGAGTAGAACGCACCCATCATCAAAGTCATAGGTCCGGCCAGGACCCCAAGCATCTCCATAGAACGAGGAACTGCGCTTTGGCTTTTCGATAGCGATACACTGCTCAACGAAAGTGTTGAAAGTGATATGCTTCTTCTTCGTTGTTCGCTCGCCAGAGTGGGAATTGGCTGTGCTGGAGGTTGAGTCCTGGGATAGGGAGCTCCGTACGGGACCGCCGGCTGAGACCCTTGGGAAATAGCCTTGGGAACTGCGTTGGCCTGGAGGGTCTATTCGTGGAGGGGAATCTTTCCTGAATGCCCGATTTGGACCCCAACGTGTGATATGAGTGTCGCTCTTGGTATGTTGTAGTGTAGGCCGCTTTGGGATATGCTTCTGTGACGAGTTTTGTTTTTCTCGGGTGATGAGGTCGAGAATGGGGGAATAATGTGAATCTTCGTCGTCGGATTCTGGAGGGCTGAAAATCGGTGAATTCGGAAGGTCGCTGGTGAGTAGCTGGCTGATGCTGCGATGCTTGAGGATTGGTTTGGTGGGCGGTCGCTGGTCGACGTTGGACGATGACGAGCGAGATTCTGAGACAGCCGGGGCCTTTGGTGGGGGCTTATACTCTATTTCAGTGTGTAATGGACCGTAGAGCCACGTCACGTCTGAGTCTTTCAGCCTGGAAAAGAATCAGGAGAGCTGGGTGTGGGGTGTACGCGGTCTGGGACGCACCAGTTGAGTGTCTCTGGGGTGACGGTCTTAAGCTTATTTCTCTGCTTCCACCAGGTTCTCCAGGATGCATTCTCGAGTCTGATACCGTTTGCAATTTCGTTCTTCTGCCTGGTCATGTTCCGCCATGACTTCCAGACATCCTCCTCCTGCCAGTCATGGGAGAGATAGTCGACCTGGGCCTGTGGTTGAGTTGTTACGAAAGAGTCGTCTGGGACGGCGTTTGTGACGCTGACGAGGAGAACTGGTAGATAATTGGCCATGTCGGGGGAGGAGGAAGGGGCGAAAGGAAGGGAAGGGGCGTCGGCAGCGGGACGGACTGTGGAAAATAGTAATAAATTCGGTTTGAGCTGCTGTGGGAAAACCCAAAGCTGGGCAGACGATAAACGCGGTGTGACAGTCACACCGCCCGATCTGAACCGGCAACGAGCTCCGGCCGCCCACATCTCCGAAACAATGCTTGCATCCTCGCAAATTCCATATTCCTCCCTTTTCACATGGTCATTTCTCAATATTTCCTCACAAACCCACTGTTGACCTGCGTACATGGTCCATATCCTATATTGCTCCTCGGCCTAAGCATTCCAAACTGCTTTCTCTGACGGTCCACCAGGACTTCATTTGCGCCACGCATGATCCTCATTCTCATTTCATCAATTAGTTATCCCTGACCTCGTTTCCTAACCCATCGTTTTGATTGAATTGTCGCGGTCACGTCCTACTCGATGCGCCCTTGCAAGGTTTGTGGTTTGACATATTTACTGGCTCGCTTTCTCCTTATCTCTTTCTCCTTGTTGCATATTCCGCAACGAACCCCCCCCCCCCCCTTTTCTCCCTTTTGTTCTAGCGTGTCTCAAGGGTCCAGTTTACAGGTACGCATTGTCTTGACTGTCCCTTTGCATTCCTACAATCTCCTTATCTCCGTTATTCTTTATCTCTCTGGCACCATCACTTGATTTTCCACCGCCGCGTTAAGCCTTTTTCGAATCACCACCTCAGGTGGCTGAATCTGAGGAATGCGGGGTAAGATAATTTGAGCCCTCCAAGGAACCTTGCCAGCCCTGCTTCTCGCTCGACTGTGTCTGGTCTGGTTACTTCTAGATCCTGTTAGCCGCCCAATTTTCATCTTACGAGCGGGTCTTACATCCTTTTCACGCGGCTTAACTACAGCATACCGTCTCTTCTCTATCTCTTGGCCACTGCACTGCAGGGGACTAAACCTCGGAATGTCCCCCGCCTTGCCCCATCCTTCTTTCTCTCAACACCATCTTCCAAAGCTGCGAGGCTGGTCAGACGACCTCGAACCCATCGCCTCGTTCCCAAATTCTCCATGTATCCTCCCAAGATCAGAACACCCACCTCACCCGACATTGTCCTTCGGAAGATTGGACCGGACATCCTTGAATTTTTGCTGAAAAATGTTCTCAAGGTCTGGCTGACCACACTACAACAAATTGATCATCGTTCTGTTTCTACCCTGGCCTCTTGAATCTCATGTGGTTCTCTCTGGTTACTAGTACCTTTAGGTATCTTTAAACCTGCCACCCCAGCCAATTAAATTCATTCCAATCCATGCATGATGATGCGTGCAAGGAAAAGAAGACAACCTGTGCGTTGTGCTTATAATGATGCCATCGACCCATCGCGCTGTACCTGAATTTCGCGTCGTCTGGGGATAACCAACCCACCTCGCACCTCAACATGCACGGTCGGGGTGGGTACATTCGTCGACGGTATGACCCGAGTTTATTCCACTGATAATTCTCTCTCTGGTTTTCTCCACGTTTTCCTCCACGTCCCCACCTTCATCCACCTCCATTCCGCGTTCCTTTCCCCAACCTTTCTCCTAGACCCGCAACATGCGCTCGACTATCCTCTAGCCGACCCGCACTCCGAGCTTGCTCCGAACACCCCCGTCCGGTCCTCCGAGCACCGACCGACGTCATCTGCCGCCGACGCGCGCTACATAGCCCTTTCCTCAAAGGATCTTGAGTTTGGACAACCCCCTCATCGGGACCCTGACCTGCATCACAGATTCAACAGCAAGTATGTAACAAGCTTCTTTGGGTTTCGCAAGATACAATCAAACCTTACCTGGCAAGCGGCACGACCCTTCAGCGACCCTGTACTCGAGTCAACGATGGCTCAAGAGGCAACAAATATGTGTGACTCTACCCTGGACCAGAGGCGGACCTTGACGATTTGGGCTCCACGGCACGACCCAGAAACTGGAATTGGAAAATGGTCTTCTCTCCTTTCACCAGGCTCCGAGTCAACTTCCTCTCGTTCCAACCTCGGGCGTCTTGGGGGTTTCCCAGATCCATCCGACACCTGTGCTGGCATTGCTTAGCATGCACCGCCCGGCGACCGAACTCTGTTGCGTTCTCAATCCGTCACGTTCCAGCGGACCATAACCTCGGTTGTCAACTACACTCGTTATTTGCCTCGAGCCAGTAGTTTATCCGCCCGATGTGCGTCATCGTCTCTGCGTACTTACTCGAAACGAGTAAGGGAAATGATCATCCCATTGAGTTCAGTAACAATCAACTTCCCCGACGGGCGTCAAGTGTTGTTCTTTGGTTCGTTGCCACCGCACGGAACTTGCTTTCTACAACTCGACAAACCAAAAGCAAGTCAGTTGTAATCCTTTGTTGTTTTCCCAGCTTATCCCCTTACTTTCACCTCTGATATCCCGCTTCAGCGCTCGTGCACGTCAAGTTGCGGCGCATCAGGAATTGTAGAAGTCGCAGAACACTCGCAAGAGACGCCGGAAACGTAAGGCTCCTTAGTACCCAGGAAAGGCAAGTCGGGACCAGCAATGTCGAATCCCGCCTTTGTCGACGCGATAAAGGGGCGAGTGACCAGAGGTATGACGCTATTGCAAGTTAAAGAAGTCGACAATGCACCTATCAGCGTCACTGCCAGCGACAATGGGCCGCTTTAGTCTTGTGGGGATCGAGAAATGAAGTATAGCTTGCGGAAGGCGTGATAGCTAAAAACACGAAATAGGAAGTAGTCTATTATTCTATTATTCCCTGTCTTCTATATCTAGACCTAAAGAAACTCATCTCGACCCCTCCGCGCACCTCGTGGTTACCACTTACTTCACCGTCTTCCTTTCCTTCGATGTTTAATTCAGTCGTGTGCATGGCTGTGGACTCGACTGGGCGGTTATCGGTCTTTGCCTTCGGGTCTTGAACTTCGCATGACGTTAGTGACAGCCTTCACTTAGACGCTCGATGGAGATGAGACGATCCCCGTCGACAAACCTGTTTGTCAATCTCGGGGATGCTGGTACTGTATGATATACTTGGACTCGGAAAAACCAATGCTACAGGTAGCGCCCACATTGCCCTCACTCGTGATCGACCGAACAGCCCTTTTACCCCGCAATCCAAAAGGAAAACCGTCAAGCAAAAGTAAGATTCTGACTCGAGAACAGCAACTCGTACACTTCTTACTTACCTCGGCCCAACACGATGCACATGCTCGTCTCTAAAACACCTGCAACAGCCCATACCTACATCCGCACCCATCAGACCTTTGCATCACAAGCAGTTCCTGATATCAAACACTAAACTTCCCCAGCACTAGAACCAATATAGCAACTACAAACCTCTTTAACGGTTTAGATGACGTTCACGTCGCAGAATAGCGTTGCCGTAACCTCCTGACAGACCCAAGTTCCACGAGTCTACGACAACGATGGGCGTGCGTAGAAGGTTCCAGTTTGGACATTTATACCCGACACAACGTTACATCTGGATGTTTTCATCCAAAGCCACACACCACAGTCCAATTCAAGTAGGTGAGGTATGCTGCAACATTCGTTATCGCGCTTCGCTTCGGAGCTTGCTGTTAGACGGGCGATAGTACTTGAGGTGCTGATAATGGCTGTAAAGGACGTCTAGGAGCATGATGAACGGGGCCAGGAGACGAGTGTTCGACTCGAGACGCCTGTCAAGAGCGGTGTTGTCGAAGCTTAGCCTTTATCGCTCGTTCGCTTTACTCAAATTCGGATCTTGGAATTGTATGATTAGCTGGGCGCTCTTGTAATGTGGATGAAACAAGTTAGAGAAGGGTAGAGTGGACTGATCTTTTCGCATACTAGTAGCACGGCGCTTGGTCGACCAACCCTGCGTTAATGAAGACAATATAACCTGTGCTTCTCCCCTGTTTCCCGCTTCTATAAACATAGGAGCAAGAAGGCAATGCTAGTGAGCAGCCGGCCAAAATGAATTTCAACCGTTCATTCCTTCGACTCCCTGCCACCAGTAGGAGGATATCGTTGGCCACCGATGGGCGCTTAAGTGATAGGGGCTAAAGGTACCCTTCGGGGCAAACCAGTCGCGATCTAAACAGACCGTCACCGCCGGCGGCATCGGTGGACGGTGGAGCTGGAAAAAACAAAAACAGCACTTGGTATTCCTAAAGGCGCGATCGGGCGACAAGCGCGGCCGCGGAAGTAAGTGGGCAAGCTTCGAACGTGATCGAGCGGGTGGTCGGGGTTGCCTTGTGGGGTAAGGGGTCTGATTGGTCCTGTCATAACAGAGCGGATGTGGTGTGTGCTGACTGTGTTCAGTCACAGTGTCACTCCTAGAGCCGGTGCGTCTGTCCTGAAGTTTTGGGGTGGTGGGATGACTGAACTGTTGTGCCGCATAGGCTGCATGAGAGTCGTTCGGCAACAAGGCTCAAATGGGTAATGCACTGAAATTTTTGGCTATACTGATTGAAAAGATAAGGATAGGGGGGAAGGGAAAGCATGAGGTGAGATTGGTGAATTGGAGCTCTGTTTCGCAAAAGCAGGAAATTTGAATGTATGACCACGGTCCACTTCCGAATGCTCCCGATTAAGGGCTTAAAATTCAACGGCGAGCCTTCGAGGCCGATTTTTGAAAGGCCGTCGAACATACAAGGAACGATGAGACGCTGATGGCGCAAATCTGATTGCAAAGCATAGTACCCCGGTTGAAAAGGAAGCCCTAGACAGATTCTTCCTCCATTTCTATCTGCAACCACTGTTTCACAAGGCTCGAAAACATCCCACACATCTCCTCGAACATACCTGAAGGAGCAACATAACGAAAAAGAACCCTTCAAGATATGAAAGCAAAGGGAGAAGCCGCTCCAAAGAATGGACTGAGTGTAAAAGCCCGATGATTTCACGGTGGCGTAGAGACTGGTGACCAGAGTATACGAATTCGAGCGAGGAGTTAGCTCGCCCTGTAGGAGAACGAACGTGCATAGGTTCTGGATCATCGCCGGGCCCACCGAAATAATCGTCCAGGAGCGCCGGGAAACAAGGGAGAAGCGCGGCGAGGAAAGAGTGACCGGTCTGGAGCACTGTCACACTCGGGATTAAGGGAACGAGTAAGCCAAGTCACTGAAAATGAGGGTCGAGCACGAAATGCAAGAGAATCGAGGATATGACGCAAGACCCGTGAACGTTGTGAAGATGGGCGAGCTCCGCCTATGATGTTTAGGGTGAGATACAGCACGATCAGTCTGCTAGATGGGACGATTTCTGTCTAAGTATGCTAGAGCGAACAGAAGCGTCAAAAAAGCCATAGCACCACCTAGCGCAACAAATCCAACAGAATTGTTAGGAAAGGGGCCGATTGAATTTGCCACCAACTTGAATACAAAGCCAAGGAAGGATCACCAGCGCGGGCTAAAGAAGAAGCGCTCAATCGCCCTGTCAATTGCTGCAGGCTGCCAAGACCAGGGGAGTGAATGTCAGCGCCTATAGGGAGCAGAGCAAGCGCCGGGTGTCTCTAGATGACCAATGCGATCCTCCCGCGAAGCTTGTGAGGGTCGAAACAGCATCGGGTCTTGGGAATGGACGTTGGGATCTGGACGGTTGGTCGAAATGATGATGGGAGTTCGCTTCCAGGTTACGCCATGGGCGTCCACGAGGACTTGATCCTTGCCGGCTCCACTCGGGGGCTTGCTTGGGGATACAGGACACGGTGGAGCGAAAGGGACACTGGTGAAAGCCTGTGGACATTAGTTGACTGGGTGTAGCTTGCAGCGCACGCGCCAAAAGGTTGTATTCTGACCCACCAGGCTCTTCACTAGTACGCCACCCGCTGTTGAGACCGCAGGCTGCCACGAGCCCCCGTTCCCTTTCACGCCCTCTTCTTGGCCCGGACCCTGGAGCTCCAGGGAGGACCTGAAAAGAAAGCTTGTTGAAGTCGTCAAGACGTCGCAGCTTATCGGACGGGTCTTGAAGAAACGCGAGGAAGCTCAAGGAAGGAAGCAAGGCCTCGTATTGCAATGGCCTCTGCCTCGTTCCTACCTTCCTCCCGTCATGTTGAAAGAACCGGTTCCCCAAAGTGTCAGGGTTTTGTTTCTGAGCTCTACTTTTTGGGTCCTGCAAACAAGAAGCGGCCAACTTAATACGACTCCACTAAATGGCCAACATATCGACATGTCCAGGAAACTGGACCTTGGGAGGCCCAGGGAGTATTGAATGGGCTGGAATTGAAAAGAAACTCCGGAGCCTTCAGGCGTTTCATTTCCCCTACATCCGTATTGCGCGCTTCAGGGTTCTTTTGACGATCGCTTGGAGGACCAACCGATATTGCGGTGGTACGAGGACAACGGGACTCCGAGCATGATCTGAAAATGGATCAAGGAATGGAACATGAGGCAATAGGACACCCGCACACACAGACGCCCAGCAGCTCGATTGATCGCTGCTGAGGATATAGAAGCAGTTAGAAAGAAAATGGCCTGCAAGATCCGGGAGGTGCCTCTCTCTTCAGGTTCTGAGCTGCGGCGTTGATGAAAATGGTGCTGCTCTGAGACGTCGCTGCGCTTGAAGCGTCCTGGTCGCTGACCCTCGTGGCTATGAAACCTGAAGGTGAGCTTTCGGTCGGGTCTTGCTCGCATCGTCGAACGCTGGAGGACTTCGACCGCTTCTCAGTTGGTCATTTCTTCAATCGCCCGAAATGAAATAGATCGCAAAATACGCGGAATGAAAGAGTTTGAACCCCAAAATTGAAGATGGTGGACGGTCGCAAACAACAATCCTGGCGAGTGGTCACCGCGTGGCGGGAGCAAGCTCGTGGCCCGTGCGCGTCGGCAGTCGCCGTGCTAGCGCCCAAAGTCACATGCTTCCATAAAGTAGGCGCCCAGTCAACACCTTCAACCGGACAGGCCTCAACTCGATGTGCACTCCGACTTGGCTCCTCGCCGGTGACGGTTCACTTATTCACTCTCATCCATTCATGAACCTCAGCGTAGCTTTTCACTGGGGTAGCGAGGGTAAGGGTTGTACAAGAGACAGTGCGCAGGACTGTCGTTGGAGCCTACCTATTCAGAACCTATGGCGATAAGTTTGATTCGATATAGCTAAGTCAGATAAGCATTATGCGCATAAATCAACCCGGAGCCGGCCATTTGGCAAATCTGCAACGCTCCGTGCGAGCAGGCAGCGACTCACGACGTAAATACAATAGAACAAACGCATTGACAAGCGACAGGCTCACCTAGAGCCAGATACAAGAGTCATGGTAGTATGAGCTGTTGTTCTTCTCCCAATCACGTATTGACTGAACGAAAAGGAGCTGCAAAGATTCTAGAATTCCGAGATTCGACATAGTGCTGAGATGTAACGTTCCGAGGTCCTGAAGGAAAAAAGGCACGTCGCTTCTCATTCTCCGTAAGTGACAGGCGGTCATTGTGGACAATTGCCCCTTGCCTTGTACGAGGCAACAGTAGGCTCCGGTCGTTAGGTGTCGGGAGATCCTCGTTGGATGATAATAACGAGGACGCGCATTGCAAGTGTGGTCCATCCCATGAAGTGTCAGCCTCAGAGTAACCAGAAGTATAGATATCAGCGATGTTCAAATCGATAATGTAGCCAAGCCCTTCTTTCGCAGTTTCGTCGCATGCACCGGGTAGACGGAGAGCCAACACGTCGAGCGTCGGTAGGGACACAACAATAGGTTTTAGTAGCAAACTCGGCCGACGTGCGTAAAATCATCCAGAGGGAATACCTTTTACTTCTCCTGGATCATCCAAGAAGAAGAAAGGAAGATCACAAGCCAAAGAATAAGGGGAAATTTGGCTCCTCAAGCATGCAAAGAGTGTTGTTGGGCGTTTAGGTGGAAGTCGGGTGTCGGTACGGGCGGCTGCTCTATTTGGGTTGCGTTGTACAAACAACATCACGTGATGCGGACAATAGGGAGTTTGACGCGACGGATGGTCTGCTCCCGCATTGAATGTCGTTACTGCATTGTCCATTGAAATCTGCTTTTGTTGTGAATATCATTATAAGGATGAGTCCTCCGGCTCAGATTTCGGTAACCTGCACTTGAGCTAGTCTCGTCTGGTTTCTTTTTCTCGCTTTTCTATTCTTTCTAACGCCACCTTTTTTATTCCTTTACTCTTTCGGTGAGTTCTCTTCCTGGTTTCAATAGTTCCATTTACTGAGTTTATCTTTCTTAGATTGTTCACGATGGCCATGAACCAAAACGACGCTACTTTTTACTCCAAGGCTGCTTCGTATGCCTTCTTGTCCCAGCCCCCGCCTCAGAAGAAGCGCCCAACACTTCCTCTGCCTTCGCCTCCCACTCAGAGCGTCGAAAACCCCGTTCGACAACGCTCTACGACCTTCTCGGCTACTATCTCTGCTTGGGCTGCCCACGTTCAGCCAGGCTCACCGGCCCCACCTACCCCTTGCTCCCCTCACCGAAGAGGTTCCGTTTCTAGCCGCCGCCGTGTTTCTGGCGGAATCGGACACGGTCGCGTCGCCTCAAGTCCTTTTGTGATTACGAACACCCCGACGACCGCCTCCCACAAGACCTTCGACTTCACCGCCGTTGGCTATAACAACATCTTCCTCAACCTCCCTCCCGAAACCCCTTCTCCCTTGCTCCGCGAGAAGGCCATGAGAGACCAAGCTCTTATCGAAGCCAAGCTTCGCGAGAAGGAGAGAGCCAAGGAGGAGAGCAAGGAGCGCAAGGGAAGAGTCATGAAGAAGATCAAGTCCCTGACCACCCTTCGCTCTCGCAGCAAGTCCATCTCAAAGACCGCCGAGGCTCCCGCCTCTCCCCCTCCACCCATGCCAACCTCGACCAAGGTCAAATCGAAGAAATCTTCGGCCAAGCCTTCACAGAAGAAGAAGGTCTATGGGCCCCTCGTTCGCGCGCCCCCTACCCTTCAGAACGAACTTGCTCTCATGCAATTCGCAGACGGCGGTAGGATGGAGGATCACATCCATCGCACGATGACTGGCGCTGACGGCGCTGTAGGTGACGTCTACCGCGATGGCAAGGGTGGTATCTGGTGGGACCGGGAGGAGCAGATGGAGTACCGCGGGTTGCTTGTACCTTCAGAGGGCAGCGATAAAGTTGAGACTGAATGGGAGGATGACAAGGAGCCTACTACCTGGGTTCAATTCCAGAGCTCCCCCGTTGCTCAGGTTGAGATTGTTGGCCGATCTTCCGAAGACACCCTTGTCGAGCCCGAGCCTGCTTTGAAGCAGAAGGGCAAGGAAATCGTCTTCGAGCGACGAGAGAGTGCCTCAACCCTCTCGTCCCAAGATTCTGATCTCGACCCGACATACATGATGCAGACGGAGCAGTCCCCAGCCTACCATGATGAGCGAGTCCTTGACTTCGACCTCCGCGCCAGTTCGAACGCCACGGAGACCCTCAAGGCCAACAACGCCGCTTCCAAGCGAAATGGGATGATTCTCTGCCTCCCTGCTCGACCTTTCCGAGCTGCCAAGCACCTCAGGAAGCCCGAGTACATGGTCGACCTTCAAGCCTTCGGCGTCATCCCCAAGTCACCGAAATCCCCCAAGTCACCCCGTTTCTCCACCTCTTTCGGTCCTGCCGTTCCTAAGCCCAAAGGCAAGGCGAGGAGACGCCCGGCTCCCTTGAAGATCTCCCCTGCCATGACCAAGTTGAGGCGCGTCGTTGCCGTTTCATCCCCCGGCTCGGCCGTTCCTCCTCTTCCGCCCGTGCCTCCCCGCCCTTCCCAGCACCCAACCATCGCTGCAGCTTCCCGCGCAGTATCCGAAGTCCAGCAGCAACAGCTGCTGATCAAGGAAGGCAAACAGGAATTCATGGTCGACAGCTTCCAACCGGAAGTGTCTCGGTTCGACGATGATTCCGAGTATGACTTTGTCGGGGTTGAGCATCTTGAAGCTCAAGGCCACAAACCGGGTTTGAAGCAGAGGAGAGGTTCCCGGTTGGATTTGAGGGGTATGTTTGGAAAGCCCAAGCCGTTCTAGAGGAAGACACAGATCCTCGTTTGGATTCACGACTAATCACGACGATCGAACTTAAGACATGGCGATACCCTCAAAACTCACGGCGATACCTCTCTTCACATGACTCTCGGTTCTTCTTTCTCTCTGGCCATTTTCTCTTTGAAAACCATCGGAACATTCTGCAGTCGTTGACGCTTGCTTTGGTCCTATCTACCTATACCCAAAACGCTTTATATCCTCGCTTTCTTGGCTTCTCTTCTTTGCTTTCCCGTTGTTCAAGCCCCTTTGAGCGCTACCTTACCCTGTCACTGAAACTATTAACTGTATTTTTACTCCACGCTTCCATCTTAATGACTCGAAACTGTATATTAGACCATGCTTCGTTGTACACCTAATCCTATCTTGTTTGTTGTTCTTCAACCTTGCTCGCATGTTGCTTTGAGCAATGAGCATTGTGTCTTGGGTTCACAACTGGTCGGTACCAATGATGGCATCAATTAGCGCTGAAGCTGCCCGAATCCGGTTTGTCGTGGACCCCCTCTTTTGTCTTCTAAGACTTCACAACCTCAAAGACGAGACAAGGCTCTTGACTATGTGGTCTGGTCACAAATCCACCTTTCCTCCAGCAAACGAATTGTGTCTGGCTTTGTCCACGAACCAAGGAATCTGTAGTCAATGGTGTGGCATCTTCTAATACCCAGAAGGTATCGCAACTTTCCAATCCAGTCTTAAGCTTCTCTCACCCGCGTTCCTCCAGGTCAACTTCCGACTCGTCGTCGCCAGACTCTTCCCAACCGCGGACCATGTCTCGTCCCAATCCATTCTCGTTCGCGGCAGCAAGACAGAGAAGGCTGGATCTATGGCTCTCGCAACCTCCCAGTGCCGCCCGGCGCGTCCTCTATAACCCAGACCTCGTGGAACTCATCCTTCAACACATATTCCCTTCAGAAACGGACCAACAACAGCGGACGCGCTATGTGAGCAAGAAACACGCCAAGCTACGGCAGATGGACGCGCCTCATCGTAAGATGCGGATCCTGCCCTTTGTCTTTGTATGCAAGGGATTCTACTCCCCTGCTTCAAGTCTGCTCTGGGAAGAGATGGAATCTTTAGTCCCTCTTTTGACCATCTTGCCGATATTCGTGTTTGAGAAGGGCGTCCTTGTGAGTCCCAGTCTGAGGCCGGCTGCCTTTGCGTTGTACTAATTTGCATGATCATTTTAGAAACTGAAGGACAATTGGGTACAGATCCCAATACCACAATCTACCCTGACGACGTTCCAATTCTACGGGTCGAAAATTCGACGTCTTGTCCCTGGTCATCGAGGCCCGCGTATATCGAGGTCTGCCGCCAGGTCCACCCTCACTTTGCTCAAAGAACATGGCGTTCACTCCATTTGTCCTGCATTGCACAGTGTGGTCATCGCTCGACGCGACACGCCCACCTTCACCTTGCTCGCGCGCTCACCCATCACTAACGTCGCGATTTCTTCCTGCCAATTCGGAGAGAAAGAGGATGCTTTCTACAGGCTCGTCTTTGACCGTCTATCAGAGCAAGGGACATTTGTCAGGAACATCACCATTGACTCGCAGACTCGTCCGTCCTCCTTGCCCCCGGCTCTCCGCCGGCCGGGACACGCTCTTCAACGGGTGGAGAAGCTCTCCATTCACCGTCACCTTTTTGAAGACCCCTCCAGTTTGGTAGCGTGGCTACGAGATCTCTCCTCGAGCTCGCCTAACCTTACGCAATTACACCTTGGGGTTTCCGTGTTCGATCGCCAGCATACTAGCCGTTTACCAGATCGGGTTCACGAGTTTCCAGAATTGAAGACTCTGCACCTCGAGTGCCACCCCGACGCTGTTGATGTCCTCTTCTCCGCCACCTCGTTCGCCAATCTTACCGACTTCGTCCTGGTGCTTAACCATGACTTGTGGCACCCAGAGCATATCCCACTCGCGTGTCAAGAGGTGATGAGGATCTGTAAAGCGGCTCCCTCGGTCCGTCGCATCCGTATCGAAGGACTAGTCCAACACGACGCCATCTTGCCATTCTTTTCCCTTCCTGCTCTTGAATCCTTCGCATGGAAGTGCGAGATTCCCTCCAATCGACGACAGTGCCTCCCTCCAGACGATGCTTCATACGTCTCATGGGGTCAAAAAATCGATGACGCGATTTATGGGTCCTCAGTTGAGGCCACACCAGCCCGCGTCTTCTCCCTCGAGTTACCTCAGAAGATTCATCCTGTGGAGCTCGCCCTTAACAGAGTTCCGATGGATTTATTTTCCACTTATCCGGGGCTCCACCCAACGTATTCATTCCCGACTTTCCAGCCACCTCCGAGTCTACCTTTCATCGCCGCTAGCTTCCAGCCCGCACTTCTCAACACAGTGCTGTTGAGCGACGGCAATGGCGCGTTGCAGACTTATGGGCAGGATGCTTGAAGCTTGACTAGAGGGCTTTACTAGATGGATTAGATCTTTACCAACTTAGAGAGAGGACATCTGGGTCCATTTACACTTTTGATAGAGCGTTATTACAGTGACTTCAACCCAATGAATATGTCGAACATCAGACGGTAAAATGAAAGCTGCAAAAAGTGTGAACTTATCGCAAGTCCTGTAGCCGCAGTGACCGCTGGACGGTATGCCCAGCCGGTCTCGTCGGCTCGCACGGAATAACTCGTGTCTGCCCCATGGCTGAGTTGGTTACAGCGTCCGACTGTTATAGAGCTTTTCAAGGCTTACTTCAATCGGAAGGTCGTGAGTTCGAGCCTCACTGGGGCAGCATCAGACTTTTTGCGCCAGGTCGCCCAATACCTTCTCAACCCCCATTTCTCGGGTTTCCTGTTTATGCCGTGCAAATGAGAAGAATACAAGCATGTAAGGCGTGAACCAAGTGCATATTAAATTAGATCATCTGTATCCTACATCCTTGAGTCCAACCGACCAAAGCTACGTGTACACAAATCATAGATAGAAAACGCTTAGGAATAGGATATTGTGACAGTCGTCAAGACCTCCATGAACTGGTGGGTGAAGGGCGAACTTCTGAAGGGCCTGGCATGGCGTATCCCTCAGAGGTCCGTGGAGCGTAACCGCCATTGTAGTGTTGCTGCTGGGGGACGCCATATCCTGTTCCAGAGGTGTACATTGACGCGTTATCCGAGAATGCATATTGCTGTCGTTGCTGCTGCTGGCGTTGTTGCGCATGGTACAACTCCTGCTGATGATACAGGTATTGGTCTTGCTGCTGCTGGAATTGTTGTTGTCTTTTCGGAGTTTCTTGAGAAGGATATAGCGCAACGGTGGGAACAAGCTCGAAGACTTGCTGAGCAATTGCCTTGGTGCGACCTGCACCTTCGGCTGTAACAAGGTTGGTCATTACAGCGTGGACTTTAGCTTCTTGAGGTTCGCCTGGGTCCACCACTGGAACCTTGTCCGTCACTCTGGTAGACACGCCTCGCCCATCCCAGATACAGCGAATGTCGTTGCCCGGAATGATTTGCGCCAATCTTCCGGTTTCGATGTTTCGTACCTCGATGAATCGAGAATCGAAGAGAAGGATATGGGGAGGGTGGAATGCGACTCGTTCAGCGGTTCCCTCCCATTCGATTGTGACACCTCCACGGGACGGATCGCCATGCTTGTCGACATAAACACCGAATTCTGTTGACAGCGTCAGCGCAACCCTACTGGAGAAAGCGATGACATACCATCGTAGCACAGAAGGAATTCATCCTCCAAAGAACGGAACATTCCCATCGGACGACAGCCGTCACACCTCTTGCTCAAATAACTGAACTTTGGGTCTTCCGTATGTGGAATTGTCACGGAGTTGAAACTGAGACGGAAAATAAGTTTGAATCGCCATGAATCGACAACATTGTCACTCACTTGTTCAGGTCCATGATCTCGAAACCTTTCGCGCAAAGAATGGCGATTCTTGCTTTGAGGAAAATCAAGTCGAACGATTCGGATGGCAAAAAGAAATCCCTATAGATCCTGAACCATTCGGACTTCGTAGACCTGAAGCCAAGGCGAGAACCCAGCCCGACAGGCGCCTTGACCTTCTCGTTGATCTTGTCGCCGACAGGCTCCAGCACTCGGAAAATACTATCCAACTGGGGACCGAACGTCAGTCCTGTGGCAAGCGGCGGTCACAGCTTGGCTACTCACCCCCTTCTTCTTCATATAAGCAACCAAGGTTCGTCCATGTAAAGTTCCAACACTGAAGAAGTGGACATCCTTGGTACCATTCAGCTTCTGTGGTACTTGCGACGAATGAGGAGTGTGCGGAGATGAAGGGACCAGCGCTTCGATGTGGTAGGCGAACAGAGACTAAAGCAGGAGGGATCAATCTGATAGCCACGCTCCAATCACTAAAAGCGCACCTTGTCGGCGAGGACCAAGAAAATGCCAAATTCCTCTAGCATTGCACATTGAGTAACCGCTTTGAGGTGAAGGACCCGGCGTAACGCTGAAAAGGGGCCATTTAAGTAAAAGAATCGAGAGTGGCGACAACAACGTACAGTTGGGGTCGTGGCGATACCCGATCCAAACACCCTCCTGACAACCCACAGCAACGAGCCTGCGCCTGTCCGGTGTAGCTGAACGATCTTGTCAGGAGATCCGTAGGACAGGAAATGACGATGCTACTCACTGAATGGTACAGAGCATGTTACTCGCCCGGTGAAAGCGTTATTCTGTTCCCATGTAGGTCCTTGGTTGGCGCTGGCCATCAGCGGCACCAAGAACGTCTCTGAACTCAAGGTCTCAACTTCGAAGACCTTGTTCGACTCCTGAACTGCCTTGCGTAAACCGATCGCCTCCTCGAGTTTCTCCTTCCATTCCGTTCGGATTTGGGCGGATTCCGCATAGAGAATGTAGGCACCACCCATTCGACCATTGTGGTGCAGCGTAAGGGGATATACCGCACGAGCATCTGATGCTGAGTCTGGTGTCAAAGTAGGGATAGGCAAGCCACTGTCGTTTCGGAGGTTACGGAGGAGGCCGGTACCGCGTTGAGTCGGGGCGTCGGTGTAATTGACCAGGGTGAGTAGATCCAGAGGGATCGGCTATGGTACCGTACGATTAGAGTTATATCAAACCAGACCAAGAAATCGATTTACCCTTCGATTTACGATATACTTGACGACGCCATCCTTCTCCTTGGACTCCTTGATCTTGGTCATGACCACTGAAACAATTGTTAACTATCTGGCATGTCCGCGAGAAATCCACCTTACGGTAGTTATCGAAGAGGAGGACGAAGAGTTCGCTCCAGTTCCATTCCAGGCCGCTATCTGGCTGTCGAAGAAGCTTTCCCGAATGGATCAAGATTCTGTTGGGATCGAGCAAGTCCATATCCTGCGAACGATTTGTGAGGGCCGGTGACTTCTAGATGAAGAATCGACATACTACAAACTCTCCCTGCTTGTTGAAAACAATGTTCGAGTTGTAACGCCATAGCTCGACCTTTTGCTTTGCAGAGAAGACACCCGGTTCTGTCTCCTTTCCGAGTGCTTTGATCACGTCGATGACATTCGGAATCATATCGTGATCCTCGTGCCCAGGTTCGGTCTCTTCCATGATTCCCTTCAACAACAGCTCATATCGCAGCAAACGAGGGATGGGTCTGTTAACGAAGCTCTTCATGTCAAGACGGTGAGAATCTGGATGCCGCACACATTGCTTGAAAGATCCCAGTCAGCATCGCCGTACACTCGTGGGTGAAACGGGCATACCTCAACGAAAGCTTTGAAGGCAGGGTTGTTTGCCATCTCATCGTCAATCCGATAGGCAGCAATGGGATAGTTGGGAATATATTCCATGTATGCTTCTCTGAAGTTCAGAGCTGCGTCCATCATGGCGTCGGTGATGCTCCGAATGACAGGGTGTTGCTCGCGTTGAATCTCCTGGAATGCTTCAACAAGCTTCCTGTGGTGTTGCAGCAGCTCGTCATAGTTGTGGAAAACGTCAGCGATGAACTGGTCTAGCCTCTCCCTGCTGATGATGGGTGGATTGGCTGTCCTCAGAGGCCGGATGAAAAGCTACCAAATGATCAGCCAGTCTGGCTATCAGCAAGGAGAGAACCAATACGCACAACTTCGATGTTCTCTAGATCCTTCACATATGCCATCTCTCCCTTGATCAGTTCGAAGATAATGCTATCGAAACGATTAAGGATGCGTCCGGTCGACAGTGTATGACAACTTACGACTGCCGCTTCGCCTCTTTCTTGGGAAGAGACTTGCGGTACCCTTCGGACACTAGATCATGCCATTCCCACTTCCCCGGAGGTCCCTTGCACATAGCCGACTGGAACGTCCTCAGTTGGGATATCGACTGGAGGCTGCTGATAGCGGTGATAGCCTCCTTCAAGAAATCGGCATCAGGATTTTCAGGGGAAGTCTCGTTGAGGATTGCGTCGAGGAGAACGGGATATTTTTGCAAATGTTCGGAAGGTCGGCCGAGGAAATGCTTGAGGTCGAAGCGAACAGTATCGCCAGGTCTTGACGATTCCCTTGAACAGCGCTAAAGTGACGTCAATATAGACACGACTGGGCAAGTTGCAGTATTACCTCGACAAACAACCGGAATTCATGGTTCTTCTCGAGCTCGTCCTTGAGCCGCTTCTCTGAAACCGGATAGTGGCCAATGTAGGTCGGGTACGCCAAACGGAACTCTGTCGCCGCCTCCAAGAAAATGTCCCCGATTTTCTGTATTATCGGCGCTTGCTCCCGTTGTCGGACATACAAGACTTCAAGCAAACGGCGGTTACACTCTCGAAGATCCAGGATGTTGCCAAACACTTCGTCTATGAAGTCTTCGAGTTCCACCTGGGGCATGATCGTTGCACCAGAGCGGCGGAGGGGTCTTAAAAACACGGTCTCGACGATGTCCAGGTCTTGAACATATTGCTCCTCCCTAACGACTAGGCCATGGATGATGCTAAAGGACAATATTAATGGGAGGCCTTGTGTGGCTACAGGTCAAGTCTTTACCTTTGACGCTTCACCTCGCTCTCCGGCAAGGAACTGAGTACTACTGGATCAATGGAGGCCGACCAAGACTCTCTCTTGGCCTTGCTTCCCATTGGCTCCGCATCGACAGGACTGGCAACCGCCTCAAGCGTGAAGTTACCCTGTTATAGCCGCAATGAGTAACATGGTTGGGAAGGTGCAAGGTACAGATGCACTAACCTTGCGGGGGCATCCAAAGGCGTAACACGATACACCATCCCCGCAGCTTGGGGAGTAGCATCGCGTTAACATGGTTATGACACCTGTAGGAAGTTCCTCAAGCTCTCGGACGGAAGACCCTCCCTCTTGATCATCGAGGAACATGTACACATCCTCTACGCCGTCCTGTAGGACGGCACCTCCCCATTCGACCTCGTAGAAGAATAGTTGGCTCTGCAGGCTCCTCGCAACTTGTACGGCAACACGGCGATCGCTGGTAGAGAGTCCGTGATTGATAGCCAACTCTCGCTGAATCATCCCTTGAATGGTGGACTATAAAAAGCTAAGCTTCTCTGATACAGAACGGCGGCATTGGCCAAAACTCACCACAACGTCCTTCCCAGTAAAGGCGCGGTCGTAAGGGATGCCGCCTTTGACGTGAGTTGCACGGGGAATCTTGTCCCTAAGTTGGACGGCGATGTGTGAGAGCAGGGACAGATTAATGAACATGCTGGGATCTTCTTCCTCTTCGTCCCAATAATCGTCGACAACATGGTCGTGGAAGTCTGCGGGCTGGACATGATTCTCTTGATGTCGTTCCTCGAAATCTGCCATAGTCCGTAGTACATCAGTCGGGCGCCTGTAGAGGGAGTTAGGATCCTGCTCATGGCGATGAAGATCCTGTTCGGCGGGCCATTGCTCCCCGCTTGATCCAGGCAAGTTTGTGCTGGACGATGAGGATGGCTGGTTGTCGTAATACGCCGAAGCGGGAGGGAACGTCGACGTTGTCGGGGTTTCGTAAACAGAGCGTTGACTTGACGAGGATGGTCCAGCTGAATAGGAATGGTCATCTACAAAGCAACATAAGTGAAAGAGGCAACAGAGGTGGGGTGTAAGACCTACATCCAGTATTTAGCTGCGGTAGAGACGCAGATGCGTTGTATCGACTGGCGCCCAACGTTTCATAGCTGGCCTGGTGAGAGATCGATTGGGGCTGAGATGGGGCGCTTAACATGTCGGTGTTTCCATGGGTCCGATCGTTCCTCGGACCGTCGGATTCGTATGCGTTGAAGGAAGCTTGGTAGTCATTGACGACATACTCTGGAATCGTGGGCGCAGAAGCACCTGGCGGAAGCTCGTACGGCACCTTCACCATGCTGCTCCTTTGGTTGCCGTTGTAAGGGTCTGGTAGAGGTTTGGAATATTTGTCGAATGAAGGCGATTGCGGGGAGTAGGAGAGTCGGCTTGACGGGGTCGGACTGCTACGTCCTGCCTCTTGGTATCCATTCGACTGGGGCGATGTTGGCGTTTGCGGTAAGCGACGGCCGCTTGTGGTTACGGCCTGCTTCAAAAGATCGTTCGGGTTGCTGTAAGTGCCGCCATGCCCATCAAAGGTATAAGGACTTGGTCGTGCAGGCTGTGAGGGATCCTGATAGACTTGCGGCTCAGGCATTTGAAAGGTTGCTGTCGACGACGTTGAGCCTCCAGGTGTTGGGGGCAAGCGACGACGGGGTGAACTGGGAGATACCGGTGACGCTGACGGTAGAGTTCCTGGTGTTGACGACGTGGGCAGATGTCCTTGAACCGGGCCCGCTGTGCAAGGTATCATTAATGGACTATGAAACTACTGATTGGCACTAGCCTACCGTATAGTCTGTTGAACGATGATGTAGAGGAGGAAGAAGACTGGACCGGTGCATTTGCTGTCGAGGTAGATCCTCCCCGTTCTCGGCCATAGACGTTGTAGATGTTCTCTATCTCCTTCTCTGTGGAATTCGAGGTTCCTTGTTGAACTTCAGCTTCAAAGCCTGCCCAAACTTCATTGTACAGTCTTTGAAGGTCCTCGTCCACAGGGGTCATTCGTTTGCTATTCGTCGTCATTCTCGTTGAAATCTGGAGCTAAACTTGTTGCTCGTTGGTTGCGATATCCGATTAATGGTCCAACCTGTCCCCATTGCTTCAGTTGAGTGCTTGTACTTGTTTCTAGGACAAACATACATTAGAAATCGGGTTCGATGCGGGATATCCTGGAATCTTGCTCGATGGTAAGAGCCAAACCGTCCAGCTCGTTCTACGATCTCATGACGCTTCCGCAAAAGGCAGGCGACGCTGCGCCCAGTCTCGGCAAGGCGGCGAAGCTTCCTCGGACGGAGCTCCGGAGTTGCATCAGACTTCCTCCGTCATGCCGTCGGCATCGGTGATTGACGCGCATGATGATGAGCCCCTGGCTGATTCGCGCGTCGTCGTCATCGTCCTTGTGTTCTGCCTTCGACATTGCTCTCATCCATCTCATCGATATCGACGTTGAAAGAACTTAACATAAATGGCTGGAGACAAGGAAACGCTGCTGAGCATGGGCTTTGACCCTGCCCGTGTCGAATGTAAGAAGTCTCGAGGATGTCACAATTGCAGGGGCTAAATGGGTCCAATATTACAGGGGCGTTGAAGGCGACTGGTAATCGAGGGCTTCAGCCTGCAATGGATCACATCTTGGAAAATGAAGGAAAGCCTGTCCCAGAGTTGGGTGATGTGAAGGAGTCCACAGGTGGCAGCAGTAACGCGATGGATGTGGACGAAGATGAAGAGGATCGCGAGGCGTTGGAGAGCCTCGGAGTGGCGAAGTTTGCGAATGTAGAAGCAAAGGTGCGTTAGTTGCCAGCTGAGACCTATTAACCAGCTCAACCTTTCGAATAGAGCATCAAGTGCTCGGAATGTGGAAAAATCTTCAAGAACACTGCTCTCGCCAACTACCATGCAGAGAAGAGCGGCCACGATCAATTCGAGGAGTCCACAGAGGAGGTTGGTTGAAGCCTGCTCAGCTGTTTGTCACCTCTGATCATTACTCGCAGATCAAACCTTTGACCGAGGAGGAGAAGAAGCAAAAGTTGGAGGAACTGAGAGCTAAGATGGCGGAGAAACGGGCCAAGAGGGCAGCAGAAGAGGCGAAAGAGGCAAAGGCAAATGAACTCATTCGAAGGAAACAGGGAAAGGTGCTGCTGTTCACGGGACTATCTCTATTTTGACCTTCAGGACTCACACCTGCAGTACAGGATCTTAACAAGATTAAAGAAGAGCTCAAGGTGAAGGAGGCCTTGAAAGAGGCTGAAGCGAAGAAACGAGGTGAGAACGACTTCTTCAGGTCATGGATAGCCTTACCGCTTATCCTGATATTGAACTTTTCTTTACAGAGAAGATTGAGGAGGCGAAGGCGCGAGCGGCAGTCAAAGCCCAGATCGAAGCAGACAAGAAGGCTCGAGCTGAGAAAGCGGCCAGAGAGAAAGCTCTTCGCGAAGGGAGACCTATCGTCGATGCCCCAGGACCTTCGAACCCTTCTCCTGCTGCTATCGCCGCTGCCACTACCGGTCCGAGCTCTGAGCGGAAGGAGACTCGCCTTCAGATTCGAATGTCCACTGGCGGTCCTCCTTTGACCACAACCCTTCCTTCCGAATCCCGTGAGTCCTAGGATCGTATAGTAATGGTTTTCAACTAAGGCCCTTTAGCTTTGCGCGAATTGGCTGAGTTTGTTGCAGCTCAATCCCCGGACATCGACGTGGACTCCGTGAAATTCACCCAAGCATTCCCAAGGTAAACTGAGTAATGTGTGGTTCGCTGCAGGCTTCTGATAATTCCTCAGGAAAACGTTTGGCCTATCTGACTTCTCCAAGACCCTCAAAGAACTCGGTCTCGTCCCTTCTGCGGTAAGAACCATCAGCCGTCTTCTCCAGCTCCATGTCAAGCTTACATCCTTTCCATAGGCCTTGGTAGCGACACCATGAATGATCAATGAAACGGAAGACTGTGTAATGAAATGTGTATCATACCCGTGCAACTGCTCGGTTAGATGAGTTCTGTCTATCCCACCAGTTGCTGATTCTATGCCGCCGCCTCAAACGAAATCAAGCACGGTTATCCTACCGTCTGTGTGACCGATCGCTATCATTCCCTCTTCCTCATCCAGACCCACCTTGCTCCAGTCATCCCCGTCGTTGTAAAGGATAATGGAACTGGGCCCCGTGATGCTCGTCTGGTCTGCCACGTCTACTCCCTCGTCCAGCTCTTCGTGGACGTCAGACAGCGGGGTGAATTTGGATGCGAGGCGCTGACCGCGATCTACTTGGTCGACCGTCAGATTTTCGGTGTGAGTATCGATCCAGAGTGCTGTTCCATATGGTCCCAAGGCCAAATCGGAGAGCGAGAATAGTCGAACGGGTGCTCCGATGATCTGCTGGACGACTGGTGGCAAACGGTACGGTGAATTGACAGCTGTGATTTCTTCCAAAGGCCGGAACGACAGGTCGACGTGAATGACCATTTGATGGAGTAGGTTAACGGGCTTGAGTGGAGATTAACTCGCTAATTCTATCAGAAAGACCACATTCGAGGCGTACCCAGGGGAAAGTGCTTCCGAACCGTATTAGCACCCCGATAGAAGTCCGTTCGCTGTAGTTGTTATTGGAGTGGGCTCGGGATGGGTGGAGTTTGGTCACTGAAAGGCTGTCGAGTTTCCACGGCCATCGGTGTTGGACTACAGGCTCGACGACTCCAGACTCTTGAATTTTCGCTGCCGGTATGGGATACAGCTCTATAGTCATGGAACGGAAGACGACCATGCAGTTCGATTCCATTATTGCTTCCAATACCCGTTGGTGCTAGGATCAGAATCAGCACTAGGCTATGTCCGCTAGGTCGGCATGCCCTACCTGTCCTGCCTCTAAATTTCTAAGCTGCAGGGCGACTTGCGGCCTTTCCAGGTCCCACCAATAAAGCCGTTCATGGTCATCGCTGGATAGTATCTTGGTTCCCGAAAACAAATGAACTCTTGGAGTGGGGATCGGTAGCGATGTAGTGACAGTAAAACTGAATCGTCCTTGGGACTGTGGAGTGATGGAGTAGACAGAGACGCTTTTGAAAAAAGTGGGTAAGCTCAAGGATATAAACCCCCTTACGACGTGTTAAGCTTACCTGGACATCGCATGTATCGCCACAACGCCGCTGGCATCGTGGACCTCATTGACAGCCATGCTGTTGAGATTATGAATTTCCTGTGTCGCAATGGAAATCGGTGGATATTGCGCGAGGTCCCAGAGCTGGAGCCAGAAGCGACGGTGGCCAGGGTCTACCTTCGCCGACAAGGACAGCAACCATTTGCGATCTGGGATTTTGAGAAAGTGGAGTCGTATAACCCTAGAGGAATTTGGGGCTTGCAGGTGTGAGGTCCTCTTCGGCACTGGCGACGGGGAAGTCCACTTTCGACGGAGTTCTTGTGCGTTGATGACAAGGAGCTCGAGCTCTTCACTGGTGCCATTTTCCAGGGAGAGGCCACGGAGACCTGGGACTGGTACGTTATTGTCGAGAATCTGCGTCTGCAACAGCCTCTGCCACAAGCTCTTCTGCTTGGTAAGGCGATGGCATTTGCGACATGTCTATCGAATTATCGTAAGTAAGCCCGGACGACACGGCGTCAAGATAAAAATGAACTAAACGGACCAGTCGCATTTGTCGGATCTCCTTCCAGTGGAGGTGCAGGAAAATAACGAGAAAGACATCATCAGGGAGCTCGATAGGCATCATCAACAGCAGGTAGTCTCGGATAGCCGTAAACCGAAAATCCCGAGAGAGCACGTCGGAAGTCGTCGCCAGACAGGAATGAAGGGTAGAGTTTAGCAGTAGTGGGACCTTTACCGGCACCATATTATATATACACCACGACGGGATTGCGAAGTGGATTTTGGCTCTGTGATATAATCACACTGAGGGCACAACGAATCCCTGGCAATCAAAAGATACGACGCGGTGGCCGTAGCGAGATCCCGCAGTGGTCATCGAACAAGGTAACGAAGCTCTTCGCCACGCCTCTTCGATTCAGAGAATCGCTGCCTGACCCCCGCATGACCTCCCTTCACGCCAGTGACTGACTACATGCTGGCCTGGCTTCGACGGTGAGCGATAAATGGTTCCTTTCCCAGAGCAGGGCGAATGTCCCTTTTACAAAACGCGTGATGACAGCGCGTTGGGGAGCATTAGTCGTTTCATATACGAAAGGAACGGAGAGTCAGAATACCGGTCCGTTCCACTTTGTCGATGAAATCGCACTTTTCCGTGGTCCGTGTCGCCAAGCGGGTGTATATTTCGAATTGATTTGTTGGCCGAATGTTGAGATGGTCCTGGAAGCGGTTGTCCCGCTTTCCCAAAGGAGGAATCAGCGTGACAAATGGGGGTCGGTCGCGATTTATCTAATCTTCATCAGGTCCAAGGCCACGCTCAAGCGAGCTCGGTTTGGGCTCCTCAGGGGCGCAGGATGAAAAAGTGAGGTCTGGCATTCGTCATTGACACACCAAATAAGAGTCGTAAAAAGCCGCCGTTTCACTTTTGCGAGTGTGGCGAACCCTTTATTTCCACAGGAACCCGAATCAGTGTCAAATGAATTCCGTCTGCGCATCTAGACACTCGATCACCGAGTCGGCGGAATGCGTCGTGGAAGCACAGAACTTGCACAGAACGCACCTACCCGCAGAAAGCCGTTAAAAGAAGATACGACATTCCGTGAATATGTTGAGTCTAATAACGGAACATAGTGACACTGACACCGAGGTGGCCAAAATGTAACAAAATGTCTCATGCCGATAGTACTTCCAACGAAGTCATGGACGTGTTATCGACACCGATGTCGGCACCTACAAAACCAGAGAACTCGACTTATTGCTTGTGACCTCCAACGAGAAGATTTTCTGTCCTTCCAACCACGATCAAATCGCAGGTTTAAAAGTAGAAGGTCCTCCGAGTTCGAAGTGCGTGGATGATATAAGGCCAGTTAAGCGACGGCGGACTCCACGCCTTTCTGATTCCATTGAAATGCTGGTAGACGAATGGGGTCAGAGGACGATGCATAGGTAAGTTGGGCGCTCTTCCGCTAGCGTCGGGTCGGGATTTTCGCTAGATATGTACACAAGAACTAGATGGTGTTGTCTTGTTATCGTCGACCGTTGCTTCGCATTTTCGCAGGGGCGCTGAAAGATGGGTCAAGGGGGAAGCAGGCACGCGGCTGGTACTTTCTGCTACATGGCCACTACTAAGCAGCCCTCCTCAGACATGACACGGGGCTGGAGAATGATTGCTGCAACCCGGGGAATTTCCTGGTTCGCTTGTGCGATCCGAAATCCGAAGAACATATCCCCAGCGTTTCAGTTGTCCAACCATTCAATATGGCGTCGCATTGCTGGAGTTAAATATATAGCGACGCCTAGAAGGAAAGAGGTCAGAAGGATCGTCAAGATCAAGAATTGGTCCCGTGACACACACTTGGTTAAGCAGCTATCTTTGAATTGAATCACCAGCTGCAGGACTGGCAACCTCGAAGCGAGGGCTTCGTATTGTAAATGAGCGCGGTAATGAGCATGCGTTGCGGTGCCATGACGAAAAGTTTATATTGCCAATGAGGTTCGAGGGTGCCGAGCGTGCACCTGCTGGAAAAGGCTGGGCAGAAGCTGTCCGAGGTTAGTCCTGTGAACCATGACCATACGCCGCCGACCCCAGGAAGTGGTATAGTTCTTCACGGCATAGGGTTCCATATGGACAGACGCCTACTACGATCGCTGGGAGGAACAACGACTGAAAGGTTCGAGAGTCTCCTTCATCAAGGAGATAAACAAGACATCTTCAATTGATCGAACGTGTTCGATGAATACGCTGCTAGATGACTGCACCCTCTCAAGTCTTATACAAGCCGGGCAACCGATATGAATTCCAACTGCGCGAACAAAGCGTCAATGAAGCTCTGGAACCGAACACCGCGAAGAAAAGCGCAGCCTTACTTGCATTGGTGGAGGGTCTTAATCCGAGTGCACCCTGTGATCCTTGGATTCGCCAGATGAAGTGGAGGCAGATGACCACAATACATGGCGGGATCAGAAATGGGCAGGACGCCGAGATATCACCTCTACGATCATCTCGGTGAGGGCAAGAAGGTCGATGAAGATGCAGATCGTGCTGAAGGCTTGCACGATTGGTGCGGGATGTCATCTATAGAGCTGATAAGATATGGTATCAGGAGAGAAAATACTGCAGAACGGGGAAACGTGTCAGTGACAAGAGGGCAGCCTGAAGAGGTGGTGCGCTCACCATTGAGTTGACTCTCAAAGAAAGCGTTTCGCGAGTCAACGGCACGACGCAGAACAAGTGAAGGACAAGTAAAGAACGACAAACGAAGATTCGACCAAAGAAAACAGAGAGTCCATCCATCCACTACAACCCCTCAATAACCTTCCTCACATCTTCCGCCTTCTTCCTGAACGCTACCAATTCCCTCTCCCCATCTCTCTTAAACTTGTCATACTCCATCTCCATCTGATACCTCACCCATTCCTCCACAGTCATGTCTAACTCGGCGGGCGTAAGTGAAGGCAGAGGGATAAATGGTAACTTCGACAGCGGTGGGAAGAATGGGGGTTGTTCCGGCTCTTGCGGAGCGGGAGGCTGTTGACTACTCGAAGGTTGATCGGCAGAGGACGTTGGAGGAGGGACGGCATAGGACGAAGATGATGTCTGGGCAAGAGGTATCGAACTGAAGGCGGGGGCCTTGGTGCGGACTGGAGTTCTAGGAGGCTCAGCGGCCGATTCGTGCATTGTCACATCGGCGTCCAAACCGGCCTCGGGCTCGTTTTGCTCAGGCTCGTCATCCAGGTTCATCGCGTCGTCCTCGACCTCAGGCGGAGCTTCCTCCACCCTAACCTTCGGCACGAGCTTTACCGTCATCTCAACGGCGGCTTCCTTCACTTTGGGCACTGTAGGCCTCTTCTTCGTCGGTGCTGGCTTTGGGGGTGGTTTCTCCTCCTCTTGCTCGCTCTCCACGGCGTCCTGATCGAGTTCATCTTCATCATCGGATGAAACGTCCACGACCTTCATCTGCTTCTGTGGTTTGACTGATCTGTGCGAGGCCGGTTTGGCGCTCGTAGTTTCGGTCGTGGCCTTGGCGCTGGGAGCAGGCTCGGTTGCCTTCGTCGTCCGCTTGGGTATGAACAAGGGGGTCATCTCCACGTCGCCGTCACCGTCGGCGCTCATCATGACAGGCACGCTCTTTGAGGGAGGTTTAGCTCTTGTTGCGCTTTCTGGCTTTACAGACGCCCTGGAGGGAGGTTTTGCCTTCGCAGCTGGAGCAGTAAACGAAGGTTGTGGGATTACAGGTCCAAATTCATCTTCTTCCTCCTCTTCCTCAACGTCGGGCAGCTCACTCTCTTGAGCACTCTCCTCTTCGGTCTCCTCCTTCGCGCGACGGGAGGACGTAGCTCTGCCTTTCCCTTTCGCCTTGGTGATCGCCTTAGCGGATGAGGCCCGAGTAGACTTCCTGAGGATGGCGGGCTCTTCGTCGTCTTCTGCCTGGGCTGCTTCCGGTACATCTTCTGCCTCGGATTCGACGACTTTCTTCGACGACCTGGACTTTGTAGATGATTTCGACGTAGGGGCTTTGGCCTTGGATTTGGCTGCTGGTTTCTTAACCGTCCGCTGCACATCGACCTCTTCCGCGTCCTCATCTTCTTCTCGCCCAGTCTCATTCTCCTCCTCTGTCTCCGCTTTGGCCTTCCGACTGCGAGTTGTAGAACTTGGTTTAGCCTTCGCTTTGGATTTGGATGCAGGTTTAATAGGCTTTCTTTCCGTCTCGGGTGCTGTCGTCCATGCCTCATCCAATTCCATGTCGGAGCCATCATTTGCACTTTCGTCCTGGACGGGTTCATGGATGGGTTTCTTGGACGCGGCCCTCGTCTTGGTCTTCCTGACCATCTTGGGGGGTTCAGGTTCCTCGACGACTTCAGCCTCAGACTGCGATTCCTGGACACTCCGTGCAACCGATTTCGAACGGGACTTGGCTTTCTTCGTGGTAGTCGAAGGAGGCTTGCTCCTACTGGCCGTTCTCGAGCTCTTCTTTACCGTCGCCGGTGGTTCCTCGTCCTCGGTGGGCAAGTCGGCCTCACTCTCTGAAGGAGCGACGGACTTGCTCCGGCTTCTGGTCCCCGCAGTAGACTTCTTTGCTCTTGAAGATTTCGCTGGTGTTTTCGCCGTCGATTTTTTGGGTTTGGCCTCCTCGACAACATCCTCCGGCTCTTCAACATCCTCGTCCTCATCTTCCTCCACCACGTCCTTCAACGCATTCCGAGTGCTACTCCGACTGGCACTTCTCGCTGCAGGCGTTTTCGCGCCCGCCGCACTTGATTTACGTGTGGAAGAGGCCCCAGAGGCAGAGCGTGAAGACGATCTGGCGGGGGTCTTCGCTGTAGAGGGTACTGCAGATTTCCGTGTGGAAGCGCGCGTCGACTTGGTTGACTTTGTTGATCTGCCTGATTCCGACGCGTCTCCTGCATCGTCATCGCCACTATCCCCACCGTCGTGAGCTTTAGTGGGCATGAACGTATCCTGATGCTGAGGTTGTTGGGCACGCGAAGAAGGACGAGTTGTGCGGGAGGGTGGTTTGGATCGACTCTTCGACGCTGGAACTGCATTACTGGAAGATGAAGAAGTGGAGGAAGGCGGAGCGGTCGATGATGAAGCGAAGAATGGACAGGGGTAGCCTGATTTTTCTTTCCGTTTTCTATGCTCTTCTCTGTAGAGATATCTTAGTTTTGGCCCCTAAGTCGACAGTTGTTTATGAACGCACAATGGATCGTCTTCTTTATCCCATCCGCTAAGGGAGGTTTCACAATACAAACATGTTGCCAGGTCGTCATCTTCGCCTTGAGGCGTAAATACGAATCCAGCCTTGGCCATCTACAGCGTGTCAACGAACTCTATCGTCGACGAGTGTGAATCCCGATCTGGGCGTACCTTCTTCGAGTTTGCGTTATGACCCTTAGTTTTGTCGTGTACCCAACCCTTCCCAACCTGAAATGTTTCGAGCCGTGCCTTCTCCATAGCTTTGCTTGAAGGAAGACGCGATTTATCTGGGAACACGAACCTGTAACCCATAAATCGGCGTGGTCAACACAAGCTGCACATCGTCCGAGCAACGGATGGACAGCGCACCTGCCGTGACGATCAACATCCTCCCTCAGCCCACACCTCAAAAGAGCCCAGCAACACCTCGTCTTGCATTTGTCGAAATGGATTTGAAAAGGATCATCTTCTTCTTCCCAACCGCTCAGCTCCTTCTCGCAGACGAAGCAAGTGACGTTGTCGACATCGTCCGGTGAAGGACTGTAGTAGAACCCGGCTTCTGCAAGCGCAGCCGGTGTGGCTTTAAAGGACCTTGAAGAACTCGAATTTGACGACGTTGGGTGTGGCCATTTGAGGGTGGTCGTACCCCCCGAGCTCTTTTTGACGCGTTTGGATTTGGAGAACGAGTCGATACGCGCTTGAAGGCACTCCATCGGGGGCGTTCGATACGACTTGACGTTGTTGTCCTGTTTATCTTGAAGCAGCGCTACAGAAACGAGCTCGACGTTGCCGGGTACGACGAAGAGGAACGATGGAAATATACCAAGCACAGCCAAAAATGGAGGCGTTGACGGTTGAACGGGCGGAGTCAAGCAAAAGGGTTACGCGCCGCGCCGCCCGATGCCCGCTCCGTTCTCGGCTTGTCACGCGCCGCCCTTTTCGCGTCTGGTCACGCTCTCCCATATTTCCTTTTCGGGAAATGGTCACCAGGACCATCATTGGTCCCTTGGACGGTGACATTTATCTTTTTGTCTGCTTCAGCCATCGTCTCGCCTCTAGGAACGCCCTCTGTGTCTCGTCGCAATGCCTATCAATGTGACAAGGACGTATGGTAAGCGCTCGGGCTCTAAAACGAGCACGGCAGCCTTGAAGCGCAAATCGACCAGCGAAATACCCCAGAATGTCGAAGAGAAGCCGTTACCAGGGTCTTCGAATACCAGCACCCCACAGTCTAATGTCCACGCCGAGAAAAAGAGGAAACTGGACAATGATGTCGCCGTGTCGATAATGACTAAACGCGACGACGAGTTGTCCAGTGTTGTTTCTGCAAGCAACTCCAGACCTGCAACTCCAACCAAACTCTCCAAACGGATGCTCGGTCGTTCTAAAACAGAGACATCTGTGACCAGTACAACCGAATCTCCATCTCTCGATACCCGGCGGACACCTTCTCTCCCAATTTTACCCAGTGAAGCCTCTCCCTCATCACTTCACACCCCGTCCAAGTCCTCAACCGCCGTCTCCGCGTCCCCTCTCCGCCAAACACCCTCCTTCACAAAGTTCTCTACAGTCCTGGCAACGACATCTGGGACAGCCACGATATCCGCCTCACTAAACGGCACTTCCACCACCACGATCTCAAGGTCGCGTTCCACCGTGACCAGAACCTATGCAGGGTCCAGTCGTTCCTTCCTGATGCCACTCTCTTCATTCTCGGGCAACCCGCTAGATCCAAACGCTCCCGCCCCGCAAGCTGACGACTACGAAGATGAATTCTCTCGCGAGTCTTACTCTACGTTACGCCAAAAATACGGCGTGGACGATACATCCGAAGACGAGTTTTGGAATGGCGACGCCGTACCCTCCACTTCAGCCAACCCCCGATCTAATTCAGGGACGCCTGTCTCGACACCTTCCAAAGCTAATAGAGCCAGAGGGAAAGCACGATCTGGCTCGACATCCCCTTCCAAGTCTCGGTCCAAGAAGGATGGCACGCCGTCGAAGAGCCAGCTACCTGCTCCCCCACCCCTCCCAAGTAACATGATGAACCCGCTCAAGAGCATAACAGAGCTCAGAAATAAGGGCGAGACTAGGCGATTCCTAGACGAAGTGGCCTACCTCTTAGACGGAATGGCCGTCCCATCTGCCAGCTCAAAATCCCCAGCCAACATTGGCCTGGTACGAGCAAGGTTTGTGTGATTCGCTACATAGAAAGTCTTTGTACTGAATCATGATCCTAGTGCACTAGAACTCATCACTAAGCTCTTCACCTCTGCCGACTTTAGTCGCAAGGCCAAAGCAGCTGACATCTACGGCAAAGTGTACGGCCTCTTCCTAAACGCAGGCGCCGGAATAGGGTTGGATAAATTGCTGGACGCCCTCCTCCTGACCTTCCTCGTCCTAGTCTCGCGAGACCCCTCCTCGCTGAAGGAATTGGGCGAATTATACCCTCCTTCATCTTCACCGGAAGCTGTTCGCCTAGACGCTAAAGGAAAGAACAGGTCCTCCTCCACGGTTATCTCCGTATCCTCTCGATCTCTGGTCGATATCCTGTTTCATCTTTTTCAGCTCCACTGTCCCCCAGAACCAGATGATGAGGATGGTCTCGGCATTCCGACAGACCCGCTGGTCCTAATCTCAGACCCCACCCACTCTGATGCTTACTTCAAACGAGCAGGCATTGGGAAGAAAGAAAAAGGACAGGTCAGTGCTATACTACTCCTTTTTCCCGCAGCGACTCATAGGAATCCCCTCTTGCTTCCACTTAGCTGTCATCTCTCTACTCCATCCTCACTTCCCAACCCACCTTCTCCTTGCCGACGAAGAATGAAGAGCGGAAAACCCTCTCCACGCCGATGATTGCCGTCGCATTGTTGCATGTTCTCCCAACTTCGCTTCTACCTAACGACAGGTGGAGAGTGAACATTCTTGTCAAGTCCCTGAATGGAGTTACGCGAGCGGTTCTAGAGTCTGCAGGGTCCCCTAAACCCAAGGACAAACTAGGGGTCGGAGAGGTTGGCCTGGACTGGCTAACTCTCCATGCCCATCTACGACTTCTTGATCTGTATCTCTTGGGCCAGTGGAGTCTTGTTCGTAAGGATGGTGACGGAGAGGGGACGGAGGGTAGTGAAGATGATGATAATATCTGGAAGCGGATGGTTGAGAGATTGGTGAAGCTGGGAAGAGTTGCGGTGTCTAGGAGGCGTGCTGATGAAGATGAGGTTGACGAAGCGGGTAACTTGGTCGATCAGTGTCTAGAAGCGCTTCTTCGGGTCCTTGTCACACTTACACATGGGGAGAGCAAGTGGGGGACATGTGTCGCATCTAGCGAGGGGAAGGGCGACCCGACTCTTTCATGGTTGACGCTTTTGGTGGAGGAATCCGGGAACAGGATCAAGTCGATTGAAGGAGCACAGACACGACCGAGTGGAGGTGGGACACGGCGTAAAAGGAAGCTGTACGAGATGGAGGAAGAGACGGGGACAGAAGCGGCTGAAAGCGATTCGGAGAGTGAAGAGGATACATTCCAGCAACAACGTCGACGAGAGGCAGTCGAACGGCGCACTCGTGCTTTGGATCGACTTTGCCTGTCTTTGGCACTCTTGACGAACCTCGTCCAAGAGGTCGATGATGTTTCAGATCTTCTGAGAGATGGGGGGATGTTGGTGGCCTTGGTTGGGGTATACAAGCAGCAAAGCGACCTTTCCGAGGAGCTAAGCGCTATGCAGAGTTCAGAAGGCGAGGAAGAAGCGATAGTTCAAGAACGCGAGCAAGCACAAGTCGATGCATCCTTCCTTCGAGGCCACCTTGCGGTTTTGTTCGCGCTTCTAATGAAGAACGAGGAGAACAAGGAGACTCTGTTGCCTCTTTTACCTTCTCGTGGGGAGAGCACAAAGGCGAAGCTGAATCGATTGGTGGATCATGCCAAGCGATTCGTTTCGTTCTTCGATGTTGTGCAGCAGACGAATCAGGACCAAGAAGGGCTTAGCCAGGAGGAGCAGAATGAGAAGAAGGTTGCGATGGAGGCTGTGGGTTTCCTGGAAAGTCTTCGGGATAGTTAATTGTAGCGTAATGCACTGATAATGATAATCGCTGAGTGGCAGAGTTGGGATAGATGTGGTGAATGAGGAATGTGACGTCATTTATTGGGCGGGACAAAATAATTGAAAACGGATGGTAACAATTGGGTGTCCGCATGACCTTTGAGGTAAAGTGGCAGTTGTTTTTGGTCCGTTTACTGTAAACGTGGTGGGCAGTCTTTCCTCCTTGAAACTTATCGACGCTATCGCTGCCATCGACGACTCCATCGGCCACACGACATGTCTGCATCCCCCAACGACGATCCGATAGCTTCTGGGCAGAGCGGTGAAGGTACGTCGTCGACAAAGGCGAACGACGAGCAAGCGCAACAGCAGCAACCACAGGCAGAAGAGGAGGGGCCTAAGACGTACCATGTGCTCGTAACCGGTTTCGGTGTAAGTGCTCTCTCACCTCCTTGTTGCTTGAACCCCGAAAACCGAACCCAACCGCAATTCTCTCTGCTCCATCTCAAAAAATCGATGCTGCCTCGTCTCGAACCCGTCACGCATCGACCCTCGTTCTCTCTCTCTGCCGCCCGATTTATATTTCTGCTCTCCTTTTTCGTTTTATCATAAAACGGAAATGATCCAACTTCAAGCCCCAGCCATTCATGAAACACAAGACCAACCCATCTTGGTTGGCAGTCAAGGCCTTGCATAACATGACGATCTCCAGCGATCAGTGGTTCGACGTCTTTGGCAACATCGTCGTCGCCACACCCGGCAGCGAGAAGAAGGGTCCAGTAGGCTCAACGAGTGCTGGGACTGCGACGCCGCCGGGAGCCGCTCCTGCTCCTGTCAGCTCTCCTATCGTTTCCCACGGGAAACGATCCTGGGAAACGGCGATGCTTCTTCGTACAATCACCTCAGAGCTTCCCCATCAGTCCCTTCTGCATCCAAATCGACCGTCAAGGCCTCAGCTGGGTCCTCAAAGCTCAAGAACCCACCCATGGCGACGGTCACAAGCCCGCCTCTTCCCCCACTGCCCGAACCAGGCCCATTCAACGTTCACATCACCGCGCTCGAAATCCCGGTCTTGTACGAAGCAGTTCTCGACATCATCCCCGGCCTCCACCTCAAACCCCCCAAGCTCCCTACCGACTCGACCTTCATCGAGCTCCCACCCGATTTCCCACCTGCCCCGGAAAGCGGATATGATTTTATCTTCCATATTGGTGTTGCTGGGAGGGGCCCGCTGAGGATGGAGATAATCGGCCACAAGTTTGGGTACAACATGAAGGATGCGAGTGGGAACTATTGTGCGATTGTACCTCCCCCTTCGACGGGCGCTAAAAACAACATCAACGCGACAAGAGGGCCTGGCGCACACCCACCTGCTGGAGTGGGTCCTGCGGGTGCGATTGTGCCTTCGGGTGTACACTATAATCTGCGGGGACCTGGTGGAGGCGGGTTTGGAAGTATGGGTATGGGGTATAACAACGAGAGGTTGGGATATAATCCGGCGGTGCACGATCCTCAACCTGCGATCCCAGGCACAGAAAACTCGGTTAGACCTGTAAGAGGCTTCGGAACGGCCTACGAAAGCTTCCCAGACGAGATGATGACGGATATCGATGTGACGCGGTTGGTCCAGGATTTGAAAGCGAGTGGAATCACTGTAAGCTTCTGCCCTTTTCCTTTCATGAGCAACGCTTTTGTTGATACGTTGTTTGCACTCTACCAGCAAATCTATACCTCGATGGATGCAGGCCACTACTTGTGCGATTTTATCTACTACTGCTCCCTGGCGGAATCTAAGCGCTCCTCTAAATTGACGATGCCATACATGAGCACCAACTCTCCTTACTTCACACCGTCGGCTCAAGGACCCTACTACCAATCATACCAAGGATACCCCGGTCAGGCTGGATATTACCAACAACAGCAGCAACAACAACAACAGCAACATTCTTCACAAGGTTCAGGGAGCACGGGCCCCAAAGCTAACCACGCGAGCTCGTCTAGTAATACGTCGAAATCCAAGCCGGCGAGGGTGTTGTTCATGCATTGTCCACCTGTGAAGGAACCGTTGAGTACGGAAGAGGTGACAGAGGCGATTAGGAGGATTGTGTTGTGGGTGTGTCGGGAGTGTGAAATTGAGGAAATTAAGGAAAAGGCGCAGACCCCAGAGGAAGGGGCGCATGGTGGTGGATATTAATAATGCGTTTTCCGAGCTGGCTTGGGTGGATGCGGGAGGCTGGCGACTAGGTGTGGAATGTATGTCTTCTACAGTCCCTTGCTACATATTGGCTCACTGTACAAACACAGGGCGGGGATATTATCGAATCTAGCGCATATGTATTACTACTTACGCTTTTTTGCGGCTTTGTTCTGTGAACGACTTGTTGCCCTACGACTTTACGTTCTTTTACTCTTTGCACTTCGAGTTGGTTTTGTTTGTATTAGAAGAATTCAGATGGCTGGGATAAAGAATAACGATAATTGACTAAAATGCTTGTTCTGCCATGATGCTGGTGCATGCATTCTGTTTACTGCTTTCGTTCCTTCTTCCTCCCGGCGAATGGTTTTCCCTCGACTCGATCGAATAGTGCGCTTTCCGGCGGCTGAGGTTGCGTTGTTACTCTGTTTACGAACTGGTGGTGTTCTTTCCTCCTTGGGTGGATGTAGTGCAAGCACAACATCCGTGGACAAGATGAGGTCGAGTGATCCGGAGGCGGCGCACCTGTTTGGTCAGACCAAACAGCCTCGTCTTCCTCGCGCCGATGAGAGATGGTATCTCTCATCTTCTCGCCATTCTCGAGAGGTCCCCATCCTCTCTACTCGTTCCTCTCTCGTTTTCGCGTCCCACCGCTCCCGCCCACCACCAGCGCCTACGCTTGGCCATCCAGCCACGGTTGCTCCGGCTCGGTGGTCATCTGGGCGTTCCGGCCAGCAAGCTGGCCCAGGCAACACCAAGGAAACCTGATTAGGTTTACTTGGCTTCACGCTTCGTCACGGCTCTCGAGAGAACGAGCCTATCTTGTTTTCTGGAGTTGGATAGGGCTCGAAGCGACGACCTGACACAGTTCTGTCGAGCACTTTCAACTTCCTGAAGCATTCCCCAATTGTCCTCAACCTCAGTTGTCCCTTCCGATACTCTCTATCGTCGTGTTCGACCTGTATTGATAAAACTCTCCGATCGTCGATGTCGAATCGCGGCACGTATCGTGTAAACCCTGCGCAAGGTGCTCTTGTCCAGCCATCACCATAAAGTATTTCTCAAATCACCTTCGGATGGCAGCAGGAGCCTGAGATCCCCGTTCTCGTAACAACTTGAGGTACCGAGGGATACACCCGAGAGGCGTGAAGAGAGTAAGAGGGACGTGGTTTTTGGTTTCGAAGAGTTCGACTATAATTGTGGAGAATGGGGTTTGGGAGATCAGGTCGTCGAAAGAGGGTCCATCTTCCTCCATAACCTGTTGCAATTGGATGTCGGAACGTGCAGTCCCAGAACCAGAGACACCATCGTTGGTACCGTCAGGACTGTCAGGAAATATCTCGTTGGCGAACTTTGTACGAGCTGCTCGCGGCGGTATCAAGTGTCCCCGGGAAACTCGACTTCTTGTGATAGGTGCTGAAGAACCAGAAATCCCATCCGCATCGCTCGCCGGTCAGAGCGAAGCAGGGCATTGGCACTCTTACTAGCAAAAGGCAGCCACTGCATCATACTCCTATGATGAGAGGACCTGGATAGGTTCATCGTCGTTAGTTACAGTGGGGATGTTCACTTGCGAGAAGAAAGGGAAGCAAGGGCACGGAATACGGTGGTCAAGTGGATATAAGGACCCCAGTGAGAGCGCACGGACCAACTGTCAAATGGATCGTCGTCGCGATCACCGTTTGCATCTCCGACATTCCTCGGCGCTTACTTTGGCGTTTCCCTGCAGCGGTTCGCCCAACTCAACTAGAAAAAAAGACATAAATTACAAATGGAGATCTTGTGGAGATCCGCCGAATGACCTCAATATTTGCTCGGAATAGTGTAGCCCGCTCGCCCAATGGAGTAGAGTCAATATTCGTTCAATCGTCGCACTTAGGAAATAATATACGATAGTAACGTATCATTAATTTTACACAGATACCGGTAAGATACCTCGGCGCCTACGGCTCCCTAGCTTTCATCTGACCCTTTCTCCGTTGAATCCTTCGCCTCTGGCTCATTGTCTTTCCTCCTCTTCTCCGACTCCTCCCGCAAAGCAGCAGCTTTCCTCTCCTTCACAACCCACTCTGGAGCATCCTTCACGGCTTCAAAAGGACGCGTCTTGTAGATCATGAGATACCCCTGTATCGATGCCATGGAGAGTTCACGTTCCGGAATGAAGCTGGCAAATTCAGTGGACAGACCCTCGACTTGCTCCAGAGAGAGCTTGGGAGCACGGCGCTTGTGAGGTGCGATGGGCAGTGGCTCTTCCGACGCTCCGGTCTTCTCATCCCCGCCAATTGGCAATGTCTTTCCGTCTACTTCTGGCGAATCAGCTTCTGACCCCTTTATCAGCCCCTCCTCCGAGATTCTCGTAGCTTCCTCATCAGGAAGATAAAAGCGTTTGTACAACTCCTTCGCCTGCAAGCGGCTTGCAAGCTTGAATTCCACATGCACATCCATCCTTCCAGGTCGCGTCAAAGCCGGGTCGAGGGTTCCATACTTATTTGTCGTGGCAAAGAGGATTCGGCCCTCCTGTGCGCCGACACCGTCCAGCGCGTTGAGGAGCCCGCTAAGGCTGACTCTTGAGGTAGGGGTAGATTTCTCGCCATCGTCAGAGCCGGAATCGGAGCCCCCATCTCGATTCAGAGTCCGGCTGAAAGCGGCGTCGATGTCTTCCATTAGAGCGATGCATCGTTCTGCCAAGAAAGATGTTGTTAGATTTGGGAGGTCAAAGAACGATAGTGGATGCATACCTGGAAGTCGAGAAATGATGTCACCCAGCGTGTTGTCGTCCATTCCGCAGCGCGAGAGGGAGATGATGTAGACATTCAAACCCAGTTCACCGGCCAAAGCGTGGATAATGCTGGTCTTGCCCGTTCCCGGAGGTCCATGCTGTTCAAAAGAATATCAAATTGACCATCCAACGCAAACGTACGTTGAAGTACTCACCAAAAGGTATCCACGCCGGAAGGGAATACCTCGTTTGATGTACCAGTTTTTGCTCAGCATGAAATCGAGAGCGTCGTCAAGGATAAGAGTCTTAACCCCGGGATCGAGGACGATGGAGTCCAAAGGTCGTTTCGGTCGGCAGGCCAGTAGCTTCCAGTAGTTGGATCTATTTTCGAAATATGTCAATCATACGGAGGATGAAACTTCGCAGAGAGGTGTACGTACAGATCAGCGGTGTAAATGCAGACATTGTTCTCCTGAGACTCTTTATACAACTTCTTTGCTTCGCGTAGCAAGTCGTTGAGAACCTTGCGGGAATCCCAAGCCATAATCCTATGGCGCAGAGTCATTCAGTCTTTGAACGAAAGAAGGATCGAAAAAACGAACGTACCGAAGGTCGAGGATTTTAGTAGCAGAGTCATAGGGGCCCTTCGCCTCGCGGATTTGCCTGGAGACATACATCCAGTATCGCCCCTTGTACCAGAGAGTGGTTGGTGTTGATATGGTTGGGATAAAATTCAGGCCGGAGGTACGATGGAGTGCATCTGTAGGGTCGTCTTCTTCTCCTTCAATGTGTGAAGCGTTCGTATCCAAACCCCAGTCATCCGTCGTAACTTCAATATGTTTTGCTGATCCTAGGACAATGGAAACAGGTCAGTGATTTCTTCTGGAGTGATTGGAAGGTAAGATACGTACTCCACTCTGGTTGTCGCGAAAGCCATACCATCATCCAGTCTAACCACGGTGCCAGTAAGCATCCACAATTCCCGGAAATCGAGCTATGTCTTACCATAGGGTTCATCATCATCTTCCAGATGAACGTTAATGAAGAAAGCGTTGGAAATCTTATACCAGTAATAAAATGCCCATCGACGTGCAGTCTCTAGGATCGTGCCAAGAAAGGCGAACTTGATGTAGTTCCTCAAAGCGGAGAACGATAGTAAAAGGGTCAAGATCGAGGTGATGCTGAAAGATGTTGGAATTGGAAGGATGGCAGGTTCTGTCGAATTCGACGGGGTGCTCAAGCTTGACTTTAACTGGCCATCTGTGACATCGTCGAGTAGACGGAAAATTTGTTGGGCGACTGAATCGAGAGAACCAGCCATGATGGCAAAGGTTGGGTGGTTTGTAAAATCGATGCCTTCTTGTGCTTCACTTCTTATACGGGGCAACTGTAGTGGCACAGATGGATTGAGTGGCTGCTTGGCCACAACAGAGACTGCATGGTCACTCCTAGTCATACCGGCAGCGACGTGGGTTCCGTTGTCTCGCCGTCGGGCCCATCTCTGAGTCAACGGCACAGAAAAAGCATATTCGAATTCGAACTTCTTTCTGCGGGCGCCAAAGCGTCCATGGAAGTTACCGAATGTACACACCACTACACAGCAATGAAGAGTTTTCAGGTTGTGGGCGGTGAGGGTGATTCTTCTGACTCACCTTGTCAAGTATGGGTGGCAAAAAGTACTTTTACCCGAATGCAAGAGGCGAAAGGATTGTTCAACTTCGGGCTTCTTTCAAGGGCAACAGAGGGCTACCTGTCACTGCCTGTGGCACTTGCACACGAATGCACGTCGAGCTCGCTCGTTCCATGGCAGCTGAATCATGGAAATAAACGAAAGCGTCGTACGAGACAAAGTGGCCATCTTAGCTACGTGTTGCTGAGCGCATGTTGTTGTCTATCATTTGCTTTGTTGGTGGATAAAGCGAAAAGCAATCGAAGCGCCCGGAGCTGCCCTGCCACCGCGTTGATCGGAGCTGGTTTCCGAAGATCTAATCTTATCAATAATCTTATCTCCCCTCAAAGTTGGACCGGCAATTCTAGAGCAGGACCTCGGTTAACTCAACTTTTCTCCTTCCCTCCGCTCACCCCGCTCACATGCCAGCTCATATCCACTGCTCACCATAGCCTGCTCTATATTTAACCTCTCTGGCTTCTTGGACTCTTTACATGATATCTATTGCTCTCCCTGCATCTCGTCGGATCTCAATTCGATTTCAACTACCAACGACTAGTCTTCAACTCGGATTTCGCTACAGCCAAACGCGCTACAACTCGACCAAGATGACAGCATATCTACCACAATCTACGATACCCATATTTACGACCGTTGCGTCGTACAGGGAATGGAGGCAGAAGGCATTCAAGGAGGGTAAATCGGTTGGGTTCGTCCCAACCATGGGGGCGCTTCATGAAGGACATCTATCACTAGGTGCGAGCCCAATCCATCAGTGCAATGAACTTAGGCTGACGATGAACAGTCCGCAGGTCACTCACAGACAACGACCTAACCGTCGTATCTATCTTTGTCAACCCAGCTCAATTCGCCCCGCACGAAGACCTGGCTACATACCCCCGCACACTACCTACCGACCTCAAACTCCTCGAAGCCACTACGACTTCGTCAGATAAAGAGATAAAAACACCCTCTGCGGTATTTGCTCCTACCGTCAAAGAAATGTACCCCTCTGGCATCGTTTTGAACGTCTCGGAACAGAAAGGGACCTTCATCGAGGTCAAAGGCTACAGTCACCAAATGGAAGGAATGACCAGACCTACATTCTTCAGGGGTGTCGCAACAGTCGTGACCAAGTTGTTCAACATCATCCAAGTACGCTCTCCTATCAACTTTAGTCTCGATTTAATCTTCTAATCGCCACCTAGCCTACACACGCCTACTTTGGCCAAAAGGACATCCAGCAAGCTTTCATCCTCAAACGTCTCGTACGAGATCTGCTGTGCCCACATCCAACACCCGAGAACCTCCACATCGTCCCAACAGCACGAGACCCAACAGACGGACTCGCTCTCTCCTCCCGCAACGCCTATCTCTCTCCTTCAGGTCGCAAAGTTGCTGATACCCTCCGCCGAGCCCTCCTCGCAGCGGAAGCCAAATGGAAGGAAGGAAATTCCACAAAACAAGAGTGCATTGATGCAGCTGTCGCTCAAATCACCCAAGCACAAGAACGAATCGCGAAAGGGGGGTTGGACGTGCAGATGAAGCTGGATTACATCGAGATGAACGACGCGGATGACTTTAGCGTCCTCCCTTCAGACGCACGGCCAGTTGATAGGCTCGTCATCCTCAGCGGCGCTCTCTACGTCGACAAGACGCGCTTGATAGACAATATTCTCCTTGGTGACACTGCTGGGCTTATAGACGCGTAGTTTGATTAACACTAATATTCTCCAGTGTTCTAATTCAATTCGGAAGGTCACGTACACATATCCTATCCCATAGTTAATAATCCAAGGACATCAACCCAGCACCGCCTCGCTTAAGCCTCTACTCCCCGCTATTCATCTCCAAAAGCGACTCGATGCTCTTCCCAAGGTCACCATCATTAGCCTCCAAGACCCAATCCACAACCTCCCTATCCGTCCCAGGGAAAATCTGCACCAACTGTGCCCTCGCCCTCTCAATCTCCTCCTCCCTACTCTTATGGCTCGCCTCAATCTGCGCCTGCACACCCGCGAAATCCAAGTTGGGCGTAGGCGTTCGCGCGATCTCGCTCGCTGCAGCATTCAAAGAGCCGCTACCACCACCCTCCGAGTGAGCGAGGTAGTTGACGCGTGGGGGGAGGAGAGGTTGCGAGGGTCCGATGGCGAGTGGCTGGTTCGTGTAAGGCACTTTAGAAGGCGTCTCGTCAGGGTTGCCATATCCCGGTGATGCACCAGGTGACGAGCCCGGATATGGCGAATATCCAGAAGGCGAATACGGCCTCTTGATACGAGGCTTATAAGGTGTCTGTATAGGAGGCGCGTAATCCCCTTGCGGTCCATACGGCGTTTGTGGTACACCAGCGGACTGCGGTGTCTGCGGGAACTGGTGGCCCTGCGGTGAAAGTGCCCATGGGGGTAAAGGTCCTCCGGATACAGGAGCAGACGAAGGCCCCTGACCGGTATACTGATACTGCTGTTGTGGGCCCCCTTGGAGTTGTTGTTGCTGCCTCTGCTCCCTCCCAAGCTCAAATGGTGCAAACGGCCCAGGGAGGTACGCCAGCTTGTTCTCTGCCCCATCCAAAGCCTCTGAGAATATCCTCCCGATCGCATTTAGAGGCTTGGATATGGTATCTCCCGTCTTCTGCAGCAGTCTCTTCGCATCATCGCCAATCGTTTGGGATTGAGAATGTGAAGGTGTAGATAGAGCGAGGGGCCGTGCCGATTCTTCTCCAGCGTGCGGTGATTGGGGTACAGCCAAAATACGAGAAGATTGGGGTGGAGAGACGATAGGAGATGTAGGTTCCGAAGGCGGGAGAGCTCTGATGGCTGTTTCGACATTGCTAGAATGAGTGGTAAGAGTAAGCTTCCGGTGAACCGACGATAAACAAAATGGCTGGGTCGTACCGCTCGAATTCTTCTCGATCAATGTTGGACAGCGAGGTGTGGTCCATCGTTTCAATGAAAGATACTGCACCCATCTACGGATGTCCCGTTGTTAACGGATGCCGTGACTGAAGGTATGGAGATACATACCAAACTCGAAAGGTAGTATCCAGCTTCGCTCTGCAATTTGGCAGGGTTCCTGAAACGATTGATAAACCTGTCGGAAAACCTTCAATACACGGGTCTTTGAAGAATAGAGATAGGGAATCAAACTCACTCAACGTTCGAAAGCAGATGTTCCGGGTTAGCTTTCAATACGACGAAGATGAGAATCGGGACGAATGTATCAGCTCCTTCTTCCATCTTCAAATGCCGGATGAGGCCGAATATCACTTTGCAGCAATTGAGAATGCAAATGAGTTTATCTCGCGGGGCTTTGTAATGGTTGATCTTCAAGAGCTCTGATTTTGGGAAAGTGAGCGCCTATTCGCAGTAGAGGCTAGACCGAGTTGATGTACGTGCCTTGCTGTGCGAACATGAGGAAACCCTTGCTCCCTTCTCCTTCAGGTACATCGAGATGCTTCTCCTCGATCCATCCAAACAACGCTATCCGCTGCGCCAGAACCTTATCCTTTTCAAGATCATCAGTCGTAATGGGTCGCGGCGGGGTGGCGCGAGCAAGTTGAGGAGTAAACGTGCTGTAAATCAGGTCAGAACATGAAACCCATGATGATCACAGGATTTACTCACAAATCGTATAACCGATTCATGACCAACTTCTCCATGCCCTCCATCGCATTGTCAAACTCGGTCTCTGAAGCATTCTTCCAAACATCACAGTTACGCATCTGTTCCCCAATGAACTATACTTCATGATCAAAAAGGTGTGCCTGAAGGGGATGAGAGATAAGAGGGCTCACAACCAAAAAGTCATTGATAATTTTGATTTGATCATTGACAGTAAAGGTTCGTTTCGCGAAATTGCTCAAGAAACTGTAGTAGAAATAAGACGAATGTTCATTGAAAGGCGACATACAACAGCGACATACGATCTGAGATACTTGGAGACAGGTTCCGCCGACCTCGACTTCATCTGGTCCAGGAACTTTTGAAAATCGAACGCGCCTTCTGCGGGTTTAGAGTCGGTTCTAGCTCCAGGTACGGGCGATGCGGTCCCGCTCCCTGCGGCACTAGGTGTCCCTGATCTAGACGCATTGTCTCGTCGAGGATCAGATCGCGATGAGGCATCTTGTTGGGCGGCAAAGGATGAAAGGGTCGCTGGGGAAGGTACTGGTTTAGCGGCATCTAGTGATTGAGGTCGCGGTCTCGCCAAGGGGATCGCAAACGTTCTAGCCAGAGCAGCAAGAGAAGGGAAAGAAGATGACGACGAGGGTGTGTCTATAGCCGTTGGACTGGCTACCATAGATGTGTTTGGTGTCTCCGGTGGGGCCTTTGATGGATCTTGTGTGGACGGTGGCGACGGTGTTCTAGGTGGGGGTGATGGTGTCCGAGGTGGTGGCGGGTGTCCTTCCGAGGACTCCCAAGCCTGCCTTGCAGCTGCCTCCTCGACGCTCGCCAAGGGATCGAATTCACTCAGGACATCCTTGGACACTGGGGTCTTCGAGATCGGCGAAGCAGGAGCTGAGTTGGACTTGAGACCGCTGAATATCGATTGTTGCAACGAGGCAGAGTCTGGTAGGGTCACAGGCCGCCCTTCACCGCGAGGCTCGTCTCGGTCCCCGCTAGACCCTTGGGCATCGCTCCAAGGGTTAGGTGACGCTGGCAAGTCGGACGTTTCGAGGGATGATGTCGGTGCTGGGGAGGTTGAAGATGGCGGTAGGGCGGCGGTCGCCGGGGGTGACGATGAGCTCGATTGTGTTGTCGACGCCATCCAACGCGATGCTCAAAGGAGAGAGATAAACTTAAAGGTGCAGCGCAGGCCAGGGCAGTTGAGCGCAGCCGTGACGAGCACGTGGAGCAGTCAGCACGCGCCTGTGAACCGGAGATCACTCGAATCCGGCGCTAAGCGTGATGAGATCAATTCGTTAATAACTCTTCGAGGGCTCACGGCAGTGCTTCTGCCATTCCAAGCGCCGTCTAATTCTTGATTCCTCTTTATGTTGTGACACACGACTTGACTATATATAACGGCGGCGACATGCTTGTTGATTTACGCTGAATACCCACACCCCTCCCACTGTCAAATCTACTTTCCCAATGCCCATCGACTCGGGGTTCCCTGCGGTTGCAAACATGAAACACTGGGCAAGAAGGGTTGTGCGCCGTAGAAGTCAACGGTTAGCTCATCTACACGCTCTTTGTCTACCAGCTGAACCCGAAGACAGCAGCCCACCCGCTTCGGTTCTCGCTCCAACCATGCCAAGCTTATTCGGACTCTACAGAATGAAACGATGGGCAATGAGGTTGTTCACCACAAATTCTCAACGGTGAGTACACATAACTGATGCCCTTTCTTCAACATCACTGATTCAAGCCTTTTCTTTCAGCATTACCGGCGTGTCCGCGAAGAGTGACGCTACGCGAGCATGTGGTCACGATCTGCCACTCGAACTGATCATCGAGATAGTTGCTCTCGCAGGGCGCACCTCACACAAGAGCTACAGGAACACGCTTCTGATATCCAAAGCCCTGACCCCACTGATGGAACGAGCATGCCTACCACATCTCCCGATCCGACTCGAATCAACCTCCAAGATCCTTTCTTTCCACAAACTGTTGGTAGCGCGCCCCGACCTTGCTCAGCGTGTAGGCCACCTCTGGATAAAAGGCGGTACCTCTCGCAAAAGACCTAAACTAGGGTACTCTGAGCCCACACCGGCCACATGGCGGCAATTCAAGGCTAGCGCGTTCGAACAACTCCACATCATCCATTCCTGCACCAACCTCGTGTCTCTGGCGTGTTCATTCCCCGTCATGTTTCTCTGTTTCCGTTTCACCCGAGATGTATTCTTCCACCACGATAAACTCAAAGAGCTTACTCTTTTTGAGAACTGGGACCTTTGGCCATGTTTCGCAGTCGATCCACCCGTCGGCGGACCGCACCTTTTCCTTCAACTAACACACCTCACCATCGTGGACTGCGTCGCACCGCAGTTCCCCGCACACTTATTCCCATCGCTGAAGTACTTTGCGGCAGAACTTTACCCGGTGTCGCGACACCACGCGTTGGCAGCTTTCAGGTCCTCGAAACGGGATTCGGAGGCACCACTGCATCAAGACCTTCGAGGACTCGCAACCAATGTCAACGTCATGCTGCATCTGGGGCACAATGCGGAGCTGGGTGTCAGGAGAATCGTTGGAGACGGAAGGGAGTGGTCCGTAAGGGCAGGAGCTTTGCACCACTTCGAGTGGTGGGCTCAACGGGCGGCAGGGGGAGAGGGGGAGTGGGCTCCCCGGTAGCGAATTGCGATATCTGCGGGCTGATTCTGATATAATCCTCCATGCGATGCCTCACGACTCTTCACGATTAACTTATTTTTCTTGGGCTGCATTGTTCATCATGCGATGGTCACCCTCGACCACTATAGACCCAGCTTCAATCAGGTAGGAATATCTGTGTATTGTTTTATCAAAGCTGTAGCTACTGAATTAGTTGAAATGTGAGATGTACTTCAAAACTGTATGATGCATTCCACACGCCAACTAGAAACATCGGCGCTCAGTCAGCATATTCAAGTTGTCAGCCCAAACTGTACGTTGTACGTTTAATTCGCATCGATTCACCCCATGAGCCTGATGCCGATACAGTGCACGTAGATCTAAACGCCGGAACTTCATTCCGTTCGTTCTTTGAGGCTCGTGTTGGCTTACCCTCTCCACTGCATATGTGTAGAGCCGATGACAGTGAATGTCGGTTCGGACAACATTTTTCAAATGTCTAAGGACGATCCGTGGACAATGGCTATATCCTCCCTGCTACACACAGATTGATTCCCAGCTTCCTTATTCCTGTCACAATTCGCAGTCCTGGAGGGATGGCATATCATATCTCCGCACATGCAGTGGCCGTGGTGACCTCGACGGAAGGAAATGATAATGGCGTCTCCTCCCCGTGATGAGTGTCACCACTGGGCCCCAGTACGGACAGCGGCTCCAAATTTGTTGGATCTTCAAGAGAGTTCTATCATCACACCCATCAGCTGTTGTAATACTATCATCGGGCCTTCGTGCGGGACGCGACTGACCAGGTTGGCGCCGAGGAAGAGCGTCTCTCGAGAATAATCCGGGGTCCAAGGCGAGACTGAGTTTAAGATAATCAGAGATCTTCGTTCCGGAATACAAGGCCTTGCCAAGGCATACTAACGTACGACAGTAATGGCAGGACGCGTCCCATTAAGCGTGAATTAGCGCCTTCTCATGGGTAATTAATCTCAATAGGGGTTGTTTCCACTCGAGGATAGCTGGAAGGAAGCACTTGGAGATGCTTCCTTGCTCAGATGACCTTGGAACTCTAACTCAGCGCCACCTCAATTCATTCGCTCGGAGAGGATGCGGTGCTCCTGAACAGCCTCACGGGAAGACCGAATTCCTGTCATGCCCGCAACAGTCTCCACCGAGGCTGCTGAAAAACCAGCGTGGCATGAGTACGGTGTCTAGGGACCGAAGGACTCACTCACAGTATTACTCACCTACCGAGTTGACATTGTCTGGGAATGGTTATTCCACACTTCATGAGTAGATTCGAAGCTCAGCTTGACTGATGGTAACAGAGGAAAGTTGACGGAAAAGGCAATGGCGGACCAGGAATAGCTCCGCCGGATTATTTGTTCGGACCAAACACCGCCGATTTGGGATGTAGCGCGACGCGTACCTTTTGCCCCTTGTCACCATCACATCCCCCTGCCAGGCCCCTGCCCGCTCCACTCTCTCTGTACTAATACCCCTTCTTTATTCATACCCCACCGAAAAGCTTTACAAAAAGCACTTGTTTATACTCAAAAGCTCCTTTTAATTCCCTCTTTTTATTCTTATTGCATACCTCTATCCGGGATTCAACAGCAATCGCCGACAAGTCTCATCAACCAACGACGACGACGACGACGACGACGAAATGGGCCGAGCTCTATTCTCCAAGACCCACCGCGCACCAGCTGTCGCTGTCCGCACAGAACCGGACCTGCTTGGGCCCCCTTGCGAAAAATGGAGCGTCTCGAATAGGTTCGACCCTGACTCTGACGAGTTCTTCGAGCATGCGCAGTACGAGGCCTTCATTGACCCCGAGACTGTCCGTCGGGAGCAGGCGGAGGGGATTGCGGAACGGGTTCGGAGGGCGACAATCCTTGATGTGAGCTCTGACAGCTCGTCGGATTCAGGCGACGGAGGTAGCGAGGTGGGGAGCCCAATGGCCACAGGATTGGACGACCCAGCGGTCATGCTCGCCAACACCATCGCCATGGCGGAGGATGTCCGGACGGCGCGCGCAAGTCGCCAATTCCTCGCCGCCAGCGCCAGCGCCAATCTCGAACAATGGCGCACAGCACTCAGCGCCCTCAACGCCAATACTGCCGCTGCACGTGAACAACTCGAACGTATCACAGCAGATATGGCCGCGGACAATATTGCCATTGCCAATGCGGCTAATAATCTGACCACGGCCCCTAGATCTAATCGAAATCGCCCTCGATCAGCCTCTGCGGTTCCGGCCGTCCTTTCTGCGTCCACCGTCCGTTCGTCGATTATCGCTGCTGATGTATCGATGGACCAGATTCCCACTCCGCCTCGCTCCCCAGTCTTGTCGAGGCCCGTCGTCGTCTTCCCACCTTCCCCTCGATCAAGGTCTCGCAGCCCGGTTCGCGTCCCAGCCACTCCTTCCACCCCACACAATCCTACCGAGGACCACTCTTTGATCTCACCATCCCCTCCGGGAAGCGTTACCCCTGCAAGGCCCTATTCGTGGAGGGACCCCCATTGGCACCCAATCCCTGCCATCCCCAATAGCCCCACCCGCACGAGAAACACCAGAGAGGGACCTCTGACAAACCCTCGTGCCAGGATGTCGTATGCTAGGCTCACTACTACCCCTGTCCTTGTCCGAAACGCCAATTAAGGCACTTTCAAAAGAGAGGCTCATCGACCAGCTCAACAATCCTAAGACCCGTAATCACGATGGACACTGCTGTTACTTTCTAGAGTCCTTTGCCACCTTCAACCGTTTTCTTGCTATATACCCCTATGTATGGCACACCCTTCACGCGGATTGTATTATTGGCCTTTGCTCTGCCTCTTTGTTGTTCAATATGTTTATGTTGGTTGCTTCGTTTTGACTTATGCTCTTATATCCTATGTTTCAAGCTTTCCATTGTTTTCTTACCCAACCCCTCTTGTTCCCGCCGCTTCCCCCACAGTCCTTTCAGCCCGCCTTGTCCTCGCTTTCAGTCTGTTTTGGTTATTCACCTACTCATGCCACATCACCAGCAACCAACCACCAAGCCACGCTCCATGAACGAACGCAACATCTGTATCCAATACATCCGACTGTCAAGCAACAAACAAACGACCTTTTTGTATCAATTGGGTGGATTCGCGGGTTGCAGCCCTATGTATATTTACCTTTTACACTTGCTGTTTTGCTTAGACTACTACCCAATAGCATGCAGTATTCCTAGCCCCATCGCGTGTCCCATTGCCCGATGCACTCAAGCAATGTCCAAGAGACACCCCCAGAAGGCGTGGCATTGACCAGCAAACTCCATGTATCTTCGGTGTCTTGACGAGGAAGTCGGACGAAAGCCTGTGCTTCCTTCCCTTCTCCACCTGGAGAAAGGTATGAAATCGGGATCGTTGTCACTCCGTGGACAGTGATGAAAGCGAAGATTGGCTTCTGTGCGGTCGATGCTTGACTTTCGATTGATTTACTATAGGCGGATGAACAAATGTCTGTACAAGGTTGGAGAAAGGACGTGACACTGACCAAGTCTGTTCGATGATAGTGTGCACGAAGGTAGGCGCAAGGAGGCCCCTCCAGCATAGATGTGTGACATTGCCCACGCTCGAAGGTTGCGGAGGTTCATAGACCGCAATGTACGGGTCCGCACGATCTCGGGCAGATATTCTATCCGCAAAGTATCGTCAATAATGTCTAAGTATCACTTCACGACAGTGCTTCCTTACCTGGGAGAATTAAGGGCCGCCAACCCCGCCCACTCAAACAAGTCCATAAGATCCCTATTCCAATCTTCTATCTCATCCTCATAAGAAGCCGGCTTCTTCCCTTTCGAACCGGCCAACGTAGGTCGCGCTCCGAGGGACGAAGATGGAATATACACGTCGGTGGATTCCCGCTTCTTACATCTCACTTGCCGGACTTCAGCGTCTTTTGTTGTTGAGAGTTCAGGGATGCGATCATGGTCTATTTGGGAGAGTGGCCGAGAGTTAGACGCCGAATGACAAAGTAGGGAATGAAGATGCTGCGTTCGAAAAATGGTATATGGACGCTCTAATTGTAGGGACCCGAAATAGTACCATTTCGCAGAGCCACCGTCGAGGAACAAAAGAGATAGTGTGGGGCACGTACCTCGAGAACAATACACGACCTCCCATCCCTCAACCCTTTCTTGGGCAGCTCTGCGTTCCTCCCAAGCCTCAGATGATGCTTTAGTCTTAGCATAGGCTTTTGTAGATTCAACGGCGCTCTTTCTGAGAGGGATTTGAATGACTGTTTCGTCAAAACCCCGAAAGGCATGTTGGATAGGGAATGGAACGGAACGGGTCAGATGGCGACCCAGTGCGGTAGGAAAAGACGAATCCAAGACGTACCGTGTTGGTCTGAACGACCTTTAAACGGCAGAGGTTTCCCAACAATTCCTAGCGATTCGTATGTCTCCTTGCAGACACAGAGAGACAGGACGCCTCGAGGGTCGATACACCATACGTCCTGTGAAGACCCGACGGTGTTGGTTGTGAGCATTGTGACTTCGCCACTGCATTGAGGAAGGGAAGGGTGGCTCAGTTATAAGACGCTGTAAGTTGGAAAGCAACGGAGACAAGGCGTACCTCCCAAACGAATCTCCATTCACGACTATGACGCTGAGCCTCGTCCTCCCCTTCACATACCGCGTCTCCAATTTCGATAACGCGTTTGCGAGGGTGATATTTTCAGGAAAGACGACGTCGACCTACTGGGGATTCCAGGCATCAGTACCCTAAAATCAGGTAGTCTCCCCGATCCCCAGCACCAGCGCGTACTAGTAATCCGGATAGACTTGCCTGGCTAACAAAAGGATGGTGAAACGGCAGAGTCTCCAGGGCGGTCTTGTCGGAGGGTAACGATCCAGTCGAGACTTTTAGTCTCCGTTTCTCGAGGTTGGCCATTTGGGTTGACAGGGATGATGGCGGTGAGGAACGAAGAACGAAGCCCAGAATTCAGCGGCAGCGCGTCGCGACTGAGCTGTGCGTTGTCCGACTCCGATGGAACTCAAGAACAGAGGGACAGGTTGCGGGGAAATTACATTTTTTTTATAATTACAACCCTTGAAGGGGTATCGAAATACAACGGGATGAGTATAGTCTATGTCTGTGAACATCTACAAAGCGCGGTGCAGAAAGATTGAAATCCTCCACGTCAGTGTTTTTGCCTACTAAATAAAAAGCGACCGCCAGGGGAAAGCGAAGGTATGGGATATGGTATGAATGGATGAATTAATGGGGCTGCTAGATGATGATATTAATGCAGATGAGAGGGAGGTGAATGGCAACTTAGGCGACAGGTGCCCGGACGTATTTCCTCCTGAACTTGGAGTCAACGTGCTCGAGGTAGTATGCACCAGGCCAGATGTTGTCGACGGAGCCTTCAGGGGTGAAGTCGACTGCGTTGTGGTTCTTCTCACGGAGCTATAAAAAGACGAGCATATCAGTATGGAAGGCACAACGAGAATGAAAGTCTGAGATACTCACAGCCAAAGCAGCAACGAACTCCTCGGGAGGTGCAACAGTCATGGCAGCAAGTCGCTCCTTCAACTTGAGCTTCTCCTTGATCTCGGAGGTGTCACCCTTGATACGAGCGGTGAAGAATGTAGCAGCGCAACCGCTACCGAAGGAGAACAAGCTAACTCGCTTGCCCCCCAATTCGGAGGGCTCAACGGTACCAAGCAGGGAAGCAAGGCATCCGTAGAGAGAAGCGGTGTACATGTTGCCAAGACGCTTTGAGCAGGCCATGCCGGGGTCGGTCTTCTTTGCGAAGGAGGCCTTGGAGAGAGCGACAAAGGTCTTCTCGACGTTCTTGTCCGTTAATGACTGCGCGTGGGACTGGGAGATGAAGGATTCGGGGTTGGGGACGTTAGCGAAGCGGGGGTCCTTGGGGTTGGTGATGAAGTCGTTGTAGAGCATGCGAGCGTGGCCCTTGACGGCTTGCTTGCCGTAAGGGCTGTGGAAGATGGCGTAGTCGAGGTCCTCGAGGGAGAAGGTGGCGCTGGAGACCTCCTTGCCAGCGACTTGGGCCCTCTTGGCAGCCTTTGCAAACTTCTCCTTGAAGGTTGTGTAGGCGGCATCGAGGGCGGCGACGTAGGTTACAACGGAGACAGGGCCATCAACCTCGGGGTACTCAGAGGAGAGGTTGGGCTTGTAGAAGTCGTAGGTGTTGGCCATATAGGTCCCGTGGACGGCTAAGCGAAATCCATCAGCACGATATGATTAATGAGGTTCAGGGTCCACTCACGTTCGAAAACAACGGGGGCGTTGGGTCCAATGAGGATGGCGCAGGCACCGGCACCGCCAGCTGGTCGGGCAGCACCCTCAGCATAGACAGCAATGTCACCTGAGACAACGATAGCGTTGCGGCCGTCCCACGAGCTGGATTCGATCCAGTTAATGGCGTTGAACAGGGCGGCAGTTCCACCGTAGCAGGCGTTCTTGGAGTCGATACCCTCAATGTCGTAGTTGCCGGCCTCAGCGAAGAGGTCCATAAGGGTAGTCTTGACAGACTTGGATTTGTCAATGATGGTCTCAGTTCCAACATCAATTCGACCAATCGACTTGGGGTCGATGTTGTACTTTTCGAGAAGACCAGAGACAGCTGTGCAACATGAAATTAGGACGAAGCTTCTCCCTAGACCTTGCAGCGATGCGTACCGTTCAGCGCGAACGAGTTGATATCCTCTCGGTCGTCAGGCCAGGCCATGTATTCCTGGCCGAGACCAATCGTGTACTTGCCGGTGGAGACGCCGTCGAAAACCTCGAGGTCTGCCTCAGAGACGCACTGGATCGCGAGATGAGCGTGTTTACACGGTGTGTGGAAGAAAAACACGTACACGACGAGGGAAGTAGACCTCGATTCCGAGGACACCAACGTCCTTGGGACGGGGGAGCTCGATGTCGGCGACAGCGGTGGCGAGAGGAATTGTCATGATGGAGTTGGTCTGAATGTTGGGAGAAAAAGAAGGAAGACAGTGGTTATATAGAAAAGTTGTGAGGTGGACCAATAAATAACAAGTGGTACGATTCAAATCCAAATTTGGCTGAGATCAACACGGTGCAGTTTTGGCACTAAAATATCCGCGCACTCCTGTTGGTCTAACCACCATTTTATTCTGGACCCTGTCCCATCTCGGCTCATAAGATTTCGCAAATGATTTCCACCAACCAACGTCCACCTGTTTCGAATTTTTCCCCGAATCACTCCAACCAGGGCTGTGTGCCGACTGCTGCCTGGCAGAAAAATCTTGTTGCGCTGGCCGTGCTTCGAATTGACGGCGGCGAACTGGACAACCGCGATCTCCGAAGAACAATCATCTTCTGGTGTTCGTGCATTGGCCGTATGCATTGCGCCAGAATGTCTTGGGCTTGGTTCCTGGCGCTACACGCTTCTCTCACGTTTCATGAATTCAACCCAAAAGTCGTGCTACAAACCCCTGCAACTCGTGCAATTTTCATTAGAAAGGAACCATGCTGCTCTAGGTAGACCGCGTTTCGTTTGATAACCCGAGCTACTCGGGGTGACGGTTTCCTGGTGGCTCCAATTCGGTGCAGGCAACTTCAGGCCTTCCAAGTATGGTACCCTCTGCTATTATCTTCCATCGCTATTGTTCACTTCCGATCGTGCTACAGACGGTATGAAACTCTGCCGAACTGAAGACCAGGCTTTCGTCCGAATCTCTCCTGCTTCCAATGAGAACCTTACCTGGAACCGATGCATATCTACCAGCAGAACCTTCCAATTTTATTGGCTTGACTAACGAGCTCCCTGGTCCAGAGGCATCCCCGTCCATCTCGCGTTATCAGAATGACAGTCCAGTGTCATTGGAAGTCTGGAGAGCGTTACTCGGTGTTGCCGACCTTCTTAACAATGACGCTGGTAGAAATCAACACCAACAGATTCAGCTCTACCGGGGCCCATTTGGTAGGTAAGTTTCCCTATACGTCAGGGTTCTTAACTCGGGGTTATTGACTGGCCAATCTGAATTGCGGGAAGATAGTGGTATTGATTAAGGGTTGGTAATGGTATATGTCGCTGTGTGGATACACCCAGGATACGGGCACCGATCTATCATAAAGTTGATCCGAAGAGCCCTGGAAGTAGACTTAGCCCTCTTCTCGAGAAGGGTGAATTCCGGGAAACTCACAGTACTTAGACGTATACTTGACAGACAGTACGGGCGATCCTGGAATGCACTATTACAATGAGTCAGTCGCGTTATCTTCGCTTTCCATCCAAATTGAAAGCTCACAGAAGCAGGAGCAGGTCCACCGCGGGTATCAGTGCGATATACCGTCCTCGCCAGTTTTCCTTGCACATTGGAGATCTCCAACCAATCGACATCCTGCGGCCCAGTGGGCGCAGGGATTCCCCCAGCCTTGGCCCCGATAACGAAAGCATCAGGGTTGTTTCGCCTAGGGTCGTTGCTGCGTTGGTCCCAGATAGGGCTGATACCAGTTCCAGAAGGTGAAGTAACAAAATAGTGTTCGCCAGCGTTTGGGATGTTCCCTCGGATGGCGCGTCGGACTGCGTTGGCGCTTCGCACCTCAGCGGTCCGAGTCCATGCTTCCATGGCCACATCTTGGGACGTCTGGAAAGCGCGAGGGTCCAAATTCGAGATGTCGAAGAGCTCAGCGACGGCTCCTGCGGCCCTGAAATATAAGTGAGTAAAGGGTTTGTGTGTCCGTCATGGAAAGGATGAAACTTACGCGTAGGTTCCAGCCTCAGTGCATGTATAGTTCTGGACTCCTACGCCCAGGAGGATGGCGGACGCAGGGCCACGAGGTGTCGCCAGTCCTGCAGGGACGACAAGCGTATGTCTTGCAGGGTCCCCCACGTTCCTGATAGGGGTTGCGATCGCAGAGAGGGCGAGCAAAACGGTAATGGCAAATCGATACATCGTGACAGCCGGTGAAATGAACACTCAAGAACAAGTAATTAAATGTTTGAAGGAGGGGTAAGTATAGTCTGCAAGCAGTACTATGGGCTGGAAAAGAAAAAGGCGGGGAAAAAAGAAGAAAAGGATGGAAGTGTTTTTTGGCGTCTGTAGGACAGGCCCTGGGCGTATAAAAAGTCCTACCATTCGCAGTTGGGAAAAGAGAGGATGGTGGCGGAGGTAAGACCGCTAGGTTAGGGAACTCACTTGATGTGTTCCTATTAACAACAGGGCTTCTGTGCGAGGATCTCGGCTGTCGGATAGGTTTTCTAACGCCTTTCAGTGAGCGATTCTATTCAGCTTCGTCTATTCTGACCCCTCTGTTTCTGATCGTCTTCCATCGATCACGCAAATGTGTATAGCTACAAGAATAGGTTCATTCCTTATTGCTTCTCATGTCCAGTGAAGGCCGTTCTTCAGTCATGAAGGCGACTTGACCACCGACAAAAGATTTTGCGCGAATACCGTATGGGCAATCCATCACCGCAGTTTCAACGAGCATCAATTCGCAGATGGGATCCATCTCAACTGCCCGCCCCGAATTGTCATATTCTGTCATACGAGGAAAGCCACGGCCACTTTTTCCCCACCGAATCGATCGTACTGGCAGTATCGACATTGGTCCCTGTTTCCAGTGGTGTAATCCCGCACATCCTTGGCGACGATGTTCATGTCTGTTGACTGAGAGGTCTTATGTGAATCCGACAGCGTTTCAGGCAATAGCCTTAACTGGTTCCATCGGATAAATCGTTACCGACACCCATCTATGGAATTGCGAGAAAGACTATAGGCCCTTGCCTACGGCTGCTTGCAACACCTCAAGGCGTCGTTAATAGGGATAGAGCTACATAGGTTTTCCGGTGTATGATAATGCTCGGGCTATACGGGTGCTTCTCTTCCTCTCTTCCACCAGATGCGTCGGTTGAAGAAATGGAGACAGTGACAAGCCTCAGGCCCGATATGCCATGTACCTTACCTGAAAGGCACACTCATGGTGAAGTGGTTATCATGCTTGCCTTCCAAGCAAGCGGCACGGGTTCGATTCCCGTTGAGTGTATTCATCCTTAGTTGCTCTGGTTCATTGTATTTTGTCCCCCCTTCCGCACTCAGCGCCGCCGATGCGCCTCGGTGTGTAAGGTCGGTGGGGCTTACAGCGATAGCTGTGCTACCTTTTTGGCGCAGCGGCAAGTGCATCGGCTTCCCGTCGCAGGCCTAGCTGACGGTTCCGTGTAGATACGTCGACGAGCAACATTGCAAGCCCAAGTGGACGGGACCGCGGTGACGAGCTGGGCCAAACGCGAGGGGACTAACCGGCGGGTTGGGGCCAAACAGAACGCGCCGTCGACAAAGAACAAAATGTAGCCTGGGTTCGTGCCTTGTCACCTTTCCAGGGAGCTTTGCTCGGGTCTTTCGGGGACCAGTGGGTAGCCTTGGGTAGCTAGGTTTGGCATTTGCTGGGCATCGCTGCGGTCGCACATGAGTCTGGAAGAGCTGGCCATTCTGAGTGAGGTGAAGATCAATTTCTGGCAGGTGTGGTCGATGTGGAGATGCAAGATCTAGATAGGCCACGATCGCTGGACACTCTGGACAGAACTCTGGCGGAAACGTTTTGAAGCTCTATTTCTGCTCTTCATTCGCACACTCATGGTGAAGTGGTTATCATGCTTGCCTTCCAAGCAAGCGGCACGGGTTCGATTCCCGTTGAGTGTATCCATGTATGTACTGTGTCTTTTTTTTCTCTCCTAATTCTACTGCGTCCTAGCACATTACAGTAATCCTTGAGCAATACTCATGAGCTACCTTCTGCACTGTTTTTGGTTTAAGTCCGACAGCCTGACTAGGGTGCCCAATCAACAAGGGATTCCACTGGGAAATGGGTAGATTCCTCAAGGGCATGGGCCATACGTAACGCGGAGGCAGGCAAAGCAGAAAAAGTGTTACATACGTGAAGCAGGAGCTGGCACGCAATGCCGGGGTTCGCTGTATCGCGCAAATGCCTCGCCGGGATACTGTACGACTTCCTGATCGGCATACGGCGTCTGAAGGACAAAGTTTGGCGTCGGTCACTAAAGCAGATGCTTAGAACTTGGGAGAACTGAATTGCAGTAGGACGAAGGAAGGTGCCATTAGAGCGTGTATTCGCTAATATGGAAGCTAGCCCAGGTAGAGAATTGAACCGGGCGGAGCGAGAGAGGTAATTCCTGATCCAGGGCACGGATAAGTCCTTCGACACTTGGGGAAATGCGAGTGGACACATACATTGCTCGATCCGAAGTGTTTATGACGCAGTCTCGTGAGGTTTTCGGACCCAAAAGATGTAGTTGCACTGAGCAGCGGCGAACAGATTGCGGGGTCCAAGACTCCAATTGCCGCTTAATGGATTATAAATAAGCCCTTTGAGCTCTGCTTGGTGCCGAGGCAAGTATGTCGATGCGTCTGGTGAAATCCACTTCTGGTCTTTGGGTGCTCCTTCAGGATAGTTTTTGAAGAACTCGACAAGCTCATCTGGATTGACGTATTTACTCCAGGTATGCGTCCCCTTTGAGACCTTTCCGAGGACATGTTCGGCCATAAGGATGGTCAGGGTGTAGGCGAGAGGTGTTCGAGCTATTGTGGAGAGGAACAGATGACCTCCTGGCTTCACGAGTTGGCAACAGGTGTCGAGGAAATGCGCGGGGTTGTCAACATGTTCGAGCACTTCGAGCGAAGCTACAACGTCGTATTGCTTTGGTGGTTGCGTTGGAGTTGAAGGAGATGGGGTCAAAAGGTCCCCAGTTGTGGTGTGGAGGTATTTCAGGTTTCCACCGGAACGCAGAGCAGGATCGGCGGAGGCATGCAAAGACGCGATGCCAATGTTCGCTTCAGATGCGTCAATTCCTGTGGTGTTGGCACCTAGCCGTGCCAGGCTCTGTGGACGTAATTAGGTCCCATTTGGTCGAGGTACAGGCACGGGACCACACCTCAGACAATAGCCCACCTCCACATCCCACGTCCAAGACGTCAAGTCCTTGCAGCACTGCCCGTGGGTCGACAATGGAACCATTTTTGTTTTCGTCTGAAGCTATCTCTGCCAGCTTTTCTTGGATAAACTGCACACGAGTGGGGTTCATCCTGTGAAGGAACGAGAATTCGCCTTGCTCGTCCCACCACTCGGATGAGAGACGCGAGAAATGCGATATTTCATCTTGGTTGACGGTCGTCCCTACTGTTCTAGCTGGTTTGGATGCGTGGAGACTGCGTTTCGCTGTGGATGCCGAGGGCGTTCGCGGTAGTCGAGGCCTAAGAAAGCGAAGAGACATGGTGAGCTGGACGAAGATTACGTCGGAGTCCGGCCGACCCTAGCCGACGCGTGCCAAATGATTCCGGGGCGTGCGAACAATACGATATTTCCTTTTTGCGCCTTTTGTGCTTGGTCAGGCTTGGCTCTCCTGCCGCCGTCAGCAATCAGATTCATTTGTCGCCGTCGTCGCCGTCGTCGCCGTCTTCCGACTCTTTTCGACACCGTCATCTTCGTATTCTCCAGCGCAGGCGCCTATCCTCTTTATTCCTTTTATCTAACCGACTAATCACATCAGGTCCGTTCATAATGTATTGACAAGGGAATAGAGTGACTAACAATGAGAATTTGTTACCCAGGTTAAACAGTGTCCAGGGCTTATCAACTATCTGTCACAGGCGACGCTGACCTCCTGAAAATATCCTGTATCGAGGTGATAACTATCGATAAAACACCAGCCCAGGCACGGAACATACTCGCCGCTACATTATCCGAGTTCTTTCCTTCGAAATAGGAAGTCGACACGTTTCCCGATTACCACATTCCACCGCCCAGTTCTCAAGTAATAATCAGTCTTATAGGCCCGATCCATGGCGACATTGATTTCAGGCCTCTGGGCTCCGTCTCCCTCGTCATCCTCCTCCTCCCCGAAACACACAACTGCAACCATGATGGAAGAAGAGCACGACGGACTTTTGGCGGGAGATAACAAGGCGGGCCCGGTTATTGAGAGTTGTGAGCTGAGAATAGAGGGCATGACCTGCGGCGCCTGTGTCGAGGTGCGTTCTCGCCGTTTATTCAAGCGACGAGCAAGTGATAGACTTCCCCCAGGCCATCGAAGGAATGCTCAGAGACCAGAAGGGCATCCAATCCATCAAGGTGGCTCTGCTTGCAGAGCGCGGCGTTGTTGAATACGACCCCGCACATTGGACAGTACCCAAGATTATCGAGGTCGGTCGTTCTCCAACAGTCCATGCTATATCCCTACTCAGCCTTAATTCAAGGAAATCAGTGACATTGGTTTCGACGCAACCCTAATACCGCCCTCCCGGCAAGACGTCGTCCAGCTTCGAATATACGGAATGACCTGCGGCAGCTGCACCTCTGCCATTGAAAGCGGACTTGGTGAAGTCGACGGCGTTGCCTCCGTCTCCGTCTCGCTCGCCGCAGAATCATGCGAGGTTCGCTTCGACCGTTCAAAGATAACACCCCGAGAAATGGTCGAACATATATCCGACATGGGCTTTGACGCCATCCTAGCCTCCGACCCGTCCAATCAGAATGCGACCCAACTCCAATCCCTCACCCGCATGAAGGAGGTTCTCGAGTGGAAGAAACGATGGCTATGGAGCTTGGCATTTTCCTTGCCCGTATTTTTCCTGGAGATGATATGTCCCATGATTCCTTTCGTAAAGGCAATCTGCGACTTCCACTTCTTCAATGGGATATACCTCGGCGACATCCTCCAACTCCTCATTGCCACTCCATGTCAATTTTGGGTTGGCTCAAAGTTCTACCGCAATTCCTACAAGTCGCTCAAACATGGCACCGCGACGATGGACGTGCTCATTACGATGGGCACGTCTGCCGCGTACTTCTACTCCGTTTTCGTGGTCATCGCGGCTGCCTTCAACACCACACCGGACTACAAGCCCCACCTTTTCTTTGAAACCAGTACCATGTTGTTCATGTTCGTTTCCCTCGGACGATTCCTCGAAAACCGAGCCAAAGGGAAGACCAGTGCAGCCTTGACTGATCTCATGTCATTGGCACCCTCCATGGCCACTATCTACACCGATGCCCCAGCATGTACTCAGGAGAAGAAGGTCCCTACGGAACTGGTCGAGGTTGGTGACATCGTCAAGATTGTTCCAGGCGACAAGATTCCGGCGGACGGCACGGTAGTCAAAGGTTCTTCCAGCATCGACGAGAGCGCCATCACGGGTGAAGCGATCCCTGTCCTCAAGCAGAAAGGCGACGCAGTTATCGGTGGAACGGTCAACGGCCTTGGTACCTTCGACATGCTCGTCACCCGCGCTGGCAAGGACACTGCTCTCTCCCAGATTATTCGACTCGTGGAAGAGGCACAAACATCCAAGGCTCCCATCCAGGCGTTTGCAGACCGTGTCGCAGGGTATTTCGTACCCGCCGTCATCGCCCTCGCCATGATTACGTTCCTGGTATGGATTCTTATCACCAGCATTTTGGACGACGAGAGCCTTCCCAAGATGTTCCACAAACACGGCTCTAGTAAGCTGGCTGTGTGCTTACAGATGTGTATCAGCGTGGTCGTTGTTGCATGTCCCTGCGCGCTCGGTCTTGCTACCCCCACGGCGATAATGGTTGGTACCGGCATCGGTGCAAAGAATGGAATCCTGATCAAGGGAGGGCGCGCCCTCGAAGCCAGCCGACACGTACGGAGAATCGTCATGGACAAGACCGGTACTGTCACTATTGGGAAGCTTACCGTCGTGGGCCTGCATTGGGTGCCTGCAGGCGCCCGTCAAATACCATCGGACGAGGAGGTCTATGGCGGAGACTCCAACCTCGATGACGTTTGCGCGGACGGCGTCACCAGCCGCAAAGTCGTCGTCGCTATGGTCAGCGCTACTGAGGCCAGATCGGAGCATCCCCTCGCCAAAGCCATCGCGACTTACGGAAAGGAGCTTTTGGGCGTTTCAGCGCCTGAAGCAACCATCCAGGAGTTCGAGAGCATTACCGGTCAGGGTGTCAAAGCCAAGGTCTTGTGCGAGGGCAAACTCTACACCGTTTACGTTGGGAGTTCTCGATTTGCCACCCTCACCAGCTCCGACACGACTGGCTCTGGCCATGCAGCAAAGGGCGGTGTCGGAAGTGAAGCCCTCCATGCGGAGCAAGAAGCCCACCGTTACATTCACCGCACCCTCGCTGCTTACGAGAAGCAGGAGACCTCCCAGGGACGCACAGTCATCTTCGTTTCAGTCCAGCAACAGGAGAACAGTCATCTCCATCCGCAGCCCATCCTCGCTGTTTCCCTCGCTGACGAACCTAAACCAACGAGTCGATATGCGATCCAGGCCTTGGAGAAGATGGGAATTGAAGTCAACATGATGACTGGTGACGGACGCGCCACCGCTATCGCTGTCGCCCGGCAAGTCGGTATTCGGCCAGAAGGAGTGTGGGCGAGCATGAGCCCCAAGGGTAAAGCTGCGATGATTGCCGAGTTAATGAAGAAGGATGCAGAGCAGTATGGGCGCAAACCGTCTGGCGTGGCCATGGTCGGCGATGGAATCAATGATTCTCCTGCGTTGGTCGCTGCGACCGTCGGTATCGCCCTTTCTTCAGGAACCTCAGTCGCCATCGAGGCTGCCGACATTGTGTTGATGCGTTCGGATCTACTGGACGTGGTCGCCGCTATGCACCTCTCCCGCAGCATCTTTGCCACTATTCGAAGAAACCTGATCTGGGCGTGCATCTACAACGTCCTCGGTATCCCGTTGGCTATGGGTGTGTTCCTGCCTGTTGGACTGTACATGCATCCGATGTTGGCAGGTGCTGCGATGGCTTTCTCTAGTGTTAGCGTTGTCGCGAGTTCACTGTGGCTGAAGAGGTGGAGGAGACCGGTGTCGAGTATCATGCCTGCTGATGCCCGTGCGCCTGGTGGTGTCTTGGGCGACATGCTGGATATGCCGACTGGTCAAACCAGCGGTGCTGGTTGGACTGGATTGTTCGTTGACCAGTCTGCGACCGTGCTGTCGAGCGTTGGGGGAGTGTTCAGTGCGGGGCTGCAAAGTGCAAGGGGCCTGTTCGGTACGGGAGAGAGGGACTTTGGGTACAGTCAGCTACCAGTGGAGATGGAGCATCGAGATACACGTGTGTAGTCCAATCTGCGATAACGTCTGGTTTCTTGCTTTCTTTATTCTTTATTTGCTATAATGTCAGCCTCCTCCCTCGTCCACATTCATTCCGGTTTTGCTCGTTCCTCAGGCTTCAGTGTTTTCGTTCGGGTACTGCGTCCAGGTCTCCACTCGTTTGACATCATACCTCTATTGTACAACTTGTATCTGTAGTCTAGTATTTATTGAAGGTTTTTTGATTTCGGAGTAATCTACCGGGCCAAGACCCTTTGAACTGATCATCTGGACTTTATATTCACCCTGTCCAATTCTTTCGCGTACCCGGCTACCTCTGACGAGGCTCTCGACGAAATAAACCACGCAAACCGCAGTCAGAATCGACATTCAGACTGGATATACCCTTTTTACATATATCTTAACGTTATCTACCCAACTCCGGATTCATGGCCAACATTGGAAGCGCGTTTCTAGGCGATCGTCAGCGTCGACACTTCTCGTCATCAACCACCCATACCACCTCCACTCCTCCCTCTTCACCACCACCAACAGGCGTATCTGGGATGATCTATCCGGGCAGGGCCTCCACTTCACCTCTGGCGATGCAGTTTGACAATGATGATCTGGACGATACCACACCTGGGGAGTCGAGCACGACAGCGAACACGGCATCGGAGAAGAAACAGGATGAAATCAAGTTGAATCTGCCTCCCGCGCCTCCGCCAAAACCTATAGATCCAAGGCTGGCGTTGGAATTGAGAGTGAGGTGGTTGGAGGCGATTGTGTATGGGACAAAGCAGGACGTGTCGAACCCGACTACGACGACCCGGCTATCGCGTCCTGCGCCGCCTAGGAAAGGCAAACAACGAGACTTGTCTGGGCTGAAGGACGGGGAAACGCTGATGAGACTGGCAGAGAATGTGCAGCAGAGGTTAGAGGCTGCTGTGGATGGCAACGAGGGACTGAAGAAGTTCATGAGCCATTGTGCGTACTCCTCCCTCTCTCTAGCGAATACGACCCTTAGTTTACCTCGCAACTGCTTAGATGACCAGCATTCACAATACCTCACGTCCGCATTTGCGCTCTCTGGCCTTCTCTCTGAAGAGGACCCATCGTCAGCCTACTCAAACATGACGCCAGAAGAGATTGACGCGTTTCTGACTGAAATGGAACCAGAAATACGCGCGGCAGACCGAGATATGCAAGAAATAGAGGCCCTGGTCAACAAGGGTGTAACTGGAGCTGGGAAGCTGCCAGGTACGTTCCCTAGACGAACTTGAATTGTTACCTATCTAAGCTAGGTTTCCATAGACCACGAAAAGTTGCAGTCACGCCTCGAGAGTCTACTGGAAGCCAACAAGGCCGACATTGAACTAGCCGCTTCGTTGGAGAAACGGATAGCAACGCTAATGCAGAAACACGCTAGATCCGTGGGTGAACCTCTTATATTTCCTGGCCCTTTCTAACCTATCACTCTAGGTCGACGCCCTGTCGGAACTGTTCGTCTCATGGGATGACGCCCTTACCATGGCAGAAGACTCGATTATTCAGATAGAAAAAGACAAGCGCGAACGCCGTCGACTCGGTCTCGAATAGTCATTCAACCCCTCACCGCCTCACCCATCTCGCTCGTATCAATGCAATGCAATGCAAGTCGTGATCATGATTCGTGAAAAAGGAATTATACTTTACAAGTGGAATCATTTGAGATTCTGGCAATGTCCTTTGAGGGCATATCCTCAAGATGATGTCGCTCTACAGCGTTCGTGACGAAGGGTATATGGCTTCTGCTTGTGCGTCGTGTTTCTGCTAGTTCAACGTGGTTGTGGTTGGTGGTGTTCAGCCATGATGGGACGAGCGAGGCACGTCCTTCAAGCTCGGTTTCGGAGATGGTCTGTGACCGGGCGACGTGCGTTCGTACTGAAATCAAGACGAACACTATTCCTAATGGGAGAGGCGTCGTGTCAGCGGTAAGCCAATTATCGATGCAGAGTCGTTTCTCACCCATGCTAGGAACGAGTGCGTGTTGGACGATGATATGGGCTGGATGGGCGATGGCGAATAGGATTGTGAGGAGTAACATTTGCGTGGTGTAGATCAGCGCGCTCTCGATGATGATGCGCACAACATCGAGGAGACTCAACCCTGAAGACGAGATTATCCCGGCTCTTCTCGACGCCCGATGCTGGTCCCAGATCTTGTAGATGATCAACCCCGTCGTCAACAAGTTCTGCGCCAGGTTGAGGGGGAAGGTCGCGTTGAGGAACCCCTGGACAATTTCAAACGGTATGGATTCGACATTCCGAAACCAGTGGAGGTTCACAGAGGCCGACACTATCCCGATCAAAACCAGCATTCAGTACTCATGTTGCTTCAAAAGGGTGGAGACCAGGCGGCCAAGCAACGAGCGACATACCTATACTCCCAAGGAGCAAGAGGGATGGGAGGGCAATGACGTAGCAATTACTGTCCCAGATGAGGAAGCAGCGGAAAATCTGTGCTAGGTGAGTTGACGAGCTTCTACCGATAAATATTGGTTGACTTACGACGAGGATGTCACCTATCCAGGTTAGCAGTGCCAGGACGACGGGGAAGGCGTATGAATCCCAGTTGGTGAGGTCGCGAAAATGGCTGACTGCACTGAATGGGCTGAGGGTATAAGCGAAGGCATGGATCATGCTGTAGATGTTCAGGCCTATAAAGCGGACCGTTAGGGTGGGAGGTGTGTGGGGATGCGGTAGACGAAGAACCGACATATGTGGAACGTTATGAGGATAAACATGAGGAGTATCCCAGCCAAGAATACTCGGGAAGCGAAGGAGCGTCTGGCACCCCGCTTGCGCAGGATGTTGAGCGAGGCGCAAAACAGGCAGAAGTACAACCCTGCATTGTAGTTGGGTGAGTGTCTACCCTCTCAGACAGACCGTCACAGAAAACAACACACCATATATCGTCGACTAGGTACGGGCAGGAATACGGGTGGGGGACAGCAAGGGGATTAATCAGCGCCAATCCAAATCGGACATAATCCAGCCAATTCTGGGGCACTACTCACCTCAAGCCAGAAGCTCACAATGTAAAACACCTTGTACTCCAGAACGACAGGAGGAAGAAACTTCCTCGCATCATCCGAGGCCACATCCATGCTCGCTCAGGCCTCCTGGTCGAGACCTCGACAACAGTTGGGGGTGGGGTCCAGTCAGTGGTCAGTGGTCAAGAAGCGAACACACACACACGCTCCAAACCTGTCGTAACGAAAAGGAAACCCGAACCGGTCACATAAAGCCTCCAGTTACCTGGTACATACCCCATAAAGTGATCAAACTACACCCCGGTTCCGAGGTTATTTCGTTTCAGAAGGACGTTTATCAGAAATAGATTTAAAGTCGGACAAGGAGAACATACAAAAGAAGTTTTATTGAGCTTCTGTCCCCACATCATGGGACCAATTGGGTGAAGCTAAGTCTGAGGGATTTCGTTGCCTTCTCCAGCCGTTTTGCCGTTTAAATTCCGCGAGAACTCTGGGCCAACGAAAAAATAATGTCTGCGAATGTGCAACATTGGATACCGTTTGCGCTCTGTCCAATGGCCACCGGATGTCCACTAAAGCGCCTGCCAGGCCATAGGATGAATCGCCGAGGGATACCATCATAACAAGAATGTCCCAAGGTTGGTATGTACGATACCAAAATGAGCACCATAGCACCTCTAGAATAGGCCAAAATGGACGACCCACTCCCACGTGCATACACCGAACGGGAATCGAACCCGTGCCGCTTGCTTGGAAGGCAAGCATGATAACCACTTCACCATCGGTGTGACGTTTTGGCCGCAGAAGGAGTTTGCCAGGAGGACAAAGCAAGCATACAGGAAGAATGTGAGCTTTATATTAAAGCGAGCGTGTTTTTAGAGGGACTAAAGTGAGGCGTATGTATACACTTAGAGGTTGAAAGAGGAAAGTAAGGGCACATTGGCAGAAGTACAACTCAGTTGGGTTCAGTGGATGCAGCAACAAAAAGATGAGACTTTTACACCGAACGGGAATCGAACCCGTGCCGCTTGCTTGGAAGGCAAGCATGATAACCACTTCACCATCGGTGTGTTGCACGATTGGTTTTGCAGCTTAACTAAGTGCCACTTTCTCTAAACTATCCTTGTCGCGAGCAGCAACCGCAATCCGAAACTCAAATCGAGCTAATTCGTTTGTACCCTGTGGATTTTCCGAGTCTGGCAGTGTCTGAGCCCTGAGGACCGAGGCTTCTGACCGGTAGGCTTGCGGCCTACATGGTCCCTTTTTGTGCAGTCCAGAGGCTTCTCTGTGCAGTAAGGAGGTTCGGAGAAACTTTTTGGGAGATAATTGGTGGAGCGCAGGTTCACTTTTAGGTGGCCCGCCATACCCAGGCGCTCACAAGGATTCAGCGAGCGCTTGTTTCCACGATTTGGAGTTAGGGTGAGAGTCGTCTCGCCGCTGCTGGATGAAGATGGCCTAGGAGTGGCGGTTTCTAGAGAGGAGTACTTCCCCTAAAGTTGGACGTGCGGCATGCGGTGTTCCTTTCGCGTCTCTGAGGTGCTCATACAGACTGTGCATGCAGATTCAGCGAGGTCTCCGAAATATCACGCACTACGTAAGTACCAAGTTCTCACAGACTCTTCCAGTATTCACGTCATATCCTTCTGATTTTTGGTGGGGAAGTACGTACTTCGGGGCTTTGTCTTCCCCGGAGGACACACGCACGCTTTCCACGGAGATCTAACTTGGGTGAACGCATGCACAGATGAAGGTGGGAGGTGGGCCCGCTGCATCAGTGGCGTCAACCTGGGGTATAATCGGTGGGGCGGGGCCAGGGCGCTTATCTCTGTCCGCGGATAGGCGCTTTCTCAGATTTCGATGACATGAATGTCAAACGGTTCATTCATATCATGTGTCGTTTTTGGAGGGTCCCCGCATGCATAGGGTTTGATAAATGCAAATAAAGGATATGAGTGACGTCGACATTTCATTATTGCCACAACGTAGTACTATGTTTCTAGTACGCTACGTTAATTGGCACTTCATATGTCTGTCAAGTTTTGTGAATGCACGAAGCAGACAAGCAAACATTCGAAGGACGGGCAGTCATCTTGCCCAACGTCATCAAGAGTTTGGTGAGAAACCGGGGTAAAGACAGTGGATGATGCATAGCTTCCGTGGGGAAACCAAAGGATACCTGTGATTCTTTAGTTGCTGAAGCCCATACGAGAGGCCGTTAGAATGTCACGACCATGCCAATTGAAATAATGACCATCTGTCGCTGCTGGTAGAGGAGGATCGATGCCTACCATCTCTTGGATTGCTATCTAACGACGAGATGGTGTTTCTACCTCCCGACTCGGATTGCAAGACTGGGCGCTTCTCGAGTGGAAATTTGATATCGAGGAGGACGCCGAGTGCGATGGCATCACTCGTCTTGAGGCTCTCGCACACGCGAGGTGGAGAGCAAATGATGGGAAGAGAAAGATCGAATATTCCTGGGGTAACACGGTGGACTTCGATTTCGATGCGCAGGCTGGAGGGTCGGCGTCTGGGACCTCGTGGCGGACGTTACGGTGGAACGATGAGGCGCAAAGCTTGGGCCTATAGGAGACGGCGAAGCGCCAATTGTAATTTTGCGAAAGGCTAGGTGCGGAAGGCGGGGGAGAAACGGTCTAGAATTATTACCACATTGAGGAGATGTTTTCGAGGAAAATATGATGACAGTTGGTAGGGAGGGGGCCATCTGGATCTTGGGTGTGATAAGGTGGGCTGATGGGACGAAAAGGGACGAATCCGAACCCCAAAACGGAAGGAGCTGACTTGTAAGAAAGGTTTCCCGCGAAATCATATTTTCACCACAGCGCACTTGTGAGGCTCTGCCGATGAAAACTCCTGCGCCGCTGGCTCCCTCTTGGTTAACGAGGTCGCCCACTCCCAGAGATAACGACTCACTCCAAGTCCCACTCACTCCAACTTACACTTCCCCCCGTTCCGCCCCAAAACCACCAAGCTTGCTCAGCGGCTCCTCAATCAGGGCTGCCTTCCGCCCACGATCACACCGCCCTCCTTCAATCCGCTCTGCATATTCCGCCTCGACAGCCACTTCCTCAAGCGACAACCACACTTCAACTGCCCAGCCCCACTCTTATTCTCCAGTAAACATGGCCCCAATCCCTGTAGTCTCCAACCACGGCCGCGATGAGGACGAAGAGTGTCCAGTTTGCCTCGAACCCCTTAGCTTTAGCTTTAGATTGCCGGGCGAGAAACCCCATATCGTCCCAGAGTGTGGCCATGCTCTTCACGAAGTAAGTCGTCCCCAGCTGCCAGTTTTCGTCCAGGGTTGACCCGCTGGCGTCCCAGGCTTGCTACACCGCCGTCTATGGCCCACCCCCGAACCAGAGCAGGACAGTGCCACGCAAGTCGAACGTCGGTGTTTGCGGGGTGTGCAGAAGGCCCATGAAGGTAGGAGATGGAGACGGGGGCAAGTCAAACAGTGCGTACCATCATCGTCGTGCATCTCTGCCTTCTTATTAATGTTCTCGTGCTTAGAACTCGCGGCACTAACTGGAATGGGTGATAGTCGTGCGGCTCCGATGTATCCTGGCCGCGATACACCTACAGCACGCAGCATCCGCCAGCCAGTCGAAAAACCCTATGACCCCAACGAAGACGACCCCCTCGAACATGTCGGCCGCTCTGGTGCCCCTGCCGAGCCTTCAGGTTACATCGTCGCACCCTCGATCGAAGTCCGACCAGAGTTCCCTTCACTCACACGCACTAATGATACCAGTCAGCCGCTGACTTGTCTCGTTGTCATAGAGCTGCCAGGCAAACGCACAACCTCCGCCCCAGGCGCTGTCCTTCCCGACAACTACAGCACAAGGACAGGCGGCAGCATCCGCCATGATAACGCTTCAGGTCGCTCAAGTCCCCGCGCAGACAGCCTCCAGCGGCAGCGTCCAAACCAATTCTCACCCAACGAGGACCCACGCGTAGCATCGCCCAGAAGCTTCAATCGTTCTCTGCCTCCGACATCTCTCGATAATGATGCCGCGTCAACATATGCGAACATCATCCTTTCAGAGGAAGACTCGCCCTTTGCCGCAATCACCGAAGACCTGCGAAACCGTATCATCGACTGGAAAGGTCACCCGCTCTCCGATCTTGGCCCTCTGCAGATGTACGACCTCTTGTCCGTCAGGCGAGACTCGGCCATTCGCGACTTCTACGTCTACCTTTTCAAGGAAGCTATCATTTGCGTTATTGAGGAAAAGAAACGGGGAATTGGTCGTCTCCTGTCAAACTCGGGCCTGGGCGACACTGGCTCGATACCTTCCATGACAGGCCAGTCGAAAGGCGTCTTGCGACTTAAAGGCCGCATTTACGTCCGTCATATCAAGAATGTAACAGCTTCCTCAGCGGCGGGAGAGATGAGCCTTACCATCGACATGGAAGATGAACTCGCATCTTTCATTCTGATCTTCAAAGATAGATCGTCGCTCGAGGCATGGAAGAACACCATCCAAGCACTCGTCAATATGTTCCAAAAGGCGAATGGCATCGTTCCTCAGCAACAACAGCAGCGACCGCTGGATATTGAAGAGTTTGGTGGAAGCGCCAAGGCCATGCGGATGCTCAGCGGGAGCACGCAAACTTCGGTCAGCACTGTGGACAGTCTCTTGCAAAACTCGGCACGATCGACCATGTCTTCTTCGACTTCACACAACGGATCACTCATGCCCCCACGAACACTCCAGCACAAATTGTCGACTCTCGGAGAAGATGACAGGGAGATGGAGCCATACGACGTTCCTTCGCCGCTTGTGGCGCCTCACAACTCCAGCGGACCTTCCAACTCTCTCCCCTCCCTTCCTCATCCTCCAATGGACCTCATTCTCGTCGTCTCCCTCCCTCCGCCAGGCTCAGTGCCGAGTACCGCCCAACTCAAGATCAGGGTCATCAAAACTACATTAGACTTTACGGTTGCCTCAATGGGCCCGAAGGACCGAATCAGTCTAGTGACCTTCGAAGTTGGGCCTGGAGGAAAGGTAAGGAAGACGCCATTCCTGAGTGTCGGACGACCCCAGAGTAAGGCGAGGCTGGAGAAGTTTATCGACGAAACTGGATCCCGGCTTGACGAATCGCAAGACGAGTTCTTGGTTAGGGGCTCAAGGGACGAGAAGACGGATGTGGTTACCGCGGTCAATCATGGTGCGTTACCAGTCCCCCTATCACTCCATTCCGTGCTAATGTGTTACTGTGACGACAGGATTGGACGTCGTGCTCCAACGCAAAGCTCGGAATCCCATATCCGGGTTGATTTTGGTCAGCGACGCGTCTGACAGCACAAGGAGGGCGCAAATGGACCTCGTTCTCGCTCGAGCGGAAGCTGCCAACGTGCCGATCCATTCATTTGGATACGGACGTTCGCACGATCCCGCGTCGCTCTGGCTGATGTCGAATCACACCAGCGGCACCTATACCTTTGTAAAGGACTGGTATGACCTGAGGAGTTGTGTGGCTGGATGTGTGGGAGGGATGATGTCTATCGGGTTGTTGAACATGAAGCTTCATATGAAGATCGTCGACAGCTTCAGGTTCAGGATCCGAAAGGTATCAGGCGGGCCATCCTCCATCCTCGCTTCTGATGGTCAGAATGTAGATGTGGATATCGGCGAGCTGCGGTACGGTGAGAGGAAGGAAATGTTGATCGAGCTCGAGTTGGACAACACCGACATGCACAAGATGGCGCAACAGAGACAGAAGGAGCGGGCGATGGACGCGACGGATCGGTTTGTGCAGAGTCTGGGGTTGGACTCGTTAGCGATCGACGACAGCGCGGATTTGGTGGATGGGATGATGGATAGGATGATTGATGAAGTGCCGGTCGTGGAGGTGGATGGATCGTTCTTCGACCCTGCTGCTGCAAAACAAGTCTCAAGGCTGGCACACCCTGTTCTGTTGACCATTACACTCTTGCCCATGACCAACACGCCTTCGAAACCGCCATCAACAGTGTCGGATCCTGTGATTGTGAGGAGGAGGATGGAGTTGTTGGCGAGCGACATGATTACGAGGGCGCTGGTGTTGGTTTCGAGGAGGAACTTCCCACAGGCGCAGAAGATCATGGGCGAGACGAAGAGGATCTTGCATACTGTTTTGCAGACGATCTCCAGAGGCATCCCACCGCCCAATCCCAACTCGGGAGCGACGAGGAATAGGAAGGAGCTGTTGACGATCAAGACTGTTCAAGCTATGCAGGCGATCTTGCAAGACTTGCAGTTGTTGAGCGAGGCGTTGGAGGATAACGTCGAGTTGTTTGCTCATGATCAGAGAAACTTTGGTGCTCAACAGGTGTGTTCGTATATCTGTGGTGTGGCACTTTATACTGATTTATTTCCATAGGCTATGATTCTGAGAGATCAGAAAGCCTGGAGTAACCGAAGTGCGACTGAGCGGCTGTTCTGGACAACAGACAACTCGATTGAATTGGCCTCAAGAGCGACTGACTGGATACCACGCGATTAAACACGTTCCTTACCCTCTCTCTCTTGCCCTCCACTCGTTTCTCTCTATGTTTATTTCTTGTCTTCAATCTTTTTATTTTGCGTATCACCTACTATTACCCTATTCTTGTATCATTGCTGTGCCTGTGTTTTTTTGGTCATTCCCGTTTTCTTCTTGGTCCTTTCTAGTATTAGTATCCCACCCGACGCGTCGATCCTTTAGCATCTCTCTCTCTCTTCCGCTTTGCTAAACTTATTATTCTCGACTATCCCTCTGGTTCCTCCCACCCAAGGTTATTATTATGTACCTCCTTTCTTCCTTGCGATACCAAGTATATCTCTGCCTTAGTTCTTATAGTCTGCATCTTGCTCTACGGCTCGTAGCTCGTGTGTTACTTATTAGCTTGGAATCGAGCTATTTACCTTGATCGTTCCTTTGGTAGCGTGTACCCTGCGCAAAGGACCGTCTCGTGACGCGTAAAGTCTAGCTCTCAATCATATTTCGCCACGTCTCGTCCTGTCCTGACATGTTTCTGCTTCTGCGGTTCGAAATCCCCGTTGAATAGCCGTTAGGGGCCAGGGGAGAACGCGCAAAACGTGGTGAGAACCTTTCCCCAAAAGGCGATCTTAGTCAGCTTGCCTTCGTGGCAGTTGAATGCGGCTTGGCGCGGGCGTATTGGGCCAGCGGAAACGAACCTTTGATTCAACTTTCTCTTCATCCTTTTCCTTTTAAATTCCTCCTCTCCCCCATCATATCCCTTCTCCCGCCACCTGCCACTGCTGCAGCTGCCATGGCAAGTCCGAGTAAGGGGCACACGACGCCCCGCCTGAGACAGCGGCCGTCGTCCAACCCGGATACCTCAAGCTTCGAATACCAGCAAGTCCAGGATGATGAACACGTCGCTGAGGTTTATCAGAACCCTGTAAGTCTGCGTTGTATGTCTTGTAGGGAATGAATAAAGCTGACTGACCATGGGTGGCTAGCGCAATCGGAGCGAGGTTGAGCGGTTCTTCGAGAGTAGCCAGGGCAGCTTCATCGTCGTGTCTGCCCTGACCGCGTTGGCGCTCGCTCTGCGGTTCTACAAGATCAGTTTCCCTGACCAAGTTGTGTATGTTACCCAACTCTTGCCTACAAGACCCTGATCGTCCTGCTAACCGCACGCATCCAGGTTCGACGAAGTCCACTTTGGAAAGTTCGCAGCATACTACATCACGCACCAGTACTACTTCGATGTCCACCCTCCGTTGGCGAAGATGTTGTTCGGTCTTGCAGGGTGGTTTGTCGGCTTTGACGGCTCTTTCCTCTTCGACAACATTGGCGACAGTTATATCACGAACAATGTTCCCTATGTTGGAATGCGGGCACTTCCAGCTGTTCTCGGCAGTCTTACGGTTCCTATTGTTTATGCGATTATGAAGGAGAGCGGTTATTCGACAATTATTGCGGCGTTTTCTGCCTCGCTTATTCTCTTTGGTGCGTCGCCTCACTTTTGAGCGCGTTGGAGGGTGCTGACTCGGATTTTGAAGACAACGCTCATATTGCTCAGTCCCGACTCATCCTCCTCGACGCGGCGCTTATTTTCTTCATGTCCCTCACCGTCTACTCCTATATTCGTTTCAGGAAATACCGATACAGGTATGTCTGTTTACGCGTCCTGGAACACATGTTACTCACGCAGTGGCGATAGGGAGTTCACGTTCGAGTGGTATACGTGGCTCTTCATGACCGGCTTCTGGATGGCTTGCACGTGGGCGTCCAAGGTTAACGGTGTCTTGATTGTCGCCACTATCGGTATTGCCGTCCTCATTGACTTGTGGGATGTCCTCGATTCGCGCAAGGAGGGTCACACCATGGAATACTTCTGGAATCACTTCAAGGCGCGCGCCTTGGGTTTGATTGTCTGGCCCATCACGATCTATCTTTTCTTCTTCTACATTCATTTCTCCATTCTTTATCAATCTGGCCCTGGAGATCACTTCATGAGCCCTGCATTCCAGGAGACTCTTGCTGGAAATGAGATGTTGTTGAACAGCAAGGGTGAGTTGGGTTTATTCTGGCTGTGGACGGAGCTGATGGTATTTTCTAGAAATTCGCTATTACGACGTTGTTACGATTCGCCACAAGGATACCAAGGTCTTCCTTCACTCCCACCCCGAGAAATACCCCCTTCAATACGAAGATGGCCGTATCTCCAGTCAAGGTATGTTTTTGATCGTACCCGTGGTGTCGCCTCCATTCTTATGCTGCTTTAGGTCAACAGGTTACCGGTTATGGTCACAATGATACCAACAACCACTGGCGAATCATCCCCACCAAGTCTCTTCCTGAGACTGGTCGTGGCCGCATCGTCCGCAACCAGGACATCGTTCAGCTTCTCCACGTCAACACTGACACCCACCTTCTCACTCACGATGTCGCCTCCCCCTTGATGCCCACCAACCAAGAGTTCACCACCTGGCCACGAAACGACCACTCTCGCCACAACGATACCCTTTTCCAGATTCAATTGTCCGGTGATTTCAATGATAGCGAGCCTTGGAAGACCAAGTCAGGTCACTTTAGGCTTATCCATGTGCCCACCAAGGTTGCCCTATGGACCCGTGCCAAGCAGCTTCCTGAATGGGCTTTCAAGCAGCAAGATGTCAACGGTAACAAGAACGCCAATGACAAGACCGCCATCTGGTTTGTTGATGACATTATTGAAGACCAATGTGAGTTACTCCGCACCTGATTGGTGGACGTCCGTGTTGACGTCTTTGTACAGTTGGTGAAGAGCCTGTTGACAGAGGCAGTGATGCACCCGTCAAGGTTCCTAAGAAGATGAACTTCTTCAGGAAATTCGGCGAGCTTCAACTCCTCATGTGGCAGCACAACGCTGGCTTGACTGCTTCGCACCCTTATGCCAGCGGACCCATCAACTGGCCCTTCCTCATCAGTGGTATCAGCTTCTGGACCAACAACGATGACAAGAAACAGATCTATCTCATTGGAAACATCGTGGGCTGGTGGACTTGCGTCATCGGCCTTTCCATCTACGTTGGTATCCTCGGTGCTGATCTCCTCGCTCGTCGTCGCCAGATGGACCCCATTCCTGATCGTGAGTGTCCTTGCTTTACCTCGTGTTTGATGTCCTGATAAATTCTGTTGCAGCTGTGCGCAACCGACTCTGGAACAACACTGGTTTCTTCCTCCTCGTTTGGGCTGTCCACTACCTTCCGTTCTTCTTGATGAGCCGACAGTTGTTCATTCATCATTACCTTCCTTCACATCTTGCATCCGCTCTCATCGCTGGCTCTGTATTGAGCTTCGTGCTGAGCGAGACGGTCAATTATCCCATCTCAATTGTCGGTCCCAAGACAAGGCTTCGACCATCACAATACGCCGATACTGGCCTCAAGGGCTTTGCTATCGTTATCCTCTTTGCCCTTCTCCTCTTCTTGCTTTTCGTCTTCCTTGCGCCATTGACTTATGGAACTCCTGGGTACGTTCTGGTTCTATTTTTGTTCATGAATGTCGCTGACGATTCGGTACAGGTTGACCGGTGAACAAGTGAATGCCAAGCGACTTTTGTCGTCCTGGACCCTGCACTTTGCCGCTAAAAAGACTCACGATGTGTAGAGATGGACTGTAGTCAGCTTGTATATGTCCTGAGATTCTGTCAACGTATCTTATTACGATTGAATGCCACACGCCCTTGCTGCTACTCAACGCTCGATCAGTGAAAAGTGATTTCATACTGACATTGAGGAAACTACTATTTTTCTTGAGCGCATTCGCCGGGCTAGTCGCTTTTGTTCTGGATGGCCAGGGCTGTGAAACACCACCATCTAATCTTTCGTTTTCTTTGCGGCGACCTCTTGTTCTGTTTTGTATTCGACAGACATTATATCAGACCACATGTGATACCTTTCATACATCGTTCGGATGTCATACTAGATGTCTGCGGAATTGCTCAGAGATTGACTGCAGTGACCATGGCCATCCTCTAAGCCACGGGCGCTATTCAAGTAGGCACAGCCACCAGTGCCAGTTGGGTTGCGGTCGATGATGGCGCTTTGCCTTAGCTCACCGACGGTCGAACCCTCGAGGGACCCCTGAACAATGTTTAACTCGCCGAGAGGGGGTCAGAGATACGCAGGCATCTCACCCAGTGGCCTAGGTGGTAGCTTTGTCGACGACAACCCGTTAGCAAACTCCGTCTATGACGACGGGCTCGATCCTTGGAGTGCTGCGCCCAGTCCCTCAGCAACACCGGCTCCCCAGAACAACTCTGTGTTCAATGCAGTAATTGGTGGGTAGCACTGTTTGCTAGAACTGAATTCAATGTGCTGTGGAGACTCTGACACCACCCTGTTTTGTAGCGGACGCCTCGGTACCTTCGATTTACCACCGCGCCTTTGCGGCAGTTGACCAGGCCAACCTCGGGGAAGCCTCTGTGAATGCGCTTTCAAGAGTTTTGGCGACCTCTTCGTTGCCAGCAGCTACGATTGACAAGGCAAGCTCGGTGTCGGGTGATCTGCCACATTCTTAGAGAATGACAACATTACTAGATCGTGAACCTGGTTAGCACAAAGCCTCGCGTTTCTAAACTCGAGTTCTTCGTTGCGCTTGCGCTGGTAGCTTTGGCCCAACAAGGGAAAGGTATTTCTTTCTCTCCCGACCCCAACATTGCAAGTACTCAGCTACCCTTCGACAGACGTCAGCATCGAACAAGTCGCAGCTCTATCTTCGCAGAACACGCTTCCCGAGCCGTCACTCGATCTCGACCGACTCCAAGCTTCAACGTCAGCCTTCATGCCTCCCTCCTACAAACCCACCCCGCCACCACCGATGCGCGGGTTCACTGTCGATCCATGGGGCGGCGGACGATATTCCGCGCTGCCACCTTCTGCGACTTACAATCAGAGCGTCGGAGCCGGCCCTGCTCCTCCTCTGTCAACTACGACTTCCAGCGTTGCTGGGACTGGTCTTCCGGACTTCTGGTGGCAGAGGCAAGAGAAAGTCCGAGTTACTCTATTGGGACATCAAGGGTTTATTCTGAATAGATATGTGGTGTATGAGATCGTCTCTGAGGTGAGTCTCTAGCCCTCGTACGCTGAGCTGGTTTTGATTGTTATTCTAGAGAGATGAACGACCAGTTATTAGACGTTATTCGGAGTTTGCGTTCTTGTGGGATGTATTGGTTCGACGTTATCCGTTCAGGCTTTTCCCCGCTTTACCACCTAAACGTATAGGAGGTACGAGTTGTTGGTTAAAAACCACGTTAACCCTGAACTAACCTGCTTTGGCAGCCGATGAACAATTTTTGGAACAGCGACGGTAAGGAGATTGCGAATATAATATATACCGGTCGTTCGCTCACCGCGCACAATAGGAAAGGCCTCTCGAGATTCCTCAACTACATTGTGTATGTCAGTTTCATTCAAACCTTTTAACATCGTGACTGACTTGTCTCGAAGGAACCATCCGATCATCAAGGACGACGGCGTCTTGAATGCTTTCCTTACGGAACCATCGTTCGAGACGTGGAGGAAGAGCTCGCCTATATCTTTGGAGGAAGAGTCAGCGTCGAAGAAGGTGGACAAGGTGGAGGAGATGTCCATTCCTAGCGACTTCGACGAGAAAATCGCGTACGTACTGCGCGAGGCGCCTCGTGACCGGTCTACTCATCCTTGCCTAGGTCAATACGAAACCGGTTGAATCCACTCATCGACCACTGGCATAGAATTTGTATCCTTGCCGAGAGAATCGCCAGAAGACAGGAAGCCGCTGCGGTACGATTGCCTCCAGCTTTCCGCAAACCGTTCCTGCCGACTCACTCTACCTTATCGTCACCAACGTCGTCCGTCGCATCTCTTCCCGGGTCTCCGATATCACCTATCTCTACAACCATGGCCCAATCTCTTCACGAATCACTCTTTGGTCTGCAACCTCTACCTGAAATTACGCAACCGCAGGGAGATTTGGCGAGGTTGACGAATACGTTGCGGGCAGTGACGGAGGTTATCGATCCTTGTTGGAGAGGGGATGATTGTGAATTGTCGACCGGGGTGAGGGCCGGTCTCAGCCAAGTCGCCGACCATACGCAGCGGCATTCAGAGCTTTCCGAGACCAGGGTAGGTCTTTGTTACTCCCTGGTAACTTCAGTTGCTGATCGTCTGCTCAGACGAGAGCCTTTCTGGATACTACGTTGGAGGACTTGAAGGTAGGCGATATACAAAGACGCGCCCTTCCTGATCTCACTTTAAGCTCCGTCTAGTCTCAACGCGACCTATACCTTGCGACGCGTGATCTCTTCATTCGACATGACCGTCTCTCCGTGGATCAAGTTGACCGCTTGAAGAAGCGTGTCGAGACCAACGGTTCCAAACTGGAAGGGGTCCGCGTTGCACAGAAGGATGGATGGGAGGAGGAAGCAGAGCGCCTCACTGCTCTGATCGAGCGTGACCAAGCGACGATCGCCGCCCAGCTGAGCCGACGAGTGTTTATTCGCGTCTGGTACAGTCCTTTCCTGTGGATTGGTAATACCAGTGCTGACCTTACTTTTAGTTTATGGCATGAGCTGAGGGTTATGCTTCACAATCGCGAGAACACGCTTATGACCCAGGCTGTTCACAACTTTGCAAGCGGAGAGCGACACTATGCTGAGAATGTTGCCAATATATGGCAGTCTCTCGAAGAGCAGACTGAGGGAATGCCTTACGAATAATCGGTTTGCTTCCTTCTATAGTACACGGATTAAGCCACGTAGTTTTCAATTCTCCGAACGAGGATGGACTACTACATGTTACGACCCTGTTATGACCGTCGACATCTTCCTCTTCGCACTTCGTCTTGATTTATTTGTGATGTTTGAACGCTATGTTTTATTTTCTCGAGCGATTCGGTGTAGTATTGTTGTAAATACTATTCTAATCTTGGTTACCCTTCAACGCTGCTCTTTACTAATGGGTTCACCATATTCTGCTTTCATTACACAGTGCGGGGCCTGTCTTGGCGGTCTCGAATTCCCGCTCCGAGCGCTCTTACCAACCGCGTATTGAAGCCATGGCGTCATCGCAGTGAGCTGCATCTATAAAGAGAGGGTACTCTATTAAAGAAGGGGGCCATTCACAGCCTTTCCTCCGCCGTTACCTCCTTCAATATGTCGCAGCCTCAATGGAAATCACCTCTCGAAGGATACGAGAATTTGCCGCCCCTGCCTGACACCATCAACCCCGATGGAAAGTCGCTGTACAATCCACCCACTGACAAGCTCTCGGACGCCTATGCCAACTTCCAAAAGCCGATAGATTCGTCGAATAATGGGTTTGACTTTCATAGTGAGTGGACGTCCTAATCATTGGTTCACAGTACGGGGTCCTGATCCCTAACTTGGCCCTCAGTTTACTACAGAACTGAAGATGAAGCAGAGACCAAGTTTGCGAGGGAACTTCATGAAAGGATAAGACGAGAGTTTCCCGAGGTATGAACTACGACTTGGTGCGGTTACGCATTGCTAACCGATCTTCCTACCTTCCTACCAGATCCGGATATACAAGTTCTGGGATCGTGCTGTCGGTATGTGCTCCCTAGATTTCCGATGATTCTGACCATATTCTGACCTTGATTTCTGCCTATCACTCCACATACAACACCGGACCCTCGTCATCTGGCCATGGTTTCATCCCGACCCCATTCTGCCTCCGACATAACATCCAGGTCCCCACCCAACCGCGATGTTCGAAGTAAACACATTCACACCACATCAAACGGGGGCCTTCTTCTCCTGGTTGGTGGTTAACAGAGGACCGTGCTCGTATGTGTCGTCCTGTTCCCTTGGAAGGTCATGGGACTGACATTCGCCGGACTGGATTAGTGTTCTGATTCACCCCAACACCAATGATCCTTTGAAAGATCATACGGAGTTGGCCACTTGGATGGGGCGGCCATTGCCCTTGAAAACCGAGATCTTCTAAGCCAGAGGGGGACCCTGAGTATCACGAGAAGACTTACGAAGACAAAGCTGTTGTGTGACAAAGTCTGTATGATTTGTTTCTTTCTAATCTAGTCATGCCTATTTAGATGTACTTGTACACTAGTAACGCCAGCCAATTAGACTAGCTCTTCCTGGTACCTAACGCTCAGCGGACAACATCAAAGAGCCCAGTGGTATCGGAGGCCGGATAGACAGGTACGAATCGAAGTTTTCCAGCTCACCGCATGGATGAACTTGGATCCTCTGTGTGGTCTTCGACACCGACCATGCTGGTCAGACGTCACAAATCTCGCTTGGTCTGGGTCGAGTGGAGGGCATAAATGCTGTGCCCTCATTTGTGTCAAACGGGGATTCAGCGGCGATCAGTCTTGGCGCCACCGCGACGCCCTGACATCAATCCTCTCGCCAGTTACAAAGCACTTGGAGCAAAACGTGAGCTGGAATTTTGTGCGTAGCGTAGCCACAACGGTGTGCTAGTACTGAATAGGTGCGCCTTTATACTTATGAGGAGCATTGCACCATAGATTTGAGGGATGGTGCAAGAGCCATATGGTCCCTATGATGATCCGTCCGTTTTAGGCACCGACGCTGGAGCCGGTGCGGGTCAGAAAGCCGGCGAGCACAAGGTGCTATAAAGAGGAAAGGTCTATCCGCTTCCACATCCACATTGAACTTTTGAACCCACCACATCTCCAACACTTTTTCACCTCTCAAACGACATGACCGCTGCAATTCTCGATAATGCCCTCGGCGCTGTTGGCCACACACCGCTGATTCGACTGGACAAGATTGCAAAGGCTTATGACCTGAAATGCAACCTACGTGAGTACCGGGAGGGTCGCTGTGGCTTTGGAGGTGTGCTGATAATTTTTCATTTTAGTTGGCAAGGTCGAGTATATGTCCGCGGGTGGGTCCGTGAAGGACCGAATTGCAAAGGCTATGGTCGAAGCAGCAGAGCGGGAGGGCAAGCTCATCCCCGGCAAGAGTGTTGTCATTGAACCCACGTCCGGCAACACTGGTACGTTTCTGAGCCTACCTTCGTCTTCAAGGCGTTGCTGACGATGTTTGCTCTTCCTAGGTATTGGTCTTGCTATGGCCTGCGCCATCAAGGTAGAACATTCATTCGTTGCAGCCTGAATAGGTACTGAATACGACAGATAAGGGGTATTCGGTTATCATAACCCTCCCCAATAAAATGTCACTAGAAAAGGAAGCTCTCCTGCGTGCACTTGGAGCTGAAGTTATCCGCACACCGACCGAAGCCGCTTGGGACGCTCCTGAAAGCCACATAGGTAGCGCCCCCAGTCCATCTTTATGCACTCTCGTGGCTGAATTCCTTAACGATCCCAGGAGTCGCGCAGCGCCTGCAAAGGGAAATCCCTCACGCTATCATCCTCGACCAGTATAAGAACGTAGGTGGCCTGGATCCATGCAGGGGTTGTACGGGTGCTAACAATGAGACCTAGGTAAACAACCCACTCGCTCATGAATACACCACTGGCCCTGAAATCGTCGCTGCTGTTGAGGCGACCCCGTCTACCTCGGCCCACCCTTCGTCGGGCAAGGTTGACGTCATTGTCGCTGGCGCTGGTACGGGTGGTACTGTCACCGGTCTTTCGCGCGCAATCAAAAAGAAGCATAACAAGGAATGCATTGTCGTTGCTGCCGACCCCGTACGTCTGTTTTGTTTGTTATATGGTGCTGGATTCTGACGCCCGCATAGAAAGGAAGTGTACTTGCTCTCCCCAACAACTTGAACGACGAAGATGCCGGTGCGATGTATGTGGTTGAGGGTATCGGATACGATTTTGTTCCGGACGTTCTTACCCGAGATCCAACCGAAATCGATTACTGGCTGAAGACCGGAGATGAGGAGTCTTTCGATGCTGTCCAGCAGCTGATGAGGAAGGAGGGACTCCTCGTTGGTGGTAGCAGTGGAAGCGCTCTTTCTGGTGCCTTGAGATGGCTCAAGAGTGACGCTGGTCGACCTATTGCCGAGACCGAAGGGAAGAACGTTGTCGTATTGCTACCTGATGGGTATGTTTTCCTGTTCTGGATTGTCGGGAGCCGTATTGACGTTCGCATGTAGAATCCGAAATTACATGAGCAAGCCTTGGTTCTTGAAGATCGCTATGGAAGCGGAGCCCTCGCCTCTCGCTGGAACCATTGCCCAGATCCTCAAGAAGCCTGAAGCCTCTAAGACTCCCAGCGCCCCCACTATTGCTCAATCACCGAGCTCCCAGACCTCGCATTGATTAACATTTCTCTGAGGCTCTGGGATCATCGGGATGGGTGCCTGGACATTTTCTGTTAATCTATGTTGGCGTTTTCTTGATTATATGTTCTGCTCTGCTCTGAGACCTGTGTACTTTTTTACATTCCACGCCTCGTTAGATCGTAATAGACATCTGGATCGTTGCCTTTGATTTAATCCACTGAGTTCTACGCACACCGTCTGACACCAACCGAACAATTCAATTCGCTATAGTGTGACTTGTCGTCGGTCTGACTACGGGAGACTAGGGCCAATACCATGAATCTGTCGCCAGGGTACAGATTCTAGAGTAGGTCTAGGTTAGATAGCGGAAGATGGTGCAGTGCATGAACACAGATAATATTGCCTCGGATAGTAGATACAAATGACTTGTACAGAAGGATATAGGCAGACCTTTGAAGGAAAAGCTCATGAAAGACAAGCTCCTCCGGTATCTCGCAGCCATCGAGCAGTTGATTAGACTGTCGAGTACGTTTCTATTGGCCATCACCAGAACCGGAATACAGCACGAAAATTTCGCTGACCGGGCAGAAATAGGCCATGTATCGAATGGATCGACTGAAGTGACTAGAGTTCGGAATAAAGAAAGAAATCTTCACAGGACTGTTGTTGAAGAAACTGATAATTGCATTGAAACGGGGTGTCGAGTTGAGATGGGTCAAAGAAGCGAAACAAGGAAAAACTGCGTTTTTTATACGCGAGAAGCCAAACACGGCCAAACAATTGAAGGCGCGCCAAGGCTGCCGCTCTTCCCAACCTCGGAGTCGTCGCGTCGGTCAGTAGTGCGGGCCCGAATCAAGCTTGATTCGACACGACGACGACCGCAGAATAACTTCACGCATTGATGACTCGAATGACCACAGTACTTAACTAAGACGACCCGGGGAAAAACCTTCAAGGAAATAATAGTAAGCCTTCAAGTCGAGACAGCGATGATTTGAATTTGACTCGAACAGGCCTTTGACGTTCCCATTGTACCTAGTCCGCACTAATTTGACGAAATCGACACAAATCAGAAGAACCACGACACATCATGGCCTCTACTTTGAAGAGTATTTTAGATGCCCTCAAAGATGGTACGGCCACTGCACGGAAAGAAGCTCTTCAAGAGTTTCGGACCGCAGTCTTCGCGGACAGGGATCTTCTCCCGTACCTGACAAGGCAAAAAAGCAACGACAAGCACGCATACAAGGATTGGCTATCTATTGTCCAAGCTCTCCTCGCGTCCGTCCAAGCGGATAAGCCGCTGCTTAGGCAGAAGATTGCACAGGGAAGGACTGTGCCCGCCACTGTGACTTCGAGGTTCACAACGGCAGTTGGGACTGTACGGTGGATCGTCGAGGAGTACTACGAATACTTCAGCAAGTCAGTTCTCGACTCATTGCTCGATCATATCACATCAACGTTACTCGATCGCCGATTGTTCGACTACGTCTCGCTCGACTACTTCAAGACCATCAAGTCTCTTTTGCTGCACCAGCCGCACCTCGACCATTTGGACGGCCTTAGATGGACGAATTTGGTGGAGATATGTTTCAACGTTATACTGGACCTCGATCTTAGGACACCCCTCACAGAGGTAGACGAGGATTCGGAGGACGAACAAGCCACACCGTCCCGGAAAGGTACCCCATTGGACAGCGACGACGACGACGCACCTTCGCCAGGAACATTTGCTCAGAAGCGTCGGAGGAATGACAAGGATGTCCTACCCCAGCCCACTATGAAGAGGGCTGGCAGAACCCGCCGACAAGGACAAATCCCAGTCAAACCAGCACAGGTTGAATGTGCTATCATATTGTCCCTTCTCCTCTGTTCCCACAACAACCCTATGAGCTCTCCTTCGACAAAAATCGACGACAACAGCACTCCGGAGAACAGGATCGCACGAGACCGGGGAATACTGAACCGCCTTCGACAATTTTTGAAGAAATATCCCTCGGAATCTTCGCTCTTGCACGATTTCCTGAGCTGTGTCGAAGGTACTCTCGACGCATTGGCTCTAAACCGGGTTCGCGACGTCGCTCTCTTCGCCCGTGAAACGTGGGACGGATTTGTAGGTCTTTGGGGCGTGAAGGACAAGAGACTGAAGGAGAAAATATTGATCGTCCTTCGAGCCCTATTTCCCTTTATCTTAGTAGAGGAACCGGTCTTTCAGGAAGGGACGAGGAATGGAACCTTGAATCTCGTGGAAGGATTACAGAAGCTGTGGGCGACTTTATCTGGAGAAGCAGATAGCCGCTGGGGCACGAATGGATTAAAACTGAGCACTCTCCGCCTTCAAATCATCCGAGCAGGAGACCCTCGGAACGATACAAGCAATCCCTTCATCGCCAGCACCTTCAGGTCCGGCTGGGACTTCGACATTGACCAAGCTTTGGCATGGGGGATCCTCGAATTACAGGCAGATGTTGCTAAACAAGTAGGCACTTGCTCCTTCGAGTCCGCACGGGAGTCTGAAACTGATGGGGCTTCTTTCAGTTATTCATGTTTGCAGAATCGATGCATCCCGCCACGCCCTGCACGAGTCAAAGAAAGGACAAAAGATTCAGGCTACAGAATCCCGTTTCAACGCTTCTCCACAACATCGAAACTCAGATCCTGACCGTCCCTCGCTGCTATCATCTCCAAGTTTTGCTTTTCTTCGTGGATCGACATTGGTCAATTGTCCACGACACCCTCAAACGGCAGATCATGGACACCCTGATTCAGGTTCAAAACCTCGAAGACCCTGACGTCCAGTCTTGGATCCTCCTCAACTACGCTGCGATCGCCTACGCAGAAAGCCATTGGGCAGGGGCAAACGTCGACGCTCTAATATCATCTCAAGCGCCCGATGTACTTGATGCGAAGGTCTGGGATACCATCTTGCAGTCTGTCGTCCGTCGTATAAACACCGCGGCCGTCTGCAGAGCAGCTAGCCATGCAACACACTCTCTACTTATCTCCCTATATCGATATACACCACCATCCGGGCATATCTTCCTCTCATCCCCCCGAGTCCTACAGGAGATCGAAATCATCTGCAAGGACATCAATATCGAGGGGCCTCATGCTCCTTACGACTCAGTTTGCATGCTACTTATCGAATGCCTCAAGATCGCTTCCCAAGACGTACGCCTCTACCGACTGCATATGGAAGACAAAGTCCTGGAGTGGCTGAAGAATTCGTGGGTCATCACTGGATACGAGAAGACAGCAGGTCCACACCCCGTTAACGACCTGATCCTCTTGTTGGCCACCATCTGTGGTATCAGCAAGCCTATTGGCCTTGTCATTCGAACATCATTACCTTCATGCCCTATCGTCACCGCCATGCAGAAGGAGTCGCAGCTTCAGAGCATACGCAATTTCATGCTTTACGCTCAACTACCGTCATACAAACCAAGTGAACAGTCCAAAAGTGTATCGTTCCCAACCTCAGTCGAACCAGGCGTCGAACCGGCCGACATCAGCCCACTGTCTTCTTCTAGACGGTCACCCAATGCCCGAGAAGGCAGGGTCTTGTCCTTCTTGGAAAGAATGATAAAAGCGCTCAAATTGCACTGGCAGTCCACTCCTAATCCCACCATTGAAGTCGCTCGGCGAACGTTGGACTTTGCGGTCATTGCGATCGTCTTCCAGACAATGCTATCGGTTAATTCAGTCATAACGGGGAAAGAAGTTCTCAAAGTCGGAGCCGAGGTGTTGAACCTTGTCGTAAACCCTTCAGCCATGGGCCCAAACGGTAATGCAAAATGGACTTTGGCAGAGAGGGCAACCTTATGCGAGGGATTGGAGCCCTTGGTGTGGACATCTGATCCGCCTGTCGAGACTGGCTGGGAAGCGGTAGCGCAGCCTGATTTCTCACGTGATGGTGTTACGAGGAAGGAGCGCAGTTTGCCTAGCGTCACCGACGCTAAGGAAGAGTTGAGAAGGAATATACTGCGAGCGATATGGAGCAACAGCGAAGTAAGTTCCCAACTGGACGTTCATATGAAAACCTGTGCTCAGAATATTTACGCTAGAAGGAAGGGTTCGTGGGGTTACTGGGTTATATACGGAGTCAAGTCGCGGATGCCAGTATCTTGGATAACCCAACCACACTGGCCATGGACGCTGATGACGGAGGGGCTTGGGCTGTGAGGACGAGCGAAACGTCGACTTCGAAGTTACCTGGAGAAAAGAACCAAGAGCTGTGTCGGTTGGTCGAAGGACAACTCATTTTTACGATCCGCGTCGCTGCGCTCAGCTCGCTTTTGGGTGACTCGAGCGACGTAAAGGATTTCCAGCAGTTCTTAAACGGCCTTCTCAACTCCGTCGAGGAGAGTGCGCCGTGGTGCCTTCTGGTCGTTCCAATCCTCCTTCGCGAGATCGACATCGGCTCTCTGAAGGTCAACGAGGATATAGCTTTATCTCTTTTGAACGCCATCGCCCGTTGCCTTAAGACCTACAACCACAGCTACAACACGGAAATGCGGTGTTTGGCCACCAGGGCCCTCGCCTCCACCTTCGACCTTTGGCTCACCTCTCAGACGCAGCATGTCTCCCCAAAGGCCGCGCAATTGTGTAGCTGGATTGCGACTAGCCTTGGAAACAGTCGTTTTGACAGCTGGGTAATGAGAGATGCGTGTGTGCAATTCCTCTGTCGATATCTCTCCGTAAGCGGGAGGCGATCTTCGTGGCCCTTCAAAGGGACAGGCGAGGAGCCAACGCCGACCTCTATCTTAGAGAAGTTAACAACGGATCCCGATGTCCGCGTTCGTTTCCGAGTTGCCACCGCCATTCCAATGCTTTTCGCAGTTTCACGAACGGACAATCACAAATTACCCAGCCTTTACAACGAGATGAAGGATGCCTTCTCCGCCGATGTGGACCAGTAAGTCACCACCCCTCAGATCTCAGATTCCGAATTTGTGTGCTCATGGCTGGCTTAGGTATGAGCTGTTCATTAGTCGCCTCCTGTCCTTCGCGAACATAATGATTGTCAGCTCTGTGATACGGCGGGGCCCTTATTGGCACCTGTTAGAAACGTGCACACACTCCCCTGCATACACTTCACACCTCGAAGCACTCCTTACGGCCACAGTGGAAAGGCTGGGAATGGAGTCATTGAAATGTCTCTCCCGTGCCTATGCATGCCAGCTAGCCTTTTCCATGGGTCGCGCCGATACAGACCTGTTGTCGATCCCCCCTCGATTACTTGGTTACGACACAAGAAGTTCATGCGCTGAAGCCACTTTCCGAGCCTTCGTGCCAGTCTACTTCGCGACGAATGGTATGACTCACTTTCAAAGCCATTGTCAAGTCCTCCAAAAGGACATTGAAACTGGTATCGACCAATGCTTCGGCGACATTGTCGGCTTTCATGTTGTCGTATATTTCTTCGAGCATGACAACCCCAATGAAGCCGCGATGGTTGGAGGCCTGGCAACACTTTTGGGAAGGGAAGAGGACAAGCTCAGAAGCGATTTTTCGGCTCACGCGGACGCCATCATCGCGTCAATGCTCAGGACGATGGGGGACCAAGACTACACAGACAACGGCAAGATTATTCCCGCACTTGAATCAGTCACTGGAAGCGACAACCTCCAGGAAGACAGCAAACATGTCGCAGTGTTCAGGGTTCTAACACGTTACCGCGGCTTGGAAACCTTCACACCACACGAACCCAACTCTCCAGCACTTCCGACGAGTTGCATCCTTCGAGGCTTGGCATGGATGGAAACCGTTCCGCAAGCTTGCAGAAAGGCCACGACGTATCATGTTATTCACGAACTATTTGCCAGCATCGAAGATACCCCTTTGGTCAACGAAAAGCTGCGACTTGTCAATGCCCTTTGTCTATGGATCGCGTATCGGCACCAAGACTTCAACGACGTCATACTTTTATACGCAGTCCTACATGGCGCTTCGGCCTTGCTCCGTCAAGAAGTCCTGGCTAGGGCCGCCCAGTCTATCTTACAGTGGACATTTCGCTGCTATCACAAGTTCAAGGCGGCAGATTCACGGCTTTCTCGCATACTCATCCGTCTCTCCTCCATCTGCCACGACTATGCGGCGCAAGTCCACGATCCAGCAGCGGTTCGTCTCGGAGAAGACCTTCTCCAATGGTTCGACGCTCAGATGGTCAAGCTCAGCACTGTCCCTGTGCTCCTCGATGTCATCTGTAAAGCAATGCCAGCCTGGGCGCACCGACCTTCAGCCGCGTTAGCGACTGTGCAGAAGGCCGTCACGGTAGAACATCTGTCTGCAATTCTCCGAGACGGTCACATCAGCTCGAACAAATTCAGGGTTGTTCGACGGTTAGCAGAGGAACCTTTCCACAACGAAATCCAGTTCCCATCTAAGGCCTTTTGGCGGTTGAAGGAGAGTCTGCCGCCGACGGACAAAATCCAAGTAGAGGACATTGCAGCGTTCACTGACCTTCTCATTGCACATCATGGCCAGATAGATAGCCTCAATCCCGAAAAACCGTCACTGAGCACCATTCGCAACCGACACCGACAACTTTGGGAAGTCCCCGACAGAAAGGGGGAAAGATCACGCAAAGACTGGCTCGTCATGGCTAAAGAATCCATTCTATATGGGCTTCTGGCGCTACTCGAACACGAATCCTCTTCCCTCGTTCATAACGCATACAATACCTTGCGTCTCATGATGAAGGAGTTGCCGGGAGGTCTCTCTGCAGAGAAACTCTGGTCACGAGAGTACCTGGAAGAGCTCCAACTACTGCGACATTACCCTCGACTCTCCTCCAAGCGGCCTGTTCGATCCCTCTCACTTCTCCAGGAATCTGACCATTACGTCGAAATGTCCTCCAAATTCTCCGACTGGGTCAAATACGTATCCGTTCTAATCAGCGACATATTGTCTTCTCGAGATCCTACATATGGTCAGCTCTATTCGATACTTTCGACCGACGTATCAACGGCCGAGGAGATGTTCCCGGTATTGGTATATGCTCTCCTGCAAGGGGAGAAAATATCACCGCAAGAGGGCCCGTCACCTAGAGCACTCCTCTCGCATCATTTCACAAAAGTTCTCCAATATCCCAACGCTGGCCTCCAATGCGTTCAACTCATCGTGGATGCCGTTCTTCACTTACGATTTTTCCATCCCGGAAAAGGCGACAAACTCGCATACAACAAATGGCTCGATCTCGATTACTATCTTCTAGCGCAGAGTGCTGTTCGATGTGGTGCCTACACGACAGCGCTTCTATTTTTGGAGATTGCCCCAGAGATCCACGATAGCTCGAAGCTTGACAGGAAGATCGTGGAGGAGATCCAGTACGAGATTTATGCTCACGTTGACGAACCAGATGGATTCTATGGAATCCAGACAGATAACCTTCACAGATTCCTGATAGAACGCTTCCGACACGAAAAACAATGGGACAAAGCGTTCCGTTTCCACGGTGCAGCTTTGGAAGCCGGGAGTGAAGGTGCTGGCGTAGGCAATGTTGAAGGCATCGCACAATCTTTCCATTCTTTCGGCTTCAATCACCTTGCCATCGGTACTCTTCAGACTTCCGAAGAGACATTTGGAAGCAGAAACCTTTCACCCGGCCTCGCATATCAACTCGGCTGGCGATCAGCAACCTGGGACCTTCCCGAGAGCGATACATACACGCCTGGAGCATCCCTCTACCATGTCCTCCGTTGCCTTCATCGGGAGATGGACCTGAACGCCTTGGATGCTTCTATCCAATCTGCTCTCTATAAGGAGATGGATCAACTGCGCAAATTGGGCACTGAAAGCGTTACTCAGATTCGGGAGGTCCTGCAGGCATTAATGTCTCTCCATCAAATCTCGCTTTGGAAATCGAGGGACCTCCAGGACAATCTCAGTTCCAAGGCCATCGACTTCGACAAATGGAAGGATTTCTTGTCCATATCTGATCACTTCGGGTCCGTTTATCTCTCCCGCACATGACATGGTACTCAATCTATTTGCAGATTCTCCGATGTCGAGAACATCATGTCTGTGCGATTATCCCTCATCCGCTCCAACCGCCAGGAAGAAGAAAAAACGAATCAAATTGGATCGATAGCAAGCCCCTTTCTCACAGCCTTGGTCGAGATCGAGAAAAGATGTTTGATCCTGCTCTCCAGAGCTGCCAGGGACTCCGACCAGACTCAAATCGCACTCAACGCGGTGCTTCAGGCGCAAAAGCTCGAGAAAACCCCATCCTTGGAGGTCTCCCAAGAATACGCGAACGTTCTCTGGTCCCTCGGCGAGGCGAAAATAGCAGTCAAATTCTTGAGTGACTTGCTGATGAAGCCTGCTTCCTCATCCCTCCCGGCCCCGTCCAAGGCAGAACTCTATTCTCGACTTGTGAGTACCGAAAATCGACTCCCTTGACTCAATTGACACTGGTTCAGGGAACTTGGATATCTGAAGCATATCTCGAAAAGCCGACAGATATAAAGACCAAATACTTCGACCCTGCAATCAACCTGCTGTTACAGTGCGTCGAGGGAAGTCACTCCGACGAAGTTGCAACGGTCTATCGCCAATACGCTTTCTTTGCAGAGCGGCAGTATCATACAATTCTGAAATCTGGAGATTCGGTACGATGGAAAGTGTACGTGGAGCGGAAGCAGCGAGAGATTTCGGACCGCGCCCATGAGCTCCAGAGCATGCGTCCCAACGAGGAACGCTATAAAATCGCCAGTCGAGCCCAACATACAGCCAAAAAACTTCTTGAAGCAGACAAAGCGCTTGCCGAAAGCCACGAATCCACCCAAAAGAAATTCCTTCTGCAGGCATTGAAGATGTATTCCCGGTGTTTGCAAGTGACGAACAAATATGACACAGAAGCGTCGATCAAGTTTGCTTCCCTTTGGCTCAGCAACTTCGATGAAGACCAGGGTCCCGAGATCGTTGAAGCAATTGGGGAGGCACTGGAGAAGATACCCTCACATAAATTCGTGTTCTTAGCGGTACGAGTCCTTTTCCTTTTACTACGCACGTTCACTGATATCTCATTGTCAGCATCAACTATCCGCCCGTATTACCAAGTCGCCGTCTCAGCAAACCAAAAATCAAACTGATCTACAGCGCTTAATCCTACGACTTTGTCTAGAGCACCCATTCCACAGCGTCTATCAAGTATACTCTTTACAGGCAGATGACGACTTGTCGACTCTCGGGTCGCAAAAGGAGCGCCGCCAATCGACACGGTCTCAAGCGGCGACTTTGGGGTCGCAAGTTGAAAGTCAAATCGAACGCAGCGAGGCGGCCCAAGACGTTTTGTACCGACTCGAGCAAGGAGAAAGCAGGCAGCGGATCGAAGCCATGAAATTGGCTTGCAAGGCGTATCGCGCATGGGCGCGGCAGCCCTTACCTAAGGACAAAATGAGGGTCGGTGTGCAGCTCGCTATTCCCCCCAGCCAGCCCATCCTAGGACTCCCTAGGATGGATGGCCTCGTCCCCGTCCTCACAGCAGACACCCCGATCGATCCAACTTTGAAGTACGAAAATTGCGTTTGGATCCACAAATACGAAAACGTATTCGAGACGGCTGGAGGAGTGAACTGCCCCAAGATATCCTGGTGTTACGGAACCGATGGGGTGCGGTACAAGCAGCTGGTGAGTGGGATGATTGGTTGTCTTAAACCCTCCTCAACTGACGTATGCTACTCTTAGTTTAAAGGGAACGACGACATGCGACAGGATGCCGTGATGGAACAGGTTTTCGAACTCGTGAATAGGATCTTGGTCAAGGATCGCGAGACTTCCCGGAGATCACTGCGAGTTCGATCCTACAAGGTTGTTCCGCTTGGGAAACAAGCCGGTGTGCTCGAATTCGTGAGCAATACTTCTCCACTTCGCAACTGGCTAGAAGCCGGACATCCAATGTGAGAGCTTACAACCAACGATTTTATCCACATCCTGATTGACACCTCCGTCTAGTTATCGACCTGGGGATATTAGCCCAAAGGAAGCCCGGTCAAAGCTTTATGCTGCTTCTTCAAGATCGGAGGAAGATAGAATCAAGGCTTACAACGAAGTCTGTGCTGTTTTCAAGCCGGTGTTCCGCCACATCTTCACTGAAAAGCATCGCAATCCCCGGGCATGGTTCGCCACCCGACTGCGTTACACTCGGAGCGTCGCAGCTAGCTCAATCGTTGGACACATCCTTGGCCTCGGTGACCGTCACACTTCCAACATCCTCCTGGACAATACGACCGGAGAAGTCGTCCACATCGATCTCGGCATTGCTTTCGACCAGGTACATCAATGTCCCTTTCTTATGTCTACGTGTGCTCACTCAGCCTTCGCAGGGTAAACTACTCACCATCCCAGAGCTGGTTCCGTTCCGCCTAACACGGGACATGGTGGACGGAATGGGCATTTCAGGAACCCAGGGGGTGTTCCAAAGATGCGCAGAAGAGACCCTTCGCGTCCTGAGAGACGGGTCGGATATTATCATGACCGTGCTCGAAGTGTTCAAGCACGATCCCCTGCATTCATGGTATGTCCCTCCCTTTGCCCGCCAGTCAATCCCGCACCAACACTTCGTTTCCTGTTCTTCAGGACGGCGAGTGAGATCAAGATCAAGCGCGTTCAGCAACCAGAGGCACCACCAACGACGCCCGCCTCAGAAGCAGGAGCCAACCAGCCGAAGATCTTGCCCAGTCGTTTCGAGCTGGGCGGTCTGGGCATCGACATGACCAGTGGTACCGCCGAAGAAGCTGCCGATCGCGCGCTGAGCTCAGTCGCTCGCAAACTCGACAAATCGCTCAGCGTCGAATCAACGGTTAACGAACTGATCGCCATTGCGACGGACCCTACCAACTTGGGAAAGATCTTCTATGGATGGGCTCCTCATATGTAACAGCACCGTTTCTCTGCTTTCGCTACTTACGATCAATGTTTTCCTTTTCGTCGCCTGCTTTCAGTGACTACTTGCTCTCTTTCTGATCCACTTCTCGTCCCCGTCTTTTCGTTTTCATCGTCTGTCGAATAATCAATTGCATCATCTACTAAACACGGACAAGCATTTTGTATTATATACATAGAGTAGCCATTGTCTTTTTTCTTTTTCAAACTTCCAACCGAGAAATCATTACGATGATTGAATGTATAACAGAAACAGAGAGGGGCAGAACACACACGAGAGAGAAAAGTCTTGCAAAACCGACCGTGAGGAAACCAGACCTGGAGGGTTGTTGAACAAAAAAGGTATGTACAGATGTGTGTGGTGTAGGGTGAAGGTGAATACACCGTCCTAGGACAATCTAACAAACGAGATGTCCTGGGTGCGCGCAATAAATATGAGAAAGGGGGGTTAAAGAAGCCTCCAGTGCCGGATTCTAAGACTCTTATGGCCAGTTAAATACTACCGCGTCGACCGAAAGAAAGGACGAAGGGCATATATGTAAGGTGAAACAGACGATCTTGGTCGACGAAGGAGATTGAAGTGGGAGGTAATAGGAAGGGTGAAGAAAGGGAGATATAGTTGACCGAGAACCATCAATGCATAAGAAGATACCAAAAGAAATGGTTTTCACAACCAGGTATTAGATGCGGACTATGAGACTCGGACCGGGAATTGGAGAGGAGGGGGATATATCATCGATCGCGAACAAACACAGATTTAATGAGAGAAGAGAAAAAAGAGAAGAAGAAAGAGAGAAAAATGGAAGGTGCTGTCCACAGAGAAAATTGTCCTTTACTTGTTCTTCGCGATTTCCCTTGCAGCCTTGATTAGAGGAGCAAGCGTTCGAAGAGGTTCCGACAGTTTAAAGAACGGATGCTAAAAATCCAATCAATCATCAGTATCCAACGTCGTGGCAGTGCAATCCTTGGCCATGTGGACCAAAGTTAATGAAAAAAATGCGCACCTGAAGCAGTTCCGTCGCCGAGGGCCGTTTCTCAGCATCAACCTCGAGGGTCTTGGCCAAGTAGTCCGTGAAGACGGGCGATAGATTTTCAGGGTTGGCAATTGTCGGCGTGCCGTTGGTGGCAATCAAGTAGAGGGCCTTGAGCGGGTTCTGGTTGAGATATGGCGGTTCACCTTCGATCATCTCTGTTCACCCAACAAACCCTGGTCAGCCAAAACACGGGGAGATCGGAAAATTAGATTGACAACACTCACCAATAGCCATGATACCCAAACTCCAAATGTCCACCTTCGGTCCGTACTCTTTGCGCGTAACCACTTCGGGTGCCATCCAATATGGCGTACCAACCATCGTTGTTCGCTTGGCATGACCCTCGGAAATTTGTGCACAGAAACCGAAATCAGCTAGAAAGGGTGGTCCAGGCAAATGCCGAAGAAGACGAGGCGAAGCAAAAAATATCCAATGGTCAGAAAACAAGGATCATCACGGGTGTAGACACACTTACTCAATTTAATATCACCGACCATGCTCAGCAAGACGTTGTCGCTCTTGATATCACGGTGGATGACACCGTGTCGATGGAGGTGCTCAAGACCTTGACAAGTCTCGCGCGAGACGGCGGCGATTTGGCCTTCCGTCATTAGGTTGGCGGTAACGACGTCCGTCAGGGAACCGCCCTCCATGTACTCCATCACGACCCAGAGATCATTCTTGTACAGGAATGAGTCGATGTAGTTGACGATGTTGGGATGACGGGAGGAACGCATGACGAGAATTTCGTTGATAATAAGGTCCTTCTTGGGCTGCTTGTCCAAGTCCATCTGTTTGATAGCCACGGACATATTGGTGCCCACTTGATAGGCAGTGTATACACCTCCAGAAGCACTATTGTTTGCGAGTTCAGAAGACTTGGATTAAGCATAGCATATCGATGATCCTCACCCTTGACCAATCTTGACGAGATTTCTGTAGAGTTTTGTAGGATCAGCATCAGTACAGATTTGCTGCAGCCGCTTGATGATATCTTCATCCTTCGCCTTGTCGACCTTCTTCTCTCTTCTGCGCGGAGTAGCAACGCCGGCGACCTTGGCAAGGTTGGAAGCGGCAGGGCTGGGAGCATGGTTCTGGGCCCGGGGATCCGCGCGATCTCTGGGAGGATGAGCTGGGGGACCAGGGGCGGACTGCTTGAGAGGAAGGTCTGTCTGGGATGAACCAGGTGATGGCTTCGAATAGGATTTGGATCCAGCCGCGAGACCGTTATTAGCTGGGGGAGCAGGAGATCGACGATCGCGGGTGGTATTCGAGCGACCAATATCAGCCGGACGTGCCGGTTTCGCTGGCGTCCGTTGAGAGGTGGAACGATCAAGCGCAGGGGTTGCTGCAGTTGGAGGCGTTGGTGCTGGGCGATAAGATGTTGGTCCCACTGAGGTCGGGGTTGATTGGGTATGTTGGGTATGAACCGAGGAAGCCTGCGAAGGCTGCTTCTTCGGCGGGGGAGGCGGGGATCGCTGCGAAACAATAGATGTTAATTATCATGTGGCATATAGTTACGGAAATGGGACTGACAGGGTTGGTAAAGTTCTCTGGGGCTAGAGCATAGGGTTCAGGTGTTGGTGCTCCAACGTTACCCAGCTTGTCCCACACATCGCCGTGGCCTTCCTGATAGAACTTGACGATCTCCATGACTGCCTGAGGATTCTTCTCCTGCTCGTGGCGTGAGATGCCGCTCTCCTGCAACAATTGCTGCCATTCTTTGGGCAAGCCAGTGAATTCTCCTGTCGATGAGTTGAACCCGACGTGGGTGAGATGGACGGGATCGTAAGGCGTGCTGATTTCCGGACGTTTCGTTGGATTGAAAACTTCAGACATGAAACCGAGGACCCCCTTCTTGGATTTGGTGCCGCTGCGTACTCTCGCTGGCAGGGGAGCACTTGGGGGCGGGGGAGGCGGTAGTGGGTAATCGTTCATGTTCTGATTGTGGGGCATTGCCTCGTTTGGATCTGCGTAAAAGCGGCCATCCTCGTGGACCTGGGGAGCGGCGGAGGGAGTGGACAAACGACGAGCTGCGAGCTGGGACTGGGTCGGGAAGATGTCGGTGAGATTTGCGGTGTTTGCTCTTGATGGGCGAGGGGGCGGCGATGTGCCGTTGGGTGGCTTGTTATATATGTGTGTGGCCATTGGAGACGGCGGAGGGACAAAGGACGACTCTTGAGAGTTTACGTTGGCGGCAAACGGGTCGTGGTGGGGTTGTGAGGACAGGGAATGGTTTCTAGCGCGGGGATTTTGCTTGTGAAGGAGGGAAGAGCGAGTGCGTTGTTGGTCTGTGGGAGTCTTGGCCCGCTGTGAATTTGTCGGGGGCGGTGGAGGAGCCCTGCTGGGGATGTACTTTGCAGCTTCTGCCGCGTGCAAATTTGCGTCTGCGAGGAGAGCGTTGTATTCTTGGATTGATTCCCTGGACGGCCTGTGGTACTCGACGGTGATTTTTGATTGGCGTCGGGGCTCTTTGGGACGTTGGTTATATGCGGTGTGAGGCGAGGACATACCCGATATTGCGGCGAATGATGGAATTAGGCCCTTTCAGGGTCGAAAACCGAGACGCGTCCGATGCTAGCGCCTTCAAATTCAAGACTGATGGTCGACGATGCAACTCTCCCTCTGCTCCCTTCAATCTCTCCTCTTTTCTGCAAGATCTTGGTTGTCAACGGATATCAATGATGACGACCAAAAGTCCAAGGCAACGATATCCTCACGGTCACGGTTCAGGGGTCCGTGTGCCGCCCACGCTTATTTATGTATCGCTGTGTTGGCTGTCGACGACGACGACGACGACGACGACGACGACGATGTTGAAAGAGGGATGGGAAGATGGTGGTGGTGGTGCAAGAGTAGTTCCGACGCTTCACAGACCAGGCATCGCAAAATTATCAACCTCACAGAACGTGACGGTCACAGCCTTTTATGGGCCTCCGCGCCTCATTGACTCCTGTTGCTCTTCATTATTTTCCGACATAAGCTATGACACTAGACTCCGGGAACAAGCACCACGCACATGGGCTGCCATTTCCCTTTTCTCTGCCGTTTCGTGGCTATTAGGCGCAGCTTCTCTGACAGAATCAACGCTAGTACTTTCCGAGTACGCTCGCGACGTCACAGTCCACTGCTTAATTGTCCCTGAAGCTTCGCTTCGCCCACGAGATCCTTGTGGGGGTCCCGAGCATGCGTTCAGTGAGTTCCAGTCACATCCATTCTGCCTCACCCTCAATGCCCCTAGCCCACTATAATTAGTCCATCTTGGTGCTCAAACGGGCTACCATCGCGGGGTCATTCACACTCAGCGAACATCCTAGGCAGTGCGATAAACGGTCTTTTCCCTGCTCATTGTCATCGACTCTGATCCTGTAGCGATCTTCGAAGAACGACATGAGTCAGATTATCATCTCAAACGCTGCATTGCCGCCCTGGCGGGAGTTAGGCCTCAGCGATGATCATCCCGCCCTGCTCCTTGTACTATCTATGTTCGTGGAGTCTTGGAACTCCCGTTTCGTGGTGCCTTCGAAAACCCTACAATCCCCTTGTCACATCTGCATTCTATCGCGATCTTGCGCAGCAGGTCAAAGACTTGAAGCCCGAGAGATTAAAGGTCCTAGCTTTGTTTGATGATCATGGAGGTGGCATTTCAGGTCTTTCCACTTATAAAGGCTCAACGGAGCTAGTTTCGCAGCCCTCGCTTCTACGACGACCCTCAGTTACGACTCCTTGACGCTCTCCTAACGCCTTCTTCACGAACTCCTTGGACTCTATCACGCCAACAACAATCACGACAACAGCTTCCCTCCTGTCGAATTCACCCGAGAGTGATAATCGAACACACAATCGCCCTTTTGACAAGGGTAAAGCACCATCATCACGAAGAGTTGGGTTGTACACTAGCAACCCCCGCCTACCGATCTGTCCGGATTTTTACAATCCCCAAATACGCTTCCGACGAGGCTAGTCGAGTCATCTGCGACACTTCTTAATTATAGCGGGGAAGAGCCGCATACAAACATCCCGATAGGCATATAGATAGGGTGGACTGACTCGGACATCCACCACACTTTCGTTGCCCCGTCCTCTCCCCCTTCACTAACGAGCATCAAACGACCACCATAACGACCAGCGACGTCCTCAAAGTCACTGCGACATACGAATCAATTACGACTCATACAACGCCCTTAACTTATACCCTCGATTAAAGCCTGGAAGGATACCCCCCATTATAAGCCCGGAAGAGCCTCAAGTTCCAACTCCCCACACATATACCTCGCATTCATACCATCAACACTAAGTACCATGTCAATCGCCCGACGAACACCAACACCCCGACGGGCACAACCACCAACCTCCACCCCCCTTTCCTCATCTGGGGAAACGATCACAAACCTATTGATGAATTCACCCTCAACATCTTCCTCTCGATATGATGGATGTCCTGGTGGGAGTGGTTCGTGCACATCTTCGACGATACCAACACCGGGTGTGCCATCACCGGATGGTAGCAAACGCTCGCTACAGAGGAAACAGCATTCGTACGATTTACGACGCGCTTTCTTGACTTCCCGGCCTTGATGCCTCGTCGTGGTGTGCCTACCGCGGCTTGTTGGGTATGTAGTAATTACCTATTGGACGTGTATTGTATTCTTATTTCCGTCGTTACCCTCCATGAAATACGTTGACTGAAAACCTGAAATCACCAGAGAGACGAGATGCAAGGACCGAAGACCACATAGTTGGAAAGCTATGTATAAGCTATCAGGCGTGACTTCGTCGTCCCACAGGTCTTCCCAGCCCACAATGACGAGCAGCTTGAGGTTTAGGACCAGAGTTACTTATTCCCAGTTCGTCAGTGCGACTTGAAGGTTTCGGCCTTGATCATGTTGTATGCTTTTCTTCAACGCACAAAGGGTATATAATTAAGGGCCATTGATGTACTCGCAAAAGCCGTGAATATATACAGGTCGTTCAAAATACCAAGTGTCCGATTCGTAACAATATGCGAAGGAGACAGGACAATGCCGCAAGCGGTGATCCCCAGGATGTCCTATCCATTACGAGCCCTGGGCCCATCCCTGTCAAGATATGATAAACGGTGACGAGTCCGTGGAGCTCTCACTGATAGGCGTGTAGACGTCGGGTGGCTGAAAGAAGGCAGCGGAAGCCTGAGAAGAGAATGAAACCGGAAAAGAGCTCGAGCGAGCGCTTAATCCTCCCAGCTCGAGGTCGCCGAGTCCTCGTCCTCCGTCTCCTTCTTACTCTTCTTCTTCTTTGCTTTATTTTCCTCCCTCTCTTTCCTCCTCTTTTCCCTTTCCTCCTCTTTCCTCCTCTTCTCTTCCTCCTCCTCTTTCTTCTTCTTCTCCTCCTCCTCTTTCTTCCTCTTTTCCTCCTCTTCCTTCTGCTTCCTTTCAGCCTCTTTCTTTTCCGCCTCTTCCTTTTCCTTCTTCTCTTTCTCAGCCTTTGCAGCAGCTTCAGCCCGCCTTCCAGCAACCCAGTTGGCAGCCTCCTCCACAGCAGCACAAGGTCGAATCTTATAGGTCATTAGATACCCCTGCAGCGTGGCCATGGAGAACTCCCGCTCAGGAACGGCGTCAGCAAACTTGGCGGCAAGCTCTTCGACCTCTTGAGACGAAAGCCGAGGACCGCGACGCCTATGAGATGACTGAACGACTGCCGAAACTTGCTCAGGCTTGACCTCTTCGTTCTCCTTCGCCGCCTGAATCAAAGCAGCCTTCTCCGAATCGCCGCCATCAGCACAGCTCGCATAGCCGGAATCGACATCTTTCTCCTTCTCGGACTCCTTCTTGACAACTTCGTCGACGGAATCAGGGAGGAAGAAGCGTCGGAATAGTTCCCTGGCCTGGTATTTGCTGGCGAGCTTGAATTCAACGTGGACGTCCATACGACCTGGACGACAAAGAGCGGGGTCGAGAGAGGTGTACTTGTTGGTAGTGGCAAAAAGGATGCGTCCTTCCTGAGCACCGACTCCATCCAAGGCGTTGAGCAAGCCGCTAAGACTGATTCGTGAAGTGGTCTTGGGAGCGGGGCCAGCGTTCTGCTGGTTGTTCTTGTTCCCGTCACTTTCGTCAGCATCGCGATTGAGGGTCTGACTGAAAGCGGCGTCGATGTCCTCCATGAGGGCAATGCATTGCTCTGTAAAAGATCATTATCAACTAACCTTGTCCGGAATTAGAAGGAAAGATGACATACCAGGAAGGTCAGCGATCAGTTCACTGAGAGCGTTATCGTCAAGGCCAGATCGCGAGAGGGAGATGATGTAAACGTTGAGACCGAGTTCTCCGGCAAGACTGTGGATGATGCTGGTCTTTCCGGTACCAGGGGCGCCATATAAGAGATAACCGCGGCGGAAAGGAATGCCTCGGGTGGTGTACCAGCTTTTGCTCAGCATGAAGTCGCGAGCGTCGTCGAGGATAACGTCCTTCACTCCGGGGTCAAGCACGATGGAAGTCAAGGGCCGCTTCGGTCGAGAGGCAATGTACCTCCACTGGTTGTTTCTAAGATAGCGGTCAATACCTGGATACAGATGGTGCGCATGAAGGTTACTCACGAATCAGAAGCGTAGATTGAAATGTTGTTCTCTTGCGCCTCTTTGTGGGCCTTCTTCGCCTCGAGGAGCATCTGGTTAAGAATCCTGTGGTCCATGGAGAAGATGCTACGTTCAAGTGTTAGCGAGCAGATAACTAGCCAGACCGCCAGCAACGTACCAGACCCAAAGTTGCTCCGCCCGTGCATTCCAGTAGTTGTTGGACTCTCGGACGCCCCGAGTGATGCGTACCCAGCGCCGTTTGTACCAGAAAGTGAACGCAGTGTGGACAGATGGGACGTAGTTCAAAGCGCGCGTAGATGCGAGTGCGTCCATGGGATCGAGCTCCTCGCCTTCAATTTGAGTCGCAGAAGTATTTAATCCAAAGGTTTTGGAACTAATTTCGATGTTTCGTGCTTGTCCTACGAAGATAAGGTGAGACTTCGTTTAAATGTACCAATAGATACTGATGCGTACTCCACTCAGGGCGCTTGGAAAGCCAGACCATCATCCAATCTGAGAACGTGTTAAAGCAGATAAATAGATAGCGACATACCATAAGCGACATCGTCGTCCTCGAACAGAACAGTGATGAAGAAGGCATCCCAGATCTTGTAGTAAAAGTGGAAAACGAAACGTCGAAAGGTCTCAAGGACCGCACCGATGGCAGCAAGCTTGACCCACTCTCTCAGCGCAGAGAACGAAAAGATAAAGGTCAAAATAGAATGAATATCGAACGAGGTGGGGAGAGCTGCGGAGGTGGGAGGCACAAACGAGGTGGCAGTCCCGTTCAGCGTGTTGTTGACGCATGCCACATGTTGTTGGGAACCCAGTGCACCACCATTGAGGAGGGCAAAAACTTGCTGGGCAACGTCGAGAGGGGCAGCCATAGAGTGGCTCAGGGAGGGAAGTGTGTCTTCCTTTCGTACCCTGAGACAGGCTTTTATTGGAATCCTCGAGGACGGGTTCGTCAAAGGAAATAGCGCCCCTGAAGGCGGAACCGGAACCTTCAGTCATTGCCATGGCGAGTCGAGTCATTTTCTGTCCTGTGCGCGTCAGTCGAGTCCCTACAGCTGAGCGCTCGCGGGGCTTAAGGACAGAGATATGGAATTCTGAACAGAAAAGAAGGCTCAACCCACACAAGTTGCGTTGCACAGGTTCCATTGTCGGTGGTCTATCCATTGAGTTCACAGCTGCATCGTGCACGGCGAGCACCGCATTGACCGAGGTCACCGGTCACGAGCGGCATGTCAAGCTATACATAGGATATAAGACATACTGCCCACTAGCCGGGGTACCCCCGGGTACCCTCGCTTTTTCGGTGGGGTACCGGTACACAGTAGCATTATACCGTATAATGGGAGCCCTTGGCATGGTTCCCGCTGTCAATCTACCACCCTGATACCCACCGAACACCACCGAAGCGAGAAACGGCTGATCTGATTAATTTAGTAAACGAGCCCCTATCAACCTAAAGCCAGAGGTGCGAAAATTCATCTTTACCCTCCTCCAATCCATCTGCTTCTCTCTCAGAGTCTAATACAGCTTGATTATGCGTTATCCCAACGTCTTCTGTGCCCCATCCATTGGGTTTCTCGTCCATTGTATGTCTCTTCCCAGTTCAACCCGAAATTCTGGCCAATGGAACCCTGGGTGGTTGATTATTGCTCCTACACATGGGATGGGAGCCCATTGCTAAGTTACTAGTACAGATACAATCTATCTGTGTCTTAATAAATCGTGAAATTCATGTACAGACGCACTGAACGCCATCAAGAGCAAGGGAGAGATGTGAAGTTCAAATGTTCGAATTCAAGCTCCGCATCAAAAACGTCCAAAACGGGCACTTCGCTGCCCGAAATGGACGCCGGCATCGCTCGGCGCCAAACCGCCTGCCAAATCCGCTCGAGCTTGGACCACTTCTCATGAAAAGACCTCCCACTTCCTAAATCGTCGAAAAGACCGTCGATTTGAGGCGATAGCTGGTCACGTGAGGGTACCGGGTACCGTGACACGGTTTCAATACATAAGGATAGCATCGGTTACCTGAGGCCTGAAGGCTTGTTGTGAAGGCGTGTTGCTCGTCATTTACATGCCCGTATGTCCTTTATCACATCAGTTACAGTCTTATGGAAAGCCTCGTGGCAGTGGTGGAAGACTCACCTGTGAATCTCCGGCCGTACATGTCGGGGAGAAGAAGGCATCGAAGCCATGTAAGCCATGCATTAGTGTGTTGGGCCAATGTTGGGCGGTGCAACTTGAACATGCATGCAGTCACAAGCAGGCCGAAGATCCGACAGCGACTTGGGCGTTATCTATCTTCTTATCTTATCACCCCGTAACCGACAGTCAGAGAATGCTAAAGACTCAGAGAGCTCGAGGGTGGGAGTTCTAACAGTGAGTCTTGACAGCAGGCACTCTTTCTTCTCAATCCAGACGATGCGTGCGGTGAGCAAAAATTAAGCGAGCCATAAGCGCTGGTGACACTGTGACGAGGGATGCCGAGCCAAGATTACATCAGCATGATTGACACGCCTACTCCAGCGCGACGGCTAAGCCATGGTACATACAATCGTGCCTTAGACGCCATGGAGTCAGCAGAACTATACCACATCAAACAGCAATTCACTCTTGGTTAGTTCTGCCTCATAGACAACGACTTCTTCTGCTGAACGGTTCTTCAGGGGCTTTTAGATCGCTCACCCAAGTCACACTGCCAGACGAAGGGTCCTCAGATTATGTTCCAACTTTGTTGTATAAAGCCCGCTCGTATATCGCACTCGATAACCCGAAAGCCGCCCTCGACCTATTGCCAGCCGACACTGAGAATGTTGCCTTGAAGGCCGTCGCTTCCCTGGCGCGATACGTTTCGGCAGCAGATGCAGCCGCCAAAGAAGCAGCCCTGGAGGAGTTGCGCGACCTTTCCGTTGAGATCGAGGGAGATGACGGCGAGGGTTCGCCAAGGGAGAAGGCTCTCGTGCGAGTAGTGGCAGGGACCGCCTTCGCGCGCGCTGGTGAGGTCGAGGAAGCATTGGAAACATTGGGCACGGAGACTGAGGACCTCGAGGCGTGCGTTAATCCACATATAATAAATATCAGCAAACTTACACCAGAGATCTTTGCAGCGTCGCCGTTATCGTCCAAATATACCTCTCCATTAACCGCGTAGATCTCGCACGAAAGCAGTTTGAACGTTCGAAGAGATGGGCAGAGGATGATCTCCTCCTGCAGCTCATCGAATCCAATATCGGGCTCGTCTCTGGAAAGGATGGCTTCTCCAACTCGCAGTCCTTCTACACGGAACAATTGGCCAATCCATCCATGTCCTCCCCCCATCTCCTCACGGCTCGTGGCGTTACCCGTCTGCAGCGCAACGAAATCCAAGAAGCCAAGTCCGACCTGGAAGAGGCCCTTCAACAGCAGAAAGACGATGCCGAAACCTTGGCTGCATTTGTGGTTGCAGGTGGCCTTGGTGCTCTCAAGAAGGATGAAACAGAGGAACAATGGAGGCGAGTCTTTATCAACGATAACCTTGATCGGACTTGTCACTGATGAGCGGGCTTCCACTGGCAGTCGTCTGAACTCTGAGCACCCTACTCACCCATTAATCCAGGATGTAAACAGCAAAGCGCAGCTCTTTGACTCGCTTCTTGAGAAGTTCCCTGTTCCTCCGCCCGTCTCCGTGTAATTTCAGTTTTGAATACAAGACATCTCCCAAGGGTTTCTCCCCTGGCGTACCCAGTTATCTGGCCTATGAAAACTCGCTTCCCTTTTGATTCATGTCATGGATTGACATCACCCAGACATTTCATCATTCCTCTTTCGTTCTTCATTTCCAGGTCCTCTGCGCAACTCGGACCATCCGACCAAGAGAGACGCTTCCACAGGCGGTGACATAGACGGGGGATGTTACACGGGATATCAACTCCTGAGTCCAACTTGGGTAGTCGGACAAACGAAAACCCTGCCAAGCAGGGTGTCTTTGTCAATCTTTCCCTTTTCATCAGGATCGAGGACATATCAACGTTTCATTGACGTACTGCATGGTTTCCCTAGGACACCGGCCTCCCCTTCAGCCTCCAGCCCAAGCACTCCACAGGGACTCGCGTCAAATGAGTTGCGCCTCTTTGAATCTTAGCGCGACTCACGGGACCAAACTCGACTAGGAAAATCACCGCCCCACTGACCCCATCAAGCAGATGTAACGTGAACGAGATCTTCGGTCCATTCTGGTGGCCTGAATGCACAATTACGGCCAACCTTATTCGCCTGGAAGTCCTCCACTGGATTTCTTGCAATGCCGCTCCCAGGATCAGAAATTCCCGTCATTCGCCCTGTCACCTTCGGCCTGTTTTCGCTTCCCGGACTCCAGTGATATAAATGCTTAGCTGCGAGAAGCGAGAGTTGTGAACCGACACCTTTTCATTTCCATCCCGCTGGTGTTTTGATCCCGACTCCCCACCTCTTCTCTATAACAGCCTCTTCAGTCAGGTTCCAATATGTCGTCAAGCAAGGTCAAGCGTATGTCCACTCTATTCCGCAAGAAGGAGAAGGAGGTGAGCACGCAAGGTTGGAGGTCTTTTGGCGCCAATACTCACCATCCCTCGTGCTGTTAGCCCTCCACCAGCAACGGTGTTGTCACTAATGGTGCTGAGAAGAAAGACGAGGCCGCCTCGCCGACCTCCCCAACTTCTCCATTGTCACCTTCGCAGGAGGCCGAGGGTATGAAGACGATGAGGAACTTCCGCGAGAGCGTGAAGAAGGGGAGCCCATTTGACTTCAGCACCTCGAGTATCGTAAGTACAGCCGTCCTCACTCAAAATTAGCAAAGGTTGACAACACGGCCCCGTCATCAAGGCTGCTGTCCTGGACCTCATCAGGAACAAGGAGTCGATCGACGACAGGAAACTCTTCGTGCGTACTCCGACCGACCTCCTTAGTCCCATATGTTCATGGTCCATCTCCCACAGCTTGAACATGCTCTTACCTTCATTTCTCGCCTGGAAGAAGGCCCTCTGGCTCGCACCTTGAAGAACAAGATCATCCAGCTGCGTAAGGCGCTCGCTTTCTGTCGAGCATAAACCCACAGTTGACTCTTCCAAAAGTTTACAACGACCTTACGCATCCTGCTTCCACCAGTGTTAGTAACCAGTTTGCATGGAGAACCGCCGATGGTTCCTGCAATAATGTCGATATCCCTGACATGGGAAAGGTGCGCCACCAATCCAAGATATTTTTATCGAAAGGGGCTCACCGTTATCTATTGACCTCAGGCTGGAACTCCTTATTCTCGTTCTGTCCAGCAAACCGTACCCCTTCCGAAGAACCAAATGCCCGATGCAGGGCTTCTCTTCGACACGTGAGTACTTGCACCTGTCGAAACGTCCAGTTAGCTCAATGGTTTTTAGCCTCTTACGAAGAGAGAAGGTATGTAATAGGGGCATTTCTCCAGCCATCGTGACACTAATGGGGCGTTTAGTTCGTCCCACACCCAGGTGGTCTCTCTTCTTTGATGTTTGCATTTGCCACTTTGGTCATCCATACGTATGTCACCCAGACCAGATGACCCTTTGCACAGACCATTCTAACCATACCACCTGTCACTAGCGTCTTCCGGACTTCACACCGCGATTGGACAATCAACGAGACCTCCTCCTACGTTGACCTGGCGCCGCTCTACGGCAACAACGAGGACGATCAAAACCGCATTAGGATCCGGGATGGCCGAGGTCACCTCTACCCGGATGTCTTTGCTGAAGACCGTCTCTTGTTGCTTCCACCAGCTGTTTGCGCGCTCCTGGTTCTCTTCAGCCGGAATCACAACGTGAGTGGATCCCCGCTTCCTGGAGTGCCCAGCCCTTAACTTTATTCCTGCAGTACATCGCCACTAAGCTTTTGGAGGTCAATGAGCGAGGAACCTTCGTCGATCCCAGCACCTTGTCAATGGACGATCCTAAGCAAAAGGCTAAGTTGATGGCTCAAGATGAAGAGTTGTTCCAGACAGCGCGTCTCGTGAACTGCGGCTGGTTCGCAATGGGTGAGTTCGATGTTTTGCTTTGCAAGGGCGGGGCCTCATTCTACGCTGTACAGTTGTCTTCTCCGACTACTTCTCTTGCATTCTGGGACTGGTCCGAGATGGCAATAGTTGGAGCTTGACTCCTTTCGATGTAAGCACGGATCTTTCCCCTGCTGTATGTCGGGGGTGCTGATTCTTCATTAGGAAATCCGTATGGAAGATCACACCTTGTTCGAACGTGGCAAGGGCAACTCCTGCAGTGTCGAGTTCAACTGTCTCTACCGATGGCACACCACGACCAGCAGGGAGGACGAGAAGTGGACCGAAGGAGTGTTCAGTCAGCTCTTCCCTGGCAAGCCCTTCGAAGAGGTCACGATCGACGACTTCAAGACGACTGCCCACAAGTTGCTCACGAACAGGCCACCTACCACCGAATGGACCTTCGGAGGGTACGTCGTACTCCCAACCTCTGATACTTCTCTCATTAATATATACCTGTGTAGATTGAAGCGCCAGCCAGACGGAAGATTCAGGGACGAGGATTTGGCCAGGATTATCCAAGACGCGTGAGTTCAAACACTGAATTTCCTACCGACAAGTACTCACCTTCGACCCAGAACTGAATGCGAGGCGGCTGCATTTGGTGCTCGCGGAACCCCAGCAGTCATGAGGCTCAATGAGATCATGGGTATTGAACAGAGTAGGCGATGGGGTGTATGCTCGCTCAACGAGTTCAGGAAGTTCTTGGGCTTGAAGCCTTACGAGACCTTCCTCGAATGGAACTCTGATCCTGACGTCGCTCGAACTGCCGAACTTCTCTATGGAGACATCAACAAGCTCGAGCTCTACGTGGGCTTGCAAGCTGAGGAGGCCAAGCCTCTTGTTGACGGTGCAGGTCTCTGCCCTGGTGAGTACATTTTCCACGTAAACATTCGGACGTAGGTGCTGAGCCATATTCAAGGCTACACTTGCAGTCGTGCAATCCTCAGCGACGCCATTGCTTTGACTCGTGGAGACCGATTCTTCACTCACGACTTCACCCCCTTCAACCTCACCGCCTGGGGCTACCAAGATTGCCAGCGCGATCCCAATGCCTGGGGTTTCGGTAGCACCATGGCCAGGCTGTTCTTGCGAACTCTCCCTGAAGACTTTGACGAGAAGAGTGTCTACACTTTCTTCCCGTTGATGACTCCCCAGTCCATGAAGGTGCATCTCACCAAGCTCAACCAATTGGACAACTACGATTTGGCTCGACCCAAACGCAACCCTTGTCCCACAATCATCAGGGACTATCCCTCCGTCGTTGCGATCCTCAACGAGCCCCTTGGGTTCAGGAGCCCCTACAGCCAAAAGACAAGGAAGATCATCAACGGCCCTATCAAAGGGTGAGCAACTCTTTCCGCATCTAAGTCTTGGGCCTCGCATTAACCTCCTGGATCCCTAGATTCTATCCCGCAGAAGGCCCGAAAGAGCAGGACGTGGTTCGCAAGGCTCTCAGCGGATCTCCCGAGGTCGTCGGCAAAGTCGGTACCTACTTCTACGAGCAGATCAAGAAGACCATCGACGAGAACTCGTATACCTTTGTCAACGGCAAGAAGCGCGGTATCGACGTGGTCAAGAAAGTCATCAACACGGTGCCCACCGCCTGGCTTGGGGACTTGGGTGGTCTCCATGTGAAGACCAGCAAAGACTCGGCCGGCAACTACACCGTCGATGAGCTCTTCCAACAACTCTCCGAGATCTATTCCTTCATCTTCCTCAACGTCGACCCAGCCAAGGTCATGGTCCTCCAGGAGAAGGTTCGCAAGTACCTCAAGGTAATCATTCCCGACATCAAGGACAACTTCACGGGTAGCTTCTCCCTCACTGGTCTCTTCAACACCGTCTTCAAATACAAGAAGCCCGTCCACCACGAGATCATCAGTCGCCTCACGGAGAACGAAACTCTCAAGAACCACGACGTCCTCTCTAACGTCATCCTCGCGCTCGTCGTTGTCGGTAATGCCGAAATCACCCTCGCGTCGACCAACATCCTCGACTATTATCTTGGAAGTGACAAGGCTGCCGATATTGGGAAACTCGCTGCTGCTGGGGACGTTGCGGGCTTGAAGCCTTACATCTATGAGGCCTTGCGGGCTGTCCCTCCTTTCGCTGGTGTCTACCGCGTCTCGACTCGCGAACAGATCTTTGCTGGTCGCAAGTTCGCCGAGAGCGAGCGTGTCTTCTTGGACATTACCGCTGCGAACAACCAGAGCCGTGAAGAGTCCACGAAGGAGATCCTCCGTGCTGAGGGTGCCTTCGAGTACCTTGGTGAAGAGTTGACCGTCGAAATCCTCGCTCAAATCATCCGCGCCATCTTCGAACGACCCGGCCTCACTCGCGCACCTGGCCACTCTGGGCAGATGTCCCGCTTCAAGACCGACAACCGACCTGAATGCCACCACACTTACCTCCACCACGGCGAACGGGTTACTGAATGGCCATATACTCTTTCCGTATTGTACGATGCTGCCTAAACACTATCCTCTTTGGACTCTGTATCATTATGCCTTCCGCTTCACGACCCCCGTAGTACGACACGTTGAATAATGACCGCGACGATGTATTCGAGTAGTTACGATATTCTCCTAAAATTAAATCGAATCTCATGGACTACCAGTGTGTGTTCTAAGATTATCAGCTATCCTGGTCAGCAATTCCTCAATTCTCTGTTGCCTCTCCTCCATTTGTACCATTTTCTTAGCCAGAACATCCAAGCCCTCGTGTGTCGCAGCCGCTTCGAGGTCGATCGGCTTTCCTTCACCACCTCTCGGCGGGGACGTTGTAAGAGGTCGATCACCAAAGACGGCTGCCCTCTCAACCGCCGGGGGAGATGAAGGGCTCCTCGATAGCTGAGGTGGAGGGGGTACAGGAAAGTTCCTTCTCAATGCGGCATTCGTTTGAGCTTGTTGCCGCAGCGCTTCATGAGATGGACGTTTACCCTGAACAATCGACGAGAATCGTCTCCGGCTTGCAGGCCCGTAGCTGATCGCAGTGCTTTCCCCCAGCGTCTGCCCTGTTTCGCCGAGCTCCTCTATGACAGTCCCGGTATCCACGACGACTGGTTTGAAGACTTGGGCCAAGGGGCTGAATGGTGCAGTACCCAGACCAGATTGAGGTTTGGACGGCATTAAGGAATCCATCCGTAGTCGAGGAGCCCGCGGTGGGGAGAGGGAACTACGTTTCCCGGTGGGAGCGGGATATTGGGGTGAACTACGAGGGCTTCGTTGAGGCGACTGCCCAACCCTGAAAAAGGGAGCATCATCTGATTTCTTGCGTTCCCATTGGCGGAAGAAGGGCCGACCATCACTCTCGCCATCGTTGGTGTCCAGGGCACTGTCAAACTCTTCTTCGATCTCAAAGATCTGTTCACCGTTAGAATAATGTGTCCGGGGAGATGAGGTACCGTCACTTACTGCGTCAATGTCGGAACCCGAGCCCGCGAAACCCTCGAATAGACCTGCCCATCTATAGTCAATTCCAAGACAACGACATGTGCAGACCATAGCATACCGAAACGCTTGAGAGACCGCGGCAGCGTGTCATACACCTTCTCAGCCAGGTACCCCACAGTCTCCGAGAAGCTTACCGACCCCGCCTTCTGAGACTGCCTCTCATAGAACGAGATCATCAGCAGCAATGGAAAATTAGTTAGCCTGATCATGAACACGTTGACCTGTATTCTCCGTTAGCAGGACATAGAAGGTTGACTGGAACTGGTCGAACCTTATGGAACCAGCGAGGAGACAGAAGGTAGCTCGAGGGCAGCATGATGCACAGAGCTAACAGGTTGATCGGAGGCTGGTAAGAGAAAAGAGAATCTGCCTTCACCCTGCGTGGGGTCAGATGGAAGGTCAGGGTTGGGTAGACGCAGGAACCTTACCCTTCGATGGTGGAGACAGCCTTTCTGAACATGGCCTAGTAGAGGGTTTTCAGCGGTTCGGATATGAAAGTAAAGAGTGTGGAGGCTGACCTCTGCGGCTGCGTCTTCATTAATCGTCGCAAAGGTGTTGGATAGGATCTGTGGGGAGGTCGGAATTGTGGAATTTTCCTGCATCCAATTGTACTCACGGAAACGAGAACTGCAAGTGAATGATTGTCAGCGTCATCATCCTATGCATCAGTAGGAAGAACTAACCGGTCAACAGGAGCGTATTGCTCAGGCAAGCGTATGTGACCATAAGAATGGGGCCAAGTACCGGGTGGAATTTCGCTAGATTGCATATGAATTGAAACTGCCATAGGTTGACCAGCAACTTGACGCACTGGCATTATCGAAGCCACTTGCATCGAGTCCGAACCACAGATCTAGCATCCACCATGATATTTGCCTGAAAGAAACGATCAGAATGTGAAAGCCGGTGTCCAAAGAGAGAATGTACCCAGCGGAATAACTGTGATTATTATAGAATTTGTAAGCCGTTAGCGAGGGTCGCTACCACGCAGAAACTATCCCCCTACCCAGCTTGGTTCCTTGCCAACCTGAGGGGCACTGTCAGTAAAATGCTGTAACTTAATAAAAGAAAAGACACCCACGTCCAAAGGGCGTACAGAAACCCAGTAAAACAGAATATAGCAATACACATAAGGAACGTGAATTGGACTATCATGGCGCGCAAAGATAGCACCATTAAACTGTCTTTAAAGGTGACAAAAGCGAGTCTGGGTCGAGGGAGTGAGTGTAATTCCATGCCACGCTAGTGTGGGGTCCGCTTACCGAGGAAAGAGCATACAAGCTATGAGCGCAAGGACGTCGATCCCGAGCGCTTTCGCCCATCCCTCTGTATTGACCATGAGATGAAGTCCTGGGAGATAGAATACGGGTTCCTTACTGTGATAGTACACTCCGTAAACTCGTAACATAATGTACACCGCATATGTTGTGACTAAAACGCGTCCACAGGTCAATTCAGCGCGAACCAATAACGCAGGAGCCCCGTACTCACCGAATGCCAGGTCGAACGCGTTCTGCCAAGAATTATGAATAGGGGGCCAAGCCTAACTTCGGTGGTGTCCACATACCCAAGTTCCATTGAAGTACACTGAAAACCATGCGTTCAGATATACTTCCTGTGTAGATTTAAGCAGCGAGAAGCATTAGCTTACCTTTAATTCCATGCTCCTGCATAGCAGCAAGCTTTTCCAAGGTAAAGCCAAGCGCGTATATGATGAAGCATATCTCTGCGGTGTTAAAGTGGGCAGGGGTGCTGACTTCGATAGCGATGACGTAGAGGATAAAGAGAATGAGAAAACTGTAGAGATAAGTCGCTGTCAGAAGGTGACGAAAGGGCGTGGAGAGAGAAGCAGACTTTGTATATTCAAGAACAGATCGTATAAATGGGACTTTGAGCCTGAAAAATTGTCAGGGACAGCACGATGCAGAATGTGCGACTTCAACACACCGGTAATGGTCTAGCAACGGCGCTTTATGTGGGTCGTAAAAGTGGATCGGATTTCGTTTGTATGTCTGGCCAACAAGGTGAACATAGTCTCCAGCGGGACCCAGAAGTATACTAACGTCGGATAATATCGAATGGGTACTCTCGGCCTGGTAGACACATTTCCCGCTAAACAGAGTTAAGTGGTGGCGTCTACAGTTCGTTTCGCAGCATGATACCCACGTCCAGATAGCTTGGATTACTTTCTGACAAGATGAACTCTTGATGAAGCGTTTCGCCTTGCCGAGAATAGCCATTTCAATAGCATTCCCAACTCTATCTTCAAGTTCCTCATCGCGTTCCGCCTGTGCTCGGGCCAAGAGTTTCGGGTCGGCTCCAGAGTAGACAGGCCAGACAGTGGTCAAGACCAAGGTGAGGTCAAGCATGCTATTGGCATAGTGGCGGAAGGTTCTGGTAGCCAGAATTTCACACAACGCCGCACGGGAGTTGGAGAGCGTGGCTGTGGTCGGGTTGTCGTCTCGAGAAAAATGAACGCGGTTGAGAAGGAGACAGAACACCACAGACTTGTTGCCGCTCTCTTGAATCGCGGTGTACTTCTCAACGAGCGGTCTGACAAGTGTGTAATTCAAGTCAGGAGCCAAGAGCTGGGCAAATGGTTAGGATGGCCGCAAGAGAAGTGTGGTCGACTGGGAACCCACCGTATCATAACTGAGCGGCGTATCTACGAGAAGTGTTAGCATGCGCCTTTTGAGAAGGAGGAAAGTCTCGAGCGTACCGATATAATGCTATGGAGGTCGCGGAATGCCTGGCATTAAGTACCAATCCCTATAGGAAGGCGGGGCGACTTACAATCACGTCCTAACGGGAGTGTAACTCGTCAAGAGGTCCACCCACTTAGTAGCGATTTACTTACCGCTCTTATCATGTGTATTAGAGGGTAGACCTTCGTATCTTCAATGACTTCCCTGATACCGGTGCCGGATGGAGCTCTCAGAAATGCGCATATTTCGCTATAGGACATGGCATACTCACTGGCTGAGCAGGGGGGTGTTTTCAGTCTGAGCCTCTGACATTTTGCAAAAGAATCAAGAGGGTCAGGATTTGCATCGAGAGTTGGGGACGACGGTCAAGGTTGGGAGCAAGCAACAACAGCGTCCTGTGTCAGAATTTAGAAAGTGCATCATAATTCATACTCCGACGCCACAGTGGACAGGAGAGATCCCTGCATCTTTCTTGCTAGGTTCATCGAGTTTTGGTCGCTCAGGGTAGTCGTGGATGGCGCGAAAAGCTAAGCGGTCAACCTAATAGCAGCTTCTTCATTGGGCGTCCGACCGACCACCGCGTCCTTGATGTCACCATCAACGCGCGGGATTGGTCTGCTCCAAGACATCTTCCCCTATTTATGGCCTATTAGTTTCCACTAGATTTCTAGATAAAGAATTTCAGAACAGCCTCGTGTCGAGTCTCCAAGTTCCAAAGGAATATTGGCCGCAGAGCGCGTCGCCCTCGTACTTGGCGGGACGTGAATTGCAACTCCGATCCACGCGTTGGCGCGTTGGCGCGTTGTCGCTTGTTACAAACCCTCAACTCCGTCCAAATCCTCTCCATCGCCTTTTGCCCACAGACACAATGCAGGCAAGCACAAGACCACCGGGAAGCAACCAGCCTCCAGTAAAGATCTATAATGCTGTATATTCCTCGGTTCAGGTAATTATCTCCAATTTCCTGAACCCGTTTTCGTGACTCTGACGCGGTTCCCCCGCTCCCACAGGTCTATGAGTGCATGGTCCGAGGCATAGCAGTCATGAGGAGACGCAACGACTCCTATGTAAACGCCACTCAGATTCTAAAGGTCGCTGGTGTGGACAAAGGTCGCCGGACAAAGATCTTGGAAAAAGAAATTTTACCAGGAAAACACGAAATCGTGCAGGGAGGATATGGAAAATACCAAGGCACATGGTGAGATTCTCAAGTCTCGAGCCCCCTAAACCAACGTCCAGATTACTTACCGCCGGTCACAGGATACCACTCGAACGGGGCCGCGACATAGCCGCTCAATATGGTGTCGCACCACTCTTGTCACCTTTGTTTGATTTCCAACCCAGCACTAATTCACTGGGAGCACTGCCAGTCTCGACCCCTGGCGGTACGGCCTCACCCCGTCCACTTTCAGCATCCTCTTCGTACTCAAGTATGGGTGTGGCCGGTCAATATATTCCGTCAAGTATCCCATCAAACCTCCCACCCGCCCCCATTATGCCCGGGTCTGCACTCAGGTTACTTAACCAAGGTCGAGCTCAGGGTCTATTCACCCCCTCTACTACAAGTGCGACCCTCCGACCAGCTGGATACCACTCACCTGGCCCCTATGGTACCAGCTATGCGCCGTCTCCTCAACCCCAGTCCTCTCAAACACCGCCGCCGGGCTCTGGTCTCAAGCGAAACCGCTCAGAAGCAGAAGTAGAGGGCTACCACTCCCAACCTCACGGTAAGTCTATCACCATCCTAATTCGTTATTCGACACTAACGGCACCCAGATGTTCAAATGGCTGATGCTCCCCCGCCGAACACGGCATCTCAACCCAACGAAGATAACCCTTCTCCCGCCAAACGACTACGAACCGATGGATCTATCACAACCGAACCAGCATCTTCTCAAGGCCAATGGCAACAACAACAACCTTTGCCCTATGCTTCCCAGCAACGGTCAGGACCAGGGCTCTCTCAACTCTCTGGCCACAACGGGCACGGTTCATCCCGACCTCCCAGCTCCCTATCTGCTCCAAATGGCAATCGACCGGCCCACACGAACCCAGAGGATCAAACCCGCAAGACGCGCTTCTCTTCCAAACCTTCCATGCCGCGAGGCATGGATCCTCATATGCCCTTCAAAGACGCGCGACGCTCTGCATTGATCGCCTTGATTTGCCATCGAGACGATCCCACCTCCGTCATCGACCTTTTACGCGAAATTTCTGCAGACCACTTGAACCCTCCATCGTTTGACGTGGATACTGTGCTGGATGATCAGGGACATACAGCTCTACATTTGGCGGCGAGTATGGCGAGGACGCAGACCGTGGATATGTTGATCCAGACGGGCGCGGATATGCATAGAGGGAACCATTTAGGCGAAACACCTCTCATTCGGGCGTGCCTTGCAACGCCCAACTCGGACCAGCAGAGTTTCGCTACCCTAGTGAACTACCTCCATGATTCCATTTGGACGCTGGACACGTCCAAGAAGTCAGTGGTCCATCATATTGTCTCGCTGGCCGGGGTCAAGGGAAGGGCCGTGGTGGCACGGTACTATCTAGACCAGATCTTTTACTGGATCGCTCAGCACGAAGGCGGGGACTTTAGGTCATTGGTTGACTTGCAAGATGAGCATGGAGACACAGCTATAAACATTGCTGCAAGGGTGGGCAACAGGAGCTTGGTGCGGACGTTGTTGGATGTTGGTGCCAACAGAGTTCTCGCGAACAAGCTTGGCCTCAGGCCTGGTGATTTCGGTGTCGAAACAGAGGTTCGTTCCCTGGAATCCTTTCTAGTCGTCGTACTGATGTACGGTTTTCTACAGGAACTGAGCAGTGGACTCCGAGCAGAAGACCTTATTTCATCACTACGAACAGGTCCTCCTGCTCCCGTCCAAAAGAGCCAGGATGTTATCGCAGGTAGGTCTCTTATCTCTCTTTCACCGAAAGCCAAACTCACTTGCAAACCCTTTCGTAGACATGACAAGCATGATCCAATCCCTCAGCACCGAATTCCAAGCCGAAATCAAATCCAAACAAGACTCCCTCGACGTGACCCAAGCCCACCTCCGCGCCGCAACTCGCGAGCTTTCCGAACAACGCAAACAGATTCAGACATGGCAAGCGCGGTGTGGCGACCTCGACCAAATTAACCAGCGGGTCCGAAACGTCGAGAAGGCGATCGCGGAGGAGGATATGTTCGATTGGACGGGGAGGACAGAGTTGGATGGCAAGGATGGCAAGGAGAAGGGTGGACCGGCGTTTGCGTATAGAGGGAGCAAGAGTACGATGGTCGGGGTTGGTGGGTCTGTGGACGTTTCGTTTAGTGTCGAATCGGAGCCACCGCTGCCTACGACGGATACGGCGGCAAGTTTGGTCAAGTTGAGGAGGTTGAAGATGTGGCATCAGAGGATGGAGGAGTTGGTTAAAGGGAGGTTGAAGGGTTTGCAGGGCGCGAGTGCGGAGAAGGAGTATCAATGCAAGAAGATCGTTGCATTGTGTACTGGTATCCCCCTTGATAAAGTGGAGGAGGTGAGAATGCTTTGCCGTGTCATCGATTAAATACTGACACATTTGTGCAGATGTTGGACAACTTGGTCATCGCTGTTGAGAGCGAAGCTCAAGTTGTCGACATTGGCCGTGTTTCTGGATTCATGCAAAAGGTACGCCCAGCAAAGATTTGTTCTTCCTTTACTTCTTCTGACTCTCCTCTTCAGGTCCGCGATGGTATTATCTAACGACCTCTCTGGGACTTTCATCTTGTCTGTACTTGTATCCTTGTATCATCTCCGTGGACCTCTCACGCGTCATGTCATTATGAATAATATATTCCTGGTGCATATGTATTCCATCCCTACACAGATCATGCAATCTCTTCGGGAGCAAAGAGCTGGAAGTTACGGTTGTACGTCCCAGACGCAATCATATCCCCATCGCTCGTGATGTCAACCGACATGACTTTACCTGCATCGGTCGAAAGCGTTCTCAAAAGCTGCCAATCATCCGCACTCCAGATCTTCACCAGCCCATCATAGCCTGCTGAAGCAAAGAACAGCCCAGAACGGTACCTCCACTCCTCTTCTGACCATTTCAATTCTGACTCGGAATCGGGCTTTTGAGCGTCGGGGTTCTCATCCTCGCTCTGGTCTTTCATTTCGACGTCAGAGGAGGGTGACGGCTGGTTCTTGAAGAAGAGGTCGTTGGCGTGGAAGAAGCGGATGTCGGAGACGTTGGAGAGGTGGGCGGGGATGGTGTACAGGGGTTTGATAGACCGCATGTCCCAGACGCGGATTGTGTCGTCGCTTGCACCCGTGGCAACTTGGTATCTGAAGGAAGGATATACTAAATGCAATGGTATCATCGAATGGATGATAGTGGGCATACCCGTTTGGTGAGAAAGCCATAGCTAGGATAGCTTGTACATGTCCATCCAGTACCATCGCTGTTCGCCCTGTTCGAAGATCCCATACGCGACCTATCGCGTCCAATCCACTAGAATCATTCGTCAGTCACATCAAGCGAAGTACCAGATAGTACAGCAAACTGACCCAGAGGCAATAAGGGCACCGTCCGTCTGGAACTCCACCGAATAGACTTCCTTTGAATGGCCTTCTTGCAGCAAGAGCTCTTTGGCAGTATTGACGTCCCATAATCTCCATGTCGTGTCGAAACTGGCGCTTGCGACATAATCGCCTGAAGGGTGGAAGGCGACACGGCATACGCGGTCTTGGTGGCCTGACATCACAGAGACAGGTTGGTCGCTGCAACCCGCGTCAGTTAAAATGAAGACTACGTGAAAGTTTTCGTTACGCACTTGTTCAACGACCACAAGTTTACGTTTCCTTCACCGGCACCACTTGCAAGGTTGACCACGTCTGGGGATAGGGAAAGCGTCGCCTGAGGATGCCATGCAACGCCGCCGACCTTGTCTGTATGACCTCGCAGTGCCTTGATTTCCGTGCACTCTGGTACATTCCACAGCTTTACAGTTCCCGACCAACTTCCTGTCGCAAGAATTTTGTTGTTGGGTGCAAAGCGTACTTGCGCAATAGGCCGTTCGTCGCCGATTTGAGAGCCAAGATTCGAGAATTTCTGGATAGATTCTTCAGGACACGACTACTCCATAGAGCTCATGTCACCACTCACCTTGACCTCGGCAAAGACCTTCTTGCGAATATCGACTATGCGACCAAGGTCGAGTTTACTGTCTAGTCGCTGTTGGGCGATGCGCTTTTGAGCTCTGAAAGAGAAAGGGGGAAATGACGAGTAATAAGCACCTTGGACAATCGTTTATTGGTAGAGTAACTCCAACCTGGGGAGAGAATACTCCGCTATCCGTCTTCGTGCTTCAAGCAATTCCAGAGACCCCGGTGTATAGAACTCTTCTTGCTATTTGCAGGTTTAATCGGGTGGATATGAAGTTCTCGTGAATGTACACATACCTCGTCTTCTTCGCTCTCGCTGGATGATTCTTCATCCACCGCCATTTGGTCGTCGCCTCTTGCAGCATTGATTTGCGATAGCACATAAATTAGACGGTCTCGTCTGTCTGCTGCCTACGCCACCCTTAGCATCTCCAGCCAGAGTGTGCATTGAGAATTTTACATACACGTTCACCGAACAGCGTTATAGGTTCTCCGATTTCACGCAGCCTTGCTTTGACTTTATTATCGTCCGTCGGCGCTGCAATGCCTCGCGCCTTCTTTTTGCGTTCGAGTTCATCTAGAATGACTTGGTTTTCGAGGCGAGCGCGTTCAGAACCGAGGTAGTTGCCATCGTCGACAAGGGTGTCGTAGGTGAGCTCCGCCATCGTGTTCAGAGAGCGGTGAACGATGCACTACTTGCGTAAATGGGAGTTTGAAGCCAAGTCTGTTCAACGCAAGGCGCGGCCATTGGCGTCTGCCAAGCAGCGTTCGGAAACGGTATTTCATTCTCACACCACGACGTCGACCAGATTTCACGAGCCGAAGCGCGCAGGGCTGAGGCAGCCACGAAATCAATACATGGACTAGGATTGGGTAGGTTGTATTAGATTATAAGGATGAGATTGTACTGAGGTGCTGCTGTTTGCGGTTTGTGTATTTATGACAGATCTGGCATTCGGCGAACAACCTTGCCCTCGTTCTGAGCATGGACGCGTAGTTTCTCCAACAATTCTGATTTTGCCCAACGTTCTGGGGGTGTCCTCTTCCCAGTGCACCAATAGTAGATGTCCCAATCCGGCTCGTCAAGAAGCTGGAACCCAGGTAAGCCTTCGGCCACCCACAAGCGGAACAGCAGGACGCACCTTGTCAAATTCCTTCAACTCGGGCACAGACATTTTGGCAAGGTTCTCTTGCGCAAAGGTGCTCAGTAGAAGATCGGTCTCCAAAGTCCCCCGCTTTCTTGACTGGTAGACGAGGCGAGCTCGCAGTGATGACTCGGACTCGTTGGGGCGGGGAAGAGGTTGGATCCTAGCCTCGTCTTCCGGTGTTTTCGTCGCTTCAACGTGCTGCGGCGTGTGCGGAAGAGGCCATGGGTCCGCATGGCGCCTCGGCGTCGTTGTTATCGTTCTTGCCCTTGTCACTGCATGCCTGGAGATTGACCTCGAGATTGTGGAGAACATGGTTGTTGGTCGCGTAGTCTTGAATTTCCTCCGCGAGACTTCGGGCTGGCGCCTCTACCGGTGATCCGTTGCCGCCATGCCGAGATCAAATTCCACGGTCCTGGAAAGGTATGTTAACCCCTGAACTTCACACTTCACAACCGTCCCAGTTTCCCGCTAATCGACATACACAATTGTAGAAACGTATCAGAAAAAATCTCTATCTGTTTCTTGAATTGAGGATATGGCTTGAAAGGATCGGGAAAGCCACAGCATCGATGCAATACAGGTGACAGTTAAATTGGGGGTTGCTACATACTAATATACAGGTCCGAAACTGCTACTACGATTCCGATTACGAACCAACTAATTCACTGAGATACTGGACTTTTCAGGGTCGTTCTTCCAATCTTGAACCCTGGTCAAAGGTGGAACGTTGTCGCTGCGTCTTCCCAGCGCCTTCGTGAATTTTGTATCCACCACCACCTTTTCCACGCCAGCTGTCCTCGCGTCGAACGCGGCGTAGAGGGCAGGCAGATCTTCCAAACCTACCCTATGGGAAATGATACTGGAGGCAATGCAAAGGCGTTGGTATATGGCACTGTACACGAGTCCGGTGAAACGACATACAATGTAGGATCCAGCTTCCCGGTCTTAATGTAGTTCTCCAAGATATCCTTCCAGTAGAGATGGACTGGTGCTTGACCATTTCCAATCAAACTGTTCACCATCATTAAATGATGTATGTTCAGACAGCGGTGTCACATCCACGTACCGGATACCCTTCTCCATCAAGGCACCGACGTTAACACCGTTCGCATATCCGGCGTAGACTGCGATGATGCCACACCTGCCCATCTTACGAACAGCGAGCAACATTTCGTTGATTGTCTCTGGGGCGTCGGTTTCGAGCATTAGGAACTTCTGAACCTTGTGTGTGAACGACTTGGGTTCATGGAAGGAGCCTAAAGTGTCCTATGAGTATCAGAATTCATCTATCGACGGCGGAAGGACCGACCTGCATCAATGCAAACGTCCACACCCTTCTCTCCAATTATTTCTCGGATACGTGCGGGTACGTCTTTGTGTTCCTTGAAGTTGATAGTCTCGATACCGAGAGATTGTTCGGCGAACTCGAGTCGTTCGGGGACTTGGTCGATGCCGATAACCTTGGAAGCACCCTTCAGCAGAGCAAATTTGGCAACATACATGCCGACTGGTCCAAGACCCTGCATAGTTACAATCAGCTCAAGACACCCGGGTTTCCGATGGTGTATAACGTACCCAAACAGCAACAGTATCGCCCTCTTCGACTCCAGTATCGACGACAGCATGGTAACTTGTCGGGAGTATGTCACTAAGGAAGAGTACTTGCTCGTCCGCGAGGTCGTCAGGGACGGGGAGAAGGTTCACGTTTCCTTTGGGAACGCGAACGTATTCAGCCTGACCTCCAGGGAATCCTCCCGCGAAATGGGAGTACCCAAAAAATCCAGCGTCAGTGGTTCCATACATCGCTTTCTGAAGGCTGTATCCAGGAAGGTAAGTGACAGTCGGCTGAAGGTGAATGGCATAGACTCACGAAGATGGATTGGTGCGGTCACACATGGACGAAATCTTTTTCTTGCAAAACTCGCATTCGCCACAGGCGATTTGGAACGAGGCGACGACACGCTGGCCTGGTTCGAGGTTTTTCACACTAGGGCCGACAGAGTCGACGACACCCATGAACTGTAGAACGGAACTAAGCAGTGAGCGCGTTTGGTAAAGAACGCACGCGACGCACTTCATGTCCAAGGATTTCTCCCTTTTGCAGGGCCATAATTTCTCCATGATACCTGTAAGAGGTATGAGTTCAGGCAGGCAGCTTTTTCTCGGTAGAACCACTAACAGGTGCAGATCACTGCCGCAGATAGTAGTCGCAGTGACTTTGAGGATGACGTCGTCCGGCTCCGTGACTTTGGGAATAGGGGCGTCGATCATCCGCACGTCCTTGGTACCAAACCAGGCCAAAGCCCTCATCTTCTCCCCTGATTCTGCGGGCTCATACTCTGGATGGACATCGGTGGGAAGAGGTCCCATATACTAATCAAGTTCAAATGCATTAGTATTAGTCTCGCTCACGCAGCATCCAGAGGAAGGTTATGTGGACGCACATTTTGGGCAGCGTTGGCGGCAGCTTGCATTGTGGTATCGCAAAAGGGTAATGAGGATGAAGTTTCGTGAACCAGGGAAAGGAGGAGGAAAGCTCTATTTTGGCCTGACGTTATATACTGTCGAAGCTCAGGTGGAGGGAGTGGATTCAGGTATGCGGTAATCAGTTGGCAGTGACATCATTTAGTGTCTCACTAACCGGACAGGTATCCTCTCTGAGAGCTCCATTTCCTTTGGGAACATTGCCAGTATACCGAGAGAAATTGAAGACGAATTGGACAGCCCAGGAGCAAATAACAGAGCTACCGACTTCGTGAGGAGGGTGTCAGAGGGACGGTGTATTTACCCCTAACCCTAGTCACTCTGACATATCATTGTTGTTTGATGGCTGACTAACGCGCTCCCTGTGCTTTGCACTGGCCTCTCGTCTCCTCTTCATATCTCTCGACTCCTGAACAGCTTTCTGTGACAGGAACCCTACGAAGACTCGACATGACAACTGAAGCGGACTTGAAGAGCGAAATTGCTCGACTAACGGGTGAGTTTAGCACCCCATGTCCGAGGCGGTGTAATTGCCCCGCCTTGAAGAATTGAAGCGACGGGAGACTAATAGGATTCCCAGCGACGATAAATCAGCATAAAACGACAAATACTACCTATAGTGGAGGATACGGAGGATACCCTGGACGAGGACGAGGTGGAGGCTACAGGGGTGGCTATTATTCCTCCTATGGAGGATATAATAGTTATCCAGCGGCAGGCCGTGGAGGCACCCCTAGGTTTGCCAACAACAAGTACGTTCGTCCGGGCCTCCAGACATCGACATCGACCACGACAGTACCTACGACATCGGCTTCAGCAACAGCTTCAACAAGCAAGACATCAGTACCATCTTCATCGACATTTGACTTCAAGAGTGGATCTACATCAGCATCTTCGACTTCGACTCAACCATCGACAAGTTCTACAGTCAGTGCAGCAGGGACAAAGGATGTTGTTATTGGAGGAGTGGCATTTGAGAGTTCTGCCCGCTCGCTCGTGAGGAAGGACTGTAAGTTGTTCGTTGGATATTACCTTGCGATCCCCGCCTCTCGTTCGTCGGGCGAATGAGAACGGTGCTGATGAATACTTTGTGTTTCCCCCTTGCTTCCCTGCTTTAATTCCGTTGTGCGACTCTGTCGAATTGGATAATTGGTGGGTGGCAACGTACTCTAGTGGTGAAATCGAAACCTGTACCAGCAGGAAAGCCACCTTCCGCTGCACCCTTTCCTTATGTTCGCAAGTCTGGACATTTAGTAGCACCCAGTCGGTCGTACAAGCCCAAAATGCGGCGTGGTCGCAACCTAACACTCGACAACACACGCAAGTCTTGGAGGTGCGTGTTCGAGAATACTCTTTAGCTACCTTTCAGCTGCCTAAAATGCTTGCAGAGAAAATAAGAAGCGAAAATACCTCAACAAGCCATGTCCTCGGTTCACAACCACAGGTGCGCTTCCTGTTCTCACTTCGACGAAGTTGGTGTCTATGCACCTTCATTCATTTAATAACGTTGTCACTTCCCCCTTGTATTCCCGTTTTGACAGGTGCTTGCAATCGTGGCCTCACTTGCATGTACCAGCACGACCCATCCAAGATTGCTATCTGCTGGAACTTCTTGCAAGATAACTGTCCAAACACGGCGGAAACATGTCAGCTGTCTCATGATCCGACACCCGAACGGACACCTCTCTGCGTTCACTTCCTAAATAAAGGGCGTTGCACACGCGGAGGATGCCCATTCCCGCATGTGAACGTTGGTAAACGTGAAGGGATCTGTAGGGACTTTGCGGTCTTGGGATACTGTGAAAAGGGTCTCGATTGCGATAAGCAGCATATCCGGGAGTGCCCCGACTTTGCTGAGAACGGCACGTGTAGCACGAAAGGGTGCAAGTTACCCCATGTTATACGAGCCAATAGAGGACGCAAAGCGGCGACGGCACCAACGGCTGCTGTTATCTCGGACAAGGCTATGGATGTTGATGCGCCGGCAGCCAAGGATACTGACCCTGATTCCAGCGTGAAGGACGCGCCTATAATCTATGCGGAGGACGGCAAGCTTGGGGACGAGTATATTTCTCTAACCTTCCATGAGAGCGAAGAAGAAGAAGAATCAGACGAGGAAGAGGAGGAAAGCGAAGAATCAGATGAAGAGGAAGAAGAGGGCGAGTCCGAAGGCTCCGACGCCAAAGATAGTGAATCTGAGTAGATATACTTGTACAGTCTAGTTTATTTGAATTCGAAAAAGTTGTTTTGCCGCTGAACGGGAGTACCATCGGTGTTTAGCACAGCCACCGACTGGTTGGGTGTGTGAAATTGGGAATTGTTTGGGTCTTGTCATCTCTCTGTACTAGCAGTCCAGGGTGGGGATGGTATGGATTCGAGCTCGTCGTCGTCTTTTGCTCGTCGCCACCGACGAGCCGTATCCAGCCCCAAGAACGCCTACACCCCCTCGCAAATCACCCCGACATCCTCCACACGCAATGTCTCTGCGGCGTCCGCAGACACCCCACGACCACCCCGGACGGCATCGAGCATCATGATCTCTGTCAAACGAACCTTTACACCCTCCAAACGACGCAGCGGCGAGCATTCGTCGCACATGTCACGCTCCGGGATGTACTCTACGCCAGAAGAGCGCATGTCGCCCTGCCAGCCTCAAGTCACTCAATTCCATGCTCACAGTCATATTATCGCGGGACCAGCGCCGCCGACAATAGAGCAGATCGCCATGGGCCTTCATATATCACGGACGCCTCATTTACGACCTCTAACGTCGACAAGGAGTCCTTATTCCCAGAGAAACCACTCCGCCCCCGCACGCACCCGTCATGGGCACTCCCCAGTGTTGCCCCCACCCCCCACGCGGTCCAGTATGAAGAAACCGACGGCGACGGTGTCTTCCAGCTCGAGCCAAGCTAAGCTGCGCACGCCTGTGCCACCAGCATCGTCGCCCACCCCCACGACAAGCAGCAGCGCGGCGCCCAGCTCGTCCCGATCCACCCACTCGGGATTTTCATTCTCGAAATTCAGAATGGGCAGGTTTCTCTCTGGTTCACGATCTAGCTCGGCACCCTCATCATCGCTTATATCGACTCCTGTCTCGTCTCCGAGGCAGAGCACGAGTGACCTTGAAGCTCTGCAGCGCAAGGCCGTTCGATTCCAAAACACGGAGGACGAGGACGATGAAAGAGATTGATCTTTAGAGTGATTGTGGCACTCGTTTTTTCCCCGCACATGATGCTATTCCGCTTGCCGTTCGTCGACGCTGGCTGTCCTCAACAAAACGCTGCACAGTCACCAGCTAGTCGCGATTTTGGTGGTTCTTTTCCCCAGGTTGATGCAGGAGGGTTCGGCCGCTGGGGTTATCTCGGTGACTCACCACGTCATCCGGCATCGTCGTCTCGGACCAGCGCCCTTATTCCGGGCTTCATCCTTTCGCAATCTTCTTTCCAGTAGACCGGAACTCTGTTTGAGCATTTGGGTTAGGTATATGGCTTTACATTTACATGATGCATTGATGTATTTATCCCTCACCAGGCCGCCTTTTTACACCTCATGCTCAAACTCATCATCGTACAGGCACACGCATTATCTCCCTCCTCCGTGACGAACCTATCATTATTCACGATCCTCTTTATTACTTTTAAACAAGTTGTCATCATTACCATGGGCACTACATTAGTGTATACTGTAACATTTTTTTTGAATCCAAATCGTTGTGTAAAGTGTTGTTGATTTAACAAATTGATCCCGTCGGAGTACTGTCTCGGTGCCATAGCCGCGTCTAAAGTTGGAACACCACCGTCACCACAGTCGACCGTTGCAGCGCTCGATCCCCTTTTCTCTCTCCGTTTGCGGCCGTCGACGACCACCAAAGGCCCTGTCCATTTCTAATTTACTCCCCTCTAATCGGTCATAACAGAACTAAAAAAGCGACGCGAATTCATCGTCACCAACACTCGTTACAATAATGGCACCCGTGGAGACAGAGTACTATGATTTGGTATGGATTTGAGAGCTATAGGGCATAGATGGAATGACTGATGATCTTCGACATCGTTCCCGGTAGCTGGGCGTCCCAGTCGATGCGGACGATACGCAGCTCAAGAAAGCGTATCGGAAGCAGGCCATGCTTGTACGTTCTTCTTCATTTCGTTCTGCTGCAGCACCTAGCGCATCCTTTTTGGCTCCTTCACAGCCTTATGGAGTTCTAATTCATTTACTTATGGTGCCATATTCTGAAAATCCCAACGGTCATGCTGACTTCGCTGTCCCCGCTTGTCTCGCTATAGTATCACCCGGACAAGAACCCATCGCAGGACGCAGAAGAGAAGTTCAAGGAGATCAGGTGCGCTGGGGGATTTGCTCCATAGTGTAGCATTCATGGCGTATTGACGTCGGCATGTCACTCGCCCCTTTAGCAAAGCGTACCAAGTCCTGTCCGACCCGGTATGCTCTTTTCACTGTAACGGCTTAGTTTTCTGAACTATCAGCTGATTCAAACTTCTCTCCTTTACATCACAGAATCTCAGAGCAGTGTACGACAAGAATGGCGCATCAATGGTACGCCCATACCGAAGAACCAAAAAACCGCCAACACCCCTTTTGACGACATACTTTGAATTTAGGTTGACAAAGAGGGCAATGTCAACATCGAAGACGCCGCTGGATTCTTTGCCAATGTATTCGGAGGAGAGCGCTTCGCAGATTACGTGCGTATCTCATCTATCCATCTTTCTTTATATAAAAGACTGAAAGATCCCCGAAACTCTTACTTACAACCGTTCCTGTTCTTCTTTGAATCTCTAGATTGGCGAGATTGCCATCATGAAGGATATGACTTCGGTGGCGACGACGATGATGACGGAAGAAGAGAAGGCCGAGATTGAGAAGGCGATGAACGCGCATAAAGAAGAAGACAAGACGAAGCACGTTGCCGAGACCGCATACGTTCCACCGACCGCTGCTGCTGGTGCTGATTCCAAGCCCACCGCCTCTGGAGCTGCCAGCACCACTTCTCACACTGCTCCTGGTGAATCGAGTACCGCCTCATCGCTCGCACCCGACGCAGCATCAACAGCCACTTCAACCGGTACCACGACGCCTAATGGATCACCTGCCTCAATCGCCGAGGAGAAGGAGCGTGAAAGGAAACGACGGGCAGAACAGAGGGAGAAGCTGAGGGAGCACGAAGAGCAGAGGCGAAAGGTCATGCAGGAACGGGTAGCTGGTTTGACCACCAAATTGGTTGAGCGGTTGAGGCCATTCGTTGAGGCTAGGGACCCCGGGGGAAAGGATGATCCCGAGACCAAGGCCTTTGAAGAAAAGATGAGGAAGGAGGCTGATGATCTGAAACTCGAGAGCTTTGGCGTGGAGGTATGCATGGCATGTATTATCTCATTAGGGAATATGCTGACTTTTACTGTTCAGCTCCTGCACACTATCGGCAGCGTTTATGTGATGAAAGCCACATCTGCTTTGAAGTCGCGAAAGTTCTTGGGAATGTGTGTTGCTTGCACGAATTTGAGTGGAAATGTGCTTATCCTTCTCTAGTCCAGGATTCTTCTCCAGGTTAAAGGAGAAGGGGACCTTAGCGAAGGATATGTGGGGTGTCATCGGTAGCGCGTAAGTCTAACACCTTACTTCACTCTAGCTTAGGGACTAACTGTATTCTCTAGGCTGAGCGTCCGCGATGTCGTTATGGTGAGACGAATGGTGATTCATCTGAAGGATCCTCGCTTACACCGTTGCAGCAAATGGAAAAGGCTCAATTAAAGGGCGACGTCGACGAGGAAGAGTTGCGCGCTCTTGAAATGGACGTCACTGGGAAGATTCTGCTTGCTTCGTGGCGTGGAGCGCGTCTTGAAGTTGTCCAAGTCGTGCGAGAGGTGGGTCTCCTTGGCCACTCACGTATGCGTTCACTTACGATACTTTCAAGGTCTGCGAGAACGTCTTGAAAGAGCCCGGTGTCTCTGATCAAGTGCTTTACAACCGGGCAAAGGGACTGTTGTTGTTGGGTGCGATTTTCAAGTCCACCGTCCCTGACGAGTCCGATGAAGAGCGCCGTGAACTTGAGCGGTATGTTTTCTCCATCCCTGTTAACTTGCCCTTTGCTCATTGCTACCCATTCCATCCAGAATGGTCGCTGAGGCTGCCAAGCCAAAGAAGAAGGCACCCAAGGATAAACACAAGAAGGCTACCGTTGAAAAGGAGAAGAGCCCCGCTCCAACACCCGCACCTGGCGCGTCACCTGCCACTGGCGCCACCGCCTAAGGACCCCTCTTTCCCAATACCTTGAATGCTTCAAACGATGGCCCCGGCCTGCACCTATGTACTACACTTTACTTCTCAGGGTTATCTAACGTCCCATGCTTTCTAATGTACAGGGTTCTGGATTCACATCCCTCAGGCTTTGCATTTTGTTTCGAATCTTTCCTTTCAACCTAATTCTTTTTCCCGATTACTTTCTCTCTTCATCCTAGATTACACTTATATGGTGGAACGGATCATTCTTCTTCTTAGTGTCCAATACTAATGGTTATCGATTGCATGTGCCTTGCTTGATTTATTTGGGTTTCCTTAGGGAGTTGCTCTGCAGCGTTCCAAGCTTTAAAACTTTGGCAAACGCATGCCGAGACACATTGATCGGCCAAGTCTTCCTTCTAACGGCCTGATGGTCTAGTAGTATGATTCCTTGTTAGGGAGCATCAGCTCATTTCGAGGAGGTCCCGGGTTCAATTCCCGGTCAGGCCCGTAAGTGATTTACGGAGTGATGTCTTTTTTTGTCTCGCTAGCCCTTTTTGGATTCCTTGGACTGCCCATGACTGACACACCCAAACACTACTATCACAGTTGTGAACAATGCTACATCACAATCGAAAGGTACTACAGTATTCTGTGGATTTTTAGATATTACAAGAGGGGTGCTATGACGTTGGCTTTCCAGCACTGTCCAGAGTAAAGGCCGTTTGCACCTGGGACAGAGTGTCAGTATAAATAGACGACCAAAGGGTAGAAGATTCCCTCACCTGGGACAAGAAAGATGCGTCATTGAGGACTCTTAGGCCTGTTAGAGCCAGGCCCTTGGTGACAGCCATCATAGCCTCGTGGGCCTTCTGCGTTTTGGCAGCTTTCTCAAATGCCGGTGTATGGTTCCCTCCGTGGGGTAGAGTCGGAATTGCTGTTCGAAAAGAAGAACATAGCCATTAGCACCCCTGACTGCTCGACGGAACAGTTGTGCGCAGTCGGAGGCAGAGCAGAGTCGACTTACCAAAGGCCGGGTGAATAACGGGGAGAGCTAGTGTCGGAGAAATTAAGACAGGCTCGGATCTACACTTTTCGAAGTGGGTGGATCAAATGGGACACATACCATATGAGATGTTTCCCTGTTGGAGCGGAAGGACGAAGGAATTGGAACAGGTCGAGGGATAGATAAGCTCGTTGGCAGGAAGGAATGGAAGGGAATGACTAACAAAATCTGTAGATGCTGTCGTACCGGCGTCTGTCGTCTGGACCCCGTACCGAGCACTGACCACGTCGCTGAAGTATTGAGCTGTTCCCAGCGTCAGTTGAGAACTCCATGGTGGGCACCTCGGAAAACTGAGAAATCAGGCAGCTCACCCAGAACGGTATTTTGGCGTAAGTCATAATAAGGAAGCTCTGTTTTCAGGTCAACACTACATGACGTCGCCATTCCGGCCGCTCTGTTGTCGAATTTATGGAAATCAGTAGGTTCCATGCGCTCGATTCGAATTGACCTCACTGGAAGCAGTTTTTAACGCGCTGGACGAGGTCCTTTAGTTCCATAGAGGTCGGTGCGCGGACAAGCCATCGCATCTTGGCATAATCCGGGATGACTGGTGGATCAGGAAAAAAGTGCGACAAGCGAGGGTCGTTAGACTGACAAGCTCGCGTTCCACAACAATGGATACAGTAAGTCACTTGCCATTTGGAGACCAATCCTTGCCCTGGATTACGCCATGGATGCGGTGGTCGGGCTTGAGTTGTTGCCTAAGCATCGATATGCTGGAGTACGCTAAAAATGCAGCGTCTAGAGCGTTCGTTCCTTCCCTGTCGAAAATCGTAAGCGATTCGTATCTCTTGCGGAGTTTCAAGACATACCAGGGGGCAGCTCCGGCGTGCGCGCTATTCCGGCAATCAGAAACGGGTCCTAGGACAAGAATCTTCGAACGGACCTATGACCAAAGAATTCCACTTCGATAGCCTGCATGGCAATTGTCGGTCCTATGCTAGCGGAGTGAGGTTCACCAGGGCTTGGGTGGCACCTATGATGTGAAATGTGCCAGTAATCAGCGAAAAGGAAGCCAAGACCTATGATTTCGTATTACTCACATGAGACAGACGTCCATATCATTGTATGCGCCACGTTCCAGGAGAATAACCTTCCCACCTCCTGCTTCCTCAGCTAGCGAAGACGTCGGTACAGTCAGTTAATCGTAAATCACGCGATCAAAAAGCAAAGGAGAGGGCAACGCTATCGGGCAGGTAGCGGCTCGGGCAGAGGTAGATTGAGTGTGGTCGATCGAGAGATGGGTATGTAAACTTACCAGGTGTTCCCAAAAGCACTATTTTCCCCGAGATTTTGTGTTTCTCCATCGCAGCTTTGAGAGAAAGCGCCACGCCTACGCCGCTGACGGCAATGAGATTGTGGCCACAGGCGTGCCCAATCCCGGGCAACGCATCCATTTCGGAGTTGACGCCCACGACGCGACCTCCAACGCCGAAAGAAAATTCGGCTCGCCACGCTGTAGGTAATTCTGGCAGGTAGTGCCTCGTTACCTGGAAGCCTTGTTCGGAGAGAAATCCTGTTAGAAGATCATGTGCATATCTAAAAGCAGAAAATCGGAGAGTCAACATTGTGTGAACAAGTGGTAAGCCCCCTTGCAGACTGGTGCTTCTGCTCCCAGGCGAGGTCTAAGGCACACCTACTTTTCTTCAAACATTATCTCTGGATGGGCTAGCCAGGAACGAAGAGGTCAATAGGAAGAACAGTTTCCTGGGAACCTGGAGCGACATACCGTGAAGGTCGAGGCTAAGTTCTCGGAGCTTCGCGTCGAGCGAGTCCAACGTCTGCTCGATGGTACTAACCACCGAAATGTCCGTATTCGAGTCCGTTCCGCGCTGTGACACGCTGTATGACGGCGGCGATTCCAATTGGCTCACTGGAGACCACAGACCACCGCCTTTTGACGAAAAGTCACAGCAAGGACTCCAACATGGTGGGTGTTCCTGGGAACGGTCCATGTTTAGCAATAATCAGAGGTAAGACGCATGAGGTGCTCACCTTTGAAGTTGGATGGTCGATTATGGACCTGGAAGGAGCGGAGGGGACAGGCTCGGTCTCGCGGACGGAGCTCGAGGGATTATCGCGTTGTACGCGGCGACGGGAGCGAGCAAAAAAGGCAGAAAAGCAGCCTGAGAGTGGGGAAAGGGACTGCATGTCAGTGGAGGGAGTCGAAGGAATGGGTTCGGATTAGAAAAGGTGATCATTTTGAATAATAGCCTCAGATCGTGGCTGAGATCCAGAAATTCAGTCTGCGATCGTTGAATGCCAATATGGCGGGGCTCTGCCAAAAAGCAGCCACGATGGCCGTCTAAATGCGCGTTCCGGGGACATCGGTATTGGGTAATAATGAACCGACAGTTCTCATCCCATCACTGCACCATGAGCTGCCCCCCAATCATATTCACTATGGCGATGCGATTTGCGCATTCACCCGCTTGGCGACATGCTCGTTTTCTTCTCCTTCTAGCCAGCTCCACCTCCCACTCCGACGCCAGTGGAAGCCCGACGCAGATCCACTACCCGTTCTCGGCGAAGATCTGAGAAAAAGAAAGAGCAAGAATGCATCTTTGCGATTAAAATGACGTGGTATGAGTATACATACAGGAATAGGAGCGCCTAGCATTGTCCACGAATGATAAAGAACCAGGATGGAGAGGAAAATAGCTAGCAGGGATCGAGAGGATTCAAACACAGCCGTCTTCGCGAAAGAAAGTTTTGCAGCTTCGTTACCCTCGGAAAAAATCCCCAAGCTTCTTCCAAAAGCCTGCTTTCTCTGGCTGCTTGTCATGGCCGGCTAAACCCACTATAACCTTTCCTGAACGAGAATTAAGTTGGCACAAGTCCGTAAGAAAGGGTGGTTCGCCTTCGATTGGGGGCCCATGGGTTCCCATCAGGACCATAGTCTCCTTGTCTGTAGCTTTCAGCACCTTGACCTTCCTCATCAGGGCTGGGAGAACGTGGAGTTCTCCCTTTCTCGTGTTGAGTTGTATCAGCCCAGAGAAGGTTTCCGGAAGATGTACTGTGATATCCCCTATGTCACATACTCGATTCAGCAAAGTGTGTGATCATCTCAGTTCAGGGATAACTTCACCTTGTGCAGATATGACGTCGAGCCCGATACGAGGTCGGGCAGGGTTGGCCATAGGGAGCTATACCAGGTGACAATCCATACGTTATCGACGAAACAGCGGGATGTCCATATCTCGTTACTCACCAACTTCAACTCAATACACCCGGACCCGCTGGCCACAGATACATTTGCTCTGGGTGATTCATTGATGTTACCCGTAGTCGCTAACGAGAGCTGTATGGACCCCGAACTAGTTTTGAACGAAGCATGAGGAAGAACTGGTCTCTTGCCATTCTTCTTCCGCTTCTTGGTGCTACTAACGGGGGTTCGAGGGTCGATATGGAACGTTCCTATGGTTCGTCACATTTCATAAGTTTGACAGAACCCTACTATACTCTGGGCAAATGTACCGACCGATTATGTCCTCCTTCTTGGACGCTAGATGTATCTGATTGACTGTAGCTGGCGTCTCCGGATTCACTACGGTGTTCCCAGAGAACGCTGATGTCGATGTAGACGGAATCTGCAGCTGCTGGCGGTGGTTGTGGTGATATTGCGACTGGGATCCCGAAGCTTCTGGCACTGCAGGCAAAGGGGCGTTATAGTTGTTCTGTGTGTATGGTGGAGGTTTCTCTGTTTCATGGTGAGCCTATGGGGACACGGTTGATCAACAAGCTTCCGCATTTGACGAGACCTTACTGTTCTGGTTGAGCTCCCCGCACCCGGTGTCGCTTTGGGCTCCTTGCTTGTTGGTTTCTTCGTCGACGGCCTATGTTCCAAAATCATTGCTCAGGCTCTGTGGCGAAAGTGGAGGAGACTAAGAACCTCACCAAGCTGCGGAAGGTTTGAAACCTGTACCCATGGAAGGCTGTGATATCTGACGGTCAGCCAGCCCGATGATTTACAGCACTTGCTGCCGCGCAGCCCAGGCGTGGCCTGTTGATCCCGCTCCTCGCCATCGCTTATCACTACCGAAAATGACGATAGGTGGTCTCGGTTCTGCTTTTCCCTTTGCTTTTGAAAAAATACTTCGCGGAATGTAATCAAGGCCGAATGAAAAAATGAACAGTGCATGGGCCTGACCGGGAATTGAACCCGGGACCTCCTCGATATGAGCTGGTGCTCCCTAACAAGGAATCATACTACTAGACCATCAGGCCGTTAAATAAGCTTTCCAAGGAGCCTCCACGACTGGCGGGAGGGGGTCCCCAAACCAAGAGAGAGTTGTTTCGATCCACCAAAACGCGAATCCATCCAGAAGGCATCTTTATTAACGGTAAATTTCCAGTAGTATACATGCATGGGGTAAGTGTCAACCTAACTAGGACTAATGAGATGGTGGTACACAAGCGACAGTGTTTAACAACAGCAAAAGACAGAGACTGTTCAAGAGAAGGGGTGTCCGAGATAGATGCATCCTTTAAAGAACACCTGATTGCTATAACTACAAGAAAACACATGATGCACAAAGACAGAGAAAGGGGGTAGACAAAAACCAGGGACAAGGTGAAGGAGAGAGCCAAGTAAAATGAAGGGAATAAAGTTACTGAATAACACAATTTCCAGCAGACTTTGCGTTTCGTTTATGACGCCGTGGATCTGGTGAAAGCGAGCCAAGTGTTCTAGTTGTGGGGTGAGTAATAGGACCTGGGTAACTCATAGCAACTCCTGCTGAAGAGGTGGATAGTTCTGAAATCAGTTGCGTAGAGGATCTGTTGTGTTCGGATTCCGCAGTGGACGCAAGACCTCCAGTGTACCGAGAACCCTTCTGAGCTCGACCACCCGACGAAGACGCTGACCTATTGCGACTTCCTGACCCAGAGTTGAGGCTTTCTGCCGCAGTAGCAGCACTTCGGAGGCTGCTCATGTTGGTACTGTCGCTCGTGACTGACAGAGGTCGCTCCGGTCTCTTGGAGAGTAGGGTCGGTCGTCTACGACGAGGTTCTTCCGGCCCGGGTTCTTGCGGTGCTGGCGTCGATGAAGGCGACTTGGCCGGCTCGGGCGTCAAGTTGGATCGGGAACGCTTGAAAGCCGCCTTGAACTTGAACGCAGTAGGCGGTGATTCCGAATGCGCACCGACGACGCCAATGGGCGACGAGGGCGGAGGTGTTTCAGTCCTCGCGCTGGACGGACTAGAGACGAAGGGGACATCCGACATGGCAACCGGAAACCTCGTATCCCCCAGGAGATCCTTTGGATTGGAGTAAGCGCTTGAAGGATTGCCCTTTTCCGCGTACTGCGCGTAGAGTAGAAGCTGAGCGCGTAGATCGCATGTTGGAGGAGCACTGGCAGCGCATTTGGCATGAGAAATAAGGCTGCACTGGGCACAAAGAACAGCACTCTTCTTGACATTCAAGAGACACACTCGACACATCATGGCTATGTCGAAAGTTTAGTTCTGGACTCATCTATTCATAGCCAGTTGAATTACTTACGTTTACTGAATGTCGTTTTGACAAAGGTATGTTCTCTTGGTGAAATGTCATTCTCAGGAGGCGGCCGAACAGAAAGGTTCGATGTGCGGCGACTGATAGGAGCAACCCTCCCAGCGTCACCGCGTACGAAACCTTCGGATACGGGAGAGTCGGGAGTCTCGAACTGGTTAAAGTAACGGCTGACGTCCGACTTCTGCATATCCGTGCTGACACGCCGAAGGAACGGAATGCTATCTTGAGGTCGCAAATCCTGATAGAGTATGGTTTCAGCCATCGCATTGTCGCTATTCAAGCGCAGACAAACCTTTAGCTCCATCCAGTTGGCCTTCAGCCACTCATGCTCGCAGAGAAGTTCAGCAGTAGGCCTATTGTTCGGATCTTTCTGAAGGCATTGCTTGAGGAAATCTTCGAGCAGCTCTGAGCAACCTTCAGGTAGAGGGGGCATATCGTCCTCGACAATACGGAACATCACTGTTGCATCATGATTAAACCAAGGAAGGGATCGTCGATGGAATTCTTTGACGTACCAGACATGCTATTAGTGATGTCTGCGTATGGAGGACGACCCGTCAACAGTTCAATCACAGTGCAACCCAAAGACCAAATGTCCGACTTGATGGAGGCGCCCTTGAGTTCGATCACCTCAGGCGCCATCCAGTTGGGCGTTCCAGCCACATCCTTGATCTCGCGCTCCATCGCTCGAAGGTTGAGAGAAACTCCGAAATCCGAAAGCTTGACGTTGCCGTTCTTCGTGGTAAGGATGTTCGCAGCCTTGAGATCGCAGTGGACTACGTCACTGGTGTGTAGGTAGTGCAAACCTTCCAAGATCTTGACGACATAGCTTGCGACAAGGCGCTCGTTGAGTTTACCGAAGGCCTTGAGGGTTTGGCCAAGAGATCCATTCTCTGCGTATCTAAACGAAAGGGAATTAAAATACGATCGAGATGGGAGAATGCTTCGGCTCACTCAAGCACGATACTTAGTGTATCCTCATCTCTGGCCATTCCTTCATACTTGACGATGCTAGGATGAGAGAGACTCTTGACGAGATCAACCTCCCGCATGAGCTGCGTGACCTCCTCTTCCTTCAAGCCTTCCAAACGGATACGCTTGACAGCAACCATTTGTCCGGTGTTGAGGTTAAGCGCCCGATAGACAGAGCCAAATTGGCCGCGGCCAATGCAGTTACCCAGTTGCTATGAAGCCATATCTCAGAATCTCGATCACTTGGTACAAGAAGCTAAAGGACACTCACAAAGTGTGTTGGGGGCTTCCCTGCTTCCTTCACGATGAGCGCCCGACCCGTACTTCCATCGAGCGAGTTTCGGGCCAACAGATCGCTAGCACTGGTCGCAGCCGATGTAACCCCAAGGTTAACCATACTCTCAATCCTGCCACGAGCTGGCCTGGCGGCCACATCGTCGTAAGAGTTCGGCCTTCCTCTGCGACCACTTGCACCCTCGATCTCACTTTGGAACCTCCCACGAAGACGCGGCCTTTCTAGGAGTATATTGTCGCCACCAGGAGATGTCGGGGTTGAAACGCCAGTGCTTCGATCGCGGGGGAAGGGTACGAGGGAATCATCAGAACCTCGAGAACCAGGAGCATCGTCACTTCGGGGTGCAAGTGACGTTCGCGTGGGAGTAGCTGGCTTCGTACTGTGCCTGCGCAATAGAACCCTCCCGGAAGGCGACCTCGATGTCGAACTGTCCGGACTGGCATCTCGACGCAACGCGACTTCCTTGGGCAGTAATCCCGGGGTATCAATGCTGTGCCTAGGTCGGTGCGTGGGTCGTCGAGGCAGCGGCTGCGAACCATCATCATGTAAGCGATTGGCGCCAACAATAGCGATCTTGCGAGGGGAAGACTTGGAAATTGACACAGGACTTGCCCTAGATAAGCTTTCATCTGGATCGAGGATGCTTGAACGAGCCGGGTTTGGCATCTGGAATGCGTCGAAGAAGTCATCGGGCCACTTTCCCTTACGGAGGTGGACGGCTGGCCTTTCATTGCGCTGATCATGGGATGCGTTACCCCTCTCCTTTGTCTCACCACCAACCCTCGTCGCAACTCTAGAGATGCTCTCGTCCGTTTCCTCTGCCACCCTCGTCATCTGAACTTCGCCGCTCCTCCTGTCTCTATGCTTGGGTATATCTATAGAAGATGACCGCGCAAATGTTTCTGAGATGGAACTGCCCTCCGCACGCGTCAGGGAGGGAGCAGCGGAGGTTAGATCGGTCGTCACCGTTCGAATGGTGCCGTACCTATTGCCAAGATTCCCTTGACCATTGTCGAGGAGGCTAGAAGGCGCGGTTGATAAAGTAGTGGACGAAAGTACGCTAGATGCCATGGACTGTCGGGACTGTCGGATGTTTGGAATGGAGTCCCGGACAGATATGTCACCAATCGTGGCTTGGGTCGAACTTGCGATCGAAACTCGCGTGGGGGAAGCGGTAGCCCTTGACCAGGCAGATAGTCCACCGACGTCATTAGACTTTGATGCTTGTTTCCGTAAAGGAGATTTTGGTGGAGGAGGCGGTCTCTTAATGATTGGTACGGCCATCTGTTTAACTTCGATTTCCTCCCCGTCCTCATCCATCGAATCCTCATCCTCTACCCCACGTATCGTCTGAACTGACTCGACGGACTTTTCCCCTGGGCTATATGAACGTAACGGTGGAAGGTCGGAGGGAGGGGACCAGCGTTTCCTGGTGGGAGATGCTGGAGATTGGGGGTTGGTTGAGAGGAGGTTGGGCGTCGAGTTGGACGACTTTGACAACGTGCCATACGGACTCGGGGGAAGGGGTTTGCTCTTGCCCTGGCCAGACATGTATTTGGATCTGGATGGCACAGGGGATTCAACGAACTTGATGAGTGCGATGATCGTTTGAGCAACACGTGCAAGCGACTCGCTGCTGCCGTCGATGAGGTCGTCCTGCTGGAACAGGTCTTCGCCTGAAAGTCCATACGAGGCACAGCCCGCGAGAAACTTGGTGACATTAGACGACTTGGTGACTCCATCTTCGCGCGGATCAGGGCGGACTACAGAACTCGACCGCAACTTGTTCAACAGTCTAATAGCACACGGCGTTAGGATTACATTGACGAGAAGATATTGGATAATTGATACCCACTGGCATAGAACGAATCCATCTCGGAGAGCGTCACAGAACAGCTTCCTTTCCCGTTCCTCACCAGCTCCGGTAGTAGGCGAGCTTTGGGACGTGGTAGGACTAAAGGGTCTACTCCAGATCCTCTCCAGTCGCACCAATGCTGCCGTTCGAGCTTCAACCTCCTTCCAATCCCTCACACCGGCATCCGTCTTCGCCATGTGCGGTGGCGGCTTCAGTATTTCCTTGCAGAGCATACTTGTCGCCGTCCTAATCAAGTCGCGGTGCTCTGGATTACTAGGAAGAAGCAATGAGCCTGCGGAGATGTTGAAATGGCGGTTTTGTGAGTAAGCACGCTGGGAGGGAGTTCTCGACCGTGGTCGGATGGGGGAAGGGGGTTCTCCGTGGAATGGTGATGGGGACTGACGGGAAGTAACATCGAGAGATGGACGTCGTGCGTAGTCTGCGGATGTACGTCGTGGTGACTCGATAGGTTGTCGACGGGGAGAGTCGACAGATGGACGTCGTGGCGTTGGGGACGGACTCGATGACAGCGGAAGATGAGATGTCGACGCTGAAGCACCACCTCGTGAAGGTGTTGCGACTCGAATTCGGTTGGAAGGGGAACAGGCGCATGCTGGACTTGACGCACGTGGAGTAGCAGAACCACTGGTTTTTGATGGTGAACGTATGGGCGTGACTCGAGAAGTCGAGTAGGGTGTAGGGGAATGAGAAGGACTGGCGGGGACATGGCGAACTCGGGTTGGGACCGGGGATTCGCTAGAGGTAGAGGGCAATGAAGGTGACGAGGGTGAAGGCGGTATTGCAACGGGAACTGACTTGGATGAACGATGTCGTGTTGGCCCCTGGGCAGTAGTTCGCGGTGATGGGAGCGATGGTGCACTAATCTCCTTCGGTGGGGCCGGCTGCATACTGACCCGCCGGGTTCTCGGGCGAGTTGGAGAGACGAGAACATCAGCATTAGAAGAAGACGAAGCAGGCACAGCTGATTGGGACTTGGGCGAAGGCAGAGCTTGTGAAGAGAGGTGGAGGGCCGGTGATGACATTGATGCCTGTCTCATTGAAGGCGTAATGAAGCTGGTTTTCCCAGCAACTCTCTCCTTGGGTCGCTGACTACCATCGTTCGACGTTGCTGGAGGTTCTTGCCCACTTTTGCCACGGAATGTGACCTTGCGGAAGACGTTCAATTTGTGGGATGGAGCCTCGTCACTCTTATGGATCTCTCTTTCCTTCTCCTTTCCTTTCTTGGCCTTGGCGGTTATCGTCGCGAACTCATCCACCGGCGGGGTCGGGACTTTCTTGGAACGTGTAGCGGTGCGGAAACTGTTCTCGAAGAAGCGTTGGAAGGACCTCGAGGCGGTTTCCGAAGTGGATGATGTCGAAGTGAAAACATCGGGCGCTGGCGCCTGTTGAGGATACCGTGAAGATGACGCTTCAGGAGGAGGGTTGGGCCGACGCGAGTGGGAAGATATGGGCAATGGCCGGGAGACCTGAGGGACCTTAGCACTTGAAACGAGTGCCGCCGCCATGAAGGTTCATCGAACTGCGACCAGCGGACAGTGCTGGTAAGCCTTCTGGGACCCTGAGCAACTTGAAATGCTGTGAAGTGGGCAAATCAACCAGGTTCTGAATGAAGTGCACCTATACAAAGGGGTCAGTTTGTCCTTTAACAAAGTCGGGGGCATTGTGGACGCCGCAGTCGGCGGCGACGGCGTTTCATCGACATGATATCACGTCGGAAAGAACTCTGCACAACCAGACAGAACATGAACATACCTAGAAGCTATTCCTTCCCAGCACCCGCAAAAAGAAATTCAACGGCCTCTTGCTTGCCTAGAGGCTGCGGCAATTGTCAGAATTGCGGTGGGCTTGGGGTCTTGCGGACTTGGGGTGATCAACACGAAGAAAACGTGGTCGTCGCAATCAAACCTTGAGGGGCGTTAATTGACGCCTATAAGCCTCAAGGCAGCTGTAAATGGTGACTGTCAGAACAAACCGGAATCAAAGACAAGCTGTGAGACCTTGGAGAGCCTTCAAGGGCCTTTGGTGGTACCTTTCTCCTGCGCCACGAACAATTTGTTCAGGCAAGCAGGCTACAGCTGACCTCGGAAAGAGTAACGGCAGAGAACCTGACCCTCAATCTGGCAAACACAACATATTTTCGGGCCAATTGGAAATCCTTTCTCGCGCCTACCTCGCGACACCCGGATTGCATTCCCAAATCATTATTCATCATACGAACCTCCTTACGACAATCATCATAATAGTATCACATCCTACCAACCAAGACTGGAATGAAAAATCTATGATACCAGGCATGACGCGCAGAGAAAGGGGACGATGCCAACCTTACCCCACAGCTCAACCCTAAAACGGCACGATCGGTATTGATTACCCTTTTGATCATCATGGAACGACGTGCTGCCATCCAAGTGACGTACAACCAGAGTGATTATGACCCGTCGAAGCCTACACCTCCTATTCTATGCCCTCTTCAGGCCGCGTCTTGTCCTCCAGCGCACCGCCCTCGTCCTACTCAAACCACCATTGTTGTTGAGACCGTCGCACATCCCGCTAGCCGAGGAACGTGTTCCACTCTCGACCACCTTCCCTCATGTGACAAGGCCATCAGAACCAGTCCGCCCCGGTTTCGGTACAAATGAGCCCGTCAGGTGGTACAAGGGCGAGGCAGCGACGATGACGAACTGGGTTAAATGTTTTCTCCAAGAGGTTAAAACAGAGCAGACATGTTGCAGATAACCAATCCGGGTGCAAATAACAGGTGAAAGAGAGAGAGAGAAGTGTCAATGACCTTGGGAGTATACTGCAAGTAAACTGGTCTAGTTTCTTTGGAGTACTGCCTCACTTTTCAGAAGAGCTGTCAATCGCATTGCGTCGATGAGTTCATGGGGCCATAGAAGGAGGTGGTATGTTCCCATGATCTGGAAGAAGGAAAGAAGTTCAGAGTTCTTCTCCAAAGCTTGTGGAAGCAGTCACAGGTTCGCCGATAGAAGCACAGACACGTCGCGGCTCTATCGTGGCCTCTATCTGATGTAGACAACGATAGCATTCGTTGATGCCTCCGATGTGTCTCGGAACACGGACCTAAGGTTTTGTATAGAACATCGATAGAGCATTTGAACGAAACAAGGGTTTGGCATCAGAACAACAAGCTTTGAGACATGGACAGTAGCTCGAGAGGTCCTCACCCACGGTCCACACGTCAATGCAAACCAAGTGGACCAAAATACCGCAATCGAAGGCTGGAAGACTTCTTTCCGAATAAAAAGCGTCTGGTTCTTCTTGTCTGGTTCACAACCAAGGTAGCGGCGATGTTGTCGAGAAGATTAGACTTTGCCGTAAAGCCAAAGGTGCCCTCCCATTGCCAAACGAGCTAAAACAGCACTAGACGAAGTCTAGTTCGAAGCAAGGACAGCAAGAAAACAAAGAAACTTGGGCCACTCAACCAGACAAGGCCGCACAAAATAAACAGCGAGAACCCGATTAGAAAGCAGCTGGCAACCGAAGAGCTCGTTGTTCAGCCAGGGATAGGTTTAGCACCCAGCGAGTCCCATTCTCAGCAATCCAAGCCTTCTCCGAGTACTTGGGATTTGGTATGTCGATCGTGGTTGTAAGGAGGTCGTCCGAGGTCCAGCCCTGTTCGGTGAAAAGGTCCGTGCGCATCATCAAATTTAAATCACAGGCCTTTGCCAAGCAGCAGCAAATAGTGTGCCCACAGTGACGACGAGGTGACACTGATGACACAACCACATTCGTTTTTCCAATTGGCGCACAAGACAGCGACGACCGCAAAATTTCCCTGATTTTCCTGTTAATTCCAGGTTTCGACAATGGCCACCCGCTCAAAGGCCAAAGCTGCTGCTTCCGCTACGGGTAAGAAAGCCGCGCAGCAATCATCGAAGCGCGCAAAAACTGAGACCAGTTCCTCAGCCCGGGCGAGCGAGGAACGGTCAGTGAATGGAAGGCGCAAACCTTCAAAGACCGCCCCCGCCAAGCGGGCAAAGCCCAAACCAGATGCATCAGTGAAGGAGGAATACTGCACCTGCTCGAAGGGCGATGACGGCTCTCCGATGGTCGTTTGCGGCCAGTGCAAGATTTGGTATGTTACGAGTTGCTTCAGACACGTTTCCGACGCTGACGAGTCTACTGCAGGTACCATTTCGTATGTGTAGATCTCGCAGAGAAGGACGCAGAGGATATCTGTGGGTTGCAATATCATTTTAAATCGTGCTCCTACTAATGTGTTCTGTCAGGTTTTTACGTCTGCCCCACTTGCACCACATCCACTGGCCTTCGAACAACAAGTGAGTTCAAACCACCTTTCTGTATAAGAAGTACCATTACGGTCATTTTCTTCTATTGTAATTTGGGCGAAATACTGGTATTAGAGCTTTCGCCAGATTATCTGCGATCATGCATTGATCTCTCGGATTCGCATCTGTCTAAAAAGTGTGAACTTGGTGGCGTCACACATCTTTGAGAGCAAATAATGAGTATAACTGGTGGCCTTGATGCTGTTACCTGAGTACTCTTGCTTGCTCGTATAGAAAAGAATTTCTGAGATACAGATGATGAGGGCTCTGTATTTAGTATTCGCGCCCAAATTTTCGTAGTTATCTTTCCTTTTCGGCACCTGTGATGCGAGGAACACGCTACTGACATGCTACCTGTTTGTTAGGATCCTGGGAGGGTCGAGTCGCCTTCGATGACCCCAATGAAGCCGCTATTTCCAAGGGGCCGGTTGCGCCATCTAAGCGCAAGACGTCCAAGCCTCCAGTGGCGAAGAAACCCATGTCAGATGAGTCCGATAACGAGGTTAGCAGCGAAGACGACTTTGTCATGGAGGAAGAGGAAAAGAAACCACAGGTTGCTCAAGCCAAACGGGTATGTGTGTCGTCCCTGCGACCTTGCATTTAAACTAATGTCCCTTTCAGCGTCGCACAGCTGTGGCTTCGGACACCGACACTGATACCTCGGATTCGGACGCCCATATAAAGCGCAAGCGTCGCCTTAGGAGGGTATCAGCATCACCCGCCCCCAATACAATGAAACGGAAAGCCAGTGTCTCCCAGGCACCAACTCCTGTCAAGAGATCCAAATCTACACCCCCCCAAGAGGATCCAACACGGAAGTACTGCTTGGGCAAATTACAGGAACTGTTCCGCGATATCTTCTTCCGCTATCCCCATATACAGACACCAGAGGGCACCCTTGTGGCCAAGGCGGTGGACGAAATGACGGAAGAGGAAAAGGATGCGTTGACGCAGGAAGCCAATCAGTTTGCCCACGACCTCGAGATGTGTATCTTCGAGATTTATGCTGAGCCAGATAAAAATGGTAATCCAAATGCCGGCATGAAGTACAAGTACGTCCCATTGTCCATCCATCTGAATGACCTTCGTTGACATATGCTTTTTCGTCTAGGGATCGTTTCCGGACGTTGCAATTTAATCTTAGCAAACATGACCGTGTTGTTATTCACCAACGGATTACCTCACGGAACATTGCTCCCAAAGAGTTGTCTCAAATGTCTTCAACTGACCTGGCGAATGAGGAAACGAAACAATTAATCAAAGTTGCGGAGAAAGAGGCGTTGGAACACTCCATCCTACCGCAGATTACTGCTCCTCGTGCTAAAATAACGCATAAAGGAATCGAGGATATCGAAGTAGACGATGATGATCCGAGCACGTCCACGCTGGATTATGAACAGGATCAGAAGGAGAGAGAGAGGGTGGCAGAAGAGCGTCGGGAGAGAGAGCGTATGGCTCGCCTTAGAGGGGTGCAGCGTCAACGGACTGCGTCCATGTCGGTTCCACCTGAGTCTCCTACGGTCCTCCAAACCCCGACATCCGATTCATGGGGTGCGCCTCCACCAGTTCCTGCCCATGCTCAGTCTCCCGTACAGGAGTCAGGCGGTCAGTCTGCTCTGCCTCCCCTGGCGCTTGCTGGCTCCGAGATACGATACACGCCAGAGCCGGAGCTAAATCTCTCCGACCTCATCAACATCGATGAAGAGGCCACCCCATCTTCAGAAGCGGTCCCCACTCCCCCCACGACATCCACCCAAGGGGACCAGGCGACTCGCGTCGATCCATTCTCCCGCCCCATCATCACCGTCCCCTCGTCGTCCAGCGATCCCCCCACCGACGAATCCCCTTCGGTCACCGCCGTCCCACCCGAAAAGCCCGGTTTTAACCTCAGCACACTCTGGACGACCAACGCAACCGACAAAGAGAAGGATGCCGACATGGATGACAACGACGATGGAGAACCGATGGCCATTTCCCCTCCCCCACTTTCTCCCCCTGCTCTCCACGACGATGACGACAAGGACATTCTTGCGGAGGGTGGGGACAATATGGATGGTCCTGAGCCCGACTTCGACGCGCTCTTCCAAGAACAACCCCCCGAACCACCCCGTCCTCAAGTCCCAGTGTCGGTCGAGCAAATCCCCCAGGTCTGGACAGGCAAGGTATGTTTGACGCTTGTTTCATTGCCCCGGCCGTAACTAACTGTCTGCTGTAGCTCTCCATGCCGCTTGACTCGAGTATTCCTCAAGACACGCCGATGGTTGCCAGACAGGTCGCCGGGACCACAATCGAACCGGAGTCTCTGCTATGGAAGACGCTTTTTCCTTCGGACCACCTTGGAATTGGTGGACGTGTTCCTATCGCGAACTCATCCGACTATCTCACACAAATGCGACTCAACCCTACGAAGGAGTTGTATGCTGTGGCGTTTGCACCGGCTAGTGAGCAGGACGAAGCTAGCTTCCAAGCGCTGAGCGACTTCCTAGTGGCAAAAGGGTATGTCTATTCCGCATCCTAATTGATAGCTACGAGATACTGACCAGACTTTCCTCATAGTCGTCACGGATTGATCTTCCCCTGGGGTCAGAGACCCAAAGAGCACCATCCAGGCAAAGAGCTGTACATCATCCCCTTGAAGGCATCCGAACCCATTCCCGAGTACATGGAGCTTCTCGACAATCTCAAGATCCCGAAGGAAAGAAAGCGAAATTATCTAATTGGAATTTGGGTGCTGAACAAGGGTAAATTGGCTCCTCCCCCGCCACCGCCACCAGTCGCCGCACCGGTTTCTATGACTCTCTCAGTCGCTCACCAGCCTACTCCGCCAACCGTTCCAGCTGCTCCTGTCAATGTCACCGCTACTCCACCACATATCCCCCCGATTGCTTCACCCGCTATTCCGTTGGGCTCTTCAACGCCCTTGGGCGTTCCTCCTACACCGGTCAACCCCATCCTTCCTATCAATGGGCCGCTCCCGCCTGGCGTTGACCCGGTTGCTTTGGCTGCCGAAGTAGCTTCGCTTACACCGGAGCAGCTCCAGCTCTTGCGCTCCTTGGCTGGTAGCGCGATTCCTGTTCCTTCTCAACCGCCTCAGCAAGCACCCGCCGCTGTCCCCGTTCCACCAGCCTTCCCTCCATACCCGCCACCACCAGCGGTGCCCACCATGCCCCCAGATCATCTCAGGCATACATGGCAAGGATCGGCGTCACCATACACACCCCCTCAATATCAGGGCTATGGAGACCACGGTGCAGCAAACCATGCTTCGCAACCCCATCGGCCGCCTCCGCCACCACACAACTATCCCAATGATCGCTATGATGCCCACGGTCATCACCAGGGGCACGGCGATCGCGAGCATCATCGTGGAGGATGGCGCGGCAAGAACAAGTCTAGGGGCCACTGGGATCGCAATCAAGGGCATAGGGATCAACAACATAGGGACAATTATCGACCTGTGGACTCTGGCTGGCCTCGCAAGCAACATGGCGCTGGTGAACAATCCTATGGGCATGGACGGCAATGGTAAAAGTAAAGATTCCGGAACGCATAATCGAAGTCGAGACAAGATCACATTCTGCAATTGTAATTGTACCCAGCAACGACATCACCAGGGATAAATTATCTGTATTTCGATTACACTTCTCTTGGTTCCTTCCCGTTTCCTCATATTGTTACTACCCGCGTAGTTTACTGTATTTCCCTTGCTCTGTTTCATTTACTGTACTGAAAGTTTGGATAGACAATTATTTACGAGAACGAGTGTGCTTCAATCCTGAATTTGCACTTTGATGGCCCCTTGAGCTGGATCGGCGGCGACATGGAAAGCAGCGATTGCATCTTCCAAGGCGAAGCGGTGAGTAACGAGGGGCTTGAGGTTGATCAACCCCCCTGCTACGAGTCGAATGGCCTTCGGATACTGTAGTAGACAACGTCAGGGAATGAAAGCAGCTTCTCAGAACAGTCGCATACCTGGTTCGCGTATCTGTATTGGAATTGGAGGTCTATCTCGTTTGCACTAAGGTGCATGAAGGGGAACTAGAATCAAGCCATGCCAATTAACCGAATTTTCGGTGAAGAGTTCGGCTGGTACCCACCGTCAACTCGTTCTTCCCGACTCCAATTACGAAAACCTTTCCTCCAAACGCAGTGGACTAAAGGACAAAGTTTCATTCAGATGTTCAGATCGCGATGCAGTCGACGCGAAAGGTGTACCCACATATATACCTGTGTGGATGCTACTCTCCACCCCTGTGCACTCGAGGACCACTTTCACTGGCTCCTCTGCCACAGCCTTGATTTTCTCAGCCTGCTCTTTCGGAGTAGTTTTGGGATCAATCAAAACGGTTCGAACACTCGGAACGAGCTTCTTAGCAAAGTCCAAACGGCTCTGGAAGAGGTCAGTTATGACGATTGGCTCTGCACCAGCTGCTCTGGCGGATAGCAGGGATACAAGCCCAATCGGCCCCGCTCCACTGAAACCCAGGTAAGATATCCAAGGATGGAGGGGAGGGTTTCACGACCACACACCAAATAAGAGTGGGGTCACCAAGGCGTAGACCAGCCCGCTCGATACCGGCCAGAGCCACGGCGAGAGGTTCGCAAAGTGAACCTTCTTCGAAAGAAACATTGTCCGGCAGGCGGTGAACCCATTGGGCAGGGTGCAAGTGCCAGCGGGTCAGGGTCCCTGGATTCGAATGTCAAGCGCTAGTAAGTGAAGGGCTCTTTGCATCGCGAGGATGTGGCAACCGTACCGTGATACGGTGGTGTAGAGAAAAACACCACATCGGGACAAGCATTGTACCTCCCAGTCCTGCAAGCCTCGCAAGCGGGCTGGCTGCAAGGTACTCCCGCCTCGATGGCTACGCGATCGCCTGAGGATGGGCGTTAGGGTATCGACCATCATTTACGGTGCACATATTCACTTGCCTACTTTCCACTGTGTTACACCTTCTCCGACCTCTACAATCTCGCCCGCCGATTCATGGCCGCTACCGCACTAATGACCTTGGTTCAATAAAAGGAACGATGAACCCCACTTTGACTCGGTACCTCGTCGGTGACGACCATAGAATCGCCTATTCGACCATGTTTCCAGAAATGAACATCGCTCCTAAGGACTCGTCAGTAACCACAGAAGACAGCCAGGATGGACGATCCAACCCGCATATGCCGGTAGCGCGAACATGGAGCAAGACTTGGCCTGGACCTGGCTTGGGACGCGGTTTCTCAACCAGATGGACTTCATGAGCTGGATTGTAGAATGCAGCGATATTGGCATTTGGACCGGGCTTTTCTCCAGGCTTCAGGATTTTGAACTCTGGTGCATCCAGCACCTTGCGAGGGTCATAGATTTCGTGGTTGGAGATTGCGGCAGACATGGTACTTGGGGGGGCTGGGAGAAGATGGATACGAGGGAGATGTCAACTGAACCACGATTGGAAAGCGATAGCAAGAACTGAACAACGTTCACATGAGCGGCATCGCAGCGAGTCCATGTCGAGATGCCAGAGGTTGCCGTCGTAGAAACTCCGAAGTGGAAGCAAAAGAACGAAGTGTAATGTCAAAGAAAATAGGGGCCGTCCGTCCCGCGCGGCACGCTAAGTGCTATTAGACTTTACAACTTTGCATTGAGATGAAATATGACGTTTCCACGCTTTTAAAAAATATACAAAAGGCGATGGTTCCAGCTTCAGAACCTCCCTTAACCAGAGGCTCCAGGCCCACCCGTAAACCGTTTGAATGTGAATCTGCAAAGGCGAGTAAGTCCAGATTAGAACAATGGAGATGAACGGAATCTACGTACCCGAGGAAAGCAAGGTCCTTCTCCGCACTGACGCTCTCCACTTGGTCCAACTGGTTGGACACATTGCCAAGATCGTCGGTAGGGAAATATGAGGTATCCGTTATCGAGCTAAGACGGGGAACAAATGGTGGTTCGATGTAGCGGAGGGAGTTCCAATCGGCGCCGAAGAACCAGGGGTGGTTCTTGATCTGTTCCACAGTCAGTCGCTTGTCTGCCCAATTCATCATGCTGAGGACGAATAGCGTAAGATTCAGATGTCCCAAAAGGTAATATATAAGGCGAACATACCCTCTAATAAGGTCCTCCCCCTCCTTGGAGATGTATACCTCTTCTGGGAAGATGAGGTAACGTGGCCAGTCGATGATCTTCTTGTACGTATCCCCCGGGTTGTCCGAGCAGAAGGGCGCATAGCCAACCAAGCATTCGAAGAAAATGGCACCCAGTGACCACCAGTCGCACTCCTTTCCGTAGCCCTTCATCATGAACACTTCCGGAGCAATCTATTAAGGACATTTGAGCGGACAGTCCAAGGCTCCGAAGCAAGGAACTTACATAGTCGGGAGTTCCGACCGTCGAATACGCCTGTAAAGGTCGAGTTAACATAGGATATAGGTTAGACGAGAAGTGTATAACATACCAACTTCCGTCGATTAGCCTTCCAGGTCGCGATCTGTTCACGGCTCATGGTAAGGTTAATGGGGTTGACTTGAACACTGTTCCGCGAATTGTCCTTGGTCTTCTCTTGTTCCAGATACCGTTTGTAGATTTCTCCGTCGGTGGCCTTGTGGAGTCCAGTGGAGAGACCGAAATCCGACAACTTCAAGTGACCATTCCGGTCAATCAACACATTGTCCGGCTTGATGTCCCTAGTTCCTGTTTAGAGCTGCGGGGTGCTGAGGGATGGGAGATACGCACCGATGAATGTACCCCAAGTTGTGGACCGCTTCGATCGCCAGGATACATTCAGCCATGTAGAATCGGGTGACGTCTTCCGAGAACACGTCGTATTTCATCAACATGGTCATTAGATCGCCTCCAGGAAGGAACTCCATGATGAGATAGAGGTATAGCGGGTCTTGGAAGGAGTAGAAGAGCTGAACGACCCATGGTGAGGTGGACTCTGCCAGAACATCGCGTTCTGCCCGCACGTGGGCCAACTACGAATAGGTTCAGCGTATGGTGTGGGGTATTAGATGGGCGACACATACCTGATCCCGCTTTAACATCTCGGCCTTCTGCAAGCTCTTCATTGCGTAGACCTTTCCGGTGTCGACTTTCTGGACCAGGCGTACCTAATAGCGAACAATCAGGGACATGACCCCGAGTTCCAAACACCAGAAGCTATACCTCACCAAAGGCACCCTTCCCGATGACCTTGACAGTCTTGAAGTCTGACAGCTTGATCTTCGTTCTCCTGAGCCTCAGATGCTGCGACTCAGTCTTGGAGTATTTTCGAATTTCTCTATCCTTCGCATCTTGAGTATGCAATTGCGTGAGTCTCGTCTCCATCTCGATTCGCCTGGTGGTACGTGGAGCGGTATATCATGTCAGGACATCTCTGTTGCTCGATCGTTCGCATCGTCGTAGTTGCGGATTGCTGACCTTGCATTTCTTTCAATAGCAGAGTCGACTGCCATCTTGTAGTACGACTCAAGCTTCAGCTTTGCAGCCGTTGCACGCGCCACGGCATCTGAGCTGAACTTGGCTGTCGACCGTTCAAAGTAGACATCTACCGATGGAGACACGTTGGTGGCAGTTGTTACTAGCACGGAGAAGCTGGCTTACAGTCGTCTGGTCTTTGGATGGTTCCAGTGCGATCTCCTTGGCTGTTCATGGGTGATTTGGATGGGCCAGCAGTCGCCAGGTGTTGGTGCATAGACAAGAGTTACTGATTCGGTTGGGGCTTTGAAGGAAGTCGGGAACTAAAGCGGCCGTCGGTGGTCGTCGCGAACGATGGCCACGAGAATCTAGCTTTGCTGTCAGGTAGCGACGGTTGCCGACTGTCGGTTGGCGTTGTGCTACGAGGTTAAGTACTGAAACGGCATGTGCCTATCATCAGCGCCTCGCGGCACCGTTGCTACTTATACAGTAGCTCAGCGGACAGACCATCAAAACAGCTCAACATGTCATCAATTGCAAGTGACCACCGCTTGTGAACTTCACAATAAAATAGGGCATCCGAATTAGAAAGGCACTAAGTATCTATGTCCACCAGCAGCGTTCGTCTACCTATACCAATCCACTTTCTACCACCCCTGACTTACGCAGGATACTCGCCAAGACATTGTCGACGTCAGGCAGCGTGGCCTCTTTCCTGAACACCTCTAAATGCATCTCCCCTGAGCTCGAATGGTGCGCTTCGTCTTCAGGGGAATCATGAGTTGACAGTCCACGCCGAGATATGTGCCAATGTTGCGGGTTCTGTCCTCGAGAAAACACTTCTAGAATATTTGAATCCCTGAGAGACAGTTAGAACGGTATGATCACCCAGGAGCACCGGATCTAGTGCTTACCTTCGAAGCAAAGCCCTGCAGTTGTACAAGTGACTCGAGTTTGACGAGAATCCAGGGTTGGTAACAGTATATTGTCCCGTCGATATAGCGAATTGATCAGAAGGTTGTAGAATCTTGGTCACAGAGGGTAACGACTCGGCCAGTTTGCTCTCCGAAGCTCTCTGTATGTTTAGTTCAACGGTGTCGAAGAGCTCAATTGCATTCTCGGCTGCCAGTGACAGGACATCGTCCTCGCTCTCCCCCGAACCGTCCTGCCCTGTTTCATCTAGTCCGAGCAGGGCTAACATCATTCCGTTTCTCTGAAGTTTGTGTCAATAATCAGCCTCACCGACCGAGGGAACACACTCACGATGTGATAGTAAATGGTCCTCCTTCGGGTCAATGTAGGGTCGGAAGAAGATGCGAGATGGACCCTCAAAAGCGAGAACTCTGGAGGCGGGGGTGGCGTCGGGGGAGTGGGAGGACGATGTGGTGAAATGGTAGTATGCGATTGCGGAGAAGAGGATACAGCACCGAGAGAGCTGGGGTCCAAGAGGCTTTGGCCTGTGTCATCACGCGCCTCTGCTTCACCGCCCCCACTTTGGGAGGATGGAACTTGCTTGATGGTATTCGCGGCCGACTGTTGGCGAAGAGTCTTGGAGGAAATTGAGATACCATCCGACGACAGTGCGTCCTCCAACGCACTCGGATCTACTTCGACCTGCGTGTTACTCTCTTCACGTCGAGGATCTTCTTGCACTGATGCTACTGTTGATTCCGGGGTTGTTTCGCCTGGAGAAGAATCTTCCTCGTTAGCTTTGGCCTCCTCCTCCTGGGCGGGAGGACTGCTGGATTTGGATGAGTTTTTTCCAAAGGTCAGATAACCGGGCCAATTCCACTTCCGAACGTCCATTACATCCAAGATACCAGGGCCATTGTCAGTTGACTTGGAATCTGGATCGGAACCTCTGATAGTGTCAACCGACTCTGAAAGATTCTCTTCAACAGTAGGAGGCGTTGGAGGCGGGATGACAGAGAGTAGATGCTGCACGAGAGGGATAGGAAACCATTCCGCCGTGTACCGACTTGAGGGGATGATGTACGGATTGATAAACATGGCCGGGATGACATGCTCAGGCAGCAGTGAACAATAGCCATCGAGAAGCGGTATCAAGATCGAAAAATATGGGTGCAAAGGCGTGCCTGTGCAATTGTCGACCATGAGTTTCAAACGACAACACGAGGACGGCAGGCATACCGAGGGTGGTTAGGATGTCCGGCTTCTCTTCCAAATTCCATGACCAAGCCCACACCGTAAAGAATCGCTCCAATTGCAGTTCCAATGCTTCTTGTCCCAATTCAGCTAGGATGGATGCAAAGGATCCATGCAATAGCTTCAACACCCGCCCGCGTTAGCCGCAAGCACCGAACAATCCAAGGACACACACACCTTAAACTTCTCATATCCTTGCAACAGCTGCATCTGCAGCACAATATCATGGACTGTTCCGTCGTCATAGTCATATGCTGGGGCGGTCGCCTTGTTCGAGCTAGCCGTATCCTTGTCCTTCCCTTTAGACTTCTTGGATGCTGCCTCCTTGGATCTGGACGATTGCGATAGCCTCTTAGGTAGTTCAATGCTCTACACGTCCGAACAAAATCTTTCGTTGGCGAGCGAACCCGTGGAGTAAACACTGGGTAGAAGACTGACTGCGTTTATCCAGAAATTGGGCTCCGGAGATACCATCACCATCCTTCGAGATTGTGAATGGACAGTCTCGCAGTCATTGTGAGGGTCGAATAATCTGGATGTAAGGTTCGCTAAGCACGCAGATACGTTGCATTCAATAGAAACGAGGACACTAACTCGCTAAAGTTCACCAAAGCCTTGGCCAGTCCGATTTGCCTGAGCATACGGTCCCGCGAAACCGCTCGCTCCTTCGAGGTATAGAAGAGAATATGTGCCTGTTCTTCTGCATCCTCGTCGACTTCATCGCCCGGGACCTTTTCGGGGGAAAGTGTTGGATTGTAGATCGCCAGATAGAGGAGACATGGTGGAACTCGACTCATATCATCGTTGCAAGAATCAAATCTCTGTCGGCGCACTCGGCCCTGTCAATCCCCATTTCCCGCGCTAATCGACTGGCCAGGGGCTCCAGTCGAAAGTCACGCCGCAAAGTTCAGAAAGTCTGTACGTTAAATACTGGGCGCAAGTCGTGAAATCGCTAGGTACCGTGTTATATACTGCTGTTCATTATACATTCTAGATAGTAAGAGGTTCGTCAGGCTCGTTTAGTCACATCAGCTTCATCCTTAACATCATCGTCCAGCTCGATCCGCTGCACATTCTGGTCGTCAAACGGATTCAAATTCAAATCCGACGACTGCGACTCAGAATGCGAGGGCGACGCAAACCTGCTCCCCTTCTCCCAGCTCGGTGAATTCCTGCCACTGTCGACGAGTTCGTCCCAAAACGATTCCGCCCCGTCAGCTTCAGCTTCGTTAGAGGATGTTGGCGACGTTCTGCGGTATGAGGACATGTAGATTCCACTATCGTATGCGAACGATTCATGAACGTCCGGAATGACCAATGGATCAGATTGCGCGTCTTCAAAGGTGGGTGGGTCGTCATTGGGAGGGGATGGTCCAGAGGATGTGGGATTCGAACGGTTCCAATAGTCAGCAAATGGGAGCGTGGAAGAAGAAGGTGAGAACCTGTCCGAGGGCCCAATAAAAGTGGCATCTCCTTCACTTGGAGGAGTCGGTAACCCAGAGTCGTCCAGATTGATTTCGGTCGACTCCGAGTCGTCAAGCGAGGGTTCGACCTGTGGTTTCTTCTGCATGGCCCGCTGGTAGGTTTCACCCCCCAAGGGCTTGCTGGAGCGACGTCGATAAAAGAGGAGATAAGCATTGGAATTCTGTGAAAATAATGCTTCAACCGTTACTCTGAACGCAAAGGGGAAAACCTACCACAGACTCCTCCGCTGACGCTTGTTTCACATATCCGTCGTCAAAGTGGTACCACTTGCCCGTCAGGTGGTTGGAAGCATAGGCACGGTAATGTCCACCACCAAGTCCGCCCATGTGTTCATCCACGGCGAACAAATCATAAACGAGGGGCTCGTCGAGATTCACTGTCTTCAACTCTTCCAGCTCCACCCCTTGCTCCTTCAACCTCGTAGCCACTGCCCGTTCCCCAACCTTATCACCCAAATCCAGCCCTTCAACTGGAAAGTCGACAAAGGTATCGATCTTATCGCGGAGAATCCGGTTATTGCTGAAGCGCTTGAGATGTACGACCAGGATGTCCGGCGCTTTCCACAAATCGAATTTCTTGGTCGCCTGTTGATGCTTCTTGCACGATGGGCAATACCACAGATCATCCTCGCCCAACTGTTCCTCCTTAACAAACTCCTCCAAACAGTCTTGCAGAGTGATCCCCCTTCTTTGTTTCAATGAATCGGCCTTCTGGTTCGCCGCCAACTCTGGATGAACGAACTCTTCCCACTCACGCTCGTCCCATCGAGCATTCTCAAGCTTCGAATCTCCGAAATAGTAGGCCTTCATGTTCTCGTCGAACTCGGCGTACAAAGCGTCGTCTTGGCGGATCAGGAAAGGATCGATCCCTGTCTCTTGGTCTGCCAAGCGATGCTCCCATGTCGCCCATTCTTCTGTTCTGGAGTACGTGCCATAGCCGGCCCCATACTCCTTTTGATTCGTGTAAATCTTGAGGGTGAAGACGTCCTTCTTGGTACGGTAGGGCCTGGGTGTGCCAACTTCGAGTTCGACGTCGTCCGACGGGGCTTCTTCGTCGACAACCATATTCTTTTCGTCCACGATAACGCTTTCCTCGGCGGAGGGTTGGACGACGACCTCGCCCTCGGCAGTAGGGGTAATTTCTGTAACCGTCTCCAGAGGTGGGAAGCCAGGGACTGGGATAGAGACTTCACTGATGGGTTCGGACGATACCTCCCAATCGTACAAGTCCCGTGCATTCTTGGTCCAGCGCTGAAGGCGGGTAATAACCGCATCGTAAATTGCGTCGACGGTTGTGGCTTGGCCTCTGTCGACGACAACAATAGCTGGGTAACCAAACAAGGAAGGGCCCGAGCGGTATGTGAAGCCGCGGGTCGCTGTGGGCTTTGCATCGCAAAGGAAAAGTGGGAGGATGAAAGGATCGTCTTCCTTCTTCTTGTAGGTTCGGTTCATTCGGGCATTGCAGGGGAGTTCAAAGCACACAATGACGTCAGTCTCCGACATTTCATTCACGGGAAGACTGTCGTCAAGCAGCTTATAGAACTTGTGCTGGAAAATTTCGAGCATGAGGAGCTATATCAACCCATCAGTATCGAAATTATTGAGAGTATCGTTAGCACCCACATTCTCTGGAATTGCCCCGACCCAGCGCCCAAGGACATTCCGAAGGTCTCTGAAAGAAGAATCGCGGTTGATTTCAATGGGCACCTTGCCAGTGGTTAGCACAAGTGCAAAATTTCGAACGATATCCTTACCTTGACATGGGGTTTTTCTAAGTCCCAGGGGACATAGAAGATGGTGTGCTTCCACTTCTTTTGCACAGGCAGTGGAAGTGTTAGGTACATGAATGGGTCGAAGGTGATGGAAATCTGGAGCAGTGTTAGCTAGATGTTCATAAAGTGCAGACTATAAGCTTTACCTTCTCGCATTCAGGGCACACAAGGGTACTTTGATACTGGCCTTGGAAGAGGTCGACGATGACGCTATCATTTCGAAGCATGTATCCCTCCCAGGACTTGGCCGCTAGTTTCACCAGTTCTGCATCTCCGCCTCCCTCCCAGTCGGGTTTCTCAACGTAAGGCTTCTTGATGACGCGGTTCAAATCTTCGTGCAGTCCATCAAGTAAAAAGGCGACGAGTTCCTGGGAATCGTGCTGCTGGTAGCCACTGAACTGAGGGGCGAATCTTTGAAGGGTTTGCTTGAATTCTCGAGGGGAATAGCTCGTTGATGGACCGGAAGACGCCCAGATGCGCTCAAGCAGGGCGCCGAAAACTTCAGCGATTTGGCCCTGCATACCTAATGGATTGTCGCGGTTGAGTTCGGCTTTGAAGACCCCGTCTAGTCATAATTAGTTCACAGTCTATCTGAAGAACTGAGGAAATCGTACTCAGGAAATACTCGGTCAGCTCTTTCGTGTGGGCCAGGCATTGCAAGGCAGAGTTCATAAAACACGTATTTCCCCTAAAAGTAGGTCAGAACTGCACGAAAAGGGGTAGGTGCTACCCACATGTTACCAAGCCCCAGCGTTCCTGGCTCCAGCGTCTTCGTGAAACTTGATTTATTAATCGAGATGGTCGGCTTTGTGAATGCCGTAGAAAGTTCTGTGCTGGCCTTGGTAGTGGCGACTGTGGATGAGGATGTCCCAAGGCGATTAAAAAAGCTATTCTTCGAATCGAATAATGGTGGGGGCGGTTCTATAGCGGCCACAGGTTTTTTCGCTGCGGCTTGGGTGTCTATAAGCCACCCATCGGGCTGCTTGAACTCTACGATGAATGCGTCGCCGGACATGATATTCTGGTTTTCGAGAAGGTGAGGGCTCTCGTCTATCACTTTGGCATCAGCGTCCTCAAGAGAGGACGTTGGGAAGTCGATGCTTCGCCAGTCGTCCGGAACAGCGGTGGGTCTCCAGACGCGATATGGGGTATCGACCGTCGGATCGATCTTGACTGCATCGGCGACCCTGGTGCATAGATCCTTGAGCGTATCGCCCATGGAGACTTGGATGGTCGGATAATGGGGCCCAGCGGCAGCCTTTTCAGCGGAATCGCGAGATAGCCGGAAGACCTTGATCTCTGCGGGATATAGCTCGAGGACGGTCGTAGTCCCAAACATGCCTCGCTCGATAACTCGCCGAGGGATTGCGTGATTTGCAGGACCGTACCTGTTCAGATAAATGAATTCCACTCGCATGAGAGCAGAGGAAAAAAAGAGACGCACCAGGAATCGAAGTGGGACCAAACTTCTGCGGGGACGAACTCTACCTGGACACCTTCAACAACGCCTGGTGTGAGTCTACCGGAGGCATCGAGCAGAGGTGAATTGTCAACGGGTCCTACTTCGTTTTCCGGGACTGGAGCTTCTTTGTCTGAGAGGCCGCCGACAGCCCTGGCCCAGAGTTTCCACCATTCTCTGGACACCAGATACCAGGTCTCGCCTGCGGTCATTGGTTTATTCTTTGCCCTATCCACCAATTGCCACTTCTCCGATGCCGATAACGACCATTCGTCCGAGGTAGACATCGTCGACTGTGTGGCGCCTTCGGGCGGAGGTGTCAAAGAAAGAGTTTGTGGAATATCGGCCTCTCCCTGCTCCGCCATGTATGCATCAATGTCCTGGTTCGAGTCTGCGATTGTCAGACTGGACATCTGGTCTGAGCGAACCGATTCGAGGGAATTTCCTTCGGAAACCGAACGCTTAACGGAGGCGGTGGAAGTGTCTGACTGCATCGAGCGGCTACGCTGTCTTTTGCGGTTTGAGTTGAGTTGGGCGGTCGAATCTGATGGCGTCAGCGATGGCGAACTCGCGGGCGACGGCAAAGAGGTCATCGTCGAGGTTTTCTAAGAAAACCCGAGCTTGTATGGTGGATGGAATATATAATAACCACAAAGCTGAATCGATTTCAATTTGGAAAGGTAATCAATCTCAGACGCGTCACGTCTTCAGATCACGCCCACGCTCTTCTTGCACTATTGCCACCATTACAATGGACGTCCAAAGTAGGCCCTAGGCTCCTTGGCCGTTCACAGCGACTCACATCTTCCAGGCAAACATCTTTTGAATTCTCCAGATACCCTTGTGGTCGATTCTCTAAAGGGCTTGTGTGACCTGAGCCCACAGCTTGCGCTTGATGTCGACAATAAGAGTAGGTGCCATCATCCAGACCTTTGTTGAAATCCCTTTCAACGATGTAACGGCATAGTTGTCTATCTGAAAGACCGCGATCGTGCCAAGGTCGCCCTCGTGTGCGGCGGGGGATCAGGCCACGAGCCTGCACACTCTGGCTTTGTCGGTGAGCATTGGTTTCCAACCACCTTGGAGCAATGCTTTGACCAGGACCTCCTGATAGGCGAGGGGATGCTCACTGGTAATTTGTCTGTGCAATGGCTTCATATTCCCAGCTCTGAATACTCATAGCTGCTGTCTGCGGGAGCATCTTTGCGTCACCCAATGCCTCCCAAGTCCGTCGAGGGATTGACCTGGTCGACAATGAACAGGGGTAGGGTCCACTTGTCCCAGTATCAAACCCACGCTTATAGCGGGTTCTGCCACACAGAACCGTGATCATTGTCAAGTAAGGAGGGCATTCAGATCTCCGTCCTTTTTCTTATCCCCGTTCCCAGAAACTATACAGGAGATATCCTCAACTTTGGGCTCGCGAAAGAGCAGTACGCAGCCAGTCACCCGGACAAGTCTGACAAGGTTCGCTTTGTCATTGTGGGGGACGATGTTGCAGTTGGCAAGACGCAAGGAAAGATCGTTGGACGGAGGTGGGGCGTTTGGCGCATTCGACGTGATGTCATGCCATGAATTTTGACTCTTTCCACAGAGGATTAGCAGGCACAGTGTTAGTTTACAAGATCGCAGGTGCCTTGGCTCAGAAAGGTGCCAGCCTCGATGAGGTTCATCAATTGGCTGAATGGGTCGCCTCCAATGTCGTGACCATTGGCGCAAGTCTAGGACATGTCCACGTACGTCAAGCTGTTCATGCTACACGTCGCCCTATATCTAATCGACATCCATAGGTTCCGGGGACCGCTCCATTGAAATCAAACCTTGCGGGCACAGAACTTGAGATTGGCATGGGCATTCACAACGAGGCTGGGAATAGCAAAGAATCCCCGCTTCCACCGCTTTCAAGCCTGATCGGCAAACTGCTCGACTTTCTCACATCAAACAAGGACCCAGAACGATCCTTCTTGGAGTTCAAGAAGGGGGACAATGTTGTCGTACTGGTTAACAACCTCGGTGGGATCAGTGAACTCGAGCTTACGGGAATAGTCGCGGAGACTCGAAAGCAATTGGTCAACAGGGGCTATGCGATTGCAAGGATCCTGTCCGGGACGTTCATGGTAAGGTAGTCTATCGGTCACCTGCTACGAGCCAGTCTGACGCCGCGTTCAGACAAGCTTGAATATGCCTGGTTTCTCTTTGACACTGTTGTTACTTCCCAGAAGTGACGTTCACTCGCCTTCAGCAGAGAAGGTTCTGTCCCTGTTGGACTCAAAGCCTAACGTCCCGGGATGGCGTTGGTCTTCGGGAACTGCCCCTGCTCCACCGACTTCACAAGAAGTCAAAGGCGTAGAAGCTGTCGTATCTTATGACCATGTCGTCCAGTTCAGAGCGGCGGACCCGAATGCATTTGTCTCAGGCATCCGCAATGCAGTGCAGAGTTTGATATCCGCCGAACCCGAGATCACAAGGATGGATTCCATTGCAGGTGATGGTGATTGTGGTCTTACGTTGAAGGTATGCCCCCCTCTCCCTTGAGAGCGATAGATCCAGGTTCTAACAGGACTTCCATTCCAGGCGGGCGCTCAGGGTAAGATGCTTCTTCAATCACACGCGTCTGAAAGTCTAATTGATGGTGGTTCTCCTGACTGTTAATAGCCGTCCTCAAGAAGATTGACGATGGTATTATCAATGGAAACAACATCGTCTCCTCCCTTATCGCTATCGCTCAGGTGTCAGAGGAAGTAATGGGCGGAACTAGTGGGGCGCTCTACTCGTAAGTCAGATTCTGACTCCGTTCAGGGGTCTGGGTTATGATACAGTGAAACGGGGACATCATCTCACAATGGATCCAACGACAACCAGGATCTTCTTCTCCGGCCTCGCACAAAGTTTCCAGTCCCAATCTATTCCTTCGGGGTCCACTGTCACTCACTATCAATGGAAAACCGCGCTTTCCCAAGCCTTGGACAAACTGTACAGCTATACCCGCGCTCGACCTCCTTCACGAACGCTGGTCGACCCTCTGGCAGCGTTTATCAACGCACTCCGAGATGGAACAAAGTCAAGCTCTGACAATCATGTTTTCTCGGAGGCTGTGGCTCAGGCGGCACAGGCGGCAGAAGGGACGAAGGATCTAGAGGCTAAAGCTGGACGCAGCGCGTATGTTGAAGGTGAAACACTCAGGGAAAAGCAAGTCCCGGATCCGGGTGCATGGGGTGTAAAACTCATCCTCGAGAACCTGGGTTTGTAACATATCCATTCTTATGCTCCTCCTTGTGTTTTCTCCTCGCAAATACCTTCGTCAGGTTCCTTTCGGAGCACGACCAGCCATCTTCACTTCCGCTTTCGTTTTTTTCCATTTGACGTGCATTCCACGCGGTTCTGTTCTAGTTCTGTTCCTGTTGAACTCGGAATAAACTTCCCCCTTCGTTTTCTTATCTTCGGTGGACACTCCTCTCTGGGGCTGACGAAACACAGGAGAGGTGTAGGGTCCCCCTTTCGACGCGTTTGTACTTCTATGACTATCTGACTTCCAGGTGGCTCCATGCTTATGTGGGTTCAGTGAAAATGTCAAAGGTTCCTTGTAAAAGATGATATCACGAAATACTTGTTACATTTCGGGGCTTAGATCTATCATCGACAGTCTCCCAGTCCCGGCACTCTGACGATTATTTGATGACTTGTACTTACTCTCTTACCCCGCTCTTTGGAGACCTACATAAAGTAAGCACTGACTCCAGAAGATTGAGCTTGAATGCAAAGCGGATCATTCATTCAACTCCACCTCAAATGCAGGGCTAGTTTGACTGTGAGCCAGCGACAAAACGTCTGCTACTAGGCTGGGCCAACGTCATGTGGCCTACATTTACATAGGAAATTGGATCGGCTGATGCAGGTTGTTGTCGTTGTATGTGGTTCGCATGTGGATGCAGTGGGGCGTGGTCAAGATCCCTATCCCGGAGTTGTTCGAACGGCGATTCATCGCAAGCTTCAATTCAATGCACACAAGCGCTGTCTTGATGTCAAGTTATTGGGGGTCCCCACTGTCCATCTCTCATGCCCATGGCAACTGTCCAATAACCTTTCCGCATAGCAGCGAGGATCGAAGCTTGAGAGTGAAATAAATGCAATTATAATCATACATGCGTCCCATTACATGTCGTAAAGGCGTGAGAATGTGAAAATAGGAGTAAAGTACACGAAAGTAGGTCAAGTGTGCGTCGAATATGGTATGCACTGCACAAAGCCCTTTCAGAGGATTCAAGCCTTCTCATTAGCCGAGATCTCCTCCTTTTGATCAGGTGTGGAGGAAATGTCAGCACCACCGTCAGCAATAAGTCGGCGGCGGTAGACGTGCGATTGCCATGGGTAGACGTTCTGGTACATGTGGTCGATTTGCTCGAGGGAAAGTCCCTTGGTCTGAGAAAAAGGAAAAGCGCGATCAGAATCAAAGTATCAAAGACAGTGAGAAAAGGTGAAACTTACCTCGGGCACGCAGAAGTAGGTGAAGATGAGGCAGCATGCACAAGTGGATCCCCAGATGAAAAACACCTTGACTTCCAAGCCGGCGGAGCCAGGCTCGTTGTTGACGAGGTAGGGAGCTAGGGACATCGTTAGATCATAGTCGTAGCCTCAACGAGTAGAAGCAAACATACTGGCATAACCAATACCGAAGTTCCAGAGCCAGTTGCTGGCAACAGAGAGAGACATGGCCTTGGCACGGACTTGGAGGGGGAAGATTTCACCGGTAATGACCCAGGCGACAGGTCCCCAAGTGGAGGCGAAGAAGGCAATGTAAATGCAGACGAAAGCGATGAGGACCTTCTGACCGGCAAGGTTGGTATCGGAGACGGTGACACCGACGATGGCGACAATGAACTCGCAGATGGCCATACCGGCAGCACCCCAGAGGAGCAGGGATCGACGACCGAATCGCTCAACACCCCACATGCCCGGAAGAGTCATGAAGACGTTGACAATGTTGGTGGCGATGGTGATCAAGAAGGGATTGTCGATACCAGCACGCTGGAAGAAGGTGGTTCCGTAGTAGAAGATGAAGTTGACTGGGGATCGGGCATCAGCATGGGTTGGTAAACGTAAAATGTCGCTCGATACTCACTTCCGGTCAATTGTTGCCAAGCTTGGATGAAGATACCAGTCAAAGTTCTCCATGCGATCTTGTTGTTGTTGAACTTGAAGCAGTCGAGGTAGGTGCTCTCATCCATGACACGCTCAGCATCCAAGTTGTCCTGGATTTCAGCAAGCTCGCTCTGAACGGCAGGATCATCGGCGGGAAGACCAGTGAGGCGCGAAAGGGCGGCGGCGGCATGCTCAGTGCGACCACGCTTGATGAGCCATCGAGGAGACTAGCAGCACGCGCGTTAGGTCATGGTTACTGTCAAAGACAAATGAAATGGACAAACCTCGGGCAGAAGAGCCATTCCACCGGCAAGGATAGCAGCCCAGGCGAATTGAATGGCAATGGGGATGTGGTAAGACTTGGCGCCGCTGTAGTCCTTAGTGCCATAGTTGACACATGCGGCAAGGAAGAGACCGATGGTAATGGCCCACTGGTAGGTGGAGACGACAGCACCTCGAATCCACTTGGGCGAGCTACAAAGGCGAGGTTGAGCAACTGATAAGGATCGAGCGAGTTGAAGAGCACATACCACTCAGATTGGTACATCGGGATTAGGACGGACACGAGGCCGACACCGAGACCAGCGAAGACACGACCGACGACGAAGAGGGGAACATCCTTGGCACCGGTTTGCATGGCAATACCGACGGAGAAGACCAAGCAGGCAACGACAACGCCCCATTTACGACCGAGGTGATCTGAAGAGGGCCAGAGTTGAGATTGTTACCGAAAAGGCGGGTGGGGAAAAACTTACCAGCAGTGGGGGCACCGAGGAGGGCGCCGAAGAAGGTACCAGCAGAAAGGATAGAGACGACGAGGGATTCGGTAGACGAGGAGATGTTGTATCCAGAAGGGTGGGTAGGATCGGGGTTACCGAACTGCCTCAACCACTCGTTCATCTCCTTGATACCGCTGATGACACCGGTATCGTATCCGAACAAGATACCGCCAAAGGCACTAAAGGCTATAGAACGACATCGGTAAGGCAGACTCGGGCGGGAGGTGACATCGAAAATTTACCAGTCATGAGAATGCCCGCCCATTTGTTCTGTTGGAGTCGCTGTCGTCAGCGTCGTCGACGGCGATGAGGAGGAGGTGGGTACTGACCTTGGGGGCATTGGCACCAATACCGCCGCCATCTGCTGATGGACCACCTGCCATGTCGATTCAGTGAGGAAAAGGATTTGTCGACGGAGAGGGTGAGTGTGGGGAGGTAGAGAGCTACAATCCATTCCAACTGAAAAGGCGGAGATTTTATAGTTTCGGTCGGTTGGCGGAATGTCCAATGTGCACATGGAGAGGAAGAACACATTTGGCCGGTGATCCCCTCCAAATCTGATCCCATCGCCGCATTTGGAAGCGCCATGCTTCTTTCTTCTGCTCCACATCAACATTCCCCAAGGGTCTACATCCGCGCTCTTCTCGCAATTCAGCATTCTGGAATGTCGCCGAAAGAATCATGTGCCTCCTTTTCCTCGATTTCCGATCTCGTTTTCCCTCCCTCTGAGTCTTTTTGTCCGAGGGCTCCGTCGAGGCGAACAACCATGCGACGGGCGCTTCTCCACGAAATGGAATGCAAACGACGTAATGTCTACTTCAAGTCCTGCTGTCTTGTTTGTTGCCTTTGGGTTTGATGTCAGACTACATTTTCCTTGCCGGTCATCTCGCTCGAAGCTCAGCTTCGGCTTGATTCAGGTACGATGGGAATTTCCTGCCAACCACACATGATTACGCCCCAGGCCTGGAGGCGCCTGGGGAGACTTGAATTGGCGCCCCATGTGGAGACATGAGGGGCTGGAGAACCGGACAGATCTACTGTTCTAGGCAATGGGCGTTCGGTCCAGGGGAATGGGCGTAACCTTCTTTAACGTTGATTGTGATGAATATGGACAGGATAGGACAGGGTGTAACTTTCAAAGCCGAAACAATAGCCTCTCTACCCACGGCTATCCTGTCTGATGATTCTGGACTGTTTTAAGAAACACCAAAAATAGCATCTCATGCTGAAGAACTGAGGAGGTTTGCCAAAACCAGTTGGACGGCAGAGTGATCGATATCCCTCGTTACGAATGCCTCCATGTTTGCCTCGGCCGTTGCGTTCACCAGAATATTCCTGGGGAAACAAATCAGCTATCGTCCGTAACACATTCTCAACCCCAGATACCCCACGTCCCCAGAGCTCCCCAGACCACCAATTCACATCTTTCCCTCTTTTTTTTCCATTCGATGAACATCCTCGGAAAACAGCCCTGTAACGGTGGATGGAGATATCCCATTGGTTGCATCAATCGATCAGTACTGGGCGAAGGCCGAGAGCGACACGATCATGACGCATTATTTTCCTTCAAAGGAAAACTTTTAGGCAGATAAAGTTGGACAGGAGCCGGGTGCAGTGGTCGCCGAAACCTATGCCAAATACTTGTGCCAAGCGTTTAGGCGGCTGAGGGCGGCTATCGCACGACTGCTGCCCATGAAAAGCGCGGCAAAGGAGTGCAAAGCTGGGCAGAGCCCACCAATTGAAAAAAAGATACTTCAAAAAAAACGGAACGGTGTGAAAGGGGCCTAGACGAAAACAAATCTCGCCATCAGCAAGCAAGCGAAAGGAATTACATCGATGGGACCATATGGAAGCACAAGCGGCTGGGAACGGCGGTGAGTTTCATGCGACACAACCATCTACACCGAAGGCGGGGTGGGCCCAGTAATCTGGAAAACGTCAACCTGTTGATTTCGGCTGGACAGTTGCTGGACAGTATGAGAAAGGAGAATCTCTCAGAAGCACGACAAATAACAACGATATCAATCTCAGGCCCTGGCGAGAATGCGAATTCTTGAACGACGTCCGAACCTGCGTCGGAGGATGAACCGAAACCCCTGGGTATTCGTAATAGTGAAAGACTGAAAAGCCCAGAGAGACACTTCACTGGGCGCTCAGTTTTCAGGCCGACCACTGGTGCCACTGGCCGATCTGTGGAAATGTCGTCAGCAGTGGAGACCGACGAGTAAATTGCGATAAGAGCGAGGTACAGTTTGGAGTACCATTTCAGGATATACCAATGCTTAAGTCTGATGGACATGATGGGAGGTGCAATGAAATTTTGGTGCCATGGATCCGGACCGATCGAGAAAACCAAGAGTATGATGTAGCGAGGCGTAAAGGGGTGCAGACTCGCTTGGAAGCCTTCCCGGACCTTGCGACCTCAGCTTCAGAAGTTATAGAATTAGCACAGCCAGCGGTAATACGAGAACCTACTTGGACCTACAGCAAGGTCATGAGGCCATCAGCCGTCTAAGGACCCCCAAATATCGCGCTTAAGGTCGGAAGAGAATCCGGACAGAAAAACTGGGTTTTGGCCACCGGCCGGATGCGAAATCCGGACAGGAAGAGGCCAAAATATCGCGGAAGGCCAGATAAAATCCGGACAAAAGTCCAACAAAAATGCCATTTTCTGGCCCCCGACCCCGGAAAAAAGGGCCCGCGTGGGAAAGTATTCCCTGATCCGGCCAGAGAAGAGCGATTTTAGGGCTCGAGGATGGTGAATTTCCCGGACAAAAAATCCAAAATTTGACCATCTGGTTCCGGACGGCCAGCCCAGAATCCCATCCGGCCTTGAGGGGGATATTTGGGGGTCCTGCCGTCTACCAAGCTGTCGAAGAAGGCAAATGTCGAAAAAGAAGCAGAGTTACCGGGAAATAGAGATTTTCCGTTGAACAGGGACGGCACCAGTGCCCACCCTCGAGGCAGAAGCGATCCTCGAAAGCCTTCGAAAGAAGCGGAGAGAGGCTCGATCGATTAGCTTCTCGTTCATTGCATCACAAGCCGAGGCAACATTACTCGACAACTAGATTAAATCCGGGTGAATGAGGGGCAATGACATCGGATGAGAAAGAAACGGCACGTCCAAAGAATAGTGCTGAGCAGGAGCGGAGTACCTCTTCGTCCGACCATGACCCGTTCAATATACATCAAGCCCTGACCAACGCCCATCGAATTCACTCTGGCCTTACCCGGATCTTAAGGAGGCGACGCAATCTTTCTACTGTCCCTTTGTCGTGACTGATAGTCCTCCGAGCTAATCCTGGATCCCAGAAGCGTATCGAACAGATAAGATAGCCATCTTGTTTATTCCGTACATGACGGTTCACAGCTCGCAGGATCCGAAGAAGGAACCGAGGCCACAGTGTCACACCGCACAGATCGAGGTTATACCAGTATCCAGTTGGTATCCAGCTGCCAAGAGTCGGGAAAAATGAGGAGTGTGGAGAAGGAGTGGAGAAGGAGGCTTTGGAAGAGGGGAAGGGAGCCTGGCAGTAACGGATAGTCACCAGCCTCAGCCTGTTGACCGGGAGCCATGGTAAAGAGCACGAGATGATGCTTGACAAGTTCAGCTACGGTTTGATTCTTGAAACGCATCGCGAAGATTCGCAGCAGAGGGTAGGTACCTGTGGTCGGTGTTGAAAACGATTTTGAACCCGCAACCGCGCCAGGAAAGAATTGAATAGGTAACGAGGTCCCACGACCACGCGCCAGCCAATCAGCAAAGGGGAAATCCGAATCGAAATTTACGACTTCGTTCTACGAGTCACCGTCATCGTCAAAGTCGGCGGCCAGTTGCTTTTTTGCTCATCTTCCTACCCTCACGACCTTTCTAAAAATACGCCATGGGTCAAACCGTGTCGTCACCAGCAGTCCCCTCAAAACCGGCGGCACCCGCTAAATGCCCCATCGAACACGACAAACCGGCGGCAGCTCCAGAACCAGCCAAATGCCCTGTTGACCATGGCAAAAAGAAGGATGAAGCACCAGCCAAGTGTCCTGTGGATCATGATGGCGCTGCTATAAACCCGAATAACCAAATGCCTGACCTCTCCCAAAATCCCGCGCCTCAGCAGACTATTGACCTTCCGACGAGCCGGACAGAATCGTCCATACCAAGGGGTGACAATGAGGGTAACTGGGAATACCCTTCGCCGCAACAGTTCTATAACGCCTTGGTGAGGAAGGGATGGGAGACTCCGGAAGAACATATCGAGACAATGGTTCATATTCACAACTTCCTCAACGAGGAAGCATGGGAGGAAGTCAAGAAATGGGAACGGAGACGGCCTGAGTAAGTTGGGATTTGTTTGGTTCCGATTCTTTACACTCGTCTGACGCTCTTCACTCCCTGACAGTAGTGGAGACGATATCCAACTAACACGACTAAGAGGACGACCTGGCGAATTGTCACCAAAAGCTCGGTTCTGGATGTTGGCTGGCTGGCTATTGCCATCTCGATTCAAGTATGTCCTCCTCGTATCAAGTCTAGCAGTCACTGATCATGAATACTTGTCGCCAGCACTGAGCCTCCATTCGACCGCCACGACTGGGTCATTCGTAGACCCAAGACTGGAGAAGAAGTCCGCTATGTCATTGACTACTACTCTGCACCACCCGAGCCAGATGGGTCTCCGGTGTTTTCTTTGGATGTTCGGCCAGCGCTGGACAGCTTGGGGAGCGTAAAGGACCGCATCTGTGTGGCCACCGAAGAAGTTTGGGCAGATTTCCGGAAAAAGAACCAGTCTGGAGGCGGGAACGACAACCGCTCTTAACCCCCTCCATGCGTACAACACACTCATCTATCACCGTCGACTTCCTGCTCTCGACTTATGCTTTCGTGATCTGTCGGAAACGCGGATTAACAATTGTTGATTACCACAGGCTTATGGACAGGAAGCAATCTCTGGCCCATCACCTATATCCCACCTCACTAGACTGTACTTTAGATGCGTATAATACATGAATTTGAAGCACCCCGTCGTCGGCTGTGTCTGAAAAGCTCCCTCGCATCCGTCCGACTTCAAGAAATTCCGGCAAATTCAAGCGATCACGTGCCGAAATTTTGCGAAACGCTGGCTCTGGCAAGTGACGCAGCGCTTTCCTCTCTAGTTCTGTCAAGTCCCTCTTCGCTGTCGCCCTCGTTTCCCTTCGCCTAGCAGAACCAAAAAGCCATGCTTCCTCGACACCTCCAGAGTCTGGCCGCGCGCACTGCTCTTCGACAGCGAGCAGTAGCAGCGTCGACCCGGCGAGCGGCTCTCCCATACCCTCCGGCGTTCCGGATACCTCAGACGTGTGTATCCTCTGCTGGCTTCCACACCTCATCGCGTCGCCAAAGCGAAGCTCCAAAATCCCCGTTCCAAACTTTCGTCGAGGTTCTGCGAGATGAGTTGAAGAAAAACAGGGAGCTCCAGGACAATGTCAAGCAGCTGCAGGGCGACGTGGAGAAGTTCCAGGATTCCGAAGCGATGAGGAAGGCCCGGGAGGCTTATGAGCGAGCCAGGGTATGTGTACTGGACCTATTGTCATTGCCTTGTATGCTGATTGTTGTCTATAGCTGACCTCGAGTATCAAAGAAAACCCGAAACTTCGAGCGGCTGCTGAGGAGTTGAAGAAGGCCGGTATCAAGGTCGGAGATGCTGTGGGCGAAGCTTTGAAGACTATGGAGGAGAGCGAAATCATGCGCACCGTATGTACAGTGTCCGCATCCATTCGTTGATGAAACCTAATGGTTTGACCAGATTTCGCGTGCCACCGCTGCCGTGTCAACGACCATTGACAAGTCCACTGAGCCAATACGAAAGACCGCCGCTTACAAGGCTCTTTCTGACACTCTTATTGATGCTCTGGACGACAGTGGTAGTGCGAAGCATGCTGGTTTCGAAGAACGAGAAGCTCGGCGTCTACGTCGCCAGAAGCGCTTGGAGAAAGCCGGTCTTGCCCGTGGACGTTCTGGGTTCACACCCGCCAATCCAGAGTGCGTGTCTCATTTGAACAGTTCTACTGACCATCGTCTGAACTGATTTATTTCAGGGCCGGTTCATCTCTTGTCGTCCACAAGGATTCTCCTCGTCAGGAAGCATGGAACAAGCTGAAGGAGACGAACCCCATCCTCCGCTCGTTCGTTCAGATGCGACAAGCATACGATGAATCCGAACACCCTGTCGTTTCCAGTATGCGATCGGTGACGGAGACCATCGGGTCTTGGTTTGACGAAAACGAGACGGCGCAAGTTACGCGACTCATGAAGGCTATGGACCCGACCTTCAACCGGGAAAGCTTCGAACGGGAGCTTCGGGAATACATTGTTCCTGAAGTAGTCGATGCATATTTGTCTGCTGACCAGGAGGCTTTGAGACAGTGGTGTGGTGAAGCGGTAAGTACACTGTCGTGATTTTTTTGTTCTGAGCTTATGTTCATTTTCAAATAGACTTACAACGTTCTCTGGGCAACTATGGAGCAATATCTCAAGCAAGGCTTCATCAGCGACAGCAAGGTTTTGGATATCCGACAAGTTGACGTGGGTAGTGTTCGCTTTGACGGTGGTGAATGGATGGTACTAACAATTGGGATAGGTAATGGATGCTAAAATCTTAGAGAACGACGTCCCTGTCTTCATTGTCAGCTTCGCCACCCAAGAAATGCTGCTCTTCCGAAACGCCAAGTCTGGCGAGATTGTTGTCGGTGCTGAGGATCGTGTGGAGCAGTGTACATATGTTGCTGTCATCACCCGTATCCCTGAGGAACTCGAGAACGAGCTCACTGCTGGATGGAAGGTCATGGAGGTAAGGTCTAGGCATATCTTTGCACAGGTCCACGATACTGATTCTCGCCTTTCTAGATGGGACGGAGAAGTGCACGAGCATATCTCTAAAAGTAGACAGACTATATCTTATCACGGTTATTGGTGCGACGGAACCCTCCCCCATAATCACTACTCATTCATTAGATTAAACTATCTTGGTCCATTAATTCGTACAATTTATACGTTGGTTGCAGAGATTGAGGCGAGGTTTTCGGAGTCGAGGGCCAAAGTAGCGCGTTTCGCGATCACGTGTTGGAATCTTGGCGTGTCATTCCCACGATGGGCCATTGATGGTCGTGTTTGAACCGGGCGCGCTGGTCAGTCAACCCACGACAATGTCCAGCCGCAAAGCAATGTCTGGTCTCGGGTCAGTCAAGCGCGACTGGTCCCAGTCATCTCTGCCTGCATCGTCCCAGGAAGTCCCCATTCCCTGGGAGCCGTCGCCGCCTCGACAACAACCACAGAAACGCCCCATGACCGACGCTGAAAAACGTCTCGCAAACATCCAAGCCGCCTTGCAATCAGTCCAGAGTAACAAGCCACCTGCACCTTTGCAGACATCTGAAGCCGCTAACAGGCGACCCAAACGCCCCAGTCTCGAAGATGCCGACGCCCCACCCTCGAAGAAGAGGCAACTACCTGCCAGTTGGGCCCAGAGCAATTCAGGTTTTGGCAAGGACTCGATTGCTGCTCCCCAGACGAGTGGCAGGAGCAGTAAACCGCCGTCCTCAAAGGGTCGTGTGATTACCCCCTCGTCATCGGGTAGCTCTATCTTCAACAACAACTCCAAGAAGGGCGTGGCAGCTGTGTTTTTGAGTCAGGAGCAGCTGCACATCTTGAAACTCGTTCAAGAAGGGCATAGCGTTTTCTACACCGGTAGTGCCGGTGAGTGGCTCTATGCAGATCATTGTGTTGAGACTGACTGCTGTTGTTAGGAACCGGAAAGTCGGTTTTGTTGCGCGAAATCATCAAAGTTTTAAATGACAAGTACAAGCGCGGGTCTGGTGCTGTGGCCATCACAGCATCGACAGGTGAGTGCCCCATTGCTATGCGCGCAAAAAAGCGCTCTAACACATCTCGCCCATAGGTATCGCTGCCTGCAACATTGGTGGCACCACCATTCATTCCTTCGCCGGTATTGGTCTTGGAATTGAGCCCGCCGAGCAACTCGCCACGAAGATCAGGAGGACGAACAGGAAGGCTTTTACGCGTTGGACACGGACCAAGGTGTTAATCATCGATGAAAGTGGGTCCTTTCCACTTCCGAGCGCATACAGCCTGGTTAAGCCCTTCGCATAGTTTCCATGGTCGAGGGCGACCTCTTCGACAAGTTGGCAAAGATCGGATCGATACTGAGGGGCAAACCCGAGCCATTTGGTGGGATACAGGTATGTTTCGCCAGTCCCATGTATTTTATCGCCCTGCCCATGTCTCTTCAGGTCATCGTCACAGGCGATTTCTTCCAACTTCCTCCCGTTACCAAGTCGAGCAGCGTGAAGTTTGCTTTCGAGGCGGAGACTTGGTCTACGACGCTGAAGCACACATTCAATCTCACCAAAGTCTTCCGTCAGCGAGATCAGAGTGCGTCTTCCATGACTTGCCCCATTTACCACTTGTTAATTGCTTCTATTCCAGCTTTTGTGGACATGCTTAACGAAATGAGATTCGGAACTCTATCTCAGAAATCCATTGCCAAGTTCTACCAACTGGCCAGGCCCCTCCACTTTGAGGACGGTGTAGAATCGACTGAATTGTAAGTCGATTTGATTTTCGTTGGTCCACCTTTCTGATGTTGGTTCGCTTTCCAGGTTCCCCATTCGGGATCAGGTAGACGCTTCCAATCACACCCGGATGTCTCGTCTTCAAACAGAGGAAGAAGTTTACCGGGCGCACGACAGCGGCACCATGCCGATGGGGAGTTCGCGAACTAAGTTGCTGGCTTCCTTCATGGTGCCCGGCGAGATGCGCTTGCGCATCGGCGCTCAAGTCATGTTGGTTAAGAATTACGATGAAATCTTGGTGAACGGCACTCTCGGGAAGGTGGTGGACTTCGTCGATCCCGACAAATTGGGCGATGAACTGGCCAGCTACACTATCCTTGGAGGCACAAGTACCAGCCCGACTGGTACTTTGACCGTGAAGAAAATGCTGGGAGCCAAGCGCTACCCGGTAGTTGATTTCTACACCCCCAAGATCACTCGTCGCCGGGTCCTGGTTCTTCAAGATTCGTGGAAGTCGGAATTGCCCACCGGTGAAGTCCAACTTTCCCGGGTGCAGGTACGTTCTCAATGAAGCTTTCGCCGTTTGTATGGCTTTCTCAATGTCCGTTCCAGCTGCCACTTATTCTTGCATGGGCAATGAGCATTCACAAGTCGCAGGGACAAACCCTTGAGCGTGTCAAGGTCGACTTGGACAAGGTCTTCGAAAAAGGCGAGTTGTAATGGCCTTGTAATGAACTGGATTTCTAACTGTTGTACACGCAGGCCAAGCCTACGTTGCCTTGTCACGAGCCACTTCGCTAGAAGGTCTCCAAGTCATCAACTTCCGCCCGGAAAAGGTTTGTTGCTCGTTATCTGCATACCGTTCTTATCTCACTCTTGACTTCCTTCAGGTTCAAGCCCACTCCAAGGTCCTTGCATGGAGCAAGACCCTTAAGACAGTCACGGACACTCAGAACACCCCGTAGATCGTATATTCTATTCCTGCCTCCCCCATACCTTGCACATTACCTTTTCTACTGTAGACATGTATCATAGTTTTACTTCACATCGCACATATTGTTGGTGGCTGTAATCTACTTGGTTTCAGTCCAAAATGGAGAAACCTAATTGAAGGATAAAGCAGCCGTGCGGAACGTTACGCTGGAGAACTTGGAAAGCGCTGTACGATCGTTGACAGCTGTCCGGTTACGGAAGCTGGAACAATGCCCGTCAGGCACCACAGGCTGTCGCGGCCATCGACTATTTCGGGGCCAATCATTTTGCAAAGAATACCCTCCTGGAGAGCCTTCAGCGCGACGAAAAATTCCACGAGAGCTGCGACACATTGCCGAAGCTGTACCTCCGGGAACGAGTGGAAGTAGACGACCCGGGGAGCCCAACAGTGGTTGTCGGAATGCTCGGACATTAACGTCACCAATTGGAATCACACTCACGAGAGTCCTCGTATAGAACCATCGTTTCGCGGTCGAGCTTCTGCGATATCGAAGACCTGACGTCTCAAGATCTCAGGTACAATGAGGCTGGAGGGGCCCGCAGCCAAGGGCGCGCCATTAACTGGTCCGTGTTGATTGCTGAAAGATTCATCAAGTAAAAGTACTATACAAGGCATTTACGTACATCCTACATACTGTGAAACCCGATTTCCAAAGACCTTCGGAGGCTACTGGTGTTGAAAAAAGCGTCGGTTGTTGGCTTGAGGATCCATAGTAATCTATACTGAATTTGAATCGAGCTTCGTATACAATTGAAAGTCTTTCCTTCCGAGTAACGCAAAAACAAAATCGTTACATGATACAGGGTCTTTTCAAACGGTGAAGGCCAGCAAAGCCAAGGTAATGGCCGCTTCGTGCTTGGTTTGGACGTCTTCTGAGCTGTCCGAGTCGGCGCTTGGGAACGATGCACTCAAGACAGGCGCGGGCGGGAAGACGATGGGGTGGAAGATAATAAACTCGCCTTCGGTGCCAGTAGAGTTATGGCCTTGGAGAAGATGACCCTCCCAAGTCCATACTGCCCGCTGCATCTTGTCCGCCAGCGCCGAGGGATGCGTCGGACGGCCGCTGTTGGCTCGGAAGTAGATGGAGGGCATCGACCGAGGTGCATAGTATGCCGGTGGGGGACTGGGACTAGGGTCCTGGATGCCTGTTTCGTATGTCGCTGGTGGTGGAGGCGAATGCGCCTCCACTCGCGCGAGGGCGCTGTTGGCCGGGCTGCTAGGCGGAGACGACAGTGGACTGTCGCTGTATATGCCGGACGGAGGCACAGGGGTGGATGGCGGGGGGGAGGGAGACGACCTCTTAGTTGGGCCTGAGCCATGGGTGCCAGAGGCCGTTGGTCTGATCCTTCGTTTCCCCTTCAAGTTGGCCTAGATCAAGATAAGCCAACAGGTCTCAATAAGCTTAATTGGCTTACCTGACGGTCCAATAGGAAGCGCCTGTTGCAACGTTTCTTGTGTGTAACCCAGTGTATAGGGTCGTACGCCATCTTTGGGGAAAGCTTAATGCGTTGCCCGCATTGCTTGCATTCTACGTGCAGTTCACTGAGGACTTTAGCCATCGGATCCCTGCGCAACTTTCGCTCGCGTTGTCGAGGATTCATCGGCATGGTTATCGACTAATGGGGGCACTGAGCGGCTGAATGGAGGTCCAAGGAGGCAATGGATCGGGGGGCTGAAGGGAGGGGGTCAGAATTGTCGTCAGTGAGCGAGAGTGTCGGCGAACTTGGGGATATTGCTTCACCTTGACCCTTCGCGGAGTGGGAGTTCCTCATCGCAATATATTCGCCAGAAAGATAACGTTCCCAAGTTGGCAACGGGTGTGTAATGAGATCATGTTGTGGTGAATTTTCCCTCCCAGATGCAGCAGCCCCGAACTCCTTTTCCACGGGCATTGAGCAGGAAGCAGCGTTAATTTGGTGCGTACCCTAATTCCAGGTTAGGTTGACTTCACCGCCAACGGAGACCTTCGGAACTTGGATCTCACCTCTTTGTCAAAGAATTTTTCCTGCTCTCGAAGAAATTCATTAGATCCACCACCGTAAGAGGGAACGTCCTCGATCTCCAGGAGATCTTCGAAGCTTAAAGTCTTCGTCGAAGATAACTGGTGGTAGTTGACCCTGGGACTTTTGATGCCAGGACCGACCACGATGTTGCCTTTGAGTCCCTAAATGAATGGTCACCTGGGCAAAACGCCGCCCCGGAGACCCATGGAACAAGGAACCATTCCACAAATCAGAAACGGTGAAGGGTAGGGAACCCAGATTATCTCACTCGTGGACACATCGGAAACGCTTTACAAACAATTGTGACGAGCACCGGAAAATGCGAGGTCGCACCTATGTCGTCTTCGCCAACTAATTTAAGACTTCATACAGCATGAGCCATAGCTTTGGCGCTGAAACGAGGTCCCACAGCGCTCACGATCGGCGATGGATTACCTCTGGCTTTTCTCGTGGTATGCCGTTCGCTTCCTGATGGGGGACATAAACGACATCCGACCGTCAGGGTTGGTCGACGAGAACTGTGACCTTCCCATTCAATCCTTTCGAAGGATAATCGTGCCTCCACAGATCCTTCCTTGATTAGATAGGACTGTAATAGGCGAATACATGGATAACGTACTCTCCAAGAGCCCGTGCTTCGCGTCTACTAATTCATCTCCGACCACCAAACCCTAGCAGCGAGGCTTCGACTGTGCCCATCAAACCAATTGGTAAACGGCGATGTAATTTATTTTCCACTTCGCCCCTGAAAATAAAAAAGAAAAAACCATTCACGTCAACTTCTCATTCGATCGAGCAGAAGCGCTGTCAGAATGATACTCACATTTGAAAATTTCCGTATTCGCCACCGCTTCTGCGCACGTACCAGTGCATCCAGAGTTTCCATAAGTGGGGCCAGCCCAATCGCCACAGATAGTGGTGTCCAATACGAGAGTGTGATCGTAAAAATGTTCGCTCATATCGCAGGTCTTGGAACTCCAGAAGGCGACAGGTTTGCCCCAGAGATCTGGTTGGGGCTGTTGAGCTTCGATGTCGGCGGGAATCTCGCCTCGGGGGAAATGCCACATTCTGATTCCCTCGTTGTTCCAGAGGTGGGCGAAGACTCCACCTGCGACCGAGTTGAATGGCTCTCCGTAGCTTCGCTCGTCGGTGTCGAGGAACCCGCAACCTCGGTTGTCGCCATTCGAGCTTGCACACTGGTCGTGCATTAACCTAGATGCAACTTCCACCCCGTCGAGGGAAAGCGTGCAACCAGGCCCGGAATGTAAAGTATATTGGTTTGTGGGCTGTTCATGCACGCCCTCCAAGATATCAATTTCCCCTGTGAACGTAACTAGAGTTGGCATCGATAGAAGAGGATGTCGAAAAAGGAGAAAGGCAGATAGATCGAGGACATACCTCCGTTCGGCCAATCTGGGCCCACGGACCAATAGGCAGGCCAGACGCTACACCCGTGTGGCATCTTCCAGAAGTCTGCGATGAACAGACCACCATTGTACCGTTTCTTTGTGCTGATACGGATACTGCAGGAAGAGCGGTGTGTTCTCAGGCACTCAATCGCGCCCTAAATTTGGATTATGAACACTCACGAGTCGCGTTTGCCACCAACAGGCACGTCAGTAAAATCGTCTACCGCCAGAACCATGGTCCCGTCTTCCTGGACATAGGAAAGGTTCTTTGCGACGGCGTTCTCGCGAGTTTGATAATTCACATTGCCGTGAGTAGGGTCTGGGTCAGAGAAGTAGTCCCAGTCACTAAAATACAAGATGTCAGACATTTCCAAATGAATAGGATAACGAGAACGGAGCTTACTTGAGAAAAGATTCTCCTCTGTAGAAGACCTCTAATTTGTAACGAGGGTCACCGATGTCGTCCCTGGCATGTAAAGATTGTTCCAATTTTGCGTGGCGCCTAGCCAAACGCAGCGGGAGGTTGCTTTGAGAACCCGCAATGCCTTCCAGAGGCGAAACAGCCAATAAAATGATCGAAAGCAGGGAAACGAAGACCATGATCAGCCCAATGAATAGGTGAGGAGAAAGGGAGAAATAGGATGAAGACTGGGACTAGGACAAGAGACGGAGGCGGGGAGGGGAAAATGAAGCGCACGACGCCAGCAACCTCCCCGAAGTCTTTTATTCGGGTTCGGAGGAGGCGCAGTAGCCTGATCACAGACTCCACTATTGTCCTTGGCATCCTCGCTTCCGGGCTGCGGGTTGCCATACTGCGCTCGCTGTTCCCTTCAGATAAAGAAGAACGATTGCCCAGTCAAGCAGTTCAACCGAAGTTCCAGTTGCCTTTGTACCCAACAAGTCAAGCTAGATTCCGTTTTCATCAGTGTTTCGTTGCCTTTAGGATAGAAGACAAAAGCCAGTATGATCAGTCCTAGTCACAGCAACGCACAGCAGCAAGCCAAAATTTTGTCGGGTAAACTGAGGACATGGTGAGGGTCGCGACGACGATCGAGGGCGCGCCGACGAAAGGCCCCGGCCGTTACCGAATCAATATTGATCCGATGCACATCTCCTCCAAGTTATGCCAGACGTCATTGAGGCGCGGTTTACTGGGGTTTACCACCGTGACCATACCGGGACCAGAATGCCTATTCCTCGAACGATCATAGAGCAAATCAAGAGAATAATCCCGCCTCTAGACGGATCCCTACACAAAGGACAATCTGGTCAGTAGAATACGGATAAAGTCTCAAATAACAAGGAATACTACTGCTGCCATGGCTTTGGATTGACAGGTCGTGTGGGGGTGCTTGGGGGCGCTTTAGAGCTCGTATCGACTTTATTTTGTATTTGTTGTCCAGGCTGACTTGTTAACTTACTATAGCTATACTGGTGCACCCTTCTTCGCGGCTTTCTCTGCTCTGAGATTCGTACGTACCCCCTCAACATCCTCTTCGAACCGATGTCTGAACCGGGGCTGCCATGTGAATCTAGGGTGTGGACCTATCCCATGTTATCTGCGCCCCAACAGCAGCAGGTGCAATCAAGTCCTACTCTCCAGACCTGATTGTACACCCAATCCTTAACGAATCATCGTAAGCCATCCTTCCGCTCCTTCCTCCCAACCAATCACTCCCACACCCGCAGATCCGTGGACAAAGTCAAATCCGAACTCCAATCCCTCCTCTCCCGGCTCCATGTCCTAGTTGTCGGACCCGGACTAGGGCGCGAACCCTACATGCAGTCCTACGCGAGACTCGCCATCTCCCTGGTCCGAGAGAGGGGGATGTACCTCGTCCTCGATGCCGACGCGCTCTTCCTCGTAGGCCACGATCTCTCCATCATCAAAGGTTACAGACGCGCAGTGCTCACACCCAATGTCGTTGAGTTCAAACGACTGAGTGAGCAAGTGGGTGTGGACCCTGATGCCCCACCGGACGAGAGAGCTGGTGTCGTATCAAGGATGCTAGGTGGAGTAACAGTGCTGCAGAAGGGGGCCAAGGATATCATTTCCGTTGATACCACTGGCGAGGAGGCGGACTTGTCTGCCAGTCACATCGAAGGTGCCGACGCAGAAAAAGAAAAGATTAAAGAGACGATCGCAGTTGATGTGGAGGGCGGACTCAAGCGATGTGGTGGACAGGGTGATGTCTTGAGCGGATGTGTTGGCACTTTCATGGCGTGGGGCAAGTGTTACGAGAGCGGTGTCTATGGGTAAGCTTAACCGCCGAAGTCCTTAGATATGTCTAATGATCACTTCAGAGATGGCACAGTTCCTACTTCTCGTGTCCCCCTACTCGCAGCTGTAGCGGGGAGTATGGTTACTCGAACTACGAGCAGGCGAGCTTACGCCAAATCTGGACGAAGCCTGATCACTCAGGATCTCCTCTCCGAAGCAGGACCGGCATTTGAAGAATGCTTCGGCGGTGACAAAGGACGATTGTGATCTCACGACACCTGCATTGGCAGCCCCAGATTGAATGGAATCAGAGAACACTAACTAATCCAACTTGAATTGTCCCTGGTATCTAGCAATGTTACAAATTCATATTAGCTACTAGCACTTTGAGATTCGACGCTTCCAAGATTCGCAATGTAAATTACTGCAATGTATCCATTAGCACCTCAACGGTTAAAAGGGTGGACAGAGGACGCACGGTAATAACAGTGGGCTTCTCGACGCCGAGGTACTCCTTCAACTTGCTCAACTCGAGAGCAACCTCGATCAAGCCAGCCAATCCCTCGGCAGCAGGCTTCTCGAGCTCCTCCTTGGGGGCCGAAGGTGCGACGTATCTCTCAACGTACATGCGGACAGTCGCACCCTGGCTTCCGGTTCCACTCAACCTGAACACGACACGCGACCCATCAGAGAACGTGATAACCTGACCCTGGTTCTTCGACACCGAGTGGTCAATCGGGTCCTTGTACTCAAAGTTGTACAAACCGGAGACAGTGAACGAGGTACCAGCAACAGCGGCAGTGTGGGCAGTGTTGTTGAGAGAACCGGTGGTGATGGCTTCGTTGAGGTTGGCGACGAGCTTGTTGGCGCCCTCAGAGGGGACTTCTTCGTAGTCGTAGCGGCTGAAGAAGGACCTTCCGTAGATGGAGTAGAATTCTTGAAGGATGTCGTTGATCCCGATGAGCTTGTTAGGGGATTCTTTGTTGGCGGCAGCAATGATGTTGAGCCAAGCTAAATTCCACGGGAAAGATAGACGCGCGCGAGTTAGACAGGGGTTAAGAGGTGTCATTGATGCGGTAGATATGACGCACCGACGATAGCCCAGAGACCATCCTTTTCACGGATGTGGTCAGAACCAGTACCGAAGGATTCCTCTCCACAGATAGAGAGACGGCCAGCATCCATGAGATTTCCGAAGAATTTCCAGCCTATAGATCTTTCGAATCGATGACCAATCATTTTGGAAGATTAGAGACATACCGGTGGGGACTTCGAAGTATTCGAGACCCTTCTTTTGGGCGACGAGGTCGATAGCCTTGCTGGTGGGCATGCTTCGCGCGAGACCCTTGACACCACCGTTCTTGAAGTAAGGGATGACGTGAGCCCAGTGGGCGATGATGGCCACAGAGTCGGAAGGAGTGACAAAGGCACCCTTGCCGTAGATCATGTTCCTGTCGCCGTCACCATCCGAGGCGGCGCCGAAGGGGATGTTGTTCTTCTCGACGACCTCAACCAAGCTGGCAGCATAGGTCAAGTTGGGATCGGGGTGGCTTCCGCCAAAGTCAGGGAGAGGGACGCAGTTCTGAACGGATGATTCCGGGAGACCGAGTGTATCGATGAGAATAGCGCGAGCGTAAGGACCCGTAACGCCATTCAAACCATCGAAGAGAACCGGGAAGTCCTCCCGGTGGGCGTCTAGGAATTTCTTGATCAATGGGAAGTCGAAGATTTCCTTAAGAAGGATGACATAGTCTTCGACGGAATCGATGACAGACACGTCTGATGGGCCAAATTTGGACTCTCCAATTTTGGAGAGATCGACCTATCATGAGGGGTTAGATGGAGGGCACAGGATATGCGGTTGAGGTGACACGAACGGGAGGAGCCTCGATGATCCTGTAGCTCGAGATGGTTTTGGTCCTTTCGTAGATCTTGTTGGTGACACTCTCGGGAGCTGGGCCGCCATTGGAGACGTTGTACTTGATACCGAAATCGTTGTCGGGACCACCAGGGTTGTGACTGGCAGTCAAGAGGATACCACCGTAGGCCTTGAACTTCCTGATGATATTGGAAGCGGCAGGGGTAGAGAGAATGGAATCCTTTCCGACGATGAACTTCTTGACGCCATTGGCAGAACCGATCTTGAGAATGGTCTGCACAGTCTCAGGGGAGAAGTACCGACCATCTCCACCGATGACGATGGTTTGGTCTTTGGCGTCGATGGAGTCAAAGATAGACTGTATAAAGTTCTCTGTGTAGTGCTATGGGAGAGTTAGCAGACTTCTATCGATTTGTCGATGGTGCTCACCTCCTGTTGGAAGACCTTGACACTGCAGATCCAGAATTAGCGCTCGTCCAGGTCAGTTTGATCAGTGCTTACCGTTTCCTGAGGCCAGAGGTACCTGGCTTCTGGCCGTCGTAAGGCTTGGTTGGGATCTCCTTGACTGGGAAAGACATTGTGGTTGTGGTGAGAGAATGACAAGGGCTCTGAAGGACCTCGAAGCTCTTCTTGCAACGTCGAATCGATCCGCCTAGTGATGTCAGAATCAAGCACGTGACCGTTTCCCATTTCGATCGAAGCCCTGCCTTTTCTGCTGTTCTCCCATCTGCAAAGCGCGCGTTGTTAGTGAACATTCGTTGTTGTCGGAAACGTTTCAAGTTTATCGAATCTTGTAGATGGGAGAGGGGCTGGGATCAGAAGCAAGACATTCAAGAGGCGATGAGCCGAGCAAGTTTGGAGGTCATTCCTGTGCATGAAGGTATGTACGTTGAGCAACAGGTGTGCGATGGATACCAGACTCCGACGTCGAACTGACTTCAGAGGCAGTTAGTCGGTCTTGAGCCTGTCCCGATTCAAATTAGATAAGCGCCCCTTTCACTGGCAGTCACCTTGAGCGCTAGGCCCAGCACACCCCATGTGACTGTGTCTCTGATAGGTAAACGCTCCCAAGTGGCGAAATGACGAAAGATGCTGACGCAGCGGGTCGGCTTGACGCCCAGCTGCGATCAGCCGCTGTACACGCAACTTGCATCGCTTTCCTTGCCGCCTAACTGCCACCGTTGCTCATCAACAGCCTCTCTAATTTATTTATATAGCCTCACTGGCTTGACGGAGACACATATTTTCAACCCTCAGGCCTGGGAACGAGCATTATGGCTGATCTGTTGAGCTCAAGTTCAGCTGCGACATCCAGTCCCGTCCATCTTTTGGTTTTGATTCATGGAATGTGGGGACACCCAGGGCACCTCGCTGAACTATCCCGCGTCGCCCAAGAAACTCATTCGTTGCCTGCTGCAGACGGCACACGACTAGAGGTTTTACTGGCGGAGACAAATCGTGAAGATTCAACATATGACGGCATTGACTGGGGCGGAGAGCGTGTCGCCAAAGAGGTATGTGCGCCACGTTTGGGTCGTGCGCCGGGGAACGTCTTAAGTCATTGACAACGACTTGCAGATCTATGACAAAGTTTCTGAGCTTGAGGAAACTGGTTTTAACGTTGTCAAGTTGTCCGTGACAGGATACAGCCTGGGCGGCCTGGTTGCTCGCTATGTCGTGGGGTGAGCCGCTCTTGGGCGATATGTATCAACTTGTCCACCCTGCTTACACCGCGAATTCAGCATCCTCATGCAACAAGGCTTCTTTGACAAAGTGACGCCTGTAAACTTCAACACTATCGCAACACCACACATCGGTCTTCCTCGGTATCCTTCATGGCTGTCATCAGTGCTCTCGACCCTCGGCCCTAGACTTCTCTCTCGTACTGGCGAACAGTTCTACTGTGCAGACAAATGGTCTCCAAATGGAAGGCCATTACTCGTAGTTATGGCTGATCCTGGTACGTCTTATTTGTTGGTAGTAAAGTGTCTTTGTTTACCCGCGGTTCTGAAGACAGGATATTCTACCAGGCATTGACTAAATTCCAACGGTTGGGAATCTACGCTAATGCGTGAGTGCTTATCTTTATCCTGGCTCCATGCATCATTCTGACCTGTCACATACAGAGTTAACGATCTCACGGTGCCCTATGTCACTGCAGCCATCGAGTACGAGGACCCCTTCGCAGAACACGAAACTAACGGGATCGAAATGTACGCTATCGTTCTCATCAGCCCGCGTATAGCGTCCTGACATTAAAACCAGCATTATGGACGACGAATACGACCACGTAATTCGAAGCCATACATTACCCGATACCCCTCCAGCCCCTCCTGTCAAAGCTGTAATACTATCCAGGAATTGGTTCCAAGGGTTTAAACCTCGTAAACCAATCCTACCTCCCGCCCTCCAACTACGCTTTCCCCTGAACATCGTGAGTCACCGTTTGACCCTACCTTCCAAGCTTATGTCTGAAAGGCTTTCCTTAGCTTTTGTATACCATGCTCCCAGTATTGATACCCACCGTCATTTCCATCGCTCTCGTCCGCTTCACACTCGCTTCACACTCCTCACGCGCACGCATAAAAGCACTTGAAAAAGAATCCCGTTCTTCGCCCTCCTCGAGCTCCGAAAGTCAACAACAACGCCTCGTCCATATCCTAGCCGAGCTCGAGCAACAAATGGAAGGCACCATTGCTGATATCCTCGACGACCCCAACCCGACACCTTCCTACCGTCCTCCCGTCCCTAAAATTAGACAAGGTGCACACCCCATCTTGACGCCTCATCAGAGGAAGATTGTTGGGTGGCTGAATACACTTCCGATGGAAAAGACACTGGCGTTCTTCCCGGATGTGAGGAACGCTCATGCAATGATTATTTCGAGGGATGTGAAAAGGTTCCCGGCACATAGGCTGGGCGAGAAAGTTATCAGACATTGGGCAAATTCATTGGCCTTTTAGTCTCCGTCTTGGTTCTCCGTGGATTATTTATTGGTTAGGATCCCTTGCGATTATTTTGGGCATTCGGTAGTTAAATGTAATCCTATATAATACTGTAATTGTGATTAGTACCGGATGGTTTCTGGCCCTTTGATTCGTCGCAGACGTGGTGGTGCGAGCAGGTGCCAGTTATCCAGCTGCCCGAGGGGCTCTGTCATCGTCCGAGGCAGGCGGCGGTTTCACGATCCCACTCTGAAGCATCGTTCGAAGTGTCGCATCAGTACCTAGCCTCGGAGCCCTGAAAGAGAGGAAGATCTGCTCGTCAGTATCAAGCCTTGGGTCTCCGAAAGGCACAAGGACTGTAGCTGACGACCAATTAAATCACTTACAAGATCGTTTTAGCAGCCTCGGTCAAGACGGATCGGCTACTCCATTCGATTTTGTCAATACCAGGTAGGTTGTCTGCCCGCGTTGGCCCCAGGTTGAGTAGCACGACAGGCTTTTCGAGTTCTAAGGCATGTTTGACTAGTCTGGTTTGCGTCGGAAAGGGTTCGGAATGGAGGTGTAAGAGGGATTTAGAAGGGCTGCAGGGTCTGGCTCATACCTGAAGGCAGAATACGTAGCGAGCGTCGTTCCTATTAAGAGTAGCTTGTCGGAGGCCTCGACGTCGCGGAACCTGAGAAGAGGGTGGGTTAGCACGGTCGATGTTGCAGGTGAAACGAGACTGACGATCGCTCTTTAACTTCTTTTGCAATGGACTCCCCGAAGAACACGACAGCGGGTTTGTGCTAATAAAGGTGTCGGTGAATTCCAAGCCCACTGGTCCTCAATGGAGATTAGTAACTAACCGTCGACGACCTGTGACCTTCTGCGAAACAATGAGGGCATTCGGGGACTACGAAGTCCTTGTACGAGACTCCCAAATGTTCGATGGCGACCTGGAAAAAAGGGTCGGTTCCACGGGGTTCTCGTTGTGGGTACAGTGACTGCAGAGGATGTACACACGTCTCCGTCTGGATTAGTCCGTAGTGGCTTCTGCAACCTTTCCGTTTCTTGAGCAAACTCGTGCCATTGTGGGTTGGCTGCTGAGAGCATGTCTTGGAATGTGTTGCGATCTATGGCGTGGCCTCGTTGGCAATGTACGCGCTAATGCGTTTTTTCAGTGGTTTGAAGGTGGGTGGATAAAAGGTGACACACATGAAGAGTGCCGTGTAGTTCGAGGATGTGTCGGTTTATGCGGTCGCCAGTCCAAGCGGGATCCCCGGATTGTTGAAGTGCCTTGTGATGCAGTCCATCTACATTCTGCGTGGGCATAAGAAAGTCTCTTTTCTGATGTAGTTGGAATTAAACCCACCTGAGTGATGAGCTGGGATACGTGCCCGGAATACGATAGGGAAGCCAGAGCGAAATGGGTGGTGTTGGGTTGGGCATCCCTCACGGGTGGGTAGCCGAGATACGAGCGTAACCTGGATAATCTTCATTGTGTGCAAGTCAAGGTGTATTTCCTGGACTCAGGCTTACCAGTATCGCTGTCTAAATTTGGTGAGCCGGTGGATTGAAGACATAATGAAGTTGGCGCACCTAAAGTATTGGCCCTTTTCGCTCTCGTCTATCAGTTCGTGATAGAATATAGGCCTAAGAAAGCTTGAACTTCTGTACATTCTTCCAATTTTTCAAGACTGACTTGTAATTCGGGTTCATGTACCGACCATCTGGTCCTCTATAAGCTCGAATCCCCGAGTCAACGCTGACTCCAGCGCCTGTCAAAACCGTTACGTTGCCTGTCTTCAAAAAGTCGCATAGTTTCGCAATAGCCTCTTCCCTCGAAATCAAAGGAAGAGAGGATTTAGCGGCAGAGAGGATGGCCTGGGGAATGTGTGGAACTGAGACTCGCATGTGATGTGACCGTCGCGGTCAAAATGGGCAGCCACCGGCTAATTGCACCGTAGAACGCCGTTGTTCACAGCGCCTAAGCTGCCGCCACCACGGATTCCCCATGATTACCGTCCAATTTTAATCTCGGACTGCGACGACGACAACTTGTATAACGACGACGAACATGAACCCACCACCGATGAACCCCTCTACAGTACAGACTCCTGGATTCGCGCATTACGCCGTGGCTTGGTCGCCATTTCATACGAACCGTGTTGCTCTGGCCTCTGCTGCCAACTTCGGCCTTGTTGGTAATGGACGGCTGCATCTCGTATCCGCCAACCCAGGTCCCAGCGGCCTGCCCATCCTGGGCATAGACAAATTGTGAGTGAACCTTGTCTTGACACGGCGATGTTCCTGGTTGAATCCTCAAGACGGCAGCTACGAAACACAAGACGGATTGTATGATGTTGCGTGGTCAGAGATCCATGAAAACCAGTTGGTTACCGCGTCTGGGGATGGTTCAATACGGTTGTGGGATGTTATGATCAAGGTCAGCGCCTTCTTTGTTTTTGTGAGCGAGTGGGTCGCTGAGAGACAATAAGTAGGATCTGCCCATCCGAGCATGGCAGGAGCATACCCGGGAGGTCTTCTCGGTTGACTGGTCGAACATCAAGAAGGATACCTTTGCATCGTCTTCGTGGGATGGCACAGTTAAAATTGTATGTCGCTATCATTCAAGTCTTCCTTCCCTTTGCTGACGGAGTACAGTGGACACCAGAACGCCCTCGTTCGGTGTTGACACTGCAAGCACATGGGTCATGCGTCTATCAAACCATGTTCTCCCCTCACCAGCCTGATTTGCTGGCTTCATGCTCTACCGATGGAACCATGAAGATCTTCGACCTGCGTTCCCCAGCCTACATGACAGGACCTGGAGCCAACTCCTTTACCGACCCTATTTCAGCAGCCGTCCTGACAGTTCCCGCTTCTGGGACAGAAGTCCTGACATTGGATTGGAACAAATATCGACCTATGGTCCTGGCAACTGCCGGCGTCGACAAAGTAGCCAAAGTCTGGGATTGCCGCATGGTGAAGCTTGGAGAGGCTCCTCAAGTCGGGGGTGTTTGTGAGACTCAGCTTCTTGGCCACGAATATGCCGTTCGAAAAGTCCAATGGAGCCCTCATCGCCCTGATATCCTGGCAACTGCGAGTTACGACATGACATGTAGAGTGTAAGTCTGGTCTCTATAGCCCAGTTGCATTTCCCCGTCTCTAATTGTTCTTTCGCCGTTTAGATGGACGACCATGCCTACCCCGGGACGACCACAACTGTTGCACATCCACGATCCTCATACAGAGTTTGTGGTTGGCTGCGCATGGTCCCTGTATGAGGACGGTCTGTTAGCGAGTTGTGGATGGGATGGCAGGTTAAATGTGTTTCGGGCTTAATCCGACCGGTATACAGAGATCGACTTCCAGTGTATGTACCAAGCTCATTGGAATCTGACTGATGTCCGCTTTGTGGTTGGCGGATAAAAACCAGCCCCTTATCAGTGACGACAGGAGATTGATCCGGTGTAATCAGATAACGGAGAAGATAAGTATAAAAGTGCGCATGCTCCATTGGCATGTGCCTCCGTACAAATTGGACACATTCCATGGCTTTCGAGTTCCCAACCGAGGCGACCCTTTCCTTCCTGACATTCCGACTCGTTTCCATATACAAAAGACCTGGAGACTACTTCAGTATGTTTCCACGTCCCCCGAGTTCTGGAATGGAGACTGACAACTGACTTCTTGAAACAATAGGACGTAGAGATTGAAGTCGCATCCCTGTTACCAAAGCATCTCAAGAAATGGAGAGAATCCAGATTAAAGGGAGAGACGAAGCATGCCCACCAGGTAATCCCCAGTTCCCCCTCACTCACTTTGTGAGCATGTTTTGAAGCTCAATCAATCTCTCACTCAAGTTTCGTCATCTCGAGACCTCGACATCGATGAAGATGTCGAAGACATCCTTTCCGACTCACTGGGATCCATGTTTGGCCTCCAGCCAATAAACGTGGGATCTCCAGGATCTCCCTTCACGTACCACTATACCGGCATCCAGGGTTCCTCAAACTATCCGCCCACAACAATTACCCTTCGCACTCCAGACACCCAGGCTGCGAACTGGAATCTGCACGCTTCTTCCATCTGGGTGTCTGCCCTATATCTGGCTGATCACATCGACCGCCTTGACTTACCCGCCCATCCGTATTTCACCGCGGATCCCACCGTCTCTCCCCTCCGCATCCTCGAGTTGGGGGCTTCAGCCGGCCTTCCTGGGATCCTGACTGCCAAGCTGTTCCCCAGCGTATCTGTCACCGTAAGCGACTACCCTGATGACCAACTGATCAAGGCGTTATCTGGTAATGTAGCCCTCAACGATGTCGAACGGAATTGCCGTACGATCCCCCATGGATGGGGATCGGATGTTTCCGAACTCCTCGACGGCGGGCTCGGCTTCGATGTCATTCTCGCTGCTGATACCCTGTGGAATTCGGAATTCCATCCCCTGCTAGTCGGTTCCATCGCGAAGGCTTTGAGACCGTGTCCTCATGCGAGGGTCCATCTTGTCTCTGGGCTACACACGGGGCGGTACGCGATCCAAAGCTTTCTACGGAGGGTTCAAAGCGCGGGCTTGGCCGTGGACAGCATGGCAGAGTACGAAGCCAAAGGGACCACCGAACGTGAGTGGGATGTTGAACGAGAAGGGGAAGATGACGGTGAACGTCGACGATGGGTGGTTTGGACGGTCCTCAAGTGGAGCTCGCTCAACTGGTCTCACGATCAAGGCGAACAATTACAATTGTGTTGCCGCAAGAGTGGTGAGTACGACGCGCGCTGATATCGATCATCAAGGGCAACAGAATGACTAAAAATAGAAACAGCACGATGATTGACATATTGACATATTCGGACACACGCGAGGTACACGAAACAATAAGTCCATTCGATAAAACTATGGATACAGAGAAACGACGATTTGACAGACAGGAGACACCGGAACTCGGAAGACAGCAGACGAGAAGGAAAACACAATTGTCCGGAGCGGGGGAATCTTGGGAGCAGTTACAGAGTTACGGATAATAATACAGGACAGTCCTTGGCTTGGTTCTCTTCTAGCATGAGGCCTTTGAATACACTCACGTTCTCACTCATCCATTTTCTTTAGATGGAAGCGCCGAAGCTCATCAGGAAGACCTCTCGCATTCCGTGACGCGGTTCCTGCAGGGTAATGTGGTTAGGAGGGATAATCAAAATTCAAGCCCGACGCTGCTTACCAGGAAGAAAACTATGTTGTCCTCGGTGACAGACATCACCTCGACGACGGCACCTCGCGTGATGCTGGTCGAGAGCTCTTTGGAGAACTCCTTGGGCACCAAGGCCGATTGGGGACCGACATAAGCCCAACCTCCTCGTGTAGATGGGCGATGCTCAGGGTAAGCTGGGAACTCGATGGTGCAGATACGGGTGGAGTAGCCTCGTCCTGCTGAGGAAGGCGCGTCGGACTCGAGATAAATGACTCGATTGCCAACGACCTGTGGGCTGCGGACGACCGGGAGTGCAGGCACATTTCTGATGAGGCTGAAATTGGCTGAATGGACCCAGGGAACATGTCGTCGATCCGGTCGGCTGGTAGGCCTGAAGTAAGATTCGTTAATCATGAGCCATTGCGCCGGGCCTTGAGGGTCGGATATTTGTTTGGCAGTAAGTACTAGAACCCGAACGAGGGGATCTGAGAAGAACAGGGCCCTTGGGTTCGGAACGCCGTCAATAGTGAGTGTCGAGTTCGGCAAGAAGTTGAGTTCTGCGTTCGCCCAGTGGGATGGTAGCTCGTATTCTCGTTCAATAAAGACCCGAGGCAGGTCCATGATGTTGTAAAGGTGGATGACCGGGGTTCCTTGATAGACTTTGGCTCCGAGAAGATATTTAACGCTCAGGAAGTGGACGTCATGCTCCTCCATCCACTGCGGGTGTCCGGTTAGTAAATCTAGATCGATTTCGAAGGTAATCAAGAAAGTCACTAACCATGGCCCTGAAGGATCGCCAATCCAAAAGGAGTTGCTTGGCGGTACCGTTGGCAAACTTCAAGGAGACCGCAAGCCTGGATCCACAAATGGAGAGGGTCATCTTCTGGATTGGCACTTGTACCTGAACCGGACATTCATAGAAAGGTGCTGGTGCGTGTGGATGCTTGTCGAACTTCCAGATATCTCTAATCTTCAAGCGTATACCTATCTGTCCAGCAGGACCACTAGAGACGACAATGGTTAAGCAAATGGGAGAGGTCAATGGAAGGGAATCACATACGTGATCCCAAAGCCGGAAATAAGTAAGCCTTGGGACGGGTCAACGACGACAGCATCGGACTGTGGCGCAGTCCCGTATTGGACATGACGGGTCTGGGATGGAGGACGATGGAGTCGAGTGGAAGGAAGTTCTTGAAGTTGGAGAGCATGAGCGTTGCCGTGGATGAGGAATTCAGCGGAGACGGTGAAGAGGTTTGCGCTAGCAGGTAACTGGAGTTTCTGCTCAGCAGTCCAATTAAGCACCGGCCAATCACGTCTATAAGCGCCGAGTAACTGGAGGCGGAGCTGCGGGGGCCTCTTGACAAGAGAAAGGACCCCGTCCGCCATCCCAGAAACGGCCAACTCGAACTTGTAGCGCAAGTGTTGGAAGTGAATTACTACGTCATACACGCGTGGAAAGACCTGGGTGTTTGAACATGAGGAAGAGAAAATGATTATACCGATGCAAAGGACTCACCTTGCAGGTACGGTACAGGGAGTTGGGGTCAAAGTACTCGAGGATGGTAATGAGAACGTCATTGGAGATGCGGTAGCGTCCGGTAGTTGGGAGTTTATGAGGCATTTTGTTGGTCTTTACCACCCTCCATGTTGGATAGATTTTATAGTCCTAAGGTCGTCGCAAAGGAGGGTCTGGCAAAAGAAAGGCTGTACTGGTTAGTTCAATAGTCAGACCATACCAGCCCATTGCTACGCGATCTCAAGGGCAGTCCATCTTGTTCTTTGCGACAAAATGTGAATAAACCGATTGGATACGCGGCTGGTTGGTAGGACAAGTCATTGTTGAAAATTGTAGTCTTTTGTGGATCCAGTAAACGCGTTACAACTTCGCTAAACCGGCTGTCATGTCAACCGCTTTAAGTTCAAGATTCGAAAATAAGTTCAGTCAAGAGAGAAAAAACTTACAGGTTAGACGCGTGAAAGCGCTATTTTGCAACAATAAGAGCCTGATAGCGGGGTTTCTGCTGCCGCGCTCGTGGAAGACGAATACGGCAGGTGTGACCCAGAGTTAGGGAAATGATGTTCCAAGTGGAGATAAAAATAATAGACAGCTGGGGTTGATTGTAAAAAGTCAGGGTTGCGATGGCATTCGTATTTCTGAAGCAACGACAAAGCTTTTTTAGCGACTTCGATTGCCCTCGAGGCCCTCGACGACGAAAGGTGGCTTACCAAAAGGGGTATTTGATCGATCGGCCTGTGACAGAAGCGATAGCTCCGCTTGCACCGCCACATCCGTTTCGGCACGTGGCGATGAGACTGCACTTGGCAGTTGCTCAGCAAGCAGGGCTGAGCACCTTGCTCTGAACCGTCATTATGGTTTGCAAGAAGTGCGAAAAGGTGCGGTTTGCCTTCTTTCTTTTTGTTATATTACGTTGCTAAAGACTATCCTTGGGCGCTATAGAAACTATCCAAGGTGGCCGCACCTGATCCATTTACGGCTAGCTCGTCCAGTATCAAGGATGGCACCCGCAAAGTTGGGGAGAACAAGCTGTTGAGCAGGCCTGGTTCCTCGAAGAATCGTTTCCAGGTGCGTTCTTTTGTATATCCTAAAGGACGCCGGACGCTGACAGTCTCTTGCACTAGCCGTACCAAAATAAATGCAAAGATTGTAAACAGCCATGCACTCAGAACAAAGCGAAGTATTGCCATGGTATGGCTGTCCCCTCTCTGTCGAAATCCTCTTCGTCTGACACTCTCCATCAGGTTGCGCCTACAAGAAGGGCCTTTGTGCGATTTGTGGCAAGCAAATCCTCGATACAACAGGCTATGTCATGTCAAGCAAGTAAATGATAACCTACCTCGCCCTATCGCTCTCGAATTCATTGCCGTGGGCGCTATCCATCTCTCGTCACCTCGTTGTAACACCATGCACGGATTCATTCCCCCACTTCTCCTGATGTATCCTTACTTATTGTCACATACGATAGATACCACGAAGCTAATAATGTACACAAGATTATGAGAAGATAATTGGGCGGCCTGCAAGTCATAAATACGGAAAACTGGATAAGCAAAAAGTTCGTGTCGTCTAATCGTCAAGTTCCTCCGCTGCCTTCGCCTTCGCGACTGCTTGCTGTCGCTGGTTGTAGATCTCTTCGTCGATGGTATTTTTGGTGATGAATTTCCAGATGTGAACGTGCTTGGTTTGGCCGAAACGAACGACACGTCCGACAGCCTGGGTTTCGTTGGCTTCGTAGACTTCGTTGCTCGGGGTGAGCAAGGGGGAAAGGAAGATGACATGGTTTGCATCGGTCAAGTTTGCACCGCTAGCGCTTTCATCCATGACATTCAAGAGTAGGACACGCTGCTCGCTACCCAGTTTGAAGTTTTCAAGGCTGTTGGTCTTATCCCTGACGCCACCTTTGATCTGCAGGTAGCCAATGCCATGATACTTGAGACACTCGCCCACTTTCTGGATTAGGTCAGGGAATTGAACGAACAACAGCACTCGGTCGTCCTTGGGAATCCGGTTCCTGTTCAGTGTCAGAGGATGGTCTAACAAACGAAGAAGAGATAAACGTACTTGATGAGGTCAACTATTTTTTCCAATTTCCTTCCGAAATGCTTTCCGCCACCATCCCGCTCCTCGTCATCCTCTCCCAATTCGGTGGCCTTGACAATGTTGTTGACCCGAGCAGCGCATTTGCATTTGCCAATGGCTGCATACACGCACTCCTCTTTGTCGGCCCATTCCTTCACACAAGCGTAGCAACCCTCATGCCCGCACTGCGAAAGCACTGCAGAGTCGGCGAGAGTAGTCAGCTTTCCGCACCCAGGACAGTCTACAGGCGGTCGCTTGCTCTTCTGGGATTGGATGTCTCGAACGGCGGTGATGAAGCGAAGGGATCGAATTCGACCGGTCAACTCCTTGGCGACACGGCGGATTTCGTGGGTCTTCTCTCGATGCTCCCAAACCTTCTCCTTCACCTTCTCAGTTAGCTGGACGTCCGATTTACCCCTGACCGGTTTGGGAGTTGCGACGTTGGCCTCGTCGAGGAGTTTGTGGATCACATCAGTGGCATCTGCATCATCGACACCCTCGGTTTGGCAGACCCGAACCCATTCGTTGAACATGGACTCCGTTCCGACATTTCCCAGGGCCTTCTCGCGCGCCGCTCCTTCCTTGATGGCCTTCAGGAGCGAGGCCTTGCAGTCCTCGAGCTGCTCCTTCCGTTCCTTGACAAGGGCATCGCAAGCTTTCATAGCGTTCTCGTTCTTAGTTTCGAGCTCAAAGTGGGAGCAACGCTTCAGAAGGGCTTCCTCAGCAGACCTAAGCGGCGTCAATAGGCAATTCAGCTTAAAGATGTGATGTTCCCCTTACTTGCTCTCTCCGAGAACCTTGTTGAGACGCTTCTCTCGGTCACTCTCGTTCTTCCTGCCTCGTTTGATGGTCATATCAAGGGCTTGAAGGTGGTGCAGCAGTTCGTAATAGATAGCCCGTTCGGATGCAGGGAGGATGACCTCTTCGATATGCGTGCTCGAGGGTATCTCGTCAATCTCGGCGATGTTCTAAAGAATCGTCAGTGCATTGAACTCGAAAGAGGGGGCGTGATCCAACCTGTCTGACGAACTGGTCCAAGAAGCGTTGCCCGACTTTGTGGCGATTTGCGTGCCATTCTAGGCTGTGGACCTCCCTGAAGGAGTGGAATCGCTCGACATCTGGAACGTGCAAGGTCAGCATATACACCTATGCAGGGTTAACAGCACTGACTGGTTTGCTCCCGACGACGCTTCTTCATTTCCGTGGATTCACCTTCGCCATCATCATCGACTCCGAGGTGGAGGCCAAAGAGGACAGCCATCGTCTTCACGGCGGGGAAACTGTGCACAGGTGGCGTACCGGAGAGGATCCAGGTGCGGTCTGCGGTGATATTTGTTACCATGTGGTACACTTTGCGGTCTCCGCTCTCCAGATAGGTGTACTCGTCGATGACCAAACGCGCAAAGTGGAACATCTCGAGAGGAGGACATTGCATTTGTGTCCAATCGCCCTTGACGACCGCTGAGCCCAGCTTCCAAGGATCAGTCATCTTTTTAGGTCGCTTTTCTTTAACGGCCGCCTTTTTCTTGCCCTTTTTAGCGGGCGCCTTGGAGGGCGCTTCGTCAACATCCATCCCGTCCCCATCCTCGTCCATATCAGCATCGGTTTCGGAGCCTGAGGCCGCAGTGGCAGTCTTCTTGCCCTTCGTTGTCTTCTTGACCGGTTTCTTCCCTTTGCGTTTCTTGTCGGTGTCTGACTCGTCTGAATCGTCGTAAGAGGACATCTCTTCGTCTGACTCCTCCGGAGAATCTGACGCCTGATAATCGGACTCCTCGTCATCACTCTTTGCCTTCTTCTTCGCCCTCGCCTTCCCTTTACCCGTCGGTGCCTTCCCGCCCCTCGCCGTCTTCTGACGCTTCGTAGGACGCTTCTCCTCTTCCTCCGAGTCGTCGTCCGACAATAAAATGACAGGCTTTGCAGTGGCACGCCTGGGTCGCTTCCTGTTGCCACCACTGTCGCCATCCGAGTCCGCCGGTTCGGGGGATACACTGGGAGAGGACTTGTTCTGCCGCACCTCGATGACGACTTCGGGAATCAAGCCTGACGGATTTCGAGAGGCAGTCCCAGTGGAAGGTCCATCGACGGGCTCTTGCTTCACATTGTCCGTTGGGTTTGCCTTCTTGATCGACCTCTTGGTCTGAGTCCCTGTTGCACCAGTGCTACCCTCCTTCCCCCTCCCCTTCTTCTTGGCCTCTTCTTTCTCGGCGGCTTCCTTGTACTGCCTGCCCCTAAGACGTTTTGCGGCAGCGAGGGCGGCTGCCTCCGCAGCAGCAGCCTGTTCAGCAGCGACTTGCGCCAAGAAGTTAGCATGATGGCAAATAAAGTTAGCAAGAGCACCTTACTTCGTTCCGGAGCTGCCTTAATCTCGGTCAAGACAGCTTGAGCGCCCTCGTCTTGCAATCGCTCAACCTGATCTGCAAGGGCTTCCATAGTCTTCTCGAGATGGGCGACGAACACGCGACCGTCGGAGCTAGGGAACTCGTCGACACCCGCAAATTGGCTGAGATTTCCAAGGTAGATGCTGCTCCTCTGGACGCTGTAGGCCCAGATGATAATGTCGGCCTCTTGTATTGATTCAATGGTCTCCTTTTTAAGGTCATTGACGTCCTTGATGACGAGGACTTTCATATTCTTTCTCTTGATGAACTTGTTCACTTCCCCGGCCCACTGGGCTGGTAATTGGGCAGGAACGATAATGAGGGTTGCCGATGAGAGGATTCGTCCGTGAACCTTTTTCCGTTTCGGGAACGTCTTCTTAATCTTGTCCGCAGTGCAGTCAATAAGGCCCAGGGTGATAGCCGTTTTACCGTATCCAACTTGGTCAGCGAGGGCTCCACCAAGAACACGGACAGGCCTCTCGGCCCTTCCCTCGGCCCTCCAACCCAGAGGATCCAGGATAGCCTCCGAAATCTCCTCTTCGATGAAAGGAGGGGCGTCTTCGGCTTCCTGCCTGAGCATCCACGCCAATGATCGCTGTTGCTCGGGCCTGAGAGGTATCCTGAAATTAGGAGGTTGAGAGTGTGGTTTGTCGTCTCTGTTGCTGAGAAGGCGGAATTTACGGCGTGTCATGTTGGCAGCAGGGGCATAGTTCGTGTCGAGTCGCCATGAGAGAGTAGGCTTGCTATTCCGATTCTTTGTAGGGAGACGGGAAAGCGCGCGGTGGAGAAGAGATGGAATATTGATGCCAATACGAACGTGGGCGATGCCCTCGGAGTCGAGTTGAAGCTGGGTGACGAAGGGACTTGGGCGACGTTTCAAGCGCCTCTCGTACTCGCCAGCTTGGACGGGGTCCTCGATAGGGACAATTTTCTGCCCATTTTTCACCCATTGCAAGACGGGGGCAGTGGGAGCACAACGCTCACAGGCACACTCGAAGTCTATAGGGAGCTCCAGGTGTTGCCAGTCCCTGAAGTTGCCTCCAATGTGACGGATTCGTTCGAGCAACCAAGCAAGGGATTTGAAAACTCCCCTCTCGTGGACCTTATCGACCTCGGCCCAGTGACCTCTTGGCCATTGCTCATCAGCATCCTGTCCCAGTGGAACTGCGCAACTGAGAAGGGCATAGGCATGCTGGCAGGCGTCATTGGTCAATGCGAGTGTGAGAGAGCCCTCGGGGACCCCGTAAGTAGCGTCGCGTGTGGCTGCAGCCTGTATCTCGTATTAGTTGAAGCAGTTAGGAAATCGAACAAATAGTCTCACCTTCAAACCGACTGCAGGCTGCTTCACCCACTTCCACGGCAGATACACCCGTACCTTCTGCTCCCCCTCTGTATCGGACTGTCTCCAGGAAGGATCTAACTTGCAAACCATGGGCCGCGTCTCTCGGTATTCAAGACGTCTGATGATGCTAGAGAAGACGAAGCAGTCCTCGGAGTCATTGGTACGATGGGGATCGAATAGCATGAAAAGCGGAGGGAGTCCTTCGTCCGCAGCGGTAGGGACCTTCTTGTGGAGGGCGCCGTTGGCGGTACCGCATCTATCAAGCAAGACATATTCACCAGAGATGTCGCGGTCGAGCGATTCGACGTGTTCCTTGGGGACAGACATCTTGATGGATGAGAAAACCTTCTTGTCCTTATGAGCGGCACCCATGAGACCTAAACGAGCCTCCCAGGAAGGAACCAGTTCGCCAACGCCCTCAATGGTGATCATAAAGTTAGCGGGGGCAGGAACGGCAAACTCCCAGACGCCGGAAAGAAGACTGCCTTTGCAGACGAGTCGGGCGACTGGGTCTTCGAGAATTCGTCGAATCTCGGCTTTGGCAGGTTCGTCCACATTGGGGAGAGCAAACAATCTCCACTCTGGGCGTTGGGGGTGCAGGATGAGTTCGAGGGTCGCTGATCGTGATTGGAAAATGGCACTCCAGATTTCTTGCCGTTTGAGTTCAACGAAGTGGATGTCGTGGTCTTTGGTGTTAAGAACGGCCTGGCGCCAGGTGTTCCACAAGGAGTCCTTGACCTCTGAGCCCTCCCGCTCGCGTAACTGGTCCAGAACTCCCTCGGTGATACCGGAAAGAGCAACGGACATAGGAAGGGCTGACTTGATGTCCTTGGCGAATTCGGATGGGTGGGTGCGAATGTCGTCGCAAGGTTCCGTGTTGTGTTCTGGGCGTCCGCCACACTTTTTACAGAAGGTGGTAGAGCAGTCCTTGCAGCGGAACAACTTCCGTTGGGTCATATCCATCCGACCTTCGCAGACGCAAAGTCGCGAGCTACGACTGGCATGAGCCAAGAGTTCTGCCAGAGTATGTTCTTGGGTGGGGCTGAGGTCGAGGGTCTTCCTAGCCAGCTTCTCTTCTCCCAACACTTCAGCACGCGGTTCGACCGCGGCGGGCACTTCATCCACATCCATGGCCTCGTCTTGAACCCCTTCCAAGTGTTGCTTCATCTCGTATGTCTCCTTGTCGTCTCCTGTCTTCAAGAGCTTCTTGCCGACAACCAATGCAGCCAAAATGCATGCGCCAACCACCGTGGACGACATGGCATTACCAGCCAAATCGGCAAGCTGATCTTCGTTCTCTCGCGTCAACAAGAGCTTGTCGATTGGAAGGCCTTGCATAGAGAGAGCTTCAAGACCGACCATAGGGCCTCCTCGGTTGGTGATGTATGGAATCATGGATGGGGTCAGGCATGGACAGATGCCAACCTTGTTCGAGCCGATAGTTCGGTCCACATTCTGGGACAAGTTCCACACGACTCTGTAGAAAGAGTGAGAGAGAGGCATCGCAATAAGAAACTGAGCACGAACGTCTTATAGGAAGGGTCAATGCCCTTGGCAGCGGACCGCAGCAAACTGATGTCCATCAAATCCCAAACTCGCTCAACTTGCGCAACTCCCCAATCGTTCCAAGCGAAGTCGGGTAATTTACAGGATCCACCTAAAGGAAGGCTGTCAATAACGAACGAACTTGCTTCGAGAGAAGGAGCATACCATCATCCCAACTGGTCAAAGGTCTCTTGTTGCCCAACTCTTCTTCTAAACGTGCCCTCTGATGTCGTGACTCGCATCGACTCCAGTCGGTACGTCCTGTCCTACGGTCTGGAGCACCATAGCTCTCCTGCACTAGCTTCTGTCGCGCGTGATGGATGCGAGGGTCGTCTGAAGGAAGCAGGAATGCGTCGAGCGTCGATGATGCTGGGCGCTTAAGCCGACCGGTGACCAACTCCTTCCACTCTTCTGGTAACTTTGAATTCACCTTGTTGACTGCAACAAGGTAGACTCGGGTTCGGGTATGGGGGATGTAGTAATTCTTGGTGTCGACACGTGTCCAGCAGGCACTGTAACCTTCTCTCTCGAAATAGGTCTGGACCTTGTCCCATGGTGCTGAGCAGACGTTCTCGAGGATAACGATTGGGGGGCGGTGGTTTTTCACCCACGACATCATGCCGCGGAAGGTTCGACCGGATTCTCCGCCCGCATCGATATCTTGCTTTTGGTTGTTGAGATTAGAGTAGTCGACACAGGAGGTTCCTGCGACCAACATGTCGACATCTCCCGGGACGGGCACGAGAGCACCGTAGGCGGTATGACTGGAAAACAAGGGTTCGTCAATAAGTGTAACGCGTCGCGAACTGCCAGAACCACGTACGCTTCGTCGTCGCCTAGTTCGCAGACATCGCGGAAAAGAATGGGGGGTTGGAAGTTACGTTCGATGTAGGCCTGCTTGAAAGGCTCAATCTCGCACGAAAAGACGTGTTCTACTTCGAGCTTGATACCGTGTTGATCTTCAATGGACTTTTGGATGAGTTCCAAGGCCAAGAGTGGGGATTCAGTGCCAGAACACATAGTCGCGACGCGTAGTTTGCGCCCTTGGACGCGTTCAGTAACATCCTTGATTTCTGGGATTTTGCTAACGAGATCGTCGAAGATAGCGGGGATTTCGTTGATTGGGGGTAGATCTGCAGGATCTGCGGCGGGCGGTTTGGCCGCCTTGGTAGGTCGTGCAGGCTTCTTCGCGGCCTTTTTTCCCTTCACAGGCTTTTCTTCCTCTTCTACTTCATCGTCATCCATCTCGACGTCGGATAATTCAGTCGCCTCAGTTGCTGTGTCGGGTACGTCAGCCTCAGAGACTGGTTCGCTCGTTTGGTGGTCTGTGTGCGCGTCATCGTCGTCGCTGGCGGGCGCTGGTTGACGACTGCTGCCTCCAAAAAACGATGTTATAGACTTCTGTCCCGAAGGACGCGAGCCAGCTGCTTTTCCTCTCGCCATGCGCGCTGGTGGCTACTTGTCGGTTAGGGTTGAGGTGGAACGAGTCGGCAAACACGTTCCAGTGACCGTGACAAAACGCGTCCCATCACATTCACACGGCGCGTTATGATTACTCGTGGGAAACATGTCAGCACCGCCGTGGAGTCTCATTAAGCTGGGACAGGCTTGGCTTTCCTTCCACCTATAAAGTAAGTTCGACGATTTCTTGTTGTTGGCTAGTGGTTAACAGTTTTGGACGATGAAGACGACCGCAGAAATGACTGGATTCAAAGATCGAATAAAGCGCTTCTTCGGAGAAGATGCCTTCGAATGGTTCTCAAAACACTACATCGTCGACTGGTAAGTCCCATGACGAACTTAAGACTGTCGCCTTCATTTAGCCACAGGTCAGGATAACCGTCGCCATTATATGGGCCATTGCCTTTTATACCAAAACCATAACAGTAACTATACGGGATTTCTCACCGACAGATCCGTTAATCCAGTTCGAGCATCGGAAGAACCAGTGAGGGCTAGGGTTCGACTTTGGTGCAACTGAAGAGGATTCTGACGCTATGTTAAAGAGTATCCTCTCCTTTCAATCAATTCGTCGCCCTACTGGCTCCATCGGCGGTGGTCTTTGCTGTTGCAGTGCTTAAACGCTCTCTAATGGACCTGCATCACGGTATCGTTGGGCTTCTGGTCACTCGGTACGTAGTTCTCCGATTCTTCGAAGACTATGATTAACCCATACCACAGGGGGCTCACTGCTGCTATCATACGTTTCATGAAAAATAGGATAGGTGGCAACAAATGTTTGCCCTGTTGACAGCACATCTAACGAATGTACAACAATCAACAGGTCGACTTCGTCCCGATTTCATGTCCCGTTGTCAATGGGACGAACTTTTGAAGAAGTGCACTGGGTAAACGCCACTTCAGACGTCTTCTCAACCCAACTCAATCTTGCTCAGGAAGGAAAAGGACATCACGGAAGGACGCAGGTCCTTCCCTTCCGGTCACTCTGCCACTGCCTGGTCCGGGATGTTCTACTTGTCCTTGTTTCTTGCAGGGCAAACCGCGGCTTGGTGCTTCTCGTCAAACAGACTTGCTCCGCGATTGTTGTCCAGCAGAGTTCTACGCTTCGGGATCACCCTTGTTCCTCTCATCTGGGCATCTCACGTTGGGCTGAGCAGAATGGAAGACAACGTAAGTCCTCCGCTGATCAGAGTAGCTTCGATTGTTGATTAAGAGTTACTTTTAGAGGCATCACAAGGAAGACGTTATCGTCGGAACCTTCATCGGAATCCTAGTAGCCACCATTTGCTACTCCATGTTCTGGCCCAATCCACTCTCCACCAAATCTTTCGCTGTCGAGCGATTCGGTCAACCACGATACCTTTACGACACAGAAGCCCCCTCTCGAGATGACCGATTCCAGTTCGAACTTGCCCCAAGAGAAGACCACGAACATTCGAATGCAGTGTAGTCGTCAGCGAAACAATTGGTTGAACAAAGGAGGGCAATAGGTATACATGGCAGTCATGCTACTGACAGAAATTCCCCGGGAATAACTTTAAAGGAAGGAAATATCATAGAACCGGCGTATTATTTCGAACAAATACCCATTTATCCCCTACTTTTTCCATCTTTCCTCCACTGCTGGCGGTGGGTGGCGAGGCTGAACCTGCATAGGTCCCTATAGGCGTATTGGTCGATTGTTGGTTATGCTGAATATAGCTATCACTGGAGTCTCCTCCACCTAATACGATGGCGTCTGTGTCGTTGGACGAGTAATTGCTGTTGTATCCACTCCGTTGACCCCTTTGTCCATCTCGGCCAATGCCGTGAGATGGGCCTCCCCTCCCTCTTCCCCTATTTCCAAAACCCTTCGATAGCCTTGGGTCCACCGTCGTCGCCCCCCAATCCTGTTGCTGTTGCTTCGCCATCCCTTGTCCTCCCGCCTCCCACTCCTGCTGTTGCTGCCCATTAACCGGCACCGCCGCACCACCACCACCAGCAGCCGCCATCTGCGCTTGGAACATCATCGTCATCCCAAATTGCATGAGTTGCTCTTGGGTGGGCGCATACCCATACGTAACCTGCCACATCTTTCCGAGCGCTTCCCACGAGGCTGGCGAGGTCAAATCAAAGTTTGTAAAGTCAAAATCGACCTCTTGTTGCTGTTGCGGTTGTTGCGGTTGTGAAGAGTTTGTAGTATTGGGGTCAAGTGACGAGGCATCAGAAGATGTAATCGGAGCTACTGGTGCAGGCATTGGCATATTCTCTCCATCATGTGTATTTGAAGCAGATGTAGTAGAAGAAGAGTCCTTGTCGGGTTGGGATGGTTTGGAGAGTGGGGTGACGGCGGCGGCGGTGGGTGGCGGTTGGTCAGGGTGATGTTGGTTGGACGACGCCTTGGTGTCTGGCGCGGGAGACGGAGACCTGATATCTCTCCCGAACTCGTCTTTGCCCGGAAGGTTGCGAGGCGGCTCTGCTCGACCGGAATTGGACCAGGACGAACCGGACAGTGGACCATCTCGTCGTGGACTGAGGAACCGGTCGCCTCGTTTGTCCGAATATCTACTGGGAGGACTGCGAGAACGACTACGGCCTCGGTAGTCTCGGTCTCGGTCTCGTTCTCGATTGTAGTCACGATCGTCCCATCTCCTCCTCTCGCTCCAGCCACCACGGCCCCCTCTGGGAGGATGGCCTCGCTGGTTGGCGCGGGGGTCCCGAGAATACGAGCGATTGTCAGAACGATTGTCATGATGGAATCTACCATCCTCTGGACTAAATTGCCGTTCACGTCGAGATTCGTCACGGTTTGGTCTACGTGGGTCATCAGGAATAGGTGAGCGTGAACTACGATTAGGTCCAGGAACAAAAGTATTCCCTTGAGTAGCCGGGGTTATAGTATGCAATGAAACATTTGGAATCGCAGCAGCAGGAGAGACCACATTTGCAGCAGCAGCAGTCTGCGTTAGTTGTTGCAGGATTGCGAGTTGTGCTGGATCAAGCGGTGCAACCGCGGGGGTATTTACATTGGTTTGCCTGGAAGGTAGGTTACAGTTCGTGTCAAGGTTGGTCGATGCAAAGGGCCACAGAATACTCACAAACTAGTGGTACTAGCTGCCTGGGCAAGGAGAGCCAGTAGCGCCGCCTGAGGATTTGGCTCTGCGACCGGTGTCCCGGCACTGGGCGTCGCAGAGATGGGCGGTGCAGGCGCGAACGGTAGCGTACTGACAGGCTCCGAAGCCGGAATGGATACATTAAGAGGAGCATGCCCATTGGTTTCTGGTTCTGACAAAACAAAATCAAATTGAATTCAGTTGTCTGCCTTACATCGACGTTGATAGCAATAAAAAACGCCACTAGAGCTTGTACAGGTGGAGAAGTACTTAGCGAACGCAAGGGATGATGATAAGCACCTTTTTTCTTCCCCTCCAAGATGACTGAAAGACGCGAAAGCAAGCTAGCCGGGAATGTGTTCCCCTTCACCCAGAGGTCAAGCACCTTTTTGCATTTTGCCTGTCAACGCAGCGAGTCAGAAAGCAGCTCCACAAAAACAGGGATGGAAGAGAAGGGGACAAAAGGATGTCGACTGTACCAAACCCAGTTCCCAGCAGAACAAGGCCGTCCAGCGCGAAATGACGAGGCCAGATAATCCTAACGGGGGACGTGATAGTCGAACAGCATGAATGCTCACCTTCGCTTCTGGCACCTCACAGCTAAGCATATCTTGATACAGTCCTTCTACCACTCCACCAAGTTTGGACAGGAACGTTGCGGCATTCCCAGACAGGCCCGTGGTATCCTCCGGCACAGTCAAGCCCAACTTGTTGGCCTTCGATTTTGCAGCTCTTGCCAGAGCATCAAAGACATATAGACTCGAGATTTTATGTTCCTTTGCGAGAGATTTGTGCGTGCGATACAAGGTGGAGACCATCTGAGTGTCGTGCTAGCGCCAGGCCCAGTCAGGATCCAACGGATTTCAGTATGTAAAAACGGAGCGCACCTCCAAAGAACCCATGGCCATTTCCGTCAATTTTGTTATTTTAGAAGCAGACAACCGCTTCGCCTGCACCAGCTCCTTCAACGACGACTCGAATTCCTACGAGAATGACGCTGTTAGACCTGTTTTCTCCCCGCGAACCGGTCATTTTTGACGCACGGAAATCTGTGACATGGTGTCGCTGTTGTTGCGAACAGATTTTCGAGAAATTGGAAAGGAGAGCGAAGTAGAGGTGGCCTATCTTGGTGAGAAAGAGGGGTCAAAGTCGGCGGTTGGGTCAAAGGCCATAAGTTTGGCTCTGTTGATCTCGCCAATCTGTGCGTTAACGGAAAACTGGCGCGTGCCGGCAACCACCATCATCGTCGTGGAACATATTTCCCCAGTCCCAGTGGATTCAATCGACAAATCGACATGGCGAACCTCAGGAAAGCAAAGATTACCCTCGGAGGGGCTGTGGCATTCTGCGCTCTTACTATCTGGGCAGTCCATTACCAGCAGGAGAAGGAACGAGATGTACGAGCAAAGGTTCCGGGTCCGTCGATTCATCGCTGACGATATTTCTCTACAGACGATGTACCAGGGCGTTATCCGCGACGACGAACGACGAAGAGAGAAACTTAGACAACGGCAGTTGGAGCTGGAAGAGTCTCAACGAAAGCGAGAGCTATACGAGCGCTACCAGAAAGTAGAAAAGGCCTCGGACTAAATAACCAACCTCGGGACGATCCAATAAGCATAGAAAGTATCCTAACCCCTGGACATAATACCCACTCTGCTGCCTACTGCCTTATGCAACTATCTAATACCACAAGCTCACAGTTTGTTTTTCGAGTTGCCGTGCAAGTCATGTCATCATTGCAATATGGTACACAAGTGATTCACATCACTTCAGTATTTAAACGACGGGGGGCTTGGTGCCAGGGGTGAAGGTGTAGGTCAAGCCGCACTTGCCGCAGTATTGGCGGTCCTTGTGGAAGGCCATCTGTAACGATGGGATGAGATGAAAGATCCAAGGCCAAGGGAGGGAGGGGACATACGAAGATACCGGCACCACACTCAGCGCTGGGGCACTCACGGCGGAGACGCTTGATCTTGCCGTCGGAGTCGACCTTGTAGTACTTCAAGATCGACATCTTGACCTTCTTGCGCTTGTGCTTGATCTTCTTGGGGGTCTGTAGACAGTGACTGAATTAGCGATGGCCGATATCGACCAAAAAATCAAGCGCGACGTACGCTGTACTGCTTCTTCTTCCTCTTCTTAGCACCACCACGGAGACGAAGCACCAAGTGGAGGGTGGACTCCTTTTGGATGTTGTAGTCGCTGAGGGTGCGGCCGTCCTCGAGCTGCTTGCCGGCGAAGATCAAGCGCTGCTGGTCGGGGGGAATACTATCGCGAAAAATAAGAATCGCCGTACAGACGATGCATAGCGATCCAACTCACCCCTCCTTGTCCTGGATTTTGGCCTTGACATTGTCGATGGTGTCCGAAGACTCCACCTCCAAGGTGATGGTTTTACCCGTGAGGCTGTCGATTAAACGTCAGTTTTCTCTGCGTCCTCGCTGCAACGAACGGTGAGCACTCACGTCTTCACGAAGATCTGCATTTCGGACGCCTTCGTCTATCCAACGAAATCAACGGTGGAGTCTTTGACAAAAGCAAGAGCCGTTGTGGAAGAGGAAGAAGTGTTTACAGATTTTATCCAGCTTTTGATTGGTCAGCTTTCTGTGTATGGTCCGTGCACAGAGAAATTAAGGTTTGATCGCATGTGACCGCCGACCTGCTGGCGTCGCGTCGAACGCGTCGACGGGCCTCAGCCTTGGACTTGCGACGCGATACACGATGGACAGCGACAACGATACCAGAATGTCTGGTGTCGAAACGGCGTTCCCGACCAAGAACAAGGGGAAAGGAAAGGCTGCAGACGTTTCTGAAGAGGTGGACAACTTGCCATGGTGAGGAATAGTTCATGGCTCTGGAATCCTTTGCTAATTGACGCGACCAGGGTCGAGAAATACCGGCCTGTGTCCCTGGAAGACGTCGTCTCCCACCAGGATATCACCACGACCAGTATGCTTCGTATTAACTAACCATATCCGAGACTAAATATCTTACAGTTGACCGATTCATTGAAAAGAATCGCTTGCCACATCTCCTATTCTATGGACCTCCTGGTACCGGAAAGACATCCACCATTCTCGCCGTTGCACGTCGGATATACGGATCCGATTACAAGAAACAAATTCTAGAGGTACTTAACTCACCTTTCCCCTTTGAACCATTCTCTAACCGCTCGTCACAGTTGAACGCATCCGACGACCGAGGCATTGATGTTGTCAGAGAACAAGTCAAACAGTTTGCTGAAACCCGAACCCTCTTCTCAAAGGGATACAAGCTGATCATCCTAGACGAAGCCGATATGATGACCCAACAAGCTCAAGCTGCACTGCGCCGAGTGATTGAACAGTATACAAAGAACGTTCGCTTCTGTATCATCTGTAACTACGTCAACAAGATTGCTCCTGCAATCCAGAGTCGATGTACACGATTCCGCTTCTCGCCTCTACCCATTGCCGAGGTCGAGAAGCAGGTCAACAGAGTCGTCGAGGCAGAAAAGTGAGCAACATTCTATCCCCTCTAGACTATGTGCTCAATTGCGGCCATTAGCGTTCAATTGACGCCTGAAGGAAAGCAAGCTCTCCTGAAGCTCTCAAAGGGTGATATGCGGCGAGCTCTAAACGTTCTTCAAGCTTGTCACGCTGCCTACGATGTGATCAGCGAGAGCGAAGTCTACAACTGCACAGGCCATCCTCATCCACAGGACATCGAGGCCATCGTCAACTCTATGCTTTCCGACGAGTTCACTACCTCGTATCAAAGTAAGTGGTCTAACGTTTCTTAGTCCAAGTACAATGACTCTAATACCATCAACAAGTGATATCCAAACTGAAAACCGAGCGGGGTCTTGCACTGCAAGATCTGATCGCCGGGGCTTACGAGTACCTCGAAACGATCGAAATAAAGCCAAACGCCCGAGTCTACGTGCTCGATCTATTGGCTACCACCGAGTACGTCGGAGGCTTCCTTTTCCTCCCCGGGCCTCTCACTGACGCGACGTATGTTAGGCATCGGCTGTCAACAGGTGGGAATGAGAAAATGCAACTCACGGCCCTTTTGAGCGCTTTCAAAGGTGCTGTCGAATTGTCAGCAAGGTCGGCTTGAGACTACGCCCGCTGACAATCACTTGACTTTCCTGTATGTTCGTTTTCCTTGGTTACCCCGTCTCTTATTGTCGTCGCTTTTTGGAAGTCTCCGTTGAGAGATCTGACACCGCTTGTGCCGTTTACACCTACGCATCTAATTCAGATGTCATTCGACATTTCATGCCCAGTCACAAACGAGTCCCGAGCTCGCAGTTGACTATCACGGTCATCTGGACGGGGGATAGACAGCGGGGTCACTATTCAAGTGACCGACCGGCTTGCCGGTGGAGAGTGAACTGATGAGATCTCTTGCACCGGATCGTTTCGAGCGTTGCTTCTTTGACGGAACGATGATCGACGCGGGTAAAAGAAACTGCCAATTTGCGATCGTGATCATCCTCGACCTCAATTCCTGCCTCATCCAGAGATTAACATTCACCTCTTTGTACCCTTTCGAGGCCTAGTCTCGCATTCGGCGGAATCTAGACGTTGTTGCGGTAGAGCCGGGCGCCAGGAGTCATCTCTATTTTGACAGGCATCAAGAATGTTGGGTACTCTTTTCCACAGGACCTTGTGTTATAACTGCGATTAAACCGTGTGGGTCGCTTGAAAGTCGTACGCAACTGTCCATGCGGGCACCATGTAAAATGAAATCAGACGCGATGAATTCGCGTCGTTCACAAACCCGATATAAATACAAAATTGACCGAACGCTTTACTACGTTAAAGGTCAACTACATGCGAATCTGGACTATAAATACAGTAGTTGGTATGCTTGTGTGCGAGGGGGATCTGAGCCTAGCGAAAACAGAGATGCAAGATGGATACAAGACGAAAGATGCGCGCGAATTACAACAAATTAAAGTGTACACGACGCTAGGCTGAGAGATGGATGGGGTAGTACTACATGTGCGAGACAATGAATAGGAATCTAACATACAGATGCTGGTAAGGCGGTATCACATAATGTGTGGTATCGTGAATCATAGCAGAGTCATGAGGGGGGCGTCCAAAAAAAGGGTTCCATGGGTTGGAAGTAAGCCAAGAAAACAAAGAGAAAGCGAAAACGAAAGTCAAGGTGTGCCAAATGGCAGGGCAGTGTCCGTAGAAGAAACCAAAGGTGGTGGACATTCCAATCATCCAGGGTGAATAGGGGTTCAGATCGCAGAGTACGCCTCTTGCACTTTGGTGAGTTGGTAGCCTGAGATATCTTGCATAAGGAGGTACGTCTTGAGCCGAATGACGTAAAACTCACGCGTCAACACGTTGTCCTCGGAATACAGACTCAAGTGCGTCAAACCATTCCGCAAGTACTCCATGAGCTCCTCCTCGGTCAAGTCCCCTCCACCAGCGGAGGTCGAGCTTTCAGTCCAAGCCGGCTGTTGCGTCCTCATTCGCGAAACTTCGTCAATGAAAACGTGGCATGCGATCATCCACAGCGTCTGACGAGTCAAAATGCGTCAGTATATCGCGTTTGCAACGTGTTTTGGATAAAGGAAGGAAGATGCTGTACTCACTCCCATAATAGGGTTCAGATAACCAACCTCCGCAAGGTTGACACCGCCACATGTTATGATATTACGCGCAGCAGTGAGGCAATGTTGCTTGGATGACGAGTCGGCGTACGCGAAGATTCCGTGGAGCTTGATAATCGCAGCATCGACAAGGGCATGCGCTAAAATGAGAGTCCGAAGGGACGGGTCGCTGATCTCGTGCCCTGCAATGGCGGGGAGTTGGGCGCGGCACTGTTCGATGAGGCGATGTACGGTTTGAAACGCCGCTGCAAATGCTTGGAATTCACGTTGCTGCATATCTGTGGCAAATACCTTAGCAGATGAAGGAAGGAGATGATGAAACGAATTACTTGGGGTCCACTGGGCAGTCAGATGGGTTGCACGGTGGAGTAAGATCGACGATTTGGTGAGCATGGCGGTGGTGGAATCGACGACGCTGTGTGGTGCAGGGGGAAGGTTGTTCAGAAACGATCGCACAGTCGAATTGCCCCTGACTTCTGGCGTTAATAGACCCTGTGGATAAAAAGAGAGTTAATGATATCCCCCGTGGAAGATGAAAGCTATGCATACGTCGAGGTACTGGGGCATATCCAAAGGCCACGGGACGTCAATCTGAATGCCCGGAGCTTCCAGCGCCCCACAGACATTGAAGGGGGGCTCCAAAGCGACGCTAATGAGCTTGTGAAGGGTGAATACGGCCCAAAACCCGTTTATCCGCTCTCCTTCCTCGAGGTTCGTCTGAGGGAGATCCAGGTACACGGGCGCATCATGAGAGAGTCCAATTGTTGCGGGCGGTGCCATGTTGGCAGAGCGAAGTTTGTGGAATCCAGAACCCAAGGCCAGGGAAATGGCAGAGCCCGTCTGCCATTTTGCCTCCAAGAACCGTCCAGTGCGGAAGAAGTAGTACGCGAGCAGCACCTGTGCTTGCATGGTGTGGAGGATTCGGTTGGGATGTGTTCCAAACATGTCAGTGGCGACATGTTGGAGTGCACGTGTCAGAAACGCCTGCTCCTGCAGGAGCAGGGCCTCCGAATGAGAAAGATGTACACCCCACAGATAGACGACACTCAACAGCGCCGGAGTTGGGCGCGATGGATGTCCAAAGGGAGCGGAAAGCAGCGTGCTCGAACGGAAGGTGGGCACATGGAGGAAGAAACCAAACTCGGCCGCGTGTGGAAGGAATTTATCCAGTCTATGGAGAGAAGAGTTGAAGCAGGTTCCGCGGAGCGAGGAAATGACACGTACAAGTTTTGGATGAGAAGGAAGGAGGGTTCCTAATAGTTTGGTCAGACTGGTTTATAGACCGAGAGGGAGACTGACTCACTTCGGCGCCAAGGAAGGGTGATGTCGCGGGCAGCGGTCGAATCGGAGACGTGGAGGGTCCACTCGAGCCTGTTGATTCAGTGTTTGCGTGGAGGGCTGAGAAGGTGTTCCAGTGCCTACCAGAAGGAAGCGACGAGGATGTCGATGTTGGAGAGAAGGGCGACAATGGGGCAAGGGTCATAGTAGGCTCAGCCGGAATATAGAGTGGTGGTGATTTGGATATCCTCTGGGTTTCGTTATAGTGGGCGTAAGGGTCGTGAAGTTTGACGGAAGGAGTCGACGCGTCAGGATTTTCGAGTTCTTGAAGCCGGGCCTCTAAACGAGAAACCTGGTCTTCAAGAGCTTTTGTCCGTGAGCGACCAGGGCCATCCGAGTATTCACACTCGTCCTCTTTCGGATGGCGACGACATGGTCCACAGACTGGTTTGACTCCATCGCATTTCTAGCAAAACAGCTGTGTCAGTCGATGGCATGGGGGAAGACGAGGTGCAAGTACTCACAATTTTCAAAAATCTAAGTCGCGACGCGTCCAAGGGGAAATAGTCAGGTCCAGAACGTTAAGAACGATGAGCAAAGAGTGCATACCGACAATTCATGCAAGCCTTTCCCCTCTTCAAAGGCTTGGACGTCCTGACTGGCCCACTGCTTGACCCCCTGCTGGTGTTGAGATTGTCGCCGAGCATGGCCAGATATCGTCGTCGTAGAGTGCCAAAAGGCAGGCGCTTATGCGGATCAATTGGGGCGAGATAGAATGGAGAGTCGCCATTTTATAGTCTCGAGTTCAAGTGGAATAGTCAGATTGCTCCGAACCTCTGCTCCGATGCAGATGAGATCTCGTCAACTTGCACAGCATCTCGATTTGGCTTTTCTCTCTGAAAAGAGTCCGAAATAGTCCGGGGCCTTGCCTTTTTGAGAAAACGGGCCGGCGTATTTGCGGCTTGTTCCGTCAAATCCTATTCCGTCATTCCCCACGTTGCCGTTCCTCTGCCTTTCCTAGGCTGTGTTCAACATCGGTCTTTTCGTCCTCCACAATTTCCGACCCACAAACTCTGCAGGGGTCCTTTGTCCTTGTTCTCTTTCTGCCCAGCGGAAGGAATTTTTATCTTGATGCTCCCAAATCTTGTCCTTGCGAACCTCGGCCTGAATTCGTCATCTCTGGGCTCAGGCTTCTCGTCGTCCAGCGACCGTCCACCGACAATTAATTGCTTGGCTATAATTCATCCTCAAAGTGAATTGTAGCTCCGTCTCTCCATCACTTCGACCCGTAATTTCCGGATTATCAGCCAAATCCATCGGCAAACCAGGGGACGACGCGATCGTGGTTTTCCAGCACCGTGACCTCTCTCCCAGTCGACAGCTTCTCGTCGCATTCTATGCCCATTTCCCCCGTAACCTGAAGTCCAAAAAGGATTGACAAGGGTCCTGGAGTCGATTTGTTCGGCTATTAGCGCCCGATGCCTGCATCTTGTTGCCCCAAGAGATGAAAATGCTCGACTCTCTTGCCAATTTCTGACTCGTAGGTCGGAGCAAAATTTTCACCCTCGGGAGGTGCAGTGCGACCAAGGTATAAACCTTACATTAAATGACCATTGCAAAACATTGGTGAGTAAGGGAATCCATTGGCGCAGTAATCTCCGCCTTCGTCTCGTCCCCTGTGTTAATTTATTTTCGCAAATTCAGAGATAATCCATTTTGGCACCCAAAGACCTAGGGCTCTGTGGACCTCTGGCTTGTAGCCCCAGTCTAATGGTGATTTGGGTCGGAGTCCAGCCTCGTGTGCCATTGGGTCCCGAGGTGACGTATGTACCAACACGTTTTCCCCGGCCAGTTCTGCCTCGAGGCAGGCAGACACGCCTTTCCAAGCCTCGATAGTCGCCATTCCCGACTAATTTCTCCCTGCCTCGAACACAGCATCTTTTAACCGTTGTAGCTCATTCACCAGACCTTTCTCGTTCGTTCTTGTCTACTGACTGGAAACCACGATGCACGGTGCATTATTTTCACCGTCTCCGCAAGCTTTCAGGAGCAAGCAAGCTTAGTGGTCATTGTGACTCAAGTGGCGCCTGGAACATTAAACACCCCAGGGGGACTACCACCACCCCTCCTTCGTGCGACGGCATCCCGACTTTTTGAAGAACATTTGTCGCGTTTGGTTCATTGATATGGGACAACCGACACATGTACGTCCCGTGTATCGCCACCCACCTGCATCAGGACCCTGGTCCTCTGATAGAGGCTCTGCATGCCCTGTTGGGTCTCGCTCCAGTCAGCCGACCCGATTACACCATCCACTCCGCCGGCCAACTTCCTGCCCCCCGCACCGAGTTCCATCCTTCCCCCGGGGACACAAGGAGCTATAAACGACCCGGAACTTTGGTGAGCCCATTCGCGATCTATACTACCAGATCCTTCCCGCCGAAGCCCACCCCGTTTGCATAGGCTTATCATCCGTATGCATCCCGCTTGTGACACTTCAAGTACAGTGACATGCTCGTACCTATTCCTTTTATTAAATCATGTGTGCATGATCGAGAGTTGTTTACCCACTCTCTGCATTCTACGAGGTTGCCTGGTTCTGTTGCTATGGGATGGGGGACGCCCTGAATGGTCAGATTGCGCAGCGGGGAGGTAATATCCTTGATTGGGGGTGTGGAGGCAAAAGGTCTATTGTTGCCCTCAATAGGTACCATCCATACCCTTCACTGGAACCTCCGAGTATCCGACGCGGATCGGAATCCGACCCCTTCCATTCACCTGTCCTTAACACACTTTGAACGTCGGTGCAGAGGATCCACATGGTCCCACTACTTCTCAGCTTTCATATAGGCTCGCCACCTTCCCCTTCTAGAACGTGAGCTCGAGTGGTTGGGGACATTACCAGAGGGATCGATTGTGTCTCGCTCGATGTTTTCGCAACTTGCTTCCACCCACCTTCACCGCAGACTGACTTCCGTTGATTTTGGCAACAGCGATAAGGACTTCAAACAAAGCGACCACTATTACTTGATCCGGTTTCTATGTTTCCCATTATCCACTCGGGAGATGACAGATTCTCGCTTCACATGAACCACGATCCATTCTAGGGGCACCCACAGACATTGTCCTCATGATCGATAAACGGGGAGCATCCGGTGTCCTTAACTTCCTCCTCCAAGTACCTCACGGACACCGAGCTCCACGACAGTATAGAGGGTCTGGCCATCCAATCTAGCAACCATCGCACGCTCTTCAACAACAAGGGTTTCGAATCCAACAGCTCAGGGAAAAACATTCCAATCCGTCAACGGGGTACATTCCGTTATCTATAGTATCATAGGATGCACGCGCGCACTTTCCAAAGTGCCACCATACTTTATAACTCCGTAGTAAACACCTTGGCCCCACGGACGCCCAGTGGACGAGTACAAGGACATCAGGCTACGCGAAAAGGAAACCTCAACACCCACATGCTGTTTATCCCCCATCCGTTCTAATTAACCTGTGTAATCGATCGAAAGCTTCATACAATCACCAAGTATCCACGGTTTTCACATCACCGCTGGTGGTCGCCACCATCACTCTTCCCGATGTGACCTCTACGGCGGCAGGTGTATGAATTATCTGGTGGCAGGGTTAAACCCCAACTTTCCGTTGCTTCAAGTCGGTGACGGAGCATCCAAATGGATCTTGGGAGCTACACCCGATGAAGTCGTCGGTCGAGGTGCGTGCAGAGTCCCTGTAGATCTCGGGCGAGATGGTGACATGGCTAATTCCATACTCGTGGAAGCACTGTTGGAGGTGTTGCTCTGTCTTCTCCCACTCAGCAAGGGTGGTGCCGGAGGGGACACAGACGTGAAGGGTGGCGAGGATGACCCTGATAGAGTCGGCGACGTGGATATTGTAAGCAGAAATGCACAGTGGAGATGGAACGTAGAACATACGATTGCGACAAGTGCCAAACATGAAGGTCGTGTACGGATTGGACTCGCGGCAACTGGGTGAACGCAAGTCAGCCACAAGGAAGGAAGACCAAGGCATTGTTTTCGTCACTCACCCTGACGAGGTCTTCTTTGATCTTTTCAAGATTCAGGTGTAAGGGAGTTGCTTCCAAAAGGATGCGACCAGACCGGAGTGCTTCTCTAACATTAGCTCAACCGTAGACTGTCCTTGAAGAACCCTGAGACTTACTGAGAGGCACAGCGCTAATGAAGATGACGATGCTGATGGCTAGAGAAGCGGCAGGGTCAGCATAGTACCGTTCATAAGCCTCTAGCTTCCAGATGATAATGGCGACTATCATGACTCCGATGTCTAAGGCAACAGTCAGATACAATGTCATGCTTCACAAGAAGAGAAATCCTGACTGTTGACGGCATCCCCAAGAACGTGAATGAGAACACCGAGCAGACCGAGGTTGTGGTCGGAAAGAATAATGGGAGGGTCGAGGGTATGGTGATGGTCAGCGTGCTGAAGGGATCCTGTTTTGAGATTAAAGGTCGAGAAAACGACGATGGGGAAGGCGCACCAAATGCCTATCGGGATCCACGGACACTACTGTGGTCTGAACATCATCTTCGTTGACGATGGCGTTGGCGGAGTGACTGTGTCCATGCCCATGGTCTATGAGAGAAGTTTTAGGGTCTTGGTGAAGCACCCGGCCGCGAACCAGTGGAAGGAAAGAACATACCGTGGACGACAATAATGCTGATGATGTTGAGCCCCAGACCAATACATCCCACGATCAATATTAGCTTCGGGTCTTCTACTTCTTCCAAATGAACGAATCGCTCGATTGACTGAAGGAATATCGAAAGTGCAAGGGCGAGCAGGAAGACACCATTAAAAAACGCCCCTGTGATGGTATTAGCATTTGGCATCACCGCATTAATGTGGGCAGACTCACCAACAAGTTCGGCCCGATGGAATGCATAGGTGAATTCATGAGTCTAATTATAGGTGTGGGCATAAGAAGGGTATGTCGAATTTCCAGTTATGAACGTACGTGTTTGCGTCTTTCTTTGAGCTGTTACATTAAGGTCAGCATCTACCCCGAGTCCGCCAAACGAGGGATACACTCACCCACGCCGCTGCAAAGGCAATGACACTGGAAAGAAGTGGCAGTGGCCATGAATCACTGGACTTCACTGTCATCATCGTGGGACTCACTATGCGACGATGTCCTGCCAAGGGAAATCAGTCACCGAGCAGTGAAATGGGACGAGAAAGACACTCACGTTAAGGTAATGAAACTGCGGACACGCATAAGCCTCAGAACAGCAGTTAGATGGTAGGGAATTCGATAAAGACGAACCGCATCTGCGATAAGTGCAAGACTCTTGGTTCGAAACCCAACTGGTTTGCAAGCTATTAGCTTGACTATATGTTGTAAATGGCGGCGTTGCTCACCAATAATTTCGACAATGAAAAAGGCCACGCTGACTGCCAGCACGATGCCAATGCGTGTTGTGTTCTTCATCGCCAACGTCCTTGCGCGAAAGTGTAAAGAGTGCGGTGGTTGTGGGCGTTTGGGAGAAGACGAAAGACGAAGATTGTGGTGTGAGAGCAACAAGCACGTTCGCTCAGACGGGGGTATCGGGAATTGAATTTGATTGTCCCAACCTGGCACTTTGCCCAGGCCGGTTCGAGGAGGACAGGTGCGGGGGAACGATCCGGCGCTAGCAATATGGCCGACATCCTCATGGCCAACTTTAACTCTGCCAAATACCTAACTCAAATTCCAAGAATTATGTAGTAGACGCATATTCACATATACAGCTGGAATGAAGGGTACAGATCTAGAGCCAGTTGTACTCACTGCAGCCACCTCTTTTTCCTTCTCTAATCCTCAGTATGGGAGTGAGTCAAATCAAGTCAAAACTGTTAAATTAGAAATGATCAGGCTCAACGGGACGAGGGACCTTCTGTCGTGTGGTGAATATATTCCTTCCGCGATTAATGTAGCTTGCGAACCCGAGTCTTGAATCCATCTCGTCAATGGAGCTGAGTTTAGAGCAGCGAAGTTAGGGTCAGAACCAAAAATCAAAAGGCAGACCAACCGTTTTCTCATTTCGCTGGCCCATGTTATTTCTTTCAGCGGTGGGGCATTTAATGAAGCTCCGAGAATACCAAGAACCATGGCTATGAGAGTCTCCGCCAAGATCTGGTCGACAATGCGTTAGACAAAATCCTGAAGGCGGCAATATGCGAAAGTAAATCGGGGCATACATCTCGTGGTATTGGTCCCTCTGGTCGTTCCAAAGCTTTCAGATAGGATAAATCTAGGTCGGCAGTTCAGCGCTGTGTATTTGTATTGAGCTGGTCGCTACACACGTTCATATGTTGAGAATGCAGCTGAAACGGTGTCAAGAACATCAGTAAAGGGGCTGTTGGGCGTGAGGCGCACCATGAAGTATCAAACACGTTGAAAACAGCAACAGAGCACGTCCCAGCATCGTCAAAGGCGTCGAAGACGAATAACCTGAGAAGCTTGGTGGTCGCGGTCAAGGATGTATATTTCGGGTCGTGGTCGATGATGACAACGGTTTCGTCCACGTGTTCGCGGGGCCATTGCGCTGTCACAGCGTCAAACCCGGCTTTCTACCAACCCATACAGCGTTCTGGTCACCGCTTTGGACCGCCAGCGGATCCCTGGAACAAGGTCAAGAAATCAGGGAAATAGCGTTCAAGGCTAATGGCGTTTGAGATACCGCAGCATCTCCCAAGGAAGGCGCTTCCGCAAGATGTTTCGTCCAAGATCCTGAACCGAATTGACCAGGCTTTGGTCAAAGACCTGGATGCGAACTTGGCGAATTCATGGGTGACTGAGCTGGACGAGTCTATATCTGCCACTAAGGTATGCCACGTTGCCGTTGTTCCACTAGAATCATTTGACCATGGCTTGGTTAGACACGGATTCATGACCGAATCCAAGAGGACTTGCCCAAGTTCCAGCACCAGTTGGAGACCTCCAAGTCTGTTCAGACACGAACTACGGCACTGGGAAAGGGGATAGAAGATTTGAACGAGAAGATATCGTCACCAGTATGTCCACCTCAGTCGTACAGTCTCTTGCCGTGTTAACTTTGCAATAGTCGGGTTTACTTCCGACTACATTGCATAGGTTGCAGGTCCACGCTACATTGCAGCAACAAGCAAACGATGCAACTATCATCGCAGACTCTCTCGCCCATCTCTTGAAGTGCAAGCAGCAGTACACTTCGTTGCTCTCGCTAGTCAAACTTGGAAAGTTACCGGAGGCCGTCGTAGCGTCTTCCGAGCTGGAGAAGACATGCTCTACGTCTCCCAAGGCATTGGAGAACGCTGTGGTCTTGAAAGATTTGAAGGTATGCATCTCGTGAAAGAGACGAGGTACCTGCTCATTCGCCCACAGCACAAGTTGCAAACACTGAAAGCACGGGTTGAAGAACAGCTCTTAGACGCCCTCTCAAATATCCTCATTATCCAACCGACCCGATTGGCTGTCCGGAGTGAAGTTTCCAGTATGTTCAGACATATGTTTTCCTTTGACGAGACTAATCGTTTCCAGTACCCAACTCGGATGCTACAGTAACGCTTGAGGCCATTCTCACTTCTCTGTCTCTGCACTCGCTTGAAGACTATTTATCGACCTTCCGGAAGCACCTCACGACCTATTTTGTTGAAAACGTTCTGCAGCAACCCTACTCAGTGGGCGAAGGAATGACCATGACCGAACGGGCTTTGAACCTTATCCCCACGTCCCCGAATTCCGAATCACGTAGAATTCGCCTGGAAAACCTGGCCCACATATTCGATTTCATTAACGCCCATATTTTCCCCAGACTCCCTCCCAGTCAATCATCTCTATTCCTTCGCTCGCTCGCAAAACCTCTGACAGCCAGCATCCTGAACCTGTTCTTGATTCCTCAACTCCCATCTTCATTCGGCCTTCTCCCACAATTCTTGGAATTGGTTAAGCAGGCAGTGGAATTCGAGGAAGAGTATATCATTAAATTATTGAAGGTTGACGCTCGAGACCGACCGTTGAAGGAATGGGCCAACAACCTCTCCGGTCACTACGAACGTCAGCGCAGGAACATCATTCTGGACAACTGTCGCTCGTTACTTAAGGAGCCTATGTCCGCTTCGGCCACCTTCCTAGCAGAGGTACAGCAGTCTGTTGAAACCTCGTTCCCCACTGCAGTTAATGGAGACGAAGCTCAAACGTCCCCCGAAGAAGACAGCTGGGGCTTTGACGATGATGCCAACGCCAAAATGGACTTGGAACAGGCGGAGGATAGTTGGGGATTCGACGACGACGTCCCACAGGAAAATGGAGCCCAGGTGGAGGACAGCTGGGGTCTCGATGACGACGCTGCTTTGCAGGATAGCTCAGTCGTGGACAACGGATGGGGCTTTGACGACGACATCGAACCGGAAACCGAGGCAACTGAAGAGGATGTGCAGCAGCCTAATGGGACGCATGAAGGCTCTTCGTCTCCATCGGAAACGCCAGACCTTGGGGAAGGGGAGCCAGATGCGGACGATGCATGGGGATTAGACCAAGACCCGGTTCCAGCAGATGAGTCGGGGGAGCAAGCCTCTAGTGACGATCCGTGGGACGACCCCTGGGGCGACCCTGCGCCAGAATTGGAAGAATCTGCACCTGCGCCAGTGCCCGCCAAAGCACCCAAGGTTGCTAAACGCCTTGAGAAGCTTGCCTCCAAAACCAAGAAGAAACAAATGAATGGCAGCGCTCTCCACCATAGCCCTTCTCCCTCTCCACCGCCACCACCTCCGCCTTCGCTACCGCCTTCTTCCACCCAAGAGACGGTGAAGCAGGGTAAAGGCCGCGCTAGAACAGCTTCCGCTCCCAAACCCGCGGCCATTGTCACCAAGGTGCACCCTCCTGTCGAGCAATACCGTGTCACGGAACGCACGAACCGGATCGTCCGCACAGTCGAAGATGCCATCGCCGAAGGCAAACAATTTGCCGCCTCCAACCTCTTTGCCAAGTTCGCTACGACATCTACTCCTGGAACCACCCTTTTCCAGACTGCCACCGCCGTCCTCGATTTGTACCAGGCGTTCTATCCAGTCAAGTTGGAGGCTGAGTTGCAAAAGATCGAAGGTGCATTGCAGTTCTCCAATGACTGTCTTTATCTCGGCGAGGCTGTCGAGAAGCTGGAGCAGGAAGTTTCAGGCCAGGCGAGTCTTAAGGAGCGACTGGAGGAGTGCAAGCGGCATTTGGGCGTCTTGGCCGACAGCTGGCTACAGGATGCAGTTGTGAGTAGTTTCTCTTTGGTTCCACTCTCAGTAGTAACAGAACTCACTGCAGGAGTCGGAATGCCGTCGGCACGTTCAGCTTCTTTCCGACGGATGCGAGGGGTTCACTTATACCATGGACCAAGATCGTTATGACGAATGCGAAAGCACCATCAACCAAGTCGTACGGAGTATCAAAGATTTGGCTAGGCGGATAAAGGTGCGACGACCATCTCTGTGTTGCGTTCATTCAGCTGAACCATTGGCCACCAGCCTATTCTCTCCAAAACAAAATACTACCAGACCTTGGGAAGATTCGTCGACACCGCTCTCAGCCGTACTCTTCAAGATATCGTGGCATTACCTGACATTACAGAGGTGGAATCGCATCGTTTGAGTGAATTATGCCGCATATTCAACTCGGTGGAAGGTTTGTTCAGCGAGGACCCCAACCAGGTCAGTAGCTATATCCATTCTTCTCCTTGTGGCCCTAGCCGACATCATATGCCCAGCCTTCCTTTGTGGTCGCGTACGTTCCATCATGGCTCAAGTTCAACTATATGTCCGAGCTTCTGGTAAGTACCGCTGTCACCAGGGAAATTCCTCGCTAAAAAGAGAAACAGGAAGCCTCTCTGGCTGATATCACATACCTCTTTGAAGAGGGAGCTCTCGTTGACTTTGAGGTCGACGAATTGGTCAGATTGGTTCGCGCTTTGTTTGCGGATACCCCTCTAAGGACGAACACGATCAACAAGATCCTTGCTGGACAATCCCAGTCTTCTTCATAGCCCAATCTCTCTCCCTCATGGATGCATTCTCAGTGGATTTTTACGATACTATTATTCCTACTTAAGTAGCTAGTTTACGGTCACTCATGTCAGCCTCATCATGACTTCTTTTTATCGGTATAGGCTTTTAGTCTACACCATCTCGTCAGTGTGAGCTTTAGTAAAAGGAGCTCGAAAGAACCTCACCGTTGGTAGTCGCGTTCGACTTTGGCGTCTGAAACTTTGCCTGGTGCCTCTTCATCGTCACCGCCGGCGGCTTTCTTCTTCTTGTCCTTCTTTTTCCTGTTCTTATTCCATGATGTCGAAGCCCGGTCCATTTCCAAAAGTTCCTTCACGTCGATGGTGGAACTAGCCAGAGGCACCAGGCGCGCAGGTCGTTCGTCGACATCCATTTCTCCATCCTCAAGGTCATCCTCTGGTAGCACAGGTTTGGGAGGACCGGTCTCTCGTGCAGGAGACTCGGTACGTCTTTTCGGAGATTCGGTACGCGGTGGAGGTTCGGAGGTCTTCCTGGTGAATATAGGCAAGTCGTCATCCACAGATACCCATTTGCCTGGCGCCGTTTCCTGCTCTTCACCCTCCTCCCGTTTCGGCGACTCGTCATCATCATTGTCATCATTGTCATCTAGTTCCAGCCCCTTGTACTCCCCTGCATCAGCAAAGATGTCGAAGTCGTCGTCTATAGGCTCTGGCTCCGGCTCTGGTGGAGGAGCAGGAGTAGCGGAAGAAGAAGTCGTCGGCTGTGCAACTTCACCTTCCTTTGCTTCCTCTTTCGCCTGTGGTCCAGCTTCACTTTCGATCTTCCGCTTCTTCTTCTTCCGTTCTCCGTCCTTGCCCTCCCCCTTAACCTTCTTCTTCTTCTTTCCCTCAGTGGACCCTCCAATTGGCTTGAACCCGATAGGTTTGAACTTGCCCTTCTGCTTCGCCTCTTCAAGTAACCGAGCCTCTTCCTCCGCAGACTTCTCCCTTGTGACCTCTCCACCGGCACCTCCAGTTCGTTTCTCCTTGAGTTCGCGAAGGAGGTCTTCTCGCGTACGTTTCTTGGGCTTTGAAGCCTCACTGAAAGCTTGCTCCAAGCTGTCATCGTCGACGGCGTCGGTGGCTAGCGCTGCCCTAGCCTTGTTTTGTTCCAGTAGGGCAAAATCGAGACCTTTGACGAGAACAGAGTGTTCGCTGTCTCCTCCGAGGTACTTTCTCTTTTCTTCAATCTATACCGCGCTTAGTGAACAAGGGCATGGAGAACAGACTATTCACGCACGTCGGCAGAGTTTCCTTCCTTTGCCTGCTTCTCGAACTCGCTCAATACAGCTTCGACCTACGTTCAGATCATTGTTAGGGGTTTTCACGAAAGAGTTGTCTTCCCCAACGTACATGAGCAAAGTCATGGGCCTGTCCAAGCCGTCTCTCTGTCGCACGATCTCGATACTTGCTTTCCGCATTCGGCTTCACCTTCCTCGGTTTGAAGGCAGGCTGAGAAGCATCTATAGTCTTCCTTGAAAGATATGTTAAAATATTGTTGGTAAAGTTCTGACAGGACGTACGCTTTGGACACGGTTGGCTTTGAACAGGATCTTCCAATTGGAGTTCGGGAAGAGGACGATGCCCCTGAACTGAGGAGAGAGCGGAAGGAGTCCTGTATATCAATGTTAGTCTGTAATTTAAACAACTCGTGCACCGTACAGACCTGATCCATGCTTCTGTGAAGCTGAGGTTGGTGGAAAGAGCTTTCACCGTACAGCCACCAATGCTCTCCCTCATGTTGGAATTGATCCCATCAGTGATCTACCTTCTGCCCCTATTGAACGCCACTTCAGTGGACCCCAATGTACCTGGTATAGACACGATGCGCATTTAGCAGAAGATTAACATATCTAGTGTACATTGGTATATGACTCGACATTCTCGATGTACCTCTTCCATCTTCCATTGTCCCAACCCAAAATCAGCTTGTACTGTTCACTCTCCTTGCCCCACGCCGACCTCGTCCAAAGAATCATCGCAGCCAACACAACATCCGCGAAAGTAAACCGTTCACCCATAACCCAATCCCCTCCAACCTTCCCCTGGTCCAGTATCTTGGCATAGTCTTTGAACACCTTCTCAACCTCCTTCCAACCCTGCTTCTCCGGCCTGGCCTGTTCCAAAACACTCTCCCAATCAGGCAAATTCAGCGCCTTCTGTATGAACTCCTTCCCAGACTCCCTACTCGCTTCGTCGGAAGTATACTCCACGCCTTTACATCCAATCAAAGGCGTGAGCTTGATCCTAAGCGGTTCTGTGCTCTGCGACCACCCTGCTTGGAGGGCCCCGGTTCCCGCTGGAATGAGCTTCGAGGTATCGGGATATGCCTCGTCGAGGTATTGGGCGATGCGGAAACTGTCCGAGATGTATACGCTCTTATCAGAGTCGTAAATAAAGGGAATGGTGTAGTGGGGCGAGCCGTCCGGCCTCGTCCCTGTAGGAGGGATCCCTTTGGCTTTCGCGAATTCTTCAATCTTGGAATAGTCGACCCATTCGGTTTGGTAGGGTATCCCTTTATAGTTGAGACACAACCTAGCCATCACAGCATTAGTCGTCTGTCGACGAGAGGAAGAGACCGAATTTTTCTACCTTGCTCTCCAGCAAAACGGAGAAATGGTCATGAGAGGTCTCTGGGTATTCTTGATATCGTAGAGGGTAATCATCCTGGCACACTGTGAGTGGGAAGCAAGCAATGAGGACATTCAGATCGCTTTCGCAGCGTCCTCTAAATACCTAGCTACTTCTCAGCAGAGCCGCCGATCCGTATCACACCGTCCTTGTCATGCCTTTCCAAACGCACGCCATCTTTGCCAATTCCTACAGCTCGAATAATCAACATTACTCACACTACCCTACACAGAGTAGGGTTGGATTCCAATCTGGTGAATGAATACCTGTTCCTATGCCACTCGTACTCGGGGCCAAAACGCCTTCCAATGGAGGTAAAAACAGAAAGAAATAAAATGGTGTATGATACAGAGATTTGCCTATCTTATTTCACTCTCGGAGAGTCTTTCATTCAAACTTTATTGTTCTTCTTCAAATTCTTTAATCTAGAAAACCGCACCCCACAAAAAAACAAAACCCTATCCAATTAGAAAACCAAGGACGCATCGGCAGACATTAACGATCACTCACTCTCTTTTCTTCCCCTTCCAACCCCCTCCGACTCTAGGAAACCCCAAAAGACCTCTAACGAAAGAGTCCACCAGAGAAATTAACGAGCCAGGGAACGGAAGGAGTGAAAGAAAACAAAAGTATGGTAAAAGGGTGGAAGGGGATGTGATAGCCAAACGATTGTGAGTATTACGTCGAAGACCAGTAAGGAAGAAAATTCAGCGAATTTATTCAGGGACCCGGGAAGTAATGTTCAAAATGGAGGGGGAAATGAGAAAAGGAGGTGGGAAATAGCTTCAAAATAACACGAGAAGGGTATGCGCGCGCGGAGAAAAAAGGGGTGAGTAAAAACGAGATTAACAGGCTGATGGCGTAGAGATAGGGCGGTTTGCAAATAGATATACCTGGAGAGCAGGTAGGGGGAGAACAAACGGCGGGATGAGGGAGGGCGTTGAAGGACAGATTAGTGAGCCTGCTTTCGCGAGCTGCGTCCCAGGCTAATACGAAGACATGTAAACTACGGTCGCCAGCTTCGAGAGCTCGAAGGTCATCAGAGAAGTCGATGTTCCAGTAAAACCAGGTAACAGCGGAATTTGTCCAGCAAGAAGTTTATTACGCAGCACTGTACAAGAACAAATTGTTCGTGGCAGCAATCTAAAAGAGAGGATGAGTAAGGAGGACTCTCAACGGGAGGCGGAACAATTGATGCTTACCGCAATCGTATTCTCTCGAGGGTGCCAGCTTGCGTGTAGAATCTTCTTGTTGAAATCGAGTGTCTCCAATTGCATCGCTTCCCTCAATCCACCTGGTCTCGGTCCGTTCTTTGCCTTGTTGCCCGGCAAGGGCCCGCCAATCTTCTTCTGCTTGAAAGCAGATTTATCCGCTTGAAGTACCACGTCATTAAGCGTCTCCGTGTCGTATATCCGGAAATAGTTGTGGTAAGAGCCTGTCAGCACGTGTCTACGCAAGGGAGGAGAAGAGTAAGCATCAAGGAAAGAGAACAACTAGAACGCCGAGCGTACTTGTCATCACCTCCCCACACACACTCGAATTTGTCGAAGATGCAATCGTTCTCATACAAATCGCAAAGCTTGCCACGTAAGTGGTCGTGGATAGGGATCGTCTTCACTGGTCGCGACTCCATGTTGATATCCCAGATCTTCAACGAGAGGTAGTCACGCGAGAGAATGTATCTCCCATCATGACTAAATTTCACGTCAGAAATGGAGGAAATGATCTCGGAGAAGAACGAGCGAGTTGACGGGTCTTCCTCCTCTTCAAAGCCTACAATCCCGGTCTCAGACAATGACAACCAGGAGTTAGGATGGCTGACGCACATTTGGCATGTCGATCGCAGAGAGCTGAATCACGCATATCAGCGAGCTTGATGTTGCTCTTGGAGCTCGAATACATGAACAAGTTGCACTGGGTTGGGTGGAATTCTGTCGCAGTAATGACCTCTGTCAATTCCTCCATGTTGACCGGCTTGATGTCAACGATATCTGATCAAATCGTGTCAGTCACCAAAGAATTGCCCTACTCGTCTAGAGTAGAACATACTGAAACTCTGATCGCTGATGTTGAGGTTCCAGAGATTGATGCGCAAGTCGTCGGCAGAGATGTAGGTCTCCTGGTCGGAATTTACAGAGATAGAGTGGATGTGGTATGCGTGGGCGTTGGCGTAAACTTTCCGAGGAACAGCAGCAATGATGTTATCTTGCTGCTGCATCCGGGGAAGGCGGAGGTGCTGAGCGGAACTGGGGGCTGGTAATGGACGTGTACCATCGAAGTGATTGGACTCGGTCACTACCCGTAGGGACTTCTCGAAGACCTTCCAGAGTTTGATCGTTTTGTCTGCAACGATGATTCAAACAAGAAAGCAAACCGAGAGGCGAGAACAATTACCATTAGTCGACAATAGGAAATGGGCGGCATTCTGTCGTTTACACCATTTGATCTTGTTGATTTTCTCCTCGATTTCAAGAGATTTTAGGTAGTCGAACTCGGGCTCGTGTGACTGGAACTCGGTGTAGAACTTGTACTCGCATCCCTTTTTCTGTGGGTTGAGACAGATAATGGGTCAGAACGATGCGGGGTCAAGATAGCGCAGGTCGAGGCGATCCGATAGCGGTGGGAGGCAGTTGTCGACGAGACGCTCACCATTTCATTTCTCTCAAAGAGCACGACACGACCGCCTTTGTCTCCTGTGGCAAGATAATTTCCTGTCGAGTCGAATTCGACGGTGGAGATGATGTCGGCTACGATTGAATGGATCAAGTCAGAACTTGGACGATAACGAGAATCTGTTCAGGGCCACAGTCGAGGAGCATCGTCATACCTTCTGTGATATCCTCGACTTCACCCTTGTCTCCAAAACATTGGGCAAAGCGCCATCCTCCAGAACCTGATGGGTCTTCCATGAATCTCAGATGTCAAAGCGGTGTGTTTGAGTCGATTTTCGGTGATTTCACAACTGTGAGTGGTGTGTACAGACGAAATCTAGGGAAAAGTCAAGATATTGGAATTGGTCGCCGAGGTCGAGGAAACAGCGTGTGGACAGCGTGTAGAATGAGGCCAACAGTCCAATGGCGCGAGTCGAAACGTGACGCCCGTGTTTGCTTTTATTTGTCATCACCTTCTCCATCCAACTCGCGCCCCGACATTTCCCTTGCTCTCATCACCGTTAGGAACGACCACCAACTCCTTTTTTTCCGTCGTCGTCAACGCTCCTTTTAACAATGCCCATCGCACCAATCACTGGAATCCTTCGCAAGCGCTTCTGGCTCGACATGGGCTGCTCACTCGGTCTTGCAGTCACTGGTGCTTATGCCTTCTGGTACGTGTTGTTGCTCGCCTCGTTTTCTTGTTGCTTTTTTGCTCACCGCTCTTCCAGGTATGGCATCCACTTGAAGTCCTGTGAGTAACCCTCTTCAAAGCTTTCAGATAGCACATAGACTGACCGCGCCGTCTAGTGGAACGCCAGGAGGCCTACTACCTCAAGCTTGAGCGCGAACGTCTGCAGAACCAAGCCTAAGCATCCTTAGAGCGGAACGCGGAGAGCTGCCACCCACTGTTCGTGTCATTTTCACCCATCCTTGTTGGTGTCGATACCGGGCTCTAACGACTCACTCGTGCAGGTCCACATTCCAGATCGGCCCAGACCTCCTCGTCCCTTTACTACCCATGCAATCATGTAACGAACCAAGTACTCTAGGGATACGATTATAAACGTAATTGGGCATAACACACAAATAGCGAGCGTGAACCGATACCGTGAAATAAATTAAGACTACACGACATTACCGAAGAACTCCTAGTCTCTTCAGCTCTTCGCAGCTGGGTATCACTTCCGACTCTATCTTTTTCACCTTCTCCCAGTCCGTTCCAATACCAAAGATTCCAATCTCAGCGTCCCTCAGCCGTTCCAACCTCTCCCTTCCCCGGTGGCATTGGACCCTGAGGTCGTGCGTGTAGATGCCCTCCACATTATCCTCGAATTTCGTCATAGCCGGACCGCGCTTCTTTCCTTTCCCTCGAAGCTTCACCGAGTCCGACTCTTTCCCGCTCTTAAGTTCCTCCCCCTGTTTGCCAATCTTGACTCCTGCCTTGGCCAACTCGGGGCCAATGACAGGGTGGGCTGTAAATTCGGTTGGGTTCACATAGTATGGGACACCGAGCTTCCCCGTTTCCAGCTGGGCGTTATACTGACGCGTGTTGGTAAAAGAGAACCGTGGGTCGGGGACGGGAGGTTCAGAGAATATAGATGGCAAAGCGGAGAGGATGGAAAAGGCAAAGAGAAGAATAAGGGGAAGAAGTTGGATGAGGAGCGACCGTGGCTCCATATTGGCGTTGGCGTTTGGTGCTGCCGCCCGACGTCGCGCAAATCCACCGTTACTGGTGGTGAAGGTCATTCCAGGACCGAACGAGAACGTGGCTAGAGAAACGATGAGACTGGGGTAAACCATCCAACTGCCCAACCTGACTAACCTGTACCTGGCCCACCGAATCCAGCCGAGAAGCCAGGACCACCACCAAAGAACATATTGAACAGTTCCTCAGGGCTGATTTCATCACCGAAGCCAGCATGGCCGCCAGCAAAGGGACTGGCCGTAGAGAAACTTGGAGAAGACGATGACATTCCTCCAAACCGAGATTCAGGGTCGGCGCCGCTGCTGTCGTAGATCGCTCGCTTCTGCGGGTCTATGGCGATACAATTCAGCGCAAGGTTGCGCGAAGAAAGAATCAAAACTCACCAGAGAGGACTTGGAAAGCCTTCGAAACCACTGACGAAAACGTAACACCAGATAAGCTTTGGATACTGACAACTTATTACCATACACCCACACTTGAAAGCTTCATCGGCCCCCGGGGCACCGTTTTTGTCAGGATGCAACGCCAAAGCAAGCTGCACAAACCGTTAGATTAACGAGCGCACGGGTAGCACGAACATACGTACCTTGCGGTATGCTTTCTTGATTTCAGCATCTTCACAATCCCGTTTGACAGACAAGATCTCGTAGTATTCTGTGACCTTGCAAGCCCTGACTCTCTTGACAACACTGAGCTGTTCCTGGGTATACTCTCTCTTTTCCCCACCCATGCCACCAGCCGTCCCATTCGCCTTCGCCTTCTCCCCCGCTGTCGAGCTCGAATTCCCCGACGTATGTCGATGCTTCATACCCGCAGCAGACGGATGTTCTTGAGTCTGGGTTGTCGTTGAACTCGACGTCCCCTCTCCAGCCTTTTCCCCAGCATTGATTTCCTCTAAGAGTTCATCCGCCTGAGGTGTTGCGAACAGCGCTTTCGACTTGAGACAGAACTTGCGTGCAGAGGGAAAGTTGCCAGCGTTGAAGTGTTTGCGAGCTATTGAGATGCATCGGAGGGCTTCGTCCTTGTTGCTCTCCATGGCCATCGACAGTCGCCGGCTCGCAGCTAGGTGTAACTGAAGATTGAGAGATGACCGTTGTCGGTGGGCCAGAGGCGGTGACGGACGTGGAACTATCAAAGTATTAGGTTAGGGTTACTCGTGACCGCAACTGGTGCCGAGGATCTCTACGATGACTGATGACTGTTTCTCGACACTTTCTTTACTCTCTACTTCGTAGATGGTACTCTCAGCCCAGGGCTCTCGGGCTCCAGGTCCTAATCCGAAGGAACCGGAGGACTCTGAAGAACTTGCCAGATTCAGAGCAGAATGGAGGGCAGAACTCGCACGACGCAAGGCTGCAGAGCAGTCTGAACAGAAGGGGAAACAGCCAGAAGAGACCCAGGGCCAGGCCGAGGCGAAACTTTCAACCAGGAACGCTAATCATCGACCACCCATCAGAGCTTTAACAACCGGTGCTCATGTTCCTGGAGGATCCGCACAGAAGCAGCAGGTCCTTCCTCTCCATCCGGCTATCCAGGACGGAAAGCTGGCATCGGCCCTGGGCAAGTCATCCACCTTGTCCGCGGCTCTGCAAGTCTACAAACAGGCTGTCCAGCATGAACAACGGCAAGACTTGGACACTGCTTTAATTTTGTATCGTCAGGCCTTCCGTCTGGTCGGTCCAAGGTCTCATATCCACTGAGGTTGCAGACTAACACCTCCGTAGGACCCCCACGTCGACCGGGCTTACCACAGAGAGGAATTACTACAGGCCAAGTTACAAGAGTATAAGGAGAAAGCGACAGTACATCTACCACCTTCCGAGGCCGCGGAAGTGAAGCAACTCGTGTCTGGATTGCAGCAGCTAGCGCTCAAGACCACGACCGACGACAGGCAGCGGGCCCTGACAGGCAGTCTCGCCAAGATCACAGCCGGCTTTCCTTCGGATATCCAATTCGAGCCCGAGGACGAGAAACAACCTGTACATCTTAACATCTTGCCTCCAGAGATGCTGTTTGCTATTCTCCGAAACCTCGATGTCACCTCCCTTGAGCGGTTCGCGACAGTCAGTAGGAAGGCCCGGTTGCTCACGCTGGACCCTGTTTACTGGAGGTATGGTGATCCTTTAGCTCTAGTTCGAGGCTAACCATTACTGCTCGCACAGTGACCTAGTGACCAAGACATACAAGCCCCCACAGTTGCAAAATATAGAAGACCTTTTGCCTGTCATAGAGAAATACAATTCGGACTTTCGACGCGTTTATATTGAACACCCAAGAATTCGAATGGACGGGGTGTACATTGCTACTTGCCATTATGTGTATGTTCTTGTACTTCTCTTTGGTTGTCTCGAGCTGAAGGGGCCATTCCCTAGTCGTGCTGGGATAAGCGAGGATGCTTGGATGAGCGTATGTATCCTTCGTCCCTTATGACACCGTGACTGACCGCCAATCCTACTATATTCAGCGAAGTCATCTCATCACTTACCATCGCTATTTGTACGTCCCTTCCTGTTCTGCTCCTAATCAGTAGCTAATCCCGTCCATCAGGCGCTTCTACCCAAATGGTCAAGTCCTTTCCCTTTTGGCCAACGAGCAACTCAGCCCTCAAGATGTCATCCCCATGCTGAAGCCAACTCTCCGAATGAAGGTTCGAACTCGATATTCCTGCGTCCATTCCATTCAACTGTGTTACTGAACTATCTTTCCGTCGACGACATTTTTGTAGGGGTTTTTCATCGGGAACTGGTATCTGGAAGGCACGACCTTGAACATCGTCAACCTGTTGGACGCAAGTGGCCGATACGCCCTACCCGATTGGGACCTGCTCGACGCCGAACCTTTCATTTCGAGGAACTACCGTACCCCTCCAGCACCTTCAATACCTGACTCTGGTCAACCAGGGGTGTCGACCAATTCGACCTTTGCCGCCATGGGTTCATCTGCGCCGAACGCCGCTACCACTGCATCCCAAGCTTCCCGATACATCTTCGACATGACCCTCGAAGTCCGCTCCAAGCCTCTTGGAAGGTGGAACAGACTCGAGATTCGATCGTACGATTCGATCAATTTGGAGACTGGCGATGTTAGCCCGTTCCCGCTGAAGAACGAGCGTCCATTCTGGTTCTCCAAAGTCAGATCATACTCCCACTAGCTTCACGACGCGACTATCTTGTCCCTAGTTCAGTATCGTATACAACTACCGGGATAATGGCATCTGAGACCGTATTCCATTGCAAAGTGTAAACGACAGTGAAGTGAGAAGGCGGATTAGTGGTGGGATGCGTATAGTGCATTAGGGAGCGTGAGTAGTTTAGTGCACATGAGTGGCGACAAGATTACGGGAATCGAATGAATGTTGTATATGAGGATAAAGATAAAGAGTCCAAGGGGCCCGCGTTAGATAGTGAATCAACACACAGGACTAGTGAGCAACGTATGCGACACAGAGCAGCGGGAATCCGGCATAAAGTCCTAACCAAAAGACGATGTTACCCATGAGTTTATTCTGCTTGATAGCAGGTATCCGACTGATCAAAATCAAAGGGATCTGAATCAACTGGAGCACAAACAGGTACATCCTATTCATCGCAAAACAAAAGAACCATCGAGTTAGTCAATCAACTGCCAAAGAGTAAACCAACACCAACCTAATCTTGCGAGTAACAACCGCCATAACCAATTCATGTGCAGCAGCGCTGAACAAGAATGTGATGAACATCGCAGCAGTCTTGGACATCCTGTATTCGCTGAGGATAGTGGCTGCGTAGACGTGTCGAAGGAGGAAGGTGTGTACTGGTTTGTTCCATTTGCGAGAAAACTCGTCCCAGGACGTCGAGTTCCACTGGCATATAATTAAGCGATTGGGTCCAGGAACTGCATGAAAGATCTTGGCTTACCCAGTCTTCGTAGAACTGACGATCGGCAAAGCTTGAGAAACTGAATGAGCTTCTGCTCGACGACCTTTTTAGGCGGATGACGTACTAGGATAACTCTGCAAAGCCATTGCAGATACATTCTGTAGGCAATCGGAACGTAAGTCGTCTGCGACGCCGAGAAAGCAGGGGACGCACCAAAGATGATGTAAAATAGAAGTAGATATGCGATCATGAAAGGGAGGGCGAGGTCGAGTAAGGAACGTAGGAAAGATTGCTCCCCGGTGGGGGTATAGGGAAGGATGAAACGGTCGGTTACTGTGTAGAGCAGTGCGAAGGTTCCAAAAGTGGCGACCTAGATTTGGTTAAGCTATTTAAAGCTCAGCTAAGTCAGAGTTATAGAAACACATACCGTCTTCTCGAAAACATAGAACGGCCTGATTTTCTCTGTTCTGGGATACTCAAGCTCATACACAAGGGTAGGGATACATTGGTAGACTGCAAAGTCCTTCCAACCAATGTTAGCCGGCCAGACTGTATAATCCTTTGGCCCTCTACTTGTCAGATCTCCCAGCAAATCCGAGTATTCTTCAGCCAATACAGCAATCTCCGGGTTAGGATGATGAATGAGAGGATGAGGTTCCGGAGGGCGGCTGGTTGAAACTACAAAGGTTGTTGACTTTTCCGAAGATGCTGCACTTGTAGGCGTTGCACCTCCACTGGCCACCTCCTCCGAGAAGACCTGTCGAAGTGGGTGCCCACCTTGGCTTTTGTCATTGTTGTTGCTGGGAGACTTGGTGACAGCAGCCAAGCGTTTCCGGAGTGCCGAAGCTGTTCCAGCATCCACGAAGGACGATACAGAGCCCTCTCCGTTGATGTGAGGCGGGGGTGGAGGCGTACCAACCAAGACGGGGGTTTGCCGTCCACTGGGGCCAGAATCGGTTTCGGAGAGCGACTGCTCGTCTTTGCGTTCCTTCTCTATGCGAGCCGCATGTGCAACTTCGAGGGCCTTGTCCCAGGCAGCGTCTTCGGTGGAGCATTCTCCCCGGTACTCGGCGGCGACAAGTTTTTTGAGTTGCCTATACACCTCTCGGGAGTGTTGGTGGACGGATTGGAGATGCCCGTTGATGTTCATGTACGAGTGCATCTTCATCACCATAACCTTGAGAGTGCATCGCCGTTAGAATACATTCGGGCCGAGAAAGGGCGAGTATCATACTAAGGCATGGAGAGTGAGGTATCCCGATTGGACCCAGGGCCAGTTGCGGTTGAATGTCCATGTGACGGCTGCGGCCAACACTGACGACTGGATAAGGTGCTGGATGATAACGCCTGTCCAGTAGTATTGAATCCACTCATTCTTGAGGGCGATGGCAAAGGGCACGCAAATCCCGGTGCACAGGACCAACACCAAGTCGCTCAGGGCCAGCGTGATGGCGTCCTGCGAGAACATGGCCGCAAAATTGAGGTCCAAAGGCTTTCCGCTGGTCTCTATGCTCCTGACATATGTTTGCACTGTAAATATAAAGATAGATATCCAGAATAGCGAGAAGAAACCCTGTAGACCAAGCATCAATAGCTGTTGGTAGCAGGAAACTGGTATGCTGTCTCACCCTAAATTCATTGGAATGCGAGGTCTCGTTGTTGATATCGAATGCAGAATGCCTAGGAGTGAATGTAATGAGAGCGCGAAGCTTCTTTGAAGACCTGGATCTGTAGGGTTTGGAGACATAGAGTGTCCCGGTCGACGTTTCAAACCCGTCACTGGGGCTCCGTGTCATGACGGGGGAAGAAGAGATTGGCGGGCGCTACGTCATTCGGAAGCGACGCTTATAACTTGAAATCAATTCGATTACAACAAATGTATGTACAAAACGAATGTCCGAACTCTTCAAAGCGTCTCCCTATGAATAAATTCAAGTCGACGTTCTGCGAGTCCTCGTAGAATTGTTTTTGCCGCGCAGTTTAACGGAATGCATGTAGGTAGTTATCATGCAGACCGTAGATAAATCACGGCGTATTATGTACTACTTACTTGACTGTGTATTGTTAAATAAGTAATGTATTTTCAAAGAGTCTTCAGAGCTTCAGAGAGAGTGGCACTGGAATAGTCGTGTGCAAATTTATAGGTCTTCCATGTTTGGTCCTGTTTGGATCACAAGGATTGATGGGACTTGGACGAGCAGCTCTGCTCTTCCATAGACCAAGTCCATCCACCGCAACTCACAGCCATCTGTCAGGCATTTTACAGAGGCAACAATGTCCAGGGGACGCAATCAAGCCCCTGTTGCTATCCCCGATAACCCAGTGTGGATTACCTTCGAACGCTCAGATTGCGCCGTTCCCAATCCACCTCCCAATACAGTGCGCATCGTCGACGAGGATGGCTGTATAAATTGGATGAAGCAGCTGGATTTAAACGACAATCATTCTATCAAGTGGAGAGTACAAGTGGGACACCAAATAGCGCTTGACAAGGGCATTCCAAGTGAGTAGTCCATGGCCCATGCTCTCGTACATGCAACCCACAACACGTCTAGATCCCGAAAGAGCGGTACTGAAGGACTGGCCAGCGAACTATCGGTTTTACGATCATCACAAGGGCATTGAGAACAATCCTCGGCATGATATCTATCTCTATGGTCGGTCTGGTCCTCTCTTCGTAGACATCTCTGTAACCGTGTCTGTATACACAGGTCCACCAGGCAAACGCTTTCGTTCGATCATGGAGTTTGTTCCTCACGCCATATGGCTGATGCGCGACCCGCAGCTTGATGTTAGCAACTGTGCCTGCAAATACTGTACCAAGAGAGCCCAAAGGGACATCAGCTCCGTCATATTTCAAGCCAACGCCCAAGCAACTTCTTCTACTCCCACTCCCGGCAAGGGAAGCGCCAGTGCACCAGTGAAAGGGACCTACGAACTACTGCTTCAATCTAGAAACGCCTACGAGAAGAACGGCCCCAGGCCACGACGAGAGGCTCAGCCCAAGAAAGCGAGAGAACAGGCACAGAGGGTCTACGCAGCTGTCCAGAAGGTGCTGAGACCCGTCCCAAAAGCTTCCCCCAACGTCCTCCGTTACGCGCTACACTCCGAGGCGGACAACGATCTCCGAGCAGTATACTCGACCGCAGCAAACAAGAGGCAAGGGGTGGGTCCATTCGACCCTGAGGATTCTGTGCCCAAACCGTACTCTGGTTTGAAGAGGTGGTATCGCACAGCAGAGATCGTATGGTGTCGACTCCCAGGCCGCGGAATTGCCATTCCCCAAGAAGTGGCGACCCAGGCCCGTTCGCAGTGGTTTGAAGACCAACATGTAATTGACTTTTGGCCCGGTATCGTGGAGTCCGCGGATGTAAAAAGCAAGGCTGTTCCTCCAAAACCCTCTTCTACAATTAACGGTTCGACGACGACAAACGCACAAGACGTAGGATCCAACGATCAGTCTTCGAATGGGCAAGCGCCAGCCTGGGAAGTAAAACAGCGTTGGGTTTACCGGATCCGACTATTGGCCGTGGACGCATTTGTCGATGTTGAAGAGCAAGAAGTCCTTCCCTACCTCGCTCACAATGTCCCTCGAATATTGATGACCACCATCAGCCAACTCCCGATGCAACTCTTGGACTTTGACAGGGACAGGGTAGCGGAATTCCATCCGATCAACATGGCGCAGCCGGGCAAGGGCAAAGAGAAGGCCACGGGCGAGCCACAGACCATCTACGACGCTCTCTCCGCCTTTGCACTTGCTATGCAAATCACAGCCTCGGCAAGCTCGTTTTGGTCGCTGACAGACATGTACGAGTTCCGATACATTCCCAATGACGCGAAATCCCCGTCACCCAAAGCCCCTCCTCTCCCAACGCGACCAACGATCCCACCCGCTTTGTCAGCGACTCCTCCCAGGCCCGGGGCGTCCCAGGGCATGTCTTTAGGGTCTGCCATCGAGGCTGCGGGTCGAGCAAACGCGGAAGCTGCAAAGGTCGATTATTACACACACCATGACATCTCTCGTGTAACGCCGAGTGCGACACCCAAGGATGTTCAGCAAGCGGCCATTGGTGCGCTGGGTACTCCAGGGTATCTTGGACTCTCACCGAGACGACATGGGCCTTCTGTCGTCCCTTCCGCAAGCGCACCCGTTGGGTCCAAGCCCGCCTCAACTGAAGGGGCGCTTCAAACCCGTTTCCAGGGTCTCTGGTGGGGTCCAGAAAGGATTTGGCAACACGATTTTGTCAGACTGCAGATGAGCAGAGGTGCTTTGGCACCCAATGGCGCGCCCAATGTCCTTAAACCCAGTGGGCCTGGCAAAAGCACGCGGGCGATTTGGGACGAGGCGGAGAGTCTTAGGGAGAAGGGTTCCGATGAGGCGATCCTCCGACAGTTACCAAAAATTCTTGACGAGCTTGGGGCAGTGACGAGAGGTACCTTCATGAGGATTGACGCGCTCTTTGCGGTGGATGTGCAAAAAGATGGAAAGATGAAGAAGGAAATGAGGGCAAGCGGGATGCTGTACGAACTGGCGGATCACGATTTTGAGGAAGATGACGGTGCATCCAAGTCTAAAGGGAAGGAGGCAGAGCAACGGTTTGTCGTCAACGAGTCGCTGTTGCCTTCAACGCCTACCAAGATTAATGCAACCGCGAGTCAGCCTTCAGCCAGCCAAAAAGCAACGCCACCACCACCACTGCCAACACGGAAACCTCCCCAACCCGCTCCCTCGACGCCGTATCTTGTTCCGCAACCACCTCACAAGTATAAATTCAGACCCATCCTACCACCGGGGTACGAGGCGGTCATCAGCCTTTCGTTGATTGCGGGACGGTATTATCCTTCCATTTGCTGCCACCCTTTGATCGCCAAATCCTTGCACGACTCACTGGCTTCGGGACGGAGTCGAGAAGACTTTAAAAACCTGTGGTCATTGGAAGGTCTTTACCCCGGTCATGAAAACGCCAGCAGCCCCGAGATCTACAAGAAAAATCGAACGGCTATGATTGAAGACGCGGACAACCTTGCAACGGAGCAGCTTACCGACTTTAGGGAGGGGAAGATCCGTGAACGGGAAGAAGCAATCGCCCGTGCAACCGTTTTGACGATGCAGCCTCGAGGTTCGGGTGGAGATGTTGAGATGGATGAGGATTCGGCAGACGAATTGAACTACCCTTCTGCTGGTGACATGGACGTCGACTAGTTCTTGTTGCTTAGTTTAATGTCATTGTATAGCGGGAATAATAGACTTTCATGTGCGTAATGCGTGAGACAGCCATCAGAGTGATAGTTTTGATTGAGGTGTCCGCGTCGAGCTCGGAAGTTGGACTGGGACCATCGACCTGCTACAAGCTGCGAAGAAAGTGTAACGTCGACTGCGAATTTCGGGCCCTCTCGAATCGCTGCCAGTGTGCAGGCAAGCGCAGGGGCTCTGCCAAAGACCGCAACAACCAACCCAAGCTGCTTGCAGAGACTAATTTCCTTGTTCTCGACGTCACTACCCACGACAACGACAACCAAGGCATTCCCAGCTCATAGTTCAGCCGTAGCCAGCAACGAGCAAGTTATTAAAGACGTTCATTGTTCGGCCCTTTGTCTTTAATTTTCTTGCGTTCAAGCTCCAGGCTGAGCCCGTGACTCCCGAGTCGATCACTCAGCCGTTATACCATAACCGTTCCTATATATCCACCCCCTGTTTTATTTTATTTTTTCCTATTCTAGCTCGCCACTCAACAACAGGCCTGCGTCGACACAAATGACCAGCGTTCTCAGCGTCGCTTCGTCCTCGTCGTCGCCCTCTCACTACAGTTCCGCCGCCAGCAACAACAGCGTTCCACCGTCACCCTCGATTCATTCACATCGCTCAGCTCTTTCGTCGCGATCCTCATTGCTCGACGGGTCCTTGGAAAAGGACGATGACGGTGAGCCCAAACCTTACTTTTTTATGTTTCTTACATTGAACGCTATCAGAAAACGTCACTATCACATCGAATCGGCTAGCAGGAGCAACAGCGAGTACGAGTTCAAGTCCCAAAGAGCACCACAAGGACCAGAGCAACGAGTTGGTTGTTTCTACCATTCCCCGTCGCGACGCCATTGCTCAATCTCGTCCTTTTCAGTGATTTACGCCTACTCGCTATCTCTACCCACATCACAGAACTATCCTATGCCATTTCCGACATCCAGACACGAATCTTCGAAATCCAGGAACTGCGCCACAAATCCCAATCTCAGTCTCACTCCTCCGACACCAGCTCCCCAAGTTCGAAGGATACGAATGTGTCGAATATCATCGACCAGTCGTTGATGAGCCTTGATGAGCGACTCGAGTCAGTTGAGAAGGGGATCAAGGCCGTTGCTGAGAACATCGAACCCTACACATCCCCTACAGCCCCAACCCCGACCACAGCGAACACGGTAACACAGTTCTCGGCACCCACGCCAACTGCCACCAACTCTTCATTTCCCAGCGGACACTCTGCTGAAGTTGCCGCGTTACTTCGGAAGCATGCCGCATTGCTCCAGGACTGGGAAGCTGTTCAGGACGAGAGTGATGTACTTCGGGAGGAACTTAAGGAGGACAAATGGTTAACTGTGTTCAGGACTGTAACCGACCAAGCGGATGGGATGATGAGCAGTCTGGAGAAAGCGGTTAATCGGTGTCAAGTGAGTCAAGTTGCTATTTTGGTCTTACTCCGGATATCTGACCAGTCGGCCCTAGGACTTTATCTACCAAGTGCACAATCCACGTCCTGGCATTACATCAGAAGAATTCTTCTCTTCCTCTTCAAGCCCTGAGCGGCCACAAGTCAACCTTGATACGTTCCATTCCCTGCTTGAATCCTATGAGGCGAAGAAGAAGTACGTTCAATAGTTTCGTTTGTGACAGTCCTGTTAATCTCATGTCCACAGACATTACATGCCTGCCACGTCCAAGGTTCTTGCCATTATCGACCGAGGTGTACGCGACCGTGTGACGAAGAACGGAGAAACCCTTCGACGACATTCTGAATCAGCACAACGGTGGAAGACACTTCGTGACCGGATAGCACGGACAGACGCGGAATTGGAGAAGGTTCGAAAGATCCTACTCAATTCCGATTCAACGGGGAGCGAGAACGACTCTAGCACCTCTGGAACCAACCCATCAACAGGAAGGACAGGCTATCTCGCCACTCCACCAAACTCGCAACGTTCCAAGCTCGAGAAGGCCGAGAAAGGTGGACTCTCAAGGTCGATCTCGCCCTTCAGGAAATTTGCGCGGAAGATCACTGGCAGCGGCAGGTCCAGCAATGCAGGTGCCACTCCCGCAAGTCCGAATACTCCTGCTGTTGTAAGCCCTCTTTCGGTTACGAAGAAGACCAAGTCCCCGCCTGTAGCGGCGACAGTAAGTGCCCCTCCTACGCAGACACTGAGGAGACAACGAACGTCCCTGTTTGCCACTGTCAAGAGCCATGATCCTCACACCCCCGAACGACCTGGCCACAAACACAGTATGAGCGTCACACCAGAGTCTTCTCCTCGTGTCATGGACACCGCGGCTTCGGTGACGAAGACGTTTTCCGGCTATAGCACGACCATGGGGAAGTCCCGCACCTCATTGTCCACTACTGGCACCCCCTCTTCTTCAAAACCGAGCTGGAACAGCAGTACCAAGGTTGAAGACGAGAGGAAGATTACGACGAGAACGCCAGGTCGAACTTCACGACCCCCTTCTGCGACTGGCATGTACAAGTCCTTCAGTAGCATGGGTACGGGCAATGATGTACCGCCGGTACCACCGCTCAATCCCACGGGGACGCCATATCGTCGCAGCGTTTCCAGGGCTTCCGTAACGTCTTCAAGACCGTGGTCCCCACTTGGCTCTTCCACCTCACACTCGTCCTCTGCTCAGAACGGACTCCCCATCTCCGTGACCAGCAGCGCTGGCTCATATTCCAATGGATATAGAGCCGGTTCCCGCCCTCCATCACGAGCCCAGACCCCATCCCGGATGGTCAGCAATAGCACTGCGCTGTCCATGGCCACTACTCCCAGAGCAAGGCCAAAGACCCCGTCACATATCCCCGGACCAGGAAAGTCGAGATCCATCTCTTCTTCGGCAGCGGTGAGATCATCAGACTGGAGCCCTGGTGACATGTACTCGCCCGAGAACTACAACCGTGCCCTGTCTCCAACCTTCTCTGTCTCTGGACAAAGTGCTAGCGGACATGTGACACATCCGCCACGGCCACCTAGTCGGTCCATGATTCCTATTCCATCTGTCCACCTCAGCGCAACGAGCCCTGGTGCAAGATCGACTTCCTCGATGTCGCACGTCCCAGGTGGTTACGCGTACAATCGCTCCGGAGCAGAGAGTCCAACTCTTCGGATGGCCCAGTTCAAGGCCAACGCAAGAAGATCGCAGACGCCCGACCTGTTGATGATGAGCCCAAGTGCTAGTGGGAGTAGCAGTCGGAATAAAGCACCCCCATCTAGTTTCCGCGATGGGAGTGCTAATGGCACACCCTCATCGAGACCGAGCTCTCGTGCCGGAGCACATACCCCAAGTTTCAGCATGTTCGACAATAGCTCCAAGTTGAGCTTGAGCGGAGATGCTGGAAACTTTGGGTTCGAGTATGTGGTTGGGAACCCCCACGATCCCTTGGACGTCGAAGTGGGGAAGGTGGTTAACAGTATCCCTCATGGGATGATCATCGAGCGTGTCGACCCACCTTTGAAGAAACCGCCTAAAGCTGGTGAAGAGGTGAAAGCACAATATGCGTTCTCGAGCGCTTTGGGGAGGAAGGTGATTACTTGCCGGTTAACCACCTTGACCCGGGCAACTAGGGTCCCTGCGACCGAGGGAGAAGATGGTGCAGATGGTGGCAAGGCGAGGGTGACGATGGTGACGACGAAGAAAGTGATGTGCCGTGTTGGAGGAGGTAAGCTGGTCTAGAGTATTGTTTAAGAATGGAGCGAGGGCTAACTTGTGATAATCAGGATGGCAAGACTTGGGTATCTACCTGTTGAACCGTCAAGCTGGTCTTTGAAAGAATCGGTCCATTTTAAATCTTTCTTCCCCCTTTCGGAGCGGGGAGAACCCAGGCAAAGCACTTCCTCTGCCGGTTATAACTATTTACCAACGCTACTTCGACACCTCACATGCATCTTTATCATTGATACCCTTACCTGCATTACTCAACCATCAGGATCGATCATCCTTTATCTCGAGCCTTGGAAGTGCGTTCCTAGGATTATGGCCACTCGCATAGCATTCTCATACACCACTCGTCGCTGTTTATCCATATGCATGCACTTCTTTATCCTATAGTTGTTCATGGCCAGTATTTGTCGAGGACGCAGTTGAGTTCCCTGGACTCCTGTTGTTATGGTACATTCTTGTCTTTTGCCACCTCGTTCAAGCAGTCTGCTTTCGTCATTGTATGGATACTGTTGTCCTTTTTTTGCACGCTATACGCTGTCAATGTCGCTGTCGGATAATCTTTGCACTGTCTTCCTGGAAGTTGATTACACAGAAATCCATGAAAAGATCTGAAACTTAAAGCATGAGCAAGTCCCTTTGCATTTTGCTTTCGCGTCGATGAAAGTTTTCTTGTCTTGTCAACGCTCGACAGGCATCGGCAACTGCATTTGCCGACTGGGGATAAGCCTAATATGCAGGGCAGAGTGCTTGAGGCGCCCTTTCGATCGTTCAAGGTGGATGACCATATGATTCTACGCCATTCGAGATCCTTGGTACCAGGAGGACCAAGGCAGTCTCCTAAACATCTTCTTCGGTTTGTTTAGTCTACACATTTCCACGTCACAAGGGTGGGCGGGGAACAAGACTAAATATAACAGCAATAATATATTGGAGGTATCAAGGAACCAAGTCAACTGTCAGATCCACGTTTAGATCTCGGTTAGCGTTGTTGTCCATGGTCAGGGTCGCTAAGTGTGTAGGCCCGATCCGTTGAGTCTCTCCGACTCTCTCGAGTCATCTGGTATGGCGTAGACTATTGTTGGAAAGATAAGAAACGGAGACGGGACGCTCCGGGTTACCTTTCAAGGCTTTTGTATTGATAAAGGAGGGTCACTTGAATAGAAAGGAGCTGACTAGACCTCATCTCGAGTGTGTTGGACTCTAGTCGGCTACCATATACTGCACAAATGCTGTACGGTGGGAGTGTTCCGTCAAGTGTGGGCGAAGAGTGGAATCCCATTTGGTATTTGCTGGTGTCCATGGGGAAAATATAAAATTGATGATCTTGGGAGCGTCGGCGTCAAACGGTATAAAAGAGCGCGGAACCTTCTTTCGTGTTTTCCTCTTCTTCAGTCACCGTTCCAGCGACTCACCCAACCGAATCCCTGTGCTTTTTTTTTCACAAACGACCATGCCTTTGCTCAAGAAAAAAAGAAGGTCGAGCGCACCGCTAGACCAGGCGGTCATTGACGAAAAACCACCCATTCTTCATTCACCGGCGCCGTCGTCAGTCACCTTCGCAGCCGACACCCATCCGACAACGCCGAAGAAAGGCAGCAGGACCTCGAGCACAGGCTCACCGCTGAGATCGCGGCTGACATCGCTGTCATCCTCGCCATCGACTATCTTAAAGAAAGTGAAGCGGGGAATCCAAAAAGTGGACGACGCACTGCACAACGTGGCAAGATCCTCTAAGTCCTCGTCATCGACTTCGAAATCGTCGTCGTCTTCGGTGTTACCAACAGGCGGGGGTAGAACTCGGGCGCATTCCGTTGCGACGCCTTTTGCCGGCAATCGCCGGCGCTGGTCCTCCAAATCTAGAAGGGTCTCTGACGGCGTCCTTTCGACTTTCCCATCTCTCACATTCCCCTCTGTCGCTGTCGTCCACTTGCCCTCAACTTCCTCTTCACCGCGCTCGTCGACAACAAGCAGAAAACGCACGTCGTCGACGCCAAAGGACGAAGATCACTATTACGACAAGCGATATCTGGCCATCGAGCAGCGCTCTCGCCATCGCACTACGTCCTGTCCCAGCGTAGTACTTCGCCAACCGACAAGGAAACTGTCGAGCCTTCGCACCATGAGCTCGTCTCTTGGATCCGAAGAGCAAGATGCTCAGGGGCCGGTCCCCCCTGCAGTCTACGTGGAACCAGAAGTTCCAGATCCTTTCCTCATCGACGATGAGGGCGATGCCTTGTCCGATGAGGGGCGGGAACAGACGGTTTCACCAGCTGCTGCATCTTCAGTGCCTCTGTCGATATCGCCTTCCCCGTCACCGGCGCCCTTATCGTCCAAGCCCCTTCCCTCTCCTTTCCTTTCACCTAACGTAAACAAGGACGTTCCGCCGCCTCCGGTGTCCGACCTTGACGATGATTCCGATGATGAAGCCCCGGAGCTCAGTCTCCCCGGTCTGGTTGTCCCCACCGTTTTCCTACCGATACCAAACGTACGCCAGTCTTTCCTTTCAAATCAGTTAACATGGTGGCTATCCAGATCTTGATGTACTATACTTTTGTGTATTAGACCGACCCTCTAACTACACTACTCAACAAATATATTTATCCTCCTGAAAAACGTCCATCGAGAGATATCACGGGCGATTGGCATCACAGCGATTTCCATACACTGGTCGTAAGGCTCTTCCTCCTCTGCGCCTTTTAGACATGGAGAATAACGTATTCGGTCGTGGGCCCTCGTAGATGACGAACAGTTGGAGGGCTCTGGCTCGAATGGCTCGAGACAGAATCATCGAGGCCGACCCAGGTGATGTTAACCTCATACTCGGTGTACGCCCACCGTCTCCTGGCAATCACAGCAGATGATGAACTGACTTTGCCTTATCCAGCTTTGGCACCTTCGGCTCTCCTGCTTAGCCCGACTTCGCTTCTTCAACCAAACTGCTGCAGAATGCACCAATCTCTTTGCTCAGCTCAATGCCGTCGAACCCCTTGAAGCGCGCGAGTACCTGTTTGAAAATGTCCTTCCGTTCGAATTGGAGGTCATGCACACCAGGCTCAAGTACTGGTCTGGGGATCATATGGGCTATCTTGACGCTCTGTCTGCGTTGTTGAACAAGTGCAAGATGAAGTCGAGACTTGCGCTGGGCGATGAGACCACCTCGTCGATGTGGAAAGAGCGAGGAGCAAGGATTGTTCTCATCATGGCCTCCCAACTGGTCGAGATGAAGGTAATTAAATCTCACCATTATCACATATTTTCTCACTGCCCACCCTCCACCAGGAATACGCAGCTTCAGCCCGCCTTCTCGAACCTCTATGCAATCAGAAAGACGTTTCCAACCCCCCGCTCAGATCTGCCGTTGCAAGAATTTACCTGCAATCCGGAAACCTCGAAATGGCTGCTAAACATTTTGAGATTGTGGCTCAAGATCCAAGCGCTGACGAGCGCCAAAAGAAGATGGATGCGGCGCTTTTGGCGTCGGCTAGAGGAGAATGGGAGAGTGCGACCGAGATGCTGCGCGAGATCATTGACAAGGATAATGAAGATTACGCGGTGAGTGAGTTAAAATTGTGAAGAGGTGGGGTGCTAAGATGTGGGTGGTTTGATAGGCAGTGAACAATCTATCTGTTGCACTTCTTAGTCAGGGAAATCTCAAGGAGGTATGTTAGACTCGAGATCGGTTTCTGCTACTATATCTATACTAATAGCAACATGTCAATAGGCCATCGAAATTTTGGAATCGGCATTGAAAGCATCCCCCTCGAGCGTCGTCGTGGCTGAACCCTTCCTGTTTAATCTCTGTAAGCCTTCACATCGTCGGTCATTCAGTATCATTGCCTGACAGAATACTTTAGCCACGCTCTACGAGCTCAAGTCCATGGTGGGCTTTGAAAAGAAACGACAGCTATTGGTTGAAGTCGCGAAATGGAGTGGGGATGGTCTGAAGGCGACCTGCTTGAAGTTGCCCGCGAACTGAAGGACGCCTCTACACTCTTATATGTATTTCCGTCTTCAGCAAGTTTCAAATCTGCGATATGTATTCCATGCAAAGCTTCTCATCCCGCCGGCTCCGGGACAGTTCTTGACAGGAGGAGATATCCTGTGATTGCTCTTGCAGCTTTCCGAGACTCAGTGAAGTTCACACCAAAAAGCCGCATGATGCTCGACGCTGCTCCGCGGACAGTATGTCAATTGGAGACGGAGAACCATTGAGAGCAAATTGAGAGCCGCTTGGTCCCGCGAGTTACATTCGGAGACTGTCGAGTGGAAGGCAACAGTGAGAGGATTCGTGTGCCCAAGGCAGAAACTTGTTCGTATGTACTAAGTACCTCGCTTCTGTGGTTTCTGACACTTGAAGCACGATTAGAGTTTGGCAAGAAAGGCTAAGACAGTTCATATGAAGCTCATGCGCGCTGATGTTTTTTTGGTTCCGGGCCATATAACCGACATACGGTGACTTCTTATGATAACCGATAGCCATGGTGAAAGTCCAGAAATCTTGGGGTAATCCGGGGTTTGAGCGCAAAGTTTTTCTGGAGAACGACGTTAATGCTACGGAAAACGAGGATTATCTGGACACAAAGCAAGCCCGAGGATCGATAGATGCATTTTATTTGCTGTTAAAGGCGAAGAGATCGTCGAGAGGAAGACGAGGAGAAGACGCCAAGAATAGATTGATGGCCATCAGAAGCTGCTTTCCAGCTCCGTTCTCGGGTAAGCTTTATGTAAATGGAATCCTGGGTCTATATAACTTTCCTTTCATGCTGTCTTGCCGTCGCCACCCCCAGCTTCTGCCCCAGCCGCCCTCGCTTCCCACTCGTCGAAAGTGATTCGCCATGGTCGCCGCCAACGTTTCCGCGCGTTCACCGCCAGCGACGGGTGGGCAGGGCTCCAAGACGCATACGGATCCTTCAGTAGCAGTGGCCGAGAGGTCAGTGTCTGCTACGTGCGGTGCTGTGGTCGAGGAACGCTGATGTCCCCTGTTCAACAGACTTGAACAGGCACTGCGCAAAGTCTCGAATCGGGCATCCCAATACGAGCACGAAATGAAGGACCTCGAGGTGTGTTGATCCCTGCCTACCTTGGATACAGCTAGCTAATGATCGCTCCAGTCGAGGTTATCAGAACACCTCAGCAACTTCAGGGCGATTGATAGTCTCATTGGGGAGGCATATGACGGTCTTCAGGTACGATGTCCTCTTCCTTGAGATTTCCGTCCCTTGCTCAGCGCCAGCGATGCAGAGGAACAGTAAGCGCGCAAACAGGGCCCTGCAGCACCAAGTTCCCCACATCAACGATGAGCTAGAGGAGTCGAAGGAAGTTCTCTTGGAGTTGTCAGAGACACTTCCCATTGTCCAGATGCAAGTCAAAGGCATCCGTGACATTTACGATTCTGGGCGTCGAACGGTCAGTATACTCCCTAAGTACCTTGTTGTCCATGTTCCTGACTTGTGAATCTGTAACCAACCAGGCCAAGGACCTTGTTGATGATTTGACCTGGCTCAACACGGAATTCTATGAGCGTTGGCGGTTGATTGTCTTCACTTCGACCAGCCCAGTTTCATGGCGGTGGAAGATCTTCATGCGGACTCTGTTTGCCGTTTCATTTGTTCTGTGCTGCTGGCTTTCGTGGATTGCCCTGCGTGGAGCATATCGTGCCCACAGACACAGGCTTGTCTGGGGCGAGAAACTCATGTCATAGCGCGTCTCGGGCTCTCAATACCCCCTATATAACCTCATCCAGATTCCCGGCATATCAATCTATACCTCGGACTTTTCTATACACGCACTCGCTCTTTGCTTTCGCATTTTACGGACGCTGTAGCTTTATCTAGTAGAGTAGCAGAATATGAAATTGAGATTGTTACCAACTCCAGCCACTTGAGAGTGCATCATTGGACAGGGGCAGTTATGTAATTGACGAGGCCTTGAGTTGGCTCGGATTCTGTTCCTTTCCTCAGCACCATGGACGGCTTTGACGACCTTCTTGCTCCGACACGACAGGCTCTTGAGACTAACCCATTCGCTGAAGGATTCCATCGGTCAGGCTCACCAGATCCATGGGCGTCGCCGTTCACCTCGAATAACGCCAATGACGGTTTTGGTACCTCGAGTATATACGATGATCACAACCCATTTAGTAGCAGTGTGAATCCCTACGCATCCCCGACAACCCCAGCCTTTGGGTCGCCAAAGGCCGAGGAGAAGGATTTGTCTCCAGAACCAGAGGACGGCGAGCAGCCGACACCTGCCAACGAACCATCAGACCCTCTCGACTCGGCGAACGCGACGCTGGATGACGATGAAGACAACCGACCGCTTGGAACGCTGCGTTCACCCGGATTTCGCGAGAGTGTGGCGCCCATTAGCAGTGCATACCCCGAACCCGCACATAGCTATACCTCTACGCCGACGAGGTCGAGGACGCCTGACACCGATGTCGACAGCAAGCTCCCAACCAAAATCACTGTGGCCCCTCCATCTGCTATTCAAGCACAACATATCCAGCAATCGACGGAGGCCGCGAGTAGCTCTCGTATCGTCTCCCCACTCGAAGAAACGACGACGAGCGCATTGGAGCGATCGCTTGGAGGATTGGCTCTTGGGCCTGATGTTCTGGGGTCTGGTTCTAACAGTCGAGGATGGCAGCAAGATGACACGAGTGCATGGGGAAGAACCGACTTGCCCCCTACTCCAGTAACACCAGTGCAAAATCCCCCTCCAGACGATGACAGCGACGATGATAAACCCATTAATCAAGTTCTCAAGAGGCATAGCCAAGACGAAAGTCATAACACTGTGCGTGGTTTATGTCTTCCAGTTTTCACCTATCTGACGATACTACAGCCTCAGACAACTGACAATGGGATACCACCTGTCTTCGTGATCACAGTCGATGACCCACAAAAGGTCGGAGACCCGTTGCGCCCATACATCATGTACACCGTCCACACTCGCGTACGTTTCAAATCCTTATCAAGTTCCGACTAAAACATTCAATTCTTTTCAATAGACAACATCCCCACTCTTCCACAAGTCTGCATTTTCCGTGCTGCGGCGTTACTCTGACTTTGTATGGCTATATGAGGCACTCTGTTACAACAATCCAGGTGTTGTCGTACCACCTGTTCCGGAGAAGAGCTCTTTTGGGCGATTCGAAGACCAATTCGTTCGACAGCGGCGCCTGGGACTTGAGAAGTGTATTCAGAAGATGGCTAATCATCCCGTCCTTGCCAAGGACCCTGATTTGAGGCTATTCTTAGAGAGCGATACTTTCTCATTGGATGTAAGTTCATTCCGCGATGTGTTCGGTTCTTGGTTAATGATATGTTGTAGATTAAGCATCGCAAGTCGGAAACACCGCATGAGAACAAGGGTCTCATTGCCTCTATTGGACAGACGTTGGCAGGTCCACGGTTCCATGAAACGGACGAAGTACGTATCCTACTTCAAGGCTGGATGCCGTCCGCGTACTAATTCTGCTGAAGTGGTTCGAGAAGAAAAAATCATATCTAGACAGTTTGGAATCTCAACTTCGTGGCCTGGCCAAGTCAATTGAATTCGTTGCACGGCATCGAACAGGTACTACACTATGCAATCGACCTACTGTGTACGTGCTGATCGATACCCATCCTAGAATTGGCGCTTGCAACTGGCGAATTTGCAACCGCCGTTTCCGACCTATCCTCATCCGATGTTGGGAAGCAATTATCGCATGCCCTTGCAGAACTTGCAGAACTCGAACGCAAAGCCCAAGATCTCCAGAACACACAGTCGGAACAGGATCAATCGACGCTTATGGCTACGGTCGATGAGTACGCGCGTCTGATAAACTCCGTTCGAGTATGTCCACTTCTCAGTGCTATCTGCGAGCAAAAAGTCTCTGACCTTTGAATCCTCCCCCCGTCCCGTAACTCCGCGGGCCGCTCAATTTGCAACAGGCGGCATTCTCTTCCAGAGTACGCATCTATCACGCCTGGAAGAACGCGGAAAGCGATCTCCTGCGGACAAAGCAGACGCATGAGAAGAACAGGGCCCAGGGAAAGATTCCTTCGGAACGCCTCGGCTATTCGTTAAGTCAAATTGCAGAGGTGTGTATACGGCCGTCCGCAGACATTGGTGGCTGATCTTCGTTGTATAGGCGGAGCGACGCGCTTCGGAAGCCAAGAAGGAATACGAGCATGTTTCGACGCTTGTCAAATCTGAAGTTGCGAGATTTGAGCAGGAGAGAATCGAGGACTTCAAGGATACGTTACATGCTTTCCTCGAAGGCATGATCTCACGACAGAAGGAGGTAAGGGCAAAAATCCATGGGAAGTTGCTGCGTGTTCTCACAACGTCGTCTAGCTCATTGCTAGCTGGGAAAATTACCAGCAACTGCTTTTGAAGCGAGTGGGTGGAGGTGGACCTGGCAGCACAAGAACCTCCCAAGACTTGTAGTCGCCTTATACCATTGTTCATTCCCATATAATAATGATATCTATTACCATCGAGTTGGTTAAATAATATACATGAGGACTCCAAAGTCTACGCCCAAACCGCACTGCAAATCACTAAAGGCACCACACGGGATGTCCGACGGCTCACTCCCAGTACCGTGGAACCTTGCTGTCCTGTTCTCCCGTAACATCTAAGAAATCCGAGGGTCGTTCTCGCTTCAAGTTTCTTCGACGGTTGTTCACGGGTAACCGTTGGTAGGCAGAGTCTGGACCAGGTTGCTGGCTGATATATTGGCTCGTCCAACTCTGTTGATATTGCGTCCCATATCCCACCGTATTGGTGGGCATATTCTGCGCCTGCTGCTGTTGCGTGTAAGTGGCGGCCATTGCGAGTGCAGCGGCCATCATCTGGGCTTCCTGTAGCTGCATCTGCAGTTGTTGATGCTGTAGTTCGGTTTGTTGGCGGACGTCTGGAGGCAAGCCTGGATTTTGGAGCATTTTGGAGATCTGGGCGATGGAGGCTTGGAGTTGGGGGATGCTGTCTACCACAGCTTGCGACATTTCGATGTTCATGTCGGGCTGGTGTTCGGAGTAGATGTCTTGGTCTTGTGCTTCAAAGCCGGACTGCAGGATTGGGGTGAGTGGAAGTGTAGAGCTCGAGGATGTACGACCAACCTGCTCCGACTCGCCGTCGGCCTTCGACTTGTTATCTCCGCTACCACCCTGGTTCCTGCTCTCTTCAATAGCCTTCTCAATATACTCATGTACCTTGTCTCGACTTTCTTTATCAGGAATGAGTTTGTCGAGAGAAGCAATCTTTTTAGAACAGTGGGGACAAATGAAGTCCCGCTCGAGGAGATGAGTTTGGATACATTCTTCGCAATACGCGGTTCCACAGCAGGGTGTCTTGACCGCGTCGCGGAAGAGTTTGTTGTCGATTGGACAGGTTAATGAAGGATCTGTTGGGGTTTTCTCGCGGACTTCTGCAACGGTGAGACCTTTGGGTCGGGCTACTTGCTTTTGCCAAGACGCTCTATAGACACGTTAGGGAAATGAACGGTGGCTGAATGTGCGGGCACATACAAATCTGGTTGGGCAACGACGTATCCTCCTTCTGGTGTTACCATGATTCCTTGACCAATATCTGCAGTATTGGGGTTCTCGACTGCTTTCAACATACTCCTTGGGATACCGGTCGTCCGTTTGATTCGTGGTCGGTTGTCGAATTCTCTGTCATTGTTGGTCGGGCAGTCTTGGATCCAGTGGCCTGATTGAAATTGCGTCAATGGAATAAGTCATAGTTCCGAGGAGGCGGGAAACAAACCTTTCTGTCCACACCTATAGCACACATAACTGGGAGGCAGTGGTCGGTCTTGGGTCATGTGTGGCTTGCCTGGACCGCCTCCCCGCCCAAATCCAGTACCTCGAGGGTTATTGTAAATAGGTGTTGCTCTGTGTTAAAATTAGATGAAACGCGATGGAGAGAAAGAACAGTGTTCATTAGAGCATGTTCTACTACGACAAAAGAATCCCCTGGTGAGGGGTCAACTAACTGTGACATCTTTTCTTGGGTTTCCTCCCAGTTCTGTGTCTGGGCACTGAAGATAGCGGCCATTGCAGCAGCTTCATCTTCCTTGACGACAGCTGACTTGACCGGGGAGGCCTGTGCATTGTTGGTATATTTGAGACGAGAATACCGTAAGAAACAACATACCGTTATGGCCGGTGTTGCAGGTTTGGGTGCAGACTCATCTTTACCGTCAAATCTTTTGGAGAGAGCACCCTTGTGCCAAGTGGTTGTACCACCTGGTGTCTGACGCGCGACGACTTCGGAGGTAGGGACTGCAGGAGAAGCCCCTGCAACATACATGGGGATTTTGCTCTTCGTTCTCGGTGGAATTGGCAATCGCTTCACGATCACTGATGACGAACGGGGCACGATTTGAGTATCGGGCAATTCTGCAAAACTGGTGAGATATTGCAATCCCCCGAGTACGTCCCGCACGTTTCGCCCAGCACTCACCTTGTTTTGTGGCCGCGTCGTAAACGTGAATGTCAAAGTCATTTCCCTTGACTAAATTATTGGCAAGAATAATTTCCCGTTTGAGGTCGAAAACGGTTATAGAAGTGCCTTCGAAAGAGATACGAGACTCGTCCTTTCTACTTGCCCATTTGTAGAAAACTGAAGATGCCATGGTATTCGGTTCGTGGTCGTGGTCGAGGTCCAAGAGAGACTGGGACGGTTGGACGGGACGAGCGGCCGCCGTCGTTGCAAGCGGTGCCGAGTGCAGGGAAATTAGTCATCCATCAACGTCATACGACTGCCAAATGGAGAACGAGAGAGCCGATAGCTGCCGAACGTTTACTTTTATTAAGAACAAGTCGTTCGATGGAATGCCCGTGGTTTTTCTGTCCGCGTCTTTGCAAACTTGCCAATGTCCAGCAAAGCATCTGGCGTCGCCCACGCCGTTAGCTCAGACGGCCTGCGTCAACGGTCGAACGTCCTCGCAACAGAACTTGTCATCACAGAGCACGGCCGCGAGCGCGACAAAGAGCTCGACAAGCACAATGGGTGCGTTCTTCTGCCTCTCACACGCGACGCTCATGCTCAAGGCGCGTTTTCTTCCTCGTAGTTGGGAGTTTGGTGGGCCATGGGGCGTTACCGCAATCATGACATTCTTCCCGCTGCTCATGTACTACCTGTGGATATGTCTTTGGTTCTACGACGGAAACCTTGTCTACCCCACCTCCCGTGATGATATTAAGCCCTTCTTGCAAACCATGTGGGGGCACATAAAGAAGGTGCGCTTATCCACTTCAGCCACTTGCGACAGGTGATTGAGCCCAGGACCCATCAGGACGCAAGCCCGAACGCGTACGCCTGGAAAGTCTACTCGGGCAACTTTTTCTTCCAGTTGTTCATCGCCATGATCCTTCCCGGCTATCCCCAGGAGGGTCTCCCCGTTCCCTCCCTCGGCTACAAAACGCTGCACTATAACTGCAACGCCCTCGTCTGCCTCTATGTCACCCTCGTCACCGCAGGCTTCCTCCACTACTACCACATCTTCCGTCTCACTGAGATCATCGACAACTATGGTCACCTCATGACTGTCTCCATGATCTACGGTTTCGGTGTGTCACTCATCACCTATGTCTGGGCTGTCACCACTGGCAACGCAATCCGCATGTCTGGCAACTTCTTCTACGACTACTTCATGGGGGCCCCTCTTAACCCGCGGATTGGTCCAGTTTGCCTCAAGATGTGGGCCGAGGTTCGGATTCCTTGGGTAATTGTGTTCTTCCTTTCCGTTTCCGGAGCATGCAAGCAGTACGAGACCCTCGGTTATGTCACCCCCGTAAGTAATGTGTATCTTCTGTGACCACAAGTCGGACTGACAAAAAATGTTGCTATTCTTAGAATATGGCCTTCATGATCCTCGCCACTGGACTCTACATCAACGCTTGGTAAGCTTTTTTCAGAACGTTAGATCATACGGGCGCTCATTCCCCTCCAGCGCCAAGGGTGAAGAGTGCATTCCTCAAACCTGGGATATCTTCCATGAAAAATGGGGTTTCATGGTCATTTTCTGGAACTTCTCCGGCGTGCCTTTCGTACGTAGTCTTGTGGTGGTTGATGATGATGAGGTTGTATTCACCGCCCGTACAGTCATACGTTTACTCCGTCGTCTACATGGCCTCCCACGACCCCGCCAAGTATCGCTTCTCGACCTTTGGCTATGTGTTTATCTACACCACCATCCTTTGCGCTTACTATGTGTACGTCCTCGCCGGCCCCGTCCGCTTTGTTATTTTCTGACACAGAATGTTCTAGCTGGGACACTGCCATGGCACAAAAGAGCCATTTCAAAATGCAAACTCAGGGTATCTACAAGTTCCGTAAGACCTTCCCTCAATTGCCCTGGAATACCATCAAAAACCCGACCTACATCCAAACTGCCCATGGGTATGGGTCCTTCATTCTTGTGACCGGCCTCACTTCTGACCTCTGTTTCTAGCAACCGACTTTTGACCAGCGGCTTCTGGGCATACTCCCGCAAGCCCAACTATGTCGCCGACTGGATCATGAGCTTGACATGGGGTGCCATCGTCGGTACTGCAACCATCATTCCTTACTTCTACTCCATCTTCTTCATTGTCGTGTTGCTGCATCGCTGCACACGCGACTTTGAGCGATGCTCGAAGAAGTACGGAAAGGACTGGGAGAGATATTGCCAGGTCGTTAAGTACAAGTACATCCCTGGTATTTATTAATCGCTGGATGGAACAGAGAATTGAGACCTAGGAGGAGAGGTTGTATGTGCTACTGTAGAATGTTGTTGATATATTTAGTGTGATTTCGATTGATGAACGTAATGACATTCATGACACTTACATCCTAGGCCTACCACCTCATTCGATGTGTTCGGAATTGTCTGTGGGATTTGTATGGACTGGGTGGCCTCTCCAGTGCCCAACTCAGCAGCAGGGCGCTAAAGCTAGCCTAGAGGCTACTACCAAACAAAGCCAAATCTTGGCAAGGTTATGCGCGTTGACGAAGTTGTACTGCGCGTTCATTGCCAGTGTGGTCCTTGATAGGCTAGCGGACGATAACCAATTCCTATAGCTATCGGACTGCGGCAGACTACACTACCTTCGACTCTGATTATCAAATTACTGCTGTTGAAGTAGAGGCTTCAACATGGCGTCCGCAGACCAAGCCCCGGTGGGCGACCAGCAGCTCAACGCCATCTTTTCTGGGCTCAAGTCTCGTAGCGCAGACACTCGTATGCAGGCTGCGGAGGATCTCAAGCGATTCGTGCGTATATTCAGTGTGAATGAAATAATTTGTAGTCATCGTTTCTCCAGGTTCAAGTATCGTATGCCGAAATGACCTCAGACGCAGCTGCAAAGCTATGGGACGACCACATCAACAGACGACTATTCGCCTTGATTCACAGCCAGAACATTAACGAAGCATTTGGTGGACTGTTGGGAATAGGTTCGTCCGCAAACGTCATCGAGCTTCGATATCCTGACCACGTTTCTTTCTCCAGAACGCCTCTTAGAACTCGACCTCGAGGAAACCATCGAATCGAAGCGCAACCACTTCCGATTCTACAACTATGTGAAGCACCTCCTCCCCAACCCCGACGTGCACTTGATGATGGCGGCTTCGAAGACATTGGGAAAGATTGCAGAGATTGGCGGCGGTGTGGCCTTTGGCGAGAGGTTTATGGAATACGAAATCCCAGCGGCTATCGAGTTGATGCAACCCGACAAACAAGAAGCCCCACGATATGCGGGTGTCCTGATCTTGAAGGAACTGGCCAGGAATAGCCCAACGTATTTCCATCCGCATATTGGGATTGTGTTCGACAACATATTGCTGCCACTCCGAGACCCGCGACTGCATGTGCGAGAGGGTGCCGCCGACCTGCTCGCTAATTGCTTGGAGATTGTGTGTAGTCGGGAGAGGCAAACAAGGAACCCGTACCTTTACAAGATCTTGCAAGACGCTCAGGCGGGCCTCAAGAGTTCGCAGCCGGAGGTTATCCACGGGTCGTTGGCTGCGTACCGGGAGTTGTTGCTTCACGCTGGGATGGTGAGTTGACCTTTGCCGGGACAATCATTGTGCTAACCTCGGACATAGTTCATGCAAGAGAACTTTTTGGATACAGCAGAAGCCATCCTTCGCTTCAAATCATCTCGAGATCCTCTGGTCCGTAGGATGGTTATTACCATGATCCCGACTCTGGCAGCGTACGACACCCAAACCTTCACCGAGCACTTTTTGCACAAGGCCATGGCCCATCTTCTTACACAGCTCGACAAAGCACCTGAGCGGAACTTCGGTAAGCTTACTTCCATGTTACACCTCGGCGCTCACTTAATATTGGATAGCTTTTATCGCCATCGGCCATACTGCACTTGCTGTGGGCAGTGATATGAAACCATTTTTGGATCCCATCATGGACAATGTGAGGTCGTGCCTACAGAATAGAGGGTTTGTATCTGTTTAAGTTGTCAGGTGTGAATGCGGACTGAATAATTATAACAGGCGAAAGAATGCGCCCTCGGAAGAGCCAATATTCCAGTGCATTGGGATGTTGGCAGCCGCCGTCGGTCCCAACCTTACAAAGTTACTGCATGACCAGCTAGACTTGATGCTTGCATGTGGTTTGAGCGAACCATTGAGCCAAGCTCTGGCAGCCATCGCCAAGTACATCCCTCCCCTGCTCAAGACAATCCAAGGTATGTACCCCTTGTCTTTTCTATGGGAACTCTGCTCATTTCGTGCAAAGATCGCCTCCTCCAACTCTTGTCCATGCTTCTGAGTGGGCAACCCTATCGACCGCTCGGTGCACCGGCGCCTTTAGGTCGTAACGAATTCCCCGCTCCGCCCAACCAACTGACAGCCACTCAAATGACGACGACCGACAAGAACTCCGAACTCATCACTCTGGCTTTAAAGACCCTCGGAACGTTTGACTTTAGCGGTCACGTTCTTAACGAGTTCGTTCGCAGCTGCGCGTTGCCTTATTTAGAAGACGACAACCCTCAAGTTCGCTGTGCGGCGGCAGAGACCTGCTGTACCTTGTTCATCAAGGATCCCATTTGTTACCAAGCGAGTAGCCATGCTATCGAGGTCATCAGCGATGTTCTGGATAAGTTGCTCACTGTTGGCATCGCTGATCCGGGTATGTTTCTTTGGCTGTGATCTTGCGAGTAGGCTCTCACCACGGTATAGATCCTGGCATCCGTAATGTCGTCTTGCGAGGGCTCCACGAACGGTTCGACAAGCATCTCGCTCAAGCTGAAAACGTTCGATCCCTGTTCATTGCACTGAATGACGAGGTCATGGCCAACCGAGAAGCAGCCGTTGGCCTCATCGGGCGACTTGCCAAACACAACCCTGCATACGTTATGCCTTCCCTCCGTAAAGCCCTCATTCAACTTCTAACCGAGTTGGAGTACTCGACCGTGATGCGCAATCGAGAGGATTGCACTCGGCTCTTGACTCTGCTGGTCAGTGCGACCCAGCGACTCATTAAACCTTACGCCATTCCTATGTTGCGCGTGCTCCTTCAGAAGGCGAACGACCCCAATCCCGCCGTGGCGGCAAACGTTCTCATGTGTCTCGGAGAGCTGGCTTGTGTTGCGGGCGAGGATGCTATGCCCCACGTCCAAGAGCTCATGCAGATCATCCTTGCCAAACTGGCCGACCCCCAAACGTTGAAACGTGATGCTGCACTTCATGCGTTAGGTCAGGTCTGCTCCAGCACGGGCTATGTCGTCCAGCCTCTGCTTGACCATCCTCAACTTCTTCCGCTGCTCGGAAGAATCATGCGAACAGAGACCTCGGTTCAAACTCGGCGAGAAGTTGTGAAGGTCTTGGGCATTCTCGGTGCCCTTGATCCCTACCGACGAAAGGTGAGTTGTCGTGGTCACTTTATGATACTTTATTGACGCTGATCGTGCTTCTAGTCGAGGCCGGATGAGGATGTTGCATCGAATGCGGAGACTTCGGTTGCTGCAGTAAATCAAGTCCCCATTAATCCACACCCTACGTCGTCATCATCGGACGATTACTTCCAGACTGTGGTTATCACGTCCTTGCTCGCAATTCTGAAGGATCAGTCTCTCAGCAGCCACCACCATACCGTAATCGAAGCCATCATGTCGATCTTCAAGACCCAAGGATTGAAATGCGTGACCTTCCTTCCCCAAGTAGGTTCGATCTCTGCATGCTCCATGTTGCAGTAACTGATCTTGGTTTCCTAGATTATTCCCGCCTTCGCTGCTATTACTCGGACATCCATCGCCCGACTCCAAGAATTCCATCTGCAACAGTTGGCCATTCTCGTCGGCATCATCAAACAGCACATTCGCAACTATACTCTGGACGTGTTTAGCTTGATCACTGAACTTTGGGACAACGTTACCCTGCAGCTGCCAATCGTTGCGCTCATTGAGGCTCTAGGAAAGGCGCTGGATGCTGAATTCAAGCCCTTCCTTCCGACTATCCTACCTCTCGTCCTCAAGGTATTCGACGGGGACACGAGCGATAAACGGATTGCGGTTCAGATCAAGATCTTCGACGCATTCCTGACCTTTGGAGCTAACATCGAAGAGTACCTGCACCTCGTTATCCCGATTATTGTCAAGTCCTATGAGCGGTCAGACGCGCCATCTTCTCTGCGAAAACGCGCCATACAGACCATTGACGGTTTGTCTCGGAGGGTCAATTTCTCTGACCACGCCTCTCGCATCATTCACCCCATGGTTCGCGTTCTGGATGGCAATAACAATGAGTTGCGCATGGCTGTCTTCGACACATTGTGCTCCCTCGTTGCACAGCTTGGCTCCGATTTTGCTATCTTTGTGCCCACTATCAACAAGGTAAATACCGACCGAACCGATCATTGGGACCTTAGGCTGATGTGTTGCAGGCAACTTTGCGCAACCGCATCTCCCATCCGCGATACGAGAACTTGGTTTCCAAGCTCTTGAACGGAGAAAGTCTCCCTTCCGAAGCTGGCGGCATGGATTGGATGTGAGTTCAGCGATGTCAAAGGGAGTGCAGCTATTGACCATATGGCAGTCAAGCCGAAAATTCCAAGGCCCAAGAATTCCAAGCTCCGGCAGAGGCGCCCAAGATGACTGTTAACCAGCAGCACCTCAAGCAGGCATGGGACGTGTCTCAGGTTACCACCAAAGACGATTGGCTTGAGTGGATGCACCGCCTGAGTGTGGAGTTTATGAAGGAATCGCCTTCGCATGCTCTGAGGGCTTGTATGACGCTTGTCGATATACACCAACCTCTCGCAAAGGAGCTGTTCAACGCTGCCTTCCTCTCTTGCTGGACAGAGCTCTACGACCAATACCAGGTTAGCGGCAACAACATCGAATCTTGAAACCACCGCTGAACTTTTTATTCCAGGAGGATTTGGTTCGATCCATCGAGTTCGCCATCACATCGACTACAGCACCTCCCGAACTGATTCACCGCCTCTTGAACTTGGCAGAGTTCATGGAACACGAAGAGAAACCCCTTCCCATTGAGCATCGCACTCTGGGAGAGTACGCCAACAAGTATATGGCCTACGCAAAGGCCTTGCACTACAAGGAGATGGAGTATTTTGCCGAGTCGTCACCCGCCGTTATCGAGTCCCTCATCTCAATCAACACCAAGCTGCAGCAACATGATGCAGCTTGGGGAACCCTACTCCACGCTCGGGAGCAGTACGATGTCACCAAGCATGAAGAGTGGTATGAAAGATTGGGGCGGTGGCAAGAGGCACTGCAGGTCTACGATCGGAAGGCGATGGAGGACCCAGACTCACCCGAGGTGAAGATTGGTCGAGTAAAGTGTTATCACGCTTTGGGTGAATGGGAATTGCTTGCTGCCCAAGTCCAGGAGAACTGGGCCAACGCAACCAACGAGGAACGACGTGAGATGGCACCCATGGCCGCGGCTGCTGCGTGGTCCCTGAATGACTGGGACTCGATGGACAACTACATCGGTACCATGAAAAATGACTCGCCGGATCGCGCGTTCTACAGGGCTATCCTTTCTGTCCACCAGAACCAGTTCTCCAAGGCACTTGCTCATATTGCTAAGGCGAGAGAGCTGATCGACCCCGAATTGAGTTCCTTCACAGGAGAGGGGTACGGCAGATCATACAAGTAAGTGAATCAAGATCTCCACGGACCTTTACCCTTTACTCATAGTGGCCCTTTAGTGTCATGGTTCGGGCCCAGATGCTTTCCGAGCTTGAAGAAATCATTGCCTACAAACAATACGCAGATCAGCCCGAAAGGCAGGCGACGATGAGAAAGACGTGGATGAAGCGGTAAGGGCCTATCCATGTTCCGGTTAGGTTTTATTCCAATGACGTTGGTATAGGTTGCAAGGATGTCAGCCAGATGTCGAGGTCTGGCAACGTATCCTCCAAGTCCGCACATTAGTCTCTAGCCCCGAGCAAGATCCTGTTATGTGGATCAAATTCGCCAACCTTTGCCGCAAGAACGATCGGATGATGCTCGCTGAGAAGACTATCAACTCCCTGCTGACTCCTGAAAGGGTGAGTCTTTATTGCAGTGTATTTATCCTCGCTCACGGTCTTGCAGAGAATGCTCGATCACCACCATCACCATAATACCAAAGCACCCCCCAACGTCGTCTATGCTCAACTGAAGTACATGTGGGCCAATGGTGAAAAAGAAGAGACCTTGAACCACCTCAGGCTATTCACCGCCAGCCTGGCCAAGGACATCCAGCAAGAAACGAACGAGCAGGGACATAGACCAAACGTGTCGAAGTCAAAGTTGGCAGAACTCACAAAACTGTTGGCCAGGTGCTACTTCAAGCAAGGAGAGTGGCAGATGGAATTAAAGGATGACTGGGACGCGGTTAGTCACTGTTAATGAATGGACCGTCTCCGTCGCTGATTCCCGCATTAGAGGAACGTCGAGGATATCCTCCATTCGTACTACTATGCTACTCATTATGACCCCGGGTGGTACAAAGCATGGCATACGTGGGCTTTGGCCAACTTTGAGGTCATTAGCCACATCGACACATTGGCAGAGAATCGGGCTACAGACATCCCTGGAGATTCGCTGGCATCCCATGTCGTGCAAGCAGTAACAGGTAAACCTCCCTTCGTAGCCGTCCTTGACGCCATGTTGATATTAGGCAAAGGTTTCTTCCGATCAATATCTCTCCGCAACCAGGATGCCCTGCAGGACACTTTGCGATTACTGACCCTCTGGTTCAAATACGGTCACCACGACGAAGTCAGTCATTCCATGGCAAACGGCTTTTCGACAGTTGAAGTCGACACCTGGCTGGAAGTCATTCCTCAGGTCCGTTAGTTTCGTTTCTTGGCATCGTCCTTGTAATCTCATTTCCCTTCAGATTATTGCCCGCATTCAAACGCCACATGCTAACATTCGCCGAAACATCAACAACCTGTTGACTGACGTCGGCAAGCATCATCCTCAGGCCTTGATTTATCCATTGACCGTGGCTTCTAAATCCTCGAGTTCGGCACGTCGAACTGCTGCCATTCAAATCATGGAGCGGATGAAAGACCACAGCTCGACAATTGTTACTCAGGTAGGCAGGTCGTCACCGAGAGACATGCTCCTGTACTTATCCCATTGTCCAGGCCCTCCTTGTCAGCAAGGAACTGATCCGTGTTGCAATCCTCTGGCACGAAATGTGGCATGAAGGCTTGGAAGAGGCTTCTCGCCTGTACTTCAACGACAAAAATCCTGAGGGTATGATCATGGCTCTTGAGCCGTTGCACAAGTTGTTGGAGAAGGTGAGGATTCAAGCGGGTCGACGACGACAGAGGCTAAAATTACCTTGTCAGGGACCAACGACTGCGCGTGAAACCTCATTTGCACAAGTCTTCGGGCGAGAACTTGCAGAGGCCCGTGAAGCCTGCAAGAGATACCAGATCTACGGTGATCCTACGGAGCTCGACAAAGCCTGGGATATCTATTACGGCGTGAGTAACCTGCTTGGGTGTCAAGAAGACCTAATTTAGAATTATTTCCTTTCAGGTCTTCAAAAAGGTCGAGAAGCAACTCCCATCACTGACAACCCTTGATCTGCAATATGTGTCGCCAAGTCTGCTCAAGGCTAGGCACTTGGACCTCGCGGTACCCGGTATGATTTCACCGTTCCCTTTGCCCGCTGACTTCTTACCGTTTGCTCAGGCACATATCAAAGCGGTCGTCCAGTCATTACAATTGCCAGCTTCGCCACAAAATTGACAGTCATTGCATCCAAACAACGGCCCAGGCGACTGTCATTGAAGGGGAGCGACGGACGAGACTACCAATACGTGTTGAAAGGTTTGCTGCTTTTGTCCACCGTTGCGTTTCCTTTCACTGAAGGGTGCATCTGTAGGACATGAGGACCTTCGTCAAGATGAACGTGTGATGCAGCTTTTCAGCCTGGTCAACACCCTACTCTCCGTCGATACCAACAGTTTCAAACGCCGCCTTCATATCCAACGATATCCTGTCATCCCGCTGGCACCGAACGCCGGTTTGTTGGGTTGGGTCCAAGACAGTGACACTCTCCACGTTCTCATCCGTGATTACCGCGAGTCAAGAAAGGTTCTCCTGAACATCGAGTATCGCCTGATGCTCCAAGTACGTCACATCCAGTTTGAGGATTCAATAAGCTGACCTTTCTATTAGATGGCTCCTGATTACGAGAACTTGATGCTCCTCCAGAAGGTTGAGGTCTTTGAATACGCTCTGGAAAACACCACGGGTCAGGATCTCTATCGAGTGCTGTGGCTGAAGAGCACCAACTCGGAACACTGGCTCGAGAGGCGTGCCACCTATACCCGATCGCTCGCCGTCAATAGTATGGTCGGCCATATCCTGGGACTCGGTGACCGCCACCCGTCCAATCTGCTTCTGGAACGCAGCACAGGGAAAGTCGTTCACATTGATTTCGGTGACTGTTTCGAAGTCGCCATGCATCGAGAGAAATTCCCGGAAAAGGTTCCATTCCGCCTAACGAGGATGCTGACACACGCGATGGAAGTAAGTTATCCTTCTTCCGATTTCCAACGCGGTTGATTTACTGTCATTCAGGTCAGTGGAATTGAAGGAAGCTTCAGGAATACATGCGAGATTACAATGACTGTCCTGAGGGATAACAAGGAGTCGTTGATGGCCGTCCTTGAAGCGTTCGTTTACGACCCGTTGATCAACTGGAGGTTGATGCAGGCCGACGTGGAAGTTAGACGGCCAGATGGTATGTCAAAGCCCCGCTGTAGATGACCTGGTTCTGACCGTCTATAAAGCGGATGTTGAACGCGTCCCTGAACTTGGCCGAGTAGCTGCGCATCCCCAAGCTCCTAACAGGAAGCTTAAGGCCGATGAAAACGACATCTTCAATGGTAAGGGGACTTGATACTCCAGGAGATCATCCGACTCATAAGCTTTCGCAGAAACGGAGGAAGAGCCGGGAGCACAGGAGGTTCGAAACGAGCGAGCACTATTCGTGTACAATCGCGTTCAGCACAAGCTCACGGGCCGAGACTTTAACCCCACCCAGGTCCTCAGTGTCAAGGCCCAGGTGGAGAAGCTCATTGAGCAAGCAACTTCTTTGGAAAATCTGTGCCAGTGTTTCTCTGGTTGGTGTGCCTTCTGGTAATAGAATCCTTGTTATTCGTCACGTATCTATGCTTTTTGATTTTCTCCACTTCGTTCGTTTGTGTATCATTAATATCTTGTAGACTATCGCCTCTACTTGCAACCTATCTCCACTTGGGACATCATTATCAATAGAATATTTAATTGGTTCAAAGGGAATGAGGTCTCTGCGTGATTAGCCCCTGTCCCAAATTGGCGTAACGGAATTTGATGGGAGGCCATGAACGAGCGCGCGGTGAGCGACGTCCTTCAAGGTTTACAACATCAACTACCACCATGCCACGCGGCATTCCAAATGCACGAAAGGAAGAGAATGGCCTTCGATACACGACATTTCAGGTTCCTCTAGTGTGAGTCGGTATATCGTTGGACAGTGGACTACATTGGTGTTCAATAGGTTAACTTGGTAGATTCTTTCAGACCAAATCCCAAGCACGTTAGCTCGACTTACCTCAAGTCGGAAAGTCAGACTGTTTGGTACAGAAACAGTCAGGCAAAGGGGAAGGGCCCAGCAGCTGAAGACACACATGGGGATGGCAGGTGAGCTTTGCCCTAATCATCCCGGGTCGTTTTGCCGACAACTTGGACAGGCGCGGTTCGCAGGTTATCGTGATTCACCCGGGCTCGCGGTTCATTCGAATCGGGCGGGCGTCAGACGTCTCACCGGTAAGCATCCCAGCTGCTGTGGGACGCAAGTACAAGAACTCTGCGCCGCAACCTGAGAGGAAGAATTGCATCATCCGACCTGGCTCGTCCAAAGACAAGTTCCCTGCCATCCCTCTGCCACAGAATGGGGACGAATACGACGTTACACCGGCTTCTAACGACTCGGTGAGCCCATCCCACTACCTTTGGGAGACAAGCTGACTCGCTGGTTCTCAGTTCGATACCAAGCTGGCTATTATCACTGTATCGCTGAGGGACAGGATGCGGTTCTACAAGTTGCGCGTTACGCCCAATGCGGTTACCATTGCTTCCACCTTCAATGAGCAGTTCAAGCCTGAAATCATAACATCCGATCCGAACAGCATTGAATGGATTGATGAATCGTGTCAGGATGAGGTTGTAGCGGGCGAAAAGGCAAGTTTCGCCTTATACAGAACCATAAAGGACATCAACCTGACAACCTGTATGCAAAAAGGCGTTGCGAATAGGAAACCCAGAAGCTTTCAACTACAGCATTCGATGGCCATTCCATGCGTCAACGTTTAATTTAAGAGATTACGACTCACTTCAGATGTTGCTCAACGATGTGGAGGCGTTGATTGATCATGGAATGCAAGAAAAACTCAACATTCCGCGGTCAGAGTACAAGGTAGTGTCCGATTTCATCATGGAACTGGCGAGAGAGAGAGCGAGCTTCAACTCATATGAAATGGTAGAATTACTCTGTGGTGTTGGTGATTCCCGATTTCTACGACAAGGCGTATGTACGGGACCTCGTTACCGTACTCATCAAGGTCATGGGGTTTAAGCAAATCTGCGCACAACAGGTTCGTCCGCGGCCTTATCCTTATCGTTTCATTTCATTAACTCGCAAAACTATCAGGTCTCCCTTGCGGCTACCTACGGAGCTGGAATTTCGAACGCGTGCGTGGTGGACATCGGCTCGAAGATCACCACTATCGCATGCGTGGACGAGGGTCTGGTGCTTCCTGACACCAGGTAAGCAGTTCTTTAACCAACCCTTTTCTGAAAGCAAAAGTTCGAACAACTTCTGCTAGGTTATCACTCAATATGGGTGGAGATGATGTTACGGAATTTCTGCACGTCCTGCTTCAGCGCATCCAGTTCCCTTACAGAACGCTTGATTTGAATCGTTCTTACGATTGGGCGGTCTTAGAAGACCTCAAAGGTCGGCTATGCACCCTCATGGAGGTGAACCTCAGATTCCGCGTAGGTTTCGCTGTTGTGATCTAACTAATGATTTCCGACAGAGCGATGTCGCGTTGAATCTTTACGACTTTATCGTGCGGAGACCAGGCGCACCAACCGAGAAATATGGTCTAAGAGCATACGACGAGATCATCTTGGCTCCTATGGTATTGATAAATTGGTTTCCAACGGCTTTCATATTGAATGCTCACATGCGTTGAATTCTAGTGCCTTTTTGAACCTCGGGTGATCGATTTCGATGGCAAGTGTCAGGGAATTAAGCCTCTGTCGGTGAACGTGACAGAAGATATCATTTCGCACCCGACAGACAATGTGGTATGTAGATTTTAGAGTTCTTCATCATTTAGTTTGCGTTCACAATAGCTTACACGCGCTGGTCGCTAGACGAAAGCGATGGTCATTTCCACGCAGCATTTGATGCCATTAGCAGAGGCTGACCCGACCCCTCCACCTCCGCCGCCACCTGCATCTACATCTGCACCAGCCAATGCCAATGCCAAGCAAGAATCGTCGGATCCCCAGGCAATGTCGGTTGACCAGCCGGAGGCAGTATCTTCTAAACCACCTGCGGGGAATGGAACTACCGAAGCACCGATTGAAATCATCGATGTCGATGACGACACCAAACCTCCTGTGCCGGATGTACCCCCACCTGCGAAGGTGCAGGTCACCGAGGCCCCAATGAAAGAAATTGACATTCTGTTCGAGGCAAGCAAGCTGCCGTTGGATGTTGCCATTTTCAATAGCGCACGAGCCGCTGGAGGGGACGATAAGATTCGAAAGTATCTTCAGGCCGTGCTGGTCATTGGAGGCACTGCTCTGATTCCTGGGATGGCGCATGCTCTCGAGAGCAGGTATGTAAATGTACGTTTGGTTGATTACCCGTTTCTGACCAATCGCGATTTCACCAGGTTACAGGCAATCGCTACCCCATTGGTACCCAACATGGAGAAGGTACAGATCATTCCTCCACCGAAGGAAGTCGATCCGAGGGTGCTCGCATGGAAAGGCGCGACTGTACTCGCGAAAATGGAGAGTGTCTCCGAGTTGTGGGTGACGCCTTCTGACTGGGTACGATGTCGTTGCCTTGTTACTCTAAACATCGGCCTGACTGTGATGCAATTCAGGATCTGTTTGGGATGCGTGCTCTGAAGGAACGATGTTTTTATTTGTAGGTATTGAAAGAGGTCGTGTGACATAATAGGGTATTAGTACATGAGGCTACAATACTGTCCGTGCTTTGAAGCGATTACTATGTTACATGGCGTATTACTGGGTATGCATGCTGAAGAAACCATATTACAGTTCGTATTGTCCGTGCTGAGAGAAGGCGTCGACAGATACTCGATAGCGGTCAAACGCCGAGTCTTTCTTTCCATTCAATGAAATCGTCGGACTGCATATTACGCCACAGCTGGAGCAAACTAGTCATCTTTTCTTTCCCCTCCCTATAGATATGTAAATTAGATGGAGTGAATGGGAAGCCGAGAGAATGGATTACCTTTCCTTCTTGTGCCACTCGATCCTGGAGACACCCCCTTCTCTCCAAGCATCGATTTCCGTAGTTCGCGGTTTCTCTTCTTCATTCTCTTCCGACTTGGCCTTCCGCGAACATTTTCTTCCTTGGGGTCTTTTCGATGCCGATACCAGTAGCGCCTCATCCTCTTCCCGCTTTACTTTCATCGCGGTATTCACGGACGAGGCTGAAATCTTGTCGATGAAACCCGTGATAACTGCTGCGGCAAGTCTATTGGGAACGAAAGGAAACGTGAATTCTGGGCGTGGGGTAGCCTCGGGTGTCGTTATAAACCGCGTGCGGCAGATAGGACAATCGACTGATTCATGCCAGCTTCCGCACGGTGGATGCAAGCGGGAGAAAAACCACTTTAGAATGCAAATTGCACAAAACGTATGGCCGCATTTGGCCGAACTTATGGTGTAGGGCGCAGAAACAATGTCATAGCACCTGTATATCGCATAAGTCCCGACCTTTCCTGACCAGTAAAAAGGGGAAGACCGACGCACAATGGACAGACAAAGTGCTGTTCTAACTGGGCGAGTGCGGTGGCTGCGTCCCTCTCAGCAAGCTGGGATAGCAATGTGGTTGTTTCGTGCTGCTGTTTCTCGTGGGCCTCGATCTGGAGAGCCAGATCTTCTTTCTTCTGCTGGACCTCTCTCTCAGCAGCGAGCAAGGCGTTCTCGCGTCGGACGAGCTCAGAGGGGGATATCCTGAGAGATCGCCTCGGGTTCGGCAGCGCCACCGAGGAGGACGAAACTGCCGGAGTTGACGGTCTGTCGTATGGCTTCGAAGACGACGGACCGCGCCTAGGTCTTCTGAGCTCGCTGTGTGCTGGTTGTGCCGTTGTGGCTGATTCGGTCCTGGGCCTGTGGCGGGCTGACCGCTGGACGTCTAATGCCCGCACAAACGGTTGAATTACCTACGGGCGGCGCAATGAGACGACACAGGAAACGGACCTTTCTTTGCACTCAAACGAGCAGAAAACCGTTTTGCAGAAACCGCGAATTCGGACTCCATGCTGCAATTCAATATGGCTCTGGCTGAGATTTCGCTGCGTTGAATTCACGCCAAGCACCCACATGGTCACATGTACTTTATGACGGTCACGTGAGGATTCGCCGCCACCTTACTGAGACTCGTCCTGAGTCCTCCTCAATGTCCTCCTTCAAACTGCTGACCTTTCGCTACCTTTTTCCTTTGTTGGTTTGGTCAATTGCGCCATAGATCCCTTATATTGCGTTCGTATCTTCTGTCGCCACAGTGCCTCTTTTCCATCTTTCTCTTTCTCCAATACGCGAAACAGTCACCAGAAGATTCACGGAAACTCGATGACCCCCCTTCAAAATCTCAATTCACGAAAATACAACGGTCCAATAAATCGTCCATCTCTCCGAATCGCCGAAGAACTTGTTTGCGCCCACTGGATACTGAAATTTAGGCGCTTCTTTTGCGGAGCCAGCTTAATTTGTCGGCAAGTGATATTGATTGTCGTTACTCGCGAGCATTCATACAACTAATATATCCCACACACGAATCGTATTCTTGTCCTCGAAAGTGGCACAGAAACACCAATGCCGTGCACCAGAGCTGCTTTCCTCTGTCTTATTGACCTCACATCCTCTCCGAGCTCGCAGGTCTTCCGCTTGTAGGCTCCGGCGTGACAATCCGATGCCCACCTGTCACTCCATTCTGCGCTGCCGCAGTCACAGAGACATCAGTGGCAACAAACGGGAAAGCTTCTTTCTGAATGGCCCGCATGACCCTCACTAGCTAGATCTGGACTGGTCCTAAAACAAGCCGGACTCGCCTCCACCTTATCCTTAACTCGGCTATGATGTCAATCACATCGTGATTCCTGCGATACTTGGACGTCACGGTTCTCAGTGTGTTCCTGTGGCCTGGTGTATGTGCGCCAACTCTGCAACCCCGACTTGCTTCGTCCCTCACGTTCCCGCTCTCGGCGCTGCCTCTAATCACCAAGCAGACATCCGATTGAAATCGGAGACTGCCAATGGTGATCCCCAGCTTCTCTGAAGATACTCTGCGACCAGTCCCTTGCAGCGAAATTCAAGGAGGACTCTCCATATGCCATAATCACCTATCATCACACGAAGCGCCCGCTCTTAGACATGTTGTGCCTGTGCCTTGCCCGCCTGTCACATTCAGAATCCTATTTTCACAAACAGGAAATATCTCCATTTGCCATGCCGCAGGCGTTCACCGTTACTCCTGTTGTTCACTTGTCCCTCAATTCAACGGACCGAATACCTGAAAAGCGAATTTGAATATCACCACCCTCGATGACGCCTTCTCTTGGACCCTCGATATAACAACCAACTTACTGTGTCCACCAGCTTTACAATCGCCAACGTGATCTCGTCCCTAGTCACGGACACTGCTCAGCTAAGACCTTATGCTGACTGACAATGGCCATGACATTCTGCTTGTCCTTCCAACACTGATCATTCTCCCGCTTCTCAGGGTTTCGACGTTTATCTGGCTTGTTAATTCAACTTCATTCAAATTTGTGACAACCCATCGTATCCCGTTTTATGGTCTAGCAGATCTTCACCACTCTCGGTACGATGGGAGCGGTTCAGTGGCCAACTTCTCAGTACGACCAGAAGGTTCCTCGACGCTACTAGCTCCGCTCTCCCATCACTCGCCGGGGCTTTTTGACGACTGGGAAGGAGCAACAATTCTTTAGGAAGAATCTAACCCTTGAAAGCAAGCAGCCACGATTTCGACGGCTTAGTCGCTTAAACCGTTTCGAATAGGCAATCGGGTACTACTTTACTGGCGTCTAACCTCTTTCCGAAATCTGCAAGTTCACCACCACCTTGTGGGTCACGTAGCGTCCCGGCTGAAATTGCTTTTCTTATTCAGCGGTCTCTTTGGAGACTTGAAACTTTGGCTGATGAAAGTTCCTTATCGCTGCTCGACTAATACTTTCTGGTAGTAGGATGATCTTCTCTGACGCGTTATGCTCTACCCCTGGCCCAAAAGCGACGTGGGGATGACCCTGTTCGTGGTGTGCTTGACGACCCTCATGGTCAGTCCAATAAATCACTCTTCGCTTGTATCGTCTTAACTGGCCTTGGCGCATCATTTGATCCTTGTCTCTTGCCACTGTCCTCTTCTGTCCTGTGTTTACAGTGGTGGCGACAAGTCGATTGGAAATGAACGCTACTGTACACCTATCGTCCCTCTGTCACTTCAAAGTTCAAATCTCGGTCAGCCCTCGAAGCATCACGCGAATGATGCGCCAAGACGCATAAAGAGTCAGACATCCATTTCTTCGCTCGTGCAATCTCGTGGCGCTCCCGCGATGGTTGCATTTCTCTTCTAACCCATTTCCGAATCCCCTTGCACTCGGAGTTGTTGGAGATCGTATGTAAACGTCTCTCACTAGACTCTCTATCTCGGCGGATTCATAGATGTCCTGATCCGAAGCATCCAACAGAGGATCAGAATTGGGAGCGTAATGCGAGTCTTTCGCAAGTATTGCTGGTTACGCTACCCCGAGATGGTGTTCGTAAAGAATTCGGCTATGATTGTATTGGTGTGTGTACAATAAGGACTTGCTAACGAAGTGCCGCGAGGCTTGAGCAGGGAGAGTACATCGATCCCATGGAAATGGCCAACTTCATCCGAGGAGAAATACAGTTCTGATGGTCGTATCATGAGGCTCTTGGATGCTTGTACAAAGGGTCGAGGAACTTGCGTTACTTCAAGTTGTACCTTCCGTTTTCCAAGTCGCAAGGGGGACGGCCGCTATTGATATTTATTTCACCTATTTTGGTGGGCTCACCACTTACGCTTTCCCTACCTATCTCCCGATCCCCCGATCCGGGCCTGGGTTCCCCGCCATCGCCTCATGCTCCTGAGTTGCCCTCTTTATTGTCGAGAAAGTATAAACTGAGATGATTGCAAAAGCTTCTTTCAGGTCTCTGTGGGACGGATGGGTATCATCGGAGATGTATGGGGTTACTGGGAGCCGCCGTATCCATTCGCATTGAAGGAGACTCGATGCTTATATCCATCCAGAGCAATTTGAAGGTTGAGCATATCTGGCCGAGGAGGTGGGAGGCATGTAGGTTTCCGGTGCACCACCGACGTACCTTTCCATCCCTTGGAGAATGGGGAAGAGTGTTTGTCTCTGGGTTCGGACACCTTGAACCCTCGAATTGCCCCTCGATCCCCTTTGCCCATGTCCATCCGGGCTCACTGTGCGCACCCACCGGTAACGACCTGAAGTGAACTGTATTGTTAATTTTTGGGCAGATGATGAGAGGAACAGGATTTTGGGGAAGATCCGATGCAACCGGCCGAATAGCGATTTGACGAGGTCTCCGTTTCCTCGCACGCACCTTTCGTCTATTTGCCTATTCGTGCTACAGTGGGATTGGCGCTCGCAGCATGTGTATGTGGTCAGGGCCCTTTACATTATCTTCTGCGCGCCTTCCACCATATCTGTTTTACGCTTCGTTGTGGACGACCTGCGGGACAGGCCACGCCGCAAAACGTTGTACATTGCATAATGGTTGCTCGACTAAGTAAACTGTAAAAGATGTATGCAAGACATACGCGTGATCACCGGAAGGGAGGGAATTATGTGTGGGCGCTGTGCCAGGTGCGAAGATCTTCTTTTCTCCTTTCACAAAATAGGCTGGACACGCCATGGGCCGCAGTCTGTGGGTTTCTGAGGGACTGTATGGAATCTGCCACTTGTCTCGGTGTGTTTCGTAGCAGGACACATGAAGTCCGGCTTGCTCCCAGCGGTTACGACTCAGAAGAAAGGCAGAGCAGAGGTCATAGTAGTTATTGCACCCCGCCCAGGCGGAGGCATATCGAACAAGTACGTATTGCTATAGGCGGTTTGGGGCCAGCGGAAGGATTTGTGGTGGATCAAAACAGTCGCGAAATAGCAGATGGGAAAGTTCAAGAGTTTGGGGGTGTGTGATGGGCAATCTGAGATCGGGCGGGTTGTTTGTTTGGCGTGGCCACCTTGCCATCACCTCAGTCGCCAGCAAGTCTGTTTGGAGGGCCCGCGATATCGCGCAGAAACCGGTCGAAAGTCTTGGGACTTCTTTCCCTTCGCCACCGCAGTAGGGGCAGGTTCGATGAGGGTGCTCAAGCGAACAGAGCGCTGGCGGATACGGGCAGAAGAACGACAATCAAAGCGGAAGGAAATCAAGAAGAGCAAGTGAATATAAGAATATCGCGGTGGAGGTCAAAGAAACTGACGGAACTCGTGACGGGTATGGAATTCTAGAAAAAGGAGCTGATATGATATTATTTCTTTTTGATGATTGTTCGGGACTGAAAGCGAATCTCAGCGAAGTTCTGAATGGGGAGAGCTGTGATCCATTCAACGGCCCAATGGCAGCTCAGATCTTCACAAAAAAGCTCCCTTTTCGGACCATTTGCGGTACTTTCCCCGCATTACCGTGCACTGTAATTAATAACAAGAAGAGGGGGGCAGTCACGTCACGCCGGGATCGAGATTGCGGAAGCTTGAACAGTCGCCTATTGACAAGTCTCTAATGCTGCTCTCAAAACCAGCACCATTACTGTCTTTGCCTGTCGTCCCTGCTCTCCTCACTGGCAGCCTTCTGCCCTGTCTCCGTCTAGTCCTGTCGCTGCTCCACCCACTGCTCCAGCAGCCCCTTTACAGTGACAAACTCGACTATGCTGGCCCATCCCCAGCTCCAGATACCCAAGTATATCGCCCAGTGCTCGTCCCATCACGTCGACCCCACCCGTCCAAAGTCTATGCCATCCTCTAATTATTATCCGGACATTTCTACAATCGTATCCTCTTCTCTCTCGCCAGTTCGGTCAACTTCCCCGGCCGATAATCCCATTGACGACCCCAGCATGCCTTCTCCAACTTCGCCACAGGACAATACTGGCAATGCCAACTTCGAAATTGTCAGTCAACGAGTCAGTTCCATCGATTCAGTTCCATCTCCGGTGGAAATCTATGATACGTCGACCGCCTCGGCTTACCAGCCTCAGGCCCAGGAATACACCTCCGCATCCAGCGCACGAGCTAGCGGATACCTTATTAATAGCCCAACAGGGCTAAGAAATCCTGACGCGAGTGGCCACTATCTTTCCGACTCCCCATCTCCAGTTGACGTGCAGCAAGGACCTTCTTTGTCTCAACCGTCAAGTGCCCCTCCTTCGCAGGATCGCTTCCCCCATATTCTCGAACCGCTTTATACCGGGGTTGATCGGACAATCACAGACTCAAACCCTAATTCGGGACGTTCACGCATAGGACAGATGGATAAGTACTCCGGGGGTCTCCTGGATCAAAGGCGCATGTCTGAACCCGTACTCAGTGGTGCCCACACCTACCACACCTCCATGAACTCGTCCCACCACCAATCGGCCATGCCCTTCGCGTACAACGTCTCCGACGTTGGCAATACCCGCCCTTCCTCCTCCATGTACTACCCCTCCTCCTCCCTCCAGCGAGGCTCGAGCACGGGGTCCCTCCGAGATCTTCGCCAACAGCATTATGACCGGCCGTCCTCCCACCAAGACTGGAAACCCGACCCCGAGCTTCATCGTGATAGCTCTACCAGCTACTTCGGCTCAGCGTCTGAGGACGCTGTGTCGCCTTTGCAAACCAGCTTCGGCGGAGGCATAGTCAACTCGGGCTCCGGCCTGCCTTATTCTCCTATCAGCGAGAATTTCTATGGCCCGTCTCCTCCAGGGACAGGGACATCTTCGTCGTCAGCCCCTCTCACCACCGATCCTGCTTTCCCTCATTCCTTCCCCAAACTCTCAATGCCTCAACGCAGCGTCAGTGGACCTATGCCATCTGAAGTCGATCGCAAGAATTATTCGTTCATTGCGCTTCCCGGGAACGCGGTTAAGAAGCGCCCTCGACGCCGCTACGACGAAATCGAACGCCTCTACCAATGTTCATGGCCCGACTGCACCAAGGCATACGGCACCCTCAATCACCTCAACGCGCATGTTACGATGCAAAAGCATGGCCCCAAGCGCAGTCCAAGTGGTAGGCATCCTACACCCCTTTCCTTACTCTGACAGAACCTTACACATCCCCTACAGAGTTCAAAGAGCTTCGGAAGAAGTGGCGAGCCGCAAAGAAAGAGGCAGAGAGCCAGATGGCGATGAGTCTCCGTCGCAGTAGTTTCAGCAGTCATCACGAAGACTTTGACTACGGATCTCGCTTCGCCTTCTCTCATTCTTCCCAACGGAGTCACTCATTTCACCAATCTGGAGTCGAATTTCCCTCCTCCCTCGGCGCAACCCAGTCTATGGGACACTCCATGCATCCCATCTCCTATTCGTCACATCACAGGGATGACCAGGCTGGAATGGACCATGATCCCGTGCGTTACGGAGATATTGTTCCCCCGTCATGGCAAGGGAGCATTCTGCCATCGAGGGGCCTGCCCGACCCATTCATTTCGTCGCTCCCATCTCATCATCTCCACCGCTCCCAGCTTCCGCACCTCACCATCACCGATGGTTCTCGTCATCATTCCGTCCCTATGCCACCTTCACCTCCTCGGACAGTTAACCAGCTACCTCCCAACAGTACACTCCTTACCCCGCTAGCGTCGTATCAAAACCAATCATTTCCTCTCTCACAGGACAGCATCGGATACTCTGGCGATAGCTATGATTGTTACGAAGACAACTCTCGCCCTGGTACAGGGAACGCGAGCATTGGTGCTCCTAGCAGCGACGAGCTTCAGGACGATCAATGTTTCTAAGATAGTTCCTCAACTCTGGCCTTTCGACTTGCGGTACCTATGTTCCAGCCTCTAACGTTCCACCCGTTTCGATCTTCGATCTTCGGCCTTCTTATCGACTTCCTCGTTTCCATTTCATTTATATTGCCATTGTTGTTCACATGCTTTCGAGTTCTCAGTCTTGCTGTTTTACAATCTACTGCTTGTTGCACGTCTTTCACACCTACCCACTGGTATGTACATCCGTCTACTGTAGTTTTTTTTTGACTTTATTTAGTAGAACACATTCCCACCCACATTCACCTGTTGCATCCCCAACATACTGGCTACCCTCCTATGTACTGTGCCGTTGAATAGCGTACCCTGCCCTTCTGTTTTTTGAATTGGTAACCTCAGCCCCTCTTTTGATCATGGTCTAGGTTTTCGGCTGCTGTACGCAGTCCAAATCAACGTTAATTAGTGTGATAACATCCGCTGCTTCTTCGACAGAAGTTCTGACAAGTCCATTTAGAAGATTGATAGTAATGACCCAACTCGATCGCTGAACCGTGGCTGAGACCTCGCTTGGTGCCGGTGAGTACTGGTGACCAGTCGACCAATGCTGAAATGCCGCTGAATACCAGGTGAAATCCAGGTTGGAGTAATCTTTTTCACCGAGTCGACCAGTGAGTGGTTGTATTTAATCCAGATCCGCTTTCTCTAGGACTGCACCAGGTCTTGACGTAACTGGGGCTTCGCGTGCGAAAGGGAGATTTTCGCGACCAAGTGAAAAATCGAAGTCAGTGCCGCAACGGGACGAAGATTCGGAAGAAGGCAGAGAGTTGGCAGAGGGTGACATCCAGCGCGTGCTTCTTCAGCCTGACACTTGATGGGTTCTTCAATTCTCTCTTCACATTCTGTGTACTTCCGTGACACATACCGTTTGTCACCTTAAAATTTCTCAGGAATATAGACATCCGTTGAAGTGGCTATTTTTGTCGTAGAGAACTCCGTCAACTCACTATGTATGTGTTGGCACGTCTTGAACCCTGACTGAACGTAAAGGCCCCTGAAGGAAGGAATCTCTCTGTATATGTGCGAACGTGCACTGGAGGACCTCGCGAAGGACAGTCATTCGGCAACCAGTAACGCGCCATCCCTTCAGGCAGCCCCTCTGCAATCATCACTGACACTGATCGCGTCCTTTCATTTCGGCTCGAAGGTACTTGCACCGTCTCGCAATCCAAAAATCGAGCTTATCAGAACATCAGCAAGGTCGAGGCAATTTTCAGAAACCAGGGAGCATGTTTAACGCGTTTTCAGCACCGCTCTGGTCTTTTGCCATGTCGTAAGATGAGTAAAGGCTTTCCAAACACCGGGGATCTTTCTGACAATTGAAAAGAGATTTGACAGTGCAAGTGCGGTCATCTCACATACAAAAGGTGCTGCCACTGGCAATATGATGAGACTAAACACCGTGGCATAGCTAATTGTGGATTTCTGAAATCACCATTTTCCCTTGTTCGCATCCTCAGCTTCTCCGTGCGACGGTGTTTCGAACCTTCTCCGCAAACCTTGTTCAGATTCCCATATCCCTTCGACCTTTCAATACAGTAGCTGTCCAGATCGAAGGTGGATCGAGCTTCCTGCAATCTGCCACCTTGCTGAAGGTAACACCCTTCTTTCGGGCCTTGGCAGCAATTAAACTGCTGTAGGAATTAGTTTTGCAAGCATTTTCTGCGTCGCGGTGTTCCTACAAATCACGTCTCCAAAATCAACGTTTAATCGAGTTCCCACCTGCAGAGCCTGGGCCCACATGTCGAGTTTTGGCGTTGTGCGTCAACCGAATAAGAAAACTGTCAACTCCTTGTGCTTCGGAGCCTGGGCGCCTCTTTTGGGCTTTTCGGGGCCGGCCTCCTAAATATGCACTCTAAAGTTACGGCATTCTGACAAGTCAGGTGTTCCACAATTCCAATCATTGGATGCTGAAGTGATGATCTCCATCCAATCCATTCCCAACGGATGCGAGATTTCGTCTCGCGCGTCTTCGCGGTAAGTGTGTTGGCAACCGACTTGGTGGACCCATTATGTGGGCGCTCGTGTAAACGCTGGATTTGGTAAAATCCGACACGTCATGAGCTCAGAAGAGGCGCCAAGTGACTCCATATCGACTGATGGGTGAAAACACCTTCCAAGAGGGAAGGCTCAAAGGACTAATCAACAAGGTGAGGAGGCCAAGAGCGAGGGCAAGGTGGAAGGCAGTCTCGCGTAGTGAGACTAGGCAATAGCTATAGAATACACTTGTAAAAACTGAAAGATATGTCCTCGGTAAACCTAAAGGACGGCTTAATGGGCTGGCTAGCTTTGACACTGTGTGCAGGTCACTTGCTGCGCATTCTTACTGTGATATCACGTCCCGACGTTCTCTTTGGAGGTAGATAGAGAGGTTCAGATAACGGATCAGCCGAAGCTCCTTTCACATCATCGGCGGAAGCCACATCATTCCCCACTTCAACTGTTCTCCTAATTAGAGAGGGTGGAGCCTGGGTCTGCCCGGGAGAAGTGGATAAATATCTAATTGACTGCCTGATTATTTACAGTCGACGCGAACTGCCGAATTTTCTCTAACGAATAACCAAGTTCTTCCTCCAAACAAACACAGTCGCTAAAAATGACACCGGTCGTTTAAACCTCTACTAACAGTGAAAAAAATAACATCATCGCGCTGATGTCAGATGCATGTGTCTGGAATATAGAATTTAGGGCACCTGAAATCTCCATAGATGTACAGTATACCGAGCTGGCGGTGAAGCAATTATCGAAAACTTTGTGTCCAGCATCCTAAACCATGTTAGAGAATGTTGACACGATAGAATTTGCCTCCTCGCAGCTACTTCGGTAACAGAGACAGATTTGGGATCATCACACTGAGTATACATCTATCGTAGGAACCAGGAAGCATGTATCAGAATTCCCTCTGTTTGTGAACTCTCTAACTCTGGTGTCAAATTCGGCTGAACTTACCAGACTTCCGATTCCGAGATATTACCGCTTATGGTATGCGCTTGAGCCCGTAATTGTTAAGCTTAGGCTTCCATATTCTAGAGTTATGTTCACAATGAAGACGAAGAAGAGGTGCTGCCTCGAAATAAGCGCCCGGTGATCCGTTCGGCATGGCCGTTCCGAGTCGGGTCACGCACCGAAGACATGTGACGTAGATAGATAACGCAATCTATGTATGTAATCTAATCTTTCCGAGCGCGCAGAATCTTGTTGATCGGATATTTTTCCCCACAGTCCGTTTCGCTTCCGCCACGGTCGTCGTCGATCGCGTCGAGGCCACGTCTTCCCTCCCGGACTCTCCCCTTTACTTTCCATCTCCTTTCACGACAGCACTCAAGCCATAAGCTAAAGAGAAGGCTACGGTTTGGAACTTGGGTTAGGGAGAAGATGTATACATTGCAAGGTTTTTTCGCTGTCAGCTAAACCCACCCCCAGCTATACAGATCAGTACAACCATTACAACGGCTCACCACAAGCCCTGAAATGCCCCCTGACACTGGAATTGCGTACGACCACGTCTCTTCCGCCCTGAAGTTGCGCCCAGCACGTTGTGGCTCCCCTTACCGATCCGATTTTGTGTCTGTCGGCGCTGGCCTATGGTTTGGCTCTGGGGCAATATCCGTTTGGATAAACAGCAATACGGATGGACAGAGGGAACAGCTCGAGACTCCCGAGACACTGCGGTGAAGGCACCTGCAACTCGGGAGGGGCCCTTTTTCCGTTTGCCTTGTCCAGAGCGGTTACTGGATACCAAGTGTCCTTGACCATCCGGGTGCCTTCGGTTCTGGCAGGGGAGGCTCGCTTTCTTTTTTTCTGTGGTCCTATCGGACAGAGGTCGATTGCGCCGGACTAGTTCGGGGCTCGATTTGCTTCTGTTGTTTCTGGTGTACGTTCAAGTGCATGGTCCCATTTCTCCACGAATGTTTCGGCGGTGCTTCTCAAGGCCATCACCTGTCTGGTTCAGAGGCCGTACCGGTACCCATGCAGACCCGGCCTCTCTTTGCGATGGTGTGAGGTGCTGGGTATGGACACCAACCAAAGCACATATGTTCCTGTCCCTGCGATGCAAGGTACATCTTTCTGATTTTCCCATCGGTACTAGGTCGCCAGCCATCGACAACGTGTCGCGAACTATTGGGCAAATGGTGCGGGACAGAGGTTGATCTAGCCGGGGCTTGAGTGCTGGGTGGGTACATAAATCAAAGCAGGTATGTTCCTGTCCCTGCCGTCCAACGTAACAATTTTCCAAGCTATCCCCTCGGTTTACTAGGCCATAGATCCTCCCACTACCGGGCGGGATTTCTTGTGTTGTCGAGGATGTCGAGCTCTACTGTCATTCAAGTGTGCCGGTTCCTTGGTCTACGCGCCCAGTGACTATCTCCCTTTCAACTCTCCACCATCTGTATGCTGTAGCCTCGTACTGCAATGCAAATATGAAATGTTGGAATTTGAGCCCAAAGTCGTGAGGGCCATATTGAAGCAGCGCCTGCGAATTCGAAAAGAGTTGGGATGATAATGTAAGTGTAGCCATCCTCTGCCCAGTAAATTAATCCTTAATTCAAATTTCTCGCCTTTTGCAGGTCGCTAAGCCTCTCAAGATCTCAAGCCCTTGAAAATGAAATGACCTATTTTCCTCTGGCACGGGCCCCAAACGAGTGGCGAAGATGACAACATCGTTCCCACGCTGTTACGCAGTCAATGTCGATCGCTGCGCGTTCAAGTTGTTGCTCTACACTCAGCACCCGCTTCTCTAGGTTTTAAAATCGGCAATAGGAGTGACTTATCTTGTAAAGATTCCACTAACAATCTGTGCACGAAGGTATCGAAGGTGTGTCTTGAGCGAGTGGCCTCTCAGATCTCAGAGCTCATTAGGTGTGTCCATGGAGACTCTGCGCAGTACTCATGCTAATCCGGTACTCAGACTCTTGAAAATGATTCAACTCTCGGATCTGCCGGTTGAGATTTTGCAAGACAACCTCTTCCCATTCCTATCAGCAAAATCGTTGACCCGATTGACTTGTACCAGCAAAGTGCGTTTTGCACATGTTCACTCAACGTAAACTCACCACTCGGTGCCACTCAGTACTTCGCGCGTCTGTGCTGCGACGATGCTGTTTGGAAGCGGAAACTCCTTGCAGACTTTAACTTTTCGGGGGAGGGAACCGCCCGAACTAGTGGCTGGAAGACCATCTACCGTGGATTATACAACCCCAAAGGTAAAGCCGCAGCTCCTTTTTGAAAGTTAGGTCCATGAACTGATGTCTCTCCGATAGTCTTTGTCTGGGGGTAAGGAGGACACCCTTGCTCAACTTACGCCTGCTCAACTTGACTTACAGTGAAGCCGCCAACGGCCGCCTTGGCACCGCAGAGTTACCGAGGGCCAGCACAAACGGAGTTCCCTTCCCATTCGAGCTCAAGATACCTAATGTCCGCATCGTGAGCATTGTCGCGGGCGGGATGTGCGTGGAGTCGATCTGATAGTCTCAGAGGCGCATCGTGTTTACGCTCATTTTCAACAGGTCGTTCCATGCTCTTGACTCTAATGGGAATGTTTTTGTGTGGGGTACGCTTCCTACCGATTTTCATATCCAAACAAGACTGATAGCGTTTAGGGACACTAAATGCGACCAGTGGTGGCTATCTTCCGAGCGACGGGTTTTCAGAAGCAGGGAAACGAGCCGGCACCCCCCTCAAACTTCGTCTGCCTAGCGGTGCCCGTAGCGTAAGGTACATATGCTTGATCCTTCATCTATTTTTGGGCTGGACTCATCGTCTTGGAAGTTGTGGAAGGTTGCACTCGTGCATCCTGGACAACCGAAACAGAATCTGGACATTCGTCAACTGGGGCCGACCTTTCCGCTTTATCTCACATGCTCTCGACAACCCGCTTTCTCCGCCTGTCCAAGTCGAATGTGGATGGTCATTTTCTGCCTTGCTCAACACAGCCGGGGAAGTCTTCGTTTGGTGGCCCTTCTCGGGATCTTTACAAGCGATTGTCACCCAGAAGAATGGCGAACTTGACGCTCAAGGCGAAGGCGCGAAAGCAAAAGCGACTACTGACGGGGTGATAGCATGCATTCCATGGAGTGTGAGCTATGAGCCGAAACGCCTCCCTGGGCTTCCACCGCTGCCTGATCTTCCCTTGACGGGCGTTGATATCCCAAACACCCTACAACTGATACAGATTGCTGGTATGGACGGACATCTCATTGGGCTTACGAACGCAGGTCATGTTCTTAAATTCGGCACCCTTGAAGATGAGAACTCTGTCACCACGGGGAGATGGGAATATGTGTGTGCTTTCACGCACGCAATTTCCGAACATCACTAAAATCACATCATTTCAGCTTCCCAAGTTCAGCGACCTCAATTTCATTCGTCAGAACAAATGTTTCTCCGGCGATGAACGTAAGATAGACCCGCCCCAAACTCTTCAGATTACACACGTAAGTTGCCTCCCAATCGACAGTCATTCCCATGTTCACAACTTCGCGCAGATTACGGCGAACTTCCAGCACTTCGTGGCCTATTCGACTGGCTCAAGCTCCATCGTTCTCATAGGCAACACGCAGACGACCCCAGATTCAGATCCTGAAATCAAGCCAGAGTTACAGAATAGATCGGTGATCTCCGTCGTTGTTGGGGATTATCACAATGCCGCCCTGACTTCGACCGGAAAGCTATTTACATGGGGTCAGTTCTCCGCTGGTGCTTTGGGCCTAGGCGATCCAGCAAAACTTCAGCCAGGCCAACCTGGCGGATATGGTCTGGACACTCGTAGAAGGGTGCCCCCTCCTGTTACTACTCCAACAGAAGTAAGGTTCGATCATGGCCTTAAGAAACCCAAGGACAGGTTCTGCTTCGCCGTCACAGCAGCAGGTTGGCACACAGGGGCCCTCGCCATCGATTTGGAGGTCCGTCTATCTGTTCTCTTTGAGTGGTCATGTTTTTGATGGTGCAGTTACAGCCTGATGGAGAAGAGGACGTGAACGCAACGGAGAACGACCCTGACCCTGAAGAAAGCCCGTCTCATAGGGTCCGCGCACTCGATCCCAACCGTGATCGGGAAACGGAGGAAACCGTGCAGTACCCTCCGCTAGGTATCTTCAGAGTCGGGCACGCTGGGCGAGGGAGGGGAAGAGGTCTTTTCGGAAGGGGCTTTGGGAGAGTTCTTCAATACCCCGAGCCCCGTGGAGGTGGTCCTTCACAGACCTGAGCAATCTGTGTGGCAAGAAGTCTTAAACGGCTGAATTAGTGAATTGGATGTACTTGTAGTGGGTATAGCGAATACAGATTATCCTATGGTTTGGAAATCCACAAGATGTACGTTGTTGGCACCGAGATCACGAAGAGCCAAAGAAAAAGACCAAAAACACAAGCTAATGGGCCTGACCGGGAATTGAACCCGGGACCTCCTCGAAACGAGCAGAAACACCCTAACAAGGAATCATACTACTAGACCATCAGGCCGACAACTAAATTTCGCTTCATGGAGTTCACCTGGCGTGGAAGTGGAGTCGGGAGGCTACTTCAGGCGAAGAATCGTTCTGAGAGGAAGGGGGATCCGACTTTTCTGTTGAGCGCGGGTCGCTGGCGTGTCTCTTCTCCCAGCATTCTCGTCCACGATTCGCGATTTGAAGGTACTTGAAACTCGGTTCATCTCGACGTCGCCTCTGGTGCCCGTTTCCGACCGGATAATCCTACTCAAAGACCGCCGGGAAAAGGTTCTACTGAAGAAGTGGGAAGACGGCGAACGAGAGAGAGGTTGATTATTGGAAGTCTTCGATGAATCAGGATCATCTAAGGAATGGTCTTTTGGATAAGGGAACACGTCCAAGGGCGAAGGTTTATCCGGTTCCATCTTTACCTGATGTTGCTGAGGTCCCAGGGGATTTGGCGTGGTTTCACCGCATTTGGATGACACAGGTGTGCTAGGAACGGATCCATCGACAGGTCTGAGTCGCTGAGTCGAGTTCAGTGAGGATGGGACCACATTTGCCTCTTTGTCTGATGCAGGTGCTGATAACCCCGTAGACGATGAGCTCCAAGTACTCGAAGACGACGTCGAAGGCGTCACTTCGTGGTTGATCTTCTTGGACGTAGGGAGAGGAGCAAAGCGAACCATCTTTAACGCTCCGTGACTGCGTCGCCTGTCGGACTTTCTGGTGACCTTGGCCAATGCTGAAGGGGGCAGAGACTGGGAATGGAAACGCCGGTGGTTGGTATTCCACATCTGTGGTCTTCGCAGAGCCGGCTCCTTCGCCACTACGGTGCTCCCTCTCGCCAACGAGCCAGCCCGACCACCGAGAGACCAAACCAACTCCTCCGACGACTCGGAGCAGGAACCTCCTCGACTTATGGAAATTGTGCTTTTGGATCTCGAATGACCCAGTCGGGCACGCGATTGGTACATTCTATGGGAGGGCGGGGAGATTATGGTTCTGGGATAGACCAACGAGAGTCGTGAACCGAAGTCTGACTCCAAAGAGGGTATAGATTCCGAATCGCTCCCCGCCCAGTTCAAGTCAGCCTCCATCCATTTCCGGCCCCGCCTGCGAGTGCTTGGCGGAAGAGACCTCGGGGCGGCGGAAACTTGCGCGAAGGATGCCCCTCTGCTACTAGTATGCCTGGAGTACGCCTTCCATTCTGGCCTGTGTGTTGCGAGAGTCGCGCACTGGGAACGCAGGGAATTGATCATTTCGTGTGTCGCAATCGAGCGCCTTCTCTCGTGGGCGCGGCAGTCAATTGGCTTGGGGCGCGAATAGAAGGAAGGCGTGTGGCCTCGATAATTCCGATAGCCATAAGGCGAGTCCAAGGGTGCTGAGGAGCGGAGTGATAGGTCGCGCAGCGAGGAAACGGACAATTTCCCCCGCCGCTGAGGTTGAACTACTCCGGGAGTCGGCCTTGTCCCAAAAAACGGATTGTCGACGGGGTCCTTGCCATGCGTCGACGGTGTTTGGCTGTGCACCGTGTACCGGTGGTTAGTGGTGGAGACACGTTTTGAATACTTTTCAGCTTGGAACTGTTGCTTTGGGTACACAGTAGAACCTGTCCCCGAGGCGGAGGTCGAGGAATAATCAGAGTACATCCTCTGGTACGACCGGCTCCGGGCCGCAGCAACAGCACTGGCGTAATCACCTGGAGGGTATAGGGATCCCTCAGGAATCCATGCGCTGGTACGATGGTAGCCCTTAGACGATCCACTATGGTTTGAGCCTGAGCTAGCATCAGAGAGGGAGTCCTTGAGAAACTATTAGTCCAACACGTCGCTGCAGGGCAGATGCAACTCACGATCCATTTCTCGACGGAAAGTGTTTCTTTCTCCAATGACTTTAGCCTCGGGGCAGTCGGAGCAGCTATCATGGTTGGAGGCTGACCGGTGCCCTGCGCGATTGGTCCACTGGCGGAAGTGAGATAAAGGTTGTCGCTTAAACCCACGATATCGATGTTAGGGGGAGCATGATGGCTAAAAGCAGGAACTGGTGAGATATCTGATAGAGTCGAGTTAGAAGTAAAGCATAGAGAAGCAAATGTCGGTAAACGGATAAGAGAACAAGAGACATCGAAGGAGCCAAGGTCGACAGAGCCCGTGCGGCTTCTGGAGTGGCCGTTGTTGATAGCATGTGGGAGAGTCATCAAATACTAGTGGAAGGAGTGTGGAAGGAGTGTGAGGCTCGGGCATGAAGAGACGAAAGAGGAATGGGGTGAAGGTGGTGCCACCAGAGCTATAAAGGTCGTCCCTTCTGCCCAGTCCTAGGCCATGGTGGCTGTCTATGACCCGTGGCGAAGAAGCCGTCATCCACGCTTCTCAGGGTAACATTCGACCAATATGGTAACATGATTACTCGATTGGAGCCGTACGGCTTCGCACAATGCGCAAAACAGCGGCCAAAGCTTCATCGACGCGAACTTGAAGAACCCCTTGACCATCCGGACAGGCCTAGGGGATTTTACCTCTTCTCGATCGAGGTATGATAAACAGGTTACTCGCTTGCAGCAGCTGGATGCCGTACACGGCCATGCACAGCCTCCAGTCTCCTGTCTCAGCGGCTAACTGGCCCTGGGATCTTTATGATTAGACTAACGCTATCATAACAACCGGCAACCGAGGTTATAGTACAGGTGTGTCAGTGGTTGTTCCTCAACGTTGAACCGACGTGCTTCCTGCTCCACAGCATCGCTGTATTTATCTGCCGACACGTACATAAGGGAGCAGGGCCACGATTGTCGGCTTGTTATTCACATCCACTCCTTCAGTATTCGCTATGAAGCCATTCCTTTCGCTCTTAGCCCTGTTGACTCTAGCGGTGTCCAAGGTTGACTGCGCTCTCCCCTACATCTCAAGTCTTGACATCAAGAACAATGCAGACCGAGGTCTTCGACTTATCAGCCTTTCGGACGACGAGGAACCCTCTTGGAAGACGGAGGCGGAACTCATGGAACTCAAGAGGGTCCATATTCCATTTGTATGTGAGATGACACTCGTACAATTCAGGACTCGCCCACGAGGTTCTTGTCTAGGTTGATGTGACCGACGTATATGACACCTGGAGGAGGCTTCCAAATCGCCAGCCAATGAACCGACTCGTCGATGAGAATGCTATTCAAATAAAGTGTATGGAAGAGATTCAGTCAAAGGCTTGGACCAACTAATTCACACTTTCCCTCAGACCCGGAACCATCTTTCCAAAACGAACTCCAGCCTATCTTGACCAACGTATCCATCCCGGCGATGAGGGATAACCTCGAAACCCTAACGTCTTTCAAGAACCGGTGGTATCTATCAGCTACTGGCCTCGATGCTAGTCATTGGATCTTTAACAAAGCACAAGAGGTAAGCCACTCCGCGTCGCCTTGCATTCACCGCGATCTGAATACGATACAGATCGTGTATGACTTTGACCGAGACGACGTCGTTGTCTCTCTCTATAACCACACGTTCCCCCAACCATCTATCATCGCCAGGATCCCGGGAGAGGAAGATGGTCCTTTGACCATCCTCGGGTGCCACATGGACAGTGTGAACCTGAACGACCCATTGAATGGAACCGCGCCTGGTGCCGATGACGACGGCTCTGGTGTGGTCAACGTTTTGGAGGTACTGCGTTCACTTCTCGCTGCCGGCTTCCAACCAGCTACGCCCGTGGAATTCCATTGGTATGCTGCCGAGGAAGCTGGACTTCGCGGTTCTGCAGCAATCGCGACAGACTACAAGCAGCGAGGCGTTGAAGTGCAAGGATTCATGCAGTTAGACATGACGGGGTACTACAAACCTGGCACAGATGAAGTAATCGCTCTTCTTCCTGACTACGTCGACGAGAATTTGAATGACTTCGTCAAGTCTCTCGTCGAAGAGTACAACCGAATTCCCTGGGTGATGGAGGAGCCTGTAAGCACGCCGTTAAGCTCTTTGGAAATTACCTGGCCACTCACAGGTCTTTCCAGTGCCATTACGGCTGCTCAGACCACTTCAGCTGGGATAAGGTTGGTTACCCAGCCACTTTCCCATTTGAAGCGGTTACTGGAGATTATAACCCTGAAATGCATACAACGGAAGATACCACTTTGCTTGACGGGTTCTCTTGGGAACATTCGCTGGAGTTCGCTAAACTTGGCGTCGCATTTATCTACGAACTTGCTGCTTCTTCTGACTGGCGTCAATAAGGCTGCAATACTAACATGGCCAGGACTAGATCTGGATGTAGTGCTTCGTTCGCCGTACCCTACTACTAAGTTATTGATAATCTTTCTTATCTATCAGCTTTCGATTGCATTAGTCAGGAACTTGGAGCGAGCGGCAGATCGCTGTTCAAAGCAGGAGATGTGTAAACACTGATCAACAGGGTTGTAGCTGGACGGAATTGGAATTCTGGATGACGGTCGGTGTAAGATGTGTGCTTTCGTTCGTCACGGTGACCATAGTCCTATTCATCCATCGACAGACCCGAAATCCTTTGGACCGAAACTCGATCAGATATATCGGTTTGAAGGTGCCGGACAAAAGATGTAGCCAGAATTCGGACCGACGGAGAAACATCGCAGGCTCAGCTATCCAAGAGGTTACACAACTGTTAAAGGGGCTTCGAGCTGATATCTAGACAGTGGGTTGCCCTCAGAACCACTCAGCGATCCTACTGCAATATGGCCGTCTCCAGCCCCCTTTTTCTCGGTCTCGACTTGTCAACCCAGCAGCTCAAGGCAGTGATCATAAAAAGCGACACAACGATTGTGAATGAAACCGCTGTTCATTTCGACAACGATCTTCCTCACTACCAGACGACTAGCGGAACGTACCATGGACCTGGCGAAGGAGAGGTTACCTCGCCTGTAGCAATGTGGTTGGAGGCTATCGACCTGCTCTTCGAGCGGTTGAAGAAAGCAGGAGTTGCCCTATCTGACGTGGTCGCTATTTCTGGTGCCGGACAAGTATGTGTAACGCCCTTTATTCAAAGCCCCGCTGTTTTCTCATATCGAGGAAACAGCAACATGGTTCTGTTTTTTGGTCGGCCAAGGCAGCAGAATTGCTGTCGACCCTCGATAGCAACAAAACCCTACGGGAGCAACTCTTCCCCGAAGCATTCTCCCTCGAACGATCCCCGATCTGGCAAGATCATTCAACGGAGGAGGATTGCAAACTCTTGGAAGAGGCGATTGGTGGACCACAGGCTCTCGCAGATCTCAGTGGTAGCAGAGCCTACGAAAGGTTTACTGGGACCCAGATCTCCAAGGTACGCGTATACTTCGGACATCTCAATATAACTGGGTAACCTACTTAAATCTTTGTAGGTCAGGAGATTGAAGCCAGACGTTTATGATGCGACCGCCAGAATATCGCTTGTTTCGTCTTTCATCGCGTCTGTCTTCCTTGGACAATACGCACCCATTGAGGTGTCTGACGCCAGTGGAATGAATCTGATGGACATTCTGTCCTGTAAATGGGACGATCGTTTGTTGGCTATTTGCGGAGGACCTCAATTGAGGGAGAAATTAGGTCCTGAACCAGTCATCGGAGGAACTAACCTTGGAACTGTCAGCAACTGGTGGGTCAAACGATGGGGTCTGAATCCAGGTTAGTGCGAGAATTGGATCAAGAAGCGATTTGGGTTATTGACAGATGTTGCAGAATGCATTGTTGCTCCCATTACTGGCGACAACCCGGCCACGATCATGTCACTTTCGGCTCCCGGAGATGCTGTCCTATCTCTCGGAACTTCCACCACCTTCCTTTTGTCGATCCCACCTGCTGATACACCACCGAAGAGATTCACCACTTCTCACCTTCTCGCTCACCCTACCACTACCAATGGCCAGATCGCGATGCTCTGCTACAAGAACGGGGCACTCGCAAGAGAGAATATTCGGAACAAGTACGCCAAGGGCGATTGGGCAGAATTCAACAAGCTAGTCGAATCGACTGCGCCAGGCTGTTCCGGTCATATGGCGCTTTACTTCCCCCTACCCGAAATCATTCCTCCTGGTGTGCAAGGCGAACATTGCTTCTCCATCTCTGAATCGAAGGCAGTCAAGACTGTTGAGAATATCCCTGACCAAGCTCATTGTCGCGCCATCTTGGAGTCCCAGTTCCTCTCGATCAGATCCAGGATTGCAGCTATGCTCCCTCCCGATGCACCTCACCTGCGACGTTTGGTCATTTCGGGTGGTTCTTCCGCCAACCCCGTCATCCGCCAAATCGCAGCTGTCAGTCTCAATTTAAATTTACGATTCTTATTCGCTCCCTTGACTGACTTTTCTTTGTTCTGATTTCTCTTCTCTCTCGTTTAGGACATATTCGGAATGGACGTCTATGTTTCCTCCACGAAGGAGGCCGCGGCGATGGGAGGTGCTTTGCTTGCAAAATATTCGTGGTGGAGAGCCCAAAAGAATTCTGGGACGTTTGAAGACATGACCGGTGGAGAACCTGCAGGTACCACGCGGGTGGCCACGGTCCGCGGAGAAGTAAGCAAGATCTATGACGGTCTTGTGGACGTCTACACCCGCTGCGAAGAGGAGGTTGTCCGGCGTGGAATCGCCGCATAGACAGGCTGGTGGATGAGAAGGAAAGCGAAATTTCATAGATGCTCCTCTTTGAATATCATTAAAAATAAACCTATCCCAGTATATCCGGCAATCCTTTCTCGCGTCGTGTGTGGTGCTTCTGCAGACCGCACTCCTTTTTCTTGCTCCATCGGTTGGCAGCTCAGATGGTAGATGGTTCTGTCTTCTGCGGGGGACTCTTGCCACTGTCCCCTCATTTTCATAACGATCTCCATTAGCCTGTGTGGTAGTCTCTGGAAGACCCGGGGTATCTCACCTAGATCATTAGCCCGACCTTCTTTTCGTCGCAGCAGCGATAAACAGACCGATCCTCGCCAGGTAACCTATGGCTGCTACGAGACAACTAGCCCACAATAACTTTCCCCACACGCAAGCGCTGAAGAATGTCGGTAGCCTGGCGCGAGGCTCAGATGGATCTTCCAAATGTCCGGTGCACTCTGATCTGTCTCCGATGTCGGCAAGCCAGCCCGAATACCCGGCTAGCGCTGCCCATGCCAGGAGTCCTAAACACGCTTCGATGATTGTCCATCGCCGCCATGGTGCAGTGTTGCGATGGCTTAAACAACCGCCGATGTTGATGAGAGAGGTGATGATGCCACACGGAGAGATGAGAAGGAAGGGGAACAGGTAGACGACGCAGAGGGTGTTGCAGAATGGCGAGTCTTGAGAGACGTAGATTGTCGAAGCCAGAACAGTCGCTTGACAAGCGATGATGGGAACGAGACAGATATGACAGGCTTTGGACAGGAAGGAGTAACTGCTGGCCATCTCGGGGTGCGTGACAGCGCGAAATGAGATACTGCTGAGATCTGAGAGCGGATTATATAGCTGTGCGTATACATACTGTACGCAGGTGACGGAGAAACTGCCATCAGTGCTGCGGATGCATACCACTAACGAGGATAGTTTCCCGCAAACGGTTTCCCATCGCCGTAAAGCGTCCGTCCAAAAGCGGGATTTGGGTTCGATTGCTGAGCATGGGGCGAATCTGCAAGTTCAACGACCAAGTAGGGAAGGCTGCCTACTTTATTCGGCCGCGCTTAACTCAGATAGTGCATCACGATCAGGTGGGCGAAGAAATCGAATTGATTTGATTATTTTTATCGTCCCAATAGATAGACTGATAACTTGGACCTTACTCGGACTTTCGAGCTCCAGTCAACAGCGCATGAGTGCCCCCTTGGCCTGATTAGGAGACGCCATTTTTGCCCCCAGCGCTCGTGTGTTGGGTGCACTTGGTGGACTACATGGAGCGAATGAACATTTTCCGCGGCCTTGATTTTATTCTCCTTAGCGAGGAGCCACGAGAACTGGCACGAGAATTTAATATGGACCGTTTCCAAGATAGGACGAGAGCTGCAAGTACTACTTGCAGTACGTGTACGCGTAACATATGCACCGTACCTTGAGAATACATGCCTCAGTCTCCAAGAAACGGTGTTTTATTACAAGCCTGGCCTACCTACCCTGGTCATACATCAGGTTGAGTGCGTAGACCCCAGCCGTGAACCTCTCCCTTCTTTTTTCCTCTCGCCGAGTCAAATACCACAGCCCTAATCCCCACAGGTAGTTTAGCGCTACGGCACAAGTAAGCGCCCATGTGAGGTCTTGCGCTACGCAGTAGACAAAGTGACCCCTTGACCCCCGCTCCGGTTGATGATAATACAGGTAATGTGCGGTGCATTTCTGCCCAATCTCCCTCTCCTCTCTTCCGCCTTCCCTGAAGTTTTCGACCCCTGTTGCGATTGCGACGGCTGTCCATCCAAGGAGTCCTGCCACAGACTCCGCGAGGATCCATTTTGAAGATGTGCGGAACTGGAACATGCAATGTCGGAGGAGGTTGATAAAACAGACCAGAACGCCGCCGGCCGCGATGGTGAGGAAGGGTATGTAGCGCGCGAATGCGATGGTTGGGAGGGGACAGTCGAGGTCAGGATAGAGGTCTGGTCTTCGATAACATGTCCATCGGTTTCTTCTGAGGACGTCTGAGGCTTTGACCGAGATGCCAATGATGGCTACCGAGAGGAAGCCGGTGACGAGTACATGGAGCATGCGAAGGCCTGGGAGGGGTCCTTTGGGCTTGACTGGTGCCGCAGAGAGGGCCATTGTAGGGGGCCGACCACGGGGACAGTGCATGATTGAAAGTTACGCTATTTATTCGAACTGAGCATACCTTTTGATTTTTAATACGGGTTCAATATAGCAGTCCGAGCCTGGATGTATTCGGTTAGAATTAACCGTTGGTTTCGGGCTGTGGGTTCTGCAGCAAGATGTAATGCCCATCTGATCAGATTCGGATTTACTGGTGGATACTTGGAGATACGGTGAAATGACGGACTCAACCTTGAACGGAAAGGCGCCAAAAGCCATCAACCTTGGAGTCGTCTCAAAACCGGATTGCTCGATCGTTTTTCTAATCAGGGAAAGTACAATACTATATTCATCATTAATCCGTCGTGAACAGGGGCAAACATCGTTCTAGATCAGATAACGTCCATACAAGATATACGGTACATATACAGAGTCCAAGTCCAACCACAAGGTAGTCCACAATTGTCCGGGGCGAAACACGTCAGTTCTCCAAGATGTCTAATGGATAAGCTCCAGCAGATTCATTGGCCTGCCTCTTTTCCTCTCGTCGCGTTAGGTACCACAGCCCAACGCCCCATAGGTAGTTAATCGCGAGGACGAGATTAATCGCCCAACACAGATCCTGCGCAACGCAGAACACGAAGTAATCCTTCGACCCCAACTCTGGTCTGTCTGGAGCCAGAAAGTGGGCGGTGCACTTCTTTCCGATTTCCCTCCCCTCCCTTCCCCTGGAAAAGTTTTCAATTCCTGTCAAAAAAGTGACGGCTGTCCAGCCAAGTAGTCCAGGTATGACCTCCACGAGCAGCCAATTTGCCCGGGTGCGGAACTTGAAGGTGGCGATTCGCACCAAGTTGAAGAATGTTACAACGAGGCCCATGGCTCCAAGGATGATGGATGGTAGGAAGGCGTCGATAGGCTCTGTGGATGGGCCATTGGCCCTGCGAACGATGACTGCCTTGAGGCCGACACCGACAAGGATTGAGCACAGGGCTCCGGTGGTGAGGATATGGAGTGCTCTTGGGATGGGAAGGAGGCCTATCGGCTTAGCAGTGGTGCTACTAGTCGTGCGGACCATTGGAAGGAAAGTTAGGAACTGTGGTAAGTAAGACTCGAAAGCCACTGCCTCTTTATGTATACTCGTCGTGCTCAGGTGCCGGACCAGTTGTTTCTGATTCTGTCTTCTCGCTGATTTTTGAGGCGGCCATAGAGTAGGCCCCAGTGCGGATTTTCCATCAACACAGAGAGAAGTGGACAGCCGCGATGAGTGCAGAGCAGAAAGGTGTGCAGAAGGCTATGCTGAACGTTTCCTTAAGAGCTCACTCAGCGATCCTTACTGTACATGGGAATCCTCTGCTGATGCCAGGTGCAATGAAACGTTTGATGGTGAGTGACGGGACTGATGTCAACACTTGTGCTTGGCACGTTAGTTGGTATCGTTTATCACTTCAACTTACAACTTGCCCATCCCGCTCTTCACCCTGAATGACCAAGGCCAGTATTCAGACAGTCCTAGCTCGAACTCGACACCGCAAATGGCCAGCGCACACGCTAGCGCACAGCACCCGCGCTCATAGCTCGACTTCAACGAACCAAGCACCACGGAGGCAAAACGGAAACAAATGCCTCGTGTTTCACCAACCGCTCCGTCATTCAACTGCTCCCCGTTTTTCGACCGCTGAAAGCTCACTTCACCAGCAACGACGCGAAATTCATCATATTTTCCCTCAACCCCAGCCGCTCAAGTTTCCGGATGGATACAACAGCCTTTTGCCCGTTGTTCTAACCGCAAACAACCTTGTCTTGCCCCCTGCTGCTGAATTTCACCATGGGTATGGAAACGACCCGGACGGGATTTACAAGAGTGGGATTGAGCTGGGGTATCATGCGAACGGACGTCCGCTCAGAGTTGCTTCGAGGACGCCATTAGGAGGGATAACAGCCGAGGAACGCGTCGTCCCCTTTTTTATATCACACCATCCTGCCGCACCTGTCACCCTCGATAACGACCACAATGACCTGAACCACGACCGAGACCTCTCCAGTGCCAATTCCGGCGGTGAACCAGCAGCAGCCCTTAGTTCAGCCGAACTGCTATTGCATCGTCCTCCGCTTAGACCGGTTGGTTGGCTCATCCCAGAAGTGGCCGCCGCCATCTCTCGGGACCATCTCAGACACTTTCAGAGGGACTCGGCAAGTCCTTGGGATGTGAGATACTTTGAGCCGGGTGAAATTGAGGGTGTTGATCAAGTCGGTCTGTCGGAGAGTGGGAGGAGGCAGATGGTGAAGAGTGTTGCGTTTGCGGATTGGGTAAATGAAGGAGGGAGACATGCGAGGACGTTGCACATCGAGAGGCTTTTGTTGGATTGGAAGAGGAAGAAGGTCTTTGGTGAGGTGTTAAGAGGTGGGTTGAAACATATTTCCACTTGAATATTGACTGACCCTCAGATAGGATGGAGTGAGGAACCCTACCCAGTTTTCAATCACCCGGCACAAGGGATAGAGCCTCTTGCGTTTGCCATCGACAAGGCTGCCCTTTCAATCTTCGGGCTGCCTAACTACGGTGCCCTCCTTACTGGTATGCCTCTGATGTCTATAACCCTTCTCAACGCTCGCTAAGTGCTCTCCAGCTTACGTTCACGACCCTTCTACCAATGAAACCAAGCTATGGATCCCCCAACGATCCAAAACGAAGAAGAAGTAACCGTCTTTTAGCTTATTTATCGGAATCAAACCTGACGTTTCTACAGCTCTCCCGGACGACTGGACGTTACAGCCGGAGGTGGAATGCGCCTTGGCGATACCCCACTCTCGACAATTCTACGAGAAGCAACTGAGGAGGCTCTTCTCGACATAGACTATCTCAACGATTTCCTCAAACCGGTCGGAACAATTCCGTTCCTCCACCGCTCTAGTAACCTCCCATCCTGTCCCAAGCTCGTCGAATCCACCACATCGTCCATCTCCAAACCACACACATACTCCCTCTCCGAGCACCCGAGTAACCCCACCTCTCCACTCCAACAGCAGTATATACTACCGGGCCATTATTATCTTTATGAACTCTCGCTACCGGTCGATATGTCCGTCCGTCCTCAAACCAACCTACTCGATGGGGAGGTCGATTCCTTCCACCTTCTCCCAGTTGAACAAGTGCTGGAGAATCTGGTCAAGGGCAAGTTCAAGAAGAGTTCCTCGCTTGCTATCATCGATTTCTTGATTCGCGGTGGATGGGTTACCGAAGAGAACGATGTTTTCTACGCCGAGGTTAATAGGGCATTGAGGGGAGGGTTGGGAGGCGCCGGAAGTGTTTCGGTCCCTTGGAGAACAGCCCATTGATTCTGTATACTGGACTTTCAGAGCGCGCGTTACAGCTACTAATCTCATTATTATACTTTGTGACAACAATAGACGACGGTCGTTCTGCCGCGTTGTCACTGGAGTCTTGCTGCGAGCTTGTACCGCCCAAGAGAGAGCTTGGCAGGGCGGAAGGGCCGAGTAAGCCGGTTCCCACGGACGTGGATTCCGTGCTCGGAGCTTGAAAGTCAAGTGTGGGGAAGGTCCGGCGTGGCACGGCAGACAGTTTAAAACCGTTCTCTCCACGCAACCTGCAGGCTACGACGCCGAGCAGCGTTATTCGCAGAGCAACCTACTACTTATCAACCTTCAAACTGGCTTCAACAAGCTAATCACCGCGCACACCTTCAAAGCTTCAACCTTTTTACGTTCGTAAAGGGCCAAGCACTTTAGTTCCTCACCCGATAAGCGAGCTCCGATAAGCCCTGGCACGCAGCAAGATCCATTGCTGCATGTTTTAAGAAGAGACTGGCGTGGTTTCCTTTTTCGCAACTCAAGGCTTTCGTCCCTGATAGCCCTTTTTCTTTCCTCTCGTCGTCAGCGAGGAAGAAGAACTACCGATACTCCTTCCTTGGTTCCCAACCATCACCCAGTGCCGCCAGAGGTTCAACAGCAAATTCGAGACAGCCGCAGGTTCAACGAAGGTCAGCATACAATAACTCAACACCTCGAACACCCAGTACATCGTTTGGATCTAGAGAAGGCGAACAGGACGAGGCCTACGAGATGGTTGCCACGTACGGGGTTGCTCCTCCGGACAATTCTGGGGATCCGAGTTTCAGGGAAGGGCATGACGAGTCGAGGGCTTTGTTAGGTGGCGACGGTAGTGCCTCGGGCTCGAGAGCAGTGAAGGAGAAGAAGGATGGGCACGCGACCTTGACGAGTTGCATAGGCAATTTGGCGAACACGATCATTGGAAGTGGTAAGTGGTCCTCGTTTTGACTTTTAGTCTTTTGGAAAGGAAAGGTGACCAACACAGTACCCTTGGGGTGATTGCATGATTGTCGTAGGCATGCTCACGTTTCCTCTGGTGAGCTTGGCCGGTTTCCTTTGAATACGAAAGGGTTCTGACGAGTGACGTTTAGGCAATGGCATCCGCTGGTATCATCCCAGGAATGATCACCTGCGCAATCTCTGGCCTCGTAGCTGCGTTCGGACTGTACCTGCTGTCCCTATGCGCAACACATACGAAGCACCGTCATTCATCCTTCCATGCGGTATCCCAGTTGACCTTCCCAAAGGCTGCTGTCTTCTTTGACGCCGCCATTGCCATTAAGTGCTTTGGTGTCTCGATCAGGTCTGTTTCTCCGCAATGTCATTTTCCCCGGTGATTGACGTCAAGTATTGCCTCAGTTATCTTATTATCATCAAGGGCCTCATGCCCAATGTCGTCGCTTCGCTGTTCCATGATTTGACCGGTCCAGACACCAATCCGCCTGACTGGGCCCTCGACGGCAGGAATTGGATTACCATTTTCATGATATTCCTCATTCCTCTGTCCTTCTTGCGTCATCTGGATAGCTTGCGACACACCAGTTACATCGCCCTATTCTCTGTTGGTGCGTGCTTTCTATGATCCATCGTTTACCCACTCATTTATCTTCTTGAATTCTAGCCTACCTTGTGGTCATCGTCGTCAAGTGCTATTTTTTCCCCTTGGAAGGAATGCCTGAGAGAGGAGAAGTACACCTGATCAAGTTTACTCCAAACTTCGTGGCCACGTTCCCGATCCAAGTGTTTGCGTTCACTTGTGCTCAGAATGTAAGCCCCGCTGCTTGTTTGTCTGGATCGGAAATTGATTCGAGGTTGAATTGCAGCTGTTCCCGTTGTACAACGAGGTCAAGGACAATTCGCAGAAGCGCATGAACATTATTATTGGCGGGTCCATCGGTGCTGCTGTCCTAACCTATGAAGTGGTCGCAGTCATCGGGTATTTAACCTTCGGCTCAACGGTTTGTGATTTTCTTGTGTGGCAAATGAGTGGCTTTAACTGAACGGAAACTCAGGTCGGAGCCAACATCATCGCGATGTACCCCTCAACGTCTCTGTTTGTCGCCCTGGGTCAATTGGCCATCGTGGTGATGGTTATGTTCTCCTACCCCCTCCAAGTACATCCTTGCAGGAATTGTCTGGACAAGATTTTGCATCCGGATACCCACCACAAGCCCAAGACAGCGGTCGGAGAGGGAGAAGATGATGTTGAAGATGACGACGACGACCATGCACATGCTACTATGTCACCCCTCAAGCACACAATCCTTAGCAGCCTTATCATCGGCTTTGGTTTCACAATTGCCTATCTTGTAGATGATCTTCAACTCGGTGAGTTTTAGTGTGGTTGTGCGTTTTACAAGCGAACTGAATGTGGTATAGTTCTTTCTTTTGTTGGTTCTACTGGTTCCACGACTATCTCGTTCATTTTGCCTGGTTTGTTTTACTGGAAGGTACGCCACATGATCTTGACCGCCACAGTCAGTAACCGGTGCACTCATGTTATCTCCTTTCCAGCTTACGAGGAATAATCCGTCTTTGAGGACGACTAATTGGCTTTCGATTCTTTTGACAATCTATGGAGTCTGTATATTTGTTTTCTGGTACGTTGCAACCAAGTTGTCTCGCGCGAGAGAGGAGATTTGCTGACGCGGCACTTGTAGTCTGGGATACAACATCTACCAGGTGATTCATCCTCCGATACTGGAGGGAAACCCTGAGTGATTAGACAGTTGCTGTCGGTACCTTGTTATGTAGAGCATATCTATTGGATTAATTGGATAATTTCGAGATTGGTTCAGTGAATGGAACGCAGATGTGAGCGGTGCCAAGGCCAAGGTGGTATATACCCACGGTCTGGATTCATTATTGATCGAGGCTGGGATTACTTTTTGCTCTTACCCTCAAACCTCATGCACATGTCTTGACCACCTCGCCTCTCTGCTTACTCTCTGCCCTCCGAGAGCGACCAGAACGACCCTGAATCCTATTATATTCTACACGACGGCCAGGTAATTCTCTTACTCTTCAAATTTGTCCCAACGATCGCTGTGGACCACAGCTTTTTTCACTGCTCTGCGGTCGCTTCTCCGATTCACTCGTTTATACCAATTGTTGTATGAAATAAAGGATTTGACAAAGTCAATAGCCCATAGCAAAGTGTACCGTAGAAGCACGTTGCTGGCCATAGCGACCGACGGAAGACGTTTGGACCACCGCCCGCCAGACGAACATGAATACATCCACTCCGCCTGCTCCTACGACGACAAACTCTTCCCCAACCGCGACCATGCCAACTCGCAATGAAGATAAGATTGTAAACATCAGCGACTCCACTCAACCTAGCCATTCGCCTTCGGCGTCGTCGCCTCTACCGACCAATATATCGCAGTCGACCTCTAATTCTCAAACACCGCCTCCCGTCACCATACTCTCGCCATCTGCGACGACTGCGAACAGCAACGCAAACAGCGCAGTTCCTGGTCCACCCGCGATGGCACCTAACTCGGCTACGGCATCTGGAACCAGCTCGCCTTCGACACCGGACGTCGACCCCCAAATCATTGAAGCCTTGAAGAGCAAGGACAGAATCTATGTGTTGAAACTGGGTGAACTGATGGAGGGGTTGATCAAGGAGAAGAGGTATGTTTTCCCCTGCATTCACCTGGCCACACCCAGTCGCGCAGATGATGTCGTCGTCGTCGCCGTCGTCGCCGGTGGGGAAAGGGCAGCACCCCCTGGTGTACAAATCGCTAAAATCATCATGTTTGGTAAATCTTTAGGCAACGCGTCGATCTTACGCCAGCAACCACGTATCAGCGGCTCTTGGTTCATCGATGTTCTGCATACTACAAGCTCGCTCCTGAGGCGGACCCGGTGACGAAAGGTATTTTTGTACGTCTTACGCCCGAAAGTCGGATGTGAGTATATGGTCGAGATGTTGTTGTGATGCATATCGTTTATTAACGCGCTTTGTCTTGCTCCTTCAGTCCTGAACGCCGGATTTGCGAATTGGTGCCCCCCGAATCCTCGTCTCAACCGACTTTTAAGATTATGCAACGATCAGCACAGGACCGCCGGAATAAATCGCACTCGCAAGCTGGATCCGTCGCTGGAGAGGATGCTGATCTCTCAGATGTCGAGCCATCTGAGTCTGGGAGCCTGGGAGGCCGCTCCAATACTACGGGTAGCAGCACCAAGAAACACATGACCATCCAAGAGCGAGAAGCGGCCTATAACGAAGCACGTTCTCGAATCTTTATGGACTTCGAAGAGAAGGAAAAGGCGAAAGAAAAAGATATGAGCGCCAGCTCGTCTTCTTCTCTCAGCCTCAACTCAGCCTCTGCTTCGAGCATCAACGGTGATGCCAGTAGCTTGGGTGACGTCGACGAGTCTGTTAATTCACCAACGACCGAGAGCGAGTGGTCCGGGCCCTCCCACCAGTTCTCGAGGGAGCGAAAGGATAATAGGCGAGGCGGATCAGGCAATGCTTCGGCATCATCTTCCACTCGTTCGTTCAGAGGGGGCTACCATGGAAATAGTTCGAACCCTAGCTCCCGCAACTCGAGAGCCTCTTCTCCTTCCTTTACTTACGCCTCCTTATACGAGCCTGCTCCAACACAACAGCTCTATGACCCGAACCAACCGCCAAATCAGGCGAACCCTCCGTATGGAACGCAGTACTACCATCCCTTTGCACCTCCTGGCCAGGGATACGTACCTTATCCTGGTTACTATCCTCCCTACCACCCGTACCAACCTATGCCGCATGACCCTCACCATCACCATCCTTCCGATCCATCTCCCCCGCGAAACATGGAACACTACCCTCCCCAGCCTGCGGGCTACCATTATCCCATGTGGCAGCAGCTAAACCAACCGCAGATGCACCCGCCAGCGCCTGTGCCGCCTCACCAAGCGCCAGGACACCCTGCCACGTCACCGCCCCACTCCCCGCCTCAGTATCCGTACATGGGCCCTGGGTACGGATACCCGATGCCAGGCTATTATCCTCAACCACCTGGCCAGCCAATGACATCTCAACCTCCTCCTCCGGGTCAGGTTGGGGTGCAGGGCCAGATCTATGATCCCAACAGACCCGTGAACGGACCTGCTGGCCCCCAGGGAGGTCCGAATGCGCCTCTTCATCCTCCCCATGGCCATAATACCAGCCACCAAAACGGAAGGGCCCCGATGCCTCATGGTGCTTTGCAACCCAATGGCCGCAATCCGCCTTTGAGGAATAACAGCGGCCCCGCCGGAAATGGCGGCAACAGGGTGAAGACCAATCCATCCATGGGTAGAAATCCTTGGAGCCATGGTCCTGGGGTCGGGTCGGGAGGATATCCCGTCCCATCCAACCCCAATAACGCGGATGTTGTCGGTCCGCGTTTGACCTCTTCACGTCGTCAGGCGAATCTTAGTGGCGGCAGTTCGACTGCGAACAGTCGCACTTCTTCGAATAACAATGACGATGGCCTTTCAACTGCGGCAAGTATTCTATCTCACTTCCTCGCTATGTAGTTGTATTCATGAATTATGTCTAGTCATCTTCAACGACTTCGTCGTCGTCCCGCCGCACATATACCTCTACGGCTTCATCGCAACATCCATTGCCCGCAAGACCTGACTGGGCAGTCGGTCTTAAAGCGCAGCCAACCCTTGCTCGAACACACGACCACACCTCCACGCGACATCTTCCTCCCATGTCACCTACACGCAGCGTCAATGGAAGTGGGAAGACCCCACCTGTTTCACTTCAGTCTACCGACTTCCCTCCGTTGACATCCTCTGGCTCCTTGGCTGAGAAGAGGCACCCGATACCTAGCGGTGCCTGGGGCAATACTTCCAATCGTTCTGTCCTGGCGGCTCCAGGTTCAAATAACGGTGTGGATGGAGAAAGGAACTCTAGCCATCTGTCGCTCAAGGTATGCATCCACAGTTTCTCGTCGCGAGAGATGCTGATCACTCCAAGGTCGGGGATTCCAACAACCCGACCGGTCGACGTCCCGACAATAACAGCAACATTAGAGGCAAAGATGCCACCTCCCACGGCGAATATACCGGCAGCGGCAACAACATGACGACGGCCATGATCACCCAAATGCAAGTCATGTCGATCGAAGAAAAGATTGCGGCTATCGAAAGTAGAGCGGATGCCCAGGCAGCGGCAGCGGCGGCGGCCTGTGGTGGTGCTCCTCCGACCACTACTGCGACGGGAATGGTTGCTTAAATACGGTGTGAGAGAAGGAAGGAGAATATGACGAAAAGGCATCGAAGGTGCTGTTGTATCACAAGTCATCTACCCTACTTACTACTTAGAGTATTTGTTTTTTTCCTCGTTTGAGTGTCCCTGTTCCCGGCGCCCTCCCCTCGCTTTCCTACACATCTTTTATTAAAGGTACTAAGCACTGTTGTTCTAGCAAAATGTATCTTGGGCAGAAACTTTGAAGCCTTGTGCTGTGGCCTGCCGTGTTGTCTTATTAAACGTAACATTTGTCATAACTTAGTATGTTTTCTTTGTTACCCTTCGAGCCTGTCTCCTTGTGTGATATTATTAGTTGTCAGTTTCCCTCCTTTCCCTTGGTTACTGTTTTGCGGTTTCAAGGTATTTTAGCGTTATCTGGTGTTTGACCTGCAACGAACAATTAAAGTAAAAATATGTGCCCTTTCTGGATTGATCCATGTTGAATTGCAAGGTATGCTCCGTTTGGCTGAGCTGGAAATAGGCCTTCCCTTTGACTCCCTTTTGGTCGCTTTTCATGAGGAAGGATGGAAAGGCGGACGGTCAATATAGGGGTCAATTATTTGTGTTTGTTTTGGGAGACTCTTGCCAAGAGCAAGCGCTTGTCCTCGCACATCACGCTTTTGAACCTGAGCCATGACCACTCGACTGCGACAGAGGGCCACTGTTGACGAAGAGGACGCTGCAACCCTCAAACTTGGTCCAGGTGCGTTGCTACCTCTACTTGGAATCGAGGGATCTTAAATGGACGCGAAATTAAATAGAGTTTAACAATGCCGGTTGCTTGCTGATTTCCGAAGTCAAGTATTTGTTGGAGAACAGAGAGAAGGATGCACCGGATACTGCGTATGCCTTTTATTTCTTCCATGCGGTCTGTGCTGAAGAGCTTATGGAATACATACAGTGTCTATAACAAGACTCTGGACTATGTGAAGACGTTCGCCAAGTTCAATACTACGGACTCGGCGAGTGCCGTACGAGAGTGGGTCAAGTCGATCATTGGAAGACGAATCGATAATACAACTTGTCATCTAGGACTTTGAGAAGGGAGCCCGCCCTTACGCAGTTTGAGACTGCACAGATTGCCAACTTGTGCCCTGCTTCTGCTGAGGAAGCCAAGAGTATCATTCCAAGGTGCGTTTTTGGAATTGTGGTCACTGATACTGGGATGGCTCGTTGACGAGGATACAGTCTTGTGAAGATCGACGACGACCGCTTACAAGCTCTCGTGGATGAAATCCAGACAATGCGCAAGTTCCAGACGTAGCCGAACAAGATTCACGAGCGATGTCTATATCCACATCCACGGAACAGTTCTATTCAAGGCAAAAGAAACTATTACACTACTGTCAACCCTCGGTCTCCGCAAGCATCTTCTTGTCAATGATCTCCTCTTCCACCTCTTCTCCGTCGCTCTCCTCAAGTTGCTTTTTCACCCTGTCTGCCGTAGGGAATGACGTCGTGTCGAATACCCGCTTCTCTCTGAAAGGATTGGTTCGCCTGACTCCTTTCTTGATGACGCAGGCGTCTGGGACTGTTCCTTGAGAGTTGAGGTAGAGGAGGTCGTCTCCGGAGTAGCAGTCGACGGAGCGGATCCACGCGTCGAATCTAGACGATGTTTTCAATGTCACTACATGGATGTATTGTGTGTTGTTGTCACTTACAATCCATCGCGGTCCTCTATTTCTCGCATGTTCTTGTAAATGAACTTCTCCTTGAATTCCGCCATCTTTTCGCGATGCAGATCAAAGTCAATTGGTGGGCGGTAGTCGGCGTCCTCGGGCTTGAGATTGGTGTTGATTTTGGCCACCCTACTGTTGTAGGATGTGAAGAGGGGCTCCTCCAATAACAAACCGAGAGAAGGCATCTTAGGAACGAAGACTTGTTCTTCGTTGTATAGCTGTGGGCAATATGGTTAGCTCACGTCTGAATGACTTCTTCCTCGGCCTCCATACCTGGTCGATGACTTCAGGAGGAGCACCTGTTCGACATGACAATACGAGGCCCGACATCATTTTTCTCTGTAGGTTCATTAGCCATCATCAATTCCTGTCAAAGAATCACATACAATCTAAAGAAGACAAATTAGTTCGAGGGAACGAAAAATATGCTCATAACGGCGCACCTGGTGGAGCATAAAGCTCTGCCCATGGAAAAGAACGCTAATCCACTCCGTCTCGCCGTAGACGACAGGGTCCTCGATCTGATATCCCATGAGCCAGGCCTTCTTCAATGAGAAGACCACGGCTTACCGTGATGGACTTCATGAATCGAAAATTACTGCGATCCTTGAAATCCCGTCCAACAGTGAAGTTATGGAAGTTATGGGTGCCTTCGTATCGCCTCGCGGTTTCCCGTAACCGCTCAATGGGTCCAGAATCCACCCTCCATCGCCGTTTGCGAATAAGATCTTCCTCCTTTGTCGAGTTTCCGGGGGCATCCGCCCAGAATGGATGGATTGGCCGTGGCACGGTGTCACCTAGAGATTCGTTGAAGGCTTTCAGCCGTTCGTCGAGGCCGGATCCGGGTTTGGGAGGGATCAATAGGTAGCTGGGGAAGAAGTAGGTATATTTCCGGCTGTCGCATACTCTTTTCAGGGCTAAATGTCAGATCTGTAGGGCAGTTGCCAGTAAGAAAGTGGAATACACACAATCGCGCGTTAAACGAGTTTTGGGTGCGAACCTACAATGTGCTTCAGAGCCCGAGATTGCAGTAATCGTTGTAATGATACTCACGAAACCCCAGAACCTGATTTCAGGGGGCAGTTGTTCGTTGACTGCGGCGACAAGATCTGGTACACCTGGGATTGTTGAAATCATCTTCATGGAAACCACATTACCCGCTGCATGGACGCCCGCATCTGTACGGGCAGCTCTAGCTAATGCGACCTGGAGATTATTAGATCACTCCCGAATGATTAACGGAGATGGCACACCTTGACAGGGTCATCTGCATTGTCTTGCGACACCGCGCCTACTTTGACTAGGGCTTGGAATAAGACACCTTCAATGGTCTTCACGCTATCCATCGGCTGGCTAAACGCGATGTCTGTGATCAGTTGCCGCATCCATGAATAGAATGCAACACTGGCAGAATCACTGACATTTGCATTCCACTGTATCCCGACCCGCAGAAACCAATAAGCAGCGCCGACTGACGTTTTGGCAGACGAGGCTGTCTGAGTCCTTGCTCTTCTTCAAGTCGCCTTTTTTCCCTATTCGCTTCCTCCTCCTCTTTGGTTGCACGTCGTCTATTCCGTGCGGGTTTGGGCTTGCCGTCAGTGTTGCTCTTGTCTTTTCGGCGACGTCGAGTGTCAAACTTCTTTTTCCTCTTCTCGGTGCTGCCAACCTGGGACCCAGCGTCGCTTTCTGTTCCTTCGTCCATGTCATTTAAGGAATCCTCAGTTATCACTGTAGCCGTTTCCGTCGAAGCTTGTGTAGTGGTCGCGGCGGTTGCGTTGCGGTCCTCATCCATCGCTTCGTCCGTCCGCAATCGTTTAGCCTGTGGTGCGTCTTCGACGCCCGCCTCCACATTCTCTGCGACTCTTTTCTCTGTCATGGCTGTCCCTGAAGTGTACCAAGAAGAGACGGTCCAAGGTCTAGATTTTGTTGACGAGAGATTAAGAGTCTGTCGAGCAAGTGGTGAACTCAGGACCGAATTTGACGACAGCGATAAGCTGGACGAACGGTACAAGTTCTGGCTGCGACAATAATTCAGCCACCGACACCAGACTACCATTCACTGAGCACTAGAGGTGGAAGATAACAGAAGTTGAGGAGGAAAGAGAGACGATTGAGTGGGCGAGAGCAAAACGCCGAACCAGCGCTTCCAGCGAATTCACAGAAAGATCGGAGTTACCGGGCCGCTATCATCAAATGCCCCTATTCTACCGGAACGGTGTTCCCAACCTTTAAGCTTTAAAACAACTCAACTTCTGCCGAAACCGAGACAGCGTGGCTCATTTTATCTCTTGAATACGGAAAGGTAAGACCTAATTTACAGTTGGAGGTGAGTACCTTCGCGTTCCAAGGGACTTGCTGGGGAGGAGAGCTGAAGCTCCGACGATTGTAAAGCAAAGCGGGTTCGAATGTTGAAAACGGTGGGTTTCCGTTTTCTGAGGAGTAAATAGCAAGTAATACTGGTAGCGAGAAGATGTTTCTTCACCCACTAAATGAGCATGCGGTGTAGTATGAGTTCCCCGGCTCTAGTACAGGGTGAAAGGTGAAGATGTTTCGAACCCGATGCAAGCACGAGGCGCAGGTTCTGTGATTTCTCTCATCTTTAGGTATGGGGGAGCTATCCGGGCACGTGCAGTGTGTACAAATTCAGCAAGAGCAGCAGGTTGAATTGGGGAATTGGTAAAGTTCTGAGCCTTCGTGGATTGACAAAGTTGTTATATTCCGCTGGACAATATCAGGCCAATCCATAGAGTAAGTAAACAGGATTAACGGAGTACAGTCTACCAGGTGGACGACGTTCGCCCCTATCTATGCGTCACACGCGGCGCGTTACGCCCAAACGCGTGATGGGAGTAACGTGTGCTCGTTGTCACGCTTTGTGAATCATTTCGCCGTCGCTGTCTCCGACCGCGACCAGACGATTCTCATTCCCAGTGACCACACCCTCGGTCCTCGTACACAATGTCGACCAAAACTATCAAAGACTATCTCATCAAGCAGATATTCATCAATAAGCAAGTCGTAAGTTGTTACCTCTCAGCATCGTCCAGCAATGAACCCTGGACTAACGGGCAGACAGGTCACATATCGTTCACTAAGCCGTGAATTTGGGATTCATGTCAATGCCGCGAAGAAGTACGCGTCACCCTCTGACGTCTACATTTAAATTCTATGTATCTGACGAGGCCCTCGCCAGAGAGCTAGAACTATATCATACTAAGGCGCCGGAAGACGCCCAAGTCTGCTACGCGACATACATGCTTAGCGGAGAACCCAGTAATGCTCCAGCGGCAGTGGCAAGGCGGAGCGCAAATCGCGCAAAAAAACATACGCAACAAAGCATGGATACCGATATGAGCATGGACATTGACGACGGGTTTATGCCCACGCAAAGCAATGCCGGCGAAGATGATGACGAAGACGGCGAGTTCGAGGACGACGAGGACTACGAAGACATCCCTGTTATTAAAGTTACGATAGTAAACGAGAAGGATTTGGAAGGTGCGTTCGTGTCTGCACGGTTGGCTTCGCTTCGCCCAACGACTTTTCCAGATACAAAGGCGAAGTACCGTCGGCTTCAATCCGTCGACGTCTATAGCCTTTCGCCGTCTCCAATCATTGTGAGTGTTGGACAAACCGTGCGCCTCAGTTCATTGATGTCCATTGTCTGTCAGGACGCAGACCTGCTGTGCACCAGTAATGAATCTATACGAAACACAGACGTGTCCAAAGGGGAAGAATTCGCGAAAACAGTCGGAAGGATCCTTACCCCTAAAGTTATTGTAAGCTCGTCGCCCATAACCTTGCAAATTCCGGCTAGATTTCATCCCTTAGGTCCATAAAACACAAGAGCAGCGAAACAATGACAAAAAGAAAGGGAAAGGCAAGGCGCCTGCCGCTGGCCCGTCTAGAGCTCGCCTTCCGGTGAAGCCACCTCCGCCACCTCCTGAACCTGAGGTCAAGAAACCTGTTCCCCCTACTGTCCAAACCCCTCAAGAGAAGCCAGCAGTACCCGCAAAGCCAAAGCAAACAGGGAAGCTCAACTTTCAAACCAAAGAGAAAGCTGCGCAGGTCAAAAAGGAGGAGGAGGAAGCTGTGAAGAAGACAGCAGTCGAGGCGAAGAAGGCTGGATTCTTTGGTGGCAAGACGGCGAAGAAGGCCAACCCACCCACAATCTCTGTGAAGGAGGAACCCAGAGAGGAAACAAAGGCTCTCGAGGCTCCTGCCAAGGTGCGAGTTTATTTACGTCTGTCATATTTTCTGGTCGATTGACGACTTTTATTTCAGAGAGGAATTAAGCGTAAATCTGTTGCCCCAAACGATGGCTCCGACTCCGACTCAGTCGCTCCGTCTCGCTCAGCTTCGGTATCTCGGCCGCCCTCGCAAACCAAGAACGCGAACGCGAAGGTAAAGAAAGGCATTGTCTTGTCGGATGAAGAGGAAAGCGACGGGGACGTGAAAGCCAAGGCAAAGAGCAAGGCGGCATCGAAGCGAAAGGCCGAAGCTGCAGAGAAGGCAAGATTGGCGGAAGAGAGGGAGGCCAAGGAATTGATGGAAATTGACGACGGTGAGCTGTAGTGCGCCTCAAAGGTGGAACTCGAATTAACTGGATATCAACACTTAGATGCTGTCGAGCGAGTTGAACGCAAACCCAAGTCTCCTAAGCGGAAGCGTGAAGAGGATAGTGACTCTGAACAGCAGGTCGGGGGCGAGGAGGAGGGGACGAAGGAAGAGTTCCAACCGGAAGAAGATGTCGAGATGGAAGATGCTGAAGAGATTAAGCCCAAGCCAAAGAAGAAGAGAGAGAAGAAGGTTATCCCGGTTGGCAAGAATGGCTTGAAGAAGAAGCGGGTCGTCAAGACAAGGACGGTAACCGACGCAAAGGGGTACATGGGTATGTAGTGTTACATTGTTCTTTTTTCCAACCCTCACATCTATTTTTTCAGTCCGAGAAGAATATTCCGACTGGGAATCGGTGGACGAGGAAGAGGAGCTGCAGGAGCCCAAGTCAAAGGCCAAGTCTAAACCTAAAGCAGGAGCCAAATTCTCTGCTGTTACTACTGAAGACTCGGAAGCTAGCGGACCTTCTCGAGCGCCATCAAGGGCAGACAGTGTGTCTGGTGGTACAAAAGCAGACTCCACGCCCGCCAAGGCACCGACCAAAGCTAAACCTACGAAAGTTCCGGCTAAGGCGAAAAGTGCAAATGTCAAGGGAAAGCAGCAGTCGATTGCGGGCTTCTTTGGTGCCAAATCAAAGAAGTAGACGGTCGAATACCCTTGGAATAACCCGGCCTTTCTATTGTACTCGCACATATATGTAATTACCTGTCCTCTTATCCTTTCCGCTTCGATCGGGGTAAATAGTAGCCAAGCCAAGGATGGTAGCACAGCCGGAACACGCCTCGCGTCGGTTGCGCGTCGGTATCTGTGACGCGTGACGTTCGAGTCACGAGCTGGTGTGACAGCTCGTTCCCGTCTTCGAGAACGGTCAACAACTTGACCCTTGGACTCAAGCTACCACCTTCAATGCACTTCTGCTGAAATCTCCCAATTGAACTAAAGCAACTCGCCGCATGATGCAGCCAACGCCAGCACCGTCGTCAGCACCTGGTTCCCCTCAACGAACCCAAGCTGAACCGGAAATGGAAACACCCTCATATCCACAACCTCCACAGAACGTAGGGACTGCACCATTTAGCGTCCTGGTCAAACTCTTTGAGAAACTTGCCACGGAACGGAAACAAGAAAGACGAAGAAAACTTCTGGATGCATGGTTTAGAGTAAGCGATCACCCCTTGCACCGTTATATTGAACAAGCTGGACAAGGGACCTGTAGCACTGGCGAAGGGAGAAGGGCTTTGACCTTTACCCAGTTCTTCGGCTGTTACTACCACAAGTAAGTCTCAACGACGGCATTCTTGCTACTCGTTAGTGGAACAACGATCGCCGTTTAGAAAGACAGAGACCGCGCTGTGTATGGGTTGAAGGAGAAGAACTTGGCGAAGACCTACATCAAACTCATCCCTCTTGGAATGCGCGACCCAGATGCGATCCGCCTCCTGAACTGGAAAAAGCCAACTGAACGCGACGTTCGTCTCTTTGCCTTGTTGAACAGCATGTAGCCTCTGACGGAGTGGCACTCTCTACTAGAAATCATCGGGTGATTTCCCCCAGGTACTGTGCGAGGTCGTCTCCAAGCGGTCGTCTGTGATCGAAGGGACTTTGACTATCGACGAACTTAATGAGATCTTGGACGATATAGCTAAGAACATGGGCAAATCGTAAGAGTAGCTGTCACTTATCATGGGGCTGGGAGGATTGACACCCGTTGAACAGGGATGTGCAGTCGAAGATTCTGAGGAGGATATACAACAATTCGACGGCGGATGAGCAACGGTGGATCATCCGTATTATTCTGAAGGGTAGGGGCACATAGACTTCACGTGCCAAACCACTGACAGTGCAACAGATATGAACATCTCCGTCAAGGAGACCACAGTGTTTGCAGTCTTCCATCCCGATGCACAAGATCTTTACAACACCTGCTCGGACCTGAAGAAAGTCGCATGGGAACTTTGGGATCCTTCGCGCCGGCTTAATGCGAAGGTATGGCCATCCGCCGCAATACATACCACTTAATTTCCTCACTTGTCATTACAGGACAAAGAAATCCAAATCTTTCATGCATTCGCTCCTATGTTGTGCAAACGGCCGACTAGAAAGATAGAAGAGACAGTCAAAGCGATGGGTGGATCCAAATTTATCATTGAGGAGAAGCTCGATGGTGAACGAATGCAGCTCCATAAGCGAGGCAATGAATACTTCTACTGCTCACGGTACGGATAGACATACCTTTTTAGCCGCATCAAGTCGGTGATGAGGATCTATAGGAAAGGCAAAGACTATACTTATCTTTATGGAAAGCACATCGGTGCTGGAAGTTTAACACCTTTTATCGACTCTGCTTTCGACTCAAGAATTGATGAGTAAGTTCTCTCTTGACCTATTACGCCCTTGCGCTCAATCTTTTTCAGTATCATCCTTGATGGAGAGATGCTTGTCTGGGACCCCGTCTCTGAAAGAAACCTTCCATTCGGAACATTGAAGACCGCCGCACTTGGTAGGTAATTTCTCGTGAACCGCCATCATATCCCCCTCAACCTACTTAGACAGGTCCAAGAAAGAGAACAACCCCCGACCCTGCTGTAAGATATTAGTTGCCTCGTCGTTGCCTCCACTACTCACCCCATGGACTCAGTCAAAGTATTCGACTTGCTATATCTGAACGGAATGTCCCTTCTCGACAAGACGGTGAAATTTCGTAAGAACAACCTGCGACACTGCATCAAACCAATCCCTGGCCGGATTGAATTTGTTGAGGAGTACCAAGGCGAAACCGCAAATGACATCCGGAAGCGAATGGAGCAAGTCATGGAGAATAGAGGAGAAGGCCTCGTCATCAAGCATCCCAAGGCAAAATATATCTTGAATGGGAGAAACACCGATTGGATCAAGGTCAAGCCGGAGTATATGGTAAGTACTAAGTTGGTCTCCTGAATCAGATGCATCTATTGACGTACCAATGCCAGGATAATATGGGTGAAACGGTAGATGTACTCGTCGTTGGTATGCGATACTTTTGTCCAGGTATGGCAGCTAACTGAGCGTGTTTCTTAGCCGGAAACTACGGCAGTGGGAAGAGGGGTGGTGGCGTGTCAACTTTGATTTGTGCCGTCATGGACGACCGTCGTCCAGACTCGGACGATGAGCCCAAGTACATTCACTTATTGCTTCCTGACATATAGCCACTAACGTATTCGATAGATATAGCAGTTTTGTACGTATCGGCACGGGACTGTCGTTTGCCGACTACGTCTGGGTGAGGAGCAAACCGTGGAAGGTCTGGGACCCTAAGAATCCTCCCGAGTTTTTGCAGACTGCGAAGAAAGGTCAGGAGGACAAGGGTGACGTTTATCTGGAACCAGAAGAGTCCGTAGGCTTAATTTATCGGATACACTCTGATGCTAATGGTGGTTCTCTTTACTGTGTACGCAGTTCCTTCATTCTGAAAGTCAAGGCAGCGGAAATTACCCCTTCAGGTATTCATTCGTACCTCCGTTCTCCAGCTCTCATTGAGGCTGAACTTCTCCAGACCAATACCACATGGGATTTACTATGAGGTTCCCCCGTGCATTGGCTATCCGGGATGATTTATCTATCGCGGATTGCATGACAGCGACCGGCAAGTATCCCGTATTGGCAGGGATCAGGTATTGACGGAACTCCTCTTACAGAGGTCTTCGAGAGCTTGAAGTCAGAGCGAAAGCGGAAGATGGAAGATGACGCTGGGTCAGTCTGTTGTGACCTTGCACACTGTACTAATGACTCATCTTTGATGTAGGATAACTACAAAGAAACGGAAGACAACAGTAAAGAAGGTCTGCACTCTCTACATTTTAGATGGGGCCCTTCTCTAACTGAGATATCAGGTCGCACTGTTGCCCGAATACTCTGGGCCCAACCTGAAGAAAGTCGCTGTCAAAACTGATATATTCAACGGCATGAAGTTTGGTGCGTCCGGATTGTATTCTTTAGGCGGGATGCTAAACATGATCATGTATCATTCCACATAGTCGTCTTCTCAGATCCCAAGTCACGAACAGGAGAAGCAGACAAGAAGGAGCTCATGAAAACGTAAGGTTTCATTAGCAACATGGGTGGAGGAACAAAGACTGTTTGACGTGCTCACTGACCCCGCGTTTACTTGTATTTTTTAGGATTCATGCAAATGGTGGAACCTGCTCTCAGATAGTCAATAAGAATTCCGAGGCGATTGTCATTTATGGAGGCTCAATAACTCGTGAGTCGACCTAGAAGTGCACGAAGGGACGGAAGCTCACCATTGCCTCTGACTGGCGGTTTACGTCCTGTAGCATATGACCTGAAGTTGGTGATTGATAAAGGGATCCACGATGTTATCAAGCCATCGTGGATCACAGATTCTGTGACCCTAGGAGAGCCAGCACCCTTCAAAAAGAAGTAAGCAAACCTGTGCAAATCAGCGCCCATGCTACGTTTACTTACCCTCCGCTCAGGTACTTCTTCCACGCCACCGAAGAACGGAAATATGCAGATGAATATAATGAAGATGACGGCGAGGAAGAGGGGGCGGTACCCAGTGCAGACGAGCAAGAAAGGGACGTTAAATCTGGGACTGTCGAGCCCGGGTCTGAGACGGAAGACGAAGACGAAGAGCAGGCTCCGGAAATCAAGGAGGAACAGGATGGGGAACTGCACGAATGGTTAAAGGTTGATGACCGGAAATCACCAGCGTTGCCCGCTCATGACGAAGAAGATTCTGTAACGGAGGACGATTCCGACAATGCTGACGTCGCTGACGAGGAAGAACCTGACTTGGACGATTGGTTCCAAGTGAAGGGGGAAACAGAAGATGAGGGAGCTGGAGCTCTAGCAACAGCATCAAGGCACAGAGAGACAACGGTGACCCACGGTCTCTTGCTCTGCGCTTTGATTGATCTCATATGCCTTTCCAGCCTGACGTCGACGGAGATGTTAAGATGGGGGAGAGTGAAGAGGCTATGGATTACGATCCGGATGTCATCTTCAAACACTTGTAGGTGAATTCTTACGGAAAAGTGATTGTTAACATCTCAGTTTGGTGTCGTTGACGTAGGTGTTTCTACCTTGACTCGCCTGCGAATGCACAAAGACATGGCATGGCGACTCGTCCCAAGTATGAAGCGGCGATTACCAAAAGGCAAGTATTGTATTTCGGTGATTAACCTGCCGTATGTTTACTCCCTCCAGCTTTGAAGAAGTCGAAAAACTCATTAAAGATAACGGGGGCAAGATTGTTGATTTGGACGAGCCAAAGCTAACACACGTTGTGCTTGATAAACGAGATGATAGTCGCCGGGTTGAGCTCATGAAACGCACATCAAAGTGAGGCTCTTTATTTTTAACTGCATTCATGGGAACTGACTTTGGACTTCTAAAGGCCGCGCCGGAGGCACTTGGTTTTATCAGACTACATCGAGGCGTGTATAGACGAGGGAACGCTCCTTGATGAAGAAGGTGAGTCTTTCTGATTTAGTAAGAGGACGTGTCCACAGGACTGACAGGGGGCGGTTGGTATCGATAGAATTTGCTCCGTGAGGTGGTGGGGAGGTACGGATATAGCCTAGTTTTTAAGTGTACAATGATAAGGGATGTGATTTGAATTGTCTGGAGGGCAAGTGTAATGAGTGAGTGGCACATATGGTAGATATTGATGGGAGCGGAGTTGGCAAGCAGAGGACAATGACATGCGGCTGCGTGAGTATTTCGGACTTGGCACTTTCGAAATTCTTTTTGGCATTGCGTCCATCGCTGTTGGCTGCTCGAACTCGAGAACCTGGCTCTCTGAAACAAACCGCGAACTCCTCAGGCCCTGAGCTTGCCGCCTCTACAAGCGCTCCCTTCTTTTACACTCATTACCCAATTCGGAAGCATTCTATTCTCAGACACAAGACCGCCGTGCAAGCCCATTCTTCACCGCCGCCAGTTCTGTTCCCAACAGCGACGACCACGACGCCCAGATGACAGACCTCAACGTCTCGCCAATATCTCAGCTGCTGCACTCGTTGGGCATGACCCGCGAGGACCTCAACAAGCGCAGCAATGAAATGCGACAATTTCTCACAGCAAACGACTCGATGCCCTCACGCGTTCCTGAGCTCACCTCGGGTTATAGGTCGAGGTCCAGTTCTGACCTGCGCTCGGGAACGCGCTCGGCAAGCTCGTCCTTCTCGCTATCGCGCTCTATTTCGCGTGCGAGCTCGCACTCTCGCCGCGAAGGGTCACCGCCCAGTACACCCATCAAGTCGGAACAATCAGAGGGGGGACTTCCAAGTCGGCCCATGGACAACATGGAAATTATCATCGAGCGACAACGGCAAACGAGGAAGGAACGCAGGAGTAGGAAGGATAAGGAGCGGGCTGTTGCGGGCAAGTCGCTGGTGCCGCCGCCATCACCATCGCCCAGTAGTACGTCACAGTCGGCAGTGAGCTTGGATTCGTTCATGCAATCACGCGACGATCGTCCTCAATCGGCGGCGGGGAGCGAGTCTGCGTCTGCAACGACGTCTTCAGAGGTCAGTTGACGTGTTTGACGCGCTTGCCGCCTGTCTCTTAAATTCTCATCCCCCCAGGTCCTCGATCCTCCCCCAGTCACTCCACATAAAAGTAAATATTACCGCGAACACACTATCCACATGTCAAATCCTCGCCCTCGCAAGGTAAGAATCCAGTGCTCGTTGCTTATTTTGTGTCCTTACACTGCGCCAGGATACGTCTTGTAAAGCTGAGACACCAACACCGACAAAACTGCCCTCCCAACCGCCCGTCCCGAGCCACCCCATTCCAGCATACTACCCTTTTCCTCCTTTCGCAGCATATGGACAGTATATACCAGGTCACTATCCTATCCCCCACGCGTCAACCTCTGCCCTCCCCGTGACACCCCAGTCCAACCGAATTCTCACCTCCCATTCCACCGCGAAACCCCCAGCGAAATCTTCCACGCCTCTCCCCGCGTCCTCACCCATGCATGCATCTTCCTCACCGCCGCCCTCTTCACCGGCTCCTCAAATAGTCAACCTAGTCTCGTCGCCCGGACCCATGGGCTCTTCCCCTGCCAAGGAGCAGTACGATAAGCTGCCCTTTAAACTTCCTCCTGGCCCTTATTCGTCCAAGAAGCCCGACCTCTCGTACGCTGCTCTCGTTGGACAAGCTATCCTTGCTTCTCCCGACCACCGTCTTACCCTGCAGGAAATTTACGACTATATTACGATTGTCTATCCGCATTACAAGCGCGGTGAGACTACGTGGATGAATAGTATCCGGCACGTTCTCAGCACCACGGCTGTCTTCCGCAAGGTTCCGCGGGATCGTTCTGTCGGCAGGACGCTATGGGCAATCTATGACGAAGATATAGAGTGCTTCAAGGGTGGTGGATTCAAGAAGCATTTATGCAAGGATATGGTTAAGCAACAAGCGGAGAAAGACAAGAAGAACAAATCCCGGAAGCGCTCGGATGTCGAAGAAGACGCGAGCGCCGAGACTAGGAAGCCCAAAAGGTCGAGGAAGGACACTTCACACAAGGTTTCGAACAGCTCTTTCTCCGCTCCCGACGCGTCTGCTTCTGGGACTCTCTCGCAGGTCCCTCTTCTGAACCCTCAACCGTCTTTTATGGTGGCGGGGACATCTTCCCATCCGTTCTTCCCTCGTCCTACCCCACATCATCAGCCATACTATGAAAGCTGTCTGCCACAACCACAACTCCTCCCAGCTGAAGTTATTTTCCCTCCACTTCCCCCAACCGCAGCCTTGGCTTCTCGTTCAACGTCGGTTACCTCTGACGACAAAGGGTCTGGACGCGCGCCAACGCCGCCACCGCCTATTGAGAAGACAGCATCTGAAGCGACAGACGTTTCAGAGTCTTCATCATTATTATCGGTACCCGAGTTGACGCCGAACCGAAGTTCCTCAACTACCCCTCCGTCGTCTGTGCCTGCCACGAGTGATATGGACATTGATCTCACCGAGGCTAAATCCACCGAGAATGGAAAGATCTCCGAGAGTAATGGTGCTATCGCTATCGCCGGTGTCGACGATAACGCTAATGGCCGCGAAACAAGTTCCTCTTCGCTTGCCATCGATGATGATAACGTCTTCAATAGTTCATTGCTTGGGCCTGTTCAGTTCTGGGGTGAATCCCCTAGAACTGCTAGTCTGTTGCAGCCGGGCATAGAGTTGCTGAATTTTGATGCAATGGCGGATGACGAGGAGGAGGAGGAGGGGGAAAAAGCGCTGAACTCCAAGGGCCAGCTTTTGGGACGAAAGGTTCGTGTATGCATTCTTATTCTCGCTTTCTCTTATTGACGCATTTCCTCAGATCACAATGTTCCCTCCCGTTCCCGCGTCGCCGACCTTGGGTCTACGGTCGAAGACAGGGGCCAGTGGAGAGTCTTCGTTGTCTTTCAAAGAGATCGGGCGGCCCAAGACCCCAAGCGGCTCCAAACCGCCCTCAGCCGACTCTGGGGCACCGTCAACCCCTCCTCGCCGCGTTAAACTGTCCTCCACCCGCACCCCCATTTCGCACAAGGGTCTACACATGAGCCCTTCAGCCAGTCTCGCACACTACAAGTCGAATCTAGACCCCCCACGCACCGAGCGGCTTGAGCCACCTCCCCTCCTGTCCTTCAGCAAGTCGGCTGAAACGGAGACGTTGGCTTCTCTCCAGGACGAGGGTTATGATCCTATGCGGACTCCTCGCCGGTCGAGTACACATGGAGGATCATCATCGCTTGCTGGCGCACCACCTATCACGCCCAAGCGAGGGGGTGGGTTTGAGTCGCTTTTCCGGACTCCTGCTGGGTTCTCTCCATTCCGTACACCACGGTCAAGAGCGGTAATGGATCCCAATGATCCCCGCGTCCTGCTCGATGAAGAATTGAGCCGGCCATCGTTAATTGACGATAGCCCGGGGGGTATCTTTGGCAAAGGCAAACTGCTGTATGAAAGTCCTGGCTTTGATAGCTGGGCCAATAGTCCGAAGAAGTACTGGCATTGGTGATACTAAATCCCGCGTATATCTCCTTTTCTTTTTCGTGGCCCCTTTGTGACACTTCTCCGTTCATGTTTTGCGCGACAATACTGACCCATTTTTCTGATCTATCTCCTTTGCTTCGTCATCTACTTATGCCCCCGTCATGATATCTTGTCCCATGTCTTTTTCTTGAACAGATCCATTTATGTACTATTAGCGACTGCCACGACCCGTTACGACCCTTGCCTTCTGTTTTCCCCGCTCTACCTTCTGGGCTACACCCGAATTTATTACCAGAATGGGGGCCCCAATTTCTATCGTGCATTTTTCTCTAGAGACATTTATTCATCGTCTATTCTGTGTCCTCGCTCCGCGGTGGCGGCAGGATCATCCTCACCGGGGCTGTTTATTTCTTTATTCCTTCAATTACTTTTAACCCGCATTCAGAGAGACTTTTTTCCCCTCATTTTGGTGTTCAGAGGCATATATGTGTAACGTTTTGTTTTCTGTACTGTGAACTCTAAATTTCAAGCATTTCAAAGCTTGCTGTTTTACGGACCTTGTCATCCACTGTCGTTTGTCGCTATGTTAACGTTGTTGAAATCACAATGTGTATTCGATTTGGCTCGCTGCTTAACATCGTGTGTGTGTGTTTCATGTCAAGCAACTTAGAAAGTGGATTGATTATGCGGTACATTAGATTTTGGAGAGTAGTACTACAGTTAAGATCTACGTGGCTACAATACAAATGGACGCGATGTACACTTGGAAATTACTATCAGTTATACCATACAACGTAAAAGGCAATACTGGAAGTTTTCAACAAAACGCGAACGAATAGACCAGGCCAAATGATTTCCTGGAAATGCTCGCTAGGGAGCCGCGAGACATGACAGCCTGGCTATCCTTGTTCCTCTCCAGACTCCCCTTCCCCTTCCTCCTCCGAGTCTGAGTCCGAGTCCGGTGCCATACCCGCCGCTTTCAGGGCTTTATAAATCTCAGGCTCGTTCTCCTTCGCCCATGCTGGAATGAGAATAAACAAGGGCGGGGGACTGGTGTTAGCGATCATGATCAAGACGAGCTGTGATAGGCGGCAACCGACGAGACGTTGAAAACCGATACCAAGATGCACGAAGCGAGACACGAAACCAAGAAGAAAGAAAGAAAAAAGGTACTCACCCCAGTCATATTTAAACGCATCCCTCTCCCCCTCCGGTTGCCTATTGCGTTCCTCTTGCGCTTTACGGTACAAATACTTGCTCTGGCGCGCCTCTTCCTCGTTCAAGAGGATGGTTCGGAACGTGTCACTGACGAGTTCTTGGAGTGTTTTAAGGGTGGAGGATAAGACGTGGGCGTCGAGGTCGTGGGAGTCGATTGCATTGACGCCCCAGGGATCGGTTGGTGCTGCGAGGGTCAGGTCGCAGGATGAGGAAGGAGATGTGTCGTTCTGAGGAGGGTCGTTGGAGGAGGTGGGAGATGGGTCTTTGGAGGAGATGGAAAGGCAGTCATTGAGCGAAACGAGCGATGAGGTATTGGAGGACTAAGATGAGGAGGGTGGACTACGAGTCACCGAGATGGGGGATGTGGACTCCGGCTCACATTTGGGTGGGGATGGGAGAGGGAAGGGGAGCGATAACAACGGCACAATATCCGTCACGTCGTATCCACGCGTTCGGAACCTCTCGCGCTCACGGGCCTTCCGCTCAGCCTGGTAACCCTCCCACTTGACATTACCTCCCTCCCTCTTCCTCATCCCCTCTTTACGCAGGCGCTCCATATAATCCCCCACGCGCTCCATATAAAGACCGCACAAAAAGCAGCTAGGCTCTAACCTGCTCAGGCCGATGTAGGGGTACACCCCCGCACGCTCGGGGGAGAGGAGATGGCGTGTGAGGGTAGATTCCGGGTGGGGCATACAGACGCGGAGGGCGGACTGCGGGTGGGTTAGGGTCGGTCCCTCGCGCTCTCTCACCAGTACCTGAACCCCTTCCAACATATTAGGTAAGATCGCCTGCTCAAGTTCGACTGGTAAGAGGGAGCGGTGGGGGATGTAGTATGGGCTCTTGCGTCGGGCATCGAGAGCGTCGTTGTTACATTTTCTGAGGAAGGCGCGGATTTGGTCGTCGGTTGGGCGGGGTATTGTAAGGTGAGGGGACGGGAGGGTTGCTGGGAGAGGAACATAGACAACCTCATGTGGGAGTTGTAAAATTTGTCGATGGGTTTCCGAGGCTTTGACCAAGTCAATGAAGTTTTTGAATGGGGCAAGGAGTGCGTCGATCCATTTCATGACGTTGAAGGGAGTGGCAGCGGGTTCCTGCGTCTCCATTACTAGAACTTCAAACAGCTCCGGCATGATGTCGCTGTCGCTGGGCAAAGCCTTGTACGCCTCCCTTATCCGTCGATGAAAGTCCACATATACCTCCTTTAAATTCACATCCACTTTACTCACTTTTTCAACCAGACGCTCCACCTCCTCGACTATCGTCTGCGCAGCGTCCAAATACTGATGATGCACTGCTCCGCGCGTAAACTTCCAACGACCTTTGGACAATTCGTGCACCCGGTAGAAGCGGGACTTGTGTGTGAGGAGGTTGTGCTGGAGGATGGGGAGATGGCGCGCGTAGAGGTAGGCGATGAAATCGGCATGGGCGTCTATGTTGTCGATGTCGGGTGTCGAGGTCGAAGGTGCGCTGCGGAGGGTGCGTGTGGCCTGCCAGATGGCCTTTATAACCGTCCTGCACTCGACCGCGATAGTGTCCTCGTCCTCCTTCTCGTCGCTAGCGACGTATATCTTCACTCCATCCTGCCCAACGCCCATCGCCAGGGCAAAGCTGGGACCCGTGGGGTTGGCTGGCAAAAAGAAGGCAATGGTGTCGAGAATGCGGTGGGAGGGGTGGGCGAGGTGTAGGGGTTCGAGGATATTTGTGATGGGATATAGACAGTCGTACATTTCCTCCTCGTACTGGCTTGCAGTAGCCCTTGGATGGGAAGATAGAGACGAGAGATACAGAAGCAACAGAGGTATTTCTGTGTTTGCCATGTTAACACTGTGGTGGTCGGGTCAAGGCCGGGTCTCATATTATGACTCGGAGTCATATCGCCCTCTGTTATTAATAAGTATTCCATGGTCGGCACTTTTTTTCTCACACTTCTTTCGTTGAAAGATTGAGATAAAATTTGAAAATTGAGCGAGTGCATTGAAAGGACGAAGTGAATAGGTATCGATGGATAAAGGTACATTAAAAGGCAGTCTGGGGCAATGGAGAGTCAGCACAATGAACGTAGAAAGTGAATACTGGTAAGAGTCAGATGGCTGTTCTTAGTTTTTGGTTGTATAGGTATCCCCAACGCCCGAAGGCTCCGGCATGGGTTATGTACTCATCACAAGAAGGCAAACGTAGGCGGAGAAAGTAACTCACCAATACTGGTACGGACTATCGAGTCATCTGAAGAAAGGACAGTCAGTACGATTCGACGACAAGTTTGGAGGAAGAAAACAAGGTCAGAGGTGCAAAAGAGTTTGGCGTTGCTCAGCCGATCGTCAAAGCCTTGGGCTTGTTACGACTGGGGCGGCAATGAAATCATCATAAGAAAAGTTCAAAAAGATGGACTTACCACGAACTTGTCCTTGTCATCGATATCGACCAAGAGAGAAAAAACAAATCGTGAAGAAAATCCGCGCGCTATTTATGAGAGTCATAGGACCGTGGGAAAAGACTTGAACCGTATTAGTCAAGCGAGCCAAACAGTCATCAAGGCTTGTCACTGACCACCACACCACGACCAGAGTCTTTTAAACACCCCAAAAAGACCCTTACCCACCATTTTTAATTACCTGACATTTATCCTGGCTCATCTTTGAAAACAGGTATAATGTCTCCCCCAGGGTCACCCAGATTGGTAGACTCATTTACAGCTCCCAAGGAAATCCTCGACGAATTCGCCCAACTCGCAGAGGAGGAAAATGTCGACCCTTTTGCTGAGACAGCATCTAAACGCCAGATTGCGGCTCGCCAGTCGGATTATCACAACAGGCGCTTCAACCGTGTAGCCGTTGAGAGTGCTGATGCTTTCAAAGCCAGCGAGGATGGTGCTGAAGTCGAGGGCGGTTACAAGGATGCCATGCGGCTGGCCCGGTTGGAGCAGGAGGAGCAGAGGGTGAAGAGGGCAATTGAGGAGAAGCAGAGGAAGGAAAGGGAGGATGAGAAGATGAAGATGGACCTCGACAAGACGCCACCCGCGGCAGAACTCGATGCTGTCGAACGCGAGCTCGAGGCTGCGCGGGAGCTTGCTCAGAACAAGGAGGCGGGGACGAAACGAAAGCGACGATGGGATGTCTCCGAACCAAACGACGAGAACGCCGACCCTAACAAGAAGGAGGGGGAGAAAGAAGAGTCTGCGCCGAAGAAGCGACGCTCACGCTGGGATGCTGCTCCGCCCGATGTTCAGCAGCCCGCTGAGACCCCCAAGCGGTCGAGATGGGATCAGGCACCTGCTGTGCAGGACACGCCAATGCAGCCCATCATCATGAACGCTCCTGGTGTCATGCACGAAGACAAACACAACCGTTATTTGACCGACGAAGAGCTCGACGCCCTCCTCCCGACATCTGGTTATGCTATTGTCACACCACCTCCCGGCTATGCACCCCTTGTCGCTCCACGAAACCTCATGGCAACGCCAGTTACTAAAATAGAAGGCTTCCATATCCAAGAGGGTTCAGATGCTGCAGCTTTGGCAGCCGCTGCTGGTCTCGCCCCTGAATTGCCGACGGAGATCCCAGGTGTCGGAAACCTTGCCTTCTTCAAACCAGAGGACGCCCAGTACTTCGCAAAGATCTTGAAGGAGGAGGATGAGACTGAGTTGTCCGTCGACGAGATGAAAGAAAGGAAGATCATGCGACTTCTCCTCAAAATCAAGAACGGTACCCCTCCTGTTCGAAAGACCGCCCTCCGTCAAATCACAGACAAGGCCCGAGAGTTTGGTGCCGGCCCTCTTTTCGACAAGATTCTTCCCCTCTTGATGGAGCGTACCCTCGAGGACCAAGAGCGCCACTTGTTGGTGAAGGTCATTGATCGAGTACTCTACAAGCTCGACGACCTTGTCCGCCCATACGTCCACAAGATCCTCGTCGTCATCGAACCTCTCCTCATCGACGAGGACTACTATGCCCGCGTTGAGGGCCGTGAAATCATTTCCAACCTGGCCAAGGCTGCCGGTCTTGCCCATATGATCTCCACAATGCGACCCGACATCGACCACGCCGACGAATATGTGCGCAACACCACAGCGCGCGCATTCTCGGTCGTCGCCTCGGCACTCGGTATCCCTTCGCTCCTCCCTTTCCTGAAAGCTGTCTGCCGATCGAAGAAGTCGTGGCAAGCAAGGCACACCGGTATTCGTATCGTCCAGCAGATTGCGATCATGATGGGTTGTGCTATCCTTCCCCACCTCCGCAACCTCGTTGACTGTGTTGCACACGGTCTCTCTGACGAGCAGCAGAAAGTCAGGACCATGACTGCCCTTGCCCTCGCTGCTTTGGCTGAGGCCGCTGCACCCTATGGTATCGAATCCTTCGACAACGTCTTGAAGCCGCTTTGGCTTGGTATCCGTCTGCATCGTGGCAAAGGACTCGCTGCCTTCCTGAAGGCCATCGGCTTCATTATTCCCTTGATGGACCCCGAATACGCCTCTTACTACACGAAGGAAGTCACCGTCATCCTCATTCGAGAGTTCCAAACGTCGGACGAAGAGATGAAGAAGATTGTTCTCAAGGTGGTGAAGCAGTGCGCGGCGACGGAGGGTGTCACTCCCCAGTACATCAAGCAGGACATTCTCCCTGACTTTTTCAAATCCTTTTGGGTCCGCCGTATGGCCCTCGACCGCAGGAACTACCGTCAGGTCGTAGAAACTACTGTCGAGCTGGCGCAGAAGGCTGGCGTTTCGGAGATTGTGGGGCGTATCGTCAACGAGTTGAAGGATGAGGCGGAACCTTACCGAAAGATGGTTATGGAGACCATCACCAAAGTCGTCGCTACCCTTGGTGCCTCCGACATTGACGAGCGACTCGAAGTCCGACTCATTGACGGAATCATCTACTCCTTCCAGGAGCAAACCACCGAAGACCAGGTCATGTTGGACGGGTTTGGCACCGTCGTCAATGCCTTGGGTGTCCGAGTCAAACCCTACCTCACCCAGATCGTCTCGACTATCCTTTGGCGTCTCAACAACAAGAGCGCCAAGGTCCGACAACAAGCTGCCGACCTCACTACTCGCCTTGCCGTAGTCATCAAGCAATGCGGTGAAGACCAGCTCCTCAGCAAGCTCGGCCTTGTCCTGTTCGAACAGCTTGGTGAAGAATACCCCGACACACTCGGTAGTATTATCGCTGCTCTTGGTGCCATCGCCAACGTCGTTGGTATGACCCAGATGAACCCTCCAGTAAAGGATCTCTGTGAGTTTTCCCTTATTACCCCTTAAGCTACTCGTTACTGACTTTTTATTGCTTCGCAGTGCCCCGAATGACCCCCATCCTGCGTAACCGACACGAAAAGGTTCAAGAAGCTTCCATCAACTTGATTGGTCGCATCGCCGATCGAGGTGCAGAATTTGTTCCTGCTCGAGAATGGATGCGTATCTGTTTCGAACTCCTCGATTTATTGAAGGCGCACAAGAAGGGCATCCGACGAGCCGCTGTCAACTCTTTCGGTTATATCGCCAAGAGTTTGGGCCCTCAAGACGTGTTGTCCGTACTTCTTACGAATTTGCGCGTGCAAGAGCGTCAGAGCCGTGTTTGCAGTACTGTCGCTATCGCCATCGTGGCTGAGACTTGCGGACGTGAGTACAAGTTATTTCAATCATTGGGTCTAGACACTGATTCCTATTTTTATCATATAGCTTTCACCTGTATTCCCGCCATTCTCAACGAATACCGGACTGCTGAACTCAACGTTCGAACCGGCTGTTTGAAGGCGCTCTCCTTCGTCTTTGAATACGTCGGTCCGCAGTCTGCGTACTACGTGGATTCGGTTGTGACCATGCTCGAAGACGCTCTCACCGATCGCGACCTTGTCCATCGTCAAACCGCCAGCACCATTGTCAAGCATCTGGCTCTCGGTGTTGCTGGACTCGGATGCGAGGATTCCATGACGCATCTCTTGAACCTCGTCTGGCCCAACTGCTTCGAAACCTCTCCTCACGTCATTGGTGCTGTCATGGAAGCTATCGAGGCCATGCGAGTGACACTCGGTCCTGGTGTGTTGCTCAGTTACACACTGCAGGGCCTTTTCCACCCTGCTCGCAAAGTGCGCGAGGTCTATTGGAGGATTTATAACGCGCTGTATTTGGGAGCTGCGGATGCCCTTGTGCCATTTTATCCTGATCTGGGCGAGTTGAGCGAGGGTCAAAATGTGTATGATAGGCACCCTTTGCAGGTGTTCATTTAGATTCGTACTTTGTAGTTGTTCCTGTTTCCGTTGTTCCTTTATTAGTAGTCTTTTTACTATATTACGCTTCGCAGTTGTTGTAACTATACATGTCGATGATTTCTTGGTCGAAGACTTTGACGAGCCTCTCCCTGCGGGGAGCTTCAGATGTGCGGCACTCTCCATGATCTGGCGAATGGGCTATACAGAGTCGGCGCTTATTCATCCAACTCTATGAGCGCTTGTTGATCCTGGAATTGCATTTGCTATTTGCTTTTGTTCGCTGCGTACCATTGAGAGAGTTACCAGTGTGTTGTTCACATGCTGCGTGATTGCAACTATAAGTTAGGGAATGCAGATCAGTCGAATCCGTCAAGTTGACAGGGGAAACGGCAACCTTCAATTTGCAGGAGTCCTGCCGAGCATAGTGGACAGCCAGCAGTTCGTTTCCTCTCCACTGTCGATGGATTCCATACTGGTGATCTCGACAAGAAATGTACAGCCCCCAATAAAATAAAATGTGGTAGTAAACATTTAGGCTACAAAAGAAAAAAAAAAAAGAGATCATCTACGACAAAGAATGACGTCGTCCGCGTCAAGCGCAGTAGAAGTAATAAGACAAAGAAGCCGATTATGCATGTACAATTTACGAAGATCCTGATGTCAAACCGGCCGGGAACCCGGAGAAATCGACCTGTTCTTGGTAGGGTGTTCCGTCGACAGTGTATCCGATTCGTAGACGCAGTCGCACGGCGCTCTATTCGGGTGAAGGATTCTGTCGGTGTTTTCATCGACAGGGAAAGCTGAAGTACTCACCCCCACAGGTGCGGCTACACGCATTTGTTGAGTCTCCGTTGCGCCAGGGTTTACCGTCGAGTTCGACATGGGCAACATCTGCAGTTGTTGGGACTGTGCACAGACATGTTAGAACCGGACGAAAAGATGTTTGGCAAAGACCAAGGACATACCTTTGGAACAGCAGCCTGGAAAGTGATACCGGTAGCTGCAGATCCACCAGTTACCTGGAACCGCGCGAGGATCATCACAATGCCAGGCTTCGTAGGCGAAGTCTGAGGCGTCAGCGTAATCTTCAAGCCGTTCTTTTCGTACGCGGTATATGCTGTTAGCTTGGGCGCAGAAGGAGTAGCGGGTGCTTGAGCGCTGACGAGGTTAAAGGCAGATGATGGAGGAGCGGCAGTCGCAGTCGCAGGAGTTGGAGGGAAAGAGGGCGGTACGGAGGGGGTGGCAGGTGGACCGGTCGACGGCGTTGAGTCAAAGAGACCAAGGATGTCTTGGATGCCCTGTTTCTGGGGGGGAGGCGGCGAGGTGCTTGTCGATGGCGCGGCTGGAGTAGATGATGAACCGAAGATTTCAGCAAGGAGGTCTTGGTTGGATTGGGCTGAAGCGCCTGTTTGCCCGTTGGCGATTGTGGGTGTGGCGGCGATGTCGTCGCCCAAAAGGTCGCCCTGGGTTATGTTAGCCACTTGAGCACACGCCCACACCATCCAGAGGACGTACCTCGGTAGCCTTCGTTGATCCCACAGGTTTCTTCTCGCTGACTACAAGAACGGTCAATCTCACATCTCCCGAAGGCAACAGCATAATATACACGCACCCACGCCCATGACAGTAGCTTTCAACTCGGGAGCAGGCATCTGTTCCAGGACTCCGCTTCGCATCTCTCCCAAAGTGAACAAACTAGCAAATTCTACAGCTCGCTGTTGCAGCTCCAGTTCAGGGCTGGTGGTATATTTGGCGAGGAGTTCTGCGACACGGTCTTGTTCGGGTCGAGAGGTCGTGGCGCGAGCAGAGATCTTCGTCAATGCGGCCAGAACGAATTGACGGATGAGGTAGTTGGAGTAAGGCGAATCCAGGCAGGAGATAAGGAGATCGATAAGTTCTGAGTCCTTGACCTATTGAAATGTCAGTCGTGGACCAAGACACTCGGTAACGCGTTGAAAACGTACAGGCTGCGTCGTCTGTTCATCAACGATGACACCACCTTCAAGAAGGATGTCACTGTATTCTCCAAGGATCCAAGTCGCTGCAAGGGTAAGGGACTCTTGAGAGATATCAGCTTTCAGAGCAAGGTACAACTTCGAGGCAGTGTAGGCCTGGAGCTCTGGAGTGTGTGCAACTAAGCGGATGAATGCAGACAGAATTTCCTCTCGAACGAAATTTCCAGCCTAATTTTTACTGTTAAGTGATTTCCAAGCAGCGTTGGCAAGAAGAACCGACCAGTTTCAAAGTTCGAAGCACGGTATCGATATGCCACCGTTTGTTGGGAGCAAATCGCTCTGCGGCAAGGGATATTTGGGTCGTCATTCCGTACTTGAACTCGTCGTCTGCAACTTCGAGGAAGACAAGGAGCTCCCGGACTAAAATACGAACATTGGTCTCGTTGATGAGGGCATATGACAGTTCCAGGGCACGCCGACGGATCGAGATATCGCCATCCCGGAGACAGTCGAGGATCGTGTTGCAATGTCGTTGTACGGCGTTCGTATCCATTGTCACGACCTTGTTCAGCGTGTTCAATGCGACATAACTGAGGTTTGATAAGGGAGGGGTAAGAGAGACGATCTTTGAAAACACTTACCGAATGTTGTTATCCCTGTTGGTCAAGAATTTACCCAAGATGTTGATAGCCATAACTCGCAAACCAGTATCCGCTTCAATATCGAGGACGGTCAAGACAGTTTCGTAAAGGATCGAGTTGCCGACGTTTTTCGAACCGTCTGTATTCGTGGCCACCTGGGATACGCTGTCAACTAGGGAATGTTTGAAGGGATGGAAGTTGATTACCTGTGCCAAAATGTCGTTCATGGTCTCGCTTGCCTGCGCGTCACCCTTTCCAAGGATACGCAGTAATCTTAGGATCTTCACTTGCAAGAACGGATCTGTTATCCCAGACACATCGTGCTCTGGACTGTATCCAGTCGTAACCAGAGATTTAAGGTTGCGGACGAGAAGGGGAACGGCCTAAAGGGCGTCAGACGTAGGATGCTGCGGGAACAGAAATCTTACATACGCTTCTGAATTCGTTGAGATTGTTTTCGTCGATAGCACACAGCTCCGTGACAAGAGTGATTGCTGTAAGGAGGACGCCATGATTTCGATCGGTCAAGAGGCTCTTGGCTTTGCTGATAAAGTGGTCGGCAATGTCTGGCACTTTCTTGACGACTCTCAGTGCACAAAGCGCAGACTATTCCACGGTTAGGAAGGAACGCATAACTGAAGACGCGACGAACCTTTTTCCTGATGTATGTATTGCTCGATCCCAACAGCTTTTCGATTTCGTTGGCTAAATCTCGAGACATCTCTTCAGATGCGATATTTGCGAAGGTGCAAAGGGCCAATCCAACTGCATACATATTGGAATGGTTCATATCGCTGGGAAATGTAGTGTTGGACAACAGCCACGAGGAGTAGATCCAGGAGAGCGCACTTTTTCAAAGAGTTGGTGACCAACGTCAAGACCTCCTGGTTCTCGTCCAACAGCAACATGATACCGAGATACCCTAACCTCTTGTCTGAGAACCTGGGACTCGCGACCAATTTGAGGCATTCTATCTGTCCGAAATGCGCTGGCGAACCAAGCATGTGGATATAGAGGAGTTTCGCGACATTGTTGTGTCTTTGGTACGAGTCTTCTTCACGGAAAGAAGCCCGGATAGCTGCAGATTCTTGCTGGATGAGAGCCCGCTCATCTGCCACGGTCTACAGGACAAGAAATCAATGAGATTACGACCACGATGGCGACGACAATACGGGCAATGAATGACCTTGCATCCCCTGATTCCCTTGATGAGCGCTAATCGGTACCGTCAGTCTCTGAATACAAATATCTGTACTGTGTATTGACTAACCTTTGAGATTGTGGTAGACCATCTCGCCGATTGCGTAGGTTGGCGCTGGACGATGGTTGAGCGGATGATGGTCGCGGTCGGGCAGGCCAAGCAAAGGATCACAAACACGGTCAATACAATGCCGACCTTATTTGATAAACCGTGTCATTACCCATTCTTTCACTCTTTACTTCCATCTACCCAGCTGGGCTGGCTGGCTTACCATAATGCCGTCCATTAAGGACTGCAAGCGGGCTCTGGTCCACGGCGAGCTTGCCCAATTCTTCAACAAACATGACAATAATACCCAAGACGGGTTTGTCACCAGACTGGACAGCACGTATCAAACGGTACCAAGTCTCAGCTTTCTGGCAATGGCGAGTCTGACATTCTACGTAGCACTGTATTCTACCGGGCATTGGTCGTAAACACCGTCATCGCCATCGTACTATCAGCCTTGGTCGCCCTCACCATCCTGCATGACCTTTATGAGCCTTACCCGATCTCCCTACATACTGCCTCCATCGCAACCCAACGGATTCTCGTCCTGTCGGCCATCGCTGTCCTTGTGCGGTCAACGCTCGCTCCGTTCTTCCTTGGAGAATGCCTTCTCCGCATTAAATATCATTTCCGAGACTCTGAGATCATCATTCGACGGCTACCGCGAGGTCTAATGGGAGCTGGCGGCCACGATGAACACGACCTCCAATCGCTCTGCACGAACGCAGCCCGCTCCGTCGATCCGGCGCTTCTATACTCCAATTTGAGGTCATTCTTTTCTCGGGATTACTGGACCATGGAGTACGGCGCTGTTATGGACGCCTACAGTTCCATCTCAGTGGGCGAGTTCACAGAGGAAGATTTCGAATTTTCCATCTTGAAACGAGACGACAGTGGGCACTGGAATGTCTACGAACTATGGCGTATTCATGGTGTTGCGACGGAGAAGCAGGAACGTGTCTAAAGCCTGCGGAGCCTTCCTTTCTCTGCGGATTCTTGACAGGTTCATAGCATTCGAACCTTTCCGACTACCACGTCAGGATTGTCATAAATAGTATCGATATATCATTCATCTCCATCCTTTGACTGGCTGCGCAGTCCGGGGTGGTGGTCATTTCTACGATTTCTACGACTTCACGAAGCTATAGTGGGAAGCCAACTATCCGTACAGCACCCCCAACGGACCTGGCAGTTGGACAGATATCTGATATCTAAGGTCCACATAAACAGCGAAAGTGATAAGTACTCGTTCAAAGGTCAATCTACTACACGCGTACTACAAGTTGCTATGTACAGCTTTAAAGTGTTACAGACCAACGTGAAAAAACCAAAGTTCCTCGACCAGCGTCGTAAAAGTACAGATATTCGTACATGGTGCGGAAAGCATTTAAAGAGCAAGAGGACTCGAGAGCGGTGGGTGAATTGTACAACAGGGCGTCATAAAGTGTGGTGTACGAAGCGGGTCGTAAATGAGTCGTCTCGAAAAGGCCCCCAACAAAAAGGTAGAGAAATAAGGTATAAAGTTATTAGATACGTCGTGATGGGTATCGTGGAAGGGTATTGAATGACGTTGAACAGAACACGAGAGACGAGCTTTTGCGTGAGGACAACGTAAAGGCGTGAAGAAATATCATCGACATGAAAATGGTCGTGAAAAGCAGCAAGGGCACGGCGTGTCGGATGAGAACATCTACGAAACATCGAGAGCGGAAATGGCTTGGAAATAGCCAACCTTCAAGGTCTACCGACGCCGGGTAGGACGAACTCTACTCGAGCTAGTCGATGTAGGGGCGGCAGCGGGCGTGGTAGCCGTCTCCGTGAGGATAAACGACTGCCATGCCGCCCTTGTTGCTTCAGGCCAGACATGAGTTGACTGCGTGGCGCCCTCGCCCATGTAAATTTCAGGCCCAGCAGGGAGGTTCTTCCCTTCCAAAGCGGGGTCGCTTCCACCGATGACACCGCTTCCACCACCAGGCGTCTGGATCACCTTGCCTAGTGAGTTGCTTCCGAGGACGAATTCTCGGAAGAATTTGTATGCCTAGAGGAGGGAAAGTTGGGAGGTAAGTAAGACGTCAGGTGGGAAAGACATAGGACACGCACTGCTTTAGGAGCGTTTGCAGGGATGAGATGCCCTGCACCGTAGAACAGGGCATATGTCCACCCTCTCTCTTGATGGACGATTCCGGCGAACTTGCCTTCGTCATCGGTCCAGGGAGTGGCGGGTTTCCTCGTGAATCCTTGAATTCCGCCAAACGTCGTGTTTTGAATGGCCACTGGCAATAAGAAGTCAGTAATAGAAAACGACAGGCAATGCGAACGTGGCGTACGCTCTGTTCCGAGATGAGGAAGAAGGAAATCGTTGTTTCCTGAAACCAGGACTATCCGGATGTCTTGAGCTGTGGCGTTCGTGGCAAGTTCTGTCATGAAGTTGATGGGGCTAAATTGGGGATGGGGTCAGCGGTGAACAGGAAATGCATATGGCGGATAGACTTACAAGGGGCCTACGAGGCGAAGGAAAAGAGCATAAACTGAGTTACTGAATTTCCAGAATCTGTTCGAGATACTTACTGGGATCGATTCCTGCAAAAAGAGCAGTTAGCATCCGCTGGAATTATGACGTGGATGAGGAGACTTACTGCCTAAGGAACCGAAAGGGAATGGGAAGTGAAGTGCCCAATCTTTGCTAGCGGGAGCGTGAAGTGCAGCTCGGACAGCAGGATCTAAAGGGCAGGCCGATTAGCAGTTGCGGAAACGGGAGAATGGATTCTGACCAACCATTCAAAAATGGGCTAGCGTCAGTTTCAGGTGGAGGGCTGAGAGCATTAGGGACATCGTAAACCTGAAAGGGCGGTCAGAATACATTGGCAGTCATGAAAGACAGGGTGAACTTACATCCATATCCTCAATTTCATCTGGAAGGAATGAAATGTCAGTTCATACTGCCACGACGGCGAGAGTGTGGAACGTACTCCACGGATAAGTGTAGTTGAGGGCATAGTCGAACACAAAGTCCCAGGTGAAGCAACCATACTATACGACGCGTCAGGCATCCTCCGTCGACAAAACAAAAGTCAATAATCTACTCACCCAAGGATCGATGGTACCGTTAACACGCTCGGAGAGGTCCCTCTTCCACGCTTCGCGGCGAATCTCACGGTCGCGCTTTTGTAGGCGGCTGGACTCTTCGAGGTGGCGGCGTTTAAGAGCTGTGAAGAATGTCTTGTGATGGTGCGTCATCGAGGCGTAGTAGGGAATTTCGCGATCTCTAGGTTGAATCAACGGAATGTCTGGAAGGACGCCGGTCTCCGGGTAATGGAGTTCGATGTTATAACCGCACAGTTCATGCCTGTAACAGGTGTCGGTGGGTTAAACAACCACTTTGTGGGTGCATCACGCACTGTTCTTTGAGGTAAAGATAGACTTCGGGGTCGTAGCCAATCAGTTGCGGGAAGGTTTCAACCACGCTCAACTATTGTTTATGGGGTCAGATGAGTATCATGTGGAATGTAGTCCGCGTGCTTACGGTTGGGAGAAGGTTGGAGACCTGGCCGGATGTAATGGTTCCATCACCAATAAGGATCTTGCTGACTTGCACAGGTGGGTTGGGAGTGGCGAAGTATGTCTTGAGGATATATGGCTGATTAACATAAAAAGTCAATGACTGCATCTCGAGACCTATGATGATAGATTCTTACAATGTACATCCCCGCATAACTTTCACCTGCGAGGACCAAAGGACGCGTCTTAAGGGCCGGGAAAACTTTGACTAGATTACCGAGGAAACCAATCTACGGAGAGAATTAGAACCTCTGTGAAGGGCGCGAAAAAAAGCTCTGTGTCACTCACGAAATCACGGCCGATTTGGTCCTGGTCTGGAACTAAAAAACGCACCCGGAATTAGCGGTTGAAAGAGACAGCCAGAGAGGCGTTAGTAGCATACCGTATCCATCAGCGTCAGCTGTTGAATAACCAACGCCACTGTCGTAGTTCATTTCAGTTGGCGTACTCGGTAGGAGCCATGTAATATACTAACACTGGCTGGTCGATCCAGAACATGTCAGATAGCTTGTCCCAACTATGTCGGTTCTTGACCAAAGAGCCGTCCGATTGAATTCTTATGGGGCCGTTCTAAACATTGGTCAGTTGTTATGGTCACGGTTATGTTCCCCGAAGCAGGAGTGACAGAATCCACTTGCCTCGAAAAAGAAGCCATAAAGACTGGAGGAACCTGGGCCTCCGTTAAGCCAGATAGTCCAAGGTTTGTTGTTGGAGCGCTTCGGTCGTGCGGTCAAGGAACCCGGACTCTGCTCGAAGCCCCAGAAGAAGAGCGTATTATTAGGGTGACCTTCTCTCTGTACGGGCAGATTGCCAGCGTAGCTGCGAGAGAGCGGGAATGGCACCCCAGGGACTGGGTTTTGGACCCGGAAGTCTGCATTGCACAAGGGTTAGTCTCGTAGAAAAAGGCGCGATTGTTTTTGCTCACAGTTTTGCCACGCTGGACTATAGTCGCCCGAAGGCTTGCCAGGATAGTCATGAGGCCATGAGCTAGGGAGAGGACCTGCTTCTTCTTCTTCTTGAGCTACAACGACAGAGATGCACAGCAACGCGAGGCCCAGGAGTCGTCGAGCAGCCATGGCGGTGTGGGAGAGGGAGGGATGGGCTGTTGAAGGAATCTATAGGCCCGACTGTCGTATTTAAATTATGCGGGCCCTGATGCCAACGCAGGGCAAGTTGACTGGGCGGTCTGTCACGGTGCCAGGAACAATAAGAGCGTGGATGCGAAGATACTCGAACAGTCTGATGCCGCTTTGGCATTCCGGAAGTGCAAGAAGTTCTGTCATGAATTTCGGCACGCCTAATTGTTTCCACTGATGGGGTTTTTGCACACATCTGAGTCCGTCCGATGTCTGCCCACAGTTGCATGTTCCTAGCTCAATCGATAACACCCAGGAACCTGCCGTCCATAGCATGTGGACAGTTTTCAGAAAGGCCAGGCCATATGTGCATGGCCAACGATGAGGACGCAATCAGAGGAGGCGCCGTGGATGGATGCAATTACTCGTTTTGGACGCGTGAGAACCTTTGGAGACCCATCAACTGTTGCCCTCAATGCACTCAGCGAGTCACCTTCACCTCACTATCTCTTCATTCTTTTGTCAGTTCGCGGCATGGCACGCCGTAAACGCGTTCTGGACGACGGCGACGACTCAGACTCTTCAAACAATGAAGACTACGATTTTGACGATTTCGACACGAATGATCCAGACATGAGGGAGGAGCGCGCCCTATTCGAAAATCCCTACAAACACAAGCGGAGGAAGAAGAATGCCAAAGAGGACGCCATCTACGGAGTGTTTGGGGACGATAGCGAGGATGAAGGACCGAGGAATAAACGAGGAGGGGCAAAGGGGAAGCGGAGTGACTGGACTAAAGCACCTGCATTCGTATCGAGTGACAAAAAGGTGGATCTGGACAAGGCCATGGATGTCGACGATGTAGGTGACAGCAGTCAGGACGAAGAGGAAGACGAGGACGAGAAAATGGTAGATGCAGACAGCTCGGATGAGAATGCCTCCGACGGAGGAAGACCCGGCGGCCAGTCCGATGGCGCTAGACCTGAGGCACCTGTGCCTGACGATGGGGAAGAAGAGGCCGAACGACCGCGTTTCGGGGGAATTGGCTCATTCAAACCATCGAGCCATGAAGAACAATCGTCCTTTGGTCTTGGTGCCTCGAAAGGAGGGATAGGTTCATCGAAGAGTGGTATTGGTGGGTCGCGTGGAGGGCTGGGTGCAGCGAGAAGTGGGTTGGGAGCCTATGCTGCCTTTATGAGTGCAGGTACCTCGAAACCGTCTAGCAATGAGACCGGATTCTCGAAAGGAGGTATCGGGCCCAAGGCGACCACAGTGGAAGAAGTCGAAGACAGCAAGGAGTCATCCCCCGAGCTCTCAGCTCGGTCTACGCCAGACCTACCCAGCGCATTCGGAGCACGAACCCAACGCTTTGGACGGTCGACAACGCCAGCGGCTGCCCCTGCTACTCTATCGGCTGAGGAACGGGCTCACTTCAACAAGCTGCAAGGATCATTCGGTGCTCGCATGCTCGCCAAGATGGGCTGGCAAGCTGGTACAGGTTTAGGTGCAGAAGGGGAGGGTATCGTTACACCCATCGAGAGTAAATTGCGGCCACAGAAGATGGGTATCGCGTTTCGTGGATTCAAGGAAAAGACGGAACAGTCGAAGCGGGAGGCCAAACGAAGGGGTGAGGTTGTCAGTGAAGACGAAGAAGAGGACAAGACGGTTCGCAAATTGAAGAAGAAGGCGAAAGAGGCACAGGAGAAGAGGGCCGAAGCATGGAAAAAGCCGAAGAAGGTCAAAACCAAGGTGCAACACAAGACTTACGAGCAGATTCTGGAGGAAGTCGGAGAGCAGGCTCAACCGGCAGGAATTGGCCAGATTATTGACGCCACAGGTGCTGTGGTACGTATCCTATTCCCCCTCTAAGTACCGTTATTTCTGACGTTGGGTGGTAGCCACGGGAAGTGTCTTCCTTGTCCGAGGTTACCTTGAATCCCTGGGCCCCTTCGAACGATCCTACAAGGATACCTGAAGTCAGGCACAATATCAAATTGATTGCAGACGCGTGTAAGAGTGATTTGGACGGTCTCGCTCGTGAAGCCAAGGCGTTGCAAGAACGCAAGCGCTTCGTCCAGGCAGAAGACGCTCGTCTGCGGAAGAAAGTCGACGATGACGCTGAATGTACGCCTTCATCTTCTGGTGTGTATCACACAATGCTCATACGTTCTTCTCCAGTGATCTCAAGGCTCCAGCAGATCCAGTTGGTCGCAAACGAGATGCAAGTTCTATCCAAGGAACTCTCGTCTCTTTACGAAGTGTCACTGGAACCATTTTCACCCTTGGTTCGTCGGCTCGTAGACCAATATTCTAAAGAGTACGATACGTACCGCCTTGATGAGGTCGTAGTTGCCGCCATCGCACCTCTGCTCCGCCGCCTGGTATCCACTTGGAATCCACTAGAAGACCCCGCTACATTCCTGACAGTATTCAAAGATTGGCGACGGGCACTCAAGATCAATACAGGCAACGCTGTAACATCAACCGCTGTGGATGTGTACGGGGCCAAAACCGTGGCTAGCACACAGGTCGAGTAAGTGTTTGTATCTTTTGCAATTATATAGCCTGGCGCTTACCACATTCCTCAGGGAGCAACCAATGACCCCGTTCGAGAGTCTATTGTGGAACGTCTGGTTACCAAAAGTCCGGACGATCGTCAATAATGAATGGTCGGCCGAGTCACCACAACCTGCGGTCAAGCTGTACGAATCGTGGTCTTCGTTGCTGCCGCAGTTCATTCGGGACAATATGCTGGATCAGCTATTTTTACCCAAAGTACAAAAGGCTGTAGCCGATTGGAATCCCAAACGCTCCAATGTGTCGCTACATTCTATTGTATTCCCCTGGCTACCCCACATTGGCCTGCGAATGGACGCCTTGCTAGACGACGCAAGGAGGAAGGTTAAAAGCCTATTGAAGAACTGGAATGTCGGAGATTCGCAGCCTGCTGACCTACAAGCCTGGCAAAATGTAAGCTTACTTTGGGATGGGCTGTTTCTGGCGACTGACGGCGCCCTCCAGGTCTTCAAGAAAGGTGATTGGGATACCTTGATGTTGAAGTACGTTGTCCCCAAGCTCGGCGCGACATTGCGCAACGACTTCAAGGTCAACCCTCGCGCTCAGAACATGGAACCACTCCAGCGAGTTCTCGAATGGGCCCCCCTCATCCGATCTTCCATCTTTTCTCAAATCCTGGAAACCGAGTTCTTCCCCAAGTGGTTGGATGTTCTTCACATCTGGCTTGTTCAGCCCAAGGTCAACTTCGAAGAGGTGGCGCAGTGGTATCAATTTTGGAAGGATATCTTCCCCGAGTCGATACGGAACTATCCTGGCATCAGCCGAGGTTTCACAAGAGGTTTGCAGTTAATGAACAAGGCCATCGAACTTGGGCCAGATGCGCCAACTCGTTTGCCTCGCCCCGACTACAAGGCCGAACTTGCCGCCGCGTCGACTCCTGCTCCTCTCAAAGAAGCTCCAAAGAAGACTGTCGTACCATCGTCACGCACTCAAGAAATCACCTTCCGGTCCATTGTCGAGGAGTACGCCGCCGACCACAACTTGTTGTTTATCCCAGCTGGCCGTGCGCACGAGAGGTCGAGGATGCCGCTGTACCGGGTCAGCGCCACCGCGGATGGCAAACATGGTTTATTGGTGTACATTTCGGACGATGCCGTTTGGGCGCCTAAGCCTGGCGGGGTGGCAATGGAAAGTGAAGACTTCCGCGCCATTAGTTTGGATGATATGGTAGCTCGGGCTAAAGGAGGAGACTAACACACGCTACAGTATTTGATGTAGAATAGCACTGGACTCGTATATTCTATTGGTATACATGATACTCGTGGCCTCCGGGGAGGGCCAGATAGGGGCGTGGGAAAAGGGTGGAGCGTGTTTCGGTGTTGATAGCGCCAAGATGGTGCCGCTGGAAGTAACTTCCTGTCTTTAACCACCGTCTCTGCACCTTCTCTCTGCTTTGCCGGCGCGTTGGAGAAGAAGTGACTCGACATGGCGCGCAACACAATGGGAATGGATATCGTTGATCTGACTAGCGATGGTGACGACGAAATTCAGATCACTGGACACAGGATGGCTCGACTTGTACCACCCCCAGCGGTTCCCAACTCCAAAGCTGCGGCCCGAGCAGCTGCAGCTGCAGCACAGGCGCAAGCACAAGCACGAACTGTGCCAGGTCCACCGTCGACGATAAACGTTAGGAAGCGACAGACCCTAAACCAACCTGCTGGACCCAGCAGAGCGACAACTACAGTTTCGGCGTCTGTCATCTCGCCCAACAAGAAGCAGAAGCTAGCACACGATGCTTTTGGTGGGGGTGTAAATGTTTCAAGCTTTGGTCCAGTATCTATCTCAGCACCGGTTGCCAAACGGAAGAGGACGGCGCCACCCCCGCCTTCCGCGGAAATCATCGACATTCTAGATAGCAGTGACGACGAGGAGGTGGTGGATGAGCTTTTGCGGCAGACCAAGGTGCGCTCTTAATCTAACAAAAACCAGCACATAAGGCCATCGCTTACAATCTTTACATAGAAACTCAAAGTAAAGCGAGAAGATGGTTCCAGCACGCCCTCCTCCGCAGTCACCTCGAGGTTGAACACGTCCGTGACTTTGCGAACGCCTTCAGAAGGCATGACAGCGAGCCCGCCACCCCGGACTCGATCCCCATCTGTTTCTGACGATGAAGGATTCATCGATCCCCATGACGAGGCAATTGTGAGCGCTTACACGACAAGATGGGGAACCAATGTCTAACTATGTTGCTAGTGGAAGCCGGTGAAGAGGTCACATGCGCAGACCCTCGATGTACGAAGCAATGTGAACACCCAAGATGAAACAGAGGAACCAACCAGGCTGAAGCTATCGAAAAAACGCCCCAAGATCACTCCGGGCTGGTGGAAGCCCGTTTCAACCCCCTCGATGGACTACGTATGGAACATGGTATGTCGTGAGGAGTCGCCGATGTCGTTCCTTTCACTCACGTCCCTACAAAGCTGCGGTACGCTAATAATACGAGGAGTGATTACAAGAGTCCTCAGCGTCCTCTCCGAGTGCATGGAGTTACGACAAGGAGTTGCTTAGAGGAAGACCTCGACCTCATCGACTTGAAAATGACATCTTCGTTTAAGAAGTCTCCTGGATGTGAGTGAACGTTGTCTGAATAACGATTTCCCGTTCGTTAAATTCGTTTTCTAGCCATCACCCGCATTGCCCAAAAGGAGGGCTGGGCTGTCGTTGCTTCGGCTTGTACTGGTGGTGGCATTGACTTTGAAAATGGTAAGGGACACTGTTCTCTTCTACGACCCCTCTACTGACATGGTATTCATTCTCTAGAGCGCATGGACCCCTACAACCGATCCGGATCCTTGATTACTTGGAATATGGGCGCCAAACCACCGGCCAGAATACAGGATCCAGAAGGACACCAGCGGGAGTTCTGTGAGTCGCGCTTTCCTTAGCCCATTTCACCTCCTTAAACCAGCTACGAAGCCAATGATCAAACAAAGTATTACGCTGTCAACGATGTCAAGTATGATCCCACAGGGTATGTACTATTGTCGATTCGCCCGGTTTACATTCTAACAGGTTGGCGGTGCAGTACCGCATTCGTTTCATCGGGCCTGGATAAGAATGTCAGAGTGTGTAATCGCACGTCTGGCAGCTCATCCGTATTCCCGGTCTACTCACGAAGTTTCATCCGTGAGTTTCTTACCCACATCTGAAACTTTCGGGCTCACTCTAGTTCGCAGTGAAGGAATTCCAAGGGGTGCCTCATGAACTAGCCTTCAAACCCGGGTCATCAATCCTGGCTGTTGGAGAGAGGTAATCTCTTTCTGGTAGCCGTCCGTCATTCTCTGACTTTGGTGTATCAGAGATGTGTACGTCTTCCAGGGCATTACAGTCAATCACAAGAGGAGCTTCGACAAATTGCGAATTGTTCCGAATAATTTGTCGAGGCGGCATATCGTGGGGTCTATACGATTTGGTGTCGACTCGACCTCAGGTTACATCTTCGCCTCGTCAGAACCCGAGGACGAGGACACTGAGGCTGGGGACCACTACATCGGTTTTCATAAATTTGCAGACATTGAGAGGATGGAGCGTCCTTCCTCCCTCAGTGCCTCGGAGGCGGGAGATGAGATGGCCATGCACCCCACTGGTTCGAATCTCCCACTGTTACTTCACCCGGGATCCCGCTAACTTTTCCGTCTCCTTTAATAGGAGACTTCTTGGCATTGTGCACCAAACCAGGACCTTCTTCTGGCATCCTTCGGCTTTACGACATCCGGCGTAAAGATGGAAAGGCTCAGACAAAGATCGACCTCGAACCCCAGGCGGTGGAAGGAGGCCAGGAAGTTGGGATTAACGATATCAGTTTTAGTCCTGATGGGATTTATCTTGCGCTGGGTCGATACGACAATATGGTCCATGTCTATGATTATCGGTTCCTGGGACGCGGGCCACTATATCGTCACCGTCACCAGGACGCTGTGAACAACCACCAACCGTCGTACAAGCCGTGTGGGGTCACAAAGCTCGACTGGGTTCAATCTCTTCGAACAAGTCGACTGGGCCTTGTTTCCGGGGGCAATGATGGTACACCTTGTTTCACTCAGGATGATATGATAAAGGCTGAAATTGTTCTGGCTGTTTTATAGGCTGTGTCAGACTCTGGGATCCGCTGGTTTCCGCCGGGGATATTTCAAATGGTACCGTTGTGGCCCAAGTCAATTCAGATGTAGCCACGTTTTCTTTGGGGGACCGATTTAAAGGAGAACATCAATTGATCGTGTAAGGACCTCTCCTTTTCGTCGAGGAAGTGATTTCGAGCTGATCCGTTGCCTTATGTTTTTAATAGAGGTGACGGCTCTGGAGAAGTCACTCTTTTCGACCGGTTCTTTGATCAGAGGAAATGAATTGATAGAAATCTTTTGAGCGCCGGTGCCATTGTTCCTCTCAATGGTTGTTCAGAGGTATGGTATTCCTCGGTCTTCCGGGTTAAGTTGCCATACAGTACTAGAGGTGTGTAATGTCCCGAACCTTGACCTATGGTATAAATAATGTCCTGACGTTTCCCTTTGATAAACGTCCCAGGTATAGAGTGATGAAAAGATCCCAATGCTATGCGAATGCCAAAGGTCCTGGACCAAACGATGATGTCATCGAATCCGACGATCGTCCCAGGCCAGCGTTCCAACCCCCGCGTTCTTTCAGCTTTAAGTGGCACCCGTAACAGTGCGCTGGTTGATGGTGGTGGGGGCTGGGGCGGCTCTTGGAAATCCTCTTGGATAGTGTTCCCAGAATTCGTTTCCCATTGCGACAGGCTGAGATGGAGCGAGCGGTAGTAGTTAGGAATAACGGGTAGCGGGGCACAGCAACGTCGGGACCACACCTGATTGCCATAGTTGCTGATATCTGGTGAGAGTCTCCCCTCAGTTGTGCCATTGAGAACGATGGGTGGATGAGACACGCACGTTGCCTGATGCATTCAAACGCTGCTGCACCGATTGTATCCCCGATTTTGAATGCTACTCTGTCCCCTTTGGCATATCGCACTCCTGATCGCCACTCGCTGGAGAGAGCATCCATTGTTAGGGGTGAAACGAACTGGTCAAGACGGTTGTGGGTTGATAGATGGAGTGGGAAGTTTGAGGGTTGTCAACAGTCTCTTGTTTTATATCATTTCACAGAAAGCAATGTATAGCGTCATATCTCTTTATTTCGGACCTTGACCGTTGACTTTGAGTCCACGTTTTGTTGTTCGGGGAATCGTATTCATTCAGATCTCAAAGGCTTCTGCCGTGCTTGGCGGTGGAGCCATATTTGGAATAAATATCCCACGACGATTGGACGAAAAAACGACTGGAAGACGGCTTGTTTGGCGGCGGTACAGCATCGAGCTGGTACAAATCTCGGTTTTTGCTGTTAATCAGTTTCATGCACGCTACAACCCGTCCTCGATAGCATTCCCTCTCGTCGATCAAGGTTTCGACTTGTGCCAAACCGAACCGGGACCACCGCCGCCGCTGCTATATAACCTGCCTTTATTTTTCATAGAACGCCCTTGACGACCCCCAGCGCCCTTTCGCCAACGATTCTTGCGCAACTGACACGTACGGTGAGCAAACATTCTTTTGTTGCGCGAAAGGATGAGATTCGTTTTATATTTGCACGTCAGTCGGATGAGCAACAGTCTTCGGATTGTGGTTCAAATGGCGCCAATTTCGCATAACTGATTCTATTCTATTCCGACTGTATTGACGTCGAGGCTAACTGAACATTGTGTTCCAGGAACCCATTCATTCAGAACTTGCAACGTAAGTTTCATTTCAGCGTCGCTCCCGAATCCATGACCCTACGTATACACACCGGCCCAAATAAATACCCGTTATCCTTTCTCTTTCTTAACTGTATCCCTATCCACAGTAAATCCGGAAAATGTCGAGCCATGGGACCAATGGAACACGCCCAGCTTTGGTGCCAACTAACAACGTCCTTACCCTAGACGGGGTTACCGTCCGGGCACGAATAGACCCAACCCTTACTGTCGAGGATGTAGTCAAGCAGCTCTGTGGCAGCTTGAAGATTGCGGAACCCCCGTCCCACTTTGCTTTGAGAGACCATTCTGGAGAGCTAGTCACCAATGAAAACTTGAGACGGAAGATCCAAAACAAGGTCGATTTGAAGTCGGTCATCGTCTTTACTTTTTGGGTCGGGAACATTCACGCTTACCCCTTGTTCTCTAGGTTTGTCCATGCGCCAGCGAGGGAGGCAAAGGTCATAGCTGAAAAGCTGAGGGAGTGGAACAACGATGATAGTACGGACCTAAGGTTGACGGTATTCTCGCTGCAGAAGTATATGAAGGTACGGCTTGTCCAGCCGATACCAGTTCAGAGAGTACTCAACGATCCCAGGAGGAACAATTCGCCAATGAATTCCTGAATAACAATGGTCTCAGCTACCTCGTCAGAGTCATCGAGACGGCCAGTGGGAATACCCTTGCAGTACGTGTCCTTTTCCTACCCGTCCCCTCAGACGCGTAACTTCTACACCCCAACAGTATGCTCTGACTTCGTTGCAAAACCTGATGGAATTCGAATACGGCTGGTCCACCCTCGACGATGAGTTCATCCTCCGAGTCGTCCGCATTCTCTCGTCATCTCAGTCTCCCCTCAATGTGTGCCGTCCTGCGACAGCCATCCTCAAGAAGTTGGTAGAGGCGGACCCATCCAGTGCCCCTGGAACGCTGGCCAGCTCGAGCCGCAATCCCCCGACCATCCCCCCGGGCTCAGTGTACCGGTACGGCTTCAGCGTCGTTTTCGAGCAGATGCGTAAGGAGAAGAACTTCCTCGAGACCGTGGTCAATCGACTGGGAAGTGCAGACACGGTCATGACACAGCATAGGTCAGTATCAGCCGTGTGCTGCTATACCTGTTGAATTGACTTGTCCCCGATAGCATGATGTTGATCAATTCGTTGCTCTCTCATGCGAGTGATGCCAGATGGGATGAATTTATCAATGAATTGGAGAGACTGAACGTCAGGAAAGCCGTTGTCGTACGTCTCCTTTGCCTACACTGCTAAATTTCACTTACCAATTGCTCCGACCCTCTCAGCGCCTGATGTCCCTTCACGAACTGGAAGATCTCATCTCCTGCATTCTTGATTTCCAAGCCAACATCGTCCGTGTCACCCACAGAAAGAAGACGACGCCCGTCGACCCCGACCTATGCGCAGACCATTATGACGCTCTGGAGGAAATATGGGAGGCCTCGAAGCTACAAGAGGAATTTGACGAAGAAGGGTATCCTCTGAAATGGAGGAGGCTGGGCTTCGAAACTGAGGACGTTGCTGAGGAATTCCGGGACGTGGGCGTCCTCGGACTTGAATGCCTGGTATGTTTCATCGTCCCATGAACGGCGTTGTCCTTCTCACAGGTTGTTCCCTGTGCTTGTCTTTTTTTACAGCGCAAGTTCGTAAGCAGTGGGGGCGCTGACTTCTCGATGGTGTGTACCCTCTGTTTCGCAACAGCAAATCTGGAGCTGGACTCCTGATATCTGTCTGTTTCAACAGCTTCTTCTTGAGCAACTCAGCCGACCAATTGAGAAGCGATGCCCAATTGCTCGAGCATCGAACGAGGTGGTCGAGCTCCTGTCAGAGCACTGGGCTATTTTTGCACCAGGCTGTATGTACCCTATTCCACATCCTCTCATAAAAGCCCCTAGTGACCTGTTCCACCTCATTCCTGTGTGATAGATTCAACCTCGACGACTTTCCAACCGTTTTTCCTTGATTTCCAGAAGGTCCATTCGTTGGCTACCCATTTCTTTATCCGGATGTGGGCTGAGAGTGGTGCGGCCACGGAGGATTTTGTCAGGGTTGTTGCGCTGGTGCGAAGCCAGTAAGTACATTATGTGACTCGTGTTCGTGTATCAATCAACCTGTTCACATCGTTTCTTGCAGGGTAAAGGTAGCGCTCAGAAGCGAGAACGCACGGCAGTGGCATGAGGTAGAGGCTGATTTCAACAGCGAGTATCAGAAAGTTCGGGACCGCCAGATGGAGGAGCTCGAGCAGGAGGATGACCTTCTGAGCAAGGTTCCTGTTAGGTATGGCATGTGTCGTATCTTGATGTCCTTCTTTTGACATTCCTCCAGGAATCTTCGGGCCAAACTATACAAGGAGTCGTATGAATTCGTACGGGAGCAACGCATACAATGTCTTCTGCAGGGAGCATGGTTCGTCAATGCCGTGCCCGCAGGAACACCACGAGAAGCCATGAGGAAACCTGCCCGTCCATGGCGGTTTATGCGCCTGGTGTGTCATACACCTGCGTCTCTTCATCGGACCAGACTTACAACTCCCCCTCACTTGACAGGATAATGCCCTCAAATACTTGCATTACGTCGACAGCGCCGTCAAGTTCCCAGTTCGCAACGGGCTCGAAGACCTGCCTGACCGCATTGACGTATCCATGATCAACGAAATAGCGACTGGAACCTGTTGTGCTCCTCCTGGGATTATACGCGACACAGATGTCCCTGGTGGGAGTACACAGCCATCGCCCTTGTCGTTCTCCCTTCTCAGTGCTCACGAAGGCTCGATGGCTGATCAAATTGCGCCTGATCAGTCGAGGTGGGCAGATTGGACAGATGGGTTGAACATGTTGAGGAGGGACGGCGGACATGTGGCGTCCAAGGAGACAGCTGGGTTTGTTCATGCTTTGACCGAGATTGGGTTGAAGATCAAGCTACTTGGTACGTCTCAAACCCCTTTTCAAAGCCATGCCCTTCTCCTGACGCCGACTTTTGTTGCAGACTTGTCGGGCGAGATGGTGGAGATACCGAACAACCTTCCTACTGGACAGCCACCAGCGAGTACAGACTTTTTCTTTGCTGACATTTAATGCAGCCTTTTATCTTTCTATTCTCTGACTATTTGGTTCTACTACGCTGTTGTAACAATTCTTTCTGACCTTTTCCCGTTTGATTGTGTATGTGCATTGGCATAGTATACCTGCATGCATTCCCTCCTGCTTGTCCCTTCTGCTACGACGGGAAGAGCGAATGATGCCGTGGGGATGTTCTCTCTGTCCCGTCGATTTGATGATACCAACTTGGCTCTGTTTCTATCTACCCCACGTCTAATCCTTCTAACCCACTGTATAATCAAACCTGTCCAAACTCTTGATCCCATATCGTTTAAACCAACTTGAATAGACGAGTTCGTCGTGGCTCATTACAGTCTCGCCCCACATCCTGAACCAAACCAAATCGAAATTCGATTCAATCCTAGTAATAAGAGTCCTGACTATGCCACATGACGCAGAAAAGTACAAAAAAAATGCAGTTGATGCAGTGAGATTGTATGCGAGGGGGGATATACATTGAATGCGTAGTTGTTGGTGTCGTGAGTGTTATTGATGATGCGAATGGATGTGCTGGGATATTGAAAGCTAGTTGTTGCGACGATGGGACAATGCAGATGGGTCGAGAGGATCCGGATAAAAAAAGAAAACATGCTAAAAAGATATCAGTGAAAAGCGGGGGTTGAACCCGAACTGATATCGAGTGACGGAGGCGCCACGAGGAAAGAGGAAACGAAGAACGCAAGAAGGGAAGAATAAACAATACATAGGCAAAAGCTAAAGAGTTATCGTCAACTGGTATACCGGAGAAAGATATGGTTGCTTAAAATTACAAGACAAAACGGAATATAAAAAGAATGGTGTAGTGTAGGACTTCCTTGATCCCGAACAAAGGATCAAGTGGTAACAAAAAAGACGACGCGCGAACAGAAAGAACAGGATTAGTGCCCGTTCACCACGCCGTTAGCGACGGGGGCGGAAGGAGCCGCATCGCCCTGTTCAGCCTTTTTCAACGCAGTCCATTCGGCGCCAGCTTTCCAGAAAGGCTCGAAAATGGCATCGGGGTTGTGGAAATCGTTATGCACAACATTGACGAGGGCGTAGTTTTCCATGAGGTTGAGGATCAGCTTCTGCGAAGGCGAGTCGTGCTCGTAGAGTCGGGCCCATTGTGCACCAAGTTCGTAGGCCTCGTCCTATTGTAACAAGGTGTGTCAACAAGGAATGGGATAGGGATGATAAAGGGGGAAACGGACCTTCCAAGCCATGAAACTGATAGCCTCGACGATGGTAGGCTGGATGATCTCCTTCCCAGGGAAGACACCCCATGTCACAGCGTTCGGTCCTTCCGAGTGCGTGTTGGTCTGCAGATCGCCGCGTTTATTAATAACATGATAAGTTATGTTGGTGTCGCGCTCCAAGTGCTTGAGGAGCAACTGGAGAAGAGCGGGGTCGACAAAGAACTCGAGGTATGCCTAGTGAAGACGGAGGTATCAGGTGGAGTGATTCGAGAGAAGAGATCAGCACACACCTTCTGGTAAACGTAGCCATTGCTAGGGCCCCAACCGAAAATCTTGTCATCGCTGCGTGCACCGTTGACGGCGGGTTGAGAGTTGATCGTGAGGAACCCAAGCTCGTTCATCTTCGCCAATTGAGTCGCGATGATGGAGGTTTCCTTCGACGGTGCCGAATCCGACCATGGCAGTGCATCCAACTCGCCCTTGCAGAACTTGGCAAAGAGTACAGAGACCTCCTCCAGAGTTGTGGGATAACCCCAGAGTTTCAACGCGTTCTCTTTCTATTGACAAGTTAGATCTGGTATTGTGAAATGAACAGTAGAAAATCTGCTTACCGTTTGCTTGATCGCAGTACCATATCCATCAATTTCTCCATAAGCTGGGGATCTAGAATCACCGAAACGACCGTTAGGGTATTCATCCCAGTTTTCAGTTCTGGAAATGTAGGATTTGGTGCGGTTGGCCCAGAAAATTGGTCGAATGGTCTCATTACGTCTGTTGGGAGTGAGGCACTGCCTCCATGGGAGTGGTTTGATGGTCTCGATCCGGGGAACAAGGTTTAGCTCCTCCAGCAGCATCCTTGTGCCCTTCTCCAAATTCATGGTGTAGAAATGCAAACCCCGAATGCCTAGGCCGGAGTCGAGGATCTTCCTGCACATATCGGCGACGAGTTTGGTGCCGACTTCTCTGACCTTTTCGTCGTCACTCTTGACAGGCTCCAAAGCGTCGAGGAAGAACTGGGGGATCTTGGTCGAGGCGAGGTTGGTGGCTTTGATGAATCCGTTCCAGGTTTGAATGGGCATGATACCGGGGACGATGGGGATGGTGATACCAGCAGCACGGACGGCCTTGACCCAGCTGATGAAGATATCGACGTCGAAGAACATCTGGGTGAAGATAAAATTGACACCCTCGTCAATCTTTTCCTTGAGCCAGCGAATTTCGTTGTCGCGTTCTTCTGGGGGAAGGAGCATGTGTTGAGGGAAACCAGGGACGGCGATGTCGAAGTAATCGCCATAGTGCTTGCGGATGTGCCTCACCAGATCGATACCGTGGACGAAACCACCTTCAACAGCCTCCCACTCGTCTTTTCCCATGGGGGGGTCGCCACGTAGGGCGAGGATGTTGCGACAGCCGTGCTCTTTCGCTTCCTTTGGTGGTGGCACAGAGTTCAGCGGTACACGAGGAAGGCAGGGTAAAGGCATACCTTGAGAGCAGTGTCGACCTTTTCGCGGGGCATATTGGTGCATGTCAAGTGCATGCAGGTCTCTATTCCAATCAAGCCCTGGCATGTTTTGACCATCTCAGAGGTGAGGTCTGAGGTTCTACCGCCAGCATTCCTGCCGAATTGGACATATCAGCACCAATCGCTGGTAAAAAAGAGCAGCACGTACCAGGTAATGTCTATGAATTCGGGACCCAGAGCTCGCATACGCTCTATACGATCCAGAAGATTTTGGAGGCCCTGCGACGATGAAGAGGTTAAAGCCGATTACCCCGACGACGAGGAGATAATGAATACCTGGGCTGTTCTAGGTGGAAAGTATTCAAAGGACCACCAGACCTTGTCCTCCTTTGCGGACTGCTGGATCTTTTGGCTGATCCTCATTGTTCGAGTTGTAAAAGTTGGATCAAGGAAGAAATCTAAGGGAAAGAAAGAAAACGTATGAAGCGAGTCAGATTTGGCGTATTCAAATCGAACCATCAATTCGGTGTCCAAATTTAGAGTGCTCCGATCGGCCCTGGGACCACGGACGTCGGACCCTGCGCCAGCCAATGTTGCACGAGTTTATTATGATAATGATTCGACTAAGTAAACCGACACAAATCACGCAATATGCTCGTGCCAGCCAGACAAACTATAATTTCTCTTCCTCACCGCTAGTCGAAGGCGATGAGTGCGATGCACGTTCCAAACACGATGACCGCAACTACGCTCATAATCATCCCGTGGACCCTACGGCGATAGCAAGTCATTGGCATTTGGATCAATCCCCAATGGATATAAGCGAAGAAATCGACCCACTTTGGTGCAGCAAGGAATGCCCTCGAGTGTTTCAAGTCCTTGTAGTTGTTCACGTATTCCCAGCACCCTGCGATAATCGCAAGCATCGCCGCCCCAAATTCGATAGAAGCCAATGGTATTCCCCCGTTCTGCCGTTCCCTGTCCTCTTCGGGTACTAGTCGGGCCCGTAACAGAATTGACGACGCCAGCAGCGACAAAAGTAACGCCAGTTTGAGGTGCGAAAGGAGGTTCCTCTCTAGCATGCAAAAGTCCCTCGCTGTGCTACCTGTATTCTTGATGATCTCTGGCATGGTATGGGTATCTGGTCAACGTCGTCGACGACGACAGTGGCGCAGAGAGCATTAATGCGGGGGTCGGATCTCGAATCCGATGGCCCGGTCCCCACATGACCTTGACGACGGGTCACACCTGCTTCCGTTACGATCACATGACCATTAGTTCGACTTCGCGTTGTCTGGGAGCAACGGCCTTGTTTCTCTCCCTCTCTTAAACGCCATCGACGACGACCAACGACCCTTTCACGACGGTCACGTCCAGCAGGACGACACACAATTCGACCTTTACGCTCTTTCCATCCTCACGCTCCCTTGTAATTCCTAGCCATGGGTTTCCTCAAACGCCTGTTCTCCATCGGAGGCAAAAACAAGAAATTGAGAAAATCTCGAATTGTCCACAACGTGCCTTTGCCAGAGGTGGCCGAATCTAAACCCGAACCGGCCACCCCAGCCGTCGAACAGGGAGAAGAAGACCATGAAGAAGCCGTTAGCCGTCTCCTGCGGTCCTCGTCACAACGATACGCTGTTGTTGCTGAAGTCGATTACACAAACATGCCGCCCATGCGTCAGTAGCCGTTTATGAAATCCCTATGCAAGCTGCTAACCTCACAAACAGCCCACCCCATTAATGATGTCGTCAACCTCCAGGCACCGAGCGCTTCCACCGTGAGCTTGGTCAGTGCGACTATGGGTTCCAAGTCGGGCTACAACGTCACAGTTCACCGGCGTGAACGTCAGACTTCTTGTGAAAGCAGGAAGGACGCTGAAACGCCCAAGGCCAAGAATCGTTACTCAGCTCACTTGAACGCCAATGACAGTAGGGTACTGAGATTACGGTCGGACCCTTCTGTCGCGAGTCTCGTTAGTTTGTACGACGAGCACGGTCGCTTGCCAGAGGCCGCCTTTTCGAATAGTCCCCCTTCATCCCCCAAGGCCACGTCTGAGGAGCCTATCGGTCGAGCCCAATGTAAACGCAGTGGTTCCACCCTCCGACAGCTCTTGGGAGCTCCTGCAGGGACCTCCACTGCGAGAGGTAGTGGAGAGTTTAGCGGGGATGAAGGCGACATTTCCTGGGCTGAACGATTCCTCGGGTACGTTCCATACAGTCACCAATCTCCCCAACCATTCATGGCGTTTTACAGCGAGACCGACGACCGTAGCGATTCCACCCACTCCTCACTGCCGTTGCCAACTCCCATTTCAGACCGTGCTGTCGTCATCAGTGACATTTCCGAGATAAGCCTCCAGACAAACGCGACTGTCGACAACCCCGCCATCTCTTCAATGGACGTCGAGTTGAGCGTCTCAACTAATGCTTCAGAAATCTTTGGCGAAAGCTTTAGACATAACCATTCGTACAATAAACCTGAACCCACTACGCCACAACGAACTCCACAACGCGCCTCGCAAGTTTTCGACTTTATTACCAAGAAAAAGCAATCCAAACCCGCCCTGGAGAACGGCGACAGACCACTTCCCCAACTTCCCAGCGCTTTCAGTTCACCATCCAGCGACGGCGCCCATTCAATTAATGATCATCTCGGTTCGCGTTTCTCTGAAGACAGCTGTGAATCCGCTTTCGCTAAAGAACGCATCTCTGCTATACCCATTCCATGCGATGCCCCTCTCGATTCCCGTCCTGTGTCCGAACAATCATTCACATATAAATTTGGCGACACCCCTCAAGATCAAGACATTCCACGATTCTCATTCAACGTTGACATGAACGCAGTTCACGAACCTCAAGTCTCTCAACAACCCCCAGCCGATATTGTTATTGATACTACCCACGCCGATCGACCGGCTCTTCAACAAATCGTAACCCCACAAACCAAGACCCGCCCTGTCAAGGTCCTCATGACTGGCCCAACCAAAGTCATCGTCACTGCTCCAACTCCTGGAACTGCCCATCCTAATTCTGGAACTCGAATCCCTCGTGGACCTAGATCCCTGAGCTCGAGGCGTCGCATTTCTGGTAGCCACCGCAGCGGTAGCAGGCGCTCTACCCAGCTTGAGCGCTCCCACACAGGCAGTGACATGCTCTCTTCCATTCCCTCCCCTCGCTACCGTTCCTCTCACCACCGATCCACCTCCGGCTCTTCTTCCCATGGCTCGAACAACGAGAATGAACCTCCTCGTCACCACCGCTCTTCCTCCAGCCGCGACTCCCGCAGCGACCGTGATCGATCCAGCAAGGAAAGACGCTCGGTTCATAAAGGAAGCACCATCCCTGAGGGCTACATCTCCAAACCGATGAGCCTTGGTGTAAAGGCCGAGATTCCCCTCACGCCCCTACGCTCTCAGAATACCAACTCGAGCCATAGATCCTCGAATTCTTCCCGTCGTTCTTCCACCTCACTCTTCCGACCTGTGGTTAACCAAGCCACCTTTGACCCCCCCTCCACTCGTAACGGAGACCGGGACAGCATTGCATACGGATACGGAAAGACCGGTAATGGCTACGCCCTGAGCTCTGAAATCGACCTGAGATATCAGAGGGCGAAGGCTAGGGAGGCTGAAAGGGAGAAGAGCGGGCTTTATGGGATGGTGTCCAAGACTCCCAAACGAAAGAGCACGGGCCCTGGTGTTGTCCTTGGGAACCTTAACTTCTTTTAGACCCACGTCCTTGGTTTTATGGGTTAATTTTCTTTTCCTCGCCTCTCAACGTCTTGTTACAACTTTTTTGACTGAATGACCGACTCATGCAATAACTTTGTCTCATCATGTTTACTCGCTTTCATACGCTTTGAATCTTTCGCCTTCCCGACTTTACCTGTGTTCTTCCCCCCGTCGTCTCTACTGGTCTCCTTTGTTATCCCGTCTTTTTCGTTCCTCTTCGTTCAGATTCTTCAGATTCCGCCTGAGTGCAGTCCGCTTTGTTTCTCATATTCTGTCATGGTTCCATATACTCAAACTGTCTCGTCCTCGCTTTCGAATTGGCTTTGTTATCCGCTATTTATTGCTTTGTTCATCGCTCTGTCATATACGTACTTTTACATTTACATGCGTCTCGTAAATTTGGATTTTGCGACTTGTCTCCATCGAATTCGTACGCGCGTTAAAGAAGGTTTGCTTGTCACTGCTTGGTTAGAGCCTCCGAATTGATCGGGTATGGCCTGTTCTGAGGCCAACTCTGACATTCAGTCCTGTTTGCAATCTTACCTCGTCAGCCATTAGAAATGTCATGTTATAAACCTGTACCGGTCGACACCGTTGCGCGACCTTCGACCGGACGTTTCGTCCTCAGGAATCATGGCTGACCCTCCACGCACACCGTTCTCATTTCATTCAACGAAAACCGTTCGGGACCCCAAGTCGATTGGGCTATGGACAGTAGGGAGGACGATTGGGAAGGGTGCCTCAGGTAAGACACCCAGGTTTTATAGGCTTAATACAGTAGAAATGAACGCAACTTCTAGGTCGCGTTAGGATTGCGCGTCATGCAAAGACAGGCCAATACGCAGCAATCAAAATCATCTCAAAGAGCACCCTTCCGCCCATGATGTCCCAAGTTTCCCTGAACCGCCTGGCAGACGTCACAGAGCATGTTCAGCTCTCTGTAGAGCGAGAGATCGTTGTTATGAAACTCATCAACCACCCCAACATCATGAAGCTCTACGACGTTTGGGAAACGTCCACGGATCTCTACCTAGTCTTGGAATACGTTCAGGGTGGCGAACTGTTCGACTACCTCTGTTCCAAGGGACGACTGCCGGTCCACGAGGCCCTCTTATACTTCCAGCAAATCATATCCGCAGTCGACTATTGCCATCGTTTTAATATTGCGCATCGGGACTTAAAACCGGAGAACATCCTGCTCGACGAGAACTCGAACATTAAGATTGCGGATTTTGGTATGGCAGCATGGCAGAGCAACCCAGACGCCGAAACACTTCGCACGTCTTGCGGGAGTCCACACTACGCCGCCCCGGAGATCATCAACGGCCAGCCATACAACGGTGCAGCCGCCGATATCTGGTCCTGCGGCATCATCCTTCACGCTCTGTTGGTCGGCAAACTCCCATTCGACGACGACGATTGTCCCGCCCTTCTCGAAAAGATTCTACGCGCCAAGTTCACCATGCCCACGGATATCCCGGCTTCCGCGCAGAACCTATTGGGCCGCATGTTGGAGAAGGATGTCAAGAAGAGGATCACCATGGCCGAGATCATGGAACATCCTTTTTTCCTGTCCCAGGACCCGCCAAAGGTCGACTATGCGCTCCCAGACCTCGAAAGCATCGCTCAACCTGTCCCAAGCGTCTCAGCCCTCGATCCAGACATATTTGCCAACCTCCGTACCCTCTGGCACGGAACGAGCGACGCCGTCCTCATTGACAGCCTCATTAACAACGAGCGAAACTGGCAAAAGGGCATCTACCACCTACTCGTTGACTATCGATCCCGCAATCCGCAGGTGTACGACGAAGACGAGCAAGCCGTTGCGAAACTTCACAAGGAACGGAAACGTCGACGACAGCAACGTAAGCCTGTACAGAATGACGGGGATGCCGATGACATCCCTCCTCGTGCAGCTCCTCCCACACCTCGCAGCGCTTCCCGACACAACCGGCTTGGAATCGACCTCTCCTTCGATGAACTACTACCCCATGCCAAGTCTTCATCATCGTCCCTATCAGAACGAAATGAAACATCCCGTCCGACTCATCTCCAACCCCCTCCAATGTCTACCCAACGCAGCTCAGACTCTACCACTTCTGAAGGAACATCTGTCAGTAGCACAACGGCCACCACCACCACCGCAACCAGCTCATCCCTCCTCACCCCTTTCTCTCCGCTCTGGGAAACCCTAGATCTACCCAAACTTACGGTTCCCAACACACAAGACCGCGAGATGCAAACCTTTTTCAATCACATCGTGACGCATCTCAATGTTCTCCAAGCCAAGACGGCTTCTTCAGAGATCAGCACATGGGGTGCCTCGTCTTCTTTGGGTTCGGCGGCTTCAGGTGGAGGTAGTGAGAGTGGCACGATCAAGAGTGGGAGGAGTGGTTTAAGCGCTTCGAGTGCAGCCGTGCCTAACGCGAGGATGACGTCGGCTAGGAAGACGGGAGTGGATCACGAAGACGGGTTCTTTCGACCATCCCGACATTCTTCGCCGAGATTGGATTCATCTCTCATTGCTCCTATCCAGCAGAAAGGTAAAGGGAAGGAGAAGGCGAGCTTGCATTTGCCGGAGGAAGGCGACGAAGATGATGAGGATTCACTTGGCGAGGTTGAAGGACGACAGCAGTTGGGAGCTTCTACCGTGGAAGCGCTTCGGTACACCGAGACACAACCGCTCAGCGTGCGAAGCCATTCCCGACGGGCTCTGTACCCTGTGACGCCCAGCCGCACCACCAACAAGGAGAACGAAGATGTCCCATTAGATGCCTACCGAAGTAATCTGACGAGGCAGGCTCTCGCCAACCACGCAAAGCGGAACCTTTCTACACCCAAAGCGATTACGATCGTCGAACCTCAACCAGTCTCCCAACGCAAACACATCAGGCAAGGGAGTCGCAAACCCCCTCAAACACCATTGTCTGCTCTGTCACCTCTAGACAACAGAGGGGTGGGAGGTCTGTCATCAAGCAGCGCTTACGCCCACGGTTACACTTCCCCACCTCCACATCCCTCTTCCACCGCGACTCCCAAACGCACCTGGATCGACACAGTCTTTAAACCGAAAGCACCCAACTACACGCTCTACTCCCGTCGTGGCGTGCAAGAAACGCGCAATGAATGCCGCAGGCTGCTCATGGACCTCGACCTTCTCGTCTCCATCGAGGAGAACGAGCGGATGGGCGTCCTGAAATGCCGCTCGATTGAAATTCAGGACCCTTTCCGGGTACACAACGTGCCCAAAGCTATCCGGTTCCGAGTAGAAGGTCAGAGGGCACCTTACAATCTGGTGCAGTCGGGGATCACAATGTCGTTGTCCTTCTATCATGAGAAGGGGTCCTTTGAGGCGTTTCAGGATATCTATCACTCGTTAAGGGCGAGATGGGATATGGACAAGGTTGAGTCGGTGGCGGAAGGAGATGAAGATGAGATGGAGGGGATGACGAAGCTAGCGAGTGGTTTGTCTGCACTTTCGACGAGGGCCATTGGGGGACGGCCTGCGAGTCAGGCGTATTGAGCGGACACTCGACTTTTGGTATGCGATTTGTGGATTTTCCCCGGGATGTGGGATGATATTGTCTTGCCGATCCGTACAAGTTTCCGGGCTGCTTAGTTTACCGTCTTGCCGACGACCAGTGTAGCGTGCTCTACCTCCGGCTACTAGTATTACTCTTCCAAGTATCTACATGTGCTGCTTGTCAATGTATAGCTAAGCCAGGAACCCGCGATTAGCAAGGAACCAAGAGGATGATGGGTCGGAAAAGACACGGGTAAAAGGGTGAACCAAGGCCGTAGGATGGTCCATCAGGTGAGGCCTTCCCGTGAGGGTTCCTCATGAGACTCGATGGACGACCAGAGACCCAACAATCGACGCGCATTTTTCCCTATCTCTGCTGTTTCGGACGATACAGACCGATAATTCTCCTCGGACATCCAGCTCCGCATCCAGAAATGTTGTCATTGTTATCCGTTCCAGTGGTAGAGCGGACTTCTCCCAACAGAGAAACAGATGTAGCAGATGGTACGAACATCTCCCCAACGTGGACTGGATCCATGTCATCTATTTGGTGTCAGGAAGGAAGGTCTATTAAGGAAGGGCTGTGCGGAGCGCAAAAGAACCTACCTAGAAGCCCCGTGGTCATAGGGGAAAACAGGAAAGAAACGCAGCTGTGTTCTTTAAACGCGGGACGAGTGCTTCGAGCAGTTGAGAACGAGTAGCGGCTACATGTGTGTCGCAGGATTAAGAATACAAGGTTTGACTTCGAAATCATAGTCTCCACATGTGGTGACCCATGTATATGTGTGTTCGTACTCGCCGGCAAATGGGTATCGCCAGAGGCTAACAGGACGCTTGAGATTGGAGGAGGCCTGGGCGCCGACAAGACCAGTGCAGTCGATTCATATCAGCCCCACAAGCACGCCGCTGGCGTCCTTTGAGATAGAAAACAGGCAGTTGCGGATGGGCTAAGATCGCCATGCAGCCATATGGTCGCAAGGTGTAAACATCGACGAATTAATATAAAGTTGGGCAGGGACACTGAGACCACGAGGATTGTGAGGAAGAAGACAAGCAAGTCTTCAAAACTTGACTCGGAGAGCCTAGAAGGATCGACCACGTGCCTGTCGACAAGCCATAAAGACTGCGCCGCGCGGTCCCCGTGGGCACCTCATATCTTCCTCACCACAAACAGGCTACACCAAGGCACGCCCATATATGATCCCCACGAATTCCTAGAAACTGACCTGTTCCAGCAGCTAACCACCACCAAACATGTCCGAGAAAGTCGACGTCCCATCCACAGCAGACGGCTCAGTCCCAAAGGAGTCGGGTCCCAAGGCCATCATCAAGAACGTCGATATGAGCGAGGAGATGCAGCAGGAGAGCGTCGACATTGCCTCCGCAGCCCTCGAGAAATACAACATCGAGAAGGACATTGCTGCTCAGATCAAGAAGGAGTTTGACCGAAGACATGGGCCTACATGGCACGTCGTCGTCGGCAAGAATTTTGGGAGCTATGTCACTCACGGTGAGCACATCTCTCGACGCGTACGACGCGTGTTCTGCAGACGGCTCATACACATCTCCATCCAGAGACAAAGCACTTTATCTATTTCTACATTGGATCCCTCGCAATCCTCATCTGGAAGTCATGATCAACCAACCTGGCACCACCGATAGATGCCCTCTCCGCTTCACATACCACAATCGCTGTACCTTACCGACACTTCATATCTCGCTATGCTTTCTCGCCTTTCTCAATTTCAATCGAATTATAATCGAAACAGTCTCAAATGAGTGTATGCCGGGTGCTAGTAAGAGTGTAAGCCTAAAATGATTATCAACAAGAGTGCCTCCCCCGCTGTTCAACAGACGATCACCGCCTTGGAATCACTTCCAGAATGACCTTTGAAACCAGCTCCTTGTCCGCATATACCCCAACAGTCAGCATTCCTAGATCTCGAGATAAGGCTATACCGGTGAAGTCTACCATGCCTTTCACCGCGTTGACGTCCACATGCAAGAATTTGGGTATCTCTTGTCCGGACACTTGGGTCACTTGAATCTTCTGTCCTGTTGCAGGGATCTGCAGTCGGATATGGAATTTTTCTCCCGTCCGAAGGACATATCTCGTCACTTCCTGTGCCCTCTTCGCAGTCGTCAGTGGTTGTGGTCGATGATCGCACACGAGAAAAAGAACTCACTCGAGGAGGTTTCGGAGGCTCTGCAACTGCAGGAGATTGATCGCCCAGTGACTGGACATAATGAAGGCCCATGGTCAACTCATCCGCACTGGTGCTCTTCGCTATGCCATCCCCCGCTGCGCTTGGTTTGACGATCTTTGCTCGCTGACTACCAATGCGACTCTTGGTGGCACTCGGGCTGGCAGTCGGACCAGCAGAAGGGCTGGCAATAAGGGAAGGGACGCGAGGCACAGGGACACGCGTTGAGCTCGTGAAGGGCACCAGCCTGGGTCGTGCAAGAGGACCGTCAGGATCATACTCGTGAGATAGATGGCTTGTGCTACGTCCACTCCTGACACTCGTATGCCTAGAAACAACTTCTAGCCTGTCTGACCCAGCAGAAGCATACGATGGTTGTCGAACGAGATGCCCGTCCTCGAAATGAACCTGAGCCATCGAGCGAGGTGGTGCAAAGTCGGCCCTTCGTCGAGGGATCGAATGTTCCGCAGTCGAGGTGGATGGGGATCCAGTCATGAAGGTACTGGCACGGTGACTGTGTACGTCGTCGAACGGGTTCGAGGGCGAGGGTCGCATCTGCGGGTTCCCAGAAGGATTCAAGTCCATCCCAATCGAAGGGCGCAGCAATATGGGCCTCCCAATGACCGGACGAAGAGGAGACGACTGTTGCTTCCCCCTCCCATTATACCGATTGCTGACCTGACGAACAGTCTGTCGAACCCTAGACATAAACTCCCGTTTGCTCATCACATCCGAGTACATGTCGTTTCCAATGGTCGGATAGTTCCGCTCAGGGATACTAGGCTGAAGACCATGACCGAAACTGGATCCAGAGCGCCTTGGATCCAGAATGCCCGGGGGTTGGCCATACTGATGGTGCTGTGAAGTGAGGTCGCTCATCGAAGAAGCCTTCTCCGAGCTTACGTCGAGGCCGTAATACCTGCGTTCTGACTTGGTCCATCCATACCTGCCCTCTTCTCCAGTCAGTGCAGTATCCTCCACGCGTACGACACGCCTTAGCCAAGCGAAGAAACACGTCATGACCAATAAGCCACCAAGGACGCCAAAAGTGATCGCAAGACCAAGGACAAGCCTCCGATGGCCCTCCACAGATAGCCCAGCAGGGCGGGGTAGCGCAGCATTCCGTCCGGGACTGACAAAGATGACAAGAGTTGCATGCGAGGTGGAATGAGTGACCTGGGAATAGGCAGTGAACGCAGCAATAAGGTGGTCGCTCGCAAAATCATTGGGTATCGTTCCAGAGATTGTATCGTTGTTCGCGTTAAATCGAATAAAATTAGCCGCCTGTGCAGGCTCGAGTGACACCGACAGGTCGGCATCTCCGCTCCTCCCAGCAGTCGCATTAGAGTAGAATTGGTTGAGATTCAGTTCAAAGTGGTCTCCGGGAGCAAGATGAAGCGCGGGAAGTTCAGGGAGTGAAAAGTAGGAAGGAACGAGTCGGATAGAGACGGTTGTAGAGAGAGTTTGGTTGAACCAGGTCGTGAGGTTGACGGGGAGCGTGAACCTGCCGTTGGACTGGGAGAGATTGCTTGCTGGTGTTCCTGACAAGGTTCGACTCGGTGGGTCATACCGCACCCAGTCCAAGCCTGTGGTATCGATCATCAAGTGCGTGATGTTAGAAGGTTGAATCAAGTCTCCGTCCACCAGAATCCCAGTGAAATCCGCGGGTGAGAGAAGACTAGCTGTGAACGACGTCCCCGCTGTTACATTGATGGTCGGTAGTTCCTGAGCATTGGCTGACAGTTCGTGACCAGCGATGGTAATGTCGAAAGGAATCGTTTCCGCCGCGTATCCTTCCTGGTCAGAGGCGATAAAAAGCAAAGGGTAAACCACTGGTCCATTGGCTCCGACGTCAGCTGGCACCACCCCGTCCAGGGTGATGTCGTCGGGGTCGAAGACCATCCAAGGAGGAATGTCGTTGCCATCAACAAGTCTGATCGTGTAAAATATATCGTTAGGTGAAGTGTACGTTCCCCACTCGAAGCCAATGCTAAAGGACCAAGGACCAGGGGGTATCCGAAGCCCAGGATTAGGACTCGCCAGTGCCGATCCAGTTGAAAGAACGAAGACCGAAGATAACGCTTGGTTTGAAGGATTGAACTGGTCCGTAATGGGCACCGCCAATGTCGGAGCGGGGAAAGAGGTAACACAGAACCTCAAGGAGGAGGAAGCGGTAGAGTGACCGCCCGTCGCGACCACAGTCACCTTGGGGTTACCCTCATCATCTGAGGTGGGCGTCCCTGAGAATGTACGCGTCGTAGGGTCGAAAGATAACCATGAAGGGAGGTTGGGGACCGAATATGTCAAAGGAACGCCGTCAGAGGAATTGAAGGTTCGCTCGGAGAAGGTCCAAGAGAAAGGTTGGTTGACCCGCGCAACCAAAGGAAGTTGGTTATCGAGGGGGTTGACGACGTAGGTTGAACATAGCGCCTTTGCGAAGAATGCGAAGAAAAAACCCAAAAGAAGGACAATCATAGGAAATAATGTTGAGCGGGTGAAGCTTTAGCTTCGACCAAGGGACAGGTCGACCAGCGAGATCGTGGCGGAAGAGGAATACTTCAATGAATGTCCTGCGACGCGGATATCCGTCACCCAAAGAAAACAAACCATAACAACTCAAAGGATAGCTCATTTATGTAGCGACAAAGAATTGACAAAAGAAAGGCAATTCCGAAGAAAATGGGGGATATATGATTCACATGGACAGTTTACCTCTATCCAAATAAGACTACTAGTATAAAGAAAACAGTTAAGTAAACGACACACAACGAGGGAATGGTACAACGATCAGCGATACAAAAGCATAACAAAACACAAGAAAATGGCCATAGGATAGGGCTATTTTTACACATATACAGCGAGACCCGCGGCTTGGATCTTCTCAGGTGCTTCAGCGTTGATGGCACGCAAGAGCTGGAGAAGCTCAGCCCTGACCTCATCTCCAACTTGGTCAGGCTTGCTGGGGTCGAGGACATAGGCGAACACGCTCAGGATGGTGTCCATGTAGGGAAGTAAAGCGGCACCGTTGGTGTTGAAGAGGTGGAAGAAAGCGCGGAAGACAGGTCGGTTTTCGAGAAGGTCGGTCTTGAGAGGAAGGGCGGAGAGGAAGATGGGGAGGACCTGGTCGAGAGGGAGAGCAGCAGCGTTTCGCGTAATAATTCGAGCAACAGCGCCAGTAGCGTTGTCCTTGGCATTCAGTCTTGTGCTAGGAGCATCGGCGGGAACTTCGAAGAGAGGGCGAAGGTGGCCAAGGATAGGGAGATATTGAGACGAAAGGTCGTGCTCAGAGTACTCGACCAAAAGGCCGATAGCGAAGGCCGCGTTGCTGAGCACCTCTGGTTCTTCATCGTTCAGTGCCTTCTGGAAGAGTTCAAGGAGGGCTGCGGTGTGCTCCGTGACACCATTCTTGATGCCGGAAATGATTTCAGCGAAGCAGCCGATGGCCGACGAGCGATCACTGAGAGAGCGGTTCTTCCTCTGCAATTGATAGTCAGTACAGAACAGTAAAGCGAACAGGAAAGAACACATACATAGTATTTGGCGATGAGCGGGTAGAACGTGTTGAACGCGGGGACAAATTCCACGCCGAGGGCGTTGGCAAGGGCAGCGACAAGGTCTCCGGCAGAGGAGATCAAAACAGAGTCGTACTCAGCCTGGTACTCGGGAGCCTCATCGTCCTCGTCCTGGTCAGGATCTTGCTGGCAAAGTGCCTTCTGCTCCAAGATCTCGATGGCAATGTTGCAAATGGGTTCGATTCTGCCCTCAATGAAAGCAGGGCCAATCTTGTTGATGGCATCGGCGAACCCGACGCAGAGAGCGGACACAACATTCCTGGAAAGAGTGGTTAGAAATATATTCCAGGGAACGGCAGATCAAAGGATGTCAGAAGATATAAGAGGTTAGTCGCATTTGCAAGAGCATCGAAGTGAGCTGAGTAAATTTTTCATCCAACAAAACAAAGAAAATGGAGAAGCCGAAAAAAAAGGGGGGGGGGGGGGGGTAAATGCAACTCACTTGTTGTCTTCAGTGTCGTACATCTCCATCAAGGGCTCAATGACATGCTCAATCAATTCCTTGACCTGGGGGCTGACAGGGTGAACCTGAAATTGGGGGAATTAATACTCCAAAATATCCCATAGAGGAAAGAATAGAGGAAAGAAATCACTTACGACTTTCATTCCGGGAACCCATTCCTTATGGTCACTAAGCTCGTAAAAAGTCTTCACGATCTCCAAAAGCGACTCAGTGGCGCTCTTTCCAATGCCCTCCTAATAATGCTGGAGGAGTTGGACCAACTCCACGGTGGATTCCTCAACCAAAGGCAAAAAATGGCCCCCAGTGGAAACCAAAAAAGTGCCCATGGTGTCAGCGGCGATCTCCTTCTCGACAGCGAGAGCACTGTTAACATCCATCATCTTCTCAACGTCGAGATCCTCAAGCTCAATGGAGGTGTTGCCGTTGATATCAAGCTCAGTGTTGACGTTGATAGGCTCAGTAGCAGAAGAGCCAGAGGTGAAGGCTTGGGCTGCCTCGGCGATGGAAACTACATGCGAGAACGGTCAGACTGAGAAACAATGCGCCGAGGAGAAACGCACGGGAAAGCTCTTCCTCTCCTTGTTCGAGTTGCTTGCAGCTGGTGAGCAGGGCAGGAACAACTTGAGGCAGGTAAGGAGCAAACTCTTCTCCGAAAACGCGGGCCATGACACCGAAGAAGAGGAAGCTACACTCCCTCAGCCTGGCACTACCCATTTCGAGACCCTTGAAAGCACAACCCATCATGTCAGCGAAGTAGGGTCTGAACTGGTCAGCGCCGACGGCTTCAGCAAAGGTACCAATGGCATCCATGGTGATACCTCGGAGCTCGATCTCTTCGCCCTCCTCAGTGAGAGTCAGGAAGCTGGCAAGGATCTTGATGGTCTGCTCGAAGTAGGGCAAGAAGCGCTCCTTAGAGGCATGAGCAGCACTGCCAATGGCACCAGTGACAACAGCCTTGACAGAAATGGGGGCGGTTTGCAAGAGACCAGCGAGGCGTTCCATAATCATTTGGAGGTACTGGTCAATGTGGTCGTGCAGGATCTCGAGAAGTGCGTCAAGAGCCGTGCAGGCCGATTTTTGAGTGGTGGGGTCGTTGATGAGGTTCATGATGGCCTGGAGTAGATTCGTTAAGGTCGGTGAATAGAAGTCGCTGAAGGGCAATACATACAGGCATCAAAGCTTCGTGCTTGGAAACGCACTCATCCTCCAACCATTCGCAAAGGCAACTGACAGCAATGCAGGTTGCCTTTCGAACACCGGCGTCGCCGTCCTGAAGTCCAGCCTCGATGAAAGGCCAGACGTGGCCCATCAAAGGGGTCATGAACTCGCTGCAGCCCTCGACAGAGACACCAAGGGCGAGCATAGCACCCCGCCTGTGAGCGGGATCTGCGGATTGGAAGAACTTGAGGATGAGGTTGCGGAGGGGAGGGAAGACTTGATCGGGCGGCAAGTTGGTTGCAAGTCCGTCAACAATGCGGAGAGCAGACTAACAGGACATCAGTTGGGATTGTTCAAAAAGAAGATCTTTCAGGGCATACTCGAGAGGGTGCGTCATCGTCAATGTCTTCGGGCTCAGCCTCGGTGGTGATGGGCATGAGACCTTCGAGGATCTGAGGCGCAAGGTTGTTACTCTGGATCTTGCTCTTTTTGCTGCACAGTGTGTCAGGTAGTGGGTATACTTCGGTGAGTAAAGACTTACTATTGAACGGTCCAGTTAAGGGCGTTAAGGGCAAGAACTCGGAGTTCAGGATCGAAGTTAACATTACCACCGCATTGCAAGAGGAATGCAGCGAGTTCGGGGACGTGGCGACCCAAGACAGGGATTTCCTACACAAGGATAGGTTAGTTGACAAAGGTTTAGAACTCTACCGCTGTACACTTACGAGAATCAACAGGGTCTCCAAAACATCGAATAGTTGCCTTGCTCCGGTCTCGTCGTTTGCCTCCACTGTCTGGCCAATGACGTTAATCATGGCAGGGACCAGGTTTTGATAAGCCCTCTAGAAACATCGGTGAGCCCACGCGTCTTTCAATTGGTTGGGCAGCTACGAACCAGCAAGGCTTTATCATCGTTGTCAATATACTGGGCAATGACACCAAGGGCACTGAAATAAGAGTTAGGGAAAAGCTGGATTATCGGTCAGAAGGAGACTCACCGGACGATCGTGATGCGAACTTCTATGCTAGGGTCTTGAAGGAGGGCCTCGAACAAGGAGAAGAGCTTGGGCAGATACTCCTGGAACCCTTCGACGATGTTCTCCAGGACGGTATAAAGGATGAAGGAGCCGACTTCGCGGTGGCCAGCTTCGCTGGACTGGCAAGCACTTTCGAGGAGGGGGAGAAGGTTTGACCATGTTCCCGCAGGAACTTCGATGCTGGCGATTGCAGCGATAACACGAGCAGCAGAATGCCGAGCGAGTTTGCTACACGGGGAACACGCGTTAAGAAATTTTATGAGTGGAAGATAGTGATGATGTTCACTTTTTTTCTTCCAAGATGAGCTTGGGCAGATCTTGCTTGATCTGTTCGCGGATGGATTGATCAAGTTGAGTCCAGAGATTTCCGCTGTTTTGAGAGACACGTTTTCGGAGTTCGACGGCGGCGAGTTGTCGAACCTAAAGGATAATTAGTTTGTCTAAACGATATTCTGTGAGATTGAACAGAGTCATACGGGTTCTTGTGGGGAAGTGGCAAGGATGGTCGTTAGTCCTGAAATGCATAGTGGGTGCTTGTAGAAGTCTTGATTCAGCTGAGCAGTAGCCTGTGGCGATCCTTGATTCAATACCCAACCGTTATCGAGAAGCTTTTAAGACCTTACAGCCCGGACAAGTGCAGTATCATTGGAGGTCGTTTGCAAGAGCAAGTCGTGAAGTTTTTGTAGCTAGATACGGCCGAGACGCTCATCAGTGAGGTCTGATAAAGTGGCGACTGTTTTCTGTACTCACAGATGCCTGATCCATGTCTAAGGTCGTAACGGGGGGAAGGAGGAGAGAAAAGAAGGATGGGAGAAAGGTATGAAAACAGGAAAAAATGGGGCGAAGGGCCAAAAATTCAAGGTCGGGCAAGTCCGATCAAACCTTCCTTATCGGGCCTCAGTAACCATACGGCACCGACAGAGTGGCCGGCACAACTAGCCTGACTCTTCTGCCTAGCTGAACAGACTATCGGCACAGTAGAAATGACCACTAAATAATGGGAGGAAGGAGTCGTGCGTGTCTGAACTGTTTTCTGTCATCCTGCATTCATCTCCGCTTCAAGGTTATGCTTGATGTCAGTGAAAGATAGGGGCTAATTAAGCAAACCCGGTTACGGAGGAACGCGACGTCATCGCGTATTTACAGCAGACCAGGACAAAGGACTGTTAATAGCACTCTCGTGCTGTGATCCCAGTGAAATGAGAAAATGTCCTTAACATTTAATACCCTGCTTTGTCGAGGAATATCCCACTCATCAACCTGTCTTCATTCCATGCATAAAACACCGTTGCATTGTTGCTGATTATCGCATCAAGCTCCTTCGCAATGGTTTAAATTCATGAGCATCTACTCTCCTCTGCTACTGGACCACCACGCGCGTCTGAGCTAGGATCGACATCGGGACTCGACGAGGGTGGTGCCATGCTCTGTCTTCCAGCGACTAGCCCGGTCACCCCTCCGCCCCCTCGCGTTCGGCGTGGTAAGCTAGTGCGCCGCCCTCCGCCTAACAGGAAAAAGGATGCATCGACAAACGTCGTGAGCTCGGTGTACGCTGTCATTCTGTCACGTATCCTCCGTCTGACTCACCTCGATTCTGTTCAGTTCTCCGCGAACCCCACGACGACCTAGAAAGCTTTCACGCGCACGAACCCGATCCACACCAGCCAAACCACACTTGAATCCACGGACCCCGTCACAGAGCACGGCGCACTCTGTTAACAATCCCGGGTTGAAGCGACAGATGATGCTGCTGTGGAAAAGATTGCGCAACCCAGGCATCCCATTCGCCAAGCGCAATTCACGGCGCTTTTCGTTTATGCCCCCAGGATTCGTCCGGATCGACATACCGCAGGAGTTCCAGCAGCTTCGTAATTGCTCTGGGTCATCCAATGATGCCCTGCTTCAGCTCGACGACCCGACAGTAATCCCGAGTAAGAAATGGCAACAATAATCCGACGACATCTCCGCTATGGAACGACTTTTACGAGTGAGTCTCATCCTTCTCGCGACCACCAAATGTCTAACGACACATGAAGCCTTCTACATTCATGAATCTCTGCGTGATGACAATACGAGTTGCATTCGAGCCCAGCAATATCCAATAAACACGGTAGAATGAAGCAATTGCAATGCTAGCCCAGACAAGGATAGATATTCTATGTTCCTTTCCTTTGATGCCTGCCTTTCTCTCGCCCGTGTTTCTCAGATCGACAATCGTAATATACCCTCATAAATACACGGCGCCCTGACAGATTTAGGCGCCCGTTTGGCAGTTGAAGTGAAATGGAACCAGCTTGAGGGGAGATGTGACATCCGTATTTTGGAACTCCGTCATCACTAGATCAAGCCATCACCCACACAGCACCGATTGTTTCACGAGCCGATCGCGTGTTGGTGTTTCCGGCAACTCCGACTCGACACATCCACCTTTCCTCCTCAAGTCGAACGCCCAAATTCGCGGTCACTTGGGTCTTCAAATGACATTGCTACATCGGGGAACGCTCAGGCTTGCTGCCCAACGTTCAGGGAAATGGCGAGCCGCCAGTCAAACCCTCCGTTCAGCGTCCACCAAAGCCTCGTCGACACCTGGCGCGACGCTGAGGACTGTAGCCTATGCTGGTGTCTTTGCGGTCTCCGCTGGATTGTTCTCTATTTATTACTTCGACTCTCGGTCGGCCATTCATCGATACGTGCTCACACCTGTTCTTCGAAATGTCTGTGATGCGGAAGCGGGTCATAAGCTAGCGGTGAAAGCCCTCAAGTATGGCCTCGCTGCGAAGGATAGAGTGGAGGATGATCCTATTCTGAGAGGAGAGGTGAGATCAGTCCTTTATGAGTGTGCATTCTGATTAACATTCACATCTCTCAGATTTGGGGTCAGGAAGTGAACAACCCGGTTGGTGTCGCAGCCGGATTCGACAAGGACGGAGAGGCTATTGACGGTGAGCATTCCCTGAAATATGCCTCTTCAGTCATTCATTCTCCGTAGGCCTGTTCGATCTTGGTTTCAGCTGGGTGGAGATCGGAAGTGTCACGCCCAAGCCCCAGGTACGCCGTCCTCTAAACAAGGACTCGTTACCTTCTCTAACAAATTCAAAAGCCCGGAAACCCAAAACCCCGCGTGTTCCGACTTGAAGAGGACCAAGCAATTATCAACCGTTACGGCTTCCCTTCGCAGGGACACTCCTACGTTCTCTCTCGACTGCAAGAGCGTCTCCCTCCCTACGAACCCCAGGCAGAACAGGCATCCTTGCGCAAGGGCGACATCCTCGCTGTTAACCTTGGCAAGAATAAGGAGTCTCCGGCTGATTCCATCGACGACTTTGTCAAGGGAGTAAACACCTTTGGACCCTACTCTGACGTACTGGTGATCAATGTGTCCAGTCCCAATACCCCAGGGCTCCGGTAAGTTCGAGTTGGCGAGCCTCTCGCTTTGCAGCTCCTTAATGTGTACACTCCAGTGGCCTTCAAAACCGCGATTCCCTCGAAGAACTGCTACAAGGTGTAACCAAGGCCAGAGACGCCCTCGCTCCCTCCCCAATTACCTCCAAACGACCCAAGCTCCTGTTGAAGTTGGCTCCCGACCTGAACGAATCGCAGCTTGTTGAGATTGCTGAAGTCATTCGACAAAGCAAGATCGACGGCGTCATTGTGAGCAACACCACCATCCAGCGACCCAAGCACTTGATCAATGGTGTGTGCATGCCGAACGGGTTTTTCGCTAACTTCCTATTGACCGGTGTTCAGCCAGCAAACAGGAAGCCGGTGGACTCTCAGGCCCACCCGTCAAACCCTACTCTCTCCTTGCACTCAAGACCCTCCGTGAGCAACTTCCAGCTTCAATTCCTCTGATCGGTTGCGGCGGTATCTGGACTGGAAAGGATGCGCTTGATTTCGCCAAAGCAGGTGCTTCGCTCGTCCAACTCTACACCAGCTTCGGCTACGACGGTGTCGGTACTCCTCGCCGAATCAAGGACGAACTTGTTGAGGAACTCAAGAAAGAGGGTAAAACGTGGAATCAGATTGTCACCGAGTCTGTCGACAAGCTCAGTTTGAAGGGATCACCTCCCACCGGGGAGATTCAAAAGGGGGAGGCTGCTGTAGGACAGCTTGTTGCTGAAGCAGAGCACTTGAAAGGTCTTTTGGACAAACTTGGGGATGAAATTGAGAAAAAGGCTCCCCTTCCTGGCGACCATTCGATAGAGCAGGGGGAGGTTCAAGCTTCGAATATCTCATAGTAGATGGAGGGAATATATAGATAAGATAATGCGAATATCGTTATCTCCTTTGATGCATCACATGAATGGTTGAGGCGCTAAACCGGCGGGGGCTTTTCTCTTTGAAATTACCTTTCACTCACCATAGTAATGACCATCCAATACCCCTTTGCTACGACGACGACAATACCCTAATTGACAGACTCTGTCCCCCATGGTCTTAAGAATAACACCGGCCGCTTCAGACTCAACAGGAATGGACCCGGACAATTCTGACCCAACCACTCCAACAGGGACATCGTCCATCTCAACTTCGTCATCATCCATGTTGACTCCCCTCTCCTCCTTAAGAGCCGCAAGATCGAACTCGACACTTGCGTCCCTCGTCTCCCAGAAGAGTCAGATCAGATCCCACAGGTCCATGTCGACACTGAACCCTCCCGAAACTCGGTTTTCAAGCCTCAGATACGGAGACAAAGACGACTTGGGCAAAGCCACTATCTGCGACGCAGAAACCGGGCTGCGTCTTCATCGACACCCGAGTCTGTGGCTGGAAGACGGGAGCGTCATATGCAGAGTCGAGGACACCCTGTTCTGCGTGCACATGTCGGTTTTGGCTAGACATTCGATATGTTTCCGTGACATGTTCGCCATTCCCCAGCCTGAATCCAACCTCCGGGACTCTTTGGTACTCGAAGGGGTTGGAATGCGTAGTGGCGCCCAAAGGATCCCTGTGATAACCCTGTTTGACAAGGCAGAAGATGTCGCCAACTTGATCGAAGCCCTTTATGACATTGGAACGTGCGTTTCTTCTCCCTAGTGGTTCACCTCTCCCTTTGTCTCACTTAGTTGCCTTATACACAGGAATTTCGGGAATAATGATGAAAAGGATTTCCGAGCGGTTGCTGGAATCCTACGACTTGCGACGAAATATATTATTGATGAGCTGCGGGAGATGGCGCTGAATCATCTCAGCATAGCCTGGCCCACGACGCTCAAGGCTTGGGACCTGAGGGAAGATCTTGCCCGTAGCTACGAAATCGACGCTACTATACCTAGCGCACGTCTCTACCCTCATCCATTTGTGAGTTGTTTTGATCATCTCTTTACTTGACTATCCATTGATGGGATATGCAGGAAGTAATCAACCTAGCCAGAGAAGTTGAGGCCCCTTCACTGCTACCAGCGGCATTCTATGATCTATCTCGGTATTCCTTCTCGCAGATATTCGAACCACATGAAGACGACGCTCTCTATCGACCACCTGAACAACCTCCACCACCTTTGTCCCCCGCCGATTTACAAAGGCTATGCGTAGGGAAGGAGCACACTCAACAGATGATCACAGCTCTGATCCAGGCGATGGGTAATGGCCAGCATATTCGCCAGTCGCAACAACACCCCCCTCACAGCTTGTCGCGACGAACCTCATCTTCAGGCGCTGTTTGCGTGTCAGCCGCAGCCTGCCGGAAAGACTTCACCGAGCTTGTCGAGCTTGCCACACAGCATTACTTGTTCGATCGCGAACGAGGATGCCATGACCCTCTTTACGTTGCGGAAGAGCTGGGACAGTTGAAGAGCGCAGAAATCTCCGAGTGTAAGGCGTGTGCCAAATCACTGGAGGGCTGGGCGGCTAGGGAGAGGGAGAAGATCTGGAAACTAATACCGGTTTGGTTTAGGTTGGACATGCCGGTGGATGCTTCTGCGAAGTTTCACTGAATCATGCAAGGACCGTTGTATCAGATGGGTGGACATTTACCGTATGATTCGACGATTATATGGACGTCGGTAGTTCGTCCATGTAGATTAGATATCTGGTCTCTATAGCTGCTTTTTATCTATCATTACTGTTCCTATAGTGTGCTTTTCTGCGCTTGCCAACGTTGACGTTGCCTGAGCTCCCATTTCATCGCGCAGTGTGCCACGGGCCACTGCTCGGAAAAGGCCGCGCTTTGCTCGCTTTGTCTTTGACTCTGCCTACCTCATACCCTCACACGGTCTCCGAAAAAAGACAACGTGCCGTACTCAAAGCGCATTTCTCCAGGTGAGTGAACTTCTTGAACTGACTATGTATGTATGAATGCATCTTGATTCCTATTCTATTCTTATTTCGTATGCAGATGCAAGCCGAACCCTCGGTCGCAAAGCAACCGTCAAGTTAACCTTGTTGTTCCCAAACTGAGGCAATCAGGGGCTCCTCCGTTGCGAACCAGTGCGCACTGCGAACCTCATGCGATTGATGTTCGTTGCTCCCTTGACTCCCACTTTCATAAGACAATAGGAGGTACCACAGTGCCGCGAGGCGCCGTCCTTCCGCTGCTTAGGGACATTGCTTGGACCAGCAATTTGACCCGTGAAGACCGACATCTTCCACGTTCCCTGGGTAACAATGGGTTGTTTGTATGAAATCGCCAGGTTGTTGTCCAAGTGGACGATGTGGAACAAATGGATTCGGGCTGATGTATGACAGATTGTATCACCTAAAGAGAATGTGGCAAATGTGGCATGGTGCGATGCTATATAAAGTGCTCTCGATGGCCGGTTCAATTCCCCAGGCTTCCCTTCTTTCCCTTCTTCCTTAGTTCTATCTTCTACCCTTCTACCCTTCCACCTTTCTTCATTTTCTAGCCTGGTGCTATACAGTTCGACACTGTTTCGCCCATTTTTCAATCTTCACGTTCTTCAGGAGTAAATCGTCTTCGACAGACCACACGACTCGACTATCCCAATAATGGTCCGCGCTACGATCTTGTTGGCTGGCCTCGCTGCCGCGTCCGTCCATGCTGCGCCTCTTCAAAGGCGTATTGCCCAAGTCATTTCCGAGTCGACTGCTCAATGGGAGCAAGCCTGCGTGAGTCCTTTTCCTTCTTCCCTCCGCTGAACCCGGGTATTGATATTGTTGCCCTTTTCGTATAGATTGCCGCTGGAGGTGGACAGCAATGTAATCCTATCTCGGTCAAGGCTTTCAGCACTCTCTTGGCTGCTCCCGGACCCTGTGCTCAGCAGGACTCTGGTGACGAAATGGTGGATCTCGCCAAGCAGTTGGGAAGTGCTGAAATGATTCGGTTGGCTCAGATTTTTGTTCAGCAACCCCGCAATACGGTAAGTAGCTCCTTCCAAGCCATCTGTCTTGAAAGTGTCGTGTACTGATTCGGCATATCTCTCCCCCACAGCCCACTTCCCTTTCCACCCCTTACTGCCAAACTGCTCCTCGTAACGCGGAACTTAACGGCCTCTTCCAGTGCCAGTTTGAGGGTGCTAACCTTCAGACCTTCGTGGGCGGTGTTGCTGTTGGTCAGCCTGGGACCGTTCCCTTGGGATTGACAGAATTAAACCCCCTTGGTTCATGCCCTGCCAACCCTGGCGGTCCAATCCCTGACGGCGTCCAGTTGGTCACTTTGGTCCAAAACCCTGGCGCAGGAAACGGCGGAGGTGCACCTCCACCTCCCCCGCCAGCCCCTACCGTCGACACCTCTCCCCCGGCCGAGACTGATGCCCCTGCACCCCCTGTTGAAACCAACGCTCCTCCCGCTGGAGGAAACGGTGGCTTCCAGCTCGCCAACGGTCAGGAGGCTCAGAAGCTCAACGCCGAATTCGCCACCCTCTCCGCTGACTCTCCCTGCGAGGCCGGCCAAAGCGCTTGTGTTAACGGTGGCTTTGCCCAGTGCGTGAATGGACGATTCGCTATCACCCAGTGTGCTGGTGGTTTGACCTGCGCTGCCCTCCCACTCGTCAACGCGCCTGGTACCTCCATCACTTGCACTACCGTCGCCGATGCTGAGGACCGTATCGCACGCACTGGCGCCACTGGTGGCCTGACTGGCAACGGTGCTGGCAATGGAGGAAACACTGGCAACACTCCCGCCCCTGCCCCTGCTCCTGCCCCCGCCCCTTCTCCCGCCCCTCAGGCTCCTCCCGCTGGTGATTTCCGCGCCGAGAACGGCAGGCAGGCTCAAGCTTTGAACGCCCAATTTGCAACCCTCAACGAGAACTCTCCTTGCAATGGTCAGTCTTTATGATCTCTTTTCGCTGCATAACACCTTTACTGACCGCGTCTTCATTGCAGCTGGCGAGAACGCTTGTGTTAATGGTGGATTTGCTCAATGCCTGAACGGACGGTTCGCCATCACCCAATGTGCCGGTAGCTTGACCTGCGCTGCCCTTCCCCTCGTTAATGCCCCTGGTACCTCTATCGCGTGCACCACCGAGGCTGATGCTGCTGCCCGCATTGCAGCATCCGGCGCTACTGGCGGCATCCGTGGATGAGTAGACTGGTCTCCTCGTTGATATCTTATTACTCCCTTTTTCTACCCTTTCTCGTACATCATTTTGTCAATAGCATCACGCTCTTTTTTACGATACAATTACACTTTTGTATATAAGTTACATTCCGAAAATGAAGAGAGAGAGTGGAAGGATCAAGTGCGGGTCGTACATAGGATAAGTTAGGGCAACTCGTGAGGCAGGTAAACTGTGGAGCTCTCTCTCTCTCTCTCTCGGTATTTGGGAGGATCGGAGAGGAAATCTTACCCGTAGGCGGGGTAAGCTGTTTATCCAGCGAAAACCTTTGCGATCCTGTCTCTATAGACTCACCTCAGCTACGACGCTTAACATCCTCAGGTGAGTTTTGCACTTACATAGTGTTTTTGTGCTGGGCAATAGCCTGTGTCGATTCTAATGATCGGAATTCTGGTCGGGCAGATGCTAGAAGACGTCAAGGGGGTGAGCATCCTAGCTGGAAGCCAAGGATATTAGTCCACTCCTTACAGGAAGCTTTAGACTCAGCTGTCGGCTGTGGTTTTGGCTGAGAGCATTGGTAGTGGTTTTCAGTCGCGAAGCACGGCTTACTCGCCGGGCTATTGGGTCGCGCTAGCATGAAATAGTCGGTCTGGGAGGACTGCATGGGTGTAGTGGTCAGAGTAGTGACCGAGAAGGCAACCTGCAGCTTTTAGTCCATCTGACTCATAGACTCTGGGTATTTATGCACTTCCATTTCTACCGTTTTCTCGGGATTAAAAAGCAGAAACGTTTGCTCGGTGACTTCATAATGACGGAATATTCTAGATACATACCAGGAGTCCAAGCGGATAAAGGCTCCGCTGGAGGTACTACACTTTGGGTATTCGACAACTTGACCTAGGCTGTCTGAGGTGTTTGCGCTCGTCATTGGGGTAAAACTAGAAGGCTTCGATTCTTACCGTTGTCAAGACTACTACCTCCCTTTTCAAGCCCAAGTCTCCTAGCATGTCGGGAACGGTAGGTCTTGTAAATCTAAAAGAACAATTGAAAAATGATCAGGGGCTGGACTCTTCTGACTACCATCTCGGTGGGATCGGCGGCAGTCTTGAGACTGTAGAGGACCTCGGAACACCATCAACCCCAAAGGGTCCCAGTAAACCGGCCTGAGGCCGTGGAAGCCAAGTTAAAGGGGTGCCATTTAGGATTTAAACTGCTGCCTTCATCAGAAGTGGCCACTTCGCTTCCCTGCCCCTTGCCTGGAACGTTGGGCTATAAAGTCGTAACAGGCGACTTTTGCCTCCCCTCATCCCCTCTCTCTCTGGTTACCCTTATACCCTTCACGACCTTTCATTGATACCTCTCAGCGATGCCTCTCAGTATTTCCATGCCCTTCAGCCTCTCCTATCTCGTTATGACCCCAGGACGCGTCCGTCTTCCAGGCGAGACAGTCGTGAAGAAGTCCAGTCCACCGTGAGTCTCTCCATTTTCCGGAGCGTGAACGCGTCAATGACCTTGCACAACGCCCAGATCCAGCCCAACCTCTCGTCGCTGGTCGACAGACCTCTCAACGAAAGCGAGGTCTATCCGAGCTCGCGCCGGGAGCATGGGCCCTTTCCGTCGACTGTCCTCTGGACCTTCTCAGCCTTCGAAAGCTTCCAACAACGAGGCCGACTGTCTCCTCGAAGACGAGCCCCTTGCCATCCCCCAGCCCGTCGCTCGTCCCTGACCGTGAAGACTATCACAGACTCCCAGGCATTCTCCATGTTTACCCAAATGGCGCACCCCGGCTTCTTGCAAGTATGGACATAACCCAATCCCTGGATGGCATCATAGGTTCCCATTGGGATTCCACCAATGCACCCTGACACACAACGCATGACCTTTATCTACCGACCGTCGGATCCACACTGCCCTGGACTCCTCTCATGATCATGAACCGAACGATTCTTCGTCACCATATTGGAACTTTATTTCTTGTACTACTTATCATCGTTTGCACTTGACTTGATCCATTATGACCATATTTCCTCCTTCTCTTCATACGTATGCTCCTTCTGAATGGAACTAACCGACGTCTTTCCTTTAGCTATGTACATGACCTCATGTCTACCAATAGCTCTCATACAAATTCTTTCATTCCAGCCTCAATGTTGTCAGTGGCCGCCCCTTCTGTGAACAGGTGGTATCATTCGAAGGAATTTATACAGGAAAACAACACGGTTGGAACCAGGCGCCTCTGGCGTCTGTACGACCCGGCTGTTTTGAAGGCAAGTACGCGCCCTGACCAGCCATGTCCTCTGGCCTCGTCGCCTACCCTTGGCTCGGTCTTGACAGCGGCTCTAGTTCTCCATTGTCACCCGACAATGACGAACGCCGTGAGGTCCAGTCTTGAGATCCTGACTTGCGAGGACGCGAGTGCCCGGAGAGGCGATCGTGGGGTTCCACATCGTGAGCTTCATGGTCGTAAGATTCTAGTTCTAGTTCTTCGGATGTTCGCAACGGAAGATGTCCCGATGGTGAGGTATCTTATGAGTTATTAGCGTTGTACAGCAGGAACGACAGTAACCGGACATTTACCTTCACCGAAGATTCTATCCATTTCTTCCAGAGGCACTCCTTTTGTTTCGGGATAAGCTGAAATGGGACCAAAATCAGCACTGGGCGTTAGCCAAATGGTCATGGCGATTACTAACTGTAGTAGACTGAATAACGCCAATGGACAGAATGGACAGCTGTAAGTTTGAGTATAGAGTACGGGAAACGACCCACCAAGAACGAAGCTGAGGCCACAGAAAAACCCATGCATCCAATACAGACGCCATCGTATCACTTCCTGAAGATATGGAGTGGACTGACCCACTACCCAATTGAACGCCCAGTTAGTGGCGGTAGATAGTGATACACCCTTAGCCCGCATCTCCAACGGCATGATCTGATTTCATCGTCAGTGCAATATCCGCCACAGTCCGACATTGATGCTCACCTCTGGCGGATACAACCAGGGGATTGGTCCCCAGCTAGGAGCAGTCAGCACAGGGTTGATTGCGCAATGAGAACCTACCCCACCTGTAGCCGAATGCCGCATTGAATACTATGACGCTGAGAACAACCGCGTTGGGAGTCCACGAGGCGGTCAGGTACATGAAGTAGCCAGTCGCGAACAAGGCGAAGCCCATCTGAGCCCCAGATGGTAAGTAAGTTACAGTTACTGCCCACAAGTCGAGAGCGACATACGACGACTGCCCCAGACAATAGAATCGGCCTACGACCCCACCTATCGACAAGGTACCACCTACAGAGACACTTTCAGCGCGGGTTTCCTCAAAACGTAAACTCGAAACTCACGGAGGAACCGTGCTAAGGATGTAGAATATGGCGTTAATACCGGTCATGAGAATGGCTTGACGGCCAACCCAACCGGCCTCTGCCATACGTGTATGTCAGCATTACATTGAAGTTGTAGATGGTGGGACACAGAATACCTTCGAAGACACGGGCTAAACCAAGGCATGAGCTTTACACCGGCTTTGTAATCCCCGGGCCCAACTCACGCGCGTAGTAAGAGATAACTGATAAAGTACGGGTGAGATGGCTTCAAAAGGTGATGCTGAAGAGCTTCACCATTGATTCCGTTCTATTTGGTGGTCAATAAACCGTGGAAATCAAGAGTCGGAATTCCACCTACCATTTGGGCAAATGCTTGCGAAGACATGGCGAGCAGGACGCGACGTCCGTACTTTCTGAACATTGTAGCATAGGACCTGCCTTCACCCCTGCTCCTCTGGTTTTGCAACCCAGTAAACACATTTGTTCTTCCGGTGAATACGGGATTTCTCACCTCCTCGAGCACAGTCCGTTTGATGTCGTGGAATTCGGCCCTTGCAGCAGCACTGTCTGGGTCGTCTCCATGAAGATCCGTTATTACCTTGAGCCCTTCGTCATCTTGGTCGCTGTCTACCAGCCACCTGCAATGACCTCAGTGGGTAAAAGTGAGTAACATTCGGAGTATCATCTCACCTCGGACTTTCTGGGATGACGAGCGTGCCTGCAGCGAGTATAGAACCGATGACACATTGCAGAAATAGAGGTGTTCTCCATGCGAGGTTTGAATCGATGAATGAGCAAAAGTAGCCCACCCACTAAGACGGACTATGAATCAATGGCCGTCTATAGCGAACAAGTCGGAAACTCACAACTGAGAATGCGTATCCACTTATGTTTCCTGTGAATTCTATGCAGGCAAGCTTTCCCCGCTGATTAAACGAAGTGAGTGTCTTGATAGGACCTATGCAAGCTTGAAACACGAACTAACATGGGTCGGAGGTGAAATCTCGCTTTGATAGATTGGAACAATGGTTCTGGAAGTTGATGATGAGGGTACAACAGAGCGACGTGAGGGAAAGTGCCTCACGAAAGTAACCCAACACCAAATCCACTGATCAACCGCCCGAGAACCATAGTATGATAACCAATGGCGAACGTCTGCACGAAACCTCCGAGAGTGAAGATTATGGCACCGGTCAGCAGGGTCTTCCTCCGCCCAATGATATCTCCCACTCGGCCAGCTGCGAGAGAAGTAACTGTTACGGAGCCATGAACGATAATTAAACGCGATAAGGACCCGTGTAAAGACTAACCGAAAGCGCCGATCTCCAGGATCGCGACCATAGTCCCGATTTGAATCGCATTGGGCTCCTCAAAATAGCCAATGAACTGGGGTCCAGTTATGATCCCCGACATAACTCTGCCATTCAAATTCAGTAGACGAATAGCGGGTAAGCCTTTCGTGCTTCACCCTTGATCATAGCCAAACTGCATGGGTGATATTGAACCGTTGCCCAGGTTCTCTTCGAAGGACGATACGTACCAAGAAAACGCCTAAACTCGCGAAAATCGAGACCGCATAGAGCAGTCTTTTTCCAACCATTCTCCTACGAGGTTTTGGATAATACGCCATGGTGGCTAGTAGTCGCTGGCAAGCGATATCGCTTGGGCGTTGCGAGGTGGTGGTTCACGGGAACGTTGCACGTCAGCGGAAGTACCGCCAGACTCTAACCTAATGATGCGATCAAAACCTTATACCCACGGTGTACCCTAAAGCTCCCGGCCCTGTAGTAGCCTTTCTGGAAGTAGGGCAAGGCTTAATTCGCAAAGCCCCTGCGGGCGATCCTGACCATCCACCACCGACATGGGTGGGACTCAAGGAGTTCCTCGCCGACTCCCTGATAGTTATAATCAACTCACGACCTCCCAAATGATAACATTACGGGGCTCTGATTCTTAACTGCACCCAATCAACAAGCATACTAGAGGAGCATCAAGCCCCAGCGCCCCACGTTATCACGTAGAGCTGGTTCAGAATGCTGTCTATAATAGTATCGAGCAATAGCCACGCTGATTGACTACTTATGAAAAACGGACATCCACGAGCTGGATGTAGTTCAGGAGCGACCTTGCGCGCTTAAAGTCCCGCGGCAATCACGGCTGTTACAAGGCCCCATCATTTTGGAACCCAGCACGGACAAACAAAGGCTAAATAACGTCCGATGAGGCATTCAAACTCGTTGAAACACAGGCCCTAGTCTTCCCGATATTCCAGTGTACCGCGCAGCTATGCTACGTCCAACTAGTTTCACAGGGAAGTACATATCGCGACAATTATGAAGAAAAAAATCAGATCCTACAGCCTTACCTCAAGGTTCGGAACGGTTGCCAAACACATTGGGCAGAGAACAATGGCGATTGACTCTATGTTTGTTGTACCGGCGTTGACCACCAAGTCGGTCACAACGGACTACTGAACTCTATTGTCCGTTAAGAAAGCTACAATGCGGTACCAGAAGACCTTTGTTCCGCAGAACTTCCGATTGTGACCGACGCAGTCATAAATCACTGCTTGGACCCGCTAGGCTGTTTCTTCAGTACGATCGGGATCGACTCCTTTTCTCAACTCCTTTCACTCTTCTCGTCTCTCTTTAATTGGATACTGCGTGCTGGCTACGATCCCTGACTCGAACCCACGACCCTCTGCAACGACTACTAGCTTTCGAACACTCTTTGAAACAAATCCAACTTCAACACGCTAGTAGCGGGTCTACCGACAGTCCACCAGTGCAACCTTTTCAATTGTTGTCGCCCTCGCAACGATTCAACCAACCCCTCACCCACGACCCATTGTCCCATTTATAATTCCCGACAAAATGGCCATGATCGTTCGTGACCCTCGCTTTTCCATGTCTGCTGCTCCTTCTGCCTACGCTCAAAGGTATATGAATTATCCCAATCCGGTTGTGGCATCGGACTGACCCACATGGATTTTTAGCGCTGAACAACCCCCACGACGACAGCCACGCGTTTCCTTCGGGAAGCGCCTCAACCGCCAGATTACCAACCTCTGGAAGTTGTTTACCAACACCCGTGGGCGACAGCGAGCCTCCGTTTATTCCAGCCAATTTGTCACACTTACCTCCAGGAGGAGGAGCACGATCCCGACCCCAATCGTCAGGCTTAACGCTTGAACACCCTGTCAACTACCCCGGCGATACCCTTCCAATGCGATACCCCCTATCTACAGATCACGTCCTCATGCCCGCTATGAATCCATGATGATCATATATGACATATGGACTTCGTCTCTTTTCCTAAAGACAATCCTCCCGGACACCTCCCCCATTTTTAGTTTAGTGTATAGAGTAATTTTCTCCCTGTAAGCCTCGCGATCCTTATTCGCTGTATGTACAGTCTCATACCTCCAGCTGTATGTACTTGTATCTTGCCCCGCCTGTTGTAACTCTGCTTAGCTTATTGTACTACTCTGAAATTAATAGTGTACCATCATAATATACGTAGATCTGTGATCGAATTAGGGGGCCATCGACCATCCTTCCTTCCTGTCAAGCTTCTGACAAACGAAGTTTGTCGAATACACGATGCTGGGAATAAGGGTCTGCCGGGTGAATGTGGCGTTTTAGTCTAAGCTTTCTCCTTTTTCGGTACCTAGGCGATCGTTACAGAGATTGTAGTCGACAGACTGGTTTGGGACTACTGAAAGGAACGACTGTACAATTGATGAACGAGGGTGCATACGGAAGATCGAAAGGTACTGTGATGACTCAAGAGTGATGGTTCAGAAAAAGGTGTCGAACCGGACAGGGGGGCGAGGTGCGCCTTGCCCTTCATGATACGGCTTCATCCCGTCACACGCCTTACAGCGCACGATCTGAGAGATGGCAGTAACAGTGCTGTGGGTCTCGCACCCACACGTCCATATCCATTCAAGCTCGTTGAAATTGGACAATCTGTACTTGGAAGGTTTTCCACTGGCAGACGGAAATTGAAGGACGGGTTTGATCACCGTCGGAGGCAGAGGTACATGCTCTGAACAGAGTCGGGGAGAAGGTGATACAAGGGCCTGGATAAGGGTGTTCAAGTTATGGCCTGGAAGACGGCATTGATGACAGGAAGACATTACCTCTGAATCTCCCTCGCCATCCTCCGGTGAAGCTCCAGCTTTAGACATTGCGTGGATGAGAAAGGCCAGAAAGGTTTCGAAATATCCCCAAACGTCTTGGTACTGGATAGAGATTTCGTACGGGTCGGCGGTAGAAATTATGGCAAGAATGTCATAAGGGAGGCAGGCTAGGCAAAGAAGCAACGCCAATATCCGAGACCTTATCGTAGCACTGCTCGTCGGGCTGGCCAGGTCCATAGTAGGAAGCGATGGGAAGGGGACCGATGGTCGTGAAGAACGAAGTTCTCTGACTAGTCGACTGGCCTAACGTAAATGACGTTTCAGATCTTGGTGAAAAGGAGTACACCTCGACGAAATCATACACCCCCCATGGACCGGACCGTCTGAAAAAGAGACGAGGTGGTGAAAGTAGCCAGAAGTAGCATTAACTGGTATATAATGGACGGATAACCAAAGAATGTTGGAAAACACAACAACCGTATTCGAAATAAATTCAGAGGCAGGAGAAGAAAAGCATGCTGCGGTGCAAAGGGAATGTGCGGTCCATGTCGTCGAAGACGGGCAGAAGGAAAATAGTTAGGTATAGTAAATGCAAAACGAGTGTCAAATGATTGTCCATGGAATGTGGAAAGTAAGGAAGGTGCGATGATAGCGGTTAAAGGACTGTCCACAACACGTCAGAGAAAAGCATCCCGACACAGAACCCAAGGCCAGCATCATTAAGTGAATGATCCACTCGTAGATTCCGTATTCACCGTCGGGTCCGCCATCGACAACGTTGGAGTGCTCGGGTTGAACATCGCCTTGAGTGTCATCTCATTCTTCTTCTGCCGAATACGTTCCACTTCTTCAGCACCTCCGGTCATCCGCAACTTCTTATGCTCCACAAAGTCTTGCAGCTCGGCTTGCAGTTCGTCTGTCTTCGCATTGCGTTCCATCTCCCGATTCCTCTGATTCTCCTCGATGGCCTTCAGCCGCTTCTCAGGATCAACAGCAGCACCTCGGATCTCGAGCATGACAGTTTGCAGGCCATTATGTCCTTCCTCGGGAGGCGGCGGTCGGAAAGTGCGTTGCCGGACACGACCTTGGACGACCGTGCCAGGACCGCGAAGGCTTACAATTTGGTCGACATGCCCGTAAATCTCCAAAACAGCCTTGTGATCTTCGATGAGGTCGTTCAGGAATTCCTCTTGGTGTACGAGGAACTGTTGTTCCTCCACGATATTCTGCAGTTCCTCCTCCCACGTCTTCTTCCACATCGGTTTGATGGTCTTGATGTGCTCCTTGAGACTCTCCAGCTCTGCAGCGGTAGCATCGATGTCCTTCTTAACGGTTTTGAAGAACAACGGTTTCGGTGTCGTGTTCCGCTTGATCACATCGTCCTTGATCCTCTCCACGGTATCCTGCAACTTCTCGACCTCTGTGAGAACATCCTGACTGCGAACGTCCAACTTCTTCTTGCCGGATTCGATATAGGCACGACTGCCGCCGATGTTGGTATTGGCCAGCTGTTTCACCGATTGTGTCTGGCTTCGCAGAGTGCCCAGCGTCTCTTTAGTCTGTTTCATGAACTCCGTGTACATCTGACGCATGATTCCAAGATCTCGACGAAGATTCTGAACCTCGTCAAACTGGGTTTTGAGATCCTCGACAACGCGAGCAGAGTACTCCGACATAACAGATGCACCAGTCATCTGAGGTTGTAATGAATGCCCGGTCATTTGTGGCATGACAGGCATCGGTGGTGAACTGGACTGGTCCATGATCATCGCGCTGATGGAAGGATCACCAACGAAACGCGAGAGTCGTCGAGCAACATGTTGGAATTGTTTATCGGTAGGTCGAACGGCGCGAGGTGTGCTCTCGGCCATGGCGTGTGCAGTGATATCAGGGATTGGTGGGACATATTTGGGTTGGTTGGCAACTGCAGTTTTGAGATCCTTGATGTCTTGTGACAGCGAAGATATTTGGGAGTCAATATGCTGCTTGATTTGGTCCAAAGCTAGTGATGATATTTTAGCTTCTCGAAATCGTAAAACCCCCAGAAAACGTACGCTCAATATTTAAGGACAGAAGGCACTTGTCCTTCACCTCTTCGACGTCTTCCAATTCATACTGAACCCCGCTTGAGGGATCGCGAATGTAGATGGCCGGGAAGTTCTCTTGTCCAGGATTGTAGGAGAATTTGTCGACGAATAGAACGCGCAGCGAGGAGAACGATAGTGATGGTTCGATGGTAGCTTTCTTCACTTCGCGGCCAAGTTGCAGGAAGACTGTGATTCGGGAAGGTGTAGATTGCGTTGAGGGTGCGGATAATAATGTTGGTTCCGGCACTACTGAAGGAGTCGTAGCGGCAGGAGCGGCAGGGGCAGCTTCCTTAGCTGGTTCAGGTAACGCAGGTCTCGAGGTTTCCTTCTCAGTTGACTCGGGCTCTTCATCATCAACTTCTGTGAGAACTGCCAATTCGGTTGGCGTTGGAGCACTATTCGCTGCGACCAATGATCTTCGATGGGGATGTCCCCTAAGTGATCGTTCCCTTGTCGTCGTTGCACCAGTCATCTTGGAGATGTTGAATGTCGAGAACCGTTTCGAAGCTCTTCGCTGCAATACATCATTCTTTTTGAGGGCTTCAAGTGAACTTGCAACCTCTGGCGTTGCAGGGTCCAGAGGTATGTTCTCTGACGAAGGAGAGAGCGTGCCATTGATGGAAGCGGGATCAGGGCTTGAGGGTTCGATTTGCACAGACGGAGGCGGTGGGGGAGACGACATGGGTTTATCAACAAGGGAGTAGCGCTTAACATGGGCAGGAGCCACGGGAGCAGCGGGCGCTTGTTCTGGGGGTGGTGGGGCCGGTGCTTGATCGCTAGGGATCGTCTGAGATGCATCGGAGCCTGCGAATGATAAAGTCAATTGCGGGGGACCTGGTTCCTGGTTCTGCTTGGACGATCTCTGGGGTTCCGGCTCTGGCATCGAATAGGTCGCAGTTGGCTGCTCCGTGATTGTAGGTGCGAATCCTCCAACAAAATGATCATCTGTGTTCTGAACAGTGGCGCTCTGGGAAGTGACATCTCTGCGATTGCGACCCGTCCCACTCCTCCTGCTACTACTACCCACAACTTCCTGACGCTCTTCCTCTGGTATGGTCCGCGAGGCGTGGGATCTATGAGAGCCTTCACGACGAGAGGTCCGCGACGATATCCTGTCATGGCCGGATTCCCCAGAACCAGAGCGGTGCTTGTGATCAGACACTATCCTCCGATAGATGGATTGCTTTCCGCGGAGGCCTTGCAGCAGGTGGGTGATGATAGCTCTGACTTCCGGGAGGTAGATCTCGAGGTTTTCGGCGTTGGCCTCTTCGGCTAAACACTGTTCGAGCACTGTGCGAAGGTCTTCTGGGACGGACAATAGTTCCCTGAGAAAGCATAATGAGCAAACGACAGCGAAGATCAAGAGTCCTCTTACGCCATATCGATATTGAAGGCGGCAAACGCTGCCACTGCTGCATTGAAATCGTTTCCCAACCGCACGTAGACATCGCTAACATGTGTTTCGTCCACCCGTTGTTGGCTCCATTGCGTCAAGGATTCCAGGAGAGCCTTTATCGATACCAGAAGACGTGTGACCGCAGACTCTACAGCAGGCTTTACGGCCATGAGAGGTCAGATTACAGACCTGTAGCGAGCTGACCAGGAAGCATAACTTACATTGGCTCGATTGCTTGAAGCACGCTCAGCCCGGTTTGAACCTGAACTTGCATTTGAGGATATCGAAAGGTTATCGCGTCTGGATGAGTGACCATTGGCCTGAGAGTGACCTTGGTTCCTCGATGCCATGGCGCCGGAGGGAGCTGCGACGTCGGTGCGCACGGTGGAGGGAAAGGGAAAGTTCAAAGTGTCAAGCGGCTTGCCTTGTGGGGGCCGTTGAGCCGCCCTACTCAAGTAGTGGGAAATTCCTGCCAATCTGGTCGCTCCTTCCAACTCAGCGGCATTCAGACTTTAAATCTCGGGTTTCATGGGTACCTTCCACCACGAAGTGAATGGGGCTTCGGTAGTTTGAAAAGGGATTGTCTCCCGTTGCGATGGGCTACAAAAACTATCCTACTAGGTATACTAATGCACAAATAAATAATATTACTACTTCCTTGAGTATGAGTAAGCGTATGATAGATATAATGTGAATCCCAACCTTAAGCTCATTCAGAGAGCAGGCGCATCTCGACCGACGAGGATCATATCATCCACAATCTCGTCACTTTCAGTCCGTTTGTAGGTTCGAATGGTTTCTCCGTAGTCTGAGATCTCGTATATCCTGAAACGTCTATCAAAGCTGCGAATGGTCATTAGACTTGGTTCTTCTAGAACGAAAGCACCATCGACATACCCGACCCGACCATATCCAGAATATGAGCCTCCACCCCCAAAGCAGAACCATACGCCTTTCACTCGTCGACAGTTCTCAGTCACTGCATGTAATGTGAGCCTCCAAGTTGTGAATACAATGCCTGCGCACTTACGATGGCAGTGGCCATTCGCGATCACCTTCACCTCTGGGATCGACTGACGAGATGTATGGTCGCTTTCCAATGCACTGAGGATGCCTTTTTCAAAGAACCCGTCATTTCCTTTTGCATTCCCATCCGTTTCCTGGCCGGAGATTCCGACATCCAAAGGTTTTCTCGTCACTGGATCGAAGTCAGGAGGGTCGTAGGTTTCAGGACTACACGTGGCAATGTAAATACTGGCTGAGTGATGGATGCAAGGAGGACATACAGTGGCATGTGGAAGAACGCCAACGCATTAGGTTTAGCCAATTTCCGTATTGACGGCGTGATTTGGTCTTGTCGACTCCAAATATGACCGAAATCCTTTCTATCGTCCGGGGTGAATGGTCGTTCAATGGGTTTATGAGAAGCTGATTGTTGAAGGAACCAGTCAATTTGGTTCTATCAAGATTCATCGTTAACAGGATTACAGGAAGGAGATCAAAGGTGCCTGCCTACCTGACGGATCCAGTCGTATTCCGTTGGGGTGAAGAACCCGAACCAGTCTAGGAACCCCTTGGAATAGGAGCCCGAGTCCATGAAATATAACGTCAAGAGATGAGTTTTTGACCTAAGCCTCACGTTAGCCGCTGCAGGAAAAGAGTGGGGGCGTCGCGTCACTTACGCATCGGCGCTATTGACTTTCAAGACATAGTTTCCAACACCATGGATATCCTTGGGCCCATACTCTACCAAGCTGTACGGAAGCGACTTCATCAAAGCCATCTGTTCAGACTTGGGGGTCCCATCGTCCTCGTCATGGTTTCCAAATACCGCAGCCCAGGGAATCTTCCGATCTGTTACCGCCCTCGCAAACTTGGCAAGCACCGACTTTGTGTCCCAGGTCGTTCCTTGCCCATTCAGCTGATCTCCGCTGAAGACTACCAAATCCGGTTTCTCAGCATCGAGCATCCTTCCGATGAGCGTGTTGGTGAGGTTGTCCGACCCTGTACAAGGACTGAGGAGGGTATCGCGGCAGACTCCCTGTGAAACGGAGTAATGAAGATCGGCGATTTGCATGATTTTGAATTTGCCGTCTCGAGAAAAGTGAAGGGGAGGTGCTCGCGGCGGGACTATACAATGTCCATCAGATATGGGAAAGTCCTCTGTGTCGCGCAGAACTCACTTTTGACACCCCGTCTATAGGTAACATACGTCGATTGGACTTTTCCCTTCTTCTCCATCGTGGCCGGTTCGAGTCTTTCAAAGCCATACCAAGGAACGTCATCGCCGTATAGCACGTCGATTTCGGTGATCAGGTTGGCCTTTTCGTCATCAGACATCTGGCTCAGAGTCTTCCCGGTTTGGTACCACAAGTATAAAGGAGTGTCGCCTGCGCCGCGGATACCAGATCGTAGCGAGGTTGGAACCTTGTGCCACCGGTCTTTGCTGGGATTGGACGAGGGCGTCTCCTTTCCACCAAGTATTTTGATATTTGTTATCATGTCGACGTCTTGACGCCTTGTGCGACGATAGTATATGTGCTACAGGAGGTGAGAAGAGCGCTGGGCTATATGGCAGGCGGAATACATACTAGATAGCCTGAGGTCCGCCCTCCTTCCAGATTCAAATTCCTTCTCACCCTCACCCATTTCCCTCTGATAGCATCCTGTTCGGTGGTAGTGTCTGGCTCACAAAAGTCTTCTCTAATGGATGGGTTGAGCCAGCACCAAACCACCGCAATCTCCGAAACTGCAATCACATGAGATCTTTATTCAATGGAGAATAGGACGAGTCGACGTACGGCCAGTGTTATGTGGTAGCAGGGGAGACCATACATCCAAAGGAAGACTCGAAGAATCGACTTGTTCTCCAGGTTGTGTGACATTCCACCAGTCGACGTCCGGTCTCTCTATAGAGTCGCCCGTGCCCACAGCTGATTGATTCTTGTTCTGGGAAGCCGAGGTTGGTGAGTGTCCCAGTGATACACTCTCCCAGGACTGCCAGCTAATCCTTTGCCTCAATCCAGGCCCGTAGTTCGGTTTATACAGTACCCAGACATAGCTGAGGATGAGAGAGAAGACGACAAAGGTCGTCAAGGGTAGACAGATTGAACGAATGCCTCTGAAACAAGCAAAGCCGCCACACGAGACCATCTGGTCAAGTAGCCTCCAAGGCTTGTCGAAATAGGTTTCTATCCAAAGTGTCGCAGTTGGTGGTCGTGGTCGAAACGCAAGCTCTTGTCGTAATGACCTAAACGATCGCCGGGGTAGGCCCCTGATTGGCCAAGCCACGGTGCCGCGCCCAGGATCATGTGACATCGGACGCTTCAGGCAATTTGCCGAAGTGCGCGTTGGCAATTTCTCCAGGACCGCGACGACCACCAGCTACACAGACGGCCACAAGGACGACAAGGGCCATCATGTTGCAAGCTCTGGGACTCAGACGTTTACAATGCTCGACCCGACATTACTCGACCGTTCTCCCTGACGGTGCGCTAGCCGCCCGAACGGCGTCAACGCCCTTGGCCGTCAGACTCCGCCGGAGGAAAAAGTTGGGCGAGCTTGGAGCCAGTGGGACGGACGCCAGCGAGACTGGGTTGACCCCGACGGAAGTCTCGAGGTACAACCGGCTTCGGGCTCTGGGTGAAATCCCCACAGTCAACGGGGAACCCATGTCTGCTGAACAGTGGATCCAATATGTCAACGAGCGCCGTTCAAGGATACGTGGTTTCAAGGAAGTCGAGAAGGAGGATGGTAGCAAGCTCGTCAAGGCTGTCGGTCAACGTGTATACCTTCCAAACGTCATCTTCAAGCTCGTCAGGAATCATACCCCAACAGGCGAACCCTACAATCCCTACGAAGCCACTTTCCGTATTCCCAAGTCTATCACCAAAACCGATATTCGTTCCTACCTCGCTACCGTCTATGGCGTGCAGACCACCTACATCCGGACGGACAACTACTACGCCCCCACCCCCCTCCCCGGACGAGATACAAAAAAGCACAAATCGTATAAACGAGCTGTGGTCGGACTAGTCGACCCCTTCTACTACCCTCACCGACTCGAAGATATGCCGGCCGAGAAGAAGGCGGAGCGGGAGAAATGGATTCAAACCGAGTTCGCCATCGACACGATCGACAAGGCCCGCAGGGAAGAGATGTTGCGCCAGACCATTGGCCATGGTTCTGCTGCCTTCAGGTTCAACCCGGAGAATGCTACCAGGCGGTCACATATCTTGCGAAAGGTCGCCGAAAGGAAGGCACAGAGGGAGGAACTTATTGGCAAGATTGCTCAGGAAATCAGAGAGAAGCGGGAGGCGGGCGAGCCTGTGTCGTACGAGGCGTTGGCAACCAAGTCGTCGGTGCCAGCCAAGGACTCTTCGTCGTCGTCGTAACCTTGTTATCTGCGTCTATGTTAATGCTATTAATCGTAATACCTGCCCGCATGAATGCTAGACTGTGCCGACGGTGCCATTCAGGAACATTCATATACACTGATAGAATATTAGCCTACCCTTATCTCGTTAAGACCCTTTCCTGTACATTTCCACACTTTGCCTACGGTCGAGCTCGTCGTCCGCGCACAACCTCGAGCTATTCGACGTCGATGACAGTGCCTACACGTGATCGCGTCTGCCGGAGCTGGAAAATGAGGCCGCCTAATCCCTCCTCAATTCCCCAAGGTCGTTTGCCAGCACTATGTACCCATACTCCAAGACTTACTCCCCGCTCTCTTCACCAGCATCGTCGCCAGCAACGCTACCAGTCGATTCGTCGCCATGTTCCTCTCCGGGATTGGAGCCTCTCATATTAGACGACGACCACGACATCCCTTCAATTCACCCCTTGGCGGCCTCGTACAAAAGAACCAACGCGCCTAGGGATCCAGCCACCGAAGATGACCGTGTCGTGAAAAGGGCGCGTCTAGGGGGACAGAGTCTTGAGAAAAAGCTGTCGGAGTACCTGGAGGACGAGGTTTGGGCAGACGCGTCTGTCCCAGCTCTGGAGGAAGGACTTCGCATATTTCATCTGGAGTACGTTGCAGTATACACTAACTATTGGAACTGGTGCTGAACAAAGCAATAGAAACAAGGGCCTGACGAGGATCGACACGACGTTCCTCCGCGACCTCAGAAAGATAGTCGTACTACCAACCGCTGACGACAAGCAAACAAACGGGCCTCCAGTCAAGTCCTTCCAACGCGTTCCGACTACGCCGGCCATCGCTGCGCAACAAGTCCGCAGAACCTTCTCGCGGACGGAGTCAATTCGCACCATTGTGCCAGGGGAACGCGACGATAACATCCACATCTACCTGGCGCGAAACATGATCACGAAGGTTCCGAGAGAGCTCTTCCTGCTAACAAATCTAGTGACGCTGAGTCTCAGTGAGTGCCTTGTACGCGTTTAACGGACCATAATTCTGATATTCCCTCAGGAAACAACAGAATCGAGTACCTGCCTCCTGAAATCGCGCTTTTGACCCAGCTGCGCGATCTTAACGTTGCAGTGAATCGCCTCACCTATCTCCCATGTGAACTCGACCGACTTCCGTTGAAGACATTACATGTCCACCCCAACCCTTTCGAGGAGAAGCCTGAACCCAAACGCGCGACGGCTACCGAAAGCAAGTTTGATGTTCCTCCGCTAGTCGAGATCGCGTGTCGAATTCTCGTGTCTCCGCCGCAACCATCCTTCCTCGAGCAATTCGACACCGAAGGACCTCCAAGAGAAACGTTACTAAACTGTTATCTCCCTGTCTCTCCGCCTGTGGCCAGATCTCTTGAGGCATGCCTACCAGGCTGTGACCTGCAATCAGAACCTACGGAATACGATACAATGCGCATCACGGGTATGCACAAATGCCCCAATCCATCGCATCCTCCCCTTGAGGCGCCGAGATATTTTGTTCGACCAGCAGAGGAGCGAATGAGTTGGGAGACACATCTCGCGGGTCTGGACGTTGGTGGGGAGGTTCCTGTGCTTTGGAGAGGGTGTTCTCGTGGCTGTCTGTCGTTCTTGGACGTTGAGGAGGTCAAAGAGGACAAAGAGAAACCAGCAATTCCTGTTGACTTTGAGCCAGTGGCATCAACGGGGAACACAGCTGCGTTGGATTTTGATGACGAATGATTATGTAACCCACCTGGGTCAACGAGTACCACTACAGTACCATGATTTCCTTTCATCGTAACCTCGGAGACTGTATTTCTACCACCGTATTCTCTGTTGTTTCTCCTGTTTTTCCCCAATGCTAGGGAATCCAGTGAACCAGTACAGGTCGACTCCAAACGTTCAGTGCACAGACTGCGAAGAAGTCTGTCCGACAGTCGTCAACGAACTCACAGAACAGTGCACCGACCGCTGCGTGGTCATTGCCTGTAGGGACAGTCACGGTCATGAAAATTCTGGTCACTGTGATCTCGTGTGCGACAGCGCCACAAATTGCGTAGATTGCACGGGCTTCGATGCTTTTGTAGGTTGCCTTTGGACCAGCTTGATCTTGGGCTAATGGATGTCTATCCCCCTCAGCTTCAATGTTGCAACGACTACCACGAATATTTACCCGACCCGAAGGCCAACCGGGGAATAAACCCAAATCCTCAACAACAGAGCTGGGACAATTCTGCCTGGAACTGGTGCACCGACTGCCCCCCTCCCCAGGAATCCATACCCCCTTCCCCTGCCAGTAACATCGCTCAGAGCGTACCGCCCACTCCACAGTTCAATCCTCTCGCCTCCTTTGTCCAAGAGCCCCAACAACAGCATCAGTTCCAGCCTCTGCCCTCCCCCTACCTTAACCCCTCTCCTCTCCCCGAAAAATGCATGTGGAACAACTGCGATGCCGCGTTTGCAACCCTCTCCGACCTTGTTGGGCACGTCAACCTCGTCCATCTTCGACCATCTGAAATCCCAGCTCCCCAGCAACAAACACACGTAGCAACATCATCGCAGACCCATGTGGGCACCAATACCGCGACATCTACAGACTTTGACATGTCGTTATCGTGCCTCTGGGACAGCTGCAGCACCAGTGTGACGCCGCAAAACATTTCGGGACCATCGAGCGCTCCAGAGCTAGGAAATAACCCGTTCTCCGCACTCGAAACCCATTTGCTTCGGGATCACCTTGGATTGAATCTCGCGCACCTGGCGGCTCTCCGAAACAAGAAGCAAGTGCAGCAGGAACAGGCGCCCTCTCAGCAGGCGCTCTCGCCTCCACTTTCACAGCCCGCTACACAGCCTGTTCAGGAGCAGTATCAACAACCTGCACCTCCGGCCCCTGAAGAACCCGTCTTCAATAGACCCATTAGCAAGCACCCGTCCCCCAGTAGCTCATCGGACTCCGAAATTCATCGCTGTGGTTGGAAAGGTTGCAACGCGGTCTTCACCTCTTGCGACGAATTGACGTCACATCTAAACGTTGCTCACGTCGGCAGCGGGAAAGCGCATTACGAGTGCTTTTGGGAAGGCTGCAACCGCAACGGCGAACAAGGGTTCAGTAGCAAACAAAAAATATGTCGACATTTACAGGTGCGTTGTCTCTTGCCTTGTTGCTCGCCTGTTCACTGAATGCATCGGCAGTCGCATACGGGACATCGACCTTTCCAGTGTCAGATATGTCATCAAAACTTTTCAGAAGCGGCGACCTTGCAGCAGCATATGCGGCGCCATACTCGAGAACGTTAGTGTTCATTACAGATGTCTTTCTTTCGTGGCTAAATCCTTGCTTAGGTCCCTACGCCTGCGATTTCCCTGGATGTGGAAAGGCCTTCGCGATCATGGGCGCGCTCACGATTCACAAACGAATTCATAACGGGCTAAAGCCTTTCAAGTGCAAATACTGCGACAAGGCTTTCAGTGAATCATCTAATCTTTCAAAACATGTCAGTTGTCTTTCATCACGCTGCTAAATTGGAACTAACCCAATATCTCATCCCAAAGCTTCGCGTGCATACCGGTGCACGTCCTTATAGTTGCACCGAACCCGGGTGTGGAAAGTCGTTTGCTCGCCCAGACCAACTGAACCGACATATGGGTGTTCACCGGAAAAATGCAGACGCAGCGCGTGCTATCCCTGCTCAATAGACAGCTTTCGTGGGCCTTCACTCAAGTATTATTTATGACTGTATCAAGAACTAGTATTAAGGTGTACAATAGCTGGTATGGAGTCACAATTCACTGGACACCGCTACATTCGATGGCTCGGGTTCAGGCAGCCTTTCTCCGTCATCCGCGGTAGTTAATTGCAACTGGGGCATGGACTGGGTGGGCATTACAGGCGTTGAGGGGCTTGTCAATGGAAGCCTGACGATTGGGAACCCTCGTGTTCGGCGTGTTGGGATGACTTTGCCTGTTCTCCACACAGTTAATTTTCTGGTTGGACGGATGAGAAGGGTGGGACGCACCAAGTTTCTTGATGATATCGTATGCTCGCACACGAGCTTTATCGCAGTTGGGGTCAACTGAGGTTCCTTCATCCAACGCCAGGTAGTCTAACCTGCGTTGCAAGAGAAACTCGTCGGTCAATTCCCATGGAACGTTGGTGATAACTTCGTCGACCCAGCGACAGTGTCGCACCATCTCCACCCGTTCTACTTCAGACCAGACTGGAGGGTACCCTCGCTCGTTCAAAACTTGGTCTGAGAAGACGCCCACTGTGAGGTGGACCAGGGGAAAGGCGAGTTTGGCTTGTCGAAGTTGCAGAACGTGGCTAAATAGGGGTTGTAACATTCCCGTTGTCCGTGTCCCAGATATTCATTAGCGCCTATCCAAAACCGTTCCGTGAATGATGAAAGGCACTTACCCGACATTAAACATATCAAACGGGCCGTCGACATAGACTCGGACGGTCTTGTGGTTGACGCCCACTTCCTGCGCAGACGAGAGGCTGAGTGCTTTCCGCACGTACGTCTGGATCTCCTCTGGTGTCCAGTTTATAGTCTCGAACCGCTCGCGAGCAGTGGGCGTAGGCTCTGGCTCTTTGATGTCTTTGCCTTGGACGCGTGTCCCGGAGAGGTCTGCGACGCTTGATTCGAGGGAATGGTTTGAGACGAGGTCGTACTCGTCATCGTCAAATACAATTGAGTTATCCATGACGACTTCAGGAGATAGCAATGCCGGGAGCAGTGGACAGGGCAGAATTTGGGGACGACTAGAGAGATACGAGAAGTGAGGCAAGAAATGCTGTTGAAGCCAATGCAAACCCGTGTATGAGACCAGGGGCCATCGTTCTCGCTTGCCCCAGGGTTCGTTTTAGCCCTTCGTATCAAACACGAGGCTGGTCTTTCTCAATCTATTTGCTCGCCTTGATGCACGATGCTGAATGATTCGCCTGAGTACTCTCTCTCCCACACCTCTCGAGGCGGATCGGGCTGAGTCTGAAACTCTGGCTCGGGAACAAGGAGGTGAAAGACTTGTATAGGAACGGGGAGAATTTAGGTACAGCTCATTCTTCTATCTGAATGGTGGGTAAGGAAGGATAAGCGAGGTCTTAGGGGTCGAACCTCGTGCCAAAGATTCTGGAGTGCACGGATACGGGAACTTTGAGGACGGCCCCTACTGCCGCATCTGGTCGCACTACAATCAGTCCGTGTCCCTCTTGGACATAATTTTCGTACACATGTCCCTCACGATCCTCCAATACGAAACCCGCCTCGTCGACGTTCCCAGGCAGCGGTCTCTCAGACCGTGCCACGAGCACGGAAGTGACCAAGTCCTTCGGATAGCGCTGGAGCTCTTTCAGCGCACCCACGGGGTCGATAAAGCCTTTGAGAAGCAGGACTGTGTGGGAAGTGGCATGGGTAGAGAGCACCTCGAAAACACGAGATAAGCCCCTGGACGCCTCTGTTGCCTTGGGCCTGACAAGGGTCACGCCAGAGGCGTCCGGTGCTCTGTCTCCTTCAGGTAGTCCAACTTCCGTTCGTCCAGAACTATGGAACTCCAGCGATAGTTGATTCCTAGCTGGAGGATGTTTTCGTCTCTGATGTATTCCGAGCGACCTCTAAAGGCCTTGTCCAGCAGGTTCGTCGAGATGTTGAGCATCTCTGAAATAACGGGAAGGCGTTCTTCGGTGTAGGTCCCTAGAAGGCTGTGGGGAGCAAGGTCTTTGACTACAAGGGCTAGTTTCCAGCCAAGATTCAACGAATCTTGTACACCGGAATTCATGCCTTGCGCTCCGGTAGGGAGATGGGCATGACCAGCATCCCCGGAAACGAAAACCCGCCCGGAACCAAATGAGTTGGCCATTCGGATATTGGGTCTGGTGTCGGGAGAACCATATTCAATGAAATACCCGTTGGAAGTCTGAAGATGCCCACCTGTAGGGAGACATCCATTTCACTTCCCAGAACTCTAGACCGTGCCAGCTGGCCAGGCTTTTCATGAGAAACTCGCGAAGAGAGTCGTGGCTCGCGCCAATACTAGTGGGTAGGTCGACTGTCCTTCCACCAATCATGAAGTTGATCGGAGGCATCCCCACATAATATGCCATACCTATAAGATTCTTCGAGTCAATAATCCAATTAAGTGGGGGGGTGTTAACGCATGACAATGTCTCCTATGAGCATATTATCAGCCCTAGTTTCCCCCTCGAAAGTTAGACCCAGCTGCTTTCTGACCTGGCTCTTCGGCCCATCAGCACCCATTGAATGATCCACCCAAACTGTAAGTCCACTTCTTCCGTCCCTCGTCCCTCGACATGCCTCGCCAACTTGACGTTGACCATGCTATCAGCGGCTTGGTGCAGTGATTTGAACTCAGTCCCATATTCTACTCGAATACCATGATCCTCCAGAGCGGCCCTCAGGATTGCTTCTAGGTTGTCTTGACCGAGAATAATAGGATTGTGCTGAGCGTGAAGTCGTCACTTGGAAATTCTTACATCCGATTTTATTGAATCAAGCTTACATAGGAATGGTGAGAGTGACCTCTCGGTACGGGACCGCAATTGCATTGTGCAGGAATTCGGTACTATTGAGCTTGTATTTGCGCATAGCAATCATCGGCGCAGCCTCGTCTATGATTTTGTGTATCAGTCCGAACCGGTCGAAGAGCTCCAGGGAGCGGGGCTTGCCAAAATATCAGGCTCACAGTCGGATGTCAAAGGGAAACTGCATCAGGACCTGTATACCAGCTCTTCGTTGCCCGACAGGTGGTTGTTTCTGATTCTCGATAATACGGACAGGGATACCGTTCTTGGCCAGCGTGAGCGCAAGAACAAGCCCAGAGGGCCCTGAACCAACCTGCACCGAAAGATCAACATAGAAGTACGTGGACAGTGTCGAGAATCCGCACAATTAGAACAGGAGGACAGGCCGCGATTCGCGCGAGATGATTGGCTTCGATCGACTTGAGGGTGCGGTTGATTGAGTTGATTTGAGTCACTGTCCTCTGCTCACTGGCTTTTATAAAGGATGGCTGCTTTTGTTGAGGTACTGCATCATGGAACACACCCTTCTAGAAGGCCAGCGTCGTTAGTCACTCGAATGAGCTCCATTTTTCCGGCGGTATTCACTTACGGGTCAGTCTCTCGTCTGGAACAGGGTCCTGGGTGACTGAATGTAGATTTGCTTGATGGCATCGGTGGGTTCAGAGACGAATGGCGGTTTGCTGACGTCGATACATGCGCCCATGCGCAGCATTTCAAGCGGGAAAAATACCTCCGTGGCATCCTTTCAGCCTGATCAAAATGGCATCAAAGCCGGGTAGCCCGCTTCCGGCTCGACGGATAAGGAACTTGGGACATCCCTAGAAGTACTACACATTGCAACGACACTGCCGCATAAGTATGAGCAGCCGGTAGGAGTTAAGGGGATAGCTAATCGGAAAGGAGAAATATGCCCGAGAAATAATCGTGTACAGAGGAAGAGGATCGGAGCATGGCGCCTATCATTCCATCTGGCCGTACAATAATCAGTCCACTTTCCTCCTCCGTGTAGGTTTGACTGACACGCCCATCAGTGTCCGTAAATACAAAGTCCACAGTGCTGGGAAGACTCCCAGACGTATATCCTTCCGACGGAACGACTGCAACAATTTGTATGAGGACCCCGGAATAGCGACTCAGCTCCATTAGCACTGTCTTAGCGTCAACGACCCCAGTGAAAATCACGACTGTATGATGGGTTGTCTTGTACACATCAGAGAGTCGCGATATGACCAAAGGAATGGTTGCTCGGGTTTCAACAAGGCATATTCCAGACGAGTCGGGTGCTCTGTCACCTGGCTGGAGCACATCTGTTGCCACCCTCCCATACGAGTCGATGGGTGGGGTCTTCTTGCATCCGCTGTCGCTTAGAACGATCGAGCTCCAGCGATAGTTGATTCCGAGTTGATGAAGTGCACCGTCTCGACTCCATTCCCCTCCTTCTCCGGGACATTGATTGAGGGCTTTGTCCAGGTATTCGGTGGATAGGTTCAACATCTCTGCGACGACAGGGATGCGCTCTTCGGTGTACGACTCTAGAAGCTCCGAGGATGCAAGGCCTTTGACCACCAGATTCAGCTTCCAGGCAAGACTGAGCGAGTCTTAAACGCTCGTATTCATGCCCTGGGCACCGGCTGGAGGATGCGCGTGACCAGCATCCCCGACGAGGAAGACGCGACCAGACCTGAAAGAATTCGCCATTCGGATGTTTGGCCTGCAAAACGAGGTCAGTCCAGGTCCCTATAGACTCTGAAACAGACCTCGCACCGGTACAAGGACATCCATGGTATATCGAGAAAAGAAATTCCCGGCCAGTGGCGCAATCTTTCCGCAAGGCATTCTCGGAGAGTTTCCTGGCTGGAGGCTGCCGACCTCTGACAAATTCACCTGGTTTCCTCCAGTAATAAAACTAAACAGACCAGCTTTCTCTGTGGGCCGAAGACTTAAGCTACAGAAGAAATTAACTAGTGAACTGGGAAGAGTTGCCATCAGGGCACCTATAAGGTTTCCGAAGGGTCACCCCACATGTACCATACGTACTAGAAAAAACGATCCTTAGTAACTAGTGTGGGCGACAGTTTCCAGAACTCAGACTCACCTCTGGGCCCAATCCTTCCACAGAAGTGTCACCTACCAACAGGCTGTCGGCTCTAGACTCGCCGTCAAAGGTCAGGCCTGCTCGTTTCCTGACCTCGCTTTTCTCCCCATCGGCGCCAATGACCCAATCGTACTGGCTTTCTTCCTCGATGGAATTATTTGGACCGTGGTGTATCAGTTTGACGTTGACACATTCTTTGCTACCGGTGAGAGTTTTCATCTCGATTCCATATTCCACATTTCCGCCGTGTTCTCGCAAAGCTGATATCAGAATTTTCTCGAGACGGTCCTGGCCGAGCATTAATAGGTTGGGCTAGGAACCGAAGGTTGACGTCAGGGAATCACTTAATGAAAGAGTTCCACCTACAAACGGTGTCGTTGAGGAGGGCTTTGTTGAAGGGGACATTTCGATCTCTTGCACTACTTCAGTGACATCTGAGAGCCTGTACCTTCGGATCCGGGGAACCGGTACTGCTTCGCCAAGGACCTGATCGACAATGCCTAGTTGTCCAAACAATTCCAGTGTGCGGGGCTGCAATAAATTCAGTAAAAGATGTACTACGATAGGGGAAGCATCCACCATAATTCCAGCTCCTCTCTGGCCAGGAGCGGGTTCTTGTCTCTTCTCAATGATCCTCGTCTGTATCCCGTTCTTTGCCAATGCGAGGGCGAGGACTAGGCCTGAGGGTCCTGACCCTATCTGGACGCATCACAATTTGAAATGAGCTCGAAGAAAGGCGAACGAGGAGAAACCATACAATCAGTACACGGGGAATGTTATCCATTGAGGTACGTGGCAGGTCGAACCGTGACGGCACCTGGAGTATATATAGCATGTATGGGCCTCTGACGGGCCACAAGGCGTACTGTGTTTGGGATTTACACCTCAGGGGAGTCCTGAGGTTGGTCTATTGCGTCGTTCTGAATCAGCCCATGATCATGAGCGATCAAAAGAAGCTCACTGGTGCCGTCCCGTCTTCGCGATGGAGCGGCTGACCGTGATTATGAACTCGTCAGATTAGTAGCAGTTCTTGGCGTTAAACAAATCTCCGGGGTGTACTTTAGGTCCGTCGATCCACGTAGGAACTCGAGCAGAAATGAACGGTGCCATTAAATGAGTCGAGTAATGAGGGGGGGTGCGATCATACATGATATCACGGTGAAGCCAACAGCCCCTTGAAGTATCGGTGTAGTGAATGGTGGTTTTGGAGGATACCACCGACGATTCCATCTGGGCGAACCATTATTAGGCCGCATACTTCGGTGATGTATGCGTCATGAGCGTGACCGTCATGGTCCTCGAGGACGTAGTCGGCGTAATGGGATCCAGACGGTATTGATTGGCGAGGCTTGACGATCACCACCGACTTCACGAGTTCCTTCGGATACCGGGCCAATTCTTGAAGAACGTGCTTGGGATCGACGAGGTGGGCAAAGATGAGGGCTGTATGGTGGGAGACGCTGAATATTTGGAATAGTGAGGATGATTTTCGGGTGAATAGTTTTGAGCGATCGGCTTGAAGGAGGCCTGTTGAGTCTGGTGCTCTGTCACCTGCCCGTAGTCGACCGTCATAGTCATTGCCATAGGGTTCCATCTTCTCCTCTTCCTCGTAGAAGTCAAAGTCTTCCAAAAGAGCATCCTCAGCAGCCTCTTTCTGAATCTCGAACGCTTTCCTCTCGTCTAGCACAATCGGACTCCACCTGTAGTTCACGCCCAGCTGCAACAAGGAACCTCCTTGAGTCCACGGTGACTCGTCCTTCTCCTTGAAGGTCTTGTTAAGAAGTTTCGTTGTCTGATCTAACATCTCCGCAATTACAGGGATACGCTCCTCGGTGTAGGACCGCAGCAGCGTGGGTTTCGCGAAGCCCTTGGCGACTAGGGCCAACTTCCACCCCAAATTGAGCGAGTCTTGAATGCCCGTGTTCATCCCCTGAAGGAATGTCAGTTAGGGGCCAGATGACGCGAGGTCAAGAATGGAGCCTTACCTGGCCTCCTGTCGGGCTATGAACATGTCCAGCATCCCCTGCAATAAGCACCCGGCCAACCCCAAATGACTCCACCATACGGATATTCGGGCTGGAGACATCATTCAGACAACCCCCTCGAGCTCTAAAGGTTAAACTCACGTGTAATAGGACATCCAAGGGATCTTTCCGAACTTGAGTTCTGTCCTGTTACCAACGTGTCTTCTAAAGCATTGGCGGACAGTTTCGTCACTGGACGCGATCTCCGAGTGGTTGATACACTTTCCAGCGATAATGAAGTTGAAGAGGCCGGGCGTTTCGGTAGGCCGTAGGCTCACCCTGAAAGACCCGGTGAGGACGGATGGAAAAAGCCACAAGGACCGAAAGAACTTACAAGACATCGGCAGCATCACCCCACATGTGCCAGTGCTATAGGTGATAAGGAATCAGCATCGAAGAAACTTTTAAGGGAAGAAATAATGACACACCTTGGAACTCAAGCCATCCACGCATATGTCACCAACAACGAAATTCTCCACCGTTCTAGTCTCGCCTAAGAACCGTAACCCCAGTTGTTTCCTCATCACGCCCTTAGCACCGTCCGTCCCAATCACCCACTCATAAGACGCCTTCTCAGGCTCAAGCCGGTCCCCCTTTGGCCCACGTTTTATAAGCTCCACCTCCACTCGTTCAGGATATTGGGTGAACGATATTAGTTCCGTTCCCTTTTCCACGACACATCCGTATTTCGCAAGCGCTGCATGAAAAATAGTTTCGAGTTTGTCCTGTCCGAGGAGTAAGGGATTGAGCTGTGAAGGGATGGGGGTAAGGACATGATCACGATCCGAGTTCCGCTCTCACAACGTACGAAAGGATTCGTGGGTGTTGGATCCATCAGTGGCGACATGGAGAATTCCTGGAGAACGTCGACGCCTTCTGGCATCTTGTATTTTCGGACCATAGGGATGTTGATAGCTTGCTTGAGGACATCGTCGATAATTCTCAGATGGCTGAAAAGCTCTAATGACCTGGGCTAAAGGAACGTGTTCAGGGCGCGTTGAATGTCGAAACTTGGCCGAGCCGTACCATGATGCCTGCGCCTCGTTGACCCAGTCGCGGTTCATGCTGCTTTTCAATGATACGAACAGGTACTTGGTTTTGAAGGAGGATTAATCCAAGGACAAGGCCTGAAGGACCGCCTCCAACCTAGAGAAAGAGTGGTTGGGATCTACTGAGCAGGGGAGGTTGAGGGGACGTACGATCAGGACAGGCGAGGGCTGGCGCGACATTGGATGGCTTCTGTTACAAGGAAAACTTCAGATGCGCGACGAGGTGGGGAACTTTATGACGATGGCCGGTTTCGTGAAGGCCTGGACTCGGAAGGATGGCCACAAGGTAACACAAGGTTCCAATGTATTTCCGTGACGGACCGGAGAGGCGAATGGAAGGAAGTAAAGGAAGGAAACGGGGTCTATTCCACCAGTCGGATGGTTCCCTCATTCGTTTTATACTTGGTGGGCAGGTTGGGATCAGGCACCCTGAACATGACTGAAGGTAGCTATCCTGAGATTGGAAAGGGCGCCTCCGGATTCTGTTTACATTTTTTAAAAGTCCGGGGCTCACCTTTTGATGAAAACATAGCCACGTGTATAAGCGCCTGTACTTATGTTACGAATCAAAAACACTAATCAGGTCGGTGGCGCTGATGAGTGGCAAACTTCTTCCCATAAATTCTTGTATGGATTGCAGGGATGCAGGGACGAGCCCTGATAGACTTCAATGGCTTAGGTCAAAGGAGGAAGCTTCAAGAGAATTATGTATCACTATAAGTCCCTGCGGTAGCAAAGAGCGCTCACTGGCCATGGCACCGATCGGGGCCTTTCTGTACTTTTTCGTTGCAAGACCGCCGACTCCCGAGGTTCGCCTGCGCTTGGCGTACGTATTTCGCGTCGACGACCACCAGCGACCACCTTCAGTTTAGGATCGTTACCCAGAGGGGATCAGCAAGATTTGCCGATTCTACGGCCACATCATGGATGAAGACCGCGAATTCGGATAAGTATCCTGCGGACTCGATACTCACCTGCCCACACCTCCCAAACGACGCAAAATGATTTCTCCATCCATCCTTGCCAGTGGTCAGGCGGTGTACAGTGCGCCAAGAGTAGATCCTGGATTCGTTCCCTGATTACATTTAGTATTTACCATTCGAGAGAAAAGGGTGTCGTCGGCCTGCGCTTTAAGAGCTGGACGGGTACATTAACGGGTAGTCAGCTGCTTCCAGAATGGGAGGGCCCCGCTATTAGTATCTGCCCCGGAGTCTGGACTTTGCTGAAGATCCCCAGCGGAAATAAGAGAATATTTGCATTCTCAGCCAATTCTCAGCATTGTCCCGATGGGAAGAGCGTTCCCAGGTGCTAAGAAACGAGGCGATAGCACGTAACACTACTTTCCGCATCCCAATGAGGAGGGGAGTGCCCAGAGATATCGACCTGTGAACTTTTGCTAAAGGCTTTACATACCCGATGTACTAGCCAGAAAGTCCGACAATCCTCATACTTTTCCGATGCCAACAAATGTGTATGGTGCTCGATTGATTGTTTCATTGGTGACGCCAGTCCAAGATATCGCGATGGTTGTGACTGGTGGCACATGTAGCGGAGGCTCTACAACTTCAGGTCGACGCGATGGTGGATTGATCGCGCAGTGTACGAGAAGCCTAGATTTGCGAGGAAGAAAACAACTCCGACGAAACGGAACGGCAAGCTTGAGAAGTGGCGGTGGTAGAAAGCAAAGAACAAAGGAAAGGAGAATGTGGAAGAACCAAGTTGAATCCATCCCTCCGAGCATCGCTCGATGCTGCGCTACTCTTTTACGGCAGGTCGCCTCGGAGCCATCACGTCGAGAGACGAAGGAAGGTTAAAGAACAACTCAGCTAAAGCGATTTCATTCTCCTAGGCTGCCCTGGATCGCTATGCCTGCGGTGTAGTAGATGCCCTGTTAACGAAAGTTTGCTGTGAGCCAATCAAAGAGATTGAGGAAGGTTGTAAGGCGTACTCAGATGGTTAAGTGGCTGGAGCCTCGTCTATAGCCATGGTAGTATCTGGAAGGAACTTAGCACAAATCGAAAATAGGTTGTCAATGGGAAGCCGAACCATCCACAGCGGTCACTGTAGCATCTTTGGCAGTTGAAGATACGATTAGCGCATGCTTGCCTGGTCGGGAGACGATAACACGCGCTGGGTCGTTGCTGAATATTCGAATGAAGCGAAGCAGGTCTAGATAGGCGACCTCCTTTTGATCCCATTGCCGGAAGAGCTCCACCGTCGGTTCATGTGTTAGGTCTACAACTTCTGTACAGGCATCAGAAAAGAAGACGATGTGGTACTTGCAAGGTAACCACGCACCCATTCCTGTCCGGTACAGCTCCGTCTCCCTCATCTTCAAATCCTCAAGGTGCACTTCACGGGTACTCTTGGGTCTTCCTTTCCGTCTGGCAGCGCGCTCCTCTTCCAGTTCCTTATCGTGCCTGGTTAGCCACACATCACGGATGATCCCATGAAGCTCCTCCAGCGTCAAAGCTCCTTCTTCTGGGATAGCATGGTAGAAGAAACCAAAGAAATCGGCTTGAAGTACAGTCAGACGGGTCTCGATGTTATCTTAAAGACAAACCTACCGGTTGATCCTTGTTTTTGAGTTCTCTTCGAAGCTAGATTTTGCAACTTTTCCTTTCGCAAAGCTTTTCGGGCGAGTTGGCCTGCTTTTCGTGAGGATGGGTGGAAAATCTTTTCCTTTTTGTTTGTCGTCGACGACTTTTTGGCAGGCTTTGGAGGCATTTTGGGAAGGAGATGGGACGATTGGTCCAACGGGTCCCCCTAGATGCAATCGCAGGAAGCAAAAAAGGGCGTGTGAATAAGTTTCTATACATGCTTTGGCGGGTGGTTTTGCCGCCCCACGAAGACATTCTTCAGCAATGTCGACGAAGGAGTCGGAGAGGAACGCGTCCGCGCAGCAAACCCTGGACAGTACGTGTGCCTCAGTCGCTCAGGTTGAGACCCACTATTGACCTCTGATACAGTTCTGTATGAACTGGCGCAGTTACTGAATACCCAATTGGACAAGGAAACACTGGCGACCTGCGTTGGGATGATTGAGAATGGGGTCAACCCTGATGCCCTTGCCGTTTGTCTTTCTCCGATGGGTTCTATATGAACTTGGTGATTGATGTCTTGCTTAGGCGGTAATCCAGGAGCTGCGCCGTGAAAACGCCATTGCCAACGCGGCGCACCCGACTCCTGTGCAGCGATAACGCCGTCGATAATGCCCTGCGGTGGATGCGACTCCATTTCAAGAACGGTCCACATATGCAGCCCACTCCGCTGATTGCCTCATGACCCAATGGTGATGATGGTGATGGTTCCATGAGCCAAGAACAGGTTCCTGTTGCGGCTTGGTTCAGGCCAGATAATTATTATATTGAGGAAGCTGTGGGCCATAGGATAGTTGTATATAGTGCTGTGTACATCTCTCAGGACTTTTTGTGAATTGTAGTGGTCGTTTGTGGGTCAACGCTGGAGGCTGGAGCCACGAGCTTCAAGCGCCGGACAATCGGAGCCCAGCCAAATTTGCTCTACTTCCAAGGTTGGCATTGTATTTCTACGTCCTTTCTCATCTTCCTCGTCGTCCGCAACGATTGCGACAACAACGGCCGTCCTCTCGTCGTCGTTGCGATCGACACCCTGACCGCATTCGTCCATCAGTTAATTCCCGGCGCAAGCTGTATTTCCCAGCGTTTGACCACCCTCGGCACAGGCTTCCCTCGACACCACATCCACAATGGCTGCCCGCGCACTCCAACCCTCAGAATACGAAATCCAACGAGAGGTCGAGGCTCTTCGCGATATTCGTAGACGGTCGACAACACCAGGGGCCCTCACCATCGATCCCGACTTGCCCAATCAGTCGCCACCGTCATCACCGACGACGACCTATTGGTCAGGCAAGGCCAGATCCCCTCCAGTCACCGACTCCAAGGCAAACGGCGCATCGCAGGAAAGCGGATCCTCCAACGAATCCTCAGAGTCGGACCATACCAACGAGGCAACCACACCCAACAACCCAGCAGACGATCCCTTTCATTTGTTCTGGGTACCAGCCAGTCTACACCCCGAAATCGCCCCCGCAGAATTTAGAGCCTTTCTAAAGGAACATGCCCGCAATCCACCGTCCGATGGCGGCGACGGTTCGCTGGAACGAGCATCTTCATTGGCGTCACGGTCCAGCCTCACTCGCAAACGTTCGATGCTCAGCAGACAGTACCAACCCAAGGAGGGCGATGAATCCGACGGCGACGAAAAAATCGTGCCTCTAAGGAGAAATAGGAGCTATGCACAACACGTCATTCCACAGCTCACCATTAGCGACCTACAAAAGCTGGAAGAGTTGGCAGAGGAGGCCTCACAGAGTGACGATCCATCGAAGCTCAGGAGTGTTTTGAGGAGGAGCCTCAGTCTGAACTTGTCCCCTACAGGTTTGTCGTGTCACGAATCTACGTTATCTGGAGGTTCACGCTTTCCTAGCTATCGGACAAATGGACGTGATGCCTGAAATGGCTGATGAAGCCGACGTCCCTATCATAGTCCCTCCTCCAGGGCAGATTCTTCGGAGAGCAGCGCGAACTAAGATCAGGAAACCAGGTCTACCTGGGGAAGGTGCTGCCCATCGATTTGGGTCTTCTAGGCGAGGTCGCCGTAGCTCTGGAGAAGGTCGGACTTCTGTGGAACAGTTGTCTAATGAAGGCAGCGAACCTGAAGCAAGCACTTCGCGACGGCAAACAATCTCAGATGATGGCTCGCACAATCGACCAGACTCTTTCAGCGAAGAAGCGTCTATCTTCGACGCCTATGTACGTGACGATGAGGAAGAAGTCCCTCCACCTGTCCCTGCCCTACCCCCTCATGTCCTGGCCGAACCGTCTCCCATACCACCTCCTCCTGTCGAAGAAGCACCTCAGTTAGCGCAGCCAGAAATCCAACCGTCCCTACTAGAAGCACTCGGACCAATCCTCGACTCGGAGCAGCCACAGGTTGCGCAACCTGTTCCCATACAACCCCTTCAAGAACCTCCAGTGCCCCAGCCGTCAAGAACCCCCTCTCCAGAACCGGTCGTTCAAGAGACTCCAGCCCCGATCCCCCAAACCTACTCTCCACAGCCTTTCCAACCCGCACCTCCATCCGCTATCATTCAACCCATCACGTCCATTCAGCAACAACTTAACGCCTCCATCTCTGCGCCTGTCCCACAGCAACCGCCTAAGAAAGAGAAGGAAAAGGATAAGAAAGGACTGTTTGGCAAATGGGGGAGCGACAAAAGCGGGAAGAAAAATAAAGGGGAGAAAGAGAAGGAGAAGGAGAGTTTCTTTGGCTCGCTCTTCGGTAGCAAGAAAAAGCAAGAGGATTCGTCTTCATCCGTCAATACGGCAGGGCGCGAGGCTGCACAGGCATTGCTTGGTGCATCGAAGTCATCCAAGAACTACGTCCCTCCTTCGTCACCGGGGCTGGCTCCAGGAATCAATAACTACTCTCGCTATCCGATCCATGTGGAGAGGGCAATCTACCGACTCAGTCACATCAAGTTGGCGAATCCGAGGCGCCCACTTTACGAGCAGGTTCTAATCAGCAACCTCATGTTCTGGTACCTTGGGGTCATTAACAAGGCCCAAAATCCACAGCCACAGTCGACACCGGATAGCAGCGCCAGCCAGGCCGAGAAGGAGCAGCGGGAGAAGGAGCAACAAGAGAAAGAACTGAGGGAGAAGGCTGAAAAGGAGAGATTGGAGCGTGAGCGTCTGGAGAAGGAGCAGAAGGAACGGGAGTTGGAGATGAAGAAGAAAGAGTCGGGTAGGCGTGGATCTTTAACCAAAACACCCCCTGGCGGATCTGCGGGAGGTCGACGTGCTGAGATGCCCGTCAAAGGACCGCAATACGACGTTCAGCAACAGGTTATGCAAAAGGAGTATAGCAACGGCTACAATGGCCCTCGCAATCCAAACCAACCTGGGATGATGAACGGTCCTAACAGTCAACCATACCCTCGTGGATCGCCTTCTATGCAACCACAACAATTTCCCCCTCAGCCTTATCCTCCACAGGCTACACCACAGTACCCGACTCAGCAAGGCCAGCCATACCCTCCCCAACAATACCCTAATTCTCCGCCTCGGAATGGTCAGCCTCAAATGAAGGGACAAGGTCCAGACCACTATTATTACGACAACGGCGGTGCCCGAGGAGGCCTTCCACCTGGGGCCATGCCACCTGTAAATATGGCACCGGGTCCAGCACCGGGTCCGCACCAGCCGCAGCGATCTCCTCAAATGAACAGCCTCCCTCAACAACAGTCGCCTTCGGGACCAACCGGTTCCCCTGGACGAGCGCCTACTCGTTCGTTATCCGCTAATGCTGTTCCTAGTGGGGGCCCACCTCTGAACGGACACACTACGTTGCGGAAAGGCAACAGCGCTCATGCTGTAGCTCCCTATGAGAGAAGGCGAACCAGTGAAGAAGACGACACCCCGCTTGCTGTGTATCAGCAACAACGGCGATAGCATATTCCGGATGGTCATCGACCCGTTCACGGCTACGGGCTTTGACCTTCAAGAATGGCACACGATGGATCCTAATTTTGAATCATCCGATAGCAATCACCCCATTCTGCTCATTACTTTCCTTCTACAGTTCGTTTTCGTCCACCTGTTCACCCCGTTCACGACCGTCTAGTACACTTTGCCCTCGTTATGATCTGTTCCCATCCTTTCTCTCCGCTAACCCTCGTGCAATATCTTCCTATCTCACATACCTCTTTAATGATTTGTGGTCTGCATCTTTTTGTTCTTTTCTTTTTCGATCCTTTTCCTTCTGTCCAACACTTCAGGTCTCTGTCACTCCTTTCCTTTTCCTATCCATCTGCGATAGAGGACCCTCTTCGGACATGTAACATATCGCTGGTTATCACCAACATTGGTTTCGTACCTCTCCTTTCCTCCTTCCGATCCTTTCTGACTCGTTTGCTTGTCGAGTTTCTCGCTGCAATATTTATGTACAACATGGATTTTTGTGGAGTTTCTCAAATGCGGACGATGGCTTCAATTTTTTCGTGAGTGATTTAGGACTGTCTGTTTTGGAGGGATTTTCTAAATTCACAAAACAACGGCCAAAACAACGTTGAAAGAACTTGAAACACCCCGCCGTGAACACCCCTAATGGAACCCGAAGGTCAGAAACTGACATTTTGATCAGAGCGCCAATGTCAGCCGTCCGACCCTCGTCGCTTCGGGGCACTCATCCCTTGCGGGATTGCGAAAAGGTAACTTGTCCTATGTAAACAAAACGGAGACCACAGTACTAGTCTCTACCGAGGTTTGTTTATCTCTCTGCTTGCTTTCTGCCCCAAGTGCACACCCAATTCCGAGCCGGAGCCACTTGTGTTTCGACTTCGTCCTAACCTGGCCTCGGGATTCCTGCTTGCCCTCACTTTCAGCGGGACTCGAGTTACATTGCTAGTTTTCGTTAAGTACGTGGAATTGATGCGAACCAAGTGCCTTTTAGGTTGGTATGCGGAATGCGCTGCTGTGGGATGATTGAGGCCACGGTGTCGATGGTGTCTCGATGCCGTACTGACCTTCACTTGTTGCATGGCGAGCCAATCAGAGGTCTCCGAGTCAGCGCCCGATAGTTGTTCTAAAGATTGTGCTCTTACTTCTCGCTCCTGTCAAGTCCTGTTCGTCGTTAAGGTATCTTATCACCTTGGTCGCATTCAATGTTAAGGGTTCGTAATGAGCAACATGGCCGCCCATACTGCTATTGTTTCCCTTTCTCTTAATCGCAGGTAGAGCCTGCTCTTTCTAGCTTCTCGATGGCCGCCGTGAGTCCGAGACAAGACGCGGACCCTCAATCATCGAGGACACTATTGCCCTCTGTTATCGCCGCAGGTTTCTCAGAAGGAGGCACAGCCGATGCTAGTGCAGTTGGTAAGTAAACTGCTCAGTGACACTGGGCCTGTCGAGCTTACAAACCTTTCCACAGGAATAATACCCTCGTTGACCTCAAGAAACAATTTCATAAACTTCTGTGCTTCCAGGAATAACGGCGCCCTCACCAATGGCTCCCCGAATTCTCGGGATAGTGTCTGTAATCCTTGTCCCATCGGGCTGTTGCCAGCAGCCGCGGATATGCCCTCTGTGAAAATAACGGAGCCCCTGCCCCTGGCCGTTCTCGATCCAAATCAAGAGTTCACGATCGCCTTGCGCTCGCGAAACTTTGCATTTGGTTCCGCTACCAATCCCTCCGCAAGCTTCATGACAGCTCCCCAGCAGCTCTCGTCGGAAGGTGTAATTATCGGCCACATGCATTTGGTCATTGAAAGCTTGGACTCTTTTGATCAAACGACACCGCCAGACCCTCAACAGTTTTCTTATTTTACTGAAGTCGTCGATGACGACCAGGCCCCAAGAGTCGTTATTCCGCCGATCCTCGGGGTTGGCCTTTATCGAGCGACAGTTTCATTGCATGCTATTAGCCACCAGCCTATTACGCTGCCTGTGTTGCAACGCGGCGCAACTTCGGACGCTGTCTATGTATGTATATTCGTCATTCCAGTCAATCTCCTTCCTGAATTATCCACAGTTTTCCATTGGCAATGGCACCAGTAGCAGAAGGTCGCTCGCTCGAAGAGACGCGGAAGGGTCACCTGTCCAAACTAGGAGAGTCCAGTCAGTGACTCGGAATCTCGGACGGAGACAGACCATCGGAGATAGCGATTCACTGACCCTGAATCCCGATGCCATAGTGAGAGCTTTTGCAAACGATGGACAGGATACCCCACAGGCAGGCTAGTAAACGCTTCAAGTTTCATCGCCTCATAGGAACGGGAGTCTGATGCGAATGTAACAGGACAAGTGGCCTCACTGACATCCTCGAATAACTTCATTAATTTCTGCGATACGCGCCGCGACCTCGGCCTGACTGACGGGAAGCAGGGCCAGTCAGCTTCGTGCAACCCGGCACCTCTGGGGAGAATAGCAGGGATAGACGTAGCAGTGAGTGCAATGCTCCAATCAATCGACAACGGTAACTGATGTCAGAGAAAGCCATCAAGTAAATTCATCTTCCCTCGCATGGGTTCTAGGCTGGCTGCAGAGGAGCCCTTCACTATTCAGCTACGAATAGAAGGAATGGAAACAGGATTTAGGGTCAATCCGATTACGAACTACCTCGCAGCTCCTCAGCAGCTGACCCTCAGAGATGGGATCAGGGGCAATGCTGCAATAGTCGTCGAACAAGTTTCGTCATTCAATCAGTCCGAGCCAACCGAACCTAGACGTTTCGCGTTTTTCTCAGCCGTGGGGCTAGGAAGCAATGGTGTATCGACCGCCGATTTAGACACCGGCTTACCACCGGGGGCTTATAGGCTGTCTTCGATCCTTCGAAGTGAGAACTACCAGCCAATCTTAGTCTCGAGAGCTGAGAGGGGCTCTTTCGAGGATATTGTCTATGTCAGTAGAGGTCTCATATCCCTCCTAGGTCTTCCGGCGGCTAACACCCCAATACCGCAGTTTACAGTTGTTCCCCCGGGAGAAATCTCAGATTTCGAACCTGTCCCAACTGGTACCTCTTCTGAGATACCCTCTTCATCTTCTGGCTCACCATCGGTAAAGGACCTTCAAGTTCTGGCTCGAAGTCGCCTTGTGATGTACTGACCAGTGTCGACAGCCCTCTTCCCCCTCGGAGACCAACAATGAATCATCTTCTCGGGTCAACATAGGAGCCATCGTAGGGGAAGCAATTGGGGGACTTCTCTTAGTTTGCGGGGCTATACTGTGGTTCTTCTATTTCGCTCGACAAAGGAAAGCACGGGCTGCGGACACAAATCTTATTCCCCGGGAATTCGTCATCTACCCCCCATCAGGAGTCCCTGAGATGAACGCATATGTCAAGCCAATGCGGGAAGGGGCAGCCCCTCCTGCTATGCAGCAACCCTTGGACCAGATGCAAGTTATGTACCAGAAGGGACATCGGAGGCGCCCGTCAAGAGCTTCTTTTTATTCAGAGTCTGCTCCGTCCTATAGGACATATCCATACTAGTCCTGGAATTTGTACTTATAATAGTCAACTCTGATGCTCTGAAATAACACACCTTTGCCGGGTCGAAGAAATGAAGGCAGACGAACAAGAAGGTCGGTGGATGGTCTTTATAGTAGGAGGTGGCTGTGTCTGATTAGATCATCAAGCGCGCTTGGCATCGTGCTGGACAGCGGCATCGTCACGGTCACCTCTTCGCGCAACCACGATCCAACGTCGCGAGCTTAATACCATCCTCTTTCTGTATATTTCTTGAACTCATACCATGATCCTGCTAGAGGTACGGCACCCTCTTTCCAAACAAACCACATGGACCGACGCTCAACACTGTTACAGTCTCATAATGTCATTATCCAGAATACCCTGAACGACAAACTTGTCAAGTAATCTAATAGTTATCTACCCATCGCCACGGGCCTGACGGTAACAACTAGACCTACCTCTTTGGATGTGCAGTTCGTGGACTATGATGGAGTGCGGTTCCACCTATCGACGCCGGAGAAGAAGACGCAGCTCCTGCTCTCCATGAGCATCAGGTGCTGGGACGAACTTGTGCAGTATGGTGCCCTCGATGTGCTAGGAAGAGAATATGGATCACTCCTACTCCCTCAAGCGGAACCCGAGTACAACGTGAGCATGGCTATCGACCTTGAGCAAGTACCAACAGAGCCAGGTTCGTGAGCCGCTGCTATTCTGGAGTCTGGAGTGTGCTAATGGGCCTTTAGAGGCTCGCGATGCATTTATCATGTCCATCGCATTGTTCAAGCGACACGCCCTTGCTGCTCCATTTGAACTCGCCTTCAAGACCCAGAAGGAACTCGAATCTAGTGGAAGTGGACAAGGCGAACTGATGACCATCCATTATCGCGACGAGGAGGCAATCTACATCCAAGCCGCGCACGATCGTGTAACTGTCATCTTCTCCACCGTCTTCCAAGAAGAGACCGATCGTATCTTTGGGAAGGTCTTCCTGCAGGTGTGTTGATGCGATGGCTGGAAAGACCGCTTTATCTTATATTTGATTTAGGAATTTGTGGATGCTAGGCGGCAACCCTCCATTCAGAACGCGCCCCAAGTACTTTACTCGAGCAGGGATCCTCCTCTTGAAATCAGAAACGTCCCCGGCTTGCGCATTGGAGATGATGTCGGCTATGTGACCTTCGTTTTGTTCCCCCGCCACTTTGGCAATCCTACCGTTGCCGCGGCCTCCATTTCCCACATCCAACTCTTCCGCGACTACCTCCACTACCACATCAAATGCTCAAAGGCATACATGCATTCTCGAATGAGGCATCGTGTGACTGAATTCCAGAAGATCTTGAATCGAGCGAAGACTGAAGTTGCGACTGGCGAACGTAAGACCGTTAGGTGTGTCCCTCATCACCAATGTTCCCGCCAATACCCCTTTCTGACGTCTGCCAACAGTGGTAGGACTATGGTTTCTCGATGAGGAGCCGATTAGCATGTACACCCCAAGTATTTTGCGTACTTCCCAAAGACCATGTTTCCGTGATTCCCTCGGTGCCTCCAGGATTCGACACTCAGGGTTTGATTGATTGTTGCTGGATCGTTGGAGTTCGCGCAAGTCGTGGGCATAGTCCCAAACTACTGAAGCAGCGATCCCCAAAACTTTCGAAGGCAAACATTCCATCCGGCAATTGACGCTATCCCAGCGCCGGCTTGTCCCAACTTCATGCATTCCTTCCTTTTGTCCGCGCAGCGGGAATGAGTTTTGGTGAGGTTCATAGATCAACAACGCGTTATTTTAATTTCACTTGAGCACCGTATGTTTTCTGGGGATCGAGTTGGTCACCGTTATTACGCACGCTGCTCGACGCGTCGTAGTTGCCCCTTAAAATAGAATACGTGGGAAACGGGACTAAAGATATCACAGCTGAAAAAGTACGGGCTGGAACGCAGTCGACGTGTTGTGATGCTCATCTCTTCAAACCGTGTCGTTCACCGTTCTCGAGGACTGGCCGGCAGAAGCTGCAACGTGGTATTCACGCTGGAAATGGACGCGTTAATTATAGCGGCTCAGTTTGCGTACTACGTAAGCCGTCCGTCCGTCCTCCACTTCTGGGGTCGAGGTGTGATCGGAAAATCCCCAAGGATCTGAACGAGTTCCAATAAAAAAGAGGTTGGCCTTAACCGTCACTGGCTATTGCTGACCGTTCCCTTCTGACGGCCCCCCAACATCCAACGACGACGACAGCCATGTCGCCCTACGACCACTCAAAAGTACAGCACTTTATAGGTTCGTCCCCGACGCGTCTCTCGATGTTCAGATCGTAATCTCATGTCGTGTAGGAGGAAACTCGCTGGACAAGGCACCAGCGAGCAATGTGAGGGATTTTGTAAAGCAACAAGGAGGGCATACGGTCATTACCAAGGTGCGCCTACTGACCATCGATCTCCAGTCCTAGACGCTGACTTCGTTCCTGTAGGTCTTGATCGCGAACAACGGTTTGTCACCACCATCGTCGTCGAGGATGCCTTTCTGACCCACTTCCTCAGGTATTGCCGCTGTGAAGGAAATTCGATCTGTTCGACAATGGAGTTACGACACTTTTGGCCACGAGCGGGCCATCGAATTCACTGTAATGGCCACCCCAGAAGATCTTAAAGTCAACGCGGAGTACATCCGCATGGCTGATCGATATGTCGAGGTCCCTGGCGGTTCCAACAATAACAACTACGCCAACGTCGACCTCATTGTCGACATCGCTGAACGAGCTGGCGTCCACGCTGTCTGGGCAGGATGGGGCCACGCTTCGGAGAACCCAAGGCTCCCAGAGAGCTTGGCGGCAAGCAAGAACAAGATCGTTTTTATCGGTCCCCCTGGCTCTGCAATGCGCAGCCTTGGAGACAAGATCTCCAGCACCATTGTCGCCCAGAGTGCTGACGTTCCAACGATGGCCTGGTCTGGTACAGGCATTACAGAGACTGTGCTCTCAGACAACGGATTCGTCATCGTTCCCGATAAAGCTTATCAAGATGCATGTGTCACAACAGTAGAGGAAGGCCTTAAGCGATCGGAGCAGATTGGTTATCCTGTGATGATCAAGGCCAGTGAGGGTGGAGGTGGAAAGGGAATCAGGAAAGTCGACAGCCCGGAGGCATTCAAGAATGCATTCCACGCGGTAGCAGGAGAGATCCCAGGTGAGAGCGCGATTCCAATTGTAATAACATGTCTAACGTATTCCCTCAGGTTCCCCAATCTTTATCATGAAGCTAGCTGGCCAAGCTCGTCACTTGGAAGTCCAGCTTTTGGCAGACCAATACGGCAACGCCATTTCGCTTTTCGGACGTGACTGTTCGGTCCAAAGGCGTCACCAGAAGATTATCGAAGAGGCACCAGTCACCATCGCCAAGCCCGAAACGTTCGAGCAGATGGAGCGTGCTGCCGTTCGCTTGTCTAAGCTCGTGGGTTATGTCAGTGCCGGAACCGTCGAATGTACGCACTTTTCATATGAACATTATCGACCTTTACTTATTGTCCGTAGACCTTTACAGCCACGCAGAGGATGTGTTTTACTTCCTCGAGCTCAATCCTCGTTTGCAAGTCGAGCACCCTACGACTGAGATCGTGACGGGTGTCAACCTCCCAGCTGCCCAACTTCAAATTGCTATGGGTATCCCTCTCCATCGCATCCGTGATATCCGACAACTCTACGGCGTCGCGCCGAACGGAACTTCGGAGATTGACTTCGACATGACAAACCCCGATTCCGCCCAATTGCAGCGTAAACCAAGGCCCAAGGGTCACGTCGTCGCTGTCCGGATTACCGCCGAGAACCCCGACGCTGGGTTCAAACCTTCCTCAGGTTCATTGCAAGAGCTCAACTTCCGATCCAGTACCAACGTCTGGGGTTACTTCTCCGTCAATAGCGCCGGAGGACTCCATGAATTTGCCGATTCGCAGTTCGGTCACATTTTCGCTTACGGTGAGGATCGTAGCGAGAGTAGGAAGAACATGATCGTCGCCCTGAAGGAGCTCAGCATCCGTGGCGACTTCAGAACAACTGTCGAGTATCTCATCAAACTCCTAGAACTCGAAGCCTTCAAGGAGAACACTATCACCACCGGATGGTTGGACTCTCTCATCAGCAACAAACTCACAGCTGAGCGACCGGACGCCACCCTCGCCGTGATCTGCGGAGCAGTCACCAAGGCCCACCTCGCTTCGGACGCATGCTGGACGGAGTATAAGCGCATCTTGGACAAGGGACAGGTCCCTGGTCGCGATGTTCTCAAGACAGTGTTCGGCATCGACTTCATCTACGAGAACGTTCGATACTCCTTCACTGCAGCCCGCTCTTCCCAAACGCTCTGGACGCTATACCTCAACGGAGGCCGCACCATGGTGGGCGCCCGACCCCTCGCTGACGGTGGTCTGCTCGTCTTGCTTGATGGCAAGAGTCATTCCGTCTACTGGCGGGAAGAAGTCGGCGCCTTGCGCTTGATGGTCGATGCTAAGACCTGCCTCATCGAACAGGAGAACGACCCTACCCAACTACGCAGCCCTAGCCCGGGTAAACTCGTCCGCTACTTGGTGGAAAGCGGCGACCACGTCAATGCTGGTGACCAGTATGCCGAGATCGAGGTATGCAATTTCTGATATTCTAAGAAACCCGACGTCTCTAATGAGCTCTGGTAATAGGTCATGAAGATGTACATGCCCCTCGTGGCATCAGAGGACGGTGTCGTCCAGCTCATCAAGCAGCCAGGCGTCAGCCTTGAGCCCGGAGACATCCTCGGCATCTTGACTCTCGACGACCCCCAACGCGTCAAGCACGCCAAGCCATTCGAAGGACTCTTGCCGGAAATGGGCCCCCCGTCTGTTGCTGGCAGCAAGCCTCACCAGCGCCTTTCGCAGTCTCTCAGCGTCCTTCACGACATCCTCGACGGCTTTGACAACCAATCGATCATGGCGTCGACCTTCAAGGAACTCATCGCTGTCCTCCACGATCCTGAACTCCCTTATGCCGAAGTCAATGCCATCCTTTCCTCTTTGTCTGGCCGTATCCCATCTAAACTCGAGGACAGCATTCGCACAGCCATGGATGTGGCTAAGGGGAAGGGTGATGGACATGAATTCCCTGCACTCCGTATCAAGAAGGTCATCGATAACTACATCCAGGATGGCATCCTTCCCCAGGATCGCACAATGTTCCGTAGCAAGATCGAGGGTCTTTACACAGTCCTCGAGAAGTACCTCCACGGTTTGAAGGGTCATGAGACGGAGGTGATCGCCAGCCTTTTGGGACGATACGAAGCCACCGAGAAACTGTTCGGAGGGAGCATCGAAGCTCGCGTCCTTGCACTCCGCGACCAGCACAAGGATGACCTCGACAAGGTCGCCAACGCTGTCCTCAGTCACATCAAGGTCCAAAGCAAGGCCAAGTTGGTCTTTGCGATCTTGGAATACATCAAGACCAGCAACTTGAATGTGTCGAACCCCGAGTCGCCACTCTACAAGGTCCTCCAGGGCCTCGCGGCTCTTGAAGCCAAGTGCGTATCTATCGTGCTCGCAAGTCTCGATAATTTTAACGCCTGTACAGGTCCTCTACCCAAGTCTCCCTAAAGGCCCGAGAGGTTCTTATCTTGGGCCAGATGCCTTCATATGAGGAGCGACTGGGCCAGATGGAGACCGTCTTGAAGAACTCCGTCTCCAGCAACTACTACGGCGAACCAGATTCTTCAACTCGGTATGTCCTTTATTCAGATACATGGACGTCTCGAGTTAATCCATCCGGTCTTAGTACACCATCCGCTGAGATCCTCAAAGAACTCAGTGATTCACGATATACTGTCTTCGACGTGCTTCCAGCCTTCTTCGGCCACCAAGATCCCATGGTTAGATTGGGTGTGTAAATTAGCCCTGGACATCTCCGACGATGAGCTGATGTACCCCCTTTTCCAGCCGCCTTGGAAGTTTATATTCGACGCGCCTACAAGGCTTACTCGCTCCTGTCCCTAGATTACGAGGAAGGTGATACCCTCGACGATGGGGAAGTCCCAACGGTTGTCACATGGCGATTTAATCTTGGACAATCCCACTCACCGCCATCCACTCCTCGTATTGCTATCGGGTTCGTAGTCCCGTCCGTCTTTCATGTCCTGATGTTGATGTCGATACCCCATACAGAGAGAACAGGCGTTCAGCTTCAGTCAGCGATTTGACCTACATGATCAACCGCCATCAATCCCAGCCCACTCGAACTGGTGTTATCGCCTCGTTCCCCAACGTCGCAGCCATGGACAAGGGTTTCGGAAAGGTCGTCTCACTCTTGCCTACGTTCGACCATGCCGAATTCACCGAACGTTACGGAAGCAACAATGAACCCCCGAACGTTGTCAACATTGCATTGAGGATTTTCCGCGATGAAGATGACAAGCCTGAAGACCAATGGAACCCAGAGATCGTCGCCTTCGTGAACAAGAACAAGGACCTCCTGGTGCAGCGTGGTGTCCGCCGTATCTCCATCATGCTCTGTCGCCCTGGCCAATACCCGGTCTACTTTACCTTGCGCGATTTCAAGGGTACTTGGGGCGAAGAACAGGCTATCCGAAACATCGAACCGGCACTTGCCTTCCAGCTCGAGTTGAGCCGCCTTTCCAACTACAATATCACTCCTCGTTTTGTGGAGGCAAAGCAAATCCACATCTACCATGCCGTTGCTCGCGAAAATCAACTCGACAACCGCTTCTTCATTCGAGCCTTGATCAGACCTGGACGTCTCCGCGGCTCGATGAGCATGAAGGAGTACCTCATCTCCGAGACGGATCGCCTGGTCACCAGCATCCTCGACGCCCTCGAAATCGTCAGCGCACAGCACAGGAATGCCGACTGCAATCACATCTTCATGAACTTCGTCTACAACCTCGCTGTTGAGTACGAAGATGTTGTTGCCGCTATGGCTGGCTTCATCGAGCGACATGGCAAACGACTCTGGCGCTTGCACGTCACCAGCTCGGAAATCCGAATTGTGTTGGAAGACACTGAAGGAAATATCACCCCCATCCGATGCACGATTGAGAACGTCTCCGGCTTTATCGTCAACTACCATGCTTACCAAGAGATTGTCACCGACAAGGGTACGACTATCCTCAAGTCGATTGGGGACAAGGGCCCTCTCCATCTCCAACCTGTACACCAGGCGTATCCTACCAAGGAGTCCCTACAGCCCAAACGATACCAGGCCCACCTCATCGGCACTACCTACGTTTATGACTTCCCCGATCTCTTCTCCAAGGCCCTCCAAAACGTTTGGCTCAAGGCCCGAACCTACGACACCTCACTCACTTTGCCCAAATTGCTGCTCGAATCGAAGGAGCTGGTATTGGACGAGCACGACCAAATTACTGAGGTGGATCGTGCGCCGGGCAACAACACCTTCGGTATGGTGGCCTGGGTGTTCAAGATGCGAACTCCCGAGTTCCCTGAAGGGCGCAAGGTTGTCGTGATCGCCAATGACATCACCTACAAGATCGGTTCCTTCGGCCCAACCGAGGACCAGTTCTTCTACCTTGTTACCCAATACGCTCGCCAGCAAGGCTTACCCCGTATCTATCTTTCCGCCAACTCGGGTGCCCGCATCGGCGTCGCAGAAGAAGTTATCCCCCTGTTCTCTGCGGCTTGGACCGACCCCGCTCATCCCGAGAAGGGTTTCAGCTATCTCTACCTCACGCCGGAGAACTATCTCAAGCTCAAGGAGAAGAGCCCATCCTCTGTCAAGGTCGAAGAAATTGAAGACCAGGGAGAGCGCAGATTCAAAATCACTGATATCATTGGTGCCCAGGATGGCTTGGGCGTCGAGTCTCTTCGTGGCTCTGGCCTCATTGCTGGAGAGACCTCCCGCGCTTACGACGATATCTTCACCATTACACTCGTCACCGCTCGCTCCGTCGGTATCGGTGCTTACCTTGTTCGACTCGGAGAGCGTGCCGTCCAGGTCGAAGGTCAACCCATCATTCTCACTGGCGCTCCCGCCCTCAACAAGGTCCTCGGTCGCGAGGTTTACACGTCCAACCTTCAACTCGGTGGTACCCAGATTATGTTCAAGAACGGTGTCTCCCATCTTACTGCCAGCAGCGATCTTCAAGGTGCTACTCATATCCTGGAATGGTTGTCGTACGTTCCTGAATATAGGAGTGGTCCTCTCCCTGTCCGGGAGGCGTCAGATTCGTGGGATCGCGATATCGACTACACTCCGCCGAAGGGTGTCTACGATCCCCGCTGGTTCATCGAGGGCAAGGTGGACGAGCAGACCTCGGAATGGTTGAGCGGCTTCTTCGACAAGGGCTCTTTCCAAGAGACATTGAGCGGATGGGCTCAGACTGTCGTGGTTGGCCGCGCTCGTCTCGGTGGTATTCCTATGGGTGTCATCGCCGTCGAGACGCGAACTATCGAGCGAGTTGTCCCTGCCGACCCCGCCAACCCCGCCTCATTCGAACAACGCATCATGGAGGCCGGTCAAGTGTGGTACCCCAACTCCGCATACAAGACCGCCCAAGCCATCTTCGACTTCAACCGCGAAGGCCTTCCTCTCATCATTTTCGCCAACTGGCGTGGTTTCTCCGGCGGTCAACAGGACATGTACGACGAGGTCCTCAAGCAAGGGTCCAAGATCGTCGATGGCTTGTCTGCTTACAAACAGCCCGTCTTCGTCTACATCGTCCCCAACGGTGAACTCCGTGGTGGTGCATGGGTCGTGCTCGATCCATCCATCAATTCTGAACAGATGGAGATGTACGCAGATGTCGAAGCTCGAGCAGGTGTGTTGGAGCCTGAGGGTATTGTCGAGATCAAGATGCGACGGGAGAAGATTACTGGGTTGATGGAGCGCATGGACTCTGAGTATGCTGCTTTGAAGAAGGCCAGCAAGGATACATCCAAGTCTGAGGACGAAAGAGCCGCTGCCCTCAAGGCTCTTAACGACCGAGAGACCCTTCTGCAACCTGTCTACAAACAGATCGCTCTTCTGTATGCTGACCTTCATGAGTAAGTCCCTACTTCTTGCCTTCGATATGGCTTCTCGCTGACATCTTGTTAACAGTCGAACTGGCCGTATGGAAGCCAAAGGCTGCGCCAAGCCCGCTGTCTGGAAGAACGCTCGTCGTTATTTCTATTGGGCACTGCGCGCCAAGCTCGCCCGATCGGCCGCTCTTGCAGAACTCGCCCAAGCAAGCCCTGGAACTACCTATGAATATCGAGCTCGACTCCTTAGCAACGTTGCCGGTATCGACTCCTCTTCCGATCCTCGCCAGGCCACCGAAGTCCTCGAGAACCTTGACCTCAGCCGCACTGTTGCAGAGTTGCGCTCTGACTATCTCGTTCGCCAAATGCTCGACTTGTCCAAGGAAGATCGCAAGGCTGCCATCGACGGTTTCACTCGCCTCGCGGACACGCTGTCGGAGGAAGAGAGAGCTTCTCTCATCTCTGTTCTTCAGAACGGTCCCCGATCTGGTAGGCAACTATCATCTTCGGTCCCTCTGAGCGAGATCTAACTCTGCTTTTCAGCTCCACCATCCTACAATACTTCATAATCGCTTTTATACATTCTTTTTAGGCTCTTTTGGTTTCGCTCTTACACATGAATCGCTCATCCCATGCTAATTCTCCATCTCAAGATCTCACGCTATGATGTAGACATCACGAATATGTACTCTGTAGAACGACGTTTAGCGTTTAGCCTGTTGTAATGTTGACTTCTAATGATACCTCACGATTTCATCACCTCCATCGGCGTTGTCGGATCCTTACTGATCCTCCGTTATCTCGGCCTCTTTCTGTGATTGAGACTTGCCTTCTGTCTTTATCGAGTGTTGAGCGTAGAACGAGACGAGATGGGCCATCTCATTACTGTTGCAACGTGAGTGCAAATTCAACCATACTGAAAGAAGTCAGGCAGTAACATTTGCCAGATGGTGATTCACTCCAATCGATTCCCTCGACGCCGGTCTCTGACCTCATCCCAGCTCTCTTAATCAATGGGCACTGGACTTCCAGGAATGACGGTCACCTCTTCGAACAGGAAAATTATAATTTTGACGCTCGGTGCAGGGAAACTATGAAAGAATTGTAGAAAGTATCCGCATCGCCAAAGAACGAGGCGCTACTTTAAGAGTGGGACCAGAACTCGAGATTCCGTGGGTTACTCCCAGTTTCTTAAACACGCACCTGCATTTAATTACCGACTCCAGGGGCTACGGGTGCTACGACCACTTCTTGGAAGGTATGTCCTCCCAGCCCTCTGTTGGCCAATGGACAGACACCGCTTCCAGGCGATACCATCCTTCATTCTTGGGAAATCTTGGCCAAGATCCTGTCCTCTGACGCAACCGATGGCATCCTGTGTGACATTGGAATGTATGCCCCGCCACTCACCTCGCCATTACTTTGCTCAAAAACCACCTATCAGGCCTGTCGTCCACAAGAATGTCATCTACAATTGTCGCATCATCGCCCACGACCGCAAGATCCTCCTCATTCGCCCAAAAATGTGGCTGGCCAACGACGGAAACTACAGAGAACTTCGGTACTTCACGCCGTGGGCTAAGCATAGGCAATGGGAGGACCACTATCTTCCACGGATGATCCAAGCTATCACTTCTCAAGTGCGTTGGAATTCGAGGCTCCGTGTTCATCGCTCTTGACCCAAGACGTTCAAGGTCAAGGTTCCGTTCGGCGACGCCGTTGTCAGTACAAAGGACACTTGCATCGGTGTAGAACTATGCGAAGAGTTGTTCACGCCAGCGAGGTGGGTGTCGCGTCTCTGACATTCCGATATGCGCTGCTCAGCGGTGTCCCCAGCCCCCACATTCTTATGGGGCTCGACGGGGTCGAGGTGTTTACAAACTCAAGTGGGAGCCATCACGAACTGCGGAAACTCTACACTCGAGTAGAGCTGATCAAGGAAGCAACTCTCAAGGTGACGGCGGCCCTTCGATCATTCTCGCGTCTCCCTCACAAAACGCTCTAGCTCGGTGGAATCTACCTCTACGCGAACCAACAAGGATGCGATGGGGACCGTCTCTACTACGACGGCTGTGCACTTATCGCGGTCAATGGCCAGGTCGTTGCGCAAGGATCCCAATTCTCCCTTCGTGATGTGGAGGTGGTCACAGCTACAATAGACATCGAAGATGTTAGATCCCATAGAGCAAAGAGCAGTCGAAGTATGCAGGCAGCCTCTGCGGAGCGATACTCCCGAGTGGAGGTCCCCTTCGAGTTATCCACTGGTCATGGCCACGAGCCGGAGGAGAAGGACATGATTGGGAAAGCTGCAACCAAACCAATAACCGTGCGTTATCACACGCCTGAAGAAGAGATTGCGTGAGTGTCGAGATTCTTGTAGAGTCGACTAGCGCTTATATTTTTTTTAGTCTTGGACCTGCTTGTTGGCTTTGGGATTACTTGCGAAGGTCGAGAACCCAGGGCTACTTTGTTCCTCTGAGCGGTGGAATCGATAGCTGTGCAACCGCCGTGATCGTGTTCTCCATGTGCCGCTTGGTAACTGAAGCATCGGCTCGTGGAGGTAAACGAGTTTCCTTTCTGCACGCATTCTACTGACCTAACTGATATACAGAGCAACATGTCATCGCCGACGCAAGGAGAATGACCGGAGAACCTGTGGACTCTACCTATATTCCGACCGACCCCAAGGAATTCTGCAACAGGATTTTCCACACCTGCTACATGGGTACTGAGAATTCGAGTGCGGAAACTCAGAGCCGGGCGAAGGACCTGGCAAGTGCGATCGGAAGGTGCGTGTCCTCCATAGATCCAGGACGACCACACGCTCATTTCGTGGCAGTTACCACGTCGACTTGAATATGGACACAGTGGTGACCAGCGTTCGAACCCTCTTTTCCATGATCACCGGGAAAACGCCCCGCTTCCGATCGCAGGGAGGGACCAACGCGGAGAATTTGGCCCTTCAAAACATCCAAGCGAGGTTGCGCATGGTGTTGGCGTACATGTTTGCGCAACTTCTTCCTTGGGTCCGGGGCAAATATGGCGGGTTGCTCGTACTAGGTAGCGCCAATGTCGACGAGAGTCTGCGAGGCTACTTGACCAAATATGACTGCTCTTCTGGTGAGTCGAATACCTATGCCTGGCAATCGCGGTTCTGATGTTCTCGAGTAGCGGACATCAATCCTATTGGTGGCATCAGTAAGACCGATCTGAAGAGGTTCATCGCCCACGCAGAAACTGCATTTGACCTTCCAATCCTCAAGAGGTTAGAATAAAGCTGTTATATCGCGTTGGAATCACTAACGGGGCCTTTTAGTTTCCTGGACGCCGTCCCTACGGCAGAGCTAGAACCCATTACTGAGACTTATGTTCAATCGGACGAAGCTGACATGGGAATGACTTACGACGAGCTCTCCGTCTTTGGTCGACTACGCAAAGTAGAGAAATGCGGACCGTACAGCATGTTCACAAAGTTGGTGCATGAATGGGGCAGCTATTTGTCTCCCACACAGGTCAGCGCATCGAGGATTGGAATGGAACAAACTACTCATCGTATAAGCAGATTGCAGAGAAAGTTAAATTGTTCTTCTTCGAGCACGCACGTAATCGTCATAAGATGACGACGCTAACGCCTTCGTACCATGCTGTGAGTTGTAGCTGCTGCCTATGTTCACTGCCTGTATTGACAGGTCCCATAGGAATCTTATAGTCCAGATGACAATAGTGAGTGGCTCATAGACACAAAGCAAACAGCAGAGCTGATGCTTGAGACAGGATTCGACCTTCGGCCGTTCCTTTATAACGCTCGCTTCCCATGGCAATTCAAGAAGATTGACGACCTAGCCGCCGCCCTGCCTGATAAATCAGGAATCGAGGATAGTTGTAAGCCTAAATCGGACTAGAACTGAGACAGGAAGTGATATACCTCAATGGTATTGCGATGTTGTTGTACAATATTATATAGATACAACTGTGAGGTACCGATACAAGTGCGATGGACGGCGAGAACGATGCAAGGAAAGTCGAAAGCGGAGCGAGTCGTAAGCGAATGCGGAGTGGACAGTGGCCTATTCAAGTCCGTAGGAACCGAGTGAATGCGTTTCCAACTGCCACTTTCTTCATGATTGTCGGTTCTGGTGCTAGAGCAACGATGAGCGGCATGAAGCAGAGCCTATATCGAAATAACTCACGATCTGTCAGTCCTTCGTCCTTTACCTTCCGTCGGATACTCTCCATGATTTCATTCACGGCAGATCGATCAAAGTCGCTCCTAGACCGAAGAACACCCTCCACGAAGGCCAGGTTGGGACCATGCTCCTTCGCAAAGGACCAGAACGACAAAAAGACAAAGTCCTTCGACGCTTCAAGCATCGCTAGAATCATTTCAAGAACACCAAATCGACTGGCCAAGTCCTGCCCGGGGGAAACACTGGCGAAGAATGTCGATGCTTCATTAATATCATCGCGCATTCGTTCGGCAGCGGCTGGCATGCGGAGCTTTGGAGAGTTGGCAAGGGCGTTGAGGTAGGTGAGGAGGAAGGCGTCGAGGAGGTCTTCGACCAAGAGCTCGAGGAGTGCCGCGTTGAGGTAACTCTGATAGTCGGCCATATAATCTCGGAAGGTCTCCACGATCTGGTGCATGACGCCGTCATACCACGATTGTTGGAAGAGGGCTTTTGTAGCAGGCTTCAAGTCGTTAAAGATGATGTCAATGAGAGTCTGCATGCACTTCTTGGCAACGTCGAGGTAGCCGTCAATGGCATCGTTGAGCCGCTCGTTGATGGTGACACGGTATTTCTCGGAAACAAGGGGTTCGAGCCGGCCTAGCAGGGCTTCCGCGTAATCTGCTGATTTCACTTGGTCGTTGGCAAGGGCGATACAGTACTCGACGAGGCCACCGACGGCTTCCTCCGGTTTCTCGATCTGATGCTTGAATTCCGAATCGATGGTCTTGGTCCATTGTTCCTGAATACCGCGCATAACGCGATTGACTTCGCTGACGACGCGAGCGAGAATGGCACCTTGACCACTCTCCGTGGCGAGGTCGACTTGTTGGTTGACCATCTGGAAAAGAATGACGGCGCCTTGAGTGCAGTAGATGCCGTCGCTGTCGATTTCTGGGGGCTCCTCTCGCTTGGTGAAATCCGAGATCTCTGTTGACATTAAGTTGGCTGACCACTCGTCTAGCTTCTCGATAATAAGTTGGACGTAGTCCTCGATGAGTTGCTGTTCCTTTCCGTCGAGTAGGGGTGGTTCTAGAAGCTCCGGCGGGATGTTGAGCTCCTTCATATTCTGCTTGTATTCTTTGATCCACTCGTGAAGGGAGAGCATTGTGGTGGCTTCCAGCTTCTCGGACGCCATCCGTTTGACGACAGTGTTGAGGGCTTTGTGATACTCGCGCACATAGTGAGAGTAGATATCGTAATCTGCGGGGAAACAGACAACCACATCCTTCTCTATACGGAGAATGTCCTGGTAGACCCAGGTCAGACCCTCGAGGAAGGCAACGGGATTCTCTCGATCGCGTTCGAATGCATCCTCCATCTTCATTTGGACCGACGCTGTAATTGCTTTCATGATCTTCTGTCGGTAGTGCTTCAAGACACGAGCATCGCCTTGGCTGGTTTTGAACTTGAGGGCCGCAGCTTTCTTGACGAAGCGCATGACCAGAGCCTGTACATCCACGGTAAGACGGACATAATTGTATCGCTGTCTGGATACTCGCCTTCTCGTCTTCCTTGCCCTCAACCTCGGCAATCTTGACAAGTCTCACCACGACGTCCGAATGACCCGCACGGACTAAGGGCAAGATATTCTTGGCTAATTCCTCGAAGTACTCATCGAACTGGGCGATCACCTTGTTCAGGCGTTCGAACCACCGGGTCAGGGTTTTCTGGGAGCTCGCTGATGCTTTCTGCGCCTCGTGCATCGTTTCGTTCCGGAAGCGTTCTAATTGATTCAGGTGGTAGTGTATGATGAGCAGGTTTGGTGCTGGCCCAACGATGTCTCTGCTATCAGAGGCGAGCATATGTTCCAGGTGGTCGAGTCGTGTCGCCATCTCCAGCAGGTTGTTCACCATCTCCTCGGTTGATTCAAAATTCCTGTGGACCATAGACACCTATTTCCTCGTTATAACAACGGCAGGCGAGACAGTCAGATTGTACGCACCCTGCTAATCTGGTCAAAGGTCGACACCTTGATCGACATGTCGTCGCATTCCCGCTCGATAGAGGCCATCTCATCTCGAATAGCCTGGACATTATCTCGAGTGCCTAGCAGCTTAGCCAGTCCACGGCGAGTAGCTTCTAGTTGCTCCTTGACGCCAGTCTTCAGCCTTGCATCTATCGAAGCCTTCTCCTTCTCGAGTTTCTTGCGAAATGCGGCGACCTTGACGAGGTCGTCTGGAGCCTGCAGGTACTCCCCGATGGCCTGTGCTGCAGAGACCGTTGGCGCCGCCATATCGGCCTAGCGCGAGCACAGTTGAGCCAGAAAACGGGTTGGGAAGGTCTCAGAGAGAGAGAGGGAAATTAGGATTTGATGGTGGTAGTAGTACAACAGAAGTTGGCAATCCCGAAGCGCTCGCAGTCGACCAGTCGTGCGAAACACACATACTTTGTCCCTGAACTGTGAACATCCTTCGGTCGTCGTCAATGTTGGCGTTGAGGTCGACAGTCGGCCCTTCACGCTGTCTAACACGGGTCCTCGTCTCCAACACTAGCACCCGCTGTCTGTCGACACCGTCGCAACCCGGCCAATATGAAGATGTTGACGTAGTAATTGTCGGAGGAGGACCGGCTGGTCTCGCGCTCGCCAGTGCCCTCGGTGAAGTCGAAGTTCACGGTTTCCATTATTGCGGCACACTAATGTTAAACTACAGGATCGTCCTCTGTTGGAAAAGACCTCTCCGTGGCACTGGTCGAGGCCGGTGACCTCACAAAAATGAAGGAATGGGCACCCGGACCAGGCCTCTACTCTAACCGCGTCGTTTCATTGACCAATGCATCTCAAGCCTTTCTCAAGAGTATGTCGTTTCTTCCAGCGTGATTACGCATCTCAAAGTATTGTAGGAATTGGTGCATGGAGCTATGTCGAAGAAGCCAGGACGACTGGAGTTGAAGAGATGCAGGCAAGTCCGTACTTTGTTTCCTATGCTAAAATCCTAATGGATGAGTAGGTCTGGGATGGCGTTTCGGACGCTCGAATAACCTTCTCCGCCTCCGACATTGGTTTGGATAACCCAGTCGATGGCATGTCCCGCTTAACGGAGAATTTCAATCTTCAACGAGGTCTCCTCCGTCATTTGAGCACCCTCTCCTCTCGCGTCCAGCTCCTCGAACGAACCAAAGTCCAGTCCATCCAAAGGACATCAACTGAGAATTCAAGTTGGCCTCTGGTTCATCTTGACAATGGAAAAATCCTTCGTTCTCGACTTTTAGTGAGTGCCTCTTGCTGGAAGGCACAAGACTCTTTCACTGAACGTGATTCAGGTCGGAGCGGACGGCTTCAACTCGCCAGTCCGAACATTCGCAGGAATTCAGTCCTTCGGCTGGTCCTATGACACTCAGGCCATCGTCGCAACAATGGAACACGAACCGCGAGGGGCATTCGAACCTCCCAACACAACAGCCTACCAGCGCTTCTTGCCCACAGGTCCAATCGCCTTCCTGCCTCTCTCGCCCACCGTATCTTCCCTGGTTTGGTCAACTAGACCCCACATCGCCAAGGCCCTGCTCTCATGCGAACCTGACGTTCTAGCAAGCATGATCAACGCCGCTTTCCGCCTTCCTTCCCTCTCACTCAAATATCTATATGAGAGGATATTGGAAGCACATAACGCCAATACGCACATCACACTCCCGCAAATCCAGGAGGAAATCTTGTTCAGGGAGAAGTCCCACCAGATTGACCAGCATTCAGCATACACGTCCGTCGTGGCTGCTCCCCGCGGAGGCATCGCTCCAGAAGGCTCCGAAGCCGTTCCTCCTTTCGTTCGGTCTCTTCAAGCTGGATCGGTGGCCTCTTTCCCTCTGCGGTTCATGCACGCCGACTCTTACATTGGGGAGGGGAAAGGGGAGAGAACTGTGTTAATCGGCGATGCCGCTCACACCATCCATCCGTTGGCCGGACAGGGCTTGAACTTGGGGCTCGGTGATGTCGAATGCCTGGCAAAGTCCATCGAGAACGCAGCCTCTCGCGGTGGAGATATCGGTGGGCTATTTTCCTATCTCCTCACTGATCTGACGGGCTTAATTACTCTTTGTTAGGTTCATACACCGCCCTCCTGCCTTACGCTCAACAACGCTACCTCGAGAATCACGTCCTGATGGCCGCCAATGACAAACTCCACAAGATCTACTCGACAGAGCTCGAACCTATCGTTTGGGCCCGCTCGGTTGGACTTGAAGTCGTCAACGAGCTCGATTCCTTGAAGGCTGCGTTGATGATTTCTGCAGGTGCCAAACCTCGTCACGAATCCTATTCTGCCGTCTGGGAGACTGCTGCGAAAGTCATCCCGAACGTCTCTACCGTCTTTGAAATCTCGAGAAAGGTCGTTCCCACTATTGGAGGTGCTCTGCTCGCTGGAGCCTCCAATCTCCTCTTGCAAGCTCAGAAAGATGTGAACAAAAAGTAGTGGGTGGTTACTTTTATAATACACGGAGTACTACATAGGCTATAAGATTACAACAGTGCGTAGTGAAGATAATTTACCAATAGTTAATACTACACCACTCCGTTTTACAACCTCTCTCTGCCTAACCACTCAACCAGCGCGTCTTCGAATACAAGGGGAGGCCCTGGTCGAAGGAATTTGACTCTATTCCTCTGATCATGTTTTTGCATATGAAGAATCTTCCGCTTCATGATAATTTGGACGTTCTTGAGACACGACGCATTTCTCGATTCCGAAATGATTTCCGGACCAGGTTGCACGTATACCCGTGAAACTGTTGCCGGGAGACGCGTCGTTGGAAAATAGTCGGGTGGAGGGGAGCATCGTGAGGATTGCGGGTTGATATCCAGGGTGGCGTAGAGATCGTTGTGGAGGTTCCGTGAAGGCTGGGCAGGTAGGAGGGTGAGTTCTTCCAGCGCAGGTGCTTGGAGCACGATATCGTCAAATAGATACACGGGATAGTCGTTGAAAGCAGAGAATGTAAGGGAACGGAGGGAGGGGAACTGGGGAGTATGGTTTGTGTAGAGAAGGACGGGGAATTGGCCTTGTAAGGTTAGCTCCACAAGGTTGGGGCAGGAAACGGGGAGGAGGATGGTAGTTCGCGGAAGATGCGAGACCGCTCGGCAGGTTCGAAGTGTACTCGAGATCATTTGTATGATTTGGATCCAGGCGGTGCGGTTTTCATCCTTGAAAAACGTGTCAGCGCATACATATATGCGAAAGAGGGGAAGGCGAGGAGCTCCTTACATAGACCGAGTCTGTTACTGCATGCAGTTTGCCCGTACCCTCCCCAGGCTTCTGCGCCATAGTGGAGAAAAACAAGTGTCGTACGCGACGCTGACGTTCTGGGATGGAAGCAAGCATCCTCGCAAAGGGGATTAATCGTTGCAGGCCGATAATGGCGACTGAACGAAGCTTGTACTCGCTAGACATGTGGTTTATCAGTCTGGAAACAAGCGAGAGGGAGCGTCCAGTCGAGCCATCATCGTCACAAGCGAGTTCGAAAATGGTGAAGAGGACTTCCGCGGGGCACCTTTCCATGGTTTGGGCTGTACAGAGGGTTGCAGAGGGCCCAGGGCGGGGAAGCGATGGCTGCTACGAGGTACGCGAGAGCCCCATTGTTCTTTAAACACTCCTCGTCGGCGGGGAACCCCGCTCGTCCTCGATGGTGGTCGGGTATCGATGACAGAGAAACCGATTTACGGAATCGCCCATGCAAGTTCGATCGCAGAATCAATAGCGACTATTGTTATCGTGCATCCGTGGTGAGTGCGGTAGGTCGTTTCAGCCCAGTGGCGTCCGTTCGTGTTGTCAATTTCGCGGGAGACCCCGAGACTATGACGAGCTTGGCCGTTGGGATCAAGGCTTTGCGGGAAAGCGAGTCGGCAAACACACCCGGTTCGGGGGCGCTAATTTCCAATCGTGTTCTGGATTTTCTACCTCGAAGGTTAGGTATTCTTGTCTTTTCGTAATTCCTTGGGGCTTATGTTGTAAATTGAATAGACATGCAGTTGGCTTTTTGAAGGGAAGAAGTCGACTCGATGCTCGTGATACTATTCGGATAGAAATCGGACTCCGCCTGAAACGCGCTCAGGACGCGTCGCGACGCGCTGGGCCTTGGCATCTCCACTTCATCAGGTACCATCACCATCTTCTCTTCAACTCTCACCTCGACGTTCAACTTCAAGGTCGTCACAGGCCATTGGAGCCGTTCGCAATTGAGGCGCAACGTTTTCCGCCGATCATACGGAATCCCAAATGAGCAGGAACAAAGTCTATGCCCAACTCGTCAAAGAGACTGATTCTCCTGAACTGGAGCCGCAGGTCAGGCCCTCGGAACACATTGGTCATACCAGAACTCACAGACTATACTTACAATGGCTTGATATATGATAGACGGAGGAGGCCCGATGGGTTACAGTGTCGGAGAGAAGCCTCCCATTATCGGAGGATGACCTGAGAAGGTTTGCAGAGCCAGGGCGTTTCATGGTGTGTGGCCTTTTTCTCTCTGACTTCATGCGACTGTTCTCAAGCGAATTCGCAATAGCTGAGTACTGCCGGTGTTCTCGCTCTTAGCAGAGAAATTGACAAGATATTGGACGGTATGATTAAGATACTGCAAGGACCTGAGGGTGAATGCCCTTGCAATTATATTTGATCCCGCGCCATTGACCGGTTTGTAGTTGAAGGGGATCTCCAGCCGGGTGCTCTTCAAAATCTTCCCAGAGAGATAGAGCAGATACGGAGCCGAATTGAATCAGGCAGAAAGGTTGTACAACAACAGATTCAAACGGTGACTGACCTCGTTGAAACAGTGAAAAAGGTGGAGTGACCTGTCGCTCTCTATCGGTCGACACGGCTGATGCGACTAAGCCAGGAGGGGGAAAACCTTGTTGAGAACCTTGAACTCGCACTGCAGACCCTTCCTCCTCTATTGGACCGTGCACGCACAGCTTTAAACGAGCTCTCTGCAACAACCATTGAAACCAGCCTCATAAAGCTCTCCCTTCTCCGAACAGAAACTGAAAGCAAACTATATGGCCACAGCGGGAGTTCAACCTCAGGTCGCACCTCAATGGCCAAGGCAGTGGCAGCTGCCTATGTTCGCATGCGAACGCAGGAAAGAGAACTCATCAAGGAGGATAAGAGTCTTGGAGATCAGCTAAAGGAATACCAGGATCTGATCCAACTGGTGGACGGAGGTCGGCAGGGAGGGTTTCAACAGGTCGTTGACGATTGGGTCCGTGTCAAACGGGAATCTGAAGAATGTAGACGAGACTTGCGAAGACTAGGGTGGGCTGGAGACATCCCTTCCTAACATCGGAGAGTCGAAGACTGTAAGTACTCAAAACTTGCTCATACGCCATCACACCTGTCGATTAACGAACGCCTTTGTTCGTAGGGTGCTAAAGATTTCACCGTTTGGTTGGGTGCACAGCTGAAGAGCCATTGGCTTCGGATGCGAATAGAGTGAAAACTTCGTCATCGAACTCTCACCTGAAGTCGTTCACAGTAGTCAGATCCCCTGGCAAACGCTGGATCTCGGCCTCAGAACCCTTTGCTCCACAGTGCGTGCACCGTGGCACACTGTGCCGTATACGACTTCACAGGTTCCGAGGTATGAAGCCATTTCAACTTGGGCTATTGCCTGCCAAATCCTTTCAATGGGCCTACTTTCATCAGTAAAATGGCCAGCGCTTGGTCTTGAGCTTGATCGCTTGAACTTGAGCTTGATCATTGAACTTGAGCTTTGCGCGACTTGCGCACGAACTTGGATCATTTGAGCTTGCAATGACAGCTTACGCCATAGCTTTTTCTTCATCACTTGTGCATAGAATGCCTTCGAGGAGAGCCTGCATTTACATTCGCATCTATCAACTAACAATCTCATGTGCATTATGAATGAGTATAGTAGAAACTGTATTGAATAGGAATTCGATGTTTCGCAGCATAACCAATGAGAAGTGCCGCACGGAAGATGGAATTCAAATGGTGCTAACGAGCTCGTCGATATTTCCGGTGAGAAAATCAGCCAAGCGGAATTCGGAGGGGGATAGAAATGGGTAGCAGATCTCCTCAAGAATTCTATCTTGAAGGAGATCCTGGGGTGGTCTGTCGTAGTCGTAGCCCTCGGAATCACAGGGGGTACCTAACTTGAACATGAGCGAGTCCCAAGAGTAGATAAAAATTAAAATCAGCCACATACCATCAATAATTGGGTGGGTCTCAACATGGTTTGGAGGGGGTGTTGTCCCTGGTGCATCCGGAATTCGAGGCTCGAGTGAGGGCGAACGACTGAGAGGAGGAGGTTCGGGCAGTTGAGCTTGCGCAGTGGTCACGCGAGTTATGTCAAGATGTTGAGATTGCTGTTCTGCCATTTTCCGAAGGGCGATAGGCAGCTCGTGACCCCTTGTTCGATGCTGTGTGAGTCCTCCGGGTGTCGTGTAGCCTTTTGCACATTCTGCACAACGGTACGACTTTGGTTTGCACATCTTGCGTTGATTTGACATGGTTTAACGGGTAGAAACAGGTAAAAATGACAAGATCTGCCTCGCTTCGCTACGGCTTCAGGTCTGCCACTGGAACCGCTTCAATAGAGGTCCATCGAGACGCCATATATTATCGCGAGCCCATGAGACAATTGCTTTAAAAAACAATAGAATGCAATGGCGCAGCAACGACAATTAGCAACGCCTTGCGTTGGTGTGCGGTGGCGGTGTTCAACCCATTTGTTTGCGATCAACATACTTGGGTTAGGGTCAACCTCCTTTCTCCCAACGTCCATGTCTGCTCTGATACCTCGCTGCGCGTCCACAGTACAGTAAGTCGGATACTCTGTCATCATTCAAGAATCTCTAAGTAAGTTACATTTGTAGTCGAAGCCTGCCCTTCATCCATTCGAACAATGGCGTGGTGTCGATTCCGAATTCGAGACATCGCGGTGTACAGTTGTCCATGGGAGAACACCGGCGAAGTCAAGTCGATGCCAACACGATCGAGAGTGAGTCCTTGACAGCTATTGAATGTCGTCGCGTACGCTGGAGCTAACGGGAACTGCCGTCGACACAGTGTATGTCCTGAATACAAATTCGCTTCGAATGTTATCCTGGGGATCAAGATATCTTCGCCTTCTTGCACCCCGCTCTCACGCACAATTTGAACGGTTATGAGTCGCGTGCCTACTCCCTTCACCAAAACCCGAGCATTCTTCACGAGTCCTCTATCGATTGAGAAGTTGCGCAACAGTCGACAAACGGACCCCACCTTCACCGACACGGCATGAGGAGGCAAACCAGGCGGTGTATGACGCATTACATAGTCCAACACCGCCTCCGGGGCTGGTACCTCAGCATCTTCCACCTCCTTCAGTTTGTCGGCCGCGTAATATGTTTTGTTATGACCGGGAAGACGGTTCAAGATCAACGTGTTGTATCTGTCGACCTGCCTGTTCGTCGGGGCCAATATGGCGCGTTTCACGCAGTTGGTGGGATGGAGAAGGATCTCGTCTGGGAAGACAAAGGATGTCAGGTCGCTCTCTTCAGTGACAGTGCGTAGACCGGTCAAAGGTATGTCGGGACCGCCTCCATCTCCGATCGCGTTGACAAATGTCGCAAATTCAGGATCTTCGGCATTCCTAATGGGGTGGATGAGACGGGCTATGGTGAAATACCTCCACAGGGGCGAAGACTTTATTGAAGCGGCAACCACTTCGGCGCGGGACCCTCCTCGAACAACGGGGCATGTTTGTCTGAAGTCACCAAGCAGAACAATGACTTTGCCTCCAAAGGGTATGTCGGTTCCCATGACGTCCCTCAGAACATCATCGACGCAACTAAGAACCGCTCGATTTGCCATAGGTGCTTCATCCCATATGATCAGAGATGCTTCTCGTATCAGTTCAGCACGGGCATCTGTTGAGCGAATGGGGGACTGAAGCATCTCGTTCTTTTCATTGACGGGGACCTTGAATGTAAGTGAGTCGACAATTCTCTCTTGAAAGACTTTATCGCTAACCTTAAAGGTAGAGTGTGTGGTCCTCCCTCCATCGTAAAGTTGAGCGGCAAAAGCAGACGACGCTGTTGGAAGGACAACACGGCCTTGGGCACGGAGCTTATTGCATAGCGCACGAATAACGGTTGTTTTCCCCGTACCCGCTTTTCCATCGACAAATAAACTCAACGGAATCTTCATCTCGATCGCTTCCATGATGGTCTCATACACCTGGCTTTGCTCGTCATTAAAAAGTCGTCTACTCGCTTCTGCCTGAGCATTTAGCTCCTGTTCTCGACCCGACCAACGCCTAAGCTTCTGCGGTCAGCTCGGCCATGCGTTCCACTGGCTGTGGTAGTCCGTAGTCGCTGAGTGTCTTCCCGTACTCCCCGAGATAATGGCCCATCTCTTGGAGGGCCTCGTTCCTCCCAAGATCGATATTGCCGTTGTTGCGAAGGGTAAAATCGTAAGCCAGTGATTCCCAGAACTCATCCCAGACTAACAAAGGAGCGGGGACACAGTCATTGACCAAGAGATGCACGAAGAGAACACGTATTTCGCGAGGTGTCCTCAATGCTGCAATGGCTTCGGCGATCGCAAAGATAGCTTCGTCGTCATCGGTGAAGATACCCATTGCAATGGCAGCCTCCTGGTACGTTCTGAATTGAACGCCGTTGACGGTTCTGACGTCTTCATAAGATCTGGCGGCCCTCTGAGTTAGAATCGCGCGCAAATAGAAAGTCTGGCCTTGGGTCTGTCGCACGTTCTGGATCCTTGCAAGATGTGTAATGGAACCGGCACGCAAGATGACATGCATACGGGGAGCGTCCAAACCATTCGGGCGCTCGCGGTAATATCTTGGATGGCCATCTTTTTCGGGGTTGTAGGGATCGATTCGGAACAGGGTGAAGTATTCGGTGTAGGTGAGGTCGTCAAAGTTGCGTGTCTGGCCTTCATATAGGAAGGTCCCGTCAGGGCGCAGGAAATACCGCTCCAGCTTGGATAGGGAGCCTTCATCGCTACGTCGTGAGTAACGTTGGTTCCGGATGTTATCTTGATCGTGGACAGGAAGAGCGGTCACAGAGGGGTCCTTTTGGGTAATTCTGAATCCCAGGATGCGCCATGCAGCCTCTCCAGCAGATAAGTACCGCGCATTCCAGAAGTCTTCAATCTCGTTGATGACCTCCGGATTGTTGTCATCAAGTATACGGTAACGAGCTCGATCGGGTCCTAATAAAATCCTTTGATTGAAATTCGGATAGCTTATTTAGGGCGAAGAGAACATACCTTTGTGAATATACTTGAATAGGTATTGGAAGAGGTGTGAAGTGCTAGCGATTTCGAAGTTGATGTGACACTTCATCATCCTTATTAAGGGGAGACAGTGCGGTACCACCATACAGTCTTGGGCGGATCTTCTGCGATAGAAAACACGTCCTTCGGGACTGATGGTTGTGGTAGGGGTAATGGGGAAGGGGTAATTGAATCGACACTTGCGAGAGCCATCAGCTTGCTCTCTCTGGCAATATGTCGAGGGGGGACGATTCTCGGGCGGGTGATTATGCATCATGAACTTCTGAATGAGTTCACGATCCACTGGGTCGTTTGGTAGCTCAGCAGAGACTACACTATCAATGTGCTGGGGAGTAGAACAGTCGCGGCGGTATTTGATGAGAATATGGATGTGAGGTAGGCCGCGTTTCTGGAACTCGACACACTGGATGGTGTAGATAGGGGAGCCTGCATTAGGGAACATGGTTTTCAGGGCCTTCAGGAGTTGGCGGACCTTTTGCTTGAAGACGCGTACAACGACTAATGGGACATCGGAGTAGTCTTGGCCAGGGCGAAGCTGCGACTGTATTTCCGGCCATTCGGGGTTGCAGGTCATTGTCACAAAAAAGGTGGGCGTCCCGAGAGCAGCAGCAATGGCCAGCGAGTCAGACACTTGCTCGGAGGCCCACTTTCGTGAGCCCAGAAAAGAAGCAGGGAGATAGATGTTCTCGTTTGGTTCAACCTCTTCCTCCCCCATCAACTGCGCATCCTCTCGAGTTCGACGGTCCTCGAGGGACCTTTGAATGAAAGCCAACCTGCTTTCAAGGTCACGTGTATGCATGTCCACCAAATACTCGCAAGTGAGACGGCCAAAGATGGAGAAACGCTCTTCACGAAGTAGTCGAGCGCGATAATGCCACATTTGAGTTGTTGTAGCTTCACGATCAATGTCCCCATTAAGAACCGCTGCACCATTCGCATCAGTGACAGAGCCAAAGAGGCCCCATCCAAGGGTAGCATGGGGAAATAGAAGTGGGTAGGAGAGGGGCTCCCACAGGCGACTGACATTGGCGATGCGGTAGTTGGAGTTATTCTGACGGGAAATGACCAAGCGTCGACCTGAGACATCAGAGACAGCGGTGTTGTGAAGGGATATCAGTGCCGCAATCTCGGAGGAGGGGCCGGTTTCATTGACAACCAAGGATGCCTGGGGAGCATGCTCTGCCATGTCATGGACCATGCGTACATACTGTACAAATGGATTGACCCGTTGGAGAGCGTCTCGAATGGTTTGAAGCCACATTAAAGGTAAATCTTCAGCCAGATCCCGTCGAGGCATGGAGCTCATCATAAAGCCGTCGTGCAATAGCCAGCGCATAGCAGAGGACGGATGCATTGGACGGATGCGATGATATACCTTCCCTTGGATGGCAAACATGGCACTGCCACTATAGGAAGGAAAGTCATGGGTTGTCTCGAGGGAAGCGAAGGAGAAGATTAGATTGAGGGCACGAGAGACTTTGGAGATTTGAGGATGGTTGAGGAAAATATTGAATTCGTCTGGCAAGGGAGGTAGGGGGGGAACATCTTGCAGACGACTTCCGCGAGTGCCACAGCAGAAACCCGGTATCTCCCCGGTAAGGAGAATAACCTTACAATAAGGGCATTCATGACGACGTCCATTGCGGACAGCGCCCCATTGCATGGGTGGGCTGGAAACACCACGGATAACCCACGGATGTTCAGAAGTAGACATTGATAAGATAAGTCGGTGTGATGTGACGATGATGGTGATGGCGGGTGATGAGGAATGACCAGGAGAGTAAAGGCGCCATTTATAATGTGGTCAGACTATTGTGAAAGACATGTTATTGTGAGGGATTGGGAAAACGGAAGGCATGGTTACAGTAGGTAAAGTGATGCAGGGGCCGAGCGTGTTGCGTAGCGAAGCAAAAAAAGAGAAAGAGGACATTGAAAATCGGGGACAGGAGAAAGCATTTACAAAAGGTGGCTGCTAGGCGCAAAGCTCGGACCATCTGTTGGTTGTGTCCATGGGGATGAGAGGTCAATGAGAGAGAAAGCAACAGTAAGGCCAGAAACGAATCTCACCGTTGCTGAGACATAAAAAGGTGTGGAAAGAGGTTTGGAGTGATGTTGGGACGCGAATGATAGAGAATGATGTATTCACGTAATTGGTGAACAGAGACGGGTGTCAAAGTAAGGCCCTGAAGCTTGAGCAAGAAAGGCGTAAGGCGGCGAGTAGAGGCGCACAAAGGCAAACGCGTAACAGAATAGTGGTGTTTGTCAACGAAGTCGTGACGGTGGGTAACACCGCGGGATTGAAACTCAAGACAGTAACCTCGCCGTGAGTGGGAGTGGGACATTTTGGTATGAACGAAAGAGTATGAATTGATGGGTTATATACTATACAGATGCAAGGACCACGAAGAGATAGAAATAAAGGTCAAACCATGAAAACAAAAAGTAAAGTAAGTAAGTAGATAAGGTACCGATCAACGGGGTATTCGCGGAAATAAAAGAAATCGAGGGACAAAAGTTATAGACTGCTGTCAGTGGCCTTTCCCTTACCCTTATCAAGGGAAGGCGGCACAGAAACGCCAAAGGCCTCGGGAGGGGGGACGTCAGGATACATGTCTTCGTCTTCCGCCGGAGGAGGGAGTAGCTGATTGCTGTCTGTGTTCGGCTCGGAGGGAAGTGCGATTGCTTGCTTGGAGCGGAGAGAGGCCCTGGTAGGCTTGGCGGCGGCGCGAGGCTTTGTTGTTCGTTTTGATTTGGAAGGTGGAGATGGGGACTCGGGTTCAGGAGCCGTAGCGGCAGGGGGAGGGGAGGAATGGGAAGGGCCAGGCTGAGCATTCGATGGACCAGCCTGAGCATTGGCAGGAGAGGAAGCGAGAGGAGAAACAGTAGCCTGGAAACGGCGCTTTTTTGTGGGAGGCCCGGCACCGGGAGAGTCCGAGGTAGCAAGTGAGTGCGCATCCTGAGGCCTGCAGTTGAGCGCCAAGTGAACAGCGCCAACACGTAGAGAGCGGTTAAACGACTCGCAAAGACCGAATACGGCAACACATGAGGACAGGACGGGGGAAGGGGTATTCTTCCATCGAGGGCTTTTGCCATCGAGTACGCATCTGTAGGTCAACAAAGGCGAAGACGTGAGAACAGAGCGGTAAGAATAAAGTCGAGAATGGAAAACGCACACGACGGAGCTAAACTGGATGGAGTCGCGGACATACTCGGCAAATGAAACAGAGAATGTACGGTTCCCATCGGAGATCTCAACAGCGGAGGAGACTGTGCCGACCACAAAAACGTAGGGGCTCAAGAGAGACGGAACACTCTCTTCGTAAGAGTCCAAAGCGGGGTCGCCCGGGAATGGCTCACATACAATGCCCTCAAGCAGAATGGGAGCATCAGGGGAGAGAAGAGTGTCATCGGAAGGTGGGGAGGGCAAGTACATCTTCGCCTTCAAGGCAACGACGACGTTGTCGGGGAGTGGATTATTCGTAGGGTGTGAATAAACGCGAAGGCGGGCGGGAACGTGCTGTCCATTCGTGCACATGATAGTGGTGTCGTACTCAATAAAGAGCATACGAGCAGGTCGAGAAGGGTTATCGGGAACAGTTCCAGGCTTTGGCGCGGCAGCAACACGGCGACCATTGGCGAGAGCAAAGAAACCGTCGATTATTGCAAGAGACATAGGTGAAGAGGGAAACGGCGATGTGATGCGAAGTGTTTGGAGGAGAGGCGAAGTGCAGGGAGCGCATTTATACAAAGAAGGAAGGGTCAAAGCACGAAAGGAAGGCGTTGCGAACACAAAAGGAAAAGGGCGGGCGGGGAGAGAACAAAACGGGAGGTGAAGAAAGGCGGTGCGGATAGCGACGGGCGCATAGCAACGATAGCAACGAAAGGAAGAAAAGACCAAGAGTGTTTGAGTGAGAGGGAAGGGAAAAAGTATAAATAAGGAGGAGAGAAGAAAGAGGGCGGAACGCAGGGGATGCCTTGAGGAACAAACAGAAGCAAACAAAATTGGATGGTAAGTTTAATAAGAAAAGGGATACACCATTGTCAACAACCTTTGTGGATCATCGATGAGAGTGGGAAATGACCAAACAGCTGGTCGTGTCGAAAGCATGTCCGTTAGGCATGATTCTCCTTGTTCGTCTTTCTTGCCACGTCACTATGTCAAGGCAGAAATCGAAACCATCCAGAGCATCCAACGGGCCCGGTATGCACTAGCACTATCTATTACTATAACTCCCTTCGACTTTTTGCTCATATTTTGTGACCATTGCAGGGCTTGTTTCAATCTGTACTCAGTAATCTCGTCCGTCCTCTCCGTCCATTACGCATCACTCACAATGTTACCGGTCAACCATCGTTCCAAAGCGTTTCCTTCCGCCCTTGATTCTTGCCACCCAAGCAGTGAGCTACATCCACTCGCCTTTATATCTGCTGCCTTTCTGACGTTTTGCGGCTCTACAGTGCAAACGCGAACTCTCCTTCTATACGACTGGTGAGAAGATTTTACCCAGTCGTCCGCTTGGTGATTTCTGATTTCTCTAAGAGCAACTGGGGAGGATCACGAAGAGATCCGCGAAGGGCAACAAATCACGGTCAACTCGACTTGAAAGCTCTTCGAACTTCGAAGTCGTCGACAAACTCAAGGAACCTTTGAAGAAGAATATCCGAGTCGAGCCAGCACTCAGCTTCCTCCCAGAAAAGCGTCGTCGATCAAGCGGTGGAGCTCAGGCAGTCAGTGCCGTCGCCAACGAGGACAATGATTCCGATTTCGATTTGGTTGACGATGAGAATGACGACGATTAGGACCTACGTCTAGCATCATTCAATTTTGCCTTTTCTTTATAATGGTTCCTTTTCCCTATCTTACTTAGTCTGTTCTAATATATCCCCCCCCCCTGCTAATACTACATTGGATTTGCCTTCGAAAGCCCTCCTTAAGCTGCTCTCAAGCGACGGTCAAGCACTTGAGAAAGCCTCAAACTTGAGCCAAATCGCACAGCTTTGATCTCGATGGACACTTGAATGACACTTGACCAAGCGATCAAGCCCTTGTCAAGATAAGGGCCCTGGCTTGATCAAGCATGAGCGCTTGACTCGCTTTTCAGCTTGGTCAAGCGCTCAAAGCCCGATCAAGCGGGTTGGACATTCTCCTGATGTTCAGATTTCAATCTGCGGCTCGAGTTCTCCGTTAAACCTTTGCGACCCTCACCGCTTCCACCCCCACCTGAGCGTCCGTAGAGGCGCTATAACGCCCCCAGACTACGGCTATCACATAAAATGCCGGATCCACCTCTATTGTCTTCCTTTCTCAGTTCTGTCCATTGACCCAGGAACCAATGATATCATCCATTTCACTAAATGGGAGAACTTGAAAAACTTTATCAAAGTTTCCACCGAACGTCGATGAATTAGGAAATCTGAAATACCGTGTAACACATGGGCACTTGCATAGCCAGCGTCGGAGGGTGCGTCGGGTTCTCACCAAGGTAGTTGTGGCCGCCTTTTGCAAGGTCCGATGACCATGGACCGAGTAGATTGAGCGGGGGAGAGAGGTGAGCGCTTAACAACGCTCTGATTGCAGTGAGTCCGAGTGTTCTTCTCTGCGGGGGATATTGTTGTTGTTCAATCGTCACAGCTGCTCGTCCAGGGGCCAGCGCTGAACGACTGGGGCATATCCTTGAGGCCTCAGCAACGCCGAAGGTCGATACAGGTGTCAATTGGTATAAGAACTTTAAATTTTTTAAAGAGGTCATGAGCGCTGGTTTTCTCACAGGTCGGAGGCTCTTGAGTTCAGTCACTGGCTTACCCGTCTCTTTAGGGCACACCCTCAACCCGCCCTATTGTATGGAGGAGAGCCTAACGCTTGTCCCGATGTGGATGTGTTATGCGTACTTGAGGGAGGACGGTGGTGTCCTGGTCACAGTGTCGTGTCGAAGTGTCATCAGACCACGTCAGGGCCAGGGCCAGGGACCCCATTTGCGACAGGGTGGACCTCACGTCCAGTATCACAGCGTCAAGTCCCAGGGATGATTGAGCGGGGTATTGCAGTATGCAGCCTGCGTTCCGAAAGGTCCCTTACAGGGACATGCGAGAAGAGCAAGAGGCAAAAACCAGCGAAGATTTCGGAGTTTCCTGTAAGTTCCAGGAGACAGGTACCTGCAAATGGCGACTTGCAGACGGGTAGAAGTCGACAGGCTACGACTAGGGAGGGAATAGAATCAGATCCACACAGAAAGACATGCATCCACCATGGTCCCCCTCTGAGATTGTCATCAATTTCTAATGGAGCGTGCCCCACATCAGAATTGCACTTTGGTGTGGCCGACCAATATCCGTGTGATAGTCCAGCGGGTTCTAGCTCCTCTGATCAGGTAGCCTAGCCTTGCAAGAGGCATGATCAAGTGTTTCAAGCGCGGCTTGAGTGCGAAGCTCAAAGGCAGTCAGCGGCTCGTATGGATCATTGTCTGAGAGTGACAGATAACCGGCAGACGAACGTTCCCCGGAAAGGTAGACAAATCCAATAGAAGGAACACCTTGGTATCGAAGATAGTAAGCAGGCCACAGTCCCAGATACTTGAGACGGCGGTGCTAACGATAACCAGTTCCAACGTCCGAGTGGAGTGTCAAGCGCCCGCGGCCCACCCAGCATTCCAATTTCCCACCATTCCGTCCGGAATTTGCCGGCGACCTCAAGTCTGCCGCAACGTTTGCTGAGCATCCCCGGGCTCTCATGGACTTCTGACGCTGAACTGGCTGAGCACGCAAAGAGGAGGAGGCCACTCTTTTTTTTTTTTTTTTTAAGAAAAAAAAACTGCTTCTCCAAGCAACCATGTTCAACCAACTTCCTGCTCGACGCGTTTCTCGCGCATGGGTCGCACGCATCTGGCATTGTTCAACCGACGAAATGCCAGTCTATCAAATTAGAGAACATCCAGCGCAATCAAGGGCCACAGCCTGTCTGTCTACTCGACCTCGACGCCAGATTCGCCTGAATCTCTAGGAATCCGCGCAGATTAAATTTGGATCTGTACAGATCCAGGGCGAAACCACCAAATCACCATTCATCACCTTGTCGTACATCGGCCCAACTGTACCTGGCGGTCTTCGACTAAAGCTGCTCATGAACTACTCGAAGCGGAGTCCTTGCCGACTGGCATCTCCTTTGTGGGTATCATTTGACCCACTTGACTATCAACCAAGGCACACGAATCCTCTCTTCGACAGAACTTCTGGCACCTTTTTGGAAGGAGTCGCTCCCAACTGGTCGTTTTGCTCGTTGGATTACTTCGTGTTCCTTCTTGCCCGTATCAACGGTGAGTCCTGATTTATTCTCCCTTCTTCCATCCTTGGCTACCCTTCCGAATCAACCGCGAGTGGACTCATGCCCCTATGGTCAAAAGGGATATCCTACGCCCGTATCAGGCTATGATGGTTGGTTGTATCAATGTCACCCAGCACCGATCCTAGTTCAAGAAATGTCAACCCGCAGCGACGACGGCTACGAGATCACATCCGACCAAGGTATTCAGATCCACATGTGGACCTTTTCGCGTCGTCCCTTGGTTGCTGTCCACTCATGGTTCGCTGATAATACCACCTTGTGGAACCAGCGCCTGGTGTACGACATCTATTAGGGGACTCCGTGACACGAAACATTGGTACTCTGTAAATTCTCGTGGTACAGTGGCTTCTGGGCGAAACGCTCGAACACCCCAGTTGTCAGAACTCAGCGATCGGTAACCGGTTTCAGCATTTTAACTGGATCATCTCTTCATCTCTTTCACAGTGCAAGAAGGCGAGCAGTCAGAGAATCCCTTCTCCTTCTCGCCATTCTCCAGCAAGATCTCTTTGGATCTGAGACTGGCTTGGTCTTGGGCTTTAGCAATGATGCTTCTCTGCCCTTCGTCATTGACCCAATTCCGTGCGTCTTTCATTAACATCGGGGCGGGGGATGTTTTGCTGGCGCGCATTATACTGACACTTACCCTCTCTCAATATCTTCAAGACTATTCTGGGCCACCTGTCAAAAGGTTCGAACCAAAGAGACCGCGACGGATTGGGTAAAGGGGGCTGTTTACTGGTAACTGGCTAGTTGTTGTCCCTGGTCCGTCGTGCAGGTCTCCAAATTCAGCGATATTCCTTCGATGATAGCGCAACTGCCGTCGTTGGTTGACGAGGTCCGTTCGATTCATTAGATCTGCGAAGGCTAAGCGCCCCATCCCATCATGTACTAGTAGGGGTTTTCGAACCCTCACCAAGCGGGCCTCGAAAATTCGCTGATTGTTACTGCCTGCAGGCTCGGTGTTTACATCAAGGGTCCCCGCCGGTCAAATAATCCAAACACGGTTGCCTCGGTTATTTCTGTCGTGATGGTCTAACAGTTCCGTCGACCCAACGTCAGCCAAACGCGTAGGATCCTCATGTCCGCTGTTGATGATTCTCTTGTATCTACGTCCGATGCACGATCCCGAGCGTTTCATGATACATGAGGTGCATTGCCGGGCCTGCTATTGGAGTTGGTCGGAGCCCTCCATGAGGCCCATCTGTAAGGAGACGCTCAGTCTTTTCACAGAATACAATCAGGCCTAAGCGTCAACTAATTGGCCGGTTGCTGTGGAACCTTCGCCTTGCTCATGACTCGCCTTGCTCTGGAAGAGGCTATTGAGTTCCTGGTCGCTTCAAGGTATATTGGCGCACATACGTGTTAGGCGAACTTCATATCCCATCGGCATCAACCCATTGTCCTCCTTGAATCCCATTGTTGTCGCCTTGAAAATATGCCTTCCCCACACGACTACTGGCAGTTGTTGCGTAAAATGCTTAGAACGACAGACCGCCGCCCGTTATGCTTTCCTGCGGATCACGTGCTGTACCAATGGGAGTAACTGAGCAACGCTTTCCGATTCAGGTGCTTGCTGCATCCCAAACCTTTGGGCAGGAAAAGGCACATGCAGATCTCAGTAGTGTAGCACCCGCCGGAGGCTGGTCCCAACAAAATGAGCATTGCAAAAAATGATTTATAGTATTATACCAAGGAAAAAGAGGCCAAGCGAAAAAAAGTGTTCTGCAACTGTGGGTTAGGAAGGATTAGCAAGGTCCGAATTTCGAGCGAATGCTTCCTAGAATGGAGGGACCGGGAAGAGTGTCTCGGAAGAGACGCCAGAGACCACTTACCACAAGTCCCGACACCCCTGGCAGACACTCCCTCGCTCCGACTCCCGAGCCCTACCATCCAAGGCGCCCGATGGCAAGGGACATCCCGGTGATTTGTCGCGCTCAACTTCTGCCAATCAGTGGAAAGGTGGGACTGCATCCGTTAATACGATGTTGGCCGTATCATAGGTGGTGGGACCTGTGCGCATCAAATGTCGGGGGAGGGGTAGCCAAGGGCACCGCCTGGCTGTGGGAACGTGAGGCTCGAAGCCTGTGTCAGTGTCCGAATCTTTATCGGCACCAGCCTATGCATATCGAAATGAGAGATAATCCACAGCAGAAGCGAAAGTTGGGTAGACCGTGGCATACATTCCCTACACCAGTTTTACCTCTCGCCTCAACTCGACTGGAAGAAGAAACAAAGAAACAAGGCAAATTCCGGCCCTCAGAAATGCTTGAGTGTTAGGCTAGCGCCGTGACTTATATCGTGATCCATCCTGTACCCGGACTTTCCCTTTCATGGTCATAACTCCTTTGTGACATAGCGCTCAAGTCAGAAGCCAGCAGTAGTGCGAGACGGGAAAGGAAGACCGGCCTTGAAGGACAAACTATCGGCCAGATGATGATGATAGTGTTCAGCGTGATGAAAGGGATGTTATGACGCAGGCGTCGTCGTTTCGCCCTGCCCAATGTTAGCAAGTACCTAAGAAACTAAGAGAACATAATCTTCTTCTTGGGTCAGACTGTTTTCTAGAGTTCTTTATCCCTCTTCCCCTTTCTCCAGTTGACCCAGTTTCAACTGCAATCCATCCTGATTCGGTATAGTCTAGAGTAACCATCGAGTCGGACATATCGCATCGACACCCTAGACTAAAGGTACTACCGAGTGTCAGGACGGTTGACGTTGAGCTCGAGGCCAGGTTTTCCGAAAACCGGATGTTCGACCAAAATAGACCATGGAGGAAGGAGCTGAGGAAGTCGGGCCTTGCCTGGTCAAACGACGGGTATGTTTCACTACCACGAGGCAGGAATAGCAACCCGTCCAGCGCGAGTGTTAGCAAAGACAAGCCGAGCTCCCAATGCCCATACAGGGCGCTCCAATCCCCGACAGTGTGGGCAGGCTCCACATCGCAGTGAAAGTCACGGAAGGACAAATAGAACACGGTATTGCCCCATGTGACATTTAACAGTACAAAAGGTGGCCATTAGGCTCGTGAACCAGCTCGGTTCTTCCGAACTCCGCTGATTGATGATCAGTTCTCCACTGATGTGGAGAGGGTTCGTCAGAACCGGCTGGGCGAAACGGGGACAGTTTTTGGCACGAGGGGTACCGTGTGAACGAGCACTTAGAAAAATATCGCGCTTCAGCGTTTGGCTGATATACAAAATCGAATCCCTATTCACCGTCTGTCTGCCAATCGACCTGAAATTTTGGGAAATTGTTCGCATAGACGTCTACATTCATTTGGCATAGTGTGTATGGGAATGAAAGGGAACGAGTGGACGATATTAAATGATTTCAGAGTGAAGACGCCGAAAAACAGGGAAAAACTGAAGCTCACAGGGAGGAACGATAGGTAAATCCTCGAAAAAGCGAACAATAGTCGAGGGTACACCTGCGGCTCGTTCTGTATCAAAATAGAGGTTCATACGCATCGGTATCTGCAAAAAAGCTCGAAATTCAGAATCTGCTTCTTGGGAGCCTTTGGCAAACACCTACAAATAAAGCCGCTGGCTCTACGCCAGGACATCCTCGAGCATGAATTCGTCGATATCCTCCTAGTCCTGCTCCTCTGCTTCCTCCATATCCACAGTGTCTACGTCGAAATCGACGTCTTCTAGGCACCCAGGAAAACTACCTGCAACGAAGCGTCGAAAAGGTTATAACTCGTCGCGCACCCCATTGGGGGAGTACAACGAGACGTTCAAACGCATGCAGGAGCGACGGCGCATGATTCCAGCTGTCAATGTGAACGAGGACTCGACACTTCTACACCATCAGCCGAAGCCGCGCCTGTTTCTGCGCGAACGCAGAAGGAATCCGGATTCGTCGACGATGGGAATGCGAGCGAGGGTGAGGGCGAGAACGAGGATGGGAACGAGAGGCCCCCGGGAGCAACCTTGATTTGTTGTCCTTGGACGAGGACGAGCTTGAAGACGTCGAGTTCGACATGGACACTGTCGAGCCTGAGGAGGAAGAGGAATCGGACGAAGATTGCGACGAGTTTACGCTCGACGACGTCCAGGGCATTTATTTGTACGTGTTTACCAAAGCCTCCCGAGCTCCAAATTCTGAAAACCCTGGCTTCTCGCAGTCCCCGTGCCCTGTGCCCTCCAATTAAGCTATAAAACGAGTTGTGAGTGAGTATCCAGCTATATTCCTTCCTTTGATTTGGAATGCCCGCCCCCCTTCTTTGCCAAACCGCATTTTTCCTTGTTTTCTGTCCTTTACCTTCGCAGAATCCTTCCTGTTGCTTTCCGATTCTGCTTTTTTCTCACTTTGTGTCCATATAATGAATGTATAACTCTATGCCAGCATACATGCCAATTTACAAGGAGATCGGTGGGAGTATATTGGATAGGGAAGGAAAATTGTTTTTGAGAAAGACGCTGAAGAGTGAATTTGCCTAAGTCCTCGTTCACACGGTACCCCTCGTGCCAAAACCGCGACCGTTTCGCCCAGTCGGTTCGGTACCCTCACCTTTTTGATTCTCCGACATCATCAATCAACACCACCATCATTCGAACTGAGGGGACCGAACCGACTGGTTCACGAGTCTAGGTGGCCATAACTGAATGAGTACGTACCAGCGATGGCTACAACTTGATTGAGATCGCCACGAGGCTTATCGGATGTAAGACACCTAGCCACTCAAGGGAAAACATGAACACAAGAATGTGAATGCGTAATGATTTGGGTACTTACTGTCAGCCAGCGCAATTCGCATTCAAGTTATTCCAGATGATCAGCTGAACCTGATGCACTATCTGCCAGTGTCGGCAGCCTAACAATGGGGGGATACTCGACTTCTCGTGTAGTACCGAATCCAGGGTGCTCCCGCTGAGAGCCCAACGTGCATAATAGCATCGGGCGACACTGAGCCCTGATTTTCCCCAAGAATCGGTGCTGGTCAGCACGAGGCGCGCCAAAATCACCAAAAGACAGCCCGATAATCGATTGTCCGAATTCCAAGAGAGATGTGCGAAAAGTTGAATACCCAGAGCTGCGACAGTCAACCGACCAGCAAGGTAGCAGGATATCCGAGTTTCCAAGATTCAGATAGCGAGATTTTCACCAGAGCAAATGTTCGTGATCAATACTAAGCCCGAGTCAGTGCCCGGCTGTTAGTCTCTGTTAGTTGAGTCAAAATTGAAATGGGAGCGCTCTAAACTGGGTATATGATAGGGATATCATGTAACGCACCATTCCCGAGAACCCGAGAGCAACCTATCCATCTCGCGGCTCGCCTCTCCGTGTCCTCTCGCACCGACCTCAAGGCTCCTCAGTAGGCCCCTATCACAGCCGGCCATCTCTATGCGCATCGCCCAACTGTCAAGCAATAACGCAACCCGTAGAATGTAGAGAGATTGTGATCGTTTTCAACGTTTTCGAGGTGCCAATGAATATGGATGTAAAAAATAGCCATGGTCGTGGTCGGTCGGCAAGCCGGAAGCATCCCTGCAAACGTGGCTCATACCCGGTACGCGTCGGGGTTTTGCTTGGCGTTTCCCGGAGCGCAAAAAGTGAGTGGGAGCAAAGGTTATGAAAGGAAATGTGGCGCTTTGCGAGACTTTCGTGTACGGGACGAGGTCTCCGGGAGACTTGAGGCGTCTCGAGGAAGCGACAAAGGAGATCTCCAAACAAAAACGAACAACGAGGCAAGAGAAATGGCACCCAAATCATAGCCTAACGTATGTTTGAAGGATTCAAAGACACCGCCTGTGAGAACCTAAGCAAAAGTCATGGCCCGGCTGGATACTAGTAGCAGGTGTAGGAAGGAATTTCAAAGGTTGACATGGTGCGTCGTGGGTGATGCAAAAGTAGCGCGGGAGGAGTTGGGCGCTTCGGAAGGCGGCGCCGAATTTCCTTGTGTAAGTTCTCAATCTGGTCGTTATCAGTCGTTATCTTTTCAGCTTATCGGTCTATCATCATGATCTTTGAAGCTATTCGCTTCCCGTTCAAAGACCAACGATCCTCAGCTCAAATTCATTGTACATGAATCTCTTCACCTTTTCATTGGGGAGCTTGGCAAGGCTGGCTACATATGACGAATGACCAGTTGCCGTCGAGTCGTCTAATCGCCCGCCCGCAAATCAATTTCAAACTGTGAAAAAAAGATAGGCGGAAGTAGTCATGGAGAAGACTAAAATGGGTAAGATACGGGGATAAGCGCGCGCTTGGCGGAGAGGGAGGTCCAAGAGCTCGAGGCCCATGGTCATCCGAGATCCGAGAGGTATGACGAATTTTTTGAAGTTTTTCTCAGAAATCGTCATCGTAGGGCCAGGTTTGAGTTGGTTTGGAATATCGTCGCGCCGAGCACTCCGGCGCTAGTCAGCTTCGAGATGGCTAAGAAAAGTGCTGCGAGGCTGAAACTCGACAAGCCAAATTGAAATGGAAGAATAAAACCCACTCAGAATCTCCGGGGTGAGTGACCCCAACAACGTCACCGCATCGTCATGTCATGTCCATCCATTGACCAATCCGTTTTCGTCTCCCAGAAAATCGTCTCATTGGTCGGTTCTGCTCTCCATTTCCATCAAACCCATCAATACGCCCTTACCAGGCAACCTACGGCCCCAATATGGGTTGTCCCTTTGAACATGTTACACTCCACGACGACACTCTTCGGTACGGTATTTACCCCAAGTTACTCCCATCTCCGGGATTCTCACAGGTACTGAAGGCTGAGCCGTGGAGACAGTGGGTTTGTTGCAATTGGGAGCACACGACCACGCATGGATGGGGCAGAGGGGAGGAGGGTGTATGGAAAACGAGCTAAGAGGGTGGGTACGACGAGGAAGGTTAGGACCGGCCATCCGAAGTTGCTAGCCAATGCATGAGTCAGAATGCAGAATTCTCCCTGCATGTATGGTCTTACCCATACGCGTCACGATCAGGGCATCCTGACGCACGACACATCGTCCCCATTGCGCCATCGTCGGTTTCATGCTCCGTGGTCGTCACAACTCGACGGGCAATGATATCATGACATGGCAAATGCAAGTGACTCTTCGCGTATCAGCATCGAACGAGGACGAAAAGGGCCAACAAAAAGACTGCAGCCATGCATTGTTTCTTCGGCTATGCCCCGCTCGCATGGCAAAATGATGTTTTTGATATGCGAGTAGTTCTATGTATATCCTGTGGGAGGGTCCCTGGAGGGAAGGAAAGGTTGAGAAACGGAAAGAATGTGCTGTGACGTGGACCCGAGTCGAGCTACCGACGCGACGCGACAAGTTGCCGTCCGTGTGTACGGTCGCTGTGTGGCCGCTACACTGTACAGTACAGCGCGCTAAGGGAATATGTATCGTTGACCCCTGGCCGAGTGAGTTGAGTTGCTCACTTTTCCATCGACCCTGTCGGAACTCGGGAGGGTGCGGTGGACCAGCCAGCGTGCACATTCAAACATTCAACAAACCTGTTCAATTGTAATTACAAAGAAGCGCATTGAATTGAATTGCATTATAATTAACTGGTGTACGGGTGCAATCTTCCGAAGGTACCGTCCCCCTTTGAATTGGGTCGGCGGATTTGTCATCGCCATCGTCAATTAAGCGCCCAAACCCACCCGTTCCCGCCCATGTTGATGATAAACAGGTGCACTTAATCAGGACCTTACCCCTGCTTGTTGAGGTGCAAGTTGGGTGTCAGTTGCCAGGCGGGCGTTTGAAGCGCCGTTGGCAGTATGTGGTTAATGTTAACGTTCTGAATTGAAGCAGGCACGCCCGCGCAGGACAGGGCGGTTCGGTCGTCGCGGGATGTCTACTGACAGTTATTGCATATGTTGAAAGTCTCAGTATCAAGAATTGCCGCAGGCGTAAGCAGACCTTGAGTCCACCAAATGTCATTCGGAGGATTTAGCATTCTTTGAGGAGTTGGTTAGAGTGTATCACCGGTGTCATGTCTCTATTCACCTGTGTTGGATGTTGAATTTTCCTGGGGCGTTGTTGAGTGGTCCAATTAATCAATCCGTTCAAGTCGTAAGTAAGGTGTGTACAGGTGGGGAAAGCAACCAATAGACTATTGGCTGGTCAACGGCGTGAACAATGGTTGGTTCGAGTAGGGTGTGTGTACTTCGAACCTCGAATGACTGTACACACTCGACGGTTGGCATCGATATTGAAAGAACAATGTAATTTGACAACCGCAAGCTTCGAGCAAGTACAATAAATGAGCGGGCTATTGTATTTTAGGCATCTTTACCCACCGTGTCTATATTTACGCGAGGTTAATATACAAGGGAGGGGATCCACAGACCCCTAGGTGACTCTGCCCACAAGCTGACTCGTCGGCGGAGGGTGCCTGCGCGTGCAGTATGGATTCCAGCCTCATTGACCCTGGGAATACCACTCAGCACAGCGTAGTCCGCAGCGCAGAGACATCGAACGGTGGTGAGCGGCGGGTGAGCGCCTGATGCCCGCGCACGTAAATGGCAGCAGAGTGATGGATCTTCGCGGCAGCCTGACGACGAGGCGAGTCAGCGGTCAGGCTCTGCTAGCTTTGTTTGGAACATCTGAATCTGGGTGAGGTGACTGGATGGGACTGTGTGTATCGGACTCTGGACGAGGCAAGGCGTTTCCCTAGTTAGTTGTGGACAGGCAGGGCACGGCGATATTGTCGGTTTTCCCAAAGAGGAATAGCAACCGGCGTTCTTTGAATGGCCAAGGGATGGATCGGCGATTGGGATCTGAGTGATGAGAGATCTCCGATCTGGGATGGGACATGTGAATGGACTGAGACTCGGAAAAAGGCAAATGGCGTCGTGGCGTCGAATATATAATGACACAAGAGACCCGCCGTTGTTGCCCTTCAGGCCTATCCCTTGTCTACGAAACACTTGGTTGAACAACATGTTCTCCACAGGCTCGCCGTACTCACCGTTCTTCACCTCGGGTCTCCTGTCCGCCCAGCTCCTCGCAATGGACACCCCAACGTCCTCCAGGGCACCGTCCCCAGAGATCCAACTACCCCTGGGTCCAAGGCGAGGCAGTCTGCCCACCGACAACCTTGCAGCCACTTCGCCTCTTTCTCAAGATGAATCTGCGGCCTTTTACTTCACCATGCAGCCCAAGCGTGACGAAACAGAGTTCAGGTCCTTCTTGTCTCTCGATCTCGCAGAGTCCCAGTCGATGCGTTCTGCAAGCCTCAAGCGCAAGGCCTCCTCCAAGGGCTCACGTTCTCGCTCTTCAAAAGCTAATACTGGTCTCTCTATCCCGTAAGTAACCAAAGTGTTGTTGTAATTGGCATGTTCTAACGAATGGCACAGGAGCCGGATTCCTGAAGTGTCGGTACCGCGGATGCCTTCACCTGCGCGAAGGATGCGGTACTCGCGTGACTCGCCGCTTCCATCGCCCAAGCCTGCTCCTTCAATAACACTCCCCGAGTTGCCAAAAGAGGCATCCGACGAACCTCCTCGCCTGCCTTCGCTCGTCAAGACGCCGTCCCTCAGTTTCAGCTTTCCCGCCCCGCCCCCGACCTCGCCCAAGAAATCCTTTTTGCCCTCCCTCCGAGTTTCCCGCACAAGAGCACCAAAATCAGTAATTCAACTCGCCAACAACAACCGCGCCTCGGTTCAAACAACGTCCTCTGTGTCCACCCGCGTCAAAAAGGTCAACCGCTCAGATGCTTTGGCCCGTCTTGAAGGCCGGGTTAAGCCTTCAAGACTGTCCTTCACACCCAGCAGGAACTTCATGAGCATGAGCGACGACGAAGAAGAGGACCAAGACAGCGATGCCGAATCGCTAGGTGCCAAAAGTGACTACACTGACTTGGGCGACGATCTCTTCTATGCCTTTTTTGAACCGGAGGATCTGGTCCTCCCGGCTTCTCTCCCCTCAACATCACCCATCTCCCCTTCGCATCCCATCGCCCATCGCCGCAACTCTTCCTCGCCGACCAAGTCCTCATTTGCCCGCATGCATTTCAGACGGTCGACGAAAGAGTGGTTCCCCCTGAAGAGCTTTATTGATCTCAGGAACGATGATGAGTCGTCTGCGTCAACATGGAGTTGGAGGAGCTTCATTGACGTTGCTAGCATCTCATAAATCATCATTACCGCATGCTCGTCTCAGCTCACCTTCATACGAGCCACCGACTATTTCGTTCTTTTGGCAGCCAAAGCAAGTTCGTCACGCACCATCGATCAACATACGTTATGTCATCTAATTCCTAATCCCAACACACATTCAACCGACATCTCCAACAACCAAAAAGATCTTGTACCACCACTATCAACCGAACAAGCGAGGAACAGTGTTCCCGTCACCCGACATTCCTTAATCCCTGTACTAACTCTTCTTGTACCTGGCTGTGGTCCGCGACCGTACTAATATCTCATCTACTCTAATTATTTGTCGAGCGCTCCCAAGCATCGCTTTGTACTACTCTCCTTCGTTTCTTTTCTCTTCGCTTTTCACTCTCCCCCCTTCACGATTCTTCACCGTCATCATCACTGACACTCTCACGACGTTCGAATGTTACCCATCCCCATTTTTTGTACACATATATCCAACGCCTATTTCTTATCGTTTGCATAGCACACACCATCCACTCTTTCGTTGCACAATTCCATCTTCCTCTCTGTTCCATACTCTTAGTATACCGTCCTGCCCGCTCCCTGAGCCTTCTTTATCTTATTTCTTGCGTAGATTAGATCCAGTCGTCTTTCTCATCCATCTACTCAACCCATCATCACTGCATTCTTTCGACTTTTTTGCTTTCTCTCAACCGTTACCGTATACCTTCATATGTGTACAACAAAGTAGCAGCTTGCTATCCTCGAGACAGTACTTATAACCAACAATAAAAAAAGAGTGTATAATCCAAGCCTTTGGTGTGATTCATTGAATTAGAGTCTCGTACGAGGAAGTCGGGTTTCCAAGGGTAATTTTAGGGAAGACTCGCGAGTCCCAAGTGGATCTCGTTGACTCGAACTCATTGGTTGGCGGCGTAAATTCCAGAACTCTATCTACCATTAAGGTTCGAAAGAGAATCTGTAAATAGCACCTATTCTGAGGGCTTGTACCATTAACTCAGGACGTACGACTCGGATTAGCGTGGGTCATGATAGAGTGGCACCGGTTGTAGCCATGCAGTCATTGAGCTAGTCCCCTAGACTCATGCCACCAGTGCTGGGTATGGTTGCATCGGCTTCCTTGAGTTAAAAGCTGAGAAAGGGAAGGGAGCATATGCGTGCGTAGCCATGCAGTAACTCGCCCACGTCACTGCATCTAATTGCAAATGAATCGGTTGATTCGTCATGTATCAGATATAGTGTAGTGGAGGCTGGAGTGGGTCGTCAACGCGTCAACCGGTGTTCAGGGAGTTAGAGTACTTGGCAACGGGGATCGTTCTATCGTTTCTGTATCCTGTGGTAGGGCTATGACTAGTATTAGATGCATTTCTTGAACGGGTTTGGAGGTGTGCATATGGGCGCTTATTTTTAGAAGCTCGATCATCCGGCCTGCGTCATCCCCGAGAGGAAAGGCCGCGACGTCGACCTCGAGGAACTGGAGCACAGGCATCGCTTCAAGAAGGGCAGAAGTCGAATGAGCAGTCTAAGAGCTCTAGGTCCTGTCAGATAGGTAAGAAAAAAGTCTGCAGAGGATTCTCAACGGTCGAGATAACTCGCCGGTGTCATCAAGGCTTTTCAAGCACGCCCTTGGGGCAACGTTGGGGTACTAGACGCCGAACGGTGGCTTGCACTCAATTGGAACCCAGAGGCGGTGGCTGAAACGCGTTCTGTTGCGCTGTGTGGCTGGCCTACGAGATGTATCGAAGTTTGTTCGCTGTTTGGAGGGGAGATTCGACGGGTAAATCGGGGGTGGGGGGCCTGCCTGTAGGCTGTTTGAATGTGGATGGCCCCAAAAATTCTATTAGATTGCGGTTATAGATATGACTGTGGGCCAATACAGTAGTAAAGGCGGCAAAAAGCCCACTTACGGCCAGGCGGAGGGTCCTACTGCGGCTCGTCTCATGTCATTGGTCTCATGTCATTGGGAAGGGTATCGGACTTGCACCCTCGTCGACCTCGAGACTGTATACCGCCACCTTCTCGAAGCTGCCATCTTTCCCTGTAGGCTTTTAGGCGTCTTCATACCACACTTTCGGGCATCTCTTCCGATGTCGATATGTATAACCTGAGTACAGGGCTGACTCCCGGTCAGGTGAACTGTCCACGCCCATGCAACCATTCAATGTTCGACGTTCAACCTCGAAGCCCCCAATCGAATCGATCTCAGGGGAAATATCAAGTCACCGTACCTATCTTTGTCGACACCATGCTTGCCCCACCATCCGCGTCGAATCAAGCTCGCGTGGTGGTACCCGATAACGCCTAGGCATGCATATACCCAATAACGGTAACCTCCAATGATAATTTCCATTTCGCCCGCACCAACAGAGGACACAAATCTTTCAGATCTTTGCCAGGTGGATCGCTCAGAAGTCTTCGGTTGTTTCCTTGAATGCTGTTAAGCCAATGGGGATTTTCAGGGCTTGTTAGACCCGGGAGTTGCCCTTGGTGTTGCCTAAAAGCTAGCGAGAGCAAGATGCGTCGCTCGTTTTGTGGTGTACCATGGACCGGCATTCTTACCCTCACTTCACATTCCGGCAAACCCCACATCAACCTTACTTAAATAATCACAGAGAGGTATGGTGTAGACTGATTTTGTTCTAGTGACATTAGAAAAGTTGCGGCTATGGGGAAGTGGGAAAGAGTGTGACTCGAGGGAGGTTCTGATACTCCACGCACGCATACAAAGCCCTTCCACTGGAAGCGTTCGTTCGCTATGTATACTACAGCTTGTGTAATCTGTGGCAGTTGGGGAGTGAGGTGGGAGGGGAGGTTTGGTAACACAGCCGTGGCGTGACTACTAGTAGGACTTACCAAAGGAGCATTCATACATCATTCGACAAGGGGTCAGCAGGGAGGCTCAGGTGAACGTTTTCGAACCCATAGATAACAAAGATTAAAAGTCAAGTCTGCGCGCCTGTAGCAACCGGTTATACTGTCAACATTCGATGGAGCCATCCATGAAGACAGTTCGGGAATTTCTTCAAAGGACTGAATGAACCACTGGCAACTGCCAGGCATTGGGCCATGCTTGTCACAGCCTTGGGATAGCTTTAGCCTTGGGTGAAACGACCGAAAAACGAGCGCTTGTTTGATTTAAACAAATAGGTTGACTACGAAGTAGCGCAGACTAGTCGAGTTTCCTTCAACAAGCCCAATCTAAGCCAATGTGAAGTGATGACTGAAACTCGAAGGGTGAGAGAATGGGTAACCATCGGGCCTCCTTTCCGGGGTTTCCCTTTTCGAGCGTAGCCTTTCCGTGTATGCGTCCTCAGGGGCGCTTGAAGGGCACGGTGAAACGTCGAACATTAGTCCCGACAGACAATCGACAGAGCCAATGGACTAGAGTCTATTCCAGCGGTTGGCAAAGTCCAAGGCAGGCTGAATGAGAATCGAGCCTGATACGTAAAGACAACCGTCGTGGAGGCTCCGAAAGGTAAGGCACCGACAGGAGCAGTTGGCATGCAGCAATGTGGTTGACGGTCCACATGATGGCTCATCGTGGGCGCTCCGCTCGAAATCCTGGGAGGTGAAAGGAAACTGTCAACTGAATGGCACAAAGGGAGAGTCACTATAACAGGAAACATCGCACAAAGCCGAAATGAATCGACAACACTGAGAAACGTTTGTCAGATTAAGACATCTGGACTGACGTTGGTGGCGAGTGGACGATAGGCAGTGGTGATCCGCCTCCGCACTACCACCAGACAGCGGCGAGATACGCAAAGTCCCAGAGCTGGTGGTGCGCCAGGTACATATTCATAGAAACGACAAGTACGCGGAAGCCTGGCGTCCGACGGGGACTCCATTCGAGTGGCAGATCGGTGAGAACTTTGGTGGTCTGCGGGAATCATGATTTCCAGTGTCGGAACGCAACCAGACTGAGGTACATCTTCAACAGACTTGAAGTTGCATCAGGCTTCTTGTGCGAAGTGACCGAGTTAGCCATTATGACCGAGTATACATCCCACGATGACGACGACTTGAGACCGATCCTTTCACGGTGACTATGATTGGTTTACTCTGTTTCCCATTCTAATTGGCAGACCCAAAGCCGAACAGAGGTCAGTCCCAAGTTTCGTTATACTGAGATGAATAGCATGAACATATGAAAGGTTGAACTCACATCAAGATTCAGACGTCCTTGACGCTCCTGACGTAAGGAACTAGTACAACAATGTTGTTCATGCCACCGAGATCGAGCGCCGTACTTGCATACTGTAACCACACAAGAAAGTGAGATGCACCCTGAGATTGACGCAAGTAGTCCCTTGTAGATGGTAATCAATTAAAGGCTGAGCCGCTGAGTCCGGACACCATCAAATGAACATACTTACAGGTAGTGTTGGAGTTGATATGATGTCGAGTCCGACAAACTCTCCCATTCGATTTGTGAGACACAGTCGGATGCCGCGGAAGCGGCCCTGGGAGTAATACGAGACGAGGCGGGGCAAGCAGAGCTTCGTTTGTCCCTGGCCGAGGCTTCAGCAAACAAAGGGGACCTCATAGGCAGTGTTCGGATACACTGCACTGCCCTGTGTGGATACCCCCATTGTAAGGCGTTCAAGACCGAAGTAAGTAGCAGCTCTTCAAGGCAAACAAAAAGAGAAGTCAGAAAAACGAGGTGATGAAAAGACAAAGGGGATCGTACACCTCGTCCAACACGGCTCAAAGTCCGTAGACCGGCACGGTGAATCGCCGCCAGTTCCATTCGTCGAGGGGCTGATTCTGTGATACACGCTGCAGGTTTCTATCCGCCACCTGAGAGTTCTCTGATGTTGTTTGCCTTGGGGCGCAACATACACGCGGGACAAAACGTGCCCATGGTCGGAGACAGCCACAAACCGTGGCTGGAGCTTCAGGCATGTATGATTAGCCGCCCATCTTCCACGAACACCGAGCTGAATGTGGTGATTGCGTCCCTACGGCGCGCACGCTGAAACTGCCCCTTCAAGTGGGCAGCGTAAGAGCCCGACGATGCCTTGGCGACCAGGGTATGTCTTTGTTTTCGACGAAGTGGAGCCGGTCCAAAAACTTAAAAGGACAGATCTTCTGTTGCCATGATTAGCGCTCGAGTCGAAGTGGACTGCAGTTGCCTAATACAGAGGGAAAGCTTACCGAGAGGGCTTCTAGAAGATTGTTCGATGGATATTGTTAGGCGTGAATCCGAGCAAAGCTGGAGAACTGGGAAATCCAGCTTTGACCTGTGTATCGCATATGTAACACGCGGTGGGGTTACATAGGTGAAGGAAAGATAGCTGCCACGCGACCGAAGAAGATAGAAAAGTGCTTTTGTCGACACGGGCACGAGAATCAGCATATCGAACTCCATTCTGATTGAGAACTGTTCTCGAAGGTCCTAAGGAAGGAAAGAGAACAGCGTGAACACCAGAAGATATGTCAGGAGACGTTCCTTGTGCGGGCGAAAGTAATCTCGGAATCTGATCAAGGGTGGAGATTGACAGAGTCGGTTGCGAGGAGCATAAACAAAGATGATGTTGACAATATTGCCTTTTGACCATCACAATTTGCATGGCTTCTGACCTACCTACCAATAGGTACCATTGGCAATGAATAGATCATCAAAAAGGATGAAGACCTTCGAAGAATCGCCGCTGAGTCCTGTGTCTAGGTCAGAGTTATTTGTGAGCTTGCAGAAGTCGAATCCGATAGGAAACATTCTGGCGTACCGTTTGGGCTGCCACGGACTCTGCTCAGTTGGAGCCAGGACGATATCATTGACACCTTCGGTTGAAATAGGCATCGGAGCCTGAGATTTCGGAGCAGTCGCAAGGCGTCCACGAAATCTACTCAGTGGCGTCCGGAGCCATGGAGGTGCGGTGCATCAACGACGTCCTACGATTTCGCATGGAGGATCGCGCTCGGACCGCGTTGTTTTCAGATACTCAGGCTGGGGACAGACAAGGCGTTCGCCGGTCAACAGAGCGTTCGAGGTAGCGGAGCCATTCCGGAGTGTAACAAAGGCTTGACGAGCAATCTGGCAGAGCCTCAAAGACGGCATCGATAAGGTCGAACGAGGTCGTTAGTGCCCGCGACAGTGAGCGAGGTCGAGGATTATGCAACTGAAGATTTGAAGCGGGATGGTCGTGATTGCGGTTCAACCTCACGCGTCGCCCCACGGTCGGGTCCCGACCGCATCACCCATGATCATGATACACCTGGGTTTCCTGAGTGCTGGTCCATTGGCAATCACAAAACATACATAGTTAATCAATGTACAATACACTTGAATCTGTTGTTGAATAAATACACGAAAGCGATTGATGACCGGAAAGCTATTTACGATGTTGGTTCAGCTTATCGAAGAGTCCAGAGACAACAGTATGGGCGACTGAGGTGGCCATTCCCGTCACTCCCGAAACCGAAAGCGGTCTCGAAGAACCCGAGGGCTGCGGTTGATAATGAGGGGAATGTCCAGGAGGGGCCGGAGAGGGTGGCGGCGGGGGTCTGTTGAACGAAGAGCCATGAGAGCCAGATGGACTTTGCATGTGCGCGACGAAAGAATTGTAAAGGCTCAGGCCCGGAGTTTCGTAACCCCCGCCCTGAGGTGAAGGGAACTTGGGCGGATTGGAAGCAGCAGACGATGGAGGAGGTGCGGCAGAAGTGTTGAAGATCCCAATGGATGGATATGAGTTGAAGGTCCCTGATTGTGCCGGAGGTTGTGGCGGCGGCGGAGGAGGAGGAGTTGGTACCTTATCCTTCTTATCCTTGTCTCCCGCAGGACGAGATTGCTTATTCTTCTGTAGTTTCTGTGATTTCTGAGGCTTTTGTTGTCCCGAAGAAGATGAAGGTCTGGAGCCAGAGGGAGGTGTAGGTGGTATCGAAGGAGGAGACGTAAAGGGCGTGGGTTGGATGGGTTGGACTGGGAAACGAGTGGGTGGAGACAAATGAGAAGACCGCTCATGCATGAAGAGGGCTCGAGAGGATGTATTACCAACCCTTTTTATCATTCTTCTTTCCCTTGTCATTCGAAGGAGGTTGGGTTTTGGGCTGGAGCTCGGGCATGTCAATCTTGCTCAGGTGGACGATTAGGCTGTCTGGCGGTGTGTACTTGGCCTTTTGGTCGGCGTCATCGTCAAGGTTTATCCGCCGCGGACCTTTCTTTTTCTCCACGTCGTAGAGAACGTACTGATGAAGCTCGTTGTCCTCGTCGAGACCTTGGACACCGATGAGACGATTGAACGGCATTACCCAGCGGATTCGACCTACCAGCTTTGTACCTTATCCGCTTCGTCTCCTCTACGACTTGAAGGACCTTGGGTACCGTCTGGGCGCTAGAAGACTTGACACTGATGAAGAGCATTGCATCGTCCTGCGGAATCGAGGTTGAACAGCAAGTTCATCCAAGATGGAGCCTGGCCGAATACCTGGAGGCCGACTTACTTCAAGCAATCCATTACAATACGCGGCGTAGTCCTGCACTGACCCCTCATCAGTGACAATCACTTCGTTATAGTCACCTCCCTGGGCCTGCAATTCCGCGATCCGGTCAAGACCAGTCTTCGGGGCTGGTTTGGGCGGCGGCGGCGGTGGAGGGGGTTCATCTGCATCGACTGGCATGGGTGCCGAGCTCTTTCGAGACACGGAGGGCTGTTGGCTTGACGGTTCATGGTATGCCTCGTTGGCGTCATGGAATGTCATAAGGGCAGTAAGCAGGACGATTTCCAGGCCTTTGCGGTCTTCGACATCGAATCTAGAGAAATCAGCACTGGAATACACTGAAAAGGTGATTGGAAGATACCTGTTGATGTTGTAGTCCAGTATCTGGACCTGGTGGGACCGCAGACGGCCCGTAGGCTCCTTGGTTATGGCGACCAGGACAGGAGGATCAGGTTTTCGTATGAGGAAACATTCTGATCTCTTCCATTCGAACTCATGCCTGTAAAGAAGGCGTTGAGGGCAGACAGCAGGCCTAAAGTGATCCGACGTACTCCTCCCACTTGAAGCTCCATCTGAACGAGAGCGTTCCGGTGTATTTGAGGTCGACAAGGATTGTGGGATTGTGCAGTTCAAGAGTTTTTGCCTTGCTTGATGCAGACGGTGCGCTCGCTGTAATCAAATGGGCCTGCGACAGTGGATCTAAGTGAAGAATGTGGTTGGAGGTTGGTTCTCTGATTCCATCGCAAGCGCTTACCATAGACCTCGATCTTGTATTCCGGTCCCGCAACTCTGCGCTTGTGGTAATGAACAGTCCCTGAAGGATCGACCAGGTCGACTACGTCCGGGTAGTCTTTGTTTTGCGTGAAAACGAGGGTGAATAGGTTCTGGTCAAGACTCATGTAGAAGAAAAGAGACACGAGGATGAGTGTAGGTGCCAAAATGTAGCCAGTTAACTGCGGTCCGTATATATCAACCCCGTGGCTGAGATTTGGGCCAAGGCTTCCGGTCGCCATGGGCAGTGCACTGAAGCCCCTCGGATAGTCTATACCTAGCGATACGTACGACAGGAACTGATCTATATCCCATATCACAAATATTTAAGGATTAAATAGGTCTACTCAGCCGAGTAGCTGGACGACTGGCTGAAGTCGAATGCCCATAGGTCACTCTAAACGTCCTTTTTTAACAGAGAAATGCCTCTGACCACCGGGCTCCTGCTCCTCTGCCGCAGCAGCTTGCAAGGCAACTGACGTGTTGGAAGATCAAACCGCAGGGATATTGTGGATGGCTGTCCGAAGAGGGGGTGATTTGGCGGGGTAATGTGGCCGTCCAGCTTCAGCAAGACAAGGTTCACGATTGCGTGCATATCGTGCTGGATACATTTTACTGGTTGACCCTGTCCTTGGTTCGCTCCATAGCTACCGGCATCCGATAAAAGGTGAACTGCGAACTTGGATGTACAAGGCAATTGACGTACGGTTATAGTGAAGCAATTTTTCAATCAAGTCAACGTGAGTGAGGACCATGCGGCGACAGCAGTATCGCTTAAGCTGAAGTTCGTCCAGAGCGTCTCTGAACAAGGCCACTTGTGAGTTTCACATAAATCATGAGCGAAGAAACAAGAACGAACCCTTCACTCATATCTTTCGCCAGCAACTCCAGGTACGGATTCCATTTGTCACCAATGACTTTGCCGCATGAGAAACAGCGCACAGGAATAATCTATTGCCTGGGTTTTAGGATTAACGATACAAGGTATACCGAGTCTGCACATACCATGATGAACGTTTTGGGCCAAGAAACAGTTTGGCTGCTGCTCGCGAATGATGTCGCTGATTAGTCATCAAGTGTTGACCTTTCACAGCGACCGCGACACACGGTTTAGGCTCAACGACGACGACAGCGCCCGACTGACAAGTACCATGGACGAGGTATGGTTGCAGATTAGGCTTAGATACTGGAAAAGCTGACCAGTAGCCTCACAAAGGGATCCACAAGTCAGCATGGCGCAGCAGGCCTCATCCGGTATTTCGACGTTTCGGAAGATGGTTTCGCGTGGCGGGAACCTTGTTCTGAGCAAATACGCGAACGACGAGCAGCAATGAATGATAAACTGATATTCGACTGTATCCTGATCTCTGGAGGTGTCAGGGACCCCGACTTTATCTATCCACCCCACGACGTCGCCGGCTTAACCAGACTCCTTGACGCCATTGCATCCTCGAGCTACGACACTCTCAAAAAACAGACCCTCGTTTACTTCTTGCTGAAATGGCATCAAGACGGGCGTGAGGACAAATTCAGGCTGCAGTGCTCCATTCCTCCCCAATTTACGGCGCTTGCGGATGCATATTGGTATGTCGACAGCGGGATCAACATTGGAGTAAGTTCTGTTTCCCGAGTCTAAGACGCGTTCTGAATTGAATGGTCGGTTTTCGATAAACAGAAGGGTGTATCTCTCCTTTCGGACTCGCGACTGAACCGAGACCACGCTTCCAAAATCATGCAAGCCATCGCGCTTTCGCCCCAATCAGGTCCTCTTCTGCGCAAATACATACGCACTGCATGTCCAGCTTTGGTGGAACCTCCGGACGTCCTGCGTTATCTGATCGCACTGGCCGAATCGAGCTTGTTCGAGGCATGGAGCTTCCAGCGCACCTTCTCGGAAACCCATGAGCTTCGCCCTCGCTTGTTCAGGAAGCTATTGGACTGGGCACTCTATCGTGAGTTGTCTGTACCCACCGTTCACCTTTGCCTTCTGACTTTTTTCGTAGCTATCCCGCAACCCAAGGCACTCAAGGAGCTCATCTCACTCCCTTTGTCCAAATACGAGGAAACCCTCCTCAATGACTATGCCACGAAGCCACCGGAAGAGTACTCGGCGTCTATCATCGCTCGGTTGCAAGACCTAGTTTGCGTTCGCTATATCGAACTCGGAAAATACGCAGACGCCATCAAAATGGATCGCAAATTCTCTTCCAACGCGTACGACGGCAAAGATTCGTCGGACAGGCGAAACATGATCAACGAGCTTTACGAAGCGTTGCCTCCAGTGGAGAAGTCTCTTATCGACATGCCCATCCGAGTCGAGAAGCCCAAGCGGCCACAACCTCCTGCAAATGCCGACGTGAGCATGTCTCAATCATGGGAGGAGGTCAGGGTGCCAGAAAACTTGAACAAATCCACCAGCACTCCCTTGCGCAACATTCAAATACCCGCGAACAACTCACCGGCCAATGCTTCTTTCTCCGTGGCAAATGGGACTACGCCCGCACCGGTGGCCCCGTCTGCGGCACCCGTTCTTCCTTTGGCAACCGGTCCCCCCCAGCCTGCATTCACTCCCAGAAAGAGCTTGACGTCGCAGCCTTTGAACCCATTGAATTCTTCACTTGGTTCTGCCAAGAACCGAACACCGCTCAGTGGTGTGGGACAGCGCCTGGCTGCTGGCGCTTCTCCGTCCATCTCATCCCCAGTAAGCGGTATCCGGTTCCCACTTCAGTCGAAGCCTCCCGTCCAGACAGGACACGCCTCCACCAGCACCGCTACAACCGCCGCCTCCATCCCTCCACCTCCACCGCCGGTTAATCCTGGTGTGCCCCCGCAGCCGGTGTTCAAATCGACAACCAACCAGCCGAATGCGTTTTATCAACCCAAGCCTCACCAGAAGCAGAAGCGCACGTTTGAAGAGGTCGAACGAAGCCCTGAACGCAATAAATCTGAGGATGCGGAGGAGGGCGACGAAACCATGCAGGTGGACGAGAGTCCTCCCAAGAAGGAACGTAGGGAGGAAGATATGGGAGGACAGGCTGAAGAAGATATCCCAGGATGGAAGGACCATGATGTCGATGAATCCCTCAACAAGTCTATCTTTGCTCCTCAGGGATCGCCACCAGAGCGGATATCCAGCGCTTCTGTTGTTCAAGTGAAGAAGGCTTCCCCTCCTTCTCCGCCTCAGGAAAGCATCTCGGCCAAGCCGAAATCCAAACAACGGCCTCCTGGTGCATTCGTCGATGAAGAGCACGATTCGCAGTCGGAGGAAGAGCCCGTTTCTCCCGTCTCTGTCGTCTCTGCCGCTTCTGGCCGAAGGCGTTCCACTGCTCGCCAGGCTTCCGCCAGTCGCGGTAAAGAGCCCAGGACGTCTACGGCGAGGTCAACCCGCGGGCGAACTTCTCGCAAGAGCAAGGGCGACACCGAAGATCTTGACCGTTGTGTCCCGGGTGGCTTCACTATCAGCGCTGCCAGCATCGAGACTGAGCCGACCGACAACGAAGAGGACGACCAAGTCGCACCCTTGCGCCCGACCTCGCCTCCTCTCACCGCGACGAGCAAGAGACCCGCCCGAAAGACACGGTCAGTTGCCTCCGTGTCGGACATTGGAGATGACGATGGCGTGAAGACCCGGAGGCGCTCGTCCAGGCTTACGGCTTCCAGCAGCCTGCGAAACCTTTCTCCGGAATCAGTCAAGGGCGAATCGGCCACTGCACCCAGGTCTGGGACCAAGAAGTCAAGCAGGGCATCTACTGCGAAGAAGCGCAAGTAGACCGGTGATGTATGGACATGGTTTGTTTCATTCTTTCTGCGCCTAATCTTCATGATATAACATGATATATATGATAATATACATGCTTCTCGCCGTCTGCTCAAACTGTAGGGGAAAAGTTGCAATGGGACACTGTGGCACGGGTCAGTAATAACATGGGTCACAGTTGGTCTCAGACGACCATACAGTAGCTAGGATTTTGTTAAGAAATATTCGGGCCCACCAACTTGGATGTTTACTTGTGTCCTTGTTCTCTGTTCTCTCGGTCTAAATCGGATTCCTTTCTTATAGGGCCTTCCTTGACCCTGTGATTGCCTGGCTTCACCTTGCACACGTGGAACGCGTGTCCAACTTGTACAAGCCCCCTTTTTGAAGGATAGAACAAACTTGGTCTCCCATGACGGGGTCCAAGACTGTTTAGTTCGGTGCGCGATGACATCACAGCATCCCAATTTCTGTTTTGAGCAATTGGGTTTCCAAATTTAGTAAGTACTTGGTTTGGTAGTGCGCCAGGAAACTCCTTTCCTTTCTCCTTCATTCTCCGACCTAGGTTAACTCAGTAAGTCTGGTCGATCACTCCACAGAAGGGAGAGACTCACCTAGTCTTTATTACTGCCACCCATTCCCCGTAACCAGGATTTGAAACGAATCTTCAAACCTGGCCCTGCATCGAGGCAACTCAGCTGCAAGGCCAGCGATAACAGACCTCCACGCTGCCATATCCGTCGTTTCGGATACTTCTGTCCGCATCTGAAATTCCATGCTAAATGTCGCTAATCTGGGATACGCTGCACGATTAGTTAAAGCCGCGTCCATTCCCGCCCAGCCAAAGTCTTTCAGCTTCTCGGGCTGGCGATAGGGAAGACCCGCTACTTCCGACACCGGCTGGTCTTCTGAAAGGTTGAGATTCACCAGGAACTTGAGTTGAAAGTTGCGTAGCTTGGGGAGGTTCCCGTTGCGTAGACTCTTGGAAAGTTCATACAGCGGACACCGTTCGGGCCACGTCGGATGCGGACCGAGCCTGAAAGGGTTGACGAGGTAGAGAACGACTTGGAGATGGGTGATGTTGGGGAACTGGTAGATACCCAGAGGGTCCGGTAAATCAGGAGGGGCTGGGTAAATGCCTGGATATGTAATTGACCGGAGCGGTCGCCGCAGATAGCGCGATCGTTGAGCTTCATCACGTGTGAACTCAAAGGAGGAAGTAAAGACACCTACCGAGAAGGTCTTCCGGGGGACCTGGACTCGTAATGCAGTAGCTCCCGACAGATCCTAGGAATGCCTGTGGCATCCGAGACCATGCTCTTCGATTTGCGTAAAGATATACCGATTGTTGGTAGGTGGCGGTGAACTGTATCTGTTCTGATAGTGCCAGATCACGGGGACCCTGTGCCCAGGCAGAAGCGAGCAGTTGCAGTATGTCGATGCTGTCTTCCTCAAGGAGGATATGTAAGTTCTTGAGGCGCAGATATTCTCTCTTCGTCGCGCCGCTGACGGTTGGGAAACTGAGCGGGAGGGACGGGTCTTTCTCGGCCGGATTCTGGGTAACATCTTGGATTGAGAGAGTTTCCAGATGGCCATAGCGTATGAAAGGAATCAATGGCCATTCGCTGAGCCACTCAAGGGTGATGTGCCGGATGCTCGGATAAGCGAAGGCTCTGTAAAGTGCGACCTGTGCCTTGGAGTCGACCTTTGTCCAGGGCAAGGAAGACCGGTAATGGCCATAATGACCGGTCACTGTAATAGACTCCAATGCTTCCATTCTGGCGAGTACCTCTGGGATGGTCGAAGGGGAGGCTAGGAATCTTGAGTGGATGAATCGAACCCGGTTGCGTCGACGTCCTCTGATCAAACTGATCAAGTCTTTCCAACCTAGGCGGGCTTTCACTACAATTGTATTTTCGACTCTGCTTTCGAGAGTGAGGTGACGGACAAAGGACGAGAGGATTGGCTGGGCGAGTATAAGCGAGTGGAATTGGTTGCATCGGTCCGTCGTATCGATTGTAATCCTGTTGAAGAGGAGCTTCCTGGATATAAGGTAGCATTCGCTATTGAGGAGGCCACAGGAAGCCAATGCTCTCTTGTCGTCTGTCAGCTCTTCAATGATGGCATTCAGTATTTCGAGAGGTAAAGTCGCTGGTTGAAGGTCGACAGGGGTACTTTGGGTTGACATGCTGTACATAGAGTACGCGAGCTCGAGCTCCCAAGTGCGATACAGTCAAAGGTCTTCAGTGGCTTTCTTTGAGGATCAAAGGCTTTAATTTTAAAGGAGCACGCTCGGCAGTAGCCGAGGGAACCATACTCCGCGTTCTGTGGCCACGGGGTCTTCAAAACAACAGCTCAAAAACACTCAGGGGAATAGAACCTTGTACAAGTCCGTTCATTACAATCGAGGATCTATAAGGTAAACTACACAGAGGTTGAACGCCGAAATCGAAAGTCATGAAATCTAGCGAGCATTTTGATGTGACGACGGACAACCCATCTTCCTCCCAGTCCATGGGGTTCGCCGGGGAATCTATAGCAGTAAATGTGACGTTCACCACCATAGGACTGGCATCTCCATTATACGGGTTATGACCGTTTACTTGCCACCAGTGGTGCCGAGACCGAAGGCCGACTTGAAGGTGTCGTAGATCCACCATTGGAAGCCGGTGAGGGTACCTGGAGAGGGGATCAGACAGGGTTTCTTTGGGGTTGGTCAAGGAGAACGTACCAATCATGATAACACGGGTACCGAGACCCTTGGTGGCAAGGGAAACAAGGCCAGTCTCGGAAGCAATGGTACCGATGGACTTGCCCTTGTTCTCGGCCTTTCCGAGGAGAGAGACGAGGGAGTCGGCGGGGTGAGAGACGATGGCGCAGACAACACCAGCGAGGTAACCGGAAGCGAAAGTGACACCGAGCTGAGTACCCTTAGAGTAGGACTCCTTGGGGGCAGTGAAGACATGGGTGTAGAAGAGCTGGACGATCTTCTCGAAGAAGAAGAACTTGGCCATGGTGTAGGGGATCTATTTTGATACGGTTAGTCAGCAACATCCCGAGAATGACGCGCACCGGGTGAACTGACCTGACGCGACCAGAGAGGGACGAGGGAGCCGAAGGGGTAGCGGGTCTCAGCCTTGGTGGCGCTCATCTGTCTGAGAGCAGCGCCAAAGGCGGTGGGGAAGGTGCCGTTGGGAGAGGTCTGGATCTTGACCTTGGTCATCTCGAAGGGGCAGAGGGCGATGTCGGCGAAGACTTCAGCAGAGGCGGAACCGGCGAGCCAGATGGCAGGCTTGTACTTGGTGGCGATCTCCTCGCCGGCGAGGTTGGAGTAGTAATCCTTGAAGATTTCGTAGAGACCATACTTGAACATGCCCTGGAGCGAGTAGCCGACGAGGGTGGGACCGAAGCCCTTCCAGAGACCGCGTTGACCCTCCTCAGCAGCCAAAGTCCTCAAAGTGGGCATGAGGCCGTTGTACTTGACGGGGTTGACCTGTTGAAAACGATGTTGAGGAACATGTTGCTGATACGTGTCCGACGTTACTGACCTGCATGTTGCACTTGGCGACATCGAGAGGGGTGATACCAGCGTGGGTGAGACCGCAAGCAAGGACACCACCGAGCATGCACTTGGCGTAGTAGTTGGCATCGTGAGGAACGGGTCCAGCGAACCTGTCATTCCAATGCGTTCAGCACAAGCTACAATACGATTTCGTCGTCGTGAACACTGACCTGGCGTCCCACTTGCCTGAGAGATTAACGGCCATTGTAAATGGAGAATAAAAAACGGAAAAGAGAAGGAGAGGTGAGTTGGACTAGAGGAAACTAGTCTGCCTTAAAGAACTGGAGGAGGAAAACCGTGTTGCTCCCTATTTTAATCTGCCAGCGCGCTTTGAAAACTTTGGTCCGGCTTCCTCCGTTTTCTCCAGCCAATCAGAGCTCGCGAACTCGCACATTCTCCCCGGCCCGTCGGAGGCCTCCGCCACCATCGGCTAATAATCGAGCTGACTCTTGGCTCTTCTTCTCTTCATCATGAACGAACCCTTTTTTATGACTCGAATCGCATCGTAAAGGGACAGTTCACTGCGTTCAAGGCCGCCGTAAAGAAAAAGCGAAAGTGGATCTACGACGAGCACGGGTTTTGCAGAGATGACTGACGTCAATATCAATAGGGGCATGCTAGAAACCTTGAGGTCGCTCAAAGTACAGCCCACTTATGTCACTGAGAAGACAAACTTGAAAATACCCAAGTTTCTGCCGTGCTGGTGACGTGGATATTTGGCCGAGAGCGTTTTACCAAAGCCGATGGAACATGAGGGGTCAATTCCAATCTTTATCCTGTCCCATAAAGTTCTAAATTCTAAGGCCAGTATGTGACACCGCACACGATATAGCACAGTAGTGGATTTGCAGGCTAGCCCCCTCCGGCTTTGGTGGGTAGGCGAAAGCCCAAAGTATCACGGTGTTTTGCTGACCCACGATTATTCATACGACTTGTCTTCCTTACTACAAAAATGACCGATTTCTCCATTTCTTTCCTTTCCCCGCTTTTCTTCTTTCCCCACTATCATTCTCGTGAATTGAAAGCTTGATACTATTACTATGGCCCCCGTCGCCGTCTCATCGCCAGTCTCATCGCCAGTCTCATCGCTCTCGACCTCGGCATCGCGGTCATCCACATCGGCCAAGCTGAACCCGGGTCAACCGACGACTCCATCAAGCTCTTCCTCCGCTTTCTCTAAACCTTGTGCCACGACCATGTCCTCCTCCGCACTAAATGGCACTCAGAAACCCAACGGCGTCAACGGCCACCACTCTTCACAGCCGGTATGGTCACCGAAGGAAGTTCTCGATGGCCCTAAACGCACCTCCTTCGCATTCGACTCGATGGAAGACGCCCTAGCCGCTTTCAAAGCCGGAGAATTCCTCGTAGTAATGGACGACGAGAACAGAGAGAACGAGGGTGATCTTATCATCGCTGCCAGCCAGTGCTCAACCGAGAAGATGGCTTGGATGATCAAACATACCAGGTGCGAACATTTTCCGCTTCCTCGTTGGTTGTGGTCAATTTATTCAACGACGGTTGCTCGATACCTTTTCATTTTTTTCTGGTTCACGAAATGCGATTCTGGTTACGACAACGACGACGACGACCGACGACTATCACTCTTGCTATGATTCTGTATGCCGACCCCTCGTGTGCTCGCTGCTCTACACTCGTCCCCGACACTCGACATTCATTTTGCCCTCCGGATCTCAAATCTGAAATAAACCAAACCACGTGAAATCCCCACACGAACTGTACCCCTCTAAATCAATTAGCGGATACATCTGCGTCGCACTCCCGGGTGACCGGCTGGAGGAACTCAACATCCCGATGATGGTTCCCGAGAACGAGGATAGACACAGGACAGCTTACACCGTTACTGTCGATTACAAGCATGGTGAGCACCCTATCTCAAGTTTTTATATCACACCAGGTCGTCTGAACTCCTCAATCAAATCCCTAGGCACGACAACAGGTATCTCAGCACACGACCGCGCTCTAACCGTCCGAGCACTCGCCTCTCCTACCTCCCGCGCAGAGGACTTTAGCCGTCCAGGCCACATGGTCCCCCTCCGCGCACGCACAGGCGGCGTCCTCACTCGCAAAGGACACACCGAAAGCGCAGTCGACCTCTGCCTCCTCACAGATCAACCCCTCGCCGGTGTACTCTGCGAGATCGTCAACGACGATGCCCAGGGAACCATGGCCAGACGGGATGATTGCAGGGCGTTTGCGGATAGGTGGGGGGTGAAAATGATTAGTGTGGAGATGTTGGCGGAGTGGAAGAGGAACAAGTTGGCCGGAGAGGGGCGGAAGTAGTCGTTGAGGAACTGAGAGTAAGTAAATAACAGCCTAGACGGGATAGAAGTGTATCGTTATTTCATCTTTGTATATTCTTTTTGGTTTATCTGTATACCAGGTAGGATGGACGGCGTAATTATTATTTATTGGTGGCGAAAAGCAGGTCCGTATATTGTGACGATAGATGTTGAACTGCTACTGTACAAGATGTGATGACTAGGATGGGATATAAATTAATGGGCTCATAGCGGGGGTAAAGGTCGACGACACTGCGGACAAATGTTCTACCAAACGCACGTCAGCTTTCCTTCACGTGCTAGTCCACGACGCCAACTCACCTTGATAGCAAGCCACTTCTCCAAACACTCCGTATGCTGCGAGTGTATATTGAGCATCGGCAAATCCAAACGGACGAGGCTACTCACGAATAAATGACAACAAGGCGCCAAACTATAGTTCTTCCTCGCATTGGAGCTCTTGACCACCCCTCCGAACAGCCCCATCCTCGAGTTAGCTCCTGTACTCGAACCCGCCATGCCGCTACCACTAGCACCTCTTTTCTTCTCCGAATCCAACGACTCTGACTTCCTCGAACGGAGTGAAGGGTCGACGAGGATAGCATCCATACAGATCGCGCAGTCTCCGAGCGATTGATCGGGAGATTCAGAGTCGGGGAGGGGCATTGGTGGGTGATAGTTGTAACCTTGTGTGGCTTTGAACTGAGTTAATGAACGTCGAGAACGAATGATGGTCAGCAAGGTGGGCGTCGGGAGGGCTAGGTGTGACGTACCCGCTCGGGAAGGAAGAACGAGGGTCCGATCGTGTCCTGCAGTATCAACAGGAGCGCTTGGAATATAACTGATAGAGCTAAAAGTGGAGCCCAGGCTGCAGAGCTCGTGTCAGTATAGAGACCATGTAGAAATAGATTTGATAGCTCACGCCTAGGTTCCACTTCCAATACATTCTTCGGACACCACAGAAAGTCTACCGCCAGAGGAATTAGCCTCACATCATAAAGAGTGGTAGGAACAACTTACACAGCATATTGAACAGCCTACAAGCCGTCGTACCCAGGATGTACTCCCTCGAAAGACCGCTTGTCCTGTTCCGACGCGCAGATCGCACGATTTGGGGTAGCCAGACCAAGGAATAGGTCGTCGCAACGAATACCATTGAGAGCATCGGTGAAAGGATCACCTGGACAATGACGGCCAAGAAAACAAAAAGTCCTATCCCTGTTGACAAAAGCACGATGGTTAGTGGATTGAAATTCAAGAGGCATAGGCGGTGGCTTGAACTGACATAGTTGAGCCTGTGGATCTCTCCGTATATGTTGGATGAAGAACGTAATGAACCCCATGGCAGGGGACGGATCGGGAGGCGTTGCCGGTGTCGGCGCGGGCGTTGTGGTCGGAATTGTAGCTGCGAGCGTGGCTGGGGCTGGCGTTGTGGTAGGCGGAGGAGCAGGACGGTTGGGCGGGTATGTGGGTGGTGCACCTTCATTCGGTACGATTTGCAGTAAATTAGGGAACGGGGAAGGTCCAATTGAAGTTGGATCAGGAGCGCCTGTGCCTAATATACGTCCTCCACCGCGCGGAAACCTGCCGCTGGTGGGTGTCTCACGGCTGCCGGGCGTTTCCCTGGACGAGCGACCAGGAGGGGGTGGTGGGGGGTGGGGTGTTCGTTGTTGCGGTTGCGGTGATGGCGAAGGAGCTGCGGGTGGAGGCGCTGTTGGAATCGTCGCTGCTGGTGTAAGTACGGAGGTCTCTGATCCTTGAATTTGGTTGACGAGTGCGAAGAATTGCTATGTGCAATCGAGTCAGTTCAAATACGACATCCGAAACCTGGAATCGAACTTACCGCTTCCTGTAAAAACAAAACGCACGCAAGGAATGCTGGCACTGTCAAGGACATCGAAGGCTTCCCTTCGGCAATGATAGCAAAAGTGATATGTCCGGCAAACGAGACGGAATCCATCGTCGCTTGGGAGAGGAATGTCCAACGGGAGGCTCGAGAGATTCCCGATGGGTTGCGACTCCGCTCTAGCTGTCTCGAGAATAAAATGAGGAGTGCAAGATAGCACAGTCCACTCATCCCAGCATCTATGGTCTCATCAATACATGCTAAGAGCAACAACAAATCAAGCGCTTACATGTCGTCATTTTGCGGAAGAAGGTACGGGATCTAGAACGTTGGTTAGTACCGGGCTGAGAAGTCAGAGCGAGAGACCGACCGAAGGCCGTCTGTATCGTGTAGTGTATACAGAATTCCACACTCTTTACTGACAAGTACACCGTTGATGGAGAGCTTTGGGGGAGAGATCGTGGTTAATCCCGTGGGGTTCTGGATTTCCTCTTCCAGCTCTTCCATCAGGAACTCGGGAACTGGTATCGGGTTTATATGGGCAAAGAAACTGAATGGGCACGTCGTCTTGGGCGGATCGTCTTCCACAACTTGGTTAGGACGCAGTCGCTATAGGGTAGATGAGGTGGAGATACCTGAGTTGGAATCTTGATCCAAAACACCGGCGTCTATGAGGTTCTTCAACTTGTTAATGCGAGCGTTGAGTTCGGGAGCGATGACCGCAGCAGTCTCGTTTCTAAAGTCCTCAGGAACGAGGGAGGGGAGCAGGCGAATATCGATACGACGTCTAAAGCCGGGTGTTGAGTATAGCTTGTGGTTATACCAAGGAAATGACCTGGACCTACCCTGGTGGTTCGGCGAAACCATAAATCGAGCCATTGGAAAGGAAGTGTACGCCTTCGAATTCGAAGTGGATGTCTTTGCTAGAATCGGTGTCGACGAGTTCGATGCGGCCCTGGAGGCAGTCGAAGAATCAGCATGATCTTTCATGAGGGGTTCGCAAGAGGGAAAGAATCGACGTACGTGGACCAATGCGAGGTTGCTCTGCGTGATGACCTTTTCGTCCATTCCCAAAGGTTTCTTCTCCACCAAACTTAGCACTGCTTTGGTGGAAGTGTTCCACTTCCACTCGCCCCACTTGTCTGTGGCTTCAGTCAAATTAAGTCCGGCGACATAGTTCTCTGCATGCGCTCTCCAAGGTAGGGTATCATTGAGCGTTACAGCGGGGGAGGTAAGGTTGTAGAACTGGGTCTTCCCGTGAATGAAACCGGTTATGTTTTGAAAGTATGAGCTCTGTAATGGGTCTAGTTCTTCACCTTGGACATTGAAGGAGTCGAGTAGGGGTTCCAGAGTTGGATCTCGTTCAGGCTATGAAACCGCCAGAGTCATCGTAAGTGTCCGGATCGACTGAGAGGACATATCGAGGACATACGATAGTGAAGTTAGACTCTGTACCATTCATCCATGCAGTATAATTGGACAGTTGCCATGTCAGCGCTTTCAGTGCATCCTGGTGCTGGTGCCGTGCCAGAAACTCGTCTCCGTTATGGCTGGTGAGCATGAAGAGCAGGAAACTCAGGAAGAGAAACGAGGGGACATTGCTACGCGGACGAATCTGCACAGGGGTTTGTTGTCTTGCATCGCCTGTTTCTTCATCGCGATTGGGCGGGTTCATCCAGGACGATTGTGGGGGAGACGGAGAAACCCAAGTTCAGGGCGCCGCCATCGTTGCTGACAGCGCCAAGGATCAATTAGCATCACGTGTGGTGATGAGCTCACCGCGTTTGGGGTCGCGCGGCTCGCACCGCGACAGGACCCTTTGGACGCGACTCATGTTGAAGTTCAACCAGGCTGGTAGTCGCAGGTGGACCCATTTTCACTCCGCTCTGCAGCTAGCTGTCCAACGCTCGGCGCGCAAATGGACGTGAGTAGCCCTTCAGAACCGCCGTTTCGTTGGAACAAACCGCTAAAATCCGACTCAGATTTGACGACTTCGCAGAATGCTTCCCCCTCTATGTCCAGGAAGATAAGAACAGTGCAACGGCAACCTTCACTAGCATCTCTGACTACATTGAAGGCCAGACTATCGTGAGGGCGGCCTGTTAATGCCCATAAAGTCCGCTAATCGACGTATAGAATGACCTAGACAAACTCTTCAACGACTACAATGTCCAGGAGAATATCGACATTTTGCACAAGATCGTGACGGATGCAAAGGAGCGAAAGGCCAAAGGAGAGACAAGGAAGGATGCCTGGAGGGAAGACTTGGATCCTCACGTCGCTGTGTGCGCGAAAACGGGTCCGATTCTCGAGAAGGAAATTCAGCGACTGAAGCAGCAGTTGGCGGAGGTATGCGGCCGTTCGCTCCCGTTAGCCTCGCGCTAGTAGAAACTTAATTTCTGCATTCCAGAGCGAAGAACTTAATCGTCAGCTCCAAGCTGAACTGGAGGAAACCACCCGGCAAACGGACGAAATCAATGCCCAAGCGCATCAACTGGTCGACCACCTCGACCATGTACGCTTCCCAACCCTATCTGACTTTTAACGAGAATATACTGACAATCTCGACAGGCATGCGAAGAATGGGAGAAACTTCCTCTAGAAGAGATCGAGGCCTGGACAGTGCAAATGGCAGAGTCGTTGAAGCCATCTGTTCGTTCTTGATTCAGCCGGCAGTGAAGGGGGATATCTTATTTTGACTTTATGATTTAATTGTATTTCTATTGACTAATCTGTCAGTGTACTAGGATCCTGGAGTGTACATTAGTGCTTTGAATCGCGTCCAAACTGGCCTATTTTTTGCGCCGCGACATCTTCCTCTCCGCCTCTGTCAACGGAAGAACTGTAGCGCGCGATGGCGAACTTCTCCGTGGCTTTGAAGATCGATTAAAGGAAGGCTCACAGTCGCACCTGTGTAAACCAAAGCTTATCTTTACGCGAACACCAACCTTACTTCTCGACTTCCCTGCGTTACCTCCGACAAGCTGATGATTTGCCCCAACTCATATCACTTTCTTCTTCGCCCCTTGCTACCTTCAATTGAAAGTTGTCCGCAGACCCCGAAAGGAATTCAAACGTGTCCGCGATGAAGTATAAAGGGATTTCGTCGGCCTCTAACGGAATTCACCTCTTCGATGCTCCTCTCGCTGGTGTGGCTAGTCCTTGCTTTGGTTTCCTCTGCTCTCCCAACCGAGCCCGAACTTGACCGCCACCCCCAGTTCAACAGTAGAAAGTGTTCTGACCTCCGAGTCCGTTATGAATGGCGAGTGTTTTCCAATCTCTTCGGCAGTATGTTCATGGCGCTTCCACAGGCGTGACCTTCGTACTAAGGACAAGCAAGACTACATAGCCGCCGTAAAGTGTCTCCAGAAGCTACCGCCAAGGACTCGCCTGCTTCCGCAGATTCGTTCGCGCTATGACGAATTTGTTATTAGCCATGTCCATCTCACCGATGCCGTTCATGTAGTTGTGAGTGCTATCTTTGCCAACCTGCCCGTCCCCTCAAAATAGGACGGCTAACCTTTTGGCAGGCTCAATTCCTACCCTGGCACAGATATTACATCTTCCTCCAGGAGACCGCTCTCCGCGAAGAATGTGGATACCGTGGTCCAATCCCGTAAGTGAACTCTATCGCCACATTGGGATAGTAAGGGTTGATCGGGATCCATGGTAGATATTGGAACTGGTCTCTCGATGCCGACTCGAAAAAGCCGTGAGCCATGCATCTCTATCTATCTGATCTTGTGGGAGTTATCACTCACCATTGTGTGCTAGTCTCACCCAGTCTCCCGTCTTTGACTCTAAAACGGGGTTCGGTGGTGACGGGGTTCCCGGGACTTATACCATTCCGCCCGACCCCTTGCACCTGGGCGCGATAGACATCTATGCCTACGGCAAGGGGTGTGTTCAATCAGGACCTTTCAAAGACTACAGCCTCACCATTGGTCCTGGAAAACTCTTCACATCCCACTGTCTCGTCCGGAACATCAATGAAACATACAGATCCTATCTCACGTCTTCCGCCATACACAATCTCATGCAGCAACCGAACTATAGTTCATTCCGAAGTGAGCTGGAAGGCATCCCTAGCACCACGGATCGACGCGTCCATGACGCAGGACATTTGGTGGTTGGCGGTGATATGGGCAACCCCTACTCGAGTCCCACAGGCACGTCGATTCCACTTCCTTTCGCTCACGTACTGACACTTCTGACACCCGACGAACTGGATTCGATTCCAACCCTCTCCGTCTTCCAATCCCAATCACGACCGCTCTAATCTTATGTCCGCTCCGCAGACCCACTTTTCTTCCTGCACCACGCGAACGTTGACAGAATTTGGTGGGAATGGCAACGCGCCAATCCTGTCAAGCGTCTCTACGAGATCTCTGGGAGGGCCATCACTAATCCTCCGTTCACAAACATTACGCTCGACTTTCCGCTTCAATTCGACACCCTGGTTCCCCGTCCTGTGCCTGTTCGGGACGTGATGGATATCCATTCCGAGCCTTTATGTTATACTTACTTTTGATCTCTCTTGATTTTTGTCAACAGCGGGGCAAATGGGCGGCTGTTCGGTTAAATTAGGGTGCCTTCTTGGATGAAATGAGGGGATTTACATATGGATAAGACTGGAGAACTCCTCGGTAGAACTCTTTAAACGACTTGATAGTCTACCTTTTTAGGACTTGGTACTCACTCCACTTCTTGTCGTGCGATTGGGGTACATCTACATACTTGGCCAGACTCTCTCTCTCAGAACTCTCTACGGCTGAATTTTAATGATAGAGAATTGTCATTCGTTAGGGTGTCATACATATTCAGTGTTTTGGTTATAGTAGTCTTGAGTGGTGCTATGCTACATGTTGATAGTGTGGATGGTGATGGCGTGTCATGTGGAACGGTATTAGAAAAGGGTGGCTACCAGTAACTCGTAACGGTTGGTAACTAAAAGATGAAACCAGATCCCAAACAAACAGGGATAGTCAAGAGAAAAAATCAGATGAAACACCGGGGCGAATGTAAGGAAGGCAAGCGATACAAGAGAGGAAATCTAACGTCTTCTGGAGACCGGGAGAAAAGTACCTGGTTAAAATACCAAGCTTTTCGGAATCTACAACGGAGCCAATCCACCGTAGCTCCAGATAATACAGGTTTACCCCAAAGCTGTTGACATATAGCTAAGAAGCGGTTCAACACCTCGCATACAAAGGCTTTGGGCGACGCAAGCGCAACTGGGGCTGCCAGCTTCCCAAAGAGACATGGTGCAAGCTGACGAGGACTACATCCTCAAGTTTGATCTCGTGGGGTCGCAGACCGACCTTCCATCGAATATCTGCTCCGTCTTCCAAAGGGCGGTCTTTGTTTTCCTGGTGACGAAAACACTGACCGTCAGACGGAGCCTATAAATGCAATACCAGGAAGACACTCACGTCGATGAACCTAAGGACACATTTGGCGACGTTCTTGGCGAGTTTGGCCATGGTTATGGGCCCCGGTGGACTTCGGAAGTCTTTCGTTGGGATTTGGCGGGTCCATTGGCGGTATCCCGGCCACTGTTGAAGGAGGGGACAGTCAGCGTGCAAGTTTCTTGATAGTGGATGAAACACGAACCTCAAGACGTATCGAGACACTGGGACCTCGGCCTTCAAAGACGGGCATATCGCGGCTAACCAATCGTTTCGTCTTGGAGTGCAGGGCGTCATAGAGGGAGATGCCGAACTCGGACGGATTCTCCATCTCAAAGTAGAGTGGGTCCGACAGGGTGGCATCTTCCACATAACGTTTCCGATCGCTATTGGTATGCGGCTTATAGATGGCTTGGGGAATGAATTGACCTGTGGAGGTCTCAGACGGTAAATTCCTGGCTCTGACGAAGAGGTTGTATTGTTGTCGATATGCCGCCCTAACAGACGACTGGGCACGGGAAGTGGGAGAAAGATCGCGATGAAGGGCCTGTTGGGCATTTCGAGGTGAACCGCTAGGAAGAGTTGAAGCACCGGTGGGCGGGGTTGCCAATGTACCGGCGCTCGAGGGAGTGTGGGGCGCAGAAAAGAGAACAAGGGATTCTATGGGCGGGGAAGGATGACTTGGGACGGGCGCCGAGGGTTCAAAGGGGAGGGGGGAGGTCAGAACTGGCAGTTGGTTCGCTACGCCAAAGTCAGTATAGGATCCCGATGTCGTAGAAAGTCCCTGGTGGTCGTTTTGGATACTGTAGGAAGCTTGAGGGACACTCCACGTTTGGTGGTCGAAATAACCTGGTATGGAGCTAGAGGGATAGGTGTCCATAGGCATGCCTTGGTCGTTGGGATAGGAATTCCACATCTCTTGCTGGGGAGTGTGGGATGGGGTAAATGTGCAGAAATTGTTTGGGACGGGTGGAGACTGATATAGGGAACGATGACTGTCAGAATTCCGCGCCCGCAGTGACAAGTCCCGAGAACCTTGTTGGAAGGCTTGGTTCTGTTTCGGGTGAGTCAAAGCACCACTGGTCCTATATGGATGGGAACTTACATATGATTGCGAATCTGAAGGGACATTGCGAAGTGTGTGATCTGAAGGAATATATGGTGGATTATTTGAATCCATGGTCCACTCTCCACTGGAAGCTTGGTATGAGTCAACTCCAAGATAGGGGAGCGACTGGTACGTGGGGTCGTAGAACCTGGGGCGAGTCGGTTATAAAGATGCTGTGAGAGTCAGGACGACTCGAAACAACTTACTGTGAAGCAACTACTGTCATACTTGGATTTACGGAGTCTGTGCAGGGAGGGAGTAGATCATGGAGGACAGAAGGTGTGCAGAGGTACTCGGATTATATGTAGTCTCTCCACAGCAGCTACAGCGCACACCTCTGAGAAATAACCCGAAACGGTCATTGCTGTTAAGTTAGTGACAGTGAAGATGACGCCGCTTCGGATCGGTGGTGAACACAGGATTTATTCGATAAGGATTTGGTTGACCGAGATCGACACCTTTTGGTGGAACAGTCCGGCGGTATGGGCGACACCAGTGTATTGGTCAAAAGCGAAGCACGTCCAGACCTCGCCTCAGGGCTGGGCGGATAACCCATTGGAAGACACGAGGTAATTTTGTTCTAAAGCGAAAGTTCGACGAAATGGATGTCGCACAGCCGCGCCATCGAGCAACAGCACGACCTCCGGCGGCGTCGCGTACGGGTCCCCAAGTTCAACGGCCTTGGACCTGGTGCTTGGGGTCAAATCCTTCTGGCTTCTACAGAGCATCTTTGCGACAGGTCAACAGAGAATTCTTTCCATGAGAGACTGTCGAGACCGGTTCGAGCGCTGTGAAACGGTTTGTCGACAAGGTCCAAGTGTGGCACGTTTGGTTCGAATTGGCAAGATCAGAGCAGTGTTTGGCGGTGCTGAGCGCGTACAGCCCCGGCTGTCCGGCTTGATGAACATGCATGAGAACATATTCCCATATCCGTAAGGTCATTTCCACGAGTCTCCTCCGCTTCACGCGCTGCGGTCAACACGGATTTCTCTGACACCAAAACCGACAGAACGCACGGCCCAGCAGCGGGCACATAGCTCTTCTCAGCGTCACCGCTTTAACAATGTCAAGTCTAGCAGGCGCTTTGGGGGAAAATCTTCAGTCGGGATCACATAGCGGCTACAAGAATGAAGACTTACCGATGAATCACGCATCGGACGGCGGCGAGGATGAGGAAATGGAAGACGACCTTTTTGGCAACGACGAAGATGTCGAACATTACGCCGCTGGAAGGTGTGTTGCTATCCTTGTCCCGTCTATGGTATATTCTAAATGGCAATAGAACCTCTCCGTCTTCTCCTTCTGCTTCAGCTGTCGACTCCGAGCGCTTACCGTCCCAGGAACGGGATCAGCGACATGCTTTGGAATACGAAGAAGAAGAAGAACCACAGGAAATGGCTGGCCAGGACCTGAAAGAGGCTGAAGTCACATTCCCCAACATACCTGTTCCCCGCAGCTCAGACGGTGATGTGAATAGCCCAGTAACTTGCCATTATTGCGCACAGAGCTCATATCATTCCAGAAATGGGTCATTCGCACACCAAATTTCGTTCAAGTTGACTCAAAACCATTCCATCCGGACACATATATCGGGCCTGAGCATGATGAAGACGACGCTGGCACAGAAACCCTAAAACAACGTAGCATGTCCATCAAACTCAGAGTCGAAAGCACAATCCGTTGGAGGTGGACCAAAGACGAGAATGGGCGAGATGTACGCACATTAACGCGTCTATTTCTGCAACCAGGTAGCTTATGTGCAATGTTACAGGTGCAGCAATCCAATAGCCGCATAATCCGCTGGTCCGATGGCTCTTTGAGCTTACGATTAGGCAAGGAGTTGTTCGACATTAGCAAGTCAATAGACACTTCGGCTGGTCTACCTCGTCAGCTCGGCGGCTCTCAACCCTCAACGCAATCACAGACACCGCTCGGCAAAAACCAAGGCCTTACATACCTCGTGGCCCAACATAAGCGTTCTCAAGTCCTCCAAGCGGAAGCCGTCATAACAGGAAACATGACACTTCGACCGACTAGTATGCAGTCCGAAACCCATCGCATGTTGGTCCGCGCTGTTGGTCAGAAGCACAACAAGGTTGCCCGGCTCAAGATGGCTGATGATCCCACTATGGACCCTGAGCGTGAAAAGATGGAACTCGTTAAACAGAGCAACAAGAAATCGAAGAAACGCGAGTACGACGATGGTCTCGGAGGTGGAAGGAGGCGCAAGTACTCTAGGCGCACAGCTGACCGTGATGTCTGGAGCGACGATGAAGATGATTTTGCCCATGTCTTTGGTTCAGATGACGACAACGAAGATGGTTCGTCCCCGCGGAAGGCCAAACGCAAGGCCGACGACGAGAGGGGTGGATACCAGGAAGACGATTTCCTGGTTGCCGACGACTCAGAAGAGGAAGATTCTGGGTATAGCAAGAAGAAGCGACGCTTCGGGAATGACTACGAGGAAGATCCCTTGGACAAACTCGATGCCAAAATTGAAGCGCAAGAGCGAGGGCGTGGAGACGCCGACTCTGAAGACGATAAAGCTATGGACGTTGAGAGCGAAGAGGACGACGACGAAGACGTTCCAGTTAGGCGTCACACCTCGAGCGGTAGGCGCAAAGCCATCAACTTTGACGACGACGAAGAGGAAGAGTAATTGTTTCTCTATATTTCCCCCTACATTTTACATCATTCTCTTTGAGTATTACAGCAATTGCTCAGAGCGCCATAGAACCTTCGTTGTACCCATAGTCCCTGCACTTATATACGCAGTGCCCCAAATTTGTCCTTCAAAACGCCTGTATCGTCCAGTTCCGCGAGGGGTTTGATCGCATCGACCACCGCTTTGCTTTCTGAATTGTTTTTCAGCAGATTATGCAACGTGAAGATGGCGTGTTCCCTGAGGACTAAGAAACGGATCGAACATTAATTACGGACCCTTGCGCCAGATGGGGTCCACTTACATGGGTTGCGTTCATCAATAACGCACAGGTTCATGACCACAGGTAAACCGTTGGCATTGCGCGTCCGATCCTGGACAGCTCGGGATTCGTGTGCCAATACTCCAAGCAGACGAACCAGATCCCTTTTCACGTATGAAAATCCGTTGCTATCCTGCGCCGCAGGATTGATTGTCCCACCGGGGGCGTTGGGTGATGGTACCGGCTTTCCAAAGTATATCCGTGGCAGGAACAAATCGAGCAGTCTGAGCGTTTCTAATGAATTCAATATGACGATCAGCGACTCTTCGGAAGCGCGAAGAAAGAGGGCTGAAATGAACACCGTACCGATTAAGTTCTCGATCAACCCTTGCCCAGAGAACCGTACGTCGATGAAAAACTCCTTCATATTCGAAATATTCCCCACAGCTCCAGATTCGAATTGGCGCCCTTTATGTTCTTCAGCTTCAAGAGAAATGGTCGTGATACATTGCGTAACCAGTACGAGCGCTTCACAGACTTTGGGCAACATGACGTCGAGCTCCGAAAGGGGCTCTGCAGTGGCTGAGGAAGAACTTGATCCAGCGGCTTCATCGTCCTTGCTATGAGACTTTCCGGAAGGAGCAGAAGGCTTCTTGGATTTAGAGCTTTCCAATGACCGTTGCATTGCCTTCTGAGCATAGTTGGAAAGGGTGAAGAAGCGCTTCGCGAGGAAGGGGCCAAGAGCGACATGTGTCTGCAGGATTTCCCCTGCGGGCGAGGTCGATATGTCAAGCTGTATTGATTGTAGATATGAATCTACGAGTTTCAATAGGGTTGTCTGATGGGGTGTAATGATTTCATCTGGCCTGCACGGGAGTTGATTGACAGTAGGAGAAATACAGGATCGGTGGACTTACATATTGAACTTCTTGTAGAGCTCTGGGACAGCACCTTCTTCCATGAGGCGGGTAAAAATGGCGTAGCTGCAGGCATACGATATCAGGCGGCAGCTAATAGATAAGAAAGCACTTTCGTTACCCAACATTGAAGGCCTTTCCACCCTCGGATTCCTCCTCGGCCTCGTACAAACGAAGCATGCCATCCAGCAGAGCGACGCAGACACGAGCTCCGATAGCTGTTTTGGCCAACATTTTCCTGATGAAATGTCAACCCACAGTAATCTTTCAAACGGTGAGAACTCACGTTCTCTTCCGGCTGCCATGGATGCAGTTCAGGATGAAGATGAGTGTTGTAAGAAGTGTACGATCATCGTGTGCTGCGAGCAATCGACTACGATTATCGAGTTAGCCGTTTCAGGTGTCGGTGGGTAGGTTACGTACATTAAAACGACTTGATCCTCAGGTAGATTCATGTAGGTCTCCCAGAGGGACGATACAAGGGTTTGATTGGAGGTGACAATATTTGACAGTGTCTGGGTAAGAAAGCGGGCCACGGCCGTTGCTTTAGGATGGATTAGAAAAGGTGAGAGAAAGATATTATTCAAGTGATAGAACGTACATTCCGGGTCCTCCATGGCAGACCAGGAGGTGTAGTAGTGTAACAGCCGACGTATCTCTGGCTCATTTTCACTGAAAATATCAGTTAAGCGCCAATCACCTGGATAAAAAGAGACAAACGGCGCTCACAAGGCACGAGACTGATTTTCTGGCACGCCGACGACGACATTCCTCGTGAACTTGGCCAAGGAAGCGCACAGGTACCGCAGGTGGTTATTGTCATTCGAGCCACTAGTATTGCTTGACGCTTCTTCCGCTTCGGAATCGTCGTTATCCCAGAAGGTCAGCTGGCTATGGGCGAGCTCTCTCCACACTCTTCTCAAGTCTGACCAAAGAGCCTGATCCTGCCCCGTTGTTCTCCTAAAAGTCGCAATACATCAGTCGATTCTTACTTCCTGAATCCAGGTCGGGGGACCTGCGTAAAAATGACCCCACCTTACTGATTCTCCCTGGGTCAGCTCCTGTGCGCTCGAGTCGAGCGCAGAAGCCAGAGAACGGACTCTTGCTTTGTCCTTGACATCGAAGCCTAGACATGCGCGTCGTACTTGGCCTGCGATAGAGCGGTTTGTCGCTGGAGATTCTGCCATGAGAAAGCTAAAGAGAGTCGAAGGCGGTGGACACTGGACAGAGACGCGATGGTCGAGTGCTGAGAAATCTGGAAGAACCGCGTTGACGTTGTTTTCATATAGAGCTGACACAGAAGCCCCGTTTTATCCGCTGAATTCTTTCTGTTTTTATCCTGTTCATCGCAGTTACCAACCTGTGCCTGCTCAACGGCGCCCAATTTTGACGCTTGGCCATCACTGACAACATCAACGAACAACGTCAACACCGTCGGGCCTTGTCCTCGTCCACCAACCGCAGCGCTCCTTGCCTCCTGACCACCATCCAACATGACAGCGACAAGCACCGAAGTCAATGTGTCACTGGAGCCACATCTGGTAGAGGTCCTGAAACCTGTACGGACGTTATTACCGGAGGCACTGGCTGCAGAATTGGCAAGCTACATCGAAGGAGCGCCCAAAGATATCATACCACATCGCCTACTTCGCGAAATCTCGTCATGGTCGCGCTCGGACGAAGGAATCAAACGGCTGCGCTCCAAATCTATCGGGCCCAGTACCCTCAGTATGGTCTCACTCTTGGCGGGAACGACGACATCGCCTGAACGCAACTTTGGGGAGTATGTACCAACGAAGGAGCCAGAAGAAGTCGCATATGACAAGGCCAGAGAACGGAAGGCGATCACGGCCCTGGTCAATTCGCTATTCAGTGTCTTCGGGGCAGGCTTTGCAGCGTGGTGGGGCGCAGATAAGACCGGTTGGAAGGACGAATACGTATGTCCTAGTCGCCTTGTTCCACACTCAACATCTGACATCCAAAATAGAAGGTTCTGTTTGCAATAGGAGTTGGCATTGTGGTGGCCATCTCAGAGGCCATATTATACTGGATTTGGTCGTCAAGGAAGACGAGTAGCAAACAGAAGCGAAGAATAACACCTAATGCGCGGCACAAGAAGTTGGACGGAGGAGGAACTGCAACAGAGGAAGCCCGGGCAGTTACGATATCGTCCAAGGACGAAAAGCCGAACAATTTACGACAGAGAAGGGATCCAACGTCCCGTTAGGGCGAGGGAGATGTCACTGTCATTGGTATACCCCCAGCTTCCTCATCAACAAAGAAATATACCATCCCGTTAACCCCCACACCTCAATCTTTCCTTCCACCCCGGCTCCAACCTCGTCCTCGCCATCCCTGCCTGGCCGTGGAGGCTCAACATCTACATGCTGCGATACGATATCCGTCACGTCCAAGACCCAATACGGCCGTTCCCCGCGAAAGAGCGATGACCTTAGGCGAGAGGGTGCGAGGAAGGTGGATAATGGGACATGGAACGCAGTTGCTACCTCGTCCGGCGAAGCTTGTTGTCGGATGATATCCATATCTATCGAAGGGAACGGCTCTTCTTCACCTATCCTCCGTGAAGCGTCCGTCGCGTGCAGAAAACCCTGCTATGGTCAGAAGGGAAAGCATGGAGGGTCAGGGCAACCTACAACTAACGGCCAGACCTTCATGTTTCCCTTCAAGTTATATTCAGGGGGTCCGAATCTTCCAAGGAATTCTACTTTGGTGTGGTCTATTCCAAGCTCCTCTTTTGTTTCGCGTAGCGCTGAATAAATAAACGATGGGTCTGTCTGTTTTGGTGATTAATGGATTGCAAGAGCTCCTCCATACACGATGATTTACCTCGTCAACTCGGCCACCAGGAAAGCTACATGGTTGAGTCGAGACATCGCACCGTTCAAAGAAATCGCCTACCTGATTTCCCCCGAGTGACTCCTCAATGACCTTGCTCTCAACTCGAAGAGGATGCTTGGTTCATTGTTCACATTGCAAAAGGGCACCAGTACCGCTGCATTTCCTCGTGCTTCATGGGGTGCGCAAGGTTCGATGGGTTGGGTGTCCAATAAAGATCCCAGCTTTCGCAATGACTTTGGGGTGAAAGGCTTGGTTAACCATGCTGAGGCCAGGGAGTTGACCGCACGCTGAGAGCAGGGCGACATTTAAAGGCGGATAAAAAGGAGAGATTTCGGTGCATCGCACCTCTGCTCAACCTCAGGCTGATGATGTTCGAGTCTGAATGATGTGATATCTGGCAATGGCCGGTCACCGGTATTGCCTCCGGACGGACGGATCCTCGGCCGTGACGTCAAGCCAAGCCGCGGCCATCAAAGCACCGAAATGTCCGGGGAAATTGAATCTGCACTGACTCTTTCCTCGACGTCCATGTCCACTTCCTCTGGTTACCACATTCGCCTAGTTCTTAGCCCAGGAAAAGACACTTCATCAGAAGACCAGTTTGTACCAGCATCTCTGTTTCAGCATTTACCAGATCATCAAACGCTGCCAGTCGAGCCCAGAAATCCAGGGCCTTCAGCAAATACCTCGAGTGACTATCGACTAGGGCGCGTTTCCGTGGATTGGATGGACTTTGAACAGACCGCATCTTCGTCTAGTTCAGTCTCTAGGGAGAGACAATTCGGAAGGGGTTCGTGATACACCGTAATCGTGTAGGAGTGTTGCTAAATGCACACCAGGACCCAGGCCTGCAGAAGGCACCTTCGTCCCTGTAACAAGGCATAAATCAGGAACCACAAACCTACCAGAGGGCGTCGTCCACATCTTCCGTGAAGTGGAAAACAAATTGCCACTAGAGGAACTTGAAGCAAAAACGAATGCCTTGCACTTGGATACCGAACCACCGCCCGAAGAAGATGGGGTCATGTTGGCAGTGTTGGCTGTTCCTTCATGGATGACTCCTTCGGACTTTCTTACCTTTGTTGGGCCAGTAGCTGAGGATTTAGCCCATCTGCGCATCATTCGGTGCGTCCATTTATTGCCTCGGAATTGGGTTGACTGACAGTTCGAACAGTGACTACGCCCCAAATCGCTCCATTGCACTTCTCAAATTCGTGAGCGCAGCTATCGCGTCAGAATTTGCTGCGGAATACAATGGAAAACCGTTCAACTCTATGGAGGTGTGTCTTTGCCTCATTCCACTTCGCTTCATTCGCGGCTTATGTCTTCCCTCTAGCCTGAGATATGCCATGTTGTTCACGTCTTGTCCGTAGTGGTGGATGTAGAGGACCCTGTTCTACAAGCCATACCCAGCCCAAGCGCATCGCAGAGTTCCGTCTACGAACTACCTACTTGCCCGGTGTGTCTGGAGCGCATGGATGCGGCGGTTACTGGCCTCATAACCGTTCCATGTTCTCATACGTTCCATTGTATGTGCCTGAGTAAATGGGGTGATAGCAGGTGTGTGACATTACATTCGTGGTCGGCCCAATCTAAACGGTTATTCAGATGTCCTGTATGTCGCTACTCCCAGACGTTAATTGCTTCTCATCCCAGCACCTCCTCCAACCGCTCTCGATCCGTCCCTTTCTCAACACCGAGCCCCTCGATGGCACGGTGTATGAGGTGCATGTCAACAACTAATCTTTGGATATGTCTCATCTGCGGCAACGTTGGGTGTGGACGATACGGTCAAGCCCATGCGCACGCACATTACCAAGAGACGACCCACCTCTACGCGCTCGAACTGGAGACTCAGCGCGTATGGGACTACGCAGGGGACGGTTACGTGCATCGGTTAATCCAGAACAAGACGGATGGGAAGCTAGTTGAACTCCCCAGTGCATCAGCTTCTGTTGGTACGACAGCGCGAGACCACAATGGCCTCGGGCCAAGCCAAGCCGATGCTCTTACGGCGGAAAAGATCGAAGCCATTGGGATCGAGTACTCCTATCTCTTAACCTCGCAACTCGAGTCTCAGCGCGAATACTACGAAAATCAGGCATCAGAGCTTAAAGAGCAGTTGGTCGATCTGAAGGCGCTGGTGGCTCGGCTGAGTTTGGATTTCGAGAGCGAACGGAGCAGGGCGAGGGAAGAAGAGGGACGGAGAAGAGCAGAGGAAGAGGAAAAGCTATCGCAAGCCCTCAAGGACAAGGCAAAGGCCGAGCAGCGGGCGGATAAAGCGCTTGAACTAGCGAGGAAGTTTGAGAAGGAGTTGAAGGAGGAGAAAGCTGTTAGTGAAGGTTTGATGAAGAATTTGGTGGTCATGAAGGAGCGTGTAGAGCAGTTTGATCGGGATAAGGAGGCGTACACGAAGAAGGTGAAGGAGTTGGAAGATCAGGTTCGAGATGTGATGTTCTTCTTGGAGGCTAGAACCAAGATCGAGCAGGGAGAGGGTGTGGAGGGCGAGGCTGCCGGAGGATCCCTTGAGATTGCTGTACCACCGGAAACGCCGACTACAGCGAACGGAAAGAAGAAGAAACAAAAGAAAGGGCGATGAAGAATAGTTGCAGCTTCGCCTAAATCCGACATCGACCTTGTCATCTGATTGGAATTCTCGGAACCTCTACGGCTATGAACATTTTGGAATTCGGTTTCCTTGAAGATACCAGCTTTGAATATACCTTCGCGTTTCCGGAAGGTAGCCGTCATATGTACCGCCCACTTGACAGAATCGAATCCATGTCCCGCTGTCAAGTTTACCGGTCAATCTAGGCGCTGATCACCTGTTCCCGAATAGCAATTTAGATAACTCTACGGAAACACCTGTCCTCGGCGTTGTCCACCACTCACCTCGGAATTGACGTTCAGCATCGACACGATGACGATCGAACAACCTCCATAACGGTCCCAACAAACCCTTATCGAACAGCCATGACAGGTTATGCTCTGCATGCTTCTCGTATATTCCCATCCAATAGAAGCTATAAGTCATAAAGGAGTGTAGTTGGTGCAAATACATTAGCGACGGCTGATACGACGGGGAGGTCGGATGAGACAGAAAGGGCCAAATCGACACAACAGCGAAGGGAATCTGGCTCAGTTCGCAGGATTTACTCTACTTACAGAAGGAAAAACACCACCCCGTATAACCAATCTAACGTGTTCGGTACTGTTGAATGGCCATTATATGGCAGCCAAGCCTTGAAGAACCCGAAAATAGACGTTGAACCGACAACGAGGACGTGGTAAAGGGTGAGTTTTGGGCGATTGGAGGTGACTCTTGGGCGGCAATTGACACCGTTTGCATCCATTAAACCAAGTTCGAGTTCTTTGGGGTGAAGTACAGGTTTCGGGGTTGATGTTGGAGTGCGGAAGGAAGGGGAAAAAAAAACAAAAGTGGTGTTGAATACCGTGCTTTTATGAGGCCCCTGGCAGTGGTTTGCCCCATAATGCTGCTGTGACGTCGGAGCTAATCATTGAATGGGGTCACGTTGAGGCAGTGCCTCGAGCGCTTAACTGGACTACGCATCCTCCAGTACGTGAAATCAAGCGCGGAGCCACGAGGAAAAAGGCATGCTGATATTGAAGACAAAGGAGCATACAAAACGACTTAAACGGAGAGCAAATGGCCTGTAAACAAAACGAAGAGCCTAAAAGGAACGATATGTTTTAGATTCTAGCATTTCCAGGAAGACTGCACATGTTTGATATGAATCAGAACGCCCTGGCGATAGCAAATGGCAAACTCACATCTCTAGCTGCAGGAGCTTGGACATAAATGTATGGAGGCCTTCCTAAGCACTCGGCTACTGAGACGAGTCGATATCCAGCCTGTCGAAGTTTACTGATGGCATGCGGCAGCACATCGTGTCTGAACGAGTGTCAGCGCGAGCCATCGGGAGTTGTCAGTTAAACATGAACTCACACACTGGAAGCTGTATGCGGCGATAGTTGTCAGTACAAACGAGAAGAAAAAGAGACATGGCGCAAAGGCCTACCATAGACCTCGTGGTTCAGGGTCAAGACAGAGGAAGGACGGTGCTGGGCGAGCTGTGTGTACCGGTACTTCTGACTCCCAGGGCCGACACCTACAGAGTCCCCAGAGCTGGCGATGACAGTAAGCTCATGCCAAAGAGACGGTCGGCGAATGGGACTTACTCAAAATCCCACAAAACGATTGCTTGATGCCGAGAAGCTGAAACCTCCCTGACGAGATTGTTATAGTTGCCATAAGCTAGATAATGATCGTGTCAGGCCTTCGCGCGGAATGGTAATTAGTCTTACGAGGGCGCATGAAGGCAGGCAATGCCCCTGTTATTCGCTGAAGTGCCTCTGCGAAAGGTTAGACTAGGACCATCAAACATCCTCGAGAATAGCTTACCATCCGTACGCCTCATTTCCTCGTAAACTAGAAGAGGTGAGGGGCGGCCAGAACACCACGGCAAAGGGTACATACTGTCATTCCATCCCAAGGTCGACAAGTCCCGATGTGCCCAGGTGTGCGAAGCAACTTGATGTCCATGGCGATATACATGTTTAACCCTGTCCACGTTCTCTTTGCTGTATATACAACCGTCTTTGTCGCCAACAGTTAACCGTCATGAAAAGGCGCAGCGCACGGAGTGCTTACAGTTATCACCATCTGTATGATTATGAGCCTTTGAAGCAATAGATAGCAGGAGTCTTTTGGACGCACTGAAGAAGAATGTGCCAGTTGCATTGACGGCGTTCAACTGCCTTGTAATTTCGTAGCTATTCGGCAGCGCGGCGTAAGAGGGGATCTGTGAGTCGAAGGGGCGGAAAAATTGGCTCATACATGTATTGGTACGGCCCATCATCCTATTGGAGACAGACTCGCCATGAGCACCCGAGGCCAACAACTCCAGACGCAGAGCAACAAAGCACTCACAAAAGTCAATGCAGCGGTGTTAGGGACCGTGCAGCGTGTAATGACTTCCGCCCGCTTTTGCCTCGTCTCTAAAGACGGACTCACCGGAGAACTGGGAAGCCCAAGCCCATTCACAGCGAGATTTAACAGCACCACAAAGGCGGTGGCGGCGGGGACGAAAACCATGCTCGACGATGTGGAAACGAGTAACGGAGAGAAGGGGTCTGACAAAAGAAGGACTTGGACGAGTTGGGCGAAAGAATGTTTAAATGAATGTGTGGGGCTTTATGGTCTTCGAGCGAGGTCGAAAGGCGGAGGAAGGAACAACAGGACGGGAGAGAGATGGAGAAGCGATGGAGGAAGTATGGAACTGCCGCTGGGTTGTCGCGTACGACGAACTCGGAATACCACGCGTCATGGTTCGATCACGATCGTAAAATCCCTCATGGACGAAGGAATGGCTGCAAGCCGAATTCGAAGTGTTGAGGGGGTTGAAGTTAGAGCATTGAACATGATGCACAGTATGCCGAATTACGCTCGAGTAAGCTTGCCGTTGCATGTAAACCAGGCATTGAGCCTACGGACCTTGTGAGATAGCGATAAACACTGAGGACGTGGAGCGATGGCAGCATGCAGCGTTTCCAAGCCCTTGGTGTCCGTAGGTCCGTCGTCGTCGTCATTAAATTCCAGAACACGCATCCAACCAAGAGAACAAGATCAGGGGCTATACTTACACCAAGTCCGATTGCATGGCATGCTTTGAACGACAAAGTTGAAGTCTCGGCGATGACGTCACGAAGATCCCTTACGAACGCTCGAAGCGAATAACCGGTAACAGTGATTTAGGTTCCTAAAAACATAGCTCAAACTACAAACCCTCGAAGAAAGCCAAATCTTGAGCGGACAGCCCGCCTTTCCCAGAGGAAGACGAGGAGGACATAGCTGGTGGCTGAGGAGGCGGGGTGGGTTTAGCTAGAACGGGGGCGTCGAAGTTGGAGAACGTGGATGACAGGTTGAAGGACGGCGGTGCCGGAGCCGTTGATGCCATGGGTAACGAGGAGTGCGAAACCTGAGAGGCACCATTCGACATTGGAGGTGGTGGGAATGACCATGAAGACGTCGGAGTGGCCTTGTTGTTTGTAGGAGGGGGCGGGATTGACGGAGGTCGAGAGCTGGGTGGCGGCATGCTCTGTTGGCTCGCGAAGATCCCCGTCTCAAAAGGATCCTTCGGCTTACCTCCCCGAGCTTCTGGAGGTGGGAGAGCCATAGGCAGTGGAGACGGAGGAGACAACCACGTCCCAGCTCTTGAAGAAGCAGACTCCATCAAGCTGAGCGTTCGCTGATGGTCAGCTCTAGATACCCTCTTGCTAGGCGATGTAGACGGGCCCCTTGATTGTCGAGGAGAGGAAGACGCCGCACGGGGGACAATAGGGACCGTGGCCGTAGGATGTACTGCAGGCACTGCTACTGGGGGATCTGGCGCAGCGGAGAAGCTGCCAAAATCGCCAAAATCATCCATCAAACCATTGCCGAGTGAATTAGTCGGATTGGTGGGCTTGTTAGGCGCATTGAAAGTGGAAAATGACAAGGAAGGAACAGCGGTCGGGCCTGCAGGGGAAGTGACGAAATCATCGAAGTCATCATCCACTTCAGGGATGGATGGATTGGCGAGGACGTTGGGTATGAGCGATGGGGTATGTGATCTGCTTGACGGTGGTGGAGGTAACGTGGGGATTGACGAAGTTGGAATGGGTGTGCGAGGAAGGGATGTCGGTGGTGGAGGTAACGGAGCTATCGTAGACGACATTGGTTGAGTGGTTTGGTGAAGGTTGGCCGGTGAAGGGGCACGTGAGGTGGCCGGACTCATCGAGTTAGAGCTCGAAGCTGGTGCTGGGATGCTCTTGGGTGGAGGCAAAGGAGGTTGAAGGGAAGGCGAGCTCATTCTGGCGCCCGAAAAAGAGGAGATTGATGACTTGCTTTCGGCGGAGAACAAAGTCGACGATGGTGAACCCACGGTAGACCCAAACGAGAGATTGGAAGAGGAGGCAAACGATGTGCTGTTGTTCAGGAGGGAGAAGGGATCAGAGGGGGGAATCGATGGCAAGGGCTGTGATTGCTTATTCGAATGGCTTGCGGCGGTATCGGTTGGAGCCGGCGCATCAAACAAGGAGAAGAGATCCTCTTCGGCAGTTGTTTTCTGCTGAGTTGGCTGAGTCGGAAGAGTCTGACGTTTCATCTGAGTTGGGCGTGGAGGTGGGGCAAGGGGTGGCGGTAGAGCTGCGGGCAGGCTAGGCGCCTGGGAGTTGATCATGGTAGTCAAAGCTTTGAGTTGGTCGTCCTGACTTGCACTAGCTTGCGTTGTCGGAACAACGTCAGCCAAGAATTCGAGATCGTCGGTGGATAAAGCAAGACTATCTCTGCCATTTGATGACCGTGTCCGCGAGAAGCGGCCAAAGAATCGAGACACCACTGAAGGTGATGGTGTTTCCTTTGGTTCTTCTGTTGCTGGTGTAGGAAAGAAATCTAAGGCGGTCGTCGGGGAAGCGTTGGTTTTGATAGGCTTCAGGTTGGCGGCAGGAGAAGCACTAGCAGCAACAGAAACAGCTGAAGTGCTGGCGGCAGGTGGGGTCGAAGTCGAAGTGGTGTCGACACTGACCCGCGGCGAAGGTGATGATACTTTAGTGATAGATTTAGCGGGAGACGCTGGTCTAGATGGTCGTGGCGCGTCATCAGAGACCGGTGTGGATGCAGCCCTTCGTGAAAAGAAGGACAATATCCCACCACCGGTATTTCGCTTCTGTTTCGTGTCTTCCACAACCTGCTCATCTTTAGGAATAATTTTCCATCCTGCTGGAGCAGCATCTGTGCTTGAGGAATCGGCCCTTGCTATCACGGATGCCTCCCATGAGATTGAACCTTTCGTGGCCATGTACATAGCCATCGGTCCCTTGCGGGTCACTATAGCGTTCCTTGATAGTTTCAGTGCCTCTGACTCTCGCTTCGCGGCGAATGTCTGTTGGAATGGCTTTGGCATGGATAAGGTAAGTCCTTCGGGAACGAGGGCGAGTCGCACAGAATGTCTAGAAACAAGTTAGCAGCAATCACTTGGTCTGTATTAATGACGCACGAGACCACACTATCAAGGTCAATGACACGACCACGTTCATCATCCACAACCTGACCGTCGGGCCACAACTCTGATGCAACATTCTCAAACTCTGAGAGGATGGCGTTTAATCGTTCTGGAGGCTAAGACCTGTAAGGTGGATCGTGACAGATTCAAATGAAGTACTAACGACGTGTCTATCCTGCTTTTCCTTCTCCTGCTTTGCTACCTCCCATTCGTCATTTTCATCTGCATCATCCCTGGGCTCCTCCCAAGAATTTCCCCAGACGTCGTCCTCCGCGTTTGCAGGCTCGGCAAAGGTGGATGTAGGGCCCCACGCATTGTCGTTGTCTTCGCCTTCGTCGCCAGTTGCAAAAGACCCGAAACCGTCTACTTCCTCAGGAACAACGGGAATGGGTACAGCAGTTGACGGAAGGACCGGCGATGGCGGAGTTGACACCTCATCGACAGGGTTGCTCAATGAAGGACTGGACGGCGTTGAGTCCTTCCCCGAGAAGCCAGAGTGGTGAAGATCTGGTACAGCCTCCTGGTCACCGAACGGGATCGGTTCTGGTTCCCAGGTTGATTCGAATGCAGGCGTTTTCCCCCATCCAATGGTTTCGGTGTCAGGTTCGGTCCAAGCTACGCTTGAGGATGTCGTTGTCCAAGTTGCTGTCGCGATATCATCTTCTGCACTTTGAACAGCTGTCGGTGCCGCTGGTGAAGTCCAGGTCGGTGCCGCAATCGAAGACGAAGCGATAGATGTCGTTGGCTGGTCTAGTTCCTGGTTCTTTTTGTCTGATTCGTCCCAATTTTCCGCCCAAGGGTTATCCATTCCTAGTTTCTAGATGCAATGACCAGCATAAGACCCGAGGGTTATATAGGACGAAAACGGTCACAGAACTTATGGCGCTGGAGCAGACCCTGGTTTAACCAAGGTGATCTCACTGTGTGTGGCTGTGTACATCGTGGGAAAGCCCCTTGGACCAATTTAGTATTCGCTCGAGTTGGCCGTCGAACAGTGACGGTGTCCATTGCGAACCCAGTGCTTTTCGCTCGCTGCTCCTTTCTTCTCGACCAATATCGTCGTTCACCTTGAATTTCAGACATAAGACGACGCTACCGACACTTCCTGCTGGCATGGAAGGCCCCGCAGCAGACAGAGACATCCGTGAATGGGACGAGTCCGATGTTCATGCTTGGCTCTCAGTTCTGGGATACCCTCAATATGAGAATCAGATACGGGGTAGGATTGCTTTCAAGTCTTTTGCCCCGTGAAACTGACCTTAGCATATAGAACACAAGATTCGGGGGGATGCCTTGTGTCTAATGAACGCCGATGACCTCAAGTCTCTCGGAATCTCGTCAATAGGGCAGCGATTGTCGATTCTGAAGGCCATTTATCAGGTCAAGGTCGCACATTCGGTCCCTATAGAAGAAGACCACTACATTCCGCCTTGTACGTGGCTCTCGTTTGTTTCTGCGGAAACCCGACTGAATTAGGTCCCAGCTGAACTCGCAGAGATGACGGAAACGGTCACAATCCACAAACTGCATACTCTAGTGAAGGAGCAAGGTATTTGGTTTGACCTCAGGAATAAGGAAGTTCCCGCTGAAACCCCTTCTCGTTAGGCCAGCGACTACGGACCCTTGAGGAAGAGAATCGTTCCCTCAATACCATTTTACAAACATTTATCGACGAATTCAACGGAGTTCGGTCATCGCTGAACGGACAGGTGGGGATCTATATCGTTGCAAGTAGTACCATGTCTGACTTCCCTTGTTCAGGACGAGGGGCCTTCTATTCGAAGACAGCATTCCTTCAAATGGGCTAATTTCGATAAACCCCAGAAATCCCCCACGAGACCAGAAGCTCTCGAGTCTCCTCATGCTTCGCCCCGTCGTGCTGAACATGACATGTCGAGATTACCGGGCCCTCCCGCTCGTGTTACACCACCTGCTGTCGAGAAGCCTCGCCCACCGCACCTGAATCTCCAAGAGTCCAATGACCAACCTGCGGCACCCAAGGCTTCCCGTCAGGAAAGTTCTGACAATCTCAAGGGTTTCAAGGTCACGCTCGAGGATCCCACTTGGAAGGTTCTTCCGGCGGCACTGAAAAAGTACCGCATCAACAACGATACATGGCAAAACTACGCCATGTTCATTTGCTATGGTTCACCGGGTATGTCTCTATTCCATCTATTTTTGTGTCCATGATGTTCAAACAAGGGGTAGGCAACCGTATCGAGCGATGTTTGAGCTATGATGAAAAACCCTTACTTCTTTTCCAAAAGCTGAAAGATGCGAAGAAGAATCCTGTGTTCATGCTCAAGCATATCAAAGATATCCGTTCGCCAATCGCCGTGGCCCAACAAAAACACGCCGCCCGCAAAGCTTCATCAGTCATCTCAACGGATACATCTGTTACAACTGCAACGCACGGTCATCAAAAGGCGCCCTCGCAATCACGTACTAACCACAAACCACCGAGGCTGGAAGTACCTGATCATTCCGCTCCGGCCATGACGCCTGGTTTGCCATCGACGACTTTGAGCCCACAGCCCGGGTGGCCCGATAATGGAATGGTCTCCCCAGGCATTGACAATTCACGCGACGAATCTACTCTCACCCCCGCGTCGGCTTCGACCCTCGTCGCACAAATGTCGAATGCCAGTAGTAGCACGCTCGCACCCTCGAACTCGGGCAACACTGACGCTGGAAAGCAACGAGTTGGCTCTGACGAACCAGCAACGCCAATTACAAGGGAAGCCCTGCCTAATCCCAACGGAATATCCTACGCCGTCGCCATCTATCCCTATATGGCCGAGCAAGATGACGAGTTTGATGTCGTGGTGTACGTCAATGTGTCCACTTTATTCTTCCAACGTTGAATACTGATTCTCGACAGTGGCGATACATTCATTATCTTGTCGCGGGCTAAAGGATGGTGGGTAGTGCAACGGGATCCCAGCGGGTCTGGAATTGTGGACACGGATATCGTGAAGCAAGGATGGGTCCCTGCGGGGTGCCTGCTCGAGACCAGGGTTCCTGTTGCGTCTGCCATTGCCGAGGCTGCTGCAAAGGGAGGATCCGGCTCGAAGACACCCATCTTGCCATTGAGTATTATTTCGACCAGCTTCCCTGGTATCGCTTTGATGGACTACAAGAAGAAGGGCGAAGAAGAGTTGGATCTTAATAAAGACGACCTCCTCCGGGTATTCAAGAGGTACAACCATTGGTCATATGTGCGTATAACCCGTATCCCTGTGTGGACCTGATATTGACTTGGGAATAGGCTGTCAAGGAAGATGGCGGCGACCGCGGCTGGGTTCCTGTGAGTCTTGGATTTGTCTCTTCACTTTGCACTCTGTATTAAATTCCCTGTTCAGTCCTGGTTCATTGGAAAAGTCACCCCGTCTGGACCTGTACCATCCACACCCAACACCGGCATGTCAAGTCTCGGTTCCACGTCCATGGATGAAATCGGACAAAACCAAGTCTCGCCGATGTCCTCAGCTTTCCCTCCAGTCCAATCGCAGTCGCGCTCGTGAGGACGAGACAATCCGCGCCTGTATCACGACCTTTACGACCCTCTCTTCTCTCTACTCTTTTTGCATTCACTTCGTATATCTGGATCCCTTCCCCGCATTCAACTATCCATTCTACACAATCAATCCTTCGAATTCTTCTCTTGCGGCAGGCCAGCTGTTATACCATATTGCCTCCATTAATCACGCCGTTGTTTCTTGAGGCCTGATTTCAGGGTCTACGCTCGCTCCTTGTCCCCTCTTTGCCGTTTGGCGCTTTGTTTCATCGGCCAGGAGACTGTCCCTGTTTGACGTCCAACACATTCGTTTTTTGGTTTCTGATCCTCTATCGCTGCAATCTATTTCAGTCATTCGATCTTTCTTTTGGGCACTGACCTTACCTTCGTCATTTCACTTCTTCTAGTTCAAATTCACCGCGCCTTTGGTATGCGGTTGTACTTTGCCACAGTGTTGTCCGGTTGATTGTGTAATCCGGGGAAAGGTCGTCCCTTTCTCGAATGTAGATACCTGCAATGGCCAAACATGTATTACTAGACTAATTCTTAGGGCTTCATGGATTCCTCGGGTTCGGGGCCTTCTGTGGTTGATTTATTGCAGTGGTTTCTGGGCTGGATACGTCGTGTTTGGGTCAGGTGCTGGGTCTTGTGAGTTGCCTCCCATACCGTCATTTCGAGATGTCCGTCGTGTTTGTGTCACTAATTTCTTAGTTCGAGGTTCCTTCGGTTTGCTCCCGACTAGCGGTCGACGGATGCGGTTGTGCAAGTACCTTATTCTGGATCCAGTCCATCTAAGAGCGGATAAATGGGGGGTTCTTCGCCATCTGACCCGTCTGCAGACCACCGCGGCAGAAAATCTCAGTGAAGGAAGACCTTCGATGTGCCCATCCCTTGGTCGATGATCTGCATCCGTGTTGAAATCTGCTTCCTTGCGGTTCTTGTCGGTCCCCATGACGTCGCATGCGGCCCGCCGAAGGAAGGTTGAGCCTCGTTGGGTGCGCGCAAGAATGTCGGAATAGGCGCCGAGCCTTAACATGTTGCACAGTTGTCGGATGTTCATGGTAACGGAGGGTAACGGGGTCTAATGCTCCCACCCCGATGGAAGAAGACGCGTTGCTATTTAAACGAGGGTATATCCAGATCCGCTTTGGACCAGGCGACATTACATTCTTTCCCTCCACCCCGATAATCTGATTATGTTGGCCTCCAAACTCTCGACGGCGCTAGTTCTTTTGGCTTCCTCGTTCTTGCCTGCTCTAGGACAGGTTGGGCCCGGAATCGTAACAGGAGATGTGGCAGCACACGATCCGACATTGTGCAAAGACAGGAACGGGAAGTACTTCCTCTTCTGTGAGTTCACTTCCTCGTCGTTCCCGTCTGTTGCCTTGCCTCTTGGGCTGATCCAATGCTGTCGTTTAGCTACTGCTCCAGGCATCGACATCCGAACCTCCACCGACAGAACCCACTGGACTCGAGTGGGAAGCGTGTTCCCCAACGGCGCACCCTGGACGGATACGTATACTGGGACTAGGAATGGGTACCTTCGCCTTTTCTTTCTGGTGGGATGGTTAACGGGTAATTGACGCGTAAATTTAGGAATTTGTGGGCGCCGGAATGCTACTATAACGGGAACGAATTCTTGGTCAGTTAGGCCTTTTCCCCATTTTCAGTGGACATGACTAGAAGGGACCTTTTTATAGCTTTATTACTCCGCTTCGAGCTTTGGTTCGCAAAGGGTAGGTATCCTCCGTGGGTGTTCCACTTATGCAGGCCGGCTTAAACGATTACTCTCCTTTTACAGTCTGCAATCTTCCTTGCAAAGTCCACTACCGGAGAACCAGGTTACTCTCTGTCGTATTATCATTTCGGGGGGCAGTATCTCACGCATCGCAGGCACATGGCAAGATTTGGGAATGGTGACGTCCAGTTCCACGGCTAATGACTATAACGTGTGTTTCCTCTTCCGTGGGGAAAAGGACATTAGCTGATCGCTCCCACCTCAGGCAATCGACCCCAAGTCTGTACCGCGAACGAAATAGAAGAGAGCCCTACTGACCTGGAAGTTAACTTTTACTAGTCTCTTCATCGGTAAGTCTCTCCCGGGAAGACAACGGGAGTCTGAGCTCATCGCTTCCTAATTCGTAGAGAATGGCAACTGGTACCTCAGCATCGGAAGTTTTTGGTCGGGCATAAAACTCTTACGGTGCGCTTCGATGAGCATTGAGCACTACTCGTATGATGGAAAACCTCACCTTTCTCCCCTGTTTATCCTTGGCGTTCAGAATCAATCCATCTACAGGCAAGCCTCTCAGCAACACCGTCACCTCCCTCGCACGACGCACCACTGCCGGAGGGGCAGTCGAAGCCAGCACGATCTACAAGTACGGAAACTACTACTATCTCTTCACATCTTGGGACAAATGTTGCTCGGGTACTTCGAGCACGTATAACATCCGAGTCGGGCGCTCGACGAGGTAAGCAGCTTTCTTTCTATGAACTCGGGTATACGGCGACTGGACGTCTCGTTTACAGACCTGATGGAGGGTATGTGGATCGAAATAACGTCCCCTTGACCAATGGCGGAGGAACCCTTGTTTTGGCTTCCCATGGTCGGGTCATTGGACCGGGTGGTCAGGATGTTTACACTGACGGTGATGGGCCCATCATCGTGTACCGTGAGTGCTATATGTCTTTTGACTTTGGGGATGTCAATGGACTAATTGCTAATGTAGATTATTACACTCCTTCTGGACACGCCGTGAGTACCCCACCTATTCATCTACAACGACTGAAAATCATTGGTATGTCCTCACTCTCACCAGTTGGGAATCAACAGGCTGGACTTCTCCAGCGGATGGCCGGTATGTACTCAGCCATCTCCCACCCTCGCTTTGACTGAATTCGATCAGGTTATTGTGTAAACATAACATGTTGCTGTATGGCACGGTGAAGTACAATGTCTATGTACAGCAAAGACTACAATCAAGAATCTTCATTGTGCATAGATCGGCGAAGATCGAAGGGCTAAAGTAAAGCTACACATTTTCCGTGTACAAGGAAGAAGCGGTGGTAGAACTACAATTTGAACTGGGTACAGGTGAGGGTGACTATTGATGCGACATAGTTTACGAAGGAAATGAAAACAGAAGAAGGATGCACTGACTTAACGATCTTGCCCGTAGTACACAGGTGAGCTGTACTGCGGTTGCTGCTGGCGGTGATGATGGCGACGATGGTGATCTCGATCTGGTTGGGGGTTCTGATAAGGGTATCGGGGGCCTAGGATGGACGTGAGCACCGTTCAAGACAGGCGTAAAAGTCCACTTACTAGGGCGATGTCCTGGTGTGCTCGCTGTGTTGGTCGTGTTTGCCACGGAACAACGAGGACAATCGCGAGTTAAGACCATCCCATGCAGAAGCGAGGAAACTCTTACGTTTGGAATGGCTAGCATCGCGGTGTTGGTAATAGTCTCGATGGTCGCGGTAATCACGGTCGCGGTCTCGATAGTGCGACGAGGAAGAAGACCGCCGACGACTTTCCGACTCACGGTGTCTTCGAACTTCAGGAGTAGTGGCTGCGGGTTTTGGTTCATAGTCAACGCGACGGTCAGACGATGTACGGGGGTGCTCACTAGGAGGAGACCCCATGTTGTAGTCACCTTGGCGGTCCACTCGAGGTTGATGGTACTGGTGATGATGGTGATGCGCAGTCGTCTGAGGCGTATAAGGTGGCGGCGGGGGCATATTCAACGAGGAGTTGCGTTGAACAGGAAGCGTTTGGGAACGCGAGGTAGAGTATCCTGTTTGTTGAGGAGGGGGTAGTTGCTTATTACTTGCTGATTTATTCTCGATTTGCCCCCTAGATGGCTGCTCCACCCCATTGATAGTGTAAACTTCGCGCCCATCGGGAAAGATCCTAGTGACATGTTCATTGCCCTGGATGCGATGATGAGTGCAGGAACAAGCTACTGTTAGAAATTACATACCTCAGCGTCACGACGTCTGTGAACACTTTGAGTCACGCCATTGATGCTTTGAGTTGAGAAGCTTTCCGACACCCAACGAGCTCCAGAACGGCCACCACCGTTAGACATTGGTCCAGGGCCAGCTAAGAAGCCTCGAGGTGCAAAGCCTCCCAGTAGACCGAAAGGGGAGGAGAACATGGAGAAACCACTGTGGAACCCATTGAACTCTGCCTCCATTTGTCGCTCCAACTGGGCGAACCTGTCGAACGGGTCGTCCATAAAGAGCGAAGCGCCGAAGCCGCCTCCGAAGCCTTGTCGACGAGGTGCAAAGTCGCCAAAGATGGAGTCGAACAATGCGAATGGGTCCGTGAAAGTGAAGGAATGGAAAGGGTGATGTCGGTGGTGATGATGGAAGAATGGGTGCGAGAATGCGTCGTCGAAGTGGTCAAAGTGCGAGCAACTGCCGCTGGGCCTAGGAATTTCCTCAATGTCGGGCGGCGGCCATACACCATGGAAGTCGTATTCCTAAATATCTATTAGTATTATTCCTGTCAGAACATGGAACTGCATACCTTTCTCTTCTCTTCGTCAATCAAGATCTCATAAGCCTGGTTAACCTGCAAGCGACTCGTTTAGACAGCCTCGCCCCGCTCCGTGCAGATAGTTTCATACCTTCCGAAACTCTTCTTCAGACGCCTTCTTCTCAGATTCAGTCGCATTTCGTGGCAAACGGTCGGGGTGCGTCTTCAGGGCCCGCTTCTTGTACGCCTTGCGAACTGTCTCCACAGTGAGATTACAGTCGTCTATGCGCCACACTGCGATACTCACTTTCTTCTGAGGTCGCCGTTGCATCTATTTCGAGTATTTCGTAGAGTTTGGTGGCCATTGTGGCGGTTGTTATCGTTGACCTCCAGGGCCTGGTCGTGGTTAGATGTAAAGCTATGGACAGAAAGTTCTGGTAACAGGGAGCAGGCGAAATAGGCGCGCCAATATACCTGCCGCCACATGCCGCAGAAAACACGTGACTAATCTTTCCCACGTGGAATCTCCGAGCCGCCCTTTTGAGATTCAGAAAATTCAGGCTTCTTGGGATTTTTGACGTTCAATGCAGGCTCAAGAAGTCATTCTCTGTTCTGCCTCTGCGCAGTCTTCAAATGCGGGAATCGGCAGTATAACGATACACGACATCCAGACAGGTGCAACTCTCGCGTCTTTTAAGCAGACGAATGCCGGTTCGCGGTCGGTCGCGGTTCTGGAATCGAAGAGTTTACAGGGAGGGGTGGTTCTGGCTGCACAGACAGACAAAACTGTCCTGAATGTCTACAACTTTCAAAAGGTGTGTGGTACCATTCTGCACGAATGTACAACCCGCCTGATTCTGTACAGGACCAATTGGCGCTCAAAATCATCCTTCCCGAAAAACCAAGTTGCTTAACGCTTGATAAGACCGGAAACTTTTGTGCTGCTGGAACAGCACAGGGACGGATATACCTGTGGGAGGTGCGGAGCTTGATTATATCCATCGTCCATATCTAACTGGGATCGTAGACGGCCTCAGGAATCCTCTTCAATTGCTGGGATGCTCACTACCGTCAAGTGAACGTACTGCGATTTACAGTGGACGGTGCTGCGTTACTTTCCGGTGGTGACGATTCAGCTGTGAGCGTCTGGTCCGTGTCCAGGTCAATTGGACCGCCTTTTCCCTCCTAGTTCATGCCCTGATCTTGCGGTTCCTTCAGATTGGTTAATAACGAAAGTCAAAACGAGTTGCCGACACCCTTTTGCACTCTTTCCGACCACACCCTTCCAGTCACGGATATTGTCTGCGGTATAGGTCTTTTCCCAAACTGTCGCGTCCTCACGTCCTCGGTAGACCACTCTGTCAAGGTACTGACCGCCTTCGCCTAAGCCTTGACGTATTCTAACGAGTCAACAGGTCTGGGACCTCGCTTCGAAATCTCTTCTTTCGACATTTGAATTTCCATCACCGATCGACAGCCTGGCCTGGGACTTGACCGAGCGATTCTTCTTCGCCACCTGCAATGAAAAAGGATCCATCTACAAAATCCACCTCTTCCGGCAAAAGACGAGGTTCTCAGGCCAAATCGTCGAGGCTGTTGGTGGTTCAGGGGCAAACGATGTTATGCGTATTGAGAACGATATCATCGAGGCTCAGAAAAAGAGGCTGATACAAGTCGGGTATGTACCTCGTGCCATGTATCCTTGGATTCCACTGAACTGTCGCACAGACAGCCAATCGCGTCTATCGCCCTCTCATTCGCTTCAAACATTCTCCTAGTTGGCACGACCGAAGGTTCCATCCTCATGTACGACGTGCCTTCTCACCAACACCTGCGGACAATCACTGCCAACAAAGGTCTATCGATAACGTACATCCGAACGATGTTGAAGCCTCCGGATCTCATTGGCCATGTGAACCTGGACTTCCGGGTAGGGAGCAGCGTCGACCTCAAGGACACTATCCCTATAAAACCTATTGTACCGTTCCAACGGATGAAGGACGCTAAAGCGAGGGAAGCGCATGAAGTACTAATCATGACCAAAAACCGGGCACTCGTGAGTTCCATCGTCCTCCACACCGTAGTCATCCCACCTAATCGTTTGCTGCCCTCCACAGAAACCCATCGACTACAGCACATTCTACGAAAGCGACGAATTCCTAAAAGAACATGCGTTCTTCGTTCAGCCCATCACTTCGCCGAATGCACCAGAGTCTAGCGTCGCCTCTCTTCAGTCACGCGTGCAGGATCTAGAAGCTGAGGTTGTGAGGCTAAAATCACAGCTTGGACAAGCGAAAGGAGTAAATGATGCTATGTGGGATACTGTTGTCCACCGACTGGTGGGGCAGGGGAAAGGAGACCCCCAAGAAAAGGACCAACCAAGTCGTAAACGGGGTAGAATAGGGACGTAGTGAAGACTGGCTGGCTGTCTTCGAGCAAGTTCCACGCAGTTTGATTCGAGGTATCATACAAAGGGTATCGTGACCTGGTAAATACAATACAGATGAAGTTATATGGAAGCATATGCGGATAGGTTTGGATGAGGGAAGGAAAAAGTAACTACATAAGGATACAAGAACCTGAAGGTTTCTTGGCCATGGCCTTGCTCCAAGTGCAGCTCTGATAATGCTTCCTGATGTCATTATCGACATCTGGCGAGGTGTCTTCATCGGCAATGGAATCGCCGCATGCATAGCAGAAGTGTCTGCAAGGCTTTGCTTAGTACTTGCAGTTTGAACACATGAACTGAATACTTACGTTCTGCACCCAAGGCCTCCGCACTGTGCAAACAAGGTTAGTGAGGGCTCTCGAGGAAGGCTGAAGCCGTATGGACAAACCTTTATGTGATTGTTCGTTCGAATCATCCTCTTGGCCAATGTACCACATTCTATGGACCCAGTGAGCTCCCGTCGGAAACTTGGGAACGACAATAAACCATACCTGGGCATGGTCTGAACCCATTCTTCGTAGGATGGCAATATTTTGCAATATGCCTGTCGATACCCGTCTTGGGGTCGATTTTTTCCATGTCCATGAGACATTTCCTACAAAACTTGCCGCCGCAATTCGGTAACGGGCAAGTAATGACGGTGCTCTCTCGGTACTGTTGACGATCGACGAGCATGGTTTCCTTGCATCTAGAAGAATGGGGCAGCCTGTTAAACGAATTGCTTGGAAAGGAAGTCGAAGGAGTACTTACTTGGGGCAGAACACCCGAGTCGAGTGCATCGAGAGTTGATACTCTCGGAACAGCTCGAGCGCTCGCAGAGATAGTGGCGCCCTTTCTGCAAGCTCCTGAGTGATGACTGGATACTGTGTTAGCCATGTCTCCACCATCCATAAAATCACCTTCTCACCTCCTCGCACCTCATCGGGACCCCCAATCTCTCGACAAACGGAGCATGGCATGGGGAACACCGAGGTCTCAATCTCAGTGTCGATGTACTCGGCAATACACTCCAAGCAAACAATGTGATCGCATGTTGGAACTTGGACTATGTCCGTAAGTTCCACTTCGCCTCTGCAGTCTTGACAGTTGAATATGATTGCTGCTTCTGCTTCCGCCGCTTGCTGTGCGAGTGCATATTCCTTGTCCAAACCCAATTGGTGCTCGTTGCTGTTGTTGCTGTCGTCCAGCGGTATCAAAGTAGTCCCCTGGCCCTTCTGGTCGAGCAGGGCGCGGAATGGATTCTTCTCCGACGAGTCATAGGCATTCGACGAGTTTGCCATCATCGTATCGCCATCCACAGAAAAAGCCTTGAACGCCCTCGCAGCAATGTCCAAATCCAGATTCGCGAATTCATCGACCTCTTTCTGCTTGCCCCTGGCTTTGGGCGACATCGCCGTCTGAACCTCGGGTTTCTGCAGTGCTAGCTGCCAACCGAGCTCTTTCCCAACGTAGCGTTTTGAAAGAGTCGCAATGTCCGCGGAGGGTGGCGTTGGCGTTGGTTTGGCGGACTCTGGCTTCACCAATTCGTCCTCGTTCGACGGCACTGGCTCATCGAAAGGATTGGCGCTGAGCGGAGGAAGAACAGACACATCATCGTCCCGTCCATCGAGTCTCTGCACTGACTCTTCTGGTTTCTCGTCGGCTAGTCCGTCGAGCGCTGCAGCTGCAGGTTTTACAGCGAGTTCATCGTGTTCCTCGGTTGGCGGCAATGGTTCTTTTCCCTTTTCAGTGAGTTTCTGCAGGGAAAGCTGCCATCCGAAGTCTGTCGACGGACGGGGCTTCAAGGTGCTACTGTTGGCGGTGGATGTGGGAAGAGGCTCGGGCCGCGAAGGGCCCTCAAGGTTTGTCGCGATGTTCGTCGGGAATTCTTCATAGGCTGGTGGAGGGCCAACGGGGCTTTCCGGGATGCTGGACATGGTGGTCAGTAGAAAAGGTCGGGAAATTGCAGCTTCATAGGATCACAGAAGTCTACACCGCACTTGGGAATGTCAACATCAGCGAGAAAACTCCCGGGCGCTTGTTTGATGCGTCGACCAGTGAGGCGCTGTCGGATTGCACCGCATGGAGATGGTTACCTCAACAGCTTTGTACACTTGGTATAGATGGGAAGGAGAAAAACAAGTTCAGAGAGAAGCATGCAATGAGATATAAAACACATTCTAGAAGTACAGCATTGGGATCGTCCTAGTATACATGGGAATGAAAGAATTCGAGAGCGACAACTTGTGATGGTACAGTGATGCCTATTCAGGACTCATTGCATAAACAGATTATTGACGACATTGACTCGGAAAAAGTTGCCTCAACCTTTACTGAAGATAGCAACTGTTGAAGGCGAAGGCCACCCGACACCATTTATTGTGGAAGGTCGCAGCGTCGTACGCGTCCCCTCTTTGCCCCGGTTTCCAAATTGAACCACCGCATCTAAAGCAGAAATGGCTGGGAAGGGTTAAGAACAGAGCCTGGTGAATTACATTCGGGGTCAATTTTTGATCACTCACGTTCTGCATCCAGGTACTCGACACTGCCAAATATTGTCACATCAGCCAGTCTTAAGGGTGAAAGATGCATGCCGAACTCACAGTCATATGCGCACAGCCCTCCCCCTTCTGAATTGGTGTTCGACAGCCTATCAATAGGGTCAGATAGGTTTCCACACACACAAGCGATATCAGTGCAGGGATGCCTGCTACCCACCAGGGCAATATCTCCATCGCCTAACCCACATCATCCTCCTAAACCTTCTATCCGGCCTACAGCTATGCGACTTTGAACAGCTCCGCACGGTCTTATTGCAGGCTCTACACCACTTTGCGCTGCAAGAGGCTATGGGGCACGTCAAAAGCACGTTGTCGAGGTCTTCCCGCGCCGCTCTCATTTCGTGTTTGCAACTGAAATAGGGGTTGTTCAGTGTTCAACGTTTGATGATGACAAGTCGATCATTTCGAAAGTCGAGCAGAAGGGATGGGTTGACAGATGGAGTATTTGCGACTTACGCTGGACATTGGACGGTCATGGATATCATTGTCAACTGCAGTTCTTCGAACTTCTCGAAGTCTTTGGCGGGGAATAGGTCGTGTAGTTCTTCAAGGATGCGTTGGTCGATTTCTACCAGAAAGGTCAGTGTCCCACAGTGCTTTTCAGGTTCTCATGATGCGTGGACGTACTGGTTTTATCGTCTAATGGAATGCTCCTATCCGTGGCGCACAGGGGACAGAAAATGGGGTATATCGTCTCGCTCATCTTGGCTTGCACATGGGAGACCATGCAAGGCCGACAGAACGTATGGTTGCACTCGGTTAGGGCGACCATCTCTTCATGCTGATGATCATCGAAGCAGATAGCGCACTCCTCTGTCGGTTGTCGTTGTTCCTGGTGGTGAGAGGATGAGCCTCCGTAGTGGAGGTCGAGCGTCGAGAAGGTATCTCCAGGACCGTCGAGGGCTAGAGGTTCGTATGGACGTCTGGCCAACAGTACTTCCGACATCTTGAATGGATGCAAGGGAGAGTTTTCCGAGACTTTCGCGCAGCAGAGAGGCTCGTGGTTGCAACGAGGATAACTTGGTGAGGTGTTGTGACAAGGAGCGCCAAACGAAATCAGTTCCGAACACTATCCCTAAAACGGGGACTTAATATATAGTACTTATACAGCCAGCCGTCCAATGGGGCTTGCCGTAAAGATCTCCTTTCGAAGCTGTAATAGGGTTCAATGCGGAGTGGCAATATCTCACATCCAGGTATCGCATGCCGCTAAGTGAAGCGAGGTCACAAGTACCTGGGGCAATGCTTCAGGCACGTTTTCCTAGAGCACTGCATTTCGCGAAGGAGGCGAGTTCGTGAAGAAGTCGAAGATAGGGAGGACTGAATGAGCCCGCATCTGGCAAGGATCCTAGGGCTGCACCGGGGGTGTGGCAGGGTCCTGCCAGTGAGTTCCAGCAGATAGGGGCTCCGGGTTTGCTAAGCGCCCGAAGGGCAGGAAGCCTCAGGCATGGGTGGCTTCCGCTCGAACAGTGCATCATGAACAGTGCATTTCGCCTTGCTGATTGACAAAGAAGCCGCACGTCAAGCGTTCATTATTGTCGGTGTGACCATTGGTGACGATCCGTCGACGATGTGTCAGAAGTTGGTGCCAGAGGATTGCAGAGCGTGATGTCACCGCCTCGACGAACAGGAATTTCATAGGGACATATTCCGAGCCTTCAGGCCTTCAGGGCCCATGCTAGCATCGCATCCCCGTCCCCGTACCTTGCGATTCGCATTGACCGTGCCTGTCGACGTTGGCGGCGGAGAGGTCACTTGTTCTGGATTCCCGGAAGACCTTTCGTTGTCGTTCTTTCCGTAGTCATTGCGAGTCTCGAGCTCCAGGATCGCTGTTGGTCCATGGGCAGCCAACCTAAGAGAGGCAAGAGAACGAACACAAGGTCCTTGGCGCGTTCAACGCGACGCGTTTTTTCGCGCGAATTGCCGGTGACCGGCCCATTGGACGCGCCTTCCTTCCGGTCGCCTTCCGAGTCCCGACGCGCCTCCGCCTTTCCACCTGCTTCGGAAAGTGCTGGGTCCTGGGAGGTCCTGGGATGCCTCTCACCAACTCCGAGTCTTACGACAAACAATTGTGAGAGCACCGCAGGGCAGGAGATAAATTCAAATTAAATGTTCCTACTAAGTATTGGGGATCAGGCAGGCACCGTGCGCACATCGGTAGTTCCAGTCTCGACCAACCCCTACTTGGACTTCTGCTTGGTGGAACGATGGGAGCCGAGACACGGAAAGCGTAGTATCAGCAGTGGACAGGGTCCTGGAATGCAGATCTTCCACGCGACATGTCTGTTGCTGTGTTTTATCATCCCTCGCAGAGATTGACCCCCGGTTCCTCCAGTCCTTCACTTTGAAGAATCCAGCTGCAAGGATTATAACGCTATCGAGAACCTTCATCCGACGAATAAGTTCAGTGGACATCCGCGAAAGGTGATGAATTAAGAGCTCACAACTACCACAGTATACTGGCACGCAGCGATGACATCAAACTCCTCCTTAAACACCAACGACAAATCGTTGAACACCCCTCCCAGTATATCGATGCTAATAAAGACCAGAGAGATCCCAATGACTGCTTTTAACTTGTAAATCTCCCAATATTGAGGAAACAGAGCGACGGCGATGAGGATGGAGGCGAAGATCCCGCAGAACTGGAGGATCATGTCTTTGGTGTGGTCGTTTTTGATAGGGCGAACTGCGAGGACGAGGGCCAGTTCAAGGATGGCGCTCAGGAGGACGACGGCGGCTGTCACGAAAAGGGCGACTTTGCGGGTTCGTTGGTGGCCATAGTATTGACACTGGTGGTAGCTTCAGTTCAACCCTGGAATGGTAGATGGCTACGCCATACTTGACCCCAGGAAACGAAAGCCAGAAACCCAAATAGTTGAGGTTGAACCATGAGTGGAATGTTGATTTTCTGCACAATCACGTATGCACCCTGAAACACAGAGGAGAACCCCCATAGGAGCCTGAAGAGAGTTGCAGCGCATAGGACGGCGAAGAAGCGGTCGTCCTCGACGCACATTAACCATTCAGAGAGGCCTGTAGTCGATTTATCCCTCCAGCTTTTCCATATCTGCGGGATAAGCTGGCCAGTCCAACAAACAGTCCCTACTCGCGACATGAGTAGAACCAGTTGGTGACTAGGGATGGATCTCACCTAGGGTGCCAAAAACATTCTCTGCCACTGTATTGGATGGAGGCATGAAGAACAGGGGGTTCAGACAATGGAGTTCGAGGTCGAACGAGCACAGTAACGGGGTCTCAGCTGCAGGTGGGTCTTATCTTCGATTCCTTATCATGGGAGCCACCTGGCTTGACGTCCATACTGTGATGGAGTGCCAAACTCGCAATGTCACTGAGCTCCATCAGCTAGTGAGGTGACAGCTAATGTAGCAATGAAAGCTGAGGACAGTACCCCAGGCAAATGTGGTGGCAGCGCGTAGACTGAGGCAATCAGCCTTTCTATAAATAGAACAGGGGCGCCTGGTTTCTCACAATGCAACTGACGGCTACCGACGGCAAGAGAAAGGACTTAGAGAGGGAATACTTGGAGTTTACTCGGGGTGTAGACGTGTCAAGAACAACGGCCTGAACGCGTACCAATGGAAGACTGGTCGAAAAGACTAGCCTCAGCCAAGCCTGATCGATTCTGGACCGAATCTCGACACCAGCTTCGACGAGGCCGGAATTCTGCACGTTACGACAGGTGCTGACGACTACGACGCGTCAGTCGTTGTTCAAGGGGAGCTGTGTACTGCAACAGGTCAGAAAGGCGGGAGAGGGAATGGATGAGGACGGTGCCAAGTCCGGTACAGACCGCCTAATCGTATAGCAGGCTCGACGATGCCCATGTGATTTGGGGAAGGCCATGTCCCAGCGGCGTACGCGGAATGAAATGGGTCGGTATAGATCGCGTATAGATACATTGGAGATGAGAGGATGAGGAAACAAAGCGAAGGGATGAAAGAGGTAGTACAGGTTCACTGCGAGTTCGAGTAGACCTTGGCGTAATAAAGACCAGTCGCTGTAGATGTGACGGCCAATAGTGCTGGGACGGGGCCTTTGGTGACTCGGGGGATGGAGGAGAGAAGGAGGAGAGCAGAGGCACCTGCGATGAGAGGGGTGAGTACACGGTGTACGGGTATAGGAATGCTTTTCGTACCAAGGGCACCCTCAATACCGTTGTGAGTTCCTTTCCGGATGGCATCGGCGCTCCAGAGATAGAGAAGACCAACACTGGGAGCATCATCAGATACTGATGAAAAGAGAGACAATGAAGAGACTCACCCGACGCCTGCAACCAAGGAAGGGATCGACCTCGTCCTGGCAAAGCCGGTAACACCACCGACGATGCAAAGACCTCCCATGGTATAAGCGGGGTATGCAGACTATCCTAGCTTGTTAGCGAGTTCTCAATGTTCAATTTAATGTGCAGACTGACCATTGTGAAATCAAAAAGGAAAACAAGGGGACGACGGTGGTCGAGAGGAAGTAGTGAGTGGTATGAGAAAGAAGGGTTGGTTGGACAAGCAAGTTCACGACATGCCCCGGCATTCTGATCTTAGCTACCCCGCATCCTTCATCCCGGCACATTCGGCATCCTCCGGACCCAATTGATCACACAACACAGAGCACGTGACCAAGCGCGCTCCCAGGACGCGCCAAGACCACGTTCAGCTTGTTCAAGTTTTGCGATCATCAACTTCAACAACGGCGACGCTCCAATTTGTTCATAGACAGCGACGATGACCGTCACCCTCGACCTCGCCGCTGCCGCGTCCGACGCGCAGACCAAGAGGGTGCTTTCAGATTTGTCGCTGGCCGTCGCAAAGAGGAAGAAGATTGTCTTGGTTACTGGCGCTGGAATTTCGTGTTCGTGTGGCATACCGGTATGCAAAGTCAACTTACTCTGAGACATACAATGGATGCTAACTATTCGTACACAGGACTTTCGTTCATCGGATGGACTGTACAATCTCGTCAAAGAGCGCTACCCTGATGTAGTTCTCAAAGGCAAGGACCTCTTCGACGCTTCGCTGTTTCGCGACAGCACCTCGACATCAGTGTTCTTCAGCTTCATTGCCGAGCTTAAGAAGAAGATTGACGTGGCAAAGCCTTCCGCAACACACCACTTCATCAAGACCTTGGATTCCAAGAACAAGCTCCTTCGCTCGTATACTCAGAACATTGACGGGCTGGAAGAACGTGTTGGTCTTGTCGGTTGCGCTCCAGCCAGCGCAGACGTGAAGGGAAAAGGCAAGGCCACTAGGCTAAAGGCCGTCCGCAACGTTCAACTCCACGGTGACATTCATCGCGTGCGATGCATCGCATGTGCGGCTGAATTCCCGTGCACAGACGAGCATTTGAACTCGTTCCTTCAGGGTGTTGCACCTGGGTGTCCTGAATGCACCTCACGCTGTGAGTAGTTGCGCACATACATAATGTGGGGCCATTGCTGAATGATACGCTAGCCGAGGCACGTGTGGCCCGCTCCGCTCGGGCACTACGCGTCGGTTCTCTACGACCAGCTATCGTCCTCTACGACGAACCCCATCCTCTCGGTGACGACATAGGCGAAATCCAAACGACGGACCTCTCGAAGAAACCCGACATGTTGATCATCATGGGCACTTCACTCAAAGTGCACGGCTTGAAGAAGTTGGTGAAGGAGTTCGCCAAAACTATTCACGCCTCCACTGCTGCTTCTTCCAATGCAACCTCTACTTCTGCTCCTTCACTGGGAAGGAAACCATTCAAGGTTATTTTTGTCAACAAGACCCCGCCTAGCTCCGAGTGGTCCGACTATATCGACTACCACGTCCAAGGCGACAGTGACACATGGGTCAATAGGGTTATTGAGGATTGGAAGAGGATGAGGCCTGCTGACTGGGAAATTCAGCAAACACTGAGTGGCGAGCTTGGTTTCAAAGCAGCCAAGCCAACAACCGTCGCAGCAAAGAAAGGTGAGACACCTCTTTCCCGTGCAACAGAGCATCGTACTGACACTGTTTCCAGCGTCGAAGAAGAAGGACGAAAATGCTCCTCCAGACGCTATTTACAGCGTCGCCAATCCACCCTCTTCACCTGGCAAACGCCGACAGAAATCGACACACTATGACGACCTGGACTCCAGTCCATCTAAACGTCAATCCGTCGCCCCCTTCCAGGGCATCCTCCCTCCTAGCGAGCGCAAGATGCTATTCTCCGAGGCAACCAACACTATCCCTGACCCCATGGAGACGTCCCGTATGGACATCAGCATTGTCGATCTATCGATGCAAGATTTAGAATCAGAAGTGCTGAAAGACCTCAAGAGTGAGAAGCCGAAGACTGTGGAGGTGGTTATTCCGCCTAGGAAGAAGGCTGTCGCAGCGAAGACAAGTCGGAGGGCGGCGCCAACCAAGAAGGCAGCTACAGCAAAGCCCACTGCTCGACGGAGAGGAAAGGCAGCAGAAGTATCTGCAACCTGAGGCCTGATTTCTCCTGCTCATTAGATAGTTTTCTCCGTTTATCTTTTGTATACATAGTATCCCTGTTTATATCTTCGTCGCATTCGATTTGTTGGTTTCCAAAGAATCAGCGTTCAGATACCCCTGCAGCCTCCGATTACAGCGCAATGAATTCCGGCAATTATTCAAGGATACAATTAGATACAGTGTCAGATGTAAAAGGTCTAGTCGACGTAGAACTGGCGTGAGTAGCAAAGACACGAGACGGGGTATTAGCCAAAGCACGGTGGTAAGACAGCATCCTATGATCTCCTGGACTTGCTTTTACCACTGCTGTCAGACGCGAATCCACCTACAGCCCTCTCCTCGTCGCTATTGTTGAGAGTGCTGTCTGTACCGAGCTTCGAGTGTGCTCTAGATGAGCTTGACGCAGCATACGTCGCCTCATCTTCATCGAATAGTACATCCTCCTCTTCGATCCTTCGATCCCTCGTCCCGCCATTCGACAAGCTCATGCTCCCGAAGCCCTTTTTACGCGGTATCCGACCAGGTGCACTGACGAAATCGACAGATCCAGATACAGAATGTTGGCTTCCACCGCGACGGTGACCAGAGGCAGGAGGAGTTTGTAGAGGGACACGGTAAAAGTCTTCCACATCGTCATCGTTGTGTCCAAGTGCTTCATATGCGTTTGCAGGATGTGCGGCAGTTGTCGAGGCATATGCACTTCTTGTGAGGGGCAGGGAGCGGTACGATCCTTTGCGGAGGTGCGAGGCGTAGGAATAGATGAGGACGATAAAGTAGAGCTGGGGTTGAAAGCGAGGTAAACACGTTGTGATCCCCTCAGGACAGAGCCCGGATGAACGCACCTTGACAAACCACGAAATAATGATGATAGCAGCAGCCTTCCCCTTTTCGTGGTTCCAGATTGTCATTGCAGCCTCTTCTCGCTCCTGAGGCGTGAGGGGCACTGCGGTGATGTTGGCCAGCTTGACCATGGCTTGCTGCGCTGGTGAGTTGGCTTGCCGTTGTCCGTCATGAGGCGTCCATAGCCACCAATCTACCGCGAAGAATACAGTCCAGGATGTAGAGAATATGTGGTCTGCAAAGTAGATGTGCGCAAAGTAGAGAGAGCTCTTGGAGTCTTCCTATTGAAACCACCTTGAATGTTAGGTTTCCGCGATCAATATTGGGGTTTGGATTGCGAACCTTTTGCACTGAGTACAGACCCCAGGCAAGGACTAGCAGGGCTAGGGCCGAGTAAATGTAGAGACTCAGTTGTGCAAATGAACCTCCTGCGCCGGTGAGAACTGCAATAAGCCCATAGACGCCTGCGACCTTGTTTAGCAACTGGTGACGCGAAATGAGTGTGTAAAGAGAAAAAGTTGGATTGTGGAGCTCACTGCAAAGATGAGACCGACGACGACGCCTGTTTTGATGTCAACGATGCCGAGGAATGAAGAGAGTGGCCAAAGGCGCCATTCTGGGCGCAGCATGAGCTTCATGAATCCCGAGGCCGTCGAGTAGAGCGCTGAGAAGACGAGTTGAAAGATGAAAAGACCCGCTCACCCATGACTAAGCAACCGATCGCTTTATTTCGTTTGATCTCTTTTTGCCTCTGCTCGACTTAGATTTATTCCATCTCTTTATAACTGTATTTGTACAATGGCTACCAACTACTTTTCAAATCACTCGACCACCTCTCGTTTTCTGGCCAACAGCGCCAATCCATCTCCCTCCGCCATGTCAAACAACAGTCCCAACAACTCTGCTCAGACGACCACTGGTGCTCCAACCACCTCTGCCAACAATGGGAAGAACCGTGTCTCATCTTCCAAACATTTCTCAACGTCTGTGTCCGCTTTGAACAATGGAGAACGTTCAAAATCCAAGGACTCATCCGAGAACAACTCTGTATCTTCCACACCCAAAGTTCACCCCCTTCGAAACACGTATGTTCGTACGTTACTTTGTGCTCCCAAGAGCCAATACTCATGCTCTCCTTTCCCAGATGGGTGTTTTGGTTCAGGCAGCAACGTGCACCGGGAAATAAAGTGATTGATTATGAAGAGGGGATTAAAAAGATTGCTGCGTTCAGTTCGGTGCGAGACTGTGGATCCTTTTGTCAAACGACCGACTTATGAACTTGTGCGATCCAGGTTGAATCGTTCTGGTCCTTATGGACCCACCTATCCCCTCCCTCAGGTCTCCAACCTACCACCGACTACCTCCTCTTCCATTCCAACGTCCGACGACCTGTATGGGAGGACCCTTTGAACCTCGCCGGTGGAAAATGGATCATCAGATTGAGGAAAGGCGTCGCGGATCGTCTCTGGGAAGACCTCGTCCTCGCAGTCATTGGTGACCTATTCGACGATTGCCGAAGTACCACCTCTTCACCAACAGCAGCCAAAGCGGACGGAGGCGAGAATAGCGAAGATGAAAACCAATACCCTGAAATATGTGGTTGTACAATTAGCGTTCGACAGAGTGAGGATATTATTAGTCTGTGGAATAGGGTGGAGGCCAATAGGCAGGTCAGGGAGAAGATTAGGTGGGTGGTTCGTCGGATTCTTTGGGTTTCGTTGGTTTACAGGATGTTGTAGGGATACTATCAGGAGGGTGTTGAACCTCCCTCCATCAACAATAATGGAGTATAAAACCAATAATGGTGCGTCTCTACTTGTACTCTGTTGAAAGCCAGAGTTAACCTTTTGCTGCTGCAGATTCGATGCAAGACAAATCTAGCTTCCGCAATTCAGCCATCGACCGTGCCACGTTGTCTTGACCTGCTGTTCCTTGCTTGTGCTAGCTCATTGATCATATACAATCATTTCTCCTCCTCAAGGCGAAATCTTACACCGTTTGCTTTCTGGTCAGAACGCGGGGCTCAATCTTCAGTCGCCACTCGAGTTTCTGGCTCCCGTAAACACTGTTCGTTCCCTCTTGTCATGTCTGCTGAAGCTCGCGGTCTGTTCCGGGCCACGTTGTGTCTGGAACGAATCTAAAGCTCCCTCTCCAAGGCCTTTCTCCTCGTAGCTTTCCTCTCACCAAGGCGACTTTACGTACACTCATTAGCATCACATGACCCTAGCCTGATCAGATATGTCATCGATTCTTGTCTCCGATCCCCTTGAAGTTGTCGCGTACCCCCACCGAGTCTGTCATCGTATTGCCGACCCTCTCCAGGGTAACATCGTCATCATCAACCACATGTGAGCTAAGCCGTACTTATAAGGCTCTCTTTTATATTGTTATGTTCCTTCGTTCTCGCCGTTTTCTTTCGTCCGCCGTACGACTGCGAACACCAAGACCTGTCGCTGTATCGAGCCTGAGTTTCACTCCCGTTGCCTTGGCGCAGTTCAATAGCAGAAACATGAGCACAAGTGTGAAGAAGACGGAGGAGGAGTGGAGGGCTGTTCTCTCACCCGAGCAAGTAAGTGCATACGTTACACCGCGGGTGAAGACAGTGCCAGCTAACATCCGTTGAAACACTGCATAGTTCAGGATCCTCCGCCAGAAGGGCACCGAACCTCCAGGAACAGGAGAGTACAACAAGCACAAGGCCGAAGGTGTATACAACTGTGCAGGATGTGGAACACCTCTGTACAAGAGTTCGACCAAGTTTGATGTACGTCATATTTATTTCTTCCTCTCGGTGACTAACTTTGCGAAATCAAATATAGAGTGGCTGCGGATGGCCTGCATTTTTCGATGGTACGTCTCTAGACTCTCCGTGCTATCATTTCTGCCATCATACCAACGACTCTGCACAGCAATCCCTGGCGCAGTAAGTCGTCACACTGATAACAGTTTCGGTATGGCGCGCACGGAAATCACTTGCACGGCCTGCGGAGGCCATCTGGGCCATGTATTCAAGGGAGAAGGGTTCCCTACTCCGAGTGCGTCGACTTGCGTTCCGGATTCTTCGATCGTATCTGATATCCTTCCTAAGCCGATGAAAGGCACTGTGTAAACTCGATTTCGCTAAAGTTCAAGGAAGAGTAAGCTGTGATTTGGTTTCACTAGATTGCCAGTATGGTTGCGCTGACCTGAATTGTTGTTACAAGCAAAGGCAATTAGGAGCGTCAAAACTTTAGCCCGTAGTAGAACTGTAGCGTTGTTGATGTTAAGTGGTTCCGAGACAACCGTCTCTTAGCTCGCGCGACGGAAACAAGAGATCGTTCGAACCATCGGTCGCGATCTTGTGAACTTGAAAGACTGAATTCCATTAATTTGAGTACTATGCATCGAATAGATCCATCATGAAAGTGAATGAGGGAACAATGAAGACAGGGGCTGAAGTAACGAATTGCTGTTGACACGGGGTCGAGGTGATAGATATGATATGATTTGGAGGTGCAGAGCGTAGACCGACGAGCGAATTTATAGACCGGACAAGCTCTTCTCCAATTCCTCGAGTTCCAGCTGCGACTTCCTGTATTTCTCTTCCAATTGCTGCGATGCTGGGTGTAAGCGCGCGATCGATGAACGACGCGGTGAATCTTGGCACGTACCGCGTACTTGTTCTCCAAAGCCTCCTTCTCCTGGTCACCGACCTTGACCTGGCGCTCCAGCTGCTCAGCCTTTGCGTCGACCTGGCGAAGCCTGTATCATCAACGATCGCGATCAGCGATGAGATGAAGATGTCGATTAGCAACGATGACGATGTACGACGGGCGCCACTGAAGCCACGTACTTCTCCGCAGTCTCCCTCAAGTTCTGCTCAGCCTTGTCGAGTTCCTCCTCAAGTAGGTCAATCTTCTTCTGCTTGTTGTGAGCATCCTTGAGAGAGCTTTCGCCCTCGAGGCTGTACTGCTTCGCATGGTCGAGCTGGGTCCTGGTGTCGTCCACCTCAGCCTCGGCGCGCTCCAATCGCACCCTCAACGAGTTGTTCTCTTGTTCCTTCTCGAGGAGAGCTTGCTCGAGTTTCTTGACTTTAGCCTCAGCCTCTTCCGCACGGGTCACAGCTGCATCTGCTTCGGCGCGCAGCTGGTCGAGTTTCTGTGCGTGACGAGCGGGTGGTAGTGATGATAGTACCAGTAAGTGATTAGGAGGGTAGATTGTGTATGATAAGGGACAACACGAACCGCCTTGATTCTGTCAGTGGCCATTGGGAAAAGGTATGAGTTGTGGTTGGAAGAAGAGTTGTGTTTACACGTTACACGCGTCGAACAAGGATTGACGAGAGAGCAACTGTTCGCTCCCCGACGTCCCTAATTATGGGCATTGATGTGATTTTCACACGCCCCTATCTACGTCCACGATTACCACCCTGCCACTGACTTGTATGTAAACTGCTTGCTCCTCCAACCGCATGAGCTGGATATTGTACTCTTCCACATCGGCAAGGTGTCGGAGGGAAACCCTCTCAGCTTCCACAGGACTGCGTACTCGCATCGATCGATCTCTTGCTTCAGGTTGTCGACATTTAGGTCGCTGCGGCCCTGCAGGATTGCTCGAAATTGCTCGAGTTGGATGCGTTGTTGGTCAAGGTCGACACGTCGAGCTGCAACAAAGGCGAGGTTGTCCGAGAGGATTTTGCGCACTTGTTCGATCTCTTGCTTCCGCTGTGCGATGGCTTGTGCGATTGCCTGTGGTAGGCGGGTTAGCTGCAGCCAGCAACCCCACATGGAGATGATAGTAGTCACCTTGGTTTGGACCAAGGTGACGGCTTGGTAGACGGACATCGTCAAAAGGAGTACTTGCGTATATGACATTAGGAAAGAGGCCAGTCTCTATATATATTGTTCATTGCGACACGGTCTGCCAGCCTCCCTCGTCGGTGGCTGGCAGTGATTTCCATAGCGCTCACATACCCGGCGGTGGCCTCAGCCAAGGCTCAAGCTACCTTTAGGCGTAGCGACAAGTGTACCGACTGGTCCCGGTTTGAGGGAGGTCTCGACCCCTGCCTCGTCCGCTAGGTGGTCTGTCAATGCTGGTCATGAAATTCATGAAATATGCTATGCCTGTGTCCGACGGTACAAGGTTTAATCACGTTCAAATATGTACTGGCGGGTCGTAATTCGGCCCTTGACTTGCTTACAGTCCATTCAGTTCGACTTGCAAGTCTTCGTGCTTCTGCTTGAGCTCCTATATTGCACGGTATGACAACCTGAGTTTCGGAATCATCGGAGACTCTGACCTTGCATTTGACCTCGAGCATGTCCCGTTCGTCTTCGATCGTCTTTAGACGATCTTCGAGAGCCATTATCCGCCCCTCTTGCTTAAGGATCCTGGAAGACGGGTCATGTAACAGATTAGAAAGGGGGGAGAGCCACTCACTTGTTTCTCGCATCCTCCAGGTCAGAGTTCACCGTAACAAGTCGTTTCGTGATCCTTGAGGACTGCCTAATGTAATCCAGACGAGCAGACAATTCTTCCCCTTCCTTGGAGCGTTTCGCGTTGAGCTCCTCGAGCTCCTTCAGCCTCTTCTCAAACGCATCTGCATTTGCGTTGGCCGTATCAAGCTTGGCCTTCAGCGTCTGGATTGACTGTTGCTGGGGTGAATATAATAGCAAGAGAGTAGATATTTTTGGAACATACGGTCTGAACTCGCTGCATCTGAGGATGTGGTGCGAGTGGCAGGGAAGGTGCCAGCACACAGCCGACAAAGGACCATAAAGAGCATCCATCACAAACCCTGAGCTAATCGTAGCGAGAACGAAGCCCAACCAAATTAGCGCCGGTTTATGATCGTGGGAAAATGCAATCATTTCATCGATGCATCCGGCTCATTGGCTCGCTTTCTTTCATGCACCACCCACTGCAACCTCTCAACCAATACCTACTCTCAATCCTCCCAGGAATCAGATTTTTTAGGCCTTGAATATTCACACCAACAGAAACAGATGCCTGAACCAGTCCCGCAAGAGGGTACGTTCAATATAAATTTAATTCGTAATCAATTATTGACCCCCCCTTGCTCTCTAGAACTCCCAATTCTCGAGGCTCTCGTCAAGTATGTCTCCAATCGGACAGAAATGAATGGAATCTCATTTGAACTGCCCAGCATCCGGAACAGGCTCACTGCCCTGAAGAAAGACCGCGGAGAGTTTATCAAGGCCTCAGATGTGAACTCGCTCTACCAGGCCGTGGTGAAGCAAGGTTGGTCGTCGTGACCCATCGCATTCGACTAGAAAGCCTCATTACAACCGTCGTGTGCAGTGCAAAAGCTGAATGCGGTCAGAGATGACAATACAGTTTACAACAACCGAGTGGATACGACTCTCGCCGATGTGTTCACCTTGCTATCGCTCTTCTATCTCACAATCGGAAAGACAAGGGAGGCTCCTGCTACCTACAGCCAAATAGCGTCTATGAGGGTTAGTTCAAGCTCCTTCCGAAGGTTTCCGGGCGCATCCTGCTACCCAGCACGCGGTCCAACACCCAGTATGCATCTTGATTTCATAAATACCAGAGCAACGCCGGGTTCACTTCTCCATCATACCTCATTTAATATCGACAACTTCGTTTGCTTACATTTCCTCCTGCCCTGAACAGCAAATTCTCGACCACCTGAACGAATCTTCAATTTACAACGAGGAAGATCTCGCTCCCTTCCAGAAGCGACTTGCGGGTCTTCGCCACATCGTGCAGCAGGATGCCGAACAGGGAAAGCATCCCAAAGCTTTGACAACATTACTCGAAAGACAACTCAATGAATGCGGTAAGTTTTCGACGTAAATGAGACGATTGCTTCTTTGGGGTACCCGGATTGACTGAATTCTTTTTGATAGACGCGGTTGTGAACCAAATGTTAGAATCGCTCTCCGTCATCTCGCCGGAACTGATACCAGTTCATGAGAAGCTGGTCACGATTCGGAGACAGTTGGTAGCCCTTGCAGCGAAGGAGGGAAGTCACAAGGCCGAGTTAAAACCGATCCAGGAAGAGCTCCGAAAAATCGATTCGTTGAGTACTTCTTCTATTTCATTAAGTCTGTTGCCTTCGCTTATCCTCGGAGTGCACTCTCCTTCTCCCTCTCTTGAACAAACCCGCTGATTTTTCTTTCTCTTCTTCCCTTTCCATGCTTTCTTCACGCCCTTCCGTCGCATCCCCTCGTGCGCCTATCCTCCGCGTCAAAACACACTTCTCGGATATCAGAACTCGGGTGGATGGCAAGTTCCTTGGTCCCGGCGGTGTAGTCCCGAAATCCCAAGCGGTCTGCACGAGTCTTTTGGAAGAATGTTTCGAAATCGCCCAGGAAATCAAGGCTCATGATGACTCGAAGAACGTTGCCTCGTCACTCAAACCCATCTATGATCGCTTGCGAGACTTGCGCGCCGAGCTGGAGAGCATGGTCCTTACCCATCGCTGGTCGCTGCGCGAGACCGACCTCTGGAACTACTCCCTCAGTCTACAGGAGATTGACAAGATGAGGGTAGATGGCAAGTTCGTCGATTCAGAGGGCAATCGGCCAGCGGGGCAATATGTCAGTTTGAATATCTTGGTCTGTCAGTGACTGTCACTAACAGCGCGTCTTTCAAGGTCTTGCTGTACCTCCTCAGAAGATGCTACGGCCTCATCTACCGACTCCTATCCTCCAGCGAACCTGTCTCAGAGGAGTTGATGCCGATCGTGGGGTTCTTTCGCGCGCTGCCTGTTTCAGGAAACTAACGGGAAATTTACAACAGGCTAATAAATTGAACACCGTCAAACGGTGTCTGAACGAGGTTCTCAAATGTGGGGGACCTTTCAATGCACGGGACTTGTACCCCGTGAGTCTCCTACCCCACCTCCACCTCCTTCGAATTCATCCTGATCCGGAGTCTTTTTATTATTTCAGTACCAGCTAGCCCTGTTCCAGATCGATTCGATGAGGAAGGAGGGTCGCTTTGTAAGTGTCGACGGTACCATCCCCGAAGGGCAGGGTATCATCATGGCCAACTTGAACGAGTGCCACGAACTAGTCGAAATGGTACGTCTTGAATTTTAAATCTGAGCAATGAATTGGTTAACTAGCCGTGCTGTTTCGCTGTAGTTGAAAGAATCCATGGACGAAGGTGAAACTGAAGAGGACGAAGAAGATTACGACTACGATGGATCCGATGACGATTAGCCAGCAATCTGAAACTCCGCGGTCCTCTCTCGTCTCCTTGAATTTTGATCCCCTGGGCTCCATATCGTTATATGTTGTATGTCTCTTGTCTTCTTTCATGTCTCCTTTCGGTTGGATCTTTCGTATGTGTACGACTTTTCGGCGGTCTTAAAGGAATGTCCAGGTGTAACCCATAGAACCCTAATCTCCTATCTCCTCCTTGTGTATATAAAAAGGCAATTGAATGCCGAATCTATAACGCTCTTGATCCAACAAGCATAATACTCTATGGCCAGCTGACTCGGCTCCACAGTGAAGAATGGGGTTGAACGTGTCGTCGAAGTACGGTAGTTCAAAGTTCTATTCATATCAGTTCTATAAATAAAACACAGATAGGATGATCATGTAGGCCGAACCCCTTGCGCAAGTGATCCAGCATGAGGGAAGTGGCTTGTTAGCAGGGTGACCACATCTCTCTTAGTCACCATACCCGTCAGTTTCCCCGCATGTGTAAAGAATATTTGTCGCGTATTCTGAAAATAGACCGTCACAAGTTACGACGTTGCTTGGTTGAGTAGGATCAAGGAAGAACCCACCAGTTTTTGGAACATGGCGACCACCAGCTCCTGAGGGACTTCTTTACGTAGCTGTATCAGCGCTCGCTCCAGTGTAGAAGACATGTCTACCCGCGCAGAGGCTGATACTCGCATAAAGTTTTGCGAGAACGTGCATTTCTTTTCGCGCATAACATCGAAACTGTCGGAGAAGCGCGTTCCATCTGGTTAAAATGAAACGATGATAAAGGATCAACGTTGACAAACGTTCATTGGCCTTAGCGAGAGCGTGAAGATAGAAGGGCCTCCTTACCGATGGCACGCAGCAGAGCATCCCGAGTGGCGTAGCCTATGAACTCCCCGTGGTTATCGATGACGGGGAAGCCATGGAAGTCGCTGTATTCGTCTAGCATCTCGGCGAGCTCGCCCACCGTTGTCTCGCCGTCCCGAACGACGATGAGGTTCTGCACAGGCTTCATAAGATGAGCACCCGTTTCCCCATTGTCCCGATAATCGACAGGCGGTAGCCACGGATATCGTCTCATCGCGATCCAAACCGAGTATATACCGTCCTTTCCGAGGGCGTCTCCGACCCATTTAGATGTCATGACGCAGATCATGATTGGGAGCACATGTGAAAGAGCACCAGTCAGCTAGAAAAGGGCAATGAGGGGAAAAAGAAGTGCGAGCTAAGATTAAAATAGAACAGAAGGGCGGAACTCCAAGAATAACTCACTTCGAAGAGGATGACGACCAAAGATACTGTTGGAGAAGACACGTCGGAAAAGGAAGGCGAGAAGAAGAGGAAGAGAGACTGACTGGTCATTCGGGTGACACCTCCCAACATCGCTGCAGCACCGATAACCGCATAGAACCCTGGTGAGATGCACCGAACAGAAGGATCGGGAGGGCAGGACAAGAACAACCATGCTTTCGGGTTGGAGCGGTATAGACTTTGCCTGGATCAGATAGTTTAGTAGGCTGTAAGCCGCAGATAGGACATGTGTACACACGTTATCAAGCCAAAGGCTCGGCCCAGACATGCACCAATACCAATGGTGGGGAGGAAAATACCTGCAGGGACCTATATGATATGGGGTTGCAGTCGGATAAGGTGCAGGGGAGCAGAGAATGACTTGCCATCATGCCAAAAGTCCATGCTGTCAATGGAATCTTTATGCACGCTGTGAGAATCAGCAAGAATATATTTTGCTTTAGGGCGTTTGGACTAGGGTAAAGTAAGGGTGAATTGGGAGATAAAATTGGCTATGAAAACGAAACTTACTTGCATAGACCATGGTAGTCTGCTTTGTTAGGGTCGCAATCTTGGAAAAGATTCGCTACCAATTCTGACGTGGGCACTCTAGTCCTATAAGTGATCCGCATCTTCGGCCTGAGGATCTTTTCTTACCGAGCGAAGACGACCTATGGGCCACAGAAAATCAGGTCAAGAGTCCACCGGCGGAGAAAAGGAGACTCAACGATGTAGCTCAGAGTAGCTGTCACCGCACTCGCCGCAACAACCTCCAATACAGGCCAGTCATGAATGACACTCTGTCTACGGTAGATGGCAAACTCCACGTTGAGACGAATCAACCAGGATCCCAAAACGCCCTAATGAAAGTTCCATATTCAGCCTCGTATCTTCATCATGGTATACGGACTTACCCCGATGATGCCCAATGTTATCCATGGTATCTGCCAGATGTGTTGTTTGATAAACGACTACCTAAAAGGCATCGCATCATGACTGATTGCTTACCAGTTCAAAGGCACGCCATTGGTCACTGAAGGCGGTAACCTACCGCAGAGTTGGTTCGCCGTCAACAAACTAGAGGCTAATTTGGCTCACCTGGAACAGCACCAGCTTCGCTGTGCCGAACGGATTGACCCACTGCAGTGCCATGGCTGCGATGGCAGAAGCAACGAAGCCTTTCCACATGACTTCAGTTTCGTTGGCAAAGGTGTCGAGCTCTGGAAGGAAGGTTAGAGGACAGTTCCCAAGCGCGTAAATATGAAGGGACCTTCTAGGCCAAAGAGAACGCCTCCGAGGGGACTACCAAATGCAACCGAAACACCAGCAGCTGCTGCGGCGGCAAATAGGCGCCTTTTGGAAGCTGGGGCATGGGTTAATGTCGCTCAAGAAGAACGTCGATGGGTGGCGCACCTTCGTTATGACGGAATTGTGTAAACATGCGAGAGAATAGCGATGCGAAGCAGCATGCTACATGGACAAGAGGGCCCTGCCGAGTGGCCAAGTCAATATTGGGAAGTTGTCGTCACGCCTTGAAACTTGCCTCTTTCCCCAAAGAGAGCCCTGAAGCTACGGATAGTGCCAGTCCAAGAGCTTTGATGAGTAAAGTCCATGGTGTCAGGAACGCGTCGAAAACATATCCGCTCAAGATCTTGCAAGCCCATTAACGGTAGGCGCGAAGGAGTCGGAAAGGTTTACTCACAGCTTTAATTTCCGGTACTGTAAGGAAGGTTTTACAGTCAGTCAGAATTCAAAGTCTCGGAGAAACAGCCCTACTTCCTGTATGGAATGCACTGATAACGGAGGTTGTGAGTGAGCCAGCAGCCGGGGACGTGGGTAACTTACTATGGCGCGAAGGTGACAACAAGAAAGGCAGAGCTTCCGGCAAAGATAACCTATGGGTGGTTGAGAGTCGTCCCGTTATCTTCGCTGCACCAACTTACGGCTAATGTCACGTAGATGAAGGTCTGGAGCAACGATTGACCGAACATAGACTTTATGCCCGCTACATCCGCCCATCGTTGCCACAAATCACAGGTCTCCCCAGCATTCGCTGAGGGGATATGAGTGTGAATCTTCCAGCGATGGCTTAGCCGGCTCACCTTCGAAACCCGTACAGCAGACCACAGAGTTGTAGAAGAATCCATGAGAACACCGGCCTTCTCGGATGTCTGCCAACCTGGGGAACAACAGTCCAACTCTGCACTTTCACGAGCACACTGACAGCTTACCATTTGACCAAGATGTCTAACCAAGCTCCTGCTAGTCCAATCCCAATCCCAGTCGCGATGACCACGATCCACATCCGTATCGAGTCCAGCGCTGGAAGAAGCGCCCCGCGAATACCAGCCTCGGATTGCAAGGCATGGTTTCTCTCCCTCTCTGCGTTCTCTTCATGTAGCCAGTCTATGGAAGACCCATCTCGGTATTTGTCGCCGTATTTAGGTGGTTCAGCAAGGAGTCCATACTCGGTCAGTTCGTATTGCTGTGCTTCCGAATGGTTGTAGTTGTCGACACCGAGGGAACCATTTGGTCGAAAGTTTAGGCCGAACGACATTCTAGATATACATAAGCGGAGGGTCGAGGAGAGCGTAACGCTCAAAAATTTGGAGGCTCGTCGTCGAGAAATCTAGGTCGAGATCACAGTCGTTCTAACACAGGATGATATCGCCCAGCGCTGGGCATAGTGCGCCGGAAGCTATTATTTTGGCGACGGCTAGCCAAACAACGCCGACGCGTCCAGGCACACTCATATTGATTCTCTTGTTATTCTTCCGCCATGTCGCAGCCAGCGCCAGCATCGTTGGCTGGAACGTCGACGGGGCAGAAAGATGCCTCGTCGATGTCCTCGATCCTCTTGGCACCGCTAAACGAATTGCAAGCATTATCGCATACGCTGTTTCTTTCATTATCGCCGCCTCAAACAAGGCCACCGCCCGCTCCGCCACTTTCTGCATTCCTGGAGTGCGACAAGGCTCTCGCTGCAGCTGTCAACCTCGCTCATGTCCACCAAGTAAGACAAAGGAAAATCGAATCCCTGGAGCAGGAATTGCTGGAGTTGGAAAGAAGATGGCGGGATATTTGTATGGAACTCGCAAATGGGAAGAAAGAGTTGGAGGAAATCATTGAAGAGGGAGATGAACGTATCAAGGCTATTCGCGCTGCGAAGGAAGGTATGTAAACCTTTTCCTTTATTCTTTGACTGTGTCACTGAAATGAATCACCAGCTGCAATACCTTATCCTGAGCTTCTCACATATGCCCAGAGCCTCAGCCAATTCTCCTCTGCCCCTCCTAACATGCCAGATCTCAGCCTCCCCGGACAGCCCCCTCCACCAAAGTTTTTCCCTCCATTCCCCAACGAAGAAAAGATGCGCCGGGGAAGGCTCAACGCCGAAGAGCCTTTGCCTTTGCTCGGGGAAACGCATTCTGTTGGGAAAGGTCAGTTCGCCTGCACGAGCGCAAAGTATTCCTGGTTCATGAAATGGTTGTATAGTCCCCACAGTCTCTCCAGAAGATGCACTGGACAGACATACTTCTGCTGCCAATCCCTACCGCCACGAATTCAGAGGCGTGGACCAACCCTACTTCGACCTCGACCTCGATCTCAACCCCGACTTGGACGATTAACTATACACCAAGGAATGCATTAAACGAAAACCCTGTATCAGAATACCCGACTACGAAGCCCCTGCAGCTGGCACCACCGGCAACGAGGGCGTTTGTACCTCCTTGGAAGATCTCTTCGACGGCATCGCCAATGCTTTCCGAATGCGCTGGACAAACTCCGTCACCACAGGACTCATTCTCTGTTCTTCTTTCTTCGGGAACCTGTCGGCGTATTGTAACAACTGCAGTCGAAAACCGAGATTGGGGCAGACGACGTTTCGAATGGACTGGACATGCTCGATCGCTTCGTGTGATTGCATCCCTTCCGTCGCAATCAGGTAGGCACAGACGACTGTGGCGCTCCGGCTTATGCCTTGCAGACAGTGCACCTAGCGTCCCCGAAGTTAGAACGGCGGTTGCTGGGAGGTCGAAATCCCCATACACACTTACCAGCACCTTGTTTGTATCATTCTCTGCCAACACCCTGGCAATAAAGTTGGTTGTTTCCTCTAGATGAACGAGTATGTCCGCGTCAGAATAGTCCTTAATGGAGACTTGCAGTCGGTTGCTTTGTGGTATTGATTCAGGTAGTTGAGTCGGGGGTCGATCAATGACTGAAACGATGTGGGTTATTCCCAATTTCCCAATCTCTTCTGCGTCCTTTGCTGTCCAGTAATCCGAGAGATAGAGTCGCTCACGGATCTGGTGTGCGCAACGTGTGGTACGGGGTTTTCCACTTGCTGGCTGGTTCGTGACCCTGTTTATGGCGGCTCTCCAGTTCTCTTTCGCGGGAGAGAGCATTTTGTGAGACTTGTTTAGTGAGAGGGTGGATATATGGTGGGGGTAGGAAAAAGAGTTTTGAATTACCGATAAGGGCAGGGGTCACAAGGGAGATTGCGGGTGGCGGGTCGATGCCAACAATCATCGGCGGGCAAAATAAACAGGGGCTTTGGTCAGACAAATGGAGAAAGAACTTCAGTCCGCCCCTTGGCTCAACTCTCCATGCACCTCCCGGAAACGCGCTCGTTTGAGCATTGGGCTGTGCATTTGAGGGCGCTAATGATCAAGGAATGAGTATTTTGATGCCACGAGTTGAGTCCCAGTTTCGAGAAAGCAAGCGGCTTGTGTTAGTACCACTTCGATGCCGCTCATTCTGCGGATAATCGAAGGGTTTGTTCAACTCTTCGTCCTTGCTTTATCCCTGTAAGTCGCTTTTTAAAAAGTGAATCTCCATTCTAACATTTGGTATCACAGTTTGGGATGGTATGTGGCCGTCTACCATGTCGGAGGTGCGCATGACCGGTTTCAGAGCCTAGTATTCATCCTGACCTGAGATTGTTAGTGGGATGGCTTGTCCAGCTGCAAGAACGACGTCTGCTGGGTGGTATGAGCTCCAGTCCTCCCGCAAAGCTCCCAACTGACATAGACCCTAGGCCTGTACATCCTCGTTACGGGCACTCTAATACCAGCGTGCATCTTCCTCTATCTATACCTCTGTTCCGGACGCACTACGCATAATGTGTTTGACTATCCTGCTCCCGACGTGTCTGCCCTTACAGAGCCTTATCCATGTGCAACACTCCGAGGGGAATTGGCAACATGCGACCGAGCAAGGTGCAAATCCAAATGGAAGCCTCCCAGGTCGCACCATTGCTCGACCTGCAACGTCTGCAGACTGGAATTCGACCATCATTGCTCTTGGGTGAGCTAACTGCTCCTTTTCCCTGTTATTATCAACCTAACTAACTCTGCGTCGCGAATTAAAGCTCGGAAACTGCGTGACAATCCAACGGCAAAAAGCTTTCCTTTTCCTACTCCTTCTCTTTCCCGTGGTATTCTTCGTGGGCGTCGCACCAGTCGCAGAGACACTGATGGGCCATGTCGACTCTGCACTTCTCGTTTCATACATGGACCCTTTCCTCCAGAAGTACTGGTGGGATAGACCTTACTCCTGGGTTATCCTTGCAGGTCCCTTCGGGCGGTATATCGTGGGGATCGTCTTAGGGTATGCAAAGCTCAATGGCGAAAGGCGGGGCGAAGTGCGTGCATACGCGGGCCAGTGGATAGAGGAACCCTTTCTTAGAGTCGTCTTTGCCTGCGCATTGTTACTCCTATTGGCAACATTCTCACTGGCAAGTCTTAAGTTCATTGACGATGTGGGAGGTATGCTAATTGTCCTCCAGGGTCTTGCGGTCATGACACTCCGGTCTATCCTGCAGGGAACGACAAGTTATGAAGACCTTAAGCGCTCTGGAAGGGTCAGGAAAGGGTATACAGCAGAACATGTCTGTATCCCCGAAGTCGGCCCCTCTGAGAGAGACCTTCTGGTAGTCCCAGTACCTCCCAAGCGTCGTCTGTATGACCTGGGAAGGGCACAGAATTGGAGACTTTTCTGGCGTTCTCAGTTCTTCCCCACCGTCAGGTACGGTCCACTGATAAGACTGAACAAACAACCGCTCATTATCCCTTGTAGCCCTGTTTACACTTGGCCAAAATTGAATCCAGACGTCCTGCGAGAGGCGCGTGAGCAGGCTAATATAAACGCCAATTCGAGGGCGGAGTGATTTGGATTTTGGCAATAGAATTATGAAAACTGGATTTGATCACCAACATGGCTCAATGCGCTGGCCTCGGCAGGATATACTTGAGGGACATCTGAGACCAATGCCGCACGACGAATAGTTGATTGCAACCTAGCGTAAGCCTCGTCGGGTGTAATGTCGTGTGGTAATCCCCTGGTCTCTCCGAAATATATGGTATGTCTATGAAGATTCCTCCGACTTGGGCTGGACTCCGTATTTGGCAGGGTCAGTACCGTGGTAGGGGTGGTTAACGAGGTTGAACCTAGATGACCATCAGTACGCGAAATGACGATGAAAAGCATAGACACGAACATAGGGATAGCAGCTAGATAGGCAGAGTTATTAGTGAGGATGAAAATGGAAGTGAAGGCACGACGCACAAAGCTTCAGCTGCGAGAACGTGGAGTTTCGGGCAGCCATTTCCTGAATCCAGCCAGGTTGGTGAGACTCGCCATAAAGTGGCTTTCCTTCACGGGCACGCTGGCTGAGCTCCTGGAAGTCCATCTCTTCCTCCCGCTTATTTTCGGACCAACCCCAGAATCGAACTGTGGAAAGCACTTAGTTCTTCCGTGAAACGATACCAGTCGTGTTGAAGGACGCACCGCTGCTTCGTTGGTAGGCAAAGAGGAAACCGCCGATGAAACCGACCAATCCACCGAGGCGCATGGAGGTCCTCATGGAGACCTTGGTTGGGTCTGCCATCTCTACAGAATTTGTTAGGAATTTTGCCTTATGAGGGTGCAGAAATTAGCTTACCCCAAGCATAGAGAGCTGCAGGGACAGCAGCGGTAGTTCCAGCCCAGACAGCATAGTCAGAGGGCCTGAAATACCTGACGACCCTAGAGAAGTGCGGGTCAGAGTCAATACGGGGGTAGGGACTTGAAGTCTCCTTGATGTGGACCATGGTGAGTTCGCTGTGGATTGGTGCAGAGCTCGTCGTCGCGGATGTTGACGGCAGGAAGTGTCACGTGCAACCCGTGGGAAGAGGCATAAACCGTGAGCAGCGGCATCGCTGCATTGTCCACCGAAGGCCTCGTTGTCCCTCGAGTCAACGACGCCCCTTGTTTTTCTGTATCCACCACCATAAATCTCCGTCTCGTCTGAGACGAGCTGAAGGCCCGGCACACGATGAGCGGCGCCGTTCGACGTTTCGATGGCCGTTCTCAGTCCCGAAAAGCTCAGTCCTCACCCTACGCAAGGCCTCAGAGCTCGGTACGATTTCACCAGGTCGCCCTTTCGTGTTTTCCGTATTAAAATCGATAAAACAGGGCTGGAGCTTAAGGAAACTCCTTGAACCCCTCAAACGTCGTGTTTTTGGCCAATCCGTGCAGAACGAAGAGGAGGGCAGAGGTATCCAGGTATTTCGTACGGTTTAAATTCGGTCGAGAGCTTTAATTTTGACGGTTTCCGTAGATTCCTCGATCTCCTTCTCCTATCGATCCTATTCTGCCGGACGAGCCTTCGTATGTGAACGTGTTGGACACCGAGTCGCATGTTCCCGGTCCTCCAAGATCCCCGTCCAAGACGGTATCGCCGAAACGACCGCCTCCCACTGAGGGCCCGTCCACTCGCGCGACATTGGAGAATGTAATCGAGTTCCTCACAGATGCAACTGGAACGAGTCTAAAACGCGAGGAAGCCCAAACTATTGTGGGACTGATTCGCAAGGGTATCTCGCATGAACACACCGTTTGCAACTCGTTGCTCCAGAGCGTCGGTCGACCCCTTGGCGCGATTGAAATCGAGGGAATGATCTCGCTTATACGCAAACAAATGCCCTGTGAGTGAACTGCACTACTGTGGCAATTGATGAAGTCTGACTCCACACAGACGAGCGGTCCCGTTCCGAACCGTTCAGATTCGAAAGTGCTACACCTAGTCGAGGCAACTCCCCGCTTTCGCCAACGCCTTCAGGTCCGGGTTCTCCCAAGGCGACCCCCAGGAAAATGCTGTCCAGGAACCCCAATGGTACCTACCGCTGGCAGGGTGCAGGTAGTGCGAAGCAGACACCCCGCCGAAATCGCTACTCTTCGCCCGCCTTTGGCACGCCAAAACTTGCGCCAGAGAAGGCCAAAACGACCGATTCGCCCGTAGCAGACGGCAAGAGGCGAAGGTTGGATGAGGAACAGCCGTCAATGTTGACGTCGACGCCAACGACATCGTCCTCCGCTTCTACCCAGAGGCTGCCGTTCCCCGTTTCTTCACCAACGCAAGGTTCTCGTACAACTGCCAATGGTACTTCTGCTGCCCCCACTCCTCCCAAGCTTTCAATTCCTGCCGCACCTTCCACACCTTCCCGACTCCGCACACCAGCTCTGCTGAAGCCCACAACGCCGTCTCAGCCTTCTCCTTTGCGCCACGCCTGGACAGGAAGTCCCGACACCTCTCAGGAGGATATCTCGCAATCTGACCTGCCTCAACCCGAAAGTTCCTCACCAAAGCCCACCAAAGCGGCCGACCTTATGTCGGAATTAATCAAAGAAGCAACTCCTCCCAAGAAACCTGATCTCAGCAACCCGTATCAAACTGCCAGCCCTTTAGCCAAGGTTGGACCACCGCGCCGTTCAACTCGCAGGACAAGGGCCAGCGCTCGGGCCACCATTCCTGAGAACAATGAAACACCAAAGGTTGATGAGGGAAAGGAAAAGGGTAAGCAGAAAGAAACGGTGGAGAAGACCAAAGAATATCCTCCTGAAGCTATCTTCGAAGCCACTTTGCCCAAGGTAAGAGCCCCTTTAAGCCTGTTTTAAACCATCGCACCAACTCACTTTTTTCATTTTTATCAGGGAAGCAAGCGTTCGCGACCACCTGCTCAACTCGACAAGTCTACACCTTCGGATTCCCGCCGTTCGCCATCCCCTCGTCAAGAAAAGTACGTCGTTGAAGAAGTTGACGAAGACGACAGAGATAGGTCGCACAAGAAGCAGAAAGGTGTCAACGGTTTCGCATCGAAGGCACAGAACGGATCCCAGGATGTTGAAATCGAAGAAGTCGAAAAACCTCCTGCGTCTGGGCAGCCTTCCTCCGCCGTTGGCTCTGCAGGATCCAGTACCTCCCCGCCATCCCTTGGGCCAAGACCTGTATTTGGAGGCCTCAAGCCTGCTACAGCTCCATCGCGACCTAGCAAGCTGAGGCAAAGCTTCCTTCCCGAAGGTTCAGCGCCCTCCACCCCAGAAACTCAGTCGAAGTCTATGGATATTGACGCACCTTCACCTTCGACAAGGGAATCCCCGGCCTCTTCCTTGCCCACGCCCGAACCCTCATTCTCCGAGGCTTCGACCTCCAAACGCACCCCACCAGTCGAGAAGCCATCTGCACCCGCGGCAGCGCCTGCACCCGTTGATCCCAAGCAGCAAGTGCTTGTCATGAGCGTGTCGGTATTGCCCACCTTCAGTTTTACCGCACCGAAGGCCAAGGCTGTCCCGCCCGAGCATGTAGCCGCTCGAGAGGAAGCATTGTCCAAGCCTGTCTCTTCACTGCCCACATTTGACTTCAGCCGTGAAGCACTCAAAGCAGGCCCTTCCAAGTCCGCTCCTGCTCCTGCTGCTTCAACCGGCTTCAACTGGGCAGCTGCAGGACTTAAGCCACCCACCGCCTCAGGTTCTGAATGGAAATGCTCGGATTGCATGTGCAACAACCCCGATAGTGCGAAGGAGAAGTGTACAGTTTGCGAGGCTCCCAGGCCGGGTGCGAAGAAGGAAAGTGCAGCGCCTGCTGCAGGCTTCAACTGGACAGCCGCTGGACTCAAGCCTCCGACAACTTCAGGTTCCAACTGGAAGTGCTCAGATTGCATGTGCGATAATCCTGACAGCGCAAAGGAGAAATGCACGGTTTGTGAAGCACCAAGACCGGGTGCGAAGAAGGAGAGTGCGGCTCCTGTTGCAGGGTTTAACTGGGGTGCGGCTGGCTTGAAACCTCCCACTACCTCGGGTTCCACGTGGACATGCTCTGTCTGTGCGTTGTCAAACCCCACTTCGGCGCCCAAGTGTACTGTTTGTGATGCACCACGGTAGTAAACACACATCTTGCATATTCCAGTCGTTGCCCTCCCGCTTGTTGTTCGTACTAGTACATAGGCGTGTTTCTTGAATTTACTCTGGACTGCAAGATTCCGCTGTGGTTTGTCGTACTTTTTATTACTTTTTAATCCCTTGTCGCTGTTCTCGATGTTGTGAAATTACTCTGTGTTTTTTGCTTTGTGTTGCACGTTCTTGACATCCATATCTTTATACATTCCAACTGCAGCTCGCGCGCCTTCGGATTTTGGATCCTGCAACTCGCTTCAGACCTAATTGGAGTCTATCGCCTTGATTCATGGCGCTTGGGAACTGTACGATAATGGTATTTCATTCTACAATTGTACACTGACTGATTCTTCACGAGCAACAAAGCCATTTTTCCCGAGCCGTTAGCCACCGCTCTCCAGCAAATCTATGTATCCACGTTGGGATGCAGCGTGTAGAGGAAATGAAGCTTGAATGCCGTTTTCAGGATCGTTTGCATCGACACCATGCGGGCTTACCTCCGACCCAAGGTGGCTGGGAGTATGGAATGGTGTTCTCCACCACGCCCACTAGGAGCATGCATGCGACGTCCTAATACCTGCAAAGGACCCCGAAGATCACCGAAGTCTACCAGTACGATGTGATTACCCAGAAGCGCTACATCGCTCTCCGGGAAGCCCTCGGATGGAGCCACCCTACCGGAGAACGTTGGCAGTAGAGCATAATAAACAAACACCCATTCATTGTTTTTGCAGAATATTCTCAACCATCATTGAGCGTAAGTCATCGTTCGGGTTGAAATTGCATTCGTCAGAAGGATTCTGAAACCGTCAATCATGGTCGACGCGCTGGTGGGCGAATCAACGCGACGGGGGTGGAGATTTGGTCATGCGTCCAACAGTATAACATACCATAACATACCACAAGGTTTAAATAGTATCACGGGGAAGTAGGAGGTGCTGCCTTTCCAAAGTCCAATCTCCGAGCAATCGACCTGCCTTTACCGTCCTCCAAAGGAGAAGATAGCTTCCTCTTCGTCCCTTTCCTCTTCTTGCCACCCGCCGCGTTCCCGTCGACTTCCCCTAAGGGTGGGGTTGCGTGTTTGCTTGCTGGTTTCGGTAGTTTCGAAGGGTGAGTGGGATAAGGGAGTGCGAAGAAGTAGGGATGATTGAGAGCCTAGTGTAGTTTTCAACAGTTAGATGTACCATAGTGTGGCATGCAGGAAGGAGTCGTACCTCGCGGGCTGAAATTCGTTTCCGAGGTTCGTACACCAAGCATTTGCTTAGGAGGTTTAAAGCATCTGCACTTGCTGCAGTGAACAAGTCTCTGAGAGGTGTTTTAGGGAATTGGCCGACTGGGACGTAATCCGGGAGTTTGGTGTGGCCCTACGCAGATCGAAACGGTGATTACTTTTCTTCTTAAGAGTAAGGAGGGAAAGACATACGGGCCATTCTTCCTCAGTGGGTGTACCCAACGCGCGGAATATTGTCTTGAGTTGGTCCATATCACTTTCCCCGGCGAGGTATGGAATGCGTAACATGAGTTCTGCAAAGATGCATCCAACGGACCAGATGTCGACGCCGGTGCCGTAGTACCGACAACCGTAAAGGAGTTCTGGTGGACGATACCATCTAGACGAGCAGGATAAGTACAAAGGAGCGGGTGAAGACAAGCACGGACGCACCGAGTGATAACCTGACATGTCATCTTGTACCCTGGGTCTGCAAAGTCCCTTGCCAGGCCGAAATCGGCGATCTTGAGTTGACCATCTGAAGCGATGAGCAAGTTGTTGGGTTTCAAGTCCTATTTGAAAGGAAATGAGGTTGGATGGAGAACGACATGAGACAGCGGAACGTACCCGGTGCAAGATCCAGTTCCTGTGGCAGAACTCGAGCCCTCTGAACGTCATGGCCATCCACGATTTGATGTCGGCTGGGAGGAAGACGAGCGACCTGTCTCTGATGATAATCTCCAGGTCTGTGTCCAAGAATTCGAGGACGAGGTTGAGATTCTTTTTCGAAGAGAATACGTCGAGAAGCTAAAGAAAATGCTTTCTGAATGGCCGTATGCATGACGCACGAGGTATATATCCATACCTCGATGACGTTCTGGTGCTTCAATTCCCGAAGAAACTTGACTTCACGGATGGCAGACATGTCGAGACCATCTTTGAACTGGCCGACTTTAATCTTCTTGATAGCGACTTTACGCCCTGTCGAGGCTTCCCTGCCTGTTCATAGTCCATTTAGCCCTGTGAGAGACCGGCGTTGACATGCATGGTTGCGCACCTTGATAAACGACGGCGTAGGCACCTTCACCAACCTTGCGGTCCTTCAGCCTGCAGAGCCTAGTTTAGTTCCCTTCCAACAACGATAAGGCAAGCTGCAGCAGACCATTTCCTTTGACGCTCAGCGTTAGCTTGCTCTACAATGTCCATAGCTCGTTGTCGCCGACCCTCGCTGCCTGCAGTTGGATTTGTGAATAAAAGAGTGTAGACGAGGCGATACTTGGGGGGATTTCGAAAAAAGACGTGAGTGAGTTCAGAGCAATTCCAAGGCGAGAGTGTCGTTACAATTCACTGTCGTCAATGGACTGAGATAACAACTTTTTGGATCCTTTCAATCCTGTCCCGCCGCCTACCGCATGGCCCTAACTATTGATTCCGTTCCCAAAATAGATCACCCATCACCCAGTCACATGACGCAACTTGTCCTTAAGCGCGTGTTCCCAGTTCGAGTTTCGCGACTCGATTTCTTGGGGTTTCCCAATCTCTTCTTCATGTTCTAGTTCAGTTCTTGCGGTAATTATTGTTACTTATGTCTGTGGCCAAGAAGACGACTTTCTATGACATCCTATCCATCGACAAGTCGGCGTCCGTAGACGAAGGTGCGTAAATCCTGCCCTCTTATGGGTCCCTGGACAGCAATATTGATCGTGCCGTTGTGATTCTAGTTCGAAAGGCCTACAGGAAGAGGGCATTAGAAACCCACCCTGACAAACTTGACCCTTCAGCCACTGAAGAAGAGAAGCAGGCCGCAGAGCGGGAATTCCAAAAGGTATTCCAACACGTATTCAGCCAGGCCACTCAAAAGTCCAACTCGATCGTGTTTCCAGGTCCATGAGGCTTTCCAAACGCTTGGTGACCCCCTGAAGAAGCGGGTATGCATGATATCCTTTCGCTTCTTGAACGCTGTTGAGCTCATGGACCATCCAGCGTTATGACGCTGTATTAGCCCTCCGGTTAGACCCTAAACTCGTGTCCAAACATGGTTCCGGCCTCATGGCCGATCGGCGAGAATGGGCTCGGCAACAAGAAGAACTGGCCAGGCGGAGGATGGAGGATTGGAAGGCGAGGCAAGGAAGGTTAGAGGGCTTCAAGGCTGCCCCGCTTCGATCAGCACCTGTGACCCCAGCAGCAACGGAGAAGGTGGAGAAGCCACCAGTGCAACTCCCAGCAAGTAGGGAGCTGACGGCGAGGGAAAGGGAGGAGCAACGAGTCAGCGAGTTACTGAACAATCTGTACCCTGACATGGCGGCGAGGCGGAGGGTAATCCTTCAGGTGCGTCGTATAGTCTTTCCTTCGCGCTCACGTAGACTGATTCTTGGGCATTATAGCGGAGGGCTGAACGAGAGCAGGCCGAGAAGGAGAAAGCGCTGGCGCAACTCGAGCCACCATTGACAGCCTAGATCCCATTCACATTCTTCATTCCTACTACCTCGATGGACACCTGATATCCTGGATGTAAATCTCCACCTGTATCTCCCCTTGTGTACTAACCACTGTCATCCCGGCATTCCCTGTTGTTATATAAGCTCTGTTCCACTGGTTGCATCCGAGTAATGCGCACCTATTCTACTCCCAAAGCCCTCAATCTACTCTTCGCGATAAGCCCTACATCCTTCACCGCCCTCTTCAATTCAGACTTCCATTCGTCCGTGTCCGAGGTGTAGATGGTGGTGATACCCTCCAATTTGGGCTCGTCAGGGGATAACGAGTGCTCCCATCCCAGCACGCCCTCCATTTCCTCCGCAATCGTAACTCTACTCCTCCCATTGACGAAGGTGATATACCTCAACCCAGGATACTTGACCTCATATCCTGCGTTTAGGTGTGCCAGTCGTGCCAAAACCTCTGGTGGAGTTGGTGTAACGCCTTGCGCTCCTTGCTCTTTCGCGCTGAGTTTCGAAAGGTTCGAGTTCTCCCCTATCCTTGGATGCCCAGAGATGAACTCCGACTGTGCAGCTAGCTTCCATTTGCTAATTTCTGCCAGTGACAAGTCGACAAGCTGGGCGTAGGACTGGGGAACAGTTCCTGATTGGAAGAGTGCCTGGAGCTGTGGCTGCAAGATCGAGATGAGGATAGGGGAATGCTCGAACAGGATCGAAAGCGCCGTTGAGAGCGGCGAGTCCTCCGATACTCTAGATTGTTGGATGTCGGTAAGCGGTGGTAGGACAGACATCGTTCACCGGGACTGTCAAGATTCAGAACAAGCCACCTCTCCTCAGACCACCTCGATGCGATTGAACGAAGCACGGAAGGAGCGATAAGATAACAACCGGTGATCCGGTCCGTTAAGTCCGACGTGGACGCGACAATTCCCCGACGCTTCAGCCCCCGCGATTCAGCCATTTATCAGGATGACTGGCGGGCCCACGCTGCCTCAGCTTCGCTCTCGTACGACAGAAGTATGGCTTCAGACCAGGTGTATGAGCTTCGTTGGGGTATAATCTCCACTGGTTATATCGCCAGTAGCTTTGTCAAGGTCAGTGGATTTCGAGCTATCTTTGCGTGACTTCAGAGCTAATTAGGTTTCCTCCAGGATCTGTTGGTTGACCCCAAGACGTAGGTTAAGTTCATCCTACACCTGACGACCAAAACTAACTCGTCATTTAGACGAGATGTCCACGATGTCGTCCACAGAATCGTTGCAGTCGGTTCAAGAACTGTGGACAGTGCCCAGTCCTTCGTCGATCGCCACACCTTGAGTGATCCTGAAATCAAGGTATACGGAAGCTACGACGAGGTTTACGCTGACACCGTACGTCCTTCTAAGTTATTCTTCGTTATTCTTTGTCGCTAAGTTTGACCCACACGGTTTCCTGCCCCTCAGAACGTCCAAGCAGTCTACATCGGTGCTCTTTCCTTCCCCGCAAGGTGCCTGATTAACCCCCAACTCTAACCCCCGTCTCCTTCCCCGCATTCAGGAACCCCACACACCTTCCATTACGAAAACGCCCTCGCAGCAATTAAAGCGAAAAAGCATGTCCTCTGCGAGAAACCCGTCACGACCAACGCAGCCGAGTTGCGCGCCTTGCTATCTGCCGCCAAAGAGAACAGTGTCTTCTTCATGGAAGCGATGTGGACGAGGTTCCAGCCTTTGGTGAGGGAGGTTAAGAGGATTGCGGAACAGGGAGAGCTGGGGAGGCCTATTGTCCTTCATGCGGATTTGTCAGGGGATTTTGGGATTGAGAGTACGTATTTCTGGGTCGATTGGATGCAAGTGAACTGATTGGGCGGCGGCGCTGCTAGAAATTCCGTTGACTCATAGGATATTGGACCCCAAGTTGGGAGGAGGTGCGCTGCTTGATTTGGGGCCATACCCGCTCGTCTGGGTTAGTCGCAAACCATCACATTCCCGTCGCATCGTCGGATTCTAACCAACAGCCGACAGGCTATCCTCGCCCTGTACGAAAACCCCGCCAACAACAAGGCATCTCCCTCCAGCATCACAGGCGCGATGCTCAAAACCCCCTTGACTGGGGTGGACAGCAGCACCGTCTTCACACTCACCTTCGACCCCACCGCCTCCTCAGAATCATCCCCCTCGTCCACCCTCGCTGCCCAAGCCATCCTCTCCTGCAGCATCACCCTCAACGCCCCCTCCCCAGGCGTCACCATCCGCTTCGAACGCGGAACGATCACCATCGACCCTCCCATTTACTGCCCTAAATCATTCAAAGTCGTTTACGCGAACAAGGGTTCCAAGGTCGCGACTGAGGGTGTTTTGACAAGGACTTACGAGTATGTGGGCAAAGGGTGGCATTTCCAAGCGGATGAAGTCGCTCGGTGCATCGCGGCGGGTAAATTGGAGAGTGACCTCTGGGGCCATGACAAGAGCTTGTTGCAGATGGAGATTTTCGACGAGGTAAGCACAGCTCTCTTTTCTGGGAGTGTCTTCTGATGATCGCGGGGTAGGTTCGCAAGCAGGGCGGATACGTTCTTCCTCCAGGCGTCGAGAAGGTCACCGCCTAGTAGTGACCCTAAGCAAATAGGATAGCTATAGATACATTTTGGATGTAGGCTATATGACAGCGAGTGCGTTGTTAGTCGTTGCTACAGATCCAGCATTCACCAAAGAGATAAAGCAAGAAAGCAATTAAATGATGGCACAGATACAATGAAAGCGATGTCAGTCATGCTGTCCGCTGAGGTGAAGGGGCAGCGTGTGTGCCGATTCCCCACTCTTCCTTCTCCCAGTTCGACCATTCGAATATAGGGAAGGGATGCGCTTCGGTGTTAAACACAAAGTATTCGAAGGGTATTAGGTCTTCCTCGCTGAACAGGAGGTAGAGGTATTTCAATGTCTCGGCGAGGAAGTAGCTAGTGAACCAGCGGTCAGACAACGACTAGGGATCCATCCGAGAAAAGAACAGGTAGCCATACCTCGGCATCTCATCCTTCCAATCTGGTGGGACTTGATCAACGTTCACCACACTCGCATACCCATACTTGGTTTTCGCATGCTTCTCGATGGATTGGAAGACAGCCCATCCTCGCTCCCTCCATCGAACCTGGCCGGTTGCCTTCCACAAAACGTAGAAGCTCTCAACGGTCTGAGTGCCGACATCAATCCCACGGTAAATCGAAGCTCATAGGGAAAGAACGTACCTCGGGTCTCAAAAGGTACGTGTCCTTCTGGGTAAGCCAGTCGCGCTTGGTAGGATCCGATTCAGGCGTTACGACCCTTGTCCCAGGCGGCTTTCCACCTGGCCTACCCGCCTTCTCCCACTTGTCAAGATGATCTTTCCACCGACTCCCGATATTGGTTTGACCTTCTGGCGGTGAGGGCCAAGGTGCCATCGCGACTTCATCCGGACCTAGACCGGTCTTGGTATCGGCATACGTGGCCCAACACGTTTCAGCAAGGCCCTCGGCTGCCCAGAGATGAAGTTCTCTCTCTTCCCCGGTCAGTTGCGACTCGGGCAGTGTGTGGACGCCCAAAGCGAAGAGACCAGGTAGAAAGCAAGACAGGTGTTCGAGAGTGCGAGAGGGAGCGTAGTCTGTTCCAACGGCGTCCGTTACGTAGAGTAGTTCTCGGTTTGGTGTGAGATGGAGGAGGTTGTTAATGATTCCCTTTGCTGAACTTAAGTCTACGTAGGGAGGATAAGTGGGGAGTCTGTTTTCACAGGAAATGGGACGTACATAGCTCGAGGGCTTTAGGTTCTGAATGGCTTGTAAGCAGCCATTGCTTGAGTAAATATTCATAGGCACTGTCAGCATAAGCTCCCACTGTGAATTGCTCTGCCAAGTGCCAGGATTAGGGACTTCCTTCAAGAATACTCGTCGGATAGAACGTACGATTAGTAGGTGCGCCGTTGTGTTGGTCCCACATGGAAGGGAATAAGCCTTCATTCAGCGGTGCTTCGTGCATCAACTTCATGATTCGTTCAGTCTAGAAGGACGAGGGTTCCTATGAGATACAAAGGCGAGGTGATGGGCTACACTAACCCGATTGAAGTATTCTTCACGTCCCGTGAGGTGAGCAAGGTATTTGCTACATGGCATCTTTCAGCAGCCACGACGAAGGTTCGAGACAAGAATACCCACTACTCCATTTGGTTGCTCATAGCTTCGGCCCACAGGACACTCGGTGACCATCCTGCCTTGGTGTTCCCACTGGAAGCCATTGCAATTGAGTTGAGATAGATAAGTTTCGATATGACCATTGCATACCTGATTGTATTCACGGCGTACCACGGCAATCCGGACGGGGAGTCGAAAGCAGGCAGGAGCATCCTCCCCAGATCATCAGCCCGGGTAAGAAGGATGGGCTCTCCAGAGAGTGCATACGCTGATAGCAGACCTCCGAGGTGCCGGATGATGGTTTCGAAGAATGGCGCATATTTATCCTGCGTTGCTTGGGTCAAAGATCTGCCAGAAGTACGAAGGAATTTACAGACCTGGGTCAAATGAAAGCGAGTCTTAGCCACGGAAATAAGCTCTCTGCGGAACATATCATGAAGTCCCATGATCCACATGGTGTCCAGCGAGTCGTGCACCGTTGTCCCCCAGCCAACAAAGCTGATCTACAAATTAGACAGGGACAAGATACAAACCTCGGTACTTACTTGTTGACTTTGCCTGCAGTGCGTGGAAGAAGTTCATCGTATCCTTCGGCATACTTCAGATAGTTTTCGTATGCGTACACAAACGCGTCCTTGACTGCGTTTGCGCGGTGGTCCCACAGACTTAGGGGCTTTTTCCCCGTTCCCGAGATGTCTCCGTCCTTCAAGATGCCAGGCCACCATTTGGGACCTTGTGTTGGCCCACTGGCGGACTGATTCCAGTGGGGTGGTTGGATCGGTGGCCGCACCCCTTGCGTTCGATCGGTCGGCGGTCTTGGGGGTAAGGGGTGGTGTATGGGCTGCGAATCCGAGCGGAGAACAAAGAGCCACAAAAGTATCGTACATCCTATGAGCCATGGTAGAAGTCTGAAGAGCTGTCGTCCACTTGGTCGAAAGGATGGTCGGAATGGCGTCTTGCTGGATGTACCTGGGATTGAGATGGCCAGGTTGGACGTGCCGCTACGTCTATACGACGTCAGAGCTGGCGAGGGCAACATGGCCTCACACGGGGCTTGTGGGGTTCACCGCGACCGGTGAGCAACGACGAGGACCGGGGAACGAGGACCGTGGCAAGAAGCTGGTAACAGACAAAGTCGCAACAGGGTTTGATGTCCAACATTATTTCGGGGGTTATGTAACTTCTAATTCCAGTTGCCAAGCTTTCTAATTCTACCCTCCAAAAATGTAGGGAATAGGTTGGGAAATATGTCTAATCGCAGCGGCCATCTGGAGGACCATCCTTCCATCGTTCGTCCACCTTGGAACAGTCGAACTTTTCCTTCCCGAGCTTCTCGTTGACCTCGTTATGTCGCTGGCACAACCACAAGCTGAGTCGTTCGCGGCTGCTGACGTCGGGTGGGTTGTGGTCGATGCTTTTCCCAAAGTCGTCGGCGCACCATGAGCAGGGGTAGACGATGGGCAGGGACCGGAGGAGCATCAGCATATTGGCTCGTTGGGTTGGGGTTGGTTTGTCCGGGTAGTAGGCGGCGGCAGTGTGCAGGAACGTCCAGGTCGCGCGTCCGAGAACTTCTACGTCGGGTGGACAGTCGGCTGGAGGTTCCAAGGGCCTTGCGGATAGTTGGGAGGTGCCCTCGACTGGTTGACTTCCGGTCTGGGTAGTGCCTTGGCCGTTGGTCGATTTGGCCGAAGTGTTGGCTGCAGCTGCTGCGAAGCCTGCAAAGGCACCCATTGCTGCACGCGTCGAATTGTTCTGGCTAGCACCGGCTTGAGCTTTGGCTTTCGCTGCGTAGTCTGCTGCTCTGGCCTTGTCTCTTCCGGTGTCGGCTTCCGTATGGTTCGTGGTTCCTGGCTTCCAGTTTCGAAACGCTGTGCAGATCTTGCAGGGTTTGCCGTCCGGTCCCATCACCATCCCAGGAGGCAGCGTCGTCTTTGGTTTTCCATTTGAAGGTGTAGAAGTTGCTTCAACTGCCATGGCTGTAGGTGGATAGAATGCGTTGTGTATGGGTTAGTAATCGTCGTGGTGGTACGGAATCAAGCGCCCAGCCGTGCGAATTTCGTCATACTTCTAGAACAAGCGCAAGCCCCTATCCAAACTGGGAATCTTGTCCATCCAAAAGCAAGTTATATAGTAATGTACAGGGCATAACGATAAGGCAGCACGGTATCGCTTAATATATGCGGCATAGAGTCCAACTAGGATGCGAAACATTTAGTCAAATCATTCACTGAATTAAACAATCGCGATCCCCAGCTTGCAGCCGGCGTCTACGGTGTGCAGCTCCGCCAGCGGCGTTCACTTCAGCGGGAACCTCGCGAGGTTCAGGATCAAATTGCGCACAGTTGGAATAGTGTTGTGACAGACAAGTTGCAAGCGAATCAGGAGAGTTCGTATCCCAGATCGATTCTCCGCAGGTGTAGCAGAAGTGGCTGGAGAAACGTGTTAACAAGTGGAAGTCAGGGATCTCGGTAAAACAACTTACACGGAACAGCCTGGAGTTCCACACTTAAAGAAAGATCCTCGTTATCTCAAGATTTCATCAGAGTATATGAAATAGACTTACAGTCATATGGTTGCAACCAGATGCTTTCTGGATCGGGGTCTTGCATCCTGACGAAGGACAGGGATCAGCACCTACGTATCAGCAAGAGCAAGCAAAACACACCAGGACAGTAACGCCAGCCATTCTCTTGCATCAGCTTATCCAACGCCTCGTCGATCTTGCAAGCATGATCCGCCGTGTCTCCGTAGACAGTCACTCGGCACGCCCGACAGAACCTTGCATGACAGAATTGCAAAGGACAAACGATAAAGGGCTCAGCGAGGTAATCTTCTCGCGCAATCATCATACTCTGCTTGCACCTGATGGACATATGTTAGTTCAATGGTCATTAGGAACCTAGACCAAGGAGGCTGACCCTGGACAGTCAATCTGGATCGACAACTGCGCGAGTTGAAGGTCGATAAATCTGTCTTGATACTTCTCATCCAAATCGAGGTCGAGCACCAGTGGCTCCTCCACAGCTGGTATGACGACGATCAGCTACAATCAAAAGAGCCAAACCTTACTCGACTCACTTCCTTTCGCCTGCCTATCCTGGTCCGCCAAACAGACAGGACAAACCACTGGAAACAGGTTCTCGTCCAATTTAGACTGAATATGGCCACTGATACAATCCTTGCAGAACGAATGCTCGCAGCCGGTCATCCGTGCACCATCCTCCCATTCGATCGTCTCGAAGCATACGAGACAGTCGAACGGAACAAGGCCTAGCTCCATCTGTATTTTCTTCTTCCTTTCCTCCCTCTCCCTCATGTAATCCTCAGAGGGCTTCAGGGTGGTCGAGGCCAGGGCGAGTTGCCAGGCGAAATCGTTACGCACCGCGCGGTATAGGGAAGCTCGTGGTGAGGCCACATCGTCTCCCTGTGCTCTGGAAGAGCTTCTCGATGGAACTGTCGTCTCGTTCTCCTTCCCCTTGCCCTTGGTGCTTGTAGAGCTTCCAGCGTCGTCTCTCTCGTCGATCATTGGTGTCGTAGGGGTTTTGGTGGCACTCTCCATCAATTCTGGTCGAAGCATCAGAGGCGACCAAGCCTCTGCCTTTCTGACTGGTCTCGAGCTCGAGCTGGCTCTTGGTTGTCGACTCCTGGCCTGCTGCGCAGGGCTGTCTGGCTTCACCTCCCAACCAGGTTTAATGGACAATGCAATGAGGTCGCGTTGCCATTGAAAATCGCCGTATTTCTTTCTGGAAGTCGCTGATCTATTACTGTCGGTGCTGGTGTTGAGTTCTTCGACTTCCTTTTCCTTTCCTTTTCCTTTGTCTTTTGCTTGCACAACGGATGCGTTGTCGTCCCTCTGTGTCCCCTTGGGAGGGCCAAATAAAAGCTGGAGCTTATCTTCGCTGAACACCTGAACCCTGGCATCGCTACCATCCTCATTGGCCTTGGAAGATGTGCTTGTTTGGGCTTCGGGTTCTGCGGCGGGTGGAGGTGGTGGCGGCGATGAGAGGATTAATGGCTGGGATTGTAGGGAAAGCATCCAACTGAGATCCTGCCCACTGGACTTGCGCGGTCCCCGTGGTGTCCTGACTGTACCTCGCCGCTTGGGTTGCGGAGGTTCTTCGACTTGGTCATAGATGGGGGGAGGGGGGCCCGTCCCATCGTCGGAAGTCACTGCTCCTTGGGTTGTCGTCGGTGAATTCGCAAATTCGCTGTAGGGAGGTGGCTCCTGTGAGAAAGAAAGGGGTTTGGCGTCCGATCCCTCTTCCATCGGTTGCGATGCAAGGCTAGCTGACGGTGTCCCTGCGTTGAGAGTAGATGTTGGCCCAGTGATTCCGAAGAGATGTGCTTCGAACGCAGTACTATCGTTTTGGCGAAGGAGCTCAGCGACGAATTGCGCCCCGTCTGGCGTCGAGGCTTTCGTCACGGCTTCGATGTCTGCCTCGTGTTCCGAGCCAAGACCACGGTGGAGGAAGATGTAGCGGTAGGAAGGCTCTTCGTCACCAGCGCTTGAGATCTTAATGCAGACGAGTGCCACTGTTGCGTGTAAACTGTCCTCTCGAAGCTTTGGTGTGAAGGAAAAGACAGCGGCGTATTCGCCCACTAGGTTGTCACTGTGGCAAGGTACAGTAGATGAGGCACGGCCAGGGCGACCAACGGCAAACTCACGAAAGAACGGTTGATATTCTCTCCACATTGACCTCCCCTTTGATTACAGATTCTTCTCTAGTGAGCCCGATTGGGAACTTTAGGTTTGTCTTGAACAAAGGCCTGTCCACATGTTCTGAGATGGGATGACCGCACTCTGGGACGATGGTGCGCCCCAGGCTCAACAAAGGCTTTCGGTCGACAATAAGTGCTCGAGTCTTCACTTTTATTCCTGAAGCTAGTCTACCCACCTCAAAATTCTTCTCTTTTTTCAAGAAACTGCGGATGCGCTGTTCTTGTGTGTCGACTGGTGCGAGCTTATTGTTCTCCCGTACGGCAAGGACTTGCTGGGTCACTAGAAGAGCATGAAGAGGGCACATGGGCTGGCAGACTTGGTCGACAGATTCAAGGCCTCTGACGACGCCAGTGGAAGAATCAGCTTTCGAGGAGTGGCTTGCTGGGGACTCCCCTCCGCTTGTCGCCAAGGCCGCTGGGGCGTCCAAGGAGGCGTCGTCAGAGCCTTGCTGGGTATCGCTGGCCATCTCTATGACCCCAAAGTCGTCTTCATCGACGAGATCTGAAAGGTCGCTCAAAGCTGGGGAAAGGGGTGACGCAGGCCGCACTTGCTGGACATCGTTGCGCGCAGATACAGATGGGGCTTCCTGCGGCGAGTCGTCCATCCCTAGGACTTCAAAGTCGTCCGAGCCGTCATCCGAGGCCATCTTAGTACGTTAGGGAAATCGTCGCTCTGTGGACGCGTGGGGTGTTGGGAGTAGGAGTCAGGAGAAAAGAGAATGTGGTGCTTTCGGTGACAGCCATCGTGACCTGATGGGCATATATAAATGAACATGGGCGCTAAACGCTAACCATTGGACCCTGGGACCCGTTGTTTGATGCCGCAAGCTTCCGAACATCTCAGTATCCTCTGCGGGCCCTGGGCTGTGTCTGCTTACCACTCTTTCCAACCTTACACATACAATAACACTGTTGGTAATTTACTTGACAAGCGGCAGTGCACTTCAAGGAGTGGGTGGGGTATATATGTAAGCAAGATGTAGTGCAACAGGTAGAAATGTGCGAGTCCTTCCGTGAAACGATGGCAGTACTAAAATGCAAAGTGATGTCCAGTGTCTTTATATGTGAAACAGATAAAGCGACTGCGTCAGGCCGCCAAAAGCGAGAAGCGGTAGGATATGTAACAAGGGGTCCCCAATGAGTTATTGAATAGTACATTTCCCGTCGCTGCAACTTTCGGAATGCCTCGCCACGGCTTCGTCGATATCGGTGGCCAAAACGCCATCGGCAATCGTTTCTCCACATTTATAGCAAAAATGGCTGATGGGGAAAGTTAGCAACATTGAATGGAGGGCAGGCCGTCTACACTCACAATCGACATCCAGGTGTCGTACACTGGCCAGGCATTGTCAGATAGCCGTAAACATGGGAAGGGGAATGAAGAGCTCACCTCGAGGTGATTACTTGTCCTAGCCGGACGTCTGATCCTAGTGTCACACCCTAAGAGGACAGATGCAGATTAGAGAGCGGATTCAAGAGGTTGAGCAACATACCAGGGCAGAACCGCCATCCCTTCGGGTCGAACAGTCGTTCTCTCTTGGAAGTAACACACCGATGGGGAGTGCTCCGTTTCGTTTCCTTGTGACAAGTCTTGCACCACTGGTATTGGCAAAGCAACCCCCTTGGACAATGGAGTCGGGTGCTGGATCGATAGTTTTCCGGGCTCATAACTCCTGCGGAATGGCATCTGAGAAAGCGTCAGAGAGCGTCGCGACAGAGGAACATCAAGAGATCCTACTTCAAGCAAGAATAAGTGACAGAACCCCGTGAGTCTCGTTCCAGTCGCAGGTACCGTTCCTCCTCGTGCCCTAGATCAACATCCCTAAGCAAGTCCAAGTCAGCGCCTACGAGACTGATATCAGTGCGGTTACTCTCGGTGAGAAAGAGTGCACTCACGGCCCAGGTCAACAACGCCATAGAGTCCACACGCTGGGCATAACAGGGGATATGTAGACTCTTCCATTTTCACCAAAAGGTGGCGTCGAACACAATCCTTGCAGAACGAATGGGTGCAACCTAGGAAATGGAACCGGTTCCCTTCGACAGGGACGACGCCAAAGCAGTGTTCGCAAGTAAATGTCTCTTCCCCTCTCCTGACTTCACGTGGCGAGTGATTGGTCGCTGTTGCTTCAATGGGTGTCGAAGGCCCACAACCAGGGCTAGACCCATCGTATGTTGTAGGTTGCTGCGAAGGCCCTTCCTGGAGTGTCGTGGAGGATAGCACACCGAATTCCGATTGAACAAGATGGTCGTCCTGGGTAGGCTTGTTCAATGGGAACGTAAGCGATTTAGCAATAAGACCCAGCTGCCAGCTGAACTCGTCCCGAACTGGCTTCTGGAGTTGAACATTGGCTCGAGTTAAAGTTTGCACAGAGACATTGGAAGTGTTATTGTCATCAGCCTTCTTCGCACCTAGCAGGCCATTGGCGGATGAGTCAGGAGGCTGCAGGGGAGTCAGCATTTCGGAACCCGAAGCAAGGTTTTGAAGTGCCAACTGCCAACCAATATCCTTCTTCAAGATGTTGGAACTTCTTGGCGCCACAGAATTTGGAGTTCTTGATTTCGTTTCTGTCGGTTTGACCCCGTTTGCTGCGCCGTTAGCGGGAGGGCTGGGGGAATTCTTCGGTTCCTTGGAAGGTAGTGGTTTCTCTTGTACTGTTTTCCCTTTGGGTTCCTCTTGCGCTGTCTTCCTTTTGGACGGGTCATCCTCCACGATGGTATAAGGTAGATTCAATCTTTGGTTCTGCAAGGCCATCTGCCATCCGAATTCACTATGTAACCGTTGCTTCGACACCCGATTGCGGATATGATTTCCCTTCTTGCTGTCTTCCATGGTTGGTTGAGATTTGGGTGGGGTGGAGTGAGCTGGGGGTTCTACCCACTTGGGGTCTTTCGGCAGTGTGGGGTCGTCGGGGGATGGCGAAGGGATATGTCCATTCTGGAGCCCACTGTTATCGTCGGCGGAAACAATGTTTGAGGGCACAGAGTCGCTTGGGCGAATGTTGAGAGCCGTCCATAGCAGTGGGTTCGCACTACCATCAGCATTCGACTTGCCCTCGGAGGAGTGCTTTACCAGGGCCGTTACAAACGACGCGACAGCCCCAACGGACGGGTAAACAAAGCAAGACGAAACGGAGCGGATTTCCCATTCAGTCTCCCTGCTATGCATGTCGAAGAGAAGATGCGTCCAGTGGGTCTGGTTGTATCGGAGACGAATGTAGAGGATAGTCTCCTTTCCAAACCTGAGCAGTGTTGCGCCCATCGGGATGGAGTGCTGCATCTCCCAGTTCAGGCTACGCGGTATTGAATGTAAACGCCGGTTCAAGTGATGGAAGCAATGGAGAAAGGACATACGAAGCACTAGCAATGGCCAGAATCTCTTCAAAGGTCGGTTCGAAAGGAACTGCGGGTAGGACTTCGAGGGAGGCATCCGTGAATAGCTTCTCCCAGTCTTCTCCCCATGGTGATTCTGGCAACTCCTTCCAATCGTCCAAGGACACGCAATTCTTCGAGAATAAGCGTGTCAGATATGATCATGAAACCAAGCTTAGTTCACTTACGGTTCGCATCTGGGGTGCTAACATTTCTCGTAAAAACCCTCTGAGCCATTTGTACGCGTCTGACCCCGCTTCCTGGAGTTGATTTGGTTCCCTGAGCCTCTTCTCAAGCTTGAAGACTTCGAACGCGGTCTTCAGGGACAAGAGCCAACAAGCACCGACAGTCGATGTGTCTCCAGACGCATCGTGACTCGAGCCTTCGTTGCATGAACACTTGTCTTCCGGAAGCCAAACCGCGAAATACTGGACGTCGGGAGCAGGATCTGAAGCTTCCACCGCTGCGACGCGCCATTTCGATATATGGTGAATCAAATCCTTGACTTCGTTGTCGTCTTGTTCGCGAGAACCCATGTTCGACCTGCGGTTACGTCGTCAACGTTGTGGAGGCCGCAGCACGGCAAGCTTGTACACTGAGTGACCAGAGATGTATGGCTGGTAGAGACTCAGGAGGAGAGGATGGTGTGGAGACACCGGCAGGGTCAAAAGAACACCGCCGACTTGCAGCAAGTGAATACGGTCAATTCAGGGCAGAGCCAGGGTTGGGAAGCGCTCGTGACAAACATCGGGGCTGTGGACATGAGGCTATATAAAAGGGACGCCGCTAGCAAGAAAGCACAGCAGTTTCGGAGCCTTTCCAAGTCCCCTCTTTGTTATTAAGTGTTTGTTGCCACGCGACGGTATGTGCGGAACTAGTCGATTCGACGAGGTGTTTATAGATTTCAAGCGTAACTACATGGTACATGCGAGACGAGATAGCGAAAGACAGAGCGAGAGGGACAATAGTAGTACAGAATCGAGATGCAGGTGTGGCTAGTGTAACAATTGCTGGGAAGGAATACAAATGTGTTTTACAGGGTTTGGTCAGTGGTGTTCACAAAACTACAGAAAGCGAAAGGTAGATGCAGACGGAAACGAGATGTCAAAATGAGCATTGTCAAGGTCAAGTTAAAGAGTCGAGCTTTCCAGATGTTGATCCAAAGAGCGTGGAACGAAGGTAGTAGCGAGTGGCTTTGGTGCTGGGTATCAGTCGGGTATTGGTCAATTTCGATGTTTCCGTCAACCGGGTTCACTGAATCGTGCACTTCCACTTCCTCTCAAATTGTCGACATCCGTTGTTATAATGAAGCGTCACCTCCTCACCAACGTTCCGGCCTGTCGCCGAAGTGACGATATGTTTTCCGCACTTATAACAGAAGTGGCTGTCAGGGGTATATCACTGCACTGCTTCTCGTCACAACAAAGGCCACTTACGTGTGACACCCTGGGGCAACGCACGCCATATGATTACAGCCCGAGTCTTTCAGGACAGGCATCGTACAGCCTATAGACGACGATCGACACGCGTTGTAAGCGGAAAGTCGAAAGCGGAGATCAATGCTGGACTCACCAGGACAGTACCTCCATCCTTTTTTCTTCATGAGCTTCTCGAAGCCGTCGCCCTTACATGAATGCTTGCCCTTGGAACCCGAAAGTGCCTTCGAGCAAAACTTGCACCATTTGTTGAGACAGTCCGAAAGAGGACAATTGAGGGTTTTGGCGAGGAGATAGTCTTTGCGAGAAACCCAGTTCGAGTTGAAGCACCTGCTAAAATGTCAGGAAACAACAGTCGACGGTAGAAATTGGACGTCGCATACTTGGGGCATTCTATTTTGACAGAGTGCTGCAGAATCTGGAGTTCCTGGAACTTGTCCGAGCATTCCCGTGGGAGGTGAAGTCGGTCGAGAACAAAGTAAGTGACGTCTAGAAGGAACGTTAAGATTAGACCCGAGAAACCAATAAAGGATGAGAAGGGAGATAAACTCACTGCCTGGGTCCGATATACCTCGGTCAAGCAAGCAGACAGGACATTCAATCGGATAACGACCATTGTCCAGGAAGCTCTGTACATGACCTCTCAGACACTCTTTACAAAACCTGTGGTCGCACCCTGACAGCTGGATACCGGAAGTAATGGAGAAGGTGTCGAAACAGACTGCGCACTCGAAGGAGAACTTGATACCAATGTCCGAGGAAGGCGACTGGGATATCAATTTCATCTGATCCAATAGGGACTGCCAGGGCTCAGATACACGGGGGCCTCTAGAAGGAGGCGAGAGAGGCAAAGGAGGAAGTGGATGAGTGTTAGGGGTTTCAGAATTCGAGCTTGAGTTTGAGCTCGACGATGTCGATACTGGGGAGCTTCCACTGTAAGACGCTCTGCCGGTACTGCTTGGCCCTACGTCAGGTGTCAAAAGATGGTTCCAAAGGTTGACGTAGTCGATGCTTGAGCTTAACGCTTCCTCGTGTGTACAGAGGAAGGACTCGCGCAGCATCTGCTCATTCTGAAAGGTTGATATCCTGTGGTAGCTGTCCTTGGCGCTGAGAAGATGGGCCATAAAGTAGTCAGCAGCATGGTGAGTTGGAGGATTGTCGAGTCCCGTGACGTCATGGGGCGCGGGGCTGTCGAGGAGGCAATTAAGGAACGTCGCGGTCGTGATACGCGATGTACTCAGCATGAAGCTAGGTCCGTTGGGACGGTCACTTCGTCGATGGGGATCGAAAACGATAAACAAGTCCTGATCCAAAGAAGGAAGCGAGAGCTTCACGCAGACCACGCTTTGGGAGAACTGGGTGATGACAGTCGAAGCAATCCGCCGCGCGTTGTCCTTGCATAATTGACTGTGGTCACACACACTGGATCAGAGGAGTTGCCAAGATGGACACGAGCGAAATGAAACGTACTCAAGGACAGAAATGACAGTCGAAGCAATCCGCCGCGCGTTGTCCTTGCATAATTGACTGTGGTCACACACACTGGATCAGAGGAGTTGCCAAGATGGACACGAGCGAAATGAAACGTACTCAAGGACAGAAAGTATGTTTTCATAAGACGTGAAACGCTCTATCCGATTCGATGAAAGGAACACTTGTTCGAACAGAGGTACGTCCAAGAGTTCCGAGGGGCCCATGCGGAGGGCGCCTTTTAAATGTTGACCAATGGAAACAATCCGCTTGAGACGCCGCACACAGCCCATGTCAGGTGTACATCAAAATGGATCTCGAACATGCCGAACACACCTGTACAGTCCGCTCAGCAAGGATATCGTCAAGAAGCCCTGAAGCCTCGTCCTCAAGCGACCTCGATTCCCTCCTGTATTCGCGTGCCCTGACCTGCTTTTCAAGGTCGAGGATCGTCCTCGCACAAAACATGGAAATAAGGGCGCAACTAGGCTGGCCACCTTCTCCCGCGTTTGACTCGTGCGGGGAAGCATTGCACGAGCACGACGGGCCGTCATAGGCGACAAGCTCAGGCCACGGATTGGAGAGCACGAGTTGTCGAAGAATCTCTTTGGTATCAATATCGGCGCTCTGCCAAATCGATTCACGTTGCTGCCGCTTGCTTTCTGCGATGCTAGTTGGCGAGAGAGGCGGCGTTACTTCGAGGTCGAGCTCCATGTCGCGTCGGAGCAGTGGCTCGCCAGGACGACTAAGAATGGAGGAAAACGGAGGAGGGCGGGGTGGCAGGAACAGGAAGGCTGCCAAAGGGAGGCGTAATTAGGGCTGGATATGGCCGGCGTTGATGTGATACCTCCCACGGGCTAATAAAAATCAATTAAGGGTGTGTATGTGCACCTCCTGACATAACCCTCTTTCCCCAGAGTCACAGCCTCTGATAAGCCCTTCTGCGTCCTTCGCACCCAATCTGACCCCTCTCTGGATTCCTATTGCCAACGCCGACGATCGTCCCCTACAGACTTTATCACTTGCCTGTAGCAACGATGCATCAGGAGGAATTCACAATCGTTGGACCGTATGGCAGTCGAGCCGAGTATGCATATCGAGCTGTAACCCGATTTTGACTGACGGTGATTGTGACGACACTGGATTGGCACTGCTCGTTATTTGCAGCGTCACCTGCTCGAAGATTGGTGTAACTGGGACCCATGGTATCACAGCCAAGTGTTACCTGAAAATCGATTACTGCTGTAAATTGGGTGATGAGATGAAAAATAAAACTGGAATGATTCATACCTTAACTTGGAACTGTCTCTCCGGTGGTTCCAGAATCCAGACCATCAACAGTCCCTGTTTCTGACAAACTTCTTATGTCCCCCGAATCTCAAGGAGCAACATTTGAACAGAACTTGGAAATCATTGGCGACAGAACAGAGGCAAGGAAAGAAACAAGGAATTCTGAGGCCAGAATTTTCGACCAATCATTTGATTGTCTTGGCATTTCTTTGTTTGTTTTCCAGGAAATTGGAATACAGTGCCGAGGCGGAAGCTAACCGCCCAATGTCTTCACCTCCCACCGCCATCTCGATCTCTACCAGTGTCGAGGACGAGTCAGAAAAGGTAGTTTGTAGGCTGTGAGTTTTCACTCTTCTGAAGGATCTCCACTCGAATCTGAATTTACTGTCGTCAGATGTCGTAGACAGTTTGCGAAATATACTTGCCCTGCTTGCAATGTGCCCTATTGCTCTCTGACATGTTTTCGATCTGAGGTGGATTTCTAACCGTATGGTAGAAAATTCATAACTAAAGCTACTGTACAGGGACACTCACAATGTTCAGAACCCTTTTACAAGAAAGAGCTGGAAGCAGGGATCCGCGCGGAGCCGTCCAAGTCCAAGGAGGAGAGACTCAAGATGCTGGAGATGCTAAAGCGACTTGAAGAAGAGTCGGATGACCATGATGAAGATGAAGAGGAATCAGAGCTGGCACGACGGCTAGGGTCTGTGGATCTTGGTGAGCGCATTCGACAATAGCTGTGAACTATAACGTCCAACCGATTCCTAGATTCCGTCCCAGCCGACGAGCTCTGGTCAATGCTGTCTCCTGCCGAGAAGGACAAGTTCCTCAAGGCTGTAAACGATCCAAGTTCAGAGTTAGCCCAACAACTGCTTTCGCGGGAAGAGATTCAGATTCAGCAACCTTGGTGGACTCTGGAGAATGTTTATCCGCCTACCAAAATGGAGATCCCAGAAGGACTGTTGAAACCTGTATCCAATAGGCCATTATTGGCATACAACCTTTCAGCTATCGGGTTCGTAACCACGGCACTATTCCCCCGGCGTCTAATCTGACCGTCTTGGCAGCATCACTTATGCATTCATAGTTCGCCACCTTGGAGCCTCGACACTGTCTTCGTTGTCATCAGAAGATCCAGATTTCGTAGCCGCTCATGAAATGTTCTCGCAATTTCTTCCCTTTCTGGTGGACCGTAGATCTACACTGGTGTTCCCAAACCTAGGCGCCGTCACTGTCGATCTAGCTTCCCGGTTTGACACCGTATGTGTTTTTTCCCCTTATTTCCGTCTTCTTTGTTCTGATAACGCGACTGGGTTCAGAACGTGGTCTCGCCGGACCTGTTCTCAGCGCTACTCCAAGACGCATCTCAGCTGATGAGCCCTAAAAGCATCACACACGTTTCGACCTGTCCTTCGGATCTGCTGTCGCAACCGCATCAACTTCCCCTGCTGGTTTTATCGGACATGCACCAATTTGTGGCTACTGGACTCGCGAAACGCCGAATATCCCATTCGCTGAGGCACTTGGCCCACAAGCTCGTCTTCTACGCCGCACATGTGATCACGATGCCAACACCCATCCTCAGAGGCCTGGCACACGAACTCAAGCAAAAGAGTACGGCTTTTCGAGCCGATTCTAAGGCACAGAAACAGTTGAAGGCTGCGCTGGCTGTCACTAGTAGAGGACCACAACAGTCTAATGGCATCGAGGACCTCAATGGTGATTGAGCCATGTATGATGTATGTAACCCTAACCACCCGTCGTTGTCGTCGCTCCAGTGCCAATACAGTGGCAAGGGTTACAATGAATCGTGTAACTTGTCAAAACACGTGAGATATCCTTCATTCGTGTACAAGTCCCCAAGCTGATACGGTACTCTCCCTAAAGCTCCGCGTGTACACTGGTGGCAACACCTACAAATGCACTGAACTCGGTTTTGGAAATTCGTTTGCTTCCCTGACCATTGAGCCGACATATGGGCATTCACCGGAAAAACGCAGAAGTTGCGCGGGTCATTCGTACCCAATGGAGACCCTTCTTCAACAAGACTCGGAGTCAAGTGTCCCTTTCGTTTGTGAAGAAACTGTAATGCAATGTACAATAGCTGGTATGTAGTCACAATTCAGACCCTTAGGGTGCCGCGCCTCTGGATGGTTGGCCAGTTGGGACCGCGCGTGGATTTCCTGATTTGGTGTTTCGGAGGTATTGGATCATGGATGGAGTACCTCCTCGGTCATGGCGACTGGGCAAAGGATCCATCATAAAACCGCTGACCTCTGTTCACCCTTTTTCCAGGAGTTCTTCCCCTTCTTTTCCCGGTCGATACCTCTGAGCTCCGCTTCTTCCCTTCACCGTCGTCTTCTCCAGCCTCGGCCTCGACTCGAAAAAAAATGACTCTCGTTCGCCATTTTGCTCGACATGCCGGAGCCGTCGTCTGCGACGCCGCTGGCCACATCCTCCACGACGACCACGACCACGACCATGACCACGACCACGACCATGACCATGACCACGGCCATGGTGTGAATGACCTCATGGGCTTGCGCATCGCCGCTGTCTTCATCATTCTTGTCGGTTCGACTATCGGTGCCCTCTTCCCCATCCTCGCCCGTCGCACCAGGTGGCTCCGAGTACCCAAAAGCGTGTTCGAGTGCGCATCTACTCTCCTTATTTCCAGCGGGTTTCTCTGATTGCTCTCTGACACACAGCTTCGCAAAGTACTTTGGCTCGGGTATCATCGTGCGTTTCTCGCTTGTCCCCCCTTTTGACCTTTGCTAATGGCTTTATTTTAGATCGCCACCGCCTTCATCCATCTCCTTGCACCAGCACTTGGGAGCCTGGGATCCAATTGCCTATCGGAAGGATGGCATGTCTATGTACGTGGTTTGATCGTCATCTATCCTCGTGCCCTAGTCCTCATGTCCTTCCTAGCCGTACGCCCTGGCGATCTGCATGCTCAGCATTTTCTGCCTCTTCGTCACTGAGCTCATTGCCTTCCGATGGGGCACCGCCAAACTAGCACGCCTTGGCAAGGCACATGGTAAGGACCATTCCACCTTTCATATATCCAGTATCTATCACTCGTTCCTTAATGTCGTTGCTCGGGTCACTGACCGCTTATGTATTTTAGACACCCATGGACACGGCGTTGGAGCACACTCTGCTCACGGACCTGAGCCTGTCGTTGAAGAAAAGCCCGAGCTCAAGAAAGAGGGCAGCACCAGCGACCTTGAAACGGCAGACTCCCATGGCATCAAGGCCGACCAGAGCCCTCTTGCCCAAATCATCGGTGTTGGCATCCTCGAGTTTGGTGTTGTCTTGCATAGGTTCGCTTCCATCCGGATCTCTTGTTCAACTGTCGTTAATATTTTCTTGCCTAGTGTCTTGATTGGTCTCACTCTTGCCGTCGCGGAAGAGTTCAAAATCTTGTTCATTGTCATCCTATTCCACCGTGCGTCCGTTCTTCGATCACTACACAACAATCCCTCATTTCATTCTTAGAAACATTCGAGGGTCTCGGTATCGGCGCCCGCCTCGCCTACATGGAATTGGGACAAAAATACCGATGGGTTCCCTATGCCGGCGCTATCTTGTATGGGTTCACCACCCCTATTGGTATTGCTGCTGGTTTGGGTGCTCGGGCCACCTATGATCCCACAAGCGTGACTTCCATTATCGTTAACGGCGTCATGTACTCTGTTAGCGCGGGTATTCTGCTTTACACCGGCTTGGTAGAAGTGAGTTATTTCCCCACATTCTTGAAGCTTCTTTTCCTGATCGTGATACCCCCACCTAGCTTCTGGCACACGACTTCTTGTTCAGCAAGGAGATGATGACAGCATCGAACACCAAACTCGCTTCTGCGCTCGGTGCGATGGCCTTGGGTGCTGGTCTCATGGCTCTTCTTGGCAGATGGGCTTGAGCACTTCCAGCATCGTCTATTTATTTGCTACACATCTCCTATCACGTTCCGGATACCATTCGGTGACACCGACAGGACATGGCTGCTTCGCGACAAACATCTTTGTCCCGACAATGGTCCTTGTGCTCCTGCGGTGATCTCGAATTGGCGAACTTCGATGGTTCGCAAGGACTTGTGGTTCGCGGCTGCAACTCCAAGTAGCATGGACACGCCTTGACACGATTTTCCTCGCCTCCACCGACCATCATCCGAGATGGTTGGCTGGGCATTGACCTTCTGTAAACTTGTGGCCAAACGGTCATGTTCGGCCACGTCGGTAGTAGTAGTTCGCAGCAAGTAGTACATATGACATGCCTTCTATGCCCCAGCTTCTTGTATACTAGTTTTCACGGACCGAAAGGACATAGACATGCGCACTAGACCTTTGTAAATCAAAACACTATCAGTTCAGATAGCTTCTTTGTTACCCCTTGCCTTCTTCCTTGGAATTGCTCTGTCGTACCTTGGGAGTTTCCCCTTTGAAGAGGGCTTGGCATGTCCGACTCGTTCGATACACTCGGACGTTTAATCCGCATACCCTCCTGCACTTCATCTTTCAAGTTTCAAGATGTCACTTTTCAGGGGTCAGTTCATCGATAAACGCCGCATCTAAATTGATCAGTGTTTTGGTAACAGGAAAGTTGCGAACTTGCCGGCAACAGCGCTCCAGGAAATATGGTCATATATGGAAACGAGGACCTGGGCGCTTATCGCCTTGCGACGGACGAAAGGACTGGGCGTGTGCACACCAAGAAACATTTGAAGCCTAAGGCGAGCCATATCATCCCTACCACGGAAAGTCGCACTGGTAAGCCTTCAAGAACCGTGGATTAGGCTACAGCTTGTTCCTGTGAATTTCGTTGGTAACGATCCGAGGAGAGAAGAGTCTCTCAATAGCCATCCTTCATACTCCGGCAACAATATAATGAACTCACGACGATGGCGAGTTTGACTGTTAGGGTACATGTCAGCGATGACAGGTTGTGTGACGAACGATTCAAGGTTCCATGGACTCGTCGATCGCGATCTCGACAACTGTGACTGGCCTCCAAGCCCCGATGGCTGCGGCGGGCAAAAACCCGTCAGCCGGCAGTACTCCCAAATGTCGCGACAATGCCCGCTCTCGCTACTTCTGCACGTGGGGGACCTTTAATTGCAACCAGCGGCATCATGAGGCGGGTGGGTCGACGGTCACCGGGGACCTTTCAACTCATGTACGTTTTGAGGACATGTTCATTGCTGAATATAAAGTCATGTGAAGTATGAAGGCCATTCGGGCGCCATGGGGGACCAGTGACAGAGTAAGCGCCGGGTAAGCGCCCGAGCCCTCGGCCTGACGGTCGCTATAGTACGCTGCGACGGTGTTTTGAGTCTCCAAAGAGACCTTGGGCAATGGAGACTTCAGGTAATAAAGCAATCAGAGTGCAGTTCCCTATTAAACTGGCGAAGCTAGCGATCTGACTCGTATAGGTCTTCGTGATCGCCAGCGACCTTCGATCGGGAAAGCTCACTTTCGGGCACCCAGTACCCGAGCTGCTGGCCAACCGTCGCCGCAAAGTAAGAAAATATCGCTGCGAGGGTTAACCACAGCCTAACCAACGGCGCCAATGGCGGGATCAAAAGATTCATAAAGTCCTTAAGAGTCTCGTCTTTAATTTTCCTCTGCTAGAGCAGTCTTTGTTTAACCACGTACCGCGGTGTGATAGAAATCCTCCTGTCGCTGGATGTAGTAGAGATTGTTGACTTTTCGGAGTTCTACCCGCGAAACTAGCCTGATTGGTGTATACGGGAACGAGTCAGGCGTTGGGCACTGTGGATGCTGGGCTAGTGACATACCGTGCGGGTGCAGCTTGAACGGGTAGGAAGAATAGTCTAAACCATTGAGTCATATCGAGGTACAGTAGTTGTTGGGATGAGTCGAAGACTTGAAGAGATCCGTCAAAAAATACTTGGGGCGGCAGGCAGGTCAGCTCACCTACGCCGTTGACTTTCAGGGACACCCTCGGGGACAACATGCGGTACCACCTGCGCAGTCGCAACGTCAGCTCGCTTCAACGGATCCGGATGAGAAGCAAACTCACTGGTAGACCTTCAGGACAATGTCCCTCGAATTTGGCCCCGAATCCACACAACACACTGGATGCCTGAATGCGACATCCTGCGTCATATAGGTTTCCACTGCTCTCTTCTGCACCTCTGGGGACTGGCCAGTTGTCAAGTCGAGAACGACGCGTTCTATGTCGGTTTCCGGGTTTTCCATGGTTTATCCTTTGTCTTGGAAATAGTGAGAAGAAGATATTTGCCTCGTTCCCAGCTGCGTAATGCTTTGTACTTGGAGGGGTTGGTCGAGGCAGCTGCAGGCCGCACGGATGACATCAACCTCGTTTCGGCAGACCGGACATATCGGTCCGCGTTTTCCCACGAGGTTCAGAAATTCGTTTCGCCATCAGAGTTTTGGTCGTCTCTGTCCTCAAGTTTCCCCAGTTTCTCCAGCGACCATGCCGAGTGCCAGATTTGCACCGTCTACAATAAGGAACAAGATTAAAAGGGAGGAGATTGTTAGGAAGAACAAAAAGGCCAAAACTCAGGACAAGCTCAAGCGACGGTTGGAACTCGCAAAACAAGAGGCTAATGATCCTCTCGCTAAAAAGGTTTGCTTGACTGGTGTCTCTGCTCTAATAGTTTCTAATTCGTGATGGTGTTTTTGATAGAAACGACTTGCTGAAAATGTGCCCCGTACTTTGGACAACACTCGAGAATTCGACCCTTCGATCTTAACCGCGGACCCAACGCAACCAGAGGCTTCAGGCTCTGGAAATGGCGAATCGAGCACTGCACACGAGGAGCGGGCAGCAGATATCGCAACAGACCCATTTGCATCCTATTTCAATTCCATTGACGACCCCAGTATACCCCCGAAGATCTTGATTACGACTTCACCAAAAGCTTCGAAGGCCACATACAATTTCTGTGATGAACTTGTGGGAGTGTTCCCTGGAGCAGAGTTCAGACAAAGAAAGAAAGGGAAAGGCTTCGAAATGGGAAGGATAGCAGGCTGGTGTGCGGATAGAGGTTATAAGCATCTTCTCGTTGTTAATGAGGATATGAAGAAACCAAGCAAGTTACATCTTTTTGCAGTCCATTCCAATTCTCACCTGCCCCTTTTTTACAGATGCGATTACCCTCGTTCACCTGCCCGATGGACCAACAGCCTACTTCAAGCTCACTTCAGTTGAGCTCACGAAACAAATCTATGTACGTTGACCTGGTCGAAATGTAACCACGATTTACTGAACTCGAATCTAGGGCCACGCTCGCGCAACGCCTCACCACCCAGAGCTTGTCCTCAACGGCTTTGTGACGCGACTTGGTCATGCCGTTGGTCGAATGTTCCAAACTGCCTTCCCTCCTTTGCCCGAATTCCAAGGTCGCCAAGTCGTGACTCTCCACAATCAGCGCGACTTTATCTTCTTCCGCCGACATCGATATGCTTTCCGTTCGCCAGAAAAAGTCGCCCTTCAAGAAATCGGACCTCGCTTCACACTGAAGCTTCGCTCACTCAAGAAGGGCATTCCCGCTGTGTACAACCTTGGTGAAGCACCGGCACCATTGACTTTGGATAACGACGACGACGATCCCGTCGGAGAAGTGCAGCCTGAGCAAAAGCAGGACGGTGACCAAGACCAGGAAATGGCTGAGGCGGCCCCTGACGAGGCATCGTCGAGTTCGAAGAAGAAAGGAAAGACTGTGCCTCCCAAGCAAAACGAGGTGCTTTGGCAATGGAAGGTAAGCACCATGTTGATTACATTGAAAAATACAGATTGACTTCATTACCTACAGCCTGAACTGGAGACTACTCGCCGGACGTTCTTCCTGTGAGCTGTCCTGCCTTGGCCCTTTTTCCCCTTGTGGTCTCGAAGACCACAAATGTCCAATGTCCTGTATGTATCGAGTACTACGACTTCCAGGTGGCGCAGTTACCAGATGAAGATCTGCCGGGAACATCTGCGCAGCACGTTTTCGATAACAGTGTGGATGTCGTCGCGAGCAACCGAAGAGTTGACTGAAAGTGCGAACTGTCCTGGATATCGTCTGAACACCACCTCAGACGTCGATGCTCCCTCCAGGAGCTTCATCCAGGTTGAACCTCGTCTAGGGTGTGACTGGTTGACTGAGGAAAACAATTACAAAGTGACAGTGTATCGGGGAGGAATGAGACGAACCTGAGTGATCAGATTCAGTGGGGGTTAAGCGTCGTCCCCGAATGAAAGCAGCGATTTCTGTTCCTTCTTGGCCTTCTTTTTCTTCTTTCCTTCAGCCTTACCTGTACCACTGTCTTTGTCGTCGTCCAGCGGAGTGATGGCCTTTCGTTTGGTGGGTTTGTTGCCGAAAGAGACGGAAGACTTGGAACTTGGGCCCGATGAAAACGAAAGTCCCTTGGTTGTTGACTTTGGTGTCGAAGCAGATGCATCGTTCGATTTCGCTGCTTTCGACGAATCATCCGCGTCTTTAGTTTCAGGGTCTGGGAGGGGAGGCAGGCCTTTCTCTAAACGAAGCCCGGTTGTCACTTTGCAGTTCGAGAACTGACGATCTGTAAACTGACCTTTCCGCCGTATGTTCTCCGCTTCCCTCTCTGTAAGATGCTTCCCCTGCTTCAACACCACAACCTGAGGCTTCTCGTCGTCGTCGTCTTCATCTGCACTTCCAGGATCCTCTGCTGGTCGTTGGGGAATGGGTTCTCGAGGTCGTTTAGGTATGGGCTCGCGTCCGTTGCCAACGTATTCAAACTCTTCGTCATCCTCTTCTTCGTCATCTCGAATACCAGCCATTTTGTTCTGGAGCTTCAGCAGGAAGGCTGGGGTGTTTTGTTGGTATGTCAGTCTTGAAGAAAGCTGAGCTCGAGTTGGTTCTTTTGGTGGCATGGTTTTGCTTTTGACGCTGAACGTCGGGGGTCGTGTCGTGGTATTGGTTCAAGGCTTATGGCAGTGACGGGAATTTGATGGCCTGGCTGACTGTGACAGAAACGGAAACATCAATCGGGCGTTCTAAAAATATCCAGCGACCAAACTTTTCAGCGATCCTTCATTTCAAACGATGAGTTCCAAGGTTCTACCTAAGAAGAATGAAGAGTACAGTTCCAAAGAATACTGGTATGTCAATATTTTTGTGGTGATACATGCCTGAGCCTCACCTCTGCTTCCAGGAACCAGAGATATGCCCAGTGAGATCTCGTCCGGCTTCCTCGACTAAAATCTCCTCTAATAACAGCATCATGATCCTATTCTCTGGACTCTAAAGGGAGGAAGAAGAAAGCAGCTTCGACTGGTTTAAAACATATGCCGATATTGTCGATATCATCCACGAGCTGATCCCTGAAAAATCCTCGAGGATCTTGATGTTGGGATGTGGAAACTCGAAGCTCTCGGAAGAGGTCAGTGTTTCCTGTGCAATGACTTTGCTAAGACGGGGTTCATTACTCTTCAAGCAATGTTTTCTCATGGCAGATGTACGATGACGGATACGAGAATATTGTCAACACCGACGTAGGTACGGTTCAATGTTTCGAAAGGGGAGATTCTGAGTCACTTCGTGCAGTACTCCGATGTTCTCATTGAACAAATGCGGACGAGGCATTCAGAAACGAGACCAAAAATGGAATGTAGGTGGCCTCTCCTTTTGCTTCTCTCATTCTGCTCAAGCTTATCCGACTAGGGCACGAGATGGATGTCCGAGACCTGAAGTTTGAAGACGGAAGCTTCGATGTCGCCATCGACAAAGGTGAACAAGCTGCATCCCGTACAATTGCTCCTCCCACTGAACGGTCCATGACTCGAAAGGAACCATGGATAGTATGATGACCGCTAAAGGAGATGTTTGGGTACGTTCGACGTCAGTTGTCTCTACGTTAGACTGGCTAAACTGGCCCAATGAAGGATCCACCGCAGAAGGTCATTGACGATTGTACGAAGGAAGCGAAGGAGGCGCTGCGGTGAGTTCGCTTGTGATGTGCCAGATGGGGAGCTGACCAGCCGCAGAGTATTGCGAAAGGGAGGGACTTTCATCTACCTTACCTTTGGTCAACCACATTTCCGCCAGCGCTACTTGATCCACGAGAATACCACTCTCGAAGTTCGGGCGTTGGGCGAAGCTTTCCACTATTACCTCTATATCGTCCGCAAGCAATCTTAGAGAAGGATGAAATAAGGAGAGGGGGGAAGGGGGCGACCAAACGACCGAATGCATTGGCAATTAGAACAAAAATTTGACGTTCTTGTAGAAATCTAGCATAGGATTTTCCCCGTTTTGTAACTTTGTCTTGCTGAGATCGGCATACGTCTCCATAAACTCCGCATGGGTAAAGACGTTGGATTTGCGTTCGCCGACGGGGAGGCCACTTGAGGAGGGCATTCCTGCTACAGGCGTTCTTCTGTCCGCTGGGTAGCGTGAGGAAAAGAAGCCTGCGCCCAGTGATGATTGTGAGCTTGTTCCGAGCAGTGGATTCGGTCGAGCCTCGTTCGAGATGTTGGTCGGGTGGTTGGGATTTGAGAGGATGTGTTCGTACATGTCTCTTAGGCGCTCGAAATCCGTTGGGAAGAAAATATCGAAGTACCCCTGCTTCACGAGGAGAGTGCTACAAGGGATAGTCGTGTTTCTGAAGCGTGTTTGCACCACAGGGGCGTTGATGCCAGGAATGCTGTCTGGTAAAGAGGAGAAGTCGGATAATAGCAGTCTGTGACGAGGGAAGTGATTTCGGAGGGTTTGCATCAAGCTGAGAAGACGTGTTGGGATGTACTCTTCCTTGGAGAGATTAGCGGCGAAAGGAAGGCCTCTGTACATCTTTCTGAGGAATGGGGAGTATCGGAGGAGTTTATTAACTGGGGGTTGATGTCGCAGTTTGTTTCGAATCCCTAGCATTGACGAGATTAAGGGGTCCGTGACAGGAGTGTAAACGATGTCGAAATCGTTTTGTTCGGAGATCGTAACCATACCCTGGAGGGGCTGCATGGTGTCTAGATCGTATCGAAGGATGTCATGCGCAAAGTTGTCCTGCAAAAGATAAGCTTGGGTTCGGACGGAAATGGCCCAGAATGTACTTACCACGACTTCCATAGCAATGAAATAGCAGGGAGACGGCTCTCGCTTGTTCCAGTGGAAGACACTCTGGTGGGTAATCTTCACACAAGGATGGGCGCTGCGTAGCTTCTTCTTCTGGAGCTGCACAAGGCTACCGCTAATTTCGATAATGTTGTATCGCGTGCGTTCGTACACCATTGGGTGAGCTTCTTGAAGGTAGTTGAGGATGTCCATTGCCAAGGTACCGTTCCCAGCTCCTATCTCATAGATGACAAAATCCTCGTAGGGGAAGTACTTGAGCAGGTACTCCGAGACAACACATTGTGCGATGGCTTGACCGTACCAGGGCTAAAACTGTCAATTGGCGCATTTGAGGAACGTGGTGGCAGTCATCTCACCTTGAACAGCTCAGTTGGTGTATGCCATAACTGTCGGCCAGGTCCTTCATATGAATCTGAGCCATAGCCAGCATACTTTTTTGCCACTTCTTCCTGAAACTCGATCGAGTCGCGGAGTGAAGGAAAGTCGAAGGAATGCGAATCATGGGCGAAGATGGTTGCTTGTTTCGGGAAATAGCCATAGTTTGGATTGTAGAGGGAGTCTTCGATAAAATCTCGGACAAGCATCTTCACCCCGGTGGGAGGGGTCGTCTCTTTCTCTAAGTCATTGGCAGTGACTAACCGAAGCTTGGAGACATCCACCGGAGTTGTCAGTAGAGGACTGACGTTGTAGTTCCATTTATCTGTCGGTTCATCGGGAGGCTCCCGCCTCTTCTTCTTCGGTTTCTCGAGGGGAGTCTGTTTCCCTGGGACTGTGGAATAGAACCGCGAGACAGCGGTCCTAGGACAGACAACGGCGAGGACGCATCGAGAGACCTGGGTCGGACCAAGTCTCGATAAGATCATGAGCCTCCAGCCAGTACCTCGTTGTTGTGACGCGAAGATACGCGAAATTCGATGCGAGGGGCCGTTGTCGACGACTGAAAACGAGCTTGACGCTGTCCAAGCCACCGAGGTCACTGTCCGTGACAGCAGGGAGACGCGTGGGAATACAGAATGCAGGGGCTTGGCGTTGCGAAATCCCGAGAGCGGCCCATCGTTGTAATCTTATCTCTTCCAAAGTTCCACTACATTCGTCGACGATGGAATCCACTGAACGCCTGGTACGGACATGGATGGCAACGAGTAGGGATGAAGAAGTCGCCCAGCTCGTTGAAGGTATGCTGCGGTGAAGTACATTTACCGTCGTCGGTTATATTGATGATATCATTAGATATTACGGCGGGGAAGACCTCGCTGCTGAATGTGGTCAAGGTGTCTGGCGAATATCTGACATCCGAAGAGAACCAGATACGCTCAAAGGGTACGTTCTATGTTTCAGAATGGTTCTATAATAACCGACACCAACGTCAGGAATCGAATTGTTGTCCTCGATATTGGAACGCCTTCCACCTACCACCTTGAATCGGCCAACCAGTAGGGATTTTGCATTCTCATCATGAATTCCGCGAAATCGACCGGTATCTTCAGCTCGTACTTTGGTCAACTTCTACTGTGATAAGCTCGACGACCCGGATACAATCATCCCCGCGTTGCAAGGCCTGCATACATTGGTCGGCCTTCCCAACTTTGGCGGAATTGAGGCGACTACGACTATTGAAGCGTAGGCCTCGACCTCACTTCCTATCTCGAAGTTGGACTGACTGACCTCGCCAGACTGATTCAACGCGTTAAAACCAAGGCATTGACACAATCACATCGATTCAAAGTCTATTCCATCGTAGACTCCCTACTAGCTAATCACAGAGAATGTGAGTTGCGAGTCTTCAGGATTAGGAAATGGCATTCAAAACTGACTTTCACTAGGCTTGAAATCACTCGGACTCAAGTTCTTGGATGGATATGTCTCCTTGGTGGAAGGGGAGAAGGATCCCCGGAACCTCTTGGTCGTTTTTGCCATGGACAGAGTTATCTTGATCGAGTTTGACATATCTGAGCGGGTACAAGTGAGTACAACATCTCATTGGATATCTATTGTACCTGACCCGCGCGGAGACATTCTACGACATTGTATTTTGTTATTTCCCAATCTCCTTCCGCCCACCTCCCAACAATCCAGGAGGCATCACCGCAGATGACCTGCGAACAGCACTTAGGTTCGTTGCAGCATCGCGTCGTGGGGATGGTCTTCTCACCTTCGTATCAGGAAGTGTGTCTACGCTACCCCGTTGTTCGGAACCCTTGCTATACCTCACTTCCTCGAAAACCTAGTCTCAGGAAGTCGCGTCGCAAAGGTGAGTTGCGCCGTCACTTTTCCGCCCTCCGGATCTTTACACCGTGTAGAGGGATACATTGGAAACTTTGACAGCATGTCTTCCTGTCTACGGCCCTGGCGTGGCCCGGAACTTTTCCCGGAAGCTCTGGAACTCACTCAAGCTTGAGGTACGATGTTATGAGTTGGAGCCGGGAAAAGCGCCTTAATCGTCCCCTTTTTTAGGTATTCCAGCCGGTTGACCAGGCCACCGAACGAGAGGCGTTGGTTTCCCTTCAAACTCTAATCAAAACCATTTATGGCACGGACGCAAGTGACGCCATGGACCAAGATATACAGGGTCTTGCTCGCGATGCCTGCGAGGAATGCATTCAGATCTTGCGCGAACCTGAGAAAAGTCAGGCGAAACCCGCTACCAAAGTGCTTTGCTCATTCATAACTACTACCCGTATGTCGTTTGGACTCTGACGTCGAGACCATTTATCTTATTCACTTCTCTCTAGCCTCCGTTTCTCGATACACGGTATCGCAAGCGGTTCCACATCTAACGAAGCTCTTTATCAACCCGGATGAAGTGACAAGCCGACCAGCCACGCTCATTTTGTTGGCAGAGTTCATAGAAGCTGCTCGCGACTCTCCCATCGACACTGGCGGAATACTCTTGGCACCATACAAGGATGAAGTGCTTGGAGCCCTGTCCTCGGGCCTTAAGACACACAAACTGCGTCTTCCTGCACTGGCTGGTCTCAAAGGCCTAGTAACGACAGAGAAACTGCTCACCCACGAAGAAATTGGATTCACTGTCCACAACATCAACGAGATCATTCAGGACCATCCTGATCAGTTTGATGATATTAGCGAAGGGGTTTTGGAGCTTCTGTCATCTATATCCGAGGTTGCACCCTCGCATATCGTGGATCAGACCTTGCCACTGCTGTTCAGCTCCCTATCTGATTCCGCCCCTGCGAGAGACGCAGTAGAAGAGCGAGCGAAATGTTGGAAGATCCTTTCCTATCTCGAGGCTCTTTGCACACCACCTTCGCTTTTCGAAACGCTCGTCATCCGGTTAACTACTAAACTAGAACTTCTCTGCTCACCCTCCAACCAACCAGAAGACAGTGAGCCCACAGCCGCCTACGCCCATGTGATCCTCAAAACCCTGGCCAACACTTTAGCCAAGAAGGTTGTGAAAGCAAACCCAGACGTCCCGAAATACTTAGATCGACTGGTTTCTCGGATTTTCAACTTGTTCATCTATACCGCTCTGGAGTCACACGAGGACAAGCCATCGGTCACGACTGACCACCGGCTAATCGAGGTCGCTGCCGAAGTCATTACGCTGGTGGTCAGGACTTTGCCGCAACAGTACGTATCACTCTACTGAGTTGTCAAGGTTGATAACCAAGTTTGATACTAGACGCCAGGAAACATACCTCCAGTCTGTATTCCAGACTATCATCTCGGGCAACGTAGCACCTATCAGCGAGGGTCATTTCAAGATTCCATCGGATGTGTCGGTACAGCTCTTCCAGGTGAGCGAAATTCTTATTGGTTATGAACGAAGTCTACATGTTGGATCGCCAGTCGGAGACGTCTACTCCAATCAGAAATCTTATCGCCTTGTTCACTGCGGCAATAATTCCAATGTACAAAGACGTAAGTTTTCTGCACATGGTACCCTTCCCATAGGATTGACAGCACTATAGGTCGATCTCGGGATCCCGGATCTGGCCAAGTTCCTAAGGGATACCCTTCACTGGACGTTCAGCACTGCTGACACCGATATACAACGCACGGCAGTACTCCACCTTGTTTCAGTGTTGGCCAATCGAAAGGCGTCCGGTAAGACTCTGTGGATTTGTTGTTCCCTGCAATGGCTCATGTTTTCATTGAAAGAACTGTCATCGTTCCTTCAGTCACTGCTGGGTACATTCTGGACAGAACGAATCCTAAATTCGTCGCAGGACGGGGCCAGCAGAAAGCGAGCTCTCTTGGTTTGGGCATGGGTGAGTGCGGGTCCGGATGCGGTCGGTCCATTTGTCTAAAGATTTGCAGGTATCCAAGGCGTTATTGGTCCAAAATCATACACTAGCGTTCCAGTTCTCTGAGAAACTGTTCGAAGTCTTTGGGGACAGTAGTATCAACTGGGATGCAGCCAAGGCGATAGGAATCATCCCTGGACATGATGATGTTCTGACCAAACCAAATCATGCAGTGCTCAGGGTACGAGTCGTTGCCTCTGTCGACGGCCAGTAAGGTACTAACGCTGTTTGATAGATCCTCTATGCCCAAAAGTATGTCAACCGGATGCTACCTTCGACGATCGCAGGAGCAAAGGATACGAGCGGTGAGTTTGGAGCATATCATCTTGACTGAAATTAACGTCTGGTTTAGATCCTACGAGGCAGCTGGCCTACTTGGTGGCCCTATCCTCGCTGATCAAGTCGACTCCTAAGGCTACTTACTCCAGCGAACTTCCTACAGTGGGTTGCTTCTCGCATCGCAACCTGCCCATTGCTCACCCCTATTCGCAGCTCATTCCACTTCTGGTTCGAGGTCTCGAGTTGCCTGACCCAGAGATTCGCAACAATGTCATTGAAACTTTCCTGGCTGCGGCTGAGGGAGATAGTTCAGACAAGAGCCTCGTATCCGAACACGCGTCGACCTTAATTAACGCCATGCTGAAGAACTGCCTCGTCTCTGAGATGCCATCGCCCAAAGTCCGGATATCCGCACTAAAGTACCTTGGGCGGCTACCAGGGATTGTGCGGTCTGACGTCCTGAATCGGTACAAAGCAGAAGTTATCAGAGAGCTGGGCAAGGTGCTTGATGATCCCAAACGATCCGTGAGGAAGCAAGCTGTGGACGCTCGGACACACTGGTAAGTTTCATGTCATTTATTTCATTTCTAGAATAATAATAATACGAGCGCAAAACGATTTCCAGGTTCAAATACAGTGGCTAATAAACAAGGTGATGGGTGGGATGAGATTGAGTTAATTGGGGGAGATAAAAGGGTATGTCAGAGATCCATCTAGAAGATTGTATGCTACGGGTGGCACTCGAAACATTTGTACAATACACAGGGGCTACATAGACTGGAGAGCAGGACTGGTGTGGCAAAGGATGTGTGGAGGACAACAATGGAGGGTGAATAGAGGAAATTGAAATATCATAGGTAGCATCAGTTCATGCCGAGCGAGCCATAATAGCTTGAGTCTTGAGCGCTGCTTCTACTAAGGCTTGTTCGAAAGCCTGCAGGTGTTCTTGGACGATCTTCCTTCCGTCTATACGTTTCGAGGGTCGTGAAGGGGACAACAGAACTGACTTGTTCTCGTCTGTTTCGGAGATGCCGGCCTCCCATCTCTCGATCCTGGCCTTGCTCTTCTCGGCGTTCTCCCACTCTGTCTTGAGATCTCCGAGTTTGTTCTTCAAGGAACGTATCTTGCGACCGGCGTCGGTGGTGGCAACGCCCGTGACCTGGGCGTGCTCTGATATCGAGGATAACGAGGATACGACTGTGGTTGTGACAGTACGGATATGTGATAAGTGGACGAGGACCTTGGCTGGCGTGACGGGGCCTGCGAGTTGAGGTGGAGGAGGGAAGGAGTCTTTAACGGGAGAGGTTGGCGGAGATGCATCATAATCCGGGTCGGCGTCTCCGAGATGGTTTCTATCTGGATCCAGCTCCCAGTCGTTGTAGGGGTTCGAAAGATTGTGTGCAGCTGGAGACGAAGGCTCTTCCTCGAGCGTATGGAGTTGTCGTGATTCCACACGCAAGGTCTGATTGAGGTTCGAGCTCGACGGTGGAGGATCTGTCAAGTCCTCGATTTGTTCGAGCTCATCCAGGTTGCCCAGAGCGTCCGCGCCGTTGACCTCTCCACTGATCTTCTTAAATTCTCTCTCGCAGTCGAACAATTGGCGAACCTGACCTTCCCTCTCCCTCGCCGTCTCGTTGATCCGCCGCACAATGTCAGATGCCAACCGTTCCAGCATGGGTTGCTGTGACGACGAGCCCCTGCCCGTGGCGGTGGGATCAGTGTCCAGTGTGCGCAGCTGGGTCAGGAACTTGTCTGCAAACTCGACGTTCTCGGACAAAACGATCATGGCGTCCTTCTCTGGTGTCCTCTGCCTTGTCCTCTGCCTTTTGATTGAAGGACTGTTGAAGACAGGGTCGAGATCATGCTGAGTATCTTCCTCCGTCGCGGCCATTGAGGAAATTTCATCTTCAAAAGAAGGGCCTTGGTGGTAGTCATTGTGGTGGTGGTGTGCCGCGAATTCGTCCGCAAATGAAGGGATATCAGAATTAAGTTGGTGCTGGTGTGCTCCGAACTGGACGTCGTGGTCTGCTTCAGAGATGTGTTCGCTGGGATGGGTTGACACTCCGTCTTCGTCTTCTTCGTCGATCCCTTCCGCCCCTTCGTCGAATTCTATCCCGAACTCTTCGGCCAAGAGCTTCGAGCCTGCTGTCGGCTCTGGCATAAGAGCCACAGCCAGTTCATGCGCCAGTGAATGGTGTCGGCCGTTGGGCGCGTCGTCACTGGTGCCATTGGCGAGGACGGGAGCACCGCGCAACGAAGCTGATGACTTGCGAGCGTTGACTGCCTTGACCGGGGACTTTTTGGAGGAAGCAGATAAAAAGTTTGAGCTTGAGAAAATGTCGTCTTGGGCAGAGTAGTTGGCCATTTTTTTGAGGAACTAGGATTGGGTGATAATAGGGGCCGGCAAGTAGAGAATCAAGCTCATCGCGGTGGCCTTGTCGACGCGCTTCGTCTTTATAAGCGGAGCCTTTAAAAGCACTGCCACTTGGGCCACAGCTAAAGGTACGACCAGGAAAACATGCAATAATATACTGTACAATGTGGAAGAGAAACTATAATACATGTGTCCAAATGCAGAACAAGATCAGCTCCGTACTGAGAATGTGTGGCTCGAGCCGCTAGCGGTACGAGTGGGTACTGTCAGGCCAATGTTCATGGCCGGCTGCAGTCCACCTCCGTTCCCCAATGCAGCAACGAACAAGTCTCGACATGTTCGTGCACGTTCCCTCCGTTGGACAAACCAGCTTCCAGCGTCACAGGGAACAGCCAATGGAACACCAACAAGTCCTCTATCGTGCGCCACTTTAACTGCCCTAACCAATTCGTCTACTTCTGCCTCCGAGTCCAAGTCATCCAGGTCCTCCGACATTCCATCTCCCAGCTCCTCTGCAAGTCGAACGGCAGCAGCAGCGGCTGCTGCAGCCTTCTTGCTAGCCTTCTTGGCGGCATTCGCAGCAGAGGATGCTTTCTTTGTGGCAGCAAGATCTAATCCAAGTGCAGCTGCAGCCTCTGCCTCCAAACGCTTCTTCTCTTGTTTCTCTCGCTCGCGCTTCTCCTTCTTCTCTGCTTTAGTTTCGCGTTTGACTGGTTCGACAAAGTTGGGGTTATGTGCACGTTGCCAATCCAGGAGAAGTTCGTCGTAGGGTTTGGATCGCCCCTGAACGCTTCGTTTCGCTCCCATGGAATGGGATTTGCATGTCAGAGATCGCGAGCAGGGAAGACCCTTGTCGTTGATGACACCACATTGATTGTCGTAGTCTGGAGGACCTTTGACTCGACCCTTGGCTTTTGTCGGCTTGAGTTTCTTCTTGGCTGGTAATGAAGGATCATCCGGCTCAACGGACGATTTACGTTTCTTCCCACCTAGATTTAGGATAAGTATCGAGTTTAGTGCGTTAGACGATCACCTACTTTCTGCATCAAACTTGCCCTTCAGGCCCTTGTGCTTTCCAGCACGAATGGTGGCGCAGAGGTCTATAAACGCGACGGCAAGGTTACTAACATCTCCAAACTCATGGGTGTCATAAACAACCTCTGTGTTCTGCGATACAGCTGGCCAACACCGGCTTATCGCATTCTTTACACTTGCTTACCCCAACCTCCGAGATATAGGTCATCGGTTGAGATCCATAGACCTTCATGTCGCGTGCAGAGAGCCATGCTGTGGGCGGTGGCTGGAGACTGGCGATCTCCTTGAGTGATATCGTCGGTGACGGTATATCCCATTTGAATGGCGAAGGAGGGTGACTTGGAGGTTTGAGCTTCAGGACCATGATGGACACTGAACAATGAAGACGAACAGCGCGTCAATGGGGTTCGAAGCGCCCCCGGTGTTGACGGGTGGTGCGGTTCGACCTTTGATGCCATCAATAGCCAAATAAACGCAAGCAGAGCTACAGCCGACTCGACTGTTGCAATTCTATTTCATTCTGAGCTTTTCGAGTCTACTTCTTCAGTAGTCTAATAATTCAGAAAAATGGTGAGTCACTGCTGAGATGAATCTTGTAGAGTACAGGAACTGATTTTGCCCTTAGGCAACCCCGACAGCGGGTGGTATTTGGGTATGCATCGCAGTGATATCCAAGGAGTGCTCATTGCTCACAAGACTCTAGACTGAACACCGCAATCCTGAAGGGAGAACTTACTGGTTCAACACGGGGACAAAGCAGAGTGTATGGGAGAAACCCGATGGTGAGTCATGTCTTCATCCCTGGCAAGCATGGTAATTTATTTCCTTAGAATTGCGAACGCCTTTCGAGGTCAGTGCAGCTACGCAGTTCCTCAGTTGACGACTAACACAGCGTACAGCGAGCGTTGAACCAAACGAAATGGAAAGAGTATTTCTCTGGTGGTCGAAAGTATTATTACAATGTGCGTGTGGTGCTGCATCGCCTGAGCGAGGGACTGACGATCCCGCAGACCGAGACGAAAGAATCCAAGTGGGATATGCCAGATGAGCTGCTCCTTCTACTCGAAAAGGTAGAAAAGGAAGGTCCCGCTGCAGCGTGAGTTTCCTTTTCTCCATCTACTGACAAGGGTCTGAAATCACTCTCGCAGCGTTCCCAAAGCTATCACCGGAACACCAGCCTCAATTGGATCACAAGGTGCACTCGTCCCTTCGGGAGGCGCTGACCCGTCCTTATCAACTTCCCAGCCCAACCAGCAAAATGGTAGCATCACGACGCCGACCAATGTCAACCCGCTCGCTGTAGGCGCTCACACAGGCGGCCTGCCACTCAACCCCAACAGTGTCGTGCCTGCGCGGCCTGTCCTCCCGGACGACCCTGTCATCCCCCACAATGGATTCATGACGCTCGAGGAGGGTGAGAAGGCGTTTACCCACTTGTTGAGGAAGGCCGGTGTGGATGCGAATTGGACGTGGGATCAGACCATGAGAGCGATTATTACTGACCCACTTTACAAGGCGCTTAATACGCTTGCTGAGAAGAAGGCTTGCTGGGAGAAGGTGTGTGCAACTCGTTTTTTTAGTGTGGAAGATTACTGATTGGGTGCACTAGTATGTGAATGGCTTGAAGCAAAAGGAACAAGAAGAGCGCGAGGCCAGGTTGGCCAAGTTGAGACCTGCGATTAGGAATATGCTCAAGGGCAATCCGAACGTGTTCCATTACACAACGTTTGGGACTGCGGATAAGCTTTTCGGGCAGCACCCGATTTGGCAACAGGCACGTATCGAATCTGAGAGAAGGCTTATTTTCGAGGAATACGTTCAGGAGCTGAAGAACAAGGAAGTGGTGAGTATAGGTCTTATCTTAGAAGCGCTCCGTGATACTGATAGATAGCGCAGCAAGAAATGCGTACAGCTCGAACTCGGGCGGTTGCCAAAGTTGTGTCACTGTTCAAGGAGCTCAATGTGGACGTCGTCACTCGATGGAGGGAGGCTCGCAAGAGGCTCGAGAACTCGGAAGAATGGGCTCGAGATCCAGAGTTGCGAAACCTTCCTACGCTCGATATCCTCCTGGCATTTGAAGATTACAGCCGTGTTACTGAACGTGAGTACGAGGAGCAGATGCGTCGTGCTGCTGTCGAGAAGACCAGGAAAGAACGCAAGGCAAGGGAAGCGTTTAAGGTGCGAAATTATCTATCTTTGCTAGTTACCACGGCAGACTTAATATCCCTCAAGGAACTGCTCCAAGAGCTTGTTACCCAGGGCAAGATCAAAGCTCGCTCCAAGTGGAAGGAAGTCTATCCCAACTTCCGCGAGGACGAGCGCTACCTCAACATGCTCGGCAACCCTGGCTCGAACCCCCTCGAACTCTTCTGGGACCTCGTCGATACTCTTGACCAAGAACTCGATGGAAAGATTGTCATTGTTGAGGAAGTGTTGAAGAAGCACAAGCCTGGACCTCCCGGTACTCTTGAACAGGGCGAAGAAACGAGCATGGTAGACAAGGAAGGGTTTACTGTTAAGCCTGAGACTACGAAGGAGGAGTTTTTGAAGGTTGTGAACGAGAATGCAAATGCCGCTGTCAGGGCCTTGCCAGAGGATGATCTTCATCTTATTTTCAAGACGGTAAGTCGCACTTTCCCCCAAGGTGGAGGGCATAGACTTACTTGGCAAGAGTAGCTTCATGAAGCTGCATTGAAGAAGCAGGCTGAAGAGAAGAGGAAGGCAGAGAGAAGGCTAAGGCATTTGCAAGATGACCTTCGGTATGCCATGAAGAAGCTACCAGAGCCTTTGGACATTAATCTTCCTTACGAAGAGGTGCGTTCACGCGCGTCTTACTAGTGATGTGGTGGTATTGACGGCACCCACAGATTGTCCCACTCATTGAGCATCTCCCTGAATACAAAGCCTTGGAGGACGAGGAAGCCCGTCGGGCTGCTTTTGCCAAGTATGTCAAAAGGCAAAAGGTGCAGTCAGTTCACTTTGATATTGGGAAAAGTGCTAATATCTTTGATAGGAAAAGTTGAGGGAGACCGCGTCGGAGGACGGGTCCACGACGAGCAGGAAGCGCAAGGAGCCTCATCGCGACTACCGAGACGACCGAGACAGGGAGAAGGACCGGGACAGGGATCGTGAGCGCGACCGGGACAGGGACCGCGAGAAGGACAGAGACCACCGTGATCGTGACAGGGATAGGGACCGCAGGTCTCGGCACCATCGCTACGATGATTACGACGCGGAGCCTCGTTCCTCAAGGGATCATCGAGACAAGAGCTACGACAAGGACCGTGACTACCGTTCGTCTCGACATCATCGTGATGATGACCGCAAGCGTGACAGGGAACGAGACCGCAGGGGTTCATATAGGGATTATGATGATGTGCGGGACGACAGGGACTACCGCGACGACAGAAGGGATTACGACGACAACATGAGTGATTCGCGCGCCGAGAAGGTCCGTGTTTCTTGACAAGAGTTCCAAGACTTGGATGACTAACCTTTTGCCTCGCAGCGACCGCGTTATGATGATCGTGACCGCACCGAACCCGAGGAAATGGACGTGGATAGGCGCGCCTCCGCCCGTGCGGAAACACCTGAGGAGGGAGAGATATAGTTTTTTACTTGTCTATGTTAATAGGTATTAGTCATTATACTATAGAATACACGAGTGGTTCAAAGTGAATGTGGTACTAGGACGATGAGCTGGCGGGTATCGACTGAGCGGCTGCGTCTGGCTCAGGGGTGATGATGATATTGCCTATCCGGAGCCTCGTGAAAGGATGCTTCCGCTTGATGGTCTTTTGGTAACCCTTTCGTCGCTTCTTTTTGAATTTAATTTCCATCGAACCCTTAGTGTGTTCAACGACTGTTGCCTCGACGTGGACCTTGGATGCAGGGATTGTAGGGTTTCCACGAAGCGTGTAGTCGCGTGAGCCGAGTTCGTGGATATGATCGAGTTTAACGACGTCGCCGACCTTGACGTCGCGAAGGTGTGGGACGGTAAGAAGGTCCCGGGGCGTCAGAATGTAGTTCTTGCCTACGAAATTGGCGACGACATATTGAGACGGTTGAGAACGAATGAGCTGAAGCGCGGCTGAAGTCGAGCTTGGTGTTTGGGGCGGAGTATGCAAACAGCGCGCAGCTTGACGCAGGGGTGCAGCTAGACAACCAAATATTAGCTGGAAACGGACCATAAGACCCTTGAAAACTCACCCCAGCGCGTGAGGGAAGCGAGGCTTGTCATTGTTCACGACAGCGAGCCCGAATTTTGGAGTTGTTTTGAAATTGTTGTCGGTTAGGCGGTGGGAAAATTTGATTTAAACTCCGCCTGAATCTTCCGAGTAACGCCGACTTACTTGAGCACAGAACCGAAAACTTCCCTGTCGAGTTCTTCATACCCTTTCCCTCATTTCCACTTCTCTCTACCCCATGCACCGAATTGCTCTTAGAAACTCGGCGCGCGCTCGCCTTCTGGCTGCGTCCTCAAAGGTACGCACCAGCCCTTCGTCGCCGTTCAACACAGCGAGCAACCCGGGTTCTAACGACAATATTCAACTTTAGACCACCTCAAACGTCCTCGCTCGTGGTTACGCCACCGCGAAGCCAGGTAAGCTCTTCTGTCGTTGCCAGCATCACTGCGAGCTCACTAGGTTGTCCTCCACTACCGTTTTCGCCGTCCCTCAACGTTCCGACACGTACCACGTCACGCCCAATAGCTGCTTCCGAAGTCTCCTCAATCTTGGAGTCCCGCATCTCAAGGAACTAACGTTGCTGGAAATGTCGAGGAAACTGGCCGCGTGTTGAGTACGTAGCGTCCTCCTTGCCACGTATCGCACTTGCTCAACGGTCTCCTACTAGGCGTCGGTGACGGTATCGGTCGTGTCTGGGGTTTGAGAAACGTCCAAGGTGCGTCGCCATCCCCAACGTTTCGTATCAACCCGGCTCAAGTCGCGTCCCTTTTTAGCCGAAGAGATGGTGGAATTCTCCTCTGGTGTTCGTGGCATGTGTCTGAACTTGGAAGCCGACAACGTTGGTGTCTCCATCTTCGGTAACGATCGTCTCATCAAGGAGGGCGACACCGTCAAGCGAACTGGCCAGATTGTCGACGTCCCTGTCGGCCCTGGCTTGCTCGGTCGTGTCGTCAACGCCCTCGGTGACCCCATCGACGGCAAGGGTCCCATTGAGGCTACGGAGCGTCGCCGTGCTTCGCTCAAGGCCCCCGGTATCTTGCCCCGTCGCTCGGTCAACCAGCCCATGATGACTGGTCTCAAGCCCATCGACGCCATGGTTCCCATTGGTCGTGGCCAGCGTGAGCTTATCATTGGTGACCGTCAGACCGGCAAGACCGCTGTCGCCATTGACACTATCCTCAACCAAAAGCGATGGAACGAGGGCAACGACGAGTCGAAGAAGCTTTACTGTGTCTACGTCGCCGTCGGCCAGAAGCGATCCACCGTCGCTCAGCTCGTCAAGACTTTGGAGGAGAACGACGCCATGAAGTACACCATCATCGTCGCCGCTACTGCCTCTGAGGCCGCTCCCCTCCAGTACCTCGCTCCTTTCTCTGGATGCGCTATGGGTGAATGGTTCCGTGACAACGGCAAGCATGGTATGTCTTGTAGCTGTTTATGACGTGGTTCCCTCTAACAATTGCCTGTAGCTTTGATTGTCTATGACGATCTTTCCAAGCAGGCTGTTGCCTACCGTCAAATGTCTCTCCTTCTCCGTCGTCCCCCCGGTCGTGAAGCCTATCCTGGTGATGTCTTCTACCTCCACTCTCGTCTCCTCGAGCGTGCTGCCAAGATGAGCGACAAGTTCGGTGGAGGATCCCTCACTGCCCTTCCCATCATTGAGACCCAGGGTGGTGATGTGTCCGCCTACATTCCCACCAACGTCATTTCCATTACCGACGGTCAGATCTTCTTGGAGGCCGAGCTCTTCTTCCGTGGTGTCCGACCCGCCATTAACGTCGGTCTCTCCGTGTCTCGTGTCGGCTCTGCTGCCCAGACGTGAGTGATTGTTGGCTCTCAGACCCACTATCTGCTAACTATGTTCCCAGCAAGATCATGAAGAAGTTTGCCGGTTCCTTGAAACTCTACCTCGCTCAGTACCGTGAAGTCGCTGCCTTCGCTCAGTTCGGTTCAGATCTCGATGCCTCCACCCGCTTCTTGCTCTCTCGTGGTGCTCGTCTCACCGAGTTGCTCAAGCAGGGTCAATACCAGCCTTTGGCCACCGAGGTCCAGGTGCCCATTATCTACGCCGGTGTCAACGGTCTCGTAAGTGTTTCTCGTGGCTCGTACTTGTCAACTCTGCTAAGTATGTCGTACAGCTTGACTCCATCCCCGTTGAGCAAATCACCCGCTGGGAAGCCGAGTTCCGTGACCACCTCACCTCCACCCAGCAGGCTCTCCTCGCTGAGATCTCCCAGGGTAACGTCAACCCTGAGCTCGAGGCTAAGATCAAGAAGGTCGTCGAGGACCACGTCTCTTCCTTCACCTCGTAAATCCCCCCACCCTCGTAGATTAGACGCCCTTTCCTGGTCATACGCTTGCCCGGGTCAAAATAAACCTAATTTCGCACTCTCTTTCTATCCATACCAATAGTTTTTGACCAATGGATTATTGGACTTTCTAATTCTCTTGACTGAACTCTGAGGATACATGGAACTAAGTAAGTATGAATGATGACGACACGACACGCCTCTGCGTTCCTATTATTCCCGATGAGCCAAGTATGAGAATCTAATGTTATCTTGGCAATGACAACCAATATCTGATCAAATACTGATTCCACTTTGCACTTTCCGTCCTTTTCCCGAACGTTTTATTGAGTGAGCATTTTACACTTCTACACTCTGTATCGTTGACACTTACTTCCCCCTTTCTAGTATAATGTCTGCCCCTAGTGCTGAGGAAATCGCAAAAGCAGCCAAGGCTGCGTTCGACCGATCCCAATTGGTCCCTTCGACCGAGCGAATTACTGCCCTTGAAGCCATTCACAAACAACTGCAAGCCCACAAGGACGAAATTCTTGCTGCCAATGTGGAGGATCTCAAGGTTTGTGCGATGAAGTGACTGGGAAAAGTCGTGCACTAAAGCTCGTATTTTAGGCTGCCCAAGAAGAAGTCAATGCAGGTCGGATGTCTGAATCCATGTTGAAGCGATTGGATTTGGGTCGAGGAGACAAGTGGGATTCCATGTTACAAGGTATCCTCGACGTTTCCGCCTTGCCAGATCCCACCGGTATTGTCAACTATGCCTCTGAACTCGACGATGGCCTCGAGCTTTACCGCGTCTCCTGCCCCATTGGCGTGCTTCTTGTTATCTTTGAGGCTCGGCCTGAAGTCGTTGTTAATATTGCCACTTTGGCTATCAAATCTGGTGAGCCTTGTCCCTTATATATGTTCCTGCATGGTTTACTGAACATATATCTTCATAGGAAACGCTGCGATCCTCAAGGGTGGCAAGGAATCCAACCGCACGACTGTCCTCCTGTCCAAAGCCATCTCCGCCGGTCTAGCCCAAACCGCCCTTCCCGAAACCTACATCCAGACCATCCAAACCCGCGCCGAGGTATCGTCCCTGTTGGCGATGGACAGATACATTGACTTGGTCATTCCCCGAGGAAGCAACAGCCTCGTTCGCAACATCCAGAACAATACGCGAATCCCTGTTATGGGGCACGCTGATGGATTGTGCTCTGTGTTCCTCGACGAGAGTGCAGATGTGGACAAGGCGGTTAGGATCGTTGTTGACTCCAAGGTATGCCCGAGAATGCTTGGCTTTATTCTTCGTCTTGGACGCTAACAAAGATCTGGGCGTAGACGGACTACCCTTCAGCATGCAATGCACTGGAGACTTTGATCCTTCATGAAGCTATCCTCTCGACTGTGTGGCCCAAGGTCGCCGAAGGTCTTTTCAATGCGGGTGTCAAGCTGTTGGTGGATGAGCCCAGTTTGGCTGCACTCAAGGCCTCGAACGTCACCATCCCCGAGTCTCAAATCGCCCCTGCAGACGATGAGGCTTACAACACCGAGCATCTCTCTTTGACTGCCGCCGTCAAGACCGTTCCCTCCGTCTCGGCTGCCATCGCATGGATAAACGAGCACTCATCCCATCACACCGATTCCATTGTCACTGAATCGGACGAAAACGCTACCACCTTCTGCAAGGGTGTAGACTCGGCTGGAACCTATGTCAACGCCAGCACTCGTTTCGCCGACGGCTTCAGATATGGATTTGGCACCGAAGTGGGTATCAGCACTGGTCGCATTCACGCACGAGGACCCGTCGGACTCGAGGGTCTCGTCACCTACAAGTACATGATGAAGAGCAAGGCAGACAAGGGACATATCGTGGGCGAGTTTGGATCGAATAAAAAGCAGTACAAGCATGCGAGGATAAACGCGACGTCAGTTCCGTTCTAAAAGTAGGGCGTGGAGGTCATAAAATCAAGTCGTTACTTCGGTAACCACGGACATGCTGCGGTCAGTGCTTGCGAGGTGGTCGTTATGTATGAATATCTATGTGTTGTAAGATAGCGGAAATTTAAAAGGAACAGTGTGTAGAAGAAGCGGGGAATCATGAAGCTGGGGTTTCCTCAAGGCGGGCCTTCTTTTCAGACGATGCCTCTTCTACCTCGGATTCCGCCTTGCGTTTGCCAGCCGCGCTGGTGTCTTCTGGATTCTTTTTCTTCTTCTTGACAATGGAAGTGAGGTCGTTGACCACTGTGGGGGCAGCCGAAGAGCTTGCTGCATTCAGTTCAGCATCCAAGGCTTTGGCAGCAAGCTCTGGAGCACTCGCTTGCTGGTCGTTGGGCGAACTCTTCAGTTCTTCGATCTGTAGAGAAAAGTGTCAATTATGATGGTCACGTCGATGTCATCTGGAACGAACCTTGAGTGCTAGATCGACCTTGAGCTCGTCCAGGTCCTTAATTTCATTCTCAATTTGAGTCTTGCTCATATTCTGAATGAGATCGTCGCGAACAAGCCGGGCAACCTGTTTGCCCTTTCCTTTCGGGTCTGGCTTCTCAGTAGGAGCGGGGGTAAATTGGCCTTGAAGGCCATTGCGGAGCTCAGCCAAACGGTGCTCGACGCTTTCCAGCGCCTTCTCCACATGGCCGATCGCATCGGCGAGACGACCAGAAGTCAAATCGAGGACCATACTAAGCTTGTAATGGGCTTCGGCAATTTGACGAGAAGAAGTGGGTAGGAGCTTGAGCTTGAGGTCGAGGCCAGACTGGTAGTCTGTGATAGCTTGGTCGAATTTCTCTGCAAAGGATGTTAATCAGTCGCTCTAATCCCGAAGATGCCTGTGCCACTCACCCGTCTCCAACGACACATCGCCCAACGCGATGAAAGTATCTGCCAACTTTAGACGAACCTCTTCGTCGTCCTCGTCTTTGAGCTGCTTCTCATAAATGGCCCTGGCAAGATCCAGGACTTCCCAAGCGGCATTGAAGTCGTCTTCGGGCTCGCCGTCATCGTCCCCTTCCTCATCACTCCCGTCGTCGTCTTCCGGCTGAGCGGAGAGGTCCACAACTGGATCATCTCCATCATCTCCATCTCCAGAGAATGAAAGGATCGGGCCGTTCTTAGATGATCCAGCTAGAGAGAGAGACGTGTCAGTTGGTCCTCATTCATGTTGGTGGCTACTCACCTTTGTGGCTTTCCTCCTCCGGTACCTCTGCAGGCTGCTCCTTGCCAAGCACCGAGCTCTGCGAGATGGCATTCTCCAATAATGCTCTCCCATACGAGAAATAAAGATCTGCTGTTTCGGGGGCGTCTTCACCCGCTTTTTTGGTCCTGAGAATTTCAAAAGACGCGTGTTAGTTGTTGGTTACATATGCTGAGGCATTGAGCATTCAAGAGCGCGGCAAAGGGCTGAAGAAGTGGGAGAAAAGTACAGGAAAGACGCGACTTACGCGATTTCAAGGGCTGTGGCATAGTGTTCGACTGCTTGTTCGTATTTCTTGAGGGCGAAAGCGCGTTTTGCTTGCTCCACAGCGAGCTCGACGGTCGTCTCTGGTGCGGCAGCGCCATTTGTGCCGTTCGTGGGCTTGGCTTCACTGTTGAGGCCTTGTTAGTTGTTTTCCTCATAATTTGAATCTTTCGCCTCACGATGACATTATTTAGAGGAATATGTGGTGTTGACGGTGTGAGGAGGTTGGAGGAAGAGGTCAAGAGAGTCGGCGGCTGCGATCTTCTAAAAACGGGGTGTTCGGAACCTTTACTCTTTGATGTGAACGTTGAACGTTGATGATCATGAGTGCATTCCTGCTTTGTACAAAGCACAAAAGACTATTGGGGGCATTTAACTACTGTCATCTTTTGGGAAATTGTATATGAATGCTTCGTGGTCGTGGCCTATTTGCATGCCTCCCCGCCACTCTTTTTCTACGACACCAGTTACTGTCCCGACGTCATCTCTGATAACTTCTACAGCGATCGTTGGGCCCCATATATTCCCCACCCGCTGCAGCTTCGGGCACACTTCTGCAATGATTCGAGCAGGGGATAAGAGTAGTTCATGAACCTTCCGCTTATATCCTGCCGCCCGCCATACGACGTCGTTTCTTTCGCGATGAAAAAGCCTCTCCATCTTCGGGAGTCCCGCCAACTGGGACGCTGCGTCAGCCTGTTTCATGAGCAGTCAATAGAACCTTAATCTCTGAGCATTATGCGGGACACATACGAGCTTTTGGAGCGGGACGTCCCCCGATAGGAAAGCAAGTTCTTCCAAGTTGGGAGCAGCGCGAGCAACAGAGCGCAAGTAGTCTTGATGCCATGGGCTGATCTTGACTTCTACGTCGTTCTCGTAGAATTGTCCGTCTTCTGATTCGCGCCACACGGCGCCTTTCAAGAGAACTGCTTGTTTATACGGCATGGGAGTTTGCGCAATTCCAAGGCTTTTGAGGTTGGGTAGAATGCCAGAGGAGATTTTGGCCCGTAGAAGGTATGGGACCTGGGAGTTGTACGACTCGTGGATATGGAGGGCTTGGAGTTGTGGGAGAACGTCTGAAAGAAGGAGGGCATCGTGGAAGTTACACTGTGGTACCATCAGCTGGATGGGGTGGGCGTATCGATATAGACCATACCTCGAGGTAGTTCAATCGCGGGAATATCACTCCGGAAGGAGGATCTGTCTCAAAGAACCATTGTCCTTTCTTGGTACTCCCGGGCCAGACGGTCAGTTGAGACAGGTTGCGATGCTTCCTCCAAAAGGCCATCACCGTGTGCTTGAGCTTAGCGTCTGGCCCAGGCGAGTCCCGTATATTCAACGACTCGAGGTTCGGAAGCGTTATGTCAAAAAACTGCGGGAGAGTGACCTCGCACAGTACTGAAACCAGATCGAGATGACGGAGGTGTATCGACGCAGCATCGACGCTCTTCAGAATATCGTCCCTACCCCGGGCAATATGGTTTAGGAACGCCTCATTCTCGCATTCGTAGACAATGCGACACAGATTCTTGCGATCCATGCGTGAGCGAAATTGCGAATAGGGAAGAGCACCGGTGCCCACCTGGGATATTCGAAGGTCTATGGACTGCATCGGATTGCCGTCCGATAAGTACAAGTTCGCCGAGCCCTTTAGCACGATAGCGCTCAAGTGCGGGCAATGCTTGTGAATATGGTCCCATAGCTTCGTATCAGTACAATAGTCCTCCACAGAGTCCGGTTTGTCTTCATCGTGAATGCTTAGCTCCAACGTACGCAGATTAGAGAGAGCGCCAGAGGTCACCAGGTCGCCGAGCACCTCGAAAATGACATGATCGGGTTCCCCATAGTCGATATACGCTTCGATGTGGATGGAGCGCGTCTTTTCCGCCAGTTCGGGACGCTTTTTGAGATGCCCAAGAACGTTGACTGCGGAATCGACTCCATTGACGATTACGTGGGTGTAAACCAGGGGGAACACTCGACCAAAGACTTCCTGGTTGACGAGGGACAATGAAAGGACTGTCGAGGGGGTCGCATAGACAGGTAGTTGATTGGTGATTGCCTCAAAGATTTCTGCAGGCAGATCTTGAAGATAGGCCCGTTGAGCTTCAGCCATCTCTAGTAAACTATGGTGGACGTAGGGGAGAAAGAGAGGATCAGATGACACACGGTCGTTATGACTAACTATACAATGCGAGTCGTCGACCGGCCCGAACTCAGCGCCCGTCCGATTGGTATGCATCGCCTCCAGGTGTCTGTAGGTCCTGCATCCTCCCAATGGTGTCAGCTCAGGAGATATCGGGTCTTGTCGCACTTTTCTTCAAGTTAACAATGGGATGCTGCCCACTCGCAAGATTAAAGACGAGAGCGCGTGCAAGAATATCGTTGTGGACATCGACATTGATTTGAGCACAGCTGTGCCTGGAGGGAGACCAAAGAGGCCAAATCTCCTGACCGACGAAAGAGTAGACTACGTATCTGAAAGCCGACATGTTCATAGTCCGCGTAGCGGAGCCCTCCTCTATCGACAAGGGTCTACAGGCCCCAGTCTGCCGGCCGGAGGTTCGTAACCGATTAGGCAGGCCAATTGCCTAAATCGTTCAGCCCTCTTCTTGGCCAGCCTAGTATTTACCCTTTCCAGTGTGTCGAAAAGGAACTACTCGACGGGGGATTCAACGATATATACTGCACAGTAAGTTCAACAGTCGACTTACCCTGTATATTCCATCGTCGAGTTGCTCGGTCGAAGCTTAGGTATTTACTGCGGTTTCTTCTAGGGTATCAAAGAGTCCTTACGACTCGGAGAACGAAAAAGAAACGAAACATTGAGAACGGAGTGTTTCAGGGGAAGGGGAACGTAAGTAAAAGGAGACGTAAGTAGGTGGAGAAGAAAGATACCACTGCTGCTACACAAAAGACAAAACGTCCTACGAATCCGAGAGAAGGGAACAGGTAATCGCAAAGAGAAGGCGAGGACTGTGGGGACCATGAGAATGGATAAGTGTGAAGGAAGGAAGTAAAGAGAGGGGCGGAAGGGAGATTCCTCATGAAAGTGAGAAATATGGGCAGACTAACTATGGTAAACGAATGTGGTAGGACTTGTCCAGAGAGTGAAAAAACTAAGCGGGTATGAACTAAGGAGAGTGCGTGTCGTACAATACATAATTTAAATGAGAGACTGTTGGGGCTGTTGTTGCTGTTGTCCCTGGTTCGCCATAAACGATGAAAAGGGTGTCGATCCGCCGGCTTGCTGCTGTTGCTGGTTTTGCATGTGCCCGAATGGACCCCCAGTGGTAAGATTGGAAGGCAATCCGGGCACGGGCGGAACTGGTGACGATCCAAAGGCCGACAGGTCATTCCCTGCAGCCATCGAAGCGCGGAAGGGGTTAGCTGAACCCCCACCGGTCATTTGTGGCCGCAGACCAACTCCTAATGTTGAACCTCCTGTGTTTCCAGACATCAGGGATGCACCAAACGCCGACGTGGGTTTGAACGCATTCAATCCACCTGTAGGCTGAGAATTCAACGCGCCAAAGCTAGGTGTAGAGGAAGGTTGTGGCGTTGTCGAACTAGGAGAAAAGGCGCTGGGGTTGCTAGACATAGAGGTGAAAGACGACGCAGTGAATCCTGATGTTGACGTGGTAGCCGTCGTTGCCGACGAGCCCGATACCGACGATACGTTTGTTGCGCCGGTCATTTGGGACGAAACTCCAGTAGGGTTGCTCACGGGAGGCAGCGATTCCATCAAGGCTGCGCCAAACGATGATGATGGCTTGAATGGTTTCAAGCCAGCAAACCCAGTAACCTGGCTAGTTAAAGGTGACGGAGATGACGGTGCTCCAGTAGGCTGAGCAGTCAACGACCCGGTCAATCCCGGCCCCGCTGAGAACGCCGACGTCGTAGGTGAAGTGTTCTTCTGGCCAGAGAAATCCGCCGAGGGACTAGCGTTATTCTGTCCAACCTTGGTAAACGACGAAGCAATGCTGGAAATATTTGCCGAGCCCGGGTTGAGAGCACTATTGGACCAGTTGAAACCCCCGGTTGGTTTTGGTTGTTGTGGTTGCACGAGTTGTTGCTGCTGCGTGTCCGCGGGCTGTTGCTGACCGTTCGTCATACCATTCATCTGGCTGGCTTGTTTGTCCATAGCAAGATCCATCAGGGTAGGGACCTTTGGCACGGGAGGTGGGGTAGTAATAACAGGACCGAAGGGATTCTTAGTTCCTGTTTGGTGGGTCTTCACAGGTTGGGCGGTGGGGAAGGACGAATTGGTCATGGATGTCAAAGGAGTGGAAGCAGGGCGATTTGGCACGTCGACGGCGGCATTGGTCGTGGAGGACTTGAAAGCAGAGTTCGTAGCGGTAGGCGCGATGGCCGAGGTGGAAGCGGAGGTTTGTCCAAAGGCGTTGGTGTTGGTCGAGAAGGGAGCGGCTGTGTTGGGAGCGGAATTGGGGGCTGCAGGTGGCACGTTGACGAACAAGCTCTGCCCAAATGACCCAGCAGAGTTGGGTGCGCCTGTTGGCTGTTGTACGTTGCCAAACAGTTGCATGCCGGTCGTCTGCGGGAGCAACATGCTTTGACGGAAGGGATTTGATCCAGTTGCCTGGGGCTGCAAGAACCCCGTTTGCTGTGGCTGCATGAAACCAGTCTGCTGAGGTTGCTGGAGGAACCCAGTTTGTTGCTGAGGGATGAAAGTGGAGAATGGTCGAGCGGGGACTCCCGTTTGCTGTGGTTGCTGTGGTGTCAGGAAGCTACTGAAAGGGTTTGCCGGAGTGACTGTATGCTGCGGGACAAGGAAGCCAGTAGGTTGTGCCGTGATCTGAGGAACTTGTCCAAACTGCTGCCCGTTCATCATTTGTGCAAATGGATTTCCTGGAGCTTGGATCTGTGGAGGGAAGACAGGGGCTTGGGGTGAAGCAGCAAACATAGGCTGTTGTTCCTCTTCGATGGAGGCAAACAAATCTATCACATCTTGCTTGGCCTTGGAGGACTCGCCGTTGGCTTTCGATGGACCAGAAACGGAAGAACTGGATGGTTCTGTCGATTCTTTGAAAGTGACGGCTGTCCGATGCATTAGAGTATCATCTGGAAGGATGACCAAGTAACCTACATGTCGTCTTGGACTTTCCATCCTTAGGGCGCTTGCTAGCCTCATCCGAGGCCTTCTTGTTAGCCCTATATTCTAGCCTGTTTTGCTCAAAATTGGGATCATCAAGATACTCTTGAAGTGCGCCAGCAAGTGATACGGGTGCCTAGAAGATGTTCAATTGATGAAGACCCTTTGATTGAAGGAAAGTCATTCACATGCTTGAGGTTTGGAATGGGGACATTGAGGAGGTTCTGCATCTTCTTCGCGACTTCGAGATATTCCACAACCTTGCTTGTTTGAGAACAAAAATTTCGATAGATCTTCAGGGCGTCCTGGGCGTCAATATGCGACATTTCGAAGTAATGCTCTGAGAAGTTTACGTTAATATCATCCCTGTGGCAAACGAAGACCATGCCCACATACCCAAGACATTGATGACTCCTTCATTTCCGGCTTGGAACAGGATCAAAAGGTCCTTCACCAACATGCGAAGGGCTTCGATGTTCAACTCATCCAGGTCCTCGAGGTAAAACTAATTCCTGGTTAGCTAGAGTCATGTATAGGTCCAGATGAACGTACCCTGCACTCGACGAGAGCATCAATCATCCTCTGCACAATCTTTGTCTCCCGGAGTAAGCCTTTCTCCACCGTCATCGATCGCAACTTGCGCCCTGCCAACGTCTTGCTCCGAGCCAGCGAAGAGGGCCCATCATTATTCCGGGGTTTATGTTTCAGCATTTCCTCGTCTATCGACATCGAGTTCCGCATATCACGGTTGGTATCGGACTGGACTCGAATGGCATCGTGCTTGAGTTCCCGGTATGCTTTTATCCTTGAGTCGAGGTATAACGCGTAACGTTGCATATTCTCCGGCGCAGAGTAACCTAAACCAAATTACACTTAGCGACCGGATAAACAAGCAGAAGTGGTCAGGGATGGGGCGGTACCTTCCCAATTGACCGCCGAGACGTTCTTGAGACGCAGTGTGTCGGCTTGCGAGAGGTAGGAAAGGACGTTGTCTGTTGCACCATTCCGAATCATTGTGTGCAGCACCAATAACGCCTTGAACACCACCTGTCGTTACCCCGCATTAGGAACCTGAAGCCGCGAATGTAATGTGATGGGGTAAAGCAAACGTACAATGTGGTTGGGCTCGCGTATACGAGGGGCGAGCGCCTTGCAGACGTCTGAGACTGCACCATCGTCTGACCAAGTAGCAGCAATAATGGGATCAATATACTGTCGAACAATCGCCGTTAGCCGCCTATTCCAACTGGATTGGAGCTAGGGTTTTTGGAAATCGCAAACCTTGGCCTTTGGGGGAGCTGCTTTTGGCTTGCATGCCAGCTTGACGATCTTGTCGAAGCTGGACATGGTTTAAGGGAACTTTGAGGAATATTTGACCTGTTCGATGGTCTGTCGGAGGACTTTGGAATGGCCTGAGGATTCGTCCAAGCTCTGAGAAACGCGGTCCTCTACCCCCTTCCTGTCATCACCTATTCAAACTCCGATGCCGGTCATGTGCACTTCGGCTCAGCTGCTCCTTGCGTCCCAACTACCATCTCACTTGCTCCTTTTCTCTCTCTGGTATTATCTAAAGGCGATTTAGGCTACTGGTACTGCCCTAAGACGACCACCAACGCCACCCCGAAGCTCTGACATGCTTTCCTGCCGCCAAGGATTCTGAACTAGGGACGTCATAGACCTGGAGCGCGATGTACAACTTCTCTGTCCAAAAGATATCTGCCCGGTTCTCACAGCTCTATCGAGAACGGCCAACAAGAACAAAGATCCTCTATGGCGTTTTGGCTTTCTTCATTTGCCTTGGACTCTACAAGTCGATCCCGGACGGCGCGGGGTCAGCCCTTTTTGGATTCTCTGGGGCGGATGCGTACATTCCCGCTAGTGTTTGGCGCTATCGCGCAGAACGCGTCAAACAGGCCGTTCAACATGCGTATCGTGGCTATGAACTGTATGCGATGCCGAAGGATGAACTACGGCCTTTGACAAATGAGGGAATGAACTAGTCGGTTTCGTTTCTCTCTCTCGAGTTGCGAGTTAATGACCCAAGGCTTCAGTTACAACGGATGGGCTGTCACGGCCTTTGACTCTCTCGACACACTATGGTTACTTGGCCTGAAAGAAGAGTACGACCGGGCTCTTGAAGTAGTCCAGAAGGTGGACTTCCAAGTCCCAATCAATCCGGTTAGTGGTATTCAAGGAATGTTTAGGCAATGTTCTGATGGTCATGTTCCAAGAGAGGGCTGGTCCCATTTTTCGAAACTATTATTCGATATATGGGCGGACTACTATCGGCATATGCGCTGTCCAAAGATCCCATACTCTTGAAACGAGCAGAGGACTTGGCAGATGCGTTGGATCCCATCTTTTCCACTCCGAGCGGTCTGCCCGCCTTTGCAGTTAATCCACTCAGGTAGGTGACACACCCTGGAATTGGAACATCGGCTCTAACGCCAATCACAGCAACTGGACTGATGGAAATTCGACCGGCGTTTTGGCCGAAATAGCAAGCTGGCAGTTGGAGTATACCTACCTTGCTCATGCATCTGGGAAAAAGAAGTATCTAGACCATGTATGTCGTTGATTGATCTCCCATTCAGCCGCCTTACGAGTTACTTGAAAGGTTCAAAATCTAAACAATATCCTCTATCAAGCCAACCTCAACGCATCCAACGGTATGCTCCCTGTGGGCTGGGATTTGAAAACAGGGGCACCAGAAACTCGAGAAGGTACTTGGATGATCTCCTTATCGACGCCGGGTAACTGAACGGTCGCAGTGAAGGTGTCGGTTGGAGCACAGGCGGACAGTGCCCACGAATATCTGTTGAAGCAGTACCTTCTCACAGCCCAAACCGACAAGATTAACCTGGAACTCTGTGAGTGCGTCCGCCAGTATCCACTCCACTGCTGATTGAATTTTCCCCAGACTTGCACACTACTAGCCATATCTTGACCAACCTCCTTTATCTATCACCTAAGCGCCAGCTGCTATACGTGACGGACACGGCGTCTTCAAGACTACAGACGCCCCTTGCGAGTCACACCTTCGAACATCTATCATGCTTCCTCCCTGGGCTTTTAGCATTGGGAGCCCATACGCTACCACTTGACAACCTCAGAAAGCTTGGAATCGATATCTCGACATTGGGCACGGAGGCTCGCTTCGGAAATGCAAGTCAGCTACATAACAAGGTCGCCAACTTCAATCTCAAAAAGCTGCATCTTTGGGCCGCTGAGGGACTGGCGCAGACTTGTTGGTTGACCTACGCGGATCAACCGACAGGACTCGGTCCGGACGAGATGTTGATGCAGTCTTTCGCTCCGGGGGCGTATATGTGGAACGAAGAAGCAAATGCATGGACGAAAGCACCTCCAGGAGACAACACCTACCTCTGGATCGATGCCATGGAAAAGTGGAAGGAAACGGGGTCAAAAGGGCCTATTCCCGGTCTCTCGAATCCTAAGCCAGTCCTTGGGAGGGAATCTGGGCGGGATTACTACATTCGCAGAGCGAATTACTTGCTCCGGCCAGAGGTGCGCCCCCTGATTCGTGTATGGCTTCGACAGTGACGTTCTGATATCTTTTCCGTAGACTGTGGAGTCGTTTTACATTCTCTGGAAAGTTACCGGTGACGTCAAGTGGCGGACGCGCGGGTGGGCCGTCTTCGAGGCGCTGGAACGGGAAACGAAGACGGAAACCGGATACGTGACACTGAAGAATGTCGCGTGGTCGCCACCTCTTCAAGGGAACAGTATGCCTAGCTTCTTCTTGGCTGAGACGTGAGTGCATTGTCCACGCTTTATCACATCTTGTCTTCTGAACATATGTTTTAGATTGAAGTACCTGTATCTGTTGTTCTCTGAGGAGGATCCTCTACCCCTGGACAAATGGGTGTTCAATACGGAAGCTCACCCTCTACCTATTTTCCAATGGACAGATGACGAACGTGTTAGATTTAATATTACCTCGTATTAGATACCTGTAGAAGATGTAGAGACCACCGTTGGACCACTGTATGTATGATTTTTGATGGTGGGAGAGACGGAAAACTGGCGGACCGGTGGGAAAAGCGTGTCATCTGAGGAGGACTTCTTTGTGTGACGGTCAAGTGCATCTGAAATTGATGTTGGGCAGTTTGGCCAGATCCGTTGCAAGATGGGCAGGCCCAAGTGCTCCATTTCCCCGCCAGACTAGTCTCTCCTCTTCTCCACGAACTCTTCCCCCTTTTCCCCGTTCCCGTGCAATCTATCTCGTCCCAAGGCGCTCAATGACAACGACGACGGGCAAACCCCCCTTGAAACAGGGAGAGTTCGTAGGGGCTTTGGACTGCGGCACAACGTAGGAGAAATTCCTATTGCTGATAAGATGGTTCAAGTCTGACACGTCGAATTAGGTCTATCCGGTTCATCGTCTTCAACAAACACGCGGACATCATTGCCCAGCACCAAGAGGAGTTTCCTCAATATTACCCTCAGCCTGGGTGAGTGCCGGCCATGTTTGGAGAAACTACAGTCGTTATAACCCGACTCTCAGATGGCATGAACACGACGCAAATGAAATCCAGCAGACTTCGGATCTATGTATTGAGGAGGCGGTGAAGAAGCTCGAAGAGACTGGGTGGTCCAAAGATAGCATCAAAGTTATCGGTGCGTTCCCCCTACCACTACATTGACTGTGTCCTAACCATAACCGCGACTTCTAGGTATAACTAACCAACGAGAGACCGCCGTTGCATGGAGCCGACGAACAGGCAAACCTCTCTGCAAAGCTATTGTGTGGACGGACTCGCGTACGAAGGGAACTGTCGCGCACCACATGAACAAGCTACAAACTGTCGGCATTCAGACTTCCCCCGGTGTGTTCAGGAAGGGCCAAGACGGTGTTGACGCATTGAGGGAGATGTGAGTCCTGCCTGGGGTTTCTACCCTCGTTTCTGGAGTATCATGAGACTGACGTCAAGATCCCCTCCTTGTGTGTCTATAGCACCGGATTACCGCTCTCGACGTACTTTTCGGCCATTAAGGTCAGATGGATGATAGACCATCTTCCGGAAGTGCAGAAAGCACATGAAGAGGATGATTTGGCGTTCGGCACGGTCGAGTCTTGGGTGGCCTATGTGAGTTCTGAGCTTCCATTGCATGGCGTCCATGTCACAAGAACTATTTCGCTCACCCGTACACGGCGTAGAACCTCCTCGGCGGACTGGAAAAGAACATCCACATCAGCGAAGTGACCAACGCCTCGCGAACTCTCCTTCTCAACACTTCTACTCTGAAATGGGAACCCTCCCTCCTTGAGTTCTTTGGACTTCGCCCTTCAATTTTACCCAGGCTTGTGTCCACTTCCGAAGTGTACGGAAATGTTGCGTATGGTCCGCTCAAGGGTGTGCCCATTGGAGGGTTGGTGGGTGACCAGCAGGGTGCCTTGATTGGGAACAAGTGTCTCACCCAGGGTGAGGCCAAGTGCACGTACGGAACGGGAGCGTTCTTGTTGTTCTGCACCGGCGATTCCATTGTGCAGAGCAACCATGGCTTGTTGAGTACCGTTGCGTACCAGGCTGGGCCCGAGGCGAAGCCCGTTTACGCTTTAGAAGGATCAAGTATGCGGTTTCAGTCATTCCCGTTCATTCCAGTGCTCATTGTGGTCTATAGTCGCCGTCGCTGGAAGCGCCATCAAGTGGCTGCGCGACTCAATGTCGCTCGTCTCGTCTGCAAGCGAGGTCAACACCCTTGCTGCTCGAGAGCCAGATACCGGAGGCGTGTACTTTGTTACAGCCTTCTCTGGTCTGCTGGCTCCTTATTGGGACCCGGGTGCAGGTGGCATGCTCATTGGTAAGTCACCCAAACTTCGGTCTCTCTCCCGAAACCCGCTAATGTTCGTGTTTAGGCATCTCGCAATACACAAACCCCTCGCACATCGCGCGCGCCACGTTAGAAGCGAACGCGTTCCAGACCAGGGCTATCATCGAAAGTATGAAACTCGACTCTGGCACTGATCTGAAGAACATGAAGGTCGATGGAGGGATGACGAACGGCGACCTTGCCATGGAGGTTTTGGCTGATATCGGAGGATTCACTGTCGTCAGACCTCAGATGCGAGAGTGAGTATGCTCCCAACGCAAGTCAAGCTTTTTATTAACCTGCCTCTGCTCTCGCAGGTCAACGGCTCTCGGTGCAGCTATTTGCGCTGGTTCCGCCATGAAGCTCTTCGGATGGGATCTGTCCAAACCCGAGACCCTGAATGGTGTCAATGACCGCGCTAATACAGTTTTTGAACCCTGGTTGGACGATGCTACTCGGGCTAAGAAGTGGCATGGATGGCAGCGGGCTGTTGAGCGATCTAGAGGATGGGACGAGGGTACAGAAGAGAAATGATCTTAAGGACTGTTGTCGCCGTCGCTGTCGACGTTATACCTTGCTTTACTGTTTTCAATATCTCCACTTAGCGTTACGGACTTTCAGGAATAATCATTGGTTGCTTTGCTCTCGAAAGTGATCCTCCCTGCTACATCCCGTAGTGGACATAGGGGACCCATGCGAGTAGGCCCTCTTCCTTGTCTCCGACTATCCTCCTCAGTTCTCTGACGGCACCATCCAAGGCCCAAGCTGGGCCTGACTGGCCTTGTCCACCCTTTACGCCCTGATTTAACAGACGCTCGTAGAATCCGACGGCGACATCCTTCCCGTATGCATCCTTGATACTCCACATCGTCGCCACAACGCTTCTGTATCCAATCACCAGCATCCCCGCAGCGATATGCACCACCTCATCCGACAACTTCTCGTCCCCTGTCCCAGTCTGACATGCCGAAAGAAACGCCAAATCCCATTCCGTCTGCGTATCTCTCTGTTTCATGATATCGATCAGTTCGAGGCGCCTGTCGTGTAGGTGTAGACCACTTCGGAGTGAATCAATGTCCTGAACTGCATGGCATGCAAAATGGACCCATGAATGGGATTTGAGTTCGTCTGCGACGCGGGAGACCGTAGCTTCTGATCCTTCGAGAAGGGTAGCCGGCGCGATGCCGGAGAATAGTGTTTGGATTGAGCGTGTTTCTTCTGTTGTTCCTGGGATTGGAGGCAGATGGGGAGTTGCGGGTTGGCTGATTAGGAGGAGGTTATGTGGGGCCGGGAATGCAATCCTGCTGCTGTGGGATTTGCGGAGCGAGGTAAGGAGCGTGCTGATCGTAGGCGTGTAGGATGAGACTGCTAGGTCTTGTGCGCTAGAACCCCCCTGTGTATAGATACCAGCAGCATGAAGTGGAAGGAAAAGGAGTGGTCCGGTTGGGCACCACCAGACCCTCAGACGTTCTCCGGGATTTTCAGGCAGCTAAAAGACAGATATGTAAGTTCATGTTTTGGCAATTGGCGCCCATTCTCACCTTCTCGCCGTAGATACCGCGAACAACGCCATTTACGACTTTCAACCAAAGCTCTTCCAGTATCTTCTTCAACGCATCGCCTTTACGCGCGCGTCGCGGTGCGAAACCGCGGGTCTCGTCATCTTCCTCTCCATCGGGTTGCGGGTTCACTTCTCGAAGGCGTAAACCCCCTCTCATCAAAATCGCTCGTACATCGTCTTTCATAGCCACCGCTCTCTTCAGCGTCAGCTTTTCCAATGGAATGTGGAGGGGTACCGACAATCCTTTCCTCAGGATGAGAGCGTCGCATCGATCTTCGTGCATGACAAATGTTACGATTGCGCTGTCCTCAGGAACCTTGGACAATTGGTCTGAAATCCGTGGTGGTTGCAGGAAGTCTGAGAAACCTGGTCGAGCCCGTATTTCCGCGAGGATCGTTTGGAATTCCTTGGCGAGTTTGACGTGGGAGTGGACTTCATCTTGAGCGGCGACGAAATGTACTCGTTCGTCTGTGGCATCCACTTCGTTTGGCGATGCTTCCTCTTCTTGACGGGACCCAGACTCTTCCAATGCCCGCGCGACTTTCGAAAACCTTTCTGCTAGATCTGGATCGTGTGCGCGGAGGTCGTCCACAGGTGTTCTGAGTTGGTTTATTTGATTCCAAACCAAGCATCGACCTTGCTCGAGCCACTCGACCGCCGTACCAAATTGTCCTTGATCCATTGCAGTTGCTGCAGCAGTCATTGTCAGATCGGCAATGTTCACCAAGGTTTCATGGCGTTTCTGGACTGTGTCTTCCAGCCCTGCGACTTGGGAGAGGAGTTCGACGAGGACTTTGAAGGCTTCCAAGGACTGGGGAGGGTCATGATGGCGACATAAGAGACCCCATTCTTTTGCTGCGCGGAGACGTGTACCTGGACGGCCGATGGGGTATGTGGCTGCCTCGCGGAACAGTGAGATGGCCTTTGTGATGTCGCATTTATCCTTAGCGTGTTTGAAGCGGCTTTCTAGTGCAACTGCTAGCAACTGTAGTCGCGGGGGACGGCCGGCATGCTGCAGTGGAGTCAAGTCCACGGCTTGCTGAATGTAGCCAATAGCGGCATCAATATCGGCGAGGTTCTTGGTCACCTCGAAGCGTCTCCAGTAGGTTTCACCGAGGCTACGAAGATGCGATGCCTTCACCCTTTCCTCGTCTCCAGTATTCTCCAGCGCCTTTGTCTGGAACTCTAAGGCCTTTTCAATATCCGTCGCCTCACCTGTCTTGGAAAAGCGTAGGCGGTAGGCGTTTCCCAAGCTGTTCCACCATTGATGTAACTTGGGGTTGCTTTTACGCGAGAGGTGGATTGCTCTGTGTAAAGTATTGATGCCTTCGTCTATGTCTGAGATCATACCAGTCCTGAGAAAGCGTCCTTGGTAGAAAATACCAAGGTTGCTCAACCATAGTGGGACGCGTTCGTAATGTTCACTGGTCGAGTTGATAGCTCTGCGCGTGTTCAAGATGGCGCGGTTAATATCTGCGAGATCTCCCTTACGGTGGAACCGCGTGTCAAAGGAGATTCCCAGAGCTACTGACCGGTTACCAAAGTCGGAGTGGCTTGAGCTGGTAAGTCGTACGGCGCGTTGCTGATTGACGATTGCGTTTTCGAGATCAACGAGGTCACCTGTAAAGGCGAAACGATGTCGATAGGCAATACCCAGACGACTAAGACGCTCCGGGAGGGCGATGTCTTCAACCTCGGTCCGCGAGACAGCTGTGTTCAAGAGGGAGAGGGCAGTGTCCAAATCGGCGGTGTCTCCAAACAATGTGAACCGAGTGGTGTACGCCGTGCCTGCAGCCTGAGCATATGTCGCGTAGGCGAGCTCAGAATGGTCTGTGCCCTCCATGGCTAATTGGTATGCTTCGATGGCACGGGTGACATTATCGAAGTCCCCGAAATCTTCGAATCGATGCGTGAAGTAGGTGCCATAGAGGTGCAGATACGCGTGTCCTGCTTCGGCGAGCTGTGCAAGATGTTTGGGAAATAGGGCAGGTGTCTGAGCAGCATCCTTCATCATTTGTTCGATTTCGACCGGTGTGTAAATCGCAGAGTCCTCAATCTGGCTCAGGTGGTCTACAACTGATGGTGAACCACAGTCTTCGGTGGAAGCAGAGGTCTTACTGATTGCAAATGTCAGCTTCAAAGCCAGGCCCTTCTTGCATGTTACAAAGTCTCTCTCGTCTTCTGTGTCTGTGTGCAAGGTTAAGTTGGGGCTGGGACGTGGAACAGCGAAACGACAGAAGCTTACAGCTGTCTGACATTGCCCAGAATTGACGAATATCATGCCTTCCCAGTGTTAACTTCCCGATTTCATCACCATGCCTAGATCGAGCAGTTAAAACAAGATGATCGACTTTCGGTGTCCTGCAGTCGGTTGGTTGGCTGTCCTGGCTGGCTGTTGAGGGAGAATACTCACAACGGAATGTAGCCAGACCAACTGAGCGCGCTTCTCGAGTCCCTCATGAAAATGACAGTCTGTTCCTCTTCCAGGCCAGCTATCGTGACCGAAACATCGTCGAGATCAATACCCTCGTGGAGGTTATGCTCAATCTCAAATTCTGCGAGGTGATCCGGAGTTACAGGCTGTTTGCAGCTCCAAAATGAATCCACGTACCATCCAAAATGACCTTGGCCGGCATTATGAACTTGGTGGAAAAATGATAGGTGTTCTGTCGAGTTTAACACAAAGCTTTTCGCTCACCGAATGTACACAAGAGAGTTACTGCTTTTGAAAGGCTGAAACGTTGTCACCGGAGTGCCCGGGATCCTGTTGCAATCGATCACATCCTTCCTTGAAATCATTCATGGGTTTGTGGTATGGCTGTGGGCTCTCTCCAAGCAAGTTCCTTGGTGTTTCCTGGCATTTGAATGAGTGGACGAAACGTTTACAGTTCGGCGCAACTTCGACGAGGTTCGACGCTCGCGTTCAACCCGCGATGGGGACGGAGCTCGCCGCGATATCGTTGATCGCCGATTACGGCATCTCGGTCACAGCCAGGGGTCTGCATTCTTGCTTGCGCCGTGCCTTGACCACTCTTCTGACATAACGCCTCAGGATGCGCCTCTTCGACCCGCACTGCGCCTGAATCTAGTAAGGCTAATCAAAAACCTTCGACTACATCGGGCTTTTCTCGTTCTCTGAGACACCCAGGACGTTGCTTGCGGTGAACAAAAACCAGCAGGTTCCATTCCGCCGCACAACCTTCCTCGTGATGTCGACAAGGGCAGTGACCAGCGTACTCGAACCGTCGATTGAATTGAATGGATGGTGAGTCGTGACTGGCAGAGGCGCGGTCGTTAAGCGCCTTCCAAGCCACATGTCCTGCCTGCTGTGAAGTTGTATCACACTCCGAAGCGTGCTCCTTGTCATCCTTTGGTCTATTTCCGGTAATCCGTTCGGCACTCCTTGCTTCCATCTTTACTTCTTGCTCAGAACTTGTTGGCGTGTGATGATACAAATCTAAGCGCCGTGACAAGTGACTTTCCACGGTGGGTTTTAAACAAGTAGATCCGTGAGCAATTCACTCCAAACCACTCGTCCTAGTGTTCAAGATGGGCAGCCCATACAGTACGTCCGTATATATCCCTCACTCGAATGGCAGTGCTGAATTCATGTATAGGCGATTCGAAAATCGAGGCCATCGAGAAGGACGACACAGGAAGGCCGTGGGACGTAGGAAGAGCCATGATTGAGGATGCCAAAGACAACATGGCTACGGAATCCCTTGAGACTGCGATAAGCCTTTTGCGCCAGGTCATGCGAAATGAGGACGATGGCACGTCGCGGGCAATTGCTGAACGTGGTCTTGTCAAGGCCCTCCTCACTCGGTTCGCTCATCGTGGATGGTTTGACGACATGTACGAATGCGACCAACTTCTGGACAAGTGTGAACAGGAGCAAATTGAACTTCTCGTGAGTGGCTTCCCAAGTCCCCTGGCGGTACAGTCCTGACATTGTTACGAGAAGCAGCCGAGGCGAGTGGGTGACAAGGCTGCACTCGAGGTCTACCCAGACTCCATCCATCAAGCGCTCGACCTCATCGCAAGCTGTCGCCGCTCCATCGACACAGAGAAGCTAGAAACCGCGATTCAAGCTTCCCAGGATGCTCTGTCTTCACCCTCCCCCGAAGTATCCGACTTCCAGCGCGCTGACTTGGTGCTCCGAGTTGGGAATGCACTTGTGCTGACCTATCTGGCAAGTGGGAGTGCCGGGAGTTTGGACCGTGCAGCAGGATGTTTTCAGGAAGCTCGGGGCCTCTGTAACAACAAAGATCCGCTGAAGTTGAACGCTCTTCTTGGCCTTCAACTCGTCGGAATGATCAAGTTCACCGAGTGTGAGCAACAAAGGAAAGCCGAGGGACTTGATGAAAAGACTCACTTCAGACGAGCTGTAGCAGCCGAAGATGGCAAAGGCCTAGACGCGTTCATTCTAGGATCCCGACTGATCCACGGCCCGCAGCTTGAAACAGGCATATCGTTACTTCGACTCTCCCTTGAGCTTCGACCACCGCTGCACCCCCTTCGCCACCACTCGCTCAACAATCTCGGAGACGCACTTACAATCCGGTTTAAATACACCGGAAACATCGAGGACCTCAACGAATCAATTGCCCTCAGTCAAGAAGCCCTCAGTCTCACGCCCCCACCTCACCCAGGCCGGCCAACGACTCTCATCGGCCTAGCCAACGGCTTTCTCACTCGGTTTATGCGGGCGGGGGACATCCACAACCTCGAAGCATCTATCTCACATTATCGTGAGGCACTATCATTGCAGCCTGAAGGTCATCCGGGGCGAATTCTCTCACTCAAAAACCTAGGAACCTCTCTCTCTATCTTGTTCAGGCACCAAGGTGGCGTCGAAATCCTGGAAGAATGCATCGCGTACCGCCGAGAGACACTCGCCTTGCGACCCGAAGGCCATCCCGCACGTCCAGATGCGCTCGATGACTTGTCAGTTTCCCTTGCCCTTCGCTTTCAGCTCACGGGGAACTTCCAGGACTTGGATAACAGCATCTCGTATGGCCAAGAGGCTTTCTTGCACAGGCCTAGGGGCCATCCACATCGTTCCTCATCGCTCACGAATCTCGCAAACTCCGTCCTCCTTCGATACCAGAGCAAAAGCAGCTTCGAAGACCTTGAAAAATGTATCGGATACCACCGAGAAAGCCTTCTACTCAGTCCGAAAGGCCATCCCGATCGCTCGTTGTCGCTCAGCAACCTCGCTGAATCCCTTCGGATTCGGTTTATGGAAAGAGGCCAAATCGAAGACCTTGAGGAGTGTGTCCGGTGCAACCAAGAAGCGCTCGCTCTAAGGCCCAGCGGCCACCCAAAGCGACCTTCGTCGCTTGACAGCCTAGGGACCTCTCTCCTTGAACGATTCCGGCATAAGGGAGACCACGACGACCTGGAGAAATCCATCCTATATGGACAGGAAGCACTCACTCTGAAACCGAAGGGGCACGTGGATCGCTTTTCACCGCTCAGCAATCTTGCCTCCGCTCTCGCCACTCGCTTCCAACACAAGGGAAACCGCACCGACTTGGAGGAATCCATCACTTACGAACAGGAAGCACTGGCGTCAATGCCCACGGGTCATCCACGCCGTTACGAAGTCTTGCACAACCTTGCAAACTCTATCTCCACTAGGTTTGAACACGAGGGTATATTCAATGATTTGGATGATGTCGTTCGCTACCGGCGAGAAGCGCTCGAGTCGTTGAGCGCTTCTAGGCATACCGCTCGCTCACAACTCCTCGACAGCCTCGCAAGCTCTCTCTCCATCCGTTTCAAACACAGCGGGAACTCCAGCGATCTCGAAGAGTCCATCGTATATCACCGAGCCGCACTGTCTTTGAGGCCCACGGGACACCCGGAACGCTCGTCATCTCTCAGCAACCTTGCTGTGTCCCTGTCAAACCGCTTCCAACACAAAGGCGACTTCCAGGATCTGGAAGAATGTGTTACCTGTCACAGGGAAGCACTCGCGTTACGGTCGGAGGGTCATTCGGAATATTCCGAATCCCTCAACTGTCTTGCCAACGCTCTCTCCCTTCGTTTCGAATACACTCGAGACATAAGAGACATCGAAGAAAGCATTAGGTATTTCAGAGAGGCTTCGGGCTTCTATCCCGACAAACACCCTTTCCATCCAGCCTGCGTCAACAATCTTGCAAATGCTCTGACAACCCGTTTCAAGAACAAACAGGACGTTGGCGATTTGGAAGAGAGCATTACATCGCTGCGCACGGTGCTGAAATCGATTGGTGACATTCACCCCTTCCGCCCCTTGCTGTTGTCCACCCTTGGGCTTGCTGCTCGTCAACGTTTCGACGTTCTCCACAACGTGGACGATCTCCAAGAGGCTATCTCTAGCAACGAGCAAGCTCTTTCAGCAATACCAGACAATCATCCTAACCACATGATATTGACTCACAACTTGGCCGGCGCCATGCTGCGAAAATATGAAACAACGAAAGCAACGGACGATTTGGACAGAGTCTTCAACCTCTTTGAAACCGCCTCCCGGTCCAAAACAGGTCCATTGCTCGCTCAATTAAAGAACGCGATAGGGTGTGCGACATGCGGTCGACAGTTCCATCGCCCAAACACAGCATTCCAGGCCTACCGACATGCTATGTCCCTCTTTCCTCTACTCGCCTCTCTTGACATGACCCTCCAGCAGCGCCAGAGCGTCCTTCTTCATACGAGGGGACTCGTTCGAGATGCTGCACAATATGCTATCGAGCAAGAAGTCCCTGAACTCGCAGTCACGTTTCTTTCGAGTGGGCGGTCCGTTTTCTGGTCTCAGGCCCTGCAAACCCGGGTGACCTTTGATCGACTTGAAGGAAGCCATCCCTTGTTCGCATCAGAATTGCGCTCAGTTACTCGACGGCTGGAGGCCGCGACCCATCAGCTTTTACAAGATGTTGGAGGCTTCGAAAAGGCGACCGTGTCATTTTCCAGCAGTTTACCACATACCCTAGCGGAGGAAAGGGATAAACTCCTCAGGAAGATTCGGGAGATACCTGAGTTTCGGGATTTCCTACTGCCACCTACCTTCGACTCCCTCAAACTTGCTTCCAAGAACGGGCCTCTCGTATTTTTAAACGAGAGTCGATATGGATGCCATGCTCTAATTTTGCAACGCAGCGGTGCTCTGCACTCCCTCGCGTTGTCTGTGGACGCCAAACAAGTGGTTGCCTGGAGGAATGCTATCGATCGACTGGCAGGAGGGCATGTCATCCCCGCAGAGTCTTTGAAGGCCGTCGAAGGATCCACGGAGCGCGCTCTCCTCGGTCGAAGTAGCAGGCGAACAAGTGACGATGATTTCCGGATTCTCCTGCAGGTATTGTGGACTAAGGTTGTCCAGCCAGTGGTTCAAGCGTTGGACCTGAAAAAGGTGAGAAGCTCATTTTACGCGGGGGACTCGATTATCTCACCTTGTTGCATAGGTAGATTCGCCGAGTGAAAGAATTTGGTGGTGTCCCGCGGGGCTCTTCGCCTTCCTTCCCATCCATGGTTCTGGACTATACTCCAAGCAAAATCATGCACTCGACTGTCTATTCCACTATGCCATCTCGTCCTACTGCTCATCTCCTCAAGATCTGCTCTCTCCTCCACCAGCGCCCATCTCCGACTTTCAAATGCTTGCGATCATTGAGCCTGAAATCTTGGGCCCAGGGGTCAGCAGTCTGCCATCAACGCTCGTGGAACTGGAGAAGATAAAGTCACGGATTCCGAAAATGGAACAACTGGTAACTCGCGTCAGCTCCAAGGACGAGGCAACGACGCCAGACACCGTCCTTGGCGACATTGCAAAATCTTCGATCGTACACTTCGGATGTCACGGAACTCAGAATCCAGGAAATCCGCTCGAGAGTCGTCTACTCCTGAAAGGCGGGGAAATCATGATGTCGACTATCATTAACAAGTGCCAGAGCTCGACGGCAGCTCTTGCATACCTCAGCGCCTGCGAGACTGCTATGGGAGATGATGCACGGCCAGATGAATCGCTCTCTCTGGCTGCCACGATGATGTTTGCGGGCTTTAGAAGTGTTGTTGGGACGATGTGGTGAGTCTTATAAGGTTCTTTGCAACTTTATCCTGTACCGCGGAACTGAAGGTTGGGTTTTTACCCTTTCGAAACACAGGGCTATCCATGATGAGGATGGACCAATAGTGGCTGACGTCTTCTACAGTCACCTTTTCCGTCATGGTGCGGGGTCACCGCCTAATGTAACCGATGCAGCATATGGGTTGCATCTTGCTACGCGGGAACTGCGGGACCAGGGTGTATCATTCCATCGATGGGTTCCATTCGTTCACTTTGGCCTTTGATCCAATTCGTACTCTATTAATTCCAGTCCTTGTATATACAGTCCGATTAGGTGTGTGAAGTCAGAAAATATGCAAGCCTCCTTCCATCAGTTGCAAAGCTTTGCAACGTCAAGGTTCGATAACGGAATCTCGGATGCTTTTGGCCTTTCGGTGATAGCCGTCTGAAAACGAATTGACATCATCTGGCATGCCGGAAACTGCGCAACCGCTGTGAGCGCCTCATGACACAATGCTAGCATCTCGATTCCGCGTCTCCTCGTTGTACCTGCGAAATACCCGGCCAATATCCTCAACGAGGGGCCTCAATGACTTTCACTTCGATACCCACCATTTCGTCCAGCGGCTGGAACGCGAGGGACTGAACCGTGCCCAGGCAGAAGGTATCATGTCTGCCATGGCTGAAGTCATTGACGAGAGTATTCGGAACATGACGGCCAACATGGTCACCAAGGCAGAGCAGGAGAAGGTGCGTTTGAGTCTTATGCGCGCCTCGAGAAGGAATACTAAGGTGTCTACAGCATCAATACACGCAACAAGTCGATTTCGCGCAGATGAAGTCCGAGCTCCAACTTATGGAGAAGAACGACATCGCCATGATCAAAGCGGAAAACGACCGTCTTGCTGCTGATATTGAGAAGCTGAAGCAGAGGTTGCGGGAGGAGATCATGCGGACTCAGGCTGGTGTTCGGCTGGATTTGAACTTGGAGAAAGGCCGGATGCGGGAGGAGAGCAGCGGTCAGGAGTTGAAAATCAAGGAGGTGGACACGAGGATTGAGCAAGAGATTGCTGGGCTGCGGACGTCGATACAGTCTTCCAAGGTGCGTTTGGAAAGCATGCTAATGGCGAACCTTTTCTCAATGAATTGTAGGCTGTCACCCTGCAATACCTCGTCGGTTTCGGTGAGTTCGTTGACCTGGATCCCCGACTTGTGCTCATCTCTGTTCAGTTACTGGTGGTGCTGCTCTCCTCATGGCATATCTTCGGTTCCGGTCATAATCTTCTACTTCTCGGTCATCATTTCACACTCATTTGCACGATACGTACGCCCTAATAATCGTCCCATTAAGATCCAAGCATGCATAACCACATCATCTGTACACTTAATCCCATTTACCCTCCTTCTTGATCTCCTTCAACGCTCTGGAAACCAAGCCGGCCATTCGGTATGCCGAGTCAATTGCCATGACCAATGGAATGAGAAGGTAAGGGAGATAGGATGCGAGCAGTGTGAGTCTTTGACCTGAAGATACCGTTGAGCCGAGGACGGTCGCAACGCCGGTGGGAGGTGTGGTGAGGACGAGGACAATGCAGGGAAGAGTCGTCGTTGCTGTTGAGGCGCCATAGATTGCCATGAGCGGGTAGAGGACGTGCAACTTGCGGTTGTGGTAGAGGTGATAGGCAGCGTAGAAGAAGGTCGGAAGCTGGAAGAACCTGTGGAATGTGGGTCAGGGCACTCGTCTTCATGAAACGGGTAAGCGACGTACATTTCCAGGTACGTGAAAGACAAAAGCCATTGCATCGAGCGCCTCGTCACCTCTCCGAACGTTCCGGCCACACCTCCAATGATTGGGTCATTCGTCATTGACACGTAGAATGCGCCGAGAGCGCGCAGTGAGGAGTCTTCTGGTAGCAGCCATGTTGGATAGACGGCTTGCAGGTCGAGGATCAACGTGAACGGGATGTGTGACACGAAGAAGAGAAAGTACACTAGGTCCATAGGACGCTGCGAGAGTGGTGTTCCCGGCGCCATGTAGTGGCGTTTCTGGACTTTGTGCCCGTTCGCTGACGCCGAGGAGCTCTTCTCGTTGTATATCATCGTCCCAGTTCTGGCAGAGTAGCGTTTGTCGTAACGTGTCGAACGATATTTGAGCGCCGTTGCCAAGCGATTTTTCTCGTCTCGGAGTGATTAGAGTTTGTTGACTTGTTGTTGATCAAGGACTTGACGGTATCTTATCTACTCTTTTCATTTTCCCAAAACATAATGGCGACTCCAGAGACTCGCCCATGGCCGTTTACCCGAGTGTTCTACAGTCCAGAGAAGACTGTTGTTGTTTCTGGGCCACACGTATTGGTTTTTGACTCCAAGTGAGTGCTCCCGGTTGTTTTTTCCACCTGCAGTGGTCAATTGACTTGGCTCGTATGTTAGGTCTGGGGAACTCCAACGCTCGACGGCACGACTGGGCGAAAGGGATCAGGAGGATATCTCAAAAGCTGGGCCTATCCAATGTGTTGCTGTCGATCCCGCATTCAAATACGTCGCGACGGTTGGAGACGACAAACTCCTCAAAATTTGGGAACTTGAAGGTGGAGATGATGTTGGAGGATTGAAGCTGTTCAATTCCAGGTGAGGAGCCTCTGGTCTCTTGCTAGTCCAGTTGTAGGATTTACCCTTCCGAAGAGAACTCCCCAAAAAGCCTACCGGCCTCTTATTCACAAAAGACTCGCAAACGATCCTGACCTCAGACAAGTTCGGAGACGTCTTCAGGTAAGACTCGATAATTCCACCATCTAGGACTCATACAAACCATCTCTAGTTATCCCCTCGTATACGTCCCATACACAGACGCTGAAATTGCTCAACAAAAAGCCGACGAGGCGAAGGATCCCTATGCTTCACATACCAACCCTTCGAACGGCACCCTCGTCCTCGGCCATGCCTCCCCTCTCAACGCGATGCTCCTCACACACTCGGCAGACTTTGAAGAGAAGTACATTATAACGGCCGATAGGGACGAACATATTCGGGTAAGCTGGTACCCTCAAGGATACAATGTTGAGATGTACTGCCTGGGTCATAGAAAGTGAGTGGATGCTCCAGATGCCCGTGGTCGTTCTTTGTTGAATGGTTTGCCCAGATTCGTATCCGCGTTGCATATCCCTCAATCAGATCCCACAGTCCTGGTTTCGGGTGGAGGGGACCCAGTGTTGAAGGTGTGGGATTGGATGAGTGGGAAGCAGAAGGGCAATGTGGAGGTTGCTGAGGTTGTCGAACCGTACATCGTTGTGAAAAAGGCGAGATGGGGTGATGATGGTGAGAATGATGGTGAGGAGGGAGGTGAGACGAAGAGGAGGGGGAAGAAGAAGAAAGGGAAGGGAAAGAACAAGGGCAAAGGGAAGGCGGAAGAGGAAGCTGGTGGGGCAGGGGGTGAAGAAGGGGAATCTATGGCTGTTGATGGGACTGCGGGAGGTTCTGGTGCAACCTCCGAACCTGCTGCAGGTTCTGAACCTCAAAAAGTTTTGGCAATTAGAAGGATATCGAGTGCTGTGGATGCAGATGGAAAAGTGCATTATATCTTCAGTGCTATCGGGTATGTCTTTGCAATCCCGAAAGAATCACGGCTAACCGGATTTGACATAGTGCAACCGCCGTGTTTTCCTTCCCATCCCCGGAGCCATCCCCTGAAAATGACCCTATGCTTACAACAACCATTTCTCATTTCGACTTTGGAAAGCCGGTCATTGATTTCCTAGCCGTTCCCTCCATCGCTGGTGACCCTGCACTCGTGTTTGTGGTGTTGGACCCCTCGTGGACCGGGAATCATGGAGATGGCTCTTCTTCGGAAAGAACAGATCGTGTTCGCCTCCTGGCCGTATCATCCTCAGGTGTATGTACCATCACACGAGGCTCTCCGACTCTCATCATGCTGATGATTCAATATAGCTAATCCAGCCACCAGCTGAAGCGCTGGCACGTTGCGAACCTCTGCTGAAAGCCTTGAACGACTCGGCCTCAGATATCCCAGCGTCAGAGAAGGATCTCAAGGCTTTCGATTTGTATTCCGAGCTCGTGTCGTTGCCGAAGTACGTCGCAAGAGGACCCGAGGTCGCGTTCTCTACGAAGGCTGCGGGAGAAGATAGCGGAGCTGCGACCCCGACTGCAGCCGATGGAGGGTTGACGAAGAGGGAACTGGGAAGATTGAAGCGGATCACGCGGGTGGAGGAGACCAAGGCGAAGGTGTTGGGAGGAGGACAGTCTGAAGCAGGAGCTGCAACGCCGCAGGATGATGCTGAAGGCCAGCCTCAATTGAAAAGGTCAAAGTCCGAGTCGAGTGAAGCATCATGAGATGTCGGATTGAAGGTGGACTCGATCCCTCTATTTGTATTTCTTAAAATGAAGACGCGCTGAGCAGATGGCGGTGGTGAGAAAGGAAGTTCGACGTACGATTGGGGAGGATGGATGTAGTTAGAATCGGTGAGAAGTCGAAGGTCGACGAGTCTATGACCCCGCTTCGCGTAGATAAGGGCGAGATCACTGGTCACCGCAGGATCCAAGAGGATTAATGACCGAGCATCGAGCGTTATGAAGTCTCTGAGGGTATTGCAAGAATGCAGACCTCCATGCAGGGCCCGGGTGTAAAAATAACAAGCTAGACCCAGCTGATAAGTGGAGGCCTTCCAGTTGGTCGATCAGGATCCAGCCTTGACATATCAATCACGAAGGCAATGCATTTTGAAAGGGCTTGCTCTGTCTGGGAAGCAGAAGCATCGCGCCTGGACAAAGAGGTTTCGAGAATCTCCCGGTGTGAATGCATGTTGGAGAGAATAATTGGACCATTTTTTCCCCTTGTCGCTGTCCACACCCAAAAATACCACGTACCGTAACGTTGCTTGAGGAATACACTTTCAGAAATGAATTCATAAGCTTGGCCGACAGCTCGGGTTGGCTAGGGTTAGATGCATTGCTTGACTGCAACAACGGTAGATCCGGCTCATCCAACGGTCAGCCGAAAGTCATAATCGTCGTACGTCGGCGAGATATAATGGATTGGGAAATATATAGAGCCCTGAAAGCGGTGTATCTGACGTTGGAGAAACGGTTACAGTTGGGATGATGAATGCCAATTGACAAGAGTTCACGCGCGACAAGAAGTATTCTTTATTTAGTACTTTTACATCGACCACCATCTCCTACATCGCCCTTGCTCGCCGACGTCGCCGACGACGAGCACGATGGAGAAGCCAAACGGCCCTCGTCAACAACCACCAGACAAACGAAACCAGGCCTACGAATCCATCTTTGGTCGTCCAGGCGTTCACCACCACCAGGCCGACTATCCCCAAAATGCCTACCCACAATACGCCCCCTACCCTCCTTCGCAAAACCAGGCCTACCCTTATCGACAGCAATCTCATTACTCAAATGCTGATTCCCGGTCGTCGTTTGGCTCGTCCCACTCGGGTTATCAGCCCTATATGAGCCCCCCACCGCAGCTGGGACCGCCGCCCCCTCAGGGTCCTTACGTTCAGCCCTACCACCAACCTATCGTCCAGCACCCTCAATATCCAGGCTACGACCACCCTCCAGGCCCTTATCAACAACCTCCCCAACATATTCAGAGCCCGTACAACTACTCGGGCAATTTAGCTTTACCTTCAAATCCCCAATTAACTCGTGCCCGATCCCTGGTCGGCAATGGCGGACCCCACATGAACCCTCCCGTCTCTCATTTCCAGGAACCCCCAGATATGATCCAATCTTCCTCGTCGCACCCGGCGATGACCCCGGCCCAGGCCTACCAGCACCAAGTCTACGCCAATGGCGCTCGGCATCAACCGTCTCCCGCCCCACCCGCTCAACAGCAAGCGGAATGGGGTCGACCTCGTTCATCGCCCAACGAAATAAATCGTCGTCCGTCGTTAACTCACAGTTTGCATCACAACAGCGGAGGCTCGACGCGTTCTTCCGAACCACCACGCCTTGGCGTTAGTCTGGAACACGATGAGGGGCGATTGGGAATTGATTTCGGGACCAACGGGAGTGGTAACAACAGTGACCAGGGAACAGATGCAGAGAGTGAACTCCCTTACGCGAGAAGTGATCATTCAGGTATGTTGTTTTGATATTGAGGGTTTGTTCGTCTGATTCTGATAATGGGCGGGTTGACTACAGGAGGGCCAAGCAGGAACAGCTCCTTTTCACAGCATACGAGGTCGTCTTCCATGGCTGAAGGCTCAAAGTCATCTGTGCGTTATCTTACAACAACATCCGGCACGGTGCTCATATTCCTTACGTTTTCCAGCATCGACCTCTTCAAGTGGATACCTCAGCACCATATACCACTTCACCAGTGCTTCAATCAGCATCAACACCGGAACCATCTGCATCTGCGTCAACAGATCAGTCATTCCACACATACAGCACTCGCCGGTCGTCAGATTCAGCACGAACAGTCCCCAGACACTCCCTTTCAGGCCACAACCGCCTTTCTCAAGATCGCGCAATGTCTATTTCGACTACCCATTCTGTTCCTTCGCGAACCGCTGTTGAGAACCATCTTCGGAAATCATCTAGGGCCTACAGTGGATCCACTGTCGATGGACGAAACTCGCCTGCTCAACCTCGCCTCAGCCGCAAAAAGGTCTATCCAGCGCTCTTATCGCTCGTTGCAGAAGCCTTTCGCGAACGCATTACGCTCTCGGATCGTGTCAAGGATGGCCTCACGTACAAGGCGGTATTCGACGGGCGGGAGGCTGTTGACAAGATTGCCTACATCATCAAAACCACCGATAGAAATCTCGCATTGCTGCTTGGAAGAGCATTGGACGCGCAAAAGTTCTTTCACGATGTTACCTACGATCACCGGTTGAGAGACAGTGCAAATGAGCTTTATCAATTCAGGACCAAGTTACCCAGCCCTTTCGTCAGCGGCGAGTTACCGAATGTGGGGCATGGGGGCGGGGAGGCGCTGCAACATGAGCGGTTAGCACACAAACTTGCTGGTGTTGAGATTTCTCAGGTACGCCCGATTTCGATGCTTTCGAACGACCTCTGAGATTGTGGCTGGTTTCAGGGTTCCTCACATGGGTCAGGGAAGGATGCATCGGATGACGTGCCTCTCCCTTCTGGCGTGTTCACTCTTCTCACCGAATGCTACTCTCCGACATGCAATCGCGACCAACTCTGCTACAGTATCGCTTGTCCAAGGCGACTGGAACAGCAGGCACGATTGAACCTGAAGCTCCAACCTGGCCTATCCAAGCAGATCAGCAGAGAAAGCTTGACTGACGCGCTCGTGAGTGGTCCCCTCATTTCGTTTGCTCCACGCAGGAAAATTAAGATCTCTATAGGAAACCGGATCGCTATGGATACACTCGGTGCCTCCTGAACTAGTCAAAAATCTCTCAGACGCCGAGAAGAAGCGCCAGGAGGCTATCAATGAGGTCATCTACACTGAACGCGACTTTGTTCGAGATCTCGAATACCTTCGTGATGTAAGTTTATCTCGAATCTGTTCCATTCTCTCCAACCTTTTGCCTCGATTTAGGTCTGGATGAAACGATTACGTGAGGAAGACATCATCCCTATCGATAGGCGTGAAGACTTCCTGGCGCAAGTGTTCTGGAATGTGGAGGATATCATCGCGGTGAATACTCGACTGAGGGACGCGCTGAATAAGCGACAGAAGCAATACGCTATCGTTGACAGGATTGGCGATGTCTTGTTGGAATCGGTGCCTCATTTCGGACCCTTCGTTTCATATGGCGCCCATCAACTCTGGGGAAAGTATGAGTTCGAGAAGGAGAAGACTTCGAACCCTGCCTTTGCCCACTTTGTCGAGGTTGGTCTTCTTTTCTTGGTGTTCCCGCAAAGCATCTCACCACCGTGTCAGCAAACGGAACGGTTACCTGAATCAAGGAAACTGGAGCTTAACGCGTATCTCACGAAGCCCACGACGCGTCTTGCACGATACCCTCTTCTGTTGGAAGCTGTTCTTAAACATACGCCCAAAGATAGTCCTGACAAGACGCACCTACCTCAAGTCATCGCCATTATTCGAGAATTCTTGGCCAAAGTCAATGCTGAATCCGGCAAGTCAGAGAACAGATTCAATCTGTTGCAACTTCATCAACAGTTGGTGTTCAGACCGGGAGAAGAGATGGTTTGTTCTTGCCTATCTATAGTGATGCCATGCTGACTTGGGCCTCAAGGATCTTCGATTGGCAGACGAGCAGCGAGAGATGGTGTATAAGGGGACCTTGAACAAGCGCGATGGCGAGATTCACACTTACCTCTTTGACCATGCCTTGCTGTTTACGAAACTTGTGAAGAACAAGAACCAGGAGCAGTACAAGGTTTATCGACCGGTGAGCTATTTATCTCTTCATACTTGCCCGTTCAAGCTTATGATTCCCTAGGCCATCCCATTGGAACTCCTGGTCGTGACTGCTGCCGACGACGGTAACTCTTCGACCGGCACCGGAACCATTCGTTCTCACCGCAAGAGCGGACAAACCCTCACTCGCCGGAGTTCCTTCAGCAAAGATAAGCCTAGCGTCAACAATGTAGTGTCTGCAGTTACCATTCGGGGCGAACCCAAAGGCCAATATTGGATCAACTTTATCTACCTAGGACGACGGCATTATCACCTGATGCTATGGGCGAGTTCGGCTGTCGCTCATCGAAAGTGGTTGGAGGCTATCCTCAAGCAGCAACAGAAGATCACTGAGAAGGCTATGATATTCGATACTGTGCCGCTCAGCGAAGGGTTCTTCAGTGGGCCCAACAAGGTCAACTGTGCAGCGCCTTACAGTGAGTTTGCTCCGTCGTATTCTCCCTTCCAAGGCGAATACTTATATGCGTAGACGGTGGACGACGGGTGGTATACGGGACGGACGATGGTGTCTATATCTCCGACCTTAGAGAATCTCATCGTGACCCGGTCAAAGTTCTAGCACTCCTCGACGTGACCCAGGTCGACGTGTTGGAGGACTACCAACTGCTCATCGTTCTCTCAGGTGGGTACAAATGCTATCCGTAGGACTAACTGTCTAACCATTGGGGACGTCCCTTTCCAGAACGCCAAGTGATCACATTCCCTCTCGATGCACTGGATCAAAACGACCCCATGGCCGGCCTCAAACGTGCCAAACGGATATCCTCGCATACCTCGTTTTTCAAAGCGGGGTACTGCCTCGACAGGGTGCTTGTTTGCATTGTGAAATCCAGCCAATTGTCCAGCACGTTCAAGACACTGGAACCCATCGACACGAATACCCGGGGTCGCTCAAAACCGACGTTCAAAAAGTTGTTGCAGGGCGGTAATGATACCCTCAAAATATTCCGGGTGAGCTGCAGTTGCCCTCGGAACTCCGGGCGTTACTCATTGTGGTCCAGGAGTTCTACATCCCCGTGGAGTCAACGTCAATACACTACCTCAAGACCAAACTGTGTGTTGGGTGCTCCAAAGGCTTTGAGATCGTGGACCTGGAAACTCTGGATACCCAAGGCCTACTTGATCCCCATGACGAATCACTTGACTTTGTGCGCAAGAAAGAGTCAGCCCTCCGACCGATGGCTATCTATCGAATCCACAATGATTTCCTATTGTGTTACGACGGTACGTGATGCTTTGCGGTATCAAATCGGTCGCTAGACGTTTTCGTGACAGAATTCGCGTTTTATGTGAACAAGAACGGCCGCAGGTCACGGAAGAACTTCTTGGTGCAGTGGGAAGGCCAACCAACGGGCTTCGGTGAGCGTTTATTTCGCTTCGCTCTGAGAGTGGTTTTCCTCATGCGGATATGTTTCAGCCCTGCATGAGCCATATGTTCTCGCCTTCGAGCCGTCGTTTGTGGAAATTCGGCATGTTGAGACCGGCATGTTGAGCCAGGTCATCCAAGGGTCGAATTTGCGATTATTGTTCGCGGACACGCCGCCGTCTGTGACAAATGTTGGAGGGATGCACCACAATCCACATGCACCTGGGTAGGGTTTTTTTTTATTTTTGATCCATGTCAGAGATGCTGAAATATTTTTAGAATGTATCCCAACGGCTACGGCGGGCATCCCTATTATCCAGGTTATCAACAACCAGCTCCTCGCCATCCTCAAGGTGTCGGGAGGGACGAGATTCTAATTGTTTCTGACGACCGTGTTCTTTCGTTACGTCCTGCTCAGCGATTCAGCGGGACTGACAGCGGGTCGATGCACTCTCAGAGCCTTAGCCACGCGCACTAATGACCTGGCCCACACCCTTGTATCTTTAACTCTGTATTCCCCTGCATTTTCTCATTTTTCATTTCCTTTTGTATTTGTCCAATTCTTCGTAGTAGTACTAGGTACCATCGTCTATCGCGCTTTGCAGTGTTTTCGTACATAGTCCATGGTTCTCCCCGAGCCAGTCTATCTATCCCTATTAACGTAGCATTTGTTGTGCATGATACACGTAGCTGTAGCATCGTAACGGTGTAATAGTATGCAATCCAGATCGCCATGACGTTTTGGAACTTTGTCATTGGGCAGGGCTAAGAAGGGCTAAGAGCTCAGAGCAGCTGAAAGCGCGCAGGGCGTCAGCCCGGAGTTACCGGACTGCTCGGACTAGAACCCTGGCGGTGATTGGCAATCAATCAATGACATCAGGGCCAAGCTATTTTTGGGCATCAGCGGAAGCGGGGTCCGAGAGTCGTCCTCCGCAACTGACTGTTTTCGTGTATGTAGTCGGACATTCGTGAAAATTTCTCTCAAGGGTGAGTGAATGGGCGAGAGACGAGTCCAGAAGGAAGCCTCCTCGTCCCACTGACTTATCTTGGAATGATACACACAATATTACTTGGATTCGTCAATGCTTTCTCGGACTCGCCCCGGGAGAAGGGTGGAAAGATAGAAAATGTGGGAAACCGGTTGATGGGTGATTCATGTCGCGGGCGTGATCGCATGGGATGATGGCAACGGCGGGGAATTGGAGGTACATATGTAGTGCCCTTCGTCTAGATTTCACCTTTTTCTTTTTAACTTTTCTTCCTTTCTTCTCTTTCGCGTTTTCCGCGTTTTGGCGCCCTCACCCTCCTTTTTCTTAATCATTCGTAACGATGAAGCTGCATATTGTATTCTTACTCTCAGCGCTGCAGCTGGCAGCTGCCGCCCATAATCCACCCAGTCGTTTTGGATTGCACAGGCGCCAGGACCCTCCCTCAGTCTCTGAAGGAGGAGCGTCTTCTCCCTCCCCACCGCCCGCTGCTCCCCCAGGCCCGTCGCATGAACATACGAACCCTCCTCCCCCACCTGAAGTCACTCCTCAACCGCAACCTCCGGCACCAGAAGAACCTCAGGCTGCTCCTCCTGCTACTCCTCCGCCCGTTCTTCCCCCAGGATCTTCCATCTCCGAGAGCACTACAAGACCCACAGGACCTCCTCCGATGGCTACTGGAACAGAAATCCCTCCGTTGGAGAGCGTGACTAGCGGAATGCCCACAAAACCTGCCCTTCTTCCCACTGCGGTTTGGCAGCCCGGCGATAGACCCCCAGTCTCTGGTGCCCCTGCTCTCCCTACTCCATGTGAATGAATTCGTTATATCTTCCTCGAGAATCCGGTTAATCTATCCCCCAATAGTCGTCTATCAAGAAGGTCAATGGCCCGCTCAGGATCGCGTTCCTCCAACAGGTAAGACATTGGTTTTTGTGGGCGCAGAGTAGCGACTGATTGAGGTCGTAAATTAGATTCACCTGAAGTTCAAACTTGGATGAAGGAGCTTGAAGGCCATGATATCCCCGACTTCTCGCCCACCGTCGATGGCTCTTGTGGTGGCGACCCCGCTGCTGCTGCCCAAGCTGCTGAGCGTGGATGGTGGACTTGCGGGGGACATATTCGCGACACTGGTGCGTTCCTTCCTTACCTGCATTCGCGCCGTTTCCAATTTTTGTTGTATGGCAGATATCGTGAACTGCCCCGAGCGAAACACCTGGGGTGTCAGCTTCGACGATGGTCCTTCTGGGTACAGTAAGCTTTCTCATAGATATCTTTGATCGTGCGCATCGTTGACAATATTGTAGCGCAATACCTCTTGAACTACTTGGATGAGGTCGACGTGCGCGCGACCTTCTTCGTCGTCGGCTCCCGTGTTATTGAAAGACCTTCCGTCCTTGTTGAAGAATACATGAAGGGACACGAGATCAGTGTGCATACTTGGTCGCATCGTGTAAGTGATATTCATGCTCGCTGATCTTCCCAATATGCTTACTTCCTGTAGCCTTTGACCTCCTTGACCACTGAAGAAGTCGTTGCTGAGCTTGGGTGGACTCGACGGGCTATCAAGACCGTCCTCGGTGTCACGCCCACTACTATGAGGCCTCCTTTCGGTGATATCGGTGGGTTTTCCTGTGTTGTTAACTATGTCCCTTGTCCCTAACGACATTGAAGATGACCGCGTGCGTGCGATCTCTCTCGCTATGGGCATGGTCCCTATCATGTGGACTCGCACCCCTTCCGGAGGTGTCTTCGACACCAACGGTGAGTAGCGACACTTGTTCTTCCCCACCGCTATCTAAATGTTTTGTCAGACTGGATGGTTGCTGCTGGACATGTTAACGGCACTGAGTCTTTCCAAACCTTCGAAGAGATCTTGACTAATGCTACCACCTCCATGGAAACTGGGTGAGTAGCTCTAGTCCTTCTGTCTTTAATGTGCACTGAATGGGATGTTTAGTTTCATTGTCCTTCAACACGATCTCTATGAGATCTCCGTCGACCTTGCCATGGGCTTCACCTTGCCGCTTGCTCTCTCCTATTCCCCCAGCCTCTCGGTAAGTCATGAGCGCTACTCGTGCCCGGATCAAGTACTAACTTTCATTACAGCTTCAGCCTATCGGCCAGTGCATCAACAAGCCTACCCGCGATCTCTACCTCGAGTCCAATACCAACAAAACTTTCCCCTACCCCCATAAATCCGGTGTCGACACTGACGGTGATGGGGTCATCGATACCAAGTCTGGGGATGGTGGCAAGACTACTGAAGAAATCAAAGCCAAGCAGGAAGAAGAATCCGGCGCCTCTCTCGATGCCTCTATCTTCTTACCCCTGAGCGCCTCCTTGATCATGGGTGCCCTCGCTCTTCTCTAAGCTGTGCACACTTGTACATGTTTCCTACTTCTCGAGCATTAAGCTCATGGACTTTTCTGACTGTATTCGGACTCTGTTGATGCCCTTTAACGTCGGACCCGGATCGCTTTCGTACATATAATACTTGATTTTCTTGTATATAGGTATACGGACTGTTGCACTCTTTTAAACGTCACTCTTTGTTAGATAGCCTGTAGCAGTCGTGCTTAATGTTGACTTGTAGTAGACGACAATCAGAGATACAATCGGAAATAGCCGTCTTCTCGTACTTAGCGTGTGGTTGTTCCATTTCCGCGATCAATGCTACGAGCGCTACGACCATAGTGAGTGTGGTGCAGCTCCCTTTCTCCCCTCCGCAATCATGGTTTCCCTCATCAACATCGTCCGCGACAGTGAGCAGGCGCATTCTGTCGACGGCGAACTGGCTGCTCATCGTATCTGATTTCCAGAGTTCCTCGAGGCCATCCGCTCTGTGAACCCACCCTCGAGATGGAAGATTCTGGTCGTGGACGACCATTCGCAGAAGCTAATTGGCGCCGTCTTGAAGCATTTCGATATTCTGCAGGAAAATGTAACCTGTATGTCCCCGTTTTCGACGTCCGGATCTCTTTCGGATGACACGAAAGAGGCCTGAACTGACGTTTCTATTCATGACGCTGCTCCTCGCGCTGCAACGGGCCAACCATATCGTGAATACCAGTGATCGAGTCCATCTCCAACCATCGAGAGCCTCAGCCTGAATTCGAGGCCATGTACCTCCTCATGCCGACACGACAGAACGTGGAACGAATCATCAGGGACTATAGCGGAAGGCTACAGTACGGCGGCGCACATCTGTTCTTCATCGAAGGTGGGTGTTTAGGGGTTACACCACCGCGTCTCAGTGGCTCAGGGATCCGTTGGGGACTCGTGAAACTCATGTTGGCTGTTTTCAGGGTTGTCCGAAGAGCTGTTCCAGCGATTGACGTCCTCACCTGCTGAACCCTATCTCCGGGCTTTGAAGGAACTGTTCCTTAATTTCTGGGGTGTGTCGCGCGGCTACTGTATTCCTTACCCTGGCAGTAGACTGATTAGTGTTCAGCTACGGAAGCTCAAGCATTCTCGCTACAAGAACCCGGTCTCTTCTTCAGTATCTACAGCCCGCCGAGGACTGAAGCTGCATTCAAACCCGCTCGGGATCGCCTCGAAGAAGACCTCCAGTTCACAAGTAAAGTGGTAGGTGCGGAATCATACGAGCGTCTAGGTTACTTCGGCGAAAGCTCGCTGTAACTCGACGTTCTACACAGGTCGTTTTCGCTTACCGCTGTATTCCTTCAGATCGCCAACTGCTGCATCACGCTGAATGAGTACCCATACATCCGATACTATATGCCCTCGAACCATCCGCCACTTGGGCCTTTGAAGCCTAATGCCCAGACTCGAGCGCCCCCGCCTTCGGAAGGGTCATCGAGATGGCGTACCAGCCTTGCACGGGGATCGGATGCCAGGGCTCATGAGGCTGCGGATACCGAATACGTTACGAGGCTATTGGCTTTCATGGTGGAGCAGAATCTGGAAGAGCATAAAAAGCTGAATCCGGATTTCGGGGTACGTCGCAACTTGACATTCGAAATCCCAATAAATTAACAGAAATGAATTGTGCAGAAATCAGAGCAAGGAAGGCCTAGAGGTGTCCTCATCATTACGGACAGGTCTATGGATATGATTGCGCCCTTTGTCCACGAATTCACATATCAAGCTATGGCACACGACTTGTTGCCCATCCATGATAACAAATACACGTACGTACAACATCTTTTGATGGAAGCAGTGATTCTGACCATTTGGTTACAGGTATAAATTCCAGTCCGCTATTGGCGCCTATGAAGACAAAACAGCAACTCTATCCGACGCCGATAATGTCTGGACTGAGGTCCGACATATGCACATGAGAGAGGCTATTGATAAACTCATGGCCGACTTCAACAAGTTCTTGACGGACAATGCGGTCTTCAAAGGGTGTGTAATTGTATCGGACGTCGTGATCTTTATCCCAGGTCGTCTGACGCATGGTACGAAACAGAGAAGGCGCTGCCAATCTTAACGACATGAAGGAGATGCTTGCCAATCTTCCTCAGTATCAAGAACAGCGAGAGAAGTTCTCTCTGCACTTGAATATGGCGCAGGAGTGTATGGCGAAATTTGAGAATGACAAGCTGCCGCCGATCGCCAACGTCGAACAGGTGAATGATCTAGTGTATCGCAAAGGGCTTTTGTTGACATGAATTCAACCTCGATAGTGCTGCTCGACCGGGCTCAACGCTCAGGGCAAGTCACCGAAAGGCTTGGTTGAAGAGATGGTTCCTTTGCTAGATAGCAGAGACGTCAGGTCCGTCGAGGTTTTCCTCCAAACCGTTTTCATTATGATTGACTTGCTTCAACAGCAACATCAACAAAGTTCGAATCATTTCCCTTTACATTCAATACAGAGATGGTGTTCCAGACGAGGATCGTCGACGTCTGTACCAACACGCCCGTCTGAGTTTGGCAGAACAAGATGCTGTCAACGCGCTTGCTCACCTTGGCGTCCGATTGAGCAGGGTATGGTTCTTTGCTTTTGTATCGGATCTGGTAGTAACTGGATCGTGTTACAGGGCCCTAACGATAAAGACCGCAAGAAGATCAAGCAGAAGCCGACTAGAGATGACGAATATGAACTTTCTCGATTCAAGCCCGCTATTCGCGCTGTTCTAGAGGTATGTTGACGGGATTCCTTTTGCTTTCCTTCTGCTTCTAATCAGTTGTGTTCTAGGACCAAGTGGCAGAGAAGCTCGAGACCTCCATGTTCCCTTACGTGAGGGATGCGCCATCCCAAGTCAATCTCCAAACGAGTTTGCGCTCTCCACCACCACAAACCACTTCTTTGCGCAGTCAGAAACCTGCCTGGCATCGCGCCCCCAAACAAAGCGCGATTTCGAACAACAAGCAGAGGATCATTGTTTTCGTTGCCGGCGGTGTGACCTACTCGGAGATGAGGGAAGCGTATCAGCTTTCAAGCAGCTTGAATAAGGATATCATCATTGGTGGGTGTTTCTGCTCACTCACTGGCGATAAGTGCTAATGTCATGATTTCAGGTTCTACTCATACCATCACACCGAACGGCATGGTGGATGATCTGAAAGTGCTCGACCTCCAGGGTGCAGGTTCGCGCGCCCTTCCCAACGGTCTTAGAGATCGCAGAGATGGACCTCGCCCATTCCAAGACTTCTATGACGAGAAATACTTCACCAAAGACCCGCCGCCACCAGTGCGGCCTGCTCCTGCTCCTGCTCCGGCACGGCAACAGGTTCCCACCAAGATTATCCAGCCTTCGCCAACCAATTCATACCAAGGGTCGGTGAACTCTGTGAACGCCCCGCCTGAGAAGAAGAAGAAGCGCAATTTCTTTGGCTTCTGATTTGAGATGAGCACCTGGTTATACCTCCTTTCGTTCTGTATGATAACCCCCCTTTTACGATTAATGACGACCTTCCTTGATACCCGCCACGAGATGTTCTCTTTGCCTTCCTCTCATTGAAAGGGCATGGAATATAGGCGTGATAGTACAATAATGAGAAGAGTAATGAATTACGTCGAGTACTCCAGCTTCGCTGTAGAGATAAATAGTGGTCAAAGACAGCGTCGCAAGGAAATGACGGCAGAACGTACTCTCGTGTTTCTTCGCCTCGCCAACCTTTCTCGCCGCCTTGATTAAGTCTTCCTGGATGATGTACTCTCTGTCGTCCCGGATGGCGAACATTCCAGCTTCGGTAACCACGTTTCGAAGATCGGCACCGTTGAAACCGTCTGAAAGCTTCACGACTGCCTCGTAATCGATTTCGCCGTTCTTGTTCACTGGACCAGTGTGAATCTTGAGAATTTCTAGTCGGGCTTGCTCGTTGGGAAGCGGAATCTCGATCTTTCGGTCGAGTCGTCCGGGTCGTAGGAGGGCTGGATCGAGGGTATCGGGTCGGTTAGTGGCCATGATGAGCTTCGTCCTTCCTAGCGAATCGAAACCGTCCATTTGGTTTAGCAACTAAGGGTACCGCGATGAGTTCCGAGTTGACTCTGATAATCACAATTACACACCTCCATTAGCGTTCGCTGAATTTCACGATCCGCACTCGTTCCTTCTGAGAAACGACGACCACCAATGGCGTCGATTTCGTCCATGAATATCACACAAGGCTCATGTTCACGGGCATAACCGAACATCTCTCTGACCACACGAGCTGACTCTCCGATGTACTTGTCGACGATGGCGGATGAGACGACTTTGAGGAAGTTGGTGTTGAGGGTTGCTGCGACTGCTCGGGCGAGGAGAGTCTTTCCTGTTCCTGGTGGACCATATAGCAGGACACCCTTTGGAGGTTTGATGCCTACTCTTTGGAAGAGTTCAGGGTTGAGGAGAGGGAGTTCGATGATCTGTATTGCAATCGAGGTAAGTGGATGTCTTAGTTGGGAGGACTGAATGCGCACCTCTCGTAGTTCTCGGACCTGTTCACCGAGACCACCAATACCGGCGAAAGAAGCTCCTCCAGGGTCTTCCATACTCATCTTGTAGACCAATGGGTCGACTTCTCGGGGCAATATCCGCATAATGGTGAGGGTGGTCATGTCTAATGAAACACGGGTTCCTGCTTTGAGTTTGTCGACTGGGAGTGTTGGTCTGTACGATACGACATAGCGGGGTCCTGAAGATGCTTTAACAATAACTGTATTGACGTATCAGGAGGTTGGAAGGGAATGTGGAAGCTGAGGAACGCACAGCGGTCGTCGTCGAGTTGTTTCATGACTTCTCCAATGATTTGGCCGACGGACTGGACGGCCTTGATGTCTTCCTCTGTCTTTGCATAGGCTTTCTCGAGGTCCTTTAACGAGAATCGAACTAGAATGTATCTTCAATTAGAATTCCCATTTCATTTTCAACTGTCTTACGGTTCTTCAGGCTTTCGCTATTCGTTTCGTGCTGCTTCAATTTCTAATAACACAGGGTAAGAAAGAGTGATACAGATTTCAAGCTGGACACTGACATCTCTGTAGGCCTTGAGCGCGTCCTTTTTGCGCTGGTCAAATTGTGATGTGGATGAGGAAGCCATTGTGTTGTTGGTGAAGAGATAACGAGTGCAGACACTTGACTCTGGTTCGCGGCCAGAAACGAGAACGCGTAAGTGACGCGTTCCTTGCCGGAAAAGGAAAGTGGGTCACATGATTAAGGCAGGCCCCTATCGGCCCGCGACGTCAATCAAGGTCGCCCACAATTGCCTTTGGCGACGATGTTCTTTCACTTCGCTGGTCACCTGCAGCACAACCGCAGTCCTCCTCGTGCCGCAGTACGCAGTCGATTGACTCAGACTCGCCTATAAGAAGTGGTCTGCTCGAGGTTGACGTCCTCAGGCCCCTTGTCCCCGCACAGCTACCTGCTTGTTGGGAATAGAGGCCTTTCCACCGTGTCACAATGTCCGAAAGACCAAGTAAGTTGGTTTGGTGTTAATGTATGAACTCTTATTGACTCATCTAGAACCGAAACACAGTAAATCTAGGATATGCACCGCGTTTGCACAGAAAGGAAAATGCGCGTTTGGCGCGATGTGTAAATCCAGTCACGACGTTGGCGCTAACGGTTCGGCCAGAGGATCGCAGCAATCTCCAAAGCCATCTTCGTCTGCCAAAAGTGTCAAATCGTCTAGTAAACCGCAGAAGAAGCGGCCGCCGCCTACGCCGGTGGTTAAACCGGCGGAGAGTATCCCTAGCCGTTCACCCACTCCAGACGACCCTCTCGAAAAGCAAGAAATGATTGACGAAGACGATGAAAAGGAGCCTTGTGTGTTCTGGCCTGGAAATTGTGGCTCTGGAGATCAGTGTGCATTTCTGCATGTGGATCCAGCGCCTGCTCCTGCCGAAGCAAAAACCGTGGCAGGTGAGAGCATTGTGGTATGCAGTAAATTGGATTCGCTCAGTCTTCTTCCAGAGTCCTCTACGTCCAAGCAGAAGGAGAACCTGGTCTGTAAGCACTTTCTGAAGGGTAGTTGCAAGAGAGGCACGACGTGCTCCTTTGCACATCCGAAAGGGACTTCAAGTTCGACTGAATCACGGTCGTCGAAGGGGAAGGGAAAGGAGCCTGCTCCCACTTATCGCCCTGCATCTCCCTTTGGGTACGGCCATGTTGAGAACGACACCAGTAAGCATATGCAGCTGTTAAAGCCTGGTTTCTTGACTGATTACGGTTTCATAGGCGACGATGAAACCGAACAAGGCAATGATTCCGACACCGATACAGAAAGTCGTTATGCGGATAGCTCGGCTGGAGGGTGGGTCAAGGCTCGAACCAGCGCGCGTAAAACCCATGCCCGCGATCCTCCCATTGTTGAAGACAAGGAGAGCGTCTTCGAGTTTAGCAACAATCCCAAGCATCGTGGCCCCACGCAGGTAGCCCAGCCACCAGCAGTAGCACCGCCTCCACCGCAAATTCAGACCCCAACCATCGCTGTCCCGCATATCACCCAAGCTATGTTCCACTGGAGCCAGTTTGCAGATCCCAATGCGGATCCTAATGTCGCCTTTTGCAAACAATTGACCCAGAACAACTGCGCTCTGCAAGCGCAATGTCGCTTCAGGCATTCCCTTACACCGGAAGAGTATACCACACTCTTTAAGGACCAACAGCCGATGCTCATGACCCTCAACCAATCCCTCGGTACTGCGCAGGGCGCCGTTCCCCAAGCACAGCCAGTCTATTACCAGGTTGCCCAACCTCCGCCCATCGCACCCACTATCCCTGTAATACAATCTCCCCCACCGCCCGCCAAGCCTCCTATATCAAAGGTCCTCTGCGCCTTCTGGATCCGCAACAAATGCCAGAATGGCGACAAATGCCCTTTCCGCCATGAAGGAACCCCCATCACGGAGACCGCCTCTGGTTATGACTCGATGGACAACCTCCGGGGGACGAGTCCTGTGCAGGATATCTGTCGACACTTCCAGAAGGGACATTGCATCTTTGGGGACAAGTGCCAGAACAGCCATATTATGCATTCGGACATTCAGAACTATCGGACCAAGGCCAGGGCTGATGCCAACGGATGGGGAGCCCCGGCTGAGGAGGATAATGGGTGGGGTGTGTCGAGCGGCAATCCAGATGCTTGGGGCGAAAGCGATGATCACACTGGCTCCAAGGCCGACGATGGTTGGTGGGGCTCCGACGATAGGTCCAACAACAGGACCGAACGACGCGACAATTGGTCGTCTAATTCGAACACGAGGACCTCTGACAGATCCTCGGGTCGTATATGCTATGATTATCAAGTTGGGAGGTGTACTCGAGGGGATCGGTGTAGGTTCAGTCATGATCTTGGAAGTGGTCGTGGAGGGCCTAATGACGAATATCGAGGGACACAGTCGCGGGGTAGTGGGTCATCTTCCTCTCGGTGCAAGTTCTACGACCAAGGAGATTGTCGCCGAGGGAATGCTTGTTCTCGCAGGCACGAGGATGGTGGATCTTGGAAGCGGGCCGACTCTTACCAGGCTGAGGGCTGGGGTAGTGCGCAGGATGAGGGGCAGGACCATGAGGCTAATGGGTGGGGAGCTGAGGAAGGTACAACGGGGGATGTGTGGGGGCAGGATGCAGCCGACGATCATCGAGACGAGGATGAAGGAGAACCACGGGATGGCGACGTTACCCACGAAGATGAACGAGAGTCCGCGAAGGGGAGTGAAGACGAGGGAGACGGCAGTGATGGCTGGAACACTAGTAGGAAGTGGTTCGAGCCCAGCGACAATACCGATCGTAGTACTTCCGCCAAGAAACGGCCACTTTGCTTAAAGTTCGGGCAGGGGGCTTGCCGTAGAGACGACTGTGCCTTTCAGCACAGTTTACCTTCGGACCAAGCTGCTATCCACTCCAGGGCTGAGTCGGCAGTAGAAGATGACGAGATAGAAGAAACCCAAGAAGCTGAGCCGGAGGTTGATGTCACCCCGGTCGAAGATGTCCCTCCTGCTCGTTCTCCTTCACCCGAAGTAAGTACGACATACATTGGCGACAGTTCATTTCTGACTTGTTACAATTAGATCGAGGAACATCCCCTTGTCCAGCGTTTCGTCAACAATTGCACAGTTCGCTTCGACGCCCAGTGCCAACCCGAGGAAATCATGACGGCGGCCGACTCGAAGAAACTCGTGCTGTCTCACCTCCCGATCGGTATCACAGACGAAGAAATCCAGCGTCTCGTCAAGCACATTGGTGCTGTTAAAGAGATCGTAGAGCTTGGCACAGGCGAGGCCACGGCCACGTTCAGTGTCGAGTTCGAGGACGCGGCCGCTGCCCTAATCGCGGTTAGGCTGCTCAACGGGAAGGATTATTCGGGTCAGACGGTCGTCGCAAAGCTTGACAGTCGAGCAACGGTATCCGGGAGGTCACCGCTGGGTAGCCAGGTCTTGCTGGTGTCGTGGCCCTGTCCTACGCTGACTGCATGGATATTTTACGAAACCGTGACGATTGCGAAGCAGGCAGCACAGAAGATCAACGGGGTGAAGTTCCAGGACCGGACGATCAAGGCGCTCTACGAGGCTGGAAAGGGCAACAAGCGCGGACCATGGCCTGTTCGTGTCACCAACCTTCCTCCCGCCGCTTCCAAGGACGATCTGAAAGGCCTGTGCGATGTCCCCTTCGTTGTGACCGATTTGGGCCAACCGACCTATACCGAATCGCCTCGGGATGCCATTCAGGAGGCGCTGGAGGAGTATGGGGGAGTGCTGTCATTCGAGGATTCTCTTGAAGAGAACACGGTGTCGAAGAACTTTGTATATGCGACGATGGAAGGACACGCGGCTGCTCAGGCAGCGGCCAAGGCGCTCAACAAGACGAAGCCGTCATATATCGGAGAGCAATATTTGACTGTCCAGCATATCTACCTCGCCGGGTTTCAGATGCCAGCTAAGGCCTTCGAGTGTGTCGCCGACCAAGTCAAAGTAATCCGGGAGGTGCAGAAAGGGACGTGCACTGTGGTTGATTGGCCCTTGGTGGATACCCACGTCGTCAAGATCTATGCTCCCGTCGATCAAGCTGTTGCCTTTTGCACTGCCCACGCCGAACTGGAAAAGGTGGCTGACGGTTTAGTCGTGACATCGGAGGATGGGGCCAATGTTTGGGACGACTACCTTGAGACGACCAGCGCGGAAAAGGCGATCGAGAAGTTCAACGAGCGCCCGACGGATGTGCCTTGTTTTGTTTACATCGACAAGCGTTATCAGGTTGTTCGCGTCTATGGAGCACCTGATGGGCAGAAACGTGGACAAGCGGCCCTCATGAAGATCTTGAAAACGGTCAACGAGCAACGCCACGAACTCGCTGTCCCCCGGGAGAAGATGGCGGCGATCATCGACAATGGCTTGTCTGAGCTTCATAATTCACTTGGAGGCAGCAAGGTAACGCTCGACATCGTGAGTCCCAAACTGGTTATCAGGGGCACGCCGGACGATCTTGGCAAGGCCAAGTTGGTGCTGAGCGTTGCCCCTGCTTCCTCGATTCCGTCGACGGTCGCTCGGTCCAAGTTGTGTCCTGTTTGTGAACGAGAACCCGTCGACCGTGTCAGGCTGAGCTGCAGACATGTCTACTGCAAGGCATGTCTGAAGTTCGCTTTGACGAAGACTGCGAAAGGCGAAATGGCTGGACAGCCCTTCTTTTCTTGCATTTATTCGGATGAAGGTGGAGATGACGATGGCTCTACCCCTGCTCAAACCTGCGGGGCACCTATCTCATATGCAGTTGTTCGGGACACACTGCAGATGGCTGGCGAGGTGGAGTTTTTGAAGGCAGCGTTTGCGTTCTTCATTCGGGCTCACCGAGACCAATACTTTTTCTGTCCCACACCTGACTGCGTTGCGGTCTATCGCTCGGCGGAAGAGGAGATCGTCATCCGTTGCACAATGTGTTCTGGAGATATTTGTCCTTTATGTCGCTCGAGGAGTCACGACGGCAGGCTGTGTGCGGAGCGGATGTGAGGGCTTGATTGAAATAAAGAATTTCATGGAATCCGGGACAGTTTTCGTAGATTATGCTTGGTTGCTCATGTCCTATGTACTAATCTCGTTTTACCCTGTATGATATGGCAACTTTGTTTCCGTGCAGGCCGCCTTGGCTCTCGATCAAGAATTGATCGATTACTCCCACGTGTGTGATCGCCGATATCCCCGAAGCCTCCGACGACTCTGGACGGGGCGCTAATTCGAAGCAAGGTCCAACCATGACATGACGGAAGATGATTACATATCCCATGTGTTGTCCTTCTAAAACCATTTCCTTCCTGTCCACAACGACGACCACGGGCGCTGGTCACAGTGGTTGCGCCCAGGCTATTCGGTGGCGGATAACTAGCGAAGTGAGTGAACCGACTTAGTTTTGGGCCTGAACAAAGTTCTGACAATGATCTGCTACCGTCTTAAGTGCGACGCACGGGACTCTACTTCAGCTGAACTCGTGTGTCTGTCCTTCTCCGACGTTCACAAATAGTGTTGCCATCGAGGAACGCCTTTACTTGACCTGTCGCGACATCCACAAAGGCACCATCTACTACCCCCGTCTACGCTGTTGAGCTGGCCACCAACCTCCTCCCGTTTTTGACGACTTCGCATTCACCGATCGTCCGACGCGATGCTGCGTCGTGCACCTCGCACCAGAGACTACTATGCCCCATCATCACGCTCGCGGACTGCCTCAATATTCCGGCTACTGCTCAGATATGTTCGAAGACCGGTTTTAGCAGCGCTGCTGCTGGGTATTGCTGTATTCTTTGCCGGGTTGATACAAGAGTGGATGTTTTCTGCAAGAATGCAGAGGTATGACTTCGTATCGCTTGGGTTTGTCGGGGACCAGTTGTGCTTAGGTTCACTCTTATAGAGACCCTCATGATCTCCCAATCCCAATCCAAAGAGCTGAAGATCACATCTTGACGATGACGAAAACGCAAACCACATTCATCAAAACGACCGTGACGAAAACCATAGTTCCTGCAGAAGCCACCAGTCGCTCAGGTCCCCGCCCACTCGATGCATTCGGCTTTCCCATATACGACTCAAGCAAGCGACCTGGAGAACACGAAGCTGTCCCGTTTCTACGCCGCGATGGTACTTCCGAGCCTTCACTCGTCGATCGACCGCCCGAGAGTCGGCATTTTTATCGACCAGATGGATTGGTGGAGGTCAATCCGAATGGTCCACACCCCATTTTCGAGTTGATTGAGAAGGGCGAGCGGGAATGGAAGCGGAAGCATGACAGAGCGAGCAGGACTCTGAAGGAGGCGTGCGCAGAGTATAAACGCCGGTATGGGAGGCGGCCACCAAAAGGGTTCGAGAAATGGTAAGGATATTTCATTAACGTAAATAAAGTGGTGCTGAACTATATTAGGTGGGCCTACGTTCAAAAATACCAAGTCCAGCTTCCAGACGAGTATGACCAGATCCATCGCGACTTGGAACCGTTCTTTGCCTTCGAGCCCTTGATGCTTCAGTGGATTGAATACGAGTGGGAGGGCCATGCCGACTCCTTTACCATCGGTGAGTAGTAATCACTCTTGCTGTCGTACGTCCCGTTAATGACGGTAACCTCTCTGATAGGCAAGGAGGAAATTGGCTCGCCGTTGGATTTATTAAACTTTACCTTGCCGGAGAGTGGTCAGATCAGGCACGAGCTAGCCAAGGGAGCCAATATGATTATTGACTTGATGAAGGAAGTGGAGGAGGACCTTCCCGTATTCAGGTTGGTGCCGGTTGATCGATCACTTTATAAATTGCTTTCTCAGACCGATACTCGTTTTCAGAGCTGTGTTTAGCCCTCATGATAACCCCAGTCTATTGTCTGATTGGGAATTCAGGAGAGATGCCATCGAGGCTGCCAAACGGGGAGAATGTAGGCCGTCCCTCGTTCCCGCTCAGCTAGGAACGGAACGTAGTTGACACTCTGCCTCTTAGATCTTGACCTATCTCAACCACGCGAACAGAAACATCACGGATGGAAGACGGCCTGCCCACCGTTCTCGCCCATCTGGGCTGATCCATTACCTTACTCCATTGCAAACGGTGTTACCACTCCTCCAACCCTTCGCCAACTGGAGCAACTGAAGTACAGCAGCCCTCATTCCAATTATAGTGGGTTTGGACCACACCCTAAGACGTTCATCCATGACCATGCAGCAACCCTGTCGCCTTGTGAACACCCTGCCCACTTGCTGATGCACGGTCAGTTCCTACGGTATGGCCATGGAGGACCTGTACCGTTGCGTGAAAAGCTGGCGAATACGGGTGAGTGGGCTCATTCTGGATCCTTTGGTGCGTCTTGTTGACTTGCTGCAATCTAGAGGACCTCCCGGAGCCGGTATACTATGGAATGGTGCCGTACTTCAGCTACAGTCCCACGCGACTTCACGACGACATAGTCGCGGCCGTACCCATGGGATGGGTGGATGATGTCTACCCGCGTTCAGTATGTCCCGCTATCATAGAAACTCTCTTCCTGGGCGCTTATATTTGATTACAGGACGACCCTCCCTTTGATGAGAAGCCAGATTCTCGGCTCCACTGGCGAGGTCGAAATACTGGAATGTGGTGTGGAAATGACAACGACGTCGAAAGTCTGAACACAGTTCTGGGTAAAACCATCGGCGGTGTATGTATCCCTGTCTTCAGTTGCGCTTGGGTTTGCTGAATGATGCCTCATAGTATAATCCCAAAGAAAAGCATACCATAGGCCCCGACCGTGCCTGGTGGCTATCGCAACGAGGAAGGCTTGTCGATTGGGCGAATCGTATGTGGGAAGGGCTGTACGAAGTTGAGCCCGCTCAGGTGCCCCATTCGTTGAATGTCGGCGTGCCTCACGAAATCTGGAAACGGTCTACTGTTCCTGAGTTTGAGGACGACCTATTCGTTGGTCCCATGCCCAATGACACCTCCCTACATGGGAGGCGCATGGGGGGAAGCCTCCGGAAAGGGAAAACTTTGCCAGCTCATTGCCATGCAGGTGTTCTTCGATCCCCGCCTTCCCCCGAGTACCGGCTCGCTGCACCTCCGGACAAAAATGACGACACTGAATGGATTGGCCACGAGAGTCCACCTTTATCCAAGTCGGATTGGTCGCCCGCTATGTGTGATATCGCTTTCGTTGGCTCCCCGCTGAACTGTGAAGGGAGGATGTGTGACAAAGTCGGGGACATGTATGAATTTAGGAAGGTGCAAGGAGGGAAGGAACAGGGAAGGTACAAGTTTGTGATGGATGTCGACGGGAATGGGTGGAGCTCGAGGTTCAAGAGGTTGATTACTTCGAATAGCTTGATCTTCAAGAGTACCGTGTATCCTGAATGGTGAGCATACTTGCTTTTGCATGTCAGCTTTAGCTGACTCCATTCCATCCTTCAGGTTCACCGACCGTATCCAGCCCTGGGTGCACTATGTTCCCATCCAGCTTGATCTTTCAGACCTCCTCGACACCCTGTACTTCTTCCGTGGCGATCCTTCCCAACACAACCACCATCTCGATCTAGCAGCAAAGATGGCCGATGCGGGTCGGCAGTGGAGCAAACGATACTGGCGGAAGGAAGATATGGTTGCTTATATGTTCCGACTGTTCCTGGAGTATGCGAGGGTGATGGGAGACGAGTTTGGGAGGAGGGAAGATTATGTGTATAGGGAAGCCGATGAAGTCAAGAGGGGCGAGATGAGAAGCGAGGATGCGGGACCTCAACTATCTGAGGATGCTCCGCTGTACGAAGTTGAAGACTTCAATGCTGCACACCCAACTCCTGTTAACGATTGGAAGGATGATGAATCGAATCCAGCCAGGCCACTCGTCCTCTGAGGTTCTCCACTCCGGATAGACAATCACCTTGTAAATGTATATGGACATCTCTCCCGACATCTAGCATCTGTAGAATGCACTATGTAATTTCATCCGGTAGGAACTTCAGCCACCTTTCTGGTAAGATTCGATAGTTTCGCTAACTAAGGTGTCATATCCCTTATGCTGCCCGCATCAACGGCGATGTCATGACGGTCTCCACTGTTATCAACTTGGACTTATACCCCGTGGATCTTTCTTATCCATATGGGTACAGAAGATAAGAGGAGATACATCTCTTGTGACACGGATCTAACTTTCGGGACCCCTGAGTCCCGAATGTCTTGGCGCTCTGTTCATGATGATCGCCCGGAATAGCTGGCGCTAATTAGGGCGCTTATGTTGGGTTGTTCCACTAAACAATATCTATGATAAAGGTTGGTAAGGGTGGTTTACTGTAGCTGATATCCTAGCTCGTCCCCTTATGGACTATGCTCCACAAGATGGCAGGGAAGTTTCATGACAAGGCAAGGTGATTCTTATCGCTTCATTGACCGTCCAAGGTGCTCCCCTGAGGTCACTCCCTAGGAACATTCGCGCATACCTATCTTCAATGACAGAAGCATCACTCATATGACCCTATGACGACCTATTCTTGGGGCAGGAGGTCTGACAGTATTCAGTAGTGCCGACTGTTTACTGGAGCTCCTTGTCGGTGGCACTGAGTTACATCACGGGCGCTCAAGGGCCCGTCCTTCCCTTACTTCCATTTCTGTGTCACTTGCTCTGCAACTCGTGAGGTGGCGTACAAGTTGCGCCGCTAGAGCCAGCTTCCGATATAGATTAGTTTCGGAACCACGTCTTCCTTTGAATGTTTTAGGAAGCTTCGTATCTTGGAATCCACGCCTCAATTCACTTTTTGGCCTTCAGTTCACATTGAATTCAAACTCCTGTCACTTAACCATAGACCCTGTGGTGGCCTTCACCTCTTAAGAAGCCTGCGAGGAATGTCATCCATGGGAACCGAATTCAATCTTTAGGAAAGAATTATTCCTTTGACTTCTCAATTGCAAGTTCTCGTGGTGGTAACCTCTCAAAAAAGACCGGTATAAATCGAGCCTACAGTCGTATCTCTTTCGCCTCAAACTTCCTCGAGAAGTGATGGAGACCACTACCCTGAACATTGCTCATTTCAACGACGTCTACCAGGTCTCCGAGCACAAAGTGAACGGAGAACGCATTGACGTCTCCAAGTTCGCTACTCTTTTGGAGGGCGTCACCTCTAAATGGAGCGATAGAGGAGATGGTCGAAAGGATGGCTTGACCGTCTTCTCTGGAGACTTGTTCTCCCCTTCCATCGAGAGCTCTATTACGAGGGGAAAGCACATGGTGGGCCCCTTTGCGAGTCTGATCGATCGCGGATTTCTGAACGAGCGCACACTCTAGCTTCCAATCATCAATGAGCTGAATGTCGACATCGCTGTGGCCGGTATGTTGCGAGTGGAGCTCATCTAGTTGATGTACCCGCTGACCAAATACCCTTAATTCCTACAGGTAACCATGAGTTCGATTTCGGTGCGTTGCTTACCTCCAGATTGTAGCTGCCAGTGGGTCCTGACCAGATTGAAGGGTATCCGGAACTGCAAGAGTTACTCGCCGAGTCTGCTTTCGTACGTTTCCTTCCATCGACCCGATACTTAAGCCGCGAAAGCTAATTCGTACTGTCCCCGTAGCCATGGCTTCTCAGCAACATTGTCGATACCACAACTGGGAAGACCCCTGAACCGCTCCAAGAATTCCATGTCCTCGAGCGGTCGGGTGTTCGCATTGGCCTTATTGGTCTAGTTGAGCAGTAAGCCATATCGTTGGTCTCTCCTTGCTATATGTGCCGACCACTCGTCTAAGGGATTGGATTCCCACTATTGTTGGCTGGCCGGAGCACTTCCAATACCAGGATATGGTGCAGGTGGCGAATGCCTTGTCAGCCAAACTCCGTGATCCCGCCGGGGAACACCAATGCGATATCATCTTCGCACTCACCCATTCTCGGTAGGTCCTTATGACAATCGTCGTTTAGAGCCACTAAACCAACCAGCTTCTTAGTATCTCCAATGTAAGCATAGGCTTTCTAGTGGAGGAAAACCCTCTGACTTCCCACTCGCAGGACATCGCGTTTGCGAAAAACGTTCTCGCTCTGTCCCCAGCAGCCCAGGCCTCCAAGAACATTGCCTCGGAGCATGGGGTCGACATTCTTCTAGGTGGCCATGACCACATTTACTGGATCTCCAAGGGCGTTACCGAGTGGGAAGGATACGACCTAAACACTCCGGTCGAGGACGCCAAAGACGACCAAGGCGACGTTCTGGTAGTCAAGAGTGGCACTGATTTCCAAGACTTGAGCGAAATCACCTTGATGCTCAAGGACACCCCCTCGGGAAGTGTCAGGAGGAAAGTGATCACGGAGATTCGGGGTATGTTTCTCCTCTCCAGCAGGTCGAGCATTGGTTGATATGTTCTTGACAAGGCAAGCGACTTTCTACAAAGGGAACAACCCCTGTACATGCGGCGATCAAAGCCATCTACGATGACGAGGTAAAATATATCGAGGAGAGTCTCAAGGAACCGATTGGTACTATCGAAGAAGAACTTGACACGAGGATGTCTCTCATCCGCACGCAGGAGGTAATTTGGCCTCCGAGTCTTTGCTTGGGCTTCTAGCAACTCATGCCCTACCCTGTAGTCGCCCGTTGCGAATTGGGTGTCTGATTGCATTCGCGAGGCCTACGACGAGGCACTCATCAACAAGGGGTACACAGGAGCAGATGCTACCTTCATCAATGCCGGCGGTATGGGGATCGTGTCTATGCTCCAGGTAAGTCTGAAGGTGTCCTCGATGGACAAGTATGAGTCCTTAACGCACCCTTGTCCGGCAAATCAGGCACACTTCTCCTGGGAGATCTCAAGACAATGTTCCCATACAACGACTCGATCGTGGTCATCCAGGTCGACGGGAAAACTCTTTGGGACGCTGCCGAATCCGGCCTCTCCAGTTGGCCGGAATGGGAAGGGTACGTCGCCGCTCGTGCTGAAGGGGGTAACAGTATCTGAATTAGCCAACAGTCGTTTCCCAGCGATCTCGGGATTCCGTATCGAATGGGATAGCAGGAAGGAGCCTGGAAATAGGGTCCTTGGAGTCTGGATGGTGGAGGACCCTGACGAAATCGGACCAAACGGTATACCGTTTGTGGTGGACAAGGAGCCCGTCTCGCGAACCTCAGACAAGAAGTATCTCATCGTGACGGGAGAGTACCTCGCTAATGGTGGCGACGGGTATACCATGTTCAAGGGCCAACCCGTCATCATAACCGCCGAGAATGGCCAACCCGCCAATCAGTTGGTCAAGAAGTACATCGGAGGTAAGTGCTTTGGCTGGCGCGCATCACCAATGTCCATCTTGACCGACATACTCCTCAGGTTCTCAGTTCCTGAAGCGTGATGAACAGGCTGCCGAAAGCACACAGGTCGAAGGGGGCCGGCGAGTTCACAAGGCCCGACGGAATGTCGACTCGACCCACGCCAGAAAGCTCGCTCCCGCCGCCTATTCCGCGGTTGTCCACAATCGTCTTGGTCTACTCGACCCCTACCAGCGAAGCAGAGCTCGAGGACATGCTTCCTGCTGCGACAAGGGACCAGATTGTCCAAAGTGCAGGCAATACGGTTTGGTGGACAGGAAGGCTGGCGCCCGGTCACTCCTGTCCAAGGAATCCAGGATCGCCGCGGTCAGTGCGGCGGACGAGGAGGCACAGCAAAGCTTACCTGTCATCCGGCCGTTCATCGACGGAAGAGTGAAGGACGTTTCCAAGGCGTAACCCTACGACGCAAATGTCTCATAGCAGAGAAGTCGTACTTGAACAGATGAATTGTACATTAGTGTCCATCGACGTTTTTCTGACACGCGCGAAGTTCTTTCGAATATGTTGTCACTAGTAGCCTGAATGTTTCCGTCTCCAGCCCCTTTTTCACTGGTCAAGAGCGGCCTCTAAATTGATGTGGACTCGTCGGTGTTGAGAATAAGTGTCGTGAAGAACACAATCATCTCCAAAAAGGTGTCAACGACGATGTCTGGACAGAATTATTCAGTCTGCGGTTATTTAGTTCGTGAGGGGACCACTTACGTTCGTTCACAGTGTGAATACCAGATCCAAGTGAGTTATTGCTCTTGCCATTGTGGTGATTGTATCGGAAGATATGCCTCGAAAGGTCCCAGTAGAAACGGGTATCTGTAAGGGGACCGCGAGATCAGCGGACTCATCCGTGCCTCGAATTGGATAAAGATATACCTGTGTTTCCGGTCATCATACTAGGCGCGACGATGATATCCTCGTCACGAGCCACATCCCAATTACTGGTCGCAGCTCTCGACCATGCGCTAAAGGCTGCCTTGATTGTCCCGCTAAGCAATCTATAAGCTCCTGCCTCGTCACCCGTAGTCGGTGTCAGGGGCGCAGGTTCCAAGGCCGTATTCGCGAAATCGTCGAGAACCAACGATCCCTTGGATGGTGCAACATCCGCTTCTGACAGAACTTCGGAACCAAAGGCTGTAAAGGTGAGGTTGAATTCCCTTGCAAGGTCTTTGAGGAGGTTGGTGTCGCGTTCTTCCACTTCAGCGACAGAGCTGGTAACGGTGATCCTGTGGTTGATGACGGCCCATGCTTGTTCTGGGAGAGCGTTGCTCTTGACTCCGCCCTGAATCAGGTCGATCGCTTGCGTCGTGCCGACGAGGCTCTCCAGTACGCGGTTCTGTAGAACGACGGATTCAAGTTGCTTTAGAGCCTTGTCTGAGTGTGCTGAGCGTGCAATGGCCTTGCGAAGGTCGCTTGGGACTTCTTTGGCATGTGCACCCATGCACTGCAGCGTCCAATAGACGGGTTGGTCTCGAGTCTAGATGACGAGTTAGATACGGTAGCAGAGAGAGGCTAAGTTGACTTACAAGTTCCGCCTTGACGGGGTTCTTCTCAACATGGACCAAGAGGGCAGCGAGTATTCCAATACTCTGTACGCATTCGATGAGTAACCAGTCGAAGAAAATGGCCAAGGCGACTTACGGTATGAGGAGGAGGAACGCTTGAATGCCCACCGGGGGTCCTGACTTCGGCTTTGACGTTGAAATAACCCTTCTCTGCGACGCCAGGTGAGGCGATCCAAGATCCAAGGTCACGCGTGAATCCAGCTGATACCACTTGTGAGTCGAAACTATAGCATAGGGTAATGCGTCCTTACATCCTTCATCGACAATCAGCGCGATACCATCCTTCCCATAGAGGTCTTTGATGAAGGGGGCCAAAGTACCTGCACCCTAGTTGATATATTATTGTGAGTTGCCACTGCCCAGTGTAGCGAATCTTCTAACTTACGTAGAAACCGCTAGCTTCCTCGTCGAATCCAAAGGCGAGGACAACGGTTCTTCTGGGCTTGAATCCATTCTTCAATAATGTCTCTACGCTGGCACTGCGAGGATAATTAGCCTTGGCAGTTGAACGCAAAGCATGGGTCCCTACAGTACGCCGATCAAACCACTCTTGTCATCGGAGCTTCCACGACCCCAGATTCGTTCGCCTTACGAGTTGAAATTGAGCGATCTAATTATTGCCAATGTGAGGAACTGTGTTACCGTCATAGTGACCAGAGTAGGGTGGGTGTGTCCATTCGTGCACGGTCGTGTCGTCAACGGGAACAACGTCTAAGGTGAATGAGAATGCGGGTTGCGCGTGCATGCGATATCATTTACTTACCCTGGTGGGCTGCCAGAAGCAGGGGCTTGAGCGAGGTATCGGACCCCACCCATTCGTAGAGCAGGCCATAGGTGTTGACTTTCGTTAGCTTGAGTGTAGTATGCCTATGTCTTCCTCAGATGCAGTCCATGTAGATTGTAATGTATACTTACACCAGTGGGAATGAACCCAACAGGTATTCATGGAACGGCTCGAACGCTTTCCACCGAGGGTCCTCGTCAATGGGCCCCATACCATCGAAAGACTCCGTCCTGTTCCAAGAAACGCATTAGAAGAGAGCAGAAACAAGGTAGGCGGTTCTTACCGAATGCGTACAGCGCCTGAGAGCCAGTTGACCGCTTGTTCGCGGAAGTCCCCGTCTGTGCTAATTTCCTTGGAGAGTTCCGTCCAGAGGTCGGCGTACCTCGAGGGTTGGAGCACCGGTTCTTGAGGGCAGACATCGGACATAGACGCTGTGCTCCTGTCAAGAGCGCTGGTAATCACATTGAGGTGCGACGAGCAGTGGGATCCAAAGGCGAGGCAGTAACTGCCGACCAAAACCGCAGCAACTACAGCGAACTTCCACCAGGTCCGGCCGCGTTTGGGGGGTTGTACTGGCTCGTGTTCTGCATTGAACAACTGGGCATTCGAGGGCAGTAAGAGTCCTCGACTGCCGTCCTTCTCGTACAAGACCATGGTGGTGTGGTTGAGAGCGTACGGGGCTCAGCTTCGGGACCGCGCGATGCAACTGACATGTACAGGGAAATGGATCACGTCAGCGACGCCAAATATTGCTCGTGTTGCGTTCGGATCGAGAGGTCCATCGTTGTTCGGCGACGCGTATTATGTCCATGGTAGCTTTTCTTTATTGCTTGGGACGTGGCTGGGATGCAGGAAAACGGTCGAGGTCGTCGTGAGAGACGACGAGCATGTCCACGGCTGATCCAATCGTGATGAGGTAATCTTCTGAACGAGGGAAGCTTGGCGTTATCCGAGTCCTGAGCGCCCACCCAGCGCTATGTAGTGTTCCAATCCTAAAGCCCGATCCTCAGCACACATTGGTGTGACAGCGTTATGTACGTTGGAATATTAGAGAGGGTCGCAAATATTTATGAGCTTCTCTGAGAAAATCTGGATGTGTGGGCCACCACTGGAGAATTCTGAAGTTGGCTGCATGCATTGCCAGTGGGCCCCCCAACGACCCGCACTTGCCCAAAAGCTGATACGTCGAAGACACGGCATGAATCGTCTTGAGCCTCCGCTGGAAAAATTTGACGCTCGAGGACAACGTTCTCGTCATATCTGGCATCCCACCCGACCTTGTTTTAGCCTCATAAGAGAGTATTCCCTGCGATATTCTGAGAAGTGCAACCCGGTAGTCGTAGTCGTGGCCAAAGGGATCTCAATACGGATGACAGTCATTATTTTGTCACCTCAGTCTCTGCTTGCGGAAGTTCGGACGTGAACTTGATCGAGTCTGAGAGCTTCATCCCTGCAATAGTTGGGTCGCACTGTTACAGCCGTTTGAGGCCGAGTCGATGTCCTCTTATGCATGTACACGGACGCGCAAGATAGTAAGCCAGTCAGTTGAAAGCAGAGTGAAGAGCTCTAAGTCATCTCCAAAATCGCTGGCGAGAATACATTCACGCCACGCGCCGCTGAAACGCATCTTTTCCAGTGAAGGACCCACGTAGGTAAGGTATCTTTGGCTGACACTCGGTTGTGCGTTCTATTGTCCCACTGTTGCTGGATATCGCCATGAGCCCTTGGTTTCTGAAAGTATTCTTTAAAACGCCGGCAACACATGCGTCAGCAGTCACACTTCAGTTGTTGCAGATAACCCTCTTTCTTCAAGTCGAGTGGATACGCCATTCAATTGGAAACGAGTTCACAAAATGGTGCCCGTCCAAGAGATTCACCAGTTACTACAGGCGCCATGATCTCCAGGTCACGATGTTCAAGGTCAGGATGTTCATCACCAGTGGGAGCGAGCGTTCAAAGTCATTCTGGATTTAATTCATACTTGGCTCGATTACTATTTAGGCGCCCACTGCGGTGAGTGCATGCAGAGTTGGCGATGGAATTTCAAACCAAAGCGCCCAAGCCTGCAACGTCTATTCCGGACGAGTGCCTTTCTCAAATTCATGTTCACACAGTTCTGATAGGCACAAAATTGCACGCGACGAACCGCAGAGGCAATGCATGCAAGGATGTCGCCGGGAACCTGGACTCGAAGCTGGTATTTTTGAAACATCGGAATGGCCGCGTTCACGAGTTCCCGGACGAGGCTCGACAATGCGTACAAGGAACTTCATGATCAGAAGGAACACTTGTCGTCTTGCACAAAGGACATTGTCTCGGTCCTTGTTTTCCAGAACATCGTCTTGACAATGACAATAGAACCGTGATAACCTGAGAAGTTGATTTCGGGCATCGTGGCCTTTGGCGACGACAAGCGCCAGGGCATTACATCATTCGTTGCTGGCTGAGGACTCGGAGTCATCATGGAAGGTAACAAATGGACTGTAGCTCGTTAACTTCATGATCTCGCGCTTAACTACCTCCTTGTTTGATCCTTCGTCGTGAACCGCAACCACCAGCACTAAGCTCGCCCCTTACAATGCGCAGGACGTTGGATAATATACGCAAGCGACTCTCGGTGCGCAGGACGGGAGGCGAGAACCCGCACCAGCTGCCGCAACTGACCCCGTTTAATCTCGACCCGCAAACTCGGTTCCAAGGCATCGTCGACACAGTTATCCAGGAGAATCGACGACAACGAATGGCATCCATAGAGGACAGCGACAATGCCATTCCCGGCCCCAAGTTCACCCCAGAGGAGCTGGGAGAAACGATACCAGCAGCGCCACCGTTGAACGGGACTCTCCCGCTGCCTAACGAACTCTTCTATCTCATCATCGAGACGCACCTCTTCGACGACACAATATCCCTGCTACGACTCAGCAGGGCACTTCCAATCTTCCAGCACCAATGCTGGACACAGGCCTTTAGCAACGTCCCCATCTCCATTCGCGAACGCGGATCCCGCAAAAAGAAACTCACGAGCAACGTCGATCTGTTCCTACAACTTGTCACCCACAGCCCCCGAATCCTGTCCTACATACGCGGTTTAGACATTAAAGACTGCGGACGACACAGCTACCGCCATTCCCTCGATGCCACCAGCGGCCAAGACCTAACCACTCTCGCTCTCCTCCTCGTCCTAGGCCAGCGCATGCCTCGCTTGCGCTCGTTCAAAATCCGCTGCTCGATCCACTGGGCCAACCTCCCGGACCAGCTCCAAGCTGCCTTTATCACCTTATTCCAAAACTCTACCATTGAGGAAGTGGTGTTGTGCGACCTGGCCCTGCCCGTCAACCTTCTAGGCACGATCCCCCGCCTCAAGTCCGTGGACATCCAAACAGGGGGTGTCGGCCTCCCTTTGCTGCACCCCGCTGCCATCCTCGGCCCACGCAAGAAGATCGAGTCCCTGCGGATACGCGACCGGAATCCGTTTGGACATGCAGCGAGTACTGTCGGTTTGGGGTCGATGGAGTGGCGGGCTCGTCCGTTCTCGCTTTCGCATCTGAAGAGGCTGGAGATCTGTTTACCGGGCAACAGGCTCTCGACCATTCAGCATGGGTTGTCCCTCTGCACGTCGTTGGAGTCGTTGAAGGTGTTTGTTGGGACTGCTGGCGGATGTAAGCCCTTTCCTCGTATCTGGATTCATGTTGGAGCTGATATTCGTAATATTTCCTAGTACCCCAATCCATCGACTTGCAGTCTTTATCGCTGCTCAAGCACCTGACATTGTCAGCGGACGTGTCAAGCGCTGTCGTATATGAGCACCGCTTCCACTGGCTCATTACCGCCCTGACCTCCCTCTCCCGGAGCGTTCACCAGGCACTTGAGGACCTCACCATCCTCATGCGCATTGACACACTCCTGCGCAGCCGAGAATGCGACTGGGAACTCCTGGATAACGTATTTTCTATAGATAACAAGGATGGATCGAATGTCGAGAACAAACCCAAGGTTTTCGATGCGGACAGACCAAATCCGGAGGAGGAAGGCACGGACAGTGGGACTCAAAACCCTGTCGCACATGGTCTGAGGGGTACCAATATCCGATTAAAACCTCGGGTCGAAGGAGAGGACAGACTGGCTAGGGTCGAAGAGAGCGACGACGAAATAGCACCAGGAAAATGGAGCAGCCTTCGAACGGTCAACATTATCTGGTGTACAAGTAGGAGAGAGGACTTGAGGGAAGACCTCAACCAGGATTTCGTAAATGAACTTCCTATGCTCATGCCTAACCTCGCGGAACGACGTGTAGTAGTCAAAGCGCAAACCACATACTCCGACGCAATGTACAACTTCTGGACGTTCACATAAATTTCTTTGCCATGCACCTGCGTACTATACCTTGTAGCATACCTATCCGGTTCTTTACTTTTGTTTGTCCCGGACAACTCGTTCTCAAAACACTCACTCAAGTGGACTGTACTGTACCACATATCCCTAATCAAATGTCGATATAATTACACAAAATCGCATCTAATCCACTAACAAAAACTCAACGAGGTATATCTTATCTCACCACTGGTCTCTCTCTCTCTTCTAGATCCCCCTAACACCACCAACGGGTTGCCCCTCAACCTGAATCGTCAGATTCTCCAACCCGGGTATTCTCTCTCTCAAAAGCGTATCTACCCTCTCCACCACCCTATCCAGCTTGGTATATGTCGTGCGCACAGAAGAGTGAGGGCCAGTAGGGTCCACAGATGCTGCGGCTGGTGCTAGCTGGATGTGTATAGACCCGACAATCGTCGATGCGTCTTTAGGCCAGAAACGGGCGCATGAGTACGAGGCGAGACCCTCGATCGTTGAGAGCTGTCGTGTCAAGCGAAGGCGTCAGCACAACGAAGATGATCGATCACCGAAGTGAAGAGTGCCCTAGGGAACGGCCGGGTACGATGGACTACAACTCACTTCCTTCAAAGCATCCAGAATAACCACATCCTTATCCGCCACGTCCAGCGCCAAGATCTTGCCCGTGTCAATGACCAACGGGAACACACTCGCCGCGATCAAGATGGCGATGAAGAGGGAGGCAATAGGGTCGAAGCCGGTCCAACCGTACCATTGGATGAGGAGGGTGGAGATGATCACACCTACGGAGCCGAGGGTGTCCTGTCAGAAAGGGTGTAGGTTTTGCGTTAGTATTGCGATAAAGCGGGTCGGCTAGCTATAGGTAGGGAACGGAGACGGGGGACGGAAGTTAAGTGGGTGGCAAAAAGTGAAACGGAAAGATGAAGGGTAGAATGGTAGGAGGATAGGATGTAGAGTGTTAGTGCCTTCTAGTCTCGCAGCAGGTACCGGAAGGACTAACACCGATCCAAGCAGAGGAGAAAAGAAAATAAGGAAGAAAGAGCCCAGTACTCACAGCCATAACATGCAAAAACACGCCTCTCATATTATGACTATGTCCATGGGCATGTCCTCCATGTCCATGCGAATGGTCCGATGTATGGTTTACATTCGGCGTGTGCACCCCATGATGATGCTCATTGTGTTCGTCATGGGTGAACGAGAAGGTCGGTTCTAGAGGCGTTTCGACTATCACCGATGGCCCAGGGTGATGATGTTTGCCCGAACTAGTCGATATAGTGGTATTAGGGAGCTCACCACCGGTATTCGCTCCCGTATCACCAAACTGTGTTTGGATGTTCAAGGACCCGGCACGAGAATGCCTCCGCGATGCGAGTGTACCAATGGTGGATCTCTCACCACCACCAGTGTTCGACAGTGATCGCGAGTGTCCGATAGGGTTTGTTGCAGATAGATCGGGCGGAGGTGAATGCGAATGTGAGTGCGACTGCTGTTTAGAGTCCGACTCGCATTGGGTAGTCGAATGTGAGTGTGAGTGCCCCCCGTGATCGTGACCTGGTGTTTGGCAGCTGTCGGAACCGTGGTCATGTCCTTGATGAGAATGAGAATGGGAGTGTTCCGGCGAATGCGGGTGGACATTAGATGGGGAATGCGAATGCGAGTGGTCAGAGGGCTTGGTCTGGGAGCTATCGCATACTGAAGAGTGCGAGTGACTATGAGAATGCTCGTGTGCAGAGTGAGAATGACCGCGGTGCTCTCTTGCAGCAGAATGAGAATGTCCATGTCCGCCGTGTCCGTCGTGTCCGTGATTCCCCTTCTCGGAGTGTGAGTGCCCACCGTGGTCATGGGAGTGTCCGTGGTCGTCCGATGAGCCTCCAAACAGACTAAAGTTGAACGAGTGAGAATGACCATGTGAGTGCGAATGCCCACCACCGCCCTACAAGAACACAAGCAGGATGGTCAGGCACCAGTAAAGAAAAAAGTTTTGTCAGAAAAAACGTATTACAAGCCCAAAGGAGTGAAAACCTTACATGGTGGTGTCCACCCATGGCAAACATCCCAAACAAGTTGACCGCCAGACCGACAGAACTAACAAGAAGGAGTTGGTTGGTATTCATCTCCGGAGGGTCGATACTGTATCAAACATCATCAGCCAAGTTAAATAGGGGTTAATCAACCAGAGATAACTTCGCAGTTGCTTACATTCTTTGGATTGCCTCGAACACGATGAATATAGAGATCAAGATCAAGAATATACCGTTTGCAAAGCCGGAAAGGGTTTCAATGCGGCCATACCTAAGCCAACGGAAAGGGGGGAGCGATGAGATAGAAATGCAGCACCAGAGTAATGAAACGTACCCATATGTAAACCGTTCATTGGGTTCCCAAGTTGCCATCACGGACGCAAGGAGACCAACTCCAATGGCCATACAGTCGAAAGCCATGTGAATAGCTACGTGCAGTACATCGCCGTTCAGAGTGAAAGGTATCGAATAGAAAGGAATTCGTCAGTCAAGACTGCTTTCATTCGATTGTATCATTGTAGCCATAAAGGGGGTACTCACCGTCCGAGATGAGACCGAGACTGTTAGTCCAAACGCCATAAAGCATCTGAACGAGCATGTAGCTTAAATTAAGCATTAGAAAATAGAAGATTTTGCGGGACTCCGGGTTTGAGAGGATGGCTTTGAGGTATGACTTGATTAAGCGCGAGGCTGGCGTTCGAGCTGCCAGAACGTGGCTGCTCGCGGTTTCGGGATGCATACCTATTCAGTACAACCCCATTTAGCTGACAGAACTACGAGGAATGGAAAAGGTGGAACAGAACCGCGACAACTCACCGAAATAGAGCAGAAACGCGAGCAGAAGATCTGACCGTGCTGGAAGCTGGTTGAATGCCAAAGGACCCAGAATGCCAGACGAAACCGCCAAGATGGGGAACGAGGTCCTGAAGAACTGGGGCTGTAGCGACAGGTTGTTCAAAGTGTGCTTGGTGAGGGGTGTAAGGAAAAGGAGGGAGTATGCAATGAACGGAATGGCGATAAACGAGAAGTATGGCAGGCTGGGTGTCGGTGGGAAGTGAAGCAGGGCCGTTCTGAATAGGTAGAAGGGTAGGCAGAATATACTTGCTCCAAAAGTGGCTGCCGCGATAGTGAATGTCGGACCCAAGGACGGTGAAATGAAGGTCATAGTGTGCTCGAGTGCCATCGACACCAAGCCGTGCAAGACGAGGGCGCCATATCCAGGGAGGTACCTCACAACGCTGTCTTTAGAGAAACTGGATTCAGTCATTATTCCAATCGCAAAGGCTGCGAGGACAGCGAATACTTTGCGCGCCTATCGAATAAGGTTAGGAACGCGACACGATTCAGAATGGAGAACTTGCCGAAGGGAAATTGATGACGGTCGTAATGAGGTATGTGGAGAAATGGGAGAAGAGGACGACCCTAGACATGCGTGTGGTTAGCTGGATGTGCGACCTAGTCCCCGAGGACTTACCGAGCGGAGGGTAGCCGGTAGAGTGCGGTGAACAAGGTTCCGTATTGCAAGAAGACAAGGAGCGAGGCCATAGCAAGTGCAGACCACTAAAACGAAGCATGAGTCTCGGAAACTTTGGCAACAGGGTCAGAAAACACACCTCGATGGACTTGCGTTTCTTAACTTGCCCAGTGACCCCTTCCCAAACCAGAGCACCCAACCCCCCACACGCCAGGACCCTCATGAGCACCCAAAACGCCCCGACATCATAATCAAGTAACCATTCCTTGGTCGTCTGGATGGCGACCACGAACAAGACATTTGCAAGGACGACGCGGGGCAGAGTCTTGCTTGAAATCCTGGATATAAACGTGTCGCGTCTAGTTTGATTCTTTCAGGGCGCCACAATTGAGATGGACGTACGAAGACGGGGTATGAGATTTGGAAGGGTCTAGGCTTATCTTGCTGCGTGTGTGAGCATCGGGGACAGGCATAATAGTCGATTCAACTTTGCCAGAGTTTTGCTGTAACCAACCCGCTCTCAACGTCCTCCGTGAATGTCTCTCCACACTTCGACGCCTTCCGAATCAAGCAACACCAATCAATCAGCACCGCCACACACTCCCATTGCAGTTTAAGAATTAAAAGACGACAAGATGAGATAAAGTAAAATACTAATACACTAGATACTGGTGATACAGTCGGAAAACAATCAGCCACTATAATTACGGTAAATGACTATCCCTGACCTAAACGAACCCAAGAAATACAGTGCAGTAGTGGAAGTACACAAAAGAAAAAAGCAAGAGCACACAACAGGGAAAGTACACACAAGCAAGAGAGAAGAATGGTAATTTTAAATCAACAGAGTCCAAGCTACACTGCCGTTCATTTGCAATTGTACTGCGTTTGCGCAACAAGGTTGTGCCATGGGTAGTCCATGTCATTAATCGGAGGGCATTCACCTTGGTTCATCATAGCTTGCATGGGGTATCCATTATAGGGGTAGTACTCCGCCATCGCCTCAATACCCATCCCGTTTTGCTGCATGTGGCTTTGCTGCTGTTGCTGCGGATGGGGCTGGGTCAGTCCAGACGAGGGTTGATGGTGTTGTGCCTGCTGGTGTTGATGATATCCACCATATCCCATTGGGGATTGCGAGCTAGCCCCGGAGGGCCCAGAGTACGAAGCATAATCTCCAACGTTGATATTGACGTTGAGATTTTGGATATGGGTATAATTTTGCCAGGAGGAGGACGAGCTGGCATCCGAAAGTGGGGTATATGGGGACATGACGTTCGTTTGAGCTGATATCGGCGGGGAAGAAGGCTGTTGTGATGGAGAAGATGGGTTCGAGGTGGAACACGAGGGCGATGATGGGGTAGTACGCCGCGCAACAAGTCGTGTCATCCCTCCAAGGGCGGATAATTCCATCGTCATTTCTGTCTCCTCGGTTTTGATGGGAGGACTGAAAAATGCGAGCCTTGATGCTGGGTCGTTTGGAAGGGCCCCGTTGGCGCCATTCGAAGCGGCACCTGATAGCGCGGTTTGGGCGCGATCCCTCATTTTCTGCAGTATAGGCTGCAAGAGTTAAGTTAGCAGACGGGCGACGATTTTCACATAATTACGCACCAAGATCTTGCTTGTTCGCGTCGTATCCGAAACTTGATCGAAGAGCTGATACGCCAGATCCAGATACGTCAGGGCAGAAGGAGCCAACTGCATTCGAGATTTGACAGCAATTGAACCAAGGACGATCTATAGCACAGGCGAAACGTGGAGAATTAGAATCAGAGGATCCGCCGGCGGGAAAAGCGAAGACACGAACCGCGCATGAAAAGACGTGCGTGAATAAAAACCACATGCGCTCAGTTAGCTGAGGGTGCTGCTTGAATAAACTCTCGATCAATGCGACGAAGGTCATCGCACTCCGGTACGCCGCTAGCACAGAGGGTGCATACTTGCTGCCCATCGGATCATTCGGATTGTCCTCCAGTGCTTGCGCGAAAAAGCCTCTGTGCATGTAGAAGAGTGCTTAAAACCAACAATCAGATCAGTCAGCAAAATAGGCGAAAGAACACCAACTAATTTCCCGGATTGCAAATGCAGTATACCGTTGCATCGTTAGTTCGATGGACGGCTGCTCAACTTCCCCGCTGATCTTCGAGTTTCCGAACCCGGGGACCATAAGGCTAGGTGGGACATACCAGTTCCGCACTTTGGTATCCAATTCTTGGATCACAGAATAACTCGGCGCCTTTGTCCCAAACGCCTGATCGTGGACGACGCTCAAGCATTCCGCAGAGAACGAATGCTTCCATGCAGCGACTACAAATATGGATCACGGCGTTAAAACAGAAGCTGGTTGGAAGGAACAATAGGAGATACGTACATGTCATCTCAACATCGCCAGTGGGCGTGGTAACAGTTTCATTGGGCAGTTTACTGTCGATGTGGACCATAGACAGCGACGGAGGGCGACCGAAGGTTAAGCTCTGTGTACCCAATGAGTGGATGAGTCAATCAATTGTGTATGTAAACATACCTGCCACGAGTCGTAGGTGAGAATTTCGTAGAAGAGCTGTCTTCGTTTCTGCGTCTCTTCGGGGTCGAGCTTCCATTTGCCACTGTCACGATCTGTGGATAGAAGGTCAGGGAATTGAGCGATGAGGGGGGAGAGATCGCGGGTGGCTACTCACGAAGACCGATCTATAAAACGCCGCTGGTTAGATCTGGAAGAATAACGCGGATAAATCAAGAGTACTAACACTTTGCGCCACTTTTACAACAATGCCCATAAGCACCCAGCGCGGACCAGCCATGTCTGATAGAAACATAAAGTGGCACATGAGAAGCTACAAACGTGGTTTTAGTATGGTGAAAGCGTAATGTATGATGGCATGCGTACCAGGGCTTGCAACGCTGTGATCGACTGCTCTTCGAGAACGGAATCCAAGGCTAAGGCCGCTCGGCCTATCTGGAAATACTGCATCGACTCGGGAGAGTGTGCAGGCAGGTCCAGATCGAGAAGGGTGCCCAAAGCAAGAACCATGAAAAAAACGGAGAGAGTATGTGACGACACCGAGTCACGGTATGTTTCCTCTGTATTATATACTTCTGGAAGAACGTTGGAATAAAAATCTTGTTCAGAAATAGGTGTATACCTGGAATTGAGTTTTAGATCGTTCGTCTATGGAGGAACGGAAGAGGTAAACCCACATCCATGCAGCATGGCGGAAGTACAAGTTGGCTATGCGTTTAGCAGCGGCAGGTGCAGGAAGGTGACTAGTTATCGAGGCCCTGACGGCTTCCGACGTCTTGTTTACGGCGGATGTAAAGGGGAAGCCATGGCTCAGCCAAGGAAGATCCTGTGGCATATGTGGTGCATATTGGGAGGACAACGTTTCTTCTTCGTCAGAGCCTTCTTCGATCTGTTTCCAAATTGAGCCAACTCTAAGATAGTTTACGGGAAGGACGTTGGACTCACTTGGAGAAGATACTTGCGGGGCATAGAGATCAGCTTGCCACCTGTGGGATTATGATGCAAGATAACTCACCCAAGAATTCGCTGCAGTGCCAAAGAAGGTAGACCTCCCGCTTTGAGAGATGGAACTATGGGCCGTACAGGTGTAAGCGACATGTGCGGCATGGCTAAATGATTTTACTCACAGAGAACCGAGTGCGTCTATTGTCTCACCACCCTCGCTCTTCCCCTCCTTTGACGCTTCATCGGGTCGTTCCCGTTCGAGTGGTCGTTTGATTTGCAAAAGCTCTTCAGTGAGGAGAGGATGTACACCGTTCGAGTTGAGCGAATGGGACTGTGCAAGGGCGTCTTCGAGAGCTCGAACGCGGTTGGCGAGTAGGTTAATTTTGTCGTGCAGAACTTCGGTGTTGGCCAGAACAAATCTAGGAATAGGTGAATAGGGAAAGATGGTCGAGAATTGCTAGATAAGCACCTGTTACCCTTTCCCGTGGTGAGAGACCCTGAGCCCAGTGAGAATTAATATTACGACTGAGGATCACACCGAATGCTCACCGTCGGGACAGATGGCCGAGCACCCCTTCTTCACGCAATTGCTAATAGACAATGAGCATCCCCGCTCTATCTGCTCCTAGGATGGCCTCACCTGCAGGGGAACTGACGGCTACACCTGCAGTCACTGGTGGTCAGAACCGCGAAGGACAATGGTAGATGGGGTATGTACGAACTTGAGCTTCAACCTAGTCGCGATGTAGGTCTGTATCAGAATATAACTGGCTTGCGGATGCTGTAAGACATACCTCCGACATTCTGCACACGAAAGGGCGACACCGCGACGCTTGTGTCGGTTGACCAAGCTGCCCGATGAGGACTGGGCAGTGGGATCGTGTGTGTATGGGCTTGAAGCCGGCATTTAGGCAGAGTCCAACGTTGTGGACGACGTCAAGAGTGAGTCAGGACGATGATGGCGACAGAAGGAAAGACAAAATAACGCGGTCGGGGAAGGAGGTGGCCGTATATAACGCCGTGCCCTCATTCCACTCGAGTACCAGATCTAATATGGCAGATTCGTCGGAATGTCTCCCAATCCGTGTGCTTGGCATTATTTGGCTCCGTTTGTACCACTTCCATAAATTGGCGCGCGGACGCAATATTTTTTTTCTTCGTTCCCGACAACCTTCTAGTCCATCGTTTTGGTGAGTCCATTTCCTCTTTCTCCTTCAAAGATGAATTCTTTAGATGACGAGTCTGAGCTATGATGGTCAGAGTTTCTCTGGCCTGACGGTTCTGACGATACAATCTTTAATTTACCATTCATGCTTTTCTGAACAACAAACCGTTTCTGGTTTTCTCAATCGGATCTTTCTGATTTTTCGGCGCCGATACTGATTTTTGGCTTCTTTCTTATAGGTCGACATGGCACCTGTTCGAGACGACGACTGGTCGGATTCTGACGAGGAGAATTTGGCCGAAGTAGAGACTAGCGTATTACTGGGTGTCCCGGACGGGCCTGTTGACATCGACAGCGATCTCAACGATGTGGCTGTTTCTCGTATCGGAGGACATCCTGTACGATCCATGTACCAATGCCTTAATACATTTGCTCATTCATATTTGAAAGGCTTTCTTGACCGCTACCGAGCCACCGTTTTCCTCTTCCGAATGCAAAGTCTGCGGTAACCCTATGGAGTTGTTGGTCCAGATGTGGTGCCCGTTTGAAGATAGCCCTATGGATCGTGCACTTTATATTTGGGGCTGTCCTCGGGTCGGGTGTCAGGGCCAGGAGGGAACGTAAGTGCCACATTGTGCAACCGAGGAACCAAACTTAAATCCTGTAGGGTACGCGCATGGAGAGCCCTTCGCTTCAACGAAAAATACGCCGCCAAACTCCAAAAGAAGCTTGAACGGCAAAAGGCGAAAGCACAGACGAAAGTGGAATCGCAAGTTGCGAAAGCAAACCCATTTGCAGTATGTCCTCTAGATCGAATTCATCAATATCATTTCCACTCTAATGCATCACAGTCCAAGGGCAACGCCATCTCGGCACCTAACCCTTTCGGTTTGGGTGCTCAGATCTTTGGGCAGGCCTCACCTCCACCGTTCCAAAGTGATGTCACTGACGGGAATGCGGACGAAGGCGACAGTGGTTCAGAGTCTGACGAGGACGATGATTCCGCTTCAGAAAAGTCGCTTTTGACGGCCATCTCGACCGTCTCCATCGCGGATTCTGCTTGGAAATCCTCACCGGCCTACCCTCCCCTCTATCTGTCAACCATATCCGAATACCTACCCGCTCAGGCGAAACCCAAAGTTCCATCGACAGCCGAGGTCGTCGACCCTGCAGGCAAGGATGGCTCGTGGCTTTCAGAAGCTTACGAGAATTCTATGAACACCGATCAAGCTTTCGACCGTTTTTCTCAAAGAGTGGAAGCTGAACCTGAACAGTGTGTTCGATATGAATTGCATGGAACCCCCCTACCCTTCTCTTCTTCGGACGCAGTCTTCAAGAAACTTTTCGCCGCTCCCGATGGGCCGCCACCTGCGGTGACAAAAGCAGCTTTCACCGTAGTACATCCTCAAAAGCGGACGTTCGACCCTGCGGCTGTTCCTCCGTGCCCTGTTTGCCGCTCCAAGCGCGTGTTCGAATGCCAGTTGATGCCCAATTTGATCAACGTCCTGCGGCCCAAGGAATCCGAGCCACGAAAACAGACGGATGAAGAACGACGGAAGGCTGTGGAAGAAGCTTTGAAGAGAGGAAATAAAGACCAACGGGGGTCAATGGAGTGGGGCACATGCATGGTATTTTCATGCGAAAAGGACTGCTGTTTCGACGATGAAACGAAAGAAGAGTCCAAATTTACTTGGAGGGAAGAAGTTGTTTTGATCCAATGGGATTCCTAACCTCGGACCTTGTTGTTCCTGCGTGGAATCGTAGCCATTTGATTCTTCTGCCTCGCTACACTGTCCCAACCTGGTGGAACGCCAATGCCTCCGCAAATCGACCAATCGCGTCTACTAGATAACGCGTTAGGGGTTTTTCAGAATCGCGCACACCCCATCGAGTCTCCAGATCGGGTTGCGTACTTTTCTTGGGCGATGCCTATACCTTCAGGATCTTCTGTGTGGTGCTATTGTTGTCTTCAGACATTCCGCTCGTGTATTTCCGTTAGTCATTCGCCATCTCTTCGCCTGCAGCCCTCCAGTTCCCCCAGACCTGGATACCTGGAACACTGATAGGTATTGATAGACTTCATCGGCGGTGAGCGCTGATCATTGGGCGAGAACGCGTCGCCAATTAAGTCGACCAGACAACAAACTCCACTCTAACGTGTTTTGAGAAGAATGTGGACGGTTGGTTCATTACCTCCTCTTCCATGAGCGCCCGTAGGTGTAGGACGAATGGAGCCTAGAAGTAGCCGACCGCTCGAGCATTTTACGTCAAAAGCTGTGTGAATGATGACAGGGGTTATACGATTAGTGAACATCCCGATGCCTACAACCCAAGAAAAAAGAGGGTAGATATCTTGGGCCCACGATGTTTGGGACAAAGACTCGGAAGTCCAGGCGCGCATTTACTCTCTCGTACTTATGTGTAAGACCGGTGGCTTACAGCGGTTCCCATAACGCTCATATACCCGACGGTGGCTGAACCTCTTCAGTCATGCTGCCTTTTGGTGTAGCGGCTATGTGCGTCGGCTAGTCGTCTTACATTATGTCGCCTACGAGTTTCCATCACTTCTCCGCCGACGTCGCAAGATTGGTCAACCGCTTGGCCATTTAGGAAGGGTGTGCGACTCGGGAAGTGATTTATTGTGTTGGATTCAATTGTACTTAAGTACATCCGAGGGACGGGTAAGATTTGGTTGGAATAAATTGCAATTGGCTTTATTCGTTTGAAGGGTGTGTGTGCAAACAGCAATCATGTTCGTTGGGACTGGCGTTGGGCCTTTTGAAATGGGTGCGACTCGGACAAGCCAAGATGAAAGGGTCACACACAAACCCAGCATGGGTCCCATACTCAACGAGGATGGAAAAATAGCGAATCCTCTCAATGAAGGATGATTTTACATCTCTCCGCCAGTGAGCAATCCAGGGTTGATGGAGCAGCAATTGTAAGGACGAAAGAAAAGGATATTCCTCTTCAGTTGTTTTCCATGGACGAGCAAAAGGGTCTACTAGTAAGTATACCATCAGCTCACGAATGATGCAGCTGATAGATATGTCATCGGTCGGTGGAGAATTAACGGAGACACTTCGATGCGAAAAACGTGGAGCGGGGGTTCCCCAGGTGCTATCGAAGCGGATATCCAAGCACAAGGGTTTCGCCCTGAGCATCACCCACATGTGGTGTGCGTGCCCGTTACATGGCCCGAGGGGGATGATACAATCCGCCTAATTCCGATGAAACCCTTGGGTAGATGACGCTCAACCTCGTGGTTGCTTGCAGGATGAAACGATCGATGGGCGGCTGCTAGGGGTGGATAAAAAGGTGGTCACTGGATGCGGGCTCTATGCCTGCCACAGGACACTCAATACGTTTCTGAGCCTGGGCTATCTGTGCCTCTTCGTAAGTCGGTCTTTGTGATTTCCAAATCTGTACACCCTGTGCACCCCTCTCTGCCCTTCTGGACACCTGACGTAGGTAAACGCGCCAGCCTCGTGACGACAGCTTTTCTAGCACAATGTTACTTCTGGCGTTTGAATCTTTTTGAACCCGACATACGCCAGAACGTTTTCTTAAACAACCTGAATCCAAAACTTTTGACTTCATCAAATGACGCCCTTTTGTTGTCTGTGGCTTGTCATTAGAGGTGATTGGGAGCCTTGCCTCGAAATAGGATCAAGTGTATTGAGCATATACCTTTACGCTCTTCTACCCGACCACGGCCTCAGCTACTCAGTGCTGGATCAAGGGTACAACTGGGAGTCTCGGAGGGAAAAGTCGCCACACGTTCTGAAATTTCCCATGGGTGCCACACGGGCGCTTGTTACAGACGGCACTGACGTTCCGATCAACGGGTTCAAGCTCCGCATTCGAGTGCGACACCCCACAAAACTCGACCACCTCTCGAGTTCGACACACTCTATCATACTAGGTGGTGCGGCGGGCCGGCACCTATGTCCTTGCCCCAAGCCCTCCCAAGCCCTTGTTCTGGTCTCTGTTCAATAGAAAAAGACAAGAAAAAGAGCGCCTTTTCATCCATGTTCCATATCATATACATCCGATGTACATAAGTTAATACAAGAATCTAAAGTCCTGTCGATAGAGAGGAGAAGAGAAGTGAGTTTCCTCGCCATTGTAAGGGCGGGATACAAGTATGGAGACGGTGTTGGGACCATTAACCATGACGGTGAAGCAACGGCGGGTTCCCCGCGGGCGTCGACCATGGAAGCTAGGCTCGCGCGTAAAGTACTGGTTGCGAGTCTACATGGAAGCAAGAAAAAGATGGGTATGAATTAGAGCGGAGCGAAGTAATTGAAGCGGAGATGTAGGAAAACGCTGTATTACTTGAAAAGGAAGGTAAGCGGATGGGATAAAGCCTTGCTTGGGGCAAGGAACAGCCCCCGGGGACTCGGTTAATAGCAAGGAATACGGGTTTTCAAGAACACCTTCCCAACCATCCCCATGAATTTCCCACCATATAGTTCAGCCAACGTCATATTCAACGCCCTCCCTGTAACCAGCCATGAGCACACACAGACACTTGCGCCTTCCGCAGGACGCACTAGATTCGATCACGAGCCCTCCGAATTGTCAAACAGTGCTGGCAACAGGCGATCCTCGCAACACTGGATCCCCCACTAGATGTACTCTTTCCATATTTTCTACAGGCGAAATACAGACAGGACACATGGTCACCGCCAGCCATCAGAGATGACAGGCATTCCCGGGGGCACCATTGAACTGACACATTGCGTCGGACGGTCGCGGGCGCTTAACGACCCGAGCTCCGAAAATTAAGCGCTGCAGCCTGACACAAGGCTGACCCAGGACATGGCGGACAATTGAACTCTTGTCCAAATTGATCAAAGTTCACGTTGTTCACTGGCCTGGAAGATACCACCACACTGGCACATGGTCCCCATTGAGCAAGCAGGGCCTTTCAGCCGCTCTTTCACGACGCTCGCCCAGCGTCCATCGGTGTGTCAACATCGTAATGCTAGAGGGCAGACCATGGAGATCAACCTCCCAACGAATCGTACTGTGCTTAAGTCTTTGGCAATGGATGGGCGCCAGTGGACGCTGCCATGCAACGTGTCGCCGTAAACTGGTCCCGTTATCATGCCACCGCGGCATCGGATTGGGTCATGGGCACATTGTGACAATGTTTAGAAGACCAGGGACAGGCTACTAAGTCAGCCTTGATGGTGTGTACTAAAACGCACCAGTATGCTACGATCCAGACACTCATCGTCGTTGACCATCGCACTTGTCCGCTTATTTATTTAAGCACACACTGACGCTGCTTATTGAATATGATTGAACTTGTCTGACCTCCTGTCTCGCTGATTCCGGTTGGGCGCTAAAATCTTCAGCTTCCATGGCTGGACTTGGCAGCGTTTTACCCTTTTTGGATTTCGCACTTCCACGCTCGCCGTGTCCAGCAGCTCCAACCACATCGATGAGGCTGTCATTTGCGTATGGCCAAGGTCACCAGCTGACCTGATGATCGTGATACCAATATCCCGGATTGGAAACGAAGGACTTCTCTTTTGGCCTCCCAATGTCGGAACTTGGGGTTGAAGAGGCGTGTTTGTGTCCGGGCGCTTAAACATGCACGACAATCGATGGGAGCGGGCTAATTTGTGGTGTATAGGTATCGACGCGTGTTTACCTCGTGAATAGATTTAGGGTTAAAAGTCGACGGTTTCCGTCCAATGTCATACCAGAAACCACTTCTACCCCCACAGTCCACCTCAGGCGCCAACCATAATGGCACCCCCATCCGTCGACGCCATTGATGTCCAGGAAGGATACCCTTCCACGGACCTCATTCGCATCCTTCTTGCGAACCTCAAGAACGACACGAAAGGATACTCGCGCTACACGAAATCCTCGACGGCAATCCTCGTGAAGTCCAATGAGACTTACGACGGGATCATCGATTTGATAAAGCAAGTTCACGGATTCGAGACCATTGATGCTTCGAGCTGGGAAGCCTTTGAAAGGTCTGCGGACGGTATAACCGCATTGGAAGAGTAAGTCTGTTGGATGGTTGATTGCGGTGGATGCTGACTCGACGTTGCCTCTGGTCACTGTAGTTTCCTCCTTTCGCTCTTGTTGGAGGGCCATGATAAGCCAGCGGTACCTGAGGGAGCTAACATTGCTGAGTTGATCACTTTCGCGGAGACCTGGGTTGCGCAGCGCGCTAAGGTGGTCGAAGCAGCAGACAGGCTCGAGAAGATTGCGTCTAAGTCTCGTCTGGTGAAGGAGGTCAGTTATTTCCGGCAAAGAACGGAAGTCGTGTTAACAGCCCTCCACTACATGAACAGACCGCCACCTTCAAGAAGGCTATCCTTCAAGCCCAGAAAGAGGACGACGTAGATACCATATCTGCTGTGGTTACCCAGATCTCTGCCAACACATTCAGTGACGATGACCTGGTTCTCGAGGAATCGTAAGTTCTGCGTTTGGGATTGTACTCCATCAAGGAGGGTCTGACTCTTTCGAAAGGGAGAAGAACGATGAGAAATATGTAACATTTGTCAAAGAGAGCATCGCAGACTTCTCCGCCAAAGTTACTTCTTTACCAGAATCCTGCACGGAGGTGAGTGCACTTAACGGGGGTCGATCTTATTCCTGACCACGGTTCCAGGCTGTCATCGGCAAAGTGGTATCCGGAGTGATGCTTCTGTCCGTTCCCTTCTTGGTAGCCCAAATGGATAATGTCAATGCAAAAACGGACGCCCATGTCAAGTCCTCCAAGATCTGGAAAGCGGCGAAAGAGTAAGGGTCTAAGTCATGTACAGAAAAGAACCATACATACTGAACAACCTGTTAGCTTCGCCGAATACCTCAAAGAAAGCCTCGACTCGTCGAAGCTCGATGAGGACCCGCTCAAAGAGAAATGGGAGGCTTTCAAGAAACTGCTCTTGGATATCGTTGCCCCCGGACCATTAACGGCACAGCTCTTGACGCTAATGAGACTGGTGGCTCAAGTCCGACGACCGTTCTATGGTCGCTCCGTTGCTCTCGTCAAGATGTGGCATGCCATCAATACCGAGAAGCTCCAAAATGTCGACGACAAGAAGGAAAGGGGCGCCGTCATCAAGTGAGTTCTCTCTCCACTGTCAGGTGCCTTCAGGCATTCAGAGACTGACGGATGGTAGATCCCTCAAAGCAACAAAGGCAGCGCTCAGCAAAGCGGCGAAGGAGATCACCTCCTTCGACGAGGGTCTAACACAGCAGGCCCAGAGCGTTGGCGTCGAATATGATGGCCTATTGGACGACGTGACGGCCCTGGTTGCCAAATACGCCAGCGACAAGACTGACACGAAGGCAGTTTACCAGACGGCGAAAGAAGTTGATGAGGGCCATCTTAAGCGCTTCAGAGAGAAGGTGAAGAAGGTAGCTCCGTGATGCGAGTCGACTGAGTGAGATGTGTGCGTTTCGTTTTGTCGAAGTAATGTATGTCCGTCCTATCCGCCATTCATTTCTGTTGGTTATGCAGTTGTTACGATCCAATATTCCGCGAACGACAATTTCAAGAGCGTTCGTAGTCAACTTGAATTTATGGTTTCTACTTTCCAGCATGTCTGTCCTCTTTGCGTTGCCTGATCTGCGAGAAGGTGAGGCAATTCGAGCTTGAGAGAACCATTGACCACATACCCAAGTGTTCTTGCATTCCCTGTACGCCTTGAAGTACTCAAGGCAAGCATCCCTGTCGTAGTTGTTTCGGTCCAGACAGTCCATAGATGCCTTCGAGGCAGCTGCACAAGGACTGTGTCAAGAAATGTTACTGGCTGAATCATATTGGATTGGGGGGGAACACTTGCTCGATGAATTTGGATGTTACATGTCGGCCCTGGCAAGCTCGTCAGTGCACATTCAGAAGTGACTCGCCCAGACTTACAGCGAACTGTTCCTTGTAGTTCAACGGTTTCACATTCTCTTCTGGCGCTGGAGGGCGTTGGGGCGTTGTGGACGTCGAAGACATGAGAACTCCGCAATTTTCGGAACTCTCCCGTTCACTGTCTCGGCCCGTTTTGGCCAAACACCGCTGCAAGTTCGATCCTGCTTCGCACCAATTCTTTTGACCAGATTTGGCTTGTGCATTTAATATTCAGCGCAGCAAGCCCATCGGAGGTTGTGTTTAGAATACGGCTCTCCCATGTTCGCGAAGAAACCGGAACCCCAGGTCTTCTGCGCTGGCACCGGACACGGAGGCGAAAAACACATCTCGCCAGCCAGTAAGTAATATAGTACAGGCAACCGTGAAGCAGTGTTCCGTTCACGCTTTTGAACCGATGCAAGTAAGCACCTTTCGACTCGGCTTTACAATCCTTCCATGCGCAGCGAACTGCCTATGCGACCCCTTCGTATACCATGACTAACATAGTATACCATTAGGATTACCCATCCAGGGGACCCTATCTGTAACCAACTTCAGTCTCCTTACCAACCTTCCTAGTAGGCAATAGGAGGTAGGAACAACCCGGCATACTGCGATCTTTAAAGAGGCCCGGTACGTTGCAGTAAGTGTTCTCCCGTAGCTCTGTTCAGGTACTCCGACTACCCTCCAGCACTTACACCTTGACACGTTCTGTGCGACGGCATGGCATCCCCTCAGGTCCTTGAAATCATCGGAAAGCCCACCTCGCTACCACCAATTCCAGGTTTGACTCGCTCCCGCCCTGTTCCAAATGTCGTGCGCTAACGCCCGCTCGAATACAGATTCCGTTCTCGATACCCAGATGACAGTCGCGGATTCCCTCATGAAAGGCCGTTTCTCCTGTCGCTTCTACCTGGACAAGGAGGTCCCCAAAGATGTTATTGAATCAATCGTTGACACCGCTCGATTCTCGCCATCTGGAAATAACATGCAGTAGGTATTCCACAGATCTCCTACTAATGCAGCCCTGACCCATCCGAAAATCTAGACCTTGGGAAAGAGTGTACTGCATCACTGGTCAACGCTTGCTGGCAGTACAAGACGACATGTTAGCAGCGTTCATGGAGAATGCCACAACTGGGGCGCATAAATCTGGATATAATTATTACCCTCTTTTGGATATTCTACCGGAGAGGCACGCTAAAAGACGCGAGGATGCTGGTCAGGTCATCGGGAAAGTTCTTGGTATTGAAAGAACCGATGTCGCAGAGAGGGCCAGAGTTGCTGGGCGTAACTAGTAGGCCCAATCTCTTTCAGTAGCCGTCGTGTGCAACGTTGACTTTTGTCTACGCCTTCAAAGTCAGTTTTACGGAGCCCCGGTTGCCCTCGTCTTCACCATTAGCTCAAAGCTGGAGAAAGGTAGGCCCCATTGACTTTTCACCCTTCGGTAGTTTACTACTAACAACCCAACGTCCGATTTAGGTTCTTGGATTGATTTGGGCTACTTCCTGCAAAGCGTTACCATCGCAGCTCGAAGCCGTGGTCTTGAGACCTGCAGCCAGGTGGGTTTCCAACACAGACTAGGTGGTATCGCAATGGGTCGCTTACATGACTCCCCTGTATAGGAGAGCATCTCTACGTATCATCAGGTTCTGAGGAAGCACGTCCCGATTTCAGATGACGAGATCGTCGCAGTCGGGATGTCCGTGGGATATCCCGACTTGGATCTCATTCAGCGCTTCCCCTTCATCCAGGCTCGCAGGGAGGTCAGTGATATCCTTGAGTTCCATGACTAGTGCTCCTTTAGCCACCATTCTCGCCTACATCGGCGAGCATGGATAGGTGGTGTTCAGTGGTTAATTGGGTTAGATTACTGTACGATTGCCTATCGACCTTCAATAATCACCCATCCGTGTTCCGAGGCTGTAACGGATTGTCTGGATATGATTGATGTGGACGACAACGGTGAGCCGCCACCGTCGTACCTGTAAGATCCGTCTACCACCACTCATTGGTAAACCGTCCCTCCCTTCTCTTCTTCTCTGTGCGTTGACATGACTTCCCCCACTCGCGTGTCCCCTCCCGACTCAGAAATACCAGCTCTCGATGCGAATGCTAGGTTGATAGACGCCATAATCCGAGGACGTTTCTCCTGCCGATTCTACCAGGACAAAGCTGTACCAAAGAAAGTCATAGAGGAGTTGATTGAAGTTGGCCGCTTCTCGCCATCAGGAAATAACACCCAGTGAGCCGCTTCCTTTTTCGATGCCTCGCCCTCCCTCATGCGACAATAAATGACACACAGGTCATGGGGGAAAGTGTATTGTATCATGGGAGAGCGACTGAAAGCGATCCGACAGGATATGGTTGCAGCAGTTGTGCAAGACGATGCCCATAAACCCCAATACAACTACTACCCTTCGTGGACATTTCTTCCCGATGTTTATGTGAAAAGGCGACAGGAGTCCAGGCGCTCAATATCCACTGTTCTGGGCGTCGAAGGGGACAACAGAGAACCAGGGACCAGAAGCGCTGGGCGTAATCAGTAAGTGCACAATCAGTAGTATAAGTGCCATTCTGAGGTTGGAGACATCTGATTTTGTTTTCTCTGTAAGCCTGTTCTTCGGAGCTCCCGCTGTGCTGGTCTTTACTATTAGCTCCCGGCTAGAGAAAGGTATGAGAACCGAATGTAAATGCCCTTCTAATAACGTTCGCTGAACCGTCATCAGGATCTTGGATTGACCTGGGCCACTTCATGCAAACAATTATCATCGTTGCCCGTGCTCGTGGCCTGGAAACATGTAGTCAGGTACGCATATAGTATGTTCAATATTGAAGGTACACTCGAGATTTGCTTAACGACAGAACAGCATTTGTCAGTACCACCGGGTCTTGAGGAAGCATGTCGCGATACCAGAGGACGATATTGTGGTCATTGTGATGTCAGTTGGATACCCTGACCTGGAGTTGACCGAGCGCTTCCCAGTCAAACTTCCTCGAAGAGAAGTAGGAGATATATTGGAGTTTCATTTATAACATATCCGCAGAATTACAGGGGCAACCTATCTGGGGGTCATCTTACATGCGCATACATGCCCGAGTTCGATCGAATCTAGGCGCAGGGTAATACAAATGACATTCCATTAGAGCAAATCGTGTCCATACTACCTAAACTGACGCCACTAGACTTCGATGCTATTCTCCGATTCTGCTTGCTGTCCTGGCTCAGAGCCAGACTCCGAGTTCTGCGAGGAGTCGGTAAAGTCCCGGTTTGACTCTTGATCGACTTCTTCCATGAGGTCGTCTTCTTCACTGGCAGTCAAGAGCTGCCTTACATCCTCTTCTTCGTCGAGCCCCATGTCGAAATCTCGCTTGACCTTGGAGAGATCGAGATCCTGCTTGATCTTTTCGCCATGTTCTTCGTCGCTGGTCGTGATTTCGATCTGTCGGCTTCTGGGACCCTTCCTGAGCAATAGGTAGCCGTTCTTTTCGGTCGACCAAAGGTCCTCCCAGGGAATGGTGGGCTCGACGTCCTGGCAATATGTGACGAAAGCCTCGATCCTCTTTCGTCTCGCCGTTTGCATTTGAACTGCGGCTTCTAGCTGTGAGACCTTTGCTCTCATGGCCTTGACGAGCCTGCGAGTTTCGGACACGCGATCTTTGAGCTGGGAGTTCTCCTCGGAGATTCTCTTCATCATATCGACAGTTACCCGAACTGTTTTCTCAGTGGCAACACCGGAGCTGACCAGAGCTCGAGGCACGGCGGGCGCGTCTGGGAGGGCGTTCCCTTCCCGCTGAACGGGCGGCTCGGGAGTCGCCGAGCTGGAAGGGGTGTCGCGAGTGTATCCAGGCGAATGGCCGCCTGGCTGATTGGCGTAGATTCGCGGTCGACGGGGTATGTCGTTTACTTCCGCTCGATTGAGGAATTTGCGCGGCTTGCCACTGGTGTCCTTGTCATCGGAGCTCCACTGCTTCTTTGCAGTCGGGCTCGCCAGCCATTCGTTTGCGGTGTCTGGGTTGGAGGCAGGTCCGCTGTAAAAGGCCGGATAAGAAGACTGAAAGAATAGTCGAGACGAAGGTTTACTTTTCCGGACTGGAACTAATGGCTGGTTTGACCTCGTCAATTTTGATGTTCCTGAACTCGAGGATAAGGTTGACTACGTCGACCTTCCTCGCATTCTTGCGGAAAGGAATTCCAAGACTCTGTAAACACGGTGAGGAGGGCTCCCAGGCTAGATACGGGGGCATACCTCCGCAAGACCCTTGACCTCCTTAATGGTGCTTTTCTCGAGTGACTCCAAGGAAAGGCTACGCAACAGGCTCATATTCTGCGAGACCGGCACTGGAGACATGTTTTGCTTCGGGTATCTTCGTAGTTTAAACGGATTGGGAGTGGGAGATGGTAGTGGGAGAGTGAAAAGGTGTGTAGTGTACGTATAATGATTATAAACCAATTCTGTCTTTGTGAGCCACACCGCCCACAGCCAGGACCTTCGAGTGGCACGGGGTTCATTATCAGTCCCCTTTAACATAGCCATCACGGAACTTATAGCGAAACCCTCGTCGACTCAAACCATAGGAACTATGCGTTGAAGAAACCGTTGAGCTCGAAGCTTTAGGAAGCTGTTGCGGCTACATTCCCACTATTATCTGCCTTCGTTCCAGTGCATTGTTAACTCTCGTCGACGAAATGCAGAGGGCCAATTTTCAAGCGCCAAGCCATTCTCCCATTGTGCGCCTAATCGGGAAGCTTGCCCAACTTGGCAGAGCGCGTGTGCTTGGACCGTGGCGACCACCGATCTCATGGTATAGCAGAGGGTTGTTTCGAGACACCACTACTTCCTCAAAGAGCCTTCAAAGCGAATGGGCAGCAGTATTCTCCCTTTCGATTCATCTTCGCTCTCCCGATGGCTATCCGAAGCGTAAAGGGTATGTGGCGATCATGATCGATGTCTATTGTACCATGTACTCCGTTCCAAGAAAGGAAGTACTCGTCCGGTGCTCGATGCGGGTTGTGGGAATCGGCTCTGCGAGAGCTGCAGTGCACGATAGACTGGCTCCGAAGGACCATTGTCCTGCATATGCAGAGTAAAATACAATCAGTATTACAATTGTTCAAACTTGTGAGGTTTTTATTCCCTATATTCCCAACTTTGCGTTTGAAAAGCGTAATTTCTTTGTCAAGGTCCATAGATGCTGGAAATAATTTCTAACGTGAAAGTGGTAAAGCGGTTGGTTATTAATTTCCTATGTATTGTGTTCAAGTCTCAGTGGCATAGAAGATTGCAGCCGTTGGTCAATGGTAGGACCTTCACTGGCCGGAGCTCGTTTGTCACACGGCCCGTCCCATTGTTCGTCGCCGCCTCGTGCCGTGGAACAAAACCCCCGTGTGGCTGTTGACTTCGCCCAATTCTTTCATTTAACCACAACCACTACCTCGTTCAGAGAAAAATCGTTCCATCCCCCGTCCAACTTCGACCTCTTCCTACCTCGATTTTCATATCGATCCCTACGAACGTTACACAGCATCCAGCTCGATCAAGTCGTCGAAGATGATGGGATACGGCCTCAGAACGCGTAAAAGAGCCCCGAATCCAGGCAACAATCCGCCTCCAGCCAACAAGGACGTTGAACCGGCCCAAGAAGTAGAACCTCCTCTCACTCGAGAAGGTCTCGAGAAGTTGAACCGCAGGGAGCTGCAAGCCGTCGCAAAGGTATGGACACACAAACCCAACGCGCTGTTCCAAGTTGAACGATCTGACCACTTCCGTTCAGAAACATAAAGTCCCAGCCAACCTCAAGTCGCAGGTTATAATCGAAGAGCTTCTGAAGAAACACGATGCCACCAACGCGTCCACTTCAGCACAAGCGCAAGTTAGCCAGATCGACCAAACCTCCGGGATCCCAGAGCAAGCGACAGCCACAGAGCTCAAGGAACTGAGCCCCATGGAACCGACCACCAGAGTGTCCCCGAACGCATCCCGTCCAGAAGGCGAAGGCGAGTTGCCTCCAGTTCCCGCACCGGCTGGCAGCATCCCATTCCCGAGGACAAGTATTGCTCTCCCAGCGCCGCAGCAGCTGGCACCCCAGTCTGCGTCGGCCTTCGGCAGAATTCCTTCGGTAGCCAACCCTCGCGTTCGACCACCGACAGTCGATCCTCGCGTTCGACCACCGACAGTCGATCCTCGCGTTCGACCCTCCATTGTTGATCCTCGCGTTCGAGCCACTGTTGATCCTCGCGCTCGACCCCCTGCTGCGGACCCTCGCATCCAACCACCCACTGCCGATCCTCGCGTTCGACAACCGACTGCGGACCCTCGGGTTCGACCCACTGTCGACCCTCGCGTTCGGCCAACTGTCGATCCTCGCGTTCGACCTACTGCTGATCCTCGCATCCAACCACCCACTGCCGATCCTCGCGTTCGACAACCGACTGCGGACCCTCGCGTTCGACCTACTGCTGATCCTCGCATCCAACCACCCACTGCCGATCCTCGCGTTCGACAACCGACTGCGGACCCTCGCGTTCGGCCAACTGTCGATCCTCGCGTTCGACCCACTGCTGATCCTCGCGTTCGACCACCTCCCGTCGGCCCCACGCGCGATAGTCCCGCAAGGGATGACCATGACCAACCCCTCATTGGATCAGACGGATGCACCATTTCGCCAGCCAGTCAGAACGCTCAATCTCCCATCGATACCGATAGCCCCTCCGGCGATGGGTACCGCAACCAAGCTCAGCCTCTCATTGGTTCGGATGGGTGGACGGTCTCCCCGACCAGCGGCAATGTCGCGCCCCCTGCCCCCCAACCCATGATTGGTTCAGATGGATGTACCATCACCCTAGTTGGCAGCGATGCTGCCCCTCTTGTTCCTCCGCACCCAGGGATCGGATCGGATGGATGTACCATCACCCCACCCGAGAGCAGCAACGGCGCACTCGGGCGACGAATGGTAGAGCGCGAGCTCGCACCGCCCTACATCCACCCATTCGATTACTCGGTGTCGACGTTCGGCCGCGGTCGCCTTGCCCCTCGACCTGCCGTCATGGAGTCCAGTAGTCCTTCGAGCGAAGGCGAGCTCCCCTCAGCTAGTCAGCCAGAAGAGAGGGCTCCGACCCCGGAACCAAGAGAGCGTACAGCTCTCAGCCTGTACCGGGCTAAATACGGCCCAGTATTCAGGGCACCTCCACCAGCCCCCAAGACTCCTCCCCCAGCTGTCGGTGAGAACCCGCCACTCGAGAAAGACGACGAAGACGCAGAGCATGTCCCAGTTCAACCGAATTCCGTTGTAGGACCTGCTGGAGGCACCCCTTTCCCAATCCAGAAGCAGTCGACTTCGATCATTGGACCCGCTGGCGGCACCCCATTCCCCTTCCAAAAGAAGGGAAAGACTACCGAAGGCGCTCCGGAGCAATCGACCTCGATCGTTGGACCCGCTGGCAGTACGCCTTTCCCGTCCCAGAAGAGACGTAAGGTCGCTCGTGAGCCCACTCCCGAAGAGGAACAAGAAGATCCAGTCACCCCTCCCAGACAAAGTAAGTCCCAGTTCTTGCTTTTCCTGAGCTTGCCGATACTCAACGCCATCCAGTCATTTCCTATAGCCTGCACCCCGGACTTATGGCAACCAGCTCGGCATCCTATGTGCCCCAGAAGGAAAACACCCTCGCTGATATCGTCAACCGCGATCGTGCCCAAGAGAACCAGTCCAGCGAGAAGTCCAGTATCGTCAGCGGCAACCCCACGTCCTGGGGTTTCCCTAGCCCCAGGTCTGCCGCCCAACGAGAAAGCACTCCCAGTCACGAGTACGACGAAGACGCGGAGAATCGCGATCCAAACGCGTTTGAGGCGTTCGATTCGCCTCTCAGCCAAGCCATGTCGCACTCCAGTGTTTTTTCCAGTCCCCCTGCCGTCATCCCCCCGGAGAAGCTCAGGGTCGGGTCGACCAACAAAGAAGTCCGTGCAATCCGTCGCGACCTCACCCGCCTCGTCGACAAAGCAGCAGTCCTCGAGGAACAGATTAGCCTCGAGGAGATGGTCGCCATGGCCCTTGAAGAGGACATCAAGGAGGCCCAGGAAGAGGCCAAGAAAGTCGCCAAAACCCTCAAGTGGGTTGAAGGAAACATCCTGGAGCCGTGGAAGAAGGACAGGACGATCCATGATGGCACCGGATATATGAAGAAGAAGAAGGACCAAGCCAAGTGGAGGAAATGGTTGGAGGAGAATCCGCAGGAGTGGATGCAAAAGTGCGTGGATGAAGAGGGCGACGATGGGGAAGACGACGACGACGATGACGACGATGACGAAGGCGACATCGATGATGTTGCCCCTCGGTCGTCCGAGGATAGCGCCCAGTATCAATCGGAGGATAGTCCTAAGAGCCTCAAGCGTTCTCGTGAGGAGATGGAGGAGGGGGTGGAGGGGGAGGAAGCCCAATCGAACATCGCGGTGAACGCCGGCCAGAATTCGCCCATCGACGAAGATGATTTCTATCTCTAGTTCCTTGCAGACATTCCGTACAACTAGGCTCAATATATCACGACATGTTACGATAACGATACACTTACGATTTCTTTTCCTTTTTATTTGTTCTTTTCAAGTTCCGCGGCGCAGTCTTCGCCCTTTATGTATCTCCCTTTTCTTTCCTTTTTCTCTTGAATATCGGTTTCGGTACAAACTCTTTACTGCAGATGTAGCGCATCAGAGACATACAAAATGATACACGGATTAAAAAAACCCACATGCAACGGAAACCGGTGTAAGGATTGAACAACGAATCACCTGGAGCCCAAGGTATACCTATCGAAAGCACCAGGCCCAAAGCCACGCTCTTTCCCAAGAGCATCGTCAATGACTTGCATCATCGCCAACACCTTCTCGTCTTCCCATCTCTTCCCGGCGAGTTGGATGCTCACTGGCATGCCTTCCGACATCTCAGGATCGTAGAGCTTGTTGCTGCCATAGTATAAACCCCGTTCAAACACGCTTGAGCCATGGCCAGATTCGTGCTTCCATTTGGAGGTGATTTGGTCTTTGGCGGGGTCGACCCGGGTGACGGGAAGACAGCCGACGGGTGCGTCGAGGACATTGTAAAGCAGGGTGGACACTGCGATGGCCGAGTAATTGTCACAGCCACTGCAAGTAACGATCAGGATGAGTACCGCTGAGTCTAGGGGAGGTCTTACCCATGAGGCAACTGTGGCAAGGCCTGTACGGGGCAAATGATTCCATCGACCTGGTACCGATCCCAAACCTGATGGGCAGTCAGCAAACGAAACGTTGGCAAGGTGCGATATGAACTCGTACCTGTTCTTGGAACTCCCGACCAAAGGCATCACGCTTGTCAGCGAGAGCCCAATAATCCTCAACAGGTATGACCTTTGACGCGCGGATTGTGTCCGCAGAGATCTTGTCGCCCCAGACCTTCTCGAGGACCCAAGTCACGGCATCACGGAGTAAGGCTGGCGGGCAGTGAGTAACCGGTATTGTCTACAAATTGTAGGGCACTGACCGGGAAGGGCTGGTCCCAAAGTGGTCGACCAAAGGGCGCTCTCCTGGAAGGGGTTTAGGAAGTGGACGGGAATGTTTGATTCGAGTTGGTACCTTCTGGTCAGGTCCGAGGTTACCCAGTAAAGTCTTGTAGCCGTCTCCTGAGGCCAAGCCTACGAAAATGTTGCAAGCAATGCTCACTGAATACGGAGGATGAGGTTGGTATCCCATGGCAAGTACGGCAAGGCACGAACGCACCGTCCGGGAGTGTAATCTCGACACATTCGTGTCCCTGCCTTCGGAGGGCTTGCACAGTCTCGAGCACAGCACGTTTGCAAGCGGGCGAGGCTTTGATGTAATTATCTGGCTTTCGGGATAAGTGTGGAAAAAGGTCACGATTGTATAAGGACGAACCTGATGTGTAGTAGCCAAATTTTAATTTTGAAGGGAGTGTGATATCACGGAAGGGTAAAGGAGCGATGTCGGTTTGACCACTGGACAATCCAAAAGCAGTACGGCAGAGGAGGGAAAGATCTTCGACCGATCTATACAGGGGTCAGAACTGAGAGGAGAGAATAAATCCTCGACGCACCTTCCCATCGGACCAATGTTAGGTTTAATACCATCGAATCCGGGTACGGGAGCACGGGCACCAAAATACGAAAGTCTTCCAGATGCAGGCTTGAACGAATAGATCCCGCAGTAGGCTGCAGGGATGCGGACGCTCCCCGCAATGTCAGAGCCGATTCCTAAGGGCGCGCCATCCATTGCGATCAATGCGCCTTCACCGCCTGAGCTCCCTCCGGAGCTGAAAGATGCATCATATGGGTTGGTCGTCCTGCCGAACACGGGGTTGCTGCACTCGATGGCGAGCAGGGTTTGGGGAACGTTCGTCTTGACGTAGAGAATTGCACCGGCTTTGAGAAGGATATCGGTAATCTGTAGAACTTAGCAGATATCAAGCTAGAGGGTTAAGCGGGCTCACATCTGCGTTCTCGGTAGCTGGTTTATGCACCCATTGAGAGAGTCCGAGAGAACTGTCGAGGCCTTCGATATCAACTGGAGTTTCGTTGTCAGCTTTGGGTAGTGTGGAGGTCGAGGGTTTATTTACTTTGGTCCTTGATGCTAACCTACAAGTCGAATGAGGATCATGCATGCGTTTTGAGTATCTAGAAGGAACCTACTGGTACACCGTGAAGGGGTCCTTTGAGCTTCCCGGTGGAGGCAAAATCTGCATCGAGGTTCTTGGCCTGAATCCTTGCACGCTCAAAGAAAACTGGAGGAAGTTCAGCGGGGTCACAGATGGGCAGGAAAGGTCGAAGAACCTTCCGTCAAGCAGTTGGTTTTGGACTGCGCGACGAGGGCGCGAGCGATATAGGCTTCGAGGACGCGTGAAGCAGTCCACTCGCCCTTTTGGATACGAGAAACAATTTCCGAGGCTTACTTGTCTATTAATGCATGATATTAAAGGTTTGACAGCGTAAAACTCACCAGTTGCCTTCAGGTAGAGGGTCTGGTCCTCGGGACTAGCGGCTCCGGCAGTTGCCACAACGTTTCCAAACTTTAGAGCTCGATTGCGCTCTTCACGCTTCGCTGAGACAATGTGAGCGTTGGAGGGGGTAGAAGAAAGGAATGGCCACATCGTTGATGCTCAGGTATTTCGGGAATGTTTTGGAAGAATGGGTGAAGATGGGGACGCCATCTCTCCTGCACGATAACTTTAAATTCGCGTTGCTGAAAGGGCGGACTACCGGGCTCGTTGGAAAGACGGATCGAGTGACTTTGTCTAGCGGTTTTGTCGGTAGACAAGGCTTTCCCCGGTCATCGTTGGAATTCGTCACGACATGTCGCGGTGTCCTGGTCTGTCATGCCAATCGAGACCTTATGAAAATATTTACCGCATCACTGCAAGCTGCGTCTGTTGTTGGGCCTTGGTTGGGAACAGGTCGTTGGCGGTTGGTGGCACTGGTAGCGGCAAGAGATCTCGTGGGGACGCGCACTGGGCACCCGGCAGACGCGGGTTCGCCTCGAACCACCACGGTCCCCCGTCCGCAAAGTCCGCTTCGTTGGAATCATGATGTACTACTAAGCCACAGCTGGTCTGGCTGATACTGAATGTCCAAGGAACGAGGTACGTCCACAGTGGGGTGCCAACTATGTCTTCTGATCAGACTTTTTCACGGCAGTTTGTCGGTTCGTGGACCTGTCATGGTGGGCGCCTGTTGTGTTTTTACATTTGGTGGGCACCAATGTGGGAGAAAGACATGGACATGCATGTCTATGTGAACCCAGTGGTTAGGTTGTGCAGCGCCAGACGATCTCCGCCGTGACGTTAAGGATTCTAATGCCGAAATCAGAAGGGCAAACTGGGGTCCCCTTGACGTGACTACTTATACACACAAGAGATGTTTGATCCAAGTTGGACACAACTAGAGCTGGTGAAAGTCCCCGCGGTATGTATATAAAGTCCTACAAATCTCGCAGCTACCAGGAGCGCCTTCCTCGACATCTGAAGGGACATCGAGACCGCCTGCGCCATGCATCTCATCAAGATTCTTTCCGCAGCCTCGTTGGCCGCTGGAGCGGTCGCCGTCGATCTTCGCTTTTACACCAGTATCGCCGGATGTGATGGAGCATGGTTCGCATGCCTGGATCTACCCCCAGGAAGGTGTTGCTCCTCGAACACAGTCCCCGCTAGCCATTTCTTGTTCAGAAACCTTCCTCCTTGGTCCGTGTTTGCTGCATGGGTCGGCTGGGACTGCTACGGCGAGAGGCCATGGCTGAAGGCGGGTTCTGGCCACTGGTGTATCGGCTCGGAGGGGCTGGAGCCATTGTGGAGTGGAAAATGGACAGACACAATGACTATACCGAGCCCCGGCCCTTATCGGCAAGGCCTCGAAGGTCGCATCCAGACCGGCTCTGCTGAAGGTTGTGTCCAGCCGAACGCATTCGCCTATAACACCACGGAAGGCGTCGAACGCACCATCTTGATCAGCGAATCGACAAACGTTTCGACAATCCTCCACTACTACAACAGTCAGAATTGGGAGGCTCTTGAGGCACTGGGATCGGATTGAAGGTGAGGTGAGGTCTGTTCTATGAAAGTGGGGTGCAACGGCTGACCAGATTGAATAGACCCCCGCTTCCAAACACTCAAAGTATGAAACAAGAGACAAAAGCAACACGAAGTACTGTGGCAACCTCTTTCTCTCTCTCTCCGCGTAGTATGGCGGCATACAATAAGTATGCGCAGACGATTGGTTTGTCTTTCGAATACATCTTGGATGCCCATTCGACATGCCCAGTAGATATCGTTGAGACGCCAGCTAGATCCTCGATTCAGATAGAACTTATTTCGTACTCCATACTGTCGAGATTGAGACGACAAAGTAGAATGCCTGAGTACCTTTGGCGGACTCGCTTCCTCGGTGTCCGGGTAAAAGGCTCATGTCACTGAAAGCGGTCTGACAATGCAGTCCGCGATATGGGCAAGTTGGAGTTGAGGGCTACGACTCTTCGCCGGACGGCCATCGTACCGCCATCATTGCGACGTGATCGGAAGCAGTTACGCTCACTCCCGATTTGGAGAGCGTTATACGGCTCGACGAAACTCATTTCACGAACGTCACGTCCGTACAACACGAGGCAGGCCAGACGAAGGCTACCACCAGTCCCTCACAGGGTCTTGAGGACCGCTACACTTTTCCTTACACATTTAACGACCTAGAAACGACCTTTACGAAGCGCAATTCACCGGATCCGACATTCAAAGGCTTTTAGAGGGGCGGTATGTTCAACTTTATGGTTCAATTCACAATGGACATGCTGCAAAGGACCCTTTGCATGCCACCTCGAAACATAGAAACCTGTGCTAAATCCGTGATTTGTGTCTTTTAGGCCCGTCAATCGAGATCTACAACACCCTATTCACGTTGTTCAACATCGCCTTGCTGCAGGCGTAACTTGTTTATAACCGGTTTGAAGTTGGAGCGCGATGGCGACCATTTCTAGACCTCCTGTCGCTCCTATGCCATCTATATCTCCCTCAGCGACGCCAGAAAGCAATCTGGGCCCACTCACTCCGACGAGTGACCAGGTGCGTTTACTTTAACGCGCGGTTCGGTGGATGCCCTGCTAAGGATGGGTCTTGAACCTCGGACTAGGTAGTGGTACTCTACGTGGTGCGTTACGCCTCGGCTCTCTCGCTTGTTTCTCCCTCTAATTAGTATCTTCTGCTCTAGTAGATAATCGCCATGTCGGTCGTCATCTTCGGCTTCTGGAACGTCCCAATCGTCCGCAATTTCATCAACCCTCTCAAACTCTTCACCATCGGGTGGCATGAGCTATGCCACATAACAGCTGTGAGCATTAGGCCACCGGAACACCCGGCGTAACGCGTCATCATTGACGACCCTCATCCCCCCTCACGCAGGCCATCCTCTCTGGTGGGCGAATACTCAAGATCACGATTGATCCTCATGTGGGAGGTGCGACAATAGTTGAAGGAGGGAGTCCGTGGTTTACTCTCACAGCGGGATACGTCGGCTCGACACTACTCGGCGGTGCTTTCGTACTTGCGGGATGGAATACTCTCGTTGCGAAGATATTAAGCTTTGTGCTGGGTGTCGGGCTGATTATCCCGCTCGTGCTCGTACGAGATAAAATGTGAGTCAATGACCCCGTTCGGTGATCCCCTTCGTGCGGCTTACATCCGTGATACAAGGACCATAGTCCTTACGATTGGATATGAAGCTATGGTCATTGGGTTCTGGTTTATCGATCATGGGTGCGTTGCAGACTTGCTGTTTTGGCGTCCTACTTCCTGATATCAAGGGCAGACAAGCTCTACGGTGGTTGTGTCTGTTTATTGGCGTTATGAAGTAAGTTTTGGCAAAAGCTTACTCGCTCGACGCGTTGCTCAATCCGGCCTGCTTGGGCCTGGAAGCATCCTTTTCGTGATCTGTACGTGTTACGACCTCTGCACTATTCCCTACATCCCATTTTTGACGCGACGATCATGTAGGGGATGTTGCCGATGATAGGTTCTTCCACAAGACCAACGACTCCGACGCGACACAGTTCTCGCTTCTCTTCCCCAAGATTGGCGCTCACAGTATGCATTTCTCTCTTCCTAGTCTTCCGGGTCATCCAATAATTGGTTTATTTTACAGTCTGGGCCACCTTTTGGATTCTCTTCCAACTGGCTTTCCTCGCTGGATTCTGCTTGCTAGGAATTTACGCCTTCAAGGTTAGCTCTATAATCTCTTCCGTATAGACTCTTGGTGAACACGAGATCACTGCAGATGACGAAAGAAGAGATGGATGCACAAGCTGGTAAGGTTTTCGATCTTAGTTGGCCTTCTCGGCAGTTCTTGACATTAGTCGCAGCAACTTTCCTTCCTACATGACACAATGGACATCCCCCGACTCATTTATTCTCTTTGTTGTTTGTATGTATCATACGCTTTCAAGCTATCGCATCTCGAGGACCCGCGCTAGAACAGCCTCGACCACGGAGCCACGGACATTTACCAAGTTGCAGGGAGTGGGAGGAGGTTCTTGTATAACCATCACCTATGTGTTACCAGAGCTGTACAACTCACAACATCATATCCAATGGATTAATTTATCATCGAAAGATAGCTCGTGAATATTGGCGTTACAAATCGAGGTACTGAGATAACCTTTGGGCGAGGGCTTCCAATGGTTAATGTGGCCGACTTTACGTTTGAACGACGTTTTGAAGTTGATTTTGTCGCGATGTCCGAGGGATTAGGGTTCAGGATGCAAGAGGAGCCGTAGAGTACGAGGTTTGATTGTGCGTGCAAGTATTGGTTCCCGGGAGGCAAAAGTGATGCAGAAGAGAATTAAGTCAGCCAGGAGCCAGCGCTAGTTACGGTGGTGAGTAGCTCGCCGTATGATGCCTGCTAGAAGGATGGCTCCCAGTGTTGCTGCACCTCCGACGATAGCCATTCCAATGTACCCTTCTGCAAATATTACGATGTCATTAGCGCTCGTTCTTCTGAAAACATACGCGGGAAAGCAGCCGCACCCTTGGCAATCTTGTTGTCAATGAGTTGGTTTAGTGATTGCGCTTGAAGATTTGCGGGTTCCTTCTCCATAAGCAAGGCTAGCATGGGGTGCGAGGGTCAGTCCAGGCGACCAATGTCGGCGGTGTGGGTAGGACACACCGTTGAACTTCTTAGCCTCCTCGTAGTTCCCCATCTTGTAGTGCCCAAGAGCAAGATAGTATAGGCATTCTCTCCGCCGTGTGGGTTCTGTGCGATAGATATCTGGAGAGGAGACCAAGTTTAGGCTTCGAGGTTCAGAGCCTCAGCGGGACATGTGCATACCTTGCAGTAGCCGCACACCGTCGATTTGGTGGTCCCTTATTGGGCTCTTAACCAATCCCCATGCATAGTTGAACTTGGTCTGTGTTGTGACATGTGCCTGGGACAGTTCCTTCTGGTACTGTAGTCGGAGGACCTATGGCATGGAGCGCACTGTTAACATTCGTTCCACCGTATAGGTCATCCGGGTGTGACGCACCTCGAGCTCGTCGTAGGTGAGAGAATCCTCAGCGTCGGCAGCATACGGTACTTCGGTCGTCATTGTCTTTGAAGCCTGAAGGGTTGTCGTTGGTCGTAAAGCGTAAACGCTGAGGTCACCTTTGACGCCGCAGCAGAACGCAAAAGCCGGCTTGGGCAGGCTTGGACACCCGTCGAGCATCGGAGTTTGAAACACGGCTTGCCCAGACACGACCACGACGTCGACGTCGAACAAAACACAACAAGAACTTGAATTTCCTCACAATGCCAGCTGACGACTACGGTGAGTTTCTTGGTCTGTTTAATCTCGTCTTCTTGGGAGAATTCGGTGTAGCCTTTTTGTCGCCAGCACTGGCACAGCAGACAAGAGGCAAAGCGCATCAGGTTCTCGCCCCGCCCCCCTTCTTGAATATTGTCATTTTTCCCCCTTGTTGTTCAATAAGGCTCATGGTGCATTTCTTTTCCTTGTCTTGCACCATGGTTTCGTCTTTTTCTACAGCTAGCTTAGCGGCCGTCTTTTATGCTTGTGTGGGCGTCGGGCGTTGCACACGTATAAAAAACCCCAGTGTCATAAAGCAGCATCGGGTTCCCAGCGCGCGCAGCAGCAGCAGCACCGTAGTTGGCAACGGGTTACAGGCAAACGTCGTGGAGATGGGTTTACTTACCTAGGCTTTTGTGCCTTTGCACTTCTTTTTTGTTTTTTGCAGACCGTTCGGGGTACCGTGAGGACCGTGACCGCTATCGGCCTTCGAGGCACGACGACGATCGCCGGAGAGACCATCGGAGTGACCGGTATGGGGACAGAGATGATGGCAGGAGACATGATAGGGATAGGGACAGGGACCGTGACAGGGATAGGTACCGCGGGAGGGACTATGACGACGGAGGAAGGCATTCGCGGCACGACGACGATGGTGGTCGACGCGACAGACGCAGACGCGATGATGATGGTCACCACCGCGGGAGGGACGACAGGGACGGTGGAAGGCGACGAGGAAGACGAGATGGAACCCCGGATCGAAGGTCGCCAACCCCAGAAGGCTGTGTTCCGCTTTCGCAACGGAAACGAAAGGCGTCGGGATGGGACGTGCACGCTCCTGGTTATGAGCAGTACACTGCTCTGCAGGCTAAACAAACTGGTACGTTGTGTTTTTGGTTCATGAATGGAGACGGAACTCATTCTCGACAGGTCTTTTCAACCTTCCCGGAGCTAACCGCACCCAGATACCACCAATCCTCGGAGTCCCAGGTCTTCCTCCCCCAGTACCCGTGCCTACCTTTGGTATGGGCATGGGTATCAATCCCAACCTCTCTCGCCAATCTCGCCGACTGTATATTGGAAGCATCACGCCAGATGTCAACGAACAAAACTTGGCTGAATTCTTCAACAAGAAGATGGCCGAAATGAACATTGGCACCGGATCCACTGGAAACCCTGTCCTTGCTGTGCAATGCAACTATGAAAAGAATTACGCCTTTGTGGAGGTATGCAGCAATTCCCTAATTTTGGCAACGTATCTGACGTGTATTCTAGTTCCGTAGTGCAGATGACGCTACTGCAGCAATGGCTTTCGACGGTATCATTTTCATCAATGGTCCTCTGAAGATTCGCCGACCAAAAGACTACGGCGGCGAGGTTGTCACTGGCTCACCCGGCATCCATGTCCCTGGAGCAGTATCTACCAATGTCCCCGACTCGATCAACAAGGTCTTTGTCGGCGGTCTTCCCACATATCTCAATGAAGAGCAGGTCATGGAACTGCTCAAGAGTTTCGGAGAACTCAAGGCTTTCAACCTCGTTCGTGAGAACGGCAATGGACCGTCAAAGGTACGCATCCCTTTTCTGATTTCCATGAGTGCTGCTGAGCCATTGTTTAACAGGGCTTCGCATTCTTTGAATATGTGGACAGTAGCGTCACCGATGTCGCCATTCAAAGTCTCAATGGCATGGAACTCGGTGACCGATACCTTGTTGTGCAACGTGCCTCTGTCGGGGCTAAACCAGGTGCACCCGGACTCCCCTACGATCAGTTCCCAGATATTCCTCGGCCCATCATGCCTGCTGGCGCAGAAGTCACCGACGCACGGATTTTGCTCATGCTTAACATGGTCACCCCCGACGACCTTATCGACGATGAAGAATACGGCGATCTTTACGAAGACGTCAAGGAGGAATGCTCGAAATATGGAGAGGTGGAAGACTTGCGTATTCCCAGACCCGTCAAGAAGGACAAGGCCAAGTGGGGTGAAGGGCAGATCAGCGCTCAGGATGCGCAGAGAATTGACGAGGCTGCTGGTGTTGGGCGTGTCTATGTCAAGTACGCTGACACAGAGGGTGCGAACAAGGCACTGAATAGTTTGGCTGGGAGGTCGTTCGCTGGTCGGTCTATTATTGCTACTCTCTTGAGCGAGGAGAGTCAGACTACGCCACCTCTCAACATCATCTTCGCCCCGCAACCTGAGGCACCTCCCCCTCTCCCTGCTGATGAGTAATTCTGTCGGCCTGATTGGTTTTATAACGTACCTCTATGATTGTGCTGTAGTTATCGTCGTTCAGTGTTGTATGGGTTTCGTAGTCAAAGCACTTATTTATGACATCGAACTCGGAACCCGGTTAAGCTTTCATTACCGTGGAATTAATAGGGGTCGGAAGGTGAGAACGTTCAGGAACTTGATTGAGACTTCTTCCCTTTCGGTCAGTACGATATCATGCGCAAGCTGATGCATGGACCGTTGTCCATTACATCCGGGGTAAACCAACTCTTTCCTCCTTGACATTCACTGTCAGACTCGACGATGTGGCCATTCTCCTCCTCCAACACCGCTGTTATAGCCGCCAAACGCCAACAACAGGTCCAGGCGCTGGAAGGGTCTGCAAATGCTAATGCCGCGCTTGACGGTGACCAGGGACAGTATCTCAAGGCAACCGGTACGCAGCACGTCCTTCTTCTTTGAAACTTAATTTCCTCGGTTTCGAAAGCTTAACTCGCCCATGTGCTTGGGTTGCATAGCTCCTGAGATTGTCTCCCGCATTCAAAGTGGAGAGTGGACCGCGTCGCGCGTTCTGGAAGCCTACATTGCTCGAGCAGCTTTTGCCCATTCCAAGACCAACTGTTTGACTGAAGGTATGTAGATTTTTCATTCCTTGGTCAGGATCAAGTTCCCCTGATTGTGTCTTGCCGCCAGTGTTCTTCGACCGCGCACGAGAGCGAGCGAAGGAACTGGACGCCTACTTTGCTGAGACTGGGAAGCTGAAGGGCCCTTTACATGGTGTACCAGTATGTATCCGTGGATCCTTTGCCGCCCCGAATAAAACTAATAGCACTCTCGGAACAGATTAGTATCAAGGATCAATGTTCGTCGCTCTAGTATCCGGGTCAGCCAGGCTCTCGGTTTTCGAGCTCACTCCATCGTTCACAGTTAAGATTGAGGGACTGGATGGTTCCATTGGTTTCTCAAACTGGTTGAATCAACCTGCCACCTCCAATGCTGACGTGGGTCCCTCCCAGTCTATTCCCCCTGTCATGTTCTAACTTGACTGTCCACTCTGGCAGATCATCAAATACCTTTTGGATGCCGGCGCCGTTCTCTATGTCAAGACCAACGTCCCCCAAACCATGTTCGCCTTCGAGTGCAGCAATCCTGTGTTCGGGCGCACAACTAACCCTTACAACGACGCGTACACCTGCGGCGGAAGTTCAGGTGGTGAGGGTGCTCTTATCGCTTTGGACGGCTCCCCGCTGGGCATTGGAACGGATATTGGAGGCAGTCTGAGAATCCCTGCCACATATTGTGGCATTTATTCGTTGAAACCGGGATATGGGAGAATTTCCTACTTCGGAGCTAGGGGGCCTGTTCCCGGGTTTGACGGGATCAGGACCGTTGCTGGTCCTATGGGAAGGTAAGTTTGTTCAGGTCGATCGCTGGTGTCGGGCGACTCGGGGCACAGGTTGCTGATGTTTGGCTTGCCCTGTTCGCAGATCCGTTGAAGACCTTGTGCTGCTTTCTCGGACGGTATTTGGTCTCCCTGGAACGGCCAATGATATCCCGCCTGTGCCCTTCAAAGATGTGACACTCCCTGCCAAACTCAAGTTCGGGTACTATACATCAGGTATGCGCGAATGGGCTCCAAGCTATTTCCTTTACCCATTTCCTCTCTGCGTTTCAGATGGCTATATTAAGGCATCCCCCACTTGCAAGCGCGCCGTCCTCGAGACAGTCGAGGCTCTCAGGAAGCAGGGTCACGAATGTGTTGAGGTCGAGCTTCCAGACAGTACGTCCGTTCCGCCGACCTAAGGTCTGGAGGGCGTTTTGACCTGTTGGAATAGTCAGCGAAGCATGCAACATATTTGTTGGTCTCACTTCAAGCGACGGTTACAAGACTATGCTCAGTAACTTAGGGCCAGATAAGAAGGTGTGTCGTGGTGTGTTCGTACGGTGTCAAGTCTCTCATCCTTTGCCAGGAACCCGCACTCTTCTTGGTTACCCTGGGCCCCAAGCTTCCTTGTAAGTTCTTTCTCGCACACCAGGCTATCCTTTGGGCTCATAACCGTGATCGCGTTAGCTTTCGTCAGGGGCTTTGCTGCCTGGGTATTGGAGACATTCATGGGTGACAAGACTTTCTCCGACACCATCAGATCGGCGCGAGTGAAGGGCGTTGACGAATACTGGGCTCTTTCAGCAGCACGAGATGCGTTTGCGCTGAAATTCCAGGAACAGGTCCGTTCCTTCGTACGTTGTCAACTAAACGAAACTGACGACACCGCGTGTAGGTGCTGAACAAGTACCAAGTGGATGGTATAATCGCACCAGTCCAAGCTCTTCCCCAGTTGCCTCACGGCGGCTGCGACAACTTCTCCGCCCTCGCCATCGGAACCATTCTTTACAACGTCCTCGACCTTCCCGTCGGATGCTTGCCAGCCACCCGTGTTGACCCTGCCAAGGATCAAATCACCAAGGAGTGGGAGAGTGAGCCGGGGCACGGCTCTACCGTCTTCGAGAAGGGTATTTACTATGGCAAGAAGAAGCTATATGATCCCGAGTCGGCAAAAGGCATGCCTGTGAATATCCAGATTGCAGGCAGGAAGTGGGAGGACGAGAAGGTGTTGGCCATGATGAAGGTGGTCGATGAGGCGTTGGGCAAGGAGCGTGGATTTGGACCCGGGGCGTATGATAAGTGGGCCGGAGGAGAGTCTCAGTGAATGGGGGACATGTGATGCCATCTTCTACAATTATTTATGCACCATCTGTTTTCAGCACGGTACGACTTCTGATTTCAGGTGTCGGGTCATATGCAAGCATTTCACAGGACAGCAGTCTTTATTCTGTCCAAGAAGTGGTCATCAAGAGCCGTGTTTATGCAACTTATTTGTGGGGTTCTACAGCCTCAAACGCCGCCTTAAACCTTCCCGTTCAGACCTCCCGACCTCGAGAGGTGTTGGTGCAGTGCCCTTCTCCGAGTCGGATTATTTACTTTGGATCCACAAGGTCGTCCTTCAGATTGTTTGTGTGCAGCAAAAGCCCGGTGAGCTCTGAAAGATGGTTTTCAGGGTGAAAACATCATACAGGTATGGCACCCACTCGGTGCTTCGACCTCTAGCCAGTAGGCTACAGGTGCGAGAGCTACGGGCGCACTGTAAACGGACGTGGGGAGATACGTTGTTGATCATGCGCCAACCATCCCGGTTAGATGACCTCGCCGTGGCTGCGTTGGCTTAGGTCTCCGCCCGTCACACAAGCTTTCGCACTCCAGTAACAATCAATCAGGTTTTCTATGTGGAAGAGCCGAGTCAAATGGGCAGAATCGATGGGCCAAAGGTCTCCATCCCCCAAACTTGACTCTGCGATACGATATTGGAAGCGACTGCTCAAAAATGGTGAGTAATACTTGGCCATATTGCCGGAAATACTTGTGGCTAACAAAACTCTTCCCCTTCTCGACTCTTGCCATGATGCGGACGTCGACAGTTAACGTGAGAGTCAACGAATATCTAAACCGCCCACAGTCTCTCAGACTCTTGGATTTTGACAGCGAACACACATGGGGAAGAGGGCAAGGAGGTCGTGGAAAAGGCAAAAGCGCCCATGCGATGTATGCTGCGGAAGAGAGTCGGAGGAAAAAGAGTCTTAGTGCAAAGGCGGGGATCGCGTTCCCAGTTACGAGGATGAGGAAGAAAATGAAAGGGATATGTGCTCAAGACAGGATTCAAGTCGTCGCTGCTGGTGGGTAGCCTCATTTGTCAGCTGTCTCTGGTATACAGTTTGCTTAACCGAGGATGGAATCGTGTTCGTAGTATTCGTCGCAGCGGTCATTGAGTATGTGATGGCTGAAATCATTGAACTTGCGGGAGAAAGGACGAAGAACGGAAAGAGGAAGAGGCTAAACCCTCGTGACATCTCGCTTGCAATCAAAGGTGACATTGAGTGAGTACCAGTAGTTGTCCTCACACCCTTTTACGCTCAATAGCATTAATCGTCTAAATAGGCTGAACCGACTCTTTCCACCGTGGACTGTGATTCGAGAAGGCGGCGTTGGTAAGTCATTGCCCACAGGTAAAAAAACAGTTTTTACTGACGCTTGGCCTGCCTGCAGTACCCCATATCCATGAACAACTGCTCTTCAAGCGACCGAAAAGAGCGCCTGAAGTCTCTCCCAGTACGGACGACGAAGACGACGATTCGGATGACGATTTTGAGCAACACCCTCGCAGTTATCACATTGATCTCCACCAGTCCCAAGACCCAGAGCAATCCCAACCAGTCCTTGCCAGCCCTTCGACGCGAGCAATTCTTGAAGCACACCCCGATCGGTAGAAATATACCTTTGCATTAGCGGATTAATAAAGGATAGATAGGTAATTACGACGTGAATCGACTGGGGGTTCCTCTAGGCAATGGGGTGATGCGACTCCTTCCAGCGCTGGCGTAGAAGATCTCGGCGGTGACAGACTCGGGAGCCTTGTACGATGTACTCTCTGGTTTCTCGGTGAAACGGAAGACGTCGCCGACACCTGAAGGGAAGGTCATTGAGGGGAGTTGGATCTCGTGCTCGGGTCTGGCGGTGAGGAAGACACGCTGCAAAGCGTCCTCGGCGGCCTGTAATGGTTAAACGGGTCAGAAGACTTAAGAGTTTTGGAGCTGGAGAGCGAACGTACGCGGAATTCGGCCATCTTCAGCGAACTACCAAAGCCTTCGCCAATTTGGTCGGCGCCAGAGAAGATACCGACGACGAACACTGGCGTGTTCGAGAAACGACCTGTTTCCTTGAGCAGTCTAAATGTAAAAGCATAAGCCAAGAACGCGTCGGGAAGCCAAGAGTACACACCTCGATTTTGGAGGTTCGCGACCGAACTTGTGGACCAGTTCCTTAAGCGCCTTCTTGGGGTCGAGGAATTTGAGCATGGAACGGATGTCTACTTGACGACTGAGGAAATAGGAGTGAACGAATTGTCTAGCGGATGGGAGGGAGTGCTTTTTGTAGATGAGTGCTGTCATGGCGCGTGGGATGGAAGCGAGGGCGTCGGTGTGAAGGACTGCTGGTGCATTTGGAGTTTGGGGCTGCAATGGCGTCAACGACGAAATGAAGAAAGCAATAAGAGAAACGTACTGTTCGATGCCAGCGAAGCAGTTTGTCTGCACCCAATTCCGTTGCAACACTGGCGCAAGTGTTGGGACCGACGTGTGCTGTCATGACGGCTTTCTGAATTCGCGTTGGCAAATAGGGATACTTTGTGGTCAGGTACTCCATAGCGAAGAGACCCATTAGCGAGTTTCCGAACACTGAGAGTTGGGCATTGTCCTTGGGTATTCGCTTTTCGCGCGGGTAGTGCTGTCGCCATACGTCAATGAAGGAAGGGTGGGTGCAGGCCTGGCGAATGTCGTCTTCGGACTTGATTATAGAGGACAGACCAGCTCTATGAGTGAAGGCGGACAGTGCCGACGACGGTGCTGGTTGGAGCGACGCCCATAGTTCTGGGTCGAAGGCTGGTCTTGGGACGTCGGACTCTTGGATAAATGCCTCGCGTGGGGGGAATTTCTGGAGAGTTGCTGGGGAGACCGAGGGGAGCTTGGTCACCGTGCTCAACAGACGTTTCTGAACATGGCCCATTTCCTTCGACGACGAGAGAAAAAACAAACTGTCGAGGACGTGGACGACGACAGCGAACAGCGAACAGAGCCAACGCGCGAACAAACTAGGAAATCCGGAAAACTCCAAAATTTTGTCGCGTAACGAGCCTCGGCAACCGCCGGCACACTCCCCAGGCCCCGGCTCCATCCAATAATCCCCCGCAATCCCTAGCAGTTGTCTAGCCACTTGTTTTTCATTTTAAGTAGTATCTACGAGGTAGAAATACACCACTTTGAGCTTGTTTCTGAACGCAAAGTGGCCAACCAGGGCCAGACCAACGCCCGGCACATCGGCGGAGCACGTGCTCCGGAGTAGCTGAGTGCCTGGCGCTGCATCTCGTTGACTACAAGTTGACCGCAGACCACAACTAACTCTCGACTGCTTCTCTGCTCGTCGAAATGGCAGTCTTGTCGCTGCCAGTAACCTTCAACAACTCGTTCTGGTCTCAGGACTACAGACGCGGCCTTGAGGTCTTGTTCGATAAGCTCGAACAGGTAGGTCCATCCCCAGATTGGTGAGTGATAATGGCCTCCAACTGATATCCCATCCAGAGTGTCAATGAAAACGAAGAAATAGTCGCTTTCATTCGGGTGAGTTGTGCGGAGCAAAGATCAGGGTCGTTGCTAATCAGATCTCGTGCAGACCAGAGCCCAGGCAGAGGCCACCCTTGCCAATATTCTCGGTAACCCCAATCCAATCGGGAAGAACGGTAAGAGGATCATTTCGAGTTCTCGACTGTCTAACAAGTCATTTCAGGCAAAGGATTTGCCGCCGATGAAGGCGCCTCGCTATTTGTCGCGTTCCGTGGTCTACAGAGTGAATCCGTAGCGGAGGGACAGTTGCACAGGACCATTGCAAACGAATTGAACTCGCTGGTCGCAGATCCATTCGATCAATGGGCACAGGGATACAAGGTGCGCTGGTCACGATCTCCAACTATTCAGTGGTGCTTACCTTTGCTGTTAGGGACGTTTGCGCCAACAACGCACTGCCGTTATCGACAACTGGCTTCGCGCTTATGAGGAGGGCCAGGTTGAGGTTGCCAAACTGAAGAGTCAATATCTTGACAAGACCCGCCGTGCCGACGAGGCCATGGACGAGTGCGTAAATTCCCCAGTTGCGACGATGTCACCCTAACGCTGTACACAGTGCCAAGTTTGCACCAAATAGCAACATCCCCGATACCTACACAAACTCTCCACGACTCCGACCAATGGACACGCGTCGCAACCCTCCCCAACGTACCCCCAGTGTCTCCGAACGTATAGCCCAACGGTTTAAGGACATCCAGAAGAATGTCATCTCGTCTTCTGTCACGGAAGAAGCAGAGGCACAGCCAGAGGTAGAATCGCCACCAGAAGAGAACACCACCCCTAAAGTGGACAAAGGAAAGGGGAAGGCACTTCCGGAACCATCGCCGATCGAACTGAGCTCGCCGATCCCACTGACGCCAACTGCAAAGGATACCAATCCAGGACATGTCAGGACCCCCTCGGTGACCGTAGAGTCCCCCACATCTCCTACCCCTATCCTGCTCGCAGGGCTTCCATTTGCTCCATCTACCCTGTCCCAACTCCTCACCAGAGCTGCAGCTGAACTACCCCTGAGGACCGTCCGATTCCCACTCCTTGGAGAGTATCAGGACGCGTTCACGGGTGACGAATTTGTCGCTTGGCTCAACGCAAGCATCCCGGGATTCGATGGCAATCTTGATCGCGCTGAAGATGCTGCTCGCGATCTCACAGAGAGAGAAAACCTTTTGCGACGTCTGGGAGAGCTTGGAAATCAGTTTGAGCATTCTGATGATGCTTGGTACCAATTCAGGCCAAAGGTGAGTGGACAATAATTCATCCAATTTATATCTAATATTCCTCCCGTAGGCATTTACTTTGGGAGATCTCAACCCTGAACCCGCCAAAGGCGAGAACCTACTCAAGAGGTCCGCTACCTTGGTCAACATGGTTAGCAAGGCATTGAATACAAACGCTTCTTCGGAGCCTGCCTACGTCCGTGCGCATCAAGAAGCCATGGAAGCGGATAAAGCCTATCGGATCGCTGTTAGGCGATTGGACCGACAACGCCTTGGCCTCGAGGAGCGTATCGAGGAGACCCTCAGGCTCTTGCAACGCTGGGAAGCAGAGCGTTTGGCTGCGGTTAAGACAGGTGCGCCTATATGATTCGTTGGCAGTACTAAGGCTAACACTACGAATAGTGCTCCTCCAATACCAGGGGACTCTCGAAAACCTCCCCAAGGCTCTAACTTCGACCTTTGAGCGTTCCTCCACCCTTATTGCTGCCTTCCAACCCGACTCTGATCTGACGGCGCTCATCGAGCGCTACCGTACAGGCCCCTTCCGACCAAGCCCTCAAATCTACGAGTCTGTCTCCCACGACGAGTCCGATGTCGTCTTCGGAATCGACCTCCGCAAATGGGCTGAAGGGGGCTGGTTCGCCATGCAAAGTGGCGAAGAAAAGAAAGAAATCGTTCCTCCCGTCTTCACCGCCCTCCTCACCGCGATCGAAGACTCGTACCAACGTCTACCCAACGACATTGAGAAACGGAAGGCATGGATTTACGACGTACCCTTGCCCGCTGTTCATCATCTCCGTGAAACCCTCAATGCCGTCCCGCCCGATCAGCCATTCCAGCCAGAGTTGTTCGTGAGGTTTGATCCTCCAGTCATTGCGAGCGCGATCAAGCTGTGGTTGCTGGAGCTTAATCCCCCGATCGGGTTGTATGAGAATTGGGACGAGTTCAAAAAATTGTATCGGTCCAAGGCGCAGGGTGAAGAAGTCACGGAGGAGCAGAGGTTGCAGAATATCAGCGCCGCGTTGCAGAGGCTGCCTAGGGTTCACTTGTATGTGCTGGACCAGGTTGTCAAACATCTCAGAGGGTGAGTAAGTGTCATTTGTCGCTTGACATTATCTGATTGTTTCCAAGGTTGATCGAGTCGACGGATGTGGAGGAATCCAACGAAGTTTATATCAACAAGTTGGCGCTTTCGCTCGGTCGAAGTAGGTGACTACCTCTGAGGTGGGAAACGCAACTGACATCCTCCTAGACATTCTTAGGCCCAAGGCAGAGTCGGAAATTTCCATCCAAGACCGCCACCCAACGCGTATGTCTACTGTCTTTATCGCCTATCCTGCCTAACATTTTGTCAGTCCTCTTCATGGATCTGCTCAACAACTATGATGCTCTTCTGCCTCCCACCATCGAGCGCAAGAAGCGAGAGTCGGAGCGCAAGGTTCCCATTCGCAAGCGGACTGCCCCCATCGACATGCGATTGAGCAGAAGTCGCATTTCCATTGACGCCAAGGCCAACCCTCAGGCTCTCCTTGCGGCCCAAAAGGTTGCGCAGAACCCGGCCTTTGCGAAGGCCAGTAGCCCGCCTCTTCCCCCACCTCCACCTGCTGCCGACAAACTGGTCCCACCTCCTCCCCCGCCACCTGCTGTCGTCGAGAAGCTCACCACCCCTGCAACCTTGGTTCCGCCTCCGCCTCCGCCAGCATCTGTTGTTGAACGACTGAAGACCCCGCCCCCACCACCTGCCGCTGCCCCTGCTGTCCCACCCCCGCCACCTCTCGTGTCAACTCAGCCTCCCCGACCCAATTTCAAGGAGCCCGAGTCGTCGTCTGAGGAGGACGATGACGATGATGACGACGACGATGATGATGACGATGACGACGACGACGATGACTCTGAAGAGGAGACCTCCAAGGATGAGAGTAGTGCCCGAGCCTCTCCAGCGCCCGCTCCTACGACGGCGGTCATCCCTCCCACTCCCGCTAAGGAGCCAGCCCCAGCCAGCCCGTCTCCTGGAAAACGCAGCTTTGCCTCTCGCAGTCCCTCTCCGCCCAACGAGGATATCGTCCTAGGTACTGGTAAGGTTTCGCTCACCCGTTCAGGATCAAACGAATCTGGTCGTGCGTCTATAACTCGAGGGGCAAGGATTGCGCGTGGACCTCGTGCTCCTTCGGGCGGAAGCGTGAGCAGCTTGGTGCAAAGCATCAACAGGAACTCAATGTCGGGTAGCCCAACTCCGGGTGGAGCCAAGAGGTTGAGTGGTGCAGCAGGGAGCCCTGTTAAGAGGCCCTCCAGCATCGTTGGACGGAGCTCTGCGAGCTTCCAGAGGAGGACGATGGCGAGCGATGCAGAGGATGATGTTGTCGATAGGAAGTAAAAATATGGACCTGTATTTAGATTGCGGACTACTGATCTCTGGAAAGATGTATCTTGTCGAATGTAGCTAGGATCTACTATGCTTTATGTGTTTATGCCGCAGATGGTGAGATTTACTGAGATCCTATAGACTCGCTGATCTGAGGTCGTTCTGGTTCGGATAGGCAGGAAGCGAAGGCTTATTATTTATTGTTTATTACAGGGCCTGTTGCGCAGCGGCAGACAGAGCTCCAACAATGCCGACACATAGGGCCCATGCTACCACCGCAACTTCCGCCGACGAGCGTGTGCCACTATCCTCTGGATCCTCCTCATCGGAGCCGTGAGAATGGTCCCCATGGTCGTGTCCTCCTGACGTACTATTCTTGCATTGGTTGGAATCGAGGGTTGCAGTGCTGGACAGTGTCAGGTCGGCGCACTGGAGATGTTCATGGCGTTAGAATACATTCTCAAGAAGGCCACTGCAGGAGAAGAAAGACGGGGAACGTACCTGGTAAAACGAGCTCTCTTTGTCGAAGAGATTGACTTGGATCGTCACGTTAGCGCCATCCTCAAGACCGGCGATGCCTGCTGATTCGAGGTCAAGTGGTATACAGAAATTGCCTGGGTGATGCTCGTGCGCTTCGAGTAGGAGATATTGAGGTTCCCCGTTCACTTCAAAGTCGTCGTCTGATGATGGATTTGGGACAGTGGAGATGAGGACATTGGCTACACAAAGGGGGTTAGTGATGGTTAGGTGAAGGAGTACTGTTGTACTTACCTGACCAGTGCTCGTGGCTCTGTTGAACATTGAGGAAGCCGCCGCTCAAGGGGAAGGCGGTACGATTTGTCGTTACGTTGGTGTAACCCCCTGTTGATGGTGAACTTTGGGCCAAGATGACGAAGGGTTGACCATACCACAGAACTCTCCCAGTTGGGTACTGTTGTACGGCCCCCGAGGCTGAGGGTAAAGGAGTTTGAAGTGAGCATTGGCGCCTAAGGCGAGCAAAGCTGTAATTGTCAAGGCGCTGAAGAACATGCGAACTGTGTAGCACTTTGGTAGAGTCGGGAACGGGGGTTTCTCTAGCAAGGTCTCTGAGAATTTATAGGGGATAACCACAGCGATAAAGAGAAGGAACATTGAGGTAAATTGGAGATTATCATTTCGGATGGTACGGGTACGAACAGGTACTAACAGGGGACGAAAAGACATGGTATCGCTCTAGAGATAGAGGCCAGGCTGCGATAAGGCGTAGGCATCCGCTAGGCTTATCAGCAACGGGAACCGGAACGCCGAGATACTGCGGGAGAAAAGACTTGCCGAAGACTGACTAACTCGCAGGAACAGTGAACCAAATCAAATTTGAAGATTCCAGCACTGTTGAGACCAGAGAATCGACTTCTAGACGAGCTCGCTGTTCTCCATCCGTCGTCGCAAACAGCACCACTTTTCGGAATTTGTGGGCAGCTGACCTTTGCCGAGCAAGAAACCACACGGTCGTCGAGTTCCAGGCCAGAGTTCTGTCGGAACAAATCGTAGATCGCACAAGGATGGCGCCATATTGCGCAATAATCACGACAAATGGCGCGTCTAGCTGGGCCCCGGCTTGCTAGGCGGCATCGAGATCGGTGAACTTGCCCGACTGGCGGACAGTGAGGTCGACGACTAAATTCGAGCGGCGAGTGAAAGCAATGAGAGGTTCGATCTCCGACAGAGTGAAAGTGTAGGAGCAACAGGCAGGGCAATGACGGCGAGAGTTACACGAAGAGAGTCGCGATAGAGCCGAGGAACCATTGAGAGGCGGTCAAGGTGGTTGAGGATGTGTGAATTCGTGGTCGATTAATGGTGGTTGGGTCCGTCGCGGGTCTTGGTGGTTGAAATGGGCCACTTCACCGATGGAACAGACTGAAGTGGCAGAAGATAACGTTAAACAGCTCTAAGCAGGTCAGAATGGCATTTACAGGATAAACAAATAGAAATACACGCAGTCAGGCGAGGATTTTAGTGTCGCATAAATGCCTCAACCCCACACCGTCGTCGGTTATCAACGCTAGCCACTGTGTTGGCAGCGCTCGTTCTCTGAGGGAATTGGTGGGGGGGGGCAAGGGCGGCGTTCCAAACGACATTGGGGAGGAGAAAAGGAGAGAGGAGGTGGGGGTGCGAAAGGAAGAGAGAGGGGTAAAAGCCGGGATTATATAGGGACGAGAGTTGCGCCATCAATGCACGTGAGTGCAAAAATGCCGCAAACAGCCATCAATAATCCGACCTTCTCCCTTTTCGTTTTTCAGTCGCCCTTGCTCTCTTTGAACAACTTCCATAACCCGCTAGCCATTCGCGCCTGCGCTGCCATGGATAGCGCTAGTTCCCTGTCGTCTAACGCTCGTCCGACCTTCCCCATCGACGAGAATAACAAGAAACTTCGCCCCTGACGAGTCGGTCTTCCCCTTGGCCATTGTCGCAAGAGTAACCTGGTGTCAGGCAATCTCCAACTTGGGCAATGCTGCGGGCCCCAGCATTTACTTCGTCTGTATCTGTTTCCACGGCTGAAAGGGCAGTTACATGAACACCAAGCCAACATGTGTCCTGCCACTCTGTCGACTATGAAACTAGGGTCATTTCTGGAATCTCTTCTGGCCATCGTGAAAACTGTTGTGATACTCACATTCAGCTCCTTGGATGCTCTCCAAATCGTCTTCATTGGCTATAGGCTTTTTCTCGCCACGGTGTGGTAGTGGTTTCGCCCTCGCTCTGCTGGTTCCCTCACCGCGTTTTCGTTGAAAAAAAAAAAAAAAACGCTCTGAGTCTCCTTCACATCTGCCTTTCGAGTAACTATTATCCTGTCCCGCGTCTCTCAACTTATCTCTGATTCTGTAGCTACTCACCTCAAGTCTCACTCGGTCTCACTGAGAACTCCATACATCTCGGGCCGCTGAGCTTCATTCTCCGCACCAGTCCGCCATCACGCTTCCTATCTAGGCGCAACATTCCCACCACCACAATTGGTTTGCTTTTTAAGGCGGCGCAACTCCTCGAAACCCTCTCTACCCTTGAGCAGCGGGCTACCGTTCGTCACTCCTGTCCCTGTCCCTCTCCCTTTAAAGCAGCCCTCGTTTCACGACAATGGATCATAGCGGACATGGCGGTGGAAGCGGTGGAATGACTATGGACCACATGATGGACCATAACATGATACCCTACTTCCACTCGACCCCCGGCATCGCTCTTTGGTTTAAAGAATGGACACCGAGCTCCGCTGGAGGCATCGTAGGAGCATGCTTTGTTCTGTTCTTCTTTGCACTCTTCGAGCGGTTCATCTCCGCGGTGAGAGGTGTATGTGAACGCCATTGGCAAGCGAGGTATTTCTCTTCTGGTCGATTTCGCCGTCAAACCACTCACTATTGCTTTCCTTACAAGAGCTTTGTTGTTGTCCAACAAATGCTCCCCTTCCACGTACGAAACTAGGACCTCCCCAGTCTCAAAGGTGCCGTCCTCGCAAGAGGAAGGGGTGGTCGAAGTTCATGAAGTCCCAGCAACAGTCCCTTCGGTTGTTCCACGAGTCAACTCTCGCACCATTCCGCCCTTCCTTACCGGCCACGATATACCAAGAGGTCTTCTGCATGGATTCCAGGCGATGTTGAGCTATGCGCTCATGTTGGCTGTGATGTAGGCATCGATTGCCTTCAAGTTCCCTTTGGTTTGCTGACAGGGTACTTTTCCAGGACATACCGTGTGGATTTTGTTTTGTGTATCGTCGTTGGGTCAGGCGTAGGCGAGATTCTGTTCGGGCGTGCTGGCGGCGGTGTTGGAGGGCACTGATACTCTCTTTTGGCACCGCGTTCGTTTTCTGCCTTTTTTTTTTTTTTGCTTTTATGCTATTTCCTCGCTATCTTCCTATTGTACAGTCAGCTATGCTCAGGCTCGCCCATCGTTGTATACGTATTACGATACCACCCTCCCCATTCTGAATCACATTATAAGGAATCCTACCGTCCCACATGCCGCTCCAGCCATTTTCCCTTTTCCAATGGACTGGCGTGGTTTTCACCATATGTTCCTGACAGGAACCACCGGACCAAACGATCCGGTATATTCAGGTACATATGTGTGCTCGCTCTTGCTTTCGATGTCGACTTTCCGATAAGTAATGGACCAACGCGCCATGAACGTACCGACGAACGCGACGCAGGCCAAAGAGCGCCTCTACTCTTAACCAGCAGCAAGTCTAGGCAGAATGCCTCGCGCCATCAGCCAAACCGTTTGTGCGATGAGAGTGTTTCCTGGGTTGGATGCGGCCAAATGCGTATTCTATGCTGCCGTCGCAGGAGACTTGGAGGCTCACTTATACCAAAAGCCTTATGACTGTCGCTACCTCGCTCAACCCGGAGGATGAAGAGAAGGCTGAGGGAGTCGAGGTTAGCCCCAGGATCACCCAATACTTACTGCCAGTCTTTTGCAAAATCGCGTACAGATGGTAACGATTCGGCTCCGGAATCGGCTTCAACATCAGGGGTGAAAAGACCTGAGTACATATCGTGATCTGCATCTCCACCAATGCCTCGCCATGTCTAATAGTAAGCACGAGTGTAATGCTGCAATCCAAAGGGGGACGGAAAGCAGTAGAGAAGGTCGCGGTCTGCTGTAAGCGCCTTCCAAGGCGGCCTATCACGCCCCGCACCGACTAGAGAGCGTCATTTGACTGTTCACACATAAAGTTGTAGACAAGCGCTCTCATCGAGCCAATGCCGCGGACTCTGGTCTCGTTGGGTGGCTGCCTCAATCTTATATTATGTTTCCGTCTCTGAATGATTCCCGAAACATTGAGCATCAGCTCCCTCGAGCTCTATCATGGGCGAAAGGGTCTTTCCGGAAGTTTCTAAGGAGTAGAAGGCCGACGGTGGCGTCAAGTCGGTACGAATGTTAGACTCAAGCATCCGGTTTGTGGAATGGAGAATCGGGAGCGAGGACGGGGGTCGTTTTCCACCCAATAAGTTTCACCCTATACATGCCTAAGCTAACATAGCCCGACTAATCGTAGGCAAGGATACACCAAAAAAGGCATCGATATGCACTGGTAGGCACGGCTTGTCTATTTTATCCTCGCGTAGACAAAATTAGCTGTTTGGGTTTTTCCCGATGATCTGCTCCCTCTCTAGACGAGGTCGGGCATGGGTGTCTGCGCTAAAGCGAGTGCTTTGGCTATTCAACCTGTATTTTGTTTCACCGAGCGATACATTGAAAGCCTTCGTCCCTCATCGCTGTATCTACGACGTGACAGTGACAGGAGGAATGGCCGATATTGCCGTGTTATGACTAAATCTGGAAGTTCATAAGAATGGAGGTACCGACGCTGCGAGTAAGTTATGACTACGGGCTTCGGACTGTAGTAACTTGAATCTCGAGCAACTTCTTGAAGGTGTCTATGAACCGTCCAAGAATTGTCAACGCACACAATGCACCAGTAAAAGGGGACCGATCGTGAGGACGGTCCTGATTCGATAAGCGTCAACGGGTCAGTGACAAAAGCCAACAGTCCCCACGCTTGCAAATCGATCGCTGGGGAATGAAAAAGTACATCGATCGCATACCTACGGTCCTACACCTCCACAGAGAACAAAAGGCGCACGAACGTACATTTGTGCTTCCAATTGTCACTTAAATCTGAGCTTGAGCCTTGAATGTCCCTCTCCCGCGAGAGGGAACATCAAGGAATTGGTGCATAGACCCTTGGAAAAGAGTATAAAAGCCATCCCCAGCGCAGAGTGATTCCCCACTGTTCACAGTACCAAATCACACATCAGCAATGGACTCCTTCACCACCATCAACATCCCCACCAACTTCGAGACTGGCGGCGGCTCCGGCAACGGTGCCTACTGCGTCATCGCCTAAATGCCCAAACGGCAGAGCCCTGGTCTTTTGTGGATCGGTGAATAGGTGTGTATACCAACACTTTTCGCCATTTGGGATCTGGTCCTGACTTCACCTTCAGGAATGTTCCGCTTCTTCACTGCTATCATACTCGGAGGCCTTGTGCTCGTCCTCTCATATATACCCAACCAATGTATCCACGTTGGAATGTTAATACGTGACTCTTTTTGCGCGCAATTCGGTGTGATCCATGAACCCTTGAAATCGCTTACATGCGTGAACACTGAAGGGTCTTTTTGATCAATGAAGAGTCGACTCGTAGAAGCCCTTTGAGATAGGGGCGACCGAGTCGGACAATCCTGGCGAGTTGTCCCAAGGGCACTATTTGGATACACCACAAGATTCGAATTGACGGCCATCCTCGAGTCGTCACATCCGCCGATGCCAACAGGGATGAGATCGACTGGGACCTAATAGGCTACCACCGGTAAGAGCACTCAGGCTAGCGCGTCGATGACAGGATTAGCGTCCCAGGCGTGCTGGTGGCCGGCCTCGGACACACCGTGGAGTCTTTACCAATGCCGCCGGATGTCTCGATCAAACTATACAAGGCGCTAGTGGACCCCCATTTGACACATGGATGGGAGGTTAGCTGGGACCTGCAGCTGAGTCTGGAAGTAAACGTTAAACCGTTACGGGCCTCGAGGAGTTCTCGTGAGTCGGAAGAAAACTGCTTACAGGGATCACATCCGCGCGTGTCTGAGAAAGAACGAATCCTGATCACGAGCTGGTGGCCACATACATTGTTTGCGACCGCCTCCTCTCAAGTATAAGGACGAAGAAAAGAGTCGTGTACGCGACGGCCCATTCGGGTTGAGCCGAGCGAAGATTCCCACGACCCGAGCAAGCGCCCGTCGTCCCGATCCGGGGCCAATTCACGCGCTCTACTTTCGTTCTCACCATCACCATCGTTCTCCCTTTCGCCTTTCCATTGCTCGTGCCACGCCCTCTGGAGCCACGGTCATACCCATCGAAGCAAACCAAACTGACACCTTAGTGAAGGCAAAATGTCGTTGGATTCGACGGGCAACCTCAAGCAACAGTTGACCACAAATCTCGGTCCCAAGGCACCTGTATACTTCGATGCACTCCAAAACTTTGTAACCGGAAAGATATCGAGGGTAGAGTTCGAGGAGATAGTTACTAGTATCCTCACTACGCCCATACTACGTGAGTTCAATGCCGCGACCAATATCAACGCGTGTATTGAATGACATCGAACATGCTTCACAGTACAGATCCACAACGCCCTCATCATATCCCTCTTTGATGCCACAGCAACCTACAAACGGAATGCCTTGAATGCAGCGGCCAACAATCTTCTCAACTCGAATCTAAACACGCCGCCACCCACCGCATCCAAGCCACCCACTCGAAAACGGAAAAGGACGCTATTGCCGTATCAGGGTCCCGGGCTTTCTGAAGAAGAGAGGACATTGAGGAGTAATAGGCTGAAGAGATGGGTTCTGGCAATGGGAAGGAAGGAACGGGAGAGGATACGGGCTTTGGAGAAAACGAGTTCTGGGACGCCACCACCGGCGCAGCCGAATGGGACGACGACACCGATGCAGGTGGATGGACAGCCTCCACCTGCATCCACGACACAGAGCGCGAGACCGAGACCAGAGCTGGACGAAATTGCCTGCGAGAGGGGGGTTACGCTGTTGCCGGAACGAAAGGGTGGGTGACGATAGCATCCTTCTATGAGCTCGTGGATTGACAATGCGATGATTGTGGCCTTTAGGTCCACCTGGTTTGCGGCCACCCGTTCAATTGCATAGCACCACCCATGCACCAACGTTGCAGCATATAGCAGAACGCATAAATCTCATCTGTGCTCAACACGACCTCAACCCTCCATCACGCCCCGTAGCATCTCTCATGAGTCTGGCTTGCGAAGCCAAGCTCAAGCAACTCATCACACATGCTCTTACCCTTACACTCTCCAGCCAAGCTATCAGCTCAATCAACACTTCGGGGTCGGGTACCGCTGGCCTCCTTTCTCTGGCCCTGAGTGGCGAGCAGGGCCAGTCGTCTTCTTCGTTAGCTTCAAGCTCGACACATCACCATATGCCGCAGCGTGCACCGATCCTCACTGCGCCTGCGTTCCAGTCCCTCTTCACCCTATACCCTGCAAGTTTGCCAAACAAGAGTGCAGCAGCTATGAGGTTGGCTGCTATACCGTCCCCAGCGGTAAGTCCTTGGGCTCTCTCTGTGGCAGGCTATACGGTGGCTAATGGGCTATTTTCTTAGGAGGATGACAGCGATGATATTCCCGTGCTGAAGGACAGAGAAGTTAGAGATCAAAGATGGCAAATAATGGCCCTCTTGGCAGAAAGGAGTACGGTTAGAGAGAGTTTAAAGGCTGTCCGGTGATATCCTATTGCACTCCGTTGGCTGGTTCCCGTGGATGTGGCACGTATTAATACGATCCCAGACTTTTAACGTCGCGGCCATGGTGTTGCTGACGGTATTCCTCGTTGGCCAAGGTTCCACTTCCAAAGGTCTCGACCGCTCGCTGCCCACAAACATGTCCCCTCGATGGCGTGAATATCGTCTCCTGAATTCTTGTCGGAATAGGTTGCAGGTGTTACTTGGAGCGCTTCAATAGGGTCATCGAACTGGGCGATGAAGGGATTCGCTCGATATTGAGCAATGTTCAGGGTGGCGGTATACCTCGTTGTCTCGGCCGATTGTGCAGGATCCAGTGGTTCTCCAGACATTAGGTTCCACCCACGGATCCGACAGTCTAGTCCTGCCGCATAGACTAACCCGTTGTCTATGTCGAAAGCAAGACCCTAGTATGGTTGAAAATAAGCTTCGGCACTGCCTGGACGGAGAAAACATGAAATCACCAAATCTTGCTTGTAGGAGTTAATGTGGCCATGATATTGTATCGAGGGCTCGATATTGTTGGCGGATGAAGAGAGCCGACGAAGGTCAAACAACTGGAGCTGGGAGCGAGAATTGGATGAACAGTACGAGGGAAGTGGAGATGTACTCACATCTCCATTCATATGGCTGATGAAAAGGCCTGAGTCGAGAATGCCGGCAGCAAAGGTGGAGTGGTTGGCCATGAGTTCGAGCTTCAAGACCGGAGACCGCTGGCCTTTCTGGTGGCCACGGTTGTTGAACCGTCCTTCTAGTAGGGCCTGCCCTCTATGCTTGAATCCAATACGTTTATCAAACCGATGGATAGTGCCGTTTCGAGAGCCGGTATATATAAGGTGGGCATCCTGGGTTATTGACAAGACGTCGTTATCTGTGTGAAGGAACTCCACCGAGGAGGAGTGGTCGACGGAGGGAAGGTAGACTCCTCGTGTGCTGGCACCTGGGGGAGAAGGCATTACAAGCTGTTGTGTCCGGAAAACATGTATAAAGGTACCTAGTGCGAGTTCCTCCCCGAGCAGGTGGGACGTCCAAAGGTCCCGGACTTTGGGCAGTGTGAGAATGCACATTTGGCTGAAAGACAATGTAAGAACAGGGCGTCGACATGGTTTGTACGAAGATTACTCACTCCAAGCGTTGTATGTCAGAGAAAACCAAGCGAGGTGTTTTACCGGACCCCGCAGCCCTAAACACGACAGTCAGCTGGAAAGTTTGGATACATTTGCGAGAATCCAACGTACACCCATCGCGAACCAGACATTGACATAGAGGTGATATGTCCCGATGGTTGTAGATTCAGCTCTGTCGTCCAGGGCAGCCAGTGCGAGGGTGGATTCTCTCCAGCTCCACTGCGACTGGCAACAGCGTGTCCATAGGCATCTGTGTCGGTCTCGGGCTCTAGGATCCCTTGGGGCGTGCTGCATCGCGATATCCAACCCATACTATCGCCCAACAAGTGCCATCTGCTTCCAGTGAAATGATCTTCTGGTTTATTGGGGTAGGTCTTCGAGATGCTGTCAGCTATGATGATCGAAGAGCAGAACGTCTGGACTACACACGCAGAACGTGGTGGCTCGACCGAGGGTAGCAATTTCCCAATGGGCAACTTTGCTCGTTTCAGCTATGTTGTTCAGCTTTACGCATCTGTAGCCAGATGCAGTCAGTCAGTATCCATAGGTTGCACCGCGTTTCGTCCGGAAGGCACGCCTTTCAACGTAGCAGTTTCATCAATTACTTACTGTCTGATACGCTCGCTGTCCGTCCAGTTCCAGCTCGAGCTTAACATTATTCTGTTGAGGTTGGCCAAATTTTTACGCCCCAGCCTACGCTTCATGGCCAACTTTGGAGTGACTTCGAAGGGTCCCGATGCTTTCCTTGGATTGTCAGACGGTGCTGTCGCAACTGCCGGAGCATTTTGGAACGTAGGGGGTTTCGGCGAGGATGCTGAGCTATGGTTGGGTCGCCTCGACGATATAGGAAAGTAGCGATTCTTCTCTGGGTCCCAATATAAACCTGGGAGGTCCTTTGGCATCGTGGTATTGAAGAGAAAACAGTACAGCTCCGCTGAGCATGGCAAAAAAGAGCAAAAACGCCCCTGTCTCAACACGATGACATCACGTGTAGTCCTAGTTTGGTAGGTCCCTATGGGAATAGGGATAGATAGGGGTTTAAGTACTAGCGCAGCTTATACAAAATGGAAGACTTCCTTCCATCCGATCAGCCGTGACACAGAGCTTGACCTTGACCAGCAGCATCGACTCGCCCGAGCCGTGACTACTAGTCCTACTACTACTGGTGTGGGCGAACAGGCTCGTTGCGGCTACCACAAAAGAACTGACTGTTGCATTCTGACGAATAACGGTGGGCATGGCCGCACTGCCACATGCTGTGGTTTTGACGCTTCCCGTCCCCACGGGCGCACAGCGTTGATGATACCCCCACAGAGCCAGCATCAAGACAAGATGCTAATTTTCCTGCGCACCCACACCTTACCGTCCAGTCCATCTAACTCGGGTCTCTCAATGCCCTTCAAGTACCCCCATTGAAAAGTCGCTACAACAGACATGGGCCAGAGTGTGTCCTTCCAGGTAACTGTCTGCACGCGTTTCCAGTCCCTCGTGTCTAACAGCTGTGCATGGCTAGGACGACGCTGGACTCGACGAAGATGTGCTGATTCCGGGCGCCTATAAAACTTCTTTCATAGGTGCACCTGCAAGCTCGGCTCCAGTGGATTCCGAAGCACCACCGTTCGTACCTATCGATCCGACCATTTACTTGCCAGGAAAGCCTCAGGAGCCGACTCCAGATTCTGGGCGCGACAACGCGAGCCTAACCGAAGCGACATGCTCTACAGAGCTGGACGAAAGCACGGCCAGAATCGACACAATTAACATACATGGCGGTACTTTCAATGACGTCGGAGGAGATTACATCTATACGATCAACAACTTCTTCAACCCTCTGTATGCGGATGATCCTTGGTCATCTGCGCCAGGGCCCAAACCTCCAGATGTACAAGCCATGAAGGTTGGGAAGATTGTGGAGTGGCTCTCTCCCATTATCAACTTCCGAGCCACACAGGTTGAAGTACGAGAGAGAAGGACGCCCGGCACAGGCGCTTGGCTGTTACAGGGGGAACTGTACAATGAGTGGAAGTCGGGAGTTCTGCGCGTCATCTGGGGAGTAGGCATGGGTAAGAATTTCCCGTTGGCTCCATCATTCCTGTTGCTGAACCCTCAGAGCAGCCGGGGCGGGAAAGACTGTACTCGCGTAAGCACCACGAGCTTTCGAATTAGGCTCTGCTACTCGCTCCTCGAGCTCCACAGGCTCACGATTATTGTCAGATCAAGCATCATTGACGACCTGCTTCAGATTGAGAGGACGTCCAGCGGTTGTGTTAGCGTCGTCTTTGCTTATTGTCGTTGCACCGATGCACTCTCCGTAAAGGAGATACTAGCTGCATTCCTGAAGCAATACCTAGAGCACCACCCCGAACTTGTGAAGCTGGTTGAACCCATGTACCTGCACCACAGGCGGGACAAGACCTACCCATCGCAGGACGAACTTATCACCCTCCTTCGAGGGATCGAGACGATGTTTGTTGTCTCCTTCTACGTCGTCGAAGGGCTTGACGAAGCCCTTAATAACACCCAATTTGACTTGATTAGCGCACTTTCCTTGTTAAAGGGAAAGTTCGTGATTACCTCTCGACCCCTCGCTCATTCGGAGTCAGATATCCCCTCCGCCAAGTTCTTCACGATCGTCGCGCGCGCAGAAGATATCCGATTGGCGCTCAATCAGAAGCTCGTCCTTAATCCCAGGTTTCGGAGGCTTATCGAACAGCACCGATGCAAGGAAGAAATCACTTCCAAGATTATCCAAAAGTCTAACGGCATGTGAGTTTGAGCTTCCTGCAGGAGTTTGAGACGTCATATTGACTGGCACCAAATTTGTAGGTTCCTCCATGCCGCCCTTCAGATTGAAGCGCTCCAGCAATGTTTGACTATAACCAGCCTACGCGCGAGCCTGGAGCAGTTTCCCAACAAAATGACGGATATGTATCGGACAACGCTACAGAGGGTGGAGAACCAATCCCCCGAGCATTCTGCCCTCGCGAAAAGGGTCCTCCTGTGGGTTAACTATGCCCAATGCCCGCTGTCTGTCCGGGACATACAATGCGCGCTAGCGATTTGCCCACAGACGGATACCTTCAAGAAGGATTTGGTAGTAGATGAAGCTACGCTGATCGCAGTTTGCTACGGCTTGATTGGTGTAGAGAAGACCGGGACTGTGCATCTGATTCGTTAGTGGTTGGGTCTTAATGCACTCGTAAACGAAAATACTGACCTCTTTATAGATTCCACGGCTAGAGACTTCGTATCTCAATTCTTGCGGGGCATATATCGCAATCCTCACGAGGTACTGGCCAGAACGTCTATTCAAAGACTCGTGGCGTGCAAATTGATCGAATCCGACGAGGCCTTCGAGGAGTGGGACCTTGAAGACGCCTTCGCCCAGTATCCCCTCCTTCAGTACTCCTACAACTACTGGGCTTTCCACGCGAAGAAATGCCAAAGCGATCCCGAATTCGACGCTTTGCTCCGCTTCTTTATGTCGAAATGCGCCGCCTTCCCCTGCAATCTCGCCCAAGACGATTGGGAATGGAACGAAGGAACCCTCGACCTCCTCAAACCCCTTCACTTGGCTGCCCGACACGGCTTCCATCAGTTTATCCCCGAGTTTCTGTTGCTGGAGGGGCAAAGTCAGGAGCACAGCTGGTCCGCCCTCAATTCCCGAACCAGGGGCAAGTTTGGCGCCACTGCGCTGATGCTAGCTTCCCATTACAACCATACGACGGCCGTCAAAGTACTCGTCCGGGTACGGGGAATCAATGTCAACGCGGTGAACGGCAGCGGAAGGACCGCACTTCATTTGGCTGCCAGGAAAGGCCATGAACTGGCCGTTCGCTGCTTGCTCCAGGCAAGGGACATCGACCCTAACGCTGTGGACGAGGAGGGGTACACGCCATTGATGCTAGCTGCGGAAAAGGGGCATGTGGGAGTTGTGAGGGTTTTGGCCCGGGTTCCAGGAGTTCAGCCCAATGTTGCAACCGTCCAGCACCGGCAGACTGCGCTAATGTTGGCTGCGGAGGGCGGGTTTGAAGACGCCGTTAGAATCTTGCTCCGAGTCGGAGGGACCGACGTCAATATGAGGGACTGGGATGGCCGTACGGCGTTTTTTTTTTTTTTTTTTTTTTTTTTTTTTTGATCTATTTAAAGCAGCCAATCGGCGCTAAGCTAGGGAGAGGTGGTCGACCTACAATCTAATCCTACTCTTGTACACTACTACTAATCTATGATCTACGTTACTGCGACCACCCTGCGTGACTAAGCTAACGAACGCTAGTTCCTAACAATAGGTACTAGGGAATCAACTTGGAACGTGAAGCGGGAGATTGAAGAGTTTGGTCGGGAGGTTGGACGCGATCGGGGAAGTTTCAGCCGTTGTCGAAGATTGTATCGCCGCCGTTGACCTCTGGTGGGCCGACGGTTGACGATGTGATGGGTTGGGAGGGTTCTTGCTCGGAGAGTTGGGACAGGGTGGGGTTGGTGGGTTGTTCCCTAGGGAGTCCTGTACGTGTGAACGCCCCAGAGCGGTCTAGGAATTCTGCGAGGGCCTCAATTCCTTGTTTGGTTCCGAGGATGTCGGGCAGGGCGACGTCTTGAGACACCTCTCTCAGGATCCACCTCCAGTCTTCGTAGCGCTTGCAGTGGATGATAATGTGCTCGCGTGTTTCTGTTGCTGCCTCTCCACAGGGGCAGTGGTGTGGTTGTGTTGGAAAGAAGCGCCGCCGGAATTCGCCGGTGTACGAATGGCCTGTTCTGGCTTGGACGAGTCTTCCGAATCGTTCTCGGTCGTTGGAGAGATGGATGGAATGTTTGGTGGGCTTTAGTGATGGGGGAAGGCGATCGGCGATGGCGAACCAGCCGTGTTTGGGTGCCTTGCTCCATTCCTGCGTCCATTCTTTCTGTGCTGCGAGTTTGGCCCTGCGGATGGCGTTGGTGCGCGAAATAGTGATGGGGGCATTGTGGGCTAGGTTGGTAGCCTGTTTGGCAAGCCTGTCGACCCTTTCATTTCCCGGTATACCATGATGACTCGGACACCAGGTGAGGTGGATGTGATTTCGAGGGTCGCTATCGAGGAATTTGGTGGCGGTTTCGTAAAATGATCGGCTGTAGAGTTGACCGCCAGATGGTTTTGGGTCGAAGATAGAGGTAATGGCAGCGGTGTTGTCGGCGTAGAGGTAGATGTGTCTGATGGCGGGATTTTGGGAGGCGATGTTGGTGGCGATGGTCAGTCCCATCATCAATGCTGCAGGCCGTACGGCGTTGATGGTCGCCTCAAATGAGGGTCATGGTCACGGCGCCGTGGGATGTATTTTGCAGGATCCAGACGTCCAGGTTAACCTAAAGGACTGGAATCATCGCACCGCGTTGATGCTGGCTTCGAAGGAGGGACACGCGGACACCGTTGGTCAGCTGCTACGTGTTCCGGGGCTGGACGTCAATTCGACGAGGAGAGGAATGACTGCGTTGATGATGGCGGCAAGTGAGGGGCACCAGGATGTCGTTAGGGGGCTACTTCGTTTTGAAGGGGGGGAGGGCAACGCTGTGACCGATGAAAGTGGATGGACGGCGTTTATGTTGGCAGCGAGAGGAGGTCATGAATCTGTTGTTCCGCTTTTGGTCACTTGCGGCAGCGCAAGAGTGGACATTGCGAGTAAGAGTGGAAAGACGGCGCTGGACTTGGCCTCCGATAATGCACACCCCCGGATTGTTAGATTGCTTACCCAGGTTCGAATCTAGGCGTGGTTCGGAAGAAGCGGAAAGTATGATAGTAGTGTTTGGCTGAGCGTGCAGATGCACCACTAATTCAATGTGAGGTGGATGCTACATATTTGTACATTAGCTACTTGAATACACCAGTGACAGTCGAAAGAGAGGAGGCAGGAGAAAGCAGATACGCGCAAAAATGAAGACTAATATTACAGGCATGCTGTCCGTAGCAAACCAGTCGTCAGTAGTATGTACAAAGTTCGGGTGATGTGTCCGAGTGTGATAGGCTGAAGAACCATGTCCATGATGATGATGGTTGAAGATGATGAAGCGTGCTGTCATACTAAGGCCCCCTCCCCGAAAACACAAAGCCAAAGCAAAGACGAAGTAAGGACTCGTTCGCGTTAGCCTTTATGAAAGGCTAGCATTACGTGCCCGAGGCCATAGGCTTCATACAGGAGCTTCAAGCGCAATAGAAGTTGTTGAACTCCTGGGCTTCGATAGTTCGAGTCGATATAGAGCCCTTTATGGTCATCGCGAGCATCTTCTGTGATTAGAAATTAGGTCCGTTCGTGAATGCGAGTCGTTCCAATCCGCAAAGGAAATCGGGGAATTATAAAGGTTTTCGAGTAGAGTATCGTGTCAGTCGAGTCGCGGGTCGTATTATTGTCGTGAACCGAATGGGATGAGTCCTTAAGCAGACTCGGCGGGAGGAACGTAGTCTCCAACGATTTGGAAGGACTCTCCCCAGTTGCCCGAGTTACCGAAGACTGTAAAAAGACACACATCAGCATGGAGTACGTTTGACGTTCGAGACAATTAGTACTTACGAACGATCTGGTAGGTACCAGGTTTAACATTGGGAACAGTGACATTCTGAGATGCATTGAGAATATCAAAGCCCTCGGCCAGGGGGTTAGCGAGATCGAGGAGACCGGTCTCTTCGCTCCTGAGAACAATGCGACCCAATCGGTTGGTGATTTGCTTGGGGGGATGGGTGACGTCCCTAAAGTACAGTATGAGCAACTGGTTTGAAAAGACCGAAGGAGGGAAAGCGTACCAAGTAACGACCTGGGTGGTGCCGATTGTCCATACGCTGTCGGCATTGGGCTCGATAATTGGTGGAACGAAGACGTCGCGGATCTCCACGGCTCTGGAGGAGCGTGCGGCAATGTCGACGGGTGCTGCGAAGGTGAAGTGAAGGCAACTGAAGAGTGCGAAGAAAGCGAGGATGAAGTTGACAGGAGAGAAGGATGCCATGATGGGAATAGGTCGTGAGTGCGTGACGGTCGAGGGGTGCGGTGAAAGGGGTGCGCGACGCAATGAAAGTGCGATTAAGGATTAATGGTAAGAGAGGAGATGGGAGGAGTCGGCTGTGGAGGTGGGTCTGGTATTTATACAAGAGGAAAAGGGTCGAGAAGCCTCTAAAGGCCCGAAGCGGTGCATGGAGCGGTTTCCCCTATTGGCACTGCCGGTGCAGTGATTACGACGAGAATGCTCCGCAATGGGAAGGATCGGATTTGTGGACTGAGACGCCCAGAAGCTGAAAGATCGGGCGAAGAGCAAAATTCTTTGGTCCATTCACAATTGACACGCTTACCGCCGCTTCGCGTTAGCCTTCTTGAGGCTAGTCACCCTGCACGCTGCTTTAGACCCTGCTTCTGCCAGGTGCCGTGTACGGTGATGTGTCACCGTCTTGCGAATGCTTTGGAATACAGGAGTAGTAAAAGCCTTCGATTTCACAGTTGGGGATGATGCTTGAATACTCTAGAAGACCCGTTGCTTTTCGATTAGCTCAGAATGGATGACTGTGACGGTATCCGCCGGTCAGGTGGAGGGGCGAAAATGAATGGTCGATATCCGGAGAAGGTTCGAAGAGATGGGGAGAAGACGCAGGTAAAGTCAAGTGGGGGGGCCACGCGGACCCGTCGCATCGTGTCGGGTCTTCACTGCCATCGGGCGATAAATTGTGAGCTAGATGAAGGGAATAGAGGGAATACTGCGCGGATATTCTTGTATCCCGATATGACAGATTCCTAAAAAGCTGACTATTGTGTCCCTTTTTGAGAGACCGAGTAGGTTCTGTGTCGGCCGAGTCGGTCGTTTCAGTGTGAAGAAGAGCTAGATAGAAGACCTGAGATGGGGAACTCTGAGCGTATCGTGCTATCGACTACAGGCTATGGCACCAGCCTTTGAGCGACCCAGAGTGGGCGATCGATACTTACCCATCAAGGTTGGAAGATTCAATATAATCCTAACGCCCTAATGGACGAGTGTCAACATTGTGATAAAGACGGCGAAAAGGCTGGCATCGCGAGTTCGCCGTTTCGAAACGATAGAAAATTAGAAACAGTGTTGGATGAGATCCGTGTGTGCCTCAAGATCTGGTTCGCACAAGGAGATTGTGAGGAGTCGGAAAGTTTGTGACGATGTGTCGCAGTGACAAAAGCGAGTGGAGTGCGCGCACCAGATGTTTGCTTGGCAATGCTTGTCTTCCCACGGTTCTTACGTACAGCCACCCCCTGTTCTCGCGACATGTATTCCAAAGGATCCCGCCAGCCTAATTCTAAGGCTCTACCTTGTTCTGGCTTCGGCGCTTAGGTTGTACCAACGAATTGAAGGGCGAAGGAATGGCCTGAATAGCGTCCCGCCTTCCTTGTTCCATTCAGGTGCGGGACATGGCTCAGTGCTACCTTGGTACTGGTAGCTGGACTGGCAGCATTCCACCCTTCCATTCCACCCTTCGAGGTCAAGACGAGTGTCAGTGCCTGTTGCCACCGGGTTGACTACATATTAATAGGTCTCGCAATGAGCCGCAACTCTATCCTCGGCTCCTCCAATGCGGCCATGATCAGAATTTGTCCATTGGGGAAAAGGCTCAAGTTAGGATGGTGGGCCTCGGGTCGTTTTTCACCTTTGTTCATGTTATTAACCTTGCTCCCTCGCCCAGTGTTCGGATTCGACACTTCCATGAGTAGCGTTCTGCGACCCCAAGTCGCCATTTCAAGTTCGAAGAGGACGTCGAGTGGGGCGTTTTCGTTAATCCGAATAGTGCGCTCGCCGCGCTCGGTATTGTTGTAGAAGAAGCTGTTGGGGGAAACACAGTCCGATGCACCCGCTTTTTGCAAGGGCGCCGAGTTCACCAGCTTAGGGTCACTTGCAGGATTGCATGGCCAAGAAGGGTGTCATTTAACAAAGTCTAAAGCACTGCAGAATAGTAGTCAGGACACGGGTGAGAAGAAAGCGGCGAGTCCACAAACCATGAATATCATTTGGACGGGAATGCCCTCCTTGAATTGAAGAAACCAACAAATGGTGTCGGATGATTCAACCTCAATGACCTGCAGAGGAATATCAGTGGACTTTCTGAAGTTGATACAGTCGTGGGTGGTGGCCTTGAGTGGTGGGTTAAAGCAAGAGCTCGGTGATTGTGATCAGGCAGGACGGGTTGCTCAAACCCCGAGCTATGGTCACTGGTGCCGGGTAACTCTCGTTGGATGTTTACAACGTGATACGGAACGGGACAAACGCGTCATGCGGTGACAAACATTTGCCGCTCAAAGTTTGTGGGCAAAATTGATGGCCGGTGCAAAATACGAGACGGGCGTGCGCAGTGACAAAGCTCTTTCCACGTCCACCAACGTCCCAGGACCACACCCCTCACTTTTCCTATTCCGAGTCCTCTCTCCTCAATTCAAAAGGATCTTCGTCGGTCTATCTTCGTATCACTCAAAAAAACATTTTGAATACAACCACACTCGCAGACGCTGCGACACTAACCAATAAAAAGTACTCATTCACTACTTCTCGTTCTCTTCATTATACTGATATCTTTAACGCAAGAAATGGCCGACGAGATTGATTATGAAGGGCTCCCTGCCAACGCCGGGCTTGCTGTGCGTCTTATCCTCCATTTCTCTTCCCAATGACGTTGCTGAATATTGCCTGGATTCCAGGTGAACATGATGGCTGGTGCCCTGGTAAGCTCTACTCCTCTCGGCTCTCTTGCGCCAAAACTCAAGTCGCTGCATCTTAACTTTGTGTGTTCGATATGACAGGCCGGGATTTCAGAACACGCTTTCATGTTCCCCATAGACAGCATTAAGGTCCGTGTACTGTCTGGCCGCTTCAAACCTTCCGCGTCGTTTACCCTGCTCCTTAGACTCGAATGCAAGTCTTTGCAACGTCACCTGTAGCTGTCTACACTGGCGTTGGAAACGCGTTTACACGGATATCTGCCACGGAGGGCATGAGGGCTCTTTGGAGGGGTGTCTCGTCAGTCGTGCTGGGTGCAGGTCCTGCCCATGCCATTCATTTCGGAACACTAGAGGCTGTGAAGGAGTTGGCTGGAGGAAACGAAGCAGGCAATCAGTTCTTTGCTACATGTGCGTTTCACTATCTCCTCTCTCTGAGCGCCTGTTTTTTGACCTATGCACAGCTCTCGCCGGTGCATCTGCAACTATCGCTGCCGACGCATTCATGAACCCCTTCGACGTTATCAAACAACGAATGCAACTCCACCAGTCCGCGTTCCGCTCTGTCTTTACCTGTGCACGCACGATCTACCAAACCGAGGGCATTGGCGCATTCTACGTGTCATACCCAACGACGCTAGCCATTTCAATACCGTTCAACGCCATTCAGTTTACGGTTTACGAACACGTCAAGCGTTTCCTCAACCCCCGCGGCGAATATTCGCCTTCATCACATATCGTATCAGGTGCCGTAGCCGGTGCTGTCGCTGCCGGCGTCACCACACCTCTCGACGTTGCCAAAACAATCCTCCAGACGCGTGGTTCCTCCACCGACCCTGAAATTCGCAACGTCCGGGGCATGAGCGACGCGTTTAAAATCATCTGGAAAAAGGACGGGCTCAAGGGGTTCGGCCGAGGACTTACCCCACGGATACTGACGGTGATGCCGAGTACTGCACTTTGTTGGTTGTCATATGAATTCTTCAGTGCGTCGTCTTTGCTTTTCCTTACTCTGTGCTTGTCAATTGATGATACCAATCTTCCCCAGAGGCGGCCATTCGCTCGGATTCCTAGTGAGACCCGGCTGTGTGATGATGCTGTTACCATTCACCGCCCTCATTTGCTTTGGAGGATTTCGCTATATGACGATACGACAGGAAACCTACATCTACTTAATAGATTTGCCCCTCACCGGGGGCATGCACATATACTATATCGTTGGGTTTAAGCTCTACTGTACTGGTTCTTGCGTGTTCGTGGACGACTGGTGTGAATTACAGTATTTTCCGGGTGCGATAGGCTATTATGTAAGGTCTCTTTTCTCGCACTACCACCACTGGCTAACGTCGCGAACTTGTAGCTTCCAATGGCGATAATGTATCCCTCTGTGCCCTCACTCGATCTTGTTGAATCCCTGGAGACTCCAGAACCACTGAGCAATCCATTTGGAAGCCTTTCCCAGCTCACGGAAGGTGATGAACCCTGCTCCTGGAAACCGACAGCTACCAGCGACTTGTGTTGCGAGTTGCTGGTTAGCGCGACAACGAGCGCTTTCCGCCATTTGGTCATACATACAATGTTACATTCACCCAAGATGGTCAGTTTAAGATTATCTGATTACAGGCTGCAACAGAAGGTCCCTGTTCGAGCGTCTGGAGTCTGGACCGCTCGGATGCTTTGGAGATACTTCGGGGTTATTTTCTAAGGTCCCTTGCTCTAATAGTAACTGGACAAACATTGGTTGTATTATTGCCTGGCGAAAGAGGCTCTCGAGAGCCTTACGCTGGGGATGATGTCCCGTTTGAACATGGGGGAATTTGTCACGTTGAAGCTGGATGTCAGGGGGACAGGTAAGTGATATTTCTGGCCTGCCATACTATAGTAGTTTGTTCTGATGGTGCCCGCGCTCTTCTAGATGGAGTCCAGAGAAGACGTCGACTGCGCAGTAGTAGGCGCCGGCGAGGGACTTCTCGTCCGGCTGGATCTCACAAGGCTGTCATCAGACTACCCCTTGAATGTGGTTCGTTCCTCCAAAGGGATGTTATCACACTGAAAGTTGTTCTGTGCGGATTTTGATGTCCGTGACCTGGGCAGAGGCATAGACGCTCGAGTAACTTCGTGTGTGGGTGCATGTGTCCCCGCTCAGCGCGTTCTCTCCACCAGGATAGGGATGGGCGGCCAAACTGAATTATCCAGTCAGCGAGTCGGGTTAGCGATACCTTTGCTCGTCCATTAGCCAGTGGCCCTTCCGCAGCTCGACCTACCGGGGAATAAAGTTCAGACCGGTTGTGATAACCTGAAGGCTGAGGGCTCGGGTTTCCGGGTTGACGCGACTAGCGCTGGTGTTCGCGCTCCACCCACAGACGAGAACGCCGGAGCCACTCATGACCTTCCAGTCTAACAATATCGACTCGAAGGAAGGGCATGGATGGCTCTTTCTCGCCCCCTAAGACCTTAAACGGGTTTATAAATGAAGGTCAGACTGGTCAGTTGGTCAACCTTGGATTGGTGATACATATATATATCCCAGTGGTCCATGTGCGTCAGAGAAGTGAGGTGGAGCAGAGGTGGTGCTTGAATGGGGATTGGGTGATGTGTTGAGGCCTTTGCAGAAGGAACTACGCAGACACTGTGGCAGCTAGAGTCATGGTAGGATCCTTGTTCTATGATCAGTGCTTTCAAAAAGGGCTCAGCTGTGATCGCCTTTCCATTTGGCTGCGAATAGTATTGTCGAAGCGACCTGAGCCAAAGGTAAATTGTCGACTGTAGATCAAGCTTCTATCTGCGGTGGTCGCGGGTCGGAGATGTAAGCGTATGACTATTCGGTCTGAGGAATGTAAGCGCCTGGTCTGCAATATTTAGAGGTCCGTGAGGGCGGGTTGATCGGCTGTAGATCATTATAGCTCTGGAAAGAAGTACAGACCGGGATTCTGAGAGACGAGAATAGGAATGTTCAGGGCACCCACAAACCTTAGTAATTTTTCTGAAAGTTCTGAGAAGCTTGACGAGAGACGTCTTGGGTCGAGGCACAGGGTATAGCCCACTTTCTGTGTGTATAAAAAGGGCTCATGTGTTCTGGAAAAAATCGACAGGATAAATCCACTTTCCTGCTCACAGCCAACGAGACAACTCGAGCTACTAAACCCAACATGCAATTCACTCAACTCCTCTCCTTCGTTGCCCTCGCGGCCACTTCCACCATTGCAGTGGACATCCGCTTCTACTCTGCTCAAAATTGCGATGGTGGACATTTCGCATCGTGCACAAACATGGGCTCTGGCTCGTGCTGAACCTGCGTTCGTCGATAAAGCATGTAAATACAACACCGTTGTTTGAGATCTGTACGCCTGTATACTTAGCTCTTTTGTACTAGTCGCCTGTATGAATTGAATCCTCTACCGGTTTCCCAGAAGTCCTCCTCGAGTCTGGGACGGTTCGGCTGAGCGGATGGTATGCGCCACGTCACGCGAGTGATGCGCTTTGGTATCTTTCTTCGACAGTCACAGCACTGAGCAGTGAGCCGGGCTACTACGTGGTACTCGTCTCTGAGAAAGGCATTTGAATGCATCCGTGCGGTCTGTGCAACAATACGTGGAATATCTGGGCATAAAATATTTCGGTGGAGATGTCTTCAGCAACGAGAACTTCGGGAAACTTGCCCCACACAGGTGACATCGATCAAGCCCTCTGTTTCAACCATCAAATCAGAGGTGAGCGCTGCCAGTGGCGATGATGGGCGCCTCAGCTTACGGATTGCCAAGGTGAAAGAGGAAGCTATGCACGACGATAAGTGCGGTCTGATCTCCAGCGCAGGCACGAGCGGTTGCCCCCAGTGGACAGGGTGACACGGGTGCAGGTAGTAAGATGCGCTCGTGGGTATGCATGGACATTACTTCACGCCGGGCGGTTAAGGTTGTCTTTTGTAGCCCTTGCTAACCAGAATGGGTCCCAGAAAGCGAGTGCCAGTGGTACTAAAATTCCAAACAGGAGACACGTCGTCGAGCTATATATGGGGTATGCCTGACAGTGGCCAAATTAGAAAGCTCTTGGTATGTGAAGCAAGCAGTAAAGAACTACGTCAGTGCTGTCTTTGGGCGCCCGATACACATGGAGAGACGAACGCCGGATAACCTTGCCCGTCGTTTTCATCAGCTGAACGTCGAAATGCTCCAAGTCCGACTCGGGTGTTCAGGGCGGGGTGGCAGGTGCGACCGCTCATCTACCTCTTGGCTGGTTGTTGTAACGGGTTACCCGGAAGCTAGTTGAAAGCGCTAAGTACGTACATGATCTCAGAGCAAAAGAACATCGGTCAGCATGTACTCAGCTGTACCTGAAAAAGAGTTTCGGACCAAGACATACCAAGGCATTTGGTTCAGCCAGTGCCAGTATAAAAGGCCGTAGAGACTTCCAGAATCGACAGGATAGCTCCACTCTCCAACTCCAGTCACAAGAAGACCGCTCTGACTCTCTTAAGTCTATGATCATGCAACTCGTCAAGTTCTTCTCCCTCCTGTCTATCGCTGCTACAGCTGCCGTCGCAGTGGACATTCGTTTCTACGCCGCTCGATCCTGCAGCGGTGGCTCCTACGCATCCTGCACCAACATCAGCGGGGCAAAGTGCTGCAACCTTGCATCCACGCCTGCTGCTGCCATCCTCTTTACCGGTGTCCCCAGTGGCTGTGAGGTCGTTGGCTATGCTGGTCAGAACTGCGGGACCAGAGACGGCATCCTCCGTGGCTCTGGGAATTTGTGCTACCTGGGGGGAAGCGCCCTTTTCAGTGGGATGTGGAGCAAGGCTTTCGGTCGTCAAGCAATATCCCAGGATGGTGCTGACTGTGCCACGCCTGATGTTTTCGTGTATACCGGCACTGATGGTCTCGAGCACACCATCCAGATCAACGATAACGCACCGGTCGAGCTGCTCTTCGAGCTTGCAAACGATGCTGACTGGGAAGGACTTGCCGCCATCGAGTCTACTCAGGCTTAAGCCGTAGTAAGTACATATATGTCTGTGTTCCTTGGCTCGCTGAAGTGACTCTTGCCAATTCTTAGCACAGAGCCCTTGGCGACAAGCAATCTCTCATCAATTTCCCCGAGCATTCGTCGAGAATCGACCATATAACGTACATGTCTCATTGCCTGAATTAAGATTATGACACCCTCTACTCGATCATATGCTATGTGTGTATTGTAGACATATAAGTAACGCTTTGCTCATTGCATGCTCTTTGGGTCTGTACCCCGGTTGAGCGGATCACTCACCCATCGCAGTCACATGACGTTCCAAGTCTTTAGCGATGGCCCTCAGATGGACGCTCCTTGAACCACAACCACTCAGAGCAGCTTCGTGATCTTGAGCAGGTAAAAAATGTTGGGGATATCTCTTTGGACCTGGCTCGCTCGCGTCAATATTCCACTCACAACTCTGGCGGGTTCAGGACTCTTCCAGGAAACGGGCCAAGGCCCGCAAGAGGTCCATCGCGTCGTCGATACACAAATCGCTTTCACTCTGAATACGAGTGCTCATGACAATAGTCCTCTTCAGGCAGAAACACCTCCTCCACACCCTTTCAAATCAGATAACCGGAACCAAATCGTCGCAGCGACTGTCGACATTCCGGATTACTCCATTACGGGAATACTCCCTATAACACCTGCTTCGATCGACCATCTTCAAGAGATACTCGAGCCGTTTCTCAGAACATCTCTGGGTCACGCCTTTCAAGAAATTACCCTCGTTACACCAGGACATCTCGCACCATCGGTCTCGGCGACATTACAGGCAATCTCGCCATCCAACGCTCCCCTTACCTTCTCTGTCCGCGAGAAGGACTGCGATATGCGGGATGAATCCGCATATATATATCCAAAGCGGGTCATATATTCACCCTGGGTTCTTGTCATGGGCTGGGATGGACTTCGGAGTCTCGAGTCACAATCACAGAGGCGGCTTCTCACTCTAGGTCATCACTTGTTGCCCATCGGACCTCGAGGTAGAGCTCTGAATACAACTACGGAAACCGCCGCTTCGTCGCTTCCTTCGGCAACATCAGGCCTCCACCTGGCATTGTATCTGAGGCCGCCTTTCGTCGTTGCAAGTTCGCTCCTCCCGGAGGAAGAGGGCCACTTTCGAACCTGGGAATTACTTGGAGCCTACTTTGCGCGATGTAACTCTTTCGGCGCAGGGGGCATCCTTCACAGCAATACCAAAACTGTGGATCAGGGCCTAGATAGTTCCTCCAAGGACGGTCTTCCTTTAGCGCCCTACAGGGACCATGGCCCGCCAATCCGGTTCACCTTCTTCCTTTCCAACACTCTCAATGTCCAACAACTCTCACCTCTGCTTTGCCAATTAATCTTCCGCCGCCATCACCTACACATTCTTGTCGTCGAAACCAACATGAAGTATAGTTTCACCTCGGTCAGGCGAAAGGCCCGCTTCCGCCTGGATACTTGTCGAATCGACTTCTTCATCGTCAATCAATTCATGAATCGGCGGGATTTGAGTGCGCACCTAGGCGATTTGGAGACGGACGCAGTTGTAATGTTGGAAGGCCTCGAGTTAAACAACCATTTCAGGAGCCACTTTATAAGGAAGGGAAGAACCGTTATCAGGCTTCCTGTAGAGGACCTGATGTACTCTGATTGGATGTCGTCGCTCTCACTGGAGGAATGGAGGAGTAAGTACTGTAGTTTCTCTCTTCCCTGGCTGAGAGAGAACTCTGACATGTCAAATTAGATTGGCACAGGCCGAAAATAGAGATAAGCGTCATAACCAGGGATCGCCCCCAGTCCCTGGCCAGGCTACTGAAATCACTTACTGAAGCGCGATACTTTGGCGATCAAGTCGCTCTTAGGCTCAACCTCGAACAGGACTGTGATAGCAAGACTGTTGAATTGGCTCACTCCTTCCATCGTAACTGGACCCAAGGGCCACTCTTTGTTCATCGACGTACTATCCATGCTGGACTTCTTCCCGCCGTGGTCGAATCATGGTATCCTTCAAGCTTGGACAACTACGGCCTCCTATTGGAGGACGACGTCGAAGTTTCTCCTCTGTTTTATGCGTGGGCGAAGCAAGTCATCTTGAAGTATAGGTTAGCCACGTTCCCATCCTTCCATCCGCCGCTCACCAGCTCTTCCTTCAGATACGGCGAAGAGGCCGACAGGTCACCAAGTCTGTTTGGAGTCAGCCTTTACCAGCAGAAGCACATTGAGCTGCGGAAAGGAGGCCGCGTCCCGTTTAACGCCAGATCGCTCTTCTCGTCCCCCGAACTCAAGCAACATGTTCAAGACCCAACTACACCTTACCTCTCCCAGGTACCTTGCAGCTGGGGTGCCATCTACTTCCCCGATCATTGGTCTGAATTCCACTCTTACCTTGCCCTTCGCTTCTCCGAAACTTGGATCCCGATCGACTCGACGACAACAGTCGTGCCCAATGTTCGCTCCAATCACTGGTCTAAATCGTGGAAAAAGTTCTTCATTGAAATGACCTATCTGAAGGGATACGTAATGCTGTACCCCAATTTCGAAGAGTTCGAGTCGTTATCGACTAATCATTTGGAGTTGGGGTCGCATGTGAAGGTGAGGTCGAGGGAGAAGAAAGAGTTGTTCGAGTTGCCGTTGATGCCTTTGCCGAGTGAGGCTGGGGAATTGACTGGTTTGAGTAGGCTGCCTGGAGGGAGGCTTCCGAGCTTTAGGGACTTGCCCGTCTTGAACTTGACGGGCGCTGCGACGACGTTGGAAGATATCGTGGAGATTGGATTGGCTAGGAGGAAGAAATTGTGTTTTTCAAGCTCGTCTAAAGAGGGGCTGGGAAGTAATGATGGTGTCCGGAATCATGGTAGCATTCACAACTTTATCTGCGCATGAAACGCATCTTATACCGTACCCGTAGTACTACAATAATAATCATCCATGGATACAAGATGTAATAAAAGAAACAGAGGAAGAAAGTGACGAGAAAGATCAGATCCGAAAGATAAATGTACGACTCGGAAGCCTTTAGGCGCTAGCATCAAACATGACAACAGCAATAACACACAAAAACAGGACGACAAGAACGATGACGCAGCGAAAGGTCACGACACGACAGAAAAAGGAAAACTCACAGAGCGATCTGAGAACTATCTAAACCCAAGGCGTGTAAGAATAGGTTAACGTTTGCCAACTTTGTCTGCCTCTCCTCTTCATCCGCAACCCATCCCTTGTTCACACTGAGCACGTTGTCGAGTACTTTTTCCCGTAGGGCGGTGACAAGGATTTGATGCTGCTCGGTAACGGCGTGGAGCGCGAGTGCGGCCAGGAATTGCCAGACGGGTTGGTCGACGATGTCGATGGAGGTGGGATTCGCGGGCGGTTGGCCAGTGATGTTGGTGTGTGCAATACGTGTGGATGGGAATAGGAGCATAAGGTGTGGTGCCAGCAGCTGGAACAGGTGATCGAACATCATTTGCCTGGTGAGAAAGAGAGAGGAATGAGAATGGGTCGGGACTGTAGGATCATGGGACGCACCACGCTTGGCTTTCTTCTGCTGTCGGCATTTCAGTTTGTTCAGCTCCCGAGTTGATGGTCTGTTTGATAACCTCGACACGACTCAGGAAGAGAGTGAGGAGGGCCAGACCGGGCTATTGAAAAGCATCAGTCTCCATCTAATCGGGTATATAGAAGCGATTGAACCCACCCTGGTCTGAGCAACAGCAACAACATTGGTTCGATGGAGAAGCAAAGACAACAGGCCCGTAACAAGTCGCAGCTCGGCGACGGACACGATGGGCAAGATGGCCTGCATCACACTTCCCAAGAAAGCCTGGGTTTGTCGCTCGACTTCGCTACGCTCACTTGTCTCGACAAGCGAATCCAGGACAGGCGCGCTCTTGATAACATCCAGTTGGTCGAAGCATGCCACGAGGAGGGTGAGGAGGATAAGCATCTTGTCGCTGGGCAGATGGCGCGTGAGGCGGGGGAGGACCTTCTTCCCTTTTGTTGGCATGAGCAGGGAAATAAAGGGATGCGGGTTACTGGAATGGTACTGTGTCAGTGGTGTTGACGAAGGAGGAAAACGAAAGGGACTGACCTAGTCTCGAGAGGGACGTTGACTCGCATTTCTTTCCAGATCAACTCGACGTTCTCGTCGTACTCTTTTTTCCTGTAGCGCGTCAATCAGAATAAGGGCGTGCAGTTCAAAACCATGAATACTTACCATTGTTCCATGGCCTCTGGGGGATCCTCAGGATGTGGCTGGTCCCTCCTCAATTGCTCAACGTGAAGAACAAGATCATACAAGCGCTCAAGGATGACCAAGGTCTCTCGCCTGGTAAGTGGTTCCTGTCGGACAACTTCACCGTCATGGGCAGCATCACCCAAAGCCTCTCTGCCCAACTTGGCGGCTTCTTGGGCAGCACCTTCGTTGTATACGGAAGCCTTGGAGATGTGTGCATGGGCGGGGGAGAGGTTAGGAGAAGCTGATTCGACTTGGAGAAGTTGACGCGGGGCGGCTTTGTAACTCCGCCCGGAGGTTTTGCCGAGGGCTCCCTGAAGACTGTGCAAGGCTGCGATGGCGAAAAAGGTTAACGTTGCTGAAGAAGTATGAGGTTAAAACAACGCACAATGCAGTCCCTTTTCCTCTTCACGTTTCCTAGCGTTATTGACGATCCTTTCGACTTGTTGCTCCATACGCTGCATGGCACTTGGTCTGCGATTGCCGCCCTTGGGGGCCAACCCGAGTCCAACACCTCCACCGGATCCAAATTTCAAAACGCGTTCGTCGTGGGCCTGGAGACCCATGCGGGACCGAAGGATTGCACCGTAGACCTGTGCATAGAAGTCGTCCGCATATGGGTCTTGAGTAACGAGTTGTGAAACTTGTATACGGGTGATGAAGTCTTTGTCCGACTGGGTCATGAGATCGTTGTATCGAGCCTGGAGAAAAAGGGTCACAGAAGGTTTTATAAAGAGAGGTGATCACGAGCGTACCATGTAGGCTAGTTTTTGAGCCTTGCGGCGTCTCTTTTCCTCCATCTTTTCCGCTTCCAAGATCTTGCGCATTGCTTCCAGACGGAGTTGTTCCTGGTTAGGACCCATACCGTGAACATCCCTCGCGTATTCTTGTTGCGACATTTCGGCCAATAAGCGTTGCTGCAACTGGAGCGACTGTTGTTGAGACAGAGGGATGCCTTCTTGGAGTCCAACAACAACCCCAGGACCGAACTGTCCATGTTGTTGTTGTTGCTGAAGGAGATGTCGCGCTGGGGAAGGTGTCGCAAACTGACGATGGGCAAGGTGCTCGTTCGGGAACTGGGGAGCTTCATGGTGACCCCTCCAAGGAGAACCAGGTTTGTTTTCAAGCATCAGATTGTGAGCCAGCCGTTTCTCGAGCTCCTCCATCCTGCGCTGCTCTTCAAGCAACATGAGTTGGCGCTGCCTTTCACGTTCACGCTCCTGCTGCAATAGCAATTGCTGTTGCTGATGAAGCCTTTCTTGTTGCTGCTGCTGCTGGAGAAGGAGTGCCTGTTGCCTGTGATGCTCCAAGAATCTGGGGGACTGAGATACAGGGAGCATACGCGGTGGAGGTGGCGTCCCCTGAGACCCGCGTTGCTGGTGCTGATGGATCTGCTGCTGTTGCTGCTGCTGCAACTGCACGAGACGCTGAAGCTGTTCCTTCTGTTGTTCTTGTTGAAAATGTAAAAGCTCTTGTCTCCGAAGCTCCTGTTCATGAAGCCGCTGCTCGTCGATACGCTGTTGAAGAATGGCCCTCTCTAGCATTTCTTGTTCCTGTTGCTTTTGTCTCGCGCGAGCTGCCTGGAACAGCATTTCCTCCTCAATCTCCTGGAGCGTGCGGACCCTTTGCTGCTGTTGTTGGTGCTGCACATGGCCGATGCCTTGTCCGATAGGGTCGTGCTGGGGCACTGGGACGTCTCCGGCGGTAAAGGGACTGAACCTAGCCGAAGCCTGGGGAACTGGAGGTGTCGCGATGCTTCTAGAGGGTTGATGGTGATGCAGATGCTGCTGGTCTTGGTTCCTGAGAACACTGGAACCGTTGGCCTTTGGAAGGATGGAGGCCAGAGACTTGTCATCCCAGATCGATTCAAGCGATTGGACACTTGGACGCGCTGTATTTCGAGAATCAGTTTCAGCAACAACGGCTAGACAATGGATCACGTCGTTTCAACGCACAAGTCAGAGTTGGCACGCCTTGAGACTGAGGCTGTTGCTGTTGCTGTTGGTGCTGCTGTTGTGGTTGTTGCTGTTCCCTGGACTCAGGAGCGGGCGGTACCTCGTCCTTTGTGGGCTCCTGCTTGGGTCTTGGAGGAGGTTCGTAGCCGGGAATCGCAGGCTGGCTAAAGTCAAAGTCCTTTCCTGAATGGACATTGTGACACAAGGGACGCGGTGTTCAATTGCTGAGCACAGAATGGCAAAGACAGCCTTACCAACGTCGCCGACGTTGCCAAAGGTCTCGTCGTTGAGCTCGTCGCCGCCCTCTTGCAGGGCATCGCCTAGGCCATCGTAGCTCTCTTCTCCCCAGTTGAATACTGGCACGTCCTCATCGCCATCCTTGATGTCGCCCTCGAGAAATTTCCTCCTTTCTTCTTCTAAGTCGCGTTGGGGAAGATCGAAGAACGACATGAGAGCATGACAGAAACGGTCAACAGCCCAAACTCAATTTCTGAGCCTCAAAATCTATGAGCGATTTTCCGTCGCCGGTCTGTGTCAGAGTCACCGCCAAGTCGCTCTTTCCGGAAATCTTTACATGATTTGTTGCCCATCATCTTCTGAGTCAAACACAACAATCCCAGGTCCAAATCTTATCAGTATTCACCAAAAATGTCTATGGTATATACAATTTCTATACAAAGTAAAGCTAGAGAGATAGGTTGTGAACGTCATCCAGGAAATCAAGCAGCGTGCTCGCGCTCCATGCCTGCGTGGGGCACGAATCTCGACAGTACTCTGCGTTCGCGTTCGTCAGTTCGGGTAGGCCGCGCCAAGGGTCTTTCTGGATATGATGACGCGGTGTAAGTAGCTTTCCGTAGAGCTTGTGGAGGGTTTGTTGGGGGTTCTGTGGACGCACAGAGTTAGCGTCAAACGTAGACGTTTGATCTAGCCTTACCGTCTTGCCCTCTCCCGCGATCAGGTCAAAGTGGAGGTAGGCCCTGAGGAAGTATCCGAGCGGCCATCCCCATTCCGGTCCCTAACGTCGGGTTAGCATTAACACAGTTGGTTGATTCAGACCACGCACATTATGATAGTTCAGACCCTTTGCGACACTGGCGTCGTCAGAGTCATTCTGGTTGTCATACACAGGTCTGTACTGCAAGTCCTGCGCGTCGAGTGTCTTCATGCCCAGAGGACCCCTCAAAACCTCGTCAGCAAGCTTCAGGGCACCTAAGGCATGTTGAGGATCGAACATCTCAGGAGCGACAGTCATGGCGATGGGGAAGTTGCATCGGAATTGGTAATCTGCCCAGGCATGGTCAGCACCTGAACCGTAGACATCCTTGTAGATTCCACGTCGGTTGACGAGCTTGGTGTCGATCTTATAGTTTACGTCTTCTGCCGGATCTGTAAGAGGATCGTTAGATCGGTTTGAGATAGAGACCTCAGGACGCATACCAAGAGGTACGTAGAAGTACTTCTCAAACGAAGCTTGAATCAAATCCGACCATTCCTTGTATGTCACAAACTTGTCTTGGCCATTCACTAACAGTTCCAATCAGTTATTGCCTCCACTGACAAAAGGTATCCCCTCACCTTTGGCAGTAACGCCCTTGAACGGGAATTGGCCCTTTGCACTCAGCTCGCTCACCCACCTCAAAGTGCTCTTCAACAATCCAATGATCTCCACGTCCGCTCCATCCCTAGGGGAACCGGGAACGCCCTTCGTACCCGCCTTGACGCTCTCTCCCATCTTGTCCATCCACGTCCCACAGTTATGCTTGCTTCCTCCAAGCACAAATCCTGTCTCCCAGTCGACGTACACATTGATATCGAAACCTTCAGGCTTCATCTGCATATCCAAGTTGGGACCGGCATTGTGTTCACGGAAGGAGATACCCTGTGCATGTCGCTCGAGGATTTCTTGGATGATTTCTGCGATGGTGGAGGTCTGGGAGTAGGCGAGGGGATCGTCCCAGGGCACGTAGGTGTCGTCCTTGGGGAAGCGCCGTTTGATGGTTTCAGAGAGGATGGACAGTCCGTCCGGTGCGCGTTTAACGTAGTCTTGAATGTTTTGGAGCATCCACCAGGGTGAATCGCGGGAGTTGTAGCTGTTGCTAGCCGTTAGACTTCGTGAGGTAGAAACTTGATGACAGGCACTTTACCGAGGATTTCGAACCGAATCCAACAAGTTGGGGATGAGACCGTGCTTCAGGGTGGTCGCAAACGCCAGAATGTGTCTCCTCGCTCCTTCAAAATTACCAGTTGTCAAGAACAGACCACTCAGTGAAATGAAGACGTCGCGACCCCAGCATCTCGCCCAGCCAGTAGTAAAGTGAGGCAAACCAGCGGCCAAAGAAGGCGTGTTGACCTCGGGATCGAGACTAGCTGATTTAACCAATCCGTGCATCTGGACAGAGCACAGTGCGAGGTCTTGGATGAACGAGTGTCCGGAGACGACAAAGTCGGAACATTGCTCCACTACTGCGAGTCGTGCTGCTTTGTATGCTTCAGAGACGATTAGGGCAAAGTACTTTGGACGCATGAAGGTGGGGACTTTGGATTTGACGCGTTCGCAACGTTCCTTGAGCCATTGAGCAGGTTTGGCGAGGTTGGGGAATGTTCCGACTTGTCTAATGAGAAAGTTAGTCAAGGCGTTGAGAAAACAGGTAAGGTGCTTACGCATCGAGTCGCTGCCACAGGTAGTCAAATGCCCAAGTTCCCTCCCTCAAATGTGCACACAGAGGGTGTCCGAGATCATTCCACTTCATGACATGCCTCAAGGGATGCATCCACCCTTCCAATCCGCAGTATACCATCTTACCCAGCCCAGGTACGTCGTAAGCACCATACTTGCCATCCGTAGCATCCTTCTCCTCGACATCGGCACGGTGAAGGATGACGTTCAAGTCGACGAGGTCAAGGTCTTTAACGGATTCGTAGGCGCCTTGGAGACAGAGCTCCTCGAGATCTGCGTCAAAGTCTTCAATCTGTGTTTCGAAGATCATGATGCTGCCTGGGGGGAACGTTTGAGGTACGGTGATTTCGGAGTAGGGTCCAGAGGAGTCAGAGGATGTGTGGATTGGGACAGAGGAAGAGGGTATGTCGACTAGAGTAGAGGGGAGGCCTTTGAGGGTGGTGGAATCCTTCGACGGCGTATACGATGAGATGGAGATTGAGGCACCGAGGATGTATTTGGCTCGGGTACGACGAAGCTTGATGGGGTCGACTGAAGGAGGTGGTTAGCGGCCGGCCAGGTGTAACCGAGAGGTACGTACTGTGTCCGCGATCCTTCTTTCCTTTGTGGAATGCGGTGTGTGCGACGAGGAGATAACCCTTTTGGGTCCTGGGATTCACCCGGTGAAGTACGATGTACTACGAAGGATAGCTTAGAACTGCTTAATCAGAAAAAGCAAGGGCACTCACATCATTCTCCTGGTGGACGTGTCCTTCCTCGAATCCATCGATGACCATCTCCAGCTTCAAACCATTAACAACTCGCTTGATTTTCGCGATTCCGCTATGCTCTCCAAGCCCTGTAAGCTCGTATTTTCTCTTCTCCCTAACTAGATCGACGAGCTTGGGATAGAGATCATCAAAGCCTTTGACGCTTCCCGTTCCGCACATGCTGAAAGCGGCTAGAGCACCTGTGGACAGTGCATCCTCAGCACTTCGTTTGTCATGGGGAGATTCGTTGTCGTGGGTGAGGTCGTAGAGGAGGGCGTGGGGGAGCGAACCCTTGATAGGTGAGATAATTGCCTCGCGGTGCGGTCCCTTTCCTGTTGGGCTAGGTATCTCGGCCTTGGAGGTAAGACACGCTGCGTCCATTGAACCAATAGGTTTGCCCAGCCCGAATCGGTAGAGGAGTCGCGAGTATTCCTTGGGGTCCCAGCCGTTATAGGATTCTCGGATAAGACTGTTGATACCCAACTCGCGTACAAAGACGAGATCGGTCTCTTCGTTCCCTGTGAAGAGCTCAGCACAGACGTAGAGGTTGGGTTTGACCACGCGTGCTGCGTCGAGCATGTGGGTTCCGACTTCGAGTGGGGTGGAGTGGCAGTTGTCAATACGGAATCCGTCGAATGTGCGGGCAAGGACTTGGACGTAGGATGTCATGTAATCCCAGAGCCAGGGGTTGTCAGAGGGTTGGGAGCCGTAGCGCAGTTTTACGCAGTCGCCCCATACGATGACTTCACGTCGAAGGTAGGCCTTGGAGGGGAGGAGAGCAAAGTTCTTGAGTGGGTCAGCACCCCAGATCCAACCGTTATTGGCGAGAGAGTAAGTCTGAGGGTCCGCTGGTTTGCCCTGCGGAGGAGTGACGCGTGTGAAGTAGGGCTCGACAAGGGGTTGCCTGGTGGACGTTCAGTGGAACGCCATACATACAAAGTAATGAAAAGAGCGCACCATTTCGAAATTTCACCCAACTTGGGCCCGTGCTCGTCGAGTCGGGTATACTTGACGCGGTTTTTCACGCTCTCGACAGCGACTCTTGTATCTGCCTCCCATTCTTCGTAGAGTGGCACGTTGATGACGTCAACGACGCGCCCCCATGCTTCAGCTAGCGCTTCATTGTCGCTGAGGTGTGTGAAAGCAGCCTTGATGAATCCAGCAGCGATGCCAGGCTCGACATGGACACCGAAACGAGACGCGTATTGACTGAGACCCTTGATGACACCTTTCTCCTCGCGAAGGATGTGGGCTAGTTCTTCGACAGTCTTGTTGGCAACAAGAGAACCTGACCAGGGGGTGACTTGACCAGAGTTCAAGGCTTCCTTGACGGACTCTTTCTCGCGTGCAGCGTTGAGGACGTAGTATTGCCACAAGTTGAGCGAGCGGACTGTCTTCTCGAACGCTTCGGTGATGCGGATGAGATCGTCGTCTGATTTGATTACCGTGGGTAACCCGTTTGCCTCTAGTTTCTCCGAGAACTCAAGGATGGCCGTATCGAGTTCGAGAGCAGGAGTGAGGTGCGGGGTGTTGGCGGGACTGAAACCTGCGCGACTTTGTTAGATCATGGAACAAGAGAAATGATGGGCGAAGTTACCAGCTTCAGGGTGCTCAGACAACCAAGGGGTGTCGTTGGCGGTGTGGTTGAGCACGACGTCAGTCAAGCTGAGTAGTCCGTATTCCTCCCTTGCGAGCCTGAGGATCTTCTCAACTTCTTGCTGTGCGCTCTTGCCGTCTTTGGGCGCGCCGTTGCCGAAAAGGTCCTTGTCGTAACCGAGTTGGTTTCGGATGGAGTAAGGGCTGTTGCTTTCGCCTCGTTCCTGAAGAGGAGGGTAGTGCAACATGGTATATCCTCTCTCCTTTGCTTCTTGGAAGTGTTTGTGCCATTCAGACAGGGGACCCATCCATTTGGAGACGACTGTGAGGACGGAGAGGCCATCTTGAGGAAGATTGATGTAGTCATCTTGGATGGCGCCGCCTTCGGATGGTGGAAGGACGGATAAAGAAGGGGAGAGGATGCGCGATCGGGATTTGAGGCGGAGCACGGGATCGATATTGAAGAAGCCTTCTCTGCCCTTGATACGCGAACCATCGGTGCCTTCATACTCGACCCAGTACTTGTAAGCTCCTGCCTGTGCGATGGGAAGGTCTATTTGGATAGGCTTTGAAAAGTCCTGAGGTAGTCTAAACACGATGATCAGTGACGAAAAGACAATCTGCAGTCGAAATGGCGTACTTCTTCTCTGTGAACCTCGATCTTCCGAAGGTTTTCCCATCTAAGGGGAAGTTGGTCTTGAAGACGCCGTTCTTGGCCGCTGGTGTGCCTGCCTCTATGGACACTCGTAGGATATAGGGGGTATAGGCCGGTGGAAGGCGGATGTACTGTTATCGATCGTGAATAGTTGTTCAGGTGAACAAGAGAATACAGACCTGCATGTCTTTTCCAGGGCCTCCATCGTCCTCTAGAAAGAGCTCGTAGACTCTGATGGGCTGTTCGCCAGGCTTGACCTCGCCGGAGAAGAACTGGATGCCCTCTTCAGCTGGAGTCTTGGGTGCTGCAGGGCTCGACGAGGACGTCGGTGGAGACGAGCCATTGGTGCCGTTGTTGAGATTGGCGACATCGATTGTTCCAGGACCCCTCTGTTTGTTCGGGTTCTGGGACATTGTTGTGGTATTGGAAAGAGAAAGGAAGGACGATGGATGGGATAGGAATAAACCGGATTTGTATTGAGGGAAGACTGATGTCCGGAGTCTGTGAAAGAGAAAAAGGACAACCTTGAGACTCTTCTAATTCGAAACCTCACAAATGATGTCACTCTAAGCCATTCACCCGACAATCCCTTTTTAGGAAGACAAGGGCGCATCATCCCGACGTGATCGGCGCTACCTTGCCGCATCCCGTCGCCTCACAGCTTGTCACGAACCCTGATGGGCCAGTCTTTGTCGACCTCGGTAAGTTTCTGTATTCAACAACTTACAACTGAGACTGACTTGATTATAGCTGCCAGGTCAACAGGCGATTCCTGGAACCTGTCCGTTTATCTGTCCGAGTTGTCGACTAAACTGACCATGATTACCAGATGACTTTAGCAACGAAAGCCAAAGCGTGTTCTCCGACCTTCGCAATGTCAATATCCAAGGCGGCACCTTCAACCACGCTGGACGGGATTTAAATGTGATAATCAACAACTATCACTCATCTGCCTCTACAGCCGACGCTCGTCGTAGGTGTTTTCGATCGCTCATCGCTGCGTGTAACTGACATGGACAAGGCGGACTAGTTGCAAAGCTACGCAGCAGACTTGCGCCCAATGTCAATTTCAGAACCATTCACTCCGATGTTCGAAAACGACGAACGGCGGGAACGGGAATGTGGCTCCTTGAAAGTCGCCTCTATCGCGAATGGAAGAAGAGCAAGGGCGGCATCATCTGGTGGATGGCCATTCGTAAGTCTTTATCTCCCTTCTATGACACTGCGTTTCTCTGATCCAGGTTCCTATTCAGCGGGCGCCGGCAAGACCGTGATGGCGTGAGCACTCCTCTAGCCTCTTGTTGGAAACTCTCCTGAACCCTTCTCAGCTCAGCCATTGTGGATGACCTCCTGCCCTTGGAAAATGATCCTGAGCGGACTTGCGTGCTTTTCGTGTACAGTCGCTACAATGAACCTCTGGCCATCACCGACATCCTCAAGGCCCTCGTCAAGCAATGCATCGAACGCAATACCGATCTGGCTGCCATTGTCGAGTCATTCTACGATCAGTACACCTTGGAAGAGACTGAGCCATCCGTCGACGAGCTGGTGATATTGTTACAGACCCTCGAGTGTCACTTTGATCGAGTGTACTATGTCATCGACGGTGTGGATGAAGCGCTGGTGGATGTCCAGTTCGATCTCATTCAGGTCATCAACAAGCTACAAGGAAATATTATCTTGACCTCGCGACCATTGGATGAATTGAGCGAAGATCTCAAGCACGCAGTGTTCTGCAAGATTACGGCTCATGATCGGGACATCGGGCTCCTGATGGAAGAGAAGTTGCAGCGATACAAAGCACTCCGTCGGATTCTGGACAAGAATAATTGCCGGGAAGAGGTGTTGAAATCTATCGCGGAAAAAGCCCAGGGAATGTAAGTGAAGCTTTGTATACGAACGACCTCACGAGTTGATAGTCTGTAGGTTTCTGCATGCTGCCCTTCAGTTGGATGCCATACAGGATTGCACGACTCTTGCGAGCATTCGCGCGACCCTGTCGCAGTTTCCGGCTGGTTTACATGGCATGTACTCAGCCAGTATGGAGAGGATTGAACTCCAAACGCCCCAACTTCGCGACCTTGCCAAGCAAGTCCTCCTATGGCTTGTGTTCTCCCGCGGTCCTCTCTCCATCGACGATTTGCGGTACGCGCTAGCGGCGGACCCAGAAACGCATGCCTATATTCCCGAACGAATGTCAGACGAGGCGACCATTGTTTCAGTCTGTTGTGGGTTGGTTGAAGTTCAAGAGACAAGCAACACGGTCCGCCTCATTCGTAAGTTGGATCCATTCTCCCTTCGCAGCCGTACTCAACCATTGCCTGTAGATTTCACAGCCAAGGATGCACTCGTTCCCCTGCTCCTCAGGGACTACCCGACTCCTCATCTCACCATCAGCAAGGTCCTCATTCAGCGCCTTCTCTCTAGCGGCATTGTCGACTCGGAATTCACGGTGGTTGAAGAGCTTCATGACGCCTGGAAGCAGCATCTTCTTCTTCGATACGCCCAAGAGAACCTGGGCTCTCACATCCGTGAATGCCCATTATTCGAGGTTTCCGACGCCGTTGTCGACTTTCTGTCCCACTGCACGGCGTATCCCGTCGAGATCAGTCCAGGGGGATTCGATATCCTGGCACCCCCTCACGTCGCGACCTACTACAACCTCAAAGGCTATCTCAAAGGGGTTTCCAGCAGTGATCAAGGGCTTGATCTACGGACAAGGTGTTTGGGCCGAACTATGCTACACATCGCGGCCTGGGTCGGGGATGAGCAAACGGCGGAAGAGGTGCTCACTGCGTCCCACGTCGACGTCAATGCTGCAGACAGTCAGGGGTGGACGGCACTGATGCTGGCTTCGCGTAACGGCCACGTCCGCGTCGCTGCGAGGCTGCTTCGGGCCCCAGGGATCCGAGTCGATGTCGCTAGGCCGCACGGCTGGACAGCAGCCACGATGGCTTCGCTCAATGGCCGTAGCGCTATCATCGAAGAACTCCTCCAGGTCCCGGGAATCGACTTCAACGCGCCAGGGCCTGAAGGATGGACAGCACTTATGTTGGCCGTGGCGGGCGGTGATGAGAGGACTGTGGAGAATATCCTCCAATTCCCGGGAATCGATGTCAACGCCGTGAACGACGATGGGGTGACAGCGCTGATGTACGCCTTGAGCTTGGGTCGCAATGCCCTCGCTACCAGAATTTTGAAGGTGCCCGGGCTCGATGTGAATGCTGCAGCCAAGAACGGGTATTCGACATTGACGCTCGCCTCAGAGTGCGGTAGCGATGAAATTGTGTCTGCGTTGCTCCAGTTTCCGGGGATCCAGGTCAATTCAGCCGATGAGCATGGATGGACCGCACTCCTCAGTGCCTCGATTAAAGGACACGATGGTGCCGTCGATGCATTACTCAAGGTACCGGGGATCGATGTCAATGCCGTCAACAGCGATGGGCAGACAGCATTGATGGTGGCCTCGTACCAGGGGCACGTCCGAATTGTCGAAAGGCTCCTCCAGCATCCGGGCATTCAAGTCGAGATGGCTGATCACCTTGGGCGGACGGCGCTAATGTGGGCGTCGATGCAAGGTCATGCTGTTATCGCCGACAGACTCCTCCAGGTCCCGGGAATTAAAGTCAATGCGACCACCAACGATGGGTGGACGGCACTAATGTTCGCTTCGGACCAGGGCCATGACACCGTTGTCACCAAACTCCTTCAGTCCCCAGGGATCCTCGCCAATGCAACCGAAAAGGAGGGATGGACAGCGTTGATGTTCGCCTCGTCCAATGGCCATGACACGGTTGTTGACAAGCTCTTGCGGGTCCCAGGTATCCTCGCCAACACCAGCACTCAAGATGGACGGACGGCATTGATGTTGGCCTCAAGCGACGGCCATGACGGTATTGTTGACAGGCTGCTTCGGATTCCGGGAGTTGATGTTAATGCAGTCGACGAGGACGGATGGACTGCGTTAATGTTCGCATCTGATCCAAACGGAGGTCATGCCAGCATTGCGAGGCGACTTTTGCGCTTTCCCGGCATCGACCCTCACCTCCGCGACGGACACAACTCGACGGCGCTTACCTTGGCATCAGAAGGCGACCACAGGGAGATTGTCAGCCTTTTGCTCGAGTGTGATGGGATTGACGTCAATGCTGCTGATAGGGATGGGGATACTTCACTGATTATGGGGTCGAGAGAGGGCCATGAAGGGATTGTCGAGTTGTTGCTTGGTTGCAAGGGCATCGACCTTGATCTTCGGAATAAAGAAGGATTAACGGCTCTTTCGGAGGCACAGCGAAATGGGCATGGGGCCATTGTGGAAAGGCTTATTCGATTCCAGGAGAGCTCGAGGATGGGTGGTCCAGATGTTTGATCGTTAATGGTACCTGGGAGGATTGCCGCTCGTGAATAGCCGTGAACGATGAAGTTATCGTATTCGGAATATCGTTAAAATCGTAAAACTATGTAGTCTTCCGTTTAAAAGTAATAGAACCAAGAACAGACACTTAGATGGGAAGAAAAGAGAAGAGTCAGGAAAAGGAGGACCCGCGTCCTCGTGTTAGCGGACGGTGAGACGTGGAAGTTGGAACTAGTCTTTGCCGTCCTTTCCTTCCTCTTTCCCATCTTGTTTTGTCGCCTCTGTAGCTGCCTGAGAAACGTCGCCGGCCTTGCCGCTCTCTTCGTCTTGTCCAATGCCAGCCTTCCTCTCTGCTCGACTTTTGACGTATTCGGGGGGACGGGGGTCGAGGATGCCCTGTTCCTCCGCTGTAGATCGCAGGGTTCAGTGTGTGGATGTGCGGATGTGGGGATTTGACTTACGAGTCGAGTGCCAGAAGTAGGTGATCAATCCAGCGATGATGACGATGAAGGAGATGAAGTACAACCAGTAGGGGCTGTATTTGTACAAAAAGAGACCTGAGCAAGAGTCAGTTTTCGTCGGGGGAAACATAGGATGGAGGACCCACCGAACAACAACCCATAGAAATCCGAAGAGAGGAGTGATAGGTTAAAGTAGGCGGACGAAGCGTAGCGATAGATCATCGGTGCGACGCTGTAGAGGATGAACATTGCGCATGTGAATGCGAATAACAGGCCGACTTGATAATTGGAGAGCGGTTAGCTAGCGAGATGTGGTACGAAAGGAGGTTACACGCACTGATACCACCGTTCCATGGTACTTGGGTCATACCCTTCCATTCGAGTGCGCTGGATTGGACGCCGTTGATGAGGAAAGCGTAGAGACCGAGTTGCCCAACGACTTCGTAGAGGGGACGCTTTCTGACGAGGAATTCTTCGGTTGCATTGGCTGAAAGATGGGGTTTTAGATGAGCAGGAAAAAAGGAAGGGTGAAAGAGGAAACGCACTGAAGCCGTAGAGAGTCGCGCCGGCGATCATGAAAGCGTCCCCTTTTCCTCGAGCGATGGGGTCCCATCCTTTGTCAGTTACGACGTCTGAGACGACGAGCAGGCCGAGGCCTCCAATACAGACGCCCACACCCTGTCAAGTGCGGGAGGTTAGGAGGGACAAAAAAGGAAGGAGGACTGGGCGTACGAGGATTTGAGTCCAGTGATATTTGACACGCATGTACAGCCAGGAAAAGAACAGGCAGACGGGGATTGCCCAGCTGGGGGCAACGGGTCAGCGCTAGGACTTTGTTGACTTGGAGAAGTTGGACGTACGCGTCGAGAAGCATGCAGGATAAGAGGTCGGTGTACTGGTAGGCTTTGATGACTAGGAAATTGGCTTCCACGTCACAGGCAGCTAGGATAAAGTCTGCAGAAGGGTTAGAGGGAGGTTGGGGGAGGTAGTCAAGGTTAACGCACATTTCCAGCCGTCTCGCAGAACCATCTTTCCCCAGCCTTTAAATCCATCTGAACTAGGGTGAGCAGGGATTAAAACGGACAGTCGGGTTGGGTCGTACATTGGTAGATGGTATAGGGAGTGAAGACAGCGAACAGGGAAAAGTACCTGGTACGTCCAATGAGTTATACTATAAAGAAAAAGATAGCGAATGCTCACAAAAAGAAACCCTGTGTAGTTGACAAAGTCCAACCTCTCTTAACCAATTCTGTGGTTGTAACGTTCGTACAGGTGATACACAGGGAAACCAGTTGGCCAGCCAAAAGTGAAAAGGTGAACTGGCGAGTCCAAATGCTCTTCCATCGTGCGGCGAAAGACTCGGCGAAAGCGCTTGGGGACGACCAGACGATGGGCGGCCGGGCTGGACGGGAAACGGGCGGAGGCGACTCGGCGTCGACGGCGATTTTTTCAGAATCGCTGGCAGTGTCGACGCCTTGTTTATGGTCTTGGATTTGAGGGGAAGACATAGTAGTTTGACCTCTTCTATTAAGCACCACCCGTAGAAGAGGGAAGGACGGGAGGTGAAGAGTGTGGATTAAGATTTCGTTCACATTCTCCCAGCTCTTTTCAATAAAATCAATTGCTTCCTTCTCCATCATCACATTGTCCAGATTAGATAAACCATCATTATCGATCGGTCCAGCGCTTTTTGGGTAGATGCTCCAATTCACTGGGCGCTTGTCTTCACGTAATGTGGCGGCAAGGTACAACTCATTCCCCTTGTAGTTTCATTCCTCCCCACTGTACATATACCCATTCTTGTCAGTCACAGTCACATGGACTTGGATATCCTGTTCCTCGACGCAAGCATTAAACCTGTCCGCCCTGAACGTCGACAGCGTCCACCTGAGCACCATCTTGAAGGAGTCTAACAATAATTTCAGGGTCCCTGTTTTCTGTCGCGTACCGGCGTATTCATTCGCCTGGTCTATTTCGATGTTTTGACATCGGAGGAGGACTCCTGTGACATTCGCGTGCTCGACGATCGAAGCGAACATCAGAACAGTATACCCTTCATTGTCGATTCAGAGTTGAACTGTTCTTCGTCGCCGGCAAACTGAAGCAAGACCTGACGAATAATCTCTCAGCGAGCCCTGATCGAAGCCCACATCCGGGCCGTTCGTCCTTCCTTGTCCCGAGCGTCCACTTTGATCACTTCGCATTGGAGTAAGTATGTACTGGACGACCGTTTCGTCGTCGCCGCCGCCCATCGAAAAGAGATGGAGACCTCTAATCGAGGGCTGGTGTAGCCAGCGTTGTGTTGACGCCATACCGAAATGTCCTCACTCGAAGCCAAACACCTTGACATTGTCGGAATGTGGAGTCGAAAGGGTATATTCTAACTTCATTGTCTAGAGGCAGCGTAGTCGACCATTCCGACGACGTTGCGGGCATAGGGGACATAGCCGGAACCTATGCCGAAGAAGGAGCGGCAAGACCGTACTGCGATCTCGTCATCTCGATGAGAAGCCCCCTCGACTTGAGCAACCAAGCGAACCAGTCTCCAAAGATGAGGCCCCACAAGAAGTCAAAGTAAGCGCTTCCTCCGCCCTGCAATTACCAACGTTAGCACGAACTTGATTGGAGACCCAAGACTCCAAACGCACCCTGCCGAAGGTGACCACAATGATTTCGGTAGAGCCCTTGTAAGGGACCAACTCGCCAGTTCCGTTAAGCAATGTCAGAATGTTAGACGCGACGACAGCACCATGCGCGGGTGCTTTGGCTGCCTGCTTTTGTTCTTTCCAGTCGATGATGTCTCCCGCTGCGAAGATTCGGGGGTGATCTGGAAGTTGCAAGGTTGGTTTGACTTTGACGTGGCCTGTGGGGGTGAGGGAGTCGGTGCCTAGGAATTCTTTGATGAAGGAAGTGTTGGGTCGGCCTCCCCATGTTGGAACCTGGGAAAACATGTTAGTTAAAAGGGGAGGTAAAAAGGAGTGAGGGCGTACGATGAGGTCTGCCTTGATGCTTTGTCCCTTTCGGGTAGTAACAGTGCCATCTGAGGAAGGTTCAGTCTGGTCGAGTAGATCATCGAGAATAACATCGACGCCGCCTCGTTTTACACGAGCCAGGATGGCGTCTCTCCACTTGTCAGGATAGGTGTCGTTGAGAAGTTTGCTCTCTCCCTGGACAATGGTGACTTTCTTGGTAGGGAAGAAGTCTTTGATCTCTCCAGCATACTCTAAAGGATAATAAGCCCAGGGATACCAGAAATGATAGAAGGGGAGACGCACCGATACCAACAGCACCTCCGCCAACCAGAACGATATTCTGTGCCTTCTCAAACTTGGCTCTCCACGAGTCGAAGAGTCCCTGAATACCCTTTTTATCGTCCGGAATATCCATAGGTCCATTCCACAGGTTTCCCGTAGCCAAAACCAACACGCTATATCTGATGCTCTGTCCTCCCTCCAAGACGACGCTCCCACCCTCGTCCTTGCCATCCTCGATGATCTTGACGACCTTTCCGAATTTGACTTCGCCCTTGTCTGCAGGAACGAAAGAGGAACCGTACTCCATCAAGGCTGTCGTCTCGAGTGCGTCTTCAGAGGTTACGGTGGCACGAATCATAGCCGGGAGGTGCACGAAAAAGGGGCGGGAAGTCACGACGACGATGCGCTGGGCTGCGCTGTTGAAGGATTTGGAGGCGAGGAGGGCCTTGACGGTCGCTGCTCCTACTGGGCCGCCTCCTACGACGACAATGTTCTGGCGGTCGTTTGACATGTTCAGCTAGCTGGTTCGTTGCTGAAGGTAGTGGTCGTTGTAGAACAAGGAGGTTATATAGTGCCGCTGAACTAATACCATTCTGAAAGATTCCGGCGCGAATTGCGTTCCCCTGGCAAAACTGTTTCTGGTAAACACGCGCTTTGCCTTTCCGTCAGCAATTTGATGTCACAGAACAACGGATCAATGTCACCATGTTCACTCTCGAAAACATAGTTGGTAAAGAAGATGATATGTACACGTCGACGTATGCATTGTATTACAACCCTAACTCGGCATTTGAGGCGAAATGTGAACCTCCAGCGCAACGATATCCTCCATCCGTCGGAATCCACCGATAGTTAGCGGGACACACACCCATAGTACGAAGCTTCTGTTGAGCGATCTGCTCTTTCCTAGCGCGCTCGGCTGCTGCTTGTTGCTCCCTTTTCAACTGCTCTGCAATTCGCCTCGCCTCTTCAGCCAGCCTCGCCGCTTTCTCGATGGCTGCGATACGTTGTCGCTCCAACTCGGCCCGCCTCGCCTGATCCTCTGCTGCGGCAATCTGTCGTGCCAACTCCTCAGCCTTGCGCTCAGCATCTCGTTTTTTCTTCTCCTCCACCGCCTTCTTGCGCATGGCGTCGGCGATCTTGGCCTTTTCCTGCTTGTCACGATCGGCGGCAGCTTGTTTGGCCCGTTGAAGCTCTGCCCAAATCTCATCGGAGACGCCAGGATCTCGTGCGTCTCCCGTAGAGTCCGGGTTGTTTGGTGTCGATGAAGATGCAACAGGGGATTGAGGCGGAGAGACCGGCGCTTTTCCCTTCGCTTTCCCTCCCCGCTTCCGGGTCTGGGTGCGTGCCGGGCTCTGCGTGGGCGGAGGGGGTGGAGGCGGACTAGCTTTCTTCGTACCAGTAGCAGTACTCGTCGACGGAGGCGTTGGAGGGGTGGGGTTAGCATGGGCTACGGGAGCGTCAAAGAATGAACCTTTGCGTTGCTTGGGCTGTACCCGGGCCCGATCCATCCTCGATGAAAGCATTTGTTGTGCGCACTCAACCACGTCATTCCCACTGAGAACGAGCTGATTACTGTTTCCTTGAACGCCCGGATCGTTGGCGTCACTGAGCAATGCTTTGTTGATCAGCACTTTCGACAGCTCCATCATATCTCGAGCGTTGCCCCAGTCCGGAAGAGTGGACATTTGGTCGACGACGGAAAGCATATCAAAGTACGTCTTGGATTGGTCGCTGAACAGCTCGTCGGCCACGACATTCCTCTTCTTGAGTTGTTTAACAACAATGGCCAAGCAATCCTTGGGATGTATGTTCTGGAACGGAACCCAAACAGGGAATCGACTGTTGAGGCCCGTGTTGGACTGCATGAGACGCTTCATGTCCTGGTCGTACCCGGCAAGGATGACGATAACTTTGCCCTTGTAGGTTTCATGCGTCAGAAGGCCGACCAGTTCGTCCACTGCCTCCTGGGCAAAATGACCTTCAGCCAGTCGGTAAGCTTCGTCGACGAAGAGGACCTTGCCGAGTGCTTTGTCGAAAAGAGCACGAGTTTTGGGACCTGTTTGACCGACGTACTGCCCAACTAGGTCGGACGCAGAGCATTCGAAAACGTCGGTGGATGCGAGAAGGCCCATATCGTAGTAGACTTGGCCCATTTTTCGCGCGATGGTTGTCTTTCCTGTGCCTGTTGATGGATGAGAACCAGCGTGGAACGTAAAGAAAAAGGGACGTACCTGGAGGACCGGTAAAGACGAAGTTGGTAGGGACCTGGTCTCGAGGATCCATGCCCTTGCTCTTGGAAACAAGGGCAACCTTCTGCCATTGGGCTAGCTTTGCCTTGATCTCTTCATGCCCAACGATATCATCGAACAGTTTCTCCAGATTTTTCGTTGCGTTCGATGCCCGGTCATAATCGGGGTCGAAGTCTTGCGGCTCGAGGATGATATGCTTGGGGCGCTGGTCGTACGGTAGTTTCGAGCGACGATGTAAGCAAGCCTGTTTGGCCTTGGAAAGCAAGTTCTCGACTTCGCCGCCGTTACCAAAGTTGGGCCTGGTCCGAGCACGAGCGAGGCTCTCGATGGCGACGGCCTTGCCAACATCGGTGGCGCCGAGGTCTTGGTCCTTCAACTTCTTCTCGAGGATATGTAAAAGTTCTTGGTCGTTGAAGTCTTCAAACCGGAAGGCTTCCTCGATCTTGAAACGCCTTGCCAGACCCGGGTTGACGTTCTAGGGGCGCATATTCAACAGGCGTCACGGTCAAATTGTGTGGTCAGTGCATACCTGGAACATCTCGACCATCTGTTTCTCATACCCGAGCATCAAAACGCATCGATCTTCTCCAGGTACATTTTGGACCTCGGCGACGATGGTGTCAATGACACTTGTCTTGTACTGGTTGCTCTGGCTGTTACTGTCGTTACCTCCTCCTCCATAGAGCATGTACGCCTAAAGTCAAACATCACTACGCCTTCTTCGGTAACGTTGAGTAAGAACATACCTCATCGATAACAAGAACCTTTCCGACTGAGTTGTTCAGGATGCCCTTGGTCTTGTCTTCTGACTCCCCAAGGACCGTGCCGGTGAAATCGGAGGGATTCTTGAGCACAACTAGTGTGACCAGCGGTTAGTGGGCGGTTTTGCAAAGGGAATGAACGGGCTTACCTTCACCCTTGCTCAGCATTCCAATGTCCGCCAGGATTTGTCCGTATAGCTGGGCGACAGTCGTCTTCCCGGTGCCTGGTGGTCCAAGGAACACTCGATTAAGAGAGAAGTCCAAAGGTGCTTGCTCGCTCAACTCTCGGTCATAGTTCTCCTTGACTGAATCGACCAGGTTCTGAACAGATTCCTTGACTGACTTCAATCCAATGAGGGCCTGTAACTTCTTCCACGCCTCACTCTCCTTGACTGCGATGGAGGGATCAGGGCCGATGAGGTCTTCCTTTGTGAGTAAAAAGTCATCTGCCAGTTGCCCTTGCTTCCTCTCCTCGTTCAGTCGAACCGATTGGCGTTCGCGAACCAGTTGGAAAAACGACTGGAGCTCACGAGCATTGCCAAAACCTTTGGTACCACGCCGTCGTCCGATGCGTCGAATGGCGACTCGACCATACAGGCCGCGAATGCCATCCTCAACTTTCATCTTCCCGTTGTACGTCGAGTGAACCATGTTCTCCAGCATGGTCATCAGTTCATCGTCTTTGTAGTCCTCGAACTTGATCTTGTATGGGACACGACTGTTGAGACCGGGGTTGAACTCGAAGAATGTTTCCATCTCCTTCGTATATCCAGCCAGAATGAACACGAGCTTGCCAACGTTGTTCTCCATTTCTGTTAAAAGATAGTCGAGGACGGGACCGCCGCCAAAATTGCCCTTGCTTGTCAGTTGGTAGGCCTCGTCGACGAAGATGGCACCTCCTCCGTTCTTTAGCACGTCCTGGACCAGTTTCTCAGCTCCGGAAACGCCTTCGTTTGCGAGTTTGGCGCCGCTGGTCTCCTTGAACTCGTTCCCAGGGAGTACTTTGACATACGATAGGAAGGCTGCGTATTCCCGAGCGACAGTGGTTTTCCCTACGAATAGCCCCGTCAGCTCGAGATAAAAAGAGCGAACGCGGTCAACATACCTGTACCGGGATTTCCCAAGAAGACGATGTTGAACCTCTCCTTTGATAAGGAAGTGCCTTGCCGTTCACAGGTGTCAATCTTAGCCTTGATCGCGAGTACCTGTCGCTTCACGGCTTCAAGACCAACCATTGCCACGATTTTGTCGATGTGAGGGTTGATAGCACCTTCCAAACGCTTTTGACGATCCCATTCAGCTTCAGAAGGAGAGAGGTTTTTCTTCTTGAAAGCGTCTTTGGAACCACCGGCCGGGGCTGCGGTTGTCGTCGATTTAGCCTGAGCCTGAGGAGGGGGTGATGTCGGTGTGCTGATGGGGGAAACCACGCTTGAGGCCAGGTTGGCAATCCTACCGAAGATGGAAGTGTTGTTTACGCTGGATGATCCAGGATCCTTCTTCTCCGGTTCGTCCATTGGATTGAAGGCCGACCCCGTCGGTACACTGCTCGCATCACTGGTAGCCCTCAAAGCAGCCAAATCAGCCAGCTTCTGCCTCCTTGCGTTCTCCTGGTCCTCCAACTCCTTCTGCCGCCTCCTCTTTTCCTTCTCGCGCTGGATTTCAGCGTCGATTTTGGCGATTTCTTCAAGGTGTTTGGCCTCTTCTTGCTCTCGACGTTCCTTTTCTTTGAGATCATCCTGAGCCTTCTTGAGGAGGACCGCGTCGAGTCGTTTGCAGGACTTGCAGTCGGGTACGAGGGTGTCGAAGCATTTGCGTGCGAGTTTGTGACCGCGGGGACATTGGAGAGGGACCATCATGTCGCATTTGATCTTGCTATGATCGCTCAAGTGGTGACATTTTGAAGGACATTTGTGGATGTTGCAGTTCAGCATGGCGGAGCTGCAGTCGCGACATGAGTTCCGCAATCAATATTTGTAGACTGAGGACTTACCAGGGCTCAACACATCCTCCGTCGGGAACCTTTTCGTCAAATTGCTCGGGAGTTTCGAGGACCTGTTTTCGATCAGGATGGCGAGGGCAGTATACAGGAAGGCCGCTATGGAAGCTATTCATGTCAACGAGCATGTCAAGCAGCTTGGTCCACAACTCCTTTCCCTTCTTTGACTTCTTGAATGTCGCCGAGTTTCCGATGATGATCATCCCATTGCGAGCACGGGACAACAAAACGTTCAGTCGTTCAGGAGAGTACATAAACCCGATGTCGCCATTAGAGTTGCTGCGAGTTAAGGAGATGATGACGATGTCTGCTTCTTCTCCTTGGTAGTTGTCTATTCATCTCAAGTCAGTGAGTGTTGACAACAGAGGGTATCAGGTCGACGTACCGATGGTAGCCAGTCGAAGCGGCTTCTTCGCGGCTTTGGCTGTGGCAGGCGTCAACAATCCAGCGCGCACCAACTCGTGCGAATCAAGATCGTTCAGAACGGGGTCGTTGTCCTTCTTCAACGCATCCCTGAGTCGATGCAATTGTCCCAAATACGGCGTCAACACGACCATATTGGAGGTTCCATACCCTTGTTGACCAAGGTACTTGACGATCTTCAAAACCATTTGAACCTCGTATTTGTTCTGCTTAGATGACGGAGCCGCCATATCCTTTCGATCGGCCAGTTGCTCGTGCGACTCTTCAGGATGAGCGTGATCGATGAAGACGATATTCTCTTGGAGGCCAGTGATGTTGGGTCGGTTACTCGTTTTGGGGTCGTCTTGAAGTTCGGGGTAGGTGAGTTGCCGGATTAGATTGGAAATTTCCGGCCTCATGCGATGTTGTTTCGAGAGAGTTTGGTGGGGATAGTTGGCGAGGATAAGACGCTCGAAAAGCGAGCGGTTGAGATCGTAACCGTTCCCTTTTTCGACGGTCAACTCGTAATTGTTGACCTTGGGTCGCAGCTGCCTATGAAGGGCTGTCAGTTTTAAATTGCAGGCAAGAAACGCGCACGCACTTATGATCGCCGATAAGAACGAGTTGGGATGCAGATCGTCCCAGAGCCGTCAATATGTGGCTCTCTAGAATCTCGCCAGCTTCCTCGACCAAAACAACTTGCGGGGCAGCGGTTTGGATGGAGTATCCGTACTTGGCCGCTGCAGTGGTCGTACATCCGATGATGCGCTTCTGCCTCAACAGATTGATGTCTCGAGCAGCGAATGCGCGGTCGAGGTGCTCTTGGGTTTCGTTGTAGGTCTTTCCGATGTGGTAGAGAGCCTCCGCCTTCTCCTTCTGCAACGCATCTACCCATTCTTGGTACTTCCGCTTCCGCTCTTCCGAAGGCATGTTCCAGACATTGGGGGTCTCCCGGACGTTCGGGAGGCCTTTGAGAAAGCCCGCGTCGTTACCGGACTTCCAACGGGTGAGAAGGAAGTCTTGTCCGATGGCACGCCCTCTACGATCCACCAGCTGCATCCCGTCGTTGTCTGTTTCTGGAACCTGGAACGCGATAAAACATTCTGGGTCCTCAAATTCGATGTGATCCAACACATCTCGCCACCCAGGCGCTGTGAGCATGTAGTCTTTGAACGCCCGGTCGAGCTGACCTTCCAAATCTGCCAGTTGTTGCTTGTACTCGTCGATCACTTGCCACTCGGTCCTGTCACGAGAGTAGCCACTTGGTGCCTGTTTTTGCAAGGAAAGAGGCTCGGTTTTGGGTGTCGATTTTCCTCCCAGGCGAACCATGCTGGCTGCCGGGATTCCAACGTCGAGGAGGCCCTCCAGAATGTCGTCGAGGGCGTGGTTTGTATAGCAGACTACAAGCATGGATAGCTTGGTGTAGTCGTGGATCGATTTCGCTAACAGGGCCCCGAGGAAGGACTTGCCAGTCCCTGAAGAATGGATATTAGCTGTCCAGTATAAGTGGAAAGGAGACTCCTAACGTACCCGGGGGTCCTTGGACAAGTGAAACTCGTTGTGTCAGGCCGGATAGGAGGGATCTGGCTTGGCTGGGATCCAGGACGATGCGATGCTTTGTTTTCAAGAGGGGTTGGAGGTCTACGGCGAGGTCCCGTTTAAGAGCATCAACTACGATTGTTGCCTGGGGATCACATTCGATAGGTTCCCTGCCGTCCTTCCAGAATAAAAGTTCCTCGGACAAAGGGATTCCGCGTGACTCCTGCAAGGCTTTGAGGACGAATTCGTATGCGAAGAGCGCTGTGTTGATCTGAAGCAGGGTGAGGCCTTGGTATCGCCTTAAGGTTTCGAATGCCTTCAGGGTACCTTCCTTGCCTTCAAGGTGGACGACGATGACCGGCTTCTCTTTGGCCAGCAGATCTTCGACGCGATTAATCGTAACGAAAGCGATGATGTCTTTTCCCAACATGAGACACGCGAGAGATTGATGCTTGAGGAAATTGCGGTTGTCCTGCAGGTGCTTAAGACGGTGTTGAGGAAGAATATCTTTGAAGAACGGAAGGTCTTTGCTACGCTTCAGCTGGATGCCATACTTGGACCGACGCCTTGGATCAGGTTCGAACCAGATGTCGACAGCTTCAAGGCCATCGATGCGATTCGCTCGTCTGAGCTTGCCCGACTCGGCGAGCTTCAGCTCTTCCCGGAGCTCGTAGAGAAGATCTTCCCGCAACAATCTGAACTGATTGTCGAGGTGAATGGCAGTGCGCCTATCCTCGGTCTTGGGATCAAGCAGGGCGTCACTGGGGCGTATGAATGGTTGATCTGAACACGCGATCTCGTCTGGCGTCGGTGTAATAGCGATGCTTCGAAAGTCGGGGAAGTCGTTGTCGTGTCGACCACCTGTATGCCGAATATTAGAAGGGGTTAACAGCACTGGGTGCTGGGTTGAGCTCACCTGGAGGAGCCATAGCTAAGTTTTCAGAAACTCCGTCCTTGGAAACATCCTGATAGGTTGCCAGGACGTTCTTGATCTGCTGGCCATAACCCCTGACCTCCCTGGAATCTGAGGCGAGGAGTTTGGCGAGTATGGTAGTGAGTTGAGCATCCGATCGATAAGAATCTGAGGACTCCTTCGGGAGTGAAACAAGTTGGAAAAGTAACCACGCAAATGCGCGGGAGCCTTGGTCGTTGAGATTGCCATCCACAAACGCCTTTTGCAAGGCATTCCAAAAAATGGGTGGATCAGCGATCTTCAAGACGATACCGCGAAGGAGCTGTCCCTCGCCGATGGAAGCGAAATCTGGGTTTGAGAGAAAGTTCAGCAGCGCTGCTGAAGAACCATTCAAAGTCCCAGTATCCAACTTGTATCGGATCGCGCTCTGGAGAGCGTTCTTGCCCTCCTTGCCGGTGGCTAGCTTGTTCAGACAGGCGATGGGGTCGGTATGGCTGTAGATTGCCTCTATGAACTGTGGTCCATTATAGGCAGTAATTGCTGTTTTCCCATCACAGATGGTGTCGAAGATTTTGGTGAGTTTGGCGACTCGCGTGCTCGACGCCATCTTTGCGCGGTGGAGAGAACGGGAAACGCCAGTAAAGAAGTGTGGTGCCTTTCGAATCGCCTTTATATAGCTTCTTCATCGATACCCACGAACATCAACACGAGTCAGTAGGTTTACGTGGGGTTCCGCAGTTTGGGCGTCAATCTAGTCATCCAGCTTTGCTTCGTGGCTTCCTGGGTGGCGCGTTGGATCGAACATGAGGCTGGCTTGACTGCAGACTATATCGCATTTGGTTTGTAGCATATTTGAAAAGATCATGGGGTGCCAGGCGTTCAAGGGCACGGTAGACAGCAGAGCAGGTGGTGGTCCTGTGACAACCCGTGGTCCGGCAGGGACCGACCATGCAACATCAATCCATCACGATGTTATTGAGCCCGGTCTAATGATAAGATAAGGGCAGTTGGTGGGGAAGTAATGTACACCTATTTTTCAGTCTAGCAGTCCAGGTGGAATCTTTAAGCTCTGTCTGCTCGGGCGAGCCTATCATGTTCCTCAATGTCCCTGAAAATAAAATAAAATATGTCATTAGTCTTGGACCAGAGGAGGAGGTGTAGTGTTAACGCACGTTGCTTCCCAAGGGTAGTCCAGCCAGACATCGTCTACGTCGTCTCCAGAGAAGTATCTTCAAAAGGTCAGTATAAGAGCAGGGTTTAGGGACAGATTAGAATGTGCTCACGGTGTTCCAGCATCAATCTCAGCCAACTTGGGCTTCTTCTTGTTGTGGACGACGAAGATGGCAAACTTGGTTGCTTCACGGAGTTGGGCACGTTGGTCCTCGGGATAGTTGAGGAGTTCTTGTTCTACGTCTTTCTTGAGTTCAGAGAGAGCGTAGCTGGGGGACTTTAGTATTGACAATGTGATGATAGCTGCCTGGCATACCAAAGGGTCTTTCGAGTATCGTCGACTTCGTCCTGCACCAAATGTGTCAGAGAGGATACTGCTCGACCAGCTGAAACACACATACGACAATGAGGTTCCGTCTCCCAACGAGCATCTTTCCAGAATTGGGTCCTCTATTAATCAAAGGGTCGATAAGCTTCATGGACAAAGTTGAAAACCTACTACTTACAGCCATTGCGTTCGAATAACCTCATTTCCAATCTGCTCGGCAGTGCTGCCTTCTATGGGCTCGTACAATGAGAGACCGATGGCTTGAATTTGCAGGGTTTTGTTATGCGTCTCTCCCCGGAGGAAAGTTCGCTGAGGAAGGACTGAAATTACTTTTTAGCGCCCTTGGAAGAGAGGGAGACGCCTGACCATCACTCGGGCGGGGAAGAAGCCGCTGGTGGACGTCTAGTCGTGAGCTGGGCTGGTATATGGTATTGGAGAATGCTCACCCTCCACCTGTAAGTCCCAACCTGTTAGTCGCAGGCCAACCCCGCAATATTAAACGATCAGCGCACCGATTGCAATCAAAAGGTCAGGATTGAATTCCTTGGCAATTTGTGGAGTTCGTTTTCGAATGAGGTTGTGAATGTCATTGTAAGTGACTCGGAGGTGTTGGATTTCTTCAGGCATGGCTGGTGGCTGGCGTTTGGGTGAGAGAGGGGAAGAGACGGAAGATGATTTTTCTGAGCGGTGGCCGTGATAGCGTATAGATATAGAAATCCGCGATCACGGACGGGTCAAATTTGGTGCATCCCACATTGCTTCTGACTTGAACGACCACAAGGACTATCCGACGATAAGAATGGCCGGTACGTATTCATTTTTCGCTATAGTAGTTGACTAGACGAAACTAAACTCTTGGACTGTAGATAGCAATGCCCCTAGTGGAAGTGGAACTCCGAAAGCTATACCTAGTCTGGCCAAGCGGCCGAGCGATGTAACGCGTCAAGGAACGAGTAGATTGAAGTTTGTTCCAACGTTGCCTCAGAGGCGCAAAAAAGAGTGCGTTGGACTGGCCATGTCGCCATCGTGGTCAATGCTCATCAGAGAATTATAGGGAAGTCAAAGCGGTTCGTGTGGAGCCACAACAACGAGACCGTTGAACCTAATGTGCTCTAGGAACCAACGCCTGATGTTATCCCGGAAGCGTCTGGGACTTCTGGCAGGGGTCGAGGTGGCGCCAGGGGTGGACGAGGCGACGGACGAGGAAGAGGACGTGGAGGCAGGCCAGGAGGTCCCCCACCAGTCGTTATGACAGCCAGTGGTCCTTTTGCTCTCGGCCCTACACTCGCTGGAAGCTCAGCTAGACGCTCGACACCTCGCTCAAACTTTGCACCCAGCATCGCGTCAAGCACGTCTGGATCTTCGTCACTGGGGGCAGGTCTTTCTCAAACGGCACCTCCCACGCTCAAGAAGGATTTGAATGATCTCAAGGGCAAAGGGAAGGAGGTTAAGAAGGAGGAGGATGACGATGTGGAGGTTTATTCAGACCCGGATGATGGCGTCGAGATCATCGATATCGAACAAGTGAGGGGGTTGGATTATATGGCTCCCGAAAGTCTGCGCAGGGATAGGAGTTCGAAGAAGAAGAAGGTGAAGAAAGAGAAAAGCGCAGAGGATCAAGGTACGTTGGCATCGCTCGTGGTTTTGTTCATGCATTTCATGTTGATCCAGTAGACCATGATATTGATCATGCGAACGCGCTGGACCTAAGCGAGGACGAGGAAGAAGAGGAAGCAGAACTGGAAGATGTTATTGAAGACTTTGCTGCCCAGGTCAACCTCGAATCTGTACGTCCGTTCTACATCAAAATCTCCCTAGTTACTTTCGCCTCTCTTTCCCCATTCCATTCCCAATTCTTCATCCAACCCATGTGCTAACGTCACCAACCCAAAGGATAACGATCTACGAGAAGAAAAAATCTATCTATTCCAGTTCCCCACTCCATTCCCGACGTTTGTCCAGCCTGAAACAGCAGACAACTCCGCGGTGTCCGCTGGGGCTACAGACGGAGATGTCGAGATGACAGATGGGACTGGAGCGGGAACGACAACTGGGAAGAAGGCGGTAAGCTTTGGACCGGATGTCAAACCCGCGGCTGCCCCGGGAGTAGCAGGAGGAGCGGCGCCTGGCATGGCAAGTCGGACGCCTTCTGGTTCTGGTGCTGCAGCAGAGGAGAAGAAACCACCTAAACCTGTGGATGGTGTAATTGGACAGTTGGAGTTGTATAAGAGTGGAGCGGTGAAGATTAGGTTGGCCAATGGTATTCTGTTGGATGTAAGTCGTCTGCTGTTGGACATTATTCGGCTGGATTTTCTGACCCACTCTGTCTTTCTCCTCGGCTCCCCGCCCTTCCCTCTATCTCCCATCGACCTGTTCCGAAAACGCGAACAGGTAAACCCAGCAACCCAGCCCTCCTTCCTCCAACAGGTCGTCCATGTCGATCACATCCACGAAAAACGAATTAGCGTCCTGGGAGAGATCAATAAACAGTTTGTCGTTTCGCCGAACGTGGAGGCTCTTCTAGAGGCTCTGGACAAGGCGGATAGGATGGCGCCGGTTTTGCCAAAGATTGAAGGAGAGGAGAAGTTGATTAGAATGAAGTAGCGTGGGTTCTCACTACATGTCTATTCCAGAGGAATCGCAAACCGAATGAAAGTCTGGACGTTTGGCAGAGGACAAACATCTGGATTTGAATTGATGAAGGGGGTATACAGGTTACTACTAAGTAGACAAGTCATACTAAGGAGTCCAATGGATCGGAGGTTACAGATCGTCTTAATCATCGTAAAAGAGCACGTCGTCTCGTCGTCAAAAAGATTAGGGCAAAAATTCTGTAAAGCTTGAATAAGAGAAAGAGAGCGTTAAAACAACAGGTACATGAAAATATAAGGGGGCTCGCCGGAACTTGGTGAACGACATGTTTTCGTTTTAACAGAACATAGAGAGGAGAGTGGGAGACCAAGGAGAGGGTTTACGGGAGAATTGTAAGTATATACAGAGAACAAAAGTGAGAAGGATTCCTATCGTAAAAGGCATAAAACAAGGCGGAGTAACGTTCTCGACTTTAAAGTAAACTATGTATCGCAAATCCTATTCGACTTCCCTACCAAGCATCATTATCCTGCATGCCCGTATCCCATCATGAAATCCCTCCAGATTTCCTCCTGAGTTCGATTAGGTGGTGCACCAGGGGCATACCGAATCGTCGGATTGTACGCGTGGGGAGGTTGCACGTCCAATGGATGACCATACATCATCGTAGGGGGGTGCGCGTGAGGTTGCTGATTGTGCGGTGGCGGAGGAGAATACGAATTCGAGGACCACTGGTGTGGCGGTTGCTGTTGCTGTTGAGGATGATGCTCGGAGCCTGGGTGGCTCATCGTCGAAGATTGAGGAGACCGTTGATGGTAGTTCATCGAGGGGTCAGGTCCCATAGCAGGACCCGGAGCACCGGGAGGCGAGATAAAGGGTCGGAGGTAACCTTGAGGTCCGGGAGCAGACCCGACCATCGTACTAGATTTCGTGGCAAAGTTGCCCTCGTCAGAGTAGATGTGTGGGTTTTGAGATTCATATTCGTACTTGGGTGGCGCGTGGCCGAGGTACTCTGCGAGCATTTCCTCTGCGCCAATGTGGCTTTGGGGACTGTCTTCTTCGTGCGCTCCTGATGCGGGAGTTCCCGTTCTCGAGTTGGGAGGCGAACCTGCCCGTGAAGGAGGCTTGATTACGGATTTACGACCACCAAGGACGCGCAATTCATCCACGTCGTTGCTGGGCGACTGAACTTCGCTACCGGCCTGGTACGAAGCCATCGCCCTGTGCAAGAGCTTCTCCAATATAGGCTGCGCTCCCGTTAGCTTGTAACGTGAATGATCACAGGATGAAGCCACTTACCACACTGCCCTGAGACCGGCATGCACGAGATCCCTGTTCAAAGAACGGGATGGTATCCTGCAATTCTCGTAATGCATCACCCGCAAGAGTACACTTGGGACTCTCGACCACAAGAGCTCCAAGGACAATCTACAGCTTCCGTCAGCAACCAAGGCACAACCAAGCACAATGAGATATACATACGCAGGAAGAGAAGATTCCAGACCAGAAATACCAGCAATGTCCCGTAGGACTCTGATGAACAGCATACAACGACCGCAAACTAGCGATCAACCTGGTAGCTGCTCGATAAGTAGCCATGACAGAAGCTGCATATTTATGATGCAGCGGGTTATCGGGTTTTTGCTGTAACGCTTGCGCAAAGTAACTTCGATGGATGTACAACAAGTCTGTGGAATCAGGAACGACGGATTTAACACTTGGGGTTCTTTTCCCAAGAGGGTCTAGACTACTTACTTGATTCGCGAGTGCAGATAGCGCAGTATTGTTGCATCGCTTTTGAGGGATCTGGTGACCAAGATCGTCCCGCGTCGGAGTTTTTGACTGGAGACCGCAGGTGCGCCGGGAGAGGGAAAGCTCGGATTTTCTTATCAAGTTCCAACAATTGCTCGTAAGGGGGTGTCCTGGGATTGAAAACATGATACGACGAAGCCGTAAGGATGTTGGCAGCATAGCGGAGTTTCCAGGCATGCCCTGACGTCAAAAACGAAGCAGTCAGTTAGTCTGTTTGTCCGCTTGAGAAAAATGGAAGGAATTCGAAACGTACAGCTCAAGTCCTTGTCTTGTCCGTTGGGTAGGGGAACTGCCTCGAGGTCATCTGGGAATTGACAGTCCGTGTGCTGCACCGCGAGGGCCGCTGGACGACCGTTTACGACACCCTGTTGCTGATATTAGTACCGTGCGCCAGACGGCGATGTTGCTTGCGGATAACGAACCGTCCACGCGTCCCAAGTGAAGAGCTCCCAAAATATCTGTTATAGAAAGAGTTAGCTACGGCACAAGAACAGCCATAGTTGACGGGTGCCTACCTGCCGCCGGCGCTGGACCTCATCAGGAGGCAAATTCCAACTGGCACTATCTCGTTCTGGATTTGTATGAGTGAGAAATCTCGGCGACGGAGATGACGGATGCTGCTACATACGAAGACCAATCTGTCACGAAGCACCAAGGTGTGAGAACGAAACAGCGACGGAGGAAGCGCAGTCCTACTCACCATGTGTGCAAGGCGACAGTTTAACCCAGTAATCAACCATCTTTCCTCGTTACGATCCCTGTCCGCGTTGTAGATAAAACGAACGATCAAAAATAGGGCTTGCACTGTGGCGCATGTGGCTTCGACGAGGATGGGGTCGAGGGAGAAGGCAGCGCGGGCGAGGGCACTGTACGTCCTGGCTGCGAGGTCGGATGTCTTTTCCTCTTGTTGGTCAAACACCGCTCCATTTGCGAGGATGCTAAAGAAGACGGAGACCCGATGGGAGTGTATATGATCGAGGCTTCTTTGGCCATTTGCGTAAATCACATCGAGGATGTTTGTATTGTAATCCCCTCGGGAGATGGGTTCATACCTATAGAGTTTGTGAGAGTCAGGGAGGAAACGGGGAAACGGGCTGACGTACATCCACCCAATGTTTGCAAAGTAGAGGTTGGAGAGATGGACCGCGCGGTCTGGGTCCGGCAAAAAGGGATGGAAGAGGGACTTTGAGTATGTTGATCTTTTGACGCCAAAAGGGAAGGCATGAAGGAGGTCGAGGATGTCAGGGGGAAGGTCCGGGGGGTGGCGGTCGTCGGGGTACATGATCTGGTCATGCGACTGAGGGACGAAATTGAGGTTGCTTACAGCATTCATGGAAGGATCTCTTACGGGAAGAAGATCTTGTAGATACTAGGAGGGGTATTTTTGAGCGATGAAAGGACAGAAAAAGGCACCACACGCACCTCTGAGCCCGCGGATTCTCCATGATATTTTGCCTGCCCGTTTACCCCAATGGAAAGGGAACCTATGCTTGCTGACCCATTCTCCCCGCGTTCATGAGACTCTACCGACCTCATTCCCTGGACCATATGCGGAGGTGTGAAGCGAGGAGCCGATTTATCTTTGAGGCCTGCCTCGGCTAGCTGCGCCTGGAGTTCATTGACTTTGGCGGTGAGTGTTTTGACTTCTTCCTGGAGACGCTGGGCATGTGCCATAAGGACTCTGAAACACGGTGGTCAATTTCCCGCCCATCTGTGTGGATTGAATACGCACTTGTTGCCCTTTGTTGCGGCGAGAGTGCCTGTGTGGGTTGACGTAAATAACGGGAAACGAATGGGCAGGATGAATTGAGGAACGGCATACCCTCTGGACAAATGCCAGCGCAACCTCGTCTATAGAGCAAGATTAAGTATTTCATGAAAGAGTGTGTGGCCAATGAGCGGGAACGGACCTGACGCAGGACTGGCAGGGGAATATGCTGGAGAAACGTTTTATGGTCAACGCGCGAATTGACTCGAGGCGGGGATTTTTTTGGCGATTTTCCCGACGCGAAAGCTTACCGGTCGCATTTGAGTTTTGAACTAGAAAGAAGATGAGTTTTTGAGGGACTGTGTTTCTGTGGATGTGGACACGCACCGTCTGCATTCTGCACAGGAGAGGCCTATCTTGCGGGACGTGCCACCGACGTTCTGGGGCGGCGGCGGCGGTGGAGGGAGCTGGGGAGGCCCTGGGTCTGGGTGGTGGTGGTGGTGGGGAGGTCTGCCGTCTACATTCATGGGCTTGTCGTCGTTGTGGTCGTCGAGGAAGAAGAAAACTGGGGAACGGTGGTCGGAGTCAGGGGAAAAGGGAGCGCTTGGCGGAGGTTGTAAATCAACCTTGAAGGTCAGGCTCAATGCTGATCAAATCGATGTTTGCGACCATCAACTCAAATGTCGTAAATCTCTTCTTATGTTATTTTTTTTTCTGCTCTCATTTTTCTTCTCTTTGCACCGGCTCCCGCTCTTCTTGCTCAGGATTCAACCTTAAAATTATCGTCGCCAGCTCACAGAGAAACCGCCGCGTCAGGGAACACTCGCTTGGCTCGCCCACAGCATCGAGCGCCCAGATTGTACTAGCTCGTCTCATAACAAAAAGGTCGCCTCTCTCGTTGGGGGAAATGTGCCCGAAATGAAATACATATATTGGAGGTTTGTACACAATCCACCGCTCCCGATTGAGCCGGCTCTCGTCCCGTGCTGGGATACATTCATTCACTGTCTGCGAGACGGATGTCGTTAGCGTGATGTTTGTAGGCAGAAAATGGAGCCCAGGAAAAAGATCAGACAAAGCGGAGTAGACCACCAAAGCAGCCCCCCCGAAGGTAGCTGAGATAATTTTCTGCACAGCAGGTGTTACCCTGCCTAAAGCCAAATGCCTCAAACATCATATAGAGAACGAATAGAAATATGAAAGATGATCAGGAAACTGTGCTCACCTACTGAGATATGTCGTCGTCGATGTCCAACGAGCAGAAAAAATGTTCGCGGGACTATAAAGGAAGGTTTTAAACCCAGACTGGTCCGACGCAACTCCGACTCGCAGCATCAAGTTCCGATTCTGGTGGCCTCGGGGTCGTCATCGACGGCGACAACGCGGGTGCAACTTGCCATGGCCACACAACAGCAATCCCAGTCTTTCTCGGTCCCTTCAACGAGTACTGCCTCTACAGGCTACATCCCAGATTCAACTGCTGCGAGCACTTTGACAACGGCCACGACGACACAGCAGCAGCAGCAGACAGCCACGACGAGTCAGAACCAGAGCCAGCAATCCAGACAAGCATTGGAGGAGGCGCGGAAGGATAGGACATTGGCAGAGTTTATGTTGATGTTGGATGATTATGAACCTTTGGTATGTGACCCATACGACCCTCTTTTGACCCGTACTGATCCCGGAATTAGATTCCAAATGAAGTAACAGACTATTACTTGCAAAAGGTCGGCTTTGAGTGCGAAGACGTTCGCTTGTGCGTTTTCCTTTTGTCGTTCAGAGGAAGGATAGACTCATTCGCCTTGCAGGAAGCGACTGTTATCACTGGCAGCACAAAAATTCGTGTCTGATATCGCTGCAGACGCGTACCAGCATGCGAGGATTAGGACAAACGCGAGTGGAGGACGGATACGAGTCAACCAGCCTGGTTCTGGTCCTGGGTCTACAAAGGTGCGTTGTATCGCCATCGAAGATCATTCCCCGCTAACTGTGGTTTGTAGGACAAGACGAGAACGACACTGACCATGGAGGACTTGAGCGCCGCCCTTGCAGAGTATGGAATCAACTCGAGGAAGCCAGAGTATTACCTTTGATTCCATTCCTACCCCTATTTCACTCTCTCTTTATTTCAATCTCTCTTATGACCCTGTACTTGTATTGTATTTCTAGTAACGCTTATGATTGACTTCTCCCTGGCAAGTTTAGCGCTAATCATCATTGCAAATTTCGTGATATGGTTCCTTGTGCGTCCTATTGAATACATCGTACATAGTCGTTGAAAGGGTATCCAAGGCACCGCGGGTATGGGCGCGTTGTACATGTTTTCCTGTTGAACGTGAGTCGAGAGGGAATCGTGTGGTATACAGAAAGGAAAAAAAAAAGGAAAGCTCTATGGGTCGTTACAGGTTGGTGAAAATGACCTTGCCTTCGAAAGAGAAAGTCAAAGCACGGCGGCCTATCTAATCAGTCTAATCGTTTTTAGCTTGGAGCTCAAGTGAGTTGAATCTTCTCAATAGCGACTTCCACCGCCTCCGTCTGCCCTCCACCCACCAACGCACCCCACTTCAGCCACCAATCCTCCGCTGCCTCGAGTGCATCATACCCAAAAGCAAAACTGATTCCCTCCCACTGTTCTCGCAACCTATCGTCGTTCCACTCCGTCCCCTCGGCACTGGGAGCCAAGAGCGACTGCCGCAGACCAGCATCTCTGGCATCCCTATGCTCACCAGGTGGGAGAGTCGTAAACCCTGCGTTGTTCAATTCGGATTGGTGCGCTTGTTGGATCCGGGAGAACCGCAGGTCTTGGAATGCTTCGAGGAGTTGCGGGAGTTGCCGCCGAGAGTGAAGGTGTGAGAGGAGCACGCCTAGGACGGCGGCGTCTTCCACTGCCAGAGCGAGGTTGTGGATCGTGCATGGCTATGAGGGTGGTTAGTTAGTGTGTTACAGATGGGATTGGATAGGGGTGAACGCACCATCAGGGGATGAGCGGCTTCCCCAATAAGCATGATCGTCCCGCTCTCGTCTACCCAGTCGTCAATCGCCTCACGCGGGTTGTACTTGACGCGAATGGCATCGGGTACAGATGAGAATATCCGGTGGATGCTGTAAGTATACGGAAAGTCCCAGTCAGTAAGGAAGGCAATGTGTTTTATGTCGATGGAAGGATTTCTGATGAGAAGGGAACATTTGTAGATGATCCCATGCCATATGATGGACTAACAAAAGGCCCATTTCGGAAGACGTAACGGAATGGGAGAGTATACGAACCTAGGGTGCGAGTCCTCGTGTAAGATGGCATCTGTTGGGATGATATCTGTCCACGACTCTGATGTTCTCTCCACCGGCGAGATCTTGATGAGCGAGTCTGGGTGGAAAGCGTGTATACAGTACTCTTGGCCATTTCGCTGTGGGATTCAGGATTTGTCAGTTGGGTATTGATAAGATGAGGTGAGACGAGTTCGCGTCGAGGCGATGAATATCATCGTCGTTGTATGGAAGAGTGGACCAAGTGCTACTCACAATTGGGTATCCTGGATTTCATGGTCAGGAACCTGATAAGAATAATATTCTCGAGGGAAAAAGGGGACTTACCGAGGACATTACGACCTGTTCCCATCCAGATTGGCCACTACGAGAGGTGTTAGACCACTGCCATAATGCGATCGGATTGGACTGTACATACCTCGGATACTCCGACCCATTTACCCCAGTCTGGGTCAGCTTTGAGTTTCTCTGCTGGCACGACAAACCTGCGGATGGCAGAGGCAATCAGAATGAGGTTTCTTAAGGCTGATACGCGAAATGACACCCACGAAACATAACACATCCCACTATCATTGGGCGCATCCTGTTCACCCGTTACAACTTCCCTCACGATACTCTTGAGGCCGTCTGCACCGATAACCATGTCAGCGTACACGACGCTTCCACTGCCTAACGTTACAAAGGGTCGTTGTTTGGATGCATCAAATTGAACAGAGGTAATCGTGGTGTTGAAAGTGATTTTGACACCCTTTGAGGCGGCGAGGTTGTAGAGCATCGAGTAGAGGTCGTCATACTGTGCATGGAGGGTGGTCAGTACATGGGATTTGGAAAACAGACAGACAGGGGTAGAAAGGCAGAAAGGGGATGCGTGATCGGCGGCGAGTACGATGTTTTCGGGGTGTGGGGGAGATATGTATGCACAAGAGGGGAGATATCGGATGTTGGGATAGGGATATGAACAAGTGTGGAAATCTCGGGGCTGTGGGTGTAAGGATGCGGTGTTCTTTGTTTGTAGAATGTGTTACTTTGTTCGTAAATCCCTGATGAGGGGCTCGAGGAAAGATTCGAAAGAAGGGAAGAACAAGGGCGCTTCGGAACGCCGGGGCGTGTGACTTTAGGACTTACGTGCATGAGGAAAAAGTCGCCTCCTGTTTCCTTGATCACGTCTTCTTGCCATTCCAATACGCCTACACGTTCGTTTGTTTCGACTGTGGATGTGGACGTGGTGTGAGTGAAGGTGGGTGGATGTGGGAAGAAAAGAAGCGAGAGGTGGAAGGAAAAGGGTCGGAGTGTGTACTAACGCGAGAGGAAGACGCTCTTTCGGCACTTGGTTGCTTTGGACAAGAGTTCATCTTGAAGCCCCCATTCTGCGAGGATCTTTGAGAGGTTGGGCGGGACGCGCACTCCCGTTGAGCGCTGTACAAGTGAGATGATCAAAATTTGTATTGCTGCACGAAGGATAGACTATACCTGGTGAATACCGTCGTTTCTATCAAATATCTGGACGCGATGACCTGCTTGAGCTAGGGCGAATCCTGTTGCAAGACCACTTATGCCTGAATTTTGATGGCCAGATAATCAGAATTCGCAAGATGAATCGGCTCGAATTCCACTTGCCTGCTCCAACGATGATAAAGTCGAGGGCTAGTTCAGCGGGGTTGCGCATCCCGAATGATTTGTTCCTCGGGCGAGGTGTTCGTGCTCGGGCGTCGTGTGCGGCTGGCATGTTGAAACGCGGGCTTTTAGACGAGAGACGGTAGGATCCCCCGTAGGTGTTGTAAGAGGTATGGTTGTGGTTAGGGTCGTTGAGCGAGAGGGAGGCGAGACCAAGGTGTGCTGCGCGGGATGTACGGCGCCTTGGAGGTGGGGATCGTGCACCAGGGGGCTATGTGGGAGGAGGGAAGAAGGGAAGAGGGGAACGGGTGTGGGTAGTTGATTTGATATGTATGATATGGGTGTGTGTAGTAAGAATTTTGTTTGGGACCGGGTGAGTATCAAGAAAATGACAAGCGATGTGTGAATCCAGAGTGTTCCGGTGTAGGGGAGGGAAAAGGCATGATCGTGATGATTGAATACGTGAGTGTGACGGGGACGGGGAAACCAGCCGGTGGTTGTGCGTTCGTAAGGTGTGCATGGGTTATTATCAGTGAGAATGATTTGGAGTGTTCTGGGTAGAATGTTAACGGGACTTACCGTTGTGTTTTCAGTACCCGACCCCGTGTTATGTTCTTCTGGGAGGCTTGGGAGGGAGTTGCCGCTGTGAACGTGGGTATTGGGTCCGGGCATGGCGAGTAAGAAGATTCAGAGGGAAGAGGCCAGGGGGTTAAACTTGGTTCGTAGTGGCGTCCTGGCGAGGGGCGCACTTAAGTAGCAGCTCAACAAAGGTCTGATGGTGGAGGATGGTCCCCTTGATTCAGGGACCGAGAACGTTTCCCAAGTCCTGACTGGCCAGTGACAGCACCCAGGGATTTCGGAGAGCCAGTTTGCAGGTGAAAAGGGGGTGCGTTTGTCCCTGAATTTGAGAAATCGTATTTGCAACGGCAAGGATTGGCGGGTGCGTGACGCGCCAGGCGGTCCAGTGCGCTCTAGCTGTTTTACCGACTCGCCCGACGCTGGGCGAGGATCTTCCGGGGGCCCATCTTTCTCTGAGGGCGGCGTGGATGGGAATGTCCGAACGCTTTGAGACTGTCAAGAGGGTTGATAACCAATCGGCAGACGCTTCCATGTTGCTGGTCGAAAGAAACTCGAGTACATTATATGAGATGCGGTGACGTTTGACGCTGGTGACAAACATGTCCGATTATCACGCGTGGGACTGGAATCGTCTGGGCGCTTAAACTTCGTGAGGATACCCTAAGTATGAGCCCTTGGACGTGGAATAAGCAGGAGCCAGTGTGGGGGCCGAATGCAGCGGTACTGCTCAAAGTGCCCTCGTAGTTCAAGGATGGCCAAGCCACCACATGATGAGATATACCGTCTCCAAATTTGATTTAAGTACTGCAAAATCATAAACCATGCATCGCGACTCCGACGGCCGAGTACCACGCTGTAACTTCAGCGTGTCTTTTGTTTGGCATCAGTGTTGAAACCAAACAGGTCAGCCACGTTACAGAGTCTTGGCGCTGTTCACGACCAGCACGCTCATAGTCTTTCCTTAATCCCAGCCTAATCCCAGAGCGGCTGCAGAACTCTGGCAAAAATGCAGCGCCTAACCCTTCTCTCTACGATTCTGTTATGTTTCATAAGTGCCTGTAACGCCCTCCATTTCTACCTCGATGCAAACCAGAAACGCTGTTTTATTGAAGAATTGCCGTCCGATACCGTTGTCGAAGGTGTGTTTGCCATGTTTCGTAGGAGACGGGATGGAGGCTTATATGGTTTTGTCAGGACATTATAGAGCGCTGGAGTGGTCGGAGCAGCAGCAAAGATATATTGATAACCCAGAGCTGGGCATTATCGTTGAAGTCACCGTGTGTTTCTTACATTTTGCCGCTCTGGATCTTGTATTGATAATTTGATACAGGAAGAGCCTTCTGGTCATGTCGTAGTCAAAACCAACGGACCCCTGGACGGCAAATTTACCTTCACCTCTCACGAAAACGGTGACCACGCCATCTGCCTCTCCACCAACTACGCCTCATGGTTCAGTCACACCCATGTCCGAATTGCCATTGATATTGTGGTTGGCACGACGCGTCCCGATGTCGAGAAGGATCGGTCTCATATTAGTGAATTGGCTAGCAAGATTAGGGATCTGAACATCAAGATGGAGGATATTCGGAGGGAACAGCAGTACCAGCGGGAGAGGGAGGCTGATTTTAGGAATTTGAGTGAGGCGACGAACGCGAGGGCTGTGTGGTACAGTCTGGCACAGCTGGCTGTCCTGATTACGACCTGTGCATGGCAGATGAGGCACTTGAAGGTGAGTTTCTGCTATACAGCTGAGGAATTAGGCGCTGATAGGTTCTGCAGTCTTTCTTCCAGGACAGAAAGACGCGATAGGGTTACTACTTATATCCTCCTTGTACTATCGTTGGATGTAATTGCATATCTTATGGGCCCCTTGCTTTCCGACACCCGGTATGTAGTCTAATCGACTTTGAGCAGGATCTTCTTCCCGTACCTCCCCTCGGACAACTTCTTGAATGCCTCCCGCACTGCCGAGGTCGCCTCTTCATCCGACAAGTTGCCCGTGATATGGAGGATTTCGTGGTCGGGCGTTTGGAGCTGGAATCCACTTGGTTACCGATTGTGAAGAGAACATTGCATGGAATAGGCTCACCTTTCCAGCATTGATGTATCCGACCAACTTCTGCATCAACTTGTCTCGTTCCTGGGAAGGGCGCGTCTTGTACCATTGGCTTTGCCAGAAGCCGTTGGCCGTTAGGTTTTTGAAGATGAAGAGGGAAGTGGGGAGCGAGAGAGGCTGTTTGGACATCGCACCGTAGGAGACGAGATGGGCATCCTGTCCAAGGTAGCGTGCCATGAGTGTGGTTTCTTTACCACCTACGCAGTTCAACCCTAGGCGGATGGGTTTACCACCAGTCCATTGTTTGATCTTGTCTCGCGTGGATTTGTCTGTGAGGTCGTCGTATGTGAGGACATGTGTTGCGCCAAGCTTGGTCAACTGGTCTTTGAGTCGGTCGATATTGTCCCTATTTACGTGGACGCGTCGCGTCAATCGCGCTAACTGGTTGGAGAATGAATGGCATACCTGTTTCGAACGAGATTTATCGTCTTGTACCCTTCTGCAGCAGCGATTTGGATTACAGCTTGGCCCACCTGTTGTTGGGTAAATGATCAGCCGACGTATGGGTATAAGGGAACCCGAATCTTACCGCGCTGTTGGCCCCGTTCTGGATGACCCAGTCTCCGGCCTCCAGCTTCACAAAGTCGTGCAACATATTGTAGGCTGTTGGAGGGTTGACCTGTACTCTGTATTAGATATGTCGTGCTGTGATGAACGGGTACTTACAGTGAGGGTAGCCCCAGCGGCCTCCGTCAACGCAGCCCTACCACCTGGCACCCTCGCTACATCAGGCGCAGGGATGTTCCTTTCACTCATCCACGTCCCCGACTGTTGCTTCGTAACCACCACCCAATCCCCAACCTTGTACATCCCATCGGCACCTTGCCCAACCGCAGTGACCTCTGCTAACCCTTCATTTCCTCCAATGAACACTGGGTGGCCTTCGCTGCCGAGTCCAGAACTGTTACCCAGCGAGTCAGTGCGTGTTGGTTTGGAAGGGTAGACGCCTTCGATAACATTGATATCGGCAGGATTGATAGGTGAGAGGAGGTATTTGATGTTGAGCGAGTTGGGGGGTGGCGTTGCGGGGATCGGTGGGTAGCTCAGGATTTGCAGGACAGAAGTGGGGTCACCATTCTCTGTGTAGACCACTGCCCGTCCAAGGCATGGATGGGTCGTAGAAAACAAGCGCACTGAGACGAGAGGGCGCAGCGAACGCGTCAAGGAACGGGTTGAGAACATCGTGGTGTGCGAGTAACCAGAGTTTCTCGGAATCAATTCAGAATGACGTCGTTGCAATAAATATCAATAAGTTACAATGATCTCTGTCTACTGGAACTCGTATGCAGGTTTGGACAAGGCGTCGCAGGTGAAGATGGAAATTGGAACTCTATTAGAACTTTCAGTCGTACTGGATTCGAGCCGCTGGATGTGGGGTCGTATCTTTGCTTCAATGTCGTCGCATGCGTAGCAATCCACGATGATGGCGCCTTTGTCCATGTATGGACCGGCAGGGTGTGAAACCCATCCACAGGCGAATAAAAGTGAGTCTATAGAGTGGATTTTACGGTCTGAAGGGAGCTGCTTCCGCAGGAGTCGGCACGTTTTGCAGGTCGTTCGTGGATTTGTGAAGGAGACATGGGCACCATCCAAGAGCAAAGGTTCTTGCTTGATGATAGGTTGAACCTCGTTCTGGGAACTTGACGGTGGAACGGGAGAGCTCGTTGGCGGCGTGGGCCCAAACTGAGGTGACTTGAGGGGAAGGGTATCTCGTTCCTCCCTGCGACTGACGCGCCGAGTTGGGGATGACGTCGAAGGTGTAGGCAACGGCCCTAACCTCGTCGCAGGTGTGCCCGGCGGCCCAAGTACTTGGTTCGTCACGATAGCCAGGGGACTTGATGGTGGATGTGGGCTTGCTCCTACATCATGCACGAACTCGACCTTAGCCAAGGGTTCGACAGGTTCTACGCGAGGTTTCTTCGCAGGCGAAGCGCTCTCGACCTCCTCACCCTCCTGTCGTCTGGACCTCTTCGTCGCGACAGGCTTCAAGCCTGGATCCTCCAATCCCATGTCCATCGCACGCAGTCTCTCTTCCCACATCCTCGCCATCTGCTCTCGCTTCAGAGGGCACTTGGCTCCAGAGGCCGTAGGGACGTTGAACAGCTCCTTTGCCCAATCGTCTATATCCTTATCTGCTCGGTCCCGTCCTACGGACTCACAGGCGATGTCATGGAGGGTGCGCAAATCTACTGCGTCCTTCCAACTTCGTTCGGCTGGACGATAGAGTTTTTCGATTCGAGGGAAGCGGAGTTCGTAGAACTGGGGAGGCATTTCGTTAGAGGGCAGAGTGGAGGACAGACTGTGGATGAATGGACGCACCCGTGATCCAGGAGCTTTGGTGAATCCGGCTCCGAAGAGAGCGACCAACAGTGGTTGTTGTAGTACCATGGTCGGAGGTTGTAGACCCGGGAGGAGGGTGAAGGTATAATTTTCTGGACTCTGGTCCTGGGTTCGGGATGTCGGTTCGAGGTGCAGGGACGACGACTGCGCGACTTACCTTCGGAAGGGGGTAAGGGAGGGTGTCGACGGATCGCAACATACAATTGAAGTCTTCCAACTGGGCTCGGGAGAGACCATAGCAGGTCGTGTAGAACACCTCGATGTGTGGTTTTGGTGACTGGAAGCGATGTGATTAGATCTGGAGAGAGTCTAAGGCGACGTTCTTACGAATCGATCTTTGAACGTCCCAATGTAGAACGTGGTGTACGTGTCAGGCCCAACTGGAGAACGTTCAATTTCCGCTGATGGGGGGGTTGCAAGATGCCGACGTACCTCGTAGATCTCTGGCACGGTTTTTCTCCCAGGAAGCACCGACCAGAACCATATCGATTGTGTCACCGAAGTTTGGGATATAATCCTTCTTCACTTTCACCCAAGGTAGTTTCCAGTCGTTGTAACGGGACTCTTCAGCTTTGAGGATGAGCCCTTCCTGGTGGTCCGCAATCACACTTGCAAAGATGCTGCGAAGGTTGGATTGGGCAGTCAAAGGAGGTCTCATTGGAATGGGAAACCTTTCGGCCAAGATGACTTTGCCTGGCGTACATTGGATGAGGGATTCAAGGGTCGTGCGTCGCTCGTGGTAGGGTGTGAAGAGGAGGCTTTTAGAGTCGAGAAGGAGAACGTCGAAGAACACGAGCCCAAGGTGCCGAGTTTCAGTGTCATCATCGCTAAGCATGGAGAGCTGGGATTCTGGACTTCAAAGAGGGTCAGCGAGGATATGAGGGGAGAAGTGAGAGAGGCTTACGCGTCGTCTTTCCGTTGTCGTCGGCGGGAGACCCGTCGGACACCGTAGGCGGTGTTCTCGACAAGTCGACGAATTCGCCAGAACTCTGGTCAACGGTGAGTTCTCGGAACGATTGTACTGCACAGCCGAACTCACCGTCGATTTTATGGCCGTTGAAGGCAACCATCTCGGCGTCGAGAACGATGTTTTGTTTGATCTTCCCGGTTGAACGCCTGCCGTTGAATCCCAAAGCGTCGCGGACCACGTCGTGGATCTCATGACGATCGAGCGTCGAGTCTCTTTTGCTCTTGCTAAAGATTGTGATCCGAGGTGGACCTTCAGGTTGGACCTCTACGTGGATTTGGGCCCGCTCGCCATCGTATTTAATTTCTGCCCAAACCTTTTTCGAATCCTTGAGTTGTGAGTAACCGTGGATACATTTGTAGGCTTTGCGTGATTTAGGAAGCTGGGGGATGGGTCAATGATCATGAACCATGATTCTGAGCTCTATTATCCCACCTCGATCATAGTTCCAATGACTGGTACAAGCTTAGGCCTTTCCTCTGGAGGAGTCTCGAAGATTGCAGCTGCTCGATCCAGGTCTGAGAATACGCGCGACGCGTTGAGCATTGTGTTTGAAGAGTCCCAAACACGCATTGCGTCCTCCTTGGTGAGCATCGTGACCGCTTTGGTGTTGAAGTAGCGCAGGGCAACCGTAAAGTTTGTCTCCTGGAGGGGGTACAGCAGGGGACGGAGGTCCTTGAGGATTATTTGGGTGAGGAATCCAGCATCTTCTGGACGCATGGAACGATAGAGGTCACGGATGACTTGGATACGGGTGCGTCTCTGGCCTTTGGGATACTTTTGCTTGATGCTGATGTCTGTAAACCCGGAGAGGGCGGCGAGCTCGTCAAGGAGCTCATCTACCTGGGCGATTGAGAGAGGTGTGATGTAGTTATCATCGTTCTGCAAAGTGGATCAATACCTATGGTGTCAAGGAAAAGACAGAGCCGTACAGTGTCCATGTCTTCGAGGATGGATCTGAGTTCGTGACCGAGACAGCCGGAAGCATCTGGACTTTTCCACTCAGAAAACCTGGACGGGTTGAACCCGAAGCATTGGGCCAGGAGACCCTGTAAGCGTAATTCCTGCATGTCGTATTTGCGTTTAAAGTCTTCATGGGGGAAGATGAGACGGAAGCATATCGCTGTTGTGCCTTGAGGCAAGGGACCAAATTGTTTGTTGAGTGCTTCGACCCATCGCTTGAAGGTTTCAACGACTTTGTGTTCTTTAGTGGATGAAGAGCTCTTCTTAGCCGCTATGCTGCGGGGTTCAATCCTAGATATGTGTCGAAACAAGGAACAGAGACTGTATCCATCTTGTTAGTTCCGCTGCTGTCTGGCGCTTAAAAAGCCCATACAATGTGAATGGAATGCCGTTGATTTGGGAAGCCATGGTGTTGGGGTATCCTACAGGGCGTTTGTCGGGTATTTATGTGTTATAAGCCATCAGAATCGAGTCACCTGGGCGAGTTGTGGGCGGTGGTCAGAGTCAGGGTCGAGCGGGAAGGTTATTGTTCGGGGCTAACGTTTTGACGCGTGACGGTCAACTCTTGGATTGACGCGCTCCGTGGGAAACATCACCAATTGTTGATTGCGCCCCTAATTTGGAGTCCCTTTCGGTATAATGTACTTAGCAAGTGCGATTAATCGCTGAATGACCAGTGACCACCGACTTCGGCGGGCGAGCAGGTCAGGAAGATGGAGACCATCACAGCTACAAAATTGCTACACCAAAAGGTGGCATGACTGAAGAGCTACACTCCCAGCCACCGTCGGGTATATGAGCGCATGGGACCGCGCTCTAAGCGCTAAGAAGCCTCAGCCTTACAGCCCCACTGAACAGTTAGTCAGAACGACGGGTGAATGATCCAATAACGACTCAGTGAGAGACGTTATACCGTGCTTTAAAATTGAATTCCCGCGTATTGTTCAAAAGGTCCTGATAAGACGGACAAATACTGGACTCGCCTGCTGCCAGGATGTCCAAGGGCGACTGAAGTGGCAGAGAAGGTTTCGTTCCGGAAATCAACCGGTTACTAAAGCAACATCTCGTGGTACTTGGATGACGGAATGTCTATACAACTTACGCCTGCTCCATGTCATGTTTCGCTGGGTTCTCGAATTAGATAGGAAGGCTTCGAGAAGTGGCTCTGGTCACCGAAGCAGTATATGCATCTTTCTGTTGCGTGGCGCTTACTGAGTAAAGGAAGGACAGTGTCGTTATTTCCTCCTTGCATAGGGTTTATTATAGGACGGTGGTTCACAGCGGTTACCATCGTGTTGGATGAGGTTCAAAATATAGGGGGATCCGAATCGGACATCAAATAAGGCGGGATGCGCGGTGGAACTGCGGCGCGCCTCGTGTTCTGCGTGTGTTGGACGGAGGCATAGAGATTCGAGAATATAAATTGTAGACTTCAATCCCATGGTAGATGGTTAGCTGTTTATTCCTTTGGTAGGTACCCTATGTGCTCCTACAGGGCTAAGTATAAATAAGCCCGTTGATTAAGATATGATATAGTGGTATGGTATCTGGGAGGTATCAAGGGGAAACGAGCAGCGGGGGTGGAACTTTGAAGGGAGGCGGCTGTGTACACGAATCGAGCGAACATGACTCGGGTCGCAAACCGTCTGTCCACAAGTATCTCCGCCGATGTGACGAAGACAGTGGGTGTCGTTGTGGGGATAAGGTGGGTCGTCGACGAGTGTTGCTGCCGAATTGTTGAAAAGGTGCATAAGTGGGAAAAAAGGGAAAGCCAAATGGAGGTTGGTCAAGAACCGATTGCCCCGTGCGTGCGTGCTCGATTGTCCAGCTTCGCGTCGCTGCCTGCGATGTACAAATGGATGTGAAGGGTCGTCAGCGTGATGAGAGAAGAAAGAAAAGTAAGTACTACGTTAAAGAAAGGAATAGAGGAAACCATGATAGATAAACAAAAAGGCGAGATTAATGGTCGAAAGTCAGTCAATCGATGGACGAGGCGAGGGACGAGATAGAGGAAGTAAAACTAGAACTAGAGAATGAAAACGAGGACGAGAACTAGTACAACATATTAAAATGGAAACCCCGCAAAAATGTGGAGAAGATAAAGACGCGAATAGGAGCTAGCCCTGGAAAAAAGTGACAGAGGAAAGCGAGAGATACACTGAAACAACCAGATGTGAAGTGGTAGCAAGTAAACCGTTGCTACGACGAGAAAAAGCCGACCAGGACTTGAGAGTTTTCAAAACGGTCGTTGGTGTGGTCATGAATATTCTTTCGTGTTCACGCGTTCCATACGGATGGACTCCTTTTCGCCTCGTATCGAATCTTCATGACCTTGGTATTCTTGTGCGTTTCCATTGTTGATAGTGACTGCATCAACTCTGAGGTCGTTCGCTGGCGTTGCTGGACGTGACGAGGCGAGACCGGACGATGTTGCGGTCGCCGTGGAAATCAGATGTTGATTGTGGGGATAATATGATCGGCGTTGCATTTTCTTGAAGTCGTAGGAAGTGAACCTATGATGGAGAACGGATCATGAGAAGGTTGGCGTAAAAATACGTTGTGTGGGCACTGACTGTTCCTCCATCTGACGCATCTCGGCGCTCAGGTTATCTTGATTTGCTTTTCGCGCCTTCGCCTTGAGAGGGTTATCCTCGAGGAGGAGCTCCTCAAGCTCGTGCGAAGCGTCAAAGTTGGCTTTCTTTTGCTATTACGACAGGGGTGTGAGTTGGGGCTTTTCGGTGATGGAGGGTAACGTACGTCTGGGGTGAATGGCGGTAGTTGCTCCTTGGTCTCGAGCGTGTCCCAATCGATGGGTTTCATCCAAGGATGTCGTTTCAATTCCTGGAAGCCTTCGCCGTCCGGTTTGCAGCCCAGGCGTTTGGAAGGATCACGTTCGAGGAACTTGGGATTGATGATCAGTGTCAATAGAGTAAAACGCATGTCAGGTGCTTACTCCTCTCAGAACCTGCATCCCAGCCCGACTGCACTTTTTCTCCGCGTCCTCCGGCCATTTGAGTGGGTCCTTTGAGATGCTGTAAGTCAGGTCGCTGTTTGTGCGACCTCGGAATGGACGTCTGCCGAAGATGAGTTCGTAGGCGCAAACACCTAGTGACCACCAGTCGATGTAGCAAGTGTAGCCTCGTTTGGTAAGGATTCTGGAGGAGGTTTATTGAGACCGAGGGTTGGGAGGCGAGGTGTGGGGAGGACGTACTCGGGGGCCATGTAAGCCATGGAACCTGCGACTCCCGTCAGTCGACGTTCTCCAAAGTGAACAGCAATGTTGAAATCTGTCAAGTGAGCGTTGCCTCTCTCGTCAAGAAGAATGTTGTCGGGTTTGATGTCCCTGTTCGAGTATGAATGAAACGGTCTGGATAGTTGGAAGAGGGTAGACGGACCGATGCATGATGCCCATTTCATGGAGATAAGCGAGTGCAGAGGAGAGCTGGGCGACATAAAACCGTACAGTGTCCTCTGACATGCTGCCTAGCCGTTCAAGATGGACTATTGGGAGGACGGTTAGTACGTGGGAACGCGGTTGTTGAGGAGATACGTACAGCGGAGGTCGCCACCAAGCATGAGGTCAAGGACAAAGAAACAGTTCTCGTCGTCCTGGAAGGCGTATCGCAAGTTGACGATGAAAGGGTGATCCACCTGGTTCGACGGGGCCGCGGTCAGCGAGGGCAGTCCAAAAGGGGAGTTGGGGATTTGGACTCGCCTCTTCGAGCAGACGGCGCTCTTGGATAACGTTGGGAACTGCCTTCATTTTCACGCATTTTGACTTGTTGATGTACTTGAGGGCGTAGAGGTCCTTGGTCTGTTTGTGCTGGACGACGCGAACCTATTGGAAAAATAAAATGCGGGGAAGGTGTGATGTGATGAATTTGGGACGGTGTTGCAAGGTGGAAAATACGAGGGCGCACCTTTCCAAAGGCACCTTTCCCGACACATCTGAGGAGGACAAAGTGGAAGAGGTTGACTTCGCCATCGAAATCGATTGGCTGTAGAAAGGGGCAGTCGGTAAGGCAAAAATTGGGTTAATGGATGTCAACGAACCTGCGGTCGACAGCAGACAGCACCCATATTATGTCGTTAAAGGTCGTTTATTACGGCGTTGGCAGGGGTAAATTGGCGGTCTCAAAGGCGAGCGGGGGGATTAATGGTATCGCAGACACTGAGCTGAGGACGGTTGAGGTCGTTACTGGCAGCGACGGCGACGACAGGGAAATTGAGGGTGCGACCGTCGAGGGCGAACAATGAGAAGAAAAAAAGAGGAAAATAGGAGAAGAATAAAGGAGGAGAGGAGGACGGCGAAGAGGACAAACGAATTGATGAGAATGGACTTGAGTCGCTGCTGGACAGCCGAGCGTCCGGGGACGGCCGGCGTTGTGTGACAGTCACATCAAACAAATTCAAAGACTGAATTCAGCCTTTACCTTTTCCCGCATGTGCATTCGTCCAGATTTCCTGCGTCCCCTCGTCCTCTCAGGCCCATCCGGAGTCGGCAAGAGCACTCTCCTCAAGCGTCTCTTTGCCGACTTTCCAGACAAATTTGGCTTCAGCGTCTCCCGTATGTCCCCACACCACACCACCACACCCATCAGCGCCTAACTCCCCATCACAGACACAACCCGCGCGCCCAGACCAGGCGAAGAGGATGGCACACACTACCACTTTGTCGCACAGGACCACTTCAGAAAACTATTAGACGAAAAGGCCTTTATCGAGCACGCAGAGTTCTCCAGCAATTTCTATGGTACAAGCTTCGAGGCCGTCCGACGTGTTCAGCAACAGGGGCGCAGATGCATTCTTGATATCGAGGCACAGGTGCGTCCATGGCCAATAGATCTGCCATTTCCCGACGTGTAAAATGCGCGCCTAGGGCGTCCGCCAAATTAAAAACACGGACCTCAACCCCGTCTATCTCTTCATCTCGCCGCCATCCCTCGCAACTCTGCGCGCCCGCCTGCGTGGCCGAGGAACCGAGACAGAAGCCAGCGTAGAGAAACGCCTCAACATGGCTCTCAAGGAGGTCGACTATGCAAAACAGCCTGGTGTCCACGATATTGTCATCGTCAACGACGACCTGGACCGTGCCTATGAGCTGTTCAAACAGGTGGCCCTGGGAGAGCGCATACCCGGCGATCCCCTACCGCCTCTAGACGACTAGACTACAAGTAATACAAATAAACTTAGCGTCGCGGATACAATTTGTGATGATCGGCAGTGCTTCCGAACTTAGTCATAGTAAGCCATTTTCAAAGATGGCGGGTCTGACGTTGCCCTCGACGTTGCTCTCTGCGACCTCGACGCTACTCAATGGTACCGCCCACATGCCACGACCCAGAGGGCTGGTGGCCCATCTCACACAAGAGGGCCTTTGATCTCACTCCATGTTTTGAGGAGGGCGGCCTCTTGTCTGCTTTGCTCGCCGTCGTCGTCGTCACCGCCCTCTTGAGGACGCCCCATTTGGCCACCCGACAGCCATTAGAACGATCTAGAAAAAGCTGGTCTCTGCTATGGGTCAAACTAGTGAGTTCAGACACTAGCAACCGTGCTCGTATTGGCTAACAAGTCCAAGACATTGCTTGCTCTCGCCCTTGGAACCAGTGTCACGAACGCAATATGGATTTACATTCAGCATACAACAGTCCCCGTCTTCCCAGTCTTATATCTTCGAGTCGGTGGCCCTCCTAGCGGCAATCATCATCACCTACTTCAACCATACTAGAACGAGAACTTCTTCCTCCGTCCTGCTTCTCTTCTGGCCTCTCTACTTCCTTGGGCTTGTCCTCTGGTTCAGGACTGTGGTTCTGACAAAGCTTGCTTTATTTACGCCAATTGTCGTGCTCAAGGGAGTTACACTTGCTCTGGGATTGCTTTCGTTGGTGGTGGAGACAGTGGGGCCTGAGCCGGACGCGAGGGCCGATGAGAAGGCCCAGGAGGAGAGCCCGGTTGTCACAGCTAATATCTATAGCATTTGGGTGCGTTTCATTGATCGTCTACGCGTTCGCACCGAGTTTACCTTGCGATCTAGACGTTCGGGTGGATGACCCCGTTGATGAGAAAGGGTGCATCTACCTACGTAACCGAGAATGATCTCCCTCCGCTGTTGGAGAGGGACAAGTCGGTTAACCTTGGTCATGGTCTTCAAAGGGCCATGAAGAAGCAGTATGTATCCATCATTCATCCAGCTAGTCCTTTCTGATTACGTTTTCTCCCAGTGTCCTTTGGAAGGCCTTGTTCGTTGCATATGGAGGACCGTATGCTGTCGCGGCTGGATTGAAAGTCATCCAGGATTTGCTCGCCTTTGCACAACCTCAATTTCTCCGCTGGCTGCTGTCATATATTTCGGACTACCAGGGTGCGAGGCTCTTGCCAGACGATGACCCCCTGCGGCCTAGCAAGTTTGAGGGCTTTGCGATTGCGGTCATTATGTTTGTGGCCTCGGTCATCCAGACTATTGCCCTCAACCAGTACTTCCAGAGGACTTATGAGACTGGGTATGCATTGATCCTCGCTTCGGTTGAGCAAAGCTGATGTTGGATGTAGGATGCGCGTGAGGGCCGGGCTGGTGACGGTTATCTACGAAAAGGCGCTGGTTTTGTCCAATGATGAGAGGTCGAGGTCGAGTGGTGATATTGTCAACCTCATGTCGGTCGATGCCACCCGACTTCAGGACCTGTGCACATATGGTCTGATTGCACTGTCTGGCCCGCTTCAGGTGAGTAGCTTGCTTCTAGGATCCGCGATCCGTCTCAACCAAGCGACTTGTAGATCACACTTGCGTTCATTTCACTGTACAACCTTCTTGGGTGGTCAGCGTTTGTTGGTGTGGCGATCATGATTCTCTCAGTGCCCCTCAATACTTGTGAGTCTCGTCTGGCTAGATAGCTGGGAGGGTACTGATGTGAGGCTAGTTATTGCGAGGATCATGAAGAGAATGCAGGAACAGCAAATGAAGAATCGCGATAAAAGGACGAGGTTGATGAGCGAGCTATTGGCGAATATCAAGAGGTGTGTGTTTGAGCATTTCAAGCGGAAGTATCCGACCGATGCAGGTCCAATGCAGTATCAAGCTGTATGCTTGGGAGAATACTTTCATTCGTAGAGTGCTTGAGACGAGGAATGAGCACGAGCTGAAGATGCTCAGAAAGATCGGAATTGTGACGGTATGCTCCACTTTTGTCTAGCAAGGGGGGATTTCAGTGACCTCTTTTGATAGTCGCTCAACTCGTTGCTGTGGAGCGGTATCCCGATCCTGGTCGCGTTTAGCTCGTTTGCGACTGCTGCTCTCACTTCAAGTCAGCCTTTGACTTCTGATGTCATCTTCCCTGCCATGTCGCTTTTCATGCTATTGCAGTTCCCTCTCGCCATGGTACGTGCTAGCCTGGACCAATTGGATGTCACTGACGCGAAGTCTTGTAGTTCGCTCAAGTAACCTCGAACATCATCGAAGCGATGGTATCAGTTAGACGATTGGCAGATTTCCTGGAAGCTAGGGAACTGCAACCCGATGCGCGAAAGTTGGTTGAAGATGCGGCTGTACGGGAAGGGGACGAGGTTCTTTCCATCAAGGGTGGCGAGTTTATGTGGACCAGTGAATCCATTGAGCCTACCCTGGAGGATATCAACCTTTCGGTGAAAAAGGGCGAGTTGGTTGGTGTGTTTGGCCGAGTGGGAGCTGGAAAGGTGTGTTGCGCTCGAGTTTATAGTCGTGAGCGGATGATTGATGAGGTGGTGACAGACAAGTCTGCTTGCTGCGATTATCGGTGACATGACCAAGCGCGAGGGTGAGGTTGTTATTCGGGGAACGGTAGCGTATGCCCCGCAGAATCCTTGGTGAGTTGCTTTCGGATTGGCCATCTTCACGCCGTACTGAAGTTTGCGCAGGATCCTTTCCTCGACTGTGCGGAATAATATCCTGTTCTCGCACGAGTATGACGAAACCTTTTACAACCTCGTCGTTGAAGGTCGGCCGTTCTTTCATGATAGGGAGAGTTGATAACTGATTTTGGCCGCAGCTTGCGCTCTTGGACCGGATCTGGCTCTGCTGCCCCACGGCGACATGACTGAAGTGGGAGAAAAGGGTATCACAGTAAGTTCACAGCAAGTTACTCTGGTATCGTTTGGCTCATGTATTGCAACTCGTTTAGCTTAGCGGTGGTCAACGCGCTCGAATTGCGTTGGCTCGTGCGGTCTATGCCCGAGCTGATCTGTAAGCTGCTGTTGTGCACAGATGGGACCAATGCTAACTGACCCCTTGTAGCACTCTACTTGACGACTGTCTCGCTGCGGTGGATAGTCATGTCGCCCGACATCTTTTTGGCAAGTTCTGCCGTAGGCTGAATGAGAGTATCGACTAATACTCATCGTTTTTCAGACAATGTTATTGGGCCCAATGGTATCCTCGCCGACAAGGCTCGCGTTTTCGTGACCAACAGCGTCGCTTTCGTTCATCAATTCGACCACATCGCGTTCATTCGTCGAGGAATCATTCTGGAGCAGGGGACGTACACTTCGCTCATGCAGAATCCAGAGGCCGAGATCGCGAAGCTAGTGTAAGAGCGGTTTATCTACAATGTCGACCGTTGAGGCTCATTCATCTGTTCAGTAAGGGTCATGGTCGAGGCGATTCGTCCGGCGCATCGGGCAGCTCGACGCCTTTCCCTCCCAGTGAACCGGAAACAGCGGTCATGTCGGAAGATTCGAGCAATGGAAAGGTTTCCCCCCCTGCAACCTCGACTATTCTCACCGAGAAGGTCCGGAGAGATGCGAGCTTCCCCAAAGCACGTATCGCCGCTATTTCAACCCTTCAGGATAGTGCATCGCCTGGCCTCACCAAGGAGCATCAAGAAAAGGGTAGTGTCAAGGTCGAAGTCTACAGGGCCTACATCCAGGCTGCCTCGAAGATCGGCTTTTCTCTCTTCCTCTTGGTCACTGTTGGACAACAAGCGGCGTCAGTTTTGGCTACGCTTACCCTTCGGTACTGGGGCGAGCACAACCGTGAAACCGGAAGCAATGTGGGTATGCTCAAGTACCTCATTCTCTACGGCTCCTTCTCGCTTGGATCGAGTATTTTCGGAGGGTTGTCGTCGATGATCATGTGGGTATATTGTGCACTGAGGAGTGCACGTATGTTGCACGATTCGGTAGGTCGTTTGGTCAAGTGTTGTGTAAATTGTTACTGATTGGATTTTAGATGCTGTACTCGTTGATGCGAGCACCCTTGACGTTCTTCGAGTTGACGCCTGCTGGACGGTGTGTTGGATTGCTTTTGCACTAGTGTGAGGTGGCTGATCAATCGAAACAGGATCTTGAATCTGTTCTCGAGGGATACTTATGTCGTCGACCAGATCCTTGCACGTGTCATTCAGAGCCTGTGTCGTACATCGGCTGTCACACTTTCGATTATCATCGTCATTGGCTTCAGTTTCCCTCCCTTCTTGCTCGTCGTTCCTCCGTTGGCCTGGTTTTACTTGAGGGTGATGAAGTGCGTAGCTTCCGAATTCTTAACTGACCACTAGTCTCATTGGCAATCAGGTATTATCTGGCCACATCGCGAGAACTCAAGCGACTCGATGCGGTCAGCCGGTCACCTATTTTCGCGTGGTTCTCAGAATCCCTTGCGGGTCTTTCGACTATTCGAGCATTCAACCAGCAGCGAGTCTTTTCGTCCATCAACCATAACCGTGTCGACAGAAATCAAATATGCTACCTTCCTAGCATCTCAGTTAACCGATGGCTTGCCATCCGACTCGAATTTGTCGGTGCTGTCATTATCTTTGTCGTCGCTCTCTTAGCCATGTGGGCTTTGATTACCACGGGTGTGGATGCTGGGCTGGTCGGTTTGGTGCTATCGTACGCCCTGAATACGACATCGTCGCTGGTGTGTCGGTTTTTTTTTTGCTCCCCTTCCCGATCATCTGACCTCGATTGCCTAGAATTGGCTTGTCCGGTCAGCAAGCGAGGTCGAGCAAAACATCGTCAGCGTCGAGCGTATCTTGCACCAGACTGACGTAGAGCATGAGGCGCCGTACGAGGAATCCGCTGTCACTATTCCTTCCGGCTGGCCTTCAAAAGGGGGGATCCGATTCGAGTGAGTTACTGCAAAGGTGGCATAGTGAAGGCTGAGCGTAACTCTCTGCAGTGGCTACTCTGCACGGTATCGCGTTGGGTTGGACCTCGTCTTACGGGATGTTTCCCTAGATATTGTAAGTGATCACTGGTCGCGGGATGCTCTGTGTGCTCTGCTAACGTGTCCTCAGAAACCGCACGAAAAGATTGGAATTTGTGGAAGGACTGGGGCTGGAAAGTCATCGGTAGGGCATTCGAATATGAATTCGGAGTGTTACTCACTCTCCCTCAGCTTCTTTTGGCGCTTTTCCGCATCATCGAGCCTGCGTCTGGTACGATCTTTATCGATGATGTAGACATCACCAAGCTAGGCCTTTATGAACGTGCGTACCCCATTTCCCAGTGTTCGGCGACTCTAATCCGGCGTATAGTGCGATCGGCTATCTCCATCGTCCCCCAGACACCGGACTTGTTTGAGGGAACTCTTCGAGAAAATATCGATCCAGTTGGGCAGTACTCTGACCCTGATATTTGGTGGGCGCTTGAACAGGTTTCGTTGCTGTTTCTCAGATTAGCTGTACCCACGGCTAACTATTTATTAGGCACATTTGAAGGAGCATATCATGCAGATACCGGGTCAGTTAGATGCTGCTGTCAGAGAAGGCGGGTCCTCGCTTTCGAGCGGCCAAAGGCAGCTGCTTTGTTTCGCTCGAGCTCTCTTGCGAAAGGTTTGTTGATTACCTGCTACCGACTATTCGACGACTTATCCCTTTCTTCACAGACAAAAATACTGGTTCTCGATGAGGGTACGAGACTGTTTGCGTTCCATTTGCAATATACTAACCATCCACAGCAACTTCGGCTGTTGATCTGGACACCGACAAGGCTATCCAAGAGATTATTCGCGGCCCGGCCTTTAAGACTGTCACTATCTTGACAATCGCGTAAGTTCATCATCCTTTTGGGCTTGTCTATATTCACTAAAACATGCCCCAGACATCGTCTGAACACCATCATTGAGTCTGACCGTGTGATTGTTATGGATGCGGGCAAGGTGCTTCATCTGACACATGATAATTGTGTTCGAAATACTCATATATGTCCAGGTTGCGGAATTTGAGAGTCCCAAGACTCTGTTGCAAGATGTGTCGTCGCGGTTCTATGGGCTAGTGAAGGAAGCAGGTCTCATTCAGGCTCCAGAACCATAGTTGAGTATCGTCGGATATGATCACTATTGTCCAGGTTTTATGCATGGCCGGTGGCCAGATTAATTATTATTACTAAAATTGAAATTTGTGTTAGCCTTACCTTGATTCATTGGACTGTCCATGGTCCGGTTTGGTTTGGGCTCAGGGGATTTTGAGCTGAACCAGAGCCTTAGATCCAGTTCACCAGTGCTTCCGGACCTGAATCCCAGCAAGAGCCCCGCCGCTGAGATTGTCTGAGAAATGATAAATTGGATGTGTTTTTGTCATCTAGTATTGTCTCTCAATGGGAATTTTACCCACTTTTTTAGTGCTCAGATCTTAAATTGGCCAGAAAAATGTATTGTCGTCGTCTTTCTAGAGAAAAGTACAAGAGAAATCCAGACAAAAGAGGTGGATAGGATGGGATAAGATGAACGATGGGAATTCTAAGACGACGTAAGATCTGACGCGATTTGAAAATTGTTGATAGGATCAGGGAAGATACCGCACGATGGGCCGAGAGTCGAGTTTCACTGGGGCTCAGATCCACTCAGAAATGATAAAACCAGAGGCTGTCCAAATGTGTCATATTTATCATCTACGGTACTATCACAACTAGAATACAGCTGGCCAGAGAAATTGAAAGGGAAAAAAAAAATAACAAACAGGGAATAGCTACCAGTTGAATGCTGCGCCGTAGACAGGGTTTCATCATTGTAAGCAGCAAGGAAGAGGAACACTCACTAGATGTATGATAGTATCATCTGGATGTACAACTGTATCATGAATTTCTTCTAGCTTATCCAAAAGTATTTCTTGTTAGGAGAGAATAGGACGGGCAACTTGAGGCAACTCACCCCTCTAGTAACTTGTGGCCAGTAGCTGCTTGCACACTGAATGTCCAGGACAGTAAGGAAAAGAACTGGAAATTATTTTATACCTTTAACTTGACCACATCAGCAGAGATATTTATTGAACATGTAAGACGATGTACCACTGCAAGTGGGGAAGAGTTTGATGGTATTAATATAAATGTAGATAAATACAATGAGGACATACCTGTAAGTAGGGAAGAGTTCAATGGAGGAACTCCCACTCGCAGTCACTACCTATATATGTCTGGAGACAAAGAGATGTCTATATATGGTAGAACAATAAGATGTCCAAATTGGGAACAAGGGCTATATGAGAAAAACAGAACTACTTAATATATCCAAGAGCAGAGAACAACAGAGTGTTTGTATAAGGAAGGATACATGAAATGTTCATACATAATTGGGCATCCTTGTACCCATAAATGGAATAGATGTGACATGTGCATTGTATTCCAACACACCCCCTCAATGTAATGTCACTAGAGAACGACCTGAGTCCCAGTGTGATCCGGTGTCATTCAACATCATCTTGATGGAGTGGTTTAGTTAGAATATCAGCTACCATATCTTTTGTTGGGCTCAATGTTGATATGCTTCATCTTGCTATGTCGTTCTGGGTTTCAAAGGACTTTGATGGCTGACTGGTTGTCTACCATCATTGGTGAAGGTCCATCAAGTGAGAATCCAATTTCCTTCAGCAAGTTTTGCAGCCATATGACTTCTTGTCCCACGGATGATGCAGAAATGTATTCTGCCTCAGTTGAAGAGTTGGCCATGGTTGCTTGCTTCTTGGCAGACCAGCTAATTGCTCCTGTTCCCATCTTGATGACAAATCCACTTGTTGATCGTCTCGTGTTGAGGCATCCTGCATACAGTGTAGTAGGGCCATTTGATACAGGAGGGTTATTTGATGCAAACGAATATTTCTAGGCCTGCTGAAACCCGATTGGAGTAGAATTTGGCAAGAATCTGCATCAAGTGAGCGGCTACAGAGTCCCAAAGTTTTGTAGAGAAAGATCAACTTTTGAGGGGGTAAATGTGTGGATCAATCACCCAAACAGGCTCATGTTGGACAAAATCAACTTTTATTCTGTCACTGACAAAATGGGTATCAATGAGAACACAATACATGGTCTGTTATCTGTTAGAGAAACGGAAATGACACGTAAAGCACAAAACCACTAATAATTTGGTGCAAAACTGAAGGAGGAAAACACATTAAGGACAGGCATGACAGTTCAATCCCATTGCACATGACAGCTCACCACAGGTGCTGCGGTGCATCAAACACCCTAACACTTCCTCACCCAGCATTTAAAATTACTTCAATTTCCCCCTTACCATGTAACTGTTACAAACTCCCCTATTTGCTTCATCCTCTCATTCTCTACGCACTTCATCCTTCTGAACCCTCCGGACTTCCGTACTTTTCGTAGCTCCGTTGTCCTCGCTTCCTCGATCCCTTCGCACCTCCGAACCTTTCGCACCTCCGCCCTCCTCGTATTCCGTACTCACCGATATTCCTTACTCATCGCTCTTGTATCCTTCGCCCTAACCTCCACTTCCTTTTGAACTTCTTGATAGCCCACTAAGTCTACTATAAATACTGCCACTCTGTAGTAGATATTCTTCAGCCTGTTATCAAGAACCTTTCCTCCAAAACGTCTATCGCTCTCAGCTCGATCTCTTCTGTCTGCGATAGCGACAGGCCTCCAGAACTTGACTCCAGAACCCAAACTTCGATCCAGAACCTCCAAGAACTCTTGAACTCACGAACGACTGTTGACAACGATAAGTCCTCGTTGTCCGAAGTCGTAACAGAATAACAGGCTCCTCTACCGCCGCCTTCTTCGAAAGAGCGGCCCCCTCTCTTCAACCACAAATTCAGACGACGATCTCCGAACTCCTTCGACCCCTCCCTACGGCTGCTACAACCAGCCACACGCATTCTACTCCAACAAGAAGTTCGATGTCCATCTAAATCCATCGACCGGCAAGTGGATTCATTGCACTCGACAACCTTGCCCACATCGTCTATCCAACCAACCTGAAGAGATCCCCAGCTGGGGAGTCCCTTGTGGTACTGTGGAACAAACTGAATTCGACCCCGACATCGTAGAAGAATCTTTCCAGAAAGCCCTTGAATCCCAAACAGAACGACGCAACAAACAGAAAGAAGAAAGAAGACTTCAAAAGAAACATCAGAAAGCGACAAAGTCACCAAGGTCGAGGGGCCCTACTGAAATCAAACGAACCCTATTGGACCAACTGAAGAATCTTAACATCGACCAACCAACTTTATCGAAGACCCAGACTCCATCCAAACAAGAAGAAGAAGATCCTGAAACTGACTCCGATATCGATATGACTGGAAACAACAGCAACAACTCCACTAAGAACGACTCAAAGAGCAACAGCAAGGTTATCCCCAAGAGATTCAACGGGAACTGATACCACTATCAAGCATTCCGCGATGCCGTCGATCTCTTCTTCATCACAGACGACAAGCATGACACTGATCAGAAGAAGATTGCCTTTGTCCTTGCCCTACTCGACAAAGGCGAAGCTCGCATCTGGCGAACCAACTATCTCAGACAATGCCGCAAGAACGGAAAGCACGACCTCGGAAATTATGATGAATTGCTCAAGAAGCTCGACGATACCTTCAAACAACCTGAAGAAGAAGAAGAAGCCCTCTTCGCTCTCAACAACATGAAACAACAACCCAACAAACACGCTGAACAAACCATCACCCGATTCAGAGAACAGGCCTCCCTTGCTGGCCTCGACCTTACCAAGAATGACCGCATCGCCATCAACTACCTCAAAGACGTCCTAGACCCCGGTCTTGTCGACAAAGTCTCCCTCGACGTCAGAGAACCTGACAAGTTCAAAGACTGGGTCAAACTCGCTATCAAATACAATCGGGTCTATCGGCGTAACAAACTTCTCAAGTCGCTTGGCAAACGAGGGAATGCACCCAACTTCCGCAAGACCCTCAGTGCTTCGCCAGATCCACCAGAAACAATTCTGAACGCGACCCCGATGCCATGGACATTGACACTATTTCCACCGAAGAACGAACTCGGATGATGAAGACTGGCAGCTGCTTCTACTGCTGCGAACAAGGCCACATCGCCAAAGAATGCCCCAAGAAACGCAAAGATCGAAACCCCTCTACCTCCAATGACAACAAGAAGAAGACACCCCGAGAAGCCGCCAAATATATCCGAAGACTCCTTGCCCAGTATTCTCCTGAAGAAGAAGCCAAAATCCTTGAAGCCGCCGGAGACACTCTCGATGAAGACGAGAACGATGAACAAGAGGATTTTTGAATCGGGGAGCGGTTCAGTCAACGTACACCTCCCCTCAGCTCGATATTTACTCTGTACTAGTCACCGAAATCAATGACCACACTATGCGTGCTCCTATTACACTAATTGGTGAAAAGACAGGGAAAACCGTTGACACTAAAGTTCTCATTGACAGCGCAGCAGGAGGAACCTTCATAAGCACAAGATTCGCCAAACAACGAAACATTCCCCTTTGCCCATTACCCCGACCACTTAAAGTCAACAACGTAGATGGAACCCCAAACAAAGAAGGAGCCATCACTCATTTTGTCGACTCCCTCGCTTGTCTACATGATCGAACCTTCCGGATCCGATGGTACGCAACAGAAGACTTGATCTTAGGTTTCCCATGGCTTCGACATGCCAACCCCATCATCGACTGGAAGAAAGGAACCCTTGACTGGCAACACAAGATGGATCCCGATAAGATCGAAAATCACTTACCAAAAACAAACACCACTGCCTCAAACACCACCACCATCGCTGTTGTGAACCGCCGGTATGCACCCTAAATTATCTTATTTTTCCGCCCCAACCCGGGTTTGAACCCTCGACTTTGCGTCCGGTCGTTATGACATCATTGTAAGGAGCAGTTCAAACCTGCTCCCTACAATGACGTCATCCCCCTACAACTGGCCACTGGACGCATATGGACTTTAAGCGCTGGCTCTTATGGCTTCCTTTCATTGTTCTTTAGAAGCCTACTTCCCTTATTTATCATTTCCCTTATTCTAAGGACATTTTCTCATAACACGTTCACCCCATTATTATTCCTATTGGTCAATACTTTGAC